TCTTGGCTAGCAAATTCAGCGTCTCGTTGGCATACTCAACTGCGAATGGCCAGAATTCCAGTGGTACACCACTGTGTAGCAACATGCAATTCGCCATGCCTACTACAGTCTGGTTGTACCGCTCACACGGTCCATTCTCCTGTGGTGAGTGAGGCGAAGTGGTTGTATGCAGAATGCCGCGTTCTTGACAAAATTCTCTCATCGCTGTGTTTACAAATTCACTGCCATTGTCTGTATGTAGTCGTTTGACTGTGCGCTGCGAGTGGTTTTCCGCATACGCCACAAACAATTTGAACTTGTCAAATACATCGTACTTGTTTTGGATACAATAAATCCAGACAAAGCTGGAATACGAATCCATGAATGTAACAAAGTACCTGTATTTGCCCGGATTCGCATAGTTGACCATGCAGACATCCGAGTACACAACCTCGAGTGGCTCTGTTGCCCTTGCAAAATGGGATCGACGGGCTCTCTCGCGTGGCTTGCCCTGGAAGCAAGCCTCACAAGCATCCAGTTCACCATGAAAGGTAACCTTGAGGGCTTCACCAATTTTGCGAAGGTACTGTGTCGAAGCATGACCGTATCGAGCATGAGCGTCATTCATCGAGAGTCCTCGCACTGTCGCCGTTCTCATACCAGCTGCATAGTGGGAAATTGGTTTATTGTTGTCGGCAGTAAAACCAATATCAGCCAAGATGGTAGAGTGTCCAGCATCCGACTTGACCACACGGGGAGCATTGTTGACAAGTTCAGCATTGTCGAGCATGTTTGGACTGACCAAGTAGAGGCTGTTGGTCTGCTTGACTGCGCCGTAGACTTGGCCATCCTTGTACAGATATGCCCTGTCCTTATCAAACAGAACTTGCATTCCATTTGCAGCCAGCTTGGAAACTGACAGGAGGTTCATCGCTGAACCAGGGACATAGTGAACATTGGAGATTTCCAGGGAGTTGCTGCCGTCAGATACCTCCACTGTTCCTACTCCGCTGCATTCATTCTGCTTGCCCGTAAAGTCGATCATCGAGCTGGTCGTGCTGCCATCGAATGTTGTGAAGATATCGTGCGGTGTCGAGCTTGCCGAGGCTCCACTATCTAAGACCCAAGTGGTCGGTAGGCTCAGATCTGTCATTGATGTTGGGAAATCAGGTGCCGCACTTGCTGCTTGTGCCCAGTATGAGATTCCACAGAACTTAATCTTTCGATGTTCATCCTGTTTCTCTCGACCAGCATCAATGAATCTTGCACACTTTATCGCAGTATGACCACGAATGTTGCATAGCTGGCATACTGGTTGGGACCTAACTGCACTCGCTGCGCTGACCTTTGTAGATGCCTCCATACTCGCTGATATGTTGAACTGCAGGATCAGGTTGGCGTTGTCTATGATATCCTTGCTTGCTAGGGTCTCCGGCTTGGTCATCATAAAGCGTTCACGTAGGGCGCTGTACTCAGGTCTGACACCATTGATGAGGGCCACCAGTGCAACCTTTTCCAAGGGAAGGGACTTGTTCGAGAGCTTGTTTATCATCTCAACACTCTCTAGGACATACTGCATCAGTGGCTCAGTAGGTCCTTGCTTGACAGATAGGGCTCGGATGATCTCGTTGGCCTGAGCAGTTGCTGTTTCCGATCCATAGGCACTACTCAAGTACTGCATGGTCTCGCTTGGGGACTTGTGCATGACCTTGCTTGCAATTTCCTCTGGTAGCGTCTGGAGAATCTTGTACTGCGTCTGTGCATCAGTGCGTATATGGTCCTTGCGCTTCTTCTCAGCTGTCTCATCTGTGTCATCAGTTTTCGGTTCAAGCTTGGTTGGCTCAAAAGCGTTGTCCAATAGACCGGCAAACAGTAGCTGGAGTTTGATTTCTGCCAGCCACAGCTCATAGTTCTGGGCACCGGTGAGCTGCCTACTAGGTCGACCATGGTCAATCTTGTCATCCATGTTCAACGTATGACTCAACAGTTAGAAGAAGAGGGAGGGAGAAGTAAGGATAATATAATGGAAAGGAGAGGGGTGGTACTAGAATAAGATGATATAATGATAAAATAATATGCTTTTTTTTTTTTTTTTTTTGATATTGCGAATAAAAGAAATAAAGGAGGAATAGATAATAACTGTGTGAGGATAACTAGAGGAGCACAGGGCTCATAACCTGTCAGAAGGTTACAAGCGATATAAATAAAATTATAGAGCGGGCTGGAACACCCGAAGATGGATATATTGGTTAAAAATGTGAGAGAGTGCAGAACGGCACTAAGCAAGTAGAAAAATATAGAAAGAAGACAAGAAGGATCCAGTCCAGTATTGGACTGGGTAGCAAAATATAAAGAGAAAATAGAACAATGAAATGAGGAAAATCTAATTCTGATACTGCGGACAGCATCTTCTGGGACTTGATCCTTTGTAGCCCGACGAATCCTGTCATAGTGACGCAGCTTGAGCTCCTTATTGTGCTGCTGCCATGTGTAGTGGTAGAGCATCTTTTCACCCTCTTTCCCATTGCTGCTATTTTCATGCATCATATACAGTAAATCGCCCCGACCTGGATCGATGAATACACAGTGGCCTTTCAGATTCTGAAGCTCTGGCTGTGGGATCTGGTGGATATAGCGACAGTCAGCTATAGTATTGCCTCCTATAGCACCACCTCCTGCAACATTGCCTGTAGCATCGCCTCCCACAGAATTGCCTCCCACAGCATCGCCTCCCGTAGCATCGCCTCCTGCACCATCAGCATCTACTGCACTATCAGCATCTACTGCACCATCAGCCTTGAATATCTTGTCTTGTAGCAAAATGCATATCGTTACACCATCTGTTGTTGCCATTCCATGGAATTTTCTATCACCATGCGCCTTAAATGGCTTTGATGTTAGATCTGCGACCTGGCCCCACACATCCCACACAGATTGTGTGATCCCTTGGACTGGGTCGTGTGCACAGACTGGGGGTGCTGATGCATATGCATTGTTAAGTGCTGCAACAGTGTCTGCTGCTGCCGCTGATACACCAGCAAGTGAATCAGCCGCTACTGCTGTAGTTGCTGCAGTGGCCTCTGTTTCATCTGATGGCATCTTCGCTGCTTCGCGTGCAGCCTTCTTGGCTAATTTTTCGCCCCTTTCTGCTGCTTTCCTTGCCTCTGTTGCTGCCCTCTTTGCTGCGTTGATCTTGGTAACCTCCTCACGTGTTTTCGAAACAAACACCTGCTTGATTATTTGCTTGTCTAAGCGCACATGGCCTGGGATCCATGATGTCTGCAGAGGCAAGCATTGGGGGGAGACTTGCCAAGCTGCTCATTCTCGATAGGCTGGCATAGGCGAATGTATGCACACAGATGCTTAAGTGGATTTGCCTTGGCATCATAGTATCGGCTGTCTTTGGCGAATCTGTACTTGGCACCATAGGCATTAAGGACTGGTGCCAGCTTGTTGTAGATTTCAAGCATCGGTGGAGTGAGCACACTGAGATCAGGGCGTCTAGAGGCAACTGCCTGGCGGAGCTTCTGTGCAGGTGTATAAATACACACTTGACATGCACTATTAAACTCAGCCTTGGACACATTGCCCATTGTACTGTGCAGTGTGTTTTTGCGGCTGCGAATATCAATCAATTTGGCCAGAATCCGCTGTAGGAAAGTGCCATAGTGCAACACAATGTTGTTCTTGTATGCTGTCATCAGCTCGGTATCCACATATGTTGCTACTTGATTCATTTCACGTATGCCATATAGCTCAATATTGCCATTATGCAATAGATAATCATAAATATGGTATCTAATTGCATCACCGAAATCTGCACTTGACAGTTCTGACCTATCCTTCGGGTTGACAAAATCCTTGGCAGATATGACAGTCTTTGCCTTCAGGTTGTGATAAATGAATAAATAAATCGAACGAAAAAAACTCCCTTTTTCACAAATGTTCCAGGGTCAAAAGCATCCCCGTCAGCTAGCTGATGGAGTAGTATCCATCGTGCAAGCATGTATGTATGCTCTTTGATGATATTGACGCTGTGTACAAATTGCTCTAGGCGGGGCAACATAGAATCACGGAAGCCAATACCACCAAGTGATGTCTTTATGACAGTAGTGCTGCGGGTAATATTCATTTGAGAAATTCAATAGGCAAAGTAAGAAGAGAAATGACGCTGTTCGGTTTTGCTTTATTGCGTATGCATAGCATTAAGAACTTTTTATTAAAAATGATCTGGCTTGTATGGTTCTTGGGGCCCTTAGCACCGATACAGTCTCTTGAATCAGTCTATACAGACTGGGCCCATTGTGGCCCAAATACTACCGCTTACGCATGTTCATAAGAAATTAATTTGTAAAATAAACCCACAAATATTGCATGACCGCTAGAAGAGCTATATGGCCTTATTCAATAGGTGCTCATAAATAGATATCCTAAGAGTGTTGCGCAGCCGGTGATGACCACCATGATGACGCCATGGAAGTTATCAGGCTGACCGACAATGAGAGCAGCTCTTGCGCCGAACCAATGGAGATATCTAGTGGAGACTTGTGACCACTACAATACCAGCCTGTCACCCTGGTTTCACCGATGAGGTCAGATGCCGCACAAGATCAAAAGGAGTTTACAGAGCAAGTAACCCGAACTCGCTTTGAGGTTTACGAGTTTTTTTTAACCAATTAATAGGGCTCTAGCAGGTGGTCGGACACTTTTTAGACTATAAAATCTTATATATAGGTAAAGATTACCTCCTATGCCAAGTCACTCACAAGCTCGGTAGTGGCGTGGCCAACCTGAATAATACCAGCACTCTACACCCACGCCAGGACTAAACAAGTCAGGAACGTGGAGCAGATGCCACCGCCACTCAAAAATACACCTTTCAGGTTCACCAGCTATTCAGATGTGAATAGCGACCAAATAGCATTGTTAGCCACCAAAAGGGGCTAATCAGTTGTTTCCAGCACTCTTCAGACAGAGTGTAGGAATTGCGTGCCAGACACGTTCCAGCCGCACACGTATGTCTCTGGGGTTTCCTTGCAAGACCTCATACACTTCTTATTACCACTTGCATTTGAACTTTTGCCATGCTCTTTCACTCCCCATTTCCAAGCATTCCCATTCCATCGGTTGATCTCCCGACCTTCTTTTTTGATACGATCGCAAAGAGGACCGTGTTTGGACGAAAGCCCGAGATTCCGTTCCTGATCAGCGAGCAAAAGACCCTGTCGTTCGCCGAGTTCGAAAAGTTCACATATGCCTTTGCCTCAGGCTTGGCCAATAACACTGGTCTGAAGCATGGCGATACTCTGCTGGTGGTGCTGCCAAACACCGTTTATTACCCAGCAATTACCTTGGCGGCTCAGATGGCTGGTGGCGTCGTTTGTACAGCCAATCCTCAGTACACTGCACGCGAACTTGCGCACCAGTTGAAGCTGATAGAAGCCAGGGCTGTAATCACTATCGGTTCAAAAGTTACAGCTATTAAAAAAGCAGTCAAGCTCGCCGAGTCGTCCATTCCAGACAGCTTCATTTTCACGCTTGACAGCGAAAATTGCATCTTTGATGTACTCTCAGCGAAGCCCTTTCCCCGCATCTATTTACGCACGAAAGAGGAGGCAGGGAGCACAATTGCGTTTATCGTCTTCAGCTCCGGCACCAGCGGCAATCCGAAGGGCGTCATGCTCAGTCATCGCAACGTCGTCGCCAACATCCTGCAGAATGGCGCATTCGATAATACCGATGTGATGCGTGCAAAGCGGTTCACTGAGATTGAGGAAACACCCCACGCGCTCGCTTTCCTCCCATTCTTCCACATCTACGGGTTGACATGTGTTCTTCACTATCAGCTCTGCTCGGGTTATGCGCTTGTGGTCATGGCACAGTTTGAGCTTGAAAAGTTCTGCCAGCTAGTGCAAAAGTACCGCGTTCGGGCTGCCCTCCTCGTGCCGCCCGTCACTCTTGGTCTGACCAAGAGCCCAGTTGCCAGGAAATACGACCTGTCGAGCATTGTTTTTGCCATTAGTGGGGCAGCCCCGTTCTCCAGGGAACTGCAGCAGGAGGCGCAGAAGGTCCTGGGATTTCCGGTTTGCCAGGGATATGGCCTATCTGAAACAAGCCCAACGGTCGCCCGCGCTACCATGTCCGATGTAGTGTACGGATCGGCCGGTAGGATTCTATGTAATATGTCGGCCAAGGTTATCGACGAGAATGGCAAAGAGCTTGGTCCTGGCGAGGTCGGCGAGCTATGCTACTGTGGCCCCAACATCATGGTGGGCTATCTGAAAAGCCCGGCTGCTACCGCAGAGTCAATCGATTCGGATGGATATCTGCACACAGGCGACATTGGGTACATTGACAAGGATGGCTACAACTATATTACTGACCGCAAGAAGGAGCTGATCAAGTACAAGGGCTTCCAGATCCCGCCCGCTGAACTCGAAGGTCTGCTCACCGATCATCCGGCAGTTCTGGACGCAGCAGTCATTGGCATCTATGACGACGCCCAGGCTACAGAGGTTCCCAAAGGCTTTGTGGTTATTCGACCTGGTGCCAACAAGCCTGGTATTGTCGATGAGATTCACTCGTGGCTGTCTTCACGTGTTGTTAGTTACAAGCGACTGCGAGGTGGAATTGAGATCGTTGATGCCATTCCAAAATCAACGACTGGAAAGATCCTCCGCCGTATTCTGAAGGAGCGCGAGTTGCAGAAGCGCATGGCAAAGCTCTAGCCTCACATTTAATGGCTCTGGCTCTGGCAGCAAGTAAAAGTAGTGGAAATTATAATATTGAATGGAATTTTGCTGGTTGGACCAAGGGTGTCTTTTGGAGGGAAAAGTTTAGCTATTTACTTGTACAGCCTCTTCTCGTACTGGTACAGATCATGGACACCGCCCTCGATCTGAGCAGCAGCCGAGCGGCGCTCGAAGCGGACCTTGCCGGAATCGACATACTCCCAGAGCTGGGGCAGGCCCGGGACACCCATGTCCTGGAGCGAGTGCTGGAGGCCGGTGATCAGGTACGGGATGAACTGCTTGATGGAGCCCTTGTCGACGACGGCGCCGGTGACGCCCTGGGCGACCTTGACCTTGTCCGACTCGGAGAAGTAGCGGGCCTGGGAGCCCGAGTTGTCCGAGTCGTTCTTCTCCATGGCGTCAAGCGAGCCCATACCACGGTACTTCTTCAGGCGCTTGCCCTCAAGGAAGAAGTACTCACCGGGGGACTCGGTGGTGCCTGCAAGCAGACTGCCCATCATGACCGAGGACGCACCGAGCGACAGAGCCTTGGCAATGTGGCCGACGTTGCTGATACCGCCGTCGGCAACCGTCGGCACGCCAAACTTGCGCGCAAACTGGGAGACCTGGTAGACAGCAGTTCCCTGCGGGCGGCCCACGGCCATGACCTCCTGGGTGATGCAGATCGACCCCGAGCCCATACCGATACGCAGGCCGTCGGCGCCCGCGGCAATCAGGTTGGCCGCCTGGTCGCGCGTCACCACGTTGCCGGCAATCACGTCAACCTTGTCCTTGTACGTCTCCTTGATGTGCTTGACCATCTCGATCTGGAACGACGAGTTGCCCTGCGACGAGTCAATGACGACCACGTCCAGGCCGGCCTCGACGAGCTTCGCCAGGCGTCCGCGGTCGCCCGGGCGCGTGCCGATGGCGGCGCCCACAAGCAGCTGCTTCGTCACCGGGTGCTTGCTGGCCCACGGGTAGTCGCGGTTCTTGAGCAGATCCGAGCGCGCCACCAGCGAGACAAGGCTGCCGTTGTCGTCGACGATCGGCAGCTTGCCCTTCTTGGACGTGCGCAGGATCTCGTTAGCCTCCGCCAGCGTCACGCCGTGGTGAGCCGTGACCACGTTGGTGCTCATGACCTCGGACACCGGAGTGTCGATGTCCTCGCGGAACTGGATGTCGCGGTTCGTCACAATGCCAACGACCTTGCCGCCGACCTTGCCCGTGTCAGTGATCGGGATGCCGGCGAAGCCCAGACGGTGCTTGATGTCCAGCACGTCCTTGATCTTGTGCGTGGCGCTCAGCACGATCGGGTCGGTGATGAAGCCGTTCTCGTACTTCTTGACCTTGCGCACCATCGCCGCCTGCTCGTCGGGTGTGCAGTTGTTGTGCAGAATGCCGATACCGCCCAGCAGCGCCAGGGTAATCGCCATCTCCGACTCGGTGACGGTGTCCATGGGCGACGACATCAGAGGCGTCTTCAGCGTGATGTTGCGGGTGATCTTGGAGTCCAGCGGAACGATGTCGGCCGGGAAGTCGATGAAACCGGGGAGGACCAGGAAGTCATTGTACGTCAGACCACCAGTCACCTTGAGGTCGATCAGCTCGTGTGCGGTCAGACCATCGTGGCCAGCCTTCTCGAGTTCCTGATGAGCGAGCGTGTAGTCCATCTTTTGTGATTTTGGGTAGAAATGACGGGGAATTTTTGTGTAAAGAGTGGTGTGGATTGACGTTTCCGTTGCCGACGAAATGTACGAGCGTGCAGATAGTGACGACGATTTAGGGCTTTTTGGAACCAGCGGGGTGGTTTATAGAGGATCGGGACTGGCGCAGGGAGTTATTTTGCCGGGCAGAGGTGTGATCCAGCAGAGGTTCTGGATGATGTGCTTGATTGCAGGACGGGAAGTCGCAGAAGCGCAGCGGTTTGGGTGGGTTTCTTTAGATGAGAAATAAAGTAAGGGGGCAAACGAGAGTAAAGTCGATGCCCCAGCATCATTTCTTGCCAGCGGAGAGCGAGCCTCTTTTATACTCGATCTGGGCTCGCATACTGCCAGTCGGGAGGCGGGCGTGAAAATTTTTTCTTTCTCTGCGCCAGCACAAAATAATGTGGGCTGGTCGGCCTAGTCCCCGCATCCGGGAACAGCAGGATTTCTGCTTCTGTTGGGTGAGCCGGGGATGCGCGGGTGATCCACAATGGCTGGCCGAGCCGGCTCTATCTGCGGCTCAGCCAATGGGCAGCGAGTCGTCTCCAGCAGATCGTGTCAAGCAGGAGCGGGTTGTGAGAATCCAGACCAAAAAAGAAAAACCGTTGGGGGGATATCAGAGCGGTACCAGGGGAGCTGGAGTCGCCAGGACCTGGGCCATTGGTGTGAGTGAGCAGAAACTTATATAATTGAAAACACTAGGAGATTGGACGCAGGGAAAATAGATGTGAACACTTAAAAGACGCAGGAGGAGAGAATAGGGGAGAGGGAAGCTAGATGTTACGGAATGGGCGAGAGGGGAGGGAGAGTGAGAAGTAGAGTGGACAACCCCTCCGTGTGTGTGCGTTATTTTGAGTTGCATGAGGGCTGATGGGGGATGTGGGCATGTGGGACATGTGGAATGGGAGGAGGATATTACTCGGATGCAGCGATTTCGGCGCCAGGCACAGGCGACGCGGGCTTGGGAGTATCCTTGGCTTGCTTGTGCAGCTGGTGGATGGGCTGGTGCAGGAACGACAGGGCGTCCTTGGGCGGCATCTCGGCCGAGATGCTGTGGGTGGGGGACGGAGCGGACGACGGCTGGTCGACCGAGGCCGCAGGCGTCTTGGGCGTACCCTGCGAAGCCACCGACGAGGCGGTGGGGGACGGCGACGAGCCGACGCCAAACGACGGGTTGATCGGCGACGCATATGGGTAAGCGCTGTGCGCCTGCGAGCGCACGCCCAGCGGGTTCTTCGAGTACGACAGCCGGATGCCGCCGCCAACGGAGCTCGACAGCTTGCGGCCGTCCAGCTCATGCATGGCCAGCGTCGCGTAGTCGATTGCCTCGAACTCGACAAAGCACATGGGCCCGGAGTTGGGCTTGGTGCGGAACGACATGCGCTTGTATCCGGGGGCATTGCGGAACACCAGCTTCAGCTCCTCCTCAGACGCGCCCACCGGCAGATTGCCCACGTACAAAGTATTGCACGGCGGGTTCTGGTCGTTCGAGTTGACGCTGCGCGTGGTCGCCATAGGCAACACCAGCCCGGGCGTCGTCGGACCCAGCAGCCCGGCGCTCGCCAGTGCCGAGTACGGAATGCTCAAGGCCGAGCCCGGCGGCTTCGGCGCACCCACGTGCATGCTGTTCAGGTGCGGCTGCAGCGCCGCCAGGTCCAGCACCGGCCGCGCGCCCTGCTTCGGCTTGGGCGCCTCCTCAGCCAGCGCCCCGTGCACGGACCCGCGCCTGCCAGCCGGATGCGGCGTCGGGGCTGCCGAGGAATTCGCTGACTCCAGCGCCGACAGCTCGTTCTGGTAGAACCCGCCCGACGCCTCTGCAAACGCCGACGTGTACTGGTCCTGCCGCAGCTGGAACTGTCGCCCGTTCCCCAGCACCGGCGCTGACTGCAACGACCCGTCGTTGAACGGATTGAAGCTGCGCATCGACGCAATTCGGAGCTTCTCTGGCCGGCTCGCCAGCAGCGCGCTTGGCGCCAGCGGCGTCTGCAGGCCGGCTGTCTGCAGTCCCGCTGTCGACAGCCCCGCTGTCATCGGCACCTGCTGGTACCCGCTGAGCACGGTCGAGGGGCTGTCTAGCCCGAAGGTCGCCGTGGTGCCCGTTGCCAGGGCCCCCAGCGACGACAGCCCCCGCTTCGTGTGCAGGTTCTTCTTGGCCATCTCTGCCTTCAGCACGCAGTTTTTATCGGCATCCACCTTGCGTCCAGTCAGAATATCCCGCGCTTCCAGGGCCTCGAGCCGTGTATGAAACTTTGCAAACCCAATCTACGCAAAGCAAATATTTCTATGGTTAGCTTGACGTGTGGAGAAACATGCGCTTTGGCTGCCCCTACCATGTGTTGGGGTTTTTTCACAATGGCAGACGGGGGAGGGCCAACGAACTCCCATGTGGTAGACATCCTTCATCACGGAAACGCGTTCCTTTAATAAGCACTTCAGCTAGGAAAATGTGGGGGAGGGGCGCTCTTACCCACTCATTCCCAAGCCACAGGAAAAAGGCTCGGCGAACACACAAAAAATGTGGGGGAAGGAAGGGGCGAAGGGAACAAGCCCGCCATCGAGCCACAGGTATCTGGGATACTTCCCAGACAATCAACGAGCAAGCGAGGGGCAAAACTACTGCGCCAAAACTTACAATTTGCTTCTTCTGCAGGTTCCCGTCTTTGTCGATCGACTCTTCGGGACCCGGCACCTTGAGCGTGGCCGCCTCGAACCCCGGCGAAAACGTAAACATATTTTGGAACTCGCGCTCCTTCATGTCGTCGGGGAACCCGACAACAAAAATCGTGGTGATTTCGTCAGCCATGAGATAAAAAGAAAGGAAATGGAATGTGAAGAGAATAGAAAAAGTGAAATGAAAGGCCAGGAGGGGGTGCAAAAAGTAAAAAAAAATGAAAGTGAAAAAGAAATAGCTCGATGAAGGGGGGAGAAAAAGAGAAGACAAACTGCCTGGATAAGACGCGAAGCACGGAAAACTAGCTTTATAATTCGTGCCTGTGCGTGTTCGCAAAATAAAAAACACCGCTTCGTGGAGCACGCCAAAGCGCTTATTCATTAAAGCGTACAGGGATCATCCGCTGGGAAATACATGTTTTGCACGTCGCCCACACTCCCCCTTCCTTATTCTGTTCCCTTCCCCCTCATCTCTAGGCATTTCAGCATGATTTTTCTATTTCCTGGCGGGTTTCACCTGGCTCGCACCTTACCACACTGAATATCTGCTGTTCTCAAGCACATGTGTATAGGAATATAGACATGGTCGTTTGAGAAAAACACTTGCAACAATACACGGCATCCTATTGGGCGCTATCGGACTTGCGCGGCTAGGTAAAGGAGAGTGCCTAGAAAGGACCATTTTGGCAGAAAGGTCTCGCATAAGATTCCCGGCCCTTTGTGGTGACCTTGGCCTATTGTTGGCGCAAAACAATTGTGCCCACTATTATTGTTTGCAGACTGTCTGACCGTGGGTGTTCAATATCTACGGGGGCTCAAATTACCCACATGTCACTTTCAATGCCTATTAATACGCGTCTTGGCCTGCAGACACAGACTGGCTTTCCCGGCCCCTTTTGCGGTCTGCTGAAATGAAAAAAGGTTCTAAAGCATTTAATACACAAGAGGAAAAAACAAACATAAAAGTTACATAAAACCCATCCATCTCACTGGACGGGGATGGCTGGCAGCGGCATCAGGTAGTTGCCGCGCCGCGCTGCACCCCTGCGGCGCCTGGGCCGGTACACGGGCGCCTGCTCGCCAAGTCGCACTGGTACCAGTGACACCAAGTCACCACTGCCGAACCCCAGCAGCTCCGAATCCGCAATCGGCGACTGATCGACGCCTGAATCTGATTCGCTGGCCTCGCCAGCCCGCTGGTCCCGACTCATCACCATCTGGGAGCCCTGGCTGGGGGCCGCGCTATCCACACGCCATTGTGCGCCTGCAGATCGCAGCGTGTACAACCCATCGCATCGGTTGGCGCTAGGCACACTGCCCTCGTTTGTATACAGGTCGCTGAGCGAGACAATCACCTGCTGGTACTTGTCCAGCCGCTCGCCTCCCATGCGGGCCATGTACCGCGTGTTGGCCTGCGCCATCGTGTTGCGGATGTGCATGAGCCCCGAGATCCCCCGCTGCGGCTTCTGCCACCGCAGCTTGCGCGCGCTGGCCACAAAGATGCGCTTGAGCTGCTCTGCCGTCAGCTCATCGCTCTCGATCACTGTCGAGCTGGACGACAGCCGGCTTGTAGGCGAGATGCTGGAGAAACTGCACCCACGCCTGTCGTGGCGCTTCTGCTGCTGCTTAGACGAGCTGCCGCTCACCGTAGCTGCCAGAGCATAGCGGTCGCCAATGTCGCCCGCTGTTGTCTTGGGCAGCGACGGCATATCGTAAAACGCCCCCGAGACGTCGTACTCGTAGTTTGAGACGTCGTCGTCGTCGGCTGCCCATGCATCCATCTTCTGCTGTTCGTGTGCCGAGGGCGGGGGTGGTGCCAGGATCCCACTAAGCGCACCAGTGCCTTCGTAGGCATCGCCGTCGTGGACTCTGGGCTTGCTCTTGGCGTGCGTCTGGCGCGTGTCAGAGGTGGTTGGCGTGAGCTCTGGGCTAGTGGTCGGCGAACCAGACGCATTGGACCTATAGTGCCTGTGGTGGTGATGCCGAAAGCCGATATTGAGAAGTGGGGACTTGGCCACTGGCGCCGGCTTGGGGACCAGTGCTGGGTGATGCCTGTTGGTGGTGGCTGGCATGGCGGTCTTCCGGGCCAGGCTCAGTGTACGCTGCCCCCCACCCAGCACAGAAACCCTGCTGCCAGCTTGACCCGGGCTATAGCCCACTGCTGACCCGGAGCCAGCAGTGTACTGGTGCTGCTGGTGCTGTACACTGGATCCAGCAGTGGCCCCAACCACACCGGGTCCTGCTGCTGCTGGCGCACCCGATTCCGCTGATGAGGTGGCCATGTGGTGGGCTCCTCGATCCTCGTGACAGCTGCTGGCCATTGCGCTGCTGGCCATCTGGACCTGATGTAATTTGGGAGATGCTGCCGGCGGGAGCGCACAATTAATATCCTTGCCCGCATACGCCGAGAGCTGCCGCCCCGGAGCGGAACCACGGATTGTGCTGCGCTCCAGTTCCCGCGGCTCCTTTGTTGCCAGCGTGTCATCTGAGTCTCCCTCGCTGCTGCTGCCGCTGCTGCCGCTGCTGCCGCCCTCGTCGTGCTGCCACCGCCGCATCAGGCCCTTGGACTTTTTGCCCCGCAGCGTCGAGTGCTTATCATGCGTGAACTTTATGCCCAGGAAGCTGCGCCGCACCGGCAAGTCGTGCGTTACCAGTGTCTGGTCAATCTCCATGTGCGAGTGGATGACTGCGGGCTTTGGGTGCTGCAGCGAGTCTGCTGCCGGCGGGCTGCTGCGCAGAGACGAGAAATATGTCCGGCGCTTAGCTGGCTTTGCGGTGTATTCAAAAACAGTCGCATGGTTGTCATGCAGATCCTCGGCTTCCTCAAAGGCGGTTGCGGCTTGGCTGGTTGCCGCTGCTACCGCATCGCGCTTTCTGCGAAAGATATTCATTATAAAAATGTGTGGATGTGTGGAAAATGTGGGAAAGAGTTATAGCATATACAGAGTATTTGGCAAGTCGTTGGAGAGGGTGGGAAGAGAGTAGGGGCGTGGTAACTGCAGCAAGTCGATTATCAAAAAAGGAGAAGGAGAGCAAAGAAAAGTAGCACGTCAGGAGAATGGGCGAAGGTTGAATACGAACAACGGGGGGAGGCAGATGGTTTGTGTGGTTAAAATAATGCGATCTGGCGAGGGCTGGGCAGTAAACGCAGTAGGCTTCCAACAAGGTGCTATGTTTGCAACCAGGAAAAGGGCATAAGCTGCTCGGGGAGTTATTAATAAAATACTGAGAAAGAGAATAAAAGGTGTCTTGGAAAAACCCGCCCGGCATGGTCGGGCGGTCTGGCGGTTTTATATAAGGTTTGAGAAGCGTGTATGCTAGGTATCAGGAATAAAAGGTCCTCCCCCAACGACAGCACTCGTAGATTTCGTGCGCTCCCGGCTTTTTTCGTCCACAGAAAATAAAATGTTGCACTCGGTGCTGCACCAAATCGAGCATGGTAGCCATGTGGCAAGACCCGGCAGCTCAACCATTCTCCAGATCACCGCTCGCTTTTTTAGTAAACAAAAGCCCCACCCCTCAATCATAACTTTGATGGTCCTTGGTCAGTAGTAGTCTCTCTTGGCAGGCGGGATTTTTGAACACTAGTCGCCTATGCGCAGACTCCCGCTGATGCACCTCCCGGCCCTGGGACCGCATACGGTCTTTTCTCAGTCATGCACACCTCTGCATGTATATCGCCTTTTCTCACTAGCCCTTCCCCGACATGGTGATGGTATCAAGCCGATCCGCAGTGAGCTCATAAATCATCCTGGCTTTGTCTGTGCAGCTGCCCGCTGTATTTTTAGATTGCCTGGCATCGGCGCTCGCCGCAACCGAAGCTCTTTTTCCCTTTTCAAGAATGCAAACAATCCCGGGCTGGACAATGCACTAGTCTGTCATCGATGGCACTAATTACCGCCTGATGCCCAGCAGAATGGACACGCATAATCGGATGTGCGAAGGCTTTGTTGTTGCTGCTATCGCTGGCACCGGGCTGCAGCAGACTGCGCACAACGAGATTAGCTGAGGGTGCACAGCCGGTTTGGCAGGTGGAACGCGAAGCGACGGAAATGTGTCTGCGATGGCAGCACAAACGAAAAGCGCGTCCTTCTTTCCTCATAAAGGAACATGTTGGGACCAGGTTCTCCGCTCATTTGCCTATAGCTTTTGCACCCAGTCGCCTGGCCAATGTCGGCATCAGTGCCCAATCACAGCCATCAATAGCTCGTGATGTGGATCCAAATCAGCTAATCTGCAGATGCATCACAGCGTTGGATCACGCTGCTATCAGTTGCCTGTGGGCTTTTTCCTGGCAGGCTGGTGCACAGCGCCAGCGCTGCTGGCACAGCAGGGGAAGGGCCAAATGGCTCTGGGGTGCCCACAAGAGATAGCAGAAAAGAGGACGGAAAATACACCCGGTTTCAAATTCGCAATTTCGACAGCCTTTTCTTTTCCTGTACTCAATCGCTATTAGATTTCACCTTCAATCCCCAGAAGCCTCAACTACGATGAACGCTGTTATTGGACGGACCATGCTCAAGCGCACCACTGCCCTGCGCAACTACTCGAGCCTTCGCGAGATCATTCCGCCCAACATTGGATTCGCGGCGCGCGCCGGTGAGTCGGCGGCTCCCGAGGCAGCCTCTGGCGTCGCAGCGTCGGTGAAGGACATCAGCAAGGTGGTGTCGCTGTACCGCGGTCTGCCCAAGGGCGAGCTTGCGGCCCCGGCGGCCCGCGGCGGCCCCCTGGCCCGCTACTACGCGCGCTACATCGGCGGAGACAAGCCGTCGGGTGCCCCGATCGTGCACGTTATTGGCGCTCTGCTGGTCAGCGGATACTCTATCCACTACTTTATGCACCTGAAGCACCACAAGCACGCCGAGCACCACTAGATGCCTTCATAGTATTTCCTTTTGTCGTCTTTCTGTTTGCAACGTGAGGGGTCCTTTCAGTATTTTGTTGTGACTGTGGAAAATGCCATAGTTTGGATTGATCTGGAAAATGTGTTTGGGCTCAGGCGGTCAGTCCGCAGGCCAGGCGGCGACTGGTATATTATATCTTTCACAAACCCAGCTTTTTTTTTTTTCCACAACATGACCACAGCAGCTAGACCAACGTTCGACCCCGCGCGGGGCAAGGAGACAGTGGTGATTACGTACCAGCAGCACAAGACCGATCTCGCCAGCCACACCAAGCTGAAGTACCGGCAGCCGGGCCAGAGCAACGAGGACGAGTACACGATCGAGGATCTCAAAGAAGAGCTGCGCGAAGCCGAGCGCAGGCACTTTGAATCCAGGCGCATAAAAAACGGCGCGCACGCCCCCGACGACCCGCAAGAGAAGCTCAAATTTATCGAGATGGCACAGCGGCTCGACGCCGAATCATCCGACGACGAAGCAGACGACAGCAATGACGGCGGGAGCTCGGCCGACGAGTCCAGCGATTCGGACAGCGAAGACGAGACGGCCATGCTAATGCGCGAGCTCGAGAAAATCAAGCGCGAGCGTGCAGAGGAGAAGGCGCGCGAGGAGCAGGAGGCCCTGGAGGAGCAGGCCGAGAAGGTGTCGGCGCTGGGCGACAACCCGCTGCTGGGGAAGAAGGACTTTAGCGTCAAGCGGAGGTGGGATGACGACGTTGTGTTCCGGAACCAGGCGCGGGGCGATGACGACAAGCCAAAAAAGCGGTTCATCAATGACATGTTGCGGTCCGACTTCCACCGCAAGTTTATGAAAAAGTACGTTCGCTGAAATCTGCCCAGGCTCTCCGCTTGGCAGCAACCTGCTCTTTGTCTTACCCCTTCTTTTTTTAAATACAGCAAATTCCAGATGGATGACTTTCGCGGCCTGAATTGGCAGAACAGAAGCGGCGGGAGCACGACGCCTAGCCGCAGTGCTGGCCAAGTCTCGCCCATGAGCAAGCAGACGCAGAGCAAGGACGACCCATTCGGCGAGCTCGTGTCGTTTACGAGCACAGCCAAGCCAAGCGACAGGTCTAAGCTGACCCTGCGCGAGCAGCTGGAGCAAAAGTCGCGCAATTCGCCGTCGGCTTCGCCAAAGCCATCGCAAACAAGCGCTGCGGACGGCTTGTGGAATTTCGACGCGCTGGAGCGGGCCTCAACGCCGCGGTCAGTGTCGCACACGCCAGTGCCGCAGAGCACCGCCATGGACTTTGACCCGTTTGCGTCACCGAGCCAGCCCGCACCTAAACAGCCCATGGCAGCACCCGCACCCAGGCCCAATGCAGCGGCCACAGCGCCCATCCTGCTGGACGATGACGAGCCGATCCCCATGGATATCAATCCGCCGCCAGCGGCCAGCCAGCCCGCAGGCGTTGATCGTGACTTCGAGATTGCACAGATCGTCGAGCACGGGTTCTCGGCAGACCAGGCGCGGTCGGCGCTGGAGCTGTCGGGCGGCAGTACACGCAAGGCCATTCAGCTGCTGCGCGAGCAAAAGTCAGCCGAGCGCCAGATGCACCGGCAACCGTCGCAGCGCTTTCACGACGAGTCATCGGACGATGACGGCACCGGGTACTCGTACAATCGCCAGCCTCGGCAGCCCCGCGATATGTTTGCTGGTGGTTCTGACTCGCTGGTGGCCGCAGCCAACGAGATCGGTGCGTCTGTGTGGAAGCAGGCCAATTCGCTGTTCGCCTTTGGCAAGAAGAAGATCACTGAAATGCAAGAGTCGCTGCAGGACCAGAGGCGGAGAGAGAATACCGACGAGCTGTGGAAGTCCGGGTGGCCGTCCAATAACCCGAACATGCAGCGATACAGGGACGATTCGTCGGACGAAGAGGAGGTCTATGTGTCGTCGCGTAGACGGGGCGGGCAGCCCGCAAGGAGCGCCGAGCCAGAACCGCCAAGGAGGGCCGAGCCACAGCTGGCGAGGTCAGCAGGAAGGAGCCAGCAGGAGACATCAGCGTTTATTGACTTTGGCGATGTGCTTGAGTCCGGACCTGCCGCCCCACAGCGCCGTGCCCAGCCCCCACCTGTCTCCGCAGCCCGAACCGCGCCCACCCAGCCCCCACGGCCGCCGCAGCAGCGACAGCCGCCATCAGCCCCCAGGTCTGCGCAGTCGACCCCTGTGCCCCAGTTGGCAGCGAACATTCTGCGCGAGTCACGCACAATCAAGGGCAACGCCAACGATAAGTTCAAGCTGGGCCAGTTCGGCGACGCCATCGCCGGCTACTCCCTTGCAATCAGGCGCGTGTCCCAGCACACAGCCGACCACCCGATCCTGATTGTGCTCTACAACAACCGTGCCCTGGCGTATGCGCGCAACGGCGAAGCCAAGCAGAGCCTGGCCGACTGCACGGCGTCGCTGGAACTGTACGAGAAATACCGCGCCCATGGCTCCATTGCGCTGGACAGCACCGAGACCATTGGGCTGGAGGAGCAGCGCAGCAAGGCGCTCCAGCGGCGCGGCGAGGCTAACGAGGCTGCGGAGCGGTACCAAGACGCGTACGCTGACTGGAAGGCTTTGCGCGAAATTGCACGCGACCCGTCGTCGCGCCAGCAGGCCGTGCGCGGCATCCAGCGGTGCGAGAAGGCCCTGGGGATTGCGCAGCCGGTGAAGAAGCCAGTGAAGAAGCCCGAGCCGCGAGCCGAAGATCTGGCCAATGTGTTTGCGTCCATCTCGATGTCGCACGTCAAGAGCACTGGCGGTCCCGCTACCGCCAGCGTCGAGAACTCGGCGGCGGTTGGCGAGATGCGGCGCCAGGAGAGGGCGAAGCAGGAGGAAGATGCCCAGCGCCTGGCCATCAACGACGAGGTCGATGCAATGCTGGCCCAGTGGCGTGACGGCAAGCGCCAGAATATCCGTGCGCTGCTGTCGAGCCTGCACACGCTGTTGCTGACGTTCAAGCCGATTGGCATGCATGAGATCCTGGAGCCGAACAAGGTCAAGAGGGCGTATATGCGGGCCATTGCCAGATTGCATCCGGACAAGCTCGACAAGGACCTGGATGTCAAGACAAAAATGATCTCGGCAAATGTGTTCAGCACGTTGAATGAGGCCTGGGATGCGTTCAAGACACAGGAAGGGATCAGCTAAATCGCACATACACAAGCATTTCTGCGCATGTCTCACACATAAAACTGCTCATACCAGACAAGGCCCGTGCGCAGAACTTGATACATAATGAAAGTTCATTTTGGCCACATGAAAGCGAGTATGCCACTGAATGAACGCAAGCAGTATCCTGCGAGTCACCGTGCCCATTTTGCATAGCAACCCTCGTGCACATGTGGAATCCCCTCCAACGCAAGACCGTGTTTAGAAAAATTCTCCGCTAAAAGCTAGTGCCTGCCACAGATCATCATCCTACTCGCATGAATCTCGGTGTTCGGGACAGGCTTGTCACGGATTTTGTCAGTAGATTTGTGGACTTTTGGCAGAAAAGCGACCGAGCCATTTGCATCCGCTGCCAATCCGAGCATCGGCAGCCCCCACCTCTTCAGTGGTAGTACTTCAGTACGAGATCGGCCTATGGCAAACACAGCAGAGCAGACCGGGCAATAGTGAATATAAACGGGCAGCTTCCTCCCTACACCCTCGGCCGGCTCCTCATTATCTTTTTCAGCCCTACCTCTTCCGCTTTCCTTTAGTCTCCGAGATGGATCCTGTTGATAAACCCACAGCCTTGGCCGTCGAAACCAACTACATGCCGCCCCAGGACACCTCGCTGGAAAAGAATCCCTCGCATGCGCCCTCTGACGAGAAGACCGACGTGTCCATCGCTGAGGACAGCAGTCCGAAAGTGCGTCCTCCCGACTGCGCCTACGGCTGGATTCCTACGCTGGCTGTCTGCATCAACTACATGTTCATGTTCGGCGCGTCCAACTCGTATGGTGTCTTTTCGACCTACTATCTGAATGAACGGTTCGTCGGCACGCCTGCCACGACGCTGGCCTGGATCGGCACGCTGATTCCGACAATGATGCTGGGCTGCAACATCGTCACCGGTGCACTGGCCGACAAACTCGGGTTCCGTCGCACGGCATACGTCGGCACTGTGCTGTGCTCGCTTGCGTATATTCTAGCGTCGTTTGCCAACCAGGTCTGGCAGCTGATTCTAACCCAGGGCGTGTTGTTTGGCATCGGTGCATCGTTCTTGTTCGCACCCAGCGTGTCGATCCCGCCGCAGTGGTTCGTCAAGTACCGTGGTATCGCTAATGGTATTGCTGTCGCAGGTAGCAGTTTTGGTGGTCTGTGGTTTACTGCCGCCACCCAGGCAATGCTTGACAATCTGGGTGCTGCGTGGGCGCTGCGGATCCTTGGCATTCTAACATTTGTGGTTACAGGTGTTATGAATATGTTCTACCAGCGGCGCGTGCCCGCAAAGCCGCGCAAGAACCTGTTTGAGCTGAAGGCGTTCAGGAGCATGACCTTCTGGCTCATTGCCATTGAGGGTGCAGCCATCTACGTCGGCTATTGGGCGGTCACTTTCTATGTCGGTACCGCAGCACTTCAACTCGGCGGCACGTCGCGGGATGGCTCAAACCTGCTGCTTGCATTGAACGCAGGCAGCGCCATTGGGAGAATTGGTGCTGGGTATATTGCTGACAAGGCTGGAAATATCAACACCCTGGTGGTCAGTGATGTGCTAACAGTCGTCATCCAGATGTCGATTTGGATGACCGCCAAGAGCATTGGCCAGCTGTACGCACTCTGCATTCTGTACGGGATGTTCTCGCCGACCTTCATCTCGATCAACGCCGTCATCGTAGCCACGTATTTCGACCAGGACATCCTTGCCAGCGTCATGGGCATGGCCAATATGTTTGCGGGTGTTGGCGGTCTGGCCGGTAATCTCTCGCAGGGCCATATTGTTGACCGTTACGATAAGCGCCAGGGCTTCAACAACACCATCATCTTCTCGGCCATGTTCATTCTCTTCTCAGGAATCGTCGTCTATCTCTTGCGCGTCCATGTCATCCGCAAGTCAGACAACAAAAGGTTCCTGCAGAAGGTGTAAATTACGGGAAAGCCCAGGCTTTTCAAATTTATAGAAACCCCTCTTGTATATTGTTTTTGCTATCCTTTTTCCAACTCTCATAAAAAGGGTTAATTTTCTTTTTTACTTTTTTCTTGGACATTTCTTGATATAACAAATGTCATTCCTAGATTAGAAACACAAAGGCCACTATCAACATCTATTGTAATGGAATATGTAGAAGCGTCGGTATAAAAGTGCGTGGCATGCATTATATTACATTTCCATCCATTCGCATGACATCACGAGAAAGATATGTGCTCAAGCACAGGTAGACAGAATTTGACATTCAAACAATACTAGCAAAGGGCCATGGCTAGTACATGCTTTGGGGTCTTCAGGGGCTACCTCATCAACTATTAACACAAGGGTCGACGCTTGCCAGAAAACATTAAAATTTTCTTTCATTTCTTCCTACTTTGTCTTCGTATCGTGTACTAGCATAGAGATGAAAACATCCAGATGATAAGGTCTGGATAAATACCGTTTGCGCTTATCACATCGTTGTATAGTGTTGAAATATATTGCTTGGGCAGTTATTTTTGTTGACTGTACGCATAGCAATGCATTTTGCATATCAACAGCTCGATTACTGATCGGACACCGTATTCTGGTCCTGCTCTACACCAGTCTCGTGCTGGAGTGTGGCGGAGAATTTATCTTTCAGGCAGATCATGGAAAGAGCCTTACATCACTAGACGAGCACATTCCAGCCATTCTGGCTGCACACCAGCAGCAACCAGGAATATGCCTATTGATGATTATTTTCCGCCTTGTTTACAATCATTATTTTTACTCTTCCTGGGCAGGTGTGGACAGTTGGTGTGCGTTGCATGTGTCGGAATCCGCAGAAGAATTGTGAGTATACGGCGCTAGCGTCACAAGGCGGATGCAAATCGCTCTACTATCTGTTTCCATTTTTGTTTGCTGTTGCAACATGCCAAGAAATTTTTTCGCCGCCCATGGCAGGGCTTTCTCTGAGTCGTTTTGTCTTGTCGTCTTGTCGTTGCTCTGCTACGCGTGCGGGTTTAATCGTAATAATAGAGCAGGACATAACCTGCTCTCATACCTGCTTACTTTTAACTTTGATACTACATGTGCCGCTTGTCATGTTTCTGAGGGTATCGCTGTGATTTCTACAAAATGTGACTGCGTTTACGCGATATGCAGAGCTATCTTTTTGCATGGGACTCATTGCTCTGCTGGAGAGCATGGGATCCCTTGACCCGTGGTGCACACCTTGCTTGTACCTGCGAAGTGGGATGCACACACTCCAGAGCTGCGGATCCTGATTCCTCGGTCACAATGCAATCGAAAAAAAATCTCCTCGCTTAGCGGAGAATTTCCAAAACAGCACCCTTCTAATAGAATCGATGACTTTTGAAGAAACTTCTTTTTCGGAATTCACGCAAAATCTATCTTCCACGATCATCAGCGCCCTCCCTCCGTTGCTAGCAACACTGCCCTATGCTCAACAAAAGCCAAAGACGCAGCTGCCAACTAATGCCAATCCTGTGTCTTCCCCAAACCTCGCTTCCAGTTCAGTAGCTCGACAGCACAAGGCTGCTATAAAAGCAGTTCATTCTGACTGGCGTTCTCGCCCAATCTTCATCTTACCCAGGTCTTTCCCTTTGTCCCAGTCATACTTTCATTTGTACTCTCATGCAAGGGCACGGCACGACAGAATCAATAACGAGCGAGCCTCAACAGGTGGAGCAGATGCCAGTGCAATACACTGAGAATCATTTGGAAAAGCACCTTTCGCGTCCTCAGTCAGATGAGGAGAAGACCGATGTGTCAGTCGCTGAAGATGACGGTCCCAAGGTGCGTCCCCAGGACTGTGCGTTTGGCTGGATTCCGACAATCGCTGTCTGCATCAACTACATGTTTATCTTTGGTGCATCCAATTCGTACGGCGTTTTCTCAACATACTATCTGACTGAACGGTTCGTCGGCACGCCTGCCACGACACTCTCATGGATCGGTACGCTTATCACCTCACTCATGCTGGGCTGCAATATCATCACTGGTGCATTGGCGGACAAGATCGGGTACCGTCCTACAGCATATATCGGAACTGTTCTCTGCACTGTCGCCTATATTTTGGCATCATTTGCCAACCAAGTTTGGCAGCTGATTCTGACCCAAGGTGTGCTGTTCGGTATTGGCGCTTCCTTCCTGATTGCCCCTAGCCTTTCCATTCCACCACAGTGGTTCAACAAGTACCGCGGTGTCGCCAATGGAATTGCTGTTGCAGGCAGCAGCTTCGGCGGTCTGTGGTTCACTGCCGCCACCCAGGCAATGCTTGAAAACCTGGGCGCTGCGTGGGCGCTGCGGATCCTTGGCATCCTCACATTTGCCATTACCGGCATCATGAACATGTTCTACTACCGCCGTGTGCCAGCCAAGCCCCGCAAGAACCTGTTTGAGTGGAATGCCACCAAGAGGATGACCTTCTGGCTGATTTCCATCGAGGCGACAGCAATGTACATCGGCTACTGGGCACTGACTTTCTACATCGGCTCAACTGCAAAGCTGCTCGGCGGCACGCTGCAGGATGGCTCGAATCTGCTGCTTGTTCTGAACGCCGGCAGTGCCGTTGGCCGCATCGCGGCTGGGTACATTGCTGACAAGATCGGAAGCATCAACATGCTGGTCATTAGCGACTTTGCCACGGTTATCATCCAGATGCCGCTGTGGATGAAGGCCAACAGCCTTGGGCCGCTGTATGCGCTGTGTGCACTGTATGGAATGATTTCACCGACATTCATCTCCATCAACCCGGTTCTGGTCTCAACGTACTTTGACCAGGACGTGATGGCCAGCGTCATGGGTATGACCAACCTGTTTGCTGGCATCGGCGTGCTCTCTGGAAACCTCTCACAGGGCCGCATCTTTGACCTGTACGATAAGCGCCAGGGCTTCACCAACACCATCATCTTCTCAGCCATGTTCATTCTCTTCTCAGGGATCGTCGTCCTCGGTCTGCGTTTCCATATTATCCGCAAGCTGCCTAGCAAGCGATTCCTCCAGAAGGTGTAGTATGGAGACAGGTGCTACACGGCCACTTTACGCTATAGATATTTCTGTATATTGTTTTTGCTATCCTTTTTCCAACTCTCCAAAAAGAAAGAGGTATGTTATAGTTTAGAATATCAGACATTCCGATTTCTAATCCTTCTTGTGTCCCAGGCTACGCACATTGTCGGCCACTTCGCCGACCGCCTCGCGGACTCGGTTGCCAAAGCCGCCGACAATTGAAGGGCGTTTGCCGGTGTTTCTGACGGCGGACTCTGCTGCACGTTCGGGTGCCTCGTTGTGGATCTGCTCCAGGTTCACCTTTGCCCGGGCTACCTCTTCGGCGCCACCTCTTGTCATTTTCTCGTTCTTCATGAGGTGGCCAAGGTGCTGCTTTACTTCACCAACAGCCATATTGATGTTTTCTTTGATCTGGTCTCCGGTGCGCGGCATGCTGAAGATATTCTAGTTGCGGATGATGGTCAAAGCTGTGCTGAATCTCGATGAGGAAAAGTGTTGATGGAAAATTCACGCAGACTTGCAAGATAAGCTGTTGCTGTTGCTGTTGCTGCTGCTACAGGATTAGGCTTTGGTGGCCAGCTTTATATTCTCCGACGCAGCCCATCCTGCTTACCAATATTCAGAATGGTGCACGACTGAACAAAGCACAAGTGTGAATTTGGTTACACAGAGTCACGGCTGAATGTAAATCCAGTGGAGACATGCAAATAACTAATATTGTCGAGAATGACTGCGCATGTAGTACACGGCATGGTCGTCTATTCGCCAGCAGCCCAGCTTGTATAACGCGCGTGGATATGGCCCTCTGCTGTACCGACTCTCTGCGCAGCAACATCGAACGACGTTTCAGGCGCATTGCACTGAATAGCTTGGAGTAAACTACAGCCGCATTTGTGACCACCAGTCCACAGCCCTAATCTCAGATTTTGGCACTGAATGAGAGTGCGCGGAGTCAACGAAACGGGACGGGATATCAGTGATGGTTAGGAGCAGCATTTCTATATTCGTCTTTTTCGCGGAATACTTCCTGGCGCCTCTCGACAACTGGCCCAGTATCCACCTCGCTGTTTTGCTCGACATTATACTGGGCCCCGTGGGATGCACCAGTCGGATGGCCACTGCTACCGCTGGATCTGGCAGCTCTGTCTGAGCTGTGCCTGCGCGATTCATTCCGGATTCGCTGCTTATCTTCCCTGGCAGTGAGAATCTCATCGTTTCCTCTTGCCATCATTGGCTCGCTGCGGATCATCTGCCCTATGAGACACCTGGTTATGCCCGCAAAGATTCTAGCATCGTCCTTCAACTTGTCACGTGTACGCGGCATGATAGTGGGTAGTGTTAAAACGTAATTGCTGTACAGAAAAATAGATGTAATAGTAAGAGTGGAGAAGCGTGCAGCAAGAAGGCAGACACTGGGTTCGGTATGCTCAGCAAAGACCAGTGTCTTAGGGCTCTCGCAAGAACACGAAGCTGCTCCTTGACCGTTAGGCAGATAGTGTGGCAAGGGTCTAGACTGCATGGCGTTACAAACATAACCAGTGCGCTTTAGCAGTACAGTATCCAGCATGCCGGCCAGGGATGTGCTCAGAATATAATATCTATTCACGCGAATGCGAGATTGGTTACAAAATGTAACAAGCAAAGTTTGAGGTCTCAGGAGACTGGGCGCTTTCCACGCAATCTGACATGCGTGGTTTCTGGCTTCTTTCCAAAGATGTCTCTGTATCCAGTGGCGATGGATGAGAACAAGTTGCTTGGTGGCGACTCTCTGTGCTCGTGGCGATGGTGGCGGTGGTTACTGAGGTCAGCGAATGCTTTGCTAATGCGTCTTGTTGGGGAGTTCTGGTGGGAGTTCTGATGAGGGGTTGGGACCTGGAGTTCGGCCTTGGCTTGGTTCAGAGCGGTAGGCATGGGTGGTGAAATAAAGGTATTTGAAAGCTATCTTGGGATGTTGAATGCGGAGATAGTGGTAGTGAGAATGGCATCCAGCACACCAGACAGCAGCGCCTTTATATCAGCCAGGAGGGGGCTAGGAAAAATCTATAGGAATCGCTCGTGTTCTCCAGCTTCGTTCGGAACAGCCAGCTGCGAGTCCCACTTCAATTCCGCGGTATGGCTGCGGCGCCAGGAGCCGCTATTCATATGGACAAGTGTGCAAACACTAGGACACGAGACTATCTGTAGCTGTGCTGGAGCTAGCACATTACTAATATTGCCTGGTCAAGCAGTCAGAATGTCTCTGCATACAGACGGTTGAAACTTGGCAAAACGATGGGAACCGCAGCAGCTTTGTTTGTCAGTTGTTTACAAGGCGTGGAAAACGGAGAGATTTATTCACATGTCTGTGGACACAAAGTCAGGGGCATCGCTCCAGATCCGCTTTACCCATAGGGTCTCAGCCAGATGCAGCTATTTCTGTTTTGCCACCGGACATTTAGTTTCATTGCGTGGTTTAAGCGTGCCTAGCATACAAATGGACTTTACTGGCCAGTAAGAGTTAATACAAGGGAAAGGTATTTTTGCATAGTGCAGGGGGTGTCAGCGGGCAGTGTCAAGAAAACAGCCAGATATGATGAACACGAGTTTGTTGCCAAGCGGAGCAGACTGTGGGCACTCGACAGGGGTCTACTCCGACCACACTTCATCTGCCTGCATGTGGCAAGGGGGTGAGGTCGGTTGCGCTTATTCAGGCATGACAAATGGTTCACAGATAATAGCCGTTCAGTGCGCGTAGCGGCAGCCCATCCTCGGGCATATTTGTAATGTGTAGCCGACCAGCAGCACGCAGAAAGTGCCGAAAACACAGTCATAGCTGTCGACGTTCTATATTTGGTAAAAAGCGGAATAATTGCAGAACAAAGCTATTGCTGGTGGTGGTGGTGGTGGGGGTGAGGGTGGAGGGGGTGCTTGGGCTTTTCGCCAAAGAGATCGTGGTACCCGTGGACGATGGGGTCAGTCACAGCCTCCACACCTTGCTCGATATCTTGTGTCGCTCGGCGGATCATTCCCTCTGGGCTGTCGCCGCTGGACTTGCCAGTGCTGCCAGAGTGATGACTGTGTGCATCCCCATGGATTCGCTGCTTATCTGTTCGGGCAGCGGCCATTTCCTCATTGCCACTGGCCACCATGGCTTCATTGCGGATTATTTTGCCAATAGTGCGCTTGGTTCCGCCAGCAGCAATCTGGGCATCGTCTCTCATGAGCTTGCCGTCGTTAGACATGGTTGAATAAAGGAATATTGAGAAAGACTACTTTGTTAGTAGAGCGGGTGTAGAGAAAATTGACTGCAGGTAGATGAGGAAGCCGCACCCTGGTCGATGGTACTCAGCTGCCTTTATAGCTTTTCCTCCACCCCAGCAGCCGCTGTTTGAAGACAGTCTAGGCCCATACGCATATTGCATACCATATATGCGCGGGCTGCCACGTTACAACGTGCTAGTTGGGGCTGCCATTGGTTAAAGACCGTGTTCGGATTAATTGTGAGATGCTAAACAAAGGACCGATACCCAAGTCAGCCTGGGAGATAATTTATGCAACTACAGGCTTGCCAGTCAGCCTTACACGCTTGACATATGGCTTCTTGCCAAAGATGCTCTCGTATCCAGCAAGCAAGCGGGCAAGCGGGCCCATGGACACCTTTGGCGGGGACTGGCGGTGACGGCTGGCAACGCTGGGAGTTTTGGAAAAGCGCTTCTTCTGCGAGGTCTTGGCGGTCTTCTTGAGCAGAGCTGTAGCCTCTGGCTTGGTCACAGTCAGCGTGGTCGTCATCGTTAATATGGAACTATTGAGTATATTGAGGAATGTGAATGAAGTAATGAAGGAAAGCAAGGGTACAAGTTTTTCTGAATGTCCATGACGGGCGGCCTTTTTATAGTCGTGTGAAGATGTGGTGCTTTCTAATGACGCTATTTTTTTTTTTTGCAAGTTTACCTTCAGTTTGTGTCGGCTAGTGAGATTCTCTCTCTGGATCCGTAATAGTCATTACCAGGCACTGGAATAAGAGGAAAAGTTACTTGATGACAATACTGGGATCGGCCCTTTTTCTGACTATCGGCTGACTAAACAGGACAGCCAAAGCGGTAGTGGTGATGGGCTATTTGTAAGATTGGCACGCAACCATGTAGAGTGCAGGTCCCACCATGGGCTGTGACACTCTGTATCCCGATTGGTGACTTCTAGGAACTAAATAAAGGACCGAAACTGAAGCACCAAGTGTGGCGTCACTTGTGCGGGCGATAGCTATGAACATGCAGCGAGGCATGTTGGAAAGCACACAGACGACACCGGGGTCGACAAATATGTCAGGCTATGTACAAGTGCCAGTAATGGACGAATCATGCTGGCTATGAGGTGGGCTTGCGGAAGCGAGGTGTGGAGAGGGGTCTAGTCGGCGCACATGGGCATACCGAGCCCACCCATGACACCCGCCACTGCAGGCATGCCCGGCAATGAATAGTATGCAATAGTCGCCAGGTGACTTGCACAAGACCCCTGGCCCGAGCAAAAACGGTCCCACCTGTGGTCCAGCTCTGGAAAACGGAAGACATCCGGGCAAACCCTAATTTTCCGGACCCACGTTATGCAGAGTCGTCAAGGCGGAGGCCTCAAGGGCGAGCTGGATGTGCGCTCGGCTCGCTGCCGCCAATCAGCGTCAATGCAGCCATGGTCTTCCTTTTGCCAACCACAGGCCAAGGATACCTGGGGCAGGCTTGTCGGCTGCTGTAGCCTGCTCGTGGGCGTGAATGTGGCATTCTACTGCGACCGCATGCTGCGTCACGCTCCTAATTCTTCAAGAGCAGACATGTTTGTTCGGAGAATTGCTGGTGTTGGGTGGAGGTTGTTCAGTGGAGACAATGTGAACGATCGTCCAGACGCGCCATTCCCAGCCAATGGCGCCAAATGCAACAGCGGGCGGCCTGCCAAGAAAAAACAACAAACCCAAGCCATTATTACTGCTGCTTGGCTTCCAAGGGCCGCATTCTGGCTTCAGTTCCGGTTCCATGACTCGAGGCAGGTGGCAATCCCAGTCCCCTGCTGGGATTCCATAGGCTTCGCTCCCGGCGCGAACTTTTCCCGAGCGGCGGCGCCGGGTTAGGGCAGCGACAGAGTCAGCAAGGGGCGGAGGCACATACTTGCGCGCCCGCTGCCTGGTCAATCATCGGCATGCGTGCTGACGCCCGGCGTGCCTGAGAAAAACATGAATGCGCTCTTGCCTCGCCCATCGGTTTGCCCAAAAAAGACGCAATCACCATCTGCACAGAAATTCGATGCCTCAGCCCACAGAGCGAGTGAATCCCGCACTACCGCCCACGCGCTTTCATTCACAGCCCGAAATGCCGTTGCTGATAAGCGCGCTCTGTTATTTTCTGCACTGGCCGGGTATAAAAGGCCAGACATGCGGTCCAGCCTCCTCTCCGCCTCTCCTTTCCTGATTCCTCCTTCTGCTTTTGCCAATTCTTTCCAAGAATACCTAGCCTTCGCTTCCACTTTACCGCCCAGCACACCCCGGTTTTTAAGGTTTTCCCGACACTCGACCAGTCTCAGGAGAGCCACTCGCTTTAGCGCACTTCAGCAACGTTCGCTAATCTTCTTGCTTCGCTGCACAACCCACACAGAGGAAGGAAGAGGACCCTTCCCAAGCCTAAAACGCATTAATTTTTAGCTCGCTCACCGACTTCTTCACCTTTGTGTGTGGACTGTGACTTCTAACCTACAACCCCCTGCCTACGAAACTACTACCAGAAAATCCAAGAAAAAATGTCTCCTGTTAACAACATCACTGCTTCCAACGGCGCTCCGTCCGCCAACACCGCCACTGCCTCCGGCGCTACTGCATTCCAGGTCGATTCGCCCTATGTCCACTACTCTGAGGGATCCATCGAGTCCGATTACCTGTACGACACCACGATCGTTTCGCGCGATTCCGAGTCGGGCAAGCTCAAGGCCAAGCCGACCAAGGTGCACTACCAGTTCAAGACCCGCACCAAGGTTGGCCGCGTCGGCCTGATGCTTATCGGCTGGGGTGGCAACAACGGCTCGACCATCACCGCCTCGATAATCGCCAACAAGAAGAAGATCTCGTGGGAAACCCGCAAGGGCACCCAGGAGCCCAACTACTTTGGCTCGGTCATGCTTGCCTCGACCACCAAGCTCGGTGTCGACGAGAACCTGCGCGACGTGTATGTCCCCTTCAACGAGATCGTGCCCATGGTGCACCCGAACGACATTGTCATCGGCGGCTGGGACATCAACTCGCTGAGCATTGGCGATGCCATGCGCCGCGCCGAGGTGCTGCCGGTTGACCTGCAGCGCAAGCTGTACGATGAGCTGAACGAGCTCAAGCCGCTGCCCTCGGTCTACTACCCCGATTTCATCGCCGCCAACCAGGAGGAGCGCGCCGACAACACCATCGGCGGCACCAAGCAGGAGCAGCTCGAGCACCTGCGCAGAGACATCCGCGAGTTCAAGCAGGCCAACGAGCTGGACCGCGTTATTGTCATGTGGACTGCCAACACTGAGCGCTACGCCGACATCCTGGCCGGCGTCAACGACACCGCCGACAACCTGCTGCAGGCCATTGCCAATGGCCACGAGGAGGTTTCGCCGTCGACCCTGTTCGCCGTCGCCTCGATCCTCGAGGGTGCGCCCTTCGTCAACGGCTCGCCGCAGAACACCCTGGTGCCTGGTGTCATCGATCTGGCTGAGCGTGAGCGCAGCTTCGTCGGCGGTGACGACTTCAAGTCCGGCCAGACCAAGATCAAGTCTGTGCTGGCCGAGTTCCTGGTCAACGCCGGTATCAAGCCGCTGGCCATCACCTCGTACAACCACCTGGGCAACAACGACGGCCGCAACCTGTCGGCCCCGGCGCAGTTCCGCTCCAAGGAGATCTCCAAGAGCAGCGTCGTCGACGACATGGTCAGCGCCAACAACATCCTGTACAAGAAGGGCGAGCACCCCGACCACACCATCGTGATCAAGTACGTGCCGTCGGTCGGTGACTCGAAGCGCGCGCTCGACGAGTACGTCAGCGAGATCTTCATGGGTGGTCTCAACACCATCTCGCTGTACAACACGTGCGAGGACTCGCTGCTGGCGTCGCCGCTCATCATCGACCTTTTCATGATGACCGAGCTGATGACCCGCGTCACCTACCGCGTCAAGTCCGATGCCGACGCCCAGGAGCCTGAGTGGCAGCCGTTCCACTCGGTGCTGTCCATCCTGTCGTACATGCTCAAGGCTCCGGTCGTCCCGCCCGGCACCCCGGTCGTCAACGCCCTTGCCAAGCAGCGCATGGCCATGGAGAACATCATGCGTGCGTTTGTCGGTCTGCCGCCCAACAACGAGATGCTGCTCGAGCACCGTGCCTTCCACTAACTCTCTTTCTTTCTTCTCCGGCTGAGCTTTGGGAAGAGCTGCTGCGAAGAAGGCAAAAAGGTTTTGGTGTGGGTAACTCGGCGGTTTTATTTTGCCCTCTTCAGCGCTTCTCTTGCAGTGCTTGTCAAATATATTTCAATTTCTGTTGACATTGGGGTCGAACCGCCGGACCGTGGTCTCTTGGACCTGGAACTGCCGCAGATCCGGCGGGTACTCGATGTGATCTGGACACTTGACAAAGCAAACCACCAGCGTCTTTCTGACCTGACTCGCCACCCGGGAAACTGCAAACATGTACTGCCATGAATCCGCCAGCCGGTGCTGCTGCTCCTCCTCCTCTGGGGTCTGTTCAGACAGCGGCCGCACGACCACCGCGTACTCGGAATGCGACCACGCCGGGCCCTTTCTGTAGAGCAAAAAGTCCGTCGCAAACTTGAGCCCACTGCGCACGATCCATCCCTTCGACCGGTAGTAGTGGTACGCAGCATACAGCATCGGCAAGTCGCCATCAACCAAACTGAACATCTCCCAGAGGTCCCCAAGCCCATACATCTGTCCACCCGCATCACTAACAACCAGATATCTGTTTTCTACCAGAAACAGAGTCTCGTACGGGCTAAGCTGTACGGGCTCCATTGCCTCCACATCCTCCTCAGCGACATCAAGATCCTTCATTTCCACACACGTCAGCTCTGATGTAGGATTGCGCTCTTCCCGACGTCTGCGCGTAATGTCCTCCAGGTATTCTCTTCTGTCCTCACCAGGTCTTAGTTGCTGCAAGTACCGCCTTGCCCACGTGGCTTCAGACCGCGACAAAATGCCCTTGCCAAAGCTACCATGCGTCCACAGCACCGGCTGGTTATTTGCCCATACCCAGAGATCGGTAACTATGTCGCCGTCACGGACTATGTGGATGGTTGCGTTTAGTCGGTACGGCATCTGGCATGGCCAAAGGAGATTGGGTGGCAGTGAGTTGTGTATGCGGTTGGCGAGATGCGACAGGAGAGGCAGCCGCGCAAGCAGCCGCCGGATGAATTGGAATATGCTGCTGGCTCGTGTACCAGCAAAGGCCATCGATAGCTTGCTAATCATGGTGCCAACCCGTGGCAGAATTGCCGGCGCCCTGTGTTCTGGCAGCAGCACAGCCTTGCGTTTCTTCGCCTTCTTCAGTTCAGCCATTGTATATAAGTTATACTAGTAAATTAAAAGGAGAAAGATACCGAGATGCGCACTACCTGCCACCCGCCTTTAAAATTACATGTCTAGCCACATGCCCTATACTATATGGGAAGGTTAGTGGAACGGCGCGCTCAGCTTCTGCATCAGGTCCTCCAGCAGCTGGTTCCCGCCGTGGGCCTTGATCTCCTCTTCGATCTTGTGCTCCAGCTCTATCAAATATTGCTTCGTGTACTCGAACGACCCTGCCTTGTCCATCAGCGACACGGCGTATTTCTTGACATTGTCGTCGTTTGTTTTCTGCCGCAGGATGCTCATCATGATCTCTCCGTCCTCGCCGTGTGTAATGGCATGGACGATGACAAACGAAAACTTGCCCTCGGTCAGGTCCTCGCAGTACCCCTTGTTGTTTGAGTAGTCGGAAGACTGCAGGTTCATGTAGTCATCACGGATCTGGAAATACGCGCCAATGAGGTTCACCAAATCCGTGAAGTCCTTTGGCATGTCGCTGCTCTCTTGCATCAGCTTGACTGCGAGACGGAACAGGCCGCCGGTCTTGTGCGACACCATCTCGAGGTAGTCCGACTCGCTCGGGCACGTCAGTGTGTCGCGCCAGTACAGGTCCATGCCCTGGCCGCGGTGCAGGTTCAAGAGCTCGTCGGTGAATATCTCGACCGCCTTGGGATTCTGCAGCTTCAAAACCTCGGACAGAGCAATAAAGTACACGTAATTGGCCGTATTGATCGCCATTGGCACGCCGTATATCTTGTGTGTCACCGGGACGCCTCGCCGCAGGTCAGAGTTGTCCTCGACGTCATCAATCCTATATAGTGCGGCAGTATTTGTGGTAATGGTGGTAATGGTGGTGGTGATGTGTGGCTGGTTATTAAAAGGCTGTATATCATCTGGCAGTGCGTGGACTGGAATTTCATCTGGTAGTGATACGCACATTAAGCTCGCCGTATGAAGCATTCGCACAATGCTCGAAATCGCCTGCTCCTTGGCTGTGTCCAGATGCAGCCAGCTATTGAACGCCTTGATCATTACCGAGCGAATCTCCTTTCCGGGAACCTGGCTCAGGTATTCGTACGGTGCCAGTAGCGTCTAAAACAAAGCAGTTAGTGCACAGGGTCGTGGAGCTGTGGGGTAGCGGGTGTGGGCTATTTTCGGTACTCTGGGCGCCGTACCTTTTCCATGCTGGAGACCTTTCCGGGTGTGGAGTCCATGAATTGTTGTGGTGAGTGAAATTGTGTGGAATTAGTATAAAATGGAGATGAGCGAAAAAGAAAGACAAGTGACAGAGCACACCCTGCCAAGTCTGTTCGCTAATGGGCGATGCCACGACACACCCTCGCTGCCAGGCGATCACACCTAGCCGATTACTGCATTAATTTCCGTTCGGTATATCACGCGGGCATTTGTGAAATGGATGGCTTGTGCATGCAAATTTATTGCGGGACACTCAAATATTTAACCGTCGTTGGCATCGCCCTCCTCGTCAGACGATTCGCCGCCGTTGCGCGCTCCGGCTCTGTCGCCCTTCCATTTTGTTGCCATGCCCATGTTGTCCGCACCTGGCACAATAACAGCCGACTCGGGAATCGTGCCCTCCTCATTAATGTACGTGAACTGCTCTGGCGACAGCTCAACGTTCTGCACCCAGTTGTCGAACACCATCTCGTCCCGCTCGGTGCGTGTGATGTTGTCGTAGATGAACTTTTGCTTGAATGCGTCAATCTCCTCCTGGTACGGCTCAAACACGATTGGGTCCTTGTACTCCTGCTTCTGCTTGGCCACACGCTGGCTGAACGCATCAAACACTGGCCGCTCCAGCAGCAGGCCGAGTCCTGGCGCCTTCGGCACATTCACGCGTGGTCCGTCAAACAAAGCATCAATAAGCGTCAGCGGCGTGCTGGTCCGGACCATCATGATCACTAGGCCCACCATCTTGCGGATCTGGTGCAGCATGAATGACTGGCCCTGCACCTTCAGGCTGAGCCACTCGCCGCCATCGATGACCATCGGATCCGAGACCGTGAACGACATAATGAAGCGCTTCGAGTTCGACGCCGTGCACCCGCGCGTCACCGTGAAATTGCGGAAGTCGTGTGTGCCCTTGTACTTGGCGAACGCCTGGCGCGTCATCTCCAGCTGCTCGGGCGTGATCCGGTACGCGCGCTTCTCCTCCATCTCCTCCTTGGTCGACTCTATCACCTCGCGCTCACCGTATGCCACAGTCTTTGCAATCTCAGCGTTGCGCGCCGACGGCGGCATAAACACATATGTCGGCAGCAGGTACTCGTAGACGCGCGAGTCGCACATGGTCTTTGCGTTGAACGACCGGATCACCCGCACATACCCCCACACGCGGATCTGCTCCGGCAGCTTCTCATTGACCTTGCTCACGATTTTGGGATCCTCAATAATCATCTTTAGCGATACCACCTGGCCCGCAGCATGCACGCCCTTGTCAGTGCGTGCTGCGCGCTGGAACTGCACCTTCTTCTGGTCGCCAGCGTTATCCGGTGATACAGCGCCGGCATCCACCAGGGCGCGGAACAGGTCACCTTCGATCGTCTTTGCGTTGTGGTTCACCTGCATGCCCTGGTATCCGGTTCCGCAGAAGCCCATCAGCAAAGCGACTTTGCGCTTCGGCTGCCGCGGCTCGCTGCTGGTAGACTGCCGAGGTGCTCCGCTGGCCTCGTACTCGGCGGCGCGGTCGACGCGCACCTTCTTGGCGTACTCGCGCCGGTCTTTGCATGTCTGGGCGCGGTTGTTCTTGCGCTTTGGCGGCTCAGGAGCGTCGACCGAAGGCTGTGCCTCGGGCTGCTCTGCTTCCGTGGGCTGGGCAACGGGATCGGCGGCTGTGGGCGTCTCAGGCATACTGAACAGTGAAGAGTATCTGGCGTGGAATAGTGGTGCGGATCGAGCTGCTGCGAGACGGGGTGTCAGGAGTCCGAGAGAAAACATACAGCCAAATTAGAGAGGGGCTGGGAGAAGAAAAGAAACGGCGCAATGGGCAGTGAAATTCAAACCTCCAAAAAAAACACGGAAAAACCCGTGGCGCTTGATTGGTGGCCTAATCGGAGATTAGCGTGGATCCACATGCAACCGCCGCACCTCAACAGACGACGGATGATGGTCAAGATGCATGTTCAAAACTCCCCACACTCCCCTAGAGGCACCGGGTAGAGCCTAGCCGAACGGCAATCCTGTCTGTAGTCTTGGAGTAGGGGCTGATAGGCATGCTACACAAAAAGAGAAGCTGGCCACGCTCAGACAGCTATAAAAAGGGCCACCCTTCCCGGCCCCCAGGCTGTTGCCCGATGTAACCTTTTTTTCTTTTCTACACCAAGGCTTTTCAACAATGTCGCTGCCCGCCAACCCCACTTTCGACAACCTGACGCCCGAGATGGTGGCCAAGACCATCGACCACGCGCTGCTCAAGCCCGAGATGACTGTCGACGAGGTGCTCGCCGGCTGCCAGCTCTGCGCCAAATACAACACTGCCAGCGTCTGCGTCAAGCCCTGCGACGTCAAGCTGGCCGCCGATGCCCTGCGCGGCACCACCGTGGACGTGGGCACGGTGATCGGCTTCCCGCACGGCAACACGCCCTCCTCTGTGAAGACTTTCGAGGCCCTGCAGGCGATCGAGGACGGCGCTGTCGAGCTCGACATGGTGCTCAACATTGGCCATCTCAAGTCCGGCCGCCACGACGAGATCCGTGACGAGATCCGCAGCCTGACCAGCGCGGCCAAGGCCAAGATGCCCGAGGTTGTGATCAAGGTCATCTTCGAGTGCTCGCTGCTCACCGATGAGGAGAAGGTTGTTGCATGCAAGCTGACGGAGGAGGCTGGTGCCGATTACGTCAAGACGTCCACGGGATTCAGCACTGGCGGTGCGACCATCCCGGATCTGAAGCTGATGCGGGCGAACACGACCAAGGGCAAGACGTTCGTCAAGGCGTCGGGTGGCGTGCGCACGCTGGATTACCTGATCGAGTGCTTGCAGGCTGGTGCTGACCGGATTGGTGCCTCGGCTACTGACCAGATCATCGACGATATGCGGGCACGCAAGGCTGCCGCGCAGCAGTAGCCACGCTTCTAATGTTTGCCATCTAATAAGACCACTCTCTCTTGCACAGGATGCTAGACGCCCCCCTGCAGACGGCGTGAACCCCCTGCAGACGGCGTGGACCCCCTACACAGTTCACTGAGTCAGGTTTTTGAAGAGAACCCCCCCCCGACCAAGCAGAGAATATCGTCCAGAAACCGGATCTCGCTGGTGGGGGTTGAGCTCAGATCGACAGAATAGCTGGGTACGCAATGACCACTTTCCGGGCCATCATTAACGCCAAAACGTGGTCAGCGCAGGGCGAAAAGGTCTCCTCTCCCTGCACTTTCGTGTTTTGTTTTTCTAAAGTCTCTCTCCATCACAATCACACTCATTTTTCACATTTACAGCCCCAAATGTCGACTGCCGCTACCAGCAATTCGCGCATCGATCGCTTCATGAAGAATGTGCGTCAGAGCCTAAAGGAAGCCAACTACTACGAGGGCCACCAGGAGCTGCGTGCTATTGCCAGCCGCCTGGTCAAGCAGAAGAAGCATGAGCGCGCCATACAGCTCCTGTACCTGGGCGCGCTGGAGCTCTGCCAGTACCACCAGTGGGGCAGTGTCGCTGACTTGACCACGTACATGATCAACATCTACATTGACGAGAAGATGCCAGTGACGGTGGAGAGCAAGGAGCGCGTGTACGACATCTTCGAGAAGCTCGCGACAGCAACGGAGTACTACCCGCGCGTGTACGAGACAGCCATCCAGTGGTCGATTGCGGCTGACCGGCAGGCGGGTGTGGCAGAGAGCGTAGGCGACACGCAGATGCACCATTTCCTGGGGTGCATTCTGCGCGGCAATGCGCGGTACACGGACGCCGAGCAACACCTGCTTGTGGGCACACCGGAGAGCCCCGCAGTGCTCGGCAACATGCTGTTTGAGTGGGCGTCGCGCACGTCCTGCGCTGACTATGGGCTGTTTGCTGCCCGCGGAGTGCTGCGCTACTTGGCCATCGGGTGGTATGAGGCCGCGGTGTCGTGCTGGAAGGCATTTGCTGGAAGGCTGGCACAGGCCCTGCCGGATCGCGTCCAGGAGCGCTCGGAGGCGGTGACCAAGATCGGCCCAGTGTACCACGTGCAGGGCCATGAGCTGGCCAACTTTGTGCAGCTCTTGCTGCTGGCAGTCGAGCGGTCGGATGGCAAGCCGTCGTCGCAGGCTGCGCGTGTTCTGGCGGAGCTGCGCCAACAGTACGTGCCGCTATTTGGCGAGAATGCCCAGACTGCCAGCGAGCTGATCGATGCGGTTGCTGCCAAGTTCTTTGGTGTGGTTGTCCAGAAGCAGCAGTCGCTGTTTGACATCGTCAATTCGCTGTTTGCTCCCCCTGCCCCGACGAACCGCGCGGTGACTGGCCCCGAGTCCATGGATCTCGAGTAGACAGGTAGTTAGAAGCCACCCTTGAAGTAACCAACCCTACCCAAAGAATAAATAAACGCCGGCTCTGCAATGCCATAAACCGGTACATTGATGGTGCCAGCAGATGTTGATATTGGGCGCAGCTGCAAAAAAATGTAAGCGCAGCATTTGTATTTTTCTGTCTTCCATGTCCCAAGTCGAGTTTATCTACAGCAAGCACCGGCTGCGCGAGTTCTGCCTAATCGAAACACAGGGCTCTCTTGAAACAGATGCCCCTGCTGGCCTGCGCGCCCAACAGCGGTTTGGCGAAATCCAGCGCAATGCGGACGGCTCTGTGAAGATGGTTATCGGTATCCACCATGCAAACGGCTCGGTCGTCAAGCTAAAGAACCCGTTGGCAGTTGTGCGCAAGAGACCAGCGGAAGAAAATGATGGCTCGGCTGATATCCAGTACGATATTGTGGCAGTGCTCAAGGAGAAGTTTTTGTTCAAGTCGCGGCCCGATGTGGTCTTGCAAAGAGAGATCCTGAACTTGCCGACTGTATGAGGTTTTTGCTGGGTGTCGATATTGCAAAATAAAATATATCACATGTATGCTGCTGCATATACTGGCCATTGTCGTTAGAATATAGCTCATGTGCGCGAATGGGTAACAAGGTATAGCCGGTGGCAACTGTGTGATTTAAAGGGCAATGAAGCAAGTATGTGGAGGAAGCGCTTGTGCTGGGCCATGCCAAGTTCAAATGTCGCCCCTTGAATCGACTGAGGGCGTCTCCCTCACACCTTCAATCTTCAATGGCTGTGAACTCTTTGCATCAGCTGTCATTTTACTTGGCACCAATGCAGAACTCGGGATCCTGAAACCTATCTGTTAATTCGCTCGGCCAATTCTGTAAAGAGCTTTAGAAATCTTCAATAATATCTGAAATGTACTACCCAACACGGGCTGGAGATACTGAAAGAATCTGTATGATGCCGTTTTGTTTTTTCAACCTCGGCATGTGCTTTTTGTTACCACGCAACCATGCCTCTTATACTCATAGCTTGACCGCCTAATCTTCCTGGGCAACAGGTTGATATCAGAGTGTATTTAAGGTTTGATACCATCATCAGCCTGCATGCTTTGCAAAAACTAAGCAACTAGGTATAGTGGGGTTATCCTTTTCCATTCCCTAGCTTTCTTTTTGATTTTGGATATTTCTATATTAGTTGCCCCTTTTAAAAAAAAGCAGATACATCCAAACTTCATTGCTGCACATCGTAAAGCCCTACAGAAAACACCTGTCGACTCGACGTAGCCGAACTGTCAGGCTTGACTTTCACTACAGCAAATGTGCTGCTGTAGTCAATGTCCCACTGAAGTTCAATGCTGTCGAAGGAGCGGTTGTCGCTGACACCCTGTGCGTACAGGCCAATATCAACACGCCGCTGGTCGTCCCTGCCTTGTGGACCAGTGTCAACATTCTTGAAGGGCAAAATGTGACGATAGTCGGCAGACTGCTGCTTTTCGGCCATGCTCTCAGGAACGCACATATAGCTATGGATGTGCTCCACAATGAGCAGGGCCAGCTGCTATATCGGAATGTAGATCCTGGTTACGAGGATCCTACCAGAAGTCAAGTCGCCGATCTAGCCTTTGACACATTTGAATGTATCACTGACCGGGTAACATGCAAATGTTGAAATTATAGGGGCTCTGTTTTGGAATGAGAATAGAGGTTTGACTAAGGATTTCAAATGCAATTAGCACGATAATATATGAAAAAGAGAAGAAAAGCCAGGACTCTTGAGCACTGGCCTCTTGATTCTCTCCAGGTAAAATACTGCAGCATCTGTTTGATAGAAGCGATGTGCTAAAGGGCAGAATGCCACTGTGTGCGTCGGAGATATGAGGTTGTACCCTTATCATCCGCATCTGAGTCACTGCACCTGCTATTATGCACCTGGCTGGGTCCTAGAACATCGGCATGAATCCTTGCACCAATATTCGCTGGCTTGGGCATGCAACACTACATTCATGCTCCTACTTGAGTGCTCTGCTACTGGTATGTGATACCAGATGTTGATATTCAAGCCCAAATCGGTCTCATTCTGACTATATATCTAAACCCCTGTCATTGTTAGCCTTGTAGCTTTCAGAGTGCGCTTGACTGATCACTAGGATTACAGGTTCGAAGTATATCAACATCCGGTCGCTTGACCTTACCCGGTCTCAATGCATAGTACTAATGTAGATTTAGATATCAAAGATAATGTATTAAGTTGAAATTGATTATAGTTTACTCCTTGAACTCTTCCAGGCCTCGGTCATCGTCTTCAACAGTGCTGTGGTGATCTCGCTCTTCTTCTCCAAGCGCTCCTTGAATGGGTTACGCTTTATACCCATTTTTCTATTTATCTGAAGCTCCGAGCCTCTGTAACGACTCCCATCGCACGTGCCATCCTTACGCAGGTTCGCATTTTGGAACAAATCCATATAGAGATCTTCCGCCAGGTTTTGCAGGACATCAATATCCTTGACGAGGTGGAAGTTTTCTGTGATCCTGCCACTGATAGTACTAAGAGTGCGTAAATGGTCCTTTTTGTAATCACCAATATCATCCGCAGATCCAGTACGCCAGCGATTGATTGGTAGTTCCCTCAGTTCCTCAGATGACCGCCTGCTATCTGGAGCAAAGCCTTTTGTAGCGCACCAGCAGATCAGGTATATCAGCGACTCCCAATCGTCCAGAGCAGTTCGCTCCACATCTGATTTGGCAAGGTTGTTGATGCTCATAAATGGGATCGTTCCTCGTGTCTCCAAGTTCGGCCCTTGCGAACCACTCAGATCGAGTGCGCAATCAAAGTCGATGAGCAGTCCGCGCGCCGGTTTGCCCTCCTCACGCACGACAAGAATATTGTTGCTTGAAATGTCCCGGTGGAGGATGTTGCACCGATTCAGCAGCTCCGAGTGGCAGCGCATGGCATCGCCCAGAACAGCAATGAACTCATGTACTGACTCGACCGTGCTGAGCGACTCGCCGATCGGTGACATGGCCAACCGCTTGTGCGCGCGGAACGGAATTGCAGCTCCAGCCGGCATGCGCAATGAAAACAATGGACCCAGTATGCGCTTCATGCTGTCCTCGAAGACCTCGCCATTGGAATCGATATGGACTCTGCCGCCAGCATCAAGCTTGGGATAGACCAAGTCCTCGACATCTGACTGCGCCAGCTCTGTGGTGATCCGGTGCATAATCTGCACCTCGTCTCGCTTGTCATGGACAGGATCCTCCTCTGCCTCCGGCCACGCGTCTTTCAGAACAAACTTGGGTGTGATGCCGCCACCAGTGGGTTTCTCGTCTGTCACCAAATAGCACCTCGTACGCCGTCCAAACATACCATCCGCTGCCAGTAGCACCTTGTCGAAGTAGTACGTTTTTGTTGTTGCAGGGCTCGACGATTTTTCTGCTGCATCAGGACACTCGACGGTCCAGCATTTGTGCTCAGGGTTCCAGAGGATACCTCTGTCATACCCGAGTTGGTCTTTCTCGCACAGTGCAAAGTTAGCCAGCAGCTCGACAAACTGCCGACGACCGGCTGCTGTTGTCATGTCGAGAGCGCTCGATGAAAAAGCCGCGTCGTTGGAAAACAGGCACACTCGCACCTCATTGTCGCACACGGTCAGACCCCAAGCGAAGCGTCTGTTGGGCTGATTCCTGTAGATGCTGCGTGTCCTCTGCATCAGCTGCGCGTAAGCCTTGTCAACTGTGCGCCGGGTCTTGCCGGATCGAGCTTCAATAAGGGCCACCATATTTTTGCTGTGAAAGTCAGTCAGTAGCTCGATACCTGTAAGTGCGTGCTGAAACTTGATGCCTGCCTCAAACTCCGAAGCGTCGGTATTGCCGCTGGACTGGGGTCTAGGACGGGTGCATGGAAGTAGCTGATAGTAACTCTCAAGATATCTGCTGAAAGGGCCCGTATCCAACGCACGAATGAGGGTGTCGATGTGTTGAACGACAAACAGAATGAATGACATGGCTGATTCATGTATCTTCTTCGCCGTGTGTATGTCGTCATCGTCGAGGCTGTCTGTAGATGTAGCCAGTGGTGGGCGAACCCACTCCTCAAACGCTGCAAGAGCGCTGTCTGTTGACCCGCGCTTCTCGTCTTTCGCCTTGTTATATGCTGCAATGTCGAACAGTGTATGTTGCTGCTGCTGCTGGCAGGTGGTGATATCGCAAGCAAGTTCTCTGAGAGTATCCTGGATATCATCGACGCTGCTTGCTGCACTGCCAGTGACTAGGCTGAGCCGGCGCTCCAGCTCCAATGCGACCTGAGTCGACACCAGGTCTGCCAGTTTGCTTGTCATGGTATTCCTCGACTTTACACTGTCAAATACGCCGTTGGCATCACGGATCAGTCGTTCCTTGGCCCAGTGGTCGGCTTCGGTCAACACCTCGTCTTTGTTATTCCACCACTCCATACCTTGGCTCAGCTGGGTGTTCATGTTCGGCGTGTTGCCCCTCATCATGGCCATTATTTTGTCGCTCCAGCTATTTGAGGACTGGTCTAGTGCCCGGACCCAGCGGCCATTAGGGTAAATGGATGCTATACCAGAATCTGCACAGTTAGCAAATGTGCATGTCATAAGCGTACCATAGTAGCAAGGTCCACTATGCGCTTACCTCTTGCGCTCTCACCCTTTTGTGTCTTCTTTGCTGGTGGTTGTGCCGAGTAGTCGTCGTCATCTGATTCAGAGTTCGAGCGCGACCGCTTGGTGCCAATGCAGACTGTGTTGCTAGAGGAGCGTGCCTTCTTTGGTGGCGAGAACTTGCTAACTGGCGATGAAATGGAGCTAGAGAATTTGCGCTTGATACCCGTAGCGGCTGGCTTGCTGGCGGCAGGAGCTGACAGAGTCCAGGAAAGCTCGGCAATATTGTTGCAGGTAGTCATGGTCGACTGATAAATTACAATGCGAATGTGTTCAAATGCAGGAGAATGTGTATGTCTTAATGCAAAGCTAAGAGAAACAAAAGCTGTAGGCAGCAGCTCTGGAGTGGTTTAAGAGCTGGAGCGAGCAATCACCATTGGCTGCAGCGTGTTTACTGCCTGGGGTTTTTCTGCAGAGACTGTTTACGAAAAGGCGCTTGAGCAGATCCGATTTAATCGGCTCCCGCATTTTAAGCACTGCTTCAGAGATTGGGAGTGTGGCGCTGGCTGCATCAGTATGCTTGCATTCAGCGACGGCTCTGCAGATTCGAATGAGGAGCCGGCTCGCAGAAATGCAATGGGTTCTGAGCCAACTACTTCATAACAGGATCAAGACAGTCGGGCGAGACAAGGGAGCGCTTAGGGCTTGTGCTGAGCATGCATGGGCAAAGTTCATATGTGCATGTGAAGGAGGGCACATACTTGTGTCACTACAATGTTCCCTTTCTTCACTTCTAGAGTGTACCAATAACCCATCTATTTTTGACCCATCAATGGCTCATTTGCTGCAAAGTAGGAATTTGGCTGGTGTTTCCTATAAACTAGCGATATGCCCATGCTGTCTAAATGCGATGATCACTCGAAGACCCTTTGAGGCATATCAATATGACGGCCACCTTTTACTTTGGGTCCACAGTGCTATATTGCCGCTTGCTTATTAAATTGCAGCCGTAGTGTAGATGTAGTGTGTTTTATAGTGACAAATGAAGTGATTGAAAATATTTACTTGTTGCCTTGAGACTATGCAATGCAAATGTTCCGTGAGCTCTTCCAGGCTTCGGTCATCGTCTTCAACAGTGCTGTGGTGATCTCGCTCTTCTTCTCCAAGCGCTCCTTGAATGGGTTACGCTTTATACCCATTTTTCTATTTATCTGAAGCTCCGAGCCTCTGTAACGACTCCCATCGCACGTGCCATCCTTACGCAGGTTCGCATTTTGGAACAAATCCATATAGATATCCTCCACCAGGGTTTGCAGGACATCAATATCCTTGACGAGGTGGAAGTATTCAATGATCTTACCGCCGATAGAATTAAGAGTGTCCAAATTATTCCTCTTGGCTTCACCGATTTCCTTAGGAGTTCCGTTTCGCCACTTGCTGATTGCCAAGCCCCTCATACTCGCGGGGTGTCGCCTATCTTTCTTATCCCTGCAAATCCCAATCGTTGCGTACCAGCAGATTAGGTAGACCAGCGACTCCCAGTCGTCCAACTCTGTCTGCTCGACGTCTGACGCAAGCAAGCGGTTGATGCTTGCATATGGGAGCGCACCTGTCTGCTCGCTGCGTACTGGTGCTCGGACCTGTCCGACCTCCAGGGCACTGTCAAAGTCGATGAGTAGCCCGCGCACTGGCTTTCCTTCCTCACGCACTACAAGGATGTTGCTGTCAGTGATGCAACGATGGAGGATGCTGCACCGCTTCAGGATCTCCGAGTGACAGCGCATCGCGTCACCGAGAACCACTATGAGCTCGTGCACTGACTCTACGTGCTTCAGTGGTTTTCCAATGTTGTCCATGATGACACGCGTGTGTACGCGGAACGGAATTGCGCCTCCATCTGGTTTGCGCAGCGAAAACAGCGAGCCCAGTATGTTCTTCACATTGTCCTCGAAGACCTCGCCGTTGGCATCGATGTGGACTCGGTCGCCAGCATGGAGCTTGGGATAGACTAGGTCCTCGACATCCGACTGCGCCAACTCTGTAGCGATATGGTGCATGAACCTGATTTCGCTCCGCTTGTCCTGGGCAGGATCCTCCTCAGCCTCCGGCCACGCATCCTTCAGAATGAACTTGGGTGCAATGCCGTTGCCAGTGGGTTTCTCGTCTGTCACCAAAAAGCATCGCCTGTGCCGACCGAAGAGCTCGTCCGCACTGGACAGGAGCTGCTTGTCAGAGTAGTACGTTTTCACTGTTGTGGTGCCCGACGACTTGCCCGCAGTGTCGGGACCTTCGATGGCCCAGCAATTGTGCTCAGGGCGCCAGCGGATCGTTGGGTCGTAGCCCAGCTGATCAACCTCGCACAGCGAAAAGTTGACGAGAAGCTCGACGAACTGCCGACGACCAGCTGCTGTTGTTATGTCGATGGCACTGGACGAAAAGACGACATCGTTGGAAAACAGACATGTGCGCACCTCATTTCCGCACATTGTGATGCCCCAGATGAAGCGGCGATTTGGCTGCATCGCATATATGTTTCTGCTGTAAAGCAGCAATTGAGCAAGCGCCTGCCGGACCGATGCAGCCAAACTGTCAGGCTTGACTTCAATCACAGCAAATGTGCTGCTGTAGTCAATGTCCTGCTGGACCTCAACGCTGTCAAAGGAGAAGTCGTCGCTGACACCCTGTGCGTACAGGCCAATGTCAACACGCCGCTGGTCGTCCTTGCCTTGTGGACCGGTGTCGACGTTCTTGAAGGGAAGGATTCGGCAATAGTCTTGCAGCAGGCGGCCAAGATCACGGTCCTTCTGACGGTCTTCGACTTGACCGTCGATCTCGCGCATGGAAAACAGTAAGAATTGCTGAATCGGGAAATACGTTTTAGTCTCAGCGACCTTCCCTTTTTTCAGCAGTCTAAGCCAGTTGCTGACTTCCTCCAGGGGGTCCTTTGTCGCATATCTCGGCTGGTGCTGCTGCAAATTCGGCAAGCTGGCAGCAGGAATAGGCTCACCCCCTGCACCACCGGCCGGTCCAGCGCTAAGGCGGTTCTCCAGCTCTGCTGAAACATGTGCAGTGATGTCGCTCGCAACACTACGCAGTGCCACCGAGCGTGGGCGGCAGAATTCGAAAACGCTATCCTCATTCTCGACCACACGACCTTTGGCGAACACCATACTCTCGGTGTCCCTCTCAGCCGTGTGATCCGACTGGACCATGGACATGTTGGAGAAGACAGTCGCGTTTGTTGTCTTCTGAACAAATGGACTGTTCTCCAACACGCCGGTGAGCCTCGCCTTTTTCGACTCTGCATCTATAACGGTTGAGTTACAGTTATTAGGTTAGACTTCATGTGGTTGTTGCCTTGTACCTGCTGCTATGTGTATATATGCACACGTACCTTTGTTCTGGTATCTCCTTTGAAAATACGGCGACTGATCCAATGTTGTTGCCGAAATACCCTCATAAGTATAGGATGCCAATGTCCGTTTACATGTCGGAGTAACAAAGCTGTCCAGAGGAAATGATTTTTGGGTATTGCTCTGCCGAGGTGTTTGCTGCGGACTACTCGGTTGAAGTGTTTGCTGTGGACTGTCTGGTTGAGATGGCTGGTGTTGGCTATCCTCTGTCATCTTTGCCTGAGTAGTGGTCGGTGAAAAATGAGTTTGCGTGGATAGAGAGGAAAAAGGACAGGAAAGAGCGCAGTAAAGACGGTGGGCGGTTCAGGTCAACAAGAGGGAGTGCTGGCATTTGTTCAGCCTGCCTGAACTAAGAAAAACAGTGTTCCATTGTTGCAAATGAGCTGCTCAAGCACCCCTGGGTGGCGTTGGAGTCGTCCAGAGATGGTCAAAACGGCTATATGCGCCGCTGTTGCAAATAAGATTAAATTTAGGGTTAGGAAATCAGCCAAGATGCTGTTTCTACATATCGGAACACACTAGGTGTAACCTTGGTGGGCCTACATGCTAAAAATGATATCCACATGAAGACTTCAGTGCATGTGAATGCCTGCAGTGCTTCTGCATGTCCCTTGGTTTCTTGGTGTTCTTAACTGCGCTTTATGTGTCTGGCACGCCACTGTAGAATACTCTACAGAGCCTTGTGTCCGTCGATATTTCGAGTGTGTATATTAGAGTATTATCGAAAGAAAATAGAAGCTCCACCTATCGCCTTCATTATCCGACCAGCTGGAGTTCGGCAGCCTCACTCTGCGAGTAGCCCATCAGATACAATACATTCGCCAGGCTCTTTTGGTTGATCCGGGCACGTGCTTCCTGCTGCACCTTGGGCTTCGCATTGAACGCAACCCCCAGGCTAGCCTTGCCGAGCATGAGCAGGTCATTGGCACCGTCGCCAACAGCAACAACCTGGTCGATGGCAATGCCTTCGGCCTGGGCAATAACCTCAAGGAGTTCTGACTTCCGGACCGCATCGACAATCGGTCCCACGGTCCGACCCGTCAGCCGCTTCCCGTCAGTGCTGACCTCCAGCTGGTTGGCAAAGGCATAGTCTAATCCGAGCTCGTTCCTGACGTACTTTGCCAGCGGAATGAACCCGCCAGAGATGACCGCCAGCTTGAATCCGGCATTCTTCAGCGCACGGCACAGGTAGTGCGCGCCTTCTGTAAACACCAGCTGCCGCTTGACCTCCTCTAGTGCCTCAATCGGCGTGTCCTTGAGCAGCGCAACCCGACGGCGCAGCGACTCTTTGAAGTCGATCTCTCCACGCATCGCACTCTCAGTAATGGCCGACACCTCCTCTTCGATGCCGGTGGCACGCGCAATCTCGTCAATGACCTCCTGCTGGATCAGCGTCGAGTCCATGTCAAACACGACCAGGCGCTTCTGTCTGCGGAACACATTGTCGGGCTGCAGAGCCACATCAGTCTGGAATCCGGTGCTCAGAGTGAACAGCTCGGCCTTCATCTCCTCCAGCGACAGAGTGTCAGGCACGCTGAGGCGGAACTCGACGCACATCAGCTCCGAGTGCTTGTCCAGCCGGCGCATCTGCTCGACGCTGATCTTCTTCTTCAGCAGCCATTTAAGCCAGGCGCTCAGGAACTCGGGTCCCAGCCCGCGCTCGTTCAGCACTGTGGCAATGTACTTGACACGCTGCGCATACGGAGCCTCGTCCAGCTTGTACTCTGACTGCCCACTCAGCACCGATGCCTTGAGTCGCGCGTTCTGCACATCAAACGTCAGGGTTCCGTCCCACTTTTGCGCAGTCTCGGCCAAGTCGCTGAACAGGTCGACGTCGCCGTTGTGCAGATGCACAAGAACGCCAAACGTCACATCGTGGTGCAGCCGCGAGAGCGAAAAGTCGATGATCTGGCAGTTGTGCTTGGACAGGCAGCCCAGCACTCCGCCAATGATGTCGGTGCCGTGCGGGCCACGCAGCGAGATCATGACTGTCTGCGTTTCATGCAGCAGATCGACCAGTGGGCTGAGCTTGGGCGAGATGTTGATGCCAAACGACGTATTGGGCAGTCCGGACGGCGTTTCGACCCGGGTGGAGGTTGTCGAATCGGTGCGCCCGCCATTGAGGACCGCTGGTAATGTGCCAGGATGTGTCCGAGACTCGACTGCAGCTGCCAGGGCATCAGACGAACTGCCGCCCTCCTGCTCCACCAGCAATGTAGCCAGCTGGTTCATCAGCTCCGGCTTCAGACGCAGCAGGGAAGTGGAAACCACAAACGACAGCTGCGAGGTACGCATCAGGTAGGGCTCGCGGATCTGCAGGCCAGACCACTTGTCGTGCTTCTTCAGCGCCTTGGCAATGGCAGTGAAGTTCAGGAACACAAAGCGCTCCAGCAGCAGCAGGTCCTTCAGCGCATCTTCGCACTCGGCAATTGTTGTCTTCTGCATTGGATCCAGCACCCGGTTGATCCGCTCCTTGGTCGCGTCCTTGATCTTGACAAAGAACGAGTTGATCCGCTCGATGTCGGCATCCAGCATCTTGACAAATGCGGGTGTCAGCTGGGTGACCTTCTCCAGGCGCTGGTGCAGCATGGCGTCGAACGAAGGCTCGGAATCGGAGCCCGGTGACCACTGGAAGACGTGTGTGCGCGGGAACGAGCTTGACAGGTGCACGTTGCAGCCGACCATGCGCGTCTTCAGAAACGCCTTCAGTGCATCGTATTCAATAAAGTGTGGCTGCCACTCGTCCGGGAACGCCGTCTTTTGCTGATTCAGGTAATTGCCGTATTTCATGATAGAGCAGAATAATATGCGTGAAACTGAAGAGAAAGAGTGGAAATAATAAGAATGCTAGCGCTAGGTGCGGGAGAGCTGAGGGAACAGAGATAGGTCCTCCTGTTCTTTATCAGCTGTCTCTCCCCACCACCTGGGCTTGGAGCGGGTGGGCGGGGCGAGTCAACTGGTGCTCTTCGGAGATTAAACCTCGAATAGAACGGCCGGGAGCGAGCTCGTTTTGGTGAGTAATGAAGCCCCTTTGCCCCATTTTCCAGCACTGATCACGCTAGATAACGGGCTGACCGGTATCATTCATTTCGCAAGCCCAGAGAGTTTGCCCAGCATCCAGCAAACAATGAAGCACACATTGGTACCTGCGTTTTGTGTGTGACCAAGCTCGATGGCTCTTTCATCTACATGTCTACAACAGAGCGCCGAGGCAAGTTTTAGTGATCGTTTATAAACCAGCATGCTTAATGCGGCCGCATGCGGGCAGGATGATTCGCAGCCAGCGACAGCAACGATACTGCTGCTGGTAGGCATGTAAACCAGTTCGGAGCTTGGTATGTAAAATGCACACTCGGAGCAGGGTTTCGTTGCCGGATCTACTACATCTATTCGTTCTTTCAGGTTGCCAGATCGACAGCGGTTGTCAGTCACGTTGACATGATCACTATTTCCGATGATCCAGTTAAAGAGCTTGCCAGAGGTGCATCATAGGCGGAGTTGCCGAAGCTGTCTCCAATGCTTTCGACCTGCCCGTCTAAGCCTCAGCACCGCTCAGCCAAAATAAAGCCCACTGCTGTGGAACACACCCCTCAGCGCCGTCCAAACGCCGCGGCTATCCGATCAAGGTAACCCGTACTGCAAGCACCAGAACTTCCCCAGCAGTAGTCTGAGACAACTACCCATCCGACATCCTAGAGAAACTCCATTCTTTTAGACAGAAGTATTCAAGCAGCAACACTTTTCTGTTCGTTTTCTCTATCACACGCAGCTAACTCGCATTTGTTTATGGCTGCATGCTTTTTGATGTGGGTGCTGTCAGGGCTGGCGGGTGTGGGCTAGCTTTCCCTAGAAGATATACGGCAGGCTCTCTATTGGCATCCGGAGAAGGTAGCTCCAGTTTAGCCCCAGGGTCGATAGAGAGGGTTGGTATAGCCGTATTCCCAATGTACTCGGTCAGCAATGGCCAGGATCTGGTTGAGCCACGGCACGTGATGGATCTTTTGGATGTCCTGTATTTGTGGCTGGGTCTCGTCAAAGCTGGCTCAGCTCGCTGCGATCCGCTTCTGGGCCGGATCCAATCGCCGGTACCACTGAAGGTTGTTTTCAGTCTCAGAATTCATCAGACTGCGCCACCATGAATCGGGAGGAAAATGGGTCATTGGGCTGATAACAGCTGTGTGGATTCCGCCCGTGTTCTTTGAAGCCGCTGAGACATATGCCACGCTGGCCATATCGGCCAAAAGTGCCGATTGTTGCTAACTCCCAGCAGCCGCGCCCTTGTTCCCGCTGTATACAATAGCCGGAGTCATAATTGCATGGGTCTATGCCTGGTACCGTGTCTGGCAAGATGTACCACCTCGAAATGATCTACGGCACCATGTCAAGCACATCCAAGGCGGGTGTGTTCTGGCTCCATGTGCTGCTCAGGGTTCGTACTCCGATCAGCTGCTTGTAAAAACTCACAGAGCAAGCGAGGATCTGCCTGCCCTGGTGACTGACCAGAACGGTTGGCGGCCGTGAGTCTAATTTGTGCAGCGCAAGAAACACCCAGCGCAGACCCAATCGGGCAATGCAGTGCCGGAGCCAGAACATCCATCAACCTCAGACACACATGTGTGGGTGTAGCAGGCAGCCCTGGTTGGCAAGCTCGGAAAAGTGCGGTGGACAAAAACTGATCATTTAAAGCGTGCTCCTTTTCCCCCCTTCTCAGCATTTTTTATTTCGGCAGGCTGCACCTTTGGCTAGTTGGTTTTCCTCTCTACAGGCTTGTTTTTCCTACCTAATTGTACAAGGCCCGCCCGAATTCCCTGTTGCTTCTTCGCTGCGCGCTTTTTCTAATTACTCTTTGGTGGCCGACAAAGACGGCGTTTTCCTCCCCATTTTATACACGGGAAGCTTTATTCGTTTAGCTCGGTTATCATAGTACTCCTCCCGGCACACACTCTCAGAGCTCTATCCTGGCGGAACTGAATGCAGAGGCGACAATGACTGTCTCGGCCGCACACCGCCAGCTAATAGTACAGGAGCTGGCACGGCAGCAGGCCATCGTGCACATCGACCTGGGTAAGTCCTAAGCAAGAGACACAAGCTCTCCCCCAGCACATAGGGGGCCCTGGTGCAGAGAGCAAGTGCGACAGCAGCGATTTTTATTTCCAGGAACATACAAAAGCACCACCACCATAGGCGCAAATACTAACGATAACCTTGTTTTCTGTGCATTTTATTCTGTGTTCTCTTTGGGCCTTTTTCATAGACTGTTTCTATTGTCAAGTTGGTAAGTTTCTCCGTCGCCCGCGCCGTTGTATCATCGGGAAAGAATAGGCATGAGTGAGGACAATTTTTTTCGCTTCTCCTCTCCCCATTGCCAGCACAGGTTGCGCCATGCCAGTAGCAAATTTTCCCATCCTTGCTTTTCTGATTTCTGCTGCCTCCTCTCTCCTCTGCATCACCAAGCCGCGATTAAAAACGGCATTTTTGGGCCCTGGCGAGGAAGGTGGAGGGAGGCACACATGCGGGTGGTTATATTGGGGAGGAGAGTCAAGTTCCATTGAGAGTGGGCGCTTTTGAAAGAACATGAGCTGGTGCTAATCGTATGTACATCATCCGCCTCTTTTTATTTTGCTTTTCCACCTTGTTAGAACAGTTGCGGCTGGGGCTGAGTCCGGAAATCCCTCTGGCGGTCCAGCAGTGGCAAGGCCTGATTGCCGTAAACTACCCAGCGCGAGAGCGGGGGGTGCAAAGGTAAGTGGACAACAACACAAACACCACCCATGTTGGGGATGTTGCGTAGTGCCGAACCAGCCCCCGGGCTGTGCTGGTAGACGGGACGCTAGCGCGGTGGAACCCGGTGATGATACTTTCGTGCTCACACAGCGGGTTCGCAGCCCTCTTATCTTTTGGTAGACACGATTCGGCAAGCGATGCGCGCAAAAAATGCCCTGAAATAAAGCTGATACATGTCGCCACGTTCGCCGAGGGTACACAGCCGGCGTACCATCCGAATCCGTCGGTCAGTACACACAAGGTCAGCTTGGACGCATACCGACACGCCAGCCGCGACATCATGGCTATGCTGAAGGAGATGTGTCCAACAATGTCCAAGGCGAGCATTGACGAGGCGTACTTGGATGTGTCAGCGATCGTCCAGGAGCGGATATTACAGGACTTTGATCGCGGGATGATCGAGTGGATGAGGGGAGATGGTACCCCATCTGCAGCGGAGACAGACACAGAAGACGAGCTGCCTTTACCGATACCGGCTGTGCGGTGGACAACTGTGTCGCGCAAAGGCAAGGAGAGGGACACAGAAGGCACAGCAAATGCATCCGGTGCAACAGAGTTTGGCGTGCTAGTTGGAGAGGCAGGGAGCGTCAGCTTTGGATGGAACGACTTGCAGCTCCGGTATGCTGCGGAATTCGCTGGCAACGTGCGCGCCAGGGTGTTCAGGGAGCTTGGATATCGGAGCTCTGCTGGGATTGCTCACAACAAGATGTTGGCCAAAATCGGCAGCGCGCTGCACAAGCCGAACCAGCAAACCGTGCTGCGGGCGTCTCAGATTGCCGAGTTCATGCACACGTTCGAGCTGTCAAAGATCCCATCGATGGGAGGCAAGTTTGGCTCGGTAGTTGGGAGTGTGCTCGATGCACACACTGCTGGTGATGTGCTCACGTACTCGCTGGATCAGCTGGAGCTCAAGCTCGGCAGGGAGCGCGCTGAGCACCTGTACCGGGTTTGCCAAGGAGTCGATGACAGCGAAGTAGCAGAGAACAAAGAGCAGCAGTCGCTGCAGTCAACCAAGAACTTTGGGCGGTTTCCAGTCCGCGACATGGCTCACCTGGAGCGGTGGCTCTCGATGAACGGTATGGAGCTCTGGATGCGTGTCATGGAGGAGTGGGAAACGAACAAGCGCTGGCCCCGGTCGTTGGGCATCAACTATACCACCGTTGGATGCAAGACGCGCTCCAAGACAGTTGGATTCCCGCTACGCCACCTGCAGAGCGCGCAGACCTCGCCGGATGCGGTAGTCAATGCTGCCAGGGCCTGCCTTGTACAGATCGCCAGCCCAGCCCAGGCAAGTGGCGGCAGCGGCGGTATGATGGCTGTTGACACACGGGCTGAGAGCCCAGGTCTGTTTCCGCTCGCCAGCTTCTCCCTGCAAGCCAAGGGGTTCCAGCGCGAGCTGTCAGGGGCGTCTGTCATGGACAAATGGCTGTCGCGGTCAGCTGTTGGTAAGCGCGTGCAGCCAGCTGTTGCGCGCACAGGTCAAATTTGCGGACCCATGTCCAGCACAATATCAAAGAGCTCGCCTCCGACGTCAGAATCTGAGCCGGGTGACGGCGACGAAGGTGACTGGAACAACCCTGGCTATGGCCACTCCGATACCAGCGACAGCGACTCAGATGATCAAGCAAATGACGGGCCCATGATGGCGCTGGCCGGTCACGGATTGCCACAGTTCCAAGCAGTCTCTATGCAAGGAATGATGCTGCCGCCGTCTATGGCTGGCATGCACATTGCACAAACACATAGTAATCTACACCCACATCACCAACCACAGCAGCAGCAGCATCACCAATACCCAATTCACCATCAAGCAGCCATATATGGTGCTGCCGCGCATATGGCCAGCACCGAGGCATCGTCGTCGGCGTCCACTCCCCCACTTGTTCCCAGCCGAAGCTATGGCAACCGCCGGCTCCACGGCGGATCCGATCCCAATCTACCCATGCTGAACCCAGGCAGCCACCATGCGCCGCGGCTTGCAGGACGCCCACCTGGGCTGGCATATGGCGATGTGGCTGAGGATAGCCATGAAAACAGTTCTGGCTATTATTCATCGGAGTCCGATACGTCGTTCCTGAAGACGCCGCCAGAGAGCGGAGACGAGGAAGGAGAAGAAGAAGTTGACGATGTGACCAACGAGCCGGCTGATGGTGAAGCCAATGGTGCTGGCGGCCAAGCAGAGGCAGGTGTGCATGTCCATGAAACCCACAGTGCACCGCTGCGACGGAGGCCGCAGAACCCACCTGCATCCTCCAGCACAGGCAGCAACAGCGTCAGTCAAAGTCGGCGTCCAAGTATTGGTGCACGGCACACAATGCAGAACCAGTCGGCATCCAACTTGTCGACAGCCACAGGGTATACCGCCGACAGTGCCGGGGGCGACAACGAGGGTGGGCCGCCAAGCAGCGGTCGGTCGACAGTGTCATCACGGCGGCGCACAGGTGTATATATTCAGCCACACGTCGACACGTCGAGTGTATCCCGGTATGGCGAAGGCTACCACCACATGGACATTGACAAGAATGAGGACGGCAGCCTCGAGGTTGCTAGGCCCACACCGTCGACGCCATCTCACCAGCATCCAAGCGACCTGCTGATTCCGGCACTGATCTCTGTGTCGCGGCGCAAGCGCGATGTGCAGATCTTCCAGCACTTCAATCCGGTCGACAAGCCCGACGGTATGATCAGGTGGGAGGAGCATGACTCTGGCGCCAGCACCAAGACAAAGAGCGGCCAGGGATCGGGCACTGCCACGCACTCGCGCAACAACAGCGTTTTGCAAGGACCAGCAGAAGCCTCGTTCATGGCCACAGTGCGCAGCCGGCTCGAGCAGACCAAGGCTGCGCAGCAAGATATCGCCGAGGGCGTGCTTGATCTGGCCGCCAATGCCATGAATGACTCGCTGTCGGCGTCGAAGACTGAGATGCGGATCCGGTGCCCGCGGTGTCCGCCGACTGCATCTACCGTGACGCTGTCCGAGTGGGATACGCACGGCGACTGGCATGTAGCGCGCGATCTGCAGGCGCGTGAGCTTCGTAATGAGGATGTATCGGAGGAGTTCCGCCGCGCCTTCAACATGGATAGCGAGTCGGGTAGCGAGAAGCCGCCGCTCAAGCGCACGAAGCGCAGCGCCGAAAGTGCTGCCAGCACAGCAGGCCGGCGCCAGCAGTCGCTGCTGGAGGCGTGGAAGTGAAGTGCTAATTGTGTAAAAAAATTTGTAGGCTTCTTCACTTTTCTCTTTGCTGGCCCGCACGGCACGTTCATCTTGTACCTCAATTGCAAAGCACATTTCCTGCATCTTTAGCCGCATCATCTGAGGTCAGGCGACATGCCTTCAGCATATGTGTGGTGTAAACAATACGCACTTTCTGCCTCGTGTAAAAAGGGGGGACAGGAAGGCGCAGCATGCCCAATACCACGCTGAAATATCGGGCAAAGATTGCGGATTTCGCTCTTTGGGCCACGCACGAGAAGCATTAGCGGATAAGCCATGTCCTGTTGATGCTTCAGAGATACAGCAATTTACAGGGGAGAAGTACTGCTACACGGCATGAAACACCAGCACAATATTGCCAAATGCATTCCACCACCTTGCCCTGCAAAGGTCGAGAAGAATAACTGCCGTGCGTTAAAGTTTACCAGCCATGACCCATTCCTGCAGGGTGCAGATTTGTTTGACATGGCGCTGAGAAAGCAGCCGGGACAAAATGGCATGATAAGCCTGACGGTCCTGGATAGATGTGCCCTTCATCCAATGTGGTTGCAACCTCTCATGGATCATGGTCACAGGTTCGTGCTGTTGGCCTGCTTGTCCATGCCGGTCCCATGGACAGGGAGAGGGACAGTCGCAATCAATTTAAAGAACCGGGTCACACGGACCTTGTATGCAGAGCAGGTATTAAAAGTGCGGATGAGCGGGTGTCGCAAAACAAAAGAGCATTGCAGGAAAAGGCGCAGTTGAAGCGATAGGCAGCGAGGAGAGATAACAGACAGGTACAAAAGCAACATGTGCTGGGCAGCCTTAACAGCAGCTGGCACAACACCGACATTGCCACTGCTTTTCCTTCCATCTACCATGGTTCAACTCTCTATATCATCCATCCTGGCCCTGGCCCTGGCCATGGCACCGGCAGCCATCTCAGTTGCAGCTGGTGGACACTCAGGCATCCAGCTCTTTGCACCATCGCTCAGCGGCAGGCCAACATTCACCGTCTACAGCAACCCTGTCCAAGTCAGTTCATCGGGTTCATCATCTGCCAATATCGGAAGCCTGAATAGCGACCTCAAGTCCAAGGTGACCATTGCCACGGAGTACCTAGCCCAGAAACACAACATCCGCACTTCCTCAATGAGCATCACCGATGCCTACACCGATGGGTCTACCGGAATAACCCATGTCTACCTGCGCCAGGTCATTGGCGGCGCACCTGTAGCAAACGGACTGGCCAATGTCAACATGGATTCTCAAGGGCGTGTCATCTCTTCTGGGCAGTCGTTTGCGGCAGACGATGGAAAATTAATGTCCAGACGCAGTGCAGGATCGCTTGCTGCGCGCGCCTCGGAAACTGCCACGCTTAAGACCGCATTGAAGGGACTAGCCGACTACATCAAGACATCGATCAGCGACACCGATCTGGGGAAGCTATCGATTGCTGCATCGTCCAGTCTAGTGCAGGGCGGATCAGGCTATGTCATCAGCCAGATGCCCAGCTCGGTTTCTTCCACAGGCACGTCTACTGCATCCCGGTCGATGATCCAGAGCCCTGACGGCACGCTCACAAACACATGGCATATTGTCTTGGAGCAGCCCAATCACTGGTGGAGCGCACACGTCAACGCAGCTACGGGCAAGGTCGAAGCAATCAACGACTGGGTTGCTAGCCTGGAGTCCTTCAATGTCTACCCGCGCAACATCAACACCCCAGCCGACGGAGATCGATGTGTGGTAACCAACCCAGCCAACTCTGTTGCTAGTCCCAAGGGGTGGGTGACTGGTGGCACAACAGTTGGCAACAATGTCTGGGCACAGAACAACCCCACTGGCGGCAGCACGTGGAAGAACAACCACCGCCCTAGTGCGCCCAACAACAGCTTCGATTTCCCACTTGACCTGAGCCAGCAGCCCTCCAGCTATGTCGATTCGGCAATCACGCAGCTGTTCTATTCAGTCAACACCATGCACGACCTGGCGTACCTGTATGGATTCGATGAGGCAGCGGGAAATTTCCAGGATGTCAACTTCAGCGGTCAGGGGGCCAGCGGCGACGGCGTCATTGCGAATGCCCAGGATGGGTCGGGTGTCGACAATGCCAATTTTGCTACACCCCCAGATGGCGAGCGCCCTCAGATGCGCATGTACGTGTGGACAGAAACCACGCCTGAGCGCGATGGCGATCTAGAGCAGGACATCGTTGCGCACGAGTTCACCCACGGCATCTCAAATCGCCTAACGGGTGGCCCATCCAACACCGACTGCCTCGGCTGGGGAGAGCCCGGAGGAATGGGTGAGGGGTGGAGCGACACTGTGGCTCTGCTGCTCCGCATCAAGCCTGGACACACTCGCTCGCTTGACATGCTGATGGGCGAATATGTGTACGGCAAAGGCATCCGGAACTACCCGTACTCGACCTCGACCAGCACAAACCCCAACACATTTAACATGCTCAATGATCCAGACTACCAGGAGGTGCACGCTATCGGGGAAGTGTGGGCTGAGATGCTCTACGAGGTCATCTGGAATCTTATCGACGCGAACGGCATTGCCGAGGACCTGTTCTCGCACGATCTGAGCAAAGGCAACTCGGTTGCGCTCCAGATTCTCCTGGATGGCATGAAGCTGCAGCCCTGCAGCCCAACTTTCATTGATGCGCGCAACGCGATAATTCAGGCCGAGAAGAACCTGACCGGTGGCAAGAACATGTGTGCGGTTTGGAAGGGCTTTGCTAAGCGTGGACTCGGCTACCATGCATCTGGTGGGAACGGTGCTACCTATAAAGAGGATTTTACTCTCCCGAGTGGATGCTGAATGCTGATACTAGCCAATTTCGTTTAAACTACCTCTTCCAGATATCTAATCGATAGTATTATTTAAATATTCAACCCCTAGGTAGAACTTGTTTAAAATGAATGCCACCCACAAGATATGGATTTTTAGTGTACTGAGCACTACAGCCACTTAGCTGGGTCTCAAATACATGCTAGCAACTGCTGATAACGCTGTTGCTGGCTACATCGGATATGATATGTGAATCGCATCGATTGGTGATGCTGTCCATGTACTTCTCATCCATCTTGTATCATGTTTGCAAATACAATAAGATGAGGGCATCGTGGCACTCAGTCTACTCTGAACAGCCCCATTTACACACTATTCCAACCCACTACAGACATGATGCCCCCATCTTCGGTTGCCAGGAGCAGTGCAGTTAAAGACAACATCACCATCAAATATCTGAGGCATTTGCTCAACACAAGGCACTCGTTGGACAAGTATCGCCAGGATTTTCTGCCGCACGTCCACCGCGAAATCATGAACCAGTTTGTGGAGGAGAAGACAAGAGGACGGCTGTCAAAAGAAATGACAGAGTCCATCAGCAGAGGCATGGACGAGATCAGCAACTCCATCAGCAACGTTGACGCATCAGCTCAGCGCATCACCGACGAGCTGGCGAGAATCATTGACCTGTTCGCCTCAGCCATCTCGATTCCGACGGTGAACTCAAAGGCAATGGCTGATATCCGTGAGGACTGCGATTTCCTCATGATCAAGAAACAGTCCTTTGACCTGGTGAAATTTGCCATGGATCCGTCGGGGTATATTGAGCGCTTCTTGCCGATGAGTCTGGATGAGATGCTCTCAGAGCACGATCGCTGGCGCACATTTTTATACCATTGCGTTCCGCCCCTGATCAAGTACTTCATTCTAATCGAGCTTGCGACGGTTATTAGCTGGAACAGGGCCAAGGGAAAGTTTGACGCAGCTTTCCGCTGCCCGGTCGCTGCGATTAAGCTATATGAGGAGAGGGTGAGTGCCACCTGTGCTGAGGACTACAGTGAGCTTATGAATTTGTGCGTTACATTTTCGAGCGAAGGGAGCAAAAAGCGCAAGTGCCATCTTCGATACCTCGCTGTAGCCTGCAACAGAAGGCACCAGTCTATGATTGTTGACGGTCTGTGGGAGAAGCAGGTCAAGGACATGTCCACATTCAACTTTCTGGAGCTCAGCTCGACACTGTCGGCTGCATCAGATATGCTTGACTGAATCCCGCCATCGTAGCCCATTTTCTCCTTTTTCGGATCAGTCGTATTAATGGTACACGCTATAATTTCCAGAAACCAACAGTTTTTTTTTGATGTCATGTAATATCGTCGCCTGTCTGTATAGTTTACACTGTTTATTCTGACGTATGAGACGGACACTGGTGCTTGACAACGGGTCGCATGCCATAAAGGGCGGATATGCTAGTAGCGACAGCGATGCTGGCCCGCGAGTGATTCCAAACACAGTGACACGGACGAAGCGAACAAAGCGAGTCTACGTGGCCGATCTAATCGACAAGAGCTCAGACCTGTCGGGACTGTACTACCGCTCGCCGTTTGAGCGCGGGTACCTAGTGCGATGGGACGCTGAGATTGCCGTGTGGGACCGCATATTCAGCAACGATGTGATCGGGTGTACACCGACAGACACCGACCTGATAGTCACCGAACCTGTGTTCAATTTCCGGCCAATCCAGCGGACCATGGACGAGATCCTGTTCGAGGAGTACCGGTTTCCGTCACTGATCCGCACCACAGCGACCAAGCTGGCCACCATTGGGGCAGCCGATGTCATTTATGGCGACACCAAGGAGCCGGACTGCGTGCTGGTAGTTGATGTCGGCCATGCATTCACATATGTGGTCCCGTATGTCAACGGGAAGCAAGTATCGGCAGGGGTGCGGCGGCTAGACATTGGCGGGCGCATCCTGACAAACTACCTGAAAGAAACCGTGTCGTTCCGGTACTGGGACATGATGGATGAGACGTACATCATGAACGCAGTCAAAGAGAAGTGCTGCTTTGTGTCGCAGGATTTCTACCGCGACCTGGAGACGGCGCGCGGGTGCAGTGGTGGACGCGGAGTGCGCAGCAACCCGCTGGGTCTGGAGTACGTGCTCCCCGACTTTACACACTCGAAGCAAGGGTTCATCAGGGGCCGGGGCGGCGACGTCGAGCAGCTCATGAGCGACACGCAGATCCTTCCGCTGTGCAACGAGCGGTTCGCCATTCCTGAAGCGCTCTTCCATCCGGCGGACATTGGGCTTGAGCAGGGCGGGCTTCACGAGACAGTCATCCAGGCGGTCAATGCCTGCCCAGAGGCGACGCGTGGCGTCCTGCTGTCGAACATTCTGCTGGTGGGTGGCACTGCAGCGCTGCCGGGGCTGGAGCAGCGGCTGCAGAGCGAGGTCCAGGCACTGGCTCCGTGCCGGGTCCAGGTGACGGCTCCACAGCACCCGGCGCTGCAGGCGTGGCAGGGCGGACGGGCCCTGGCGCGGGGAACTGCAGCGGCGGCGGGTCGTGGCGATTGGCGATTGACCCGCGAGCAGTACGAGGAGATTGGCCCTGATCGCGCTGTTGCCCATTTCGAAGGCTTCGATTAATTGACAAGAGCGCCCGCTCTATTTGCATCCCGGTCTCGCTCACATCTGGGCAACCACAGCGGGCCGTGGAAAGAGGACGAAAAAGTTTTTCCTGGCAAATCCTCCAAAGAAATCCCTGGGCAAAGGCGCAAGTGCGCGCCCTTCTCTGGAAAATTTTTTTTTGGCATAGTTGCGTCTTCTCTTCTCTTTCTGTCCGCCTTGCCAATTCCCCTCTTCCTTTTTAGAGTCATTTTGACGTCTCCTCTTCATTTAGGCATAACTTCACTTTCTATTTCTCTCTTTTGGCTTTGAACGACTTTATTCATTTACTTTTTTCTCTAACGACCAAACATTCACACTATTATTCCAGCAATACCTTTTCCACACATATTGGCCACCGACACCACCATTGCTACTGCCCTCACCCCAACCATGCCGTCTGCTACTGCGCTCTCTACACAACAGATCCCTCTGACGTGCTCTGGCCACACCCGGCCCGTGGTCCAGCTGAGCTTCTCGGATATCATTCCTGGAAACCACTACATGCTTATCAGCGCTTGCAAAGGTAAGGCAAGCCGGCTTGTGCCTGGCTGACCGAGGAGAGAGACTGCCGCAGCTCATTTCGGCCCGCATATTCACATGAGACAAAGTAACAACCGCATATTCCCCATGGTGCACGCATAGATGGCAAGCCGATCTTGCGCGATGGAGCGACTGGCGACTGGCTCGGCACGTTTGTCGGGCACAAGGGCGCCGTATGGAGCGCAATGCTGAACGCTGACACGTCGCGCGCTGTCACTGCGTCCGCCGACTACACCTCGTAAGTACACTCAATCGCCAGCACTTCTGGGCCAGCGTGGATGCGGGAGCGAATGCAGACCACAGCCCGATCCATTATATTCAGCGTGAAGCATATTCCCCCCAAACATGCTTGAGGCGCCACCCTTTTGGCATCTTAGGCTCCTGGACAGCCTCAGTATCTAGCTGGGATATAGGGGCAACCGTGTGTTCGTGGCATTCGGTTGCGGATGCTGTCACTTGGTGCTATTCAATCCCTCGCACTCACCGAGGGAAGAGGATAGCTGCCTGCCGCTGACCTCTGTTTTGTTGATGCGGAACAATAGCGTTTGCCACAACAACAAAAGGCGACGCCACTCAAACACTGTCACAGCTAACCAGCGAGATCCCCCCCCGCTTTGTAGCAAGGTCTGGAATGCATTCACCGGCGAGGAGATCGTGTCTCTGGCGCACAACCACATTGTGAAGAGCGCCGATTTCGTGGACGCCGGCAACACGGTGGTGACCGGCGGGCAGGACAAGCAGGTGCGGCTCTTTGACCTCGCACGGCCCGACTCCCCGACCGTCGTGGCATCGCACGAGTCGGCGGTGCGCAGTGTGCGGTGGGCCAAGAACCACAGCATGGCTGTCAGTGCCGACGACCGGCATGTGCAGTTCATCGATCTGCGGTCCTCAGCAGTAGTCAGGACCATCGATGTGCCCGACGCCATCGCCAACATCTCACTGACTGGCGACGGAAAGCTGCTGTCGTGCGCTGCTGGCAAGCGCATCCTGGCATGGGACGTCGACTCGCTCAAAGTGGTCAAGGACATCACGGTGGACTATGACGTATCAACCGCGGCTGTCAACCCGCAACGCACGCGGATCGTCACGGGCGGAAAGTCAGACTTGCTGATCCGCAGCTACGATTTTGCGACCGAGAAGCAGCTGGAGACGCACAAGGGCCATCATGGGCCGGTCCATGACGCCTGCTTCAGCCCCGATGGCGAGATCTATGCGACGGGGTCCGAGGACGGAACCGTGCGCCTGTGGCAGTCGAACCCTGGCACCGCCTATGGCCTGTGGCAGCTGAGGAAGATCTGAGCTGGCGGCGAGAGCCTGTCGCAGAAACATAAAATACTAGCTCTTTTGCTTATGTACTCTCATGTCCTTTATTTTAAAAGGATGCAATCTACCTGGCCGCCAGCTTGGGCGTGCTCGCACAACCATAAAACTAGCGCCTTCAGTCTGCTGGTACAAATTTAGAAGCGGTTGACAAATTTGGCTGGCTTTCCCAATCTTTCATCTGACTCTGCACATCCACACATACCACCTTTCCGCATGAAAGAATACCCCGAATACTTTGTCGAGGTGCCCGAGGCCTTCGCAATCGTCGAGGACAGCGTGTACCGCTGCAGCGGGGTGCTGACGCAGAACCAGATAAAGTACCTGGACACGCTGAATCTGAAGACAGTCGTTATTCTGTCGGTCGAGGGCCCATCGCGGCTGTTTGCGCAGTACGTCCGGCGGCGCGGTATCCAAAAGCTGCATCTGGGAATGACCAGGTGGCAATCGAACCTGGGATGGAAACCCGTCAGCGAGGAGCTGATCAAGGAGGCCCTGCAGAGCGTGCTGGACAAAAAAACCCACCCGCTGCTTATCGTGTGCTCCTCGGGGGTCAGGGAAACCGGGACGCTGGTCGGCTGCCTGCGCAAGCTGCAGCACTGGAACTTCAACTCGATTGTCTACGAGGTAAGAGGCGCGAATTGGCAACTGTATGGTCGCTGGGAATTGTCTGCGTTGTATTAATGAGGCGGGTTCGCCCCCTGCCACGTGCGCTTCTTTATCTGTCACATCGGTAGTACCGAAGCTTTGCTGGCGGGAAAGGCAAGTATGCGCAGGAGCTGTTCATTGAGCTGTTCGACACCGACCTGGTGACGCTGCCCAGCGACTTGCCCGACTGGTTCGTGCACGGCCAGCAGATGTGGGAGGATGAGCAGCGCCAGCGCTTTGAGCTCATGCAGGCAGAGGCCCAGGAATGCACTGAGCCAAGCAACTTATTGGCCGGATAATTCAGGGCAGGCGCCTGCTGCAAGTGCATGTCGCGCTCGGCATCCCGCCCACCGCCAGGCCGGCCCACATGCTGTCCGTGGTACGGCGTGAGGCACGCGCCAGCCCTTCCAGATCTCCTGGTCGCCCATCCCTGAGTCCGGCGGTATGCAGAGCCGCAATATGCGCTTATTGGCGGGTGCGGCCGGGGGAGGGTGGCCGAACCCTGTTTCTTCCCAAGCGTCATAGCGCGAATCCGCCATGGTTCTTTGGCTGGGATACTGTTTGGCTCGCACGCCCTCCCGCCGCTTTTTTTGCTGCTATCGCGGGCAAATCAGCTGGTCCAGTCATCGAATGTGCACATGCCGGTGATTGCGGGCTTCACCCCTGGCCGTGCTTGCCTGTGAAGTGCGACGTAAGTGGTAAATTGTTGTGGTTGCATCCCCACGTGGCTGGCCTGGCAGTGCAGAGGGCCGCATAGCAAGCAAGCTCGCAGCACTCGCGTCGCAGCAGCACATCTGGCGGAGGGATTAGCCTTGGCTAGGAGCAGGGGCAGAGGAAGCGAGTGAGGTCATCCAACGATGTAGAATTCTGGTTTCCCAAGAACAGCGGCGCCTTTTCCTGCCCTTTCTCATATAAATGGCCTGGCTGGGCGCTGCGGTCGTGTACGGCGTTTCCCAAAGGTCACGAAGGGACAAACTCTTAGCAATTACTTCAATAGCCTACTTTCTGAACGCAGCCTTTATTGGACGCCATTATTTCTTCGCTAGCTTCTTCTCGCTTCTCGCCTTTTTTGCCTCCAGCTTGAACTCCAAACTTGCCTTACCCAATTCCTTATATACCAACCTTTTGCAGACAATGGCTATCTCCGCAGCTTTCGGTATGGGTGTCGTCGGCGCCAACCACGGCGCTAGTGCGCGCCGCCCGACGTCACTGCTCGGCTCGCCCCGCCCTGGAGCCCACCTGCAGCCGAGCCGCACGAGCCGGCTTGCTGCGGCAGGCATCGGCTCTGACGTTGCAGCCCCTGCGAGCAATGGTAAGCGAGTTTATATCTATTGCGAATTGGCTGCATGCCGACATAGAGCCTTTTCATTGTTCTTCCAATTGTGCAGCCCGCACTGTGAAGCTGCAGAGAGGCGCGGGGACATGACAGGCTTTCGCCTAACGTGCTTCAGTGAGACATAGTGTGTGCACCTTTGTGCACTGCCCGCTCTGAGCTCGTCATGATGATAATGGTGGATGCCGGGGGGTCGCTTTACTACTTTCCTTGCCAATATGTGGTGGTGGCGAGGCCCATCATGGCTTTGCTGTGGCCTATTCCACAAAACAGAGCTGCATTGGCCAGCCGCAATTTTCTCACCTGCTGTCGTCACCTCTGCATTTCGGGACATATCTACAGGGCAACAACTACGTCTCACTCACGCTTCCTTTAGTCGCATTTTTAAACCCAGTACTGCCCTTCATTGATACTTGCACATTACTAAACCCATCTAATGCTCCCGCACACTTCTCCGCTAGATACCGCTGCCGACGACGGCAGCGAATCAGCCAACCCACCGGCCGAGGTTTCCGCCGCATTCACCACCCCATCGGGCTTCCATTTCAAGCACCCACTGGTCTCGTCGATCCTGCAAAACGACGCCATGGCCAAGCAGTGCGAGTTCACGCTTGTCAGCGACGCCAAGGCCAGCGGCCTCAAGGTCCCTGGCACGCCGCCAAAGGCCGGGGGCCAGGCACGCACGCCCAATTCGCCAGCCATCGGCGGGCTGCGGCGGCTAATGAAGCGTGCGCACACACCCGCCGGCCTCGTAACGCACTACGAGGACCGTCTGCGCGCATTCCTGGCGCTGGACGCTGCGCAGGAAAGGCCCGACGACGAGTGCCCGGACGACTGGCAGGTTATTGACCAGGAAGAGGCGATGTTCACTCCAGTTGGCCGTGACCTGCTGCTCGAGGACGACGATATCGTGGTGCTGAATCAGGCGCTGGTGGCTGCGCAGCGGCAGGGAGCGGCACGTCCGTCGCCGGCTATTGCGGCAGGCGTCAGGCACAGCTTGGTTGCCCAGTGGAGGATCCCTGATAGCTTTGCCCGCCTGATTGTCCACACCATGTGCCGGTACTACGGCCTGGTGTCGTTCAGCGAGACCGCTGAGGACGGCGCCAGTGTGCTGCATATCTGCCATCCGCATTTCTTCAAGGACGGCGAGCCGGTTATTGCCCCCGATGCAACCTTTGCTCAGTTTTTGTACAGTCAGTAACTCACCCCCATTCCCACATGTATTTTCTTGCCCCCTTCACATATAACCCCCACATTACCATATAGCAAACGCCGGTATATTTATGTTGCTCTTTCAAGATGCTGCTTTGCCATCCATAGCAGCGCTTGCTTTCCTTTTTGCACTATTTGCAGCCGCAACAAAAAAATAAATAAATAAATGCACAACCAGCGTTGCACGGCCGATGATGCACAACATGGCAATGCCACGTCAGCCATCGCACCGGCCGACAGCAAGAGTAGCTCTGGCGCTGAGCCAACGGAAACATCGAGCAAAGGCCCGCAGTGTCTGTGGGCAAAGCACGCGACAGTCGATCTCTGAAGATACGGGCAAGAGTTAATGCCACGTTTGAGGCTACGCCTGAAGATTATTCTAGACCACTTGGAATCAACTACATGTGTTCCGCTGATATTGTGAGCACTAGACCAGCCGAGAAGGAGGAATCTGTCATAGCGACTGCACGCACTGCCTTTGTTTCCTGAGTTCATGGCGGGTGCCGCGATATCAACAGAGATAAGGGGTGGCATTTCTCATGGCATGGCATTCTCGCTTGTGTTTTTGTAGGGTTTGCCGATTAGACCGCCGTCTGTGCGCGGCAACGATAGTCATACCAGGAGCTGCAGCATTTTCCAGCGTAATGCTCCTAAATTCAGGCTGCTTTAGAGAATAAACAATTTCTTCGTAACAAGCTGTTCTGCAGGCTTTCTGCATAGAGCAGACCTTGAGTAAGCGCAAGACTCGTAGACCTTTAGCTTATCACTATAACCTTCACTGGCTGTGAAGCTGCTGGACGTTCATAACCTATTTACCGTTACAACAAGGAAGGGAACTAATTAGACTCGCTAGACCCGGCTCGGCGTGGGCCGGTCAGCAAGTAGAAAATGGTGGCGCTATAACCTGTCCATGCGGTAGGTGCTCGACGGTCGTGACGCCTGTACCATCACAGAGGAGCGGGAAGTTGTGCGTAGGTGGGGCAAACGGGAACACCGCGTACGGGTGCATGTACACCACATGAGTCTTGGGCTTGCGGTTGTTGCGCGACAATATGTAGCCTTCCTCATGGATCTTCATATGCCGGCGAAGGTTGCTCCGGACTGAAAAGGATTTTCCACATCCAGGGAACACACAGTCATGCGGTTTCTCGCCAGTATGTGTGAACATGTGTGTTCTCAGCGACGACGGGCGAGTAAAGGTCTTCTTGCAAATCTCGCACGGGTAGTTTGATGGCTGAGACGTGAGCGAGGAGTCAGAAGATTCGGCATTCCCAGTCAACGTGGCGTCCGCCCCGTCGTTGTTCGCGGTGTTTACATTGGCCTTGCGCCTTCTCGCCGGCACTTTTTTAACTGCTGGTGCTATTGGCACCCCAGCACTCACGCCAGGAGCGTCATTGATAAATGTCAATGGCGTAGGTGGGAAATCGACGGGCTCGGTAATCGACGACAGCGATGCTGAGGGGACGGGTGCAGGTGGGTACCAGTTGAACATGGCCATGTCGGGAAAGTTTCCAGACACCATGCTGGCTGCGGTGCCAGGGAGCGCAGCACAGTTGATGTCGGGGAGTGGGTCAGTGGCAAGTCCACTGTTTTGCTGTTGCAGCTGTAGCGGCGGCTGCTGTGGTGGCTGCTGCTGCGGTGGCGGCACAGCTGGTGACAGTCCAGGTGTAAATAATGGCATACACGTGCTTGGCACCGACGACTGTGGCCGCATCGTGGGTGCCGATGCGCGACGTAGTAACTCCTTTCCCGGTGCTGCAGATGATGCAGCACCTGAGCCAGGAAAGTCATCGATGATTACCAGCGGCGTGTGCGGGAAATTGGCAACCTCTGTAATCGACGACAGCGATGACGAAGGGACGGGCGCAGGTGGGGACCAGTTGAACATAGCCATGTCCGGAAAGTTTCCAGACACCATGCTGGCTGCGGTGCCAGGGAGCGCAGCACAATTGGTGGCGGCGAGTGAGTCAGCGGCAAGTCCATTATTCTGCTGTTGCAACTGTAGCGGAGGCGGCGGTGGGGGTGGCTGCTGCTGTTGTTGCTGCGGTACAGCTGGTGACAACCCAGGTGTAAACAGTGGCATGCCTGTGCTTGCTATTGATGAGTGCGACGGCACGATGGGTGCCGATGAGCGGCGGAACAAGCTGGCTATCAGTGCTGCCTGCTGGAGTGTGCTTGCGTCACCGATCGCTTGGGAGTCCATGAGAAAATCTACATTGTCCCAGTCGTGTTGGTGCGGTGAGGGCGGTTCCGAGTAGTTGGGATTAGCGTTGTAGTTGGGGAAGATAAGCTTCAGTAGCTCTTCCATTTCGGGTGCCAGGATTTTAGACATGGTATTTACAGTGGTTAGGGCAAATATAAGGCACAGGATGAGACTGGGATGATGCAGGAAAAAACAGGTTGTGTGGTTTCTGAAACTAGAGAATATTGAAAAAGTTGAGATGATGTGCAGCCGAAAGGAAACAGTGGAGGTTCCTGTGCACATTTATGTACACCCCTCCTGCTTCTTGGTATGCTTGATGTCTTTCAAGAACAGCAAATGGCAGCACCCACTAGTGCCAATGGCAGCTATATGACTGCTTGGTGCCAAGTCTATATTTGCGCAAATCTGTTTTCGCCACTTTTTCTGGGAAATTCTTACCTTGATTTCTTTTCAAAGTGCGGGGAGGCGCGGGGGTGTGGGGGAAATTGGTGGTGCCAATGTTGCAGGACGGATCTGGTGACTGTTGGCGCAGAGAAGTCGAGGAGAAAGAGGGACCAGCAACTGTGGAGCCCTCGGTGCCAATCTTGGGGGAGGTGCGGGAAAGGCGGACGGACAGTGCAGATGACAAATGTACACGCTACAATGCATTAGGTCGTACTAAGTTTAGTAGCAAGGATGGCAGGGTTCTATGTCAAGGATTGTCGTCTGGTATAAACAATGGAGCTGCCGCTGGCGAAAGGAGGGGTGTGGCGGATGCAAGTAAGACGGGTTCACTTTCAGCATCCGAGGCGGGGACACGAGCGAACATCAGCAATTATCTGCGGTTGGGCAACTGATGTCGGAACTGTTCAGCGAAGCGGGGAATGCCTGTGCACGCCACGATTCATGGCGCCAAGGCATAGAATATCACACGCATATTGCCAGGCACTCCCTCTGACGAAGGCTGACGCTTCGGCAATGCCGGCAACGGCCAATGTACAATATATCAGCTGCCAGCGATTGAGTCGCCATTCGGAGTTACGATGGCGCGCCATTTGGCAGCCAGCAGCCAGCGGACTATTTTCAACGCCTGCCTTTGGATTGGTGCTTTCCGAGAGACACGATTCAGCAAAGACAGGAGTTGCTGGCTGGATACTCGAAGAGGGTCTCCATCATACTTCAGAGAACACCATCGCTCTTTACAACAAGAACAGCCCTGGCAACTTGCACTTACCTTCAAACCGATGGACTCGGGATACCTTCTGCTCGCAGCACGCCAAGAAAGTGGAAAATAAAAGTAGGGAAGCTATATTTTGGAAAGGCAGGAAAAGTGCAACTGCTAAAATTAGTTTTATTCGGCATCCAGGATTGAAGCAGAGTAGACAAGCCGAGCGAGGATATACGCGGCTTATCAACCTAGACCAGCAGCTGCGGTGCTTTCTGTATTTACCTGGAGGCCGAGAAATACACGGATGTGCCCTTTGATGATGTTGGCGGGTGGCGAACCAAATACAAATAGTGTAGTCTTCCGAGCAAATTTAATGCACGGGGTTTGAATATGGACGGCGGTGAATTCGCTGTGTTCTGCTCCAACAAATACAAGGGGTCCGAAATATTACCACAGGCTCTTTGTACTAGAAATGGACAGTCCAAGTCTGGATGCAAGGGCGGGAAAACAAAAAATAAAATAAAATGGCCACCAGCACTTGCTAAACAGCACTAAGGCAGAGGGTTGTCAACAAGCTACGGGATGAGCAGCTTAAACTGACATGTGTCCGCACAGTCGATAGAGATGACAAAAGATGTATGAAAGACAGCGGGTGAATAAGGCGGTGTTGTGACAAAATAGTGGATATCTGGGAAGCAGCGGGCTTCTGATCTCGCTGTTCACAAAAGGAAGGCAAGAGGTATTGAGTAAATAAGGATTGTGTGGAAGGCGGTTGTAAGGGATAGGGGATAAGAGAATTGGGACCAGTCTCCCCCGAACTGGGAGGGTGCGCGCTGGGGACTTTAAATAGCTCCTTGAATCTCAAACTGCCGCCGTGCTGAATCAGGACTGGAGCGGCAGCGCTGCTCCTTCAGACCAATTGACGCTGCATATACGCACGCTGCTGCTTATTTTATGTTTTCTTAGCGAATCCATTTCCGGAGCGCGTGAGCAAACCACCTGGGTGCAGCTCATATTTTTCTACCAATATCGCCCGCCTTCATCTGCATTGTAGAGACATCCTGCGCGACATGCTCTTATTGTGAAGAGGTGAGGGCCGGCACGGCGCTAGCAGCGCCCACATTAAGCAACGGCTCAAGGGGCTGTGACTGAATAAGGCCCCCGTGCCCAAGCCACAGCTGAGTTTGTTACAAATACCCTATCCCCCTACCCACCGCCATTTGTAGCTCCTGGCGCTGCATCCGAGAGAGCCTTTTGGATCGCACGTATGGCGTTTCCGGATGACAAGGGCTCCTCGCCGGCACTACCAGCCCCTCTCATTCAGGGCTACTCCCGAAGGCTCTATCTAGCTGGAGATGCCCAGATGTCGCTTGCCATCAGCAGGTCCGTGGAACCATGGTGCTGAGCAGGACCAGGGATAGGGGGATTTCATGCCCTGCGCGCCAACAATCGCGCAGGCGGCGGCTTGTGATTCCTCCAGCGGCCTGCCCGACTGGATTAAAGGTGCTCTCAGTGTCTGGTGCTCTCTACAGCAGCCAGCACCCCCTCACCTTCACTCTCCAATCCAGGCAGACACTTTTCGATTTAACCTAATATGGAAGCATCTGCGTTGCCAGCGTGTAGACAGGCGAGAGCGTGCAAGTCACCCGAAACCTCCAATGACAAGGTTGCCAAGCACTTTATGCAGGCTGCGAGCTCAACCCGAGACATGCATAAAGAGGTACACACTGCAGCTATTCTCTCTCCGTTCTCCTGTGCTCAAACTGGAAAAACAAGCACTGCTGGATGGGGCTGAGTCCTTGAGCAAGACTGGGGTCCTGGCTGGCTGTGCTGTGTCTACTTTGGACCTGACTCAAGCCTCTTCTTAGCCCGTTGCTTCTTTGCTGCCATGGGCGCCGGATGCACCAGGACGACTGTTGCGCTGGCCATAGCCGTTATCCGGAGCCGGAGCAGCAGATGGCGATTCCATTCGCGGACTCCCGCCATTGTCAGCTGGACAACATTCTGGTTCCTAGATTGACCTGCGCCTGCACTTGCTGTCGTTGGTTGTCGTTGTGACATGTGGCCCATCCGGATAATGGCCGCGTATGTGATTGTCCTCCAACTCGCACCCACAGTGTGTGCCTTGCAGCCCCAATGGCAGAGCAGCCTTGCGCCAGAAGGACCTGTGTCTACACAGGCAATGCTCTCTGGCTGGCTATCCAGCGTCGATACCGGATGACAATTGGCTCAACGTACCAGCCCGTGCAGTACCAAAAGCCAGACACCCAAATCGCTATGTAAGCAGAGCAGCGAAAGGAATCGTTGGAGGGAGGAAATAAGCAGCCTCGCTTGGACTGCCAACCAACTGTGGACAGACTGCGGCATTAATCGCAAATGCATGGCAAAAACGCGACAGGCTCCTCGGGGCCCGGGTTTGGCGATGCCTGGGTCTTTACCGAGGTACCCGCACCAGCTGCCCGTGTTGTTGGCTTCTCCTTGCCCCGGCCATGTTTGTGCTTGGCAGCTCGATTTTTGTAGCCATTTATGGCCATGTCCGCGAGTATGGTCGGCCCATTGTCTCCACAGAACAAACAAGAGGCGCCGAGATAATTATGCATATCTAGTGTGCCCCTCTTGCCATGAAGCATCCCGTGATGCTTCTAATGATTATCACTGCCAATGTCCATTTGTGACATGTCCATTTTCTGCTGATCCTCTGCTGGTGCTGATGCCACCTGCTGATTGATGTATGCGAAGGGCCCGTAGGACTGGAGCTGCAATGGCCCGCAGATCTGCCCCGTGACAGCTAAGCAGCAGCCCCTACTGCGGCTAGGCACAAAACGATTATATTAAAAAAAACCCACTGGGCAAAGAGCTACGCCTTTGATTTCCGGGCCTTGGCAGCCCTGCTTGCATCCAGCGACAGTCCATTGCCTGGCAGAGCGCCAGTGCCATCATCCAGCACCGCCCGCTTGCGCTTGGATCTATTTTTGGATTTCTTCGCCTTCTCCTCCGACTTGCGCTCCCCCATGCGCTCCCTCAGCGCATCCAGCACGCCCTCATCCAGCGAGTTGACAGGAACCACGTCGCGCTCCACAAACGGCTGTGCGCACACCGGGCACCCAGTCGACTTCCCCGCCATCTCCTTGCGCGCCATAGCAGCGAACACACATCCGCACGTCCAAATGAACTCGAACTGCGTATGCCCGTTCATCTCCTTCATGCTGATCGGACAGACAAACGGTGCTGGCTGCTGTGTGTCAAACGACAAAATCGATGTTTTGGTGGCCTGCTTGCTGGTGGAATTGGGTTTGAGCGTCAGCGTTGCCACGTCTTTCAGGGATTTGATATGGGCGCAGATCGACTGGGTGTCGCCAAATGAGCTCTTGTCGAGGAGGTAATTGAGGACTGCGTCCTTGTTGTACAGGCGGCCGAGGGCGTCGCCAACAATCGGGGTGTTCAGCGGCTGCTTCGAGAGCGCACAGTAGTAGAACATGGCTTGTAGCTGAGCGGCTCTGTCTGCAGTCTCGCTTTTTTGCTTTTCTTTGACCATCTCGCTACGGCGAGGAATGCTGCCGCCGTCGTTTCCCATGATGGAGCTAAGAATACGGTATGCAATGTGCTGTGGATATTCTGATAGGCTGCGCAGCAATTTTGTCTCCTACAGGCCACGTGTCCCCGAATTGGTAGTTACATGTAGCTTGTGGGTAGCCGAGAGAAAAAAACATGCATAGCCTGCCTCTGAAAGTTGTATATTACAATGACGGAAACGTGTATATTTAGAACACTCTTCTCTTCTAAAACGCCAGGACATGGCTCATTATCTGCTATTTACTCGAACTCGATGGTGCTGGGGGGCTTGGAGCTGACGTCATACAGGACGCGGTTGACGCCCTGGACCTCGTTGATGATGCGGTTGCTGATGCGCTTCAGCACGTCATACGGCATCTGGAACCAGTCGGCGGTCATAAAGTCCTGGGACTCGACGGCACGCAGGGCAATGACCTGCTCGTAGGTGCGCTGGTCGCCCATGACACCGACCGAGCGGACAGGGAGCAGAGCGGCGTAGGCCTGCGAGATCTGGCGGTACAGACCGGCCTTCTTGATCTCCTCAATGTAGATGTGGTCGGCGCGGCGGGCAATCTCGACCTGCGACGGGGTAACCTCGCCCAGAACGCGGATGGCAATGCCGGGTCCGGGGAACGGGTGGCGCCAGACCAGATCGTCAGGAATGTCGAGCAGGGAGCCCAGGGCACGGACCTCGTCCTTGAACAGCTCGCGCAGGGGCTCAATGAGCTTCAGGCGCATGTCCTCAAGCAGACCGCCGACATTGTGGTGCGACTTGATCGTGGCCGACGGGCCCTTGAACGAAATGCTCTCGATGACATCGGGGTACAGGGTACCCTGGAGCAGCCACTCGATCGCACCCTCGCCGCGCTCGCGGGTCATGGCGTCAATCTTGTGCGACTCGGCCTCGAACACCTCGATGAAGGTGTTGCCGATGATCTTGCGCTTGCGCTCGGGGTCGGTGACGCCCTTCAGGCGGCCCAGGAACAGATCGGCAGCGTCGGCGACAGTCAGGTTGATGCCAAGGTTGTCGGCCAGGGTCTTCTTGACCTGGGCGCACTCGTTCAGGCGCATAACACCGTTGTCAACCAGGACAGCGTGGAAACGGTCGCCAATGGCGCGCTTCATCAGCACAGCAGCGACAGTCGAGTCAACACCGCCAGAGACAGCGCCGATAACCGAGCCAGTCGGGCCAACAAGAGCGCGGATGCGCTCAAGCTCCTTGTCGATGAACGACGACATGGTCCACGAGGCGTTGCACTGGCAGATGCCAATGACAAAGTTGCGCAGGAGGATGGTTCCGTCGACGCTGTGGGTGACCTCGGGGTGGAACTGGATACCGTAGATCGGGCGGTCCTTGTGGGCGACGGCGGCGTACTCGCTGGTCGCGGTCGAGCCAATGACGACAAAGTCCTGGGGCGGGCTCTCGAGATGGTCGCCGTGGCTCATCCACACGTTGGTCGGCGACGGCATGTCCTTGAGGAGGGCAGTCGAGTGGTGGCCCTCCTGCGGGTGCAGCTGCAGCTCGGCGTGGCCGTACTCGCGCTTGACGGCCAGGCTGGTCTCACCGCCGAGGTTGCGCGCGATCTCCTGCAGACCGTAGCAGATGCCGAGGATGGGGACGCCCAGATCAAAGACGGCCGGGTCGACGTGCGGCGCACCCTCGTCGGTGATCGAGAACGGGCTGCCCGACAGAACAATACCCTTGGGCTTGAACTTGAGATCAGCAATCTTCTGCGTGCACGGAAGCAGCTCGCAGTAGACACCAGCCTCGCGGATGCGGCGGGTAATGAGATGCGAGTACTGCGATCCGAAGTCCAGAATCAGGACGGTATCGTACATGTTAGCGACCTGGGCCGCGACCTCGATAGGAGCCATGGTGAAGGAGTGTCAGAGAAAAAAGAGCGTGGGGTGAGTAAACTCTGCGTAAAGCTGGGCGGGCTTATTCTTACAAAACTTTGCGACCGAAATACAAAGAGTCGAAGCAAAAGAGTACGGGAAATATACGACACAAAGCGCAAGATCAGTAGAATGCAGAGAAGACCTTTGTTACTCCCTGGGAACAATCGCGCCGGGCTTGAATAGTCAACGCTCGAAAAAATTTTTGCGAAAACTGACTCATTTTTTATTCGCAGATAATTCCTGATCCAGCCACCTGTCAATGCGCGGCTCGGCTCATGCAGATCAGCTCAGTCAAGGAAATTGGCGGCCATGGCATACATGGTTGTCAGCAGCTCCTGTTTCTAATTAATCGGAAGCTCTATGTCAATGCCCAGGGCGTCCGACAGCTCCCGTGTGAGCAGGGTGCCCAGGCTCTCGTCCTTGTGTCGGCAGAACCATGCGTCGCTTGTGGCATCGAAATCGTACCGCTCAGGCCCGCTGAATGGCGACGACAGCCAGATCTGCTTGTTGGGCGGCTGCTTGTTGATCACATACGTGCCCTTGTCGCCCAGCCGCAGGGTCAGCACACCGCTCGAGTACTCGACATCGTATTCTGGGAGATCGATCTCGTCCCCAGTATCCTCGAGAAACTCGGTCAGCCTGTCCATAGCGTCGGACGATACGCGGTAGTAGTCGCTATCTGACAGCTCACTACACAGCTCCACAGTATGATTTCTGCTTTAGTAACTCAGGTGGCGCTATGGCGAGCAGCTGGAATGATCTCAACCTATGCATGTCCGGCGCTCTTACCTCATTCTGAAGGCACCAGATGCAAAGCTACTGGTGCTAAAGGTGTGGCGGGTGATTTGTGAGGGCTGGGTACGCGAGATCACTGCTGCTGCAGACGTCGCGGGCACGGTCTGGACCAGACCCCGGCCCCGCCGCACACCAGCAGCAAGAATTCGAGAAATGTGCACACGAGCAAGCGACATGATAAAGTCTGAATTGAAAAAGTGGCGAGAGAAATAATGGCCAGCAAGGAGAAAAGGCGCTGCGACAAGCAGCAAAACAGCTGGCTACGACATATCTATTCGCGCGCAGGCATCACGCAATTGTGGTGGCTGATGATTACTGATCATCACCACCCATGTGTTCTGATTAAAAAGTAATCCAAGGCAGCGCTATAGTGGGGTGTGACGTGCAGTATTTTTCTTTCCTTCACCCTCACCTTGACAATTTCCATTCAGCATTGCAATGTCGCTTGGAACCCGGCAGCGAGCGGCGAGCAGCAGCACTAACAACAACATCATCAGTAGCAACCCAGCGCCAGCAAGCACCGGGAATGTTGGCATTTCGCGCACGCCAACCCACCCGTCGCCACCCAGCACAATAGCCGAGAGTCTGCGCTCATATTGGACCTCCAGACGGGGGCAGCGGCGAGGAACCGACGCTCAGGACCAGCACCTGCTGCGGCAGCTCTACAAGAGTCCCCGCACAGGTACGCGGGCCATGCACAGCGGCAACTCCCGGGTCTATGTGCAGTCCTCCCCGCGTGTCAACGAGTCCGTTGGCAGGCTCTTCGCGCTCATCATCCGCGACTTTGTGCAGGAATGGTATGGAAAAATAACCGACGACCGGGAATTCACCGGCGAGGTTGCCCAGCAGCTGGTTCTGGTTGTCAATGAGATCGAGCGGCGCGTGCGCAAAGTCGACTGGGTGCAGTTTATACTGTTCGAGGTGCCAGATATTGTGAATCTGCATGTGAGCGATGCACACCAGTGTGAAGCGCGCCTGGGGACCGTTTATGCAGGACGTGGGACGTCGATCGAGGAAATGTTTCAGAATATGCAGCCGCACGTTGCGCTGAGCTCGGCAGCCGACTCGGAACTGGCGTACCTGCGACACCTGGCGCAGGAGCTGCTGGGTGTGTTCATGCCGCCGGAAGCGCACAACGACGAGGTTGTGTTCCATCTGCTGCGCGAGATCCTGGCGTGCGCGGTTCTTCGCAATGTTGTCGATGCTGTGTCGGATCCGAGCACGCTGAACGAGGGCATCATTCGGGGTCTTGGGCGGTACTCCAGCAACCCGTACTTTAACCAGGCCGACATGAGCCGGTATGTGACCCAGCCCATGGGTGTCGAGGACGAGTCGCAGCGGCCGCATGGCGAGGGCCGAGATTCGAAGGATGCCCAACTACAGGATCCAAGCTCGCCCAACGCCTCGGTAGAGACGATGCTGCACGATGCCCAGACGTCTGAAATCAAAGCCGCCAGCCCTCGCAGCCCTCGCAATGCGCTGCTGCACCGGAGCAGAGCTGCTGTGCCTGGATCACCGAGGTTGTCAGCGGATGTAGATAGCCGGAGCAGCCTGGATAGCCGCATCCTTGGTTCAGTGGGCTCTGCACCGCAATCGCCACAGGCGACGCCTGCAGAGGCAAGCGAGGGAACGAGCCCAGAGCCTGCAGCGCCTGCGACCATCCCCAGCACAATTGCAGCGACTACGGCAGGTTTGTCGGAGAAGCTGGGCAGCCAGCTGAGCTTTGCATCGCGGTGGCTTCTGCGCGACCTGTTTTCGCAGGTGCGGTGGGAGGGGTGGAAGAACAACACCTTCCGTGGGCTCGTGTACCTGCACCTGATTATCACACAGGCCTTCAGCCGCATGTTCTCGGTGTTCTCCGAGTACACCTTTTCGCTGAACCAGCTGTGGCAGGCCGACACGATCCAGGCCAGCTACCGGGGCGCAATAGAGCCGATCCTAGCGCTGGCAAACACGGTTCTGTGGTTTGACCGGTACAACCACTGGGTGTGGGCGCAGTTTCTGTTTTACATTTTCCCTCTGGTGAACATTCTGGCGGGCGTGGCAATCGACCGGACGCTGGTCAAGGTGGTCGGGCTTCTTATCAGTGAACAGCAGATTGCGATGTACGTGGATCTGCTGGTTGCGAATCTGTGGAAGCCCGAGGAGGGCGGCAAGTTCAAGACTAGCAACAGGCCGTACAAGACGCTGGATCAGCAGGAGATGCTGAAGAAGGATGCTGCTGATCTGGTTGCAGAGCTGATGCCCTATATCGCATCCAGGTTCTTCTACGGCCAGTCGGATGCCGAGCGGCTGCTGGCGGCACAGAGGATCCTGGATCCATTCGAGAACCGCCAGCTCAACAAGCACCTGGTGTACAATATCCTGGACTCGGTCGTGGGCAAGATCGCGCCCGAGCTCAAGGAGAAGCCCACAGTGTGATGCGCTGATAGAAGTAATATTAATGGTAATGCTGAACCCTGTGTGTACTTGTATCGGATCGATAAGCCCAAGCGGGTCATGCCACTTCCGCAGCTGGGCTTTCCATGTGGTCAGGCAGGCGGCGGTGTGCCCGGTCATGCCGATTTCTCCTTCGGGGGTTGGATCCTCGGTGCATTGCTCTGGGCTGCTGGATTGCACTCTTCTCCCGTGCCAGATCGGCTCATACTCGGGCGAGGTGCACGGTTCTCACTACTATATCTCCTGACATGTTGCTCGGGAGGCAGGTACTCTAGAGCGTCTGCCTATGCGCATGTGAGGGCTATTTGTTGGCGAGCCACGCCATTTCTGCCCTATCACCAGCGTCCACAGCAAGAAGCGCAACCATGCAGCATGCCGATTGGAAAGAGAAAAAGAGGCCAATCCTGCACATCTGTAGATGCTTCTTTGCAAGCGATATCCAGCAAACCCTTATATCGTGGGCTTCTGGAAATCGCCAGTGAGGAACACCCTCTCACAGTCCACTACGCCAAATAGTGCAGCTGCCAACAACGCCGGATCAAAGCGTCTTTCCACAGGGGGTTTTGAGCACCCAGGATGTAGAAGAGTCAGAGGTGTCTGCCCAGACAATGGTACCGCGGGAGGGGCTCTACCAGCAGTCGCGGGCATTGTTGCACACGATGCATTCCGGCCTACACCGCCGTTGTTCTGGTTCCCAGGCGGTCAGACGCGCCAGATGCATGGCTGCCGCCGGCACGCGTAAAGTGGTGTTGGGACAGAGTATAGTGATATTAAAAGAAGGTTGGGCATGGGAACGGGGGAGGTAAGGCCAGGGCACCCAGATCTGAGCTCGCACATTGTCGTTTCTAGGTTGCATCCTGCCCACCAACCTGTTTGGCAAAGGACGTTCTGCGAGACAAGCAGCCTGCATGCCCAGAGCCTCACCCCTTCTCGAATCAGCACACACGGCACCCAGCAAAGGTGGAGACAAAAATAATTGCATCTGCTGCATCGAGAGTCCCCGTGATCAGAAAGCTTGCATGGGGGGGAGGATGGCCAAGCGTGGGCCTGTATGAATCGAGGCAGCAGCAAAGAGACAACCCCCCTTTTGCGTTTTATGAGCTCACAGTGGCCGTGCGCAGCTTTGCAGCCGCAAGAGGGAAAACAAGCGGCAAACTGCACAGCAGAGACCGAGTTCGCAGCATCGCCTGCGTGTGCACGCATGATGTCCGCCTCCCCCTCCTCCTTCCACACCACATTGTCGCTGACTTTAATGGGTATTTTTGCAGGTTCCCGGGCTGGAAAATATGCGATCTGTGACCCCCCATCAACCAACATACATGGCCAACACGATGCACAGCGACGCGCTTGCAGTATGCTTTTTTGCTGGGCACTAGCGCGGAGCCCCGGCTATTCATTCCTTGTGCGACCCATGCGCTTAATTCCTCTTTTGTCCAAAGAATCTTCTCGGTCTTTGTAAGCAAATTGGGAAGACACGCCTACCCGCTGATGAGCATCGCGCCTAGCCGTGCGCACACTGCATCCTGCGGCTGCTCGTGCTCGTCCCTATTCTCGCCCGCCATGAGAAAAAGGGCAAGGGCTTGGAGATGATTGACAAACAGGCACGAAGGAAAAAGTGCAGTCGATCTCTCGTATTTTTTGTCCGAAGAGATGGCGAGCATTTTCTGGCGGACACCCCCCTGGTCGTTCGCAGTTGGAATTGTCAAACACAGAATGCCATCGCGCTCTTTACAATTGATGGTGAATTCGTATTGCGCAATAAGGGAGGCGGTAGTTGGATACGCCAGTCACCATTATACACAAAGAACCTGTCGTAGGGCTTTTCCACCAGAGCCATTTCTGATAACTGCCTCGAGAGGGCGTGGGTTCGTGTGCTGCCAAGGAGCCAGGGGGATGCCGGCAGTCAGCGACGTATATTTTTAGCCAAACAATGGCGTTCATTATTTCTCAAACAGATCAGGCCGATGTCTTTCCGGGGGCGATAAAAGGTACACTCAGCATACATATCGGCGCATGTATGCCAGCGGAGACGGCAATAAACAGCGTAAACAAACATATGAATGGATCCCAGCTTTCAGAATTGATGGCCGGATGCCAATTGAGATGCCGGGGACATTATGTCTGTATTCAGGTTACGGAGAATGGGCTTTGTCAAGACCGAATAACCCGGATATTGCGCATTCTCCAGCAAGCCACGCGACTGGAGCCAGCACCACCCTCATTCACTTTTATGAATGCGGGGCGGCACAGACGTAAAGGACCAGCCCAGCCATTCCCGGGAACAAGCCTCGTTCATGGCTGAGCGCAAGTGATGGCCGCTAAGAAATGCATGGCAAATCAGCATTTTAATTCCACAAGGCGCAACTGCCAAAAGAAAAATGGGCTTTTCCCGTTCGCCACATTGTGAATGTGTTCATTAGCGCCATTCGCGCTTCTCTCTCTGGGCGCTCTCTATTAGCCATTGAAAGCAGAGCCCAAATGGCACATTCCAAAAACAAGCCCGCTCCAGTCACACCCGGTACCAGAAACCTGACTTGTTGTTTCCTTCGGCTGGCGCACAGGACACCTCGTTAATGTGTCAGCTGGGACTTGCTTCTGGAGCTCGGGCGGGCAAGAAAACTCGCAGCGCATCCTCATCGATGAGATTGCGTTTTAGGTGATCCTTCTGGCTACAAAAGAAAGAACCTAGTGCCGAGGCGTCCACAAGGGAGAGGAAGGTGGCCGCATGTGATGATTGTCTGGGAGGGGGAGAAGGGCCGTCCGTTTTTCCCAGACTCGCGAAAAGACAAAAACACGGGCTGCGACGGCGACGGGAAGATGGCACTAGGGCGGGATCTGCTGGTGTGAGCGGACCAGTCGGCGGTGTCCTTTTTAGGGGCAGCAGCTCATTCTGCTATCGATGCAAGTCACCATAGGACACATCATGCCGGACGGATCGGGCCGCGCAGGGGGCTATCTGCAGAACAGATCACGGCCCAAACTCAACCCTGCCTATTTTTGTGCAGTCTCACACTACACTGCACTACGTATTGTATGGAGGGAATCACAATGGGTACGAGGCAGGATCAGCGACAGAAAAAGGGCGAGGAGGGCAAGGAGAACCAGCGACGCAGGACACGTTCTTTATCCTGTCCTGAGGGGGTGGGGATCAGCGCAGCACCCCAAGTCTCTCGGCGAGGGCGGAGAAAAGGGGGAATAGTGTGGAGTTGGGACGGTTTCGCGGCTGGCTGCGTATGCTGTGTATCGATTTACTCGACGATAGAGCTGGCAAAAAAAAAAAAGAGGACAAAAAGGCCCCGATCCTTGAGCAAATCGCCGGAATAGCGGCTATAAATGGAAAAGCCCGGTCATGACGACAGCCAAGAACCCCATGACACGATCCACGCTACAGGCCAAGACATGGTGGTTGGGGGTGGTTGCCATAGTCAAAAGCGCATTGTATGTCCGGCACCACCATCGCGCTCCTTGCGCATGTCCAGATCATACCACCCTTGCCCACAGTCGATTCAGTCCCCCCATATCCGCGTCTCAGTCAGCTACATCGTGTCGGCCGTATCCAGGACGAGTATCTGCGTCGATACATTGCTCTTCTCAGAGCATGGCAGCACTTGGGACGGAATGCTTCTCTGCCGCAGGCACCGTTCGGCAGCTGCTGTAGGGGATCCGTCAGGTGCCCTGTGCAGCCCCGGTGGCAGCAGCAGCACCCAGTCCGATCCCGGCGAAAAGAGCAGTAAAAGGGGAGTGCGCTCAGAAAAACTCACACACCATACCTCTACATGTCACGCGGCTACATGCAAAGGTAAGCGGGACTGGGTTGAGCAGTGGTAAAAAAGGACGGAAATAGTATTACATGGAAAAGACAATAAGAAAGGTAAAACAAGCGCCGGGCCGCCTGCAGTCGAGGTGGGGAGGGGTGGCGGGCCAGCAGCACGGACAAGTAAGAAGTACAAGATAAGTGTAAGAGGGGTTATACGTGGCGGAAGTGGGCGGCGGACTGGACGCTGGCCGAGCAGCGCTTGCAGACGACGGCGCCGCCCGTCGCGATCTCGGTCTTCATCGGCACATAGCAGCAGCTGGCGCAGTAGACCTTGCCCTTCTTGTAGCGCAGGCCGCACGAGTTGCAGAGGTTCATGCCGTCGATCCACCCGGGCCGCCAGCACGGGGTCTCCTTGACCCCACATGACACGCAGCACCGCCGCCCGCCGCTGCTATTTGCGCGCTTGGCCGGCGACGTTGCACGCTCCTCGCGCTTGCGCTTGGCAGTCTTGGGCGGCTTGGCAGCCTGCTCAGGCTCTGCCGACCCTTCGATATCAACGACCTCGTCGTCGTGCGCCAGGATCGCCCCCACCGAATGCCGCCGGTGCACTGCTGCCATGCTGGCCAGGCCGGCCACCGCCGCCGCCGCCTCGTGCTCAGACAGCTCCGAGCGCGACCGCCCCGACGTCCTCACCGCCGAGTCGGCCATAGGCGAGCCCGAGGGCGCCCGCAGGCCGGTGCGCTTGGCCTGCTCCGGGCGCGCGGTGCGGCGGGGCGCGCGGATGCGGCGCTCGGCTGGGGGACGCGGCGTGGTCTCGTGCGCATCACTCTCGCTACCCGACTGGCACATTGCCTGCTGGATCAGCGCCAGGTGGTCGCGCAGGTCGCTCAGCAGCTCCGGGTAGTGCAGCACGTTGGTGGCCGACGGCTTGTGCACTGCCGGCTGCTTCACGCTGGCCTCCACGTGCGACGACAGCGGATCGGCTGCCGCTGCCGCCGCAAGCAAAGCTGCTCCCGTGGCCTTGGCGCCGTCGCTCAAGGGCGGCAGCCCCGCAGCCGACGGCCACAGGTCCATTGCCGATGATTCGGCCACCGCCTCAATCGGCGAGCCCGACGCCTGGTGCGGCAAGACAGATGGGTCCTGCAGGGGGACGCTGATCTTGTCGGGGAACCGGAACACCACGCCCGGCGCCTCCAGCATGTCCCGGCGGCACGGCGACCGCATCGGGATCCCCTTGCGCTTGTGCCGTGGTGCGACGGCAAGATGTGTGTATGTGGTAGCCATCATTTATAGCTGTTTGTGTAATGTGTGTCAAGAGGTTATATCGGTAAAAAAAAAAAGCTCAACAAGAAATAACCAAGAGTTTGATGTGGTGTCCTGAAGTATCAAAGAGAGGGAAAGGCTGGTGTGGAGCTAAGGACGATTTGGATATGTAAAAAGAAGCAAAAGCAAGAGTAGAGAAGAGGTAAGAAAGGTCGGCATCAGCTAGAACTCCCCCGAGACCTTTATACTCGCCCATCGGTCAAGAATAAAAAGGGCAGAAAGAAATAAATCCTTCCCGTCCGCACTCACGCATCGCATCAAGCCAAGTGACGAGAAAAATATTCGGATGGCGAACACCACCCCCGGGCAACACACCCAGGGGGCGGGTGACCATCCCCGGCACATAACCGGGAACCCTTTTATTAATGCTTCTGATGTCGTAGCTCGCTCGATCAGCCAATCAGCGCGCAAACGAGAAACACCGCCTTCATGCTGCTTGGGATTTCGATGCCAGCTTTCGCCTCGAGGGAGGGAGGAAATCACAGCCATGCGTTTTTCCCTTTGGCCTGTTCCATGTATGTGCAAAAAGGACGGCCAGGACGGATCAAAGACTGCTCTTCCTGCAAAAGGGATCGCAATTGACGGCAAGGGGAGCACTGAACCACAGCGCGTTCTCGAATATTTTCTCAGTCACAGTACTGCCTTCTCACACCAACCCTTTTCTCTTTCTGATCCAGGCAGTAGAGACGTCAACAGATCAGAACGTGGGCAGGACTTGCCTGGCAGAAGGCGAATCAGACGCGGCCTGTTTAGGCCGTGGTGTTTATGACGCTGATCCGCGCAGCTTCTTGTCCCGGCCTGGCACCCATCGCCTATAGTTTACCAAAGCGGAGGTTTGTGCTAAGGTCCCAGCCACACAACAGCAAACCGACACTGCCCAAAGGAACACAGCGATGGAGGAACGAAAAATAAATGGAAAAAAGGTTCGCATAATTATTGCTGGGATGTGGCGTGACGCCGCAAAAACTCCTTCTCCTCTTCGCACTTCATTTATGTGAGGTAGTAGTAAACGGGCAAAAATAAGGCTTCCCTCAGTGCAGCCCGGGCTGCTACATCTCCTGGATTCAATCCCACTAGCGCATAGTGGGTAGCTCAGTTGTCCAGACGATACCTGGGACTGAACTGCTTGAGAGGAGATCCCCTGTCCCACGGATGTCCTTTTTCGCAGGTTCGGGCCGAGGAGCTCACTTGACGGGGGATTCTGCATGGTACTCTCCAATGATCCCGCATTATCGCCGTTTTGTGTAAACAGTCCGACTAGTGGTTGGGAGCGACAGCGGTCCGCCCAGTTTTTCGCAGGAACGGAGGGGCACATGGCAGCTCCGGTTTATTGTCGCAATTTATGTTTGTTGGCTCCTCAGAAACAGTTGTCGATCGCCTAATAAAACGAACAGGAGACGATCGCAGATTCCATTCGCTGGCTGGCCCTTATTCAATGAACGCTATAGCCATTTCGCATTTGGCTCTACAGAATGAGCAATGCTGGCCGTGGCCAGCTGACCGCAGGCATGTCTCGCGCTGCCTTTGCGCTCCAGAACGGCCAGGAGCAGAGTGCACAGCGTGTAGGATCAATTAGGTAATCTGATTCTGGAAAGCGGGCAGGCAGCTGGCTCGCGGGGAAGGAGGCACGCGCTAGCCGTGCTTTGTCAATATGCAAATACACCATTGTCATGTCCATGTCAGCTGACAAGGTGATGTGCCATGTGCCGGATGCGATCCATCCAGGTAAACACTGGTGTGATATCCGCTTTTGGGCAGGCGCCTGTATGGACTGCTGATGGATGTTGCTACCTCGAGACGGGGGCGGCTAGCAAAGAGCAGGATGTCACATTGGTGGTTCTAGGAGATGGGCACCCAGCCACCCCGGACTATTTCGCGCAGGAGCACTTTTTAGGCACATTCCTATGCTGTGCAACTATCGATAGCAATAGTGGTTAATTGGATATGGTTTTATGTTTACCGTTAATAAAGCGGCGGTTTTGTTGCATTCTGGTGCAACAAGAAGGCAATGGCATTGAGGAAGAAACGCAGATGTACTTGTGAGCTAACTTACTGCACACCTTGTGGTACCCATTGAGCTGGACGAAAGAAAAAACCAACAATTGAGCCAAAGAAGCCTTGTGCATTTTCCTCCTTTTACGAAACAGCATCCCTGAAAAAATCAGCTCTCTTTTTCCACACTTTTCTCTTTTATTCACGATATTTATTTCAGCCTTCGAAAGCCTTTTTCTTTGCATTTCTCGAGACGAAGGAAAAAGGAATTCGACACTTTTTGCGCATTGCAGTCGGGATAGTATTGGTTTGCCCCGTCACTGTAAACGGTCAAAGCGCAGCATAGGCTTGATTTTAGTTGAGCCACACGGTTTGCAGCAGGGGACACACGAGCCATGGGAGGCAAGTAGACAGGCAAAGTCGGCATGGGCAGGGTGCTGCATAATTGGATATGCGCAGCTAAACTGGGGGCGGTTCTTTTGGTTAGGCAAGCATGTCCGACGGAAGGGCCGGCAGCGGAGTCTGTTTTCGATGACCACGGTGAGCGAGTACGAGCTGCTGGATAGCGGCAGGATTCGGACTGGGTTCGACCCAATGCGGCTGTCGCTGGATCCGCCGGTGGGTGATGATGTCAGCAATGAGTCGAAGGACCAGCCAGGGCAGGATGTGCCATCGCTAGAGCTCTTGGCCGAGATGATCAAGGTAGAGAAGGCATATGGGATGTGGCTGTAGACATGCCATGCATTAGCTAAACGCGCTCATTTTGGCAGCCCCAGTAGGAGGAGATTCGGCAGGCATCGGGGCTGAAGCAGGCGCTGGACAAGGTCGGGATTGAGCTGGGTGGAATGGAGGAGCGGGTATTGAATCTGCCAACACCGGATGTAAGTTTCCCGATAGTTTACTGCCAAGGGGTCGAGTGTCGGGTGCAGTTGGGCGTGCGCGAAACAATAGTCTGAACTCATTTTCTACTGTCCTGTTGTGATTAGGCGGCTCGCACACATGGGGGCGAGAAACGTGCAAAACGTGCAAAGAAGCAGGTGCGGTTTACTGTCCCAGACGACGTGCGGTTTCGCTGGCTCGGGATCTTCCAGGCACCCGAAGCAGCGCAGGACCCAGATGAGCAGCAGGAAGTACTGGCGGGGGAAACTACGCCGAGCAACGAGGCAGCAGATGCGAATTCCGAAACCAGCGCACCCGAAGCACGGGGCGATCTGCAGGTGCAGCAAGTGCAGGACGAGGCACCGCCAACAGCCGACTCTCCCCACCGGATCAGGCGGGTTTCTGCCATGGCAGCAGCTACAGTGAGGGAGGCGGGGCGACAGGAGACTAGCAAGGAGGAAACCATGCAGGGAACTGGGCAGTACCCGTTGGCGTCAAATTCGTCAATCGAGGCAGTGTACGGGGGGTCGCGGCCTGATACGCGCGAAGCAGTGGTAGCGGCAGAGGAGCCATCGCACAAGGATACTGCTGCTCTTGACAGTAGCAAGTTTGCGACGATTTCAGGGCGGACTAGCCGCAAGATAAGCGCACATCTGTTTGGCGAGCAGGCGGCAGCGGACGAATCACTGGCCGGGCAGCAGACTGCTGAATCCAGAGTGCACATCCCTAAACGGTACTCGGTATCGCCTGCCCACAAGAGCACAGACAACGGGGCCCAGTTCCCCGTGCAGGCACCAGAGCCCACGGCCCCTGAGCTGCCAATATCGATCCGGCGCAGATCAATTGACGGACCGCTGCGGGACGAGCCGGAAGAAACACGGCAGCGGCGGCGAGCCGAGACAGAGCCGCACAATGAGCACGCGGGGATTTTGCGGCGGGTGACAGTCTCGGCGTCGCACCGGCGGGAGCAGCTGACAGACGGACTGCGCGAGGGCACCAAGGGGTTCCTTCGGACGCATCTGCGGTCGGCGTCGCAGCGGGACGAAGGCCAGCGGATGGACTCGGGGGTGCGGCAGGACTCGCCGCCCATGCCCATGTACAGGCACTCGCGCAGGAGCGACACACGGTCGCTGGAGTCGCGGCCGTCGAGCGACCAGGAGAGTAGCGCTCCATCGTCACTGGGCGAACGGAGCCGCAGCAATGCATCACGTGGGTCGTCGGCGTCGTCGCAGGTGCCGCCGGTGCCGCGCCATGTGCTGGCCAGGATCGGTAGGCGCGGCACCGAGAGTGACGGCGAGTCGCCGCCGATGCCGCGCCTGCCCGAGCCGCCAATGCATGGCCCATATGACGAGGCGGTCGAGTATGGGCGGCGGCGGTCGCGCAAGAGCCGGCGCGCGTCGCTGATGGTCACAATCAACCACATGCTTGGGAAAAGCAAGTGATTTGTGATCCATCACAGCGTGTCTCCCTTGGGTGAGCCGTGGGGAGCCTGTACTACCTGGGTGGGGCTGCGGGCAGGTTGGGCAGGAAAGCGCCCAGTGGCGCGATTCGCCGCGTATTGGTATTTCTTTTACTTGTCAGCCCACTTACTGCCTGAGCCCCTTTGATAGCTTTTTTTCCTCTATATTATTAACCTCGCTCTTCGTTTATGCTTCTCGGTCGCTTGCGTACGTTCCGGCACAACATGGCAATCGCAGCAACACAACTGACGCCCACAGCGGCCGTGCATGGATTGAGCGCAACAGCAGGCGTGCAGTCGCTGGTGGTGACCTACGACTTTGCAAGCCAGCGGGTGACGAGCCACGCGAGTGCCCTCGGCAGCAGGGAATTTATGCTGCGCGGCGGCCACGGCATCTACACAAGCATGCGGACCGTACATCAGCGCCGCGTGTTTCTCTTCGACGACCACCTGAAGCGCCTGGCCAAGTCTGCGCAGAACCTGCACCACTCGGGCCGCTGGGACTCTGGCTTCTGGCAGACGCTGCTGGTGCCCCTGGTGCGTCGCGGGCTGGACGAGTTCTGGGGCACCGGCGAGCGCAAAATCACCGTGCTAATTGACGAGACCCGGGTGGCCTTGCAGGTCGAGCAACTGCACGTACCGCATGGCTCGTGCTCGGTGCAATTCGCCATGGGCAAGCGCAGCAACCCCGAGATCAAGGCCCTCGACTGGGTGCACCAGCGTGCGCGCCTGGAGGCGCTGATTGAGCCGCCGGTCAACGAGGTTGTGTTGGAGGACGGCTCGCGGTTCTACGAGGGGCTGTCGTCCAACTTCTTTGCCACCCGGCCGTGCAGTGAGTCAAGGTTCGGGCTGGAGCTGGTCTCGGCGCCTTTGGACAGTGTTCTGCTGGGCACAGTCATGAAGAGCGTCCTGGATGTATGTAAGCAGGACGGCATTAGTGTTGCTTATGAGCCTGATGTGGAATTGGAGCGGTGGAGCGGCGCCTTTGTGACGTCGACGTCGCGCCTGGTCTTGCCAGTCTCGCGTATTGTCATGCCGGACGGCACCGCTGTGGAGCTGGTCGTGGACCCGCTGGTCGACCACCTGAGGAATCGGATTCTGGAGCTCGCTGTGTCGCGATCCGTCGAGATATGAATGTTATTTTTAGCCTGCTGCATCCTTTATCAACAAGAAACAAGCCTTTCTTCACGCTACGGCCAAACTTATTTTTAAATATACATGATAGATTCTTTTTGATGTTGAAAATCCGCACAGAACCCCATGTCACTCGTGCCGATCTTTCCTGTCAGGCAACCGGCAAACGTCGCCTCTTACCGGCCCTCTTCTGCCTTCTATTCCCCACACTACATTGCTGTTTTTCCCTCTCTTGCAATTATATAGCCTGCACCCTATCACTCTACCCGTAACCACCCAAAAATGATGTTGTCTGAGACTCCATCACCTACCACCGAGCTGACTACGGTGTTCAAGTACGGGGACATGCCGTCAGTCGCACTGAGCACGCGCGCAGTGACTGTCACCACCCACAGCGAAGACTCAATGGACGCCACTACCCGCATAGAAGACGTTCCATCAATCGACCAGGTGCCGCTAAATTCTGATGCGCTAACAGTGAAGCGCACCATCATCTACGACGAAATGGTTGCCTACGAAATGCAGCAGCAGCCGTCGAAAAGCGATGGCCGCCAGATCTACCAGGTGTGCGGCCGCACCATCGAAAACAAGCAAAAGTTTCCGTTCGAGCAGTTCACCAACTGCCTGCGCATCGCAGCCACGTACATGGCGCAGAACATCGCCTACCATGGCGGCCAGGAGCTGGAGAAGTACAGCGACATTGGGTTTTGGTCGCCACGGGTCAAGCTCCTCTATGCCCAGGGCATGGAGGCCTACGAGGCGATATGCAATGATGAGACCAATGCTGACCCGAGCATGCTCAACGACGAGGTTTTTGTGTGCGCCCAAGTGTCGGTGCGGCCCTTCGCCTTCTCCATGCGCTTCTGCTCCTTCCCGTTCTCCGCCATGGCCACCTGCCAGGTGCGCGTCTGCAAGGGCACCCGGCCCGAGTCGTTCCTGCGCGACGTCCAGCTTGCCAACGACACACATGGCCTGGGCCGCCTGATTACCCCACCAATCTCCGATGTCGTGCTTTTGCATCCAGAGACCCAGCGCCTGAGCGAAGGATTGCTGTCCAATTTCTTTGTCACCCGCTACGTGCCGCCTCCGGCCAAGACCCGCGACGGCATGCTGCATGCGGCTGACCGCACCAGGTTTGTCAACTACCATTTGATCTGCGCTCCCCTGGCCACTATCCATCAGGGAAAGATCCTGGATGTTATCTGGAAAATCTGCCAGCGCGATTCGATTCAGGTATCGTTTGGCGCGCCGATCTTGGCCGAGGGACTGGCTGGCAAGTGGTCTGGCGCGTTCATTGTCAATACCACATATGCTCTGCTGCCTATTGACACTATGTACTTGACGGACCGCCGCCATACAAAGGTCGAGTTTGGCACCTGTCCCCTGGTCACGCATCTGCAGACAGCCGTGTTCAAGATGCTCAATGATATCGACCCAGCCTTCCTGTAGCCACTCTCTCTTTTTCGTTCGGGAACTTGTTCATGCCTGCGTCCATGTTCAATATTACTTATATAGAGTGCATGAGCCCGCCGTTACCTCTCAAGGATTTCTATTCATGGACAGACGGACTAGTATTTCAAAATAGCTGAAGATGATTTCCAATGTCTATTTTTTTGCGTATCCTACAAACTTTGAAGCCAAGGATGGTCTTCCAAGACTTTCCGATGATAATATTGACATGCGCTTCGGTGGCCGTGATGGTGCTGACGAGCAAATCTCACAGCAAATCTCATTTTAGAAAACAAACCTTCTGCCAGGTCGTATGTATGTGGGCCTTTATGTTTGTGGCTTGATGCTATGAAGCACTTCTTGGCTATTGATATGACTGGATTGATGGTACAGTATCTAGCTCGATTTTCGACAGAAATGTAAACATGGCCGCAAACATGCAACTTTTGTATACAATACTATTATGTTCTTGAAACCAAACAATACCAAAGAATTAGATTCTAGATGCATGGGGCTGTGGCTGGTTGCAAGGAATCTGCTGCTATACTCCGCTTTTATATTTGATCTGTTCACAATATATACTATTTATTCCTGCCAGACAAGCAATGGCTATTTCTCTTTCTTTTGGTCTACTATATGAAGTGGGAAAAGCAGCCTTCATCCTTGTATCCTTTATTTCTGCTCTTTCGGCAACTATCAAACTGACGGATTGCGAGTACGGCTGTGTGAGGAAAGATTGGAAAGAGGGCCATGGCGATCTTGAAGAAACAATTATACCTTCTCAAGATCAATATACCAACGAGCAGATAGCAAAGATTGCAGCAGTACTATTGAAAGAGATGGGATAGAAAACCACCTTGTTGATGAGCCTAACAAGTCATACGCAGAGGGTACATTTCTCTTCCTTTCAGACTCGGGCCGTAATCGGCTTTTTTTTAGAAGCTGCAGAATGAACAAGCAGCAAAATATTTAATGTTATGCCGCTAGGGTGGTTCCGACTCACCCAAGGCGGATTACTCACTGAAAGTGGCGCAGCTTTATCCAGGGCCGTATGCGGCTTAGATGAGGGCTCAGTATGTGCACTCGGCGCTTGCTTAAATACCCCTTGCTGGCTCCTAGCAGCAGGGATTCCTTCTGGTTTTTCCAATATATTTTTGTGAATGCTTACTTTTGGTTTTATCAGCACATTTATAATCATCACTAGGAGAACACGCTACCTAGTTTCCTCTTCCCTGACATTTGACCTAGGTCGTTTTAGGCACGCACCATATTATTTAAGTATATTTTGTGGGCTATGATGAGTACTGACAGAAGAAAGGCACCTGGCACCACACATATCCCCAAGTACTACCTTGGGCACTTTTGTTTTCAAGTGAACTGTACATATATTGCACACAAAGGTGATTTACACATGCCCTCACCAATCGTTCTGTTATAAACTAAGTCCAGTGCAGTATTGAGAGTATTATGCAATAACATGTATCTTTTCCAGTATGCTTAGAGGCACTGGTGCTGTATCCCACATGTACTTTCATCATGAGACCTGAATTTACAGATGATATATATTTGTGGTGCTAGGTGCCTTTCTTCTGTCAGTACTCATCATAGCCCACAAAATATACTTAAATAATATGGTGCATGCCTAAAACGACCTAGGTCAAATGTCAGGGAAGAGGAAACTAGGTAGCGTGTTCTCCTAGTGATGATTATAAATGTGCTGATAAAACCAAAAGTAAGTGTTCACAAAAATATATTGGAAAAACCAGAAGGAATCCCTGCTGCTAGGAGCCAGCAAGGAGTATTTAAGCAAGCACCAAGTGCACATACTGAGACCTCATCTAAGCCGCGTATGGCCCTGGATAAAGCTGCGCCACTTTCAGTAAGTAATCCGCCTTGGGTGAGTCGGAACCACCCTAGCGGCATGACATATAGATAGACAAAATACTAGTGTAAGAAAGGAATGACGATGGTAGATGAGGAACATATGACAGCCAGTTGAGCTACCTGTATTTATAGCCACAGGACATTCCTATATACAAGGTTTTATATTCTACAACTGCTTGTCTGCCCATCCACTAGAGCGTCCTTGATTGATTGAAAGGCTTCACCCTCTTTTGCACTCCACCACAAGAATGCACGACTTCCTTGCAAGCACACGACACTTTGTTTTCTCATCCAGGCATTTTCTCGCATATACACATTCATCCTTCACATTATGCCAGCACCAAACAGCTTTGGATGCTCAGAAGGACCACCCTCAGAAACCTGTGCAAGAGATATTATGAGAAGGGGGATAGTATGCAATTCAGAGTACAGAAAATTACAGCCAATATCATTCATCATCAGGAACACGACATGTATTAATTCACTCCAAAAATAATATGATCCTTCAATCCAACTCTTCACCCACCCACTTGACTCGAGGCCAGGTTACTTGGCAGCATCACTCCTGCGCTCCTGTTTAGTGTCAGCTTTACCGATCTCTCACATCACTGTGATCCTTCAATACAGTTATCAAATGGCAGCATTTGAAGGGAACTGCTCTTGAAAAAATATCTCACATCTACAAACTACTAAATTCTAGCCAGTGTTGGCAAGTATTTTTCTTCGCAGATGGTGCCTTTGCACGGGCTTTATTAGCCGCTCTTCCTTTCTTTTGTGGGTACTATCATGGCCCCTTCCAAACTAGACCAGCTCTACTGGTGCAAGCTGTGCCGTTAAGGCAGACTGTGGGGTATTGACATATATCTCGGTTCCTATAATTACACCATCACAGGTGACTGCCTGTCTCTCCTCTGACTTCGTGTTGGAGTCAACTAGTAGGCTCGACCACCAAAGTGGCTGGTGTGCTACTAGTTGGATGAAGAGGAGATGTGTTTCCCAAGAAGGCAACATGATTACACATTTTTGATATCATCGTAAAAAAACACCTTTACTATCCCTCGTACTCAATCATCTCGAAATGTGTGAAGCCAAGGAACAACCAGTGTACTCGCGAACTAGATGTTTGGGTTGAAGAAATCCTCACTCTAGCACGTACAATATCTCTGGCAGATGGTATACGTCCTCTGCTTAGTGGCACAAGCCTCTAAAGACACATGCATGACTGTATTCTAGACCCCTAGCATCTCTCGCAGTAATATTGTGTAAGACAGTTTTGTTGTTGCTACAGGACGTTATTTATATAATTTGTCTCGGCCCCTTGTTGCCTGCTGTGATCGAGAACTCAGAGTCAGACATGCTCTCAATGTGCGGATAATAAGCAATATCCATGACTGAACCGATATACTTGGACTCGGAATTGCCGCGGTGGGTTGACTTATCGTCTCCATGGGTAATAGAGTCTGTATCATCGAAACCATACAGCTCTTTGTACCCGCTGCCTGCGTTCATATGCCGTGCTGACAATGACTCCTGGTGAATAAGGTCAATTATTCTGCATAGCGTTTCCTGACGATGGAAGATGTGTCCGTAGATGGGCGGGCCTAGTACCTGCCACATGTAAGCGTTAAAGAATAGCGTATTGCACACTGCCAAGGTAATGCGTGTCCAGGCGAGTGCCATATAGCTGAGCGCCAGCATCGTGATATTGAAGGTCAGCAGCATGGTGAATATCGAGAGCATCCAAAACGAGAGCCTGAACTCGTTGAACGCTTTGGGAATGTGGCGCATCCGGTAGTATAGCGCCCAGGCAACGACAACCAGGGCCATAGCATATGCAAATATGAAGTGCAAATAGGCGGGTACCACCTTGCACACAGCTATGCCATCGCTGGTCGTGGTCAAAGCCGCAATGCTTTTGCTTGATATGGTTTGGCCGACAATGCTAGTCACAAATGCAGGGAGCCAGAGTATCAGCAGCGGCCAGTAAAGGAACACAATGCGCTTGACAGTCGATTCTTTGTATGTGCGCTGATTGCGTGAGACAAATATGCGGTAAAAAATAATCATTCGCATGCATATCAGGGAGAAAAACACGCCAATACCCAGTGTTAGTGTGACCCACGATACCCAGGCAAAGCACTGTGAGAGGATAGGCCCGTCGAACCCAAGCATCCCCAGCGATAGACAGAGGCCGATATTGAGTACCATGCATCCGAAGCCCATCCCGGCACTGAACGCTACCTGTTTGCACCGTATGGGGAGGTATGACCGGTATATCAGGGCGTAGAGCATTAGGGGGACGTTGAGCAGGTTGATTCCGCAGATTACATAAAATACGATGTGCTCAGCCTCAGAGGCGGGCTGGTACTCTTGAGCTCCACGGGCCATTATCGGGTCGTCAAATGTAAAGGGAATATACAAGAGGTATAAATAGGAATGATAGACAATGCGGGATTATTACAGAGAAATGAAGGAGGAATGTAGGTAGTAGGCGACTGGCAGTCGGCAGCATCCATGAATGGTCCGCGTGCCATTTATATATGGTATTTGTCACTCGACGGATGTGTGGGGAGGGGAATAGATTTTCATTAGGCTGAGGAGGGCTGCAGAAAGAATAGAGGGTGGCCCAGAGCTCGCATCACAACATGTCGAAAACAGGATGGCGCTCTGCATTCTACAAAACAACTGCACTAAGAATCCTCCTTCCATCTGTGAATTGAATATCCGGAAAGCGGGGGAGGGAGGAGCGTGAATCCCGCCAAGTTGCTGTGTTCTATTTTCGACATTGAACCCAGGGACATTTCAATACCAGAGACCGCTATGGCACTTAATGACAATCCATACATCCACCCGGTTTCTCAGCGTCGCTGATTTCTTTGTTGCGCGTCTGGGAATGTGTGCCAATGGGCAGATGGTGGGTTTGTCATCTGCAAGAAAGCAGACAGGACTGCCCCTTGTTTGGTAGTGGGACGAGTGTGGGATTGCAGGTACGATCGCTGCAGGCGACTCGTTGCCCCTCGCCATGCGTGGTGTAGCTACTGTGGGCGACATTCATAGAGGCTGCACCGCGCATGTAAGACATGTCGTCAATCGTCACATGAGCATCTTGGTTATTGATCAGATTGGAAAGTAATCGATCATGAACTTCTCGACGTGGACCAATGGCCGCACCCTGAGCCAGGCTAGTGGTGGCGGCGGCAAGAATGGCAGCCAGAAATAGCGTGCTTGAGCTGTGTTTCCTTTTTCCCTTGCGATTCCACAAATCACTTTCAATTTGCAACTCTTCCCATCGCTTCATCAACCAAAGAAACTCAACAATGGCGTCGGGAACCGGAATGCTCCTGGTCTACATCTTCGGCTGGGGAATCGTGTTTGGCACGTTCGTGCACTACTACCACAAGCGCAAGGCGCAGTCGCTGGCGAAGCTCGAGGCCTGGTACCCAACGCACCCGGAGCGCGACATCTTCTACTCGCTGGTGACACTGCGCAAGTCGTCTCCGGAGCAAGTGACGGATGCGGTGCTGAAGTCGGCGCTCCTGCGTCGTGCCATGACGGACATCATGCGGGCAGTCGAGATCCAGACCAACAAGCAGACACTGACGAACCTGGTGAAGTCTGGAGCGATTTCGGAGGAGCTGCAGCACCAATTTACGGCGGCTGAGGCGGAGCTGGAGGCAGAGATGCTGAGCGTGGTGCAGGAGGCCGAGCGGCTGCAGCAGGGGTGGGGGAACGGGATTTTCCAGGCGGCGTCGGAGATGGTCAATAACACGAGGCTCCGGGAGCTGCGCGAGGAGATGACGCGGCTGAACTTTGAGGCAGCGAACTGCCAGCGCAGCATCATGATGGAGGAGATGGGCGAGGAGGAGAGGCAGAAGGCGCTGACGCAGGGCACCCCTGAGAACGAGAAGCTGGTCAAGAACGACGTGCTTTTGAGCAGCATCTTCAATCTGCCGATTGGCGAGGCCATGAATGCGGCGGCAGCGGCGCATGCGCGCAAGGTCAAGGCCGAGGAGGAGGAGGAGGCAGCCAAGAAGGCGGCTGGTGAGGCGAAGGCGGAGGAGAGCCCCAATGAGGCCGAGGCTCCCGCCACTGAGGCATAGAATTTGGGTGATTTGGTCAATGAAAGTTTGTTTTCGTATTTTACCAAGCTTACAGAAATCTGGTGTGGGTGCATCACTGGCGACGGCGGGATGATGGCTCCGCCACGACCGTATCAGCTCTGTCGTCATCGTCGTCAGGGCTCGACGCAGTATCATCGTCCAGCAGTAGCCCCTCGACATCCACGCTCGAGCGGCCTTGCTGCTTGAAGGTGAACTCGCTCATCATAAATGCCTCGTCGAGCTCGTCGTCATGCAGGCGCCGGCCAGTGACCATCGGGTCATCCAGGCGCTGGATCCCGCGGCGCTCATGCCACCAGGCAAACAGCTGCTTGCGGCGCAAAAAGCACAGCGCAAACGACAGCACAGTGAATAGCAGCATGCCGAGGAAGGCCCAGCGCAGGACATGCGAATCCTGGGCGGGCTCGACAGTAGGCAGAGTGACCTTGCCCTCACCGGAGCGGAAGCTGGACTCAAATTGCAGATTGCTGGCCGAAGCATTGGTGAACACGGTGAAGAGATCAAGGATTTCGCGCGGCTTGTCGACGCCCACCATATGCGACGCATTGAGGATGCGGGCGTATGTCAGCCCGCGGTCGGCCCTCACGGTCCCAGCCACGTCCTGCGCCACGGTCCAGTTCGTTGCCTCGGCGGATTTCGAGAACCCCTGGGCGCCGGCCCACGTCAGATTCCCAATCATCCACTCGATGCCAATGTGGTTGCACAGGAAATCCTCGTCGCCGACAAACATCAGCACCGGCACCTTGTCGAGGATGTGCGGCAATAGATCAACAGCTGGCGGCGAATTGTCGTCGCGCAGAACCGTGTTCACCTGCGAATTGCACTCGGTCCACACTGCCGGGGCAGCGCCTTCGCGGATGTTCAGCGCCTTCTGCACGTCCTTGCGGTTCAGGTAGTCGGTATACATGTGGACCTCGGGCGGCCAGTTCATGCCGCACGACGGCTGGGTGTCGGTCAGCCTCAGATCGTACATGTTGTAGCATTGGTCGGCCGCCGGGCCGCCCTCGGTGATGAATATCTCGGGGATCTGCTCGCACATATTGACATGCACGGGCTGCGGCGCCTTGTTATACAGCTTCGTGCACTCGTCCATGCCGGCCAGCATCTTCTTCTGCACATCATTCGTCAGCAGGTGCTTCTCGCGCAGAATGTCCACGTACGACATGTACATGGTGTGCGGATCAACCCACCCGTTGCCTATCATGACTCCGGCCAGCGGCATCTTCTTTTTGATCATTGCCGACGCTAGGTACGGCAGGTATGTGCCGGCCTCGGACTCGCCCGAAATGTACAGCTGCTTGTCCTTGTAGGCCGGGAACACTGTGTAGAATTTGTCGAAGAAGCCAACCAGCGTCTCGGTCGCGTTCTTGAACGACGTCTCGTAGTTGTCGGCTGGCGCTGTGCTGAAGCCTGTGCCGAATGGCTGGTCCACGTACAGAACGTCGAATTGCTGCGACAGGCTGTAGTCGCGGAACTCGAGCTTGTTGGAACCAGCAAACTTATACGGCCCGTTCTCCATGAACACGCCGTCCAGGCTGGTGCACCCGGGCCCGCCGTTGAGCCAGAGGATGAACTTGTCCTTGTTTTGCGTGTTGGTGGTGTTGGTCACGAGCCAAAAGAACATCTGATTCTTGCCGTCGTCACTGAGCGGGAGCTGGCTAAATGGATAAATACCGAGTCTGGTGCTGAGCATTCAGGAACTGCTGCACCCAATTCATGCGTCGCCAAAGGGGGCGGTGAGTGTTCTTACCCGCTGTATTGCTTCAAAGAGTCAAACTCGCGGCCGCTCTGCAGCGGGAGGCCATGCATGACAAAGTCGTCCATTTTCGAGCTGTCGGCCATTTCCTCTGTCCAAATCGCTGCAAGCGTGGATAAAATATAGTGTATTTATAGAAGTAAAAAGGAGGTCACGGAGGAGAGAGGGATGCTGCCAGGAACCCAGAAAACCTGTTCTCCGTAGACACATTAGTGGGGAGAGCGGGAGAATAAAAATGGAGCCAGCAGGCTCTACGGCTTCCCAGCCACAGGATGGGACAAGCACTGTTGATAAAGCCGGAAAAAAGCACATGGGGTGCTCACTGTGGCGTATCGTCGTCTACAAACTTCCACAGCCCGCAGTCGACGCAGTCGCGATCCTCGGGCTCCAGCTCCGGCAGGGTCTCCTCGGGATCATACAGGCCCCACGGCTCGAACACCATGTAGATGACCTCGTTGATGCGGTGGTGGCGGATGTCCAGGCGCCAGTCACGGCGGGCAACCGTGTCAAAGACCATCATGCGGCCGTTGTGGCATTTGGACTCGAGTGCGTATCCGGCATAGTAGCAGCTGGATGTGCGGCCGGTGCACACGCCCATGAACACCGGGTCGGCGGTGTTACCGACATGGAACAGCGGCATGCGCTCCATCACCATGGCTGGCGGCTGCGGAAGGTGCAGGCGCTTCGACGGCATCATGTCGCCGACGGCTTCGAAGCCAACAGCCGGAAGCCCAAAAGTCAGCCCCAGCATGGCTGCAACAGAGCCACCCAGCGAGTGCCCGGTCAGGATGATGTCGGCATCAGGGTAGCGCTGCACCACATCCATGAAAATCTGCGAGGCCGCAAAGAAGTAGTTGTCGGCGACCTCGTCACTCAGATTCTCCTGCAGGCAGTTGGCGTTGCACTTGAACCCCGACATGTGGCAGTCACAGACCGTCGACCATGAAAAGTCGACATACCCGCAGCAGCACGAAAACAGACGGTTGTCGTTGTACTTGTCCTTGGCCGATGTCTCGGAACCGCCACCCAGGAAGAACGTCGACGACGTGCCCTTGAACGAAATCACCACCGTCGAGTTCTTTGCGTCGGCAAACACGTGGCCGCGCAGCCCGTCGCTGGCCCACCCGAACGAGTCGTGAGTATCCCACCGGTCGCCCAGCTGCTCCCACGTATCAGAGGTCGTCGGCTGGTACGCATTCGCCGCCATGCGCGCCAGGCTCAGCAGCGTCGGCTTGTGGGTAATGTTGGGCACGCGCAGCCCGTCTTCCACATAATATTCCCACTTGTCCCTGGCGGGGTCAGGCGGCGGATAATCGTCGTCATCAGAATCATCGTCGCCATTGTCCTGCGCCGCAAAGCGGTTGTTAAAGTAATAATCCTCAAAGGCCACGCCGCGCTCGGGCGTTGCCGACCAGTAGCTGTGCTGCCTGCCATGTGCGCTCGACAAGTACTGATTGCGCAGTCCATTCAGCAGTCGGCCCGTTCCAGTCGCATGCACCTTTTCGCCCACGCCTGCCATCTGCACAATCTTCATTGGCGCCGCCGCCTGCGAGCGTTCGAACGTGATCGCATGCTGTGGCTCCTTGCTCGCCACTCCCAGCATATGCCCCATGTAGCCTGTCGCTGGCTTTGTCCAGCGGGCAAGCCGATGCGGGAACGTGTAGCCGCGGCTATGTGCCTGCGATGCCTGGTCCTCGTACCACGCATGCAACGCCAGGCGACCCTCCTTTGTGCCCTGTGCGTACAGGGATGTCAGCGATGATGGTGGCTGCGGAGTCGACTGCATAAACACTTCGCGCAGCTCAAGCACCGGCTCTGTTGGCTTCGTGGGCTCACTTGGTGTTACCCGAATCGGGTATCCGAGGTACGCGTTCACCAGATACAGCACCAGCCCAGGCACCAGCACCTTGGCCGCCGTCCATGCGCGACTCGGCGGCTTTGGCTGCGCCGGCCCATCCAGGTGTTCGTCGCGTTTGCCCATTTCGTCGTGGAAAAAAGTCTAAAGCGTAGTGGGTCTCCCAAATAAGTGCGGTCAAAAGTACAGAGCACTGGTGTGATGGGAAGAGCTGGAAGCTTGCGTGTGAACGAAAGGTAAAACAGCTTCGTCAGAGCTCGTCACGTGGGTTGGCCAATTTCCGCACACGGCAAACAATTAATTTCATTCGCACCACATTGATTCGCAAATTAAGCTTCGCCAGATCCCGGGCAGGCGGGAGCTGCAGTGCCTTTGGGCCGCTGGTTCACAGTCCGCAACGCGCGCCCGGAACCATGCGGTCCACGAGCATCGCTGTGTGGCCAAATCCCCCTTAGCACAGAAAAGTCGCAGCACATCTCCTCATGGTGCACGGGGATTTGCTGGGCTTCGCTGGTCAGCCAAGAGGATCACACGAAACTGCATTGACCACAAAAAGTCGATGTCCTTTTTTCACAAGCCAAAAGGTGTACTTAAAGAGCAGATGCACAGCCAGGGACTCTCGAGCAAGGGACGAGCTCGACATGAGGGGTTCCAGTTGATAGGGAAAAGGAGAGGATAAGCATGTGCGCTTACATAGGCGCGCGTGTAGAATTTCTGATGGGAATTTTTGTGTGCCCTCGAGGTTGCTTCGCAGGAGCACAGCCGGCGCGGTTGCACAGATTGATTAATGCCGTTCGTCCAGCCATCCTCCCCCTTTCAACGGTAATCAGTAGGGGGACCGTCTTCTATTTTCTAGCATTGCGCTGCCCACACAGCCGATATACACCAGACCGCTATGTGGACCGGACAGAAGGAGCAACAACTACGACGGCCGATTGGCCAAACCAAAATATGGCGAATGTCGAAGACAGATAAGTTTAGAAACCGGCTGTTTCCATTTGATCGCAAAGAGCGCGAAAAAAGCAGGCAAGTCTTGCCGATCCTTGCCTTGGATGCGCGTGAATAGCGGGGAGAGAGCCACTTCACGCAACAGGCCCCCTTCCACCCCCAAAACGGGCCAGGCAACACGATGACTGTATGCGCTAAAATTTTGTTTACGCACGCGCATTTGCTGTGGTTGGCAAAAGCACAGGCAGTGCAGCCAGGTACAGTCAAGGAACTCGGCCCTGCTGGGCGCACCCTCCTCTTCTCTCCTATCACTTATTTCCTCGCCTATTAATTATTCTAACCCTTTCTACCCCTTATTTCATTAACCTTATCATACACCGCCCCTTGAACAACCATCCACCCTATTAGCCCCGTGCTTTGTATTGCTTTCTAACCCGGACCTGCACAAATACCCAATAAAAATCATGTTGCGCACAGACACTGGCGTCGACCGATCATCAGTACGACAGAGCTGGGGCAGCGACGAGCGGTTCCATAGCAGCTCATCGACCAACAGCAGTAATTCGAGCAGCCACAGAGAGTCGCGCGGGCTGTGGGGGCGACTACGTAAAAAGTCGTCCGTTAACTTTGGCAAACGTACAAATGGCTCCAAGGTCAACAGCAGCCCAAGCCACAGCGCATCGTCAGTGAGTTTGACCTCCAGCAAATCGCACGTCTCCAACAGCACGCCCGATAGCGGCCAGGAGACGTGCCACAGTGACGGCGCCCTGACGCCAGTCAACATTGGCCCGCCGACCACGCTGGGCGAAAAAGCCGACACGGCATCAATTATCAACAAGCACTTGTCACTTGGTGGGCCCAGCATCAGTGCGCGGCACCGCAGCATCTCGGCACAGGTCGACCTCCAGCCGGTGCGGACAAACTCGCTTAGCATCAAACGCCCCGGAACAGCCGACCCAACCATGCGGGTCTCTGTAGATGCAGTGCGGAAAACCGGCGGCATGCCCAGCTACAGCATGGACTTGCCGTGGGGCAGCCGCCCAAGTGCAGACACCCTCTACGACGCCGATGTCAGTGCAGAATCGATCCGGCGCACGCTGGGCGCGTACACGGGGAAGAGTGAGAGCAAAAGCAAGCCGTTGTTTCGCACGCTGCTGTTGCGCTCGCAGAAGCCAGCTGCGGCGAATGGCAATGCTGCCGATACCGCCGCGGTCATGGGACTCGAGCGCATATCGGAAGATGAGGGCGAGGATGCCAGATACTCGGCCACCTTCACCGGAAACCTTGGCCCAATAGACGAGCCAGCCATGCAGCAGCGCGCCCGTGGATATTCGCGCCCAACAAAATACACTCCTGCCAGGAGCACGCCAGCTGCGCATGCTGACTCAGGGCCTGCCAGCAAGCGCTTTTCAGAAAACAGCGGGTCAACCTTGTTTAGCAGCGAGACGCTGGCATCTTCGACTGCTGACCAGAACCGCCCAAACGAATCCCAGTCGTTCTGGCCAAAGGGCGACCGCCGCAGCATCGTCAGCATCACCCAGCAGCTGCCGCCGCTCGATACTGTCTCGCGCCCGCCTAGCAGCAGCCACCACCACACAAGGTCCGGACTGGAGTCGTATTCAAACCGCCTCCCATCGCCTACCCGCGAGAACCCGCCCAATCTGATACCGATGGTACATGGGCGCGTCTCAGCGACGATGCAGAATGGCCGGCCAATCGACAACGATATGATGCTTGACCCCGTGGTTTTCCGCAACACCTTCTTCAACGCCCGCGCCGCCAGTGACACCGACAATCTGAAGCGCAAGCTCAAGAGCCGCGTGTCAGCTCTACGCAAAGTGCCGTCAGACGAGTCCCTGTACAACCCCGCTGAGGACCCCGCCAGCAAGGTGCGGTTCGACACCAATGTTGCCTTCTTACCTGACTACGAGTCTGCCGACGACCCTACCGACTCTGGTGTTGTGGAGGACATTGCTTCGCCGACCGTGCCCGACTACGACCCGTCGCCCGAAATAGCTGTGGCAGTTGTGTCAAAACAAAAACATCAGCCAGCGTCGATCGCCATCAATCAACCAGGCAGCCAACCAGACGACAACATGGCGAAGACTGGCCTCCAAATCACAATGTGCCCCGATACGCGGGTTGGCGAGCTAGAGAAGGAGCTACAGGCACTGAAAGCTACTGTTTCGGTGCTGCAGAACCAGAACGATCTGCTAGTCGAGCTCGTCAAGAGAGACCCGATCGATGATACACCAGAGACTGTACGCTTGCATATGCGCACCATTGAGCTTGAGAACCAGTGGCTAAGGCGGGAGCTGTCGCACGCGAGGAGGCTGTGCAAACAGGCGGGGCCTGACAGCTAATTTTATCTTCCCTTCGCACCACCTCTACCATGTCTACGTGGCATGCTCATGTCTATATGACCAAGCAGGGATGCCGGTACATTCCTTTCGCTCTATATTTATGATTCCCCACAACCCCCACGATCCATATGTACCCTCTCTCTCTCTCGACCCGTGTTTTTCAGCCTTTTCGAGTTCCGCTGATTATTTTTTGTCTCTAATAACCTCTGTCTCTACCACCAGTTCCAGCTCTGATACATACATGCTATTTGCACACCTTATATAAAAAGTAAAGATGCAGGCAGACAACCGAGCAGAAAAACGCGAAGTGCAGCGCCACATGTGGTCGCCGTATCCCGAGCACTTCCTAACGCTCTGGGCTATGGCGCCCTCGTCTGATCCGCCGCCCACACACCTCGACAGCATACGCCAGCAGCGCGAAAAGAAGAACAAGCGGCAGCAGCACTGGCAGCTAACCCGCGACTTTACGAAATCGGACTCGGCGCGCGGCAAAACAACGAGCCTGCCAGCCATGCACCGACTGAATCTGGCCAACCAGTCAATCTGCCGCCTGACAATCCCGCGAACTGCGATCCAGTACATGGATTACCTGGTCGAGCTCCGCATGCCACAGAACAATCTGCGCGAACTGCCTGCTGCACTGTTCGACCTGCCATGCCTGGAGACCCTGAACCTGGAGAACAACTGTCTCGAGAATCTCGGCCACCTGTGGCCAAAATTAAAAAACCTGCGTGTGCTGTTCCTAGCAGGGAACTTTATCCGTGCCTTACCAAAGGAGCTCGGGCAGATGGAGAGGCTGTTCTTTTTGGATGTCTCAGATAACTCTGGTCTGGGATTCTTGCCAGGAGACCTGCTGGATGCGCCAGCGCTGCACCGGCTGATAGTCGACAAGTGCAGTTTTGAAATGGCCGACCGGCTCATTGGCGAGGAGGAGTGGATCGGTATAGATGATGCTGTGCGCGTACCGAGCCTCTCTTCACTGTGTATGCAGGCTGTTTGCCGGTGCATTGGTGCTGAGGGCGGGGAGCTCGAATCGCTGGTTGCTGCTCAGTGCGACGAAATCAAATCCCATCCAGCGGCTTATGCTGCCGGCTCCGTTCTTGTCCGCGAGCTCAGCCGTGCAGATGAGCTCCCGAAATGCACAGCATGTGGTGGACCGGTTTATACACAGGCATTTACATACCTAAGATTGGCAAATGGCTGGCCCTTGCCGTTCATTTGGTACTGCTGCTCAGCAAAATGTCAATCAGAAGCACTTGAACAACCGATTCCTAAAAAGCTTGTATACGATAATCTCTCGCTCAAAGAATAGGTGTTTCACTAATGATTGGCACTGACAACTAGATGCGAGTGCCCAATCAACCGGACGCGATAACGACTGTCATCCTCTCAAATGCCAATATTAGCAATAGCGTATCCGTCATCGTGTTCTGGAAGCGAATTAAATAAAAGTGGTCCAATTAAATCACATCAAACTAATTGACTTGCATCGCGGCCATTCTAACTGTGCTACCCCTGTTGCAATTAAAATACAACGAATGTTATGCTATGTTGACTTTTTGCTATCCTCAGGCACTGCTGTGCTATTGTTGAATGTCCACCGGGGAACGCCTGGTGGCAGCTGTGTGTGCGCCGGCAGCCTGAATGGCGGAAACGGCGTGTATGTCTCTGGCGAAATCGGCTCGTCTCCAGACTTGTCGAAGCTGACTCTGTCGTTCCTCAGCAGCTCGACCACCTGCTCGTTCAGGTTCTCTCGGTCCAGGCTCGCAAACTGTGCCTTCTCCTCGTCGGCTAGCAGCGCCTTTGCTCGCCGTGACAGCTCCAGCTGCCGGTCATTCCACGCCTGCACATACTTTGCATACACCTCTCTTGCATCCTGCAGCCGCGCCTCAATCGTCGATCCGCTGCTGTCTGCCAGCGTCGGTGTTGGCAGTGGTCCCAGGTCTGGTGCATTTCTAGTTGGATCCAGGTAATTGTCGGCGACGCTGGCCAGGTATGCCAGGTTGGTCTGCAGCCGGTTCTGGTACATGATCAGCTGCGGGTCGTCCATCAGGCTGTTGTTCTGGTACTCTTGGCAGAGCCTGATCAGCTCGCTGTTGATGTTCAGGACCATCTGGATGATGCTGGTCTTGAGACGCGGCAGGTACGGCTGCTCCTGGCCATCGTCCACCTGCTGCGCTGTTTGCGAACGGGCTTTGGGGGTGAATGTCCGGGTGCTGGTGGGCTGCTGCTGCTGGTCGTCGGAGGAGTTGTCGTCCTCGAGCGTTACCTCGATGTCGCTGTCTTTTCCGGTGTCGCTGTGCAGGTAGCCGTCCATGCCTGGGTTTAAGGTTGTGGTAGTGGTGAGAGATAAAGCGGCTGGCAGACACGCGCTGTGAGAAAGGGTACACAATATATCCCCTGGCGGTGCATGGCAGATTTTGGGCTGTGAGGCATTCGTGTAAACAGATGCTGGAGGAGCCGCATCCCACTCCCATTTTGCAGGCAGCCAGTGGCACGTCTCTCGGGGAGTAGTCGGTAGCATGTTTCGATCTACGCAGATGCTGTAGTGCTTGCTGGATGTGCGATCAGCATATGGAAATACACACGTAAATCGTTGCACGATAGAACTTGCGTTTGCCCAATGCGTCCGGCTGGCACTTGACTGATCGCACAACTCTAACTACACTTGTTGCCGAAGTTGTGCATGTAGCCGCAGCCATGGGCCATTCCAGGACTGCTCCTGCGCCACCCAGCAGCCCTTGATCAGAGCTTTTTGCAACAAGCGAAGGAGCAGCTCTTGTGCCAGAAATCCAGGAATAGTGCGAGCCTTCCTTACTTTTGCAGCTGGCATTTTTACTGAGCTGCGCATTTTCAGAAACTTTTCGTTTATTATATATCGCTGTTACTACTATTATCGATAGTGTAGAACATGCCTTTCGACACACCTCCGCCATCGAAGCGTAGGCAGGAGGTGGCCCCCAGCGCCCCAAAGAAGCGCAAGCCGACAGCTGTGCTGACCGCACAGGACCGCTCACCGGTGCCGCTCAACCTTGGTGACGCATATAGCCGCCATCTCCTCGACGGCACCACTCGCCTGAGCACCATCGCAGAAGACTCGATCCTGGACAGCCCCATTTCGGCATTCCCAGTCAGCGATCCCCGCACGCCTGACCATCACAACAATGCGCACGCTATTGCGGAACACCCGGCTGCCGAAGGTGACATGTCCGCATTACCGGTCTCACAGCTCACCACACCGGTCCGCTCCAGCACGGAGCGCCGTATCGCTGAAAATCCACCTTGCGACAAGAAACCGGCCCTGTTCCACTCGCCGCCTGTCACCAAGCTCACGAAGGCTAAGAAAAGCGGTAAGTGCATTCAAGCGGGTATCGACTTGAGCACCAGAGTTGGCCAGGTACTGACAAACAACATCTATGCCGCTTTTGCCTGTAGATGCGCCAGTGAACCCAGCCATCGTCAAGAACAGCAAGCAGACCCCCGTCAAGTCCACGGCGAACAACTCGACTGTACAGTCGAACAAGGTGATGTCGCCGAGCGATCTCAAGGCAGAGAGGGACAAGGAGGCATCCCTCTGGGTCAGCGAGTGTCTTCTCGGCGACATCGACGCTGTTCTTGGCCTCCTCCACCCCCGTACCAAGGACAAGGCTGACCTGGCAGCCGAGATCACAGACCACATTTCGGCAGAGCTTGAGTGCCACCTCGATGTGGCCAACGACATGGCGGCCAACCGTACAGGCGCAGCAACTGTCCATCCCAGCACGCGGCAGGGGCAGCAGCAGCCACTACCCATCAGCGACTCCCACCCGCCACCAGTGCCAGCACCTAGCCCCGACACTCAGGCTATGGTCGAGTCGCTCAATGAGTGGATATCCTCCACTCATGCAGTCAGATCGACCGCTGGAGCATCAGGCCGCGCAGAGCGGAAGATGTACCTGCCGATCCAGCAGTTCTCGCTATTTGTAGCAAAGAACGAGGACAGTTTTGTCCGCGCACAAGCAGGAAGCAGCGCGAAGTGCGATGCAGTGCATCGTCGGCACATCCTGCCATATCAGATATACGACTGCGCGCCTGTCGGAAAGGACGATGATCGGCGGGTGGATATCGGGCTGGCCACCCGCGAGCTCAGCCACAAGAACAAGGCCGTGGCACTAGTAGAAGATCCTGTCGACTACAGCGACATGCTCGCTGTGGTCGAGGTGAAGCCCGGCAAGACCCCAGCGCTGGTGCGCCAGGCACATGCGCAGCTGCTTCTGTACAGCCGAAACATGTACTCCAGCCAGGACTGGCGCCGCTTCCTCTGGGGCATATCAATCTGCGACACCGAGGTGCGGATATGCCTGTTGTCGAACGACAGGGTCTTTGCATCCAAACCCATTGACGTCGCCACACCAGACGGCCGCACCAAGTTCATCGAGGTGCTGGTGCACTTTTCACTGTGCGATTTCGACCAGCTTGGCTTCGACACGACGATTGACTGGAGCTTCGAGCACAAGTGCTGGATGATCGAGGGCCCGAGCACCAGCGGCAGGTCGTCAGGCAGCGCCACCACAGCCTATTACTGCGACCAGACCCTGTTCAGCGCGGATAATCTGTTTGGGCCACATAGGCGCTGCTTCCTGGCCAGCGACCATCCGCCTGTAAATGGGACTGTTGAGCCAAAGTTCCTTATCAAGGACACATGGCCCGAGGTCGAAGGCGGTCTAGCCAGTGGCCGCAACGAGATCAGAGACGCGGTTACGGATCCGGAAATCATAGTGCCCAGACTCCATGGCTGGTGCAACGTTTGCATCCAGGTGGACGGCAAGGTGCTGGAGGACAACGCGAGAAATGTACTCGGGCCACTATTCAACCACACTGGGCCGGAAGGAAAGCCTATCCCATTCCGCGTTCACACACGGGTGGTGATGAGGGCTGTCGGATTCCCCCTAAAATCGGTCACCTCGGTCCACGACTTCATCGTTGTGTTGGGTGATGCAATGCGCAGCCATGCTGAAATCCTCAATAGGTGCGGCATTCTCCATCGGAACATATGCGATGAGACGATTCTTGCAGTGGCAGATGAAAATGGGCAGTTGCGCGGGCTGCTGTTTGATTTCGACAACGCACTGAAAGTAGAGGAGGAGCGGAGGTTTATACGCAGTGGGCAGATTGGAGTGCTCCCATTTATGAGCATCAACACCCTTTCAGGATTCGATGTGGAGCGGTCAGTGTTGGATGACTGGGAATCGCTGATATATCTCATATGCTGGTTCGCCACCATCGGAATCTGCAGAGAGAAAGCTGACAGGCGATCGTTGGAAGAGCTTGAGGACCTAGAAGTCAGACAATGGAGAAGGGGATCGGCTAAGGAAGTATCAAAAGTAAAGGTGAAACATCTCAGCGAACTCAAAGATTTTGGGTATTATATCCTGGACTACTTCCACTCCGACAATGACATTGAGACACTCCAAGATCTAACCGAGGACCTTTACAAGGCTCTGTTCCAAAATCCGTATCTGCGAAAGGACACTCGGTGCGATGGCAGCCGCTATAAAGGCACCATACCAGTTAGGATCAGAGGTGAGGAGAAGAAATCGGATCCATTCAAGGAGCGGTTAACCAAAAAGAGCGAAATCGCCGCAGCCCTACTTGAGACGATGACACAAGCATGGAAGGATTCGATGAGCACCATTCGCAACCAGCGCAAACCATCACCATAGTATTTTTTCTGCTGTACACTATGCGTCATTACCTATTTCGTACTCGCATAAAGAGTATCATCACAAAACACACATTGCAAGGACAAGGGCAAGCACATGTTGTGCATTTGGCGTAGATGCCAGTAGATATTAGCATGACACCGTTTAATGTGCCTGCTCTGAATATGCAGCCCCAGTATTATATGCACTTAGTGTCAGGCAAGCAGCACACACGCGTAGCAGAAGTAATAGTGGTCAGCATTGGTGCCATCATCAGACAGTCGGCAATGGCAGGCTGCGTGGCCGCAACAGAAAATAATTGACAGTTTCAAGTATGCCGTCACCAAGAGTCTACATGGCAAGCCGGGACATCCGATACAAGGAGAGTGGGATAATGAAGAAGAGGCCGACGAGAGCCTGCTGTTGTGCGCACATCCGCATTCATTCCCATGTGTCCACGCACTTGTTCCATATCAGCCCAGTACGTGCATCGGAGTCCGCTTGCCTCGTCTCGACTGGTGTGTCTGATATCGGTTGTCTCGGGTTTGTAGTGTGCTACTCTGCTCTGCTTTCGCTGTTTGGATAGGATCCGGCTCTCCATGCGAGCCTGTAGAGCCGCCGCTGAATGCAGGCATACTGATGCAGCCAGCGCCACATCCATGATCGGCGATGCGGTGCTTCAGATGCGGGACCCGATCAAATCGGATCTGCTCAAGCGCCTTTTCGTAAACAACAGTTCCAGAGCGCAGAAAAATCCCAGGCAGTAAACACGCTGCAGCCAATGGCGATGGCTCGCCTCAGCCCTTAAACCACTCCAGAGCTGCTGTCCACAGCCCTTGTCTCTCCATTTCGCCTTAGCCCTTCAACCTCCTGCATTTGAGCCCATTCCCCTTGTAATTTATCAGTCGCCCATGACTACCTGCAACATTCCCGCTGAACTTTCTCGGACTCTGCCAGCCCCTACCGCCGGCAAGCCAGCCGCTACGGGCGCCAAGCGCAAGCTCGATAGCTCCATTTCATCGCCAGCTAGCAAGTTCTCGCCGCCAAAGAAGGCACGCTCCTCCAGCAACACAGTCTGCATTGGCACTAAGCGGTCGCGCTCGGATTCTGCGGCAAATACCGATGCCGATGACAGTGTGCCACCGGCAAAGAAGACTAGCTGCATATGCTTTAGTGGATGTAAGTGCCGGGCCAGCATCACCAGAACGGCAGCCAAGCAGCACCGCTACTTACTAACCTGCATTACCTCAACGCTGTAGGTGCCCGGCCTCCTCCAGGATACAAGAGGAAGGTAATGGCACACTCCTCGTATTACTCTTCCGACACAGCGGTCCCACCGGCAAAGAACGCAGGCTCTAGTGCGGGTATTGAGTCGGACGAGCAAACGATTTGGTGGGACAACAAATACGAAGAGCTGGCCGAAGCCGACTACTGGGTCAAGGAGCGACTTATCCGTGACGCCGACGCAGTGTTCGACATTGTAGAGCCGAGAATCACTACGACACGCAGGCTGGCCAGGCTGGTCTCGGCTCAGGTCGCACTGGAGCTGGAGGACCGGCTCAACACAGTCGACAACAGTGCAGCGAGCAGCGTCGACGATATCCAGGATGCTTTCAGAGAACTTGCTTGCGATATAGGCACCTGTCAGCAGCAGCAACAACAAGAGCAGCAGCAGGCGCTATTCGACATTGCAGGATACAGCAGAGCAAAGGACGAGAGCCGTGAGTCAACCGACAGTTCATTCGCGAGCCTTGAGCAGTGGATTTGCCCAACGCCGGCCACGCCTACTGATAGCGCTAATGGGAACAGCACACGTACGGCAGAACAGATACTGGAGTCAGCCATGTCGCTCATCCTATTTGTCTCCCGCCACACTGACACCTTCGTGCGTGCACTGGATACAGACACCTTTGGCAGGCACCTCGAAGACTACCGCCACATACTTCCATGCGTCAGCTCAGATCGCGAGTGCAGCGATGCTGCCGAATTTCTGGCAAGCGAGGCAGGCATCAAGGCGCAAGGCCCACATAGCAGCATCGAACTCGTCAGTGGGTTCAGCTACAGCGACGCACTAGCTCTTATCGTGGCTCGGACTGACAAGACTCGGCGCACGGTTGACAAGGCTTATGCGCAGCTGATGCAGAGCACACGCAACATCTACAAGCGCCACCACTTCAGACGGTTCGCCTGGGGTCTGACCGTGTGTGACAACGAGGTGCGAGTGTGCCTGCTCTCCAATGACGCAGTCTTCTCGTCCATTGTCCTGGACATCACAGCAGCAGCCGGTCGTCGGCAGTTCGTCGAGCTGCTGGTCAACTTTGCACTGTGCGAGGAGGACCAGCTCGGAAGTGACCCGTCCATTTACTGGGATGCTGAAGCCAACTGCTGGGCCATTGACTGTCCCGACACAGCAGACATGGCATCACGCCCTGTAGCCACAAAAACGTACTACTTCGACAAGGTGCTGCTGGGAGCGGACGGCCTGTTTGGCCGGCATACGAGGTGCTATTTGGTGACAGACGAGGAGCCTACTGGCGGCGGAATTACTCCCAAGTTTGTGATAAAGGATGCATGGCCGGAGGCTGAGGAGGACCGTGTCGATGACAAACGGGACGAGGTGTCGCTTCTGCACAGAATCACCACAGAGCTGGCACAATCGGACGTCGAGGACCTGGTCTATCCCAGGCTCGATGCCGGTGGCCGTGTCTACATCGGCACAGGCAGAGGCATGTTTGAGGACCAGTCGAGCCACATCCTGGGCTCGCTGTTCTCGCTGCGCAAGCCGGATGGCACTGCAATACCGTTCCGCGCACACAAGCGGTTGGCCATGTCCCCGATTGGCGACTCGCTCGATACGGTCGAATCAGTGGATGAGTTTATCGTCGTTCTGGGGGATGCCATGCGCTGCCACTCGGAGGTGGTGAGTCGGTGCAGCATCCTCCACCGCGACATTTCAAGCAACAACATCCTTGTCGTGCGCGAGGAAGGCAAACCGGCGCGCGGACTGCTTATCGACTTTGACTGCGCACTCGATCTGAGCGATTCGCGAGGGCCGAACCTGGAGACGCGAGGGACAATCCCGTTTATGAGCATCAACAACCTTCTCCGGTCAGACGTGGAGCGATCAGTGCTGGACGACTGGGAGTCGCTTATCTACCTAATCTGCTGGCACGGCACCATCGGAATCTGCAGAGAGAAAGCTACTAGGCGATCACTGGAAGAGCTTGAGGACCTGGAAGTCGGACGCTGGAGAAGTGGGGCGGCTAAAGAAGCAGGGAGAGAAAAAAAGTTCCATCTAAGCAACTTTAATGGCTTTGATGTCGATATCCTGGACCACTTTCATTCTGACGAAAATATCAGAATCCTTAAAGACCTAACTGAAGACCTTTACAAGGCTCTGTTCCAAAATCCGAATCTGCGAAAGGACACTCGGTGCGATGGCAGCCGCTATAAAGGCACCATACCAGATAGGATCAAAGGAGTGAAGGAAAAGCCAGATCCATTCAAGGAGCGGCTAACCAAAAAGAGTGAAATCACCGCAGCACTACTTGAGGTGATTACAAAAGCATGGAAGGATTCGATGAGCGCCATTCGCAATCAGCATGGCCAGACAATCTAACATTTACATAACATACTCATTCAATATTATATAATTTTGAGGCTTGTTGCTGTTACTAGTCGTATGGGATTACTATATTTACAGTGCAATATTGCATAGTATATATTGGTGACTGGCATCGCTGACTCAACATCAGTATCTAGGTAGGTTCATCCTAACTACAACTTCAGGTATCACAAACAAGCCATGTCTCGTAAGACAATTTTACATGCATAGACAAATGGCATGTATCTGTTGGTAGTTAGACTAATGCATTTCTCTCTGATCACCAAATGGCGCAAGCATGTGTGAATGTATGTAAAAGCATATGGCAATGGCGCATATTGGAGTGCTGTTTCCCACGTGACGAAGTGGTGATCACTGTAATCTATCTAGTCTATGATCACCGCACTTTTTTTTTTGCTTTTTTACAACGATTTTTTCTTGTTCTGGTTTTGCAGAACCACTGTCTTTTCTCAGCTTTCCGTTCCACACAATTCGACATATCCTACACCAAAATGCTCCTGCAACCGTAAGTTGGCAAGGCGACAGTAGCCAGCACACCAAAGAGATATTAACTAAAGAGATATACGCATGTGATAGCAAAGCAAAGAATGCGCGCTCGAAGCGGTTTCTGACGAACCGGGCGCCGAAGGTGGTGGAGAACGCAAAGACGGCGATATTTGTGCGCGGCAGTACAACGAGCCAGGTGATCCTGGACACGCTAAAGGACCTGTACGCGCTGAAGAAGCCCGAGGCGATCAATTTCACAAAGAAGAACGAGATGCATCCGTTTGACGACGAGACGGGGATCGAGTTTTTTGCGCGCAAGAACGACAGCTCGCTGTTCGCCGTGGGCATGCACTCGAAAAAGCGGCCGCACAACCTGATCCTGGGCCGCACGTTCAACTTCCAGATCATGGATATGATCGAGCTGGGCGTGGAGCGGTGCACGCCGATGCGCGAGTTCCGCACGCAAGCGTGCGCTATTGGCATGAAGCCCCTGATGGTGTTCAATGGGGAGGCGTTTGGAACCGACCCGCAGCTGGTGCGGCTGAAGAGCATTCTGCTGGACTTCTTCCGCGGTGAGGACGCAGACATGGTGTCGCTGAAGGGGCTGGAGTACGTGATTACGGTGACGGCTGGGCCGGCGGGCGCCAATGGCGAGACGGGGCTGGTGTTTTTCCGGGCGTACACGACGCAGCTGAAGAAGTCGGGGGTGCGGCAGCCGCGCGTGGAGCTCGAGGAGATGGGCCCGGCGCTGGATCTGCGGGTCAGGCGCGTGCGGCAGCCGGCCGAGGACATGTGGAAGCAGGCGTGCAAGGTGCCCAAGGAGCTGAAGCAGGTCAAGGTCAAGAATATCTCGCGGGACGGACTTGGCGACAAGTACGGGCGGATCCACCTGGGCAAGCAGGACATTAACAAGATCCAGACGCGCAAGGTCAAGGCGCTGAAGAAGAAGCTGGACGACCGCCCGGCCAAGAAGCAGAAGACAGCTGCTGAGTAGGCCTTGTAGGAGGTGATTTCTTAATCAAGCTTCGCATGCATGGACGGATGTCCCACATCCGCGCTGGCATGCGAGGGAGGAGTATTAACAGGTAGCATTCGAAATCTGTTGTGAATCATACCGATGAAGCCCAGGAAAACAGGCCGGAGCTCAACAGAATAAAAAGCGCTCAATCAGCTAGAGATCGCAGGGGGATCCAATGGACGGTGCAGAAGATGGCGCAATACGTGTGATCTTCCAGCTGCGCGGGACAGCAGGCTGCCTTCCGCCATTTTTTTTCACTGATGAGAAATCAGCTTTGACCCTGGTACCTGAGCGTAGCAGATAAAAGGGCCTAGGCGCACCCCCACACAGCGAGCACACCACAACTCTCCTTCCACAGCAACTCAGCAGCAGCGATTCCTTATATCTTACAGCACTAATAATGACAGAATCATTTCGCGATCCCCAGGGCGGCGGCTCCCTGATCCTGGCGTGGCAGGTAAAGAACAAGACAGTGCTGATCGTCGGCGGCGGCGTGGTGGCAGCCGGGCGTGTATTCAATGCACTGGAGGCCGATGCGCGTGTGACGGTGGTGGCACCGGAGCTGAACCCGGAGCTACAGTACCGAGTGGGCAAGTCGCAGATCACATGGCATCAGCGCTCCTTCCAGACGTCGGATCTGGACACAGCCGACATGGTTCTGACGGCAATCGACGACCACGCCGAGTCGCAGCGGATCGTCTCAGAGTGCAAGGCGCGGCGAATTCCAGTGAATGCGGCTGATATCAATGACCTGTGCGATTTCTGGTTCATGTCGACGCACCGCGACCACTCAGTGCAGATCGCGGTGAGCACAAACTCGAAGGCGCCGCGGCTGGCAAACCGGATCCGGCGGCAGATCGCGGCGGCATTGCCAAGGGGCACAGGCAAGGCGGTGGAGCAGATTGGGCGGCTGCGCAAGCGGATCCGCGAGGCAGACCCGGAGCCGCAGAACAGCAAACGGCGGATGACGTGGTTGACGCAGCTATGCGACTACTGGCCGGTGGAGCAGCTGGCACGACTGGATTCGGACAACATCGACAGCCTGCTAGACGCCTACATTGACAACAAGGATCCGACAAGCGTCGGACTATCGCTGCAGCCGCCGTCATCTGAGTCGTCGCGGATCCCCAGCCCAGAATTGCGCACGGGGAGCCAGGGGAAGCTGGTATTGGTGGGTGCGGGCGTCGGCGACCCCGAGCTGCTGACGGTACGGGCGCACCGGGCGCTGAAGGAGGCCGACATCGTGCTGGCTGACAAGCTGATTCCCGAGGCGGTGCTTGGTCTGATCGAGTGCGAAATCTACACGGCGCGCAAGTTCCCGGGCGCTGCCACCGAGGCACAGGAGGACCTGTACCGGCGCGGCGTCGAGGAGCTGGCCAAGGGCAAGAACGTGGTGCGGCTGAAGCAAGGCGATCCGTTCGTGTACGGGCGCGGCGGTGAGGAAGTGCTGTATTTCCGCAAGTGCGGGTACGAGCCCGAGGTGGTGCCAGGATTGACGAGCGCAATCACAGGGCCGGGGCTGTGCGGCATCCCGGTGACGCATCGCGGCGTGGCCGACCAGGTGCTGGTCTTGTCGGGCGCCAACCGCCACGGCGACCTACCGAGCATCCCAGAGTTCCTGGCCACGCGCACGCTGGTGATCCTGATGTCGGTCAAGCGCCTGAAGGACATTGTCGGGTTGCTGGGCAGCGCAGGCTACCCGCAGGATCTGCCGCTGGCAATTGTCGAGCGCGCCGGGTGCTCCGACCAGCGCACGGTACGTGGGACGGTGCAGACGATCGTTGGAATCATCGAGCGCGTGGGGCATAATCCGCCGGGCCTGATTGTGGTCGGTCATGCCGTCAATGTGCTGTCGGATAAGGCGATCGAGGACCGGTTCCTGGATGCGTCGACGCTCGGGCTCTATGCGGACGAGACAGGCAGGCAGTAGAAACACGTGCATCCAATCACACCGCGATCAGATTTTTCGCGTGGATAATTTCACAACGTTTCCTATTGTGCTTTTTGAAAAGCTCCTGTTTCTTCTTCCTTTCGTTGCCGTTTCTCAATTTAAATATTTATTCCTTTTTTCTTCTTTCTGAGCTAATGTAAGCGAGGGGAAGAGCAAAACCAGACGTGCTTCAACACAACACAAAAGCGATAAAAACGAAAGGCAATCCACGTTCTAATCTACATCCCCATTTGACCTGTTGTCGGAAAAACAAAAATGGACCATCCACGTAGGCCGCACGCAGACAGCCCAGGATCCACGGCGGAGCACCGCGACACGTACTCTGGGGATGCGTCGATGCGCGACTCATCGCGCTCGCGCTCACGCAGTCGCTCGTACTCGCGCTCGCGCTCACGTTCGCGTTCACGTTCGCGTTCGCGTTCACGCTCGTATTCGCGTTCGTATTCACCGCCGCCGCCGCGTACGGGCCGGTCGCGCAGCCGCAGCTACACGCCGAGCCGGTCGCCAAGTCGGTCGCGGAGCCGGTCGCGGAGCCGGGCGCGGAGCCAGTCGCGGCAGCGCTCGCCAAGCCGCTCCCCAAGACACTCGGCGAGCCGCTCGCCCTCGCCCTCGCCCTCGCGCTCCGTGCCTCTAGTGGTGGTCTCGGGACTGACAGAGAAGATCACCAAGGAGCACATCCAGGAGCTGTTCAGCGCATACGGTTCCCCCTTGGATGTGCGGATGTGGCGTCGGCAGCGCAAAAGGCATGGACGCCAGGAGCTGCATGCCAAGGCGTTCATTAACTACGCGAAGCTGGAGGAGGCAGTGCTGGCAGCGGAGAAAATGAACGGCGCGGTGATCGACGAGGTTACGGTCGAGGTGCGCCAGGATATGGATGATGGCGGGTGGAAGAAGCGCCAGAATAAGCGCAAGCGCCAGGGGCAGCGCCCGGAGGGCAGACGTAAGCGCGGCGGGCGTAGGCGCGATCGCCGGAGTGGCGCACGCAGGCGGTCGCGGTCGGCTGACCGGTGGCAGCCGGAGCGCAGGTACCGATCCCCGTCGCCGTATCGCAGACGGTCGCGTGGCAGACGGTCGCCGGTCAGGTCGCGGTCGCCGTACGGGCGCCGGGCCGGATCCAGGTACGACCGGTACCACAGCAGGTCGCCTTCTCCCCGGTACAGCAGATACCGCAGCAGCCGGTACTCCCGCAGTCGCTCGGTCTCCCGTGGCAGGAGGTAAGGCGTTAGGCTTTTTTCTGTTTCGTTTCATACTGGTTGCTTAATAAAGGCTTGCAAGCTTTTAATTAGCCACCGCGCACCCTTTTTTACTTTCTTTTTTACCTTTTTTTTTTCGGAGCCCACTATCAGTTTCTGGGCTTTTCCTATCTTTTTCCTCTCTTCAATTTGCAACAAGATTCTTTCCATCATGTTCCTCCGCTCGCTATTGACAAAGTCGCTCACATTGCGCACATTGCAGCCCATGCGCGTGCAGTCGGGCATGCGCTGGTTCTCGCAGACACTTCCGGCACGCTCGATCCCGGGCTTTGACGCCAACAACCCGACGCTGCGCAAGATCCAGCAGAACCCGCGGGTGATGGCGGCAATGGTCGAGGCGATGCAGCTTCTGCAGCAGCGCGGGCTGATTGATCCGACAAACCCGAAGCCGCCTGGGTTCATGAAGCTAATGCAGATCATGGGCGACCCCGAGGTGAAGGCCAAGTTCATGGAGGTGCAGAAGGTGTTGAAGGAAGAGGGGATCCAGTTTTCGCCGTCGGATCTGTCGGCGTTCATGGGTGCGCGCGACCAGTTCATGGCCAAGGAAGAGGCGCCCCAGGAGGGCGTGCTGAAAAAGTTCGCCAGCAAGTTTAGGAAAGAATAAGCGGATTACGATAATATATTTGAACGGCAGCCATAACGTGGTGCATCCGATGCGGGTGAAGGTGCGGGTTCATTGCGTGAGTTTCTTGGGAGGCCGCTGCAAGTTTAGGCTGTATCATAATGGAGTTTCGCGATCGTGACGGGTATTTCCACCAGGATGTGTTTCGGGTGCTTGGGCGGGCCACGGGCTCTGAGCCACATGCACTGACGTATAATGCAATTGGCGGTATGCAGTTTGTGGATGAGGATGGGATTTCGGAAACGTCGTCAGAGACGTCGACCGAGTCGAGTGTGTCGCAGGCGCCGTCGTTTGATCTGGACGCCGAGTGGGAAGACGCCAAGCAGGTGCTGTACACGACGTTTGTTGGATTCATGCTGCCGTTTGTGTTCCGGTACGTGGGCCGGCGGCTAACGTTTGCAGGTAAGCTTGGGAAATAGCCAGCGGGGGTGGTGTTTCAATGTGGGGGCAAGCTGTTGACTAACCTAATTGCCACTTTCGGTAGTGTGGAAGCGCTTTCTGACCGGGTATTTTAAGTGAGTAAACTCCTTTTCCATTTTTGAGGAGTGACTCACAAAATCCCAGGCCGCGCTCCCAGAGGTGTGTCACATTCGTGCAAAAAACTTGGTCCAGGCGCTTAAATCCGGCTAGCGTTTAAAGGTCCGATATGGCAGGACAGTACATCCAGGTGCGCACATTTGTTTAATTTTTTTTCCTCTTTCGCTTTATCTCACTGAAGCCAAAAAATACCATTTCAGTTTTTATTTTGAAAAGTGCAAGCATGCCTATTATCACTACAGTATCAACTCCGGCCACATCACTTGCCAACATCGCTGATCTGCCCGAGCGCCTGACAAGATGGCAGACGCGGCTGTCTAGCCCAACCGAGCTGCAGCTGCCGACCGACTACCCGCGCCCAATGCCGCTCAAGGTCGTTGAGGCAGTGGATACGTTTGAGCTGCCAGCTGCCAGCAGCCTGTCCGTGCTGCAGGTGTCGCTGGGACTGCAGCAGATGCAGGAGGAGAAGGGCGAGAAGCCGACAGCCAGCCCGTTCTCAGTTCTTTTGGCGGCATTTGCAGTGCTGCTGCACCGGTATACTGCTGAGGAGGACATAGTGGTGGGCAGCTCGAGCGAGACGCTGAACCCGCTGGTGCTGCGGTTAGATGTCAAGGCCGAGAATTCGTTTGTAGACGTGCTGCATATGGTGGAGCGCGTGTCGCAGGAGGCAGCGGCCGACGAGGTGCCGTTCCCGGCGCTGATGGCGGCAATGGCAGAAGGCGTGGAGGATGCAAATGCGGCGCCAGCGCTATTCCGCGTGCGGTTCTTCAACCAGGCAGACACGGACTCGGAGACACTGCAGAAGACAATCACGGCGGCCACGGATCTGACGGTCCTGATCCGGCAGAAGACCACGGCGTCGCTGCGGCAGCTGCACCCGGCCATTGAGCTGCAGCTGACGTACAACCAGATCCTGTTCTCTCCGCAGCGCATTGCGCATATGGTCTCGCAGCTGCAGATGGTGCTAGCCACGGCTGCCGATACAGTCGCGCATGCGCAGGCCGGGCATGCACTGCAGTCGGAGCACCAGGTGGGCCGCATGAACATTGTCTCGGAGCTCGACTGCCAAGTGTGTCCCAGCCCGCGCGCTGACCTGCACTGGGGGCAGTTCCCGGGCAGCGTCACCGAGATTTTCGCCCGCAACGCTGCAGCCCACCCGGACCGCCGCTTTGTGGTCGAGAGCGTTTTGCGCGCCGAGGGCGGCAGGGACCGGCTGGTGGCACGTGAGTTCACGTATGCGCAGATTCTGCGCGCAGCCCGCATCCTGAGCCGCACGCTGCGCGACGGCGGCGTCCAGCGCGAGGACGTGGTGATTGTATATGCGTACCGTGGGGTGGATCTGGTGGTGGCCATTCTCGGCGTGCTGATGGCCGGGGCTACCTACAGCGTCGTGGATCCGGCCTATCCGCCCGCGCGCCAGAACATCTACTTGTCGGTGGCCCAGCCGCGTGGGTTGGTAGTGCTGCGCCATGCGGGCGAGCTGCCCGATGAGGTCAAGCAGTATGTGGCCGATGAGCTCGATGTAGTGTGCACCGTACCGGCTCTCGAGCTGCTGGACTCGGGCGACCTGCGCGGCTCTGATGCCATCGAGCAGGCAGCTGCGACAGTCGATGCCTCGGACGACGTCAGTGCCGACATTGTGCCTGTGGGTCACGACTCGATCGGTACGCTGTCGTTCACCAGTGGCAGCACAGGCATCCCCAAGGGCGTGCGCGGGCGGCACTACTCGCTGACGCACTTTTACCCGTGGATGTCGCAGGAGTTCCAGCTGGGCTGTGATGACCGGTTCACGATGCTGTCGGGCATCGCCCATGACCCGATCCAGCGCGACGTGTTCACGCCGGTGTTCTTTGGCGCCGAGCTGCATATCCCCACCAGCGAGGATATCGGGATTCCGGGGCAGCTGGCGCAGTGGATGGCCGACCACGCAATCACCGTCACGCACCTAACGCCGGCCATGGGGCAGCTGCTGTCGGCCAACGCGACTAGCACCATTCCGTCGCTGAAGAATGCGTTCTTTGTCGGCGACCTGCTGACGAAGCGCGACTGCCACCGACTGCAGAGCCTGGCCGACAACTGCCGCATCGTCAACATGTACGGCACTACTGAAACACAGCGTGCTGTGTCGTACTGCCCAATCCCACCACACAGTGCCAGCCCTGGTTTCCTGGCTGCCGCCAAGGATGTCATCCCCGCCGGTCGCGGTATGGCTGACGTGCAGCTGCTGGTGGTCAACAAGCACGGCAGCGGTGGGCTGTGTGCTGTTGGTGAGGTTGGCGAGATCTACGTGCGTAGTGGTGGTTTGGCCGAGGGCTACCTGCGTCTGCCTGATGCTACCGCTGAGAAGTTTGTGCCCAACTGGTTTGCTGCTGCACCGCCAGCTGGAGACGCAGCACCCTTCTACCATGGCGCGCGTGACCGCATGTATCGCACCGGCGATCTTGGGCGGTACCGGCCCGACGGCGACGTCGAGTGCATCGGGCGCATCGACGACCAAGTCAAGATCCGCGGGTTCCGCATCGAGCTGGGCGAGATCAACAACATGCTGTCACAGCACCCGCGCATCCGCGCCAACGTGACGCTGGTGCGTCGCGACAAGTACGAGGAAAAGACGCTGGTGGCCTATATTGTGCCCAGCGAGGACGAGCAGAAGCGCTCCGACGACCCGGGCCGCCACACGCTGATCAAGGACATCCGCGACTACCTCAAGCAGAAGCTGCCCACGTACGCCGTGCCCGCGGTCTTTGTGCCCATGAAGAAGCTGCCACTGACTCCCAACGGCAAGATCGACAAGGCCGCTCTGCCCTTCCCCGACACGCCGCTGTTCCGCACTGGCCCTGCTGACGAGTCGAGCCGCATTGAAATCGCCAATGCCTCGCGCACCGAGCAGGCGCTGGCGCACATCTGGACCGAGCTGCTCGAGCTGCCGCACGAGACCCCGCTGGAGCTCGACTCCAACTTCTTCGACGTCGGCGGCCACTCCATCATGGCCACGCGCATGGTGTTCCGTGTCCGCAAGGAATTCGCCATTGACGCGCCGCTCGGCCTCGTCTTCAAGTGCCCCACGCTACGGGCTATGGCCGCTGCCATTGACAGCCTGCAGGGCGAGCTGCAGCTCGACGACGCTCATGACGAGGGCGCCCCTGAGCAGCCCGACTATGCCGCTGACCTGGCACAGCTTGTGCCTGAGATCCCCAAGCTCACCGGCGACTTTGTCTTCCCGCCGTCGCTAGTCAGCGCCGATGGTGCGCCGACGTTCTTCCTGACCGGCGCCACTGGCTTCCTGGGCGCCTTTGTGCTGGCGGAGCTGCTGCACCGCCATCCGAATTCTCATGTGATATGCCTCACCCGCGCGCGCTCTGCCGACCTCGCCATGGACCGCGTCAAGGCCGCTGCCGTGGCCAACCTCGTCTGGCATGACTCGTGGACAACGCGCGTGCGTGCCGTGGTGGGCGATCTTGGCCAGCCGCGGCTCGGCCTGAGCGACAGCGACTGGGATCTGTGCTGCGAGCAGACCGACGCTATCGTGCATAACGGCGCGCTGGTCCACTGGGTGTATCCGTACGAGAAGCTGCGGGCGCCCAATGTGCTCAGCACTCTGGAGGTCATGAAGTTGGCTGTAGCCCACCACACCAAGCCCACGGTGTTTGTCTCCAGCACATCCGCCTTGGATACCGACCACTACGTGCGTCTGGGTGAGGCCAACTCCGCCGGCGTGCGCGAGTCGGACGATCTCGAGGGCTCGCGCACTGGTCTGACCACCGGTTACGGCCAGTCAAAGTGGGTCAGCGAGAAGCTTCTGATGCAGGCGCGTCTGCAGGGTCTGCCGGTGACCATTGTGCGGCCCGGCTACGTGCTCGGCCACTCCACCACTGGTGCCACCAACACCGACGATTTCATCTGGCGCCTGGCCAAGGGCTGCGTGGAGCTCAAGGAGTCGCCGGTCATGAGCAATGTCGTCAATCTGTGCTCCGTCGACTATGTCGCGCATGTAGTCGTCGAGGCCATTTCGCAGGAGCGCGCGCTCGCCCACATTGTCTACCATGTTTTCAATAACGAGCGCTTCCGCTTCCAGAGCATGTTCGATCTGCTGCGCATCTACGGCTACCAGATCAAGGACGTCGAGTACATGCGCTGGCGCGCGTATTTGATGGAGTACACGCTCTCCAACAATGACTCGGCGCTGTTCCCGCTGCTGCACTATGTCCTGGACGACCTACCCACATCCACCAAGAGCCCCGACCTCGACGACTCGCATACCCAGGAACTGCTCTCTGGCACCGGTGTCGTCTGCAAGAAGATGAGCCACCTGTTTGGCCTCTACATCGCCTACTTGGTCAAGGCCGGCTACTTGCCCGAGCCCAGCGCCGATGCCGAGCGCCCATTGCCCGAGCTCGACATTGAGATCCGCGGCCTGGTCTCGCGCTCCAACCACAACTAAAAATGCTTTCATTCAATATACCCAAAATTCTATTTCACTTTGCGCAGCCTGCTCGCTTGCTCGTACGCGGCCTCCTTTTGCTTCTCCATTGCGCGCAGTTGCTCAAAGTAGTTGGCCCATGAGTCCGGGCAGCGCTTGAACATTGCTTCGCGCAGCTCTTGGCATAGGGTGCCGGCTGTCGCCGGATCCCCGATCTTGTGCTGATCAAGGCATGCCAGGTACTCGTCACGCTTGCTGTGGCATAGCTTGCGCTCTTTGCGTGTCGGAACGGGCGGATTCGAGGAGTCTGACATAATACAGCGAGTAAAAAATGAAGTTGTTTTGTGGAGATAAGAAACGACACTGGTCTTTTTTCGATCTCCGCTGCGGATAGCAAATTGGTATAAACAGTAGTTGTGGGTTCAGTGTGAAGCTATACCAAACGAGCTGTTACATTGCAGCACTCAATCTATATCCTCGCCTTTGCAGTTTTAAATGCTAAAGATATTATGTGTCAATATGTTTAGCCATGAGCCGTATGCCCGTCGGCCCAACTCCAATGATTACCATGCTCGTTTCTTCCTCTATGATTCTTGTTAGCCAGTGAGCCAACAGTACTACCATCTGCTCTTTTATGCAGCTCGGCGTTTCATATTGGCACATTTTTGCTGTTGCTGCGATATGCAATCTGGGTATGTAGTGCTAAGGGTCATTGCGAGGCCTATAGTTAGAGATGGGGATTGCAAAACTTAGCAACAGAAGGGAAATGGGAGAGGGAAGCCACTTGAGAAAAGGAACCGGTCCATCTGGCACAGAATGAACGCATACGACCTTATAAAGGTCCAACTGGATCATACAGGTTCAGCCATGATAGATCTAGAACCAAAGCCATAGCGCCAGTGATATGACATAGAGGGGGAAAGAAGGCAGGCTAGATAGCTGCTGATAAAGAAGCTAGAAAGGTGCCGCCTATGTGGTGGCAATGGCACTACAGTTTATGTGGTGACTCCAGCTGGTTTCACTACGATGTTGTGTTATCCACATCTGCATCTTGCCTGTTAAACCCCTAGGCTACTGAGGCATTCGTAATTCTTTCAACTTGTCTTTATTGTACTCCTAATACCAAACTGATGTGGCTATTAACTACCACGCCAGCTAGTGCTGGGTTGCAGAAATTCAAGCATTAATAGCTACTTTTAGTTTCTTGAAGATATTAGTAAGCTTTTCAATTTCAGCAGCGGGGTGGGATGCGTGTAGTTGCCATAATGTGCTCTGTCGATATTCCACTTCTTGCTGTACGCGTAGCAATAGTATATCAATTTGACATCTTTTCCTTTCATCATGATATTCTGTCCACTGTCGAAAGCACTTTTCCATCAAAGTATTCCGAGACCAGGCCATCGACTATGACTCTGAGGTACTCCTGTGTGTATGCGTGCCTGGGTAGGAATTTCAACCCTACCCCTGCTTCAAGAATGAGAGCCGTCGCCTTATCTCCACTGCAGGCATGTTTCACAAAGACATCTCTCCCTTAGTATTCAGCCTTAAAGGTGAGAGTGCCGTTATGACAACGCAGAAGCTTGTTCTTCAGGTCTTCTTTAATGATGTGATTGCGAATATTTCCCTTGGGGTACCTGTGTTCAATGACGCTCATGACGTATATCTTCAGCATTACAAGCCGGCTGCCAAAGCCAACCATCCTGCCTTCCGAGTCAATTATCGTTCTCATTATGTTAGTCGTGGAAGCGTGTGTCCAGTAGAATATGGGGCGCTGCTAAATGCTGAGTAGTTTGGAGAACAGGGAACGGGAAATAATAAATGTTGTTGGATTAGTAATGAAGACTGGAGAGTTGAAGGCTACCATTCCAAGGAGAGTTCAAACATCAACGACTGGCATAGGTATACTGATCCGGGAAATAAAGTCTTAAGGATTGGCATTCAGCTATGAAGGAATCTCCGTCCAGAGTCCGGGATCCTCGTGGGGGCTGTAGCAACACCCTTACGCTCACCATGTCAAAAACCAGCTGCACCCTGTCGAAGGGCACGTGTAGAAAACTGATTTAGTGGGCATGGCCTACCTTGTCAACGAGGGGTTACAACATGGTAAAAACCAAACGAGCATCTATTGTGAAATTACCGTAAGCTAGTAAGTACCGTCTTAATTGGCGTTTTGCGTCAGACGCAGCACTAACAGAATGATAAGGTACAAAACTGAGAGGAGAAGGAGCAGCAGCAGCAGCAGCAGCAATCGCTGTATGTTGCGCTCATACGCCGTCCACACGCTCTGCACCTGTCAAAGAGCGGGGAGTAGCATTTTCATCTTGCTGGTTGGAGAAGCGAGCACTAGCACTGCATTCTTGATTGTTGACCAAAGATGCTAACACTTGGTTGGCCGCATAAAACAATGCTGATTTCCTCAGCACCGGCAACCAACCGTACATTTCCTTGCCAGAACAGCAACTTCAGCAGAGTAAAGTACCAGGTATAACACGTCCTGCCCTTAAAACGGACACAGAAATCAGGTATCATTCAATTTTTTTTACAACCGAGAAGAATTGGCGACGGAGGTTGCGCACTGAAAGCATCAATGGATCATGAGTGATTACTTTTCACAGGGAGACGAGTGTAAACAAGCCTGTATGGACTGGAATGATAAAAAAGTATGCTAAGGACTTATGATTCTGTGACTGCTCTGGGAACGAATACATATGAATGTTTGGATCCGTTTATGGTGATGCAAGTGTTGTCGATTCCTGGATGCTAACATGTAATATGAAACTGCATATTATGTCACGACATCGAGAGTATCCCACGAATCATCAATGATTTCAGAGGCTCGATGATCTTTATTTATGTTGCATATGTGAATACTGAACACCTATCCGCAAGGCAATCCATGGTCATGTTAGGGCTAACCAACCCACTCCCTATATGCCACCTCTCATATGTGGTGCGCATTGGTGCGTATCGGTGTGTATTGGTGTACATTTGATTGATATGCATTTGCAGTTGTCCTTTTACTGCGCGCTGCTCGCATATACGGTGTCGTTGGAAATGACTGCTTTTGCAAAGACACCCTCATCTACCACCAAGGGTAGTATTGATTTTGGCATGCTTAATATCAATAATCTTGATGTATTTGAAAGCATAGAGATTAATATAGATATCAGTTAAAATCAACACCTTCAATTGACTGGATGTACTCGTCAACACCGTTCTCAAGCAATGTGAGGTTGCCATCAACCAGCGAGTACACATCATCAGCAGTCTCGCGCACAAAGTGACGGTCATGGGAAATCAGAACAACAGCACCCTCGAACTCGTTAATCGCATTGATAAGGCCCTCGACAGCGTACATGTCTAGATGGTTGGTGACCTCATCAAGCAGCAGCAGGTGCGGCCGCGAATACAGCATCAGCGCCATAGCCATGCGAGCGCGCTGGCCACCGCTGAGGGTGCAGATTGGCCGGATAGCCAGGTCGCCGCTGAGCTCAAATGAGCCGAGCCAGCGGCGGATCTCGCCCTCCTTGACCGACGGATTGTCACGCATCAGCATCTTCAGACCCGAGTCCTGGACATTGGTCAGCTCGTCGACGAAGTGCTGTGTGTAGTGGCCAATCCGCAGACGCGCATGCTGCTCGACAGTGCCCTTGGTTGGAGCCAGGTCGCGGGTGATGACATTGACCAGAGTCGATTTTCCGCAGCCGTTAAGACCAAGCACGGCAACGCGCTCGCCCATCAGAATGTTGAGGTTAATGTTGCGGGTAACATCCTTGCTGCCAGCTTTGTAGGCAAATGATACGCTGTTGAGTGTGACCAAGGGCGCCGTGTTTCGCATCGTCTCGGGCTGTGGGATGCTAAAGTCGACCTCTTTCTCAGCCTTATCCAAATCTATGGTCCTCCGCATTGTATCGTGGTATCCAGCCCAGTACGAGATCTTGAAGCGGGTTCCATCTTCGTTCTTGTCTGGACCTAGGCGCTCAAGCTTCTTCTTGCGCGAAGCAACCTGGCCCAGGACCTTGGAGTCGTTGGTTGCACGAGCATGCTTCATAAAGCCCTCGATGGACTTTTCGATCTGCTGGCGGCGCCGGTCCAAGGCGGCGACCTGGCGCTCCTTCTTCTTGCGCAGCTCGCCCTCGGCCATCTCAAACTCATCGTAGTTGCCCGGGTGGTAAGTGAGCTTCTTGTCTTTGAAGCGGATGATCTCCTGCGAGATAGCGTTGAGGAATTCGCGGTCGTGCGACACACATACGATGGTAATGTCGGTCAGCGACTTTAAGTAGTCTTGCAGCCAGGCAATGGCGCCAATGTCCAAATGGTTGGTGCACTCGTCGAGCAGCATGATATCGGGCTCGAGGAACATGGCTTTGGCCAATGCGACACGCATACGCCAACCGCCGGAAAGGAAGCTGACTGGGCTATCTTGCTGCTCTTCTGAAACGTCAAGATCGGCCAGGATGGCACGCGCGCGGGCCTCGGCGGTGCTAGCGCCCATCTCGTCGAGCTCAGCATACAGGGTAGTAAGCACGTCGGCAGCTACATCACTGTCGTTCTTGCCCTTGGTGTAGAGCTGGCTACGGATCTCGCCTAGCATGTTGTGCTCAGCCTTGAGAGCAATCGCGCGGGCAGTTTTACCGCGTTGACCGCTGCGAATAGTTGCAATGGTCTGTGCCTGCGTGATGCGCTCGGTGGCGATACGCGCAATGTACTTGTCCAGTGCTGAGTTTAACCCCACAGGATCAGCAACGGCTGCCTCAAGGGCTTGCACATCATTGACGCGCTTCTGGCGCTCAACGTCGGCTGCCAAAACAGCCTCAAGCACAGTGGTGCTGGTTTCGAGCACATCGAGCTGCTGCACGTAGAGAGTGCGGATGTTCTCTGGGAAGCCGATAAGCGTCTTGTTGCCAATAGCGTTCAGCAGCGTCGACTTTCCGACTCCGTTGCGCCCGATAAAGCCGTAATGGTAGCCAGCCTTGAACCACAGGCGGCTGTCAACCAGCATATCAACGTCGCCAATGGTCAGGTGGACGTTGCGCAGGTCGACGTCCTTGGAAAGCGTCACCACAGTCTCGTTGTGGAACCGCGACTGCTGCGAGTAGGCGCGAACAGGCGGGAACTCGATTGGTTTCCGCCTTTCCTTCTTAATAGGCTTGGTCTGGATCATTCAGAGGGGTAGCGAGGGAATGTACCGGTATAAATGGCAGGGGCGAAAGGGAATCTGGGAGGAAACAGGTATTGCAAGTAGAGGATAAAGCGGAGAGTAGAAGCAGGAGTCGGGTTATGTCTTGGACAGCGTTTTATAGCTGAGGTCTGATTGTTATTGCCGACTGCCGCAGCAGGCAGGATGCCGAAGGTGCAATGGTGCAAGTGCACTAAATGTCAACAAGAGGCGGGTGGTCATATGGACTGCGGCCACTCAGCAGCAGTATCCACAGCACCTTGGTGGTGCCGCTGCTGGCAATATAGCGATCTCCAAATTAGGTGCACGGATCATATGATCATGGATCGCGACACTCGCGACACTCACGACAGCGCGTTCGGCTGAGAAGCATGCGCAGAGGCTCTCCACAGCAATCTAAAGCCACAGTTTTCCCTGCTCTATCTTTGCTCCTCCCTATTTACACTGTCTTGAGAATTTTTTTATAAACACAGGTACGCCATGGGAATATCCGGACTACTGCCGCTGCTGCGCGAAACCCAGGAGAAAGGCCACATCGAGCAGTTCGCTGGGCAGACAGTGGGCATCGACTCTTATATATGGCTATACCGCGGCGCATTTTCGTGCGCAGCAGACCTGGCGCTGGGCAAGCCGACGACCAAGTATATCGCCCACTTTATGAGCCGAGCCAAGATGCTCCGTCACTACAACGTCGAACCTCTGTTTGTGTTTGACGGCGGACTTCTGCCGTCGAAGGAGTGCACAGAGCTGGAGCGGCAGCGGAACCGCAAAGAGCGCCGCGAGAAGGGAATGAAGCTGTGGGGCCAGAGCAAGAAGAAGGCTGCGTTTGATCTGTTTCAGCGGTCACTGGAGGTGACGCCGCAGATGGTGCGGTGTGTGGTTGACGAGCTGAAGAAGCACGGGTTCAAGTATGTGGTGGCGCCATACGAGGCGGATGCGCAGCTGGCGTACTTGGAGTCGCAGGGCGTGATCTCGGCGGCAGTGTCGGAGGACTCGGATCTGATTGTATTTGGGTGCCAGAAGATTATCCTGAAGATGGACCAGTACGGCGATGCAGTGATGTTTGACCGGAGCAAGATGGATGCGGTGACGGCGGTGGACGTGAAGGGCTGGGATAAGGACCGGATCCGCGGGATGTGCATTTTGTCGGGATGCGACTACCTGCCTTCAGTGCCAGGCATTGGACTGAAGAAGGCACACAGGTACATGGCGCGGTCAACAGATCTGGCGATGGCAGTTAGGCTGATGCGCAATGAGGGGTGCAAGGTGCCCGACGGGTACAAAAAGGAGGTGCGTAGAGCCGAACTGACGTTCCTGTACCAGCGCGTGTTCGATCCACGGTCGCGCACTATGGTCCATGTCACCAAAGTTGACGAGAGCACACCGCCGCTGGATGAGATGCCGTTCATCGGCAAGCTGCTTGAGCCTGCTATCGTGCGGGACATAGCTGACTGCTTGATTGATCCGATCTCCCTGGACCGGTTCGCGCAAGGTGCAAAATCGCTCTCTTCTCCGATGGCACCCACAGCAGGATCCACATCGGCCCATTTTGAATCGCTGTCTACGTCCGAAAAGCCGCGGCCTGGCACACTGGTGTCGTTCTGGGCCAATCCAAAGGTGCAAATGACGCCCACGACTCCAGCAACCGCGAGTGCTGCTGGATGCGAGCTGGAGGTGCAGGTCAAGTTCCGTGGCAAAACTGCCGACAATTCGCTGGCGGTGCGCACACAGACGCACAGCAAGTTCTTTGGCAAAAAGACTGAGCCTGCTACGGTGGAACCCCCGGCTGCAGGATCAGAGACAGTGGATCTCACAAAAGACGAGACAGCAGAATTTGTGCAGCCAGAAACGCCCAAGGCAAAGGCTATTGATGAAGAATGTTCGCAGACGCTGACGATCATCGCAGAGACGGCCGACACACCGCAGACATTGCTGCCAGCCGAGTCGCAGGCAACGGAGGTTGAGAGCGCGTCGCAGGAGATGGATGCTGGGTGCCTGGCCAGCTCGCTTTTTGCCAAGTTTGGATACAGAGAGGCGAAAGTGCCGAACCACGCTGTGACGCCAAGATACAGACAAGGTAACGGCAGGCTTTTGAAGCCAAAGAGGCGCAGAAAGTGAGTATGTTGTATATTCTTTTCGCATAGGACTGCATTTGTAGTTTGCTAACAGAGCTGTATATAGGGTCTAAGCGCAATATTGGCGAGCAGCTGTCGGGCCTGCGTCGCGGGCACGCGAGTCGCAGCGCCGGGTCGCCGATCTCGCCGCCGAGCCTGTCGCCACTGGCCATCCAGCAAAAGTCGTCGCTGACGCAGCTGCGCGAGCGCGTGTCGCCGTTCAAGCGCAAGTGCCCGTCCATGCCAGCACACACCACGCCAACGAAGCGGCCTGCGACACTTGTGCAGCCGCTGGTAGACGACATTGTTGATGAATACGAGAGCGACAAGGAGAACCAGGTTGCAGTTCGCGCGTAGAAGCTTGTTGTTTGGTTAGGAATGCCGCTTGGAAATCCACGTTTTTGATCACAAGGCTATGCCGGGCAATTCTTCTGCTGTGCTTCCGCGCCAGTGACGGAATTCGACTTTCAGCACCGCATTGCACATTTTTCACATTCATTTTCCACTAGTTCGCCTTCACTTCCAATTTCCCGAATCCCTTGCTTTCCGCATTCTTTCTGAAATGTCTGAATCGAAGAAGGCGCAGATACGCACAGGACGACGCGGTGCAGGGTTGAATTCCACAGTAGCGCCAGTGGCCCCCAAACCACGGCCAGCACCGAGCAAACCAAACAGCGGTGGGCGGCGTGGCAAGCAAAAGCCAGAGCCTCTGCCAGCTATCCCTGACAGCCCAGGCAGCGCAATGGAGTTTGGGCTACTCCCTAGCAGGTCGCAGTCATCGCGAGCAGACGCGCAGGAATCACAGGCCCTGGCCAATATGCTATCAGACGGCGATATGCCCCTGGTTCTTGTGGCCGATAGCAACTCGCACATGAACCCGGCTGCCGAAGGCACCCATGAGCCCGAGAAGCGGCGGGCGCTGTCTGGTGGAAACGAGCCAGATTCTGTCCAGACGCCAGCCAAGCAGGTGCTAGTACAGCGGCCACGTAGCACAACTACAACACCGTTTGGCGGGCGCAAGAGAGGCATATTCACAAGGCCTGAAGGTGTGCAGCGCGCCGCAACCACACAGACTTACGCACCGCACAGCAGCAGTGTTAGCCCGACGGGCGGTGATACAAGCACATGGCAGCGTAATCACTCGGAGAATGAGCGGCCTGTAGTTACAAGGTCGGTATCTGGTCAGGAGCAGGCTGCGGTTGGTACAGACACACGGGCGGTGCAGTCGGCAACAGCCGCACATTTCCATATTGCCAGTGGCAATGTGCTTAACGACGCACAGAAACGGGTACCACGGCTGTCGAAGCGCGACAGCTCGATGACGGCCAGCACCGTGGAGATCCCCGAGAGCCTTGCGTCAAGCTTATCGACAGATCGATCGATGGCGTCCAACTCAGTAGGCCAGCAAAACTCTCGCTCAGAGGTGTTTTCGCCCACCAGCACGCTGCGTAGGACCGAGAGCGACGTAGTGATACCATCAGAGGGCACCCGGGGCACCCAGGTGAAGCCCAAGGTCTCTTCGTCGGTGTTTTCGCAGTCAAAGGCTGCTGGCCGGTCGAAGCGCGGTGGTAGCGGCGGGGATCTGCGCACCAGCGAGTTCAAAGGGGCAGCGAAGCCAGCAGCCAGCGGAGGCGTGTTTGGCAGCAAACAGCGTGCGAACACAGGCGAGCAGCTGCAGACTTCGGGCCATGACTCGGCCGATTTGGTGATCAACACGTCTCATAGCGGGCCTTCGGAGGCATCGAGTATGTTCTTGTCGCCAGGACCTGACCAGGGCTTTGGTGTTCCGCGAAATCGGCTTGCAGCAACACAGCGCAAGGGCGGACACGGCGCTATGACAGAGAGATCGGCAGAGGACTATCCAGGCCAGAATGGGGCTGACGGAAAGCGGGTATGGCTGTATACACCGCCAACGCAGCCTACAGCCATGGATCTTATTTTGTCAGGTGCAGCTGCCAACAACCCCCGCCAGGGATCGGCTCAGCAGGGCTCAGGTGAAGCCAGATCGGCACGTATGCCTAGTACTCAGAACGACTCACCGAATGAGACTAGCCAGCAGCTTATCAGCAAGCTATCCGGCACATCCGCTACGGCGCAGGGCGCCTCGGCTGGTGGAAAAGTGCATTACCGCCGCGACAGTGCCACGCGACAGTCGTCAGCCATGTCTGGATCAACACTGTTTGGAACCACTGGGCGAGTGACCAGTGCCGGTCGTATCGATCGCGATCACAGCGACCTTGCCGATGCCCACAGCACCGACAGCGCTCAGGCATCCAGCGGAGGGCAGCAGCTGCTCAGTCCCTGGGCGTTCACGCCAACGCGTGGGCACAAGAAGACCTTGGTGTTTGAGCAGCCATGGCGCTGGAACGCGGTAGCCCCGAGTCCCAACAAACAGCCAATCTGCGCAGTGGCTGGGCACGATGGGCTGGTGCTTTTGCGCATGGGCCCCGATCAGATCACGCAGGAGGCGCACATGGCAATGGGCCGCCGGTGGAACATGAGCATGGATTTCAAAGATGTCATTTGGCGGCCGTCAGAGTACATCACCACTGGCTCGAATGACGGAACTGTGACGATCTGGGACCCTGAGCGCCGCACAGACCAGTTTGTGCGCAAATTCTCCGACTACTCGCGTCCCGTCAACCGTCTGACACCGAAACCAGATAACCCGTATTTCGTGTATGCGGCATACAGCGACGGCTATATTGTCGGCTGGGATGTGCGCGCATCTGACCGCAATTCTGGCACCCGGCTGACTGGGTCGCTGACCGCACAGGATATCGATTGTACACCCAGCGACGCGTCAAAGATTGCGGCAATCACGCAAGAGGGACGACTTCTCGTCTGGGATGATCGCAAGCCGACAACGCCGTACCTGAACTTTGATGCGCATCCGGCATACCGTGGGCAGTGCATTGCGTGGCACCCGAACGGCCGATTTATCGGCAGTGGCGGCAGCGACCAAGCAATCAAGGTCTGGGATATCACTACGGCGCCGAAAAAGTTCAGCGTATCCCCGTTCTGCGCAATCCGCACTTTGGCGCATGTGCATAAGCTGCAGTGGCGACCGGGCCACGACACACAGTTGTCGTCGTGTGCACTGTCATCCGATATCCGCTTCCAGGTCTGGGACATGCACAATCCGAACCACAGCTTGATGTTCCATGACCGCCACAAGGGTGCCATCAGCGGGTTTACATGGTACGACGATGACGTTGTATGGTCCAGCACTCGTGAGGGCGATGTCGTTCAGTGTGATATGCAGAACGATGCTGTGTTCACAGCTGGCCTGATGGGCAATACAGTCGCTGAGTTCAGCTCCCAGCACCACTTGGCGGTGGCAACCGGCGAGTTCTTCCAGCGTAGAAGCAGTTGCATTGAGCATATCATGGTCGACGTCTCTGCGACGCAGAAGCGCCAAGGCGTGGTCCAAAAACCCGGCGGCAGCGCCTCGGGACAGTCTACATTTAGCGGTTCAGCCAACCCGTTGCTAGCGGGGATCAAAAACTCGGGCAAAATGTCGTTGGAACTGTTAAAGTACCAGACCAATCTCCCCCAAGCCTTCTTGGATGAACACGTTCTTGACCACAAGCTGACTGGCGAGCCCAATGCAATGGCGTACTTGGCGCGTACATACCGCTTTGACCCGGATGAGTTCTCCGCGTGCTGCGAGCACAACGCCAAAATATCCAGTGCGCGGTTCCCTGAGATCTCAAGGTTCTGGCGCTTTTTGTCTACAATGCTTGGCGATTCACTGCCGCTCAAGCCACGCAAGCGCTCAGGCAAGTCCCGCAAAAAGGGGACCAGCGATCTGCAGTCCGAGCGCCAACTCAGTAGCGTCGGCAGCCAGTCCTCGCGGGTGCGTCGCGCGTGGTTGCGGTCTAATCTCTCCGAGTCTATCAGCCGCGCCAGCTCGAGCGTGTTCCTAAGTCGATCTGTCATTGACAGTTTGCCTGATGGGGGCGACGGATCCAGCGATGGCGAATACCACATGCCCTCGACTTTAATGCCACAGGCGCCTTCGATTTTGCAGTCTGGCAGGACGTCACCAGCATCGTTCTCTGCTCTTTTCCAATCGCCATCCAACAGGAGTATTAGCCGCGGCAGCGAGACACGGTTTAGCGAGATCTCAGAAACATTAAAGCATGCAAAGGCCAACCGCCTGCTGCCCGCAGTTATGTTGCAGAGCGAAGGTAGGGAGACGATGTCCAGATCAATTCCAAATCTGCAGCATATCATGTCTGTCTCGACACGGCCCAGTAACACCCCGTCGCCGCTTGCCCGGCCGCTAGCGCACTCAATGTCTAGCCCCTCTGCAGACGATATGGCGCTGCATATTACGCAAAACAGCAATGCGCTCCGACCGAATAGCGTTGTGCGCAGCAGGACCACCGGCAGCATAGGCTTGCCATCGCGTGCTACCGAACTGTTGCCGCTGACATCGGCTTCAGCGCAACCGCAAGAACGTGCGCAGTTTTTCTTTGCAGACACAGCAGATATCCCATCAGGCGTCGCAACTCCCAATCTTGCCCTTGTCGCTTCTGGCGCTGTTTTGCCAGACGCCGCTCCTACGGTGGCACCAGCAGCCAATGGTGTGCAAACAGCAGCCAAGCTGAATATCCGCACGCAACGGTATGCAACCAAAAAGGAACTTCGGCTTGTTGCAGATTCATGCCAGTACTACGCTGACAAGGGCGACGTGCAAACTGCCGTGACCGTAGCTCTGCTGATGCGCGGCTTTATTCGAATCCACAAATGGCGTGCCGCTGAGAACTGGATGCTGGCGTACATTGACCAGCTCGACCAGCAGCGAGAATTCGAGGCAGCGACCATGATTGCGCTAGAGTCCCCGTTCAAGTCTGTCCGCGATGCCATAGAGACACGCAACACCGTTGGTATCGAATGCTGCCACTGCCGATCCACATTGATGCAGCTACCAGACACGGGCTTGGCACTGTGTGTTGAGTGCAAACGCGCTTCCACTCAGTGTGCGGTGTGCCAGGAACCTGTCATTGGTAGATTCGTGTGGTGTCAAGGATGCGGCCATGGTGGTCATGCAGACCATTTCCATGAGTGGTTTGACGACCTGGATCAGACCGAATGTCCATCTGGATGTGGCCATGCCTGCAATCTGGTCCCAGGCGTTAGCTAAAAATGCGGTCTGGTAGAATCACATCAAACTAATCGACTTGCATCGTGGCCATTCTAACTGTGCTATCCGTCGCAATTAAAATACAACGAATGTTATGCTATGTTGACCTTTTGCTATCCTCAGGCACTGCTGTGCTATTGTTGAATGTCCACCGGGGAACGCCTGGTGGCAGCTGTGTGTGCGCCGGCAGCCTGAATGGCGGAAACGGCGTGTATGTCTCTGGCGAAATCGGCTCGTCTCCAGACTTGTCGAAGCTGACTCTGTCGTTCCTCAGCAGCTCGACCACCTGCTCGTTCAGGTTCTCTCGGTCCAGGCTCGCAAACTGTGCCTTCTCTTCGTCGGCCAGCAGCGCCTTTGCTCGCCGTGACAGCTCCAGCTGCCGGTCATTCCACGCCTGCACATACTTTGCATATACCTCTCTTGCATCCTGCAGCCGCGCCTCAATCGTCGATCTGCTGCTGTCTGCCAGCGTCGGTGTTGGCAGTGGTCCCAGGTCTGGTGCATTTCTGGTTGGATCCAGGTAATTGTCGGCGACGCTGGCCAGGTACGCCAGGTTGGTCTGCAGCCGGTTCTGGTACATGATCAGCTGCGGGTCGTCCATCAGGCTGTTGTTCTGGTACTCTTGGCAGAGCCTGATCAGCTCGCTGTTGATGTTCAGGACCATCTGGATGATGCTGGTCTTGAGACGCGGCAGGTACGGCTGCTCCTGGCCATCGTCCACCTGCTGCGCTGTTTGCGAACGGGCTTTGGGGGTGAATGTCCGGGTGCTGGTGGGCTGCTGCTGCTGGTCGTCGTCGGAGTTGTCATCCTCGAGCGTTACCTCGATGTCGCTGTCTTTTCCGGTGTCGCTGTGCAGGTAGCCGTCCATGTCTGGGTTTAAGGTTGTGGTAGTGGTGAGAGATAAAGCGGCTAGCAGACACGCGCTGTGAGAAAGGGTGCACAATATATCCCCTGGCGGTGCATGGCAGATTTTGGGCTGTGAGGCATTCGTGTAAACAGATGCTGGAGGAGCCGCATCCCACTCCCATTTTGCAGGCAGCCAGTGGCACGCCTCTCGGGGAGTAGTCGGTAGCATGTTTCGATCTACGCAGATGCTGTAGTGCTTGCTGGGTGTGCGATCAGCATATGGAAATACACACGTAAATCGTTGCACGGCAGAACTTGCATTCGCCCAATGTGTCCGGCTGGCACTTGACTGATCGCACAACTCTAACTACACTTGTTGCCGAAGTTGTGCATGTAGCCGCAGCCATGGGCCATTCCAGGACTGCTCCTGCGCCACCCAGCAACCCTTGGGCAGAGCTTTTTGCAACAAGCGAAGGAATGATTCATATTAGCCATATCATGCTCAAGTGTTTTAGGAATCACAACGAACCCAAGATAATAAATACCCAAGCGAACAGAGTTGCGGATAGGATCCTTTTCAGATTCACTATACCTTTGATTTTATAGCCTTAGTTCATTTGATGCACATCTCTCAATCACAGACTAGCTAACAGTCAGAACACCATGTAGTTGCTATTTGGTTACAGCTATGATTTTATTGCTAACAAATACTCCACAAAACCAGGAATAGTGCGGATCCTCCTTGTTTTCACAGTCGACATTTTTACAGAACAGCGCATTTTTAGAGACTTCTCGTTCGAGTTATATACCACTGTTACTACTACTATCGATAGTGTAACACATGCCTTTCAACACACCTCCATCATCGAAGCGTAGGGATGAGGTGCCACTCAGTGCTCCAAAGAAGTGCAAGCCGACAGCTGTGCTGACCGCACACGACTGCTCACCGGTGCCGTTCAACCTTGATGACGCATATAGCCGCCATCTCCTTGACGGCTCCACTTGACTTTTTGTAAATACCGGTTTGGTTGTGAGTAAATAAGAATGGAATATATTTCTGGAATTCTGAAGAAACAAAAGTGGAGAGGACTTGAGAGGCTGCTATAAGCGGCCATCTCTCATCAGAGGTTACAAGTCCTCATCAAAGCTTTCTGTCGATACCAAGGGGTTAGCAGGCTAGGTGTTTGGTGCTTAGACATTGGTTGGCTGTTCCTTGGAATCATCGGAGCTTGCTGTCATCGGCTTGGCTCCACTCGCCTGAGAACAATCGCAGAAGATTCGATCCTGGACAGCCCCATTTCGGCATTCCCAGCCAGCGATCCCCGCACGCCTGACCATCACAACAATGCGCACGCTATTGCGGAACACCCGGCTGCCGAAGGTGACATGTCCGCACTACCGGTCTCACAGCTCACCACACCGGTCCGCTCCAGCACGGAGCGCCGTATCGCTGAAAATCCACCTTGCGACAAGAAACCGGCCCTGTTCCACTCGCCGCCTGTCACCAAGCTCACGAAGGCTAAGAAAAGCGGTAAGTGCATTCAAGCGGATATCGACATGAGCACCAGAGTTGGCCAGGTACTGACAAAAAACATCTATGCCGCTTTTGCCTGTAGATGCGCCAGTGAATCCAACCATTGTCAAGAACAGCAAGCAAACCCCCGTCAAGTCCACGGCGAACAACTCGACTGTACAGTCGAACAAGGTGATGTCGCCGAGCGATCTCAAGGCAGAGAGGGACAAGGAGGCATCCCTCTGGGTCAGCGAGTGTCTTCTCGGCGGCATCGACGCTGTTCTTGGCCTCCTCCACCCCCGCACCAAGGACAAGGCTGACCTGGCAGCCGAGATCACAGACCACATTTCGGCAGAGCTTGAGTGCCACCTCGATGTGGCCAACGACATGGCGGCCAACCGTACAGGCGCAGCAACTGGCCATCCCAGCACGCGGCCTGGGCAGCAGCAGCCACTACCCATCAGCGACTCCCACCCACTACCAGTGCTAACACCTAGCCCCGACACTCAGGCTATGGTCGAGTCGCTCAATGAGTGGATATCCTCCACTCATGCAGCCAGATCGACCGCTGGAGCATCAGGCCGCGCAGAGCGGAAGATGTACCTGCCGATCCAGCAGTTCTCGCTATTCGTAGCAAAGAACGAGGACAGTTTTGTCCGTGCGCAGGCAGGAGACAACGCGAAGTGCGATGCAGTGCATCGTCGGCACATCCTGCCATATCAGATATACGACTGCGCACCTGTCGGAAAGGACGATGACCGGCGGGTGGATATCGGGCTGGCCACTCGCGAGCTCAGCCACAAGAACAAGGCCGTGGCACTAGTAGAAGATCCTGTCGACTACAGCGACATGCTCGCTGTGGTCGAGGTGAAGCCCGGCAAGACCCCAGCGCTGGTGCGCCAGGCACATGCGCAGCTGCTTCTGTGCAGCCGAAACATGTACTCCAGCCAGGACTGGCGCCGCTTCCTCTGGGGCATGTCAGTCTGCGACACCGAGGTGCGGATATGCCTGTTGTCGAACGACAGGGTCTTTGCATCCAAACCCATTGACGTCGCCACACCAGACGGCCGCACCAAGTTCATCGAGGTGCTGGTGCACTTTTCACTGTGCGATTTCGACCAGCTTGGCTTCGACACGACGATTGACTGGTGCTTCGAGCACAAGTGCTGGATGATCGAGGGCCCGAGCACCAGCGGCAGGTCGTCAGGCAGCGCCACCACAACCTATTACTGCGACCAGACCCTGTTCAGCGCGGATAATCTGTTTGGGCCACATAGGCGCTGCTTCCTGGCCAGCGACCATCCGCCTGTAAATGGGACTGTTGAGCCAAAGTTCCTTATCAAGGACGCATGGCCCGAGGTCGAAGGCGGTCTAGCCAGTGGCCGCAGCGAGATCGATTTCCTGAACGAGATCAGAGACGCGGTTACGGATCCGGAAATCATAGTGCCCAGACTCCATGGCTGGTGCAACGTTTGCATCCAGGTGGACGGTAAGGTGCTGGAGGACAACACGAGAAATGTACTCGGGCCACTATTCAACCACACTGGGCCGGAAGGGAAGCCTATCCCATTCCGCGTTCACACACGGGTGGTGATGAGGGCTGTCGGATTCCCCCTAAAGTCTGTCACCTCGGTCCACGACTTCATCGTTGTGTTGGGCGATGCAATGCGCAGCCATGCTGAAATCCTCAATAGGTGCGGCATTCTCCATCGGAACATATGCGATGAGACGATTCTTGCAGTGGCAGATGAAAATGGGCAGATGCGCGGGCTGCTGTTTGATTTCGACAACGCACTGAAAGTAGAGGAGGAGCGGAGGTTTATACGCAGTGGGCAGATTGGAGTGCTCCCATTTATGAGCATCAACACCCTTTCAGGATTCGATGTGGAGCGGTCAGTGCTAGATGACTGGGAGTCGCTGATATATCTCATATGCTGGTTCGCCACCATCGGAATCTGCAGAGAGAAAGCTGACAGGCGATCGTTGGATGAGCTTGAGAATTTGGATATCAGAAACTGGAGAAGGGGATCGGCTAAGGAAGTATCAAAAGTAAAGGAAGACCATATGTTCAGCAGCACTATCCTCGACAACAAAATCCTGGACCACTTCCATTTTGTTGAAGATGTCGGAATCCTTAAAGACCTAACTGAGGACCTTTACATGGACCTGTTCCAAAATCCGAATCTGCGAAAGGACACTCGGTGCGACGGCAGCCGTTATAAAGGCACAATGGATGTAAAGGTCAGAGGTGAGAAGGAAAAGCCAGATCCATTCAAGGAGCGGCTAACCAAAAAGAGCGAAATCGCCGCAGCCCTACTTGAGACGATGACACAGGCATGGAGGACCTCGAAAAGCAAGCTTTAGACATATTCTCTGAAATATAATACATTCATTGTATCCTTCTTCACCCCAGAACGGCAGCCTGCATCTCGTTCATTATAGCCATTTCCGGGTTTACTTGCGAGTACTGCATTTAGATACGAAGGACAAATGCCGATATATGCCGAGTTGGCATGTAAAGGCTCATGGCAGACACTCATTATACACAAACCATGAGTGGATACTTGCAATGACCTGGGAGGGTCACTGACTTGGCACGGCATGTGTGAATGCCACCATGAAAATGCGATGCCGCTTGTTCGCGGCTCGGGGGGTTTGACAGGCTGTTAAAATGCACAAGCATGTTCTTTGCAGAGCAGGCGGATAGCGACTGCTGCCAGTTGCAAGCGGGGAGGGAAAGACAGCCCCGCACATCCTTTTAGCAAGTGCATATTCGGCAAAGCGCCTTCTCCCGAGAAGCACACGGCGGACAGACAAGTATGCACCAGGTGCTTAAACTGATGGTGCACCGTGTATTCTGCGGGTGGGAGGAGAGCAGCATATGCGTCAGCGCTCTTGCAGGGGTGCTCTGAGTACTCTCTGACAGCCAAGAGACACCGTCCTCCTCCTCAGAGCACTTTCTTCTCTCCTTTGTGTATCGATGCGTAGTCCGCTGGTTAGTTCTGGGTAGTGCAGTCTGGATTTGTTCTGTATAGCGCACTGTTCGCCTGTTGTTTGCCGCCTCTCCGCAGATTGCGAGCCAGCTTCCTTCCCTCCAGTGTCGTCTGCCTTCCACTCTGTCGTCACCATTCTGCGAGTAGCTACTGCGGCCATGCTGGCTTTTGTCCTTTTGCAGCGGCTGTATCCTGGGCTGGGTCCCAGATTGTGTCTCGCAGCCACTGGGGTTTGGATATGTAGCGGGTCTCGGTCGAGGTTTACGGTTAGGTCCAGGTGGCCAACGTCCATCTGCGGCTGCAGTGGCTGGTGGCAGTGTGCATGCCGATGGTGGAGCAGGTGAGTGACATCGACCAACACTCGGGGGTAGGGAGATGCTCAAGTGTGTTAGGCTGTCGCAAATGGCGCACGAACAGTGCGCTGTGCAGATGGATAGCGCTACATTGAGTATGGCAATAAATATAGGACCATGCCATCTACATCCGCTGGGGACTGCGAAAACACGCGCCTTGAGACCCGGCTCCATAGTTGGCCGCTTTGTGGTGCTGCTGTAATATTCTGGGCCATATCCATGGGAGCCTCGCAAGGCGCGTTGTATTTCACCCTCGCCTCAGCCATGCCCAACCCCATCGTTTTCTTCGACATCACCATCGGCGGCAAGGACGTCGGGCGGATCAAGATGGAGCTGTTCGCCGACAAGGTGCCCAGGACAGCCGAGAACTTCCGCCAGCTCTGCACCGGCGAGCATCGGGTAAACCACGCTCCGCAGGGGTACAAGGGCAGTCCGTTCCACCGCATCATCAAGGGGTTCATGGCACAGGGTGGCGACTTTGTCAAGGGCAACGGCACGGGGCGCACGTCAATCTACGGCGACAAGTTTGCCGACGAGAGCTTCGAGCTCAAGCACACAGGTCCTGGTCTGCTGTCAATGGCCAACAGCGGCGAAAACACGAACGGGTGCCAGTTCTTCATCACGCTTGCCGAGGCGCCGTGGCTCGATGGCAAGCATGTGGTGGTTGGGAAGCTTGTGGATGGGCTGCTGACGCTGCGCAAGATCGAGAACGTGCCGACTGGACGAGACAACAAGCCCACGCTGCCGGTGCTCATATCAGAGTGCGGTGAGATGTAAACGATATTCCAACTGTAGAGCCGTGTATTTCTTTGGAAAAAATAAAGACACTTGCCAGACTAGTTGCAATAGCCGTACAATCTGACCTTTGAATTCCTGCAATCCACTAGAGATATCCTGAACTAAGAAGGAGTCAAAGCTAATATGGCTACAAAATCAAGATGTATATTGATCCAGTCACAGGATATCTTTGGCTAGTTATTTCTTGTCTTTAGGAGAAGCCGAGCGGCGCTTTTCTGATGGATCTTGGGGGCTAGTACGCGATGTATTTGCTCTAACTGCATCATCAGAGATAACCAAGTTAGCAATATCTGCTGCAGAGGGAGTCCTGGCGATAGTAGGATTTGCTGTCGAGGACTCGACAACAGATTTCGGTTTGGGGCCGCGCTTCTTTTTGGCTCGTCGCTTGCATGTAATTTTCAGCTTCAAACAGTTTTCGCAAGGATTCCCACCGTCACAGCGTGTCCGCGCTATGTGGCAATACTCGCATGCTTGCTTGCATCGTTGCTTACGGAAGTGGCCGAACTTGGGCTGTTGAGTGCGAGATACCAAAGAGTCCTCACTTGATTCCATTGGTGCAATCGGCTTGAGATGCAGGGTTAGCGTTGACTTCACCTGGTCGGCCGAAGTGGTTGAGATACCATATACAAACTTTTTCGATGCGTCTGGCTCTGGCTTTTTCGTTTCACCTTGTCGAAGACGCAGTAGAGCAAGGGCAGCAGTGCTCTTATTCTTAATTCCTGGTGAGCCGGTGTCCTTTGGATTACTCTCTCCTTTTGATCGAGTTCCCAGCGAGGGTTGTAGCAGAGTATCTTCCTGGTCTATGACGGAGCCCCCACGCCTATTTGATGGCTCTTCGTCGCCCATGTGCTGGTGAAAATAATTATAGGCAATTAGAAAGAGAACGCTACCGAAATAAAATTGAAATATAGTAGATAAGGGATATAGTATAAAACAGAGTCTGCAGGTTATCTGGCCACGCAAGCTGGCTAGTCCTCCCCTGCCAGCACCGCCTCTCGTACTCTCAGCTAGCGGTGTCCGATCCGTCGACATTCAAGCAGGACTATTCCAATGGATCCCCCGCCAAGTTTCCCAAGAATCCCCCACCAGCTAGCCGTTCCACAAAAACACGCGCAAATCTTTCCGAATTGCGCTTCCGTTTGCCAGCGGGCCGGGAGACATGTTGTGCTGTTCAGGCTGCGCCAGAGTGAACAACAATGTCCATTTGAAAGGGCAGCAAGTTTGTATATACGCCACAAATGCCATGTCTTGGATACCGCATTGCTGGGGAAAGGTCTTTCTGATGAGGCCGACAATCGCCTCGTTGGTGGCTGTTTAGTTGCCGGGTAGATATTGTGCTGGCAAGTAGATGCCAAAATAATTGCAATTGTGTATCTATCTGGACATAGACGTGCTAAGGTTATTTTTAAATAGTGAGAAACGACAGCTGCTCTGTTGCAACTGCTGCCTCGTCAATGTTCATTAGCTTGAGTGTCTTGATAAGAACGCCAATGTTCCAAACTGCTGTCATTTTTTGCAATGTCGTCCAAAGTATCTTGATGTTTCCTAGCACACGTTTCAGCTCGTTGTCCCATGCCGACAGCAACATCTCTGTATCGTCGGCCTCACCCAGCGCCTTTTTACACCTACGAAGTTGGTGGAGCAGCACGCCTAACGCAACAACAATCCCCAGACCAACCGTCAACTCGAATCGACTATCAGGCACGTCTTTCTCCCGGTCCAGACAGCAGGCAAAATCGTGCGAGCACTCAACGCACTCCCTTATCGAATCCAGCTGGATATCCTCGGCCAACAGCCCCTGGCCCCAGATCTTGCCAAAGGCAATGTTTAGAATCATGCGCAAAATCTTCTCTTGAGGATCAATTGGTGAGCTGAGAGATGGTTCAAGCTCGCTTGGCCGCTCATACTCGTCAAAGAAGGAGCGGCGATTCGACGAATGGAGCGCAACGGTAATCATGCACGCGAGGCTCTTGAGGGAAAGATATCGTGAGCGCAAGACGCATATGCGGTGGTCAGATGTGCCGAATATTTTTGCGCGTTCGATGTCAAAGCTGGTGTCCAGAAGGTGCTGAGGTGTTTCTGCGCGCTTGGACAGCCTCTGCACGTAGTCCGCGTACCTTTTGAATACTGGGTCGTCGGAGATAAGGTGCCCCTTGCGGTCGATCGCATAGACCAAATGGCCGGATTCCGGGATAGGTCCAAGATACTCAATTGCAGGCATGGGTCGTTCAAGGATCGTTTCCAGTCCCTTGCTCTCTGACCGCGCTGTACGCGTATCGTGCAGGAAGTGGGTAACACGTCCAAGGATAATATTGTACTCGCAGAGCAGTGCGAATGAGTGAGAAAGTGCACCGCTGATTACAACCTGGGTTTCTCTCTGCATTGGTATGCTGCCTGCCACATCCATAGTCGCAGACCCAACTGACTTCCCTGCTGCTGGCAGTGCTGCTGCTGCTGCTGCTGCTGCTGATGATGATGATGATGATGATAATGTCGCTTCTGCTGATAAGGTCGCTGCTGCTTCTCCCTCTACCGCGCTTGTCATAGTTGGATCCGCCAAATCCTGCTCCGCGACAGCTTCGTTTTGTTGTTGAGGCGAGGGAGGCGTGAAATCAACGTCAATCCAGTCGGAATCAGCACAAGGGCAGCGCACAGACACAATTGACTCGGGGATACTGGTCCGCCAGCCCTGAAACGAAGAGATGAGAAACTCGTTCTGGTACGCTGACCAGAAAATGCGCCGTTTGGTCTCAACCTCAACCCACTCGTCCCAGGAGGCTGGCCTCCGCGTCCGGTACAAATCTACTTCGTGCCAATCGAACCGGAGCATAAGGCAAGAGAGAGAGGCAAAAATCGCTGCACATGCATCCCTACGCTGGCATGAGACCTCAACTAACGCAAGCAATAGCAAAATCTGCATGGTTTCAATGGTTGGCTCCTGAAGTCTGAACAGGATCTGGGACTTGACGCGAGCCGCTAATGCTTCAACGTCAACGTTCCGTCCATAGTCGGCATTCAAGTAGTTTGACGTTCGCGCTTTGAGAATGTCAATTAGCAAGGGGTCGACTTCGTTCGCTACAATGCCGCGGATAAATGTGGAGGGGTGGAAGATCGGACCGTACGCGTAGAGATATTCAAAGTACGCTAAGACCGCCTCGCGCGTTTCGGGCTCGACCTTGTCGGAGTAAAACTCCTTCATCAGATCGCCCGCCGGCGGTGCGCTGAAGGCAGCGGTGGGTGGCTCCTCAGCAGCATTTGGTGGGTTTGCTGGTGGGACCTCAATAGACTGTGGAATGCCCTCCTCAGGGGATGCCGAGCGACGCAAGCTCACCGACTCGGGTGTGCTGGCTCGCGATATACCAACACTGCTGCCTCCATCTTCGCTGGCCACAATCAAGTTTTGAATGTCAGCTGCCGACCCCGTTCTACTACCGTAACTTAGAGGTGCTGTTGAGTTGCCAGGCGGTTTCTGCTGCTGCTGCTCCGAATCGACTGGTGCTGCTGCTGCCTTGGGTTTTGGTCCACGCTTCTTTTTGGTCCTCCACTGGCAGCGCACGTCCTGCTTGATGCAGTTATCGCATGGGTCGCCACCCTCACACTTGATACGCCTGGTGTGGCAATAGTCACATGCCTGCTTGCGACGCTGCTTCCGATACTGCCCAAAGGTTGGATCATATGCGTGACGCGTCGTCAGAGGGGAGTTTGGCCGCTGGGGAGCAATGGGCGGCAGGAGCTGAGCAGCAGGCCGCAATGGCATGTTGGTTATCCTGTACCTGGATACTGGCCCAAAAGAGTACGGTTGAAATCTATATGCGACCGTTGGGTTGACGTCAAGGCGAACAGGCCTAGCGTCGTATGACTGGCCAGTGCTACTAGCTGCAGGTGATTGCGGCATGCTCGTGCTACGTGGTCCCTGATAAGGAAGCTGCGCCATATCTGGGCGTTGGTCGCCTGGGTGGTCAAGAGTCTCCCGCACACGCTCTCGCCCAGAGTCGTGCTGGCTCTGTCGCAGGTGCAGCAATGCGATTGCCGCGCTGCTATTTGGCCTGGCCATGTGCTCCCCGATCGCGGGTTCGGCTGCTACTGGCGCTGGCACTGATGAAGTGCTTATGCTGCCAGGCGATCCGCCATCGCTCGCACTATTATTCTCCGATGTGCTACGCACCTCTTGACCAGACGCAGTCTTCTCTGCGCCCTGCTCGCCCTGGCGGGGTGTCTCTTTGGCCATTTTGTCGTATGAAAACTAGGAGACAATTGGGAAATACTGTATTGCTGGCGAATATTAAAAATAGACGATGAAAAAGCATAGAGCAGGTGAAAGCGTGCCTTTACTGAAGCCGCTGTATATTCCAAGCGCAATCTCTTTTTTCTTCGTAATATCCTGGACGCACTCTGTCTGTTCCCCCCCACCGGTATACAGCAAAGGATGAACAGTGCCATGGGATTGCCAGTTTGCACGCCCTGAAAGCCGGCCCCAGCCAGTCATTTTGCACAGAAAGCAGGTGGCAATCGTTTCCGAATTGCGCTGCCGGGCCAAAACAGTGAGTGCCAAAAACATGAGCTGGCCAACACTGCGGGCGCGCAGAGTGAGGGGCATTAGGACAAACAAATGTCTATTGACTACCTTGGCTGGCCGCCGAGCGCGCCACAGGATTGTTTGGCCATTATCCCTTTGGCCGGCCAAAGGTAAGGGCATGGCGGTACGAGATGTGCACTGCCCCTTGCCAGCAATGGGTGCTCTTCCGCTGGTAGTGGAGGGTGGGGCAGCCAGCAGTATTAGCAGCGCACGATGCGACTGCAGCGATAAGGGTTTGAACATTCGTTACCGTGTGCAACCCCATTTTTTCCGTATCAGGCGCCCAGGGGTGGCAGGCTCTCTTATGAACTCCTGTGAGCTCTTATGAACTGCCTTCAGCCAGGCTGCCTCTGCAGATCGCAGGCCAATCGCTGGCGGATTGTGCGACGAATATGAAAGAGAACGCTATGCTGACTAAACAAGCTGGACTCTTCATAATTTGCAGTGCTGACATTTGCTATTTTGTCGGGAGCGTGGTAATGTGTATAGATCCACGTTGATATATGCGCCCCAATCATACCCACGCACCCACGTACCAATCACGCAATGTGCATCTGCGCAATAGCTCGATTGATAGCCAAGTGAAATGTCTCTCCGCCATGCTCATGCTGGAGAGCAGGGGTTATCAGACACTACAGCAGCAGGTAGCGCGTGTCAGAAAGATCCATTGCACAGGCTTTGGGTAGGACAATCATACGCGACTTCCCAAACTTCACTAGCTACACCCCAAAAAACCCACAGTAGAATCATGTGTGCCTAACAAAACGATGCCACAGCAAGTCACAGAATACCTGTGTACATGTTCGTATTTTTTGGTCTGATAATTGGAGTGGCATGCTATGCTGGTGCCCATGTCGAATGCTGAAGTGGAGCATACACAGGGGAATGCAGGCTAATGGAAGCAGGCAGAGCAGGTGGGTGCGCTCGCACTCTATTTGGTAAAGGCAGCGAGAGATGGCTAAGTTGTCGTACGAGACTATACAGGAGTCAGGTTAAAAATAGCAGGCTCCGGATCACCGACCCAAATTGGACGCACTAGCCAGTGTGTTTATAAATGGCACAGACACCCAATCAGCGCCCTTTTGGCTCTGCTTCATCGCTCGTTTCCCTTTGCAACATTTTCATCATGAAGGTCAAGATCAAGGACTGGAAGGCAGTCGCTGGATGGAGGTGGGATGTCCCCGACGACGATGTGTGTGGGATCTGCCGCGCTCCGTTTGACGCATGCTGCCCGTCGTGCAAGATCCCTGGGGACGACTGCCCGCTGATCTGGGGTGAATGCACACACGTTTTCCATATGCACTGTTTGCTCAAGTGGCTTGGGACAGAGAGCAGCCAGCAGCAGTGCCCGATGGACCGGCGGCCATGGGTCACTGCCAGCTGACAGCATGCAGCTACTGCAAAGAGGTCGAACCAAGAAAGCATTGACTGGGGTTTGGAAGACGCTATACATGTCTGCATTTCAGAAAATTGTTCAATATATCTCGTCAGTCACGTCGTTCTGGATTCGCATGCTCTGTTTCCGCCGCTCCATCTGCTGGGCAGCAGACAGCGGCTCGGGGACCTTGGCCTGGGGCTTCACACCGCGCCTCCCCTTTTTGCTGGCAGCCTGACCGGCAAATGCCAGAACAAACCTGGGTTCTGCTGCGCCTTGAAGCAGCGGGTTGTGAGCAAACGATCCACCGGTTTTGGCCTCCCTTGGCTTGGAAACGCTAGGTGCGGGTGCCTGAACAGGCGGTTTATCCAACGGGTCCATTCCATGGTCTTCGTTTGCCAGGGTGACAGTGTTGTCGCCAAAGTTGAGGTGCAGAACGCGCATACCGCGGCGCAACCGCGACTCGCGCTCCTGCTGTGCCTCCAGCCTCGCCTGGGCCTGCTTCTCTGCTTCGATTTTCTCCTGTGGCGACATCCACCGGCCAACAGCAAACGGATCAAAGTCTGACGACTGATCTATAAGCCGCGACCGCTGCGCCGCTGTTCTGTCATACTCCAGGAGCCGCTCCTTCCGTCTCATCGCCTTGACCCAGGATTCGGCCTGCCGCTGTGCTACTGGGTCGGCTGCGCTAGCATTGATTCCTAAAGCCTCGAATGCTGCGGCCAGGTACTCCTCCTCTGTCAATGTCTGACCACCAGCTATTGGCGTCTGAGCCATGCTGGCGCTGGCTGCTGCAGGCTTCTTGGTCTCTGTATCCCACAGCATTTCGGCCTCATGTGTGCCTATGCCACCGCCAGCCTTCATGCTGTACAGCATGCCGCGCGAGGGTAGCTTGGGCGCCGACTTGGGCGAATTGCCAGAATCCTCGTCTGCGCCCTGTGCGCGCCGCAGCAGCATCTTCATGTGCTGCTGGAGCTGTTGGTCAGGGCTCTCCACATCGTTGCCGCAGAACATGCACGGACCAGGCCCCTCGAGCTCGCAGATAATATGCCCACAGGACAGGCAGTTGGTAAACAAGGCGTGTTCGGATGCCTGGCATTCGCACTTGGTGCGCTTGCGGTTGGCTAGCTTCTGCTTTCGCTCCTCTTCAGCCTTGCGCTGGCGCTCCTGCTCCTGCCGCTCGCGCTTCAGCTGTCGCCGAGACTTTTGCTCAGGCTCCATACCAGCGGCTGGTGGGAGATCAGGCTCTGGTGTGTTCGTGCCAGCGGTTGCCTGGGCATAATTAACTAGCGGCGCTGGCTCGGGTTCGCCCGGGGGCGCCTTGTCCTCGGCCGGAAATCGCTTGGCAATAAGGTCAAAGGCAAAATCTAGAGCCAGCGGCGATTCGCCAAGCATGTCGAGCAATTGGCCCTGTAGTTCTGCCGGGCTGGCCAGGCCCGCCAAGAACTCCGCCAGCGGTCTAGCATCGCCCTCAGTCGCGCCGATAATCATCGCGACCTGCTTCGCCGCCCACGTAGTCTCTGCGTCTGTCAGTGCATGCGGCATTGTGACCTTGTTTTTTTGAATGAGGCGAGGGAAATTAAATACAAATCGCAATTCAAAAGTGGAAGAAAAAGAGGTCCTGGACCGCTCCTGGCCGCAGCCTGGCACTTACTCCCACAGCAGCTTGACCATATGTGTGCGATCTTCGCGGAAGCGTTTGGCCAGCTTCTTGCCAAAGACCTCGTACATGGCCTGCACAACGAACTCTGGATTCCACTGGCGCTCTCGCGCAAACTCGGTGAGCTGGTTCCGCAGGTCATCCTCTGTGATTGCGCTCTGGTCGCCCTTGCTCTGCGTGTACAGGTAGCACAGCAGCTGCGCCGACAGCACTCGGCCCGATGCCGACATGGCCGCCGCCGACAGCCGCCGACTTGCTCTGCGTGCGTCTAGCGATTCGACATCCTCATTAGCAACACTGTCGATGGTGTTGGCAAACACCTGGTCCAGGTACCCGTTGGTCACGTCCACCGCGTCTGAGTTGCTGATGATCTCGGTCAGCTTGGACACGTATGCATCGCGTATGTCATGCAGCGACGCGTCGTCGCCTTTGACGCCCTCCAGCGCGACCCGCAAGTCATTGGCCATGCGCTCCGAGTGCTCGACTGCCGTCAGCGGCCGCTTCTTGCGGTACATCTCCTTGCGCGTCTCCAGCATCCGCCGCTTGTTGGCAAACTCGGCCGTGAGCTGCTCGAGCTCCTTCCGCTTAGCCTTGAGCTGCGACATCGCTTGCTCCTCGCTCTCCTGACTAACTGCCACCTCCATGCGCAAATACGAGATATCCTTCTCGATCAATTCCAGCCCTGCAGTCTGTTCCTCCGTCTGCTGCTCCATCTCCTGGCGCCGGGCAACGGTGTCATCAAGTTCTTTCTCCAGCTGTGGGATCTTGGTCAGCCGCTGTTTGATCCGCGGTATCACCGCGAGCCTTTTCGCTTCGCTAGCTAGCTCTTCTTTGCGAAGGGCAAAGTCGTGGTAACTATTGGCGACCTGGTTGAGCCGCTCATTGACATCGGGCAGTTGGCACAGGTCGGCCAGGTCCACTGTCTTGTCGTAGAACTCTTCAAACGCCCGTGCGTCTAGCTCCTTGTCGCCCTCGACTCCTAGGTTCGCGTGCTGCACCCCGATACGCGACAGCATATCCTCGTATACCCCCTTGGTGGCCGGCGCGACAAGCTTGGCTTCCTGCGGCTCGGCGTCGCGCACAATAAACGAAGGAAGCGTGTCGGGCTCGAATTTGTGTTGTACACCAAGCGCCGACAAATTGTACCGCGGCCGGGACATGTCAAGCGCACATAGCTCACCAGCAGTCGAATCGAGCTTTCTGATAAGCGAGGACCGAATCGGCATGTTCGTTGAATAGTGTTGAGAATTGAAGGAAAGGTCTGAGCTGTGCACAGCCCGCCCGAAAGTGGCGAGCACAGGCAGAGCTGTGTTTACTTGACGCCTTGTGATTAGGCCATGCCATGTTGGAGATCAGATCACTGGTTGCAGCCATGCAAAAACCACATCACCACTTGCAGCGGTATCTGCGATCGCAGCGTCTCTTCCGCTCCGCAACCAGCTATTTCTAATTTCCAACAGCTATGCAGTCAATTCGGGCGTGGAAGGCAGCGGGTGTCTCGCATGTTGCCTCGTCTATGCGCTACTACTCCATGAGGCGTGATGCCGTCCGCCCAGTACGCGGTATGGTTGATCGACTCGGGCTTGCCTACCGCAAGTACGAGCAGATCACCGATGCTGGACGCAAGGCTGTCGAGTCCTTCGGGTTCCAGCCGATCACAACGCCTATTCTCGAATACTCCTCGATATTCGAGCGGTCTCTGGGGCAGGACTCGGATGTGGTCGGGAAGGAGCTGTACAAGTTCCAGGACTCGAGCAGCGACTGGATGACCATGCGTCCCGAGGGCACAGCAGCCGTGGTGCGCGCTGTGATCCATAATGCGCTGACAGCGAGCTTGCCGCAGAAACTATACTACTCAGGGCCCATGTTCCGCCATGAGCGGCCGCAGAAAGGCCGACTGCGTCAGTTTGAACAGTTCGGGGTAGAGGTGATCGGTATCTCGCATCCGGCTTCTGATGTTGAGTGCATCGAGTCAGCATGGAACTTTTTGAACAGTCTTCCTCTTGCAGGCGACCTGGAGCTGCAGATAAACACCATCGGCGATGCGGAATCGCGAATGGCATACCGCCAAGGACTGACCGCCTATTTGAGCGACTTCAAGGAGGACTTGTCTGAAGACAGCCGGAGGAGGCTCACAACCAATCCGCTCCGGATCTTGGACTCGAAGGACGAGAATGACAAGAAGATTCTGCTCCGTGCACCGAAGCTGGCCACATACATGAGCGACAATTCGCGCGATCACTTTAATTATGTCTGCAGGGGGCTTGAGGCCTTGGGTATTCCGTACAAAGTCAACGACAAGCTCGTGCGCGGCCTCGATTACTACCAGCACACGGTATGGGAGGTGGTCTGCAATTCACAGGGCTTGGGCAAATCGCAGGCAACGATTCTGGCTGGCGGCCGGTATGATGGGCTGGTCGAAACGATGGGTGGACCAAAGCTGCCTGGGATCGGCTGGGCTGCCGGAATTGATCGCCTGGCGCTTCTTGTTGCTGACCAAAAGGTTCAGCTTCCGCCAGCGCCTATCCCCGTCCTGATAATTCGGAATGGCACCCAGACCGAAGGCTCTGAACTGAACAAGCACACCATTGATCAGTCACTGTACAATTATGCTATGAAGGTTGCGCAGGTCATTCGCCAGAAGCACAAATCGTTCGTGTACCATCCCATCATCAATCCTCAAAAGAAGGTCGTGAGCAGCATAGCGTCACACCCACCAGTCTCGAAGCAGTTGGCGCATGTGCTTGGAGCCGATCTTATACCGCAAAAGGTTGTTCTCGTGGGTGGCGATGAAATGGAGAGTTCATCTGTAGTTTTGCGCGACACAGAAACAAAAAAGCAGACCAAGATGAGCCTGGACGAGGTCTTGACTGCTTTGTCGTAGATTTGTCGCTTGATAATAATAATTCAGTCATGTGGTTGGGTCGACATTACAATCAGTGTCAATAAATGCCTACTACTCAGACATATTGACTTTATATTACGCTGACTTTTTGCTATCCTCAGGCACTGCTGTGCTATTGTTGAATGTCCACCGGGGAACGCCTGGTGGCAGCTGTGTGTGCGCCGGCAGCCTGAATGGCGGAAACGGCGTGTATGTCTCTGGCGAAATCGGCTCGTCTCCAGACTTGTCGAAGCTGACTCTGTCGTTCCTCAGCAGCTCGACCACCTGCTCGTTCAGGTTCTCTCGGTCCAGGCTCGCAAACTGTGCCTTCTCTTCGTCGGCCAGCAGCGCCTTTGCTCGCCGTGACAGCTCCAGCTGCCGGTCATTCCACGCCTGCACATACTTTGCATACACCTCTCTTGCATCCTGCAGCCGCGCCTCAATCGTCGATCTGCTGCTGTCTGCCAGCGTCGGTGTTGGCAGTGGTCCCAGGTCTGGTGCATTTCTGGTTGGATCCAGGTAATTGTCGGCGACGCTGGCCAGGTACGCCAGGTTGGTCTGCAGCCGGTTCTGGTACATGATCAGCTGCGGGTCGTCCATCAGGCTGTTGTTCTGGTACTCTTGGCAGAGCCTGATCAGCTCGCTGTTGATGTTCAGGACCATCTGGATGATGCTGGTCTTGAGACGCGGCAGGTACGGCTGCTCCTGGCCATCGTCCACCTGCTGCGCTGTTTGCGAACGGGCTTTGGGGGTGAATGTCCGGGTGCTGGTGGGCTGCTGCTGCTGGTCGTCGGAGGAGTTGTCATCCTCGAGCGTTACCTCGATGTCGCTGTCTTTTCCGGTGTCGCTGTGCAGGTAGCCGTCCATGTCTGGGTTTAAGGTTGTGGTAGTGGTGAGAGATAAAGCGGCTGGCAGACGCGCGCCGGGAGAAAGGGTGCACAATATATCCCCTGGCGGTGCATGGCAGATTTTGGGCTGTGAGGCATTCGTGTAAACAGATGCTGGAGGAGCCGCATCCCACTCCCATTTTGCAGGCAGCCAGTGGCACGTCTCTCGGGGAGTAGTCGGTAGCATGTTTCGATCTACGCAGATGCTGTAGTGCTTGCTGGATGTGCGATCAGCATATGGAAATACACATGTAGATCGTTGCACGGTAGAACTTGCGTTCGCCCAATGCGTCCGGCTGGCATTTGACTGATCACACAACTCTAACTACACTTGTTGCCGAAGTTGTGCATGCAGCCGCAGCCATGGGCCATTCCAGGACTGCTCCTGCGCCACCCAGCAGCTCTTGATCAGAGCTTTTTGCAACAAGCGAAGGAGCAGCTCTTGTGCCAGAAATCCAGGAATAGTGCGAGCCTTCCTTACTTTTGCAGCTGGCATTTTTACTGAGCTGCGCATTTTCAGAAACTTTTCGTTTATTATATATCGCTGTTACTACTATTATCAATAGTGTAGCACATGCCTTTCGACACACCTCCGCCATCGAAGCGTAGGCAGGAGGTGGCTCCCAGCGCCCCAAAGAAGCGCAAGCCGACAGCTGTGCTGACCGCACATGACCGCTCACCGGTGCCGTTCAACCTTGATGACGCATATAGCCGCCATCTCCTCGACGGCACCACTCGCCTGAGCACCATCGCAGAAGACTCGATCCTGGACAGCCCCATTTCGGCATTCCCAGTCAGCGATCCCCGCACGCCTGACCATCACAACAATGCGCACGCTATTGCGGAACACCCGGCTGCCGAAGGTGACATGTCCGCACTACCGGTCTCACAGCTCACCACACCGGTCCGCTCCAGCACGGAGCGCCGTATCGCTGAAAATCCACCTTGCGACAAGAAACCGGCCCTGTTCCACTCGCCGCCTGTCACCAAGCTCACGAAGGCTAAGAAAAGCGGTAAGTGCATTCAAGCGGATATCGACCTGAGCACCAGAGTTGGCCAGGTACTGACAAACAACATCTATGCCGCTTTTGCCTGTAGATGCGCCAGTGAACCCAACCATCGTCAAGAACAGCAAGCAGACCCCCGTCAAGTCCACGGCGAACAACTCGACTGTACAGTCGAACAAGGTGATGTCGCCGAGCGATCTCAAGGCAGAGAGGGACAAGGAGGCATCCCTCTGGGTCAGCGAGTGCCTTCTCGGCGACATCGACGCTGTTCTTGGCCTCCTCCACCCCCGCACCAAGGACAAGGCTGACCTGGCAGCCGAGATCACAGACCACATTTCGGCGGAGCTTGAGTGCCACCTCGGTGTGGCCAACGACATGGCGGCCAACCGCACAGGCGCAGCAACTGGCCATCCCAGCACGCGGCCGGGGCAGCCTCAGCCACCACCCACCAGCGACTCCCACCCGCCACCAGTGCCAGCACCTAGCTCTGACACTCAGGCTATGGTCGAGTCGCTCAATGAGTGGATCTCCTCCACTCATGCAGCCAGATCGACCGCTGGAGCATCAGGCCGCGCAGAGCGGAAGATGTACCTGCCGATCCAGCAGTTCTCGCTATTCGTAGCAAAGAGCGAGGACAGTTTTGTCCGCGCACAAGCAGGAAGCAGCGCGAAGTGCGATGCAGTGCATCGTCGGCACATCCTGCCATATCAGATATACGACTGCGCACCTGTCGGAAAGGACGATGACCGGCGGGTGGATATCGGGCTGGCCACCCGCGAGCTCAGCCACAAGAACAAGGCCGTGGCACTAGTAGAAGATCCTGTCGACTACAGCGACATGCTCGCTGTGGTCGAGGTGAAGCCCGGCAAGACCCCAGCGCTGGTGCGCCAGGCACATGCGCAGCTGCTTCTGTACAGCCGAAACATGTACTCCAGCCAGGACTGGCGCCGCTTCCTCTGGGGCATGTCAATCTGCGACACCGAGGTGCGGATATGCCTGTTGTCGAACGACAGGGTCTTTGCATCCAAGCCCATTGACGTCGCCACACCAGACGGCCGCACCAAGTTCATCGAGGTGCTGGTGCACTTTTCACTGTGCGATTTCGACCAGCTTGGCTTCGACACGACGATTGACTGGAGCTTCGAGCACAAGTGCTGGATGATCGAGGGCCCGAGCACCAGCGGCAGGTCGTCAGGCAGCGCCACCACAGCCTATTACTGCGACCAGACCCTGTTCAGCGCGGATAATCTGTTTGGGCCACATAGGCGCTGCTTCTTGGCCAGCGACCATCCGCCTGTAAATGGGACTGTCGAGCCAAAGTTCCTTATCAAGGACGCATGGCCCGAGGTCGAAGGCGGTCTAGCCAGTGGCCGCAGCGAGATCGATTTCCTGAACGAGATCAGAGACGCGGTTACGGATCCGGAAATCATAGTGCCCAGACTCCATGGCTGGTGCAACGTTTGCATCCAGGTGGACGGTAAGATGCTGGAGGACAACACGAGAAATGTACTCGGGCCACTATTCAACCACACTGGGCCGGAAGGAAAGCCTGTCCCATTCCGCGTTCACACACGGGTGGTGATGAGGGCTGTCGGATTCCCCCTAAAGTCTGTCACCTCGGTCCACGACTTCATCGTTGTGTTGGGCGATGCAATGCGCAGCCATGCTGAAATCCTCAATAGGTGCGGCATTCTCCATCGGAACATATGCGATGAGACGATTCTTGCAGTGGCAGATGAAAATGGGCAGTTGCGCGGGCTGCTGTTTGATTTCGACAACGCACTGAAAGTAGAGGAGGAGCGGAGGTTTATACGCAGTGGGCAGATTGGAGTGCTCCCATTTATGAGCATCAACACCCTTTCAGGATTCGATGTGGAGCGGTCAGTGCTAGATGACTGGGAGTCGCTGATATATCTCATATGCTGGTTCGCCACCATCGGAATCTGCAGAGAGAAAGCTGACAGGCGATCGTTGGATGAGCTTGAGAATTTGGATATCAGAAACTGGAGAAGGGGATCGGCTAAGGAAGTATCAAAAGTAAAGGAAGACCATATGTTCAGCAGCACTATCCTCGACAACAAAATCCTGGACCACTTCCATTTTGTTGAAGATGTCGGAATCCTTAAAGACCTAACTGAGGACCTTTACATGGACCTGTTCCAAAATCCGAATCTGCGAAAGGACACTCGGTGCGACGGCAGCCGTTATAAAGGCACAATGGATGTAAAGGTCAGAGGTGAGAAGAAGAAATCGGATCCATTCAAGGAGCGGCTAACCAAAAAGAGCGAAATCGCCGCAGTACTACTTGAGACGATGACACAGGCATGGAAGGATTCGATGAGCACCATTCGCAACCAGCACAAACCATCACCATAGCATTTTCTCTGCTGTACACTATGCATCATTTTTGATCTTGTACTCGCTTAAAGAGTATCATCACAAAACACACATTGCAAGGACAAGGGCAAGCACATGTTGTGCATTTGGTGTAGATGCCAGTAGATATTAGCATGACACCGTTTAATGTGCCTGCTCTGAATATGCAGCCCCAGTATTATATGCACTTAGTGTCAGGCAAGCAGCACACACGCGTAGCAGAAGCAATAGTGGTCAGCATTGGTGCCATCATCAGACAGTCGGCAATGGCAGGCTGCGTGGCCGCAACAGAAAATAATTGACAGTTTCAAGTATGCCGTCGCCAAGAGTCTACATGGCAAGCCGGGACATCCGATACAAGGAAAATGTGATAATGAAGAAGGGGCCGACGAGAGCTTGCTGTTGTGCGCACATCCGCATTCATTCCCATGTGTCCACGCACTTGTTCCATATCAGCCCAGTACGTGCATCGGAGTCCGCTTGCCTCGTCTCGACTGGTGTGTCTGATATCGGTTGTCTCGGGTTTGTAGTGTGCTGCTCTGCTCTGCTTTCGCTGGTTGGATACGAGCCGGCTCTCCATGCGAGCCTGTAGAGCCGCCGCTGAATGCAGGCGTACCGATGCAGCCAGCGCCACATCCATGATCGGCGATGCGGTGCTTCAGATGCGGGACCCGATCAAATCGGATCTGCTCAAGCGCCTTTTCGTAAACAACAGTTCCAGAGCGCAGAAAAATCCCAGGCAGTAAACACGCTGCAGCCAATGGCGGTGGCTCGCCTCAGCCCTTAAACCACTCCAGAGCTGCTGTCCACAGCCCTTGTCTCTCCATTTCGCCTTAGCCCTTCAACCTCCTGCATTTGAGCCCATTCCCCTTGTAATTTATCAGTCGCCCATGACTACCTGCAACATTCCCGCTGAGCTTTCTCGGACTCTGCCAGCCCCTACCGCCGGCAAGCCAGCCGCTACGGGCGCCAAGCGCAAGCTCGATAGCTCCATTTCATCGCCAGCTGGCAAGTTCTCGCCGCCAAAGAAGGCACGCTCCTCCAGCAACACAGTCTGCATTGGCACTAAGCGGTCGCGCTCGGATTCTGCGGCAAATACCGATGCCGATGACAGTGTGCCACCGGCAAAGAAGACTAGCTGCATATGCTTTAGTGGATGTAAGTGCCGGGCCAGCATCACCAGAACGGCAGCCAAGCAGCACCGCTACTTACTAACCTGCATTACCTCAACGCTGTAGGTGCCCGGCCTCCTCCAGGATACAGGAGGAAGGTAATGGCACACTCCTCGTATTACTCTTCCGACACAGCGGTCCCACCGGCAAAGAACGCAGGCTCTAGTGCGGGTATTGAGTCGGACGAGCAAACGATTTGGTGGGACAACAAATACGAAGAGCTGGCCGAAGCCGACTACTGGGTCAAGGAGCGACTTATCCGTGACGCCGATGCAGTGTTCGACATTGTAGAGCCGAGAATCGCTACGACACGCAGGCTGGCCAGGCTGGTCTCGGCTCAGGTCGCACTGGAGCTGGAGCACCGGCTCAACACAGTCGACAGCAGTGCAGCGAGCAGCGTCGACGATATCCAGGATGCTCTCAGAGAACTTGCTTGCGATATAGGCACCTGTCAGCAGCAGCAACAACAAGAGCAACAGCAGGCGCTATTCGACATTGCAGGATACAGCAGAGCAAAGGACGAGAGCCGTGAGTCAACCGACAGTTCATTCGCGAGCCTTGAGCAGTGGATTCGCCCAACGCCGGCCACGCCTACTGATAGCGCTAATGGGAACAGCACACGTACGGCAGAACAGATACTGAAGTCAGCCATGTCGCTCATCCTATTTGTCTCCCGCCACACTGACACCTTCGTGCGTGCACTGGATACAGACACCTTTGGCAGGCACCTCGAAGACTACCGCCACATACTTCCATGCGTCAGCTCAGATCGCGAGTGCAGCGATGCTGCCGAATGTCTGGCAAGCGAGGCAGGCATCAAGACGCAAGGCCCACATAGCAGCATCGAACTCGTCAGTGGCTTCAGCTACAGCGACGCACTAGCTCTTATCGTGGCTCGGTCTGACAAGACTCGGCGCACGGTTGACAAGGCTTATGCGCAGCTGATGCAGAGCACACGCAACATCTACAAGTGCCACCACTTCAGACGGTTCGCCTGGGGTCTGACCGTGTGTGACAACGAGGTGCGAGTGTGCCTGCTCTCCAATGACGCAGTCTTCTCGTCCAGTGTCCTGGATATCACAGCAGCAGCCGGTCGTCGGCAGTTCGTCGAGCTGCTGGTCAACTTTGCACTGTGCGAGGAGGACCAGCTCGGAAGCGACCCGTCCATTTACTGGGATGCTGAAGCCAACTGCTGGGCCATTGACTGTCCCGACACAGCAGACATGGCATCACGCCCTGTAGCCACAAAAACGTACTACTTCGACAAGGTGCTGCTGGGAGCGGACGGCCTGTTTGGCCGGCATACGAGGTGCTATTTGGTGACAGACGAGGAGCCCACTGGCGGCGGAATTACTCCCAAGTTTGTGATAAAGGATGCATGGCCGGAGGCTGAGGAGGACCGTGTCGATGACAAACGGGACGAGGTGTCGCTTCTGCACAGAATCACCACAGAGCTGGCACAGTCGGACGTCGAGGACCTGGTCTATCCCAGGCTCGATGCCGGTGGCCGTGTCTACATCGGCACAGGCAGAGGCATGTTTGAGGACCAGTCGAGCCACATCCTGGGCTCGCTGTTCTCGCTGCACAAGCCGGATGGCACTGCAATACCGTTCCGCGCGCACAAGCGGTTGGCCATGTCCCCGATTGGCGACTCGCTCGATACGGTCGAGTCAGTGGATGAGTTTATCGTCGTTCTGGGGGATGCCATGCGCTGCCACTCGGAGGTGGTGAGTCGGTGCAGCATCCTCCACCGCGACATTTCAAGCAACAACATCCTTGTCGTGCGCGAGGAAGGCAAACCGGCGCGCGGACTGCTTATCGACTTTGACTGCGCACTCGATCTGAGCGATTCGCGAGGGCCGAACCTGGAGACGCGAGGGACAATCCCGTTTATGAGCATCAACAACCTTCTCCGGTCAGACGTGGAGCGATCAGCGCTGGACGACTGGGAGTCGCTTATCTACCTAATCTGCTGGCACGGCACCATCGGAATCTGCAGAGAGAAAGCTGACAGGCGATCACTGGAAGAACTTGAGGACCTGGAAGTCGGACGCTGGAGAAGTGGGGCAGCTAGAGAAGCAGGTGAAGTAAAGGAGAATCATATGTTCAGCAGCACTATCCTCGACAACAAAATCCTGGACCACTTCCATTTTGTTGAAGATGTCGGAATCCTTAAAGACCTAACTGAGGACCTTTACAAGGCTCTGTTCCAAAATCCGAATCTGCGAAAGGATGCTCGGTGCGACGGCAGCCGTTATAAAGGCACGATGCCAGTTAGGATCAGAGGAGTGAAGGAAAAACCAGATCCATTCAAGGAGCGGCTAACCAAAAAGAGCGAAATCGCCGCAGCCCTACTTGAGACGATGACACAGGCATGGAGGACCTCGAAAAGCAAGCTTTAGACATATTCACTGAAATATATTACATTCATTGCATCCTTCTTCACCCCAGAATGGCAGCCTGCATCTCGTTCATTATAGCCCTTTCCGAGTTTACTTGCGAGTACTGCATTTAGATACGAAGGACAAATGCCGATATATGCCGAGTTGGCATGTAAAGCCTCATGGCAGACACTCAATATACACAAACCATGAGTGGATACTTGCAATGACCTGGCAAGAGGGTCACTGATTTGGCTCGGCATGTGTGAATGCCACCATGAAAATGCGATGCCGCTTGTTCGCGGCTCGGGGGGTTTGACAGGTTGTTAAAATGCACAAGCATGTTCTTTGCAGAGCAGGCGGATGGCGACTGCTGCCAGTTGCAAGCGGGGAGGGAAAGACAGCCCCGCGCATCCTTTTAGCAAGTGTATACTCGGCAAAGCGCCTTCTCCCGAGAAGCACACGGCGGACAGACAAGTATGCACCATGTGCTTAAACTGATGCTGCACCGTGTATTCTGCGGGTGGGAGGAGAGCAGCACATGCGTCAGCGCTCTTGCAGGGGTGCTCTGAGTACTCCCTGACAGCCAATAGATACCGTCCTCCTCCTTAGAGCACTTTCTTCTCTCCTTTTTGTATCGATGCGTAGTCCACTGGTTAGTTCTGGATAGTGCAGCCTGGCTTTGTTCTGTATAGCGCACTGTTCGCCTGTTGTTTGCCGCCTCTCCGCAGATTGCGAGCCAGCTTCCTTCCCTCCAGTGTCGTCTGCCTTCCACTCTGTCGTCACCATTCTGCGAGTAGCTACTGCAGCCATGTTGGCTTTTGTCCTTTTGCAGCGGCTGTATCCTGGGCTGGGTCCCAGATTGTGTCTCGCAGCCACTGGGGTTTGGGTATGTAGCGGGTCTCGGTCGAGGTTTACGGTTAGGTCCAGGTGGGCAACGTCCATCTGCGGCTGCAGTGGCTGGTGGCAGTGTGCATGCCGATGGTGGAGCAGGTGAGTGACATCGACCAACACCCGGGGGTAGGGAGATGCTCAAGTGTGTTAGGCTGTCGCAAATGGCGCACGAACAGTGCGCTGTGCAGATGGATAGCGCTACATTGAGTATGGCAATAAATATAGGACCATGCCATCTACATCCGCTGGGGACTGCGAAAACACGCGCCTTGAGACCCGGCTCCATAGTTGGCCGCTTTGTGGTGCTGCTGTAATATTCTGGGCCATATCCATGGGAGCCTCGCAAGGCGCGTTGTATTTCACCCTCGCCTCAGCCATGCCCAACCCCATCGTTTTCTTCGACATCACCATCGGCGGCAAGGACGTCGGGCGGATCAAGATGGAGCTGTTCGCCGACAAGGTGCCCAGGACAGCCGAGAACTTCCGCCAGCTCTGCACCGGCGAGCATCGGGTAAACCACGCTCCGCAGGGGTACAAGGGCAGTCCGTTCCACCGCATCATCAAGGGGTTCATGGCACAGGGTGGCGACTTTGTCAAGGGCAACGGCACGGGGCGCACGTCAATCTACGGCGACAAGTTTGCCGACGAGAGCTTCGAGCTCAAGCACACAGGTCCTGGTCTGCTGTCAATGGCCAACAGCGGCGAAAACACGAACGGGTGCCAGTTCTTCATCACGCTTGCCGAGGCGCCGTGGCTCGATGGCAAGCATGTGGTGTTTGGGAAGCTTGTGGATGGGCTGCTGACGCTGCGCAAGATCGAGAACGTGCCGACTGGACGAGACAACAAGCCCACGCTGCCGGTGCTCATATCGGAGTGCGGTGAGATGTAAGCCATATTCCAACTGTAGAGCCGTTTATTTCTTTGAAAACAAGATATTTGCTGGATTCATCGCCGAAAGTGATGCCTCAAAGTCTTCTTTGGAAATATCTGCAGACCCTCGCTGGATTGCTGAGTAGCAGGCGCCGCGCACCAGGGCCTTGATCTCTGCACCGCTTAGGCTGTTGTTGGCTAGCCATTCCAGCGTAGTGCTTTTGTTGCTAATTGACAAGTGCCTTGTAGACCGCCTGAGGATATCCAGCCTGCTCGCGTAGTCAGGTCTTGGAATATGAATCTTCTTGTCCAGCCTTCCTGACCTAAGAATAGACGAGTCCATGAGTTCCGGAGCATTCGTCGCCGCTAGAATCATCACATTCGCGTCCTCAGGAATACTATCCAGCTCTAGAAACAGCTGTGAAATCAATTTCTTCCCGACCTCGCCTGCCTGCTCGCGCGACCCGAAGATTGCCTCGATCTCGTCCAGGAACAAAATGCTGGGCATGCGCACCGCGCTCTCAAACACGCTGGCTAGTGCCTTCTCCGACTCGCCCACCTCGCCCTTGATCAAGTCTGGGATGGCCACCAGGATAAAGTTCGCCGACACTTCGTGCGCAATGGCCCGAGCAATCATTGTCTTGCCAGTTCCCGGCGGGCCGTGAAGCAAAACGCCGCGCGGTGGGCGGATCCCGAGACGCCGGAACCGATCGCGGTAGCGCAATGGCCAGATAATCGATTCCTGGATTTCGTTGATCACGTTGCTGAGCCCGCCGATGTCCTCCCAGCGCACGCCTGCGGACTCTACAACGGCCATCGGCAGCTTTCTGTTTTTCTGCATGGCAGACAAATCGGCAAATAGCTCACCAGCGACCTTGCCATGGGTTGCCTCCACGAGCTGGGCAATATCCGCTGGAGGCAGGTTGTGCTTTGCGTACCACTGGCATAGCTGTAGGCGCTCGGTCTTTCCGGGCGGTAATAGCCGGATATGGTCGTCGACAATGCAGCGAAGCGATACTGAGACCCTGTCGGGATAGCGCGATGTCATGGCGACACAGCACATAGGCATGGATTTGGACTTTTGGACAAACGCCTCGACCAAGCACCCGTAGATACCGCAGAATAATTCTGGATCAACGATCCATACCAGCACTGGCTGGGTGTGCGGGACACTAGCGAAGATGCGACGCAGGGCGCTGTGCTGGCCGCCGTGGGCGATTACACGACCAAGGTTAACTTTGATGATTTTGCAGGCTAGCTTTTCGGCAAGAGTTGTGAGCAGAAGCGATTTCCCGATTCCGGACTGACCGGAGAGCAGGACTGAGTGGGAGACGAGCTCACCGGGCACGGTGTTTTCGATTTTGCCGCTGAGGAATTGGAGCAGGCGCTGGCCGCTCTCTCCAAATCCAGCGACCAGGCGCGTTGTGGTATCGTCCAGTGGTTGGGTGGTTGGTGGCATTATAACTGAAAGTAGTTCGAGACTGACGGCTGTTCCTAAAAGGGGAATTAGCACAGCGTGGACTGGCCATGATTGATATGTGGGATGCAAGTTATGGACATCATATTATAGCCAATGCCGCTGATGAACTACATTCCAAGCTACAGCTTATATCACAGCTCGTTGATTGTGCCATTGCAGTGGCTGTCCATTATGCCTCTTCACGGGATACTGGTGTGGTGGTTGTTTGTACACTTGGCATGTGCGAGCCCTGGGTGTAGGGCTGGCATGCATGAGTCGATCCTTTCCTCTTTACAAAGCCTTTCTTTTTGTCAGCGACGTAGGCCATAGATGCTCATGTGGTAGTGTTGGCGAACAGTGAACACCCTGCATTCATAGTCTAGAAAGATAAAAATGACCTTCTTTGCCTCCACTACCACACTGATATACTATTATTCATGGCAACCCACGGAATTAAACGTCTCGCTATCGCCGGTGCCACTGGCACGCTCGGCCAACTCATCATCCAGGAGTTGAGTCAGCGTGCACCGGGGCTCCACACTACGCTACTGGCGCGCGAGGGTAGCGAAGTGCAGGCCCGCTTGCTCACAGCCGGCATGCAACAGTTCTCCGTGCGCACTGTGGACTACGAGTTGGATGGCGAACGCGACCTCATCGCAACCCTCGCCGGCCACGATGCAGTGCTGTCGTTGATAGGCGGCGCAGGACAGGATACCGCACAGGTAGCCCTGATTCACGCGGCAGCTCGGGCCCGTGTCAGGTACTTTTTGCCGTCAGAATTCTGCTTGGACACACGCATAGGCATGAACCTAATTGTCAGTAGCTATGAAGTCAAGCGCAAGATTCGTGATGATCTGATGGTGACCGGAATGAGGAGCATCTTCATTATGTGCGGGTTTTTCACCGATACCTTCCTTTCTGCCGACTTTGGCTGGGATCTTGACAGCCACACCGTACTGGTGCCGGGCGATGGCGAGGGACTATGCTCGTTTATTGACAAGGAGGATGTTGCGAAATACACGGTAGAGGTGATCAAGCGTGCAGAGGCGTTCATGGGTGAGGAGTGGGTCAAGGACCTGCGGTTTGCCACTGCCACGCTCTCCTACAACGATCTTATTCAGATGGGCAATGAGGCCACGGGCAGGGAACTTGCGGTCACTTATGTTTCGCAGGAGGATGTTGAGCACACCTTGATGCGGGACATCCAAAGGACCGGTAGTGGAGCGAATAGCAAGGCCGTGCAGATGCAGTTGGCCATCATGAACGGTTGCGCGCAGCTCGATACTGCAGGTTTTGCGCTATCCAACAGACTGTTTCCGGAGGTGGTGCCGGCGTCAGTCAGCTTGAGCCTCAGGGCGATATTTGCCCGCCAGTAAGCCAGCTTGTCAAGAGGCACAGTTAATGGAATAATAAAAATGGACGATTCAAACTATCGAGCGTATCTAGCTTGTGTATCCCAGGGCCTGGCCCATCTTCACACTCTGGCCAGGAGAGACATTGAAGGTGAAGGACTCGGGGGCCTCAAACACTAACACAACCGTCGAGCCCAGCCTGAACCCGCCGACCTCCTGCCCGCTGGCCAGCGGCACGCCGCCTAGCTTCTGGCTCAGGCCCTTGTAGCTGAGCTGCGAGAAGCTGCCAGGCAGCAGCTTCTGCTCCTTGAGGTTGGTGCGCAGCTCCTTGTCGAAGTTGATGACCACGGAGCCGACATTGGTCGCGCCCACAGCAGTCATAGACATGAACCCGTGGCGCCAGCGGCCAAGCAGCGCGACACGCTCGTTGAGGACAAAGAGGTTCTGGATGGTCCGCGCGATGTAGGGGCTGACCGAGTACAGCTCGCCAGCAAAGTGGCGGCGGGCCTCGACGACCCAGTTGGCGGGCGAGTGGAAGCGGTGGTAGTCGCCGGGCGCCAGGTAGATGACGCAGAAGCACAGTTTGCCGGTAGGGTCGCGGCCCAGCGACTGGGCGGCTGGCACCAGAGCGTCCTTGCTACCAATCATCTCATCCAGCGAGTACGGGATGCCGTTGACCACGGCGAACTGCTCGTCGGTGGCTGCATTGTTGGCGTTGGCATGGTCAGCATCCACCATGGTCTGCTCAGTGATGCCAGCGTGGCCATGCGTAGCCGGCACGTCGGGCGCACCCAGGAACGCATCCAGGCTGTATGTCATGCCCTTGACCTGCTCGACCTTGCGCTGCTCGACCACGCCATAGTGCAGGATCTTGCCATCCGACGGCGACACCACCGCAGCCTGCGCATCCACCGGCCGTGCGCCGTCGCACAGCTCGCGGTAGAAGAATGTGGCCAGGTTCGGGTAGTTGCGCAGCTCCGGATCCTTCATCTCGCCCAGGCTGCAGCCAAACACCCATGCATACAGGCGCAGCAGCGGTGTGCGCAGCGGACCCGGGATCTCCAGCTCGTTGAACGACCCAAACAGCCGCGACATTGCCTTCAGTGGCAGCGCCGAGAGCACGTGCAGCTGCCACGGCCCGGCTACTGCCACACCATGCACTGCCTGCTGCTGGCGCTTCTGGTCCTCAGCCAGATCCGTCTCGATGTGGTACAGGCGCTGGAATGCTATGTATGTGAGGCCGACACCGACCGGGATCCAGTACCATGTCTTGGAGTCGCCCGAGTCCTTCGACTGTTGCTGCCTTGTCGAGTACTGCCGGAGCTGGGCGCTGGCAAACGGCCGCTGCAGAAGCGGTCGCCGCCAAGCGCTGCCAGCCGCCATGCGAAGCGAGCCGCGCGCTAGAACTGAATTCATTGGGCTAATTGAGATTTTCGTTTCCTTCTGTTATCTAAATCACCCAGAGACAAGAGTAGGAGGTCGTGACTGGATCGGATCCCTGAGTGAACGGGAAAATCAGTGGCCCTAGCCCCTCCCGCTTCCAACGCCAGTGTTGCACCGCAATAAAAATGCTTGGTCATTTGTATTTGGTTGAAAAAAAGGGTATGGCGTCTACTGGTTCTTCTTCTGCTTGAGTGTCGGCATGGTCTTTGGCGTCTGGATCGAAGCCATCCACGAGATGCCAACGCTAATGAGCACCACAAACAGGAGCCCGACAATAAGGCCCGAGACGAGTCCGGGCGTCACCCAGTCTGTGAAGAACGTATCCTCGTCGAACGGCGCCTTTGTGACCGAGGTCGATGTGACTGCTGTGGTGGTCGCCGTCGAAACCAGCGACGTCAAGGACAGTGTGCTGCTGCTGCTGCTGGACATGATGTAGGAGGGGGTTAGACACGCAAATTGTAAAGGTGAGCTGTGCTTGGGCAGGTTGGCAGGCAGGCGCTGCTTGGTTCAGGCGCTGCTTGGTTCAGGAGCAGTGTCGCGGACCAGGATCAGCAGCGATCTTATCACCGAATCAGCCAGGCTGAGTTTTCCTGGAAACTTTTCGCTTGTTGACAGCGCTGGCTGCCGTTCCCGCCCTTCTCAGACCTCGCTATTATTTTTCTTCCACATTCACCCCACTCCCCTCTTATTCAAACGCGCGTTCAATTTCAAAACTACTTATTTCACTGCAGTATGGATTTCTCAGGAAGACTCGGAGGCCGCCCGCGTGGACGAGGACCCCGCGGAGGTAAAGTATTGCAGAGACTGCCTGACTTGGCCTGGGCTTTATGTTCTACGTCATACTAAGCTACGCAACCCCCTTTTTTAGACGTTGACGAGTTTGGCCGTGACCGTCGCTCGCGCCCGCACAACAGAAAGCCGTACGAGCGGCCCGGGCGCGGCGGCCGCGGCCATAGCGCTGGGATTCCGATCCAGGACGAGTCGCGGGACATTGAGAAGCGGCTGTCGTCGCTGATCATCAAGGTGGGCGACAAGAACCTGCCGACAATGCAGAACAACCTGGACGCACTGAGCGTGGTGCTGGAGAAGGACTACGTGAAGCACGAGGCGACAGTCATGAAGACGATCCGGCAGTGCATCCTGGAGCTGCCGTGGAAGGTGTCCGTCTACACGACGCTGGTGGGCCTGCTGAACGCGAAGAACAGCGAGACGGGCAAGCGGGTGGTGGCTATGATGCACGGCGTGCTGAAGAAGAACCTGGAGGCGGGCGACTGGGCGTCGGTGAAGGTGCTGATGCGGTTCTTTGCACTGCTGGTGAACACCAATGCAATTGCGCCGGGTACCCTGGTGGCGATGCTCGACGCGTTCCTGCAGCCAGTGATTGAGGCGGGCGGCTCTGGTGTGGTCGTGTCGGCGAGGAACAACTGCTTTGTGTATATCGTCATGTCGACGCTGCTGTGGGCGGGCGGCGCGCTGAAGGAGACAGCAGCCGCTGACCTCGAGCGCATCTCGGCGATTGTCGGCAAGTACGTGGAGCAGTTGAGCGAGAGCAGCAAGAACAACACAATCACGACAGTGCTGCACGATGCGCCGGCCAACGGCACCAACGTGCTGCCATACCTGCTGGATGTGCTGCAGGCTATGGCCAGCAGCAACTGGGAGGTCAGCATTGTGGTCGCGGCATACGAGCCGTTCCTCAACGATTTTTCGTCGGCGACGTCGCACGAGCTGCCGCTGCTGGAGATGCCCGTCGACCTGGCGCCGTCAAAGTACTACACGCCGTCGCAGCTGGTGCAGCTGGTGCCGAGCCCCGCAGAGCAGGCAGTGAACAAGTACCTGCTGCAGGACTTTATCTCGGACACGGTCATGCAGCTGGAGGGCAACCGCAAGGACTGTGCCAAGTACCTGATGCAGATCCACGAGCTGTGCAACGAGGGCGTGGTGACGACGATCACATCGCAGGCATCGCCCGATGAGGCCGACCCGCAGAGCGCGCTGGTGTTTGAGTACCTGGTGTCGGAGGTTCTGTTTAGCTTCCTGCTGCAGCTCCCCACTGGCCTGTACCGCGAGATGTACTACACGTCGCTGGCGATCGAGCTGCGCAAGGCTGAGCCGCAGATCTACCCGGCGGTGTTTAGCACGACAGTGGAGAACGTGTTTGAGCGGCTGGTGAACATGGACGTGGAGTGCCTGAACCGGCTGTCGAACTGGCTGGCAGTGTACATCAGCAACTTTGGGTTCCAGTGGGACTGGGACAAGTGGGAGGCAGTGGCGGAGGACGAGGCAGGCACGCCCAAGCGCTGCTTCCTGGAGGAGACGCTGCTGAAGATCATCCGGCTGTCGTACCTGGACCGCGTCAAGCAGCTGCTGCCCGAGTCATGCCAGACGCTGATCCCAGCGCGGGTGCCGACGCAGAACTTCAAATTCACGGTGCAGGCGATGGACGAGCGCACGCGCGCGGTCTCGGTGGCTGTGGGCGTGTGTCTGAAGAACAAGGGCACGGCGGACCAGGCGCTGGCGATCCTCGACGAGCACTACACGCAGTGGACGGACGTGGACGATGCGGCGCGGCGCTCATTGGCGCGCGAGATGCTGGTGGAGCACGTGCTGCTTTTGGGCAGCAAGACGTTCAGCCACATGCTGAGCGCAATCGAGCGGTTCCTGCCAGCGTTGCAAAAGTTCGGCGACACGGCCGAAGCGAAGCTGCAGATTGCCAAGGTCACCGAGGACTTTTGGCTGCGCAACCACCAGTTCTTCGCCATCACGATCGACAAGCTGTTCAACTACCGTGTGATTGATCCGTCGACGATTGTCGAGCTGGTGTTCGACGCGTCGCACGTGGGCAAGTGGCACCGGTTCCACTACTGGGAGATCCTACAGAACACGGTCAACAAGGTCAACATCCGCATTGCGCAGCTGCAGGACCGCCTGGAGGCTGCGCGCCAGCCGGCCGCGGGCGACGATGGTCTGGCGGGTGACGGCATGGTGGACACCGAGGCCGTGGGGCAGATTGAGGCGTCGCTGGCGCAGATGGTGCAGGAGCAGCGGGACGTGGTGGTGCTGGCGATCCAGCGCTTTGTGCAGCTGCTGGGGTCGGAGCAGGGCACGGCGTCGGCGGTGGACCGGGCGTGGCTGATGGGCCGGTTCAAGGAATTTGTGCGGTCGTACCGCTACCAGGTGGCAGAGGCGGCGACCACGCTGGAGAACATTGTGTTCACGCCGGACGTCAGCGACGAGCTGCGCCAGGTGTACACTGATGTGCGCGCCATCACGCTCTAGCCTGCTTTTCTCTTTCTGGATCACTTTCTCTTTTAAAGGCATCATTCCACCCGCACTGTCTAACCTCAGGGTTCACGATAGCCGCCTCTAATCCTCCCATGCACGCGGCCGGCTGAATCGATCCTACTTGCCGGATCTACTGAGGCCAAAAGGCGCGCGGTTTATCCCCTCCGGTCGCCAATAGGTGAATCATCAGTGCGACACAGCGATAACAGCTGTGACTGAGTGCGACACAGCGCATTCAAACAAAAAAATATTAAAGGCACGAGGCAAAGACATCGGCGATACGGCGGCGCCCACACCAGAATCATTCTTTTTCCTCTTCTTTCCCCCCAAGAATTTCACATTAATCAATTTTTTCAACACAATATGCTGTATCGTTCGACTCGTGGACAGTCCAAGGGCCAGGGCTTCGAGAGCGTCGTTCTCGAGGGCCTCGCCGCTGACGGCGGCCTGTATATTCCCGAGACGCTGCCCTCGCTGCCGTCCGACTGGCAGACGGCGTGGGCGAAGCTGTCATTTTCCGAGCTAGCGACAGAGCTGATCTCGCTGTTTGTCGGCTCTGATATCTCGCGCGCAGAGCTGTCTGATCTGGTGCACCGGTCGTACGCGACCTTCGATACGCCGGAGGTGACGCCGCTGGTGGGCCTTGACGGCAAGACGCACATCCTGGAGCTGTTCCACGGCCCGACGTACGCGTTCAAGGACGTGGCGCTGCAGTTCCTGGGGAACCTGTTTGAGTTCTTCCTTGAGCGGCGCAACGCACAGAAGGCGGCAGGCGAGCCTGACCACAAGATCACGGTGGTGGGCGCGACCAGCGGCGACACGGGCAGTGCGGCGATCTACGGGCTGCGCGGGAAGAAGAACGTGTCGGTGTTTATTCTGCACCCGGAGGGCCGTGTGTCGCCGATCCAGGAGGCGCAGATGACGACGGTGCTGGACGCAAACGTGCACAACGTGTCGATCGCCGGCACGTTCGACGACTGCCAGGACATCGTCAAGCAGCTGTTTGGCCGCGCGGACTTCAAGAAGCAGCACTCGCTGGGCGCCATCAACTCGATCAACTGGGCGCGCATTCTGGCGCAGATCACCTACTACTTCCATGCGTACTTTGCGCTGGTGCGCCAGGGCAATGCTGAGCCCAAGCCGGTGTTCGTCGTGCCGTCAGGCAACTTTGGCGACATCCTGGCTGGCTTCTATGCGCGCTCGCTCGGCCTGCCCGTAGGCAAGCTGGCGATTGCCACGAATGCCAACGACATCCTCGACCGCTTCCTGCGCTCGGGCAAGTACGAGAAGAACAGCGCGCAGGGCGTGCTTGCCACGCCGTCGCCCGCCATGGACATTCTGGTGTCGTCCAACTTTGAGCGCTTCCTGTGGTACCTAGCCCGCGACAACGAGGTTGTTGGTACCGAGGCCGAGCGCGCTGATCTCGCCGGCGCCACCATTGCTCAGTGGATGGATGAGCTGCGGGCATCCGGCAGCTTCGCCGTGTCGCCCAAAGCCCTGGAGGCCGCCCGGGCTGTGTTCTGGTCGGGCCGCTGCAGCGACGCCGACACATACACGACCATCGCCAAGTACTACGCCAAGACGCCGTCCTACCTGCTGGACCCGCATACTGCGGTCGGCGTGTATGTGGCCGAGACGCTGGCCGAGGACATCGCGCAGCTCGGCAGCCCCGATGTCGTCTGTCTGTCCACGGCACACCCGGCCAAGTTCTCCGAGGCCGTGCTCAAGGCCGTCCACGACGACGGCAAGTCGCTGGACTTTGAGTCGATTCTGCCGCCGCCCTTCGTCGGCCTGCTCGGCAAGCCCCGTCGCTGCGAGCACTGCGAGAACTCGGCCGATGCTGTCGCCCAGCTTATTGTCGCCAAGGCTGCCAGCCAGTAATTGAAAAATTCTTTAGAGGGAACAACGCAATCATCACTGGTTTTGAGGTGTCTCACACCACGACCATCTCCATCTATGTAGCATGGCATGCCATGTAGGATAACGAAGCAGAATGCTATTTCGAAAACGAAAAAGGACACGATAAAAGAATGGATAGTTTACTTGGCCTCCTCCTCGACCTTCCAGTACCAGCCGAGGACCGGAGTCTTCTGCAGAATGCTCGACTTGATCGTGGGCACCTGCGACAGAATGAACAGGGCCGTCAGACCAGTGACCGCACCCCAGCGGGCGCTCGAGCCAAGCCTACATCAGAAAAAAGATAGCCGAATAGTTAGCTCCGTGGCTCTCGTTCAGCGCGCGAGTTCGCTTGCTCCCCCGGCCCTCGCAGCTCCGTGTTATCTCCTCTCGCCGCATAGACACCTCAGCCGCTCGATTGTTGCAAACAGAAAACTTACCAGTAGCGGGCAGACTCGGCAGAGTAGCCAGCGACGTTAGCGCGGAACTTGGGCGAAATGGGAGCCGGGCGGACCATGTTTGCTTTGTATGATTGAGGAAAAATATAAAATCGGAATCGAAAAAGAGGACAAAATGCAAAACTGAATTCGAATTATCTTGCCGCGACTACTGTTAGCGCTGCTGGCTGAGACTGAGCCCTCCAAGCGTATGAATAATCGCAAATCTGGGGCTTATCTCGTTGAGATGGTGATTGGGATTTACACCACGAGTATTAGATCAGTTCCGTGTGCGATGCTGCCGACCTGATGCTGAGTTGGCCAAAGGCCAACGTCACGCGCCCTTGCTCTAACTATCTGGTCTGCACTTTACTCTTTAGAATTCACACGCAAATGTCGCTGAAACTCGCCCTTGTCCAGCTCGCGGTCGGCGCGCAGAAGGCGGTCAACCTGGCCAACGCGCGCGCCAAGGTCCTGGAGGCAGCCAAAGCCGGCGCCAACATCGTCGTTCTGCCCGAGTGCTTCAACTCGCCCTACGGGACGCAGTACTTTGCCCAGTACGCCGAGGAGATCGATGCTGCGCAGCCTAGCGAAAGCCTGCAGGAGCTGTCGAAGATGGCCCGCGACGGCAACATCTTCCTGGTGGGCGGCTCGATTCCCGAGCGCGACTCTGGGCATCTGTTCAACACATGCACGGTGTGGAACCCCCAGGGCGAGCTGATCGCCAAGCACCGCAAGGTGCATCTGTTCGACATCGACTTTCCGGGCCGCATCGTGTTCAAGGAGAGCGATGTGCTGAAGCCCGGCAACGCACTGACGGACTTTGCGACGCCCTGGGGCAGGTTTGGTGTTGGCATCTGCTACGACATGCGGTTCCCGGAGCTGGCCATGATTGCGGCGCGTCGCGGCTGCGTGGGCATGATCTACCCAGGTGCCTTCAATATGACCACCGGCCCCATGCACTGGGAGCTGCTTTTGCGCGCACGAGCCATGGACAACCAGGTCTTTGTCGCCGGGTGCTCGCCAGCACGGGATACCAGCGCTACCTACCATGCCTGGGGCCACTCGACCATTGTCGACCCGTTCGCCAGGGTCATTGCTACTACTGAGGACTCGCAGGATATTGTCTATGCCGACCTGGACCTGGAGCTGATCAAGGAGGTGCGCCAGTCGGTTCCCATCTACGCCCAGCGCCGCTTCGACGTCTACAAGGATGTTGCTGCGGCCAAAAAGGAAGTGAGCTGAAAAACATATGTGAACTGACATTTGGCTTGCGTCACTCCCTGATTAGTTTGCTTCCCGCATCCCCGCCAAGCACTGCTTCCTTTTTTTACTGTACTCCAATAGTTCTGCTTCAAGTCCATTCTGTTGCATTTGAGAAATGGTATCTGTAAACATTGCCCTGGCTCAGCTCAGAGTCTCCGATTCCAAGACGTCAAACTTCAAGCGTGCCCGCGAAATGGTCCTTGAGGCTAGCCACAGGGGAGCCCAGATCGTGGTGCTCCCTGAGAGCTTCTATACGCCCATGGGCTCCAGCGACTGCGCAGCCTACGCCGAGCTCATCGACGGCAAGCAGCTGGGCGAAGCCGCACAGGCCCTGTCGGACATGGCCAAGGCAGCCAAGGTGTTTCTGGTGGGCGGGAGCATCTACGAAAAGAGCGCCCAGGGCCCGGCCATCTTCAACACGTGCACGGTGTGGAACCCCGAAGGCGAGCTGATCCTGAAGCACCGCAAGGTCCACCCGTACGCGCAATACCACGACGGCCACTTGACCGGCGAAGTCGACGCAATCACCGCAGGCAGAGATATCAGCGAGTTTGCAACGCCCTGGGGCAAGTTCGGCGTAGCCGTCTGCAATGACGTGCGGTATGCGGAAATGGCCATGGTGTCGGCCCGCAATGGCTGCGTAGGCATGATCTATGCCGCTGCGCATCCGGCCGGCCGGTGGGCGGCGCACTGGGAGATTCTGCTGCGCGCGCGGGCCCTGGACAACCTGGTTTTTGTCGCTGGCTGCAATCCGGCCAAGGATACTAACGCTGGGTTTGTGCCGTGCGGACAGTCGATGGTGGTGAGTCCGGTGGCCGAGACCGTGGCTGCGGCTGGTGATGGCGAGGAGCTGGTGATTGCTGAGATGGACCTGGACCTGATCCAGGCGGCCAGGAACGAATTCCCGCTGTACCGCCAGCGCCGCTTCGACGTCTACAGGGATGTTACTGCGGCCAACTAGTATTCAGAGTGTTTCTTCCCACGACCGCTTCCCATTTCTTGCCTCAACCGACACATGCATTCATTTGTGTTTGCATTGCCCAGCACTATATTGCAGACACTTTTGAATACATATCGCTGGAATTATTTTATGCTACAATGGTATCGGTGAAGCTTGCCCTGGTCCAACTGAGAACGGTCAAGGATAAGACAAAGAACCTTGAGCGCGCACGCGAGCTGGTGCTCCAAGCGGCTTCCCAGGGTGCCCAAATCGTGCTTCTGCCCGAGACCTTCAACATGACATACTGCATCGAGGACTACGAGCAATTTGCCGAGCACATAGACGGCCTCGGCGAAACCACCCAAGCGCTGTCTCGCATGGCAAAAGACGCGCAGCTGTATCTGGTTGGCGGGTCGATTCTTGAGCGCCGCACCAATGCCGACAACACAACCTCCATCTACAACACAGTCACTGTGTGGAATCCCGATGGCCAGCTGGTTGCGAGGCAAAGCAAAATGCACATGTTCGCGGTAGATTACAATGGGCTGTACGAAAACGAGGGCGATATTTTGACCGCTGGAAATGGCATTGGCGAGTTCTCGACGCCCTGGGGGCAGTTTGCCTTTGCCGTGTGCTTTGACTGCAGGTTTGCTGAGCTTGCCATGATTGCTGCGCGCAGGGGCTGCGTGGGCATGCTCTACCCCGCTGCATTCACCAAGGGCAGCGGTGAATTGCATTGGGAGCTCATTATGCGCGCGCGGGCTGTCGACAATCTGTTCTTTGTTGCTGGCTGCAATCCGGCTTTTGACGTCCAGTCGAGCTATCATGCCTGTGGGCACTCCATGGTGATTGATCCGTTCGCAAGAACCGTGGCTGCGGCTGCCTATGGTGAAGAGGTTGTTGTTGCTGACCTGGACCTGGCCCTCATTGACGAGGCACGTCGATCAATACCGGTCTACTCGCAGCGCCGGTTCGACGTGTATCCGGATGTGGCGCAGCAGCCCACCAGCGCTGACGGCCACAGGCTGATCGATCAAGAGCTGTAATTCGGATCAACGCCTCACGGTTTTTTGCTTGCCGGCAACGCGTAGACGCGTGTGGGCAGTGTGTGCCGTAACAAGCCTGCGCAAAGCGCCTACTTCTTTTTCCCTTTTGCTTTTTTTTTTTTCAAACAAATCACACAATCCAGCTGAAGCTAAATTATGTCAGGCAAGTTGCGCAGTCGGCAAGGACCTTTATGCATGAAAGGAGCTGTATGCTAAACTCTTTTACCCATAGGCTTTAACAACCAGTATGGCAATTCGGGCGGGTTCAACAACCCCAGTGGCGACTACAGCTATGGCGGCGGCAGCGGACAGGGCTTCGCTTTCAGCAACACAGACGGCGGCAACAAGGGTGCGGGTTGGATGAGCAGCAACGTTGGCGATGACGACACGAAGACGCGCGGCGGATACCAGAACCAGTCGCTGCGTCCAGTCACGATCAAGCAGCTCCTGGACATCCCGGTGGTCAACACTGACATGCCGATAGTGCTGGACGGCGAGGAGATCAAGCAGGTAACATTTGTAGGCGTGATCCGCACTATCACCCCACAGGCTATCAACATTACCTATGGGATCGAGGACGGCACCGGCCTGATTGACCTGCGCGTGTGGAACAGCGACAATGCCCAGGACGACAACGACGCCGACATGGAGGGCGAGGATGGCGTGCAGACCATGCGTGCCGACCCGAAGCTGGTTATCGGCCACTATGCGCGCGTGTACGGCGAGCTCAAGTTCTTCAACGGCAAGCGCCACGTCAACGTCCACCGCATCCGGCCCGTCACTGACCACAACGAGGTGACCTACCACGGCATGGAGGCCGTGTATGTGCATCTGACCAAGGTCAACGGCCCGCCGCCCGCCCTGGGTGCCGGCCCCGTGAAGCCCGCTGGCCATGGTGGCGTCACGGACTTTATGCAGAACTCGATGTACTCGGCGCCGGGCGCGGCGGGTGGTAGTGGAATGGCCAGCGACATTGGTGGCCTTAACCCGGTTCAGATGGCTATTATTGCATCTATTAAGACCCACAGCACCTCTCCCGATGGCGTGCCGATTCAGACCATCAAGCAGGTGCTGTCGGGCAAGTACCAGCCTCAGCTGGTTGTCCAAGCCATCGATGTGCTTGTCGCCGACGGCCATCTGTACAACACCATCGATGAGACATATGTGCAGGCTACTGACGGCAGCATGTGAGGGTGAAGGTGTCTTTATAGAAAGCGTTTCAGACGTGTGCTGCGCAAAGTAATACATTCTCCACTTTCTGAACTCTCTTTTCAAGACAGCGGCTCCGGCACAGCCGTCTCATTGACATGCCTGCAGAGCCCACTTGGTGGGGGAGTGGAGCTGTGTGCGAGGTGCAAGGTCTGCCAACAGGTGGCTCGCTCAGATTGGTGGGACCACTTTTTGAACCGCCCTCGGTGCAACCACGGCGAAACAATAGCTGCTTCCTGGATGCCCCTTTGCCGCTGTGTCCCGCGACGGTGCCGGACGATGCCGCCCCAGCGCCGTGGACCGCCAGCTGCACGCCGTTTCTACACCACCAGGCTGACTCCCCTCGTTTCGAAGCCTCAGTGGCGCGCTGCACCACAGGGTGAGGGACAATGGATATTTTTGGGCCTACAGCGATCTCAAGGAACTGGCCAGTTTTCCTCCTTTTCATTTTACTAAAGTCGCCAGCACCGATTTTTTTCCCTCTTGCTCTTACCAACTGTCTTGCAATTTCTACTCTTTTTCTTCTCTGACCTTTTTTTGCTGAGCAAAGACAAGCTCCCGTGCTACTTGTTGTATTTATCCTCCCAGCCGATAGCGAATATGGTGCTTATGAAGTTTACGACCCCGGAGCGTGTATGCTACGACGACAGCAACACCGACCGCACATTCTTTGTCGTCGCACGGCCTGGAACCACCTCGCAGTGGCGCACCAAGCCCAGCACCAGCCTTGACGACGTTATTCAGTGTAAGTAGAGCCATCCATGTAGCCCCTGGGTGCTGCTATGTAGGAGAGGTCCTGTCTGGCGCTTGAACATGGGGGTGTAGGCAGGGGTGAAGACAGGTGGTCAATCATGTCTGAGCAGCGTCCTCGTGAGAGTGAATGGGGCCACCAGCATTTTTTCGCACTCTTTTCGGCTATCTTTATAGCGCATGCACCCCCGCCTGCTAAGGCTCGGCTCCGTCTGCCTTTCCCTCTCCCTTTTTTGCGCCATTGTGATTCTGTGTAGAGTCATGCCTGACAAACATTTGCTCGCAGCAGCTTGTTTTTTAACGCAACTGACAAGCAGGGGATGGTGGCTCACTACAATCTCCCTGGGCCTCCAGCATTAATCTACTAAACTGCATTTACGTGGGTTTTGTTTACATAGATCATGATGTGTTCAGCTTCCGGCGCGGCTCGGGCGAGATGGCGCGTGTAGCTTCGAATGACGACCTGCAGCAGGCATTCAAAACCACAGACATCGACACGGTCATTAAGAGCGTTTTGGCGGCTGGCGACGTGAAGTGCAGGGAGTTTGAGCTCGACGTCGACACCCAGGCGACCACCGCTGCGAATGCCGCCACCGCCGCTGCCTCAGCTGCCACTGAGAGCATCAGCAACTACGTATCGTCTATTTGGGGCGGCTGGGGTGCGTCCAAGTAGAAAGCTGAACCGGGGGGGGGTGATATTTCTTCAAGCAAGACTCGGTCTTGCACTCTATCGTTTCTTGCTGTCAAAGTGAATGTTCAAATCAAAATCGACTTTTTTTATCACTTGCTCTAGTAGAAAATGCCAGGAGTATGTGCTAGCGCACGTACAGCTCCACTGCACAAAGCACACAGGCAGGAGATCAGTGCTCCTCATCTCTCTCCCACCCTTGTTTAGGTAGCCTGCAGCCACGCAGAAAACAAATGCTGAATGGTGTTTGCGGATGCCACACGCCCTTCAGAGGTTCTTTATGCGACAATAAGGCACACGGCACGCACAGTTTTATTGAAAACAGTTTTAATGGGCAAAATGAAGAGAAAAACCTGCTTGTTGCATTAATTGCTAGACATGTCAGGCGTTTGCAGAGGAGACACTCAACTCAGGCGGAGCCAAGGAGATGTAAATTAGCGGTGGTATTTTGTTGGCCGTGTGTGAAAGAAAGGAAAGATGATGAGTGAAAGGAATCCAAGCAGCGATACTGTTGCGTATACAAAGGAGAGCTTGGGCGATGGAGACAAATATACATGGCGCCTATGGATCGCTTACTTCTAGTAATGCGGCTGCGTTCCGACCTCCTCGAGGCCACCGTCGGTGGTAACAACTACCACCGAAAAGTCAAACTTGACCATTTTTCACACGAATATATGTTTGTGTGGCGGAAGATGCCAGGCTGATGTTCAGGATAGCTCGACAATTGCAGGCTGTACAAGTGGCTGTGGCGCTGCGCTGACTGTGCGGTGCTTGATCGACGAGTTTTTGTAAACGGAAAATTTGTGGTCAGACCTGAACCGTGTTTATTTGGATATACGGAAACTGCGAGATGAGCGCAATGGAAAGGTTGGAAAATAGCAAGGAAAGAAGAAAAGCTTGTGCGTGTCTAGTTTGGGGAGGTGCGCTGTCCCTGGTCAATTTATACGTTCCTCGACAAGAAAAAGCAAATGACCTTGGGACGTGAAATCGACTATTTCAAATTATTTTTGGTTTTTTGGACATGTCATGCCGTGAACGTTTTATAAGAATCGGAATCTCATGTCATCCCCTCCGCTTGCCTCACCCAATTTGACTCAGTACAAGAGTGACAATGATTTTTATTATAATCGGCTGCAGAATGCCTTGAAGTCCAAACATGAACAATGAGGGGGTGGTTCATGGGGTGGGTCTGAGATGGGCAATAAATTGCTCTTCTTCTTCTCAACGCGCTGCAGCACGTATTTGCTGTTACCAAGCTGCTGGCAATCTGTTGTCAGTTGTCGCTCTTTTTTCTTCGGCTGTATGTTGCTGGCATCAGTTTTTCCTATTAATAAACTCTTTACATTTACATCGTCTACATTGCATCACTTGCTATTCAGCTGACCAGGACAAAATACTGGGGTGTACGTCGACGTATTTCACGTCTGAGCAAGGGAACCGATGTGATTTCTAATCTGAGTCCTGCCAATTCTCGGAATTAGCAGGTTAATGACCCCAGTCAAGCGACAGCTACCAGGGCCCCCATTTTCCACATGCCGGCCCTATTTCCTCCCAACGTACCTCCACATCAAGTGTAGGGAGCTCTTTCGCCAGAGTTTGCTACAAGACCATGGACAGAACAATGAGCGTAAAGGGCGATCACCGAGCAAGTGCTTTTACGCGATGCAAGCCATGGTGTGCTGGCTCGCTGAGGTGGAATGAGTACCGTTTTTTGTCCAGGAGCCAATGGGTCTATGGCACCGGCTGCCGGTCCCAACAGGAGGATTGCCAATAGCACTTGCGAATAGACTGGATATGAATGTGCTGTCCGTCCTTCAGCTGAGTGGATTGGCAATGGGGCAATAAAGAGCCATGTTGGTTTCCTGCAGCTATCCACAATACCAGCATGCCACCATGCCGTCTTCAATAGATGCACACCACGACTTTCGCAGGAGTTTACAAGGCTGCCATACCCGAACCGTACCATGCAGAACAAAGTTGCATCAGTAAATCTTATTTTACAAAATGGAGTGAGGACGCTAGACGCCTATTTCAGTGGGCGAGCGGCTGAGAATATCGAGTAAAGATAGTAGGCAAACGCATTCGTGTTTACAATAGATTATACAGCTCAGGGGTTTACCGCTTTAGAGGCTTGGCTCGCCCAACTCCGCCGGAGTGGTTGGAGCGGAGTTCTAATTTTATTTTGCACTACAAATGAGATTTGTGTTGTGTGCGTCCTCATTAATACAATGAGCTTCGCACAATTAGCAATAGCGCACAATTAATGCATCTCAGAATTGAGCGCTCGCATTCAACGTGCAGCGGCTAGAGACATTATTATCGATCCCCCGAATGCCCAAAAATGGCACAATGTTCTTTTCTAACTCTTTGGGTCAATTGCCAGAATAACATGGCTGTTTACAATTGCTCAATGCATCACTCTTTGTGGGTGTTGGGATTTACTGGCAATACCTTCAGGGCGTGCAGGTCCTGCCCCCTATCCAAGCGGGAGTGGATCTCAAAGTACAAAGGGATTGGCGTGGATGCTGGCTGCAAAAGCTGTTCAGATTTTTGTACAATACATGACAAAGAAGGAGACATAAGCCTTGATTAAAATAAAAAGAGCCTGTCAATATCTCTATTGTGCTCATCAACATTAGGTCTACGTGGACATTGCATGTGGGGTTTGCGTAAGGTATCCTTGCATTATATTATGCCTCTTGTAGATGCTAAGCACTTGCAGGCTACATCAGGTGCTAGTGAACTTGGCTGAGCTGGTATCGGGCAGAGCATAATCGCCAGAGAAAGTACCAGTGATCTTGAAGATCGCTGCCATGTTCTTGGCCTTCTCCGCTGCCGGATCAGACTTGATAGTCACAGTGTTGCCACTGACGCTGACAGTACCACGGCTAGACGAGTCCACGGTCTGACCAGCAGGAAGAGTGAACGAAATCGACCAGTGTCCAGAGAAGGCATTCTGCAGGGTCGCCACCTTGACAACAGTCGAGTACTTGTTGTCAACGATGTCACCAGCGACAAACTCAGCACGAGTAGCCACGTTGCCAGCAGCCTTGACAGGCTTGGGACGCAGATTCGGCTTGGTAATCTTGCTGACCTCTACAGGATCAGCACGTCTCTGCAGAATGTTCATCTCATGATCAAGGAGAGCAAGAGCAGAGCGCTTCATTGCTGATCCACAGCTGCCACCCGAATCCAGCATCGAGCGGATTGAGCCAGCAAGTCCACTAGTACGGGCTTGGCTGACATCCCAGGTCATAATTCCACCAAGGCTCGAGTACTTGCTACGAACGTCGCTGTAGATGGTTTGAAGCGTACCAGCATCCACATAACCTGAGCTGGCAGCAGATGGGCCGCCTGGAGCACCAATATAGATCTTGACATTCTTGTTGACCGACACAGTCTTGGCCCAGTTGTCCCAGTCAGCATAGTTGAACCACGAGGGGTAGGCATTGAGACCGCAGTAGTTGTTGTAGAACTGGACGTAGACCATGTCGAACCAAGCATTGTTCATCACGGAACCAAGGTAGGCATCAGGATACGGGCACTGAGGAGCAGCCGCGATGTAGTACTTCTTGCTTGAGTCAGAGGCATAGTGCGAGCGCATGCGGTCAATGAACGCTTTGTACCCAGTCGCACCACCACCTTCGATATCGAGATCAATGCCATCAAGAACGGCATCATCGAACGGACGCTGAGAATCGGTACCCTTGAAGAACTTGTTCCAGACGGTGTCGGCAAAAGTGGTGGCCTCAGAGTCACTCGAAAATCCATAGGCACCCGAAGCGCCACCCATGGAAAGGACGACAGCCTTCCCCTTGGACTGGCACAGCTTAATATCCTTTGCCATATCGGGACAGTGGAGCAGAGTGCTGTCGGGGAAGGTCGTCTCACAGGCATTGGCAAAGTTGAGGAGGAGGTTAGGGAAGCCGTTCATGAACGACAGAACGATGACATCTTCAGTTGCATCCTGGCAGTAGGTGCCGAGGGACTTTTGGTTGCGTGCAGAGTTCTGGCCGTAGTATGAAGCGTAGTTGCTGTTGCAACTAACATCAAATGCTGCAGCACTTGCAAAGACAGCCGTGATGACCATTAGAATACTGGTAGATAGCCTCATAGTTGAGAAGGACGTAGTCAGACAAGCAATGAAGGATTGATGATGAAGGTAATTTGGAGAAACCGGCTCCGAGGTAATTATCGTAGATAATTTTAATACAAGGTATGAAGAAGAAACAGTACGAGGATGCTGGGAAATACCCGAAGGAGGTGAGGAATCTGCTTCCTTTTATATCCAGATGAAGGTATCGAAAAATATGCTCCATATCCAGCAGATTCATGTTGTTTACAAGGAGAAGACCAGCCTATCACCGCTATGAACCATGTGAATTGCCTTCTCACATGTCAACAGCCTAGCGGCACCACTTTGCCCCTCGATATTAAATTTTGGACCGAACCGCGCATAGGTGGCAATGTGACTTGATAGATGCGCGGACATAGCTGCATAGTTGTCTGCCCGATGTCGTCATAATTGCTGGATATAGTCCCCGCCTCTTCAACCGACATGTTGACCGAGCGCAGGCATACCAATGTCCGAGAAATGCAACCTAAATTGGTGGATCATTCGGCATGGAAATCAAGAGCACATGGACAACGGTTTCCGCAAAAGACTATAGTCCAGCTTCCTAGTGTTCATGTCCACACGTCCATCACTCCTTGGTGGTGCATGCATCCATTGAGTATAGCCTGTAGTAGGGTTTAGAGGCACTAGTACTATAGCGACATATTCTGCTTTATATACCTACGACCCGGCAGCCTTCAAGAATCCTGCCCAGCACACAGATTATTGTCTAGTCATGTGTGGTGCTAATTATACAGTGTCGACAAGCACAGGTGGAAAGCTGGGATCATCGACATATATGCACAGTTTGCATGGTGCATATGGTGGATTTACGTGTAGGACTAGAACTAAGCGTAAATTATGACAGGAATTTCCACGTTAAACGACTCTGAAGGCTGGCAGCAATTGTCTTTCTCTCAAACACTTTGAGCTTGCAAAGTGGAAAACCTCATTTGAATCAATTACTTAATAGGTATAAGGATGCGCTTATAATTAGCAATGGCCCACCTCTTGAGTGGACAGAAAAGGGAGTTGGATATATAGTTGCTCTTAAAGATAACAGATGCAGTGTCAGGCAGCATGTACTAGCCAGAGAACATGCCAGTAAGCTTGATGATAGTGGCCATGTTCTTGGCCTTCTCCGCTGCCGGATCAGACTTGATAGTCACGGTGTTGCCGCTGACGCTGACAGTACCACGGCTGGACGAGTCCACAGTCTGACCAGTAGGAAGAGTGAACGAAATTGACCAGTTTCCAGAGAAGGCATTCTTCAGGGTTGCCACCTTGACAACAGTCGAGTACTTGTTGTCAACGATGTCGCCAGCGACAAACTCAGCACGGGTAGCCACGTTGCCAGCAGCCTTGACAGGCTTGGGACGCAGGTTGGGCTTGGTAATCTTGCTGACCTTGACCAGATCCTGGCGCTTGCGCAGGGTGGTGCCTGATACAGAGCAGCCAGTAGTTGGACGGCCATTAGACCAGTCGCAGGTGGCTGTGTTTCCACTGAGGTAGCAGTAAGTCCCCGAAGCGCATGACCGCACGATCCACTTGCCGTTATCGCAGATAGCAAAACTGGAGCCATTGCACCCTTGCTGGTTACCAGTGCAGGCACCACCATTAACCGGGCATGTCCCAGTGGACGTCGATGTAGGCTGAGCAGACGAAGTGGTGCTGGTAGTTGTGATGGGTGTGGCAGTCGAGGATGTGACTGGGGGCTGAGAGGTGGTTGATGTAGTCGATGTACTAATAGGCGGCAGAGTGGAAGATGTTCCACCACCAGGTGAGCTGCAGGAGCCACCTGAGTTGAGCATCGAGCGAATTGAGCCAGCAAGTCCGCTAGCACGACCCTGGCTGACATCCCAGGTCATAATTCCACCAAGGCTCGAGTACTTGCTACGAACATCGTTGTAAATGGTTTGTAGTGTGCTTGCGCTGACATAACCTGAGCTGGCAGCAGATGGGCCGCCTGGAGCGCCAATGAAGATCTTGACATTCTTGTTGACCGACACAGTCTTGGCCCAGTTGTCCCAGTCAGCATAGTTGAACCACGAGGGGTAGGCATTGAGACCGCAGTAGTTGTTGTAGAACTGGACGTAGACCATGTCGAACCAAGCGTTGTTCATCACGGAACCAAGGTAGGCATCAGGATACGGGCACTGGGGAGCAGCCGCGATGTAATACTGCTTACTCGAGTCAGTTGCATAGTATGAACGCATGCGGTCAATGAACGCTTTGTACCCAGTCGCGCCACCACCCTCGATATCGAGATCAATGCCATCAAGAACAGCATCATCGAACGGACGCTGAGAATCGGTACCCTTGAAGAACTTGTTCCAGACGGTGTCAGCAAAGGCGGTAGCCTGTGCATCGCTGGAAAATCCATAGGCGCCCGAAGCGCCACCCATGGAAAGGACGACAGCCTTACCCTGAGATTGGCAGTACTTGATATCAGCAGCCATGCTAGGGCAATGCAGCAGAGTGCTGCCAGGGAAGGTCGTCTCACAGGCATTGGCAAAGTTGAGGAGGATGTTAGGGAAACCGTTCATGAAGGCAAGAACAATGACATCTTCAGTCGCATCCTGGCAGTAGGTGCCGAGGGACTTCTGGGATCCAGCAGAGTTCTGGCCGTAGTATGAGGCGTAGTTGCTGTTACAGTTGACGTTGAACGCCACAGCGCTAGATGCTAGCGACAACGCGAGTAAGCTGGCTGGAATCTTCATTTAGAAGTAGTTGCAGGCAGGAAAGCGTAATAAGACTGATGGCGGGAAATGGCGATTGAGACCGGCTCAAGATATTAAAATAAGGGAGTTACCAAAGTGCGGTTGATGTTGGAAATAATGATGGAAGCGAAGCCAACAATGATCCGTTTTATAGCATTTCTAGTGGCATTTTTTCCTCTACTTGGAATATATTTCGATGAAGCACCAGCCTGGATAGTAAGGTTGAAGTGTGCTTCGGGGCATTTCTGTTATTTTCTTCATTATTTTGTTTCTTGTTCAAGCTTGTTTTGAACAACCTTAGACCAAACAAATAAGTTGGATTTTAGCCAGATGCTCGAGAGCACGTAAGGAAGGGGAGCATACCTCACCTTCAAGCTTGACGGACCGGAGAAGGTTGATCACAGGGGAACCTGCCTGACCGCGGAGCATGTGCAGTCAGATGACTAGCACACATTTGATTTTGCAAAGCTGGCTTCCAACAGCTTTTGCTGGTATGGTCTTGCAAGTATGCTGCTGCTACTGCTGAATTCTCCATGTACCAGCATTTGTTCCATCAATGCAAATGAGTGAGTAGCGGCAGACGGCGCTTCGGGCTGTCTAGCATTAATAGCATTTATGCAGCAAAGCAATCGATTGAATGTGAAGTATGCTTGGTTCGAGTAGAAGGTGCATGCATCGACCAGGGCACGAGCAAGACTGGAACCAGAACACTGATGGACAGGTCCGTAGTTTGCAAATACGGTTAGTTGATGCAGTTGCAAATGGGACCGAGTAGCATATTTTATGGCTGTTTCCCTCTTGGCTTGTTTGTTTTCTGTCTAGCACTTGGTATAATTCCTTCTCACACGGCTGTGCCGGCCAATATCCTGATTGGTTGGTGTGGCTATTTAATTGAACCAATGAGTAGAGCTACAATGAAAAGGTACTTGCCGCCTTGATTTATGACAAGCGAGGGGAAGCTCTTGCCGGCATCTGCTCTGCTGCCAGCGCTTGCTGTAGCTATAGCATGTCCTTCCAGCCACCACACACTCTCCACCGCATCTCAGTGCCAATTTTGGAATTCGGCAGCACATCATGCAGCAGGTGCAGCCCCAATATGTATGAGTATGCACTTTGTGATGTGCATGTATTAAGTTTAGGTCACACTGCCCACCATGCGGACGGGCATATGCAGATGCCGAGCCATACCAAAAGTTGGTTTGGGATGCATCAAAATGGGCCGCGGTTCGGTGGCTAGTGCATGTGATGCAGAAGATGAGAAAAGTATATATAAATTGATTACAGGAATTTTCAGCTACTGGTAAAGATGGCCGAGGAAGTATCTGGTAGTACATAGTCTCCAGTGAATGACCCGGTAATCTTGAAAGTCGCAGCCATGTTCTTTGGCTCCTCTGCGACTGGATTAGATGTGATTGTCACGGTGCTGTTGGCGACGTTGAGATTGCCACGGCTGGTCCACTCGACGGTCTGGTTGGCAGGCAGTGTGAACGCAATCGACCAATTCCCAGAGAAGGGGCTCCAAAGGGTAGATACCTTTACGACAGTGGAGTATGTGCTGTTTGTGAGATCGCCAGCAACAAACTCGATGCGGGTTGAGACATTGCCTTCGACCAGGAGAGGTTTTGGCAGCAGGTATGGCACAGTAAGTGCTTCCACCTTAGCCTCATCCAAGCGCTTGTGCAAGGGGTTGGATGAGATTGCACAAGTATCTGTAGGACGCCCATTAGCCCAATCACACATCGCAGTGTTACCGTTCATGAAGCAGAAAGTTCCTGAGGCGCACGGGCGAACCGCCCAGCGGCCGTTATCGCAAACAGCAAAGGCCTGTCCACTGCACCCTTGCTGGCCTGCAGAGCACTTACCACCGCTAACAGGACAATCACTGCTGTTTGTAGGTGATGGCTCTGCTGTGGAAGAAGAGCCGGATGTGGCACTGGTGCTGGCGCTGGTACTGCCAGCAGGGATTGATGAAGTTGGCGTCTGGGAAGTAGTCATCGAGGCATCGGGCATCGAAGATGTGATGGAGCTTGCCATAGGTGTAGAGGTTGATGAACTCTGCTGAGTGGGCAACAGCGTGTCATGTGTGATGGTCGATGGTGCCGATGACGATGGGAGCTCGGATGCGGCCGGTGATGTAGTAGATGCAGTAGATTCAGGGGTAGCTGCAGTAGTGGTAGTAAACGCGCCACCCGGCAATTCGCACCTGTCTGTTGGGCGACCATTAGACCAGTCACACATGGCCACACCGCTGTGAAGATAACAGTATGTTCCAGCAACACACGCACGAACCACCCACCTCCCATTGTCACACATGGCATAGTTAGATCCGGCGCATCCTTGCTGGGTTCCGGTGCACGGGGCGCCATTAACAGGGCAATCGCTGCCGATGGTAGGGGATGGGCCAGCTGAGGACGAAGCGGTGGAAGTGGTACTCAGAGCTGAAGACGTTTCAGATTGTGAGGACCCAATAGCCGAACTCTCAGTGAACGACGAAAAGGCAGGAATACTGGAAGTATAAGTAGCAATGGTAGGGCCACTTGATGCAGCTGAGGTAGTAGTCATACTAGCTGTAGCCGAGGTAATGTCCAAGGTGCTGGAGGTGGTGGATCCGCCACCCGGTGAATCGCAGCTTCCACTAGCATCAAGCATAGAGCGAATAGAAGAAGCAATACTGTTAGTACGCGCTTGGCTGATATCCCAGGTCATAATTCCACCAAGGCTTGGGTACTTGCTACGAACGTCGTTGTAGATGGTCTGCAGCGTGCTTGCATCAACATAGCCCGAACCAGCAGCCGAAGGAGATCCAGGGGCACCAATGAAGATTTTGACGTCCTTGTTAACAGCACTGTTCTTGGCCCAGTTGTCCCAGTCGCCAAAGTTGAACCAGGTCGGGTATGCGTTGAGGCCGCAGTAGTTGTTGTAGAATTGCACGAATACCATGTCGAACCAAGCTGAGTTCAAGGCCGATCCGATCCATGCATCAGGGAACGGGCACTGAGGAGCAGCCGCGATGTAATACTCCTTGCTTGGATCTGACGCATAGTGTGAGCGCAGCTGGTTGATGAAAGCTGCATATCCATAGGTGCTACCACCCTCAATATCGAGATCAATGCCATCAAGAACAGCATCATCGAACGGACGCTGAGAATCGGTACCCTTGAAAAACTTGTTCCAGACGGTGTCGGCAAAGGCAGCAGCCTCAGAGTCACTCGAAAATCCGTAGGCACCCGAGGCACCACCCATGGAAAGGACGACAGCCTTACCCTGAGATTGGCAGTACTTGATATCAGCAGCCATGCTAGGGCAATGCAGCAGAGTGCTGCCAGGGAAGGTCGTCTCACAGGCATTGGCAAAGTTGAGGAGGACGTTAGGGAAGCTGTTCATGAACGACAGGACGATGACATCCTCAGTCGCATCCTGGCAGTAGGTGCCGAGGGACTTCTGGGATCCAGCAGAGTTCTGGCCGTAGTATGAAACGTAGTTGCTATTACAGTTGATATTAAAGGCAGCTGCAACTGCTGTGAGGGCAGCAGGAATTATACAAGACGAGACTTTCATTGTGCAGCGAGGTATGTGAGGTGATGGCCAGAAGATAGGGAATATGAAAGTTGTGAGTCCATGATGACATGGAGAATGCAGCAATGCGCGATCAATATATAAGGCGTTTAGGAGCGGATCCATTATCTCCTGGGTGAGTGGCAGTCCACCTGGAACCGGCACGAGTGAGGCTTTCTGGCCTAACATAACTACTAATCAGCACTATGTATTCGACCTCTCCAATTGTAGCAAGACAAGTGCGTTGTTAACCTGTATAGTCTTGCCTGCCCTGTCTTGACCATCGTGGCTCTATCGCTTGTGAGAGGTTTAGAAAGGTGCGATTGTATTCATACCTGGATTCCTAAGACAATAGTCCTGCTGTGATCTGCAATTGTTGTACATGCACTGAGACTAGTCTCCAAACTCTTGCACTCGGGCAGCTAATAGTCGGAAATTGCCAGTCAGCTAACATGAAACCGGATAGGGGTTGCAGATAGATGAGACCGCATAAAATAATCAAGCAGCTTTCCAAAACCTGGTTCCGCTGAACCTATCCCAGACTGCCATTACAAGGTTGCACAGTCCTGATTCCAACACAAATGGTAGGGGGCCGGAGGTGTAGTGCGGAACAGCTTTGAAGTACGCATGGGGAAAATAGCTGCAGAGATAAAGTCCTGCCACCAAATATCCGCAGCCCGTTGTCGCCACTGGTCTAATACATGAATCCTAGTGACCACCCCGAGATCACCCCGTCCTTGGCACAGCCATATGTGTAAACCAATCTTCCACTCTGCTAGGCCAGTATGCAGTCTAATCGCCTCCTCAACCACGCAGCCTGCCTAGCATTACAGCAATGCATTATTCTATTCACAATGTGCCCGTGTGATCAACCTAAATGAATCTGATATCATGTGGAAGGCCATGCACCCACATCAAATATACACGCTTGCTCACGTGCCTCCTCTTATCAGTCACATTCGTGAGCACAAATAATCTTGGCGAGATATATTGAGCAGGAGCCTTGTAAATGTGCAACATTGTTTTCAACGGAAGTTGAGTCGGAAAAAAGGCGCTTAGCTGCTGGTGAACTTGGCCGAGCCGGTGTCGGGCAGAACATAATCGCCAGAGAAAGTACCAGTGATCTTGAAGATCGCTGCCATGTTCTTGGCCTTCTCCGCTGCCGGATCAGACTTGATAGTCACAGTGTTGCCGCTCACGCTGACAGTACCACGGCTGGACGTGTCCACGGTCTGACCAGCAGGAAGAGTGAACGAAATCGACCAGTTTCCAGAGAAGGCATTCTGCAGGGTCGCCACCTTGACAACAGTCGAGTACTTGTTGTCAACGATGTCGCCAGCGACAAACTCAGCACGGGTAGCCACGTTGCCAGCAGCCTTGACAGGCTTGGGACGCAGGTTGGGCTTGGTAATCTTGCTGACCTTGACCAGATCCTGGCGCTTGCGCAGGGTGGTGCCTGATACAGAGCAGCCAGTAGTTGGACGGCCATTAGACCAGTCGCAGGTAGCCGTGTTTCCACTGAGGTAGCAGTAAGTTCCTGAAGCGCACGACTGTACGATCCACTTGCCGTTGTTGCAGATAGCAAAGCTGGAGCCACTGCATCCTTGCTGGTTACCAGTGCAGGGACCGCCATTAACCGGGCATATCGGAAGTGACGTCGATGTAGGCTGAGCAGACGAAGTGGTGCTGGTGCTGGTGCTGGTGCTGGTGCTGGTGCTGGTGCTGGGTGCAGGAGTCGAGGTGGCAGTCTTGGTAGAAGTCGTAGTAGGGGTCAGAGTGGAGGTACCGCCACCAGGCGAGCCACAGGTGCCACCGCTATTGAGGAACGCCCGGATAGCTGGGCCTAGACCACTAGTGCGATGCTGGCTGATATCCCAGGTCATAATTCCACCAAGGCTCGAGTACTTGCTACGAACATCGTTGTAAATGTTCTGTAGCGTGCCTGCGCTGACATAACCTGAGCTGGCACCAGACGGGCCGCCTGGAGCACCAATATAGATCTTGACATTCTTGTTGACCGACACAGTCTTGGCCCAGTTGTCCCAGTCAGCATAGTTGAACCACGAGGGGTAGGCATTGAGACCGCAGTAGTTGTTGTAGAACTGGACGTAGACCATGTCGAACCAAGCGTTGTTCATCACGGAACCAAGGTAGGCATCAGGATACGGGCACTGGGGAGCAGCCGCGATGTAGTACTTCTTGCTTGAGTCAGAGGCATAGTGCGAGCGCATGCGGTCAATGAACGCCTTGTACCCAGTTGCGCCACCACCCTCGATATCGAGATCAATGCCATCAAGAACAGCATCATCGAACGGACGCTGATCGGCTGTACCCTTGAAGAACATATTCCAAACAGTATCAGCAAAGGTGGTAGCCTGTGCATCGCTGGAGAATCCATAGGAACCCGCGGCACCACCCATGGAAAGGACGACAGCCTTCCCCTTGGACTGGCAGTACTTGATATCAGCAGCCATGTTCGGGCAATGCAGCAGAGTGCTGCCAGGGAAGGTCGTCTCACAGGCATTGGCAAAGTTGAGGAGGACGTTAGGGAAACCGTTCATGAAGGCAAGAACGATAAGATCCTCAGTCGCGTCCTGGCAGTAGGTGCCGAGGGACTGCTGGGTGCGCGCAGAGTTCTGACCATAGTATGAAACAAAGTTATTGTTGCAGGTGACGTCAAAGGCTGCGGCGCTCCCGGCTGCAACCGCGATGGTAGCGAGGATTCCAGTTGAGAGCTTCATCCTTATTAAGAGTATGACGGAGGTCTATTAGAGAGCCAGCTCTTTGGATTATAACAGATGTTATCGAAGAAAGTGAGATGGGAATCTAGAGAGGCTTGGTTGTTGTTGGCTGGGAGTTAGTCAGCCCGAGACTGGTGCCTTTTATATCCTGCCGGGATGCGAACGCCGTGGAGGGCGGGAAGAGGCATGACAACGATGTGAAAAACACCAGTATACGTGACGCCCTCTTTCTGCCAACTGCGTTGTAGGATCATTAGCGGCCGGTATGTGACAGGGCACGAGGTATGCCGCCACCTTTCTTTTTTTTTTTTTCAGACACTCCATTCTCCCTAGAATTTGTCCGCATCAAATGTCTTGGCTGCAACGAGTAGCTTGTTGCATCCAGATCAATAAACAGATACATACCAGTTCTTTGTATGTTTCAGCAACTGCGGGAGTAGATCCTAGTGCCGACAGCAAGCGGTCCGGGTTCAGCTGTTGAGATTGGCAACAACGTGATTCAGAATGCATGCAAGAAATAAATGCACGCAAAGCGGTTTATGCTTGTTCGCAATAAGAAAGCGGGTAGTGAATCCCCTCAGGCATGTGTACCTGCTGTTCCACTTTTGGAAAGAGCCAGGAGAATGTTATGAGCCCGAAGGTTTCTTTTAGGGACCGAAGCAGGTTTCGGACCATTTCGTGGACGGACTTGATACGCAGAATGTTCTTGAGTACATGCATGGCGGGGCTCCCGAAATTGCCAACGTGACTACCCCGATGCATAGGTTTTCTAGAATGCTTGGTCTAGCATTAATCAATAGGTAAATAAGCTGCTGGTGCACTTCGCCAAAGCATATAGCGCATGTCCATTTGCGCGCTGCATATCTACATATGCGATTTGAAAGGGAAAGCACGTACTCTTTTTGCCAAGCGTTATGTGAAAAGTATATTGCTGCTGAGCATTCACGCATCCTGGAGCATGTGCTTCGCGCAGCCCGCTCCAAGGAGTACCGAGAAAAGCTGCGAGAAACCAGAATTCAACAAGAAAAGGTAAATCGCTTCCCACGTCTACAAACAAGTCAAACCGTTCTAATCCTCTGTTTAATGTCGGGAAAAGCCTCCACAAACAAGCAATTACCGGTTCTATTGTTATCTCCAATTTGCAGCAGTCTAGTCCATGAACTTGCTCAGACCCGCCTCGAACGCCAGCGTGACAGGAATGACAGACCATCCCTGAGGGCAATTTAGCGGAAGATCCGCATTGTGTTCGCCGAAAACCACCTTGAGCATGGCATTGGACTGCACCGCCTTCGCGTCCTTGGCGACACACAGTGTGATGTGTGGAACTGCATTGATAGCCCGCAGCGTTGTCTCCGAGCCATTGCCCGCGACAATCGCCTTAGGAACAGATGCCTGGGTGGCCATACGCTTGACCCGAAGTGCCATCACATTGCCATCGCACACAATGTAGTCGGCAGTGCACGAAACCGACACGGGCTTCTTCTGAGCAGACAGCTGGTGGTAGGCATCATAAATCTCCTTGCCAGCCCGCTTGGTATCCCCAATATGTGCCAGAGTGATGTGCTTCGGCCGGTCGTGGCCACCAGACTCCAAAAGTTGCCTGCAGAGAGCCCAGTCGGCGCTGGGGTTCTTTTCCATATACCCGTGGAGCCAATCGTCGATATTCACATCGTTCGGGGTCAAGCCAAGGAACACCGGCTTGCGCTCCTTGTTTTTCACCTTACCCACCACCTTTTTCACAGTGGGCTTAAACGTGAGAGCCTCGTTCAGCGCCGCGTCGATTTCATCCTCGCTCGGCCTCTGCAGCATCTCCGGGAACATCTCACACATGGTGTCGATGACTGCGCGCAAATTTGTGCTTGAGTCAGCCATCGGATCCAGCTCAATGACGTGCTCAATCAGTCCGTCCGCCTCAGAATCAGCATCAATGGGTCGGAACTCGCGCACGAAATTTCGCATGATGCTGCGGAACTGCGGCGTACCCTTGGGCGTCAGCGACTGGTGCCCCTCGCCACGCGCAATGACGCGGTTGGATGTGTTTTGCAGAATCCTGTCGGCTGGAGCATCCTCATGGCTCCACTGCATGGCCACGATCCGGCAGTTGGGCAGCTCCTCGCGAATGGCCTCGGTCAGCGACTGGCGCAGCACCGGCATGTGGTTGTTGCGGTCGGCCACCACAAAGTCATGGCTGTCAAACTCGTTCAGGATTGCGCGATGGAAGGCGCCCCGCGCGTTTTTCTTGGCAGTGATGTTGTCGTTCTGCACGTGACCGAATCCGAACAGCCTGGATAGCGCCAGCGACACCGTAGTCTTGCCGCAGCCGATAGTGGCCACGGGCACCAGAAGCACAGACTTTCGGCCGCCCACAGCCTCAAACACATCGGCGTCGGAGCCACCGGATCTGCGGTGAGCCTCGAGGAAGCGTGTGCGCGCAGCAATGATGCCCTGCTGCTTGCCAAAGCTCTCAAACTGCTCCGGATGCTCCTTGATCTGATTTTTGACCCACGCCGCATAGAGCTTGCTTAGGGCATATGAGGTGCGGTACGGCTTGTCATGCAGTATGCGGTTGGTGATCTCGCGCCACTCACGAAACATCAGATATGGCTCGTCGTACTTTATCTTGAACATAAACGGACGCTCGCTGTCATGCATCCTGCACCGCACAACGAATCCCTCGATGGCCCGGCCATCCAGCACCCGGTCGTTGCGCACCTTGTCAGCCATGGCGCGGGCCTCCCCGATAGTGTCGAATACAAAATACTTTGTCTCCATAAACCCAAACTCCCTGGCTACCCTGGTCACCTCCTCGCTGGGCCACGTCCACAGGTCAACAGAGTTGCGGTTGATCCCGTGCAAATACAGCCCGCGCATCCGCTCGGGGTACTCGAGGATATGCTCCTCGAACGAATCGTCGCACAGCTCAAACACCGCGGTCGCGTTGTTCTCGGCCAGGAACGCTGCGAATTCCTCAGGCGTCCGGTTGGCCCGCTCCAGATGCCGGTGCATCCACTGCATGCCAACTTCAGCATGCGGGACGTTGACCGAATGCTTGCTTGTTACCAGCAGGCTTTTGCCGTCGTTAAGCCCGGCGGCAAGGTTCAGGCACCCGTTCTCCTTGACCGTCAGCTCGTACGGTCCGCGCGTGTTCGCCTCGATCCACCCCCACTTTGTCTGTTTCACTTCACCCACATTGAAGAACTTGTTGTACCCGCGCGCAACAATTGTCTTGTTGTCAGTGCCGGTGGTGAATAGGCCGCGCGCCTGCGTTGGCAGGGGACACGGGTCCTTCTTGTACAGGAACTCTGTGCACTTCCAGCTCGCCAGCTCACTGCCCTGATAGTCGTGCTTGGTGCTGCGCACAATACGCTTGGAGGCTGGCGTCACTGAGGCTAGCTCCTCCATCTTTTTCATTAGCTGCCGGACCTCATACTGTTCCTCCTCCAAAGCGAGTCCGAAAATTGTGTCGTCCTTTGTGCGGTCCATGGTGTGTGGGATAGATAGGGAGATAGCGCGTCTAGAGTGTCCAGCTGGCTGTTGTATGGGCTTAAGTAGATGGTGAAATCCTTGCCGCAGCAGCAAACCGCGCATTTACAACAGCGAAAAATGGAATACTATTGAAGAAAACACTGAAAACAGCGAGAAAAAAAAGCTATTCACAAGCAAACCAAAACTGCGGTCCCTTAATTTCTTACTGTCAGCTCGGCTCACTGGTGAGCTAGAACCCGGGATACGTCACCGCTCAGGTCGACGCCAAAGCATTCCTGCTCTGCTCCTTGCCACAATTTAGACACTAGTTACAATGACAACCCCACTGCAGCACACGCAAGAACTACTGAAGCAAAAGGATGCCCTCGAGAGCGAGCTGCGAGACCTCGAGTTACAGCTACGCACCCACGGCGTGACCCGCACAGAAGCACTGGTGGATACGGACGGGTTTCCCCGCGCCGACATCGATGTCACCAGCATCCGGCAGATCCGCACCTCGCTCATATACAAGCAAAACGACCTGAAGGCACTCATGGCCGAAATAGAAGCCTCGCTGCTGGTCCTGCACCAAAACACAAGATCCGAGCCCAGCGAGTCAGCAGATCCCCCACGCCGCCGTGCGTTTGCGCGGGTCAATACAATTGCGCCCAATTCGCCTGCAGCAGATGCCGGACTGAAGGTGGGAGATGCCATTATCAGCTTTGGATCGGCCAATGCACTTAACCATGAGAGGCTGCAGCGGCTCGCGAGAATTTGCTCAGAGAGCGAGGGGCTCGAGGTCGGCGTGCAGGTGGAGAGGGTTGTCGATGGGCGGCCCACCGTGGTGAACCTGATGCTGACGCCCAGGCGCGGGTGGGGCGGCGCCGGCCTTCTTGGCTGCCATGTTGTGCCAATCTAACATTTGATAAAAAGGTCTTGGCAACAACAATGTCTGATATAGGACATTTATATGGAGGCGGAAACTGAATGGTAAAACAGGGCAGGATGCCCAGGTAACAGGTTTTTTTTACATGACTCGCCCTTCATGGCCGTGCTTTTTGGACATGGGGTCAGCAGGGGGTCATTGTATTTGTAAGCCACTGAACGAATTTCCATGCAATTCTCTTGCCCGGTGACTGCATTGCTGGCCAACATCTGCCAGGTGGAGAAGTCCGAGCAGCGAGATTATGCTAACAGCCTAACCGCAGCAGCTCCTCTATAGGAAAATTGGTTTTTCCTGTACGGCTGATCTTCGCTCCATCTCGGTGTTCTACTGCCGAACACAGCTCTACGTCCTTCCGACACGGTATGTGTTCCCAATAAGAGCATGTAGATTTGTAGGCAAGAAGCGCTGGTATTCTCCGCTTTTAGATGCGGTGATAATCATGCTGACCAAGTGTTGGCGGTTCTATTTGTCGACAAGGCAGCATTGCTGGTGTGTGCTCCTCTCGGGAAGATTTCTTGGCAGCAAGCGACTGGTAGCAAACCTGCTGGATCGCGAGGTATAAAAGGTGTGCAGCTTTGTGGCTCTTCTCTGCCATCTGTAGCATCATCCTGAAAGCGGTTCTCCAATTTTAATGTCTATTTTTCAATCCAGCACGATGGCAAGCGCGGAATCAGATGCTCCCAGGGGCCTGGGAGTTGCAAGCAGCTCACACGACCTTACATCGCACACTAGCATCAGCAGCAACGACAGGACTGCAGACAAGGCTGATGCCCCCGAAAAAGAGGAGCTGAACGTAGAAACCACCGTGGATGTCCCAAATGGCTTAGAGAAAGAAGTCAATGAGCGTGGCGAAGACATTTCTGCCAGCGGCAACAAGTCCATGCTGTCGGCGATGCCAAAACAGAGGCAAATCATGACGTTCTTTGCGCTGGCACTGGCTGTTTTCATTGCCTCTCTCGACCAAACCATCGTGGCTAGCTCAATGCCGGCAATCGCCGAGCACTTCAATGCTCTGTCGTCAGTAAACTGGATCGCCACCAGCTTCCTCCTGGCCTCAACCGCACTCCAGCCTCTGTATGGCCGCCTCTCCGACATCTTTGGCCGTATTGAGACACTGATGGTCGGCCTTATGATATTCTTAGTCGGCTCCGCCGTGTCAGGCGCTGCCACCAGCATCAACATGCTCATCGCCGGCCGTGCCGTACAAGGCCTGGGTGCGAGCTCCCTGATCTCCCTTGTCATGGTCATTGTATCCGATATTACGATTGAGCGCGACCGCGGCAAGTTTGCCAGCGTGTTTAGCTCTGTCTGGGCAATTTCGTCTGTGCTCGGCCCAGTACTGGGCGGCGTGTTCACAGAGTCGAGCGCGGGCTGGCGCTGGGTGTTTTATTTCTCGCTGCCTGTCGGAGCTGTTGCCGGCGTCGTTATCTTTGTCTTCTTGAATCTTCCGAGACCACGCGGGTCGCTGATGCAGAAGCTGAAGCGGGTGGATTTTATCGGAATCGTCGTTCTGATCGCTGGTGTTGTGATGTTCCTGCTGGCGCTGAACTTTGGCGGCAAAGACTACCCGTGGGTGTCCGCACCCGTGCTCTGCCTGCTGCTGATCGGTCTGGCTGTCATCGGCGCGTTTGTCGTTGTTGAGTGGAAGCTCCCTGCCGAGCCCATCATGCCAATGCGGTTGTTCCAGAACCGCAACGTTGGCCTTCTGCTCACCCTCAACCTGTTCATGGGCGGTGCATTGTTTGGCCCGACGTTCTACATCCCCATCTACTTTAGCGTGGTTCAGAATGCCGGAGCCATCTCCTCCGGTCTCCACCTGCTGCCATTTATGTTGCCGATCAGCGCCATGTCCATCTCCTGCGGATACTTTACTGCCAAGACTGGCCGGTACCGGGAGCAAATATGGATCGGTAGCGCAATCCTGACGCTTGGTCTCGGGCTGCTGGCGTTGCTTGATGAGCACTCGTCGCTAGGGAAGAGCATCGGCATCCTGATTGTGAGCGGCCTGGGCATTGGCATGTGCATTCAAACATCCATGATAGGCGTGCAGACTGCCACTGAGCCCAGGGACATGGCCACAGCCACCACTATGTTTGTGTCGCTGCGCACGCTCGGGGGCACGATCGGGCTGGCTATTTTCCAGACTGTGCTTCAAAACACACTCAAGTCGCAGATGAAAAAGGTCGCTACTCAGTTCCCAGAGTTTGCCAAGCTCATTGCCGCAGCTGTCGACAACCAGACCGTCATCTACAGCGACAGTGTGCCGGTGGAGCTAAAGCAGGCCATGATCAGTGCATACACACACGCGCTACGACCTGTCTTCTACTCGATGATTCCATTTGGAGCCCTGATGCTCGTCTGCGCACTACTTTGCAAGCATATTCCGCTGAGGACACGCATGACAAAAACCATCTCCGAGTAAATCTCAGGCTTAGAACCACTACGTACATATATGCCACATGATAATTCGTTCCTTCTAAATAGCACTATTCTAAACACCGTATCTCTACATTGGCCTGAACTCTGACGTCCACACGACTGGCCGCGATGTCTCAATATACACCTCTGGATCGTCAATGATGTTGGATGTGCTCATCAGCCCCTCGAACGTTGACGGGAAGTGGTCCAGATTCCACCGCAGACCGCTGGTCGTCAGCACAGCCTCTCCTGCCAACGGCAAGATCCCACACGTTGGGCCGTCGACCTCCTTATTAACCTCGATCTTGCTCTTGCCTTCAGGCAAAACGAACGTGAGGTTCTCAGTCGAAATCACAAGAATGTCGCGGTTCGTGTGCTCGTTCACCAGAACCTTCAAGGCATGCAGCGTGTGGTCAAGCCGCCCATTGATACCGCCAAACACCACAACCACGCATTTCTTTGGATCCTGGCCAGCCCGTAGTCCGGTGTCGAGGTACTTTAGGCTCTTCATGAAGTCGGTCGAGTCCTGGTCACTGTAGTGCTGGATCACGGATCCTTTGCTGGAATAAAACGCCCGCGGCCCTGCTTCCAGCGAATCCAGGTCGCCAACAACTACATCCGGAATATACTTGTCCAGTGTCCCTGTGCGCTTGCCAAAGCTGTACAGCTGGTTGCCGCCACCGTCCACACATAGCTTGTAGGTTGCGCGCTGCCACAGTGCCGGGAACAGGGGCGTGTCGCTGTGTGGGATCGGCTGGTTCAGGATCACGAGTGCCATTTCATCGTAGCCGGCCAGGGCTCCGTCCTTGGGGTAGAGCACGTAGCTGCCCGGAAACTCGCGACATTCGTCTACTGCTGCGGTCATTGTACAAATTGGCAATTCAAAGTGGATTAAAATGAAGGCTGGGGAATGGGGATAAAGAGAAAAGCTAACTGCTTGGATTCCCCGCATATTGCACACCAAATCAGGGAACTGCTTTTAATGCGGTAAAATATGTACGCTTAGAAAGTAACGGGTGTACGAAGAGCGACCCTGGAGGCAGGCCCTATGGCCTTTTATAGCCACATCGGCCGGATGTCGGGAGACCAATAAAGAGAGCCAGAGAGAGAGATATGGACGTCGTAGCGGCAAGACCCCGGATCAGTACTGGAGGCTCGTCGCACGGCCAATGGTTGAGCATGTTGGCACGCTATTTGTAACCTCATCCTTGCCATTTTAGACTGTGGAGGTGGTCAGCAGCGGCACACTTAGCGACTTTGGTACTGCCTGAGCCCACACTTCAGATCGGCTTTCCTGCTGTGCACTTGGAATATCGAATATATATGGACTTTGTACAATATAAATTCCTTACCACTCGTCATCAGCAATAAGCCGCCCAATCTCTTGGTTGATGGCCGTGACCCACTGCTCCATCTCCGCACTCGTGCGCGCCTTATACACCCCAATGCGGCGGCGCATGCTCGACACCATGCCAATTGCACCCATGCGTTTAATCCCGTCATGCCTGTCATCGACATTGACCTTGATGCTATCGCCTACCCGATACGCACCAGGCTTGGTGGTGTCGACAGGCTTGCTAGATTTGCGCGCCGAATCAGCCGACTTGCGCGAGGCCTCGCTTGATTTGCGCGACGTTTCTCCCGATTTGCGCGAGGTCTCGCTCGACATCCTTGATGGTTTCCGCGGGGCACTGTTTGGCGATGACAGCATGGCATCTGCAGATCTCCGGCTCTGGTGTGTTGGACTGCTCGATGATGATGACGGCTGCAGCATCTGATGCAGCTCGTCATCAGACGACATCTCGCTCTCCGTGCTCAGCAACACCTCGGGGACAGCCATAGCGTTCTTGTTGCTGGAGCGCAGGATCCGTGGGATATAGATTGGCCGCCACAAGGTGAAGATACAATCCTGCACTAGCTCATGCGACACGACCCCATCGACAAAGATCCGGTCCGCTAGCCGCAGCCCATTGTGGTTGCCGATGTCGGTCATCACCCACGGCTCGCACATAATGTCATCCGTAGATAGATCGTCCACGAAACGACTCAGCACGTAGCACCGGCGCAGCGACAGAGAGCGCGACTTGGCAAACAGCAGGCGCCCCTTCGAGCTGCGTATCTGAAAATCGTCTTCGGATGGCTCGTCGGCGTCTTCTGCCAGTATCTTCGTGGTCGGCAGCGTGTCTTTGTACAAGTCGACCTGGTTGGGGTTCTCGCTCTTCATCCGGTCCGAAAACAGCGACTGAGCCCCGATGGTGTATGCCTTTGGGAAGTCATATTCGATCAGACGGCCGCGTGTCAGAATACAAAACACCTTGCGCATGCCTTGGTGCCGGTGTCGTTTCCTGTACAATACACCTGCCATGATGACGTCGCGGCACCCCAGAGCAAGACATGCATGCCACACAGCGCGATCAGCCCACGCCTGCTCGTCGTTCCAGTCCGGCATGTCTTTCTCGCGGCTCCGGCGGCCCTGTAGCGCGTAGTTGAGCGTGCACACCTGGCTGCGCACCAATGCATCGGCAAGCCGCCGGTGTAGCCAGTAGTCGCGCAGATCAGTCAGCCGCTTGACCCACTCGTGCATGCATTCCTCGCTGGCTGTCCACAGCACTACTGAGGCGCCCGCCCGGGTCACAATCTTGAATTTGCACGCTGCCTGGCGGGCTCGCTTAGATCGCAGAAACCCAAGCTTCTTGCTCTTCTGCTTGTCGCCAAACTTGCATCGCATCCGGCTGTCCAAAGAGTGCCGGCTTGGTGCCTCGGAGCCTTGACGGGAGCCGCCGGTATTGTCGGTGTCGTCCACATCGTCCTCCTGGTTATACGGTATAATATGTTCGACATCTATGATATCAATCATGTACTTGGCCAGACTGATCTGCTTTGGGCACGACCGCATGTCAGGGTGGTAGTGCCGGACAACTGGCTCGCCCTCGCTGACATTGGACTGCGCCGACATGAACGACTTTGTCGGAATTGTTGTCAGACCAATGTTCTCCTCGTCGTCCACTGCTTGCACAGGGTCATCACAGGCATTGAGCGACACGTCCAGGTACCGCGATGCACGCGGTGCATGGATAAAGAACAGAAAGCTGCTGTGTGATGTCATCAATGTCGGGCGGTACACCACCATTTCGGTTCGCCGCTGCTTATCACGCTTGAGCATCACAAATCCCTCGACTGCCAGTGGCTCGGCAACCCGCGTCTCATCGACATCGACGGAGTCTGGATAATGCTCGAGGATACGCATCTCCAAGGTGTGTGTATCCTCGAGCATCTGCGGGCCAACAACCATCTCATTAGCGGTGCTGGCCAGCGAATCGGCCTGGCCAATTGCGCCGGTACTTGGCATCACCCACTCAAGCCGGTCAAACCGCCGCCACGCCATGCCAATTGTCAGTAAGCCCATGTTCTCTGCATTAATCCACTCGCGTATCCGCAGCCCAACGACCGGATCGTTGAGCAGTGCATTGACCACGTCTCGCCGCACATGCCACACAGTCGTCGTCTCGCACCGCCACTGCCGCTTCAGCGCGTTGTCGTCAATGTCGGCTGTCAGCGACCGAGACAGCTCCGAGTTGTGACGCCCGAGCTTGACCTGCACTTTGATTCCGAGTTCAGGGATATTTACCATGACCGAGTCAGGCGCCGGCTGCGCTGCCAACGATACTGGGCCCAGGAAGCTATAGGGGAACAGTTCGCGACCGATCATCAGCAGCCGGCCAATCTCGCGGTACCAGGCACACGCAATCTGCGGGCTGGGAAACTTGATAACGACCACCCGCACGCTGCCTTCCTTGGAGTCACCATCATCCTCCATATCCTCGTTGGTGGTCCTCTGTGGCGCCTTGGGCTCCTTCGCCCTCTTGCCCTTTGACTTTTTGCGGTCAATCTTTTTCCGGCTGTAGTATGTGATAGCAATAGAAAAGTCCAGCGTCGAGAACAGTGATATGCGCGGCGCCACAGAGATAAACGGCGGAAAGAACACTTGCACAGTCGGCTTCTTCGATGATGTTAGGTAGAACAGCAACCCGCGCTTGGTCAATGCCAACCACATCTCCGTCCACTCTTGCGAACTCTGTCGGTACTTGCGGCACGTTGCCTCGTTGTACTTGCTCGCAAAGGCGCTCGGCGACGCCCGCTCGCGACGCACCACAGCACGCGACGACAGAATCACCGCCGTCTCTGATACCTGTGCATGCTGGTGATAGTACGCCTTGACCTTTGCTGCCATAGCCCGCCCCTGCGCCCACCGCGAAACCCCATGTGATCCATGAGTTGCCTCACGCATCAAGGGTGCGCCTGTCGGCGGCGACACTCCACGATAAACCTCCGCCGCCCTTGACCTCTCGCTGCTCCACAGTGATTCAGGTGGTGCCGGTGCGGTTGTCTCGTCGCCGAGCTGTGACTGCCATGTAACTGACCTCGCACGCTTGGTTACAGCGATCCGACGCAACGATGACGGCCCTAGCGCTCTGGGTGCGGGCTCAGTTGAATGGTGCTTTGCAGCAGCTGATTCGACTTCCTGCGAGTCAGCAGTCGGCGGCGGCGGCTGCGACTCAGTCAGTGACAATCTTGACATGTCTTCATCTGGGACAGGGGGCTATGATCCCTGTCTGCAGTGGCAAGTGCTGCATTGACATGTTCCACTGATGTGTCTGACTGGCTGTGCGAGTGGCGCTTGCGGCGAAACAGACCCTTTATCATACTAAGGCTACCCTTGCGCTGAGTCTTTTCCTCCGGCGACAGAGACGGCGGTGCCGATTGCGCAGGCGCCTGGTATAGTCCAAGGGCATTGACGTTGTTTTGCCTCTGCTGGCGTTGCCTCGGCAGCGAGTCGATGCTGGCGCTCCTCTCGCCGCACTGTGACCCATCGCGCTGCCCGCTGTCAGCCACTATCTCTGACTCTACTTCTGACATTGACCAGACCGACCCGTGCGCATCGCTCGAATCCGAAAGGCTCTCCATCGATGATAGCGACTCTATCGACCTGTTGTTCTTGCGTAGCGACCCAAACATGTTATTGCTGTTGTGGCCAGACCCTGCCGAATGCGTCTGCCGCCGCCTGATCTTCTCCTGCCCGTTGCTCTTGCGTCCTTCTAGTTTGTCTGCTGTCTTTACCCACCACCGCTGGTGCCCCATCATCCAGTTGGTCGCAATCGGCCCGATAAACACCCGCACTGGCCGCCGGCTCTTGTCCGCACTGCAGTGGTTGCTACACGCTAGCTCATAGTCCCGAAACACTGTGTCGCGCGTAGGCTCGTCGGGAAGGCATATGGGCCGAAACGGATGCTTGTGGACAATACCACCCGAGAGCGAGAACGCCCGTCCGTGCGAGTCGACTGTCTGCTCGCGGTGATATTCGTCGATGGCGATGGGGGTCTGACGGTCAAGTTGTGGCGGCGAATGGTTAATTTTGTTGCTCATTCTTCCGCAGAGAAATTAGAACTGGAGTGCCAAAGAAGCCATTAAGCGAGAGTAGAAATTAGAGCAGGGATAGAGTGCTGGAGGGACAGTAGCTGAAGATTACTGGTGTGGAGAGGAGAAAAGCCGCTCTTTTCTTGAACGAAACGGGCCAAACCTGCTGTTTGCGCTGGGGGCAGCCCGGCTTTTTTTTTTGGGTCACCATTTTCGATCACAGGCTGTGGCAGGTTTGTTTACTCATGCCACAGTAGCACGACACCAGGCCAGAGTCGAGACTCCAGCCTCCATTGCTCAAGGCGCCAAAATGCGGGCCGCTCGCCAATGAATTGAAGCTACAGCTCATGTACAATCTGATGCGCAGGTGTCATCGATGTTTGAGGGAGGCGAGCAGAGCTTCCCTTGTGAACTCAGTGGCGGCCCTCTGGATTGATACCCACGCATGCATGCATGTGCAAATGGGACTCTCCAGCCAGTCGTGCATCTCCCTCGCTCGAATGCCAGCATCAGCAGATTGAACCAGACAGGCGCATACTACGCAGCAGCCATCATCTTCGCTACCGCTATTTATGCCAGGCATGCTGTCTGTATATATTCACCCCGGCATTCCTCGCTTCCAAACATTTTCTCCTGACATAAACCACAAGCTGTGCATTCATTTCCCTAGTTTCCATTTTCGCCTTCGCCTGCACAAGTCCACCTGCAATCTACCAGCCGGTCATTAGGTCATGGGGTTTGCCAGGCTAATATACGTAGCGCTTTTCTGTCCATCCCTCATTTCGCCCACCACGGCGTTCGACCTCTCTTGCAACACAAACTATGTATCATACTACGGACAGAATTCAGCGCGCAATCAGAAATCCTTAGGCGCCTACTGCCAAGACGCCATTGAAGATGTCATTGTGCTGTCCTTTATGGATGGCTTTCCAAACATCGACTTGAACTTTGCTAACGCATGCGAGACGACATTCGACAGCAGCCACATTCTGCACTGTCCAAACATGGCTGCTGATATAAAGTCCTGCCAGTCAGGAGGTAAGGTGGTGCTGCTGTCGCTTGGTGGGGCGTCTGGTGCGTACAGTTTCTCGAGCGACGAGGATGGGAGAGGTTTTGCCGAGACTGTCTGGAACAAGTTCTTTAGGGGCTCTGATCCTCAGCGCCCCTTCGATGATGCTGTTCTTGACGGCATTGATCTTGATATTGAAGGCGGCAGCACCACGGGATATGCTGCCTTTATTGAGCAGCTGCGCTCGCACTACAAATCGGATCCAAGCAAGAGATATTACATTGCATCAGCACCACAATGCCCATTCCCAGACGCATATCTTGGCCCCGTTCTAAACTCTGCCTGGTTCGACATGGTGTTTGTCCAGTTCTACAACAACTACTGCAGCCTCAATGCGTTTCCCAACTGGTTCAATTTCAACGACTGGGATAACTGGGCCAAGACCCAGTCTGTGAACAAGGGTGTCAAAGTATTCATTGGCGCCCCCGGTGCATCATCTGCCGCGTCATACGGATATGTCGATGGAGCCACATTGCAGAGAATATACGAGTCTGTGCGAGCAACCTACTCGAGCCTTGGTGGCGTCATGACCTGGGACGTCAGTCAAGCACGCACTAGTGGCCTTGCGGGCTCAATCCGTGCATTCCTTGATAACAGCGGCCACTGCAATACCAGTTTGACAACATCTGAGAGCTCGTTGGCTGATACCAGCTCGGTATATACAGCATCAAGTGAAACTCAGGCTGCACCCCACTCATTGCAGACCAGTCCAGAAACTGAGGTGACAAACACGACAACTGTAAGCAAAACAGCACCTGAGGTCCCATCCACATCCAAAACACGCACCATGACACTCAAGGTGCCCAAGACCAGCGGGTCCTCCACAAGCAGCTCGACAGCATCCACCGAGAACCAGCTAGGCACGACATCTAGCTCAACCAAAAATCATCTGTGGGGATGGTCAAAAGCAACCTCACACAGCAAGACCAGCGCTCAATCATCTACGCCTCTGACTAGCAAGCAGTCCACACATGGTCTTCCGACAGACTCTGTCTCATCAAGCGTGCTCCCAATCAGCACACCAGATGCACCCGCCAGTCCAGCAGACTCGAGCTGCCCAGTCGAAGGCACCCACTGTGACGCCTTCAGCCAAGCATGTACGCTAACAGGCTACGCGCTGTGTGTCCGTGGTAAATGGGCGCTCTATCCCTGTGTCTCGGGAACTGCTTGCTACCTGTTCGGAGCCTCAGCTGCCTGCGATTGGCGTAACACCAATGAAAAGCCAACCTGCACGGTGTCCTCGGCCGAGCAATTTGCACATATCACCAGGCCGAAAGCTCCGCTGGCCAGATCCAAGGCGTGGACGCTGTGGCATTTCCCAGTAGTGGACAAGCAGGGCGTCAAGGCAAGAGTCGAATTCTTGGCCAACCATATTCGCGACGGGCACTACCAGGCACTGATCAAGCTGACGTCACTGGAGGACCCGATCCCAGACAACTGGATGTTACGGTTTGAGCTGCCCTCTGGCCAGACTCTGGAGAATGCCAACGGTGGAGCAGTTTCCACAGCCAACTCGACAGTGACCATACATGCTGATGACAAGTTCAAGTTTAACAGACAGAGCCGAATGTCGGTAGCCATTGGTGTCAGCGGCCAATACAGCGGCGGCTACGTCGTTCCTGATCTGTCAACGGCACTTATTGCCCAGCACCAGCGTACATTTTGATAGTTTTATTTTCTTTATTCAACCAGACTAATCGACGGCACCTTTACATCAGCAGCAGCATCTTCCCTGTTCGGGTTTTGCTTGCTAGCTTCGTCCTCGCTGCGGAATCGTCTCTGCAGCATCGCAACCTCTGCAGCCATGAACTCCCAGGGCTCAGTCTCTGTAGACATCTGCAGCACAACACAGAGCAGAAAAAACACCCGTCGCTCAGCTCTATGAATATGTGCCTTCTTTAGATGGCCCCGATCTACAGAAGGCATGGCCAGTAGAGTGCCTAGGAGAGCATGGGTATCGGACACCATGGAGGCAATGTACCTAGGGCCCAAGTACATGCTGAGCACGTCGTCGAGCATGGCGCATTTCTTGCTGCACGGCATGCCCTCATCGATATTGCAGAGTCCAACAACCAGCGCCTCGTGCGCATTAGTGTAGATATCTGCCTCTTTGCTGGAAAGCAGCGGCGATACCGTTACCAGGTCCTGGAATGCATCAGCGATATTCTTGCCGCGTGAGTCTCCGTTGAGATGGCGCATCATGTACGCATATGCAAGCGCTAGCTGTGCTATCTGGTACAGGACACTGGGGTGGACCTTTTTGGCCAGCGACTGCACAGGCACAGCACATTCTGATATTTCAGGGATAGTGGCAGTAACCTGATAATCGTCTTGGCCAACTTCAACGACACCAGGCTTATCGCTCTGCTGCCACCAAGGAACCCATGCTGGTAGCACGTTCGCCAGATCGCCTTGGTCGACAAGCTTGAGAAACTCCTGTCGCTCGTCCTCACTCATTCGCTTCCAGATATCATCAACCGAGGCATTATCCAAATTCAGTCCTTCCATCCTCTCTGCGATATCCTCCCCCTCCTGCTCGTCGCTGTCTGCGTCCTCCAATGTTCCTTGGTGGTATTGCTGCAAAAGCTCATGCATCTTCTTCTTGACATCGTCGTCTGCCTGGCGGGTCTTGAGCTCGTCGGCAACTTGCGCCTGATAGAACGACTCTGTGCACTCAGAGTGCCTCTAGAATTTGCTGATACATGCTATCGTTAGCCTGATGCTATTACCTAGAGGGGGCTGTAGGATTATGACCATCGCTCTTACCTGGTCGCGGTAACATGCCAGGGAGCAGTAGGCAATGTGGCACTTGGGACAGCTGTATTTTGCGCGTAGTTTTCCGCAGCTACAAGAGTATTAAAGGAACTGAGCAGGCTGTTTCGAGGTCTATATACTTTTGTTAGCGCTCACTTACATTTGGCACCCTTTGCGATCGTGCTTTTGCTCCATGCTTCGATTCTAAACAACTTTTATACAGCCCTTCAAAACAAATACGCCAGTTCAATCGGCCATGCCAAGTTTGGCAGGTTTGGGACCACGATATGGGCATGCTATAGTGAGGCATTTCGGGACTAGGTCATCGCCAATTTCTTTAGTATACCACTTCTAAATTCCAATATTTCACATTGGCTGGAGTCTGCCTCTGGTATAAGGGCCAGCAGCAGCCATCCTGGTTTCTGGGTATCTCCGCAGCCACACACTTTAATCCTCTGATCTGATCTCCGATCTTTAGATAGATGTCGACGCACTGATTTTTACGCAGCACAGCTTCTGCTTGGAAAAAATAAAATCAAGGACCGATTGTATAAGAACTGCCCAGGAACGCGTCTGCGAAATTGCTGTACAGTTCTTTCCTCCAACATTTTGCTTTCAACGTACTTAATGCAACAGCGAATTGGTCGTCTAGCACTCAGCACTTTTTACTTCCGCAGCTACCAAAGCCTAATTACAACTTCACTTGGTTGTCTTTGCCCTCCCTCCATTTGCAGCATTCGCGCGCAGTTTGCTTTCGACTTTCCGCAGCCACAACAACAGCGGCGCCAGTTTTGTATTAGCTCAGCTAATCCCATATTCCTGCAACACCAGTTGTTCTACCCGAGAAATATCCGCAGCATGAAACAGCATAGAGACATCACGTACGTAGAGCACCATCACCTGTTGAACTGCTTCGGCAATCGGTCAAGACACTAGTCTGCATGGCCATGTCTAGATTCGTGGAGTGGTGATGGACATGCCAGGCTAACACCAGTGTTCAGCATGTAGTTCGTTCTTTGGAGGCATGGCCAAGAAGGGCGTCAACAAGAGTAATGTGAAGAAGCCGGAGACCGGTTCTCCAGGGGCGAGCATGGAGCCGGCCTTGGAGCCATCTGACAGCGATGATGTTTCGATGGCTGAGGGCAAGGAGGAGGAGGAGAAATCAGCCAGTTCGCCCAAGCAGGATAGCACCAGGTCCAAGCGCCGGATTGTTGAGTCAGACAGTGACACCGAGATGACTGAGGTCAAGCCCGCAAAGACGAGCAGATCGAACAAACCCACGAAGGCGGCGTCAGGTGGTAGCTCACCGAGCAAGAAGGCGGTCAAGAAAAAGCCCGCAGCTCAGATGGGGCTGATTGCGACCAAGGATGGTGAAATGTAAGTGGGGTGGCAATGACAAGGCTGCGAGTGCTATGACCCGCGCTGTTTATGTATTTGCTGTCACGCCAGCAAGCAGGTGCCACACAAAGATGGCTATGCAGATATCCTGCGATGTTGACTGACTGTATGCATATATGCCGTGCAACGTAGGGTGCCGTTTTCGGAGCTATGCAAGGTCCTGGAAGCGATCGAGGCGGTCTCGGGCAGGTAGGCTTTGTTGTGCATTTCTTCAGTTCGTCCGCCGATTAGCAGGCCGTGACTGGTGCACCGGTGGGGACATTGGGCAATACTGAGTGAGAAATCTCCGATTCGCAGTGTGGATGCGATGCTCACTGAGAGCCACTTTTACTCTGGGGCACGGAGCGGGTGATATTATTTTGGACGTCCGATGTCAGACCACAGGTCTAGAACAGCCTTTGCAATGCCAGAAGCGACTCTATTAGCTAACTGCCACGAAGCACGCGGTTCCGACTGGTCTTGTAGGCTTGAGATTACGGCCAAGCTGAGGGACTTTTTGATCCAAGTCATGGCCGCCGGCGAAGAGCAGCTTTCTCACGTGGTTATGCTCTGTATGGCGAAGGTAAGCTGGCTGTACAGGGGAGTTTGTCGGCGTGGGCCCCTCGCGAGGGACAGGTGGAGACACGCTGGTAATGGTCTGGCTGTGAAGCCGAGAACCACCCCTCCCCCGAGTACGCCGGGAATTCACGTCTTGCATATCCGTCTGCTACTAATTATAGCCGCGTGTGCGTAACCGGTGCATTGGCAGAATATGTAGGTCGCCCCAGACTATGAAGGCATCGAGCTTGGCATCGGCGAATCGATTCTGCTCAAGGCCATTGCCACGGCGACAGGGCGGCAGCTGCCCAAAGTGAAGGAGGACCACAGGAAGCTTGGTGATCTGGGTGCGGTTGTCGTGGCTAGCAAGTCCAACCAGCGGCTCATGTTCAAGCCAAAGCCGCTGACGGTAACCAAGGTGTTCACGTCGTTCAAGGAGATTGCCATGACCAGTGGTGCCAATGTGAGTAGATGCACCCAGAGTGCCCCACCCGCTAATCCCGCTGTGGTTAGAATGGCCCTGCAGTACCCAAACCCATGCGAATGCGTGATGCTGATAAGCGAATGGGTGCTCTGACATGTAGACTGTGCAGAAGAAACAGAGCCAGATCGCCGGTCTGCTGGCGTCGTGCTCCGACATTGAGGGCAAGTTCCTGATCCGGTAAGTACAACAGCGGCAGCTGATGCCCAGCCAATATGCACACAAGCAGACGCCCACGCAGCAGCATCGCTCTGTCTCACTTGGCCGCTCTATGCTCTGCATTGTGTGTGCGGGTTCATTGTAGTGGGTTGTTTGGAATTCCCGTCTGCTGAAACCGGCATTTATTTGCTGGTCCTAGTATTCTAGAATTTAGATTCCAATAATTCTACTCTGGATTGCTTTCAGCTAATGGGCGTTGAGCTGCCCTGGTGTTTTGCTTGATTCCTGCCTATAGGTCGCTCGAAGGAAAGCTTCGCATTGGTCTTGCCGAGAGCACGGTGCAAACTGCGCTGGCGCAGGCGGCCCTCATTTACGAAGAAGGTAAGAAAGCGCTGCCAGCAAGACATGTCATAGCTGCTGCAGCGCATGTGTGCGTGACTGCATAGGTCAAAATATGCCCGATCCGCCACCAACCCCCATATATGCCTGGCGATATGCGCACTGAGACTTTGAAGCAGATGGGCTGTCGCCCCCTGTTTCAGCAGCACACTGTCGCTCTGCAGGAAAAAGAGCAGCATGAGTGTGGCAGAAAATACAGCTGTGGGTTTATTCACCGCGCACACTTCTTGCCAGTCTGCATCTGGCTCCAGTCAGCCCCGGCCACAGGCCAGTTCCGCTCACCATGTGAAGGCATGCCTTTCTGTGCTTTATCGCTGATCTGCCACACGCCTTCCAGCCACCGTATATTGAAACTGTCCTTTCACATGGCCAGTTCCTAGCTGCCAACACATATCTTGACTCGTCGCCGTGGGAGGCTATTGTCGCTGCTTGTCCTACCCTGGCCTTGGTGCTGGGTGCTTTATTTCCACCCCTGCCGAGCTTTTGATTGGCTGACCGGATATCCAGTCTCTGCCGGCCAATCGTAGCATGTTACCACCATCTGTAACCCAAGTTTTAATGACGCCCAAACAAGCAATCAGTGCAACCACTGCGCTGTCAAGTGGAGACACAGCGCCAACATGTACCCCGTGTTGACTACAGCATTGAAGTTGCGTTGCGGTCGGCTATTTTAGGGAGCAACTGCGCGCCGGTAGCATTTGTGCGTCTCGCTACTGCTAGTGCTGGGAGAGATAGTTGCATGTTAGCGCACCGCGCTTGTGTGAGGATGTGGCCGACATTGTAGCTGTGGTGGTATATCAGCTGCATACTGTACCACACCTCTGGTTGTGGGGAGGAGGTCGCTCTGGTCCCAAAAACTGGCGCTTATGATACTCATGTGTTGGCGCTTTTCTTGTCAGTGTGGATGGGAATTGGATCCAATCCGCTGCTTGGCTTGGCGAAGCGACCTGTGTGCCCGATCTTGATTCCGATCCATATTCCCGTTTTGATGCTGTGTGTCACAGAAAACGATGATATTGACACGGTGTACTGAGTGTGCAGAACCATCGCATCTTAGAAAGGTTCCCACTGCGTTGCCTACCAGTGAGCGAACGGGTGCTATAGCGCCACTGATGTGGTTCTCTATATCGACTGTCCCAGTATATGCCTGCGGTACCAGCACCCCACTGCATGCAAGACGGGCGCTTATCAATCTGGCGTATCAATAATCTCCGCAGAGGAGCGGGACAGCATTGCCAAAATGAGCTATTATGAATATCGCCTTTTTTTTTTTTTCGCTTTGCTGACTGTTGGGTGTGCGCATATTTCTTTGTGGTAGGCGAGGACGCGGACTTGACGCCCAGCGATTTCCAGAAAGCGACCGAAAGCCTGAAGCAGGTGCTCAGCGAGTACCCTGTGTACAGCTCTGTGATCTCGGCGATGTACAAGCATGGGATGAGCAACGTGCATAAGCACTGTATGCTGACGCCGATGCTCCCAGTGAAGCCGATGCTGGCCAAGATCGAGAAGGATGCCAGCGACATCCTGGGGCGGTTTGACGGGGTCGCGTTCACCTGCGAGTACAAGTACGATGGCGAGCGTAGCCAGATCCACTACTCGCAGGAGGCGGACTTGGGCCAGTGCATGATCTATAGCCGGAACTCGGAGAACAACACCAACAAGTACATGGACATTGCGGGATCTGCCAAGGAGTTTGCCAATGCGGGCGTCACGTCGTTCATCCTGGACTGCGAGGCCGTGGGGTGGGATCTGGAGACCGGCAAGATTCTGTCGTTCCAGACGCTCAGCTCGCGCAAGCGCAAGGTGGCCGACGAGTCGGAGATCAAGGTCCGCGTGTGCTGCTTCGTGTTTGATTTGCTCTACCTGAACGGCGAGGTAGGTTGGATGAATAGTGGTGCTTGGGATGATGCACTGATTTTTTGTTTGTTTCTTGCATGTGTTGCATGTCGTCGCCCCCAACATATGCACGTCTGCATATGCGGGAATGTTGGAGGCCCGAGCGAGCATAATGCCGGGGGGCATCATGTGTTTAGCCCGTGCATGCGCGAAAAGGGACCGCTGTTTGTGCTGCGTGTTCACCGCACTTTTGCTATGTGAAGAAAAAAGAAAACCTGCCGTGGGTGGGCACCATTGTTGGCCGAGCATCTGTGCGGTAGGGCCATTCTGGGATTCTTATTCTCGTGCAGATTGATCGAGCAAGGCTGGATCTGCCAAGCATGCGCAACAGGCACGCTCAAAAGCACCATTACTGTAGGCCCTGATCCAGCAGCCGCTAAGGCGACGCCGCGAGCTGCTGCTGCTGCACTTTACGCCCGTGGAAAACAAGTTCCAGTTTGCTGTGTCCAAGGACTGCTCGGCGGTTGAAGACATGCAGGAATTCCTGGAGAAGAGCATTGAAGGTATGTAGCACCGCACCTCCGCCCATTGTGGTCGAGGCTGAACTGAAGATTGGCATATGCGCAGCCTCCCCTCCCCTCCCTGTTTTCTGCGCATTTTTCTTGTGACTGGGACTACATGCGGGAACCGCAGTAGACATGGTGAAGAAAGCACCTATGCAACCACCCCCTCCACCCCTCCCCCTTAGACATTGCGTGGGTACTGCGCTTCTATGGCTCTTCATGTGAGCATTTTTCACAACACGTACTGAAGGGCAGTACTGGATATTTGCCCAAACGTTGGCTGATAATTTCATACCGGCCATTCATTTGAACAACGCGCTTTCTTGTGCCGCATCCTAGAAACCAGTTGTTGCTGGAGCGATACTGCCCGGCATCTACAAACATTGTGGAATGCGCATGCAGCAGCGCTACTGCGTGGCCGGGGCGCGTTGGGTGACGGCTGCTTATCATGTCGCGATATGATGGGCGGGCAGCCCTTGGCACGGAAGACCGCATTTCCGGCATAAGCACCGGGCTGGAATTCTCCTTTTGATCTGCTGGTCTCACGCTCTGGGTGCGGTCCACGGTTGGTGTGCCTCCCCCATAGCACCCACAGCCCACAGTCCACACGACAGAACAGCAGCTTATTAATACCCTAGCGTGGATCCGATTGGGGAGAGGCCTTTGACGCATTTCACCCGAGAGGCGCGACTTTACGGTAATGGATGCGTATTTGGAGGATGTCCGCAGATTCGGGGACGACGGGTGGGGAGTCTTGGGAGCTGCCTTGAGCTATTTTTTGGCTGTGCGGACCTTTTTTACCGCGGCAATCGGTACTAATGCTTTTTGGGGCGGGTGATGGTGCACGCACTGTAGATAACTGCGAAGGCCTGATGATAAAATCCCTTGACGGAAACTCTGCGACTTACGAACCGTCGAAGCGGTCGCTGAACTGGCTCAAGGTATGTTGACCGGTGTGATCCGGTATGCAATGCACACGTATGCACAGGCGGTCAATCAGCAAACCGCTGGTCTGTTTTTTTTCCCATCGATCTGTGCATATTTGCCTAGTGCTGGCCCCTTTCTGCGGGGCGCCTTGCTGGCAGTCCAGATGGCGGTCCCCAGTCTCTCGTATTGCAGATTCAACGGACGCCATGCGTTTGTCTGTGCAGAAAGAGCCGATTATCTCAGAAGGCACATTTGCAGCGGCGGCTGAGGTGTCCAGCCACACTCCTACCGCCACGCTTACCCAGCAAAGGATGAGTCGGCGGGTTCTATTTGCTGGTTCATGCGGTGCGGGTGGATTCTGCAAGAAGTTGCACTTTTCCACAGAGGATTGGAGGGGGTGCAAGTCGGGAGGCTGGTGGCGGTTGGGGTGGCCCATGGGATTGGCAGCATATCCATGTCCATCACATTTTTTCGGCGAGCCAGGGGACGTGGGATTTGCAAGCTGGGCAGATCACTTCGTGGAGTCTGTTTTTACCACACAAACATGCTTTTGATGTGGGACGGAGCGAAGTCATCCGCTGCTTTTCTCGGATTGTGCGGCCTCATGCTTTCACGCGGATGGCCATAGCCATGTATCATACATGCCGACATGGCAAATCAGAGATGGACAGCGTCGCCAAATGAAGCTGTGTTTTTGGATAAGCGAGGTGGGGTGCTGCATGCTGCACCTTCCTAATTTGCTCTCCCTTGGAACAGCGACGAGAGGGAGAAAAGTGCTCTGAATAGTGTTGCTGCTTGCCAATCGCGTGTTTAAAGTGCCACTCTCGCAAGCTGCCCAGATGCGAATGAGGTCTGCACTGCATCATGGCCCCCTGCTGAAATTCCCCGATGGTTTTGCTGTGTGTAGCTCAAGAAGGACTACGTGGACGGGCTGGGCGATTCGCTCGATTTGGTGGTGATTGGTGCGTACTACGGCAAGGGCAAGCGTGTGGGTGCGTACGGCGCGTACCTCCTGGCGTGCTACGATCCAGAGCGCGAGGAGTACCAGACCATCTGCAAGATTGGGACCGGGTTCAGCGACGCGGACCTAGAGGCACATAAGGCGCAGCTGGACCAGAACCGGATCGAAGCGCCAAAGTCGTACTATGCGTTTTCGGATAAAACGAAGCCAGACGTGTGGTTCGAGCCGGCGCAGGTGTGGGAGGTGAAGGCAGCCGATCTGTCGCTGTCGCCGATCTACCAGGCAGCATATGGCGAGGCAAGTATAGTGGGGGTTGTTTCGAAGGGGAGAGGGTGGTTTGTGCAGCACGCTAAAAACCGGCTGTTGACTTTCTAGATCAGCGAGAGCAAGGGCATTTCGCTGCGCTTCCCGCGATTCCTCAGAGTGCGCGAGGACAAGGGCCCTGACGCAGCCACGTCGAGCTCTCAGGTAAGTTGTTTGCTATTTTTGCCCAGTGTGGCATGTGGGTTGGGTTGTTTCGGGAAGACGGCAGCATTCATTTCTGAGCACCGCGCATGGCTTCGCGATTGTCTGAGAAATTCTGTTCAGTTTGTTCGTGAGGCTGCCGTCTCGCGGCATTGTCTGGTGGCCGCTGTCAATCACGATGGCAGCAGCTGGGTCAGATGTGCACTGTGCCCGTTATCCCTAACACCGTCCGCTAACCCGCAGCCAGCCCGAAATGCATCCCTCCCTCATTTGTAGGTTGCCGAAATGTACGAGAACCAGAAGATCAACGGGTAGATGGCATGTCCGGTTTGGGAAATAAATAAACCTGGCTGACAGCAGGAATTTGATGTTTGAACTGCATTCATGTGCATAAGTGACTTTCTTCCTAGGCCGCAGTTCTGGCGTCCATATTGTGTGATAGGCCGAACAATTTGCAGACACTCTTTTCCTCCCCCTGGGATTCGCCTTGCCCGAGGTGTGCATGTATTGGATGCCCGGCGTGTTTTGGGGGATGAGGGGATTCTATTAGCAATGCTAGGCAGGGTGGCTTATAACCGCTTCGTGGCATAACCCGGCCATTCCTAAACAGGCAGCAATTTGGCGCTTGCTAGCGGATCTTCACAGTGCAATATATGCATTCTCTGCCTGGCGTGCATAAACGAGGACAAGCAGCGACGCGGGCGACCTCGCGGGCGGGCTGGCTGGATGGCTGACTACCCTGTCCAAAAGCGGGAATGGTGGATTAGGCTATGCATACATTACAAGAACGGGACATATGGAGCAGGTGCTCGTACGACATGTAGCGTTGGGGGAGGGGCGAGTGATGGCATTGGACGGTTGAATTCAGAAATTAAAAGCACATCCCGTCGAGGAGACGCGCACATCGCTGCTCATCCCACACGCCCCGCCATCGCCGTCACCATCGCCGCCGTCCCAGCGGTGGGCGCTAGAAAAAGACGCTAATCGGCTTGTGATATTAGCCCCTGTGCGAAGGTGGAGTTAAGCCCCGAAGCTTGTTTGGATCGTCTCAATTGCCGGGATTGTGTTGGGGGCCTGGCATACCGGGTCTTGAGGATCCCTTCTAGTGTGAACATTTCAGCGTGTGGAGAGGTGGGCCTGGGTGAAATAGGGCTGTGTGGAGAACATGGGGAAGGGCGCCGATTCGGCGAGCGCTGGCTGGAGGACCTGTGCGGGCATGGGAGAGAGGACGCGTGGAGGGGACGGGGCGCACATGCAGCGCATCGAGGGCCATATTCCCCCCGACGCAAAGTGCCCACAGCCGAACAATCTGCCAGCACAAGCTGGTTCGGCAGCTACAGGCTGCAATTGCGAACAGCCTTGGCCAGCGCCTCCCCTGCTGATGCGCAGCACCCCGCCTGCCCAAATGCTCCTGGTGCGGTACCAGAGCTAGCCTAGGCAGCATTCAGTCTTGGCTGCTTATTGCTGGCTCTCCATCCCGGTGTCGCCCCTCCCCCGCATACGCGCACGCAATGCAGCACTGGGCCTGTGTCCCATGCACGGCTTCTTCACCTTGTCGCATAGCTGGCATGTGCTCCTCGCCGCTGTCCCCGCATACGCAGATTCTGCTGGGTGGCCTGTGATGGCACCACTCTTGGCTCACCAGTGGGCCGTTTCTCGAGTCTCGCTTGCTGTGCGTCTGGCCGGCGCTGGCTTGCTCACGGCACAGCGGCCTGCCATGCGATACGGCCCCGACCACTCAGCAGCACCTTGGCAGGAACAGAGACGACAGAGCTTCAGCAGCCAAAAAGAAAAGCCACAGTAGAGTACCTCGCCGGGTCGCCAACCCACCCCCCAGAGGCCAGTAAGAAACACGCAGGGGGGTGTTACTGCCAGTGTTGCAACCCCCCCTCTGCGCGGGCAAGGTCGGCCCTTGTTCTGGTTTTTGTTTTCTGGCGGCGAGCGGGCGTGTGGAGGCAGCCAGGTTTTGGCCCACCCGCCCACCACGATTTCTCGCTGAGGCCTAGATAATGTCGCCTAGCAGGAACGCTAGAAAATATAAAGCCCATGGCTAGCGCGTATCCAGCCCCTTCCGACATCGTTCATTCTACTTCTCTTACTTTTTCCACCTTCTCCCCCTCGCCGCTCGTTTTTGTGTGTTGACCTTTTTTATAACTCCTTTTCTGCGCATACTCCTAATCGCCTCTTCTCTTTGAGCACCTTTTCTCTTTGAGCACGTCCACTTTCGTCCTTGTATCTTATCTTAATCTCTTCCGCCTTTGAACCTGTTGATAGACATAAAACGGCTCTAGTCACAACATGTCCTTGCGAATGTCACAGCACACCACCACATCGCCCTTCACATTTTCGCCGTCTACGGCGTCTGCCGGCGCTTCCCGCCTAGAGTATGTATACCAGCCCTCCCTGTTCCAACATTCTTGCTAGAGCCAGGCCCATCTCTGATGAAAGCCCCATCGCCGGTTTCACATCAGCGACATTGTCGCTGTCTGGTTTTACTGGCTCCTCAGCCCCCGTCGTGGAATAATCGTGTCTGCCTTGCTTGTTTTGTCTGGCGCGCGCTTGGGATCATACAAGGGCCTATGCTCGTCGTCATGGTCGCACACGAAGGCCCGCGATCTTAACTCTTTGTGCTGTCGTCTCACTTCAGCCCTTATGTCAATCAGCTACAAAAAAGCTGTGCGACGTAGCAGCTGGAATATACCGCCGTCTGGGCTTTCCTATTGATTTACTGGCTCGCCGCCCGCTGGGTGTGTCCCCCTCTTCTGCTCTTTGGGATGCGACTCGCTGGTTTGTTTTTGGGGAACGAAATAGAAAAAATGGCCCATAGGGGGATTTGCACTCTTTAGCCAGAGCACTTTTTGGCCGATTTGCCTGCCTGCCACTGCTCCTTAAAAGGCTTGGTGTGGGCGACGGGCCGCCTTCTCCTGCTGATTCTGCAGCTTCATACATCCCAGTCCTCCTCTCCTGCGTGTGCGCTCTTTTATATTCTCCACCTTCGTTTCCCCCCTCCCGGTTTCTACCTGGCTATATTTATTCCCACTTGGATTTTCTCTCACCTTTCCTCCCCCGGCTGTCTCCCTATTACCAACCAACCCATCTGTTTCTAATATCCTCCTTTTCTCCTCTATTACTATGATGGTAAAACAAAATAGGCTTCTTGAGCTTCCCGCAATCGGCGTCCCCTCCACATCTCACATCTCACAGCAGCCACAGCAGCAGCCACCCATGGTCGACGAGGACTTTTACTATCCTCGCGACCTTGAGGCCAGCTTCTGCCGTGACTTCAGCTGCTGCGGCCTTGTGCTCAACGACCTGCACGACCTCCTCCAGCACTACGAGGAGTGTCATGTGCGGTTTGAGGACGACGAGGCTCAGGCCGATCTTGCAGATGACTGCTTCTTTGACGACGAGTGGGCGTCGGCTGACTGCTTGGTTGATGCGCCAGCGGCCACTGATTTGTCAGGTTTCGGGCTGACCCTGGAGCAGCAGCTGATTCTCAATGCTGCGACCACAGCTACAAACACAGCCGTGTGCTCGCCGGCCCTGAGCCCTGTGGCAGCCCCCGGCGACATCTCCTCGATCTCCCCCAAGGTCACCACCGGTGCCTCCCACAGCACAGCCTCGTCGGCCCGCAACACGCCGCCGCTGTCGCCTTCCCACACCGCCTCGTCGTCGGCCATCAGCTCGCCGCAAGAGACCTCGCTGTCGTACCCCTCCATCGATGCCGCCCTGGCTGGCGGACGGAAACGCGGTGCGATCGCTGATAGCGAGTGCACAGCCGCAGGGGCCATGAAGAAGCAGGCCACGCTGGGCGGAGCAAAGCCCGTCACGACGTCTGTGGACCTGTCGTTTGCAAGCACAGCCCTGGGCTTGTACGACGACGACATTATTGCAGCCCTGGCGTCTGCCACCGATCCTCTGTTCCTGTCCTCGGTAGCTGCTGCCGCTGCTGGCCAGGACGACAGCGACAATGCCAAGCACGCAAACAATGCCGCTGCTGCTGCGGTTGCTGCAAGCACCACGCTGGCCCAGGCCGCCAGTGCTGCGGTCGCTGCTGTTGCCTGTGACGACTCTGACGACGAGGTCCACCTGCCGCCCAGCGTCACCGCCGCGATGGCTGGCGCCGTTGCTGCTGCTGCTGCTGCCAAGGCCCACGGTCTGCTGCCGCGCGACGACAAGCCCTACCGGTGTCCGGTATCGGGCTGCGACAAGGCCTACAAGAACCCCAACGGGCTCAAGTACCACAATCTGCACGGCCACTGCAGCATGGGCGAGGAGGCGCTTGGCGTGTCAAAGCCCTACAAGTGCCGTGTGCCCGATTGCTACAAGGCGTACAAGAACCTCAACGGGCTCAAGTACCATGTCCAGCACGCCCACTGCGCCATGATTCCGTCAATCCGGGACCTGCCCCCCAATGCCACGCCCGCTGAGGTTGCTGCCGCTGTCGCTGCTGCTGCTGCCGCTGCTGCTGCTGCCGCATCCAACCACAGCAATGCTGCTCCTGCCCCTGCCGCCCGTCTGCCCCCTGCCAAGCCTGTGGGTGTCCCGGCCCACCACCCGCCTGCGCCCCAGAGACCAGTCCCCAGCACCGTGCGTGGCCCTGCCATGCCCCAGAACGGCTCGCGGCCCGCACCGGTCTTCCGCACCCCCCAGCAGCAGCAGCTGCCGCAGCGCCGGCCCATGGCCACGCCTGCCGGTCCCCGGCCCATGGCCCGCCCGCTGAACTCTGCGCTGCCGCCGCGCGCCCCGGCAATGGCCGCCAAATCGGTGGCTCCGGCCCCTCGTGCTGCTGCCCCACAGCAGCCGCGCCAGCCGCAACAGCAGGTTCGGGCACCCGCTGCGACTGCCTCGTGCTAAGCCATCCGCGGGCTGTGCTTCCTCGCCCGCACTGGCAGCACCCCAAAAAAAGATATCCATCTCTGTACAAAATCTCGTTCCGTTTCCTCTAACCCGAAGGGGGGTCTGGCTCTTGGGCGCGGGCTCTCTTTGTCCCTTGCCCATGGCGAGGAAGAGGACCCGGCCATATCGTGCGCATTTCGGAGGCTAAACAAAATTATTTCTGTTGCTTGGTGTCTTTTTTTTTTTTCTTCACTGTATTTTCACTTCTTTTAGCTTCTCCAAAATATTTCAATTTTTCATTATTATCCTCTATCTGAAAGTTTGGTGCTGTGCACTGTTTCCAGCAGCATGGGGGCGCTGGCCGGGCCAGGCTCTGGAGAGAGTCTCGGAAAGGGATGGCCAGGGCGCGCTCCACGCTACAAATCAGAAAAGGTGCATGACCTCCACACCTGCCTGGCTATGCGGGGGTGGGCAGGCAGCAGGGGCTGGTGCGCACTCCGACAAATAATCAGCTGTAGGGCCGATATTTGCCAACATCCGATAAACAGGAAACCCCTCCTTCTAGTATGCTATGTGAAATTAGGCAGTTACCTATATAGCAGTAGCACGTTTCCCCATATTTCGGCGGCCCTGCTGCTACAAGGGCCAGCGTCAACAACTCAACATCAACAACATACCATTGCCGGCTTCCCGACCTTTGAGCAAAGCAGCATCTCAGCTTTCACGGATCAACCGCAAACTAATCTTCACTCCTGCCTCGTGTAACAGAAACGCAGCCTTTTCCCCGCTGGTAACACTGTTTGAAACTGTCGCGCCTAGACGGCATTCTGCCCGCTTTGGGCCGCTTTGCTGGGGATTTGTTCTGCATTTGTGGGATCACATAATCCACTCTCCGTGGCATGCCCTACACATCTTGGCGTCGTAAGTTACGGGTGCCTGCTACCCGAAGCCCATCCATTTTTCAGTTGCTCTATTGTTTATTTGTACCCCTGTTGCTGCATCTATCTTACACACAATCACTCCTTTACCAATAATATCCGGATTACAAACAGAGCCCTGATGACCGCCGATTTCGATCGTTCCGGCGACCTGGCAGGGCCCGTGCCCACGACACTGCACCTACTACTCTCGGCCATGTATGGCTTCTTCAGGTCGCTGCTGGACGCCCTGGTCCACGCCTGCTTGCGGATATCAATGCCGCCAACTGTCCAGTTCATTGACTCGCCGGCGTTTGGTATTTTCGGTCAGCTAAATGACGCTGGAACCGCCTTCCGCCGGTCCATCTCGCGGTGTGGCTCGTCAATTGCGCGACCCAATGTTAGTGGAATCCCCCGGATCGTGCATGACGAGCATGGGGGCGACGGATGGAGCCAAGTAGTCAGTCAACGGAGGATATCGAAGATGTTCGTTGACCAGTACGCTACCGGCATGATTAGCCAGATTGCAGAGGCAAGGCGGCAGTCGCTGCCTGTGCCGAGCTTGTCACCTGGCAGCAGTCGGCCGAGCAGCCGGGCAAGCAGTGTCGGGTCAAGAGACCGCAGCCTGAGTGTGCAGGAGGAAAACGGGCGGGAGACTAGAGCAAATTTGCTGCTGGTGCCAGAGGCAGCGGCACAGCCAGGCACCCGGAAGCGCGCGCTGGGCGAGGGTGCAGGGCCCACTGGGCTACTGGCGCCAAATACCCCGGCAGTGCCAAGCGAACACGGGTTGGACTCGGACGCAGACTCGGCGCGCTGGGCTCCAGAAGGCATGGCACAGCTCGCGCAGTATTCCCTGGAATGCAAGCCAGGCAGTTCACAGGACTTGGGTCTGCGCGGACACTCCATGGGCATATTCTCGCCGACGAACCTGGTACGTGTCTGGCTGGCACGCTTGTTCTCGCACCGCCTCACCAGCTGTCTAATGACGGCCTTGCTGCTGGCGTATTTTTGCGTGTGCGCGTCCGAGAACCTCGACAGCCCCGAGCCCCACGGCCTGGTCGATTCGTGGCCAAGGGCTATTCGCAGCACCCTGTTTTTTGTGTTCACCATGGAGATGATGGCACGTATCATCGTCACGGGCTTCTTGTTTGACCAACAGCTCACACCGACTGATTTCTACGTTAACATCGTGGGCAAGATACCAGCGGTCAGGTGGCTCTGGAAGCCAAAGGACAAGACTGAGCAGCAAGGCCGGCCCTGTGGGAGGCGGCGGCGCAGACATAGGCGCAGGCAATCGCAGCACAGCAGCAGACCCAGTGCCCCAATGGTGCCACAGAAGCCGCCTAGGCTGCAGGTCCCCGAAAGCCCCAATCAGGCCGACGCTGCCTTGGGAGATCGACAGCAAACCGCTGGCGACGCGGCCACCACTCAGGGAACCCGCCTGTCGCCTAGTGTCATTCCTTCGTCGACATCCCGGTCATCGTATACAGTATCGACAATCTCTGGCATCATCCATGACATTGCCGTGCATCGCACCCCCAACACGCGCATTCGTCGCGAATCGCCAAATCCGTCGACTCCGCCCGGGTCACCTGAGTGGTCTGACGAGGAGCCGGCGCAGAACGGCCATAGGCGGCTTCGGCGCCATCGTGATCGCAGCCCCAGTGTCAGCGATGGGAATGCGAGTCCATATGACGGGTATAGCTCCGGCAGCAACCACCTGTCGCGTCGCCAGTCAATCACCAGCAACGAATCTCTATACGGGTCTACTGGGGTGTTGCGCGAGACACCATGCCAGTACGAGTATAAAGGCAATGCGCATGTATCAGGGCCAATGCGGCCATTTCTCCGGCACACGTACAACCGGCTCGACCTGGTCTCGCTGGTTGCCTTCTGGGTTGCTGCAGCAATCTCGTCCACGCACAGACACAAAGAAGTGATCACGCTTCTTGACGCCCTGGCTGCGATCCGCTTCGTGCGCTTCATGAGCCTGACGCCTGGGTCGTACTCTGTCATCGGTTCGCTCAAGCGTAGTGCGCCAATGCTCGGCAAAGTGTCGCTCTATATGGGCTTTTTCTTCCTGCTGTTCGCATGCTTGGGCGTGACAATCTTCCGCGGCGCATTCTCCCGCCGGTGCATCTCAGCAGCCACGCTGGAGTCGGCCGTGCCGGAGCGCTACTGCTGCAGCTACATGGAGAATGGCCGACGCCAGCCGTATTTGGTCGGTTCCGGTACTCCGACAGTGAATCAGTCGCCGCGCGCATATGCGTGTCCACAGGGCCAGATTTGCATGACCGTTGGCAACCCGTCGAACAGTCTGATGAACTACGACAATATTTTTGCCTCTGCCGTGCAGGTATTTATTGTCGCATCAGCGCAGGGCTGGGCAGACATTATGTACATTGTCATGGACTCGATCTCGTATGTTTCATCCGTCTACTTTGTCTCGTGCGTCATGATCATCCAGCTGTGGCTCATCAACCTGTTCGTCGCTGTCACCAACGAGGCATTTGCAAAGATCCGTGAAGAGGCCGACCGCGTGCGTATCATTGAGGGGCCAAACCCTGTGGCAGGTGTCAAGAGGCTGCTGCAGCCAATCCTGGGGCAGTGCAAGCTCGGGAAGGAGCCCGTGCCTGCGTGGAGACGCCTGACACCCGAGGAAGTTGAGCGTGCAGGTGGATGGCGGAACCGCGTGCGGGCACGATGGATTCGGCTCCGTGCTACGCTGCACAGGTGGATGGTGCCGGTGGCCAAATGGACGGGATTCCAGGGAACCCAGGATTTCTGGTGCTTTCTGGTCATTGTCGACATTTACTACAAGGTTGTCTGGCGTGTCGACAAGTCGGACCACACGGTCGCATCCTACCAGACAATCTCAAAGGTGGCCTCGGCCATGTTTGGCGTCGAAATTGTCGTACGCATGGCGCGCGCATGGCGCATTTGCCCGAAGCCGCGGACCGGTATAAACTACATTTACAACACGCTGATGCTTGACGGCAGGCCAGTGCTCAATATCGTCGACTCCATTATCGCCGTAGCTGATATTATCATGGAGTTTGGCCGCTTTTCGGACTCACAGGCCCACCGCATCATGTACGTGTTTTCGTCACTACGCACGTACCGCCTGATTGAGAACTTTCCAAAGACACGCGCCTTGATGCATAAGATCAAGGGGTCGATACCCGGTCTGCTCAACGTCATGGTGACCATTGGCCTGACAATTTGCCTGGGCGCCGCTATCTCAATGCAGCTGATCGGTGGATATGTGCCGGCAGAAGACGACGACGGCAGTTTTATCCAGATGCGGTACAACACATATCCACACGCACTGCTATCCACATATCAGCTGTTTTCGGGCGCCGACTGGACTGACCTGCTGTGGGAGGCAACTGGCCAGATGCAGGACAAGAATGAGAATTGGCTCGTGGCCATCTACATGTGCGCCTTCTACTACTTCACAAACTACATTCTGCTGAACATGATGATCGCCCTGATCATGGACAACTTTGAGACCAGCGAGAAGGAGAAACGCATTCGCCAGCTCGCAGAGTTCCACAACTCGCTAACCCGCACAACCGCCAGGTACAAGCGCAGCATCGTCAGTCGCTGGAACCCGTACTTGTACATCACGCCCAACTCAGCGTATGCGGATGCCCACAACGTCTCAAAGTCCCTGGCTAAGCCGGCGTCGCACCAGAAGGACAAGGACAAGGACAGCGACGATAACAACGATGATGCTGTGCGGCAGCCAGTCATCGACAAAGGCAAGGGCGTCGACCATGAGGGCTGCGGTACGGGCGTGTCGTCGGAGATCATGATCGATGTCGGCAGCAGTTCCAGCGAATTGCGGTCGCGCGGTGGACGCAGATCTGGCAGCGGGGTTAGTTCTACCGGAGTCTTGCGGTCGCCGCGGATCAGCATTTCACAGAGTGGCAACAGGTTGGAGGTCGGTGGTATGCAGGGCATCTTGTTTGGCAAATCGTCGGCGGAGCAGCGCATTGTCGCACAAGAAGTCAGCGATATCCCCCACTCACCGATCACCCCGGACCAGCGCAGCGTGGATGGTGGCGAGAGTGATTCGGATCGGGCTGCCGCCGAGCGGTGGGAGACTGCCCGGCGTGAATTCGAGTCTGCACACCCGACGTACAACAAGTCGCTGTTTCTGTTTGCGCCTGATAGCATGTTCCGCCAAATATGCTACATGCTGGACACTGGCTTTCGGTTCTCCGAGGATGCGTTTGGTGACGATACAGCATTGTGTGAGGCTTCAAAGTTCAGCACTACCTTTGGGAGTAACTCAGATGCGGTTGACACGACGGGTACACTGTCTAGCCAGGCAGACAAAGAGGATGATGCAGGTGAGAACGAGAAGACCGGCGTGCATGGACCGATCTGCTACCCACCACCACTCAAGCGCTCACACCGGGCAACGACTGTGCCGCGGATGCTATGGCAGCAAAAGGATGGCGCAAACCGCCGTCCTGCAAGCTTCAGAACGACACCTAAATACTGGCGCTGGGCGCACTATGCGTGGGAGGCTCTCGGCTTCGCGGTCACCATTTTATCGATCATGGTTCTGTGTATCGACACACCCATTAGGCGCAAGCATATCATGGACTCGGGTCAGATGGGGCAGTTCTCGTGGTTCTTCTTCACAACCATGGCGCTTGGCATATTCTGCACGATTGAGATTGCCATCAAAGCAGTTGCTCATGGGTTTGTGCTGGCACCGCATGCCTGTATGAAGTCCCCATGGAACATCATTGACTTGCTCGTGTCTGTGTCGCTCTTCGTCAGCCTACACACACTGGTCGGTGGATCCAATATGACGCGGTTTATTCGGTTTCTGCGGTCGCTGCGGTCTCTCCGGCTGATCAGCAAATTCAAGGATGCGCGGGATGCCTTCAACAACCTGCTGGTGGGCAGTGCCGCACGCATCATTGTGGCTCTGTGGATCATGCTGCTGCTCTTGATTCCATGCGCGATCCTGGCGCACAACATGTGGTACGACATGCTGTTTGCCTGCAACGACGACAGCGTTGACGGGCGCGTTGGGTGCATTGGCGAATATTTTGACTCGGACTTGGGAATTCTGATTCCGCGGATCTGGGAAAACCCGCGCAACTACAATTTTGACACATTTGGCAGTGCGCTCAGCATATTGTTCACAGCCATTTCGAACGAGGGCTGGACCGACGTTATGAGCAATACCATGGCAATCCGCGGAATCGACCTGCAGCCGCGCCCAAATCACTCGTGGTGGAATTCGCTCTGGTGGGTTGCATACATATTCTTTGCCACGATATTCATCCTCTACATCTTCATTGGCATAATCGTCGCTAGCTACACGCAGCGCACAGGCACTGCGTTTCTCACTACCGAACAGCGACGCTGGCTTGATCTGAAGATCCAACTGCGCGGAACTCACCCGCCAACACTGCCTCGGACACTGCAGAAAAAGGGATTTCGCCGGTGGTGCTTTATGGCGTCGATCAAGACCAATACCTGGTATTCGCGCACCCTCACAGCTGCCGCGCTGGCAAACTGCGTCGTTCTACTGACAGTGTACCGCGACCGCTCAGCTGAGATAGACAAGGTTCAAAAGTGCTTCAGGTACGCGTCGTACATTGTGTTTGTGCTGGACTTTGGCATCAACATGGTCGGTATGGGCGTGCGCGCAACATTGCGCAATGCAAACTACCAGCTGCTGATTCTGTGTGGGCTCATTATCATACTGTTCGAGTTCATGTTCACGACCCTTGGCGCTGCATCTTTGGGCTCTGTGATGCTGCTCTACAAGCTCATGTTGATTTCCGACACGCTCAACGAGCTGACACGCATGATTATCGGCGGCTTCCGACCGATCCTGATTCTGTTCTGGGTCTGGATGGTTATGACTTTAATCTTCACTCTTTTGACGGTTGAGCTGTGGGGGCTGACGCGCGCTGGGCCGGAGACATCAGCACATGCAAATTTCTGGTCGTTCTTGCCGGCATTCCTGACCCTGCTGCGATTCAGTTACGGCGAGAATTGGAACTACCTGATCACCGACCTGCAGGTTCAGTATCCGCACTGTGTCCAGTCTTATAACGGCAGCTATCTGCAAACGGACTGTGGGCAAACGGGCCTGACATACCTGATCTTCTTCACATACAACCTGGTGTCCATGTACATCTTTGTCAATGTGTTTATTGGCGTGGTCACAGACAACTTCCAGTACTGCTACCAGTCCTCATCGTCATACAAGCTCCTGACCCGCCAAGAGATCCGCCAGTTCCGCGTTACATGGTGGCGGTTCGATCCGGAGGGCACCGGGTATATTCCACGCGAGAAATATGCTGCCTTCTTTAGTAAGCTGAAGCCACCGTTCAATGTTGGCATGTATGGCGATCGGCTTAAACTTAAGCATCTGGTCAAGGCGCTGAAGCGGCCGCCACATGGCAAAGACAAGGTTGTGCACGTCGAGATCGACCGCGTGCGGTACACACACGGCAATTTCGATGCCTACACACATCCCGGCCACGACAACGAGCCCCTACAGTACGACCTGAACATCACTGAGCTTGAGCACTGCCTACAACATGCTGACCCCTACCAGATGATGTTGAATCGGCGTGAGTTCAACCGGATCTACCAAGAGGCGTTGCTGATAGATGACCCGAAGCGTGGCATGGGCTTCACCCAGATGCTGGTATTCCTGGCACGCAAAAAAATGGTTGACCCTGCGACAGCATTTCTGGTCGAAGAGACGCTTCGGTACAACGATCTTGCCGAACAGGTCGACGAGGTTTTGCGTCAAAAGTTTGTTGAGGACGTCATCATTTCATCTGTGCGTCGCCGCAAGTTTCTGACCGCCATGAAGCTGCATCGCAGCCTACAGGGATTGCAGAGCCGCAAGCAGTCGCTGAGAGTCCCGATATCCATGCCTCATCCAACTCTGCACCAAGCCGAAGATGGCCCGCCTATTCCACTTGTCCGTGTACATCAGCCTGAACTGCAGGTGGATACAACGGGAATACAGCGCTCGACTATATCAAACTGTGAGCCACTCTCCCCTCCGGCTGTCTATCTCTTTGTCACCGGACCCGGCACCTGAGAGGCTAGACACGCAGTTCGTAGTCTCCAGATCTACGTCGACTACACTAGAACAGTCAGTAAGGAAGAATGAGTGTGGCTCACAAGCTTCCCATTCGTCGAGTTTGCCAAGCGTCGTGGGCTTGCGGTCAAGTCCTGGGGTTGGCCCAGCAATCGGGTCGCCAGATCTGCTGCCACTTCCTTCATTGACTGGTTATCAAATAGGGAGCCCAGATCAACGACAAGGGCCTCCTTGTCAGCAGCGCGATGATAATACACCACCCCACACTAGATCCCGCAACGGATCCCTTCCCAAGTGACAGAGTACTACGTTTTACCATACACACAATTGTTGATATAAGCTGAGGGTTTAAACATCGAGGGTCCTTATGAAGTCTCATTTACAAGGCAATAAAGAGCGTCTCGTGTCTGCATATAAAAGGAGTGCAATCCAGACAGCCATGGAGAGCCTCAGCATCAGCAAGCACTAGTCCTGCCTTTCTCTCAATATACTTCTCTCTGCTACTCTGTCAATTCTCAACTGCATCATGAAGTTCACTGCCATTGCCTTCCTTGCCTCAGCCGCTCTTGCCCAGCAGCAGCAGGGTCCCGTGCACCGCATGCAGGATGTCCTGCCAACCCCACCTGCCACCAACATTGCCCCGCAGTTCGAGATGCCAGGCATCCAGCCCAACATTCCGGTTCCCAACGTCGAGGCAACTGAGCCCATGCAGTCTGCTGTGGCCCGCCTGGCTTCGTTCTTTGACTTTTCGCACATTTCGGGCGAGAGCACTGACACGCCGACGGTTGTCACCCATGTGTTTGATCCGGCTACGGGCAGGTTCACCCACCTGTCGTACAATGTGGTGCAGAACGGCAACGCGTACTATGTGCCGGTGTGCAGCGTCGACTCGATTGTGCAGGCTGGGTCGTCGGCTGTTCCAGCCAGCGATAGCTGCCAGTACGGCATCCAGCTGATGCCGGTGCCGCGCAATGCGGCCAGCGTGATGCTCAGGGCCATGCGCATGGTACTCAGGCTACTTGCACGCGTTCCGAGACTGCTGCCTGTGATTCTGGGTGGCCAGCCTGGTGCTGGCGAGTACACCTTTGCGGACCAGCCACAGATGTAGGATGTGGGTACTAGCTTTTTACCACATGCTGTTTGGCAGACACTCTGCACTTCCATACTGCCTCAATAAATGTTGTCCCTTGAGATCGCTTATACAAAATAATGCCTGTGCAAAGTATGCGGCTGCTGGCTGGAATTCTAGCCTGCTGCATGGCAGATTACCTATCGAATGAAGCGTATTGAGAACACCGTGCAGTTGCAATCCAAAAAGGCTGATATGGCTATTTTTCTGTGCCGTTTCTCAGAAATACAACAAGTATATGTAAGCCTAGTACCCCAATATATGGCTGAACTGATGTTATCTATTGTATTCAATGATATGCTGAGTTTAAATAAATGAGTAGCGAGTTTTAGGGCGTCCACGCTCGTACTGATCGTTCCACTTGACAAACACACCCAGCCTCTGGGCAGCCTTCAGCGCAAATGTCGGGTCACGGAGGAATTCGCGGCCTGCAAAAATAGCATCAGCCTTGTCCTGCTCCAGGATGTCGTTGGCCTGCTCCCCGTCAGTGATGATACCTACAGCACCGACAAGAACGCCAGGAGCACCATTCTTGACCTCAGTCGCAAGAGGCACCTGGTATCCACGACCGACAGGAATCTTTTGGCGCGTATCATTGCCAGCTGACGAGCAGTCAACAAGGTCAACGCCCTCCTGGTACAGGATCTCAGCTAGCTTAATGCTGTCCTGTGTAGTCCAGCCACCCTCAACCCACTCAGTGGTGGAGAACCGTATAAACAGGGGCTTCTCAGCAGGCCACACCTTGCGCACGCGCTGGACAGTCTCAATTGCAAACCGGGTGCGGTTCTCGAACGAGCCACCGTACTTGTCGGTGCGGTGGTTGGACAGCGGCGAGTTAAAGGAGCTGATCAGGCAGCCGTGAGCACTGTGAATTTCGATAAAATCGAATCCGGCCTTGTCAGCGCGCACAGCAGCATCAGCGAACGCCTGCTGGACAGTTTCGATCTGCCCAAGCGTCATCTCTTTCGGTTCCCAATGGTTATCATCGTAGGCAAGTGCAGATGGACCGTAGACGTCCTCGGGCCAGCCACCCTCGTCGACTGAGGTGCGGAAACTCGGACGCTTGCCATACTGGCTGAGTGGAATGGTGCTGGCCTTGCGGCCAGCGTGCGCTAGCTGGATTCCTACTGCAGCACCAAAGTAGTGCTCGTAGTCGACAATACGCCTGAGGCCGGTGATATGCTCGTCCTTCCAGACACCGAGGCATTTGGGAGTGAGGCGGCCCTCGGGCAGAACTCCTGTAGCTTCAATGAGAACGGCACCCGCGCCGTGCATGGCAAACTGGCCGTAGCGCGCCAGATGGAAGTCGTTGATGAACCCATCCTCTGCAGAATACATGCACATGGGGCTGACCCACAGGCGGTTCTTGAACGTGGTGCTGCGGATTTTCAATGGCTGGAAGAGCTTTGGCAGCGGGTTTGGGCTCGTTTCTGAAGTAGCAAACCCCTGCTTGATCTCCGAAGAGGTAGGCTCAATAGGAGTTCCAGGCGACGGATCCTGGTCAAGTAAGAATGCGACAGTATTCAGAACAGCCATTGCTTAACAGGAGGGGGTTTCAGTTTATGAGCAGAGAACATGGAGAGGAAGCAGGCCGGGCTGTCGTATTGATACCATTCAATGGACTAGCAAATGAGCCGTTCGTCTTTATAAGCGCAGTTCTTGGAGATTCTCTAGTATTTCTACACCTAGGAGTGACATGGATACCAATGGTGTTTGAGGCGGCATCCGATCTATGATTATGACACGGGCGCTGCATGCTGCATAGCTCTCAACTCATGGTATTAAAATGTGGTGGCCCAGGCCGGCTGTAGTCTCACGAGCAAGCCATTGCATCACTAGGTTTCCTGAAGATATAAATATTGCGTTCAGGTAAGGAGGTGCTTTAGGCTCAGCTTTACGCGTCACCAAAGGAGAATGTGATCTGACTGGTACAAAAACCCCATTGAACCAGGCAGATGTGAGGAGTATGCTACGCGGTAGTGACTTTGTTGGCGTTTCTTATCTCAAAAGAGCCAGCACACTGGCCATGTGACCCTGCATTGCACCTGTCCAGCGGCGCTTTGGGCAGGCTGAGCCATGGATAGACAAATGTGGCTGGCCAGCACACCACGCAGAGATCCTGGCCACCGGGTCGACGGTCTACAAGGAATTGCCACACGTGCTCTTCACATATTCTCCGACCTCTCGAAGAGCCACTGCTCCTGATGGCGCAATGACCACCCTGCCGATCCCGGCGAGAAAAAAATTCTTGACTCGGGGATGCATCTGTGCTGCGTTGGGCAGCCACCGGTTCAGCAGAAAAGCATCAAGAGTCGCTGAGACGTTTTGCCTTTCCCTCCACATTTTCACCAGGCTAATTTTCCACTCTATTCCGCATTTCAAGCCTACGGCAATGGTTGCAAACAGCGCTCTCTACGACACGCTTCTTACCCAGCTCTCGCAGCTCAGTCCTCTGCGGGCCTTCGAGGCCGACGCCAAAGTTCCGGCTGGTGCGCGCTATCCGCCTCAGCACTGCGATTTCAAGGTAAGGAACCCACTTAGAAATCACCTTGGAGCGAAATCTTGTCCTGGAAAGAGTCGGCGGCCTACTAATTTTGCAACATATTTTATTTTTAGATGCCTCCTGTTGACGCTGCTGCCACCCTTCCGCCTGAGGAGCGCGAGGACTACTTCTCGCTCACGTTCAAGACACTCAAGGCTCCGGTGCGCAAATTCACCCTGCACACGTCATCGATTCGTACGGTTGCACAGGTGAAGCGCCACCTCTCGCGGGTGTCAAACATCCCTGTCTCGACGATGCGCCTGGTCCTGGGTGGCAAGGGCCTGGTGGACTCGAAGCTCATCGGCGACTATCCGATTCAGAGCGACTCGGTGATCCAGATTATTTCGCGGCCAGCGGGCAGCGCCGATCCAGATGCAGACAAGGCCACTGAGGTGGTAGCAGCCGACGAAGCGAACCCTCTGTCGAGTGTGCTGGAGAAGGAGGACGATGGCTCCCGCTCCCGCCCGACCAGCATCGTTGCCAGCGCCGTTAGCAATAAGCAGACGGTGGAGGCTCAGAGCACCGTCGATGGACACGAAAGCGACGATGAGAGTGACGATGAAGCCGAGGTTATGACAGAGCTGACCAAGGACCGGCTGAAGCAGGACAATGGTGCTTTCAGGAACGAGCTGCGCCAGCTTGTTAGCCGCCAGTTTGGTGCCAGCCAGGCGACATCAGTCAACAGGTTGCTTGACTCGTACTTTGCATCTCTCTAACCATCTTATGCGTTTAGTGGACAGGGTGCGAATGACTTTGTCACTGCCAGCACTTGCAAAGTGCTATGTCCTAGTCTATTCTAGTCGGCCAAGTGTCCATCTCACATAGAACCCAACTAGATCAAAGCCCAGATCCTTCTCAGAGTGGATGTCGTGGTACTTTCCATCTTTGACTTTATTGGATGTTTTGTCCAGGTTCTCTGGCAGATTGTCATGGAGTCTGCGTGTGCCCTCAACGCTTGTAATCACATCAAACTTGGAGTGTACCAAGTAAACTGGTGTGCTGAACCTGCGAGCACCCCCAGATAAGCCTCTGTTCAAACAGGACGACATCAGATACCGTGCCAGCAGTGCAGCTCCAGATGAAATCCTTGCAGGTGTTTGATCTCTTCGATGCGTCCTGGTTGCTGGTCAGCATATGTACTTCATCAGCAATTGGTACTAGGGCGTTTTGTCGAGTCCGCCATCCCAGTACTGCAGCATGGCCTCCGCCATTTCTGCCATGGCATTGCCTAGAGCCATTGACGGTGCCTGAGCAATTACTCCTCTTACCAGCCCATCCTTGTTGTGCCATGCAGTAGTTCAGCAGGTTGTGCCTACCCATGGAGTGTCCAAAGAGAAGGTGTGGGATCCCGCCGATGCTGACAAGTTTGTTGAACTCTTCAATATCATGTGCAACAACACCCATGCCTCTACTATCACCCAGGCCACCGTTGCGCATACCGGTCTTGCCACAGCCACGCTGGTCAAAACCAAACACCTGGATTCCATTTCTAGCAAACTGGTGGGATAGGCTGCTGTACAGCCCAGTGCAACCACCAAGGCCATGGACAATTGTCATCACTGCGAGCGGAGGCTGGATATCAGGCTTGTATACTCGTGTGTAGAACTCGCAACCATTAAACACTACCCAGCTAGAGGATTCTTTTATAGGAGCATCATGCGATATATATTCAGCAGCGCTCTCGAAAACCATGACGGGTGGGGTACACGCAATCAATCTAGTTCAGATGTAAAATGATGAGGCTTGGTTTTTATGAGCCCAACTTCGTGCCTAGCAACTTTTAAAATCCACTACTATATCACATGCGGCCTGGCAATGCGGTAGGAGCATGCGTTTGCCAATGGACCCTAGTATGTTCCTTGTATACATGATGGACAACAGACATTGAAGCTAGTGGATTCATTATAATATTCTGCTGGCAATATTGGCGGTGAAGATTAATGGGATAAACATCTGCTGCTACCTTTGGTTCAAACATTTATTCAAAGTTTTCGATAAGCGGTGAATTTGCGGTGTTTTAATGTTAGGACACGAAATAGGTGTTAGATTGCAATTACTAGTTACTTATTGTTGCACAATATGTGTGTTGGAGGATTCTACAGGCATAGCCACCGTTTGCGCAATTTACTCCATTGCTGCTTTATTATTTAAATTTCAATCTGCCCGATCTGAATGGGCGCTCCGGGAGTCTGTAGATGGTCGTTTTCGTTTCCGTTCTGGAGGTTGTTCATGCTAACATCAAACAGGTCGCCAACAAACTCCTCGAAGGCTTCGATGGCACCAGTGACCTGGCGGACGTGCTTGCTCTTGTTCTTTTTCACATCGGAATGGCCGCTCTTATGGCCGCTATTATGCGGCTGGTGCGCAGTGGGCGTAGGAAGAACTACTAGACCATGTCCCATGCTACCTGAAAAGGACGTACTGGTGGCAAGTGGGTTGCAGCACAGCCACCGGGTGAGTCTATAAATAAGGCCAACTATACCGCTTGCCTCTTGTTTCTAGCTCACAAACTCTGAACGTTCCCCAGCCAATATATTTACGTACTAGAAATATCTGCTCGCGATGCGAGCTCGGCTGCTAGTCAGCATGGGTTGACACGTCGATAAGGGCATCACGGCGAACCGGTCATTTGAACGTGTCGGATGGTTGTTGGTGCAATGTCGATCATGGACATCTCCCATCTTGATGGCCTGCTCAGCGTAGGTGCTTCAGCGCTGGCTCGCTGCTGCTGGCAACAGAATCGCCTGCTGCTGCACGCCTCTTGCGCGGGTTCTTTGTTGCAGGGGTGGTGCCAGAAGTATCGGCAGCAATGGCCGTAAAGCGACGGAACCGTTCAGGAATACTGCCTGAGTCACAGAGTGACTGGAAAATGAGTCTGAAGTTTAGAACTGCTGCGAGGTCGCGGTTCAAGAGCCGAGACGAATAGGCTCGCCTGTATTGTGCCATGGCCCGCTTACATGACTCGCTTGTACAGCGGAGAAGGCCATGGCACTTCACAGTTGGGTTCTTCGATCTCTGGTAGGGCCGCGGATTGGGAACATGCCGGAATGTCTGCAGTGACTTATCGCAGCAGAACGGGCACACCGACGATGTCCGGAATTCGTCGATCAGATAGACTTCAAAGCCATGGTGCTTGAACTTGTCGCGCCATCCCTTGCCACGAATCGGCGCATGGTGCCGGGCCATCGGCGCACTCCAATTGCCCATGATCAGCACTGGGTCTGGACCGAACTTGCTCCGGAGTTTCGCGGCAAGCCTGTGGTCTGCACGGGCCTGGTTCATGAATGAATCAAGGCGCAGCTTGCGGTGAAGCGGGTACACCTTGGGACTGGTCCCGACACCCGGATGGGCCTTCCAGCGCCTCTGATGCTGCTTGTTTGACTTAGTGGGCTGCTGCTCTAGTAGCCTTCGCGCTGTCATCGTGTTGGCATAAAATGGTGCTAGGACACACCGCACAGATGCACGGGCAGCAACGTAGGCACGGAATTTTGCTGGGCTAAGGGTCCGGCAGCAGTGCTTGGAAAGCTCTGCCTCTGCTCTGCGGACAGCATCTTCTGGGACTTGATCCTTTGTAGCCCGACGAATCCTGTCATAGTGGCGCAGCTTGAGCTCCTTATTGTGCTGCTGCCGTGTGTAGCGGTAGAGCATTCTCTCACCCTCTTTCCCATTGCTGCTATTTTCGTGCATCATGTATAGCAAATCGCCCCGACCTGGATCGATGAATACACAGCGGCCTTTCAGATTCTGCAGCTCTGGCTTTGGGATCTGGTGGATATAGCGACAGTCAGCTATAGTACTGCCTCCCACAGCATCACCTCCTGCAACATCGCCTGTAGCATCGCCTGTAGCATCGCCTGTAGCATCGCCTGTAGCATCGCCTCCCACAGAATTGCCTCCCGCAGCATCGCCTCCCGCAGCATCGCCTCCTGCACCATCAGCATCTACTGCACCATCAGCCTTGGATATCTTGTCTTGTAACAGAATGCATATCGTTACACCATCTGTTGTCGCCATTCCGTGGAATTTTCTATCACCATGCGCCTTAAATGGCTTTGATGTTAGATCTGCGACCCGGCCCCATACATCCCACACAGGTTGTGTGATCCCTTGGACCGGGTCGTGTGCACAGACTGGGGGTGCTGATGCATATGCATTGTTAAGTGCTGCAACAGTGTCTGCTGCTGCCGCCGATGCAGCAGCAAGTGAATCAGCCACTACTGCTGCAGTTGCTGCAGTGGCCTCTGTTTCATCTGATGGCATCTTCGCTGCTTCGCGTGCAGCCTTCTTGGCCAATTTTTCGCCCTTTTCTGCTGCTTTCCTTGCCTCTGTTGCTGCCCTCTTTGCTGCGTTGATCTTGGTAACCTCCTCACGTGTTTTCGAAACAAACACCTGCTTGATTATTTGCTTGTCTAAGCGCACATGGCCTGGGATCCATGATGTCTGCAGAGGCAAGCATTGGGGGGAGACTTGCCAAGCTGCTCATTCTCAATAAGCTGGCATAGGCGAATGTATGCATGCAGATGCTTAAGTGGATTTACCTTGGCATCATAGTATCGGCTGTCTTTGGCGAATCTGTACTTGGCATCATAGGCATTAAGGACTGGTGCCAGCTTGTTGTAGATTGCAAGCATCGGTGGGGTGAGCACACTGAGATCAGGGTGCCTAGAGGCAACTGCCTGGCGGAGCTTCTGTGCAGGTGTATAAATACACACTTGGCATGCATTATTGAACTCAGCCTTGGACACATTGCCCATTGTACTGTGCAGTGTGGTTTTGCGGCTGCGAATATCAATCAATTTGGCCAGAATCTGCTGTAGGCAACTGCCATAGTGCAACACAATGTTGCTCTTGTATGCTGTCATCAGCTTGGTATCCACGTATGTTGCTACTTGATTCATGTCGCATATGCCATGTAGCTCGATATCGCCATTATGTAATAGATAATCATAAATATGGTATCTAACTACATCACCGAAATCTGCGCTCGACAGTTCTGACCTGTCCTTCCGGTTGACGAAATCCTCGGCAGATATGACAGTCTTCACCTTCAGGTTGCGATAAATAAATAAATAAATGGAACGAAAAAACCCCTTTTTCACAAATATTGCAGGGTCAAAGGCATCATCGTCAGCTAGTTGATGGAGTAATATCCATCGTGCAAGCATGTATGTATGCTCTTTGATGATATTGACGCTGTGTACAAATTGCTCTAGGCGGGGCAACATAGAATCACGGAAGCCAATACCACCAAGTGATGTCTTTATGACAGTAGTGCTGCGGATAATATCCATTTGAGAAATCCAATAGGCAAAGTAAGAAGAGAAATGATGCTGTTCAGTTTTGCTTTATTGCGTGTGCATAGCATTAAGAACTTTTTATTAAAGATTTTCTGGCTTGCATGGTTCTTGGGGCCCTTAGCACTGATATAGTCTCTTGAATCAGTCTATACATACTGGGTCCGTTGTGACCCAAATACTACCGCTTACGCATGTTCATAAGACAAATTAACTTATAAAATAAACCCACAAATATTGCATAACCACCAGAAGAGCTATATGGCCTTATTCAATAGGTGCTCATGAATGAATATCCTAAGGGTGTTGCGCAGCCGGTGATGACCACCATGATGACGCCATAGAAGTTATCAGGTCGACCGATACTGAGAGCTGCTCTTGCGCTGAACCAATGGAGATATCCAGTAGAGACCTGTGACCACTACAATAACAACTCGTCACCCTGGTTTCACCGGTGAGGTCAGATGCCGCACAAGATCAAAAGGAGTTTACAGAGCAAGTCACTCAAACCCGTGTTGAAGCTTAAGAGTTTTTTTTTTAACCAATTCAAAAGGTTCTAGCGGACGGTCGGACGCTTTTTGGACTATAAAATCTTATATATAGGTAAAGATATTTTCGCATATTACCCCGTGTGATCGGTGAAGAGGAAGCCGTGGCATCCAACACAGTCTTCGCCAATCTGACGAGCCTTCTTGCCCTTTCCGTCTCCCTTTCTATGCTTCTTGCCATGCCTTTTCTTGCCATGCCTTTTCTTGCCATGCCTTTTCTTGCCATGACCCTTCTTGCCCTTGCGGTGCTTCTTGTGTGAGGTAGCTGATGAAGTGGGATCTTCAGTAGCGTTTTCAGGCGTACTCTCAACAGAATCGATGTCAAAGGTATCAGAGGCCATATCCGCCTCGCCAAAGATATCAGAGAAGGATTCAGTATCGACAGGGATATCGGCATCTTCGCTGGCACCTTCAGTCTCGTCCTCGGCAGGCTGAGGAGCCTTCTTGTCATTCCCCTTCTTCTTGCTATGGCCCTTGTCGTGTTTCTTGTCATTCTTTTTGCCGCTCTTGTCATGTTCCTTTTGTGAGGTGGCTGAGGAGGTGGTGTCCTCAACTGAGCCATTGAGAGAATCACCATTGGGGTTGACATTGTCAACAGATGCCATATCATTGCTTTCGATATCATCAGGAAGAGAGTCGGCATCTTGGGTATCCTCAGAGGCATCGGTGCTCATATCATCTTCGGCAATATCATCTTCAGCGACCTGGCGGACATTGATCCTGTTTTGTAAATGGTACGACCAAGGAGTAGGGATAGCGCCGAAATGGCGGTAGGTGGTAGAATACAGATGGTGACCACTAAGGGTAGAAGAATAGGCATAGTGGGGAGCAGACGAGGTGTGGTGGACGACAGGCTGACTTTTCGATTGGTGGTTAGGTGCGTGGTTGATGGGAGCTGCAGCAGCAAGTGCGACACAGAGGACAAGTGGGGCAGAAATGATGGTGCCCATTGTTTTAAATTTGAAAGTTGGTGTTGTGTTTGTGGAGTTGATGCATTTGGTGATTCAGATGCAAGTGTAGACGCTAGAGTGAGATGTAGTTGTTGATGGAAACGGGGAATACTCTGGTGTCGCGTCTAGCTTATTTATACATCGCCTGACATGCGATGCTGGTAGAAACGTCTATCTCGCCTCAAGAGTATCGTGGTGAAGATGGAATTCTGATATCATAAAATGAAAAGATGCACTGCATACCAAAAAGTGCCAATCTTGGCATTGTCGCGATCCTACTTAAGGGTCACGAGCTTCGTCTAATCGTCCAGGCACAAATCAATTAATAGGGGCAATTAATATTATTAAACAAGAAGAGATGGCTCCTACCCGGGTTACCCCTAGAGTGGTCCGGTGTCTACTTTATAGTCCTAACTCTTATGGCCTAGCCTGGGTGATGAATCGGTCTCACCATCTGTGATCGGCTGGGTCGCAAAAGTATTGGCCTTGAGTGACTGTGGTGTGATCACCACAGCATGACTCAGTTTCCTTTGAACTGTTCCATGCTTCGCTGCCTGCCAAGCAAAATGATATCCTCAAATATACAAGAAGGATATCACATGTTGTCTATGTTTAGTTGTCAGGTATGCGCAGAGTCAATCTTGGTGCCAATTTACGCACCAGCAGCCATGTCAATCAGTTCTAAAATTGCAACCAAATGATCCATGGCATCCGCTTGCATGGTCCGAAAATACCCGCCAAGCTGGATCTCTGGACCAAGTCCTAGAAGCATGTTGCGTCAAATCGCCGCTCAAGAAACATCTGCCACAAGCAAGCACCTCTGGTTCTCCTTTGTTGGATGTATTGAAAGTATAGTTGGCTATGCAGGCTATACAGCCCATCTAGCTATCCCTCTCCACGCGCGACAGAATCCACTGTGTGTATTCATCGATTAGCTCTAGCTAAAGTCCAACCGCACAGTTAAGCACATGGAAAGGGCAGTTCTCAATTATCTTGAGCTTCTTGTCAAGATCATCGGGCAGACCAGCAAAGAACTTTCTCGTGGCATTCGGATCCGTGATAGTGTCACCATCCCCATGTATCAGCAGCACTGGCGTGGTGAAATCAGGCGCGCGAGCAGTAATGCGAGGGCCTAAAGTATACATATCGACCAAAGTACCCAAGGCAGAGTAGCCTAAATTGCGGTCGTTGCTTTCCCACCGCTTCAAAGACTCTTGGTTATTACAAAGCGTCTCTGGTGTGGATTTGTAACTTCTCTTGACCTTGCGGTTGGCAGAGTCTACTTCACAGCTCTTGACATCCTCATCACTCGGTAATAGGAACCCCAAACTCTTCAGTCCAGGAACTTGTGATATGATACCGGCGATATGACGATCCTGGTTGTAGAGCAGGCAGTAGTTGAGAACGTGCATGCCTCCCATCGAGATGCCAAACATGAAATGTTTCACACCGTCGATCATAGCAAGGCTGTTCATGGCAGCGATATCCTTGACAACGTTGTCCATACCGCCATTGTCTCCCAAGTCACTGGCCTTGCTCCCAGACTTGCCAAATCCACGCTGGTCGAACCCAAAGAACTGAATTCCAGCACGTGCAAGGTATGAAGCCATTGCTCTGTAGTTGTCAACTTGGTCACCTAATCCATGCATGAACAGCAGGGTGGCCTTGGGTGGCTGGATTGCGGACTTGAATAGGCGAGTATAGAATTGGTAGCCGTTAGCTGTGACCCACTTGGTCTCTTCCTCGACAATTTGTTCTGGGATGACCATAGTTGCAGCAGCTGTTGGATGCTTTTAGACTAGTAAGAAGAAAAATAGAAAAAGTGAAATGTATTTCTACGCAGTATTTGGAGTAGAGAGCGGCTAGCGCAATTGGCCCATGTCCACACACCACCTTGCATTGTTTGCATTGTATTCTCGCAGCCACCTGTTAGGCACAATAGTGCAATATACGGTGTGTGACATTGTTATGTAGGCTAGAAAGTAGACTTGGCTTTTTAGATCCGTGGTGGCATGATACAAGGGACACCGAAAGCGCTGAGGCATGCTCATTCAGCTGCAATTACTAAGGTGTCTATAGCAAACAGGATGCTCAACGCACAGCACCAGAACAGTCAGCATGCGCCAGAATCCACTGTGTATACAGCTCAAACAGCTCTGGTGCGATATCCTCCTGGAACTGGATTTCGTGGAACGGACAGTCCTCGTAGATCTTAATCCTCTTGTCCAGCGCTTCAGGCAGATGTGCAAAGAACGCCTTGGATCCCTGGGCATCGGCGGCGAGATCGCCATCGCCATGGGCAATAAACACCGGAACTTCGAACTTGGGCGCATGTTCGATAACCCGGCGGCCGAAGTTACTGACGTCAGCCATGGTCCCGACAGTGCAAAAATCGATCATATCCGCATCAGTGGCCAGTCTTGCTAACTCCTTCTGGTTGTCGGTCAGGTACTCAGTTTTGATATTAGTCTTGCGGATAACGCTGCGGTCAAAGTCACCCGACCTGAAGGTCTCAATGGCTTCGGGCGCCAGCATCAGCGCCTTCGCAGGCTGCAATGCAGGCGACTGTGCAATCACCGCTGCAACATGCCCGTCATTATTGTGGAACGAGCAAAAGTTCAGCACATTCAGACCGCCCATTGAGTGGCCAAGGAGGAAATGCCTAATGCCATCCACGCTGACAAGACGGTTCATGGCGGCGATATCTGTAGCGACTGTGGCAATTCCAGAGTTGTCGCCTAGGTCGTTATTTCGTTTTCCAGTTTTGCCGAAGCCGCGCTGGTCAAAGCCGAGGACCTGGATCCCGGCGCAAGCGAAATGGCGCGCAAGGTCGGCGTACCGGTCGACGTGCTCTCCCAGCCCGTGCACGATTGTCAGCGTCGCCTTGGGTGGCTGCACTGCAGGCTTGTACAGGTGCGTGTAGAACTGGTAGTTGTTGACCGTGACCCAGTCGACTACCTCATCAACGTGCTGGTGGTTGCTACTCATGGTTGGCTGTGGTGCTGGGAAAGAGGAACTCAGGAAAGATAGTGTAAAAATAACTAGTCTACTATTCCCTAGGTGTGGAGAAGCCTCGTTTTATAGTTACTGCTGGCCACGTGTCTTTTATCAGTCAGCGACACTACAGTGGCTTGCAGTACTACCAGCTGGAGGGCAGGAAAGCGGGGCTGAAACACGGCTGCTCGAGGTTATTGCAGCGCTCCGCACACCAGCCTATGCATTCTGCAAGTCTGTCTGGGTGTCTCCCGTGCGCTGTGGCAGGACAGAACATTCTCTGCTTTCTGGCATGACCACATTCTCCTGAGGACAATCCGCCAGGAGGCAGGCTGCAGCCCATGTACATGCATAGAAAATCACGCACAGCCCTTCTGGCACATGAAAAGGGTGTCTAGAAGCCGGAGACTCGGTAACAAATGCCGTCCACCCCCCTCGGTAATTTAAAAAGTGAAGAAAATCCATTTGAAGAGAAAGAAGAGGCAGAAAAGCAGCTTAGAAGCTCTTGCTCAGAACAAGGGCCAGCAGAGCCATACGCACAAACATGCCATACTGCATCTGGCGGAAGTAGGCAGCGCGCTGGTCGGTGTCGACCTCAGGGGCAATCTCAGTGACACGCGGCAGCGGGTGCATGACAATCATGTTGCGCTTGCACTTGCGCATGACGCTGTTGTCGATGATGAAGGCACTCTTGACAGCGTCGTAGGCAGCCTCGCTCTCGAAGCGCTCCTTCTGCACGCGGGTCACATACAGGACATCGGTCTTGGCCAAAACCTCGTCGGTCAGCTCATTGTACTCGTTCTGGACGACGTAGGGCGCACGCAGGGCAATGTCGCGCTTGATCGACTCGGGCATGCCCAGGGACGCGGGCGAGACGTAGTTGAGGGTGATGTTCTTGTACTGGCTGATGATGCGGGACAGCGAGTGGACAGTGCGGCCATTCTTCAGGTCGCCAACCAGAGTGATGACCAGGCCGTTGACAGTGCCGAGCTCCTCGCGGATCGTGAAGGTGTCGAGCATGGCCTGCGACGGGTGCTCGCCGATACCGTCACCGGCGTTGATCAGCGGCACATTGGCGAAGCGGGCTGCGCCCTGGACCGATCCGGGCTGCGGGTGACGCAGCGTGATGATGTCGGCGTACGAACCAAAGGTGCGGATAGTGTCCTCGAGGGTCTCGCCCTTGGCGACCGATGACGTCTCCGAGTTGGCTGTGAAGACCTGGCCGCCCAGACGCAGCATGGCAGCCTGGAACGACGACGAGGTGCGCGACGAGGGCTCGTAGAACACAGCAGCCATCACGCGGCCCTTGAGGATCGGCAGCTGGCCCGAGCGCTGCACGGCCGTGCGCATCTCCTGGGCCACAGCGAACAGCAGATGGAAGTCTTCACGGGTGAACTGGCGGACGCTCAGCACATGCTTCATGTAGAACGGGTTGACGTTGCCGTGGCGGGCGAGCACGTCGGCAAGACGGTTCTCGCGCAGCGGGCGCTCGATGGCGCCCTTGACCAGAGCCGAGCTGGCCAGGTCGATGGCAGTCGGGGCAGTCGGGCTCAGGGCCTCGGCCTCCTCGCTAGCCTCAGCATCAGCCGGCGCACCAGCAAGGTGCTTGGGGACCGGCGACATCGGCCCAGCAGCGATGTCGCGCGAAGCACCGGCGGTGCTGACAGCGAGCATACCCGCAGACGCACCCTGAGCCAGCTGCTTGCTGCTGGGGCCTGAGCTCATGGTACGCAGGACGTAGCCCAGATCGCGGCCCATGGGCTCGGCAGTGGCGTCGTAGAACTTGCCATCAAGGAACACCGTCTTGCCACGCATGACCACGCGGTGGACCACGCAGCGCACCGGCTTGGTGGCCAGGTCGGCGAACCACTTAAGGTCGTCGGAGGTGGCCGGCACATGGGCCAGGCGGTCCTGGTGGATCTCGACGTAGGTCTCGGGCTGCTCAGGCAGGCCGAAGATGCGGCGCGGCGCCTTGCAGAAGCGCTCAACAATGTCGCTCGACTGGAGCCTGCCCTCGGCAACGGCCGTGTACAGCAGCGGCAGCGCAATCTGGTAGCCAACAGCACCAGCGTTGACGCCCTCAGCACCCAGGGCCTTGAGTACCTGGGCCGGCAGAACGCCGATGGTGAAGCAGTCAATGGCCGACAGCTTGCTCCACAGCGGATCCACATCCTTGGACAGACCCTCGATGGCCGGCAGGCGGTCGGCGAACAGAGCGTAGACCGACATGTCGCAAGTGACGTTCAGACCGCGGGTGCGGCTGAGATCGATCAGCTCCAGGTCGTCGGCCGAGCGCACATCCGTGATGTGGATCTGACGGTTGAACAGCGAGGCCAGTAGCAGAGTCGATGCCAGGTCGTTGCCCGATGCGTTGGTGATGATGGCCGAGCCCTGAGGCCACGACTTGAAGTGCTCCGACACGGTCGCGTACTTGTCGACGTGCGCCGACTGCGACTTGTCAAAGGACACGAACAGGATGGGCGCATCGGCACTCAGAGCAGCAGCGGAGGCCGGGTTCGCGTCGGTGGCAGCAACCTCGACAACGTAGTCGGCGTACGAGTGGCCGCGACCGGCGGTCTTGACCTTGGCGACCTGCTTGTCGCTGGTGGCAGCCGCACCGTCGGCAGTGTGGGCGCTGACGCCCAGCATCGTGAATCCGCCGCAGATCGCTGCGCGAGTGGACTCGGTGATCGCATCGCTAGTGGCGCTGGGCAGCAGGGCAGAGATGTTGACCAGACCCGGCAGCACAGTGGTACGGTGCGAGGTGATGTAGTCGACGTTCTCAATCTCCCACTTGTCGACAACGAACCGCGCCAGGGCCTCGATGAACATCTTGGCGCACTTGACGTTGGTGATCAGAGGCACCGAGAAGTCAATGGCCATACGACGGCTGCGGTATCCGTTGCTGACGTAGCTGGCCGGGCGGCGGAAGCGGTTCTTGGACGGCAGGTTGATGTACAGGTCGATCTTGGTGTTCGACAGGTACTCCTGCAGGCTGTAGCCCTCGCGAGCCTTGTCGGCCTCGAGCGCAATCACGCTGATGCCGTGCTCCTGAAGGAAATCGGCGGTACCGGGCGTGGCAAACAGCTGGAAGCCGCTCTCAAACAGCCGCTGGACCGAAGGCAGCATCTCGACCTTCTCCTTGTACGAACCGATCGAAAGCAAGATGTTCTTCTTGGGCAGCTGGAAGCCAGTGGCCAGCATGGCCTTCAGGTATGCATCGTACTTGTCGCGGCCGAACGCGGCGACCTCACCGGTCGACGCCATCTCGACACCGAGGATCGGGTCGGCACCCTGCAGGCGCGAGAAGCTGAACTGCGGCACCTTGACACCGACATAGTCGAGGCGCTTGCCGCGGTTCGGGTACGGCGTGATTGGCAGGCCGAGCATGACCTTGGTGGCCATCTCAATCAGGTCAACGCCGGTGACCTTGGACACGAACGGGAACGAGCGGGCAGCACGCACATTGCACTCAATGACCTTGATCTCGTTGTTCTTGGCCATGAACTGGATGTTGTAGGGACCAGTAACACGCAGTGCCTGGCCAATGGCGGCAGTGGCCTCACCGATCTTGCGCACGGTGACCGGGTCGAGATCCTGCGGCGGCTGCACGAGAGTGGCATCGCCAGAGTGCACACCGGCGTTCTCAACGTGCTCCGAGACGCAGTGCATGACCAGCTTGCCATCGAGGGCAACGGCGTCGACATCGATCTCCTTGGCCTCCTCAATGAACTTGGTGATGACGACCGGGTGGTCGCGCGACACCGTGGCTGCCTCGTTCAGGTATGACTTGAGATCGCCAGCAGTCGAGACCACGTTCATGGCGGCACCGGAGAGCACATACGAGGGACGCACCAGCACAGGGAAGCCAACGTCAGCGCAGAACTCCTCGGCGTCCTCGAACTGGGTCAGCTCACGCCACTCGGGCTGGTCGATGCCGATCTGGTCCAGCATGCGCGAGAACTTGTAGCGGTTCTCGGCGCCGTCAATGTTCTCCGGGCTAGTACCGAAGATCTTGACCTTGTTGCGGTGCAGACCAAGCGCGATGTTGTTCGGCGCCTGGCCGCCCATGCTGATGATGACACCAGCGGATGTCTCAGCCTCGTAGATGTCCATGATGCGCTCGAGCGTGATGTTCGAGAAGTACAGGCGGTCCGCCTCGTCGTAGTCAGTGGACACCGTCTCGGGGTTGTAGTTGACCATGATGGTCTTGAACTTGTTCTCGCGCAGCGTGCGGATTGCGCGCACTGCACACCAGTCGAACTCGACCGACGAACCAATGCGGTACACGCCCGAGCCCAGCACCATGACGCCGTTGTCGACAAACTTGACGTCATGCTCCGACGCGTTGTACGTAATGTACAGGTAGTTGGTGAAGGCGGGGAACTCGGCCGCAACCGTGTCGATCTGCTTGACAAACGGCGTGATGTGGTAGCCGGTACGCGTGTTGCGCACCTGCATCTCGTTACGCTTGGTCAGCTGCGCGATACCGTTGTCCGAGAAGCCCTGCTGCTTGGCGTGGAGCAGCAGCGGGCGCGGGATGGTCTGGTCAGCCGAGTAGGTGGCCAGGCGGCGCTCGGTCTCGACCATGCTGCGCAGCTTGCACAGGAACCACTTGTCGATAGCAGTCAGGCTGTGGATCTCCTCAACAGTGTAGCCCATGTGCAGGGCGTTGGCGATGGCAAACACACGCAGATCGGTGGGCTTGGTCAGCTCCTCCTCAATGGCCTCCTTGGTCTCGGGCACGTAGCTGCTGCGGCAGAAGCCGTCAAAGCTGGTGTCGACCGAGCGGATGGCCTCCTGGATGGTCTCCTCGAAGGTGCGGCCAATAGCCATGACCTCGCCGACCGACTTCATGGCCGACGACAGGTTCTTGCTGACGCGGTCAAACTTCTTCAGATCCCAGCGCGGGATCTTGACCACAATGTAGTCGAGGCTGGGCTCGAAGCAGGCGGTGGTCTCCTTGGTCACGCTGTTGCGGATCTCGTTGAGCGGAATCTCGAGACCGAGCTTGGCCGCAACAAACGCCAGCGGGTAGCCCGTGGCCTTGGACGCCAGCGCCGAACTGCGGCTGAGACGCGCGTTGACCTCAATGATGCAGTACTCGCGGCTGTGCGGGTTCAGCGCATACTGGATGTTGCATTCACCGACGACACCCAGGTGGCGGATCACGTTTACTGCGGTGGTACGCAGCATCTGGTAGTCCTCGTCGCTGAGCGTCTGGCTGGGAGCAACGACAATCGAGTCACCAGTGTGGATGCCCAGCGGGTCAAAGTTCTCCATGTTGCACACGGTGATGCAGTTGTCCTGCGCATCGCGGACGACCTCGTACTCGACCTCCTTCCAGCCCTTCATGCTGCGCTCAACCAGCACCTGCGGCGACGCGGCAAAGGCCTTGCGGCACAGTGCGACCAGCTCCTCCTCGTTGGAGGCAAATCCAGAGCCCAGACCGCCAAGAGCATAGGCAGCACGCACAATCAGCGGGTAGCCGATGTCGTTGGCAGCGGCGATGGCCTCCTCAATGCTGATGGCCGCAGCAGACTTGGCGCACTTCTCGCCGATCTCGGACATGGCAGACGCGAACAACTCGCGGTCCTCAGTAACCATGATAGTATCAATCGATGTGCCCAGAACCTGGACACCCAGGTCCTCGAACTCGTCCTTCAGGCTGACACCGATGCTGAGCGCAGTCTGGCCACCGAACGTGCAGTAGATACCGTCGGGGCGCTCGTGCTTGATGACCTTGCGCACGCAGTCGGGCGTGACAGGCAGGAAGTAGCACTTGTCGGCGAGACCCTTGGACGTCTGGATGGTGGCAATGTTCGGGTTGATCAGGATCGTATAGATGCCCTCCTCCTTCAGCGCCTTGATGGCCTGCGAACCCGAGTAGTCGAACTCACCGGCCTGGCCAATGCTGAGACCGCCCGAGCCCAGAACGAGCACCTTGCGGATGCGGCGGCCCTTGACGATGCGCCCACTCTTGTCGGTGTCATTGGCCAGCTCCTTCTCCCACTGCTCGCGCTGCTGGCGGCGGGCCTGTGCAGCCTCGGCGCCCGGGAACTCGACAGGGCCAGCGACCTTGCCGGTCTCCAGGCAGCGCTTGATGGTGCTGATGAAAATATCAAACAGAATCTCGGTGTCGCGCGGGCCGGGGTTGGACTCGGGGTGGAACTGCACCGAGAAGTACGGCAGATCGGTGTGGTAGATACCCTCGTTGGTGCCGTCGTTGGCGTTGACGAACAGCTCCTTGATGGTGGCAGGCAGCGTGTCCGCCTTGACCGCGTAGCCGTGGTTCTGCGACGTGATGTAGCAGCGGCTGGTGAGCATGTCCGTGCACGGGATGTTCTGGCCACGGTTACCGTACTTCAGCTTCTCGGTCTGGGCCCCCGACGCCAGCGCAAACACCTGGTGGCCGAGGCAGATACCAAAGATCGGGAACTTCTGGAGTGCCAGCGCCTGCTTGACACGCTCGATGGTGACCGTGATTGTGGTCGGGTCGCCGGGGCCGTTGGACAGGAACAGGCCGTCCATGTTGTCAGCCTCCTTCAGGAAGTCGTAGTCCCAGGGCACCACGAGCAGTTCGACGCCACGCTTGACGAAGCAGCGGATCTGGTTGTACTTCATGCCGATGTCGACGGCGACAACACGCACCGTGCGCCCATCGGGCCGCTTGATGGCCGTAGCCTCATCAGGCTTGTACAGCTTGGGCTCCTTGCACGACACGTCGGCGACCAGGTTGGTAGCGTTCGGGTCCACCCACGCCACGTTCTGGTACTCAGGCAGCACCTGCGCCGCCTCGTCGCCCGCCTCGGCAGTGTAGTTGTTGGTTCCGACAACAGAGGTCGGGAACAGGATCTTGCCCAGCATCACACCCTCCTCGCGGATGCGCTTGGTGATGGCGCGTGTGTCGACGCCGTAGATGGCGGGCACGCCCTCGCGCTTGAGCCAGTCGCCGAGGCTGGACTCGGCCAGGTGGTGCGAGAACTCAGCCGACGCCTGACCGACGACAAGGCCGGCGACGTGGATCTGGTTCGACTCAAAGTATGCAGGCAGATCCTTGAGCAGCGGATCGAGCTCAGTCTGGCTGGGTACACCGTAGTTGCCGATCAGCGGGTAGGTGAGCACCAGGATCTGGCCGCGATACGACGGGTCAGTCAGCGACTCGGGGTAGCCGACCATGCCTACGGATCGGGAAAAAGCCGCAAAAATTTTAGGCGACAGTGCTTATCTCAATCACAATGCTTCTTTGATAATAAAAATGCGCGCGATGGCAAGCTTTGGTAAGCTGCCCGAGCGCATGGGTATTTTTCCCAACAATAACGCTGGGACCTGGCCCCCAAAGAAAAGTTAATTTCGATGGGGTGGGATCGACTTTTGACACCCGCAAAAAGAGGGCAAAAAGACCACCATGCATGATCTGCGCAACGTCGAATTGCGCAGGGCGCAGCCCATATAGAAGGTCGCACCAGCAAGGGAGAGCACATGGCTACTTACCAGTCTGGAAGACGCATTCGCCAGAGACCGACTTGGCCTCAGCGCCGAACGAGTAGCCCTGCAGCAGGGCGCCGTCCTTGAGGGCCAGCGTGGCAATGGTAGGCTGTTGTGTGGAGTTCTCGATCTCCTCGGGCGACTTGGCGCCGCAGTTCGGGCCAAAGGTGGCGATGGCGGCTGTGCACGGAGGAACGATGGCAACCTCGGGAGTGGGCGATGCGGCCCGGGACTCCTGGACGTTGGTGGCGATCGGAACGGCAGGCATAGTGTCTTGAATTTTTGGGTTGAAGGTGTAGAAATAAACAGAGGCAAGAGAGGCGGGGGTGTATGCGACGACCTGGCTTTCTTGCTACGGGATTGGAAATTCTAGATCGCTTCCGGGATAGATGGAGGCAGGATGAATAATAATATACAGCGATAACGGGTGGTGTTGGTTGATGACCGAACAGAAAGACGAAGCTCTTGATTGTGTTCTTTTAAGCAGACGATCGATGATCTGAAACAGACACGTAAAGTCAAATACGTGTGGAATGTAAAAAGTTGCTCCGAAGCGATGGAAAAAGAAAAGGCTACCTCGGAGAAGGAACCAGGACGGAGGGTGAGGGCGCGGCGCCTGTCCTTTTATACCCGATCCTGCAGCCAAAAGCGCCCTTGCCAGCTGGTCCCCCCAACACTTTTTGTCTTCTCGCATTGTTATCTCTGCTGTGCGCTAAATAAAAATTTTACCACTGAACCGCCGTCATCCCCGGAGTGGGGGTGGACCTGGCTGCGAGCCAGAGGAGAGCGGACCGAGCTGAGCTGTCTACGCGAAAGCGGCGATCCCTTGGGGTGTATGCTCTTTTGCTGGCGATCGCAGGACTGCCATTGGCCTAAGCGAGCTCAACAGTTTTCTTGCTGTTTCAGATGGCTGCTGGCTGCCCTCTGCATTTGGATCTGGAGGCAGCGCAAGGCTACATGTCTCTAAAGCGACTCAGGGAAGCAAGTGCGCTTCTGGAGCCGGTGTGGTCCATATATAGCCGGGCACGTTGCACAATCAAAATCACATCTGCGAGCAGCTGGTTTCGTGGCATCTGTGCTCCGGCGAGAAAGCTGAGGATGAAAGCGACATTTGGTGAGAAAACTGGTTGTGTGGAGTAGTTCAGCTGCCAATTCGTCTGGAGTCCGCTACCTGCAGGCTGATACTGTGCCTGGACTCCGAGATGACTCTCAATCTTCAACAGAGCTCATGCATTGCAAGCCCTATTGGTGGGATTGACAGACAGCGGAGCGGAATGAATCCACTCACGACGTGCTATTGCTCTCAAAGACTCACTGGCCACCTGAGCCAGCAACAGCAGCAATATAGAATGCTGACATCACCGGCCTATATCGCTTGATCCGAATCGAAGTGGCTTGATCCCAGTAACTCCAACGCCGATGATACTACTACAGCTACCGTAGGAGAAAATATAGATATCGTGAGATTTATCGTGCTACGCCTACCCTCAGATCATCTGGCCATTCTTTGGTGCTGGTTTGGAGCGAGAATTTATATTCGAAGAAAACGTGTAGACAGAAACCAGAAACTTTTTGGGAGGATTCAGCGCGTGCAAGAGAGATAGCAAGATGCTAGACTAGTGTCCCCTTTTACATCATGCCACCCATGCCGCCCATGCCGCCCATGCCGCCCATCGGAGGAGCAGCAGCAGGAGGCTGAGGAGCATCGACGATCATGCACTCGGAGGTGGTCAGCAGCGACGACACACCCGAGGCGTCAAGCAGGGCAGTGCGGACGACCTTGAGCGGATCCAGAATGCCGCTCTTGATCATGTCAGTGTACTCGCCCTTGGCAGCATCGAAGCCGTAGTTGAACTCGGCCACGTCGTGCTCAAGGATCTTGCCAACGATGACGGCACCCTCGAGGCCGGCGTTATCGGCGATGGTGCGGGCAGGGCGGCGGATGGCCTCGCGCACAATGTTGATGCCAAGGTTCTGGTCAAAGTTGTCGGCCTTGAGCGAGTCGAGCTCGAGCGACGCCTTGAGCAGCGCAGTGCCGCCACCCGGCAGGATACCCTCCTCGACGGCTGCGCGCGTGGCGTTCAGGGCATCGACGAAGCGGTCCTTCTTCTCGCCGACCTCGACCTCCGAGGCACCGCCAACACGGATCACAGCCACACCACCCGACAGCTTGGCCAGGCGCTCCTGCAGCTTCTCCTTCTCGTACTCGGAGACGCTGGCATCGTTCATGGCCGAGCGGATCTGCTCGCAGCGCTGGTTGATGCGCTCCTTGTCGCCGGCGCCGTTAAGAATGAACGTGTCCTCCTTGGTCACCGTGACAGCACCGGTGGCGCCAAACATCTCGGAGCTGGCGTTCTCCAGCTTGATGTCGAGCTCCTCCGAGAACACCGAACCGTCGGTCAGGATGGCCAGGTCGCCCAGGATCGACTTGCGGTTGTCACCGAAGCCCGGCGCCTTGACAGCGCACACCTGCAGCTGGCCGCGGAGCTTGTTGAGGATGCAGGCGGCCAGGGCCTCACCATCGACGTCCTCGGCGATGATCAGCAGCGGGCGGCGCTGCTTGGCGGCGGTCTCGAGGGCCGGCAGGATGTCCTGCACCAGCGAGATCTTCTTCTCCGACAGCAGGATGATCGGGTTCTCGAACTCGACCTTCTGCGTCTTGGTGTCGGTGATGAAGTACGGCGAGATGTAGCCGCGGTCGAACCGCATGCCCTCGGTGATCTCAAGCTCGTCCGCGATCGTCTTGCCCTCCTTCACCGTGATGGCGCCCTCCTTGCCCACCTTCTCCATGGCGCGCGAGATCAGCTCGCCGATGTGGTGGTCGCCGTTGGCCGAGATCGTGGCCACCTGGGCAATCTCCTGGGTGGTCGTGATCGGCTTCGAGTGGCTCTTCAGGAACTCGACGACCTTCTCGACCGCCAGCTGCACGCCGCGACGCAGATCCTGCGGGTTGCAGCCAGCAGCAACGTTCTTCACACCCTCGCTGAAAATGCCGCGGGCAAGGACAGTGGCGGTGGTGGTGCCGTCACCAGCCTCCTCGTTAGCCTTGTTAGCGACGTCCTGGACCAGACTACAGCACGTGCAGATATCAGTACAACAAATCAGACGCCATAGCCGCTTACTGTAATGCGTTTTCCCCGCCTCCACCCCCTTGCTACTTACCGAGCACCCAGGTTCTCAAACTTGTCCTCGAGCGTGATGCTCTTGGCGACAGTGACACCGTCCTTGGTGATCTTGGGAGCGCCGAACGGCTGCTCGATCAGCACGTTGCGGCCCTTGGGGCCGAGAGTGACAGCGACAGCCTTGGCCAGCGTCTCGACACCGACAAGCAGCTTGTTGCGGCCCTCAATACCGAACAGAATCTCCTTGTGGCCAGAGTAGTTGCGGACAGCAGTCTTGGCCGTCTTGGAGGCCTTTGCGGCACGGGGAGCGATCTTGGAGAGAGTCGACATTTTTGCAAGTGGTTTAAAGTTAGCCAGAGAACAGGGTAGGGGAATAGGTGTACAGGAAAGTGTTTTGGAGAAGAAAAAGCAAACGAGGATGCGATGGGAGAGGACGGAGGGCCGCCGGGAGATAAACGCTGGCTCGGAGGGGCTCGAGCGATTGCGGTCTTGCACGCGGGGATGGGCGTGAGACTGGCTTTTCTCATTGGGAGGCACGCCCTGGTCCGAGCCGGATCATTATCGTAATCGTCGCCAATCTGGCCCGGGTGGCCCCTGCTCCGAGATCAGCGAGCCGGCTGGGGAATTTGCCAGAACCCCGCCGTATCTTTGGCTGCTTGGGCCTCTCTCATCTCTCGCACGCTCTGTATTTTTTCCTCGCTATTCCCGTTAGACCAAAAATCCACAATTCGCAACAATGTCGGCCGCCGCTAAGCGTATCATCCCCATGCTGGACCGCGTCCTGATCCAGCGCGTCAAGGCTGAGACGAAGACTGCCTCGGGCATTCTCCTTCCCGAGAAGGCCGTGGAGAAGCTCAACGAGGGCGTCGTCGTCGCGGTTGGCCCCGGCAACGTCACCAAGGAGGGCAAGAACATCCCCGTGGGTCTCGCCGAGGGCGACCGCGTCCTGCTCCCCTCGTACGGCGGCAGCCCCGTCAAGGTCAGCTCCAGCAAGGACGACGAATTCCTGCTGTACCGTGCCGAGGAGATCCTGGCCAAGCTCCAGTAATTACGTTTATTGCGAAAATAAAACCATCTAGCACCCGCAACCACCGTAGCCCGAGCTCACCGATTCGTCGACTGTCACTGTGTTGCGCCCTGGGGACCGGCGGATGGTGGGAGACTCTGCGATCTTGCTGACCAGCTCCTCCATCGCCTGCTGCACGCCGATCTTTGTCTTTGCACTGCACTCGAGGAACAGCGTCTGGTGCTTGCGTGCGTATTCAGCGCCCTCCTTGCGTGACACTGCCCGCTCCGCCTCCTTATCGATCTTGTTGCCAATAACCATCTTGACCACCTCGTCCTTGGTACAGTACGTGCTGAGCTCCTCAAACCACTCGTCGAGGTGGTCGAATGACTCGCGGCTGCACACATCGTAGACAAGGATCACACCCTGTGCCCCGCGGTAGTAGGAGGATGTGAGTGTCCTGAACCGCTCCTGCCCGGCAGTATCCCACTACAGCATAATATGGAATGTAAGCCTGCTCATAGTGTATGCAAGCGCCTGTTGAAATATGTAGCCTTACCAGCGTCAGTTTGTACCGTGTATCGTCCAGATCCAGCATCTTGACCTTGAAATCCACGCCTACAGTGCCCATGCCAGTCAGCTGTCTGCATCTTCACTAGTTGGCATCATAGCTGCATGCACCTGAATGCTTACCAATGGTCGCGCTGGCCTCGTCGGGTGGCAAAAAGTGGTCGTCAGTGAAGCGCAGCAGTATCGATGACTTCCCCACATTCGAGTCTCCAATAAGCAGAATTTTGAACGTTGCTGCAATTTCCGGGAGAGTGTCCATGATGTCGGTTCTAAAGCAAATGTAAATGTGTACGCGGCTAAAATGAAGGCAGGTCTGAGACTCCAGAAAAAAGAAAGACGAGTATCTTGGCAGAGTGGATGGTGACTTTTGGAGTCAGGTGCGAGCACAGCGGGAGGCGATAGTGACGTGTCATCACCTGACCTGACATGTGGACAATGCGCTTGGAGTTCTCAGAAACATGGCAGTTTCAGCCCTTTTATTGCCCAGAAACTCACTAGGATATTTATCACTTCTGGACGGTCCGGCCAGTCCCCAGGAACTGCGTGATCCGGTGCTCGATATCGCTGGCCATGCCCAAGGCCGACTTGTCCTTTCCGTACACATCGATAAACTGGCCATCGGGGTCCATGAAGTACGAAAAGATCGAGTGGTCCACCAGGTAGTCCTGGCCCTCCTCGACCTTTGGCGGCTTCGAAAAGTACACCCTAAACGCCTTGCACGCGCTGCGCACCTGGTCGACTGATCCAGTCAAGCCGATGAACTTGGGGTGGAACTCTGTCAGGTACTTTTTGATCGCCTCTGGCGAGTCGCGCTGCGGGTCGCACGTAATAAACACCGGCTGGATCGTATCCTTGGTGGCCGGGTTGCGGTCCAGGATCTCTAGTGCCTCGCCGATCTTGTCCAGCTCATCAGGACAGATATCCGGGCAGTGGCAGAATCCAAAGTAAATCAAGGCAAACTTGCCCTGCAGGTCCGCGTTTGTCAGCGGGTTGCCATCCTGGTTGGTGAGGGAGAATGGCCCGCCCACGTTCGGCTTGCCGACTGTCTGCTGCTCGCCGTGCTGCTTCTGTTTGCGCTCCTGCTGCACGCGCTCCTTGGTTACCGTGAAATAGTAGACAATACCGGCCGCCGTGGCCAGAAACAGGCTGATGCCGATCGGCGACAGCGGACCAGTCGCTGGTAGCAAGCTCTCCTTGGGCTTGTCGCTCTTCTCGGTTGTCTGCCCAGTGGTGCCCTTGGGCGGCTCGGTAGTAAGCAGCCGCCGGGCCACAATCGACTGACTGAATTTGCTGCTAATCGGCGCCCGGGCCATAGCAGTAGCGCCAACAAACGGCGATGTGCGGGCCAGCACTGGCGTTCTAAGTGCTGCCCTGCGCACGAGGGGGATAAGACCACGCATGTTGAAATGTCCTAAATTGAAGAGAAAAAAGCTTTGCGGAGCTGAGCAAGGCGGAGTCAGATCGGGATGGCTTTTGAGTTGCTGACAAAATAGCCGCAGATGAGGGGCCGATTTTTAGTATCTGCGTAAGCTGTAGAATTTGCGACGATAAAAAAAAGCACCTACTGCTCCTCTGGCGGGCAGATCAGCTTCTTGTACTCCTTGATGCCTTCGCCCGAGAACTTGGTGACCTTGCGGTCCGCGCACACCCACATCTCCGTGCACACCGAGTCAATAAAGCGCTCGTCGTGGGAGACCAGCACCACGCCGCCCTTGAACAGCTTCAGCGCGTTGGTCAGCGCATCAATCGACTCCATGTCAAGATGGTTGGTCGGCTCATCGAGCACCAAAAAGTGCGGGTTCTGGACTGCCAGGCCGGCAAACGTGACACGGCTCTTCTGGCCTCCCGACAGGGTGCGGATCTCCTGCAGACCGGTCATGCCCGAAATGCCAAAGGAGCCCAGGTGGCTGCGGTACTCCTCGTCGGTCTTGCCCGGGTACGTCTTCTTCAGGTGGCCCACGGCCGTCAGGCCCAGATCGAGCTGGTCGACATGGTGCTGCGAGAAATACGCAATTCTCAGGCGTCCGTGGCGGTGCACCATGCCTGTGGTCGGATCCAGCTTGCCGATCAGCAGCTTCAGCAGCGTGGTCTTACCGGCGCCGTTGGGACCAACAATAGCAACACGAGCATCCATCTGCATGTCAATGTTGACGTTCTCAAGGATCTTGCGCTCGCTGTTGTAGCCGAACGTGACCTCATCCATATACATAACCGGCGGCGAGATGGAGTCGGGATCCGGGAACGAGAACGTCACAATCTTGTCGTCCTCGGGCTTCTCGAGCTCCGGCAGCTTCTCAAGGATCTTGATTTTCATCTGCGCCTGGGCAGCACGGTTGGCATTATACCTCCAGCGGTCAATGTACTCCTGCAAGTGCTGGCGGTACGCCATCTGCGACTCGTACTCCTTGATCTGGTTCTTGCGCCGCTCCTCGCGCGTGTCCCAGAACGACTTGAAGTTGCCTCGGTAGTGGTCAAGCTGCTCCGAGTGCTGATGGATGATGTCGGTGGCGACCTCGTCCAAGAACTCTCGGTCGTGGGACACAACCAGCAGAGTACTGGTCCACGTGCGCAGGTACCGCTCGAGCCACACCACAGCCGGGATATCAAGCATGTTCGTCGGCTCATCGAGCAGAAGCAGATCGGGTTTGCAGAACAGAGCACGGGCCAGCGACAGACGCATGCGCCAACCTCCAGAGAAGCTCTTGGTCGGGCGCTGGAAGTCAACCGAGCCGAAGCCCAGACCATTGAGGATCTCGCCGGCCTTGGACTCGGCCTTGTCGGACTCGATGTCCTGCAGCTTGGTCATGATGCCGTTCAGACGGTCGCCCAGTTCGTTCTTCTTTGCCTCGATCTCCAGCTTGGTCATCTCCTCGCCGTTGTCATCGAGCGGTGCCGGGGCATCCAGCCGCTGCAGCTCCGCATTGACGTCCGCCTCGTCACGCAGCAGCTGCTCACGGAAGATATCAGCCTTGAGCACCGAGCGAATTGCAGGCGTGTCGTCACCAGCCATCTCCTGCTCGACAAACAAAATACTGATATACGTGGGCACTGCCAGCTCGCGGCGCGCAATGTTCCGCAAGAGTGTCGACTTTCCGATACCGTTGCGGCCGATAAGGCCGTAGCGACGGCCATACACAAGGTGGATGCTAGAGTTGGTGAGAATGCGCTTGCCAGCATACGAAATGTCAAAGTTGTCGACCTTGACATCCTTGATTTTGCCGCGGGTCGATGTGTAATCCAGAATCGGGTTCACCTTCATCAAAAGCTCGTCATCATCCATCGGGTTTTCCTCAATCAGCTTCGATGCCTCGTACAGCGACCGGTGCTCGCGCTTTTGCAGCTTGGCAGCAATGCGCGCCTCTGCCTTCTTCAGCTTCTTTGTGTCCACCTGGCTCGCCACCGAACGGCCCTTGGTGTGCGACAGGTCCGCAGGCCTGGTCTGCGCAAGGCGGGCCGCCTTGTCGATCTGTGCCAGCTGCGCCGCCATGTGTACGGGCGCTGCGAGCTTGGCCATCCCGGACCGTTTGGCCGGACCAGCCTTTTGCTCGATTTCGCTCAGCAACGCGGCAAACTTGACGCACAGATCCTCGACCTTGGATTCCTTGCCGCCGGCCTCCTCCAGCATCGGCCTGATCAGGTCTTCCACTGGATCTTCACCCACGTCCTTGTCGCCATTGCTGACTGCTGTCGCTGCGTCATTAAGATATCCCTGCACGTACTCGACAATGACCTCGTCGATGCCTGGCACATGGGTGTGCAGCAGCTTTTCAATCTGCTTCTGGTTCAGCAAGTCTGCCATTCTAAGATTTCCCGCTTGATTTATAACAATTAGTCACTGCAAATGCCAACAAAACTAGTGAGAAGCAAAAGTGAGAAGCCCCCGCGCCAGCCTGCGGCCACCCGAAATTTTTTCCCTCCAGAAATGCAGCCCACCTTGGAGATCGAGTCACAATCGCTGCGGCAGCTCGGCTCGCCGCGGAGAAGTAAATTGCGATTGACATCCACGAGCCGATCCAGCCTTTGGCAGTACTGACAGCAAGACTGCCCTATTTGTTTGGAGGCGACTGCTTCAACCACCAGCCCAGTAAGGCGCAGTGTAGAGAGAGGGATTCGATCCATTTATTGTAACGAAACCAGACGTCGGTTATAGACATGTATTGAAGAAATGAGATAATTTTATACAGGCTGCAAGTGGGACGGATACCATCTAGCAGCGATCGAAGGCGGTTGTGGTAATGGTAGAAAGGGACTGGGGCGAGTTGCCTAGGAAGCGAGACGAGGGGTGCAGAAAGGGAGTGGGAGCACCGATAGAGTGAATGCGGGTGCTCTTTTGGCGGTGGTGAGCGTGGGCTCATTTATGATCCAGCACTGCACGCCCATGCTTTGTCCTTCTAGTAGACGGCGCCGCAGATATCGCCCTTGGAGATGTTGCCGTCGTCCTCAATGAACAGAACGTCAAAAGTGTTGACGAAGGCGCTGATGCTGTTGCTGTTGGCGGGCATGGCTGAATGTCGATAGCAGGAAAGACGTAAATCGGAAGGCGCTAAAAAGGAAGCGGGCTGCGTTATTGTCAACGAAAAGGGAAGATGCTTTTGAGCGAACAGAAAAGAAGTGGGGGTTCCAAAGGGTGGAAGACAATATGTGGACAAAGGATGAATAAAATACCGTCATCGAGACTTTGGTGTCGGATTATATAGAGAATCTCCAACCAGGAAAAGGTCACCCAGGGTGCACTGCCCCCACGCACCCCCTTGCCTGTCACTAAGAAAAGCTGCCCAAGAAAGGACTAATTAAAAGCGGTTTGCATTAGTACGAGCAAAAGTGTACGCAGCCAGTCTCCTCCCGCATGGTTTGCTGGGTTCGCCCGCCCGCAAGTGCGTGCCCTCTCGGCGCGGCTCAGGAGCGAACAGGAACGCTTTGCATGTTCGCAACTTTTTAGCAATTTATGCATGGCAAAGGAAACCCGCGAAAATCGACGTGCATGTTATAAAGCGAATCGTGAATAACAGGCGTTCACGGTTGCTCATCCTCCTCCGCTCGGCGTACTCCCAGCGCGCACTAAGAGCTGAAGGAGGGATCCACTGGGCAGCAGGCAGAATGTGTGGCTTCACACACCGCCAAACATCAGAGCTGTTCCGTGAACGACCTGGATTTGCCTCTGGGTGCTCGCAAACACGCGCGCCACCAACGCAGTTCCAGTTGACGGCAGGGTTTGGCTGCGTGCGAGGCCAGTGCTGGTTGGGCAGGTCCTGGGTGTTTGCCACACAAACCGTTGAGCTTGTCGGTTGTGGAGTCGCCATGTGGCGGGAGAAGCGGGCAATCTTGCTTGGTGTTCGTTCGCTGTTTGAGCTCGGCCCGACTGTCGTTCACACAAAAACAGTGAGCCCTCTACTTTCGTCATGCAAAGATATGTCTGGGATTCAAACTTTCTTTTCAACCCCAGCGCCCTTTCTACGCCCTGTGATCTGCCCACGACCTGTGCCGCCCAGGTTTCTCGGCATAATGTAAAAAGGGCTGGCTGCATGGTACAAAGCCATTTGGGACAGCTTCCAACTGCATTTCCTCATGAGGAAATGGCCATGATATATGGCATCAGAAACCGTGCCGGAGAAACGCTGCATGCGTTGGCAGAACCCTCCCTTTGCCACAAAGGGCGCGTCCTTATACGCCGGGCCACCGATCACACATGGTCTTTCTACATGATGGTCCATCTTTGTGCCAAAGAGCCACTGGGTCTTTGTATTGGAGTCACTCGCATGCGGGAAGCATGTGTACCAAGCCCGTGTCCTCGGCATGCTACTGGCATGCTACTGGCATCCCTACTCCCCGCGGCACTCAGATCCTTGGTATTTGCACGTTTCTGTGCATTAGCCGTGCTATGCTGAGGGGATGCGGGACATGTCACACTTGCACTGGTGTTCTGTTTTCTTTCAAGCGCCGCAAAGGCATCCTTTGTATGTTCTGCAGATGCACTTGCTCATCGGTATGCACAGCTGCTGCCGTGAATGGCCCGAAACAAAAGCAAAGAACTGCATGGTTTCCTGAGGCCGAGCCGACTGACGTCTCTGCACAGGTGGTGCGCTCTCCATACAGCATGAGCGAGGCTGTGCCTTGGATGGGTTTGGCAGAGTGCGATGGGAATGCAGTCGTCAACTGCACGTATTATTTGTTTGTCCCCAGTTTTGCAATTTTCCAACTCATCTGCCATCAAATCTGCCAGCTTCAGCCCATGGGGGCATTTTCTGGCACAGAGAAACAAACCAGTTTGAGAGTAAAGCGACTTCTGCTCCTTGCAGCTAGTAAATGGGGATTACCGCCCTCTATGACCGTTTGAGATGCGGTAATCCCACCCGGGTTTGTTGCGATTAAGCCAGTGCTCACCAACTCCAATTTACAGCCTGTTGGAATCCGAACGTCCGCAACGCCAACTGCGAATGTCAGTGCCCACTGCCAATTACGCTGTGGATGCATGGTTGTCGCATTCACGGTCGCCAAAAAAGGAAAAATTAAAGCAGGTCTCAAATTACAGTGTTGCCGTCATGGTCGTCTCCCAAGGACCCCTTGCCCACTGATGGCACGGGGATTCGCACCGCGGTGCATAGTGACACGTATTTTTGCACACTAGCATGCACTCACATGACATGCACAGCTTTTTTGTTCTACACAAGATGGGAGGACCAATTTATGTAGTATGCGCCCTATGTGCCGAGCAGGTGCATGTTGATTTTCAACAATGTAGGTTTTCGTCCGAGTACAAGAGGACGGCGGAATATATGCGTGTGGCGAGAGAAAAATCGCCGACCCAACATTCCCACTGGAGAACCCATTGTCAAATGGGTGCGAATGCTGTCAAATGCATAGTGGTGGAGGTATGGTCATGAAGGAATACATGCAAGCACCTATTTATGGCGGAGTAGGAGGCAGCGGGCATGGTGGGAGCAGTTTTGACCATTTATGGACATATCGCTTTTTGCCTCGGGGTTGTCACTGCAGCGGCCATTCTAATTGATTTGAATGGTGTGCGCAGGAAGAACACCTTTGATTGTGAGAGGTGGCACTGCAAATTCTGATTTCTCTTCGGTCTCAACCTCAGCCACTCATCTTTTGGGTGCCAAGTCTCTACGAATTGAACTGCGTTATCAAGTGACCACCGGCGCCGATCAGCAAGTCTGGCCATCGGTTGGAGGATGGTGATCTGCCAATGCGAGACTGGCCGTGGACCACATCTCCCAGTTTCCGCCCTTGTATGCATACTGCGGTTTGTAGGGATCTGCTAGCTGGCCCTACTATTGTACCAGGATGGTCACGGTAATCGTTGCGTGGAAACGAGTAACCACAGTGATATCAGAAAATACCAAGCTGTCCAAGGGCAACGTACCAGGCAGCATGGAAACTCCTCTCGAGCATTTTAGCAGAGGTGCAATTGGTTCATCCAACGGCAAATCAGGCAGCTTACATATATTTGATCTGCAAAACCGCACCAAAATGCATATGGTGCGGGCTGAATCTGACGCGTCCAAACTCACAGTCGCAAACAATACAAGTGGAACTGCAACAGAGACATGGTAGTATACAGGGAATGATTTTCCGGTGATATGCCGCCCAAGTTTTTCTTGGGCTCGACGCGTGGAAATCATTAAGACAAGCAGCCTTGGCGGCTATGTTTAAAGCTGTAACATAACATGTCTGGCCAGTGAGCCATTTTTGGCATAGTGATCTCCCGCTCCTGGTTCAGTTATTCTGATGAGAGGGGTGTGGAGTAGTGCAGAGGATTTGTAGACACACTCTTCAATGAACAGAAGCCCGGCTGCCCGACAGCCCAGCAGCCCAGCAACACTCAGTCCGTCCGGCAAATTCCGTTCGCAGCACATATCTTTTAAAGTAATCTACTTGTCGACGGTATTCTGTGGGGTTTGCCAACTGGTTATAACTGGTTATCTATTCAACTCTGGAAGCATTATTACAGTGGTGTCTTGTGAGCGACCAAGGGCCATACTGTTTGATGCCACGTTGGTTTGGGTGCTCACTGGATAAAGCAGAAATCCTACCGATCCAACTGCTGCCTTTGGCAGAGCAGAAATGCTCCAGGCAGGATCTCAGTGAGCTGGAATACAGGTTTCCGCAGTGCCATTATTTCTGGGATTAAGAGTGCCAGCGCCACCGATTATATTACCTGATCAGTACCGCAGCACAGATGGTCCTGCTTTGTTTCTCTAAGGCAAGGGTGTCTGCCCACACATGAGATACCACGTTGGGGTTTACTCAGCGACACACAGGCTGTTGCCCACCTTGCAGCTGAGGGAGGGAACTCTGGTGATTGTCATTGAAGACATGCATTCAATGTTGTTAGTCAATTCGGATACGTGGATGGGCACCAGCTGTTTGTGTGCTAGCCTATCAACAGGCCACAATGTACGTTGCCGTACCCTCGCAGATTGACTAGCACACAGTACCTGTTTTCCTGTTTTCCTGTTTTACTATACTGCACACATGTTGCTACACAAAAATCGTCCGCTCCTTGATGTACAGGACTCGTTCAAAGTGGCGTAGCCCCACAAAGAGACCCATGCCTTTCGCCACACCATAGTGAGGCTGGTGAAGCATTCACCCGCATGTATGGGTGCATTATGAACGCACTACAAAGGAGAGGGGCTACAAAGAAACTCTGAATGTGCCGCTCGCGGTAGATCCCTCATAACACCTTGCATGGACTGTGGCGAAACCCAGCCCTCTCACTGTGGCGCGGATCCTCGCATGGACCGGCGTTCAATGTTGAACAATGCCCACCCGCCACACAAATATGCGTCTCGTGTGTGGCAAAAACAAGGGATGGCGGGAGAGGCAGTAAGTCACCAGGACAGCGGTCAATCGCGAACGTGTAGCTCAGCATTTCATGAATCAGGAGGGGGTGGGTTGTGTGTATTGATATAACAAACTTTTTCCTCATGTGGTCTGTTGCTCATTGGATTATCGGCGCGCACAGCAGCATTCGCCACATTCACAGTTTGCCACATTCGCAGTTTGCCACATTCGCAGTTCACAAGCGCCAGGGTATGGTGCGACATAAAAAAATCGAGAGCTGGGCAACTGCTGTGCGAACCAGGTGTTCTCGCTGTTCCACCTCCGATGTGGAAATTGCTGCAGAACACCACCATGCGCGTTCTTTGTATTCGTTGCCCATCGAAACGGGCTGCAAAAATAGCACCAGTTCTTGACGCCGTTCGGTCCGGTCCCCATGTCATACGCGTGCTTGCAATGGGCCGCACCCGTGCCGGGCTCGTTGGGCAGTAGTTGAATTATCCTGCTGCGCAAAAAGTATCCAAAAAGTTGGGACAATGGAGGGTTTAATTGGAAATTCAACCACTTATCCAGATCAGGCTGAGCCGCAAAATGAAGTAGCTGCGTGCTGTGTGATAGTACCCGAGCTCTGACTCGAATACGTCCTTGGCTGCAGCTCACAGCTCGCCTCACCACCGACAGCAGCCGAGGGATCTCCCCTTTTCTCATTTCCAGCACCACTGCCGTCATGTCCGGATATGTCGGCCTTCCTTGTCCGCAGGAGAGAGTGGATTAGCCACCTTATTTGTGGACGAGAAAAAACAACGCGCATCTACATTCCATTTTTAGAACAGCAAAAAGTAGGGAATGGCAAGCCGGTTTCTGAAATGGAGTGGGCTAATTGGCTGGAGGGACGCCAATCCCAGGTCGATAGCAGCCGGCATAATGTAAAAACTGCACAGCCGATGTGGGCTACGGGCTGGAGACCGCATCGTCCTTGCCAATCCGTTGTGCGCTCCGAACTTGTGCTGGGCCAAGCGAAGCGCGGACCAAATAGGCAGCGGGCCGGATGTGCGCACAGCATCCCACCACATCTGGGCACCAAGAAATACCTATTAATGGTTGGCAACATCATTGGCTGCGAACGCGACCGAATCCTCAATACGCGCTTTGGCGTGCACATGTTGGCCCGCAACTATTTCTAAACCCCTGCGCAACTAAAAATACTTACTACCAAGTAAGGTTCTACTTTCTATTTTTGTTGGAGCTGATTTCGGGGAAGAGCTTCGTCACAGCCCGCTACAAAGCTTGGCAGACCGCGACGGGTTGCAGGGTGTGGTCCTGCCCGAGAAAGTATCGAAATCAGTAGAATCTATGTACTGGTGGTAGCGGTGGTGGACTGGGAGCTGAATTGTTGCACATGTGCTGGACAGCAGACCATTCGGAGGGAGATCCATCGCCAAGCGGTCCTGCGGGCGTAAAAGACTGACAGCTCGACTGAGTAAGAGAGCGGGTGTGGGGCAGCGGCTGTACAGGCAGAGCACATCCGCCCTCACCATGTAGGCTGCAACAATCAACTGCATCTGCCGCGGCCGGAGGGAGCACTCGGCACCCACTTGCGCTTAATTGACTCTGCCCCGGGGGACTGCAGCCCGCCCCCGGGGGTCCGCTGACCCACCCCGTTCATAATCCAACCTCCCCTCCGACCCCTGTGAGTTTTGGGCGCTCTTCGCTTGAGTTGCAATTACTGGCAATCATTTCTTCTAACGGTCAGAGGGATGCCCGCGAACCCGTGCGGCACACCCCCTTGCCCCGCATTTTCCTCCTTGCTACGCACAGGATTCCTCTTGCCTGCTTGGCAGACGAAAAAAGAACTGGGGGATTTTTGCCAGTGTCATCGAGTTCGATACCTATTTTTCACTATTTTTCGGGCATGGCCACCTCACAGCATTTCCTTTTTGCCCTTTCTCCAAACGATTGCATATAATACCGCGGGTGTCCGCTTGCCTTCTCCTTCAAACTTTACAATTTTCCTCCCAGCAACCAACTCTTCATTTTTTCATCGCGATATCGCCACCGCGCTGCCCATTTCTTTTATTGTACAATCATAGCCAGCCGTAGCCAGCCTTGGTTTCTATTTGCCCAATAAGCACACCGCGCTCCTGGCCACACTCCTGCACCACCCAGCGTATTCCCTCCCTTTTTCGCACTATTAGCGCACTTGCCCGCATATCATCGCTCCACCACAGGCTATTGTAGCAAGCGTCTTATTGTACAATCACGCTTTGCCCTTTCTGCCCGCTCTGATCCTCCTTATTGCACAATAAGCAGCTGTCAGTCCTGTTCTTTTCGATACTCTTACACTATTGCATCGGGCCCCACTCGCCACAGCACTCGCCACTGCTGTCTCCGCTCAGCCACATCACAAGAACGCGTCTTTCAATTCTACAATGGACGGCCACCACTTTACATATGCAAGCGATCAAGCCGCCGGCCATACTGCCGCTGTCCCTTCAATGGGATTTGCGGGCATGGGAGGGGTCACAATGATGCCGCCCATGTCGCTCCCTCAGCCGTCAATGCACCACTACCAGCACCCGCCACAGCAGCACCTCCCCGGCGTCGCTGCTATAAATGGCAACTGCCTGCCGCCAGCTGGCCCTTCTTACCTCAAAACAACTCTCAACCTCCCTTGCTCTTCCAAAGTCATTAACCACCCGGAAAGCACCATTTACCGCTACAACGACACAACCGAGACCATGGAACAGAAGGTTCGCCAGTTCTATTCTGCCGACGGCACCTCGTTTATCGAGCACGTCCCTGGCCACTGCCTGGTGTTTATTCCCAACGGTGTCAACATTGACTATTTCATGCGCGAGATGAGGAAGGTGCGCGTCCCGCGTCCGCAGCGCAAGCCAAAGGAGAAGTCGAACAAACCGACCAACGCCTTTATCAAGTACCGCAACTTTAAGATTGTTGACCTCAAGGAGAAGCACCCTGAGATTAGCCAGACTGAGATTTCGCGCATGGCTGGCGAGTGCTGGAAGACAGAGAAGGAGGAGGTCAAGGCCCGCTTCCGCAAGCAGTACCTTGAGGAGAAGAAGATCTACGACGCCAACAAGTCCAACAAGCGCTCGCGCCTGGAGAGCGAGGCTGACTCGGAGACTGAGTCTCAGACTGAGGGCTCGCCTGGCCTCTCCACCTCTAGCCATCTTCAGCAGTCGACACCGAGCAACGCTAACACAACCAGTACCGCCGACCGGAGCGCTAACAATGGCTTCGGGCTCGGCCTTAGCAGCTTCGACGGTCCTATGGGCTTCAACCCGGGTCGCCGCCGCAGCCAGACACTGCCCTCCAACAGCTTCTCGCGGGCAGGTGCCAAGCGCCGCATCTCTCAGGAGCTGCGCAAGCATCTGGCTGGCAAGTCGAACGTCGCGTACGCCACTGCTGCTGCCACCGCCAACGCACAGAAGAACCACGCGCACCCCGAGTTCAACTTCACCAACGGGCCGCTGCACGAGAGCCCGGTCATGGCCGACGCTTCGCACAGCCCGTTCATGGCTGCCAGCATGTCGCCCATGCTGATGCCGCTCAACCCGGGCTTCCCCATCTCGGACTTCTCGACCCCGGCACTGAGCGCCGCTGCGTCCGCTGCGCCGATGACAGTCAACACTGCCGCCGGCTACGCCCACAGCGCCGACGGGTTTGAGGTGTTCTCGCCTGACCAGGAGGACATGGCTGCTGCTGCCGCCGCCAACAGCTGGAGCGACGCCGGGTTTGCCGCCAGCCTGAGCATGATGGCTACGTCGACTGTGGCCGCTGCTCCCATCAGCACGGCGCCCTTCATGGTCGACGCTGCTGCTGTCGCTGCCACAGCGGCCGGTGCTCTGGCCAACACTGGCTATGCCAGCATCTCCAGCGACATGGTGGGAAGCCTCACTGCTACCCCGCCGACCATCGCTGCAGTCAACACCTGGCCGATGCCCCAGAGCTTCAACTTGGTACCTGAGCAGTCATCCATACCTCCTCAGTAAGCGGCTGGAACGTGTCCCCCCGGACGCTTGATTAAGCTTATAGAACTCGCGTGTCTGTTGCACTCCTCACACCTCCCCACCATCATACACATTCCCCGTTCGACGGTTCCCGCCTCTGTACCATTTTCTCCTTCCTCGGCATTCGTATCTTTCTGCTTCATTTCCACACCTGCGATCCATTTTTTTGATTTGCTTCTATTTTTTATTTTGTAAAGTTCATATACACTCGTTTAAAAATAGCCAACCCCTCGTACATTGCAGCTGGCAGCCCTTGCCAAAGGCTTCGCTGCTGGTCTATCCGGCCCGGTTTACATCTGTAGAGCGCTTTACGTAAAGCAATTAATATTGTTGCATGTCGTATTTTTAGCTCGCTCCACCGTCGCGGGCTGCATTGGCATCCGAATGCCATTCTCGCGCACGCCCTTTCTGACAAAATAAAACAGGCTTATTGTCATCCACCTACTCATCGGCCAGCACATGCTCTCGATGCTGCAGTAAAACAAGTGTTGTTGCCATTAGCTCAGCAGGAAACAGACGGGCTAGAAATGAGAAAAGGCAGATCGCCAAAGTTGCTAATGGACTGGAATTTATTCCTGATCGACGACCATCTTCTCGGCGCCTGAGGCCGTGCTGGCACCATGGCTGCCGTCATTGGGGGCAATTTCGTTATACAGGTACTCGTCCTGGTACTCCTTCAGGTACTGCACCGAGCGCGCCTCATCCAAGAACAGCGAGTAGACACGCTTGATGTCGGCCACGTCGACCTTTGCCGCCTGGCGCTTCTGCGCAACAAGATGGCTGGTCGAAATCAGGTGGATGGCGTAGCGCAGTGATGTCTCCATGGCAACCTTGGTCAGGACACTCAGCGCATCCTCGGTCATGTCAACCTCCTCCTCGTCCGAGCGAATCTTGAGAATCTCACGCACCTCGGTTTCATTGTAGGGCTGCGTCGAAATGATCAGCAGGCGGTCCAAAAAGTCGATGGGGATTCCGTGCGGCGACTGGTAGTTGGTGCCACGGATTCGCGACATGCCGCGGTTCGATGCCATGATGACAATCGGAGCCATGCTGTCCTCCAGTGCTCGGTTGAGGTACGAGAAGCACTCCATGTCGAGCATATGTATCTCGTCGATGAACAGGACCTACGTAGTGCAAACAGCGCAGAGGCAGAAAAAAGGTAATATGATTAGCGCTACAGCGCATTAGGTTTGCATGTGAGTTTCAGACGGTGCAAGTACCAGAGCGCAATTGGCCACTGGAGACACGGTCTGCCAAAACATGCTATGCTATAGGAGGGAACTTGATCGGTCTGCCTTGGCTAAACAGCCCAACATCATGTATGAGCATGTATGCGCCTTGAGCGATCAGCCCCGCACCGCGGACTTTACATGGCAGAGCGCATACCCGATGTGGCCATGCATACACCAGATGGCACCCACATCAAAACAACAAGGATGTACAAGGAGGTTTGCTGGTGGAAGCGTCCATGGGGATGGTGAATCGCTTGTCCAGACCACTGCTGCCACACAGATATGAGGGGTAGGGTGTCTCCAAAACCGTCTGTAAAGATCTACGATCGCTGACACGGGCACCGACAGCTGGACGAGAGCAAAGAAGGAATGTGCACGATGCTGTTCAGAGCCCCGCCTCCCCCAACTAATACAGTATAATTTGTAAGCCGCGGTGCAAGACCGCAGGACCGATCAAAGCGGCCTGCTGCTGGCATTCGCAAGACGGATAGTTTATGTATGCCAAGAGCTGGAAGGGAGTTTGAAGCCGCACGTCCCATGGCAAAATAAATCAAGGCGTGAAGACGACCTAGGACTATCAGGGTGCAAGGCAATTAACATGCCCAGTGCTCACTAATTTCCTTTGGCTAATTCCTTTGTGCCCCGCTTAAACGCAAATGCAAAAATAAATGGCTGTCCAAACCACTGCCAAGAGCTGAATCCCATGCATATGCACGACATGGCGGGCTTCAATGAAGCAATTGAGCCAGCGAATGAGAAAATTCGTAGTCGGAGGAAGGGCACGAAAAAATGCGGCGTGCCAGCAGGTGGGATTTACGCTGGCAGAGCAGCGGGGAGACAGAAAACAAAAAAGCACACCCCAGGGTTCAAGCTGGATCGATTTTTGAGCAGCTGCGACAGCGTGAGGAAATAGTGTGCAACAGCGGCCGCATAGTTTGGATTGGCGACCGTCATCTCTGGCAATTTCCCAACGGGCATCAGCCAGTGGCAGCAGCGCCCATCCCCTCTTCTGAGCACATGCATATGTGTATGTGTGGGGGGATTTGGATCTCAGATAAATCAGTGTGCTACCAGCAATCCCACCAAGGGCACTCGAGGAAAAGTTTTGGCGTGTAGACCGAGCACTATTTTGTCAGAGGCATCCACAACACGCGCAAACCAAAAAGAATCGTCTGCAGTACAGCTGATTGCTGGCGATTTGCACAGGCGGCACTCCATGTTGGGCATGTAATATAAATCGAGCGATGTTGTAAATACTTACTCCTGGGACAATCTCGGCCTTGCCCTCCTCGCACCACTCTGAAACCTTTTGGTTGATTTGCTCCCGGACCTCAGGCTTGATTTCGCCAGTGTCGCCGGAGAACAGCGCCAAAAAGCCCTGCTGGCGACTGTTGATAACATCAATCTCGTGCATTGATACCGTGTGGACAGCTTCCTTGCGCGTCTGAAGCTCGCCTTCAGGACACTGCACAAACTTGACCTAAAAATAGACATACATCTAAGTATCCAGGCCACAAACATCACCACCTCCTGCGACACGGTTACACAGGAGAGAAGGTGCTCCGAAAAAAGAGCATCCATGATGCGCTTGACACATGAAATGTAGCTGCATAGGGGTAAATGCACCCCCAGGTGGAGCCGCGATCGACAGTGCGGAGGTGTACTTACTTCAGGTCCTGTCGCGTCAAAGTCCCGAGCCCGCGTGAATGACCGGCCGAGGCGGGTGATACGGCCCGTGGCCTTGTCGATTTGAATCACGTCTCTACAACATACACCAGCGAATCAGCAATCACGTGCACCTTTGGGTCTGCATGCCACTGACCTCATCGCCAGAAGCTGGCCTTCAACTTACCCGGCCATGACCTTTTCCTTGGTCAGCGAGTCGATCATCTTCTGGCCCAGCTCATAGATCGTTTCCATGTCTGTGGTCTTCAGCGTGAGCTTGCCGCTCTTCGGGCCAACGCCGGTGACAGAGCGGTCAATCTGGATCTCGACAACCTCGCCCTCGATGATCTCAGTCTCCTCCTTGATACGCACACCGATCGAACGCCGGAACGCCTGCGCCAACGCCTCCGTCTTCGACATCTCCAGCGAGAAAACTTCCGACGCAGCAATCGATGTGAAGGGGACGTCGCCCAGCTCCTGCGACATGGCCATGGCAATAGCCGTCTTTCCCGTACCCGGCCCTCCTGCCATCAAGACCGCGCGACCAGAGATCTTGCCCTGCTTGATAACCTTCACAATGACTCCGGCTGCCTTGCGCGCCTTGACCTGGCCAACCATGCCCTGGCTGGACGGGCGGCACTCCATTTTGTCGTCCAAACCAAGTCCGCGAATGTGCGAATGAGCGCCTGTACGCTCCAGCTTGCCAATGTCCGTAGACTTTGTAGTAATAATAGACTCCTACATTCCAAATGCAGCGTTTAGGTTAGCAGAAATGTTCCACCGCTGCCTCAGCTCCAATGTCTAGCACGCCGACTACACACCATTTTACGCGTTTCCTGTGAATTTGGCTGCAAGTAGAATGTGACTGAAAGGCTAAATGCGCGGCAAACAAGTGACCAGAAAAGCTATGAGACATGGAGACTGGTTGCGTAGTCTGAAATATTTTAGCAGACACTGAAAAAAAAGCATGGATCTGAAAATCAGATCTTCTGATTAGTTGGCTCATGGATGTGTTAAATGAAGAGGCAAGTGCATATCGCATGTCTATTACACAGGGTTTGCTAACAAAACTGGATCTATATATTCAGCATTTTACATTGTAGCATTTTTGTATATAGTTCAAGGGACAACATTTATTGAGGCAGTATGGAAGTGCAGAGTGTCTGCCAAACAGCATGTGGTAAAAAGCTAGTACCCACATCCTACATCTGTGGCTGGTCCGCAAAGGTGTACTCGCCAGCACCAGGCTGACCACCCAGAATCACAGGCAGCAGTCTCGGAACGCGTGCAAGTAGCCTGAGTACCATGCGCATGGCCCTGAGCATCACGCTGGCCGCATTGCGCGGCACCGGCATCAGCTGGATGCCGTATTGGCAGCTATCGCTGGCCGGAACAGCCGACGACCCAGCCTGCACGATCGAGTCGACGCTGCACACCGGCACATAGTACGCGTTGCCATTCTGCACCACATTGTACGACAGGTGGGTGAACCTGCCCGTAGCCGGATCAAACACATGGGTGACAACCGTCGGCGTGTCAGTGCTCTCGCCCGAAATGTGCGAAAAGTCAAAGAACGAAGCCAGGCGGGCCACAGCAGACTGCATGGGCTCAGTTGCCTCGACGTTGGGAACCGGAGTGTTGGGCTGGATGCCTGGCATCTCGAACTGCGGGGCAATGTTGGCGGCAGGTGGGGTTGGCAGGACATCCTGCATGCGGTGCACGGGACCCTGCTGCTGCTGGGCAAGAGCGGCTGAGGCAAGGAAGGCAATGGCAGTGAACTTCATGATGCAGTTGAGAATTGACAGAGTAGCAGAGAGAAGTGTATTGAGAGAAAGGCAGGACTAGTGCTTGCTGATGCTGAGGCTCTCCATGGCTGTCTGGATTGCACTCCTTTTATACTCTATTCAATATCCAGTCCGCCCCGCCCAGCGACAGAGTCCTGACCCAGATCGTACAGATCCATCAGCAAGTCAGGCACCAACAATCCTTTGGAACAAGGGGTCGGGACGCAGAGCCACAGTAATATCGTCTTCTGCCACACCCAAGCGCACCATCTGGTGCACGTCAAGCATGCTGGACTCTGCCAGGATACATCTGGTGGCACCCAGCTGCTCAATGTAGTTGTGAAATATTGCTTGAAGAGCATCAATATTGCATTTATTTTAGTATCTAATGAGTTATTGGATTAGTGGAATTTGTACGTAGGAATTCCAGTGACACTCGAAATAAAGCCTAAGTAGTAGTTAACGTGTGTATAGACGCCGAATCCATCATTCAACGCACAGGTTGGGTCGCCACTAAGGTTCGAGCCGTAGCTCGTAAGCCCTGCCAAATATTGGTTGCCATTAACATTGATGACAACGCCTGTACCCGAGTCACCCTGGCACGTATCGGAACCCAGCAATAGCCTATTCTCAGTACAGATCTGGGGGCCATTGCTAGACTGGTAGCCCCTAATGAACTGCTTGCAATCGTTACGGTTCCCGACAATGATTTCGGTCTGCTTGAGGCGGTTTGTGGTACTGTCGACATTTGGGTTAGTGCCTGACTGACCCCAGCCGAGCGCAGTGAGTCTGGTACCAGACGAGATGTTGCCGCCATAGATTTTGATCTGCTGCACACCCCCGTAGCCAACACCCAGGCTAGGTGTGATGATAATAGCAATATCATTGACGATTTCGTTCGGGTCAAACCGCGGGTGCACATAAACAGCAGTGGCCCGTACGTTTCGCTGTTTTGACTTTTCCACATTACCAATTCCGACACTGATATGGTTGGCACGGATGAGCGCGCCGCTATCGAGGTCCACGACGCAATGGGCTGCAGTCACGATAACGGTGTCGGCAATGATAGTGCCGCCGCAGAGGCCTGTGCCCCGTCCCCAGGTCAACTGGAGCGAGGCAAGGTAAGGGAACTGGCCGTCAGCTGCAAATGATCCGCCGATAATGCGCTCGTTGCCAGAGGAGGTTGGGCGTTCAGTCGCAGCAGCAGGCTCGCTGGCAGCCGAGTCGAGAGGAGCGAGTGACTGGGTATTGGATGGCTCGAACAGACTGCTTGCAAGGCTGCTGGGCATCTCGAGTTTAGGCACCGTAATTGCGGTCGCGAGCATGGCGAACCCGGCAATTGCAGAGGTGCTGACGATCATTATTGATTCTTGGCTTGAGCAGTAGAGGCTGACGGGTGTGTATGTTGGAGTGCTTGTGGAGGAAGGGCGATTGCTGTTTGCTGAGGCTAGTAGCGATCTACAGACCGCACCGATCTATATATATTCGATGTGCGCTGGTCTGTCCATTGGTAAGGCTGTGAGACATGTATCTGCAATGCACGGTTCTGGGCCAGGAACTTTTGTCCGAGTGCATGATGAAAGTGGTTGCATAGTGTGAATGGTGTCTCACATAACATCTTGCATACTTGGGGCTAGGAACTCTGCCCAGGAGTTTCACTCATTGGAAGCAGGAGCAGGGTATCACCAAAGCATGTTTAGATCCGCAAACAGCCTCAGCCAACCTACACGCAAGAAATGTGGACAGAAGCACCTCCTCATCGGTGTCAAACCAAGCACTGTTGCAAGCAGTTGAGTGCAGATCCCTGTAGAAAAGAGTGCTGCATCAAGACTCGCATATAGAGCTGGGTTGGTTCTTAGCACTCATTGCACGTCATGTGTTTGCGTACCGCCAAACCCGCCGCAGTGTGTTATCGATACTTTTATGCGCATGTAGCAGTCAAAGAAACGTGTTTGCATTTAGTGCATTTTTGGTCTACTTCTCGGCCTTGGAAGGGGTGCTTGGCTCAGTGCTAGCCTTGGCCTTCTTGGGCTTTTTGTTAACAGGCGGCCGGGTGCCCATGACAACGGTGCGGGTGATGTCCTCAATGTTAGCCTTCGGGTTGGTCTTCAGCTGGTTGATAACATCCTGCGCCATATTAGCAACATCTGACTTGCTGTAGACCGGCAGGTTGTTGTACGTGGTCCATAGCATGCGGCGACCACGCTTGACGACCTCCTGGGTGCGGTCGACAGCCTTCAGCTCCTCGGTGCTGATCTTGCGCGGATCGCGAGTCTGCATGTTCTTCTCAATCTGGGTAGCGTAGTCCAGCGACTCGTACTCAATGGCACGGTGCTTCATACCAATGCCAGCCGGGATGTTCTTGTCAATATACGCGATCCACTTCTTGACAACCTCGGGATCAGCATCACGCACCACCAGCACGCGCTTGTATGTGCGGCGCTCAAACACCTCCATCGACGACTTGTGGATGAACGGCGACTTCAGGACGGTCCAGCGGCGCGTCACTCGCGGCAGCCGGATCACTCCCGTGCACGGAATTCCCATGTGCTGCGCGGCCTTGCGGCAAAAGTCCATGTAGAAGTCAAGACGATGCAGCTGGAACGACTGGAATGCCACGCGGCAGACCGGGATGTTGTGCGGCATCGGCAGGATCGTTGGCTGCTTGAAGATCGCGTCCACGTCCTCGATCGGAATCGCCTTGGGTTTGACATGCACGTCCTGGCCGAGCACCTTTGTCAGAATCGAGGCATATGTGCTCGCCGCGCGCACCCCTGTCACCGGCGCGATCTTCGCTACTGTTGCCGCTGCCGAGCGAAATGCGGTGGCCTACAAGTATTAAACAGTTTAGCAAGCCAATTCAGCGCTGCTGCATGAGGAGCAGGCCCAGGCATAGCCGAATTTTGTCTCGGGTGCGCTGTCAGTGCCCAAGCCGTACCTGGCGGAGAATTGCTGACCGAATCATAGCGTTCCAAATGCAGCTGAATTTACAGAGAGTAATGGTTTGGAATTTGTGTAAGCAAAAAGTCTCGCTGTGCTCGATCGCTCTTTTCAGGCAGCGCCAAAGTGCTAAGAGGGCGAAAAAAATGGCGCTGATAACCCCTCACGATCCGGTGATTCCAATTGGGATCTGGATCAGCTACTGCGAGTTTTTTTTTGGGCTGCAAAAAAGCGGCCAAAAATTTTCGCAGTGGCAGCCGCGAAAACCAAGCTGTGTTGTTAGCGTTTCGCATATCCTCTCTCAATTTGTCGCTCACCTCTATACACATTTACATTTCAGGACTATTTGCAGATATGGGGAAGAACGGCAAGGGAAAGCTGGCCAAGGTAAGTCTCTGCTCGAGCGATCCCACGGTATGGCGTACGGAGCGGAAACTAACAGCAACAGCTTCTCTGCACTAGGGAACAAAGAAGGCAGCTACTGCGAAGGACAGCAGCAACAAGGATGATGGTCTGTGGGACGAGATCCAAAAGTTGGGCGGTGACAAGGCCGATCTCGACATGCTTGCTGATGTTGACACACCTGCGGGCTCGAAACACAGCAAGTCGGCAAAGAAGACAAAAAAGGGCGACGCTAGTGGGATCCAGGGCGATCTGAGCGCGTTCGCCAAGTCGCTTGGCCTGTCGACAGATGTACCAGAGTTCTCTGGGCTGACGGACAAAGAGCGGAAGGCGATGCAGGGCAAGAGCGAGAAGAAGGAAAAGAAGGCTAAGAAGGACGCGGCAAAGAAGGAGAAGCCACAGGCAGCCAGCCAGGACGACAGTAAGAAGACAAAGACGACCAAGAAGGAAAAGCCTAAGAAGGAGGCCCGGAAGGAGAAGAAGGAGGCTGCTGTTGCTGCTGCGACCACTGACAGCGATGACCTGGGTATTCCTGGGTTCAAGGTCAAGTCGGCCAAGGACTCGGCGCCGCTGTCAACGGTCCGGCGGCTTACCATCGACCCGAACCCTCAGTGGTTTGGTATTGCGCTGGACGACCTGGAGATTGCTGAAGACGCAGAAAAGCCAAGCGAGGAGATGGTGTTGCAAAAGTTCCAGTACGCCGAGGAGCTGCTTGATCGCGAAAACTCGCTGTACACGACCCAGGGGGCCGGTAAGAAGTCGATGTCAACGGCAGACAAATCGTTTGTGTCCAACATTCTGTCGTCGGGAACACTGACGGATCGGGTGTCAGCGCTGACGCTTATCGTGCAGGAGAGCCCGGTGCATGGTCTTGGATCACTCAACCAGCTGATGCAGATGGTCAAAAAGAACAACCGGCGCGAGGCCCTGCTAGCGGTTGCCAGTGTTAAGGATCTGATGGTCATCAACTTGCTGCCGTCGAACCGCAAGCTGCGGTACTTTGCTGACCAGCCGATCAGCGCTCGGGGCGTGACCAGCGCGCACTGGATTATGTGGGCGTTCGAGGACAAGCTGAAGCGGCACTACTTTGAGCTGATCCAGACCATGGAGGCCATGTCGTACGACCCGGTGGTCCATACGCGGCAGAACATGGTTACGTTCTTTGAGGACCTGCTGGAGCAGAAGCCCGAGCAGGAGAAGAACCTGCTGCGCTTGCTGGTCAACAAGCTTGGTGACAACGAGCGGCAGCTGGCAGCCCGCGCGTCGTACCTGATTCTGAAGCTGCTGAACGCGCACCCAAACATGAAGTTTATTGTGGTCAAAACCATCCAGGAGCTGCTGCTGACAAAGTCGTCGACCAAGGAGCGCGCGCAGTACTACACCATGATCACGCTCAACCAGATCATCCTGTCCTCCAAGGACGTGAACACAGCCAACCTGTTGCTTGAAGTGTACTTTATCTTCTTCAAGAAGCTGCTCAAGATCACCCAGGACAACGATGCTGCAGATGCTGCCGAGGCAGAGGCTGCTGGTCCTGACAGCGACAACGACGATGACGAGAAGAAGAAGGCCGGGGCCACTGCGCCACCCAAGAAGGAGAAGAAGGGCCGCGAGCAAAAGGTGTACATTGGGCAGAAGGCTCTGCGCAAGGCCAAGGAGGAGCTCGCGAAGAAGCATGCAGAAGAGGAGAAGTCGATGGACAACAAGCTCCTGGCGGCCATCCTGACCGGCGTCAACCGCGCGCTGCCGTTCGCCAAAATGGACGACGCAGTCATGGATCAGCATGTGGGAGTGATCTTCCAGATCGCCCACGCCGGTAACTTCAACACGGTGGTGCAGTCGCTGGTACTGCTGAACCACATTGCACGTCTTCGGCCGACCATCGCTGACCGGTTCTACCGCACCCTGTATGACTCGCTGCTGGACCCGCGGCTCGATGGCACGTCCAAGAAGGCCATGTATCTGAATGTCCTGTTCAAGGCCATGAAGGCCGACAGCGACACCAAGCGTGTCATGGCGTTCATCAAGCGCATCATGCAAGCGTGTCTACAGAACCAGGTCGAGTTCGCCTCGGGTGCACTGTTCCTGGTATCGCAGGTGCTGGCGCTCAACCCACAGCTCAACACGATGCTGACACAGCCCGAGGACCATGAGGACGCCGAGCACACATACGATCCGCTGAAGCGCGACCCGCGGTTTGCCAACGCGCAGGCCGGCTGCCTCTGGGAATCCGCGATGCTGGCGCACCACTACCACCCGTCGATCACGCACTCTATCAAGCAGGTGTTTGCTGGCGAGCAGGTGGCCGCTATCAGCAACCTGCACAACCACTCGCTGGCGCACTTCCTGGATCGTTTCGTGTTCCGCCGTCCCAAGGCGGAGGACTCGAAGAAGTCTTCTACCATGCGTGGCCAGTCGCTGATGCAGCCGTTTGTTGCCTCTTCGGAGAGCGCCGACTTTGAGCTCGGCGAGCATGGCGCACGCATTATGCGTGGCCATCTGCTGTCATCGAAGCGCGTCGGCGGCGTCATCGGCGGTCTTGATCTGACTTCGAAGAGGATTGCTGATCTGCAGAAATCTGATATGCCGGCCGACGAGCAGTTCTTCCTGCAGTTCTTCCAGACAAAGAAGGAGCGCATGGGCAAGCGTGTCAAGAAGTCAAAGCAGGAGGGCGAGAGCGGCCTGGCTGACGACAGCACTGGGTTTGCCAATGCCATGGGCGAGAATGCGGACGAGCTTGACGAGGATGAGGTCTGGAAGGCTATGACCTCGGGCATGCCGCGCACTGGCGAGGGCGACGAAGACGGCGAGGATGTTGACGAGGATGATGAAGATCTACTGGCTGCCCTGCAGGAGGATGAGGACGAGGGAGATGACGATGACGACATGGGCGAATCCGACAGTAACGATGAGGGCGAGGACAGCGCCGATCTGGATGAGGACCAGTCCGATGACGACGGATTCCCGACATTCGACGATGAGATGTCCGAGGCCAGCGACGACGGCGAGGTGTCTGATGAGCCTGCGTCCAAGGGCACCAAGCGCAAGGGCGACGACAGCGAGTCGGCCGACAAGAAAAAGAAGAAGAAGAAGGAGAAACTGCCCATGTTTGGCTCGTTCGAGGACTATGCCCACCTCATCGACAATGACGAGGGGCTGGAGTGAACGCAGCAGCTTATTCTTTTTTGACTCCACAGACTACTTTTTATTCCCGAAAATATACTTCATTCTACACCCTCGCATTTCTCTGTTGTTGCACGAATGCAAAAGCGAAAGGTCGCGGCAAAGCCACTGGGCCTTGGCCTGGCACTGAAGAAGGCGTCGGCACCGCTGAAGACAGCATCAACACCGCTGAAGGAGCTCCAGGGCGAATCGACAGGAAGTAAGCAAAATTGCCCAAGCAGGAAACACAGCCAGAGAATTCTGCCCGCATGCTGACCCTAACACTCATGCTTTCAAATGAGCAGACCACACACAGAAGCAAATAGCTCCAGCGAAGCCGCCAGTATTTACTGCAGACACCGACAGCGAGCAAGGCGCCGGTGAGGAGGAGGCTGGCAGACAGCAAAAGAAGAAGCGCAACCTGGACCTGTTCCTCGAGGAGCTCAAGCACACGCAGGAGCAGCGCGAGCACACAAAGTCCTTCGACGCCATGCAGTCCACGAACCTGTTCATCAGCAATGTCCACCCGACTACTGACGAGCAGCAGCTGAAGCAGGCGTTTATGCAGTTTGGAGAGATCGACAGCATCAAGATTATGTGGCCGCGGACACCTGAGGAGCACGAGCGTGGCCGCAACAACGCGTTCGTGTGCTTTTCTCTGCGCGCCCACGCAAGCCTGGCCCTCGAGGCCATGGACGGACAGGTCCTGGATGGCAACAAGCTGTGTGTGCGCTGGGGGAAGCCTGTGTCGAAGCTGGTCGCTGGCGCAGCGAAGGCAGCCAAGGAATCGGCTGGGGAGGAGCCTGAGAACCCGTTCAATGCCGTGCAGGACGAGGTCACAGTGCACCGGCCAAAGGACCCGGCGGTGCTGCGCACAATCCACTGGACCATCCAGCATGTGCTTCAGTACGGCACGCCATTCGAAGTAATGCTGATCAACCGTGGCGACCCGCGGCTGGCATTCCTGATCAACAGCCGGTCTGCCGAAGGCGTGTATTATCGCTGGCGCATGTACTCGCTTCTGAACGGCGACACCAAGGAGCGCTGGCGCACCAAAATGTTTGTCATGTATGACCAGGGTGGGCCTGTGTGGCAGCCGCCGCCCATCGTGCGTGACGTTTTGGGCTTGAGCCGAGTCGAGCGCGAGCAGCTGGTTGACGCCCTGAACCACGTCACCAACGAGCGTGGCAGTGTTGCCCATGCAATGAAGCTGGCCATCGAGTGTGCCAGCGCCTGGGAGGACGTCGTTGATGTTGTGACTCGCTCGCTGCTGGATGATGCCGCACCGTACATGAGCAAGTACGCCAGATTGCTGGTGGTCTCGGATATCTTGCACAACTGCTCAGAGCAGGGTGCGTGGCGGCTGAGGCAGGGGTTTGAGAAGGTGCTGGACCGCGTGTTTAGGCATCTGGCGGACGTTTATCGTGCAATTGAGGCGAGATTAAGGGCAGAGCACTTTCGCAAACTGGTACTGGCCGTGCTGGCGGTGTGGGAGGTGCGCATGGTCTTTCCACCGGATATGCTGCATGCATTCTCAAAGGGGTTCTTATAGATAGGCCTGATTAGCCTACACATGGAGCCAGCGTCGGCTGTATAGTCTAGAGAGCCAATTCTGGTGTGGCATACTTTGGACAGCAAATAAATGTTGGTTTCACCTGTGGCCAAGGAGCATGGCGATCTCATCGCATACCTGGCATTTCCACGCCGGATACGCTGGCCGCCTGGGAAAAGCCCGGCATTCAAGACTTGCCATCATCAGCAGTGTTTTGCAATAGTGGAATTGCGTGCTTGATAACAATAGCATGTTTAGAGACTCCCATCAATGGTATCGGTGTAACCTTTATTGTATTGCACAGCAATGTGTAAGCTGACTGCATTGTGGTTATATAATCAGCATTCATGACTGCATGCTGATGCTTAGGCAGCAAAGTGCGAGGATACAGAGCCTTCATCCGAAATAGGTGTGCGTCCATCTGCTGCTCGAACCCCCTTGCTGGCTCTAGAACTATAAGCATGGCCACACTAGCTATACAGGGGAGGTTTATGTCTTCGCTTTTGTATCTGGTGACGATTCCATTGTTTAGTGGTAGTACCGGGTGAATACGTTGACAGTGCATGATATGTTGCCTGTTTATCGATGTGTGAGGCAAAGTCACTCTCACAACCAGCCCGTTCATCTTGGGACCACACCCGCACTGTTTGAGCCTGCCGAATAGATAGCATAAAACGAATTGGATAGTTGTGTAATGCACATTTGTCTGCAAAAATGTGGGCTGCAAATATACTCAAACGAAGCTGTACTTGGTCTTGGGGCGGCCACGCTCGTACTGGTGCGGGTACTGCCCAAAGGCATTGAGCTCCAAAGCAGCGTTCAGCACAAAGTTCGGGTCACGCAGCAGCTGGCGACCCATGAACACCAGGTCGGCTGAGCCGCTGGCAACAATCTCGTTTGCCTGCTTCGCATCGGTGATTATGCCAACAGCACCCGACAGCATCCCAGGGGCGCCCTTGCGCACCGCCGTAGCAAACTGCACCTGGTAGCCAGGTGCCAGCGGGATCTTCTGCAGTGGGCTGTTGCCGGCAGTCGAGCAGTCGACCAGATCGACGCCCTGGGCCCTGAGGACCTTGGCGAGCTCGACTGTCTCCTCCTCGGTCCACCCGCCCGTGGGGACATCACTGCTAGGCGCAACCCAGTCGGTCGACGAGACGCGCACAAACAGCGGCTTGTGTTCTGGCCACGTCTTGCGCACCTTCTGCGCAGTCTCGACCAGGAAGCGAATGCGGTTCTCGAACGACCCGCCGTATGCGTCCGTGCGCTTGTTGGAAATCGGCGACAGGAATTCTTGGATCAGATACCCGTGGGCGCCATGCAGCTCAACCACATCGAAGCCAGCCTTGTCGGCACGGACCGCCGCATCGACAAAGTTCTGCTGCACACGCTGGATATCTGCCAGGGTCATCTCGCGCGGCACAAAGCTGCGCTCGTCGAAGGGGATGGCTGACGGGCCAATAATGTCCTTGGGCCAGCCGCCCTTGGTTTCGTCGAGATTGTATCCCTGCGACTTGATCAGCCATGGCGGCGACGTGCTGGCCTTGCGGCCGGCGTGCGCCAGCTGGATGCCGACCAGCGCCTTGTTCGCGTGCGCAAAGGCAACTACCTCGCGCAGCTTCTCGATGTGCTCGTCCTTCCAGATGCCAAGGCAGTTGGGCGTGATGCGGCCCTCAGGGGCAACGCCCGTGGCCTCCATGATCATAAGGGATACGCCGCGCATGGCGAGCTGGCCGACGTGCACCAGGTGGAAGTTGGTCGCAAAGCCGTCTACCGACGAGTACATGCACATCGGGCTGACAACAACCCGATTCTTGAGCTCAGTGCCGCGGATCTTCAGGGGCGTGAATAGCGCCGGTGTCGTCTCAGACTGCGACGACGCGAATCCCTGCTTGATCTCAGAGTCAGTTGGCTGCACGGCTGCGCCGGGTCCACGGTCTGCCTGCGGCTGGTAAAAATCGTGAGGGTTAGACATAATGTTTGGATTTGCAGTGTGTGGGCAATGGGCGAGATAAATGAAAGAGGCAAGGAGTGGCGGTCCCACGCTCCAGATGTGCGCTGGTTTTTATACGCGGGCCGCTGACTCGCAGCAGCAAATCGTATTTTATAGTGATTACAAATGATCGAACCGTTATCACTGCGAGTCGGGGCGACTCGGGCACGCATAAGCGCCTTGTCCCGGTTCGGAGTTCCACGCTGCACGAGCACTGCCCACAGACCGAACTTAATGGTAACTCTGGAGGTCCCCCTTTTGGCTGCCTGCGCCGTGAACCAGCGGTATCCATCCAGAAGTGGGCTCTGCTTTTTCTGAGGGGGTTCACGACCCTTTGGCTGGTGAGGGCGTCGGCATCGCAGCACCGGAAGGGTCGATTAGGTTCGGCGAAGGCGACAGGGATTGCTTGGCACCCGGGCGCAGCATCCCACGGATTTTGTTGCCCTGCAGGTGTTCGGGCGACGTTCACTCATCGTCGCTGATATCAGACAGACTACTGAGATCACTTGGACTGTCGTCGCTGCTGTCGTCGCTGCTGCCATCGGCTACACTGGCAAGCTGCCCTTCGTCGTCCTCGTCGTTCTCGTCATCCTCGTCATCTTCGTCATCGTCAGACGTGATGACGTTACGGCGCTGCCGCTTGGCCTGGCGCTTCTGCAGCCGTGTCATTGGTCGCCGCCGCTTAGCTGGGGCACCAGGGCCTAAGGGCCTCTCGGCTGCAGGCGTCTTCTTTGGCGGCATGGTCTTGGCAGCGGGCTTTGCCTGCTCAGGCTCTTCTTCCATGGGATCAGGCGCAGGCTCAGGCGCAGGCTCCGGCGACTTGGATTTCTGCCTGGGTGGTGGCGACTCTACAGGCACGGGTTCTGGTTCAGCCTGTATCACACACGCCTGCTCGAAAATCTCACACAGCCCAATCCTCAAGCCAAACCGGCTTATCCACATGGCGACAAGCCCGCCGATGCCTGGCTCGCCCGCCAGAGCTCGAATTCCGCCCACCAGGTCTTCGCGCCGCGACCGGGCCCACGCCGTCATCACTGAGCCACACAGGTCTGCAGCATCGTCTCCCTGCACGTGCTTTTGCACCAACACAGCCAGGATCTCTTTGGTGGGCGGGACAGACCGAAGCAGCGACAGCAGCCCATTTGCCGCCTCGCTGTTCATCGATGGATCGAGCTCATGCGTCAGCAACAGCGTCCGCGCAATCTTCCGAACTGCCACCGAATCGCCAGCCAGCTCACCAGCCACCAGCTGCCACAGACATACTTGCTCAAATGCATCGTACTCGGTCGTGCCGCAGATGGCAGGGGCTGCACGGTCGCCAAACAGCCGCAGCTCGCCCCTGGCCATCAGCATGTTGAGCCGATAGACCTGCGGCTGGTCGATCATGGCCACAACGCTCTTGACAATAATGCGGTTGCCAGGGAACTCGGCCGGGAATGCCTTGTAGATGCATGGCAAAACGTTGTAGAACAGCATATTGAACCGTTCCTGCAGTAGCCGCATATCGCGCGCCAATGCTGCCTGCAGCGTGCCCTTGGCGTACCGGCCAACGTAGTCCCTGTACAGCTGCGGACGCTTTGCATCGTTCACCGCGTATAATAGCCAGCGGAAGCCGATGTCGGGGATAGCGGTGGTAAGCTGGATTAGCAGGTCGAGCAGCCGGTCACGCGACATTGGCGCACGGTCCATGTACGATGCAACAACAGCAAACAGGGTATGTAGGATGTCATGCTCGACTGACTCCAGGTCGCCTGACTCGATTAGCTCTGCGCTGGTTTCGATGTCCTCAGGCTCAAAATTCTCCAGTGAGTATGCAAGCACGTTGCTGACAGCCTTGACAGGTGCCTCCGACTGTGCAAACACTTCGATAATCTCGCCGATAGCCGCCGATGCCTTTTCGGTTTCGTTGTTGCGGAAATTGGTGGCAAAATCCTTCAACGTAGTTCCAAACAGCCATAGCGACGGGTTCTCCAGCGCCTGCTCACCAGTTGGCAGCAAACCGCTGTCCGAATCGGTGTCCGTGTCGTCGATATCGGGAATCATTTCGACGCTTTCCAGATCCTCTGACTCGCTGTCATCGCACTCCATGGCTTCAGGGGGTTTCTCGATACTGCTGCCGTTTGTAGTTACTGGCCCTGGCTGTGAAACAACTGCAGACTCGAATGTCTGGGTAGGCAGCTCGTCCGAGAACATCTGCGAGACCGGATCCAGCGGCAATTGTAGTGGTGGTGGTGGTGCCAGCGGCAGTTCCGGTTCGAATGCGGATTTTGGAGGCTGGGCCATCGAACTTGAGACTGGGCTGATAGGAGGCGATGGGCTTGCAAGCGGCGCTGGGACGGTTGCGGGCTGTGTAGATTCTGTATTCAGCGCCAGGGGTTCAATTCCATTTCCAAACTCGGCATCTTCAACCATGTCAATATCAGCACCGGTGTCGAGCGCCATGGGGTCTGAATCAAACGCATTCTGCTGTAAGCCGGATTGTGCTGGGACCAGGCTAGGGAACAGTACCTGCATCTGCTTACGCGTTGCCTCGTCAACCTTTGGGTGCTCGTATATTGGCAGCAGCGACGGAATCACGCCCTTTTCGACAGCATCCTGCATGGTCAGACTGATGGATCTGCGGATCGCGGGAGCCAGAGTCGGGCAGTACGCATCGGCAGTGAATCCCAAAAACTCAATGAACGTCACCGTCAGATGCGTGTACCTGTCGAGCGACCGCGCCATGATCAGCACTCCGGGCTCAATGTTCATGATGCTATCGACCTGCGGATCGTAGAACAACCAGTCGTAGAATAGTGCCAGTTTGGCGTTGGCCGCAACGACCTGCGAGCGAATAAGGCGTAGAATGGCACCTAGTAAGACATACCGCGGCAGGATGTTGGAAGCCAGCAGGGCGTTTGACGGATGGAATACGCCGCAGATGTACCGGATCAAATCGCAATATAGCGACTCGGACTCGGGGGTGGCTAGGAAGCGCTGCGAGAACCACGTCATGTTTCTGAAGAACGTATTTGACGGCAGCTTCTCCAGCATGAACAGCAGCTTTGCCTCCATGTCGTATGTGAGGCGGTTGGCCAGAAACACGCGGGGCGTGGGCACGCGCAATAGCTGCTCGATGCCGGTGAAGTGCGGGCTGATCTGCTGCGGGCGCTGCAGGAAGTCGTGCCAGAGCGCCTTGAATTTATCGTGTTTTGCTACGTCCTGCAGAACCCGGACAAGGTCGCGTCCGATCATTGAGCATTCGGTGAACTTGTCGCGAATCAGTCGCACCACCAGATCGCACTCGCGGGCGCACAGGTCCGGTACCCGGCTGTGGTCTAGAATGAGCCGCCCGAAGGCGTACACAATTGTGGCAATGAGCACTGGGGACCGCATGACCCAGTCCATGTTGGACTCAATTAGATGCAAGGTGTTGCGGCACAGCTTGATGTTCCCGGGAGTCACGTCGCCGCTGCGGATCTGCCGCGTCAGAAATATCAAGATCTGATCGATGCCCGATGTGTTGGTTTTGATAAGCTCGCTGAGGAACCAGAAGAGCTGCTTCAGAACGTCGCCACGGACCAGGCGGAACCGCAGATACGTGACTACGTGCTGCAGCCGACTGACGGCATGGACGAATCCGTCGCGCGATACAATGCTTAGGTTGCGGAAGTACTAACAATGATTAAAGGAGATTGAGTAAACAATGTGTGGTTCTGGGGGAGGACGGCCTGTCCGCTGTGTTTGTACTTACAGTGCTGCCCTCGCTGGGCTCGGTTAGAATCCCGTATACTAGTCCGTTGACCAGATTGCAGTGGCTCTGCATGCTTTCCGAAGCCTTCTGCTGCAGCGTGTCGTGCACCTCGGAGCCAGACCGGTTGGCCAGCAGGGCGCGCAGCGCATGGAAGTTGTCGACAAGCTCCTGCTGCCAGGGCTCGGGCACGTCGATGGGCTCGAGGTTAAACAGCTGCGGTGGTGGAGGCAACGGCGACGTATCAGTACTAGGGTCAGCCATGTCGAATACTACTAGTGAATGTGAATTGCCTGCGCATGTAAGGCCGGGGTGGGCTGAAAAGGAAGAAAAAGAGAAAGCAGAGCGAGCGGGGGTTTGTAATTTTCTAGGACTCTCCACAGGGCTGGACTGCTCGGAGGAAGAGGAAAGCACTGCGACATGGAAGGCAGCACTCAGCGCCTTTTATACCCTGCGGGAAGTGAGATTTTTCTTCTAAAACAAGAACGGCAAAGTAATCAAATGTGATTTTGAGTCGCAAGATAATTAGCTGCAGAGTCTGCTCGCAGTCTCGAGCAGGAATTCGTCATCGCCGTATTGTGCCACCAGCTGCAGCCCGACCGGGAGCCCGTTTTTGGATACGCCCGCGGGGACCGAGACCGCCGGAATTCCCGCCAGGCTGGCTGGGACCGTCATGACATCGTTGACATACGCCTCAACGCGGCTTTCCTCGCTGCTCCCATCCAGCTTCGGCGCCGGGCCAATGGCGGTCGGGAACAAAAGCGCATCGACGCCTTCGCCCCTGGAGCGATTGCCTGAGTGCATGGCGTTCGGCAGGGCAAAAGCCGCGTCAAAGTCCTGCTGAATCAGCCGGCGGAGCTTCTGCGCTGGTGCGTAGAACTGCTGACAGGCAGCCGACGTCATCACGTACGTGCCAAGCAGAATCCGCCGCTGCACCTCGTCGCCGAACCCCTCGGAGCGCGTATTAGCGTATTTCTGCGATGCATTGGTGGCCTCGTTCGGCGGCTGCTCAGAAGACCTCCGGCCGTAGCGGATTCCGTCGTACCGCGCAAGGTTGGAGGATGCCTCGGCCAGCGCAATCGTGTAGTAGACGGGCAGGGCGCTTTTGGTGTGCGGCAGTGAGACACTGACGATGTCGGCGCCCAGAGATGCGAGCCGGTCGGCGCCAGAACGCCATGCATCCACGGTGGTATCGGACAGCTCGTCAACCCAGTACTCGGCTGGAATGCCGATGCAGATTCCCGACAATGGCTTGTTGACGCTGCTGGCGGGTGGGCGGGCCTGTGCAACGAGTCGGTCAATCCGGCTGCGCACCTGCTGGGTCATGCAGGTCATGTCTCGGGCATCGGACACTGACACGGCCTGGAATGCAGCCCGGACGTCGTCAACAGTCCGTCCCAACACGCCAACAGTGTCCAGCGAACTGCCATATGCAACCAGCCCGTGGCGCGAAATGCGCCCGTACGTGGGCTTGAAGCCGACCACGCCGCACCAGGCAGCCGGCAGCCGGACCGACCCGCCGGTGTCCGATCCCAGCGCAATACGGCACTGGCCAGCGGCGACTGCTGCAGCACTGCCGCCACTACTGCCACCGGCCGCCCGGGGCCCTGGGTCATCAGAGGCAGCGGCAGGGTTGACGGTCGGCCCGTGGATGCTGAAAATGGTCTTGGAGCCCATGCCAAACTCGTCCATGTTTGTTTTTCCGGCAACCGTGGCCCCGGCTGACTCCAGCAGCGACACTGCAGTGGCTGTATATGGGGACTTGTATGTCGACAGCGCCCCTGATGCGCATGTGGTGGGGCCCTCTGTGGTTGCGATATTGAGCTTGACACCCACACTCCATCCGCTTAGCGGACCATGGCTGCTAGCCGACGCATTAGCATGGGAAACGAATGCGTTAAGCGCAGCGGTTGATTTTGTTCGGCCCAAGCAGTGCTTGCTGGCTTGCAGCCCGAGGCGCGTTCTAGAACGAGTAAGTAGCAGTGACATGTGGATATCTAGAAGTGAGTGCAACGCTCAAGCCAGGGATTTTTTTGGCCCGACCACTAGCACGGGCCGTGAACCACTAGGTTCCAGTGCTGCAGATATGGGGGGTATGGCGGAGGTGCATCTCGCCACTGTTTTTCGAGCAGCCTATGCCCTATCTAGAGCACATTTCTGTCTTGCGTAGAGTGCAGGCACAGCCCAGTTTGCTGCGCTGTGCATGTGCTATGTGAAAAAGAAGAGGGTGCAGGAACGGTTGCTGTTAGTGCTGGCTGCGTCACCCACGATCCTGATTACCGAGCCCAGCCATTTTTTCCCTCACCTCCCTTTTGCCTCTTGTTACTTTTAGTTTCCCAATTTTATTTCACAATTCGACCCTACAGCAGGATGGACCAAATCGGCGAATTTATAGTCAGTCTGCAGTCGCTTCTGGACAACCCGAGCACACCACGGGACGCGCTGGTCAGCGCGATCCAGCCGGCAAACCGCGACTTTCTCGCCAACGCTCTGGCAGTAGCGACATTAAGCTGGCCCACCCGCACCCACCTGGAGCTTGTGAAGATTGTTCTCAGCATCCCGCAACCTGAGGTGCCGCTGGAGCAGATTCTTGCTGACCCAACAACCAGTCACGAGCCCCAGCCATTCTTTGGCAGCATATACTTTGAACAGCTACGCGAACGCCTGCTGCGTATGCCTATCCAGACCCTAGCCATGAGCGACGGCGCGTGGCTCAAGAACATCGGGTTCAGCATCGAGGCGACAATATTACAGGTCGGCCAGCGTATCAGCGCACTGGAGAAGGCAGACCAGCAGTCGCGAGTAGACGAGGCACGCCTGGGACAGGATCTGAGCCGACTGCGGGTGTACTGTGCGCATATTCTGGGCCACGGCATTATCGACGGTGCTCATTGGCGGGCAATTGCACAGATGGTCTTTGCCATGTTCCATGTGCTGCCATGGTCAGCACGAGTGATGAGCAGCCAGGGCGGCGAGATCGATCTGGTGGTTGCCCGACTGGTTGTGCAGTACGAGAGCTGGCTGCAGATTGTCAAGCAGATATTCGAAAACCACGGGCCGGCACTATGCCACCGCATGCCCACGGTCATTGAGGATCCGGCGTCGCGGCAGTTCACGTGGGGAATTCCAACACTACACTCGGTAGCTGCCACCGAAGTACTGCGAAATTTCGTTGTGCGACGCACTCTGCTGCGCACGCCCACGGTGTATGTTCCAGATAATGTCATGGGTGAGCAGGAGCTGCAGGGAATCGAGTGGGTGGCGGCTCCTGAGCGGATGCAAGAGCTGGAGCAAAGGCTCGAGCAGCTTGAGCAGACGATCATGGGCCAGATCATCACACAGGACGCAACAGCCGTGTACGGCATGATGACAGAACTTCACCACCTTCTGCAGATTCTCGGCGGCATCAGCGGCTATGACTCGGAGCTGGTGGTTCCCGGCTCAGAGCAGTGCGTCGCAGCCAGCTTGGCCCGCGCGTGCGCTGGCCTGGCGCCCATTCTTGGCTTCGAAGTCAGCGTATTATCGTCGGCGATGGATATGAGCAAGCTGGTTGCATGTCTCAACAGCATGAATGCCACAGCCATGAGCGGCTGCTACATGGCGTTGCTGGGTCAGTTCCCGCAGACCACCGGCGTGCATGCCATGTACGCAGAGGCGCTGACAGTGCGCATTGCCACAACCGTGCTTAACCTCGATGTCAGCTGGGCCGACCTTGGCCTGAATCTGTCGCCAATGCTCATCGATGGTATCACCCCAGGTCTGGCTTCGCGTATTACACGCACACTGCGCGTCATGTCAGCCATGCTCGATACATTCTCGCTGATCACATCTGTGCCAGCAGAGTCAGGCGAGCTGGTCACCGCGCTGGGCCAGCTGATGCAGTACCCGTTCATGGCCAGGACATACGGCGAAAGTCTGGCCAGTGTGGTTCGTGAAGCCACTGCTGGAACCAGTGAGTCTAAATTTGGCCTCTGGATGGTCGGTCTGTGCGAGATGGCCGTGCTTAACAAAGCCATGTTTGACCAGGCATGGCTATATCATAAGATACAGACTGCAGTAGATTCGGTGGCCATGTTTTGCGTTTCGGCAGCAAGCACCAGCAGCATGGTGCCAATTGTGAGCCTGGTGGCCGATCTGAATATCAGTCAGTGGCAGGCACTGGATGCGACCAAGCTGGGCGGCAACTCAATGCTCTCGATTCTTATGACGCTGCCCCAGCGGCTGGCTGAGCACGCCCAGGTACAGATCAGCAACAGCTGGGTCGTTCAGTGGTGCGTCACCATAGCGCTGTGCCGCCCGACTAGCGCATGTCTGGCCTATGCCTTGGCAGTGCAATTGCTCGACATTGCGCAGAAGTCGACCAAGCCTGACAATCGCGGTGGTTTTGACGTGGCATTGCGGCAAGATGGTGTAGAGGCGCTGAAGGCGACATCCAGCTGGTTTAGCAGCGGCGATATGCGAATGTGGGGCGACCGGCTGCTGTTTATGCCGGCTATTGCCAAGGACAAGCAGAACGGGCTGACGCTTGCACAATCGCGGCTGGAGGGAGCGCTGGCAATCCTGCTGTCCAGCACTGATGCGGAGTTGGCACAGACGATCGGTGTGCCTGTGCAGCCGCTTACTACCCAAGATATGCGGCAGGTTGCAGGGTTCTTGAGGGGGTATGTCAACAACGCCTCCGATCTTGTCCCAGAGTTTGCCGCATTGCTGTCGCAGTCGCCAGTAGTCCCGCAGCAGCAACAGCAGCAACAGCAGCAACAGCAGCAGCAGCAGCAACAGAAATCACGTAGTCAACAGCCAGAGAGAAATCCGTTCGAGACGCCAAATATTTTGGCAGCAGTCCCGACTGGCTCTGCTCCTGCGCCGGATCTGTGCAACGTGACCCAGTCAGCCAAGACGTGGCGTCGCAATACCTCGCGGCTGAGCTTTGCCGAATCGCGAAAGTACATCCAGTCGCTGGTCGCGGCCTGCTACCCGTCCCCGCACAAGCACTACCTGGACATTGTCATGGTTGAGTTCATGTCCACTGAGCCGGTCGTCGGGCCGGAGCTTGTGATCGGGTCAATCGCCGACCACATGTTTAACAACAGCATCGTGTATGGGCGGCGGGAGAGTCCGTTCTCCACAATACGCGGCATGTTTGTCGCTATTGAGCCCGAGGAGGAGGAAGAGCAGCCAGCTGCTGCTGTCACAGGCGAGCCTGTGTTCAATGCTGTGGTGGGCGGGCGGGTGCGGAAGGATGCCGGAGGCCAGGAGCTTAGCGTGCGCAGCAAGCGCTACGAGCCGACAGTCCGTGCACCAGTCGCCTGCAACCGCGTGCTGCAGATGCTGACGGCGCTCAGATACGGGCAGAGTTTTAGCGAGACGCCAATTTACAGCTGGCTGACAGATGTGCTGGACAAGACGCCCGAGAGTGTGCTGAAGACGTACTTTGGGTCGCTGTTTGGCAGCAGGCCCAATTTCTCGCAAGACTTTCCGACTGAGCCCGACTGGCCGCGCAAGGCAAAGACCCTGGTGAATATGTGGTCTCACGACCCCCGGCTGGAGGGCCGGTTGATGACACACGTCACTGGGTGTATGGTCCTGTCGCAAGCCATTGAGCGCGGTACCTGGGTGACATTGCTGACCGACTGGCCGCCAGCTACGTGCGATCTGATCCGCAGCCAGTTTACCATGCGCAAGACATCGCGGCGCCAGGCCGAGCTGGTCCATGCCATGTTGCAGCACCCGGTCAACACGGCATCGCCCAGAAAACACCCGGTATGGATACTGGCAGAACTGACAGCCAGCAGCCCCGACCGACTTACCTTTGCAAATGCACGGGACTGGTTCGTCGTGCATGTGCTGCCGGTGATTCTCAGCGAGTGGCCGAGCAACGAGAATGCGCGCGCTTTGCTGTGTCAGCTTGTGTCGTCGGTGGATTTGCTGTACATGGCGGTGCCCTGGATTGATGTAGCTACCAGCTTGGTGCAGAATATGCCCATGAGCAACGGCCCGGCGGTGGCATTCTCGCCGCGCCTGGCAAAAGACAAGTTTGTCGCATATCTGTCGCCGTTGGCGCGGGTCCTGCTATCAATTGCCGATTACACGCTTGGCAGAGCCATCTCGACGGTCGAGAATACCACGGAGCCTGAGGAGACAGAGAATGACGGTGACGACGACGACAGCAGCGAGAATAACGAGCGTGCATTTGGCTGGGACATACTGCAGCAGAGCCTGGGCGCTTACCTGATGAATGGTAGGAAGGCTTACCTGGAGGACTCGTTGGATGCCATGCTGGATGTGTATACGCACACTGGCTCCGCCGATCTGCGGAGGACGATCGAGAAGGTGCTAATGGCAGTGTGTAGCAAAGACGCGCACATGTTGAACACGTCTCTGTGTCGAGTATTCGCCAAGCGGCCTCTTGATATCTCGACTCTCCATAACCTGCGGCCCAAGGAGGCTGCCGAAGACGCAAAGCCGGCATCCACTGATCCCGACCCCGAGTTCAAGCCTGCCGGTGAGCTGTTTCCGCTGGCAAAGACTATCTTTGACACTGCAGTGCATGCAGATGCCCTGAACACGGCAAAGCTCGTGGAAAGCATGCTGTGGGCAGTGGCCGAGGAGCCCGATGTCCGGCGCAACCTGATTGCTCTGAAGCCCCGGCTGATTCCCAAGGACCAGCGCCCGCAGCCGACCCCCAACGTATCGCATGAGGCCGTGTTTGCCACAACCTCGGGCAGCCTCCACATCACGGTTGAGGCGCGGGCCTCGGCAGCGGCCTATGCACTCGAGCGCAACGTGAGCATTCTGAACCTGCTTCTGCCAGCCGTGAGCATGGATGACCCGTGCTGGCACACAGTGGTTGCGTACTGGGCACATTCCAGGCTGTTTTTGGCTGGAGTAATGACGGGCATTTGCGACTCGATGCGGCAGTTCACCACACTGGGCGTGGTCAGGGAGCTGTTTGCTGCGCTGTGGAAGCAGACCGGAGATGGCGAGCTGGTCGTCGAGGGAGTCGCAGTGAAGCGCGTGTGGACCGCGGTCAATTTCTATCCGCTGGCTCAGCGTCTAAGCAATCAGGTCAGCGAGGAGTACACCACATGGGAGGCGGTTCAGGAGATTGCCAGCCGCACCTGAGCCAGGGACCAGCGGCTCCAATATTTTCCTAATAAAAACGCATTTCGACTTTCTGTTTGTGTTACTTTTACTTTTTTTTTGCATTTGCTTTAATTCACAAACAAAATGCCACCGCTGTTGCACCAGAACAAGCTTGCCACAAAGCTCGCCAAGGGCGTCAAGCAGTCGCAGCAGCCGTCCAAGCGCAAGCGTGCCTACATCGACGACGACGCCGACGATGTCGAGGTATCCTGGGGCGCGCCCATCGGCAGCGTCTCCTCCAGCACAGTGACGCGTCGCGCAACGCGGCACAACGGGCTGTCGAACAAGCAGTACTACAAGTCGGTGGTGGTCAACGAAAACACATACGAGATCGGCCAGGCGGTCAAGGTGCGCGGTGCCAGCGACGACTCATTCCTGGCGATCATATTCAAGCTGTTTGAGAGCGAGGTGGGAGAAAAGCAGGTGGTCCTGCGCTGGCTTTTACGGCCCGCCGAAGTCATCCTCAATGGCCGGCTGGCGACGGCGGAGAACGAGGTGTTTTACTCGAATGCTGACGATCTGGTCGAGCCTGATGTGATTTTGGCTCCGCTCGATGTTGGCTCAGAAGCAGGCCAGTATGTTTGTCGCCGCTATTTTAATGAACAGACGGCTGAGGTGGGCGATCTCCACTGGAATACCTTTTACGGAGACAAGCGGCTGCTGGACGAATCCGTCGACCAGGCGATGTTTAGACCAAGGCAGATGAAGTCGAAGGAGGCGACCAAGAAGGCTGTGGCCGCCAAGCGCGCCAGATCAAATATCCAGACTAAGTCGCGGAAGCCGGCCACGCGGAAACGGGCTGCCTCGATCAATGATGTGAGTGACGACGATATGGATGAGGAATTTGATGAAGCAAGCGATGAGGAAGAAGAGGAGGAAGAGGAGGAAGAGGTTGCGAAACCAACGAGGCGTAGGCACAAGCCGCAAGCACCTGCGGCAGCATCCAGGACATCTAAGCGCAAGCTGCGTCTGCAGGATATCCAGCCGACAGGTGCTGTAGCTGCCACCCTGGCCAAGCGCGCAGCACGGCCAACACATACCCGACTAGCTGACCGGGATGGCGCGAGCATGTACGAGATTGCTCGCCAGCGCCTGCATGTCTCTGCTGTGCCTGATACCCTGCCTTGCCGCGAAGATGAGTTTGCCGAAATCTACGGCCACTTGTATACGGCGATCGAGGAGCGCACCAGCATGTGCATGTACATATCGGGAGTGCCGGGCACCGGCAAGACTGCGACGGTGCGCGAGGCTATCCGCACCCTGCAGGAGAGTGCCGAGGAAGGCGATCTCCCGCAGTTCCAGTTCGTCGAGCTGAATGGCATGAAGATGACCGAGCCGCAGCAAGCATACACGCAGCTGTGGCAGGCTATAACGGGGAGCAAGGTGACGCCAAAGCACGCTGCACAGCTGCTCGAGTCGCATTTCAGCACGCCCAGTCCGCGCCGCCATGCCTACGTGGTGCTGATGGACGAGCTGGATCTGCTTGTGACAAAGTCGCAGTCGGTCATGTACAATTTCTTCGACTGGCCGCACCGCGCCCACGCCAAGCTGATCGTCATCGCCATTGCCAACACCATGGATCTGCCGGAACGCATGCTCCACCACAAGGTGTCGAGCCGCCTGGGGCTAACGCGCATCAATTTCCAGCCGTACTCGCACACCCAGCTGTTTACCATCGTCGAGTCGAGGCTTCAGGGGTGCCAGGCGTTCGATCCGGATGCTGTGGAGCTGTGTGCTAGAAAGATTAGCGCCGTGTCGGGTGATGCAAGGCGAGCGCTGGATGTCTGTCGGAGGGCCGTGGAGATGGTCGAGGCCGAGTGGCGGACATCAAGGGGCACGGAGAAGCTTGTCACCATGATGGTCATCAACCGTGCGGTCAAGGAGATGTATGCGTCCGGTCATGTCGCCTTTATCCAGAATGCTGCCACTCAGCAGAAGATGTTTTTGGTTGCGTTGCGCGCTGCTATCCGCAAGGCCGGAGTCCCCGAGGTGTCGTTGGGCGATGTTGCCTATACGCACCGCCAGCTGTGCAAGTTGCATAACATGGCCATTTTGTCTGTGGACCAGGTCGCGACTGTGTGTGCGCAGCTGGGTGCCACCAGATGTATCCTGGCAGAGTCCAGCATGCTTGATGTGCACCAGATGGTGCGCTTGGGTGTGGCAGAAGACGATATTACTGTGGCTCTGCGTCCCGACCCCTTGTTCCAAAGGATTGTTGGTGCCTGACCTGCTGATGGATCTGTACGATCTGGGTGAGGACTCTGTCGCTGGGCGGGGCGGACTGGATATTGAATAGAGTATAAAAGGAGTGCAATCCAGACAGCCATGGAGAGCTTCAGCATCAGCAAGCACTAGTCCTGCCTTTCTCTCAATACACTTCTCTCTGCTACTCTGTCAATTCTCATCTGCATCATGAAACTCGCTGCCATTGCCTTCCTTGCCTCGGCCGCTCTTGCCCAGCAGCAGCAGGGTCCCGTGCAGCGCATGCAGGATGTCCTGCCAACCCCGCCTGCCGCCAACATTGCCCCGCAGTTCGAAATGCCAGGCATCCAGCCCAACATTCCGGTTCCCAACGTCGAGGCAACTGAGCCCATGCAGTCTGCTGTGGCCCGCCTGGCTTCGTTCTTTGACTTTTCGCACATTTCGGGCGAGAACACTGACACGCCGACGGTTGTCACCCATGTGTTTGATCCGGCTACGGGCAGGTTCACCCACCTGTCGTACAATGTGGTGCAGAACGGCAACGCGTACTATGTGCCGGTGTGCAGCGTCGACTCGATTGTGCAGGCTGGGTCGTCGGCTATTCCGGCCAGCGATAGCTGCCAATACGGCATCCAGCTGATGCCGGTGCCGCGCAATGCGGCCAGCGTGATGCTCAGGGCCATGCGCATGGTACTCAGGCTACTTGCACGCGTTCCGAGACTGCTGCCTGTGATTCTGGGTGGTCAGCCTGGTGCTAGTGCGTACACCTTTGCGGACCAGCCACAGATGTAGGATGTGGGTACTAGCTTTTTACCACATGCTGTTTGGCAGACACTCTGCACTTCCATACTGCCTCAATAAATGTTGTCCCTTGAGATCGTTTATACAAAATAATGCCTGTGCAAAGTATGCGGCTGCTGGCTGGAATTCTAGCCTGCTGCATGGCAGACTACCTATCGAATGGGGCGTATTGAGAACACCGCGCAGTTGCAATCCAAAAAGGCTGATATGGCTATTTTTCTGTGCCGTTTCTCAGAAATACAACAAGTATATGTAAGCCTAGTACCCCAATATATGGCTGAACTGATGTTATTTATTATATTCAATGATATGCTGAGTTTAAATAAATGAGTGGCGAGTTTTAGGGCGTCCACGCTCGTACTGATCGTTCCACTTGACAAACACACCCAGCCTCTGGGCAGCCTTCAGCGCAAATGTCGGGTCACGGAGGAATTCGTGGCCTGCAAAAATAGCATCAGCCTTGTCCTGCTCCAGGATGTCGTTGGCCTGCTCCCCGTCAGTGATGATACCTACAGCACCGACAAGAACGCCAGGAGCACCATTCTTGACCTCAGTCGCAAGAGGCACCTGGTATCCACGACCGACAGGAATCTTTTGGCGCGTATCATTGCCAGCTGACGAGCAGTCAACAAGGTCAACGCCCTCCTGGTACAGGATCTCAGCTAGCTTAATGCTGTCCTGTGTAGTCCAGCCACCCTCAACCCACTCAGTGGTGGAGAACCGTATAAACAGGGGCTTCTCAGCAAGCCACACATTGCGCACGCGCTGGACAGTCTCAACTGCAAACCGGGTGCGGTTCTCGAACGAGCCACCGTACTTGTCGGTGCGGTGGTTGGACAGCGGCGAGTTAAAGGAGCTGATCAGGCAGCCGTGAGCACTGTGAATCTCGATAAAATCGAATCCGGCCTTGTCAGCGCGCACAGCAGCATCAGCGAACGCCTGCTGGACAGTTTCGATCTGCCCAAGCGTCATCTCTTTCGGCTCCCAATGGTTATCATCGTAGGCAAGTGCAGATGGACCGTAGACGTCCTCGGGCCAGCCACCCTCGTCGACTGAGGCGCGGAAACTCGGACGCTTGCCATACTGGCTGAGTGGAATGGTGCTGGCCTTGCGGCCAGCGTGCGCTAGCTGGATTCTTACTGCAGCACCAAAGTAGTGCTCGTAGTCGACAATACGCCTGAGGCCGGTGATATGCTCGTCCTTCCAGACACCGAGGCATTTGGGAGTGAGGCGGCCCTCGGGCAGAACTCCTGTAGCCTCAATGAGAACGGCACCCGCGCCGTGCATGGCAAACTGGCCGTAGCGCGCCAGATGGAAGTCGTTGATGAACCCATCCTCTGCAGAATACATGCACATGGGGCTGACCCACAGGCGGTTCTTGAACGTGGTGCTGCGGATTTTCAATGGCTGGAAGAGCTTTGGCAGCGGGTTTGGGCTCGTTTCTGAAGTAGCAAACCCCTGCTTGATCTCCGAAGAAGTAGGCTCAATAGGAGTTCCAGGCGACGGATCCTGGGTGAGCATGTATGTGGTGGCAGTGGTGGCAGTCGGGGCAGGCATTGTTTGAAAGAGCTGCGTGATAGAGTAGTTCAGATTATAGAAAATACAGAGAATGTACGTTGCAGTGTTGATAATGACGTTGCGATGGTGGTAGGTCGGAGTAGATGATGCTTTTATAGGTAATAACGTTGGGTATCATTAGTAATCCCACTGCCTAAGGTGATATGTACAGAGTGACAAAAGCACGATGTACTGTGGTCACTCGGCTAGGACACAATCTGGTGAGCCACGGAACTGCAGTGCAACAAAAAATGGGAATCACGACTACAACGGTAGCAAAAGTAGCCAGTATGCTACACCACTCATTTCCGCGACTCTCAGCAATGGGGTAAATTCACATCAACAAGAGAACGCAGGTTGGCACCTTCTGTTAATCGCATGTAGATACTCCATTACATAGAAGCAATTGATGAAATTCACAGAGCTAATTTGTCAGCTGTGATCGCCACGTCAGGACAATTGCTCAATGTTGGGAAGTGGTGATCACGTCATGTTTATTACTAAACCACACCCCATTGTGGAGATGACGCTGGTCGAATGGACCATAGTTGATATTGAGAGACAAAGGTTTGTGATAGAACCATTCTCTGTTTATTGCCTGGTTATGTGGAGGATGCACCCATCTACTCTCAGCTCTCAAGACTGGCAAAGTTGCTATGCTCCTCGCTCAAGACTATTTACCTTGAGGTGCTCATATGTCTAGCAAATCCGCAATGTTTGCGGCGATGTTGAGGAATCCAGCCAGCTAGGATACCGTTTCCTTCATAAAATCCACAGCTCTTGGCCAGAGATTAAGCGGATATGTTGGCGCCAGAATTCCGCACGAAAAACGGAATAAAATTGTAATTCCCAATCTACACCTTTGCCCACAGTCCTGGTTGTTGGGGTAGATATTTGTCATTGCAGGTTCTGTATTGTCGTGTGTCTGCGACATCTGGGCTTGAAGCTCTGAATCGAGCCTCTGAGTTGGCCGATAAGCCGATGCTCTAATGATTACTGGTGCTTGGGGATTGCTGCCCCACCCAATGTTCTATATATGGGCCATATGTATGCTGGGCTCTTCCATGGCCGTGCATAAGTGCCCAACGATGGCTAATGTCATCGTTGTTGCTGTGCTGTGCGGAATAAAATCTTTCTATATATCATCTAAATTGTTGATGATGTACAAGAAGTGCAAAGAACTAAGAGAACCAATCCAATCGATGGCTGGTGAGGTGACTTTATATCTGTGACTATTTTTTATTTTATTTTGGGACACCACTATGACAATACCTGTTGTTTCAAGTGCACATAAGGGTGTGAATGCAGAATGAATTGAATTGTGTTGGTATGGAAAATGAAATGTGGAGGATACCCTCTGTCTTTTTATAGAAGGTAGTGTGTCGGCACATTACCCAGTATCTCCTAGCTAGTTATTGTAGTAGAGCTCCCCCAACCCCTTCGACTTGTGTTGTAGAGAGTCAATAGCGGTCAGCCAAAGCCAAGCACTGCTCATTAAACCCACTCACGCAAGCACCGCAAACGAGAAAGAAATAAGATGAAAGAAGCGTATTTTTGACCAGCGACGACGATTACAAGAAACTTGTGTTTCTTGTAGAAAGAGGAAAACGCAAGGTGCAAAAGAGCATCGGTACAGCTTTCCAAATGTCTGTGATTCAGATGCTGGCTGGGCAAAGCAGGTATTAATAATCACAGTTGTCTTCAACTTGAGAACATCAGCAGCGAGCCGTTTCTGGATACCCAAGAAAAATAGCTGAGTGCAGCTGGTCGTTTCAGTATGGCTTCTGTGACGTCTAAGAACTTCTCAGTGTGAAAAGTGATATCTATAAGTGATAACTGGAGAAGACAGGTAGAAAATTACACATCACGAAAAGCGCACGCTCTGGCTACGCCTTCATTTCAGTCTTACTGGCTGTACTCTTTGCGTTATTTCTCAGCACCCACTCATACAACGTAAATACCAGCGACGCCTGGATGCCCTTCCTCAGAACACGCAGCGAGATGCCCCTGAAGAATCCCAAAAACGACTCCTCTCGTGCAATCTTCACAAACGCCTGCATCACGCTCGTGTACTCGCTCGGACGCACCTGCATCCGGGTCTTCACCAGATCAAACGGCTGGGTTATGTACGATGCTGTCAGTCCACTAATGACACCCGCACCCATGGTGACCGTGGTCTCGGCCAACTTGATATTCTGCTTGGCCGCCCATGCGCGCTCGCGCTGCTTTGTAGCCTCGTACAAAAGCATGTAGAGTCCGGCGTACGGTGCATCTCGGATGGCCGTTGGCACTGCTCCCACAAAAAACCCGCGCAAACCCTGCGTGCGCCACATATCACGCAAAGCGTCCAGTATGCCGTGGTACTTGTACAGATTGCTCTCATACCGCACCTTGAGCACCGTCCCGGGCATCAGCAGGAATCCAGCAAAGGCCCGCGATGAGGCGCCGACCAGCATGTTGCTCGAAGGACTGAGCTTGGTGCGTGTCGGATCGTGGTGCACGCGTCGTTCGAGCGCCATGCATGCATTCCGTGTGTGATTCAGAAAGTAAAAGTAGAGCGAGGTTCCAGGTGCGTTTCTAAGGATATTTGCGGATTAGGCCATGGATCAGTGGGCGGGGGTTTGTCTGGGGGTGACAAAATGTGGGGTGGTTACTGCAGGTGTTATCCAGACTCGATGCTTAGCATCAGAAAATCCAGGGATCCAAGAACTATGCTTACCTAATGAGTGTCGGGATGGTGCCGCGCCACAGCCCGCGCACGCCGTCTTGCGCTACAACAGCCTGCGCTGATTTCAAAATCGAGCTACACCCAAGACAGTACATATCAGCACACGTGGTCAGCAATACCTGTGCCCATGATGGTGATGAGGAGTTACGCTGCATGAGCCATGCGTCAAACAAATTCCTGCATATCGCTTATAGTTCACGGCAACACGCAGTAGGCTACGAACAACAACCACCCCCGCCAACTTGCCCATCTGCCAATGGTCGGTAATATATCTCAGAAGGCGAAATGATATGCATGCCGTTACGCTTGCTCTATGTCGCCACCGCCATCACTCTGGTGCATTTGCAAGGCTCTCGAGAAAGAATAGGGCTACTGCGCAAAATTTGATTCATTTCCAGCCCTTACCTTTGTCGGAGAACCATGGCCTGCTGTGTGTAGCTCTGCTGCATTCGTGTCTTTAGCAGGTCAAACGGCTGGAGTAGGACGCATGATGTGACGCCCGAGAGCGCTCCCGCGCCCAGGTGCACAAACGATCCGCTCTTCTTGCCGTCGTCCATCGTCTTTGCTTCTCTGGTGGTATGTGTGCGTGGGTGAAGATAGAGCGCGTCTCTTTTATAGAGGTTGGTATAAATTTGTATAGGAAAGGCTGGAATGAGGAGGGGCAAATTGGTCGGTCGGTGGAGCAAGCAGGGAAAATATAGTTTTGTGGGTGGGGTGTCTGGCAGAGTGGAGAGGAGAGAGAACACAGCATCGAATCTTTCATCAGCACCATGCTTTTGTCTGCAGCGCGGGAAAAAAATTTTGAAGATAAAAAACTCCACACATCTGGCGAGATCAGACAGGTGGGTCCATCAAGTTGCAACAACGCCTGTAGCTCACGGAGAGAAAACAACCACATCCCCGCCCACAGCCCATGGCGCATACAGACCCGCTGCATCTACAGCGGCAATGCAGTGCTGCCTGTCAGCAAATTACCCACAAGCACTCGTGTACCCGCCAGCTCTGATGGGCAAACAAATCAGCGCACGCTGCCTGAAGCGAGGTGCATCTTACGCATATCACCATTTGCACACATCACGAGGAAGCCCATGCCCAACGCATCACGGAAAAGACGGCGCCGACAGCAAACAGGCAACCAGACAGGCGGGCCCGTGGCTTCGTCATCATCATCATCACCACCACCACCGCTATCAGCCGCAGCAACACCAGCACCGCCACGGGCGATTCCGGGGTTTGTGTACGACGCAGAGAAGAAGCGGTACTTTCCTATCACTAGCAGAGCAGCAAATGCAGTTGAGCAACGTGCTGAGCAGCGTGAAAAACAGCGGGTGGAGCGTATCGCCCGAAAGCAACAGCAAGAAAAGAAGCGGCATAGCAGTATGTCGCAGTGGTCACGACCCGCTATACTACGGCACCGAGCAGCGTTAGCGGTGCCAGCAACAGCTGCCAACTGCTGGCTGCGGTTCGCAGGCATGCAGGCAACCCGGCAGGTCAGACACCACAACCAGCGGTCTCCGATCACCGCTCTGTTTGCGTCAACGGTGCCGAATGGCAGTACGATACTGTATGTGGGCAGGCGCAACGGTGCAGTGACACCCATGGGGCTGACAGCAGAAGGCGAGGTGGACAGCGCCTTTAGAGACATGGTGCTCAATGGTCCAGTCACCAGTATCCAGGAGCTGCGGCCCAGCGCGTTGCTGCTCGCAGCCATGGGAAACTCGAACTCGGCTGGCGGGCTCACCGTCTACAACACCAACACTGCAGACGCTGCCGAGCACCTTCCCCTCTCGCACACGTACCCCGATGCCTCTGTGTTTTGTGCAAGCAGGCTCACCGACGCAGCCTCTAATCGTGTAGCCGTTGGTCTCACCGAAAAGGCAGTCGTCAGCACGGTCTCCAGCACGCGGATTCACGATATCTTCGATGCCACCACAGGCTCGGATATCCTAAGCACATGTTTTCTTGATAACAAGTCTCTGTTTGCGTGCGGCGGGCGCGATGGGCGGATCCGGCTTTTCGACCTACGGCTTAACGCCAAGAAGCAGAGCCGCACGCGTGGACTGCTCTCCTCAGACGACGTTCGGCACGCATCGTGCGTCTATGCAGTCAGCTTCTGTCAGGATCTGCTGGTAACTGCTGGCACCGACAACGCGGTCCGGCTCTGGGATATCCGGATGCCAAAGGCATGGGACGAGAGCATGATGTACAGCCAGCAGCGCCAGTCGGTGCTGGCCGTGCACCAGCGGCCCACTGTGCAGAATGTGGGTACCATATCGTGCCAAACGCGTGCAGCGGTGGGGCTGGGCCTATGGGCACACAACGATGTCATTGCGGCCGCCAGTGTGGACAACATAGTCCAGCTATGGCGGCTGCCAGGCGCCGAGCCGCTGTGTTCGTTTTCACTGCCTGCTGCTGGCGGTCCCTGCACAGCAATCCATGTAGGGTTTTCCCAGTGGTCTGTGCCGACCACATTTGCGGCCCAGGGCGACAACGTGTTCGTTTTTTCGCACCGGCCAGCGTGACACCGCTGTTCCTTGGCAAGCGGCACCCCTGCGGTTACACACCTCGGTCTGGCACAAAACCCGCATGGCTGCGTGGACCAACGAACAGGCCCAGTTCCTTAGCCATCTCTCTCCGCCTTGTCTTCCCCAACCCCTGTTCCCTCTCAACGACCAAACGCAGGCTACTGCCATCGAAATTGTTTATATTTTCAAAACTTGTTCGCTGCCAGAATAGCGGCGTCTAGGCCTGCTCGGCCGAGGAGCGGATCTACGAGGTGGGCTAATTAATTGCTTCCCCAGCCCAAGCCAAGCAATTTGGGGAGAGGCGAGCATTTGCGTCTGGCTTCTTGCTCGTTTTGTCTCCGTCTCCGTCTTTTCCTCTCTTGCTCGCTCGCTCGCTCGATATCTTAATATTTTTCCTAGTTCCTTAATATCCCTATTTTTCTTGTAGAAAATACCTAGTCCCCTGTTCCCACTTTATACTAATAATGCCCGGTGCGCCAGATATGATCGATGCCATTGACGGAACGGGTTTTGATGACAGTGTGCTGCTCATGAAAGGCCAGGCGAGCCTGTACTCGTCGCAGGGGCTGCTCAGCGGCATACTGTCGCTGTACCGCGACCGGGCAGTGTGGAAGGAGACGTCAAGTAAGTGTACCTAATCATTTCTGGGCAATAGAACCTACGCTCTAGTGCATCGGTTTCATGTGACGGCAAAGCAATACCGATCTACCGCGCTCTACAATGCACCACGCATACAGGTTGCGGAAACACAAACAAACCGGGGATTGTCTACGATAAGCACAGCCCAATTATGCTCTGCTGAACCACAGTTCTAACATCTCGGCCTGTACCCGTAGACCGGTCATCAAACATGCTGACGATTTCAACGGACGTGATGTTTGGTGCCACGCTGTCGCCGACCAACAAGTTCAAGTTCAAGTCGTTCGAATCAGCATCGGAGACGAACCTGAAGATTGAGTCGTCGACGCATTTCACTGTGTACACAATCATGGCCCGCGAGAAGGGCAAGCGGCCGCTGTGCGATACGTGGACATTCATGGTCGAGAGCGAGGAGGAAAGCGCCACCTGGGTCAGCCTACTGCGCTGCGCAATCCATCCCAACATCAACGGTAAGTAAACTAGTCACTTCTCTTACTGCCTCTGCTGGGTGGGGGCGAGCAGTGCTTGACCAACGGCGGCAGTACGAGCTTGGCCATTGTGGGCGCCATGCAGGGCACCGTTGCTGCTGCTGTTGTTTTGGCGAGCTATTCTCAGCAAACTGTCTGCCGACCTCATGCGATTGACCAAAGCCAGCATGCCGGAGAGTTTTTCTTCCCACAAAAAAGCAGTCACTGATGGCCCGCATTATCGTTCTAGATCGCAACGTCAACGTTCTGGTACTGCTGAACCCCGTGTCGGGCAAGCGGAAGGCGATCAAAATCTTTGAGACCATTGTCAAGCCTATCTTTGAAATCGGCGGTACGCCCTACACGCTGAAGCTGACAGAGTCAGCAAACTATGCGACGGATCTCCTAAAGAACGAGGATTTGTCGTCCTATAGCTCCATTGTATCGGTCAGTGGCGACGGTCTCTTGCACGAGATCCTCAACGGGTTCCTGCAGCGCGCTGACTGGCCAAAGTACCAGTCGCTGCCGCTGGCCGTGATTCCTGCAGGCACTGGAAATGGACTGGCCAAGTCCCTCGACTGCATCTGGCCCGAGCAGGCTGCAGTGGCCGTAGTCAAGGCGGAGGTGCGACCATTGGACATCATGAGTGCGACGCTGGGCAGCGGTCGCACCGAATACTGCTTTTTGTCAATGACGTGGGGGCTGACAGCCGACATTGATATTGAGTCGGAGCGCATGCGGTGGGCAGGTGCTGCGCGACTCGACCTGTACGGCACCATCCGGCTGATGAACCTGCGGTACTACGGCGGCCGCCTACACTACCTGCCTGCATACGAAAACGACGAGGGCCCCGCAATGGCTGCATCGAGCGGAAACTACACTGCGGGCACCAGTGCGGCATCATCGATGGCCAATATTTTGGCTGAGCGTAACAACCACGGAACAGATGATGCGTGGGGGCTGCCGCCACCCAGCTTTTCGTCCCCGCTGATTCGCAATTCGCCAAAGCAACTCCCGAAGCCGCTGTCACCACAGGTACAGCCTGCAGTGACACTGCGCCCGACGCTGACAGGCGGAATCCAGCTGCCGGTCCAAGACGGCACACTGCCGCCGCGCTGGAAGACCGTTGAGGGGCCGTTTGTACAGGTGATTGCCACGAATGTGCCATGGCTAGCGCCCAACTTCCTGGCGTCCAAACACGCGCGCATCGCCGACGGTATGATTGACCTGGTGTATTCGGGTGCTGCTAGCAAGTGGCAACTGATTCCGTACATGGCAAACTCGGCCAAGGAAGACTATCTGAACAAGGGCGAGGGAATTGAGCACGTAAAGGTGCGTGCCTTCATACTGGAGCCCAACGGCCTGCGCACCACCAGCAAGAGCCCTGAGACCCACCATGCCGTGCAGCACCCAGACACAGCCACCGGCAGCATCCGGTCCAAGTCCCTGTCCCCCCGGTTCGACTCGATCCGCTCATCGTTCAGCTACCGCAGCAAAAAGTCCGGCGGCTCGCAGGTCACCGTCCCGGCCCGTGTCCGCAGCCAGAACTACGCTGCGTACCACACCGCCAGCGGCCGCAATAGCTCGCTGATGGCCCAGGGCTTGAAGCAGCATGACCAGGAGGACAGCAGCCGGAAGCTGGCCGTTCCATCACCTGCTGCCTTTTCCATGCGCTCGAGCACGGCAATTGCACAGATGGCAGTCGAGGACCGCACGCCACTGCCGGACTTTGACGATGACACAGCGGATGTGGTCCGGCATGCACAGTCGGAGCAGCGCGAGCTGGAAAGCCCCGCATCCCCCGAGGTTGATGGCAGTGCTGTGGAAAAAATGAGCGGTGGGTGCCGGCTTGTTGGCGAGCACGGAATTGTGGATCTTGATGGCGAGGTTGTCGAGTTGGGACCGGTGAAGATTGAGGCATTGCCAAATCTGGTCCGCATTATCAGTCCGCCGTGGCTGAACGAGGACCGGTCGAATCGCACCATGGCGATGCCGGCTATGAAGGCGCCCGAGCTGATCCGCGGCACGCTGTCCCGCGAGGGCTCGTTCCTGAGCTTTGCCTCAGCGAAGTGAGAGGACCCCCAGATGCCATATGCGCCATATTTTTCCCACCATTTAAGCCAATCGCTACTTTGTTCTCCATTCGTGCTCTGTATTGTCTTGCTTTGTGCAATTGCAGCTTTGTAGCGTTTTAAGCTATCAAGCTTCAGCAGTTTCCGAGTCAGATAGGAGGCTCACGTGTATGTCTGCTGCATATGAAGGGTGTATGCGAGCGTTCCATGTCTCTTGTCTTTGTACAATGGCAGAAACAGGGACAGACGGAGTCGTGAATACATAATTGGAGAATACGGAGTTGGGTTCTCTGAATGCCGCTTATTCGTGAAACATATACACGAGACTGCTGTATGTACTGGAGCTTGCAGGACATCATGAATTCGACAAAACTGGTCAATCGCTGGAAAATAAAAGTACAGTTTTCAGGAACTTTATGATAATACGTCTAATTGGCCTTATACATATACGCTTCTTGTGTCGAAATACGACAGCGAGGATGGCTCAAGTCTCAGGCGCGTACCTGTTCATCTGATGGAGCAAGTTGCTACATGAAAACTCGGCCATTGCACAGCATGTTTGTTTGGCAAATCCCCGGATCCATACGTGCCCAACCCGATAAGAATTTGTCACTCCGAGCGCAAATATATGCCTTGTGCTCCCAAGATGACACAGCTTGCCTTCATGGTCTCCCCCAAAACGGCTTGTCGATGCCGAGCAAACGGGCAGCAGAAGGATAAACAATGGTGTGTTCGGTGCTGCACCAAATGGCATGGAGAAACATCTGCTGGAATACCCGTCGCCGTGACCATTGTGCCGGGAGTTTCTTTAGCGGCGACTTGGCATGTGAAAGCATACATGTTTGAACGTCTTGGCGCAAGACATTGTTTAGAGACAATGTATCGGGCTAATGCCTCGGCAGTCTGGTCCCCCACCATACTATACATAGCCCAGAGCGTCCAAGAGACGCTTGTCTTGCTAGCTTTGCGGTCCTCAGATCGATAGGTGCAGGAATTTCGCGCACTGCGAACAGCCACTATTGTGAGAGTGGGAAACCACAGGGAGGCAATGTGGAACAGATCCCACCGCATCTGCCTCTCTCATCCCTTGCAAAAAAATTCACCGCCCTCTAAAATTTGTGATTGGCGGTTCTATTCTTTTTTTGCTCAGTTCCTGGCTCTTGTAAAATGCAAACAATGGATCCTGGGCAAACGTGTTTTCGAAATAGGGACTCCAATTTGCACAATAAAGAATAGCGCTCAAGTGCGAACATTGAGCACGGGCTTCCAGGACCGGAAGTGGTGCAGCCAGCAGATCTGTACTGCGGGAGCGCTGTCCCAAACACCAGTCTCCACCGGCCTGCCTATGCTTCGACCGCAAAGCAGCTTCCATCGAGCCAAGAGCCAAGCCGGACACCACAGTGGTTTATCTGACAGCATCGGCGGCCGATACGTGCTGAGTTTCAAGCCGATACTCTCCTCTGGCCGATTGGCCGCCACCAGTGTTTGACTCCATAGGCGGCAAGTCCGTTTGAGTAAGTGTGTCGCGGGGCCCTGCGATCGCCGACTTTTTGCTGAAAGGCGCGGTGCGGATGGCGGACGTGATACCGCAAGGAGCGCATGCGATGCCAGCCTGCGATCTTGGTGTGTGGATCCGAAAAAGTCAACAACTCCCCTTTGGCAGATCCTGCTGGGTACACGACGCATACCTTGCCCACATTCCTGCCCTGGCCTTGCCGAATGACCCTCTCCGCCCCCTTTTCCCTTCTGATGCAGAGCAAAAGCAGGCGGAAGATCCCAATATGCTTGCCATAGCAATCATCCGTTGCTGTTTTGGGGCAACGGGAGTCAAGTGTGTGAGAGCCTAGTATACCGAAAGCAACGCGTCTAATTCAGACAAGACACCATCATGACGCGGCGCCGTGTAAAACAACCCGCAGCATGCAACTTATATTGGAGAGTGATTGACTGTACATGGGTGGACCTATCCGCAATTCGCGGCTGTGCTGGCCGCCCCTCCTTGCCACCTTTCCCGAGAGTTAAGCAGAAAAGACCTTGGTCATGGACAAAGACAGCGTGCCCCATTCTGTCGGACACGCTGGCTCTTCCGGACGGAAGCATGTTTTTCTAATGCAAATCGCCATTCACTCGCACAGAAAATATCCGTGCTGGCGCTGTGTAGCCACCCCGCGTTTTGTTTGTTAGCAACAGGAAGCAGCAGGCGAATGAGTAACGGGCATGCCCCGATTTGAATACCTCGGGATTACACTCGGTGTTGCAGAAAGACTTGGTTTGAAGAACAAACACTATCGCTGGGACTGCCATACCCGGCTGCCCACGCCTGCCACGGTAAGCGTCGATCCTGGCTGGACATTTGGCCGTCAAGAACATCAGCCGATAGGATGATGCATCCACTTTGTGTCAATCGGTAGAGCAGCACTCCCTCCCTCCCTCGCATATACCTCTATCCTTCCTCCCCCACTATTGCTACATGCTCAAGTGCAGTGGGAAAGAGGGAGGGGGCTAAAATCAGTGCTAAAATCAGTACTAAAATCAGTGCTCCAATCATTGTCCCCTTGGGGGCACTGTCGCTTGGATGGCACAGGATGCACCGAGGTTGGAGTGCGAAAAGTACTAGGTCAACAGTGTGGGGCAGGTCGTGTGCCGGGTGTGGATCATTGCACAGCCGGTGCCAGGTTCAGTAACGGCAGTGTGTGACGAAATGACTGCACGCACAAGGGATCCTAGCTCCATGCGTAACCCTTGTCTTGCCATCCCACCCTAATCTACCTCAAATTGGTCACACATCCGCCCCACGCCGTCCCTTTCCGCCCCACACCGTCCCTTTCCGTCCCTCTCCGTCATGCTGTCGGCCAAAGGATTTGTGCTAGAACAACCCAAAAAAAGTGCGAATGGAAATTTCCCAGGCACCGATGGTGGTTTGCTTGCCCAGATATGCCGTACGGCATTAGTGCCAGCAGGCAGCGATCCGGCTTTCTTCATGCCATGGCTCTGAGGCTGGTACGAAGATGCAGTGTCCTGAGAGAAGCGCAATAAATCTGCAGAATGCAGCATGCCAACAGCTCCTGGATCTGATGTGGACAATACGTTGGATGAGATCGCCTAACGCTTTTCGACATGGATCATCTTTTTGCGGCCTTCCTCACAAATCAACCTTACCCGACGATGGTGGGGAACGCATGCTGCACAAGCAGTTGCAGGCACACTTGTGCAGATCACCCGTGGGGAATGAGCCTTGGTCATTGCTGGGCATTCCTCCTCACCAGTGACTCGAATTTAGCCAGTTGATCCACGTCACAGGTGAGCGCTGTTCTATATTTGCACACATCTTGTAATTGCAATACCTGACCTGGTTGCTCTACGTTGCAGTCGGCCAAACCATCACTGTGTAGCAGGTCCCTGACCTGGTCACAAAAGCGCACTGTGACGAATAGATCCAACTGGCAGGTGTGAGTCTGCACCGCCCCCAAAGTAAACAATCAAGATACATTCAAGATCCCAGACTCCGTGTGTACGAGAATTGGCTTGGTGCTTCGCCGACATGTTTACAAGCCTGCCCCTTCCAGATCACTGTTGTGTAATCCACGTGGAGGTAGCATGCCGTAGAGCTCCTATTATCTGGTGTGTTTCCAGGCATCCCCACCATTTATCTTCGTCAGAGAGTGACATCATGGCAGATATGAGCACTGCCAACAAGGTGGGTGCTGCACGTAGAAGAAATGGGAATCTGTGGTATGGTTGGAGGCTATTAATACACTGCATTTACCGGCCATCCTTCGGTCCCCATCAAACATACGCACTCCCGCAATCAAGCAACAGCAAATCTAGCCTAGGCTAGCAATTACTGATCCTGCTGTTGGAAAGAGCGTCTTACGCATTGTGAGGGCAGGTCTTTTGGCCACCCGGCTCAGCCTTGTCACAGGACTCGGGAAATCGCATTGATATTCGAATATATTTGGAACAGCTCGGGCGACACTACGCGTCAACAATCTTATCACAGCGAGTATACAAGCCGTTTCTGTGACCTTTCTGTCAACATTCAGCTCCACCGACGCACCGTTCAACAGCAGTCTTAATTTTTTGGTGAAGTGATCGACAGTATTTTGTTTCGAAAAAGAAGAAAACAATGCTCCAATGACAATGGCACACAAACTGGGTCAGACTTGTCATGGGTGATTGCAGGGTGCCCAAACACCCCATGGCTACCCCCAGGGGTGGGTGCCGGATGCTGGAACCCTCGCCTTTGCATGTGCTTGGACGCGCACCTCCGGAAGATTGATTCAGCAGGCTCGCCTTTATATTTCAACACAGGGACCACTCTCGGGCAGCTTCTCGCTCTCCATTCCACATTCCATACCCACCACCTCTTCTCCACACCCCTTCAAGCCTCAGCACCTTCAATCAGCACCACCTGTCAATTTACTTACAAGGTAACTAGACAGTCTGCATTTTTATGTCTGTAGCTGCTTTCCTGGCTGGGAGATATACACGGCACAGATCATTTGGCCCTTTGGTCAATCGCTAGAATTATTTTTACATTCGCTTTGTACCCTGCTTTCGGCTGTGCCGCCCATCACCAACACGCGCTTTTGGCGGCCCAGCTCCTCGCTGAGCTGCGTATTTAGAAAGGTCTTACCACGCATCTCGCTTCTTTCTCCCGGGAGCAGCAGCCGTTTTCTTTTTGGCTTGCTGATTGCACTGGTCTCAGGCGACCGCAGACCCACGCGTAGCCCAAAATGTCGGGTGCGCCCAAAGAAGGCTGGGTTGACAGGCAGATTCAGTTATCTGTCGGCCAGTCATCAAGACTGTAATTGTAAAGGCGCCTAAAATACATGGGTGGGGAGGGGTGGTCTTTGTAGCCCACAAAGGGCCCATTTTTATTGCTTGCCCCATGTCAGCCTGCTTCCGTATTTTTTATCTCAAGGCCTGTCCATCCGTCTTGAACCTTGGCCCTCCTCTCCCACCAGCCCACGCAAATCCCCCACCGCTGTGATTCCAGCCTTTCTCGTGCAGAGCGCCGAAAAAATTCTTTCGGCATTTTCTCCCCTTTTTGTTTACATTTCTCAGAACCCGCTTAGACTGGGCCGCCCTTTGCCTGCAGAAGGGTATATATTTAGGCCGCCCTTCCCCATCTTTCCAAATTTCTTTTCTTCCTTATCCCACTCACATACACATTATATTTCCTGCATTTTCTGGCATTTCGCATCACACACTACTATTTTTGCTGTTTGTCACTTTGCAACAATCAGCCCCACACCATCCATTACTCATCACCCACATCTCCATTCTTATAGCACTCTTTGCATCCACACCATCCACACCACTACTCTAATAATGGCCAGTATCGCTAGCATGCTTATCGACGGGACCTCTGCCTCCAGCACCCGCGGCTCTCCGTCCTTCTCTCGCGGCTCTACGCCTGCCAGCCTCTATGGCAGCGAGGTCGACCTTGCCATGGCCGGCAGCACCGGCTCTTCGCCGGTTCTGTCGTCGACGATGCCCACCCATCACCACCCCTACGGCCACCGGATGACGTCGCCCGACGCATCTTCGGCCGCACTGGTCTCAGCCAACCGGCGCCGCAAGATCCTTACCTCCCGTCCCCCCAACTCATTCATTCTCTACCGGTCTGACAAGCTGCGCGAGCTCATCCAGAAGTACCCCGAGCTCAAGCAGACAGACATCAGCAAGATGTGCGCTGAGAACTGGAAGAACGAGACCCCCGAGGTCAAGGACCACTACCGCCAAAAGCAGCAGGAGGCCAAGACCAAGTTCCTGTCCGAGCAGGCTATTGAAGTACAGAAGCTCAGCGGCAACACGGACAAGGCTGCTATCAAGAAGATCCAGCCAACCAACACCTTCATCCGTTACCGCACGGAGATGAAGAAGAAGCTGGCGAAGCAGTTTGCCCAGATGAACCAGAAGGACGTTTCACGCGCCTGCGGTCTCATGTGGAGAAGCGAGCCCGAGCACGTCAAGATGCGCTACCGCCAGTCGTACAACCAGGAGAAGCGCGACTTCGAGCGCCTCTGCATGACCTCTGCCATGGAGCCCTCGGCGGAAGCCCGCGCCGTCCTGGCGTCGGTTCTTGCCCAGGGCTCTGGCGCTGCGCCCGTCTCGGTGCCTGCGCCTCACCCGATTGTCACCACAAACTTGCGCGAGCAGCAGCGCCGCATCTCGGACTGCACCGTCGGCGGCTCGTTCTCTGCCCCAGTCTCGCCACCCCAGCCTGCGCCCGCCTTCCTGATGCCGCGCGAGGCCCGGGCCTCCACCGAGAGCCCGCGTCTGCACAATGCCACCGTCCACTCCGCCCCGTACAATGCCGAGCGCGTCTCGCTGCCCTCATGCGCCGAGCTGCTCAGCATGGCCAACCAGTCCATGGCCCGGGATCCCCGCGTGCGCAAGATCTCGGCTCCCCTGCCTCCCCCCTCGCACTTTGCCCATGGTAGCCGCTCTGCCCCCCACCCTGCCCACAGCTACGATTCGTGGCAAATGCGCCATGTGAACCACAGCGATGGCTACTACCAGTCGGTGCCCCACCCGTACATGCACTAAGAAGGGACTGTGGTTCGCAGCCCTGGCGGGCTGGCATTACCCGCGGTGCTATTCACATGGCAATCTCGAGGGGTTCTTGGGATTTGCCTTGCAAAAATCGGCTTGTTCTTGCTTCGCACTTGCTGTCAATTTTCTGTACTTTTTTATCTCTGCAATCCAACATTCAAAAAACAATTCACACTGCTCCCCACACTGGCGTTCTGAGTAGATGCACGCCATGCCAGCCCTAGCAGAAGGATTCACCATATTTCACCTCATGTTGGCTCGGCCTCCCGCATCGGTGCTAAAAATAGCCTGGCATTTAGGTCGGCGATTGGCTTCCCCCATGCGCTTTCCCCAAGCGCCAGCCGTTTCCACAGCGTAGCCAAGCAAAGTGGGCAATCGCTGGCTGATGCGTCCGCATGTTCAAGCCCTCGCCCTTTTAAAAATAGCCCTTGGCCGTGATTTCATTTGCTGCATTCTGGGCTGTCCAATGCCACTGTGACTGAGAGAGGAAGTGGCCGAATCGCGAAGCTATTACATACAGCACCGCGCTCAACAATATGCTGTGGTGCAACCGAGAACCAAGTTTAAATATAGTCATTTGGCAAAAAGGCAAAAGTGGATTGGCGATACCGCATGGGCTTTTAGGCATAGAGATGCGTGATAGCAAATAGGCACAGAAAGGCTGTCTTTCCACGAACAATAGATGGGTATGTGCCAAGTCTTTCCACGACGCGCGTTTCCTTCAACTCCTAATGCAAAAAGTGCTACTGCATGTCAGACGTCTTGGCAATCCTTTACCAGTTTTTGTCACAAGGCAGTTACCTCACAAGCTCCATCTTCAGCTGAGTGACATGCAGCTTTATCATGAGCCAAAGCCATGGACAATACACAGGCATGTCGACAATGTTCACATATCTAGCAGCGGATTTGCGTCTCCAAACTTCTCCCTGACAAGTACATAGTCGCAGTATGAAAAATGGACCGGATTTGCATCCAGTGCATAAACACGTGTTGCTGGGGTTGCCGTGCCAACATAGCAAGCTGTTGGTATTCTACACATTAGTATTCCATTGTGTGCCAGCCGTAGTCAATATTTGTTCATGAGTTGTCTGCCTGAAAATCTGAACCGAAGCTAATCCGACTTCTCTTTGATTCGCTCGATCCCGTATCTACATCTACAAGTTACATTGTGGAACAAGAGTGCTCTGTGGAAGATATTTGTCTATACTTCCAACTGCCTATTGGTTTTTGTCTGGTTCAGTTGCCTGACAGGTATTGTGAAGCTTGCTAGTGTGTTGTGCAGCTAAATACTACGTCTATCGAGCACCAGAATCTGCCAGGCAGATAAATACACACATGCTCTGTGCTTCCCCACGACAATGTAGACAGCACCGGATAAATTGCCTTGCTGTAAGGCTGCTGTGGTTACAGCATAATTTATCACATCTGTTGCCATTCTTCCGGAGGTTGACTCAGGGGCTGAGTTGGCAAGAAGGTTGGGCTGGGCCATTGGATGTGCGAGGACCTGGCTCTCATGGTGATGCAACCCATGCACCAAACTGCACCACTGGGCTCCTTGCTGTCTGTCTGTCTGTCTGTCTGTCTGTCTGCCTTTCTGTCTCTACGCTAGATGCCGGCTTGTCTGAACATCGCCAGTGCTCACCGACCTGACTGCCACCATCTGCTATGCTCGGCACCTATTTCCTCGAGCTTATTTTCTCACCACCTTTTCTGCCATCTTCTCTGCGATTGATCATCATTTAGTTCTGGTGTCATATGCCTCGACAAGCTTGCCGGCACACTGAGGCGGCAGCTGCGACCTTAAATTGCGACTGTTGTGACTGGCAGCCTCTGAAACAAATGTCTTTTCTTTATTCTCACAAACATGATTTCCACACATCCCAATGGCCACCACGTCGCAGCACTGGATGCTGCTGTTATGTGTGATCCGACCAAGATCCTCTGTATCCGTCAAGCATGCAGCAAGCCCATCGACAACATTTCTGGAAGCGGCGGCAGCAGCAGTGACAGGGACACCGACAACTCCGTGTACTGCTCGCCAGCCTGTCTCTACTCTGACGCACTCGATCGCCACCGCCGCCAGTCATCAGCACTCGGCAGCCCATCCTACCTCAACGCAAGCGTCAGGACCGATGACTCATTGCAGCTGCAACTGCAGAAGCAGCAGCAGCAGCCACCGTCACCGCCGCACATCTCCACGTCGCTGCTGATCCGCCGTGGCATTGATCCGTGGGCAGCACCCGACGACATTGCGCTGCGCCAGATCGTGGGCCGCATGCTGGCCGAGGCACTGGCAGTGCATGTGGCCTCGCCAAGCAATGCCGAGAACAGCTGGGCGATCGAGAACGAGGCATACCGCCTGTCGTACCACAGCGCCTACACAGCCGATGCCATGAGCGCCAGCAGGCAGTACTACCAGCACATAAGCATGGTGCTTGTAAGCCGCCTTCGTGCTGAGGGTGCCCTGGTCCACCTGCTGGCTGCTGGGCACATGCCGCCGGATATTCTGTGCCGCCACCTGGCGTGCGGGTAGGTGGGCAAGAGGCACAGGCCAGGTTTCATTTTTTTTTCTGTGCTCTCGAAAAACTCCAGCCAATGAAACGGCGCTTGCCATAACTCTGATTGTGCGCCTGGCTGTGGCCCGCAGGCTTAAATTGCAGCACGACAGGTTCGCCCTGCGGGCGGGGCTTCCCCCTTTTTCCCTTATCCTTATGCACGGGTTTTTCGCCTGTCAGTGAAGTTCCGACTGAGACGGTGAGTTGCTTTTACGCAAACTATTCAATACCCATTCCTCGGCTGGCTGCCCCTCTGGGGCGGTAGGCTGAGGAAATTTTTGTATGCCCCCGAGGGCAGCCCTTCCACCCACACCAGCTATCACAACAAAAGCAATGCGAGAGACGCTCCAGCACATGCACCACGGGGCATCGCAAGCACGCCTTTGCAGCTGTTGGAGAGCTGCCTGTCTAATGTGTGTATCTGTGCACTCCATGCCATGACTGCTGGCTGCTCAGAGTGTTAACCCCGTGTTGCTATTAGGACTATACAAGCAAAAGGCACATGTTTGAACGTGTGCTGAGTGTCTCTAGTGTCGCGCAGCCACTATCAATATCGACATAGGCAATAGACTAACTCGTGCACTAAATGCAGCAATAGCATACGCTTTTTTATATTATTTATGTTTTACAGGTGTTAGTGCCAAAACAGTTATTTTATTCCCATGCCATGACAATGACACAGTCTTGTTCTAATGCTACTGGTACTCTAGTGCTCGACTGTTGGCAAGCAGTGCTTTAAAGTCTGTGTATATGAATAGGATTTTGACTTATGAGCTGTGCTAGCTATTTGCTATATTATAACTAGGTTTCTTTAGTCATAGTCACAGACGCACTCAAAATATTGCAGATGGTTATAGACACCTTGCCTATTCTAGGTGTCTCTACTCATGAGCCTGGCACATTCTCATATATATAAAGTGCGCTTGCCAGTCGGGGTTTAACTGCTACTGCATTTTACGTACGAATTTTCTATCTGGAAATGTTTCACTGCCTATGAAGTATGGATAGTAGTGGCAGCATCACACCTTTTGCTTTACTTTGGCACATATAAGTGGTCCTCATTCTTATACCGTGCGCTGAGCATTCACAACTACCCACACGATCCGTGGCTATTTTAATGGTGTGGGTGGCAGTACTGAAGGTTTGGGTCAGTAGGACATTCTGATGGACATTATGACGCTGAACAACATGACGCAGGAAACATCAGCCAACTGAGCGAGATTCGTGAAGAGTATGATGAGAGGAATATTCACCGCTACAGACGAGATATCGGTGGATTGAGTGCTCAGTACCATGAGAATTTCGATTGGAAAGTCTTAGATGAAGAATCAAAAATAAGCAGTGGTGTACTCAGTGGTGACATACTGACAGAAATTATCACGCTGGAAGTCGAAGACAACTAGCAGGAAGAGTCAAACATGGAAAATACCTTTTGTATCGATGTCATTTACATTGGAATTAGCTTACTGGGACCTGGAAGCAGGCAACAGCAAGGATCCGGTTTGAATGAGAATAACGAGCGATGCCTTAGGGATACCACAGAACTAACACCCATCTCCTGCAAAACTGGCTCGGATGCTACATTTATCAAGGCACCAGTACTGTGTGTGGAAGGCTCAATAGTGGGTGACTCAGATGTTCTGCTGGAATCCATGAAAACCTGGTATTGTTATTTCCGCAATGAGCCTGCAGGCCCTAACCATATTTAGCTGCCAACAACCGTCAGGCTTTGGCAGCGGATAGTTAATGACCACACAATCTCTTCGTGAAAAGTATGGTACTGGTTACCAGCCTTGCTTACTAGAGTAGGCCATTCCTGTGACCGTTACTCAACATACCTAACATTTCATAAATATAAATATTGTGCTAATTTCACAAAATATGTGAAGCTGATGCATTGATAACACAGCGTGTCACTATGTTACAGGCGGAGCTTTAGTCACCAGCTTTATTTACAACCAACTAGTTATTTGTTCAATGCTTCTGGTCTGTGCTTTTCACGGAAGTGTCAAATGGTCCATGGACTACAAAACTGCCCGTGTGTCATGTGACGTGTTGATTGCACAGGGATTCACAGCGAATGTGACTCTCCCTTCAGCCGTTTTTTTATTGCTTACTCGTTTTCTAGTAATGTGCCTTAGGACTAGGGATTCAGCCCTCATGGAAATAGTGGCATGCGAGGACAATTATGCGTGTGTATCTTCCCACCACCATTCACATTGTTTGCACATTTATAAATCCCACTGGAAGGTTTTATGATAGCGCTTTCTCCTTACTTTTAACACCTCTTCTGATAGCCCACTATCTGCAAGACAGCATGGAGTTCACAAACAGCCCAGTGTGCATCAAGGACCTCGAACATATCGCCAGTAAGGTGATGCACCCCAGTGCTTTAAGCTACTACAATTCTGGAGCTGACGACGAGCAAACCAAGCTGGATAACATCGCAGCATTCGACAAGTACCGCATCCATCCACGCATACTTCGCAACGTCACCGCCATCTCAACTGAGACAACCATACTTGGCCAGCAAATAGCTACTCCTCTAGGTATTGCACCCTGTGCCATGCACATGCTTGCGCATCCTGCTGGCGAGCTGGCGACGTCACGGGCAGCTGCGCAGCATGGTGGAGTGATGATTCTGTCAACGCTATCTACCATCGCCTTGGAGAGAGTTATTGCAGAAGGCAACTCAGACATGCAATACTGGATGCAGCTGTATGTACTCAGTGACTGGTCTATCACAGAGAAGATTGTTCAGCGGTCCGAGCGTGCAGGTTTCAAGGCGCTTGTGCTAACAGTGGATATGCCAATCTTGGGTCGGCGCCGGGACGACATTCGAACCAGGTTCATTCCACCGCCACACATACACTTGGAAAACTTCTTTGACCCAGAATCTGCCAGCAACTCGGAAGGAGCTGCGCCAAGCACGTACAACGACGTGCCAGAACTTTTACTCGCAGCTAGTGTTGCAGGTGGAAACCCAGCTGTGACCTGGGACAATGTAATCCCGTGGCTAAAGTCCATCACCAAACTTCCTATCATTCTCAAAGGTATCTTGACCGCGGAGGACACCAAGCTTGCCATTAGCTACGGGTGTGCAGGCGTCATTGTGTCCAACCACGGTGGTCGCCAGCTTGATGGTACCCTGGCCAGTATCGATGCATTGCCGCATGTTGTTGAAGCAGCAGAGGATAAGATCGAAGTATACATGGACGGTGGTGTGCGAAAGGGGTCCGATATATTCAAGGCTCTGGCATTAGGTGCGCGCGCTGTATTTGTCGCTCGCCCTGTGCTTTGGGGCTTGGCATATGATGGGGAGGCAGGAGCTAAGCAAGCGTTAGATCTGTTGCAGAACGAGCTGAAGTTGACCATGATGCTGTCTGGGACACGTACCATTCAGGAAATCGATGATTCATATGTCTTGGAGCCAGTAACCCAGTGGATTCAGAGTTCTGTCCGCCGTCAGAAACGTGCAAACCACAACGATATTGAGGAGCTTAAAAGTAAGCTATAGCTAACTGCTTCTATTTATGCTACCATTGCGCTTGAGGTATGCTAGGAATGAACGCTACAAAGTTAGGATTTGTCTTAGTGGGTTTTAATAAACATTCCAAAAATAATGCAAAAGCTCGCTGACAACGAGTGTTGGATAGCTACTATAACCGTTCAACTTGCTCATCCATTTGAGCCTGCGGGAACGACTCAGCCGGCTCTAAACCAAAACGCCTAAGCTCTGACAGATTGGGCCCCGTCTCTTCAGAGACTATATGCATAAAACACCATTCCTGTATTGGGTCAACCATAGAGACTGTTCGGTGCTGAAGGAGAGCAAGTTGATTAAGAAGTGTTCGAGTTATAGAGAAAAATAGATATGGATAGAAACCTGTAAGTAGTGCCAATACTGTTCTGCACCAAATGTGAGATAAAAGTACCTGTTCTATTTCTCTTTAGTCCCTAGTATGAAGTATGATAAATGTCTGGAAGAGGGTGGTGTCTATGGCTTGGGCAAATACAAGGAGGAATTTGCTAGATCTCTTAACAAGAAAGCACAGAAATACGGCCGGGTGTTGACATTAAACCTCTCATATTCCTCACCTCAAATATATTTGATACTCTATTGTCCATCCAGGATAGACTATTCACCCGTCAGATAATCCCCTTGAAACCCCTACATTCACCTGAATCATGAGGTAGCCTCCTTGCCAGTGTACTGGCTGCGAGCTTCTAACACAATTTTTATGTACCGGCGGCTTCAAACCTCATTGAGCAAAAGAATGTTTCAAATTTAGAATGACGTTAAATTCTTTTGATATCCATCTCGACGTCCTCAGAGGTGCGCATAGCCATGGGCTGCCCTAGTAGAATCGATCATCCTTAGATTTTAAGGGAGAGACGTCAACTTTGAGTCTTTCAGTTTCCTTAAAGTGCATTTTTTTTGCTTACGACTCTGAAGTTAATGTCGAGGGTGGTATCCGAAATACAGTGAAAGCAGAGGCGCCATACAACATGATGTGCACTTTCATGTACACCACGAATCGTCCTAGTCATATGAGGATTGCGCATATGGCTCAGTTTTGCAGCTGCTCCAAATATGCTAGAATACTTTGGACACATGACAACGAGTCGATGTCACTGCGGTTACACCAGCTGAGAACGTGATATAGCAGGTCGTGAGGGAGAGCCTCTATTGTCCTTCTTGTCATAAAAGTGAGATGAAGGTGTTGAAAAATAAAATAGCTGAGGGAGCCTTATTGCTGCAGATACACGCACATGTTCGGTACCGCGTCTTTTGCTAATAACCAGCAAATGGCCGCAGTTGAAGCGTATTTACAGCTGGATATGAAAATTGACTATCAGCTTACTCTATACATTCGCATAAAGATACATAAACATAAACAAGGTGTCGCATATCCCCAAGGTGTTAGGGTGAATTTTTTATAGCCCTAATAGCAACACGGGGTTAACACTCTGAGCAGCCAGCAGTCATGGCATGGAGTGCACAGATACACACATTAGACAGGCAGCTCTCCAACAGCTGCAAAGGCGTGCTTGCGATGCCCCGTGGTGCATGTGCTGGAGCGTCTCTCGCATTGCTTTTGTTGTGATAGCTGGTGTGGGTGGAAGGGCTGCCCTCGGGGGCATACAAAAATTTCCTCAGCCTACCGCCCCAGAGGGGCAGCCAGCCGAGGAATGGGTATTGAATAGTTTGCGTAAAAGCAACTCACCGTCTCAGTCGGAACTTCACTGACAGGCGAAAAACCCGTGCATAAGGATAAGGGAAAAAGGGGGAAGCCCCGCCCGCAGGGCGAACCTGTCGTGCTGCAATTTAAGCCTGCGGGCCACAGCCAGGCGCACAATCAGAGTTATGGCAAGCGCCGTTTCATTGGCTGGAGTTTTTCGAGAGCACAGAAAAAAAAATGAAACCTGGCCTGTGCCTCTTGCCCACCTACCCGCACGCCAGGTGGCGGCACAGAATATCCGGCGGCATGTGCCCAGCAGCCAGCAGGTGGACCAGGGCACCCTCAGCACGAAGGCGGCTTACAAGCACCATGCTTATGTGCTGGTAGTACTGCCTGCTGGCGCTCATGGCATCGGCTGTGTAGGCGCTGTGGTACGACAGGCGGTATGCCTCGTTCTCGATCGCCCAGCTGTTCTCGGCATTGCTTGGCGAGGCCACATGCACTGCCAGTGCCTCGGCCAGCATGCGGCCCACGATCTGGCGCAGCGCAATGTCGTCGGGTGCTGCCCACGGATCAATGCCACGGCGGATCAGCAGCGACGTGGAGATGTGCGGCGGTGACGGTGGCTGCTGCTGCTGCTTCTGCAGTTGCAGCTGCAATGAGTCATCGGTCCTGACGCTTGCGTTGAGGTAGGATGGGCTGCCGAGTGCTGATGACTGGCGGCGGTGGCGATCGAGTGCGTCAGAGTAGAGACAGGCTGGCGAGCAGTACACGGAGTTGTCGGTGTCCCTGTCACTGCTGCTGCCGCCGCTTCCAGAAATGTTGTCGATGGGCTTGCTGCATGCTTGACGGATACAGAGGATCTTGGTCGGATCACACATAACAGCAGCATCCAGTGCTGCGACGTGGTGGCCATTGGGATGTGTGGAAATCATGTTTGTGAGAATAAAGAAAAGACATTTGTTTCAGAGGCTGCCAGTCACAACAGTCGCAATTTAAGGTCGCAGCTGCCGCCTCAGTGTGCCGGCAAGCTTGTCGAGGCATATGACACCAGAACTAAATGATGATCAATCGCAGAGAAGATGGCAGAAAAGGTGGTGAGAAAATAAGCTCGAGGAAATAGGTGCCGAGCATAGCAGATGGTGGCAGTCAGGTTGGCGAGCGCTGGCGATGTTCAGATAAGCCGGCATCTAGCGTAGAGACAGAAAGGCAGACAGACAGACAGACAGACAGATAGCAAGGAGCCCAGTGGTGCAGTTTGGTGCATGGGTTGCATCACCATGAGAGCCAGGTCCTCGCACATCCAATGGCCCAGCCCAACCTTCTTGCCAACTCAGCCCCTGAGTCAACCTCCGGAAGAATGGCAACAGATGTGATAAATTATGCTGTAACCACAGCAGCCTTACAGCAAGGCAATTTATCCGGTGCTGTCTACATTGTCGTGGGGAAGCACAGAGCATGTGTGTATTTATCTGCCTGGCAGATTCTGGTGCTCGATAGACGTAGTATTTAGCTGCACCACGCACTGGCAAGCTTCACAAAATATTTCTGGCAGAACCTCGCTTGCATATATTATGATCAGAGTATGAAGATTAGCGATTGAATCAGCCCAGCGACCAATGAGGTGTAGCAGCGTCAGCCAGGAGCGGCTCTTGAAAAACACAGCTTGAGCACGCCGCGGTCTTTGCCTCACTAGCACTCACCAACAGCGAACAGACAGGACCGACTTGCAACTCAGCTGGCAAGCAAATTCGTTTTTGCACATCTCTGACCTTACATCTTCCCCCATCTCAGTTCATTGGATAGATTCCTCCTCTTTTCTTATTATTCACTGCAATTATAGGAACACATCAAAAGTAGCAATGAAGTCGACGGTTATGTTTGCGCTGCTGGCGCTGCTCATGGCAGTGGCCACGGCAATTGAGTTTGATTTGACGGCTGGACATGACGGCACGCACGATCGGCGGTGCCTGTCGCAGTGGCTGCCGAAGGGCGTTCATGTGAAGGTAGTGACGAAGGTGCTGCCTGGATTCCCGGGACAGGCGCTGAACATGGAGATCCACGACGACAGCCCGCACATGAACCAGTACGGAGCGCGCAAGCACGTGGACGACGTGGTGTTCCGGTTCGACACGCAGGCGCACGCCAACGTGATTGTGTGCTTCCAGAACGTGCTGGACGCGGGCCAGGCGCCGGACGGGCGGGCGCTGACGGTGCAGTTCAAGATGCAGTCGGGCGCGGACGCGGAGGATTTCGGCAAGCTGCAGAGCGAGCAGAAGCTCAAGCCGATGGAGATCGAGCTGAGGCGGCTGGCGATGCACTTGGAGGACGTGCAGGATGAGCTGCAGTATCTGAAGCAGCGCGAGAGCTCGTTCAGAGACTCGAACGAGCATATGAATGCGCGTGTCAAGAACTTTGGCTTATTCTCGATCGCCGTGCTTATCGGCGTTGCAGTGTACCAGGTGCTGTCGCTGCGCCGGTTCTTCCACCAGAAGAAGCTGATTTGAAGGGGGAGTAATGAGGGCACATCGTATCGACATCAATAAATATCATTCGATTACACTGCAGCATCGATGTGGTCATCCAGTATATCGCTGTGTTGGCCATAAGGGCTGTGACTCGCAGCTCAGAGGTGTTCCTGATGACTTGCGGCTATGAGTGTAAGAGTTTGGGAGATCATCGCATATCCTGTCGTTTCTTTTTTTGATACTGTCTAAACACCAATGTCACAGCAGTACGCAGAGGTGCCCAAGGAGCCAGAGTACGAGGCAGCACCAGACAATGTTTCCGAGGGGCCCCTGACAGGCTCAGTAGACGACCGCATTCCGTCGCCGCCGACGCCTCCACACCTGCGCGGATTCCCCTCAATTCCCGGTATCAGTCAGGACCCAATGCAGCCGCCAGCACCCAATGCAGTCTCGGACATGCGCGCCTACATTGCGGCGACGCAGCGGCAGCTAGAATCGCCCGACCTATTTGATCCGCGTCACGGCGGCTACAAGAACAGCTTCAAGCATCCGGTGGAGCCGCAAAAGAAATGGTGGCAGAGGGTGCCGTCATGGAGCAGCGTGTTGCGGTTCACGGCCCTGTACATGGTGCTGCCGTTCATTACCGGCGTAATGGCCGGCATGGGCGAAATCTTCGCCAACGAGCTGATGTTCCGGTGGGGATGGAGGGGCGCAAGGCCGCTCATGGTCAAGAACCGTGACAACCGCGTCTTCCCGGTCGCTGACAAGCCAGGTGCAGATTTTAATGTTGACTGAAAAAAAAGAAGCGAGGAATAGAAACATAAAAGACATTAGCCGCGGCTGAACAGCCTGCCCACGACACCATTGGAGAGCGCATTCGACACCAGGCCGCCCATCAGACCGCCCATCAGGCCCGTGTTGCCGCCAGCGAGCTGGTTCCAGCGCTTCTTCTGGTCCTTGTCACAGCGCTGGTAGCCGATCAGGTTGGCCGAGCTCAGCAGCACGGCAATAATGACAATAAGTAGCCATTGGAACCTTAGGCTGAAAAAGGCCACGATGGCCAGAAGCGACCACACCACGGGCGTCACATATAGCACACCCCAGAACATGCGCGAGTCGCTTGCATTCACCGGGAACGACGGATCGCGCGACTCGAATATCCACTCGTTCGTGCCGTCCTCGCGCACCTCGTTCCACCACCGCAGTCCCACCAGCAGCCGCCCCGAGATGTTCTTCACGGTCCAAAAGTCCACCGCCAGCGTCAGCACGCACAGGACAAAGATGAGAATGAAATTGTCGGTGAAGAAATTGCCCAGCAGGTACAGCGCCAGGGCTCCGCTCTTGAACAGAATCAGGAACAGCAGCGCAATGGGATGGCTCGACACCTGGAACACGTTTTGCTGCTCGGCTGGTTGCTGGCCGGCTGGCGTATCCACCTGCACATTCAGGGCGCTCGAGTACCCGCCGTTGTTATTGTTGCTCATTGCGTGTAAGGAAGCGAGGGGGTGGGAGGAGGTAATGCGAAATTGAGAAATGAGATGGGTTGCGGAATACAAAGAAAAAAGCAGGCAGGCAGAGCGGTGTGGACTGAGGCGCCACAGCGGGCTTTTAAAAGAGCCCATCGGGGACTTGGCAGAGGGACTATTTTCCAGGGCTGAGCATGTGGAGCTTAGCACAACCACGCAGAATCTTTTATGACTTTGTGTATAGAAAAAGAGGAGAGTCGGGGGTGGAAGAGGGCAATGTACATGTCGAGGGCTGCAGCTTGGAGGCGCAGAGGGAGCGCTGCCTCGGCTATTCGTTGGAGCTGTTGTAGGCAAACTGGCGGTCCTCGGCGGGGGCGGGCGGCGACGTGTCGGTGCGTGGCTCATGGCCGGGCTCGACCCACCGCTGCATGGTGTATTTGGCGCAGCGGCCGGCGTTTTCGAGCTCCTGGATAGCCTTGGTGATGCCCAGATTGCTGAGGCCGTACATCTGCGGGCCGCTGGCATGTGTCTTGACGCCGACGCCGTTGGCCATCAGGATATCGAGGATCTGCTTCCAGACGCCGCTGGAGGAGCTGGCGCGGAAGGGCTCGTCGGGCATGTCGGCAGCGGTGACCTGGAATACGGGCAGTTCGCCGCCATCGAGGATTTCGGATGTGTAGACGCAGCGGGCACTGGCATCTTTGATACTGGGGCAGACGCGGGTGCTGCGGAAGCCCACGGTCCAGATGTACCGCACGGTGTGGTAAGCCTCGCGGTCCCACACGACGCGGCCCAGGTCGTGGATGCGCACCTCATCTTGGCCCTTGCCGATGACGATCGGGAAGACCACGCGGCCGCTGCTGTCGCGCTCCAGCGGCTCGATCGGCTTCGGGTCGCTGCGGTCGTCACGCTTGCCCTGCCGCCGCCGCCGCTTCGTCAGGCGCGATGCGTCAGACAGCGCGGCCACGTCGCGCTTACGGCGGCTGCGCTGTGTGTCGTCGTCGTCGTGGCGGGTCAAATCGGGCAGCCGCCCACCATTGTGTGCGCTGCCGCGCCACCCCGCCTCGTTTTCCGAGTGCATGCAGTCGTCGTCCGAGCTATCGTTGCATCAATGGAATGTCAATGTTTTGGACTGGAACAAGAACATAGAAAAAGAAAAGCAAACAGACGCAGTAAAATTATAAATGCGTGCTTACCTTGAGAGATCTTCGTCGACTTCCGGATAGGCCTCCGAGATCATGTCGAGTAATTGCCTATATCAAATGCATGAATATTTGTCCCCGCTTGGAACCACCTCAGCGCACGCGCCATCCAGGCACGCATTGCAAGGGATCCCCGAGAGACACGCATACGCAACGGCCTGGTTAGCATGCAGCGAATGGCGGTGCTGACACCCAGGTCTTTCCACAAAAACAGACACATACAGCGATACTTACTCGTTCTCAATGCGTGCGGTCTGGATTTTGTTTTTGATGCTGTCGTAGTTTTTCAGCAGCTCCGAACGTCTCTACAAGATGTGGGCATAGAAAATTCTGAACTCAGCGTGCACGCGCCAGCAAACACTGACATGGGTATTGGTATTGTTCCGCCAGGCCGGGAGACATGCTGTGGGCTATCTTACCTCCAGAGCCAGCTTGACCTTGTTTGTCAAGTCGCCGGCTATTTCTCTATATGACAGCATTTTTAAAATGAGTTGCGGCAGAATCTAAAGAGCAGAAAAATAATAAGAGGTATAAAATATCAAGGGGGAAGAGGAGAAAAATCGCAAAAGGAGAGATGAAAAGGACGGGGACAGGAAAAAAAGTACTGCGTGCCAGAAAAAACAGCTCAGCAAGGCAACGCCAAACAAAAAATGAGGGGCAGAGGGGAAAAATCATTGCGTTGAACAGAGCACAGCTTGGCGACCTCTCAGTCATACAGGCCCAGGGACTTCCGCCCAGTAACGCCTCCAAAAGGGAATTGAAAACATCGGCGACTGGGGGAGGAAATAGCACGAACACTAGTTTCTAGATTTTACTCATTGGCGGCCCTTTTTCAAGCAAAGCTGCCGACGATCAAATTGACTCCTTTCCCCTTATTTACCCACACTCTGGTGGACGAGCAGCCTGGTGACAATAAAAAGCCTTGACTCCAGTAGAAAGACCCGCAAGAGCCAGTGTTTGCAGCGGGGCGCCAGCACGTCTGCATGGAGGGCAGATAGGCCAGGACCGTGGGCAGGCCCCTTTCCAGATGAAAATGGTTGAGCAGTCGTGTAGAACGGAATATTTTACGCAAACGTATTCAGAGAGCAGCGATTGGCCGGCACGTGAACGCTCCATACCTCGCTGATTCGCAAAATTATTTCCCCGAAAGTAGAAGTTTTGGCAGCACTATTTGGTTGAGGGTATCAGGGTTATATCCCGTTTATATCTACATCGATTGTTTTGAAAATGGATTCTTCGCAGACCGATGTTAGCAAGCTGCTCGATGTGCTCAAAGGCCAAATGCCGGGGCAGAAGGTGTCAGCCGAGGCGATGGCTGCGCAGAAGCAAGCGCGAGACAGCACAGGCATGGATGTTGACGAGCAGGCCAGCGCGGCGATCTGGCAAGTGCCTGCCAACGTCGGATCAGACCTGACCAAGCCGTTTGTGCTGGGATCTATCTTGCCAATGTGGGACACGCTGGACGAGACGCAGAAGCTGAACATTCTGCTGGGCATTGCACACGTGGGCGTGGGCAAAATGCATGCAGCGCAGGCGGAAGCGCGGCGCGTATCGGCGCTGGCCAAATCGGACGCATCCAGCGACTGGGTACGTACATTAGGCAGCACAATCGGCGACGTCGGAGTGACGGGCAGGTTGAACGACCTGGAGACGCTGGGCGACCCAGTGCAGGCGGAGATTGAGAAGAGCGTCGCGCAGATGGCCGACAGCCTGGAGGCCCAGCAGCTGGCGCTGTCGACCGAGGCATTGAGCTACGTCAGCCCGCAGGTGGCTGCGGAAATGGCGCCTGAGCACATCCGGTACATGTACGGCGTGCCGCCTACCGAGGAGGAGGTGGCGCGGATCACCGAGACCGCATCCAGGCTAAAGATCACCATCAAGAAGCCCGTCTCGCGACGCCCGTCAGCACTGCCCACGCTCAGTCGTCGCGAATCGTCTGCCGATGCCATGAGTCCGGCCGCAAGCAACCCGGAGCTGGCGGACTTTTCGGACCTGTTTGGTGACGAGCCCGAGCAGGATCGGCCCGCGGGCGCGCCTGCACGGTATCTGACGGTCAAAACCTCGCATCAGGCCGACCACGCCGGACGGCTGGCGCGTCTACTGGCGGCCGCCGATGAGGCCGACGGGTCAGCGCTCCATGGCGACAAGGCGCGGCGGCCAAGCGGTCCCGCCGGCCGACCAGCGGGGGTTGGCGTGCGGCCCACACCGGGCAGTCCTGCCGGCCGACCAACCGGTGCTGGTGTGCGGCCCACACCGGGCGGCCACGCTGGAGCTCGGCCCGCCAACAAGCTCGGGATCCTGGCCCCGCGGCGCCGTGCAGCCCCATCCAACACCGCACTGCCGGCCAGCGGGCTGGACAGCGCGCGACGTGGGGCTGGCACAGGCACACCCGGGTACCAGGCACCGAAGCGCATTCAGATGGTGACGGTGGACGAGTCGACCACTATGATGCAGGCACGTGATACCACCCTGAAGGAGCGCCGCGAGCGCCTAGCCGAGGAGCGCGAAGCCAAGCGGCGTCAGCGGGAAGAGGAGCGCGAGGAGAAGCGTCGCCTGCGTGAGGAAAAACGCCAGGCTGCTGCCGAGGCCCGCGCCCACCAGCCCAAGCGCCCCCGCCGCAACAGCAGCGCGAGCCGCGACGCCGAACCGCACGCATCGCACGAGAGCGGCGAGGCATCGGCCAGCGACGATTCTGCAGGCGAGCCGCCAGCCGCTCAGCCCGACTACCGCATGTTCGCTGGCAATGACGACCAGGTGCGCGCAGTCTACGCCGAGACCAACGCGCTGACTGACGAGAACCGCCTGATCATGTTCAACTTTTTCAACAATCTGCCGCCGCCGCCCGGCGTCGTTGGCGAAATGGACATTGTGCTCAACCAGAAGGAGATCCCCGACGCACAGCACCCGGGCAAGGTGTGCCAGGAGCTGATGGTGCTGCAAGCCGACATTTCCAAGGGCGAATGGCGCAAGCTCCGCCGCATCCGCCGCTTATGATAACTTGTTCAACCACTGCTTCTGAAAGAAAAAATCTACTTGTTCTACAGATACTCCCAGATCCTGTTGCCCGGTGTCTCGGTCGGCACCCGCATCTGCCGCGGGAATGTCGTGTTGGCCTCGCGCACACACGCGCCCTCAAACAGCCGCATGTCTGCTGCCTCCAGCCGCTGGTACGCTGCCTCCATTGCCTGGAACTTGCGCTCCCGCTCCTCCCGCCGGTTCCGGCTCGCCTCCATGCGGTGGATCTTGTCCGCCCGCAGAATCGTCGCATGCCGCTCCATGTCCTCGCTGCTCATTTCCGGCAGCGCCCGCGGCGAGTCCGTGAACAGCACCTTCTTCATGAGGTCGTACCGCGGATCCGCCGAATTGTGCGTCGGCCGCCCGTCCATATTCTGCTTCATCGCCTTGGTCACCGCCTGCTTGCGCAAAACCCCCACGCGTGTGCGTGTGCTCAGGAGCGCCCGTGTCGAGAAATTCATTGTGTTTTGTTTGGTTTTGCCGATTTTGTGAGGAAGGAAATTTGTAGAAACGAACAAGCGCAAAAAAATAGAAATTGCTGCGATCCAAGATAAAATTGCCTATTCCCAGTCTAGCTCGCTTGATTGCGGCTCGGCTCGAAATGGCTCGGCGCCCTTCTAATACCAGGCTACAGGATTCGCTTGCCCAGTATTTACATGCCACTCTCTCTAAAAGCCATTAGACAACAAAACATAGCCCATCGCAGAGGACAGTTGATGGCGCTGTCGCTACGATTATTGCAACACATGTCATATTTTGTATTATAATCATTGCATCATGTATCCTATTCGCCTGCTACTTATAGTATAGGCCATGTATTACGAACAAGCAAGGTATGTACGCTTTATAAAGGGTTTACACATATTTCCTTCCTTTGAACGCCTACGATCCGCATTACTAACAGTTGTCTCTAGGCTGCCATTATAGCACACATCGCCAACATTCTTAATCAGCCACACTTGGGCAAGCTTTGTTCAGCCTTTTCTGTAGGTCAGCAAGGGTGTACCATGTTTCCAGTGTATGTTTGGTGCTGGTCGTGGCCCCAGTGACGAGGTAGCAAGGAAAAAGCACTCAAGCAGAAGCGAGCCGACATGTGGGTAATAGGGTTTATATAAATGAGGAAGGCCAAGCAGGGATAGGAAGAGAGCCAGGAAGAAATCCAGGTGTCCAGCGCCTACTGACTGAACTGAGCGCAGTCGGAGAAAAACAGAAGAGCCCTGCGCCAGGCCCTGTTCCCAGTCTGCACACTCCTTTACGCTAACGATTTTAGTCGCTTTTCAGGGACTGGCGGCCGTGTCGCTGTGTGCACGACACCACCATTGCTGCCATCCCAGCTCGGCACAGGCTTGTGTGTGTTAGTGAGGATCCAGGGTGGTGCTTGGGTGCTGGCGCTATGCCTGGCCCAGGCAGTCCTCATTTCTTCTGCACCTGTGGAGCCACCTATGGCCGACTACTGTGGTTGGACTGCCAGCCTGTGCCTACAGCGGCCGCTTTACCGGTGCGCTCTAAACAATGACCTCCAGCCGCTTCCCGATTTTCTGCGCTTTTTGTTGCTTCACCTGGCTTGTTTCCCAGCGCTCTCCAGCCATTCCGCTTGCTTGTATTTTTTGTTATTTTTTTGACTTTGGCTTTTGGCATTTAGCATTTGGCAGCAACACACCTGAATGGACCCAGACAGCAAACAGCTCCTGCGACCCACGCAGGTGCTCGACAGTTTCGATGTGTACGAGACACGCACAAGTCTGTACTTTGTTGGGTCGAACGAGTCGTCAGGGTACTACCGGGTAATGCGCATAGACCGGACGACAAAGAACACCAACGAAATGGTAGTCGACAACGGGACAGTCTACACCAAAGAGACGATTGCGCCAGTGGTTGCAGATATCCGGGCCAAGCCGGCCAAGCTTCTGGTAGGCGGGGTGTGCGGGATGCTAGGGCTGGTGCGGTTCACCAAGGGCTTCTACGTCTCGGTGGTGACGCGCCGCAAGCCTGTAGCGCTTCTGGGTGGGCACTACGTGTACCACGTCGAAGACACACGGCTGCTGAGCGTAGCTAGCCGACCCGAGCGGTCGGAGGCAGAGGACCGGCACATCCGCACGTTCCGCAACGTCGACCTCACGAAGAACTTTTACTACAGCCACACATACGACATCACGCACACGCTGCAGCGCAACGTGAGGATGGCACAGGGGGCCGGAAAGGAAAAGCCCAGCTACAACGGTATGTTTGTGTGGAACTACCAGCTGATCTGCAATGCCACGTACTTGAACGTCAAGCCCGAGTGGACGATTGCGCTGGTGCATGGGTACGTCGACCAGTCGCGGCTGGCAATCCTTGGTCGCGATGTGTTCGTGACCCTGGTGGCCAGGCGGTCGCGCGTGTTTGCCGGCGTGCGGTACCTGAAGCGCGGCGTCAATGGGCGCGGGTTCGTGGCTAACGATGTCGAGACCGAGCAGATTGTCAGCACTATGGAGCTGACATCGTTTGACCAGCCATTTGGCGAGCCATTCTCGAACCCGTACTTTACGTCGTACGTGCAACACCGCGGCTCGATTCCGCTGTTCTGGTCGCAGGACACTTCGGGGATGGTGCCGAAGCCGCCGATCGAGATCAATGTGCGTGATCCGTACTTTGTCGAGGCTGGGCGGCATTTCGACAGCCTGTTCCAGCGCTACGGCACGCCGGTTATTGTGCTGAATCTGATAAAGATCAAGGAGCGCACAAAGCGCGAGTCGCGGCTGGGCGAAGAGTTCTCGGAGGGGCTGCGATATCTGAACCAGTTTCTGCCCAAGGGCCGCAAGATCCGGTATGTGGCCTGGGACATGTCGCGTGCTAAGAAGAACCGTGAGGAGGACGTGCTGGCCATCCTTGAGGTCATTGCCGAGGAAACCCTGGCGCTGACCGGATTCTTCCACAACGGACCCGAGCTGTACTCGAATTTCATCAAGAGGCGCGACGCCGGAGATGAGCGCGAGTTTCGGCAGTCGGTGCGGTGGCAGACTGGTATTGTGCGCAGCAACTGTATCGACTGTTTGGACCGCACGAACGCGGCGCAAAGCATCATCGGCAAGGTGGTGTTGGCACACCAGCTGTATGAGCTGGGCCAGATCGACGAGCCGCACTTGTCGTTCAACACCGACGCCGCCATGATTATCGAGGAGATGTACCACGACTTGGGCGACACTATTGCGCTGCAGTATGGCGGCTCGCACCTTGTCAACACAGTACAGACCTACAGACGGAACAACAACTGGCGCAGCCATTCCAGGGACGTTGTTGAGGCACTTCGCAGGTACTACTCAAATTCGTTGCTGGATATGGAGCGCCAGGAGGCAATCACCATGTTCCTTGAGCGCTCACTACTGGAGGAGTGCAAGGGAGATGACTGCGTCGGTGCCAACAACCTCAGTCCGCTGGGCAGCCCGATTGCAAACCAGGTCAGCACGCTGACAACCTCGCAGTGGTGGACTACACTCGGCGATGAAGGCATGGATGAAGCTGGGAAGGAAAAGGCAGATTCACTTGAAAAGGACAGCAAGGACGACACATCGCACCGGGACGACTATTGGAACGAGTACTATCGGCCTCACGAGTACACATCTCTGGACAGCCTGTTCGTGGGGAATCTGAACAGCACCGCTTCGCTGCACCCAAACATGGACATCCAGAACATGCCAAGCCCATTTGTTGACCGCAGTGCAAAGACAGCACGCACCTATAGTCATGTTCGGCGCGTGCAGCAGGAGCCCCAGTGGCTCAAGTCTGAGACCGACGAGTACACCGATCCGACACGCGTGTCACGACAGGAGATATACGACAAGCTGTGCGCCAAGACTGTGCAGCCACAGGTGATCCTGCCCATAGGGGTCGGCGGCTGGATCACCGACGGAGTCAGTAGCCCGCTGCAGGAGCCGCAGGTCAGCCGGCAGGAGCTGGAGGAATACAAGAAATACGTGCATCAATTTGACGACCTGAAGAAGTGGATCGTGCTGCCATCAACCAAGCTGTATGCTGACGTACACAACGCTGGCGTGCGCACACCTGAGCGGGGCTCAGCCAAGAGCCCGGCCCATGCCGAGCCGCCAGCCACCACCAGCAAAATAAAAATGGACACAGGCGGCCTGGGCGTACTGGCTCTGGAGCGGCAGCGGTCGCAGACGCCGACACCAGGTATGCAGGCACACTCGCTGATGTCTCTGTCTGCCACTCTGCCGGCCCGTCCTGGCAGCCGCAAGATCACGCCGTTGGAGATTCTGCAGAGGTCACCCAGTCTGCGTGCCAGCGGGCGGCAGCGTGCCAACACATCCTCGGCAGAGCGTGGGTCGCTGTGGGGGCTGTGGCCCAATGTGCCATCGCTGGGCAGCAAGCGCAGCAGCCTTGTGGGCCAGCAGGGCTCGGGCGGAGGAGACTTTGCAGCCATGCTGCAGCGCCGGGCGTCGCATGGGCAGCTGGCGAAGCACGATCGTAGCAGATCGCTGGATTTTGCCAACGCATCATCACTGCCGCCGCGGCAGCCGGCGTTTGGGCAGCACGATGAGAAGAACGAGGCAGTGGTTACTGAGCCACGGGTCAGTGAGGCTGATTTGCGTGTGTACCAAGAATATGTCAAGATGCGCAAGGCGTTTCAGGGTCAGCTGCGCATTTGATGATATCGCTTGCTGCTCCATACTTGAAGTCAGGGGGCATATTGGGTATATAGATGGGGACTACCATATTTTTACGGCACATAATAAGCTACATGTGCTCTTATCTCTCTGCTCCATGCTGCCCAACTTTCGCGCCATTTTTGCCTCTTTCCGGACTGCCGAGGAAGAGCGGTCGTACCGCAACACCGCCATCCTCAAGTTTGCCTGCTTTGTCGCCATGTGCGCTGCCATGAGCGTGGTATCTGGCAACTACAAGCTGCGTTTAAAATCTCTGCCATGACACGTCTACTGCAGCTGCTACATCTTCTACACCTATGTCCTTCCCAATAAAGCGTGTGCTTGGCGATATCTTTACCTATATCTTTACCTATATATAAGATTTTATAATCTAAAAAGTGTCCGACCGTCTGCTAGAATCTTTTTAATTGATTAAAAGATAAACCTCTTAAGCTTCAACACAGGTTTAGGTGACTTGCTCCGTAAACTCCTTTTTGATCTTGTGCGGCATCTGACCTCATCGGTGAAACCAGGGTGACAAGTTGTTATTGTAGTGGTCACAGGTCTCCACTATATATCTCCATTGGTTCAGCGCAAGAGCTGCTCTCATTGTCGGTCGGCCTGATAACCTTCATGGTGTCATCATGGTGGTCATCACCGGCTGCGCAACACTCTTAGGATATTCATTCATGAGCACCTATTGAATAAGGCCATATGGCTCTTCTGGTGGTCATGCAATATTTGTAGGTTTATTTTATAAATTAATTTGTCTTATGAACATGCGTAAGCGGCAGTATTTGAGCCACAATGGACCCAGTCTGTATAGACTGATTCAAGAGACTGTATCAGTGCTAAGGGCCCCAAGAACTATGCAAGCCAGATAATTTTTAATAAAAATGTTCTTAATGCTATGCATACGCAATAAAGCAAAACTGAACAGCATCATTTCTCTTCTTACTTGCCTATTGAACTTCTCAAATGAACATTACCCGCAGCACTACTGTCATAAAGACATCACTTGGTGGTATTGGCTTCCGTGATTCTATGTTGCCCTGCCTAGAGCAATTTGCATACAGCGCCAATATCATCAAAGAGCATACATACATGCTTGCACGATGGATACTACTCCATCAACTAGCTGACGATGATGCTTTTGACCCTGCAACATTTGTGAAAAAGGGTTTTTTCGTTTTATTTATTTATTCATTTATCGCAACCTAAAGGCGAAGACTGTCATATCTGCCGAGGATTTCGTCAACCGGAAGGACAAGTCAGAACTGTCGAGCGCAGATTTCGGTGATGTAGTTAGATACCATATTTATGATTATCTATTGCATAATGGCGATATCGAGCTACATGGTGTACGTGAAATGAATCAAGTAGCAACATACGTGGATACCGAGCTGATGACAGCATACAAGAACAACATTGTGCTGCACTATGGCAGTTGCCTACAGCGGATTCTGGCCAAATTGATTGATATTCGCAGCCGCAAAAACACACTGCGCAGTACAATGGGCAATGTGTCTAAGGCTGAGTTCAATAATGCATGTCAAGTGTATATTTATACACCTGCACAGAAGCTCCGCCAGGCAGTTGCCTCTAGGCACCCTGATCTCAGTGTGCTCACCCCACCAATGCTTACAATCTACAACAAGCTGGCACCAGTCCTTAATGCCTATGATGCCAAGTACAGATTCGCCAAAGACAGCCGATACTATGATGCCAAGGTAAATCCACTTAAGCATCTGCGTGCATACATTCGCCTATGCCGGCTTATTGAGAATGAGCAACTTGGCAAGTCTTCTCCCCAATGCTTGCCTCTGCGGACATCATGGATCCCAGGCCATGTGCGCTTAGACAAGCAAGTAATCAAGCAGGTGTTTATTTCAAAAACACGTGAGCAGCTTACCGAGATCAGCGAGGCAAAGAGGGCAGCAACAGAGGCAAGGAAAGCAGCAGAAAAGGGCAAAAAATTGGCCAAGAAGGCTGCACGCGAAGCAGCGAAGATGCCATCAGATGCAACAGAGGCCACTGCAGCAGACATTCCGGCATGTTCCCAACTCGCGGCCCTACCAGAGATCGAAGAACCCAGCTGTGAAGTGCCATGGCCTTCTCCGCTGTACAAGTGAGTCATGTAAGCGGGCCATGGCACAATACAGGCGAGCCTATTCGTCTCGGCTCTTGAACCGCGATCTCGCAGCAGTTCTAAACTTCAGACTCATTTTCCAGTCACTCTGTGATTCAGGCAGTATTCCTGAACGGTTCCGTCGCTTTACAGCCATTGCTGCCAATGCTTCTGGCACCGCCCCTGAAACAAAGAACCCGCGCAAGAGGCGTGCAGCAGCAGGCGATTCTGTTGCCAGCAGCAGCGAGCCAGCGCTGAAGCGCCTACGCTGAGCAGGCCATCAAGATGGGAGATGTCCGTGATCGCCATTGCACCAACAACCACCCGACACGTTCAAATGACCGGTTCGCCGTGATGCCCTTATCGACGTGTCAACCCATGCTGACTAGCAGCCGAGCTCGCATCGCGAGCAGAGCAATTCTGGTATGAGGCGACAACTGACAGCATGCACATTAGCATTTAATCAAGGCAGGCCGCGTGATTAGGCCCGGATCGCCATCGCAGAATTGGCGTGCCGCGTCAGCCTCTCCCTTTAAAGGTCTGGCACCGTCTTTTCACGACAGCTACACTGCGCAAGCACAGCTTCTTTTCAATTCAAGTATCTTGTCTATTTGCCCTTTCTTTTACACAATGTCCACAATGCAGACGTCGAACAGCAAGCCCGCCGAGCAGCAGGCCCCGGCCAACGCGACACAGAAGCTGCCGACCACGGGCGCATTGGAGGAGGATGACGAGTTTGAGGAGTTTGAGGTCGAGGACTGGTCGCCTGACGCCGAGGATAAGGAAGACGCGACGCTGTGGGACGACAACTGGGACGACGACGACCTCGAGGACGACTTTTCCAACCAGCTGCGCGTAGAACTGGCCAAGGGCTCGCAGCCCGAGGCCATGGCAGTGTCAAACTAGACAGGGAGAAGAAAAGAAATTTATTGGGGAAAAAAAAGCCGAGTTGTCAAATAAAAGCAAATTAGTTCTTGGAGAGCCGGATCGGCGCATAGCAGTAGTTGGAGCCCTTGTAGACGCCGTCGGTGATGAACAGGTCGCGGCGGTCGAATCCCATGGTGACGTGGGGCCAGAAGGCCTCGGGCTGGAACAGCGCGCCCTCTCCGCCGCGCTTGCGGAACAGCTTGTAGATGTCCTGGCGGATAGCCAGCAGGTCGCCGTGCACGTCGGCGACCACCAGCGAGTACAGCGTGAACTGGCCCTTGTCGGCATCAGAGGCGGGGGTCGGCAGGCTGGCCTTGAACCGGCCCAGGCACACGGGTCTCAGGCGCGCCGACTGGATGCGCCGGGCCTTGGCGATGGCCTCGATTTCCTGGATGGTGATGCCGGCGGGCTTCAGCACCTGGTCGAACTCGGGCGGCGTCACCACGGTGATGTGGGCCTCGCCGCGCGACTTGAGCGTCTTCTCGGTTGCGTTCACCTGGTCAAAGAGCTTCTTGAATGGAGCAAAGTCCAGCGTCTGCTGCAGATACGAGCCGAAGGGTGCGTTGGCGGAGTGGTTGGCGAACGGAACCGAGCGCGCGTCCAGCGCAGTGCGGGCCAGTGTGTAGGTGGGCGCATCAGCACCGTACACGATGTCGCTGTTGCTGTCGCGGCCATAGGCAGGCGTGAGTGCAGCCAGGGCGCAGGCGATGGTGACGAAGAGCTTGGTCATGGCGGGCGAAGAAGGGGCAGACGGGCAGACAGGCGGAGATAGAGAAAGAGTGTTGTTTCTGAAAGAGCAAAAGACGACTATTATATACAATTGGGGATGGGTTGCTGTTGTAGTAGAGGGGGGACGAAGTGCGCTTTTGGCGCACCGGTTTGTACATCCCGCTGCACTAGATGCAAGCAGCGGCAGACGACTGGGTCAGCCCAGCAGCGAATTATGTTTATCTCTGGCTGACATGATGCTGCCACGTGCAATTGACAGCGTGAGAACTGGCTAGAGCCGACTGTTGGCGAAAGTTGGGCTGATTTTTCCATCGAAACTGCAAATGAACCGCGATTTCGTCGATATCTGGCGGCTGGGGAATGTGCAAGCAGGCTATGTAAGCTGCATCTGGCAAATCGATAGACGACTTTGTTGTCAAGGTGGAAAAGAGTTATAAAGACGGAAAGGGGGGAGAGAGTTTTTACTAAGAAGGGTGTGTGTGGGGGTAACGCCTTCCAGATTAAGCAAACACTGATAGGGGGGACATTTGGTGTCCTTACTCCTTGTCCTCGACGGCAGTCTCAGCAGCCTCGGCGGCCTTGTCCTCATCGGCAGCGGCAGCCTCGGCCTTGTTCTCCTCCTCGTTGAGGTCAGAGGTCCACAGGGTCAGGTTGTCCCGGAGCAGCTGCATGATCAGGGTCGAATCCTTGTACGACTCCTCGGACAGGCTGTCGAGCTCCGAGATAGCGGCATCGAAGGCACCCTTGGCCAGACTGCAGGCCTGGGTGGGCGAGTTGGCGATCTCGTAGTAGAACACTGAGAAGTTGAGGGCCAGACCCAGGCGGATGGGGTGGGTGGGCGGCAGCTTCTCGCCGGCAACATCAGAGGCCTTCTGGTACGAGACCTGGGCGGCATCGGCGGCAGCCTTGCGGGGCTCGTCCTGCTGGAACTCGGCCAGGTAGCGGTAGTAGTCGCCCTCCATCTTGTAGTAGAAGATCTTGGACTCGGGCTCCTCGGCGGTGGTGAGCAGGTTCTCCTTCAGCACGGCCAGGATGTCGTTGCACACCTCCTGCAGCTCCTTCTCAATGTTGGCGCGGTAGGCCTTGATCTTCTCGACCTGGGCGTCGTTGCCGCGCGAGTGCTCCTTGTTCTCGATCGACGAGACAATGCGCCACGAGGCACGGCGAGCACCGATCACGTTCTTGTAGGCGACCGACAGCAGGTTGCGCTCCTCGACCGTCAGATCGGAGCCGAGCTTGGCCACAGCCTTCATGTACTGGACCATCTCTACATCAGGAAAAATGAATAGCATGCAGATTAGGTGTCATGTGAATCATTCCAGCTTCATGCAGCAAAAAAAATTTCATCCCCGCACAGTCTCTGTGACTCTCGGCCGCAGAAAGAACCCCTCCTCCTCTCCACAGAGGCACAGCCTGACCACCCCAACAAAAAATTGCTGTGGCCCTCAGGCGAGCGCGCGGGCAATGAGAACGAAGACGCAAGCGCAGCACGCTGGAAGCCAAGAGTAGACAGCGGGGCGGGGCCGCGCTGAGGATTTTCCCAGCCGACACCAACACCACGCGTCTTTATATTACAAGCTCAGCATGGCCAGCAGCAAGGAGATGGCAGGGATTGAGCCAAAAAAAGAAAAACTTACCGTCGTAGCGCTCAGCCTGCTCGGCGAGCTTGGCCATGTAGACCTACAAGCAGCAGCAACAAACAAGGAGATTCAGCACAGGGTCAAGGAAGTGGAGCTTACCGCTGCTGGACACCAGGCACCACGAGGGCTGCTGCTCATCATGTGCTGCGCGCGGGTCCCGCTTCTTGAACTAGCTCCACACATGGTCGTGGAAGCGCAGGCGTGTTTTGCTAAACTTACCAGAGTGTCGCGGCCAAGGCCCTCCTACACACCAGAACAAAAAAGTAGAAAAGCGAGATGAGCTACACGCGCGGTCATTTCGCAGATGTGTCAAGTGGGCAGCCAATTCAGGCTGCTGAATCACTACTACTTACGGTGCTGATGGTGCTGGACATGTTTTTCAGAATGGTGGGTAGGGAGTAAATAAAAAAGAATCGAGTTTGGAATGTGCTCAGAAAATGTACTTTTCAGAAAAAGAAGCGGAGGAGAGATTTGTCGTCGCGAACAGAACGAAAAAGAAAAACAACACGCCCACAGTGGATGGGGGAGTTCGAAAAATGCGTGATCCCAGGATCGGCTGGAAGTATTGAGAACAGCTTTTGGGGACCATAACATGTCGGGTTAGCATTACCTGAGGAGAGCAGTCCGACACGCGCTTTGCCCACATTATTCACACTCAGACTTTCCCGCTTTCCACAACCATGGCCACCGCTAACCCGAAAACGCAGACCATCAGCCTGGAGGACATGCCGCTGCCGCAGCTGCACAAGCTCAAGGCGCAGTTTGAGGAGGAGATCGGCGAGCTGACCACGGCGTTCACGCAGATGAAGCAGGCACAGGCCACGTTCCGCGAGTGCAAGAGCTGCGTCGAGTCCATGACCGCTGACAACATGGACAAGACCATCATGGTGCCCCTGACCAACTCGCTGTACGTTCCCGGCAAGCTGAGCAACATCGACAGCGTCGTAGTCGATGCAGGCACCGGCTACTACATCGAAAAGTCGGTCGGTGATGCGGCCCAGTACTACGACGCCAAGGCCGAGTTTGTGCAAGGCAACGCCAAGAAGATCCAGGAGACCATCGAGCAGAAACAGACCAGCTTCCGCGGTCTGCTGGAGATCATCCAGTTCAAGATGACGCAGCAGCAACGTCAGCAGCAACAGCAGCAGGCTGCTTCCAAATAATCATATCCTAAATCAAAAAAAATTATATTTGAACTTGGACCCCTTCTCAGTTCTTCCACAGCTTGAGCACCCGATCCTTGCCGCCGCTGGCAACGCGGTCGCCGCCCGGAGACCAGTCGACGGTGAAGACCTCGTCCGAGTGGCCGGGCAGCTCCAGCTTCATCTTCTTTGTCCGCAGATCCCAGATCTTGAGCGTGCTGTCCTTGCTGGCACTGAGCAGCATGCGGCTGTCGGCCGACCAGCACACCTGGTACACAGCGGCCACGTGCCCGCGCAGCGAGGCAATGAACTTGCCTGTCTTGCCGTCCCACAACTTGACGCTGTTGTCAAACGACGCGCTCGCGACCAGCCGCCCATCGGGGCTGAAGCTGACGTGGTTGACCACCTTCTGATGGCCCGTCATGCGAGACACCGGCTTGTTGCTGGCCAGCGGCTCCCACAGGAACATGGTAAAGTCGTCGGATCCCGACACCAGGCGCTCGGGACCCTTGCCCTTGGCCTCGTTGTAGCGCTTCAGCGCCTTCTTCTGTGCCTCGTCCTCGTCGGCTGGCGCCCGCGCCGTGTGGTCAAAGGCGCCCGTGCGCAGCACAAAGTCGGTGCTGAACGCCAGCGTGTTGACCCAGTGCGCGTGGCCCGTCAGCGTCTTGTACAGACTGCCGTCGGTGTTCCAGATCTTGATCGTCTTGTCCTGCGAGCTCGTGTAGATGCGCCCGTCACCACCCCACCGCACGCATGTGACTGCCGCCGTGTGTCCGGCCAGCGTGAACAGGCAGCGCCGGAGCGCTGTGTCCCACACGCGCACTGTGCCGTCCTTGGACGAGCTGGCAAGCCGGTTAGCCTTGGGGTTCAGATGCAGCGGCTCCCATGCCAGCGACGTGATCCACTTCTTGTGGCCGGTCAGAGGTCCGCCGAGCGGCTTACCGGTGTGCGGGTCCCACAGCCGAACCGTGTTGTCCATGCTTCCCGATGCCAGGGTCTGCGCATTGGGCGCCCATGCAATCGACAGCACCCAGTTCTTGTGGCCCGTGCATGTAAACTGCGGGGTCTCGGTGGCCAGATCCCAGATACGCACTGTTGTGTCGCCCGATCCACTGGCCAGCTGCCGCCCGTCGGGGCTGAAGCTGACAGACAGCACAGCCTCAGTATGCCCAGTCATGCTTGACGAGCACCGCGTCACGGCGCGCACCTTGAAGAACGCCTGCGGCTGGTACACAATCACCAACGTCTCCTCAGCCGACTTCTGCGCCCCCTCAAGAATGTCCTTCTGCACGCTACGTGCAATCTCTGTGCCGTCGACATAGAACGAGTAGGGCCGTGTCTCCTCGTTCTCAAGCAGCTTGTTGATCAGGAAACTCAGCTGCTCCGATGTCACATCCGACGGCAGGCTGAGCGGCGGGCCGGTCTTGTCACCGTCTGCCGTCTGGAACTGCGCCAATACTGTGGTCGCCTCCGGCTGTGTTGTCGTCGTCGTCGTCTTCTCTGCGTCGGCCATTTTAAAAGTTGTAGAGAGGTAAAGAGGCTGTAGCACTGGAAGTGGAGAGCCGGTCGAGCTTTATGAAAAACCATTTTTTTCTGGCGAGGGTGGTGATCGAGTAAAATCAGTGATCAAGCGGTTGTCCAAAACTGGAAGCACCAAACATATAGCGCACCACCCGGTAGTACCCTGACGACTCGTTCGACCCAACAAAGTACAGACTTGTGCGTGTCTTGTACACATCGAAACTGTCGAGCACCTGCGTGGGTCGCAGGAGCTGTTTGCTGTCTGGGTCCATTCAGGTGTGTTGCTGCCAAATGCTAAATGCCAAAAGCCAAAGTCAAAAAAATAACAAAAAAAATACAAGCAAGCGGAATGGCTGGAGAGCGCTGGGAAACAAGCCAAGTGAAGCAACAAAAAGCGCAGAAAATCGGGAAGCGGCTGGAGGTTATTGTTTAGAGCGCACCGGTAAAGCGGCCGTTGTAGGCACAGGCTGGCAGTCCAACCACAGTAGTCGGCCATAGGTGGCTCCACAGGTGCAGAAGAAAGGAGGACTGCCTGGGCCAGGCATAGCACCAGCACCCAAGCACCACCCTGGATCCTCACTAACACACACAAGCCTGTGCTGAGCTGGGATGGCAGCAATGGTGGTGTCGTGCACACAGCGACACGGCCGCCAGTCCCTGAAAAGCGACTAAAATCGTTAGCGTAAAGGAGTGTGCAGACTGGGAACAGGGCCTGGCACAGGACTCACCATGCTGATGATCAGAAAATGCGGATGGGCTGAATAATGGAAAGGGCCATTCGCATTTTTGCGCACTTTTACACATGCATTTCAATGTACGTTGGTGAGAATGCACTGCTAGGCTGGCAACACTTGCAACATCTGCCAGGGATATTCCCTTAAATAGCCTCGCCCCTCCTATATACCTCCCCATCTACACCCACATGCCAGTACAAAGTTATTTTGCACTGTTCCAATCCCAACATATCACAATGCAACACCATCCACCGTCTGTCCAGCCAGATATCTTTTTCCACTCCTGTCCAGGTTACGCTGCCAAGTCTGCTTCGACTCAGAGCCCGACTACAACAACAGGCAGGGGCACGAGTATGCTATCACTTTCTCCAAGTGCAGCAGGACTGGGAACTATCCCACTGAATGGCAGTCAAACGTCAAGGTGCTTTTCAGGCTCTGGGGCGAGAAGGGTCTTCTTTTATCTGCGAGTGTCTATTACAACGAGGTAGGTGGAATGGTAGTTTGTGAACCAATGGCACATGCAGAGGATAGATGGGGTTATGAAGAGGGATATAGCCGATGATGGTTTAAATGTTTCCATCACATTCAAAATGGTTTGCTACTTGGGGTCTTATTAGTAGAGTAGAATTTGCGATAGCAAAAAAGAAATGAGTATAATGTCGAATATTTGTAGAAAGCAAAAGAGACCATGCAGATATAAAAAGGTGTGCCGGATACAGCAATTAAATGTCTGCATGCTGTTGACTGGTTTGGCCATTTAATGATGTTCTGTGACATTGGCAGAAATAGAGTGGTTGTGTATACCACGTGGCAATGTAGTTGGCTCGATAACACCGGATGATGTCGAGCAGACTGTGTACGAGACATGGGGGGGTGGCGAATGTAAAAGCTGGGCGTGGCAAGATTCACGTCACCAACGATATTACAAAGGGCATTGGGTTCGCTTTGTACTATAAATTTCGATTTTCTCTGATTTGATTGAGCCAAAAATATAGCGACCCATTAGTGCTGAGAAGCAGCTGCAGCGAAGTCATTGGCAGAGTAAGGCTGGTTTTGGGTTTTTTTTTCTTTGCAAAACACTCTACCACATATTTTAGTTTTCTTATTCAGCCAGCGTACAGAGTAAGACGTGTACAAATGGATCAAGATTTAAAAGCGCAGCTAGCAGAGGAGCGCAAGCGTCGGCAGGAGATGCAGGGAGCACAGAAGCTGACGGCTGAGATTAAATACGATACGGACCTGTATGAGACGGGCGACAAGCTCAGCGACTACGACCAGACAATGGAAATAAACAGCACTGGCGACGCGGTGCAGGTGAAGCCAGGGCGGTTCGGATACACAGCACCGCAGGCATTCATTGACGAGCTGCGGGGCGCCGAGCCGGCCGAGAGCGCAGACCCATTCAAGGAGCTGCAGCGTTCGCGCGGCATCAGCCGGATCATTGCCGACAACGAGAGCGAGTACGAGAAGCGGCGGCACGGGCGGAGCGTGGGTGGCGCGGAAACGGAGTCGTATGCGGAGACACTGAAAAGAGCACAGCTGGAGAACGAAAAGGCAGAGCTAATAAGCAAGATCCAGAAGGCGGAGCAGGAGGCAGGCGAGAAGTCACAGCGCAAGCGCAGGTGGGACCAGACGCCAGCGCATGTGGAGGCGACGCCGGGCGGGAGCACAAAGCGGCGCAACCGGTGGGACGAGACGCCCAAGGTTGCTGGAGGGTTTGATGAGACGCCCAGGGTTTCTGGAGGGTTCGGTGAGACGCCGCGGCGGTCGCGGTGGGACGAGACGCCCAAAGTAAGCGGGTTCGGCGAGACGCCCAAGGTTTCTGGAGGGTTCGGCGAGACGCCGCGGCGGTCGCGGTGGGACGAGACCCCGGCGGCCACGCAGATAGGCGAGTCAAAGGCAGGCGGGGCGGCGGCGGCGGCGCTGGTGGAGGACCCGCGCAACGCATATATGAGTGACGACGAACTTGACGCGCTGCTGCCGAGCGAGGGATATACGATCATGGAGGCGCCGTCGTCGTATGTGCCGATCCGCACGCCAGCACGCAAGCTGATGGCAACGCCGGGGCCCATGCAGGGGACGGGCGGGTTCCATATCCCCGAGGCCGGCAGCAGCGTGCAGGTGGAGGCGGAGCTGACGCGGGAGGTGCCGGGGATCGGGGCGCTGCCGTTCTTCAAGCAGGACGACATGCAGCACTTTGGCAAGCTGCTGGACGGGCAGAGCGAGGAGGAGATGGACGCGGAGGAGAAGAAGGAGCGGGAGATCCTGCGGCTGCTGCTGAAGATCAAGAACGGGACGCCGGCGATGCGCAAGGTGGCGATGCGGCAGATGGCGGAGCGGGCGCGCGGGTACGGGGCGGCGGCGATATTCAACCAGATCCTGCCGCTGTTCCTGGCGGCGTCGCTGGAGGAGCAGGAGCGGCACCTGCTGGTGAAGGTGGTTGACCGGGTGATGATGCGGCTGGGGCCGCTGGTGCGGCCGTTTGTGCGGCGGCTGCTGACGGTGATCGAGCCGATGCTGGTGTCGGCCGACAGCTACGCGCGGGCTGAGGGCAGCGAGATCATCAGCAACCTGAGCAAGGCTGCGGGGCTGGCGGCGATGGTTGCGACGATGCGGCCGGACATCGACCACGCAGACGAGTATGTGCGGAACGCAACATCGCGGGCATTCGCAGTGGTTGCGTCGGCGCTGGGGATACCGGCGGTGCTGCCGTTTGTGCGGGCGGTGTGCGGCAGCAAGAAGTCGTGGCAGGCGCGGCACACGGGCATGCGCATAGTGCAGCAGACGGCTGAGGTGGTGGGGGCCGGGGTGCTGCCGCACCTGCGGGGGCTGGTGGGGTGCGTGGCGGCTGGGCTGGGCGACGAGCAGCAGCGCGTGCGGTCGGCGTCGGCGCTGGCGCTGGCGGCGCTGGCGGAGGCATCGGCGCCGTATGGCATCGAGGCCTTCGACGAGGTGGTGAAGCCGCTGTGGCAGGGCATCCGGCAGCACCGCGGGCGCGGGCTGGCCGCGTTCCTCAAGGCGATCGGGTTTGTGATTCCGCTGATGGACGCCGAGTACGCGGGGTACTACACGCGCGAGGTGCTGCCGGTGCTGGTGCGCGAGTTCCAGGCGCCCGACGATGCAATGAAGACGGTGGTGCTGCGTGTGGTGCGGCAGTGCGTGGGTGCGGGCGGCGTGGATGCCGCGCTGGTGCGGGCTGAGGTGGTGCCGCCGTTCTTTGCCGCGTTCTGGGTGCGGCGCCTGGCGCTGGACCGGCGGAGCGCGCGGCACGTGATCGAGACCACCGTGGAGCTGGCAGCCAAGGTGGGCGGGCGTGACGTGGTGGCGCGCCTGGTGGGCGACCTGAAGGACGAGGCCGAGGCGCTGCGGCGGATGGCGATGCAGGCGGTGACGCAGATAGCGGCCGCCCACGGCGTGCTGGACGTGGACGGGCGGCTGGAGGAGCAGCTGGTGGACGGGGTGCTGTATGCGTTCCAGGAGCAGGGCGAGGCGGACCACGTGATGCTGGACGGGTTCGGGGCTGTGGTTGGCGGGCTGGGCGAGCGGGCGAAGCCGTACCTGCAGCAGATCACATCGGCGCTGCTGTGGCGCCTGAATAACCAGAGCCCGGCCACGCGGCAGCAGGCAGCTGACGCCGTGGCCCGCATAGCAGCGGTGATGCGTGTGTGTGGCGAGGACGAGCTGCTGGGGCGCATCGGCACAATGCTGTACGAGTACCTGGGCGAGGAGTACCCGGAGGTCCTGGGGTCGATTCTGGGGGCGCTGCGGGCTGTGGTGGATGTGATCGGAGTGACCGACATGCGGCCGCCCATCGGCGACCTGCTGCCGCGCCTGACGCCGATCCTGAAGAACCGCCACGAGAAGGTCCAGGAGAACTGCATCGACCTTGTGGGCCGCATCGCCGACCGCGGGGCTGAGTTTGTGCCGGCGCGCGAGTGGATGCGCAGCTGCTTCAGTCTGCTGGACCTGCTGCATGCACACAAGAAGGCGATCCGCCGCGCCGCAGTCAGCACATTCGGATACATAGCCAAGGCGATCGGGCCGCAGGATGTGCTGGCCACGCTGCTGAACAACCTGAAGGTGCAGGACCGCCAGAACCGCGTCTGCACCACTGTGGCCATTGCCATTGTGGCCGAGACCTGTGCTCCGTTCACCGTGCTGCCGGTGCTGCTGAACGAGTACCGCGTGCCGGAGCTCAACGTGCAGAACGGAGTCCTCAAGTCGGTGGCCTTTCTGTTCGAGTACATTGGCTCCATGGGCCGCGACTACGTCAATGCCGTGGCCCCGCTGCTGGAGGATGCGCTGGTCGACCGCGACCTGGTCCACCGCCAGCAGGCCGCCGCCGCCATCTCCCACATGGCGCTGGGCGTGGCCGGCACTGCCAACGAGGAGCCCGTGCTGCATCTGCTCAATCTGCTGTGGCCCAATGTCTTTGAGACCAGCCCGCACTCGATCCTGGCCGTGCTGCAGGGCATCGAGTCGTCGCGCCTGTGCCTGGGCGCTGGCCGCATCATGATGTATACGCTGCAGGGCCTGTTCCACCCTGCCCGCAAGGTCCGCGAGGTCTACTGGCGCATCTACAACATGATGTACATTGGCGCCCAGCCGGCCATGGTGGCCTTCTACCCGGCCATCGACGAGCCAGCCAGCAGCTATGCACGGAGCGAGCTTGACTATATTCTCTGATGGTGGAAAACAAAAATAAACAGTGTATTTGAAGACCGATTCTTTAATTGCTGGGCGCCGGTCGCGGGCCCGGCGTCGTGCTCCCGGAGGCGGGTGCCCGGGCCTGCTGCTGCTTTGCTGGGGGGTTCGGCGTGCTAGCGCGCGACACTGGGTTCGATGACGCAGTGCTAGTGCTGGGCTGTGCCGGCCGCACTATCCTGTTGGGCGGCGGCGGCCGTCTGGCCTGCTGCTGTGGCGGATTGCCCGCCGGCCTCACAGCACCGGCTGGCCGTGGTGCTGCATTCGGCCTGGCCACCGGCGGCCGGGCTCCCGGAGGGGGTCGGGCGGGACGAGCAGCCGGCCTCACATTCTGCTTATTGGGCGGCTGCTGCGGGCGAGAGCTGGGCGTCATGGGCGTCAGGCCGCCGGTGGGCCGCGGTGCCGGAGCCTTGCCGGCCTGCGGCCCCACTGGTCGCGGCTGCTGGGCAGCGGCATGGGCCGGCATGGGCGGGCGGCTGGCTGGGGCGCTGGAATTGGCTGCCTCGTTAGCACTGGTTATCTGGGCAATCAATGCCTGCGCCTGCTGCTGCGTCATGCCCGCCGCCGTGGCCGCCGCCATCAGCATCACCTGCTGCTGCGACTGCTGCGGTGCTGGCGGTGGGCGCGCGGGCGGCTGCGGCGACATGGCTGGGAATCCGCCCGTGTTCAGCAGCGGCGTCTGCATTGCCGGCGAGCCCGGGCCTGAAGCCGCCGGCGCCTGGCTGATCATCACGGGGCTGGAGGTCGGCTGCGACGCCGCCAGCGTAAACGGCCGCTGCTGCTGCTGCTGCTGGACCTGCTGAGTTTGCTGGGCTTGCTGCTGCTGGGCCTGCTGCTGCTGGGCCTGCTGCATTGCCTGGCGGATCCGCAGCAGCTGCAGTTGCGTGATGTTCGGCTGCTGCCCTGCCACCTGCTGCAGAGCTGGCTGCTGCTGGGTCCGGAGTGCCGCTGCCAGCGCCGCCTGATCCATCGCTGGTGCCTGCTGCTGCTGCGGTGCCTGCTGGGCTTGGCCTGCCGCCATCTTCAGCATCTGCTGGTTCTTCAGGATCTGTGCCGCCAGGATCTGCTGAGTCAGTGCGTTCTGGTTCATTCCTGCCAGACCCGCCGCCCCGTTACCACCGTTTGCCACCATCTGCTGCTGCAGCGCCTGCAGCATCGCCTGCTGGTTGAGCATCGGCCGCCCATTACCAAGCTGTCCTGCCGCTGCTGCCGCTGCTGCTGCCGCCAACTGCTGTTGCTGTTGTTGTTGCTGTTGTTGCTGTTGCTGTTGTTGCTGTTGCTGCTGCTGCTGTTGCAGCTGGTGGATCGCCAGCAGATTCATCCGCTTCTGCGTCGACAGCTGCGCCAATTGATGTGGGAACAGCCCCGACAGGTACTGTGTGAACTGTGGATGGTTATTCAGTTGTTGTTGCTGTTGCTGCTGCTGCTGTTGCTGCTGGGCTTGTTGCTGGGCTTGTTGCTGTGCCTGCTGCTGTGCCTGCTTGATCTGGAGCGCCACCAGCGCCTGCATCTGCGCTGGCGTAAATGCCCCCGCCGGCTGCGGCGACCCGCCATTCGCCAGCCCCACCACCATCGCCGGGTTCGCCGGCTGCATCAGCGGCGTGCCATGGTCGCTCAATAGGCTGGGCGACGATTGCAGCCCGGCCTTCCCGCCGCCTGGCGACGTCCCAGTGTTGCTCGGAATCCCTGCCGCGTTAAGCTGCGGCGCATTCATTTGCGGTGACATCGGCGTCGGCGATGCCATCGGTGGCTGCGTCGCCGGGCGCGGCACCGGTGCCGCCATCTGTTGTTGCTGCTGTTGCTGCTGCTGTTGCTGTTGCTGTTGCGACAGTTGCTGGATCAGCGCCTGCCGCTGCTGCGCCGTCAGTATGTTGGCCCCCGGCGTCGCCGGGCGCTGCACCGGTGGCCGCGCCGGGTTCTGCTGCTGCTGCTGCTGCGCACGTGCTGCCAGCGCTGCTGCCAGGCCCGGCGGGATGTTCGGTCGCGGCCCGCCGGCGCGCGCCTGCAGCACTGCCTGGATCTGCTCGGGCGTCAGCCTCAGCTGCTGGCCTTGCTGCTGCAGGTGCATCTGCAGTTGCTGCTGCAGCAGCTGTGTCTGCTGTGGGGTCAGCGGTCGCGGCCGGCCCTGCGCCAGCATACTCTGCAGCGCCGCCATCTGCCGGCTGGCTGGTACGCCCTGCATGCGCGCGCCCAGCGCCCGCTGCTGCTGCTGCTGCTGCATGGCCAGCGAGGCGACTGTCGCTGTCGCCTGCCGCTGCTCCATGAACATCTGCTGGAACTTGCGGTCTTGCTCGAACTTGTGCCGCGCCAGCTCCACCGGCGTTGGCACGTGCTGTGCGCTACCTGTCCGCTTTGGCTCGCGGGCCGGTACCGGCTGCGGCTTCGGCGCTGCCTCGCGCTTCTTCTTCGACTCCCCCACGAGCCGGAACGCCTCGCCGTGCGCCACCTGGCTGTTCGCCAACTGCATTGCCGACAGCGGCTCTGCCGTCGGCTGGACTGTCAGCCCGTGCGCCCACCGGTTCAGCCGCCGCGGCCCATAGTCCCGCTCGTCATACCCGGTCTGCACCGATGCGCGGTCCAGCGCAAAGTCGTCCTTGATCGCCGCCCACCGCTCGTAGCACACCCGTGCTGACAATGCCCGCCCACCATACAGCCCTCCCGCATGGTTGAACGTCGCGGCGATCAGCCCCCAGTTGCCTGTGTACTGCTGGATGATCTTGGCCAGCCCCCGGTCCCGCTCTGCGGTCCACTCAAACACCGCCTGCCCCGGGCACGCGTCGCTCGCCGCCTGCTGCGCTGCTGTGTCTACCCCCGGGACCACCCCTGCCGCATGGCTGTTGCGCGGTGCCTTGTTCGCCTGTGTGAACATCGGCAGTAGCGGTGGCGCCATCAGGTTACGCGTAAACACAGACCGCACGTGCTGCTGCCCTTCGCTGTGTCCTGCCCCGCCCGACGCCATCCTCGCCAGCTCGTACCACTCTAGCACGCTGTCCTGATCCATGTCGTCGTCATCTGACTCGACTCCAAAGTCCGGCCACATCGTCTTGCAGATCGGCACCACCGGTGACGCGTCCAGGATGTCACAGTACGGCTCGTCCCACGCCGGCCCGTACGGCACTACCGACCGCAGCATCTGCAGCGAGAATATGCTGTCTCCCAGAATCTCCTCAATGCCTTCCGTGTCCGGCATCTGCGCCAGGATCTGGTACACCGACAGAGCGCTCTCGTAGATGTCCATGCTGGCTGGCACCACGTGGTCGCTGCCGCCCACATCCGGCGTGCCTGCATCCTTGTCTTCTGCCGACATGTCTGTGCGCAGCATGTCCATCATCGGCTTGTCGTCGCTGCTCTCGTCACCGTCTGCCTCGCCTTCTGTCGATGCCTGTGGCTCCGCTCCGCTCTCAGTCTTCACCACCACCTCCTCCTCAATTTCAGGCTTCTGGTCTGCACTCGGGTCGGTGCTCGACTCTGCTCCCTTGGTATCGGGGCTTGTGCTGTCCTCGGCTTCAGCTACTGGCTGTGGCTCTGACATCTCAACATCTCCCACGCCCACTGCTGCCGGCGTTGACTGTGATTGCTGCTCCGATGCGTCTTCCGATTTGCACTCCACTTCTGCATCCTTTTCATCGCTCTGCGTCTCGGACTGCTCAACCGACTGTTCTGCTGATTGTTCTTCGGACTGCTGCTGCTGCTGTTCCTGCGCGGTAGCCTGTGACTCATCGGCTTCTGCCATCATCTCGACATCTCCCGACCCCGGAGTCTCTTGGATAGCCTCACTTTCGCCATCCTGCTCCCCGGACTCGCCGCTCTCCAGCTTGTCTTCAGGCACTCGCCGCTCAAATGCCCGACGCGCCCGCCGCCCATTAACTGTATACAGCGATTTGTCTTTGGCCATATGGTACTCCACCACCCACTCTGCCACTGCTTTAGCCATCGCCTGCCGCCACTTGCGCTCCTCGGCGAAATCACAATGCATCCACACGCACTCATCCAGCAAATAGTCCCAGTGCGCCTTGGTGCGGGCCGGCGCCCGGTGCTTGCGTGGCTGCCAGAACGACCATTTGCCTGCTTTCTTCAGCTCCTCAATTCGCTCCATCACCCGCACCCGTATCAGCTCCTCCTGCGCTAGCTCCCAGTCCTGCGTCGACACAAATTTCCTCGACTTTTGCAGAACCTCGTACAATGGCTGCTTCTGCGCCTGCTGCTGCCAGCTGTACGCATTCGCGCTGTTGCAGTTGATGTCCTCCAGCTGCTCCTGGTACACCCGATACAATGCGCTGCTCTCAATCATCTCTGCCGTCTGCGGTGCGTACTGCTGCTGCACCTCTGCCGTCGCCACCGGTACCAGGTCTGACATGAACACCACGTCGTCCGGGTGCACCACCCCGTCGTCTCCCATTTCCTCTTCGACTACGTCCATGTCTGTGTTCTGTGCCGACTCTGCCATTTGTCTCCAGCTGTCCTCGCCCTCGTCGCGTGCCCTGGCGAGCGCCTTCTGCGGGTCCTCTGTGTATATCTTGTAAAAGTTCTCAAACTCGCTGCGCATCGCTGCGCTGTCGAATAGTCTGTCGGCTGTTTTGTCCATTGCTGCTACCACGTCCTTGTCTCTTGCATGCGTCCAGAAATACACCTCGCGTAAGAGTGCTCGCCGACTGTCTACTAACTGCGTGTGCTGCTGCGATCCTGCGTCTGCGCTATTATCACTGTTCTAGTTTATATGAAATGCAATAATTCCAAAACAGAAGAGAAAGTTGCAATATCAGTATGGCGATGTCGAATATCTAACAATAGTGCTGTTTGCAGCAGCGCCTCCCCCTCCCCGTTTCCCACACCTACACGCCTTCCCTATTATAGCATCAAAGGGAACACGACTGCCAGCCTTCCAATACGCTAAACTGGAAATGCAGCCAACGCACGCGAACTTTACCATGGCTTATTAAAGTGTGCTGCAGTGTCGCCGCCGGTGAATACTAAAAACGAGAAATTCAAGGGATGCACACGCGCAATGTCCTGGAACCAAATTGCAAATGCTAAATTTTGAATTGGAAATGCGCGAATAAAGTTTAAAAGTAATGAAAAATTGAAGCTGAAATTACGAAATTTGAGGGCTGGAAAGCTGCAATTTGACAACGAAATGGGAGACAAAAAAATCTAAAGGCGGCTTCGCATGAACAGCGAGCCGAGCCGAGATGATGCCATATGGAAGTAGACTCCTAGGCGGGCGAAAAAATAATGCGCTGAGTTTAGTTCACGACCCCTTGTCTATCAGTAATCGTCGCCGCGACCATCCGATCTCCTCTGTGCTGCCTGCTGAGCACGCCTCTCCTGCGCCAGCTTGGGGCAGTCCAGGATGCGATGGCCAAGACCACCACAGAACGCACACCCAACACTGGTGTCCAGCGACCCATCAGCGAGCCGGTACTTGTCAGTCGGGTCGTGAATCGTCATCAGCGCTGGCGGCACGCGCTGCTTGGCCTCAATCAGCAAATGCTTCAGGTCAAGCAAGACCTGCTCTGACGAATTATTGTTGATGAATGTGGTGGCAACTCCGGTTTTTCCGGCACGCCCCGTACGCCCGATCCGATGGGTGTAGTTCTCGATCTCCTTGGGCAGATCAAAGTTGATGACGTGCTTGATCTCGGGGAAGTCAATACCCTTGGACGCAACGTCGGTGGCAATGAGCACGTCCTTCTTGCCCTCGCGATACGACCGCATCGCATACTCGCGCTCCTCCTGGTCCTTGCCGCCGTGAATCGCAACTGCCTCCACGCCTTTGAGAAGAAGGTACTCGAGGATGTCGTCCACATCGTTCTTGTTCTCGGCGAAAATCACAACCGGCGGCGCCGTCTTCTGCAGGCACTCGAGCAGATACATAATGCGCATCTCAGGCTTGACCCACTCGACCTCTTGGATAATGTCCATGTTGGCTGCTCCAGCGCGACTGACATTGACCACCACTGGCCGGACCAGCGACGACTGCGCAAAGTCCTGGATCTTGCGCGGCATCGTGGCCGAGAACAGCAGCGTCTGCCGCTGGTACTTGAAGTACGACACAATGTCGCGCACCTCTTCCTCGAACCCGACATCAATCATCCGGTCCGCCTCGTCCATGCACATGTACTTGCACAGATCTAGGTTGATCTTGCGCCGCTTCAGCATGTCCTGCAGCCGTCCAGGCGTGGCCACCACCATATGCACTCCCTTGTCGAGCGTGTACTGCTGGTCCTGCATCGATATTCCGCCGATTGCTAGCACTGCGCGTAGCTCGGGGAACCCGCCTTTGACCAGTGCCTCCGACATTGCCAGCAGACCCTCGTATGTTTGCCGAGCCAGCTCACGCGACGGGCACACAATCAGGCCAATCGGTCCCTCGCCCTTGACGAGCCCCATCCTGCACTCCTCCTGCAGCGCCAGCATTATTAGCGGCAGCGAGAATGCCAGCGTCTTGCCGGTACCAGTGCTGGCAATACCAATCATGTCTCGCCCACTCAGAGCTACCGGCAGTCCCTGCATCTGGATCGTCGATGGTTCAGTAATGCCCTTAGCTACCAGGTAGTCCAGTATAGGCTGCGGGAATCGCATTGCCTTGAATGTGAATAGGGGCGGTGGGATATCCTCACCGTCGACAATAATATGGTACAGTTTCCGGCGCTCCAGCACCTCCTCCTGCGTCAGGGCCCTGTGCCGAGCCAACGGCCGCCATGTTGACTTCATCGACTCCAAATAAACCACGCCCTTGGCGATCTCGGCTGCCGACGCCAGCTGCTTTTTCCGCGCGATCGCTTCAAGCAATGCTTTCTCTTGCTCGCGCTGCTTTTCCTCCTCAGTCTTGTCGTCAATCAAGTGCTTTCGCCGCAGGTCGGCAATTTGGTCTACCAGACTGACACCAGCCTGTGGACCAAGCATACCACTGGGCGTGCTGTTCTCGTTTGAATCAGAGTGCTCCGCCTCGTTATCAGAGCCGCGCCCTTCGTCTTGCGGTTCGGAATACCGCAGCCTTTTCCGGATACCCTCGATCTTTTCCAGACGCCGCTGCTTGACTGGAATGTACTCCTCCGGCTTGTCCTCGGGTCCAAGGAGGTCGTCGAGGTTCAAACCAAGATCATCCCCTTTTTCCTCAGCATCCAGCTCTCTCCGGCGTCGGCGGTATTCTTCACGAACTTTTTCGATATCTTCGGCTGAGTCACCCATTTGTGAAGCACTACTGTGGTCTGTTTATATATGACAAAGCTAAGCAGTTGGATATGGACGGCAGCAGAATAATGATACTTTGACCAGATGAACCTTTATATGGAGCACATTCATTATGGGCGTCTAGATCCTGTTACAAACAATAACACTGACTCATGGATAGGCGAATATTGTCTGACTCAAGGATAACAGCCCAGCGCTGACAGGCTGCAACCCTAGAGTGAGCAATGTCGGTTTAGGTTAGCTCGGCAGCAGCTTCTGGCCTGGTTCAGGCCACTTGATGGCAAGTTCTTTTGATTTAGCACGGTCTGGCTCGACATCGAAGAGTGAAAGTTCGTTGGGCAGGGTGGGTCGGTGTTGCTCTCGGATGCACCAGTGCTGATTGACCCAGTGCTGATTGACCCAGTGCTGTGAAGCAGCAAAACTGAGGCGTGTGGCGGTGAGTCTGGAGCACCATCTGATGGTGCAATATCTGGCGGTGACAATTCTGTAGTTGCCTGTGGTCTTTCTGAAATACTACGATTGTCGACGTAAACATATGGATTGGGCCAGTTGCCTGTGCCACCAGAGAAGCTGGCTGGACTGGCATCAACTGTCTGGCTTAGGAAAATAGCACCGCAAAGCAGGGCTGGGCTCTACGCCACCCCTAGGCTGTTTACATGCTTGTTGCTGGCCATTAAGGGAATAAATGAAACTGCCAAGTGAGATGGTAAATTAAAGGAAAGCTCCCAAAAGAATCCACCGCCACCCGACTCCACTTGCAATTTGGCATTACAGCAGATCGCACTCGAAGTGTAGGATGCATGTCCAATGATACATTAGCTGCTGATGTACACTTCATGTATTGGCAGCATTGACACAATATGTAAGAGGGCTCTGGCTGGCTGCACTCATTTCAAACGGGAGTTTTAAATAATAGATGCTACTTGGAGTCGTTCTTCATGACAGGGAACGCAATAGTTTCGCGCAGATGCCGTACCCCTGCCAACAACGCAACCACCCGATCAACACCCATCCCCCATCCGCCAGTCGGTGGCAAGGCAAACTCCAGCGCATCACAGAACGCTTGGTCCATCTCTGGCACTTCCTCATCACCGGCCGCGCGTTCAGTGGCCTGTACCATGAACTTAGCGCGCTGCTCATTCGGATTATTCAGCTCCTCGTACGCATTGACCAGCTCCTTGCCGTTGACAAACAGCTCAAAACGGGCAGAGACCTGGGCCGAATCGTCGGTGCACTTTGAAAGCGGGCTCATGATGGATGGGTGGCCGATGAGGAACGTGGGCTGCTGGCACAGCGGTTCAATGTAGTGGCCGATCAGACGGTCGAGCAGACGCGGGACCGTATGCGGCTGCGGCGCCGACAGGTTGTTTTTGGCCAGCAGGTCCAGTAGCTGCGGGAGCGCATCGGGGCTGGAGAAGTCATTGGGCAAGCCCGGCAGCTTATCCCTCAGAAACTGGGTTACATCAATGCGCCTGAATGGCTTGCCGAGATCGACCTGGATCTCGTTGCCGCTGATCGTGCTGACAGCTGTGACGGCTGTCTCGCCTGTGACAGCATGTGCCATGCCGCGCAGCATCTCCTCCGTCATGGCCATCAGGTCATCAAGGGTCGCGTATGTCTGGTAGAACTCACAGGTGGTAAACTCGGGGTTGTGGTCTGCATCGACGCCCTCGTTCCTAAACTGCTTACCGATCTCGTATACGCGATCCATGCCGCCGATTACAAGCTGCTTCAGGAACAACTCAGGCGCGACGCGCATAAACATGCGAGAGTTGCCAAAGGCAGCGGCAGTCGTGACAAAGGGCTTGGCCGAAGCACCGCCCACATTCGGGGACAGCACGGGTGTCTCGACTTCGGTGAAGTCGCGCGTGTCCAGATAGGACCGGATGTACTTTAGGACCTTTGCACGAGTCACCAGGTTATGCTTGGCCTGCGGGTTGACCAGCAGATCCACATGGCGGTTCCTGAACCTCTTTTGTGTGTCTGTCAGACCGGACCGCACCGGAATCGTGTGGAAGCACGGCGCTAGCAGCTCCAGATGGCAGGTCACGAACACGCTGGTCTCGCCGGTATTTGTTTTGCCGATGAACCCCGAGGCTCTGACAATATCGCCCGGTAGCAGGGCTCTGTTGAGGCCGCGGAAATCTTCGTCGCCCACGTACCTGGCCTGCGAGGCTACAAGCTGCACAGTATGGCCGTCCTGTTCGATGTCAAAGAAAAACAGCTTCTTGCTAGCTTCGCGCTTGCTCCTGACCCGTCCCTGCACGGTGACCTGAACGTTGGGCAGCTTGGCGCCTTCTTCCAGTGCGTGGCCGTATTGTGACTGCAGGACCTTTTGGGAGACCACTGGGTAGCCTTCAGGAGCCGCTGTGTAGCGTGGGTAGGCAGGCAGGTTGAGTGTTTGGAAAGTCTGCTCACGCTGTGCCTTTATTGGCCGTTTGTCGGAACTGGCCAGGGTCGACATTTGCAGGCGGCAGGCGAATGGGCGCAGGTTCCGAGAGCCTTTGAGAGCTAAGGTGAGCGAGCGGTTCATAGTGGCGGAAAGTGCGGGCGGGTGGGTAAGTGAAGATAAGAAGCCCGGCCTGTGCTTAGCCCTCGTCATCCCTCATTGAGTGGGAAAAACGGATATCAAGCGGCACCGGCTGATTTTTTTGCGTGCTTGATAGGCGAGGCGATCAGCACAGGGGAATTTTTGGACCAGTGGTCCAAATTTGGCAATATCCGGAGATGACATATAACTCTGACACCAGATGTGGGTTGCTGATGGAGATATCCCATCACATATGCGCAGTGAACCATCGCATGGACCTGCGAGCGAGCCTTGCTGGCTCGCACCGACAAACACTCGCATACGTGGGCTAATAAACAAAAGCACAGTGTGGATGCATCGTCAGCGCGCTGCTTGACTGCAAAATGTTCAAGTGCGTTTCATTACAAGAGGAATATTGGAAGAGGGAAAAGATAAAGGAGAAAAGATATGGAGCCTAGGCTGTGCCCCTGGCGTTCTTGGGGTTCTCCTTGGCGTTGGCCCACAGCTGCGCAACCTTCTTGAAGGCCTCCTTGTGGGTGACGCCGGGGTTGCTCTGCTTGAACTTGGGCAGCTGGTCCTTCATGAACTTGTTGTACGCGCTGACCTTTTTACCGCCGCCGACAGTGCCCGGAGCGGCCTTCGCAGGCTTGGAGACCTTGCCAGACTTGGTGGTGGCAGTGGAGCTCTTGGATACGCGAGGCATGGCTGGAAGAAAAAAGAGGATATGTGTGTTTTTAGATACTATTAGGAGCCCAGATGTAAAGGGAATAAGGAGAGTTTGGATTTGAGGAAAAAACCGCTCGAAATGTGGGCGCGGTGCTTATATAGTCAACTGAGCAGGCAGGCAAAGCTAGGCGATGAGGCCAATAAGCGATTCACATTTTTCGAAACAAGCCTGAGGGCCCAGCAACTGTATTAATGGTGGAGCTTTTTTGGGCGCCCTAGCCGCCTGCCCGCATGACCATATGTTTTCCCCTTGTCGCTGGGCCACCTTGGCTGGCATTTTTCTACGCTCGAGCTTTTCCTCGCAGTGAACGCGCACCGCCGCTCCTTGGCCGACGCGTTCCCTGCTGCTCTAGGGCTGGCTGCCCGGCGAGCCGTAGCGGCGCCTCCTACCCCGCTGCAGCAGCCAAAGCTTGGAGGTGCAGAGTTTGGTGGACGCGCGTTCCTTCGGACAATATCTGGGCATTAGGACAGGGGGGTTGGTAAAAGAAATCAATTGTTGTTTCAAGGCCAACGTGCCCATTGGGCCACCATGACTGCTGCCTCGATTCGATTTTTTCCTTGCTGCAAAAACAGTTGGAAAAACAGGGTGGTAGGTGCCGCGCCCCGCCGCACTCTGTCTATGATGCCTGGCGCGCTTTTCTCCCAAGCCTATTAGTAGGAAAATGCGCGCTGGTGCTTTTTCCTGGTACTTCAAGCTGGCGGGCCCTATGCCATGGGCTGTTCTGGCTTTCTAGCTCTGTACGGTGCCAGGCCAATTGCTCCCTGGGAACGCCGGCGCCTGGCTCACTGGTTCTGGGAGCTCGCTGGTTGCCAGGGATCGCCCAATGGCCCAGAGACCCTGCTGCCAATGGAAGGGAGTCAAGCCATGGGGCTTAGAGACTCTGAAGGACCTGGGCTCGTGCTGCCGAGGCAGCAGCGAACGGGGCCGTGAAGAATGCGGCGACGTCCAGGGCCATCTCACGAGCCACCACCTACCGGGGCATGCAAATGGGTCGTTAGATCAGCGCTGACAATGGATGAGCATTCTGTGCCAAGGCCGACTTACCTGCTGAGTCTCAAGACCACGGTTGCTCGCAATACCAAATAGGTTTGCCAGCAGGGAGCCAGGGAACGCATCGCTGGCCGTGGCAAAGACCGCGAGCCATGCCGCAGCCATTTCCTCTTGTGGGCTCTGGCGCGCGCGCACCACAACCCGCCACATCGCGCGCAGCGAGCCGGAGGATTCCCCGAACGCCTCGCCAATCCCGCCGGTCGCCTCATCGAACGCCTACATGGGGGACGGCTTTAGGAATTCGCCTTTGTTTTGTTTGGAGGGGGCATTGTTGATAAATATCCGGAACCTTACATGCTGAGTCTCGCTGGTGACGTAGGTGTGGCACAATGCCCTCCACAAGTCGGCTAGCCGATGGTCCCGAGTAACAGCCAGCAGACGGCCAACATCTCGCAGGAGCTGTTTAGTCAGGTCGGCACTGGCAAACACCCTGTGGAGGACAGCTCTTTCCCGTACATGGCCTTTCCCTTGGTCCTGCAGCATCTGCACAAGCTACATGAAAGGATATGCATAATATCAGCCTTTGTGCATTGCATGCTTGCACATTGCCCCAATAAGACAGCCCAGTACTTGCCATTGCCGCACGCACAGCCTCCAACCGACTCCACAGCCTACCAGTACAAGCGCACTTAGTGTCATTCTGGCATTGCATGTGCCGCATTGCTTTCCCCTTACCTTTGTGCATGACTCGGCGGTGCGGCATCCAGAATCGCCAGTCCATGGCGGATTGCAAGCGCATGCTGCTCCAGCACACCCCACGCACCACTGTCCATGTGCGGGAGCAGTTCTGCCAACACCTGCGTCTGGCCTTCCTCGCTGCACACGGTGAACGCCTCATCCCATGCACGCTTCCGTCTGGCACTCCCCCATCCGCCTTTTTGCCTATCCATGAGCCCCAGGAGTCTCTGCAGCGCGATTCGCGGACCACCACGGGCCGCCAGGGCCTTGCCGCCAGCCTGCACGGTCTCCACTGGCCTGCAGTGCCGCAGCAGCGACCGGGTTACTTTTGATAGCCATCTGGATGCTGCCTGGTTGGAGTATACGCCAGAAGCATGTGCCTTGCTGTATTCGAGCGCAGCACCAATGACAGCCTGGCTCAGCTCGTCGTCCAGCGCAATGTGCCGGGAGCAGGATAGTGTTGTGAGGACTGGGCCAGCCTCTGGGTGCATTTTCGCGCACTCGTAGGCGCTGCGGCACGTTGAAAACTGCACCCGCCATGTGGTCAGCATTTGCACCAGAGAGGCTTTGTTCGCGCACCGGTCGCTTCGCCGATCCTCGGCACAGAAGGCGATGAAGCAGGCTATTATATCGTCAGTCATCATGGAGGAGTAGAGAAGAACAAAGTTCCCCTAGCACATTTGTCTCCCGCGATCTCGGGCTTTATTCAAAAACCACAACGTTACATGCAAAGCCTTATAGGATCCCGAATCAACTCAGAAGTCGTACTCCTCGTCATCGCTGTCGTCCATAGCGTCCTTCCGGCTGTATGTGATGGTTGTCTCGGCAGCCGTCTCGGCATTGAGCTCCTCCAGCATGCCCTTCAGATCCTCCTCAGTGACCTTTTTGCGGATCTGACCCATCTTGGCCATCCGCATCAGCATGCCCTCGATGGCGCTTGCCCGCTCCGGCCGAACCAGCGCAATGCGTCCGATGCGCTCGCGAGCCTCGTTGGTGAGAATTTGCGACAACTACTGTCCACACATAAGTATCAGCGTTGTCAAATCGGGCCAGCGCATCTCCTTCAAGTGGCCACTTACCATCGTCTGCCGCGCCTCCTCCTCCTGCCGCCTCTGCGCATCGGCCTCGGCGTTGCTGCTGCTGCCCTGTCCACCCTGCAGCTCGGCCATGCGGCGCGCTCTGATTGCCTCGAGTTCGGAATCGGCCATGTTGAATTATAGAAGGAAAATAGCTTGTGATAAAAGCAGTGTAAAGTCGCAAAAAAATAATGACGACGCCTCACAGCTGGGCTTGGAGCAAAAACAGCCCCCCGACTCGGCTCGGCTTGTGGTCAAACTGCTCTTATGTGTGGCTGAGCCCGCCTTGCACAGACAGTGGTAGAAAGAGCGCAGTGCTTCGCTGAAGGCAGTGCGGCTGCACTCTTCGCTGCTCTTTCATGGGAATGATCGGCCATTGTCACCCCATCCACCACCCTTTCGGAGACCCTCTCTCAACGGAATCTCTCTCCGCCAGTGAATCTGGCCGAAACTACCTAATCTTCACAAGATAGCGAAAAAATAGCCTGCTCAACAATTTTCGCAGCACATCCTCGCATATATATGCACATCCCACTCGCTAGTGCCCGCCTCCATTACTAAGCTTCTCTTTTCCCCTCCTGACTTTTTCATCTATTATTTGTAGCTTCGAGAGAATTTCCTAGCAATGCGTCCTCTTGTCTTCGCCCTCCTGCTTGTCGCGCAGCAGAGTCTTGTGGGCACTGCGCATGCCGCCTGCACGCTCGACAAAGTCGAAACAATAACAACGCCGGGTTTCACAATCGATACCAAGGACGACCACCAGGTGGTTGAGGACACCATCAACAAGATAAAGTACGGACTGTTCTGCGAGAACCAGCCGTCAAACGTCGACGGCATTGACAGGTGGTTCAAGATCCCAGTCAAAAGTGTGGGAATCCGCACCCCCATTGGGTCGGGCTTCCTCGAGGCCCTGGGAAAGACCTCCACGCTGAAGGCTGCGGCATCGCCATCCAGCCTGACAAACCCATGCATCGCAAATGTGGGCTCCCTGACTGACCTGACGTCGACCAGCGCGACCGACGCCAAGCTGGATGTGGTGTTTTCGAATAAGGAGGAGGATACCGACGGGAAATTGTCGGTGCGGGTGCCGTCAGATGACTCGCTGACGCCGCTGCAGCTGGCCGAGTGGGTGGTGTTCGTCGGCGCGTTTTTCAACGAGGCAAAAAACGCCGCAGCGCTGTTCAAGCAAATCAAGAGTGCATACGAATGCCATACCGGAAACATGAAGCACCTGAAGAACCCACCCCATGCGTACTGGGTGCAGTACCAGAAGACCGGCGACGAGAAGCACTACCAATTTTTGACCAATGCGTACGAGAAGAACATGCTGGCGGATGCCGGTGCCACGAACAACACCAAGGAGGCGCCGTCTCCCGATACCGACATAGACAAGTTCCAGAGCGCCGTCGAAGACGCTGAGGCCGTCTTTGATCAGACAGAGCTGACCAAGGATGGAAAGAAGATCTCGGAATGGCTGGAGAACTTTGGATATAAGGATGCGCCCAACTCCAAGGCTGCATTCTTGAAGCAGCGCGAAATCTACCGCAAGGACGGATACAGGAACAAGAACGGCAACAGCAACTTCCCTGAATTCGCTCTGGTCCGGCCTGACCTCGTGCTGCAGGACTTTATCAGCATTCTGGAGCCCGAGTACAACAAAAGCTACACGGCTACCTGGCTGTGGAAGCTCGGCAGCACCACAGAGTCCACCACGATCATTGGGCCCGACAACTACGACTGCAAAGCCCCTTGGATGGCCACAGTCCCAACGTGCTCGCCACGTACTGACTTCACTGGCGAGACTGACAACAAGTCCAAGGGCAGTGGGAAGGACAGCGAAAAGGACAGCACCAGCGAGGGTAACGACAAGGAGAAGAAGTCAGGCAGCGGCCGGACCGGCAAGATCGTCGGCGGCATCATCGGCGCCATCGTTCTGATTGCCCTGGGCTTCGTGGCTATGCACTACTACAACCGCCACCGCCAGCAGACGCGCCTCCGGGGCCTGTCGGCCGGCGGCTACGGCGAGAGCATTGGCCTGCAAAACGCCAGCAGCTACAATCGCGTTTAATTTAATATTTTGTGCGTAATTTAATACAGAGCTTGTTCTAAGGACGCTTGCGGCCCTGGACAGTCCGCCCGATGCGCGTGCGGTAGAACAGATATCGGTACAGCATATGCACCAGGTCCTTGGTCAGCACGTATGCGCACCCGCCGATTACTGCCCTGTGGAAGTGTCCCAGCCCGCGGCCCTTCAGGAATGGCAGCTTTCCGAGCCACTTGCCGCAGAACGCTGAGATCATCGGCAGCAGCAGCGACTCGGTCAGCATGCGGTTGAACGGCATGCCGTTGATAAAGAAGTGGGCGTTCAGCCTGAATCTGCGATCCCGGGCGTCTTGCTCTCCCTCCTGCACGGCTGCAGGCCTCCCGAACTCAAACTGCCTGAGCTCCACCGCCGACACCTCCTTTGGCAGCTGGCTCTCCCAGTGCCTCTCAATCCGCCCAAGCGTATGCTTCCACAGCAGATTATACACCGTGCACACCACCGGCATTGCGGTCAGAACCATAGGTGGCGACGGCACTCTCTGCATGGAGAGGATTTGCTTGGAGAGTGGTGACGTCAGCAGGAGCATTGAGGATAGCGGCAAGGTCGCGGATTTGCCGTGGAAGCGCGTCCAGATGAGCGTCAGCGGGATCATGGGCAGCCAGAGCCACTTGCTCTGGCCCGTGCGGCCTGTGCGGCTCAGAATCTGTGCAGCGTCAGCCGAGCCATACACCGTCATCACTGTGTGCGCGCCGTGTGCTGTGAAGGCCACTACCAGCGCCATGCTGCCAAAGCCGGCGAGGCAGAGGGGTATCATCTTGTCAACAAGGTCCATCACGTAGTTGAGGCCCTCAAACACTTTGGACTGCCACTGCACCATCTGGTACGGCGTGTTGCACTGCGGACAGCGAATCTACGTAGGCATGTGTTAGCTGTATGTATGCGCTGGCGGCCACTAGGCATGTCTCGTATTTAACTTACCACGCCGGTGCGGCTCCGTCCCTCGCTCTCGCCAATCCAGTGCAGGAGGCAGTCTTCATGGCACACGAGCGAGCACTTGCATGGATACACCCACTCGCCCTTTCCCGAGACAATGTCCTCGAAGCATATCCAGCAGCGCTCGGGCTCCGCTGCTATGCTGGAATTGTCCGTCATTGTGGTAGCAGCAAAAAAATAGAAGAGCGAAAAATGACAAGGATACTAAGGCGCAAGCACGAAAAGTGTCATGCGAACCATTTCATGGCCATTCGCCCTTTTGTTTGCGCCGCAAAGCCCACTCTTTGCAGCCGACTAGCTGGCAAAGCCAGACATCGCAAGGCGCTCTCCTATTTCTCACTTCCTCGCTACCCTTAACCGGAATGGCTGCTCTGGCAGTGCCTGTTTCGGGAATGGACAGTGCCTGCAGCCCGCCCTTTTCGAGGAAGCTGGTTGCCATCCAGGCTCTATCGGGCCCTTGCGCTTGCACAGCCCTGGCGCGTGTCACTGTGCCATGGCATAAACAGCTGTCTCAAGGCGCTGGATTTGGCGAGCAGTCATAACTGACTCCTTGGCCAAATATTGCTGCCAATTTCCTGGTCATAATGCCTGCAGCGTCACAACCACCACTGCCTCGCATTCAAAGGCTGTGACAGCCAGACACACCGTGCTGGCCAGACATTAAGTTCCAGTTGCTATTGAAGGACCACCCGGGGGCAGTCCAGTTCGCCAACGGCCTGCCTAGCACCACAGTCGATGGCATTCTGCAGATTTTAAGCGGAAGCCCAGTCACGGGATTTGGCAGCAGCCTAGAAATCTGACAGTGGTGCAGATTGGCTCTTGACTTCAAATGCCCGTGCTGCTTTGTCATCCCTCACTCTTGGTTCTGCAATCCGCTATCTTTTCGATTTTGCATCCTTTTCGACTACAATGTTTGCTCTCCGCTCGTCGTCCTCGCTTCTGCGCACCGTGCGCCCCGCCCTTGCTGCCCGCCTCTATGCGACCAAGCCCGATGTCTCGTTCGAGGAGCTGCGCAAAATCATCCATGGTGTCACCAACACCGACTACGTGCTCATTGATGTGCGCGAGCCCCACGAGGTCGCCAACGGCAAGGTGCCCACAGCCACCAACATTCCGCTCGGCGAGGTTGCTGATGCATTTGCCCTGTCCAAGGATCTGTTCAAGAGCAAGTATGGCATTGAGAAGCCGACCGGCAAGCAGGAGACTATCTTTTACTGCCGCTCGGGCGTGCGCAGCCAGAAGGCCATCGATGCTGTCGAGAAGGCGCACTCGGCGGAGCTGGTTACCCGCAACTACCGCGGCTCGTGGCTGAACTACTCGGAGAACGCCCTGGGCAACAAGAGCCTGACTGAGTAGCTGCTTTATCTTCCGTTAAATACCAGCCTTTCCTGTGCGTGACGATAACGCCATATCCGGCGAACTGCAGACGTGTTGGATCGGCCGATCCGCGTTGATCGATTACAGTCATGATCAGCCCGCGCGCGTTGCCGCAGATTTGACGCGTGCAGCTGTGCTGAACGAAAGCTGGGTTCAAGTGCGCCCTTGTTCCTTACTCTTTGTCTTGCTTTTTTCCACAGTTTTCTTTGAAAATGACCAGCGCAACAGAGGTGCTGCACCTGCTCGTGATGCAGGATGCCGAGACTGTCACGTACCGCCGTCTCAGCCGCGAGCTCAGCGTGCACGTCAACGAAGCAAAGTCCCTGATGTACGACTACTACACGAAAAAGCTGGGCTCATGCCACGCATCGTTCCTGGTGTCGGGCACCGAAAAGTCTGGCAAATCGTCACGCTTGCTGGTAAAGATTGTTTCAGAGGACGAGCTGGCAGACGCTAAGCAGGGGCTGAGCAATGTGTCATCGCATATCTACTCGCTGGAGCGTAAAAGGGCGGACCGGGAGATGTTGGTTGCGTCCAATTTGGCTGCGGGGAGCATCCGTGAGATGGCTGATCTAAGTGCTGTTCGCAATGGCTATATCACGCAGAATGAGCGTGGGGCGAGTGCAGTGTTTGCAAAGCCAGCAACTGCCTCGACGCCAAAGGAGGTCAAAAAGGAGAAGGAGGAGCTGGCTAGCAAGGAGCCAAACGACGTTGTTATGGAGGACCGAACTCAGCCGGCCAAGAAGGCTGCCACATCGTTCTTTGGTCGGCAGACTGCAAACAAGCCAGCGGAGAAGCGGGAAATGAAGAAGGAGATCAAGAGGGAACCGAAGCACCCGGAGTCAGCGAAGCAGGAGATCGCTGCTAAGAGCAAGGCCAAGCCCACACGGCCCAGTTCTGGCGGTAGCAGGCCGGCAAAGAAGCCCTCTCCCCCTGCCATCGAGCCGCCCAGTTCACCCGCAAGTAAGCTAGGGCGGATGCGTGTCGAGGACATGTTTGACGACGACGACGACGACGACGACGACGATTTCGAGGATACCCGCAAGAAGGAGCCAGAGCCCATAGCACAATCCGAATCCGAGCCGGAGCCGGCACCAGCCACTATCCCATCGGAGCAGACGCGCAATGAAGCACAGAACGACATGGACATAGATAGCCCTGAAGATCCAGTGAAGGAGGAACCGACAGAGGTACCCCCAGCGAGTGGTGGCCGCAGAGTGCGCAAGCGCAGAAAGGTATCGCGGGTCAAGCACACGAAGAACAGCAGCGGCATGTTGGTCTCGGAAACCGTCGACGGCTGGGAGTCGTATTCCGAGTCCGAGCCCGAGATGCCTAGCAAGCCTGTACGCAGACCTGCGGCAGCGGCAGCAGCAGCGGACCCAGAAGACACAGCGGCCAAGCCCAAGAAGGGAAAGGGCAAGCCGGCGGTGAACCAGCGCTCGCTGCTGAGTTTCTTTGGCAAAAAGTGATTTTTCTTATAAACAACATTGGAAACAAAAAATACAAGTCTATCGACCGAACGTCACTGCCTTCGGGTCCAGCGGCAAGCCGGTGGCCGGGTCAATGCCGTTGCTTCGCATGACAATCTGCTGGCGAATCAGCCGGGCTTTGTCGAACGACACGCCTCTGGTCTCCATGATATGCCGCACCTCGTCGCTGTCCAGACCGGGCCGCTCATCGCCGTCGTCGATGTTGACGCTTATGTCGAAGTTGTGGCTGCTGAGCCCATCGGCGTAGTCCTGCTCAAACCCACTGATGCTGTCGCCGCTTCCACCAAGTATCGGCCGGCCGCGGCTCCGGAACCGCGCTAGTCGCATGCTAAGCCTGGACCGGCCCATGAAGAGCCCGAAAAAGTACCAGAGTGCGACGACGGTCATGGCTATCAGCGCCCAGAATATGTAGTCGGTCGAGGTTCTTGTCGGCGCGTCGTCATCCATATTTTATGTTAGCGAGTGAATGCGAGTGCTGAATTGAGGAAAGGTGCAAAGTAGGGATAGCGGAAAGGCAAAGGCGCAGTCGAATGCGTGTTTTGGTGACAGTTCCCTGCCGCTAATATTTACTGTTACCGCCGCCATCTGCAAGCCAAATAAATCACGGTTCGCAGCCAAGACTTGCGCGTCTGTTGACAGCGGAGCAACACCCAACGTGTCTTGGCATTCGACGCCTTTTGCTCTGGGGCCGCTTTGTTGGTAGGCAGGACATGATGCTGTTGCTCGCAGCAGAAAGTTGAGGATATCATGGCATGCCGCGCTACCGACATGTGGTGGCTGGCACCATCAACGTCACATCCACAGCACTCCTCGCCAAATATGGCAAAGCAGCCCTCGCACGCTCAAGGTATCCACAGCGCCTGCGATCGGCCCGCTGCGATCAGCTCTGGGCGTGCACCCTACAGTGCGCACACGTGATTCATGATCCGCCAGATCGTGATCATTGGCCCGCGGCGTGGCCCTGGCAATTAGCCCCCCAGCCGTTGCTCGCGATTTTTGTGCTGGCTCGGCTTGGTGCTGGATCGCTCGGCTCTAGGAAAAAATCTGTCGCCTGTAGGCGAAATTTTTCAGAGTGGAAGGGGGGGCCATGCTTGGGGTGCTGCTGGCAGCAGAGGGATCTATGAAAAGTATTTGCCAAACGCGCAAAGCTGTAGGTACCTTCTTTTTCTCCTTGTTAGGACTATATATTTGACCCACCTTTCACAAAGGCCAGAACAAGAAATCACCATGTCCGAGCAGGTGCGTATTGCAAATTGGTTTCATGAGTGTTGTAGAGCCGCCATTTAGCGTGAATGTGAGGGTCGCCTTACGGATCGTGGTCCAATTTGAACCAGACTGGGAGCAGAAGCAGCAGCGAGCGGGCAGTTTCCTTTGGCGAGCAGCAAACAGGCAGACACGAGTGGTTGCCCTGCGAAGGCGCAGTGGGAGTGGCTGTGGACTGGTGTGCAGCTGCTGGGGTCGACAAACGTCGCTGGCGTTTTCAAAGCGGCTAGTGGAAAATTTTTCAGCTGCTCGACCGATTTGAGAAATCAAAGGCTTCGGTCCTGAATTCCGCGAAACGGAGCAGCCCCTCTGACGCTGCCGCTGCCGCCTGTCTGGCTGTCTGCTCTTTACGGTCCAGCGATCTAGCCGCCCAGTTGGCTCTGCTGGTGGCGACCCCGGACGTGGGCATAGAGAGCATGTTTCTGGACATACTCGATCACCAACGAGCACCAACGAGCACCAAACACTAACTCTCAAATGCTACTCTGTGTAGACTGAGCGTTCGTTCCAGAAGCAGGAGGCTGTCTTCCTTAACGCCAAGACCGTTAGCAAGAAGAACAACCGTTGGTACAAGGACATCGGTCTGGGTTTCAAGACCCCGACTGAGGCCATCGAGGGTACCTACATCGACAAGAAGTGCCCGTTCACTGGCAACGTCAGCATCCGCGGCCGCATTCTGTCCGGTGTTGTTGTCTCGACCAAGATGAAGCGCACCATCATCATCCGCCGTGACTACCTGCACTTCATCCCCAAGTACCAGCGTTACGAGAAGCGCCACAAGAACCTGGCCGCTCACCTCTCGCCCGCCTTCATCGGCGTCGAGGCCGGTGACAGCGTTACCGTTGGTCAGTGCCGCCCCCTGTCCAAGACTGTCCGCTTCAACGTGATCAAGCACCAGAAGAAGGTCGTCAAGGGCTCGAAGCAGTTCCAGAAGTTCTAAATTTCTAACGTGTTTGCTTGACATTGTCTTTTTTCTCGTTTCTTTTGGAATACAAAGAAGCTAAAAGAGCGTCTTTATGTGGGCTCTCGCTTGAACATTATAGCATGCACGCTGGGGATGTGATGTGATGTGATGTGTTGTTATACATTGGCAGGTTACGGAAAGCGGGTTCGGGGGCACTATGTAGAAGTCAGGAAGTGCTGGCTACAGTGCTCGCTGCAGCGAGGCCGTTGATGGCAGGCGCAGCAGAAGCAGCTGCACTTGCAGGCTCAGTTGCAGCAGCTGCAGCAGGCTCTGCCGACTCGGCAGAGGCAGCCGTAGCGGCCGTGTCCACAGGCGCGAGCTTGGCAGCGGCAGCACGTGCAGCAGTAGCCAGCACCTCAGCAGCCTGCTCCGGCGTCTTGATCCACCCGCTATCGACAAAAAAGTCGTATATCCGGTTGGTTGTCGCTGGATCGATCTTGACGAGCTCCCGCGCCTGGCGCCTCTTCAGCGATCCCCGTCGCGCATACTCTGACAGCAGCGTCTCCTTGACCACCAGGTAGGGTCTGGGGAACACCTGGAGCTTCTGGCACATGGCCTTCTCGCTCTTGGTCAGCAGCTCCACGCCCTCGGCGCTCTCGATGTCGGGTGACGCCTGGTTGGGCTTGCGCGCGCCGTGATAATGGCCGGCCTTGTGCTGCTCAGGCCCCGACTCCCGCACAGCCCGAGCCGCCGCGATCCTATGCAGCCGCTCGAGCAGATGTGCGCTGTCGCGCAGTGTGTTTGCGCGCCGCGACAGCCTTTGCGACCGCTCCACCTCGTACTGCGATCCATCCTCGAGCGTGGTGATACCATTGCGGCGCCACTCCTGCAGCTGCGCAATGCGATGTCGCAGCGTCTGCTCGTTCAAAAGACCCGTCGATAACTCATTGAAATCCTCGCGCGTCTGCATCCTCGCAAGAACCTTGCTTTTGTTCAAGATATCGCGCTCGTCTTTCGGCCGCTTCTTCTCAGCTGCCTGCGTCTTGCGGTACTCGAGCAGACCGCGATCGAATATGAAGTTCTTGTATCGGACACGCCGATCAAGGCGGCTGTTGTAAATGGCAAGGACGATAAGCTTCAGCTCCACCTCCTCGGGCGAGTCATCGTCGTTGAACACCATGTCCTTAACAACCTGCTCGGCCTCATTCTCCACCTCAGTTTCAAACTCCAGCCGCCCGGGCATGTACCCAATGATCTCGTGGTTGCTGGGCTGCGACGACAGCACTTTGCTCTTGTTCGGATTCGACTTGAGCCGCTTCTCAAACGCGGTGCGCGCAAACTTCACGCTGAACGTCTTGTTCATGTCCGGCATGGGCCAGTCTTCCGAGGCCACGTAGACGTCCTTGTAATGTTGCTCGCACTCCTCCTTCGTCTTGGTGCCAACGTGCTCGGCCGCGTCCCGCCAGTTGCCCATGCCAAACTGCCGCAGTCCGTCGATGAGTAGCAGCTCTTCGTCCGCAGACCAGTCTTCGGTGAAAATCGGGAACCGGTGCTTTGTCTACTGTGCTCACTTGCTCTATCAGCTGCCAAGCTCTCTACGCAATGGTGTGTGTACGCGCCGAGCCTGTGTGTGTGTACTTACCACGATACGGTATGAATGCGTTTTCTTGTGTCGACCTATCTCGATACCCTTGGCAAAGCATGCCGCACAGAGATCAAACTCTTCAAACTTTTCGCACTCGTGGCACCGGATACGCACGCTATCGGACACGTTCACCTGGCAGTTGTCGCAATGGTACATTTGGCCCGCTATACGTCCAAAAAAAAGGCAAATTATCAGTGCATTTCCAATGTAGTTCTCGCTTCGCCTCTTTACTCTTGCTTCAGCACATACCTTCTTCTACAGCCATCGCGTCTTGCTTCCTCTTGGTGCTTCCTTCTGGCATTATGTGGGAGAATGGTGCAGCGCGAAATGAGCAATGGTAGAAAAGAGGGGTTTGAGGAAAGGCAAAAAGGGGGCTAAACGTGGGACTAGAGAAAAAGCTGGCCTGCCCAAAATTCATACATCCACTTCTCACGGGTCGACTTGTGGTAGAGTCATGGTGGCCACGTCCAAGCCCATGAAAATATTTGGTCCTCAGCTACCTTGTGTATACCATGTCGTATTTTATTCCGCACTTGACAAACGGCTGGCAGGTGGACCAGGCAATCCTGTCTGAGGAAGAGCGGGTCGTGATGATCCGGTTCGGCCACGACTGGGACCAGCAGTGCATGATCATGGACGAGACGCTGTACCGGATCGCGGACAAGGTCAAAAACTTTGCTGTCGTCTATCTGGTTGACATCACCGAGGTCCCCGACTTTAACACGATGTACGAGCTGTACGACCCGTGCACACTCATGTTCTTTTACCGAAACAAGCACATCATGATTGATCTGGGTACGGGCAACAACAACAAGGTCAACTGGCCGATCGAGGACGAGCAGGAGCTCATTGACCTGGCCGAGGTTGTGTACAGAGGTGCACACAAGGGCAAGGGTCTGGTGGTATCACCCAAGGACTACTCCACAAAATACAAGTACTGAGGTGCGTTTAGAAATATATAATAGCCCATATGGCTGCAAAAACGGTATAATTGTTGAATGGAAACGAGTAGAGCAATGCAGAGCATGTCATGCGTATATTACAGCCAATAATGATATTCACTCGTCAGCAGCGATTTCTGAGACTCTCGGAGACAGCGTACTTGACCGTTCATATTTACCTGCAGGAAGCTAACGTCGCATGGTTCACTGATGCCCTGTTCCAAGAGCTGCTGCAGGCAGTCAAGCCCAAACTCAAGCAGAAGGCCGCTGAACTCAGGGAGAACAAAAATCCGGCTGCCAGCATTTACAAAAATAGTAGGTACACAAACACCTCTCACGAATGCACCTCCAGCCTTGCTACTAATGCGCAGGCTATCTTCTGTATAGGCGCATTGCAGGTCGCCTTTTACGTCGACAGGCTCGAGTCGTCTGGCCATCTGCTGGTGCAGGAGCCCCTGGTCAAGTCAGAGTCGCCTGACGCCAGCCAGCACCTGTTCAGCTACCAGCCACTGCGCAGGACCGCCAATGTGCTTGTTCTTGTGCCCGAGCCGTTCGACGCCAACAACCAAATCGAGCTACCGAAGGTTCTAAACGTGCAAGTCGAGCCATAGTAATAGATATGTCAAGGTTACAATTCTGAAAATATGCAATAGCGGGGATCATAGCCTCATTAGAGCGAGTTAGCCGTGAGGCGATTAGGCAGGGCGATCCTGTGCGGAATAGCCTGGACAAGTAGGAGCTGATCTGGATGATGCAAGCACCATCGGAAAACGCACCATCCTTATCCCACAGCCCATCTTTAATTGCAGCAAGGCAAGGGCGACCCCACATGCAGCACTGCCAGCACGCAATATGTATCTGGGCGACGATGCGGGCGGGGAATAATACCAGCGATATCCCGGCTCTTCGATGTTTTATGAGCCTTCCTGCGTGGCTCGCGAAATCGCATTCCTGGTGCACTTCATAGGCCCATCCAGGCAGATGCCGGAGGAGGCTTACAAAGACAAGCGCTAGTGGTGGATTGGTGGGAAAGCACACCATCTGGCTGACCAAAAAAAGGTGTGAGCAAATGCAGTGATCGCACAAGACATGCATGGCTCCCACCTCCATTTTCACAACGCCTTCGGGGCTCTTTATTGCGAGTGGGGAGGGGCTTGGCCCCAGACAATGTTACAGCTGTTGTGATACACCAGCTGTGTTGCCCAAAGATCTATAGATCCCAGCATGCTATCGTACGATGTTCGGCGGGCTGTAGGCCAAGTCTAGCACCCCGGTTCCTGGACAGCACGCGCTAGGCGTGTGAAAGTGATACGTGAAGGAGACGGTATCACCAGCCCAAATGTCACCATTCCTCATTGATCTCCAACAAAATAATTGGGCGCTTTCATGCGTCGAGCACGCCATCGCTGAGTGATGCGACTGGATAATTTTCTGCCTTCTTTTTGCCCCTGATGAGGGGCAAATAATTTTTTCCCCTTTCGCAGCCTGAAAAAAGGGGGGGACCAAAGCCAGACATGCCAGGTATAAAGCCTCACCCCCTCTCCAGGGGCGTCCGCTCCGAGCTAACCCCTATTTTTTGGCTCCTAATTTCCTTAGAATACTTGCGCATCTCTTCCCTATTCTTTTAGTTATTGATAGACATGCTCCCATCTGTCAAGGAGCTGCTGGTGCTCAGCGATCGCACAATGCTCGGTACCTCACCGCCACCACAGCAGCAGCACCCTGTTCCACCGAATGTGCTGCCAGCGCTTTCAGCACCACCACATGTGCCTAGGGTCAGCAGCCCACCAACCCCAGAAATGTCCACCGCTAATAGCAAATTCTACAGTGTGCCTGTTAAAGGCATGGCGGCGTCAATAACGCTGGTACCCGTATGCCAAAAGCAGCGGCCAGGGCGCAAGGCCGACAGCAGCAGCCGGTACACGAGCAGCCCGGGTGCACGCAACTACCGGTGCGGTATGCAAAGCTGCGCTGCTTCGTTCAAGAGACCTGAGCACCTGAAGCGGCATATGCTGACCCACACGCAAATCCGGCCCTTCAAGTGTACGGCAGGTGGGTGCGGAAAGCGATTCAGTCGGCGTGATAATTACATAACCCACTGTAAAAAGCACGAAACCTCGGAGTCGGCCTCCGAGGGCAGCTCGGGGAAGCGGAGCCGGTACAGTAGCGAGTCTGTGCAGAGCTCAGTAGGCAACACGCCGAGGTCGTCGCCAGAGCCCCGGCCGTCGAGCATCTTCAGCCTGCTCAATAACGAGGCAGAGCACGAAACGCACAGTGGCGGGGTAACAATTAGTAAGCACACAAGCAACAATGGCGCGATCACTACTGCCAGTGATGCCACCCCCTGGGCTGCTGATGGGCAATCGGCAAGCCAGCCATCTCCACAATCTTCCGCATCACACACAGCAAGTCGGCAGCAGCAGCAGCAGCAGCCGTCTGCCACTCCCAGCCTGCCGCCACTGGAGTTGCTGGCTTACGCCTCGTCACGCACCGAAACTGTCCGTCCCTCGACACCAGGCCAGTCTGTGCATCTGCCATCCATTGCCCATTTTTCTTCGCCATCGCCTACATCCTCTCAAAGCAGCCCTGCAGCTACACATCGAGTCGAGACCTCAGTGGTCACTGTGCAGGGGTCGACGCAGGAGCCAATGGTTACAACAGCGTCCACAACCATTGTCGGCGGCGACCCAGCGAAGCCGTTCATGTGCTCGTTGTGCAATGCTCGATTTGGCCGCCTCGAGCACGTCAAGCGCCACCATATGGTGCATACGAATGAGCGCCCATTCTCCTGTCCGACCTGCAAAAAGACATTTGCACGGAAGGACAACATGATCCAGCATGTCCGCGCCCACGAACGCAAGAAGGCACCATCCACTCTGTAAATTTTAACCATCAAACTGTGCCTCTTGAATATATGGCATTTCGACGTTTACATTCGTCTCCAAAGTGATCACAATGCATTCTTGGAAATGTACACCATTTGATAGTGAGTATTGGTCTCTCCAGCATTTATAAATACTTTTCAATGTGTTATATTGTTGTTGCCAGCGGTCCCAGTGGCCATTAGATCTTAACCGCAAAACACCAAGTCTTTGGCTTTGATTTTTACGGTTGTCTTCTCTCTGTCTATGATGCATCGATTGCCAACGCTTTTGAGCTCCCGCTAGCTCTTGGTATTTGCCGTTATGTACCAGAAGCATATGCCAGAGCACGCAGGGCGGCATAAAAAGAACTACGGCGATAGTTCTGGACTTTTCTCCTTCGCTTTTGTTTTGAGGCTTTATACTGCGTTCTTCAAATATCCAATATAGGCATCTTGTATGAAGATTGTTATACTCTGTCGTTTGATAACAGGCATACGCGCATTTCAGTGTCGCAGATAGTTGAATCCCAGAGGAAGCAGTGCTAGTGCTGGTTTTTATGTGTTGCAGCTATACAGGGGCAGCTACGCATACGCCAGGCTTTGCTCTGAGCACAGAGGGCATGTCGCTGTAGTCGACAGGATCTTTTACCAGTGCCACGACCTTGTTCTTGTGGGTAAGTTCGTGGGTGGCCAGTCCGATATCCAGCCGCCAGCCATCGTCCTTCCCGACAGGTGCGCAGTCGTATATTTGATACGGCAGGGTGTGCCAACGATGTACTGCGTGGCAATTTACCTTGCTTCCTGCTTGCGCGCGGACAAAACTGTCCTCATTCTTGGTTACGAGTAGCGAGAACTGCTGAATGGACGGGTACATTTTCTGCTCTGCCTAGCCTGATGCATCCGGCAGCCATCTCAGCCTTATCTTTGGCGCAAGGCTTGGGGACATTAAAACAGTGTGGACGCCGTCAAGAAGACACTTGCTGACTTCAAGGGATGCCACCTTATCCCTTTCCGTCTCGAGGTCACTTGGCGAAATCACCTTGTTCGAATGTACGGTCGAATTCTTTGCTGTGAGCTTGACGGGAGATATAATCGTGGTGCCTGGCGACGCTTGAGGAACTCGCTGGGGCATCTACAGATAAATGGCGGTTATGATCTTGTTAGCACGTAGCCAACTCCAGTGCTCAGGTCGATATCTGTTTGGATGTACTTGCTATTTCTCTTGTTTTTTTTTTGTCATACTGTGAGGGACAATGTAATTTTCATTTTAACCTCTGAGCACCGGCTCCCTCTGACGCCACCATGGGCCAGGCTGCTGGAGAAAGAGGGCTAGAAATGTTGTGTTACTCTTGGAGTAGATAAGAATATTTCCATTTTGAAAGCTGAAGAGGAATGAAAAGAGAATGCTCGTCTCAGCCGCTGTGCTGCAGTTGGAAAGAGTGAACAAAGCAGCCTCACAAGCCTATGATGCAGTTGATTGTTTGGCACGTAGTTCAGTTTTAGGTTTCTTCTGTAGATGCAAGTTTCGAGGCCTCTTCGTATCTAGGCCTGCTACTTCTCGTGCCAGCTGTGTACAAGGTCACAGGTGAATTCCTGTCTCTTCCTCGGACCGCATGTTGGGTTTAGCTGGTGCACCCAACTACCGGATGGCTAGTGTTCTAGTAGCTGACGGTTACTCACACGGCGGTTCTACGCACTCGAATTATCTACAAAAATGCTATTTTTCTACTAGATTCACTGTCGAAATCGCTAAACGTTCGCCTCAGGAGCACCGGCAGACGTGGTGGGTTCCTTCGAAATCGGTGCAGCGGTGATACTGCTGCCAGCAACCTTTTGGGGCAGCGCCAGCCCAGCAGTGGCAGCTGCGATGTCTGGCGATGTCGCTGCTGCGCCGCTAGTCACAATGGAGCTGAAAAAGTCTGCCATTGATGGGTCGATAGCCGATGCGTCTTCGTGCAGCGCTCCATCTATTGCCGACACACCCGTCGCATTCTCCAGCGCATTGAGCAGCAGCTTGGTGTACTCGTCGTCCATGGCCGGTGGCTGCGCAGCCGTGCTACCAGTGGCTGCATAGGCACTGGTTTCCGGCGCAGAGTTGTCGGCTGCGTTTGGGTCGACAAAGTCCAGGAATGGTGTGCTGCCAGCGTTGATGTCAGGGGTCGGCACATTAACAATCCCGCTGCCGACGGTACTGTTGTCGCCAGTGCCCGCAGTGAGTAAGGGCACAGTGTTTCCGCCGCCGTTGATCACTGCAAACAGTCGCTGCAGAGCGGCCAGCTGGTCAGGGGAATACTCTGCCTTGGCAACCGACGACAGCAGGTTCGGATCCAGGCCATCAAGCGATGGTGCGCTCGAAAAGGTGCTGGCGGTGCTTACAGTTTGGCCAAGCGGGGCAGTTTGCAGGTACCCGCTTGCTGCCGCTGCAGCCGTCTGCGGGCTGAAGGCACTGGCGACATTGGGGTGGGCAGCACTGGCAGCAAGCAGCGACGAGCCGCTATTACCAGCAAGCGTCGACGCCAGCGTACTCAGAACCTCGGGTGTCAGCAGCGACTGTGCCAGCGTATCATCCAGTGACCCATGGGACACGCCCTGGCCCGCTGCATTCGCCGTGGCTGCCGACGGCACAAAGCTGCCTGCTGAGCCAATGGGCTGGACTGAGCTGGCAGTATTCGCTACCGGTTGCCGAGGAATAGCGGCCGCTGCCTGCTGCGCATCGGCTGCCGAAATGAGGTGCTGCGTCAGCGAGGTCAAGCTATGACCCAGCATGTCGACCTCCCGCTGCAGCTGCTCGATCGACTTTGTGTTGGCCTTCATCCGCTGGTACGCGTTGCTGTTTTGCGACACCGGCACAAGCGCGTTATTCGCTATCGCATTCACCGATGACGAGCTCGGCGGGCGTGGTGGACCGAAAGTAGCCCGTGGGTTGGCCACTTTTCGGGCAGTCGTTGGCGCCACTGAGCCGGATTCAGGCGTCTGCTGCCGCGGCGTTCCTTCCTTTGACGTTCTGCGCTGAGCCACACGCTCAGCTGGCGACGGTGGGGTAGAGCCGACCTCGTAGATCCTGCCTGTCCGCGATGCGGTGCTATCAGCTCTCATGCGCTTATGCGGTGGCTCCTGTTGCCCACGCTGCGCCTGCTGCAGATCAGAGTCCAGCATGTCTGTAAAGTCGGACGTGTGCGAAAAACCTGCTGCTTTACTGTTGCCTGGATTCGGCAGCAGACGACGCATGCCTGTTTGAAGCTCCAGGTGCTGCGAGTCGGCCTTGAACACGGTCGCCAGGAAGCGCAGGATCTTGTCAATGGTCTCCTGGTGCTGTTTGTAGCGCTCCTGCGTCGCTGCTGCCTCCATCCACAGGGCCTGGTTGTCTTCCTGCAGATGCTTAATGTCCGTGCTGATGGTCATTTGGTGGTCGCGAATGACTTGTATCTCCTTCAGAATTTTGGCCAAGTTGACTGGCGGTGCTCGCGATGCACGCTGGCGGCTTGGAATCGCGTGTACTGAGGCTGTGCTCCTTGCAGCACTCGCTGACCCACTGGTGCTGCTGACTGGCGCCACTACTTCGTCTTTCTCCTCGGCCTCTGCAGTCCGCTCTGGATCGGCCTGTGCTGACTCTGCATGCTCGCTGTCCCTGCTGCCCTTTTTGCGTCGGATGAAATGCAGCAGGTCCGGCTGTCCGCGCTGGAAATTCTCGTTGCTAAACTCCCAGCTCTCCGCATCCGGGCTGTCCGCCAGCAGCCCACCCTGCTGCAAATGGGGTACCTTGTGGAACCCGTACATATTGAGCTGCCTGACAAAGCTCGAGAAGTTGTTGTGCTTGAAGAACCGCGGCAGTACCTGCTTAGCAAAGTCTTCGTGCTGCGCAACAATAAATGAATTGCCATCGTCGGACCAGCGGATGAGATCGTCGCTGGCTACATCGTCCACCATGTTGTATAGCTTGTTCAGAAACGGGGTCACCGTCACGTTGCGGTGGATGTTTGTTATGCGGCGCGGTGTATCTCTAATCATTGCTGGTGTGTGTATGCGCTGTGCGGGGTCCTTCAATAAAAACGGCCGAAGGGTCGAGGGTAGAGGTCAAAGCACGAAATTCCGTTATGCAAAGGATAGGCTTCAGAAACCAGGGGATAGAAAAAACGAGGATGTGGAGGTTTCGACCTGCGGAACGGAGCAAGTTAAAAATGCTCTGGTTGTTTCGAGTTGTGTAGGTAGCAGAGCCAGAAATAAACGAGTAGACTTTGAGGGAATAAAAGTATGTGAAATGGGCGAAGAGAAAGGTGTCAGGAAGAACAGGACGCAGAAAGACAGCGTGTCAGGACAAAAAAATAGTGCGCTTTAGTGGTTTTTGGGAACTTCAACAACACCAGCAAAAAATTTACACTAGTCGGTTCATCAACCTGCTGCAACCTCGCTTGCTATGATGAGCCACTAGATCGAGCCGCGACTCCATCGGGGCTGTGTTCGGCTGGGATTTGGCATCTGAGCTGCAAACCCCGTACTGCTTGCTGGTCTTCGCCTCTCCAACGCATTTTCATTTCTGCATTGCCAATGTCGTCACATGTGTACTTCCTCATAGACAGGCGCGCTGTCGGCCACTCCCAGAGCGCCGTGGGCACAGTCCTCGCCCAGATACTCGTATACCTGGCGGCGCAGCACCAGCGCATATCATGGAACTACGAGCTGGTTGACCTAGAGTCGCGCCCCAAGCCCACCACCGCACAGCACAAGCGCAGCGTGCGTGAACGTAAAGCGATTGATGTCGAAACCGTCGACAAATTCCTTGCAGAAATGCACCAAATGCCCAACGACAGCCTGCCAGCACCGGTCTGCGCACCAATCGAGACACTGCATGCACGTCTCATGTGTCTCGAGGCTGATGTCGAGTGGGGAGATCCAGCAACAATGCGGTCACCGGCACGTAACAACCAGACGCGGACATGGACCGACCCGTCGCGCATCAATGAGTCCATGTCGGTACAAAAATACATGATTGTTGTTGGCTCCGCACCTGGATCGCTGGCGGCATTACGTGACTTTGTGCGCGGACCTGCTATGCACACCGAGTCCCAGGATGATGTGTCGCTGATCGAACAGCTGACGGAGCTGCGCGACGGGGTCATTGGCAAGGGCCTGTGGGAGAGCTATGCGAGAAAACGCGTCGGCATCACCTTTGTGAGCATGGCGCCAAAGCGAGCCATCCCAGGCATGGATCCAGTCGACATACTGATTGAGAGCGTGTTTGAAAGCTGCTTCGAGTCGCTTGGTGGCTGTGTGGTGCCGATCACCAGTCTTCTGGTTCGCGGGCTGCCATTTGCTGCTGCGTTTTCGCTGTGGCATCGTCGCCGCACGTACCCGAGCTGGAGCCGCAAGTTTGCGCGCGAGGTATCCGCAGTCATTGACCGATTTTCTGACGATGTTGACGAGGAGCCGCATAGGGAGTGGTCGCTGGCAATGGATGGAGCGCAAACAACCGTGCAGCTGCGGCAGCTGCCGGTTCCTGAGCGACAATGGTTGACTGAGGGTCGTCTCCATCGGAGGTACGATCTGGCAGAGATGGTAGCAGCTGTCAGTGACTATAAACAGGCATATATAGCGAAAGACGGTGATAGCGGCTGCAGATCAGTGCTGACAGCGATTGGAACAGCTCCCTTGAGCGTGTGGCTGCGGATTGTCCGTGCAGTAGGTACCGTGCCTCCGATCTACTGCAATATCGACAAGGGGCAGCTGCCAAAATGTTCGATCACTATCTGCCGCTGCTCTGTACCAGCTGCCCCTGAGCCAACAAAAAGCTGGGCGCTCTTTCAGCCGGCTGCTGCTGTGCAGTCATACCCTTTGGCATTGGTTGTACCGGTTTCAAACCATACTGCCGCGATCTATTATATCAGCGACATAGCCTATGCGCATATCTCTGACATCATATCGGAATATGACGAACAGCGTTTTGTTGATCCCACCGACCCGCCATCCGGTCACTTTGAACCATCGTGGATGGAGAGCTGGTGCTGGAAAGATACCGCCTATGACTTTCCTGTCCAGGGGCTGGACAGATGTTCAGTGGACGTGGGATTCCACGAATCGCAATTCGACTGCTCGCTGCTCGGGTCAAAAGACATTGCCAGTGCACTGTCTAGCCCCGTGCATGTGCAGAACCCGACTGACAGGGATGATCCAGATATACAGTCTTGGGGATCAGCAGACGTGGATAATGCGGATACACGCATAACTTCACTCGAGATGTGGTATTCGAACGTATACCTAAAGACTGTCACTGACACAAGCCTGGCCTTTGATCGGGTTCTCGACACCTTGGAGCCGCTCTGTCTCTCAGACGATGGTGACAAGTCATCGACATTAAACCGGTTCGCGCATGACATTCTTCTGACTAGCACTGACATTGGCGACTTTTTTGTGACAGGCAGGAGTGGTAGCTTCGACAACGCATTCCAGGAGATGCGTATTAATGTGGCCAAGGAGATCCCTGACAACAGTACGCAGCAGCAGTACTCGTGGCAACTGCAAGAATGCCGGGTTCAGATCCTCCTGCACCTGTTTGTCTTGGACTATGCCCGGTCCCACAACAAGGATTTGGTCAACGGGCACACGCGCGAGACGCTGCTGGAGGCACTGCGCGATCTGGTCGATCAGCTCTGCATTTGGGCATCGCTTGATGATGTACCTATTTCGCCGATTTCTAGCACCACCAGCACTACTGGCAACCTGTCGAGGTCTGACTCGCTGTCATCTATTGTAATCGATGCGCCTAATGACCTGGCCGGCGCCTTTATCAGCAGCCCGTGCATGGCACAGTTCGACGACACCTTGTGTGATGTTCTAGAGGAGCTGCGGATCCAGTGCGGCTGGGTGCCAGCTGATCGAACCGATGGTGCCCAGGCCACGCCTGTGGCCATGTCGCCAGATAGCAAGCGGCGCAAAGGCACTCCGCGGCGGCTGCGGAGCGGCCATTCGATGCCAAAGTCTGAAGTCATTGTGTTGCAGCGGCAAAACAAGGTGCAGGCAGGCATTTCAGGTCGCCGTTTGGCGCGACACCTCGACGAACTGATCAGCAGCAAAAAGCCAAAGCTTGAAGAGGCAGTGGCCAGCGAGCCCCGGCCGAGTAGTTCAGCTGATGGATCCGGGCGCCTGCAGGCAGCTCGTAAGCTGCCATCGCATCTGCTGAGGAAGATCAAGAGCGAGGTGGTATCGACAGCACAACGCGCTCCATCTGCCAGCCATATTCCCAATGCACAAACGCGCGCCAAAAGATAGACAGTAATTGCAAATGATAGTATATCCTATGCTGTTCATTTGTACAAAGCCATATCTGCAGACAAGTTATAAAGCGTTACTGCAGAGAGTTGTAAATGAAGTAGCATGCTTGTGTAACGAAGCTGCAAGTGCATTCTATGCAACAGGGCATTCAATGCGGATGCTACCTCTGTTCTACATACATATCTTTTTAGCCATGTCCCAAAGCAATGAAAGCAGTGAAGCCAGATACTCGGCAACAGACAACCTGTCGTTCATGTACCAGTTGTACTGCTCGTACATGATACTGTTCAAGAACGATGGAGGTATTGACGACTTCATGCCGCTGCCGGTGCTGAAGCGCGGCCTGGAACTTTTAGTACGCAAACACTATCCGCCAGTTGCCGGATGGTTTGATGTCCAAGGCTTGGAGATTGATGTGGTGTATTACAGTGACAAGTTCAATGACCCGCCGTTCACCAGCCAAACATTGGACATCAGCTATGATGAAGCGGCGAGACATGTTTCTGAGAGTAACGAGGAAATGTTCGTGCCCAAGGCGCCATCAGGCGTGATTTCGTCGGAGAACAAAAACATACCAATGTTCTTGGCAAAAGCCACGTACTTGACAAGCAACCAGGGAATGGTGCTTGGAGTGAACTATCACCACTCACTGATGGACGGGGCGTCGTTCTGGAATTTCATGCATAATTGGGCATATCTATGCAACCGGCTGTCGCGGGGGGATTCCGAGATCGAGGAGCTGCCGTCGCAGCCAACATTTGGGTTTCCCGACATCAGCCGCTTCGAAGACACCTCAAAGGTATTTGACCACACTGAGTACATCACCACAGACCCCGACAGCCATACATTGGAGCTATTGCCAGGCGAAGACAAGATAAAGGAGAATAGACTGGTTGTGTCGTTTTCTCAGCAGCAAGAGCTACGCAAACTGGCAAAGCAGCATGGTGTGTCGTTCCACGTTATCTTGTGTGCGATATTGTGGAAAGAGTTGAATACTTTGCGCCTACAGGCAAAGCCAGCGATAGCAGATGACGTATCCCAGTATACATGCGCAGTAAACCCACGCCAGGCCCTGGGGATGCCCAGTGCTTTGTGTGCTAGTGCCGTAATCAACGTAGCTGAGCGCTGCACAGTCTCGCAGGTTGCCGAAATGGACCTGGGCCAAATCGCCGCACGTATCCAGCAGACTCTGGCACGGGTGACACCGGCGTACATGTGCAGCTCACACAAATACCTGCGTGCATTAAAGGAGCAGGAGCTCGACAATGCTAGACATGGGCGTGCGGGCAAGCGGACCATGTTCTCGTATATCCACCCGGCAGCAGTCAAGTGCACAGTTTCGTCGAGCCGCACATTCCCTATTTACAAGCTGGATTTTGGCTCGGGCAGCCCTGAATATGTGCGGCCGCCGTATTTGCCGTTTGATGGGTGCGTGAGGTTCTGGCCAGGCCCACCCAGCAGCGACAGCGGCGCCGACCTGGAGCTGTATATTTCGCAACCCGAAAACATCGACCTGGGGCGGTCGGACATGCTCAGACCATTTATTGGAGAGTATTGATGGCAGGCGTTCCTGATCAGGCGCGCACAGTCTGGTGTTGGGGGAATCAGGTATCGGATCAAGGATTGGTCGGAATCTCGCAGCAAACAACCCACACATTTTTTTCTTCTAAAGCCGTGCTTATGCAGAGATCGAGTCAAAAAAAAAAAGTTTTCTCTTCACCCCGCTCTTCGTTTATCTTTAGCTCTATCCCTTTGTGACAGGTTCCTTATTTCGATACTTCTTATTGCACCTTCTATTGCTTCTTGTGTCAGCGGCAGCCTGAGGCATTTACGAGACCTTCACTCCTGCATTCCGTGTATTTCAGCTGGGAAACTTTAGACCTTTTCGGACCGCTTCAGCGACCTATATACAAGCAATACTACCTTAAAAGACGTGCCATGAGCCAACTCTTGTTACGGGCGATCCGATCCAACAGCGGATCGCAGAGTAGCAGGGCGCTGTTTTCTCGACAACCCCTAGCCATGCGGTCACTGCGCACAGTTGCGCTACCATCACTACCATCACCATACATTCATGCACGGCTACAGGCGCACAAGCAAGCATCAACACATATTCGGGGGTTTAGCCAACAGGTGGCGTTGCGGCTGCAGCAACAGCAGCAGCAGCAAGAGCAGAGCGAAAAGTCCGAAGCAGTGGTGGCACTAGACGATAGCAATTCGCTGTTTGCACCGGCTAACAAAGGCCTGATTGCACTGAACGATATGCGCGAGGACACAGAGATGCTGCACTACCTGCAGACGGGGAAATCGCTGACAGAGCAATTGTCGATGATGCAGGCGTGTCTGATAAACGGCAACGCAGACCGGGCGCAGCGGATTCTGATAGGCCTGTACAGGCTGTACCCAGAAGCCATGCACGAGGTAGTGGACGTGTCGATTCACAACGAGATCATCGGCGGGCTTCTGGCAGCCAAGCCGCGGCCGCTGACGACGGAGGCATTGCTGTGGTACGACCAGATGGAGCGGCACTACAAGGTCGAGCCCAACACCAACACGTTTGCAATCCTGATCGGCGGGTTCGTGCGGTTCGATATGCGCAATGTCGCGGTGGTGCTGATGCAAGAGATGCTGCGTGGCGGGCACAACTTCCGTGATCTACTACTCAGCTCATATCTGTCGGACAGCGATATCGACAAGATCAAGGAGGTGGCGCGTGGGATCTTGAGCGAGAACCAGGAGAATGTGGATGTTGCAGCCAAGTTGCTCGATGCCGTCAAGGATGCCGAGCAGCGTTTGAACCAGATCTCAGAAGAGTCGGGTGTCGACCTGAACAGGACAGCGGAAAATAGCGACATGCTGCTGACAGTCGACAGCGACAAGACAAAATCTTCGGGGCTCGCCTCGACCGGTGTGCTGGGCATCCAGCAGCTGCAGGGTGTGCTGCAGTCGCTGAGTTGCAACGATCTCGAGGGATATAACCTGCAGCTGCGGCTGGAGCGCGACACGTACGACGTGGCGCTGGCGCGATTCAAAGAGATCAACAGCCAGCGTGGCGACCCACTGCTATCGACTGATCTGAGTCGACTCAAGAAGGTATCAGCGGACTGGCTGCCGCAGCTCGAGCTGCTGATTGAGGAGGAGCAGGCGCGGTGCGAGAAGGCGATGGAGGACCACAGCGACCACGCACGGGCGCAGTACGGGCGGTTCTTGCTGCAGCTGGATGCTCCAAAGCTGGCGGTGATCACAATCCTCGAGGTGCTGCGCATCCAGGCTACCGACCACAAGGATTATGCAGCCGACGCGTCAGTCAAGATCAACGGCGTCAAGACGGTGTCGCTGGTGACAAATCTGGCCACAGCTGTGCACAATGAGATCCGGTTCGAGAACATGAAGAAGCGCACGAACAGGCATATCGCTGGCCGCAACGTATCGGTGGCCAAGCTGGCGTCATCAGGCAAGCTGTTCAACATGACAGTGCGGCGGGCACAGGCATCTCTGGCTCGCGACAGCGCGACACAGGCGTGGCTCGACTCGTGGGATATCCCAACCAAGACACGGATCGGCTCGCTTCTGCTGTCGATGCTGATCGAGGCAGCGCGGGTGCCCGAGCAGTACCGCGACGAGAGCACAGACCAGCTCTTGACGCGGCCGGTGCCAGCGTTCACGCACTCGTATGTGATGCTGAAGGGTCGCAAGTACGGTGTGGTGGTGCCGCACGGGTCGCTGCGGGAGATGTTCCGCCAAGACTCGCTCATCAGCGTTGTCAACGCGCGATACCTTCCGATGCTGGTGCCACCGCGGCCATGGCTGACATATAACTCTGGTGGGTACCTGACACAAAACGAGCCGTGCATGCGCATGAAGGAGAGCGGTGAGCAGCTGCGGTATCTGAAGAAGGCATCGAACGAGGACCGGCTCACGACGCTGCTGGCGGGGCTCGACTCGCTGGGTCTGACCAAGTGGTCGATCAACAAGCCGGTGTTTGAGGCCGTGCGCAAGGTGTGGAATTCGGGGCGTGAGATTGCCGAGATCCCGCCAAGCACCTACGATGTGCCGGAGCCGACAAAGCCTGAGGACTACGAAACGAACGCGCAGGCCAAGCTCAAGTACTCTGTCGAGATGAAGGAATGGACCAACGGGCGTGCCAACCAGCACTCGCAGCGCTGCGACTGTAACTATAAAGTCGAGATTGCCCGGGCGTTCCTGGACCACCCAATGTACTTCCCGCACAACATGGACTTCCGCGGACGCGCGTACCCGATACCGCCGCACTTCAACCACCTGGGCAACGACCTGTGCCGCGGTCTTCTCCTGTTCCACGAGGGCCGCGAGCTGACGGAGCGCGGGATGTACTGGCTGCGCATCCATCTGGCCAACCTGTGCGGCAAGGATAAGCTGTCGCACCAGGACCGGCTGCAGTTTGTCGAGGACAACCTGGCCAAAATCATGGAATCCGCCGATGATCCGGTCCCGGAGGCGTTCCTGCATGGGGACGAGGGGGTAGAGCGGCCGTGGTGGCTCGAGGCCGAGGATCCGTGGCAGGCGCTGGCTGCGTGCATTGAGCTGACCAGTGCGCTGCGGTCGCCGGACCCCGCCAAGTATGTCAGCCATCTGCACGTGCACCAGGACGGTACGTGCAACGGTCTGCAGCACTACGCGGCGATGGGCCGCGACACCAAAGGTGCGCAAGAGGTCAATCTGGTGCCCAGCGGGAGCCCGCAGGATGTGTATTCTGGAATCCTGCGTGTGGTCGAGCGCCGAGTCAACGAGGATGCCGAGCAGGGCGTCGAGGAAGCGCTGCTGTTGCAGGGCCAGCTCACACGCAAGATCGTGAAGCAGACAGTCATGACCAACGTGTATGGCGTGACACTGATTGGTGCCAAGGAGCAGATCGCAGCGCGACTGCGCGAGGTCAAGGACGAGCATGGGCAGCACGCGTTTGATGTGCTGAAGGTGTCCAAGCTGGCGATGTATGTGGCGAAGAAGATTTTCGAGTCGCTGGGCGAGATGTTCACGCAGGCGCAGCAAATCCAGAACTGGCTCAACGAGTCGGCGCGGCGGATTGCTAAGAGTATGCCAGCGTCGGCGCTAGCAGCATGGCGCAGCATGGTGCTGGAGAACAAGGATGCGAAGGAGAAGTTCCGCGAGGCGATGATGGACGCGAAGGCCAACGACCGGGTACTGGACTCCACGCAGATCATGGAGCTGCGGCCGGATCTCGGCCCGGGAGCTATGCGGCGGCGGCGCCTCAACGACCTAGCCACCAAGCCGATGACGACAGTCGTGTGGACGACGCCGCTGGGCCTGACGGTTGTGCAGCCGTACCGCCGGCTGGTTACGCGCAACGTGGCCACCAGCCTGCAGCACATCGCCGTGCAGGACGCCAACATGCCAGCGCCAGTCAACTCGCAGAAGCAGAAGACGGCGTTCCCGCCGAACTTTGTGCATTCGCTGGATGCCTCGCACATGATCCTGTCGGCCATCGAGTGCAAGAAGGCGGACCTTGTCTTTGCATCGGTGCACGACTCGTACTGGACGCACGCGTGCGATGTCGACAAAATGAATATGATTCTGCGGGACCAGTTTGTGCAGCTGCACACGCGCGACATCATGGGCAGTCTGAAGAGCGAGTTTGAGGAGCGCTACAAGGACAACAAGATGCCGGTTGTGTGCTGGGAGTACGTCACCAAGGATGTGTTTGACCAAGGCGGCAAGATCCGCACCCGGCGTCGCGGTGCCCGCAAGCAGATCCGCCAGGAGCAGGAGAAGATGGTGGATCGCGAGCTGGCCGCCCACCATCTGTCGCTGTGCGGCGAGGACGAGGCACCGAAGGCGCTGACGCCTGAGCAGCAGCAGGTCGCAATCGATGCTGCCAAGCGTCGCGAGACGGTCGTCGCTAATCTGTCGGCGGTCGATATGGCGGAGGTTGTTGAGATTGACCCCAAGACCGATATGCTTGCAGCCATGCGCCAGGCCGACAACATCGCGTACACGCGCAGCCTCAACATCAGCCACATCGAGAAGGACATCAGAGCAGCCAAGGCGGCCCACAAGGCGAAGGTGTCGGAGCTGCGGGCGCTGGCCAGGAAGGTCTCCGCCAAGAGCGAGCCTAGAATGAAGGCGGATGAGGCTGCTAAGGAGGCTGAGCCTGCGAACAAGTCCAAGGAGGAGCTAACCAAGGAGATCGAGCAGCTGAAGGCGCAGCTGGCCAGGGACATCAGCAAGATCGAGAAAAAGTACGAGGTAGACTTTGAGCCGCAGACGATCATGGTGTATCCGGAAGACACGCCGGACCTGTACAGGCGTGTGACGGAGATGATCAAGGAAGGCGAGCTGGCGGGGCATCTGGTGCAGCGCACCGAGTGGGTCGACATCAAGTTTGACGACCTGCCGGAGCACGGCGACTTCAAGATCGAGGAGGTGCTTAGCAGCCCCTATTTTTTCAGCTGAACATCTGCTACTTACAGTCGCAAGGGTGGGGCTATAAACCATGCAGCAGCCGATCTTACCATTGGCCGCATGCTGGTCGGCCCGATCCCAATGCTGGCCATGCTCTTTCAATATAAGTGTTAACCAGCGGATGAACGGTGCCAATGCTCATGCTGGTTTTGCCTATTCGGGGTGCATCTTGATATTGTTTTGCGGTATCGCATGCCTCATAGACTGTTCCACTACATGAAATCCCCTTTCAAGTAATGCCCGTTGAACTGTGGATCCGTGTGCCGATATCCGCAGTTCTTCGAGTTCTTTTTTAACTGCAACGGCTGTCTCTAGCCCCTTTTTAGTTACTTTATGAACAAGGGAATTTTTGGCGCGCTCCGAAAGTTTGTGTGGCTGGCCGTCTTTTGGAGGTTCCCTGTCTGGAAAGGTACGACTTGCTATACGCTTCACTGTCATATGGCTAATCCCTAGCCCTTTCGCAATCTTTCTGTAGCTTTCACCTGTCGTAAGGCGCTGAATAACATTGTGTTTGGTATCTTTTCTAATTGCTTTCGTGTTGATGGCAAGTAAAAAAGAGGCATATGTTGGGTGGCTACGTAGAGCAACCGATTCGAGATGTGCTGGACGCAACTAGCTTCTGGCATTCTTCACCATCACCAAAGTCGAATAAGACTTTTATATCTCATTGTTTAATGTGTGGCAATGCATATGCAGATGTAAAACACCACTATCTATGCGCCCAGACACGCATTATGCATGGAATGTGGAAACCATGCTGGATGCTTGTGCAGCTTTCAAACGGTACATTTCATGTGTCGATTTGTTGTAAATGAGCTAAAATGGAGCGTGTGGAAGCAAAATGCAAATCAGTACTCCTAGCTCTCTGGCAACATCTTCACAGGAGATGAGAGGAAACATATCGTAGCCTTGACTTCTGTGTGTGCTGTGTTTCGGTGTCTGAGAGTGTAGAACGGTACAAAAGGGGTCACGGCGTTCCTTTCTTCTCTCCAAGAATAACATTGGCCAGGTATCTTCTGCTCTTACCCAGCCGGTGTTGCGTGGCTCTTTTGACTCCTCTGCAGCACACAGCCGAACTGGCTCTAGTGTCAAACAAAATGTACAATTTCAACCAGAAAGACGTCTATTTGGTGTTCTCGATCGCCTTAGTGTTCAGCCCCCATTCGAGCATGGTGGTAACCACGGCCTGGTGGTCGCGGGCGCGATCCAGCTCGTTGGTCAGATCAATGGCCATGCGGAACAGGAAGTTTGTTGTGCGGCGGTGCATGTCGACTTCGGGCGGGCACCCAGCCGGGTACATGCGCTTCTGGTGGTAGCAGTAGCGGTTGAACTCGCGCAGTGCCAGCTTGGGCTTGTCCAGCATGCGGTACGCACGCATCACGGCGTTGGTGGTCTGGATGTTCGGGCAAAATGCCTTGTTGCGGATATCGTCGGTACGCACGTTGTGCTCGCGCAGCTGCTCGGCGTAGAACCGGATGCAGTCACGTGGCCGGAACACCACCACGTTGAGATCCTTGACGGTTTTGACGTCATCGGGAATCCCTGGCAGGCCCGTGTTTGCTTCGCTAAGCTGCACCCGCTCAGCCATGTCCTGGTCGTGCAGATCTGCCTCTGTAAATGGCGTGGAGTCCATGGGTTTCGGCACTGCCTGCTTGTTTTTAGCGATGACGCGCTGCGCCAGAGTGTTGAGGAGGCGCTTCTTGGGCGTGAACATGCAGGCGGTGATGAGTTTTGTGTAGATGTGTTCGCTGAACGGCACACCATCCTGGAGCATCATGCGGTGGATCTCCCAGAGCTGGTCGATGTTTTTGCGCTTGGCGTAGAACCTGACGAACCACGTGTACGCCTGCTGCGTGGGCGGCAGGTAGCAGTTGCTGCGCAGCTCGTCCAGCAGCTCCTTGGCGAACTGCCCCTTGCCGCGGATCAGATGCATGCGGATCAGCGACTCGTAGAGCGACCGCAGGTATAGGAAGAACGCCTGCCGCGTATCGCTCAGCGCCAGGGGGATTTTCACGTTGTCCTCATATTCGCTGGCCTCGGAGAAGGTGCGTGTGTCTTTGGGAATCTGGTAGACTAGGAGTTTGCGCAGATCAGCCAGGACATTGCTGAGTTTGCGGAGCGCAATATGCCCGTGGGCGCGTGCTGCCGCGAACCGCGCTGCTTTGATGCCCTCCGTATATGGTATTGAGTCCATCGACGTCGATGAGAGCAGGGCGCTGAGGAGGTTGAATTCTCCGGCACGCCGGGCGGCTCTGATCAGACACTTTTGGATCTGCATACTGGGCTCGATGTTGCGTCCCAGCATCTCGTCGTAGTACTTGGTCAGCCTGCTCAGATCTGACAACGAGCTGGCAAACGGGTCGCTAAACAGCGCTGCATACGTGTGCACATTTGCTGCTACCTTTGGGCCATACATGTTCGAGTCCATGTTCCGTTTGATCTTGTCTGCCAGGTCGCGTCTGCCCTCCGCCAGGTGGATCCGGATTAGCTCGTTGAACGCCCACGTGGTCGTAAATCTCATACCCTTCTCCTCGCACACACGCACGACCGTCTTCAGCCGCCGGAGTATCACCGGGTCGCGCTCAAAGTGGTACTGCTGGTTCATTATCTGCATTATCCGGATCACATCGTACTCGGTAACCTTGTGCCATTCTGCCTGCGAAAGAATCCCGTTGAATCCCTTCCACACCTCGTTGGCGTCAGTGCGCCGCAGTGCCTTGTACATGTAGTACCGCTGTGTGTTCTCTGACGGACCGGTGATTCCCGGTCCCCAGCACTGACCGGTCAGCGCCAGATCGTCCTCTTTGCGGTAGTCACGCAGATCAAAGCCAGTGCACTCTTTTGGCGGCGCCGGGTCGAGCGTGTGCTGCCTGTTGTTCCATGTGCTGGCTGGTGGTCGTCGCGCGTTGAGGCCACGCCGCATGCTGCCGTGGAAGTGTCGGCAGAGCCTGCCCGCGCACCGCGCCTTGAATTGCATAAGCAAAGGCCAAGGGATAAGGGCAAGTAAGGGAAAGGGCCAAATACTTGGGTCTATACGCCAGCTAGCTTTTACAATAGTTCAGGGTGTCGAATTCCCCTTCCACTACTGCCGTCACGAAAGTGAAGAATGCTGTAGAATGAAAAATGCGAAAAATTTGCAGTGCTGCTCTGTTGAGAAAAAAAGAAGCGCAGAGTGAGCGTGGGCTTAGAAAATCTAGATAAGGCCAGTTTTGATGCTGGAGCCAAAGACCACCAGGATATCCTCACAAAAATTTCTCCCCCTGCTCCTCCCCTTGCGCATTTCAGACGCCTGCTGCTGGTCCCCCTCGGGCCTGCTTATGCATACGCCCGGTGTCAGCGCATGAGCTGGCACTTTTTCAGCGCATCGCCTAGATCTGATCTCATCACAGGAACCGTGGCCAGACAGGTCGGGATGTTCTCGGGCTGCTCCGTCCACAGATAGTAGGGAATGCCCTGCTGCTTGAGATTGTCTGCCATCTTGAGCAGCGAGTTTTCGTTCTTGGTCTCCAGCGTTACCTTGTGCATCGAGTCGAGGCTGGTGGCGTAGTCCCTGACCCGCTCGTCCTCGCGATACTTCCACATTACCGCCGTGGCGGCGTGGCATCCCTGGCTCACCACACTACATCGAGCAACTCGTGGGTTAGATTATGACTGAGCATAGTTCGATCTGCTCCCGAGCTAGGAGGCATGTTTATCCGGGTTACATTGCCGCCTAACTCATTTCTTCCGATGTTACCTTCCGAGTGGCCAATTCAGAACCTAAGGCATGTACGACTGGTTAATTGATGTTCCGCACGTCATAGTGACCAGCGTATGGTGTGGGCTGTACCTTGATGAGGTCCTTTCGGATTACGACAAACATTGTGCGTGCTTCGGCCATGTGTATGTGTGCTAAGAGGAGTGCTATCAGGGCAGTGCTTTTTGGAAGGCGGTATAGCTGATCCGCAAGCGCAATGGACCATTTCCCCCCGACGCATCTGGACGACGCGGATATGGGGAACACGGGAATGCCAGCGCGGAGGATACGCGCCAGGTGCGACGCAGCATTTCGTCATCTGCGCCAATGCAGGTGCGTCGGAGAATGCCCGCCGATCGCAATCCGCCATGGCTGCGAAGCGATGCAGGCTGTCGACAGAAGGTCGGGAACTGGGTCCGGCTTCGACAGACATTGAGTGACCGAGTCATCGAGATGAGCCAATCAACCTGCGCCGAACAATGGAGCACTGGATTCGGCCGTCCACGCAAGCACATCCTGTTCCTCAAGAACGCGTTTTCTGACGGTGATAGCTGGTGTTGGCCGACGAAAGCAGCGTCCTCGTCTTCTCTTCGAATTTAACTTTTTTCTCTTCTGAAACCACATTTCATTTTTCTCTCCTTAGCGTTGGAAAAAAATTTTATACCCCTCACATTTCAAGGACTTGGAGTAGTAACGGTAGCAGACGAAAGCTTGTTTTTCTGAATCTGCCTCCCCCGACTGCTTTCTTTTGTATCGAATTACGCGACAAGCTGAACCAAAACTCTCTGTAAAACCTCCTCTCGACTTCAAGCAAGCCCAGCATCCACAGCCTTCTCAAGCACTATTATCTATATATCTCTGCCTCAAGAACTAAAAAGAGCAAACAATGAGCGCGGCCCATTCAAACACACATCAGTCATCCTTTAGCTCTCGCGGCAAATTCCCGCGCAGCGGCAACGCCCGCTCTTCGGCAGACGAGTCGAGCGAGTTCAAGGCCCTTCGCAGCAAGTACTCGAGCAGCCTCAAGACGCTTCGCGAAATGTTCCCAGACTGGTCAGATGCCGACCTGATTTACGCCCTTCAGGAAGCCGACGGAAACCTCGAGATCACTATTGCACACATTGCTGAAGGTAAGCAGCCAGAATTTCATTTTCCATCTTTGCCCATTTTGCAGGCTGGTCACTAACCTCGTCGTCGCCCAACACTAGGCTTTGCTCCGCAGTGGGGAGAGGTCAAGTCGCGCAAGGATAAGCGCCAGGCATACAAGCAGCAGCACGAGGAAAACACCCGGCCCTACGAGAAGAGCTACGTGCCTCGCCCTGCGTCGTTCCGCGGAGGCGTCCGTGGCGGTGCCGCTCGTGGCAGCCGTGGCAGCTACTCGAACGCGGCTGGATCCACTCGTCCGAAGCCTGCGCAGCCGGATAGCAAGCCGCAGTCGTCTGGAGAGAGCAACAGTGCCGCTGGATGGAACATGGAGCCGTCGTCTTCGGAGCACAAGGATTCGAGCAGCGGGTGGGACGTCTCTGGTACGCCTGCCAAGCCGTCGATGCCGGCCACCAAGCCTGCTGCTGCCCCTGCCCCTGCACCCGTTTCCTCGAAGCCTGCACCCATGTCCTGGGCCAGCATTGCGAAAAAGTAAGTTTTATCGCCAGACAACGCTGGCAGCTAATTCAGGTTTACTATACCTGAGGCACTTGCGATCGCACGTGGGGCTCGCGTGCAAACAGCCCTCAGCGGTACCAGAACACGCCTATTTGGTTGCCTCAGGTCCTTGCATGTGTGGCGCATTGCTGTTTCGGGGGGTGGAGAATAATTGCCGCTGAATTTTATGTTTACCTTTTGTACCACTGTAGGGGAGCTAAGCAAGCAGAGCCCGCTGCGGCTCCTGCCGCTCCAAAGGAGAAGGCTGTTGAGTCAGCTCCCCAAAAGTCAGAGACAACCTCAGAGAACGCCAAACCAGAGGAGGAGGAGGAGCCCGCTGCTGCTGAGCCCGAACCCACAGCAGAGGAGACAAAGGAGCTGGAACCCGCAGCAGAGGAGACTCCTGTAGAGACAACGGAGCCAGAGGTCCCCAAGGCCACAGAGGAGGAGACCGAGGAGACTGAGGAGACTGAGACAACAGAAAATCCCACATCCGAATCGCAGCCCGAGCCTGCCCAGGAGACGAAACCCGAGACACAGCAGGCGCAGGAGGAAGTGACCACCCCAGTATCTCTGCCCAAGCGGCCCACATCCAATTCGCGGCGACTCAACCAGGATGCTGCCGTCGTCATGCCCACCGGCGCTGCAACCATCGAGCGGATCGGTATGCAGTTTGGCAGCTTCAACATTGGTGGTGTCGAGGTCGCAGACACAAAGCCCGCTGCCACCGAAACCCCTGCTGCCCAGCCTGAGGCTAAGGAGCCCGCTGTCGTCACCGCTGCTCCTGCTGCCGCTGCCCCTGCCGCGCCCGCTGCTGCTGCCGCTGCCCCTGCGGCTGCTGCTATTCCCGAGGCATCGGCCACCGCCCACCAGGGCCCTCTGACCACATACCTCCAGCAGCAACAGCAGCAGCAACAGCAGCAGGCTCAGCCGCACAGTGGTGCCGCTGTCAGCCAGATGCCTCTTCCCAACGACTACGGAGCCGCGCTCTACGGTGGAGTCGATGCTCAGCGCTCGATGATGGGCTTCTATGACAGCTACGGCTACGGCCAGTTTGCTGGCATGAACAAGGACGACAGCGCTGCTGCCGCTGCCACTGCCACCGCTGCTGGATCGCAGCCGGCAACCACTGCTGCTGCCTCTGGCGCGGCCAACAACCTGTCGCAGGCTGGCCTGTTCCCCCAGCAGATGCCGCAGCCGTTTGGCATGAACCCGGCCGCCATGCCGTACTACAGCCCGTACTACTACAGCATGATGCAGCCCGGAGGCCAGTTCCCGAACCCGGCCGCCTTTGGTAACAACCCCGCGCTGGCTGCCGCCTATGGCCAGCCGTTCATGAAGCAGGGTATGTTCCCCATGTACCCCGGTGCCGCTGGTGCCCAGCAGCCCGCTCAGCAGCACCAGCCGTCGTCGCAGGGCCAGCAGAACGCTGGCCAGACCCAGCAGCAATCGCAGAAGCCTGCCGGTGCTGGTGCCCAGGGCAACGCGGCCTACAGCAACCTCAACGCCCAGAAGGCGGGCCACCCGTACAGCCACTACGGCGCGAACGTGGGCGGATTCGCCGGCTACGAGCAGGATCCGGCCAGCCTGGCGAACAGCATGCAGCAGCAACAGCAGCAATTTGGTCTGGGTGGCGGAATTCCAGGCATCTTCTCGTCGACGAAGGGCTCCGCTGGTGCCAAGGACGCAGGTGCCAAGACTGCACAGCCAGCGGGAACCGCCGCTGCCGAGATTGGCGGTACTACGTACTACAACAACCCCCAGCAGACTGCTGGCTACCCTGCCCAGCTCAACAACGCATATGCGCAGCAGGGCTATGGCCACCACCAGCAGGCGTACTACCCGTATGCTCAGACCCAGCAGTACCAGCAGCCGCACATGTACCAGCAGCCCCAGCAGGCACAGCAGCCCCAGCAGCAGCCCCAGCAGCAGCAGGGCCACCCAGGTGCTGGCAAGCAGTACTGGGAGCAGAAGTAAACGGCTTTAATATGTAGCATCACTCAGCTCTTGGTGACACCTAAATTTGAATTATCTTGTATTGACTAGACCCGCAGTGCGTGGCATGTGCGATCCAGATATTGAAATGGTATTATGCAGAAACACACATGTGAGCGAGCCCCAGAACATAGCCAGGGTCACACTTTGAAGCATCAGCACCCATGGCACGACCCCTGCGAATCGTTCATTCCGCAGCCGAACTCTGAACGGAGTCTTTTAATTTGACGCAGGCATGCATGCTCTTTTGAGGGCCTTGACTGCGTCGGCATCCATGAACTGCGCAGCAGCTACAAGATCGTGACTTTCGCGAGAAACGCGGCCATTATACATGTCGTTTGTGATGTTCGTTCCGTCAACGACGAACAAATAGTCGTACATGGCGTTGAGCACGCACTTTAGATTGGTGGGGCAATCGCCTATCCCGAACCAAGACAGATATTCGTCCTTGTACTCTAGCGCTGCGGTTCGATGAAGTGCCATTTCATCATCATCCAAAACTTCCAAGGGGTCCACAGCCAGCTCATAGCCTTGCCTTTCTATCTGCAGCTTCATCAGGATATCCAGCACAACGTAGAATAGCGACTCGATGTCGTCATGGAGTCCACGCTTCTTGCTGGCAAGGAGTATCTGGATACTCATATATCGAGCCGTCCCGACAAAGGGGTCGTGGAGCCGCTCCACTTGTGATACCTCGCTGGCATTGAAGAGCCACTGCCTGCATGCATTTACATGCGCTTCCTGGTTGACAGCATCGACCAACGGCCTAGAGCACCCCCAGTCGATGATGTATGCCTTCTGCCCTTTTATCGTGATGTTCCCTCTGGAGATGTCTCTATGCAATACACCTGCAGAATATGCTTTGGCCAGGCATGATGACACTTGGCGGGCTATGCCGATGATAGTATCCACTGTTGCTTCTTCAGAAGGCTGCGGAGCTTTGTCAAAGCAATCGTACAGCGACCATCCACAGTCCTCGACAACAAGAAACTCCATGCGGTAGCCACACAGGTCCTCGACCAAGACACCGCCGCAATATACCTCGGGAATCGGGCCCACGCCCTGTTGGCTGAGAATATCATAGGCGGCGCCTTCTGGAAACTGTCCAGCAGGCGTCCACGAAATCTTCATAACAGCAGCATCTCCACCATATTGGCCCCGGATGACGTGGCACAAGCGGCCACGTAGGCTCCCGGCACTCTGGATGAGATCCTCAATGATAAACGCGTCTGGGGTGTATATTGGAACAGCGGACAGTTTGTAGACGCTGGTTGCCTTTGTGAATGCCAGCCCAGAATCATTGGTTGAAATGTTGCAGACGTGCCCGATTTCTGAAGGCGGAGAGGAAGCCAGAAACCAGAGCCGCTGAAGCACTAGATCCACATCACTGAGGTCACTCCAATCGGGCTGCAGCGTATAATATCCAATGTCCCCAAGCTCGACACAGTACCATTTGTCGCGAGTAAACAGCAGTAGTTTCAGATTCAAGACACTGAGGAACAGGACAGGAACAAACTGGCGTGTCGGCTGCAGACGCCACACGTTGAGGACGCGCCTGCCGATCCGCTCAAGTACGCTATCCGGCAGTAGTCCCAAATATTTGCCCAGATCACATTCAACTAGTATCAGCGCTGAAGAATAGTCGTACCTGCAGGATTCCTTGGAGCAAAACATCAAATTTGTATTCCCGTCAGCACCAGCAGCCTCGTCAGTCTGGAAATCAACAAGGTCAGGCAACAGGCCGGCACCGAGTCGTTTTGAAATTGCGCTGGCTGCAGACTCCCTCATGCGATTCCAGACTCTCTCAAAGCACATAGACAGCAGTACCTTGGAAAATCTCAGCTGCACGCCGTCAGAACTGCTGAACAGCTCACTCTCATCACTGAGAAATACCGGAAGGTCGCTTAGAATGTCGGCAAATTTTCCTTTTGAAGCAGCCATGCTTTGCTCAAGGGTACCGTCTGGCCAGAACTTGCTAGCTATGCCCTCCATGTCAAATGAGTAGTCCCCGTGGCCAACAAGCTCGCTCGAATACTCACTGAAACAGCCTGTAAACTCAGGCTCCTCACCACTTGTGTTGTTTTCGGTGTGATAGTCTGTAGTATGTGCCGGAGTGGTGGACAGCGGCGATGGGAGTAGGTTGGAAGAGTCCTGGGCGCTGGGCAGAGTATGCATACTCACGTTTGTAGCAGGTAACGAATATGCGAATGGATGAGTCACGTAGAGGAAACAAAAAGCAGGCGGCAGACATGAGCCCTTGGAAAGAATGCGCCATCCCTGTGTGCTCGAGTTTATAGTACACAAACATGGCTGATCTCGATCTAGCTATTCCTGCCAAAGCAAAAAAGTCAAATTTGATTGACGGTATGTAACTAGGAAGTTGGCATTTGCATTATAGCATGGCCAATCTATATGGCGACTTCCCACACGTGGTAACCAACGTTTGTCCTAATCAATAGTGCCATCCATATACTTGTATACATATATCGATCCATGTGTGCTGCTATTCACTGGCCAGTCAAACTGCTGCTGAAATGCTGTGCATTGGCGAGTAAACAGCCAGTATGAGTTATGCATATGGATATGCAATTCAGTATTCTTAATTGTGATATCACTTCTCAGATCGCATACTCTTATTTGCGGTACCGGTGACTTGCATGTCCCCCTTCAGAGCCAAGTTGGTCATGCAGATATCGGTGCCATCTTGCTCGAACATAAAACCGCACTGCCTTTCTTGTGCTGGGTACGTCACATGTGCAGCAATGTCTCCGCTCACATCTTAGATCTGCTGATCGTGTGATCACAAGCTCCTTGGCCATTTAGGGCGTGGAGGCGTGATGAAAAATTTTAGACTTGCCAGCTAGGGTCGCGGATGCACTGAGCGAAATTTCAACTGCAGCTCAATTGGCCTTTTCTGTTTTGCTCGCCAGAATACTTATACTTAGTGCCCTTCTTCTATATAGTTATAAGAGTAAGTCGTCGTGATGAGCCCTTCATTCCATTGCGGGTCGATTCTGGGGACTAGCAGGCGGTCGCATTGCCCCATCCGGGACCGAATTCAGAGAGAATCAACAAAACTGGCAGACCGTGCTTGCTTCGCTAGGAATCAGTTTGGTGCGGCTGTCAAATGGGGAGAGCGATTTCAGCTAGCCGAATTAGGCCAGGTGTCTGTTCAATCTAATGGCACGCCTGTCCAATTTGCTGGCTGCTCTGGGTGGCAGACTGCATTCCTATGCGTCTACTACCGCTACTGACAGCCTGCACAGGGGTCTCAGGAGGCCGCTTTGACCGCAGCCCATATTGCCGATGTGACTAACCATCCTGCCTACCCTATGTAGACGTGACATCGACAGAGTAAATAGAAAAATGACCGACGCCAGCGTTACAGTAGACCCGACGACATTGACCCCGACCTCGATTGAGGTCATGGCTAACCAGGCCACCATCAACATCGGTACCATTGGACATGTGGCCCACGGAAAGTCGACGCTTGTTAAGGCCATTTCGGGCGTGCAGACTGTTCGTTTCAAGAACGAGCTGGAGCGTAATATTACCATCAAGCTGGGCTACGCCAACGCCAAGATCTACAAGTGCGACAGCCCCGACTGCCCACGCCCCGGCTGCTACAAGTCGTACGGTTCGAGCAAGGAGGTCGAGTTCCCGTGTGAGCGCGTGGGCTGCACTGGAACCATGAAACTGATGCGCCATGTGTCGTTCGTCGATTGTCCGGGACACGACATTCTTATGGCTGTCATGCTTAACGGAGCTGCAGTGATGGACGCCGCCATGCTGCTGGTTGCCGCCAACGAGTCGTGCCCGCAGCCGCAGACGTCGGAGCACCTGGCTGCGGTAGAGATCATGCAGCTGCAGAACATCATCATCCTGCAGAACAAGGTTGATCTGATCAAGGAGGACCAGGCGATTGAGCACCACCAGCAGATCTGCAAGTTCACGAAGGGCACCATCGCCGCCAACGCCCCCATCGTGCCCATCTCGGCGCAGCTCAAATTCAACATTGACGCTGTGGTGGAGAACATTGTCAAGCGCATTCCGATCCCGGTGCGCGACTTCTCCTCGGACCCGCACCTGATTGTCATTCGCTCGTTCGATGTCAACAAGCCCGGAGCCGAGATCGACGAGCTCAAGGGCGGTGTTGCCGGTGGCAGTATCCTGAAGGGCGTGCTCAAGCTGGGCGACGAGATTGAGATCCGGCCTGGTCTTGTGCGCAAGGAGGGCTCCTCACAGATCACTGTGCGCCCGATCCACTCGCGCATCCTGACGCTGAACACCGAAGCGAACCACCTCAAGTTCGCCGTGCCCGGTGGTCTCATTGGTGTCGGAACCATGGTCGACCCTGCGCTGTGCCGTGCCGATCGCCTGGTCGGCCAGGTCCTGGGTCACGTGGGCAAGCTGCCCAAGGTGTACATTGAGCTCGAGATCAACTACTTCCTGCTGCGCCGCCTGCTGGGTGTCAAGACCGACGACAAGAAGCAGGCCAAGGTGTCGAAGCTGTCCAAGAGCGAGGTCATTCTGGTCAACATTGGCTCGACCTCGGTTGGTGCGCGCGTCACCGGTGTCAAGAGCGACCTGGCCAAGCTTGTGCTGTCGAACCCGTCGTGCACAGAGATTGGCGAGAAGATTGCCATGAGCCGGCGTATCGACAAGCACTGGCGTCTCATCGGCTGGGCCAAGATCATGAAGGGCAAGGTGTACGAGCTCGAGCAGAACTAGGAATAAAATGCCGTTTCATCCAAGTGATTATTAGTGACTGTTTCGTAGGAGGCGCGTTTTATTCTTCCAAAACAAAAATCGAAGACTTGCACATTTTTTCAAAAACCGGACGCGCCTCCGACGCGTTTCTCTGTTCTGGTCACGCTTTTTGGTTTATTTTTCCCGACACCATTTGGCATACCGTCTGCCGGCCCCAAGCGCGCAACCGCACCAGCGCTATCTTGGCTCCATCTACCAAGCGCTGAAGACGCAGGTCGTTCCGTTCCTGTAGACCGCAGACACAGGTAAGAGGCACTTTGCTCGCCTCTGGATCGCAGCATCAGCACAAATCATCCCCCTTGGGGAGGGGCGCGCTGTATTGTTCGGACCAGACTCACTTTGAACCACGACAAGAATTTTTAGCCATATTTCTCCTTCTAATTTCCGACACCATTTCCCGCCTAGCCTTTCCATTCTCACTCGAATTTCTCACTCGTCCTCCTCCGCCGCCGCCGCCGCCGCCACCTCCTCTCACACCTACTCATAGTAATTAAAATAATGGACAGCGTGTATACGGCAGTGTACTCGGGCATTCCGGTGTACGAAATGATATGCCGAAGCATCGCGGTCATGAGACGACACTCGGATTCCTGGCTCAATGCAACACAGATCCTCAAGGTGGCGGGCATTGAAAAGGGACGGCGGACAAAAATCCTAGAGCGCGAGGTGCTGAACGGCGAACACAACAAAATACAGGGTGGCTATGGCAAGTACCAGGGAACATGGGTGCCGTATGCCCGCGGCGTGCAGCTGTGCCAGCAGTATGGCGTCTACGACTTTATGCGGCCGATCCTGGAGCACGACCCGACCGAGTCTGGCACGCGGCCAGACCGCACACCGACCAAGGCAGAGGTGCGCAAGCGCCTGCGCGACAGCAGCCAGCAGCGAAGCTCGTCAGTCCACGGCTTGCCGTCATCGGTGCGCCGGGACCGCGTGCCAGACTCGGCCAGCACCAAGCGATTCAAACCCAGCTCGAGCAATGCCACCTCGCCGATTAATTCGGAGCTGGGCGGGTCGCTGTTTGGAGCGCCGCAGGTGTTTACGCCGCACGCCGATGCTGTGGCAAATGGCTCTGTCACATCGTACCGCAATTTGCCATACAATAGCTCACCGGCAGTCAGGCCCGGAGGCAGCAGCATTGGCCGTGGCGGGTATCAGACGCACAATGAAGAGGCATCGTCTGCGACGGTGACCGACTCTGATGTGCTGGGCAATGGCGTCCGAGTGGAGCAGGACCGCATGCTGCTGATGAACATCTTCCTTAAGGAAGACCAGAGCTTTATTCCCGAGTGGCTGTCGCAGGTTGACGAGGCCGATGATGCAGTGGATCTGTCGACCAAGGTGAACGTCAACCTGGTTATCGATGACCAAGGCCACACGGCTGTGCATTGGGCAGCAGCCCTGGCACGCACACACGTACTGGATCTGCTCTTGTTCCACGGCGCCAATGCGCGCAAGGTTAACTACGAGGGCGAGTCGGCGCTGGTGCGCGCAGTGCAGGTCACCAACAACTACGAAAACCAGACGTTCATGGAGCTGCTGGAGCTGCTGCACGACACTATCCCGCTCACCGACAAGCAGAACCGCACTGTGCTTCACCACATATCGCTGGCGGCTGGCATTGATGGGCGTGAGAAGGCGGCCAGATACTATGCCGACTGTCTGCTGCAGTGGATTGCAGGGCTCGCCGACGGATACCAGGTTGACGGCGCAGACACTAATGTCAAGCAGGAAATTAGCAGCGACTTGCAGCCGCCGTCGCCCAGCCGAACCACCGCTGGTAACCAGAAAACAACCAAAACTAGCCTGGACTCTACTGTGGCCAGTGAGGCGTCCAGTCAGCAGACGGCTACTGATATGCACTTTGCGACGCCGCGCCAGCAGCCAAAAGCTCAAGCTCCGGTGAGTGACCAGAACAGCATCCCAATCTCTGGTATTGCTGCTGCCCGCAGCGCCGATTTCGCTGCGTTCCTGAATCTGCAGGATACCAACGGCGATACTGCTCTGAACCTGGCTGCGCGCATCGGCGACCGCACCATGATCCGCCTCTTGTTAAATGCCGGTGCTTCGCCTACTATCGCCAACAGGGTCGGTCTGCGCCCGCTGGACTTTGGCGCGGACAAGATTGCCGCTGGCGATGCTGAGCTGGATCCGCTGGGCGATTCGAATGGCATGCTGGAGGATATTGTCTCACTGTCCCCTTCAAATCGCTCAGCTACACATGGGCCGTTTAGCAGCACACCGTTGGCAGCCCCACAGACACCGATCCGCACCGCTATGCGCACCACAGGCAAGAACCTTCTTGCGTCCCTGATGGGCAGCGAGGCTTCGTATGGGCCACCCACAAACGGCCTGGCCAATCTGGACGACAGCGATGACGTGTGGTCGCCATCGTCGGCACAGCTGCGGATCCACGAATCGGTGCAGACCATCCAGCAGCTGATGACTGAGATGGAGTCTGATTTTTCGGGGGAGATGCGCATCAAGCAGGAGCGCCTGGACGGGATCAAGCTGCAGCTACGCAAAACAACCATCGAGCTAGCCAAGGCGCGCGAGACCATTTATCACCTGCACTCGAAGACATCGCAGCTGGGCGAGGTCAAGGCGCGTGTCGAGTACCTGGAGGAGACGCTGTTGCGCGAGACCGCTGCTGTGCGTGAAGCTATCAGCGCACTGCCGCCCAGTTCAAAGCCGCGTCTGGATCTGGAGAAGCTACTGGACACGCTGCTCAACAGTCCTGAGAATGCACCGGAGCCACACATGATTCTGCCGCTGGTGCCCGGCGGAAAGGCCGACGATGAATTGGAGGAGCTGGAGAAGGACCCGGCGAAAATGCGCGCGGCCGTTGAGCGTCTGCGGGTGGCAAACCAGGTGTACGCCCGGCGTGACGCTTTGCTGCGCGAGCGTGTCGAAGCCTTGCGCAAGCGGGCGGATGTTTCCGAGCGCGAGCGGCAGTACCGCCAGATCATTGCGTCGTGCTGCGAGATATCAGTTGCCGATGTTGATGTGTGGATTGATCGGCTCATCTCAGCCGTCAATGCCAACACGGAGCAGGACAACGCGCTGCCCGACGGCGGAGAGCTGAACTCGACGGTTGCTGCTGCTGCCGCCGCGGTAGCAGCAGCATCTACAGCCAAAAAGCAGCAGCAGCCGACTTAGACATGGTCACGTGTGTCCGAGTCAGCCAATCTGCGCTGCAATGGCTTTTCTGAGCAAGCTTGCTTGAAAACAGCGCATAGGGGCGAGCGTTCCTCCCTTTTCTCGCTCTTTTGGCTCATTCAATTTATTTGACTTTTTTTATTTCTGTACCAATTCGATACCTAGTCATTCGCAACCCAGTGCAGAAACACTCTAATTCCAACCACCTATTCCGTTCCCTTCTACGCACACGGAGCAAAAGTCCATTGCGTAGCAATACCTTTCAGTTTGAAACTAAAGTAAGCGTTACATTCAATTCACGGCCACGCCTTGGCTGCAGCACTGGTCGCTCTTCTTCCCAGCAGGGCCTTTTGCGCACCGACACACCTGTGCGTATGCAGGTGGCATATGTGCTAGGGCTACTGATGCTCGGGGGTGGTCAGCTTGCAAGAGCCTGCCGCGCATATGCTGGAAGGGTGCCACACGCTATGGGTGCTTCATATTCACAGGTTCTGTGCAGCAAACTGTGAATCATGCAGCACCTTCCATCCCTTCCATCCAATACCCACGCAGTACCATCCAGTCTTGGGCCCAGTATTACATTTCTTGCCTGCGCACGGTGGTTCCGGATACTCCCTTATTCGGCCATTGAATGTCAGAGTGACACTCTGCTGGCGGCGCTGCATGGGAGGAGGCAGGTGGTTGCAGAATGCCCGGGGCACCAAAGGTTCCTGAACTGTGATATATCTGCAGGCTGACGCATACTTGAGCCACCTTTTTCTTTCGAATTTACCCACTGTCTCTCACTAGACACTCCCAGCTTTTTTAGGATTCGAAGGCGCGAATTTTAGATGGGCTCCAATTCAAAGCGCCGAAACAGCGGCGCAGCTAACGGTGGCGCTTCACGCAGCACAGTTGAGACGGCACCAAAGCAGAGCCAGAGCACCATGCAGCCGGCGCGCACGTCTGTGCCGCCTCCCAACAGCAGCATGTCAGGCGACTGCAACGAAGGCAAGATACCGAAGGGTCCTCCGGTGTTCGGGCCAGAGCCGCCACCAGAGCTGGCACTGGCGCGGGCAGCAGCAGCAGCAGTTGCTGCAGCTTCAAAGGGGTCTCAGACCAGGTCCTTGCATCGGACCAGCCTACAGCTGGGTCTGGTAGACCCAAGCAACCCCAGCGCCAAAGAAGTCACCATCGGCGTTGGTATCGGCCCGCACAGTGGACGAGTCATGGGAGGAGCCGAGTCTCTTGCACAATCGGAAGCGGAGGCGGCAAAGTACTGGCAGGAGCGGATTGCCGAGGTCATATCGAAGCCCGAATTGCTGCTGAAGCATGTACAGGCAGGGACCATGTCAATGTCAATGTCGCCGTCTCTGGTCGACAGCGCCTCGTTCAGCACCGATGCACCAGACTCAATGCTGGCCGCAGCGTCCCAGCTCACGTCTGAACTGTCAGAACTGCTGGCACACAACCCAAATCGCTTTGGCTTGGAGATGATTGAGTCCTCGGCTGCACTGGCGCCGCAGTTGGAAATGGTACATCGGTTCCAGGATATGGTCGACAGCAACCCACAGGCCGTGCCCAGTGCGCTGGTGGCTGCAGCTGCAGCGATGCGGTCTGGGTCAAGTGGGTCTTCGGTTGACGCCGCCAGTATCCGGAAGGCCACAGTAAGCAGACCTACACCAGAGCAGAGGCTGACAACCGAACCAGTCGAGCCGAGATCCAGCAATGGCGGGTTATCAGCAGAGGCGGCTACAAAGGGTCCGGCGTACGCGGGGTTTGACTGGCTAACAGAAGAAGACACCTCGGGTCCTGTTGGTACGTTCCAGGGGTTTTACTCTGACGATGACCTGAGCCACGAGTCGGAAACAGAAAGTGCGGCTAAAGGCTCTAATCCACCCAAGGCGCCCAAGAAGAAGAGCAAGAAGAAGAAGAAGAAGGCGAAGGGCAAGGAATCGGTGCGCGAGGATCAGGTTGACCAGAGGTTTACTAAACCGCCACAACCGGCAGCCGATGAGCCAGCAGCCCTGGCTGGCCAACACCCTGATGCCCAGACGCAGTCCCGAGCCCGAATGCCGCCTGGTGTTCCAAAAGCACCTGTGGCCATGTCAAACTCGACGTCGCAGATCATTCAAAAGCTGTCAGCGGATCCCAAGGTGCTTGAGAACACAAAGGCGATCTGGAACAGCGACCGCATCGAGGAACAACGACAGGTGCGCAAGTACTGGCTGTCGCTGAACGAGGTCGAGCGGCGGGCATTTGTGCTGATTGAGAAGGAGGTGGTTATGTCGCGCGTGCGCGAGCACCAGAACTTTTCGTGCAACTGCAACTCGTGCACGCGCAAGCGAGAGGCCATTGAGCATGAGCTGGACTGCCTGTATGACTGCTACTATGAGGAGCTCGAGGTGAGCGTTCGGCGAGAGAAGATGCGCCTGTCGGTGCTGGAGGCAAAGCGCACGGCCAGCGGATATTTCAACTCGGTCATCGACCGAATGGTTGATTTGGCGTTCAACGAGGTCGAGCCCAGCCAACGATCAGCGCGCATGAAGGTCGACTATCGCCGCGAGATTCAGGAGAGCTTTCACCGGAGTGCGGCAGCAGGCCGGAATCCATACATTCTCCAGCCGCTAATCGGCGATGATGCAGCAGAAAGTGACAATTCAGGGAATCCGATGACGATGAAGGCGTGGAAGACCCTCGAGTCAAGCGGCTATGTAGACCAGTGGACTGAAATTATTATGGAGCTATATACCCGCAAGACGGAGTACCAGCGCGAGTTTGGCGACAAGTCGCCGCTCGACGAGGATAACAGCGAAGACCCGCTCGACAACAACGATCTGTTCTACACTGACAACCTGCTGAGCCCGATCGAGTCGTTCCCAGCCGACAGCAAAAAGTTCTTTGATATGATGGAACGCCTGGCAGACTACCGGATGCGTCGCGAGGATGCGCTGCTCGATAATGCTGCTGATTCTGAACCGCGTCCCAAGGCTGGGTGCGAAGAGATGACATCCCAAGATCACCACCACCACCACCATCACCACCACCACCATCATCATCATCGCCACAACCACGACCACGGCCATGATCACGACCACGACCACGATCACAGCCACAGCCACAGTCACAGCCACAGCCGCAACCGGCGTGATTCTCAGGGGAGCCTATCGCGCCGCTGTCCCGACTGCCATGGTGAGATCAGCGATTCTGAAGACCGGCGAGCGTACTCTGACGCCGAAGGCCATTCGTCTGCTTACCGTGCTCGGCGACGCGGCCGCTCGTCATCGTCACACGCGCGCCATTCCCATGCCCCGTACAAGGTGCACGGACCGCGCTCTGCCGACATTGATGATGTAATTTCTGATGAGGGGTTAGAGGATGAGGAGGAGGATGACGACGATGATGATGACGACGACGACGAAGACGACCTGTTAGACGAGGAAGATGACGATCTTGATGACGATGATGACGACGACGATGACGACGACGATGACGACGACGACGACGATCTCGAGTCGCTTGACCCTGACCGTGCTGAGGAGCAGGCAGAGGAGGGCCGGCGAGTGTTTCAGCTCTTTGCAGCCAGGTTGTTTGAGCAGCGAGTCATCAACTCTTACCGAGACCGGGTTGCACGGGAGCGACAGAAGCAGCTGATTCAAGAGCTCGAGGAGGAGGAGAACCGGTCCAAGGCGAAAGAGAAGCGCAAGCAGAAGAAGAAGGAGCGCGAAAAGGAGAAGAAGCGCAATTTGCAGCAGAAGAAGGAAGAGGAGCGGCTGGCGCGTGAGAAACAGCAAAAGGCTGAGCTGGAGCGCAAGCGGGCAGCTGAGGAGAAGCGCCGTCAGGAGCGCGAGAAGAAGAAGCGTGAGGAGGAAGCCAGGATCCGCAGGGCTCAGGAGGAGCGCAACCGGAAGATCCTCGAGCAGGCAGACCGGCGCTTGGAGCGTGAACGCCAGGAGAAGCTGCAGCGCGAGCAGGAGCAGCTAGTGAAGCTGCAGCGTGAGCGTGAGGAGCGCGAGCGCAAGGAGAAAGAGCGACTGGAACACAAGGGGAAAGCAAACGCCAAGGCGATAGCTGATGCAGCGACTGCGGCGGCGGCTGCTGAGGAGGAGGAGAAGGAGGAGGAGGAGAAGAAGCTAGCCAAGGACCACGAAATGGAGGCTGAGCAGAAGCAGGTGGAGGAAGCAGCCAAGACCAAGGCAGCTGATATTGCTGGTATTGCTGATATTGTTAAGCAGAAGCAAGCGGAGGAGACTGAGGTCCCAGCGCAGGTGCCAGTGCAGGCTGCTGCTGCTTTCGAGCAACCGGTAGTGCCTGCTGTGCCTGCTGTGCCTGCTGTGCCTGCTGTGCCTGTTGTTCCGCTGGCAGAGCCCGTTGCGGCAGTCCCTGTTCGGCCCGAGATGCTGACCACCCCGCTGTCGGCAATCTTGCCTGCTGTTCCTGTCATGGCCATGCCCCAAGCAGTACCGCCACCAGGCATGTTCAGTAGCCCAAGCATGCAGCCATTGGACAACATGAGCCGGACACCAATTATAAGCACTGCGCCCAGCTACCCGCTGGCGCAGACACCGCGGCAGATGATGCATTCGTTCGAGCCCATTGCTCCACAGCCGCACATCCCGTTCTCGTCACCCAGTGCACGCGGGCGCGCAAACAGCGGCTCGCAGGTGTTCTCTGGTGCAACGGCTCTGCTGTCATCGCCTGTTGTATCTACACTGTCTGCGTCCGCATCTGCATCCGCAGCTCGGCCGCCAGCCAGCGAATATGACGCTGAGATCTTGTCGATCGTGGGCAAGGTCATGGGATCCCGCACGTTGCAGGACGAGCTCACTGATGGTCTCGAGTGGCGTGCTGAACCTGACAGCTTCATGGGCGGCAGTGGCCGGCTGGCAGCTCCACCCAAGAGTAGCCTGGCAACGACGTTTGGGCTGGGCAGCAGCCCAGCCGCTGGGTCGTCGGCCACCGACCTCTCAGCTCGGCGCAACTCGATGCCGATGCATCGTGCATCTAGCGAGAGTCGGATCGCAACGCTGGCTCCTGGCGGCAGTCGTGGCAGTCTGTCGCTAGACATTGATATCGAGGCTGTGTACAAGGCGTACTGTGCTCTGGAGAAGTTCCGGCGGGATGCCAACAGCCTGGTGGGCAGCAGCTATCACCCGGTGTCTGAGATTGCCCAGATGCATGGGAAGCTGAGTGAGAGCGAAGTGTGGGGCATCTGTGCCAAATATTCCCGGGCCAACCCATCAGCATGCATGCTAGACCACAGCACGCACTCAGTTATGTTCTCGGGAGAATCCCCCGAGCACCAGGCAGCGCTTGTGGCGGCAACGGCAACAGCGCCGACGCCGGTCTCTGGTGCTACACTGCCACTTCACCTTTCGTCCGCCCTCCCGCCTCTAGGTATGTCCAGCAGCAGCATGTCGCAGTTTGGCGTAGAACCGCGGTCAACGCCTACCTCGCAGCTGTCCATCATCACCGAGGACATGCTGAGTGCGTTTAGTCTGCAGACAGCGCAGACCAACAGCCCAATACAGATGCCGCAGCAGCCATCGCAGCTGCAGGCACGGTCACCTATGCTTGGCCATAACGCAGCGCTGCTTCAGAACAGCACTGCTGGCGGTCTCCTGTCGGGTAGCCGTGTCCAGCCGCAGTCGCTGACACTGCCGCAGACACCTACACGGCCGCTGATCCCATCGCCGCTGCTTGGTCAGCAGCAGCATCAGCATCAGCAGGCATTGGGTAGTGGATATGTTGCTGTTGCTCAGCCCACCACGGCGTCCATGTACTTTAATCCGCTGATGGTGCCTGGGGCAGCACTGCAGCAGCAGCATTCGCAGCCACCGCTCAGCGCACCAATCCTCGGGCAGGGTGGGCAGTACCCCCCGACTCAGCTGGGGATGGGTGGTATCCGCAACGGAGCGGGGCTGTTCGGGATGCCGTATCCTCAGCATCAGCATCAACATCAGCAACAGCAGCAACAGCTGCAGATGCTCCAGCAGAACCTTCAACAGCAGCAGCTGCGCTAGGTGTCAGCCCACCCTAGCTAGTTCTGCTTTAGCTTGGTGTAGTGTCAACACGCAGCCTGTTTTTTTCTTGGTCTTTGGCAAGCGGAACGTGGATGTGGCCGGAAATCATTGCACATGGCTGGGTTTAGGGAACAGTGGCGGGGTTTTTGTTCGTGGCCCAAGTGGGATGATTTAAAAGGTCGCACAGCCAGGACTGGTTTTGACCTTATCTTTCCACGACACCACCACAGCAAGCACCTTTTCCTTTTCTTCAACTTTGAATTCCACACACACTTTTCGTAACTTCAAATCACTAGCTCCAAATACTTTCAGCAACAACGTAAGTACGGCTGGGCCTAGGGATGACGGCATTTCCTGTTTTAGCATAAGACGGGTGGTTTTTGGATGGTGGCCTGGAGTTTCATGGCGGCGGGGGCGAGGTGTGATGTCGAAGATCCAGGCTTACGAAAGATCCGGGCTGGCAGCGCAGGTCTTGGCACTGGTATATATATGGGGAGCAGCCCAGGAAGCGCTGCTTTCCGAGACCCTGTATTTGCACACTATTGACCAGAAACGTTTTCCAACAGATATTTTTGTATTGTAAGGGCTCCTGCAAAGCTGTTTTTGAGACCATGGCCAGATCCAGGGCACAGGCTAATAGGATAGATTCTTCTGTAGGATGCTTCGTACTACTATCCAGCGCCAGAGCCGTTTGACCAACTCCCTCAAGACTGCAATGATTCCGACAGCGCGCTACACGACTGACCGGTTCCAGGAGCGCGAGGCGGCGTCGGAGAACCAGTACATGCGCAAGCGCGAGGCGGAGAAGCTGAAGGCGCTGAAGGCGCAGCTGGACAAGGCTAAGCAGGAGGTGGAGGAGCTGCAGAGCAAGATCGATAACCACCACAAGGAGGCGGCCAAGGAGGCCAAGAGCGAGTAGATTAGGCTGGGTATCCCGTGTTCTTTTGAATGAATAACATGAATCTGCCATCTGGCGGGCCCTGCTTGGGACGTTTGCTACTGCGGTTCAGCGGAAAACGTGGCAGAATTGAAGCAGTGCGGCGCTGCTGTCACGTGTGGTTAGGCATCACAAAGTATGAGGCAGAGCTGTGGCTATGCGAGCACTCGCATCTGGCTTGCATAGGGCGGGACGAGGGCCAGGAATGATGGAGCCGCGTGCTCACGATGTTCCTTCTTCCCCTCTCTCCTCCTCTTCTATACTCTAGCACTACCAGACACAGACCTATTCGCATTATTATTATTTCAAGACCATGGACAAGCATATGTCGTATTTGCAGAAGCACGCTAGCGTGACAAAGTCGCGCATCAGCAACTTTCTGGCGGACAACCAGTGGAAGGATGTGAACATCCAGGCCAGTTTGTACGAGCAGCGCGCCAGTGGGGCACCGCACGTCAGGCTGGAGGTGTGGTCGGCGTCGGGGCTCGAGCGGCCGACGTTTGCGGAGGCGGTCAAGCACGAGTTCAAGGAGACCAGCGTGGGCGAGTCGTTTGGGCCATCATGGGTAAGTAGACGAATGCGCAACGTCATCGTCGCACATGGCCCACGTGGCCAGCACGCTAATCAACGATAGTCGTATTGTAGTCGACGCACTGGTTCAAGGTTTCGCTGCAGATTCCCGAGTCGTTTGCGGGCAAGCACGTGCGGCTGCTGTTTGACTCGAGCAGCGAGGGAATGGTGTGGACGGCAGACGGGCAGCCGCTGCAGGGCCTGACGGGCGGCGGGGGTGGCAACCACCATGTGGACTACGTGGTGGCAGACCGGGCCACGGGTGGGGCAACGCAGACGCTGTTTGTGGAAGTGGCCTGCAATGGCCTGTTTGGCAACGGTGACTACACGATTGGACCGCCGCATGTAGACCGGCGGTTTGCGCTGGCGACGGTGGAGCTCGTGGTGCCGCGGGCCGAGGCGTGGGGGTTGTACCACGACCTGACGGTGATTGCGCAGATGGCCGACAAGCTGCCGCAGGACTCGCCGCGCGCATGGGCGGCGCTGGCAGCAGCCAATGCCATTGTCAATGCGTTTGAGGCTAGAGACGCAGCAACGCTGGGGGCGGCGCGCGGGATAGCCAGCGAGTTCCTGGCGGCTACGGGCGGGCAGGGCAACCACCAGGTGTATGCCATCGGCAACTGCCATATCGACACGGCGTGGCTGTGGCCGTACGACGAGACGAAGCGAAAGATTGCCCGTAGCTGGGCGACGCAGCTGGACTACATGGAGCGGTTCCCCGAGTACAAATTTGCTGCCAGCCAGGCACAGCAGTTTGCTTGGCTCAAGGAGCTGTACCCGGGGCTGTTCAAGCGCGTGCAGGCCAAGGTCAAGTCGGGGCAGTTCATTCCGATCGGAGCGACTTGGGTCGAGATGGACTGCAACCTGCCGTCGGGCGAGTCGCTGGCACGGCAGTTCCTCCTGGGGCAGCGCTTCTTCCGCGAGCACTTTGGCGAGACGTGCCAGGTGTTCTGGCTGCCCGACACCTTTGGGTACTCGTCGCAGCTGCCACAGATTGTGCGGCAGTCTGGGGCCAAGTACTTCTTCACGCAGAAGCTGTCGTGGAACAACATCAACAAGTTCCCGCACACGACATTCCGGTGGGTGGGGCTGGATGGTAGCCATGTCCTGACACACATGGCGCCGGCTGAGACATACACGGCACAGGCCACGGCCAGCGAGCTGATCGACAGCGTCAAGCGGCACCGCGACCTGGCGTACTCCAACGAGAGCCTGTATCTGTACGGCAATGGCGACGGCGGCGGTGGTCCGCTGGAGGCCATGCTGGAGCGCCTGCGTCGCATGGGTGACGTCGACGGGCTGCCACGTGTCAAGCACTGTCACCCTAACGAGTTCTATGACCATGTCGAGAAGAGCGCCAAGCAGCTGGTGTCATGGAAGGGCGAGCTGTACTTTGAGCTGCACCGCGGCACTTATACGTCGCAGGCGGCCACCAAGAAATTCAACCGCCAGGCCGAGTTCCTGCTGCGCGACGTCGAACTCCTCAGCGCCATGGCCGCCCGCAGCCCTGCCAGCGCCTTTGCGTACCCGGCCAGCGAGCTGACGCGTCTGTGGCAGCTGGTGTGTCTGAACCAATTCCACGACGTCATCCCCGGCTCCAGCATCGAGATGGTGTATGAGGACAGCGACAAGATCTACAACGACGTCATTGCCTCAGCCAAGAGTCTGAAGGAGCGCGCGCTGACAGCGCTCTTTGCCTCGCCAGCCAGCGAGCCCTCGGGCGTCGTGTTTGTCAACACCACTGCGTGGCCACGCACTGAGATCGTGGCCGTGCCGCAGCTCAGCGCAGGCACTGCTGGCGTGCAGCAGGCCAGCAGCCGGGGCGGCGCTCTGGTGGTGGCAGCCAACATTGCCGGCGTCGGCGCCAGCGTCGTCGATTTAGCCGCGCAGGCCGAGGTGGTGCCGGTGACAGCGTTCATCGACAAGGCCGGAAATGCAGTGCTGGAGAACCTGTATGTGACTGCGACTATCTCGCCGCAGGGCCAGCTAGTGAGCCTGCGCGACCGCCACGCTGAGCGCGAGCTGATCCCAGCTGGCGCCAAGGGCAATGTGTTTGAGCTGTATGACGACGTTCCCCTGTTCTGGGATGCCTGGGATATCGAAATCTACAACCTTGAAAAGTATGTCGAGCTACCGGGTGCAAAGCTGGCTATCGTCGACGAGGGCCCGCTGATGGCGACGGTCTCGATTGAAGTGCCCATCAGCGACGGCAGCTCCATCCGCCAGTGGGTGTCGCTGAGCGCAACGTCGCCGCGCCTGGACTTTTCTACCGACGCTGAGTGGCACGAGAGCCGCAAATGCCTCAAGGTGTCGTTCACCTGGGACATCCACAACGACATGGCCACGTATGAGACCCAGTACGGCGTTGTGCAGCGCCCCACCCACCGCAACACGTCGTGGGACATGGCCAAGTTTGAGGTCTGCGCCCACAAGTTCGCCGATCTTTCAGAGTTCGGCTACGGTGTGGCGCTGCTTAATGACTGCAAGTACGGCCACGCAACGCTCGAGAACACCATGACGCTGACGCTGCTGCGCAGCCCCAAGGCTCCCGACGCCCACTGCGATATGGGCCACCACACCTTCCGCTACGCCGTCTTCCCGCACCAGGGCTCCTTCAACGAGTCAGCTGTTGTCCAGGAGGCCTACCAGTTCAATGTGCCACTGGTCCAGCTGCCCGTCGATGTCGCTGCCGCCAGCGTAGCCAGCACCCCGTACTTTGGCGTTGCTGGCGCCCCCAATGTCGTCCTGGACACCGTCAAGGCTGCTGAGGACGACGCGGCTTCGGTCGTTGTGCGTCTCTACGAAGCGTATGGCGGCCATGCAAAGGCCACCCTCACCACTGCCCTCAATGTCAAGAGCGCCCACCTCACCAATATCCTCGAGGAGAATGCTGCGAGCCTTGATGTCCTGAGCACCGGCTCTCAGAAATCCATGACTATCAACTTTACGCCTTTCCAGGTTGTCACTCTCAAGCTCTCCCTCTAACATCTTATGTTTTCTTACTGGAACAGGTTTTTTCTTCACATAATATCAATTAGCTTGGCACTGCTTGTCTGCGTCGAAGAGACCCGGATTTGCTAGTGCCTGCCCCTGCATCTGCCTCCGGGACCATCTGCTCCTCAACCACAGCACTGCTGGGCCCATCGTCTTGGACCAGCTCAACATTCAACTCTGGGATTTCCACGCCTTCGCCCTTCCTGCTCGCCTCTGCCTTGGTCTCTGCGATCCTCTGCGCTGCGGGTGATGGCGTCAACGACCGCATACCCCCCACCTCCTCTCGCTGTCCCTGGCGCGACCTTGTGTAAGCCTCCAGCACCGACCAGGCAACTGCTGTGAACGCCAACTGCCACACAACCGCCAGAGCCACAAACAAAACTGCTGTGGGCGTGCGCCAGTAGAACATCCAGTATCTTAGGCCCGAGAACTCTGCCATAATGACAATCCGTGCCTTATATACCTGCACCGGCCGACTCAGCGCCACCCTGGCCACAGTGATGGGAGCAAACCGCCGATCATACATGCCTTCCATTAGCCGCACATCCAGCACCGTCTTCTCATGCATCCAGCCCAGCGCTAGCGGCACTGCGCGCACCGCCGTCTGCATGACCTTGACCAGCGACGACCGGTACGGCAGGATTGCCGGTCGGCTGGCCGTGTGCACCGGTGTGCCGCTGCGGTCGCACAGCTCCACGGTGACCATGAAGTTGCCCAGTTGCTCGTTCGCCTCCGAGGTCGGCACGTCGAGGTGCAATGCGACCGAGTATGCCTGCGACGTCGACAAAAGCTTGTAGTTGGCCGCGGGCACCAGATCCACTACCGCCGACGTATTGTGCTTGTGGTACTGCATGTGCACTGCCGACTCGTGCAGCAGCTGCGGCACGTACAGTCGGTAGAATATGCTGTAGAGCACGATCGATGACACCAGTACTGCGAGCAAGGCGCTGACTGCCAGCACGCCTTTGACTGCCAGCGAGATCCCCGTGTCTGCAGAGACCCACCGCGGAATATCATATCCGAAGACCCGTGTGTGCTGCTCTTCTGCCTCTGTGTCCGTCATTTTATGAAATTCAAGCCTCTATGAATGTGAATGTTTTGAACTAAAGTGCAAGCGAGCAAAAAAAATACTAAAAACAAATAGTAGAGCAGAGATAGCTGCCGTTTGTCGGGCCATGTGAAACGTCACCTACCAAAGCGTGTTGGTAATGATCAAAAGTCATGTGAATATTTGTGATACCTCCAGCCAACCGAGACGATTCCTGCTCGCTTGGTGCCAGCAATCGCCTTTTGCAGAATCCTAGACCGGCCATACAGGATCGTTGGCTATGTTGTATCCTGTCTTTTGCCACTCCTGTGCTGCCCCAGCTTCATATCTCAAGGAGAGTGCCAGTGTCAGTAGCTAGACCAGACTAAGGTACCTACCATCTTACGTAGCCCAGCAAATCATAAAACCTTCAAGCCATGCTATGTGATAACCCTTCAACATGTCTGTGACAATATTTCTTGTCTGATCAAAGCCAATCGGCATTTACTTGTTATACGCTATGTTACGTGCTGATCCAACTTGTCTTTCTTTTATTCGGTTCACGTTTGTGACATGTTCAGTAATTGAACGCGCGTACCAGACCATACAACAAACAGCACCACTCACTAATACACTAGGTACTCCAATTTTCAGCAGCTCTTGTGTACACTGCACAGTTACTGTTCTAGAGCATGCACCACCCAGTGCCTTTGGCAGCAATGAAACAGCTGATGTTGCTTTGCTCGATGAGCGCAGTATACTGTTCATGAGCTGAGCCGTGAGCCTTGGTCCGTTTTTGCCATCACTCGCCGTCTTCGAATTGTGCAGTCGCGTCTGGCTTAAAAACATGGTCCTTTGGTCGTCTGGAAATGGTGCAAGAAAAACATATTTTCTCTTCTTTTTGCTCTTTTCTATTTTGCAATGCTTTCCACATATCAATTTTCACCTAGCATGTTCACCATCATCCGTTAGTAAGAGCTTTGCAGTTTTGGCGCAACTGGGTCTACAGCTCTATCATCCAGAGTCTTTAAGCATACTCAGCAGTAGCATATCTAGCCACATCTCATTTGCTTACATGTAGCTCGACACCAGCATGCAAGATATCAGGAAACTCCGGCAAGTAGCAGCTACTGCCCCACGCAAGGCAAATTGTGCAAGAATCTGGAAACCGGGGGGCTCGGGTATGAACAAGCGTGCTGCGCGTAATATTGGGGAACCACTGACACCTCCTTTCTCTCCTCATCACAACACAACCCCGATCCTACCTGCTGCTTGCATAGCCATCGAGCGGATCAAGAAGCCCCTGAGCCACAGCTCCAATGAAACAAATAAAATTCCTGCTGGTTTTTGTCTTCAGCTATATGAACACGAATCCAAAAAAGAACCACGACAAGGATACGCACAGTTGGAAGCAGACGCTTGGTATGCCTGGTGATAACTAGCATGTCCATTCATATCATTGTTCATAAATACCACAGCATCTTGAAAACCAATATCCTTGCTGCGTTTGTCGGGGGTGTATGTGAAATGTAGAGTTTTGGAAAGCTGCATTTTTACTGATGAGCCTGCTGTGGGGCGTTCGTTGGCGGCTGATTTGCCATCCATAGCGTCAGCTGCCATGCTGAAGTCAGGGACGGCCACATCGGGTGCGCAACAAATTGGTTTCCACAGAAAAATGCAATGTCGGCGATGCGTGTGGATATCTCATAACGACCCATCCATGCCTGTGATTTTCTGTTGGTGTCGTTGATCTATGTGTCTTTGTACAAACCGCTCAGCGGCTTAAGATTTTACCATTTACAGCGGTGGCGATGCCTCGTTCGACAGATTGTTTTCAGATGGCTTCACCATTGAGCACAGCTGTCCAGAGCCTTTTGTCCTCTTGGATCGCCTCATCTGTCGCATCTATGTAACTCATCGCCAGATCCAGCAGCTTGGGCTTGTACCTGTCTGGTCGCGCTGGGTCCTGCACCAGCAGTACATTATATACCCGCGGGTCGTTGTGCACCACGCCGCGCTCATGAAGCTTAGCCAGGCTGTTCAGGATATCACTCTTGACAGACAAGGGCAGTGCTGCAACCAAATGCTCGCGATATACCGTCATGGTGTTGGCTTGTAGCGCATCCTGCAGGAACTCGAGTTCCAGTGCCAAGTACAGCACGCCATTGATCTCCAATACACCGTAGTTGTACAGGGTTGGCAGCTCGGTGCCTTGCAGGTCCCTCAGATAGTCATACACCCTAGTCTCCTGGACGATCTCTTCCAGAATCCTGTCCTCCGTCTGCAGAGGGCACAACTTTAGCGCGACATGCCTATTGTTGTGCCAGGCTTCGTGCACATACCCGCTGCGGCCGTATCCGAGCTGCCGTCCCAGTGTGAAATGCCCTGTCAGCGGGCGCCAGTTCTCCACGACGCATGCCCAGATGCCCTGGGTCACATAGCCATCGTCTGTGGATTGCCTCGCTTGCAGCGTTGAGTCAGTCGCCATGTCAGTCTGCTCCGGCGCATGCTGATTCACAACCGCATTCCCACACCATACATCCGTGTGCAGGAAGAGAGGCTGGAAGGCGAACGTCGACTGCTGCTTGCACTGCACAGCCAGGACAGCCATATCCTGTCCCTTGGTGGTAGATCCATTACCAGGTATACTGCGTCGGCCCAGCGACTTTCTATGCACCTTGCCTGGAATGCTGTACACCATGGTGCCACTCTTATATGGAGTCCTGGATACATGACTGGGAGGCGACATCAATGGGTTGGTCTTGTCGACAGCCTGGTCCATCTCCATGTACTGGTCGGGGTTGTCTTGCATGTCTCTGACAGCGTCACTGAGCATACCGACAATCACCACAGCGATGTGAGGTGAGTTGTTGTTGGCATGGAAGCATGACGACACATTGATGTAGCACGCAGGTGTGGCCTGGGCTGGACTGCCAGTAGTCTGATTATCGACAATATTGCCACTGGATCCAGTCGACACAGCAGTGTGCTGAGTCTCGGTGAGCGAGCCCTGAGACTCCATGTCACTATCGACGTACTCGCAGACCCACGACTCGTTGAACGTCGAGCAGTACCCAAACTTTCGATTGATCAGCCGTGGGTCAGGAACCTGCGGACACGTCAGCCTGCCATCCCGCGCATAGCAATATGTCTGGTGGATCAGCTTCGCGCCATGCCCAATGCTAGCGAATCCAGCGTCTTCAAGTGCCTTTCCTGACTCCTCATCCACGCGGACCCTCGAATCGCCCATCTCTGACCGTATGCCAGTCGTCTGTGGCCGAGTGCGGTACGGCATCTTGAACTCAAGTGCAATATAGGTGTGTAGCATTCTACCCTTGACGTTGGCTTTGAGGTATGCAAAGTAGTCAGCATGGCAGGCTGGATTACCGGGTACAAACTCAATCGAGGCGCCATGGACAACCTCCGGGAAGAGATCGAGCACGCGGCTGAAAATCTCGTTTTCAAAGAACTTGCCAATACAGTGCTCGTTCAGCAGGATGCGCGGGTGGAATCCCTGGTTAATCGGGGCATGCGGCAGTGCAAAACGACGTGTGTGCAGGTGCGGACGGGTCTCGAGGAGATGGTTGTTGAGGCGGATCGCGTTCTGTCGTCTCTCAGAGTCGTGCTTGATTGGGGGAAGCGCAAGGCACGAGTTGACAATACGGAGTGCAGGGCGAGTATTCTGGGGTGCGATGAGAGGCTCGATCGGCCCCAGCACAAGGTTGTCTACTTGAAGGAATAAATGCATGTTAGCGAAACAGTTTGTTGAGCTATCAGGTTTCTTTACAGAAGTGCACTTACTGGCTGCCGTGATGCTGGCTGGTTCTCCGCCGCTGATTGCCAACAGCGTATTGACTCGTTCGATAGACTCATCAACAGCTTTCTGCGCATCCTGAACAGCTTTCTGCGCATCCTGAACAGTTTTCTGCGCATTTGAAAGCTCTATTTCATGCCTAATGGCGTTCTGAACAGACTCGCACTTGAGGTCGAGTTTGTCAATCTCCTTCCACAGGTTCTCGGCGTCGGGGTTATCATTCAAGCGAGCCATGACCATCTCACGCCTCTTGTCGAAACGCTCATACTCGCGCTCAAGGAGTGCTATGCTTTTAGAGTTATCTTCCACAGATACCGGCAAGTCCGTGGTACGAGCCGTTTTGAGGTCTTGGTAGTCACTGATGGCCCTACGAACAACAGCAACTGCGACAATAACACCACCCTCTATCAGCTTACGGTCGGGCCTCATGTGAAGTTGTTTGGCCCAACCATGGAAAAATGCTTCGTACCCGATAGGAGGAGGAAGGTTGTCCAGCAAGTTACCGTCAGTGCCTGCATCTGGTGTCTCTTCGTTTGTAGCAGTTGCAAAGCTCTCGATTGTGCGCCTACGCTTGCTCGGTCTGGCTGACTTGCCGTCGCTCTCTAGGTAGTGAGGATATTTGAAGCCCATTTGTTAAACAGTGCGAATAATGTGTTTGTATGAACAACGTAGAAGCAAAGTTTTTTTCTGGGAGGAGAGCAGGAACCTACTTTTGCGGCCACGACTGGCTTTAACGGTCATGATGTGAAGTTCTATATCTAGCAATGTTGGTGATGGCATCAGTGGCTGTCTATTACCCATCATATCATCCACTTGCCGATTGCAGGATTTTGTCGGCAGAACTTGCCTTTTTGCTGGCCGTTTCTTCTAGCAGAATTGTGTTGGTAGAATGGTAGGTGAAAAGCGGCGGATTGAGACAATGGGCACCGATACCACCAGCCACATCGCTGTTTATATACAGGAGTCGATGGTATTCGCTCTCTGCATCATCAAGAAACGTAAACATAGCCTGGTGTATAGTGCTAATGTATCATTTGCCAGACATGGTGTGCTTGCAGGCATCACGAATTTCATGATGGGTTGGCTGAGGATTCCTAGTTGGCAGGCATAAATCAGTATAATCGCCAGGCTACTTCATTAATCAGAAACAGTTTACGTAGAACGATTGAGCTTAAGGATGAAGTATTTATTCTAAGTGTAGACTCACAATGTCAGAAAGTTGGGAGGATCGTGAGAACTGAGTTAGCCAGAGATAAAGTTGTTGGTGCTGGAGTGGACAACATCATTTGCCTGGTTGGCGTTGACGTTGTTGGTATACAGGGTATTCTCGCTGAAGTTAGCGCGGTTTGAAGCACGATCGAACTCGCTGTTGAACGAGCTCAGGAATGGGAATCCCCAGCCCCAGCTGCCATATCCACCATATCCACCATATCCACCATATCCACCGTATCCCCACTGGCGCTTGCGGAAGCTGTTGAAGGTGTTGGTGTTGGAATGAACAGCATCGTTTGCCTGGTTTGCATTGAGGCTGTTGGTATACAGCGTGTTCTCGTTGAAGTTGGCACGGCTGGAGGCACTGTCAAACTCGCTATTAAACGCACTCACAAATGGAAAGCCCCAGCCCCAGCCCCAACCGTACTGGCGACGAACGAGCTCGGCCATAGGAGTAGGCACAGCATTGACTGACGGTGCAAATGCAGCCAGGGAGACGAGGGCAAGAATCGGGGTGCAAGCGTTGACCATGGTAGACAGAAGATAAGTTGTAGTATTGATGTTGAAGCAGGTGTATGCTGATGCCGAGTAGATGCAAGGAGCAGCGTGTTGGCTGCCGCTTTTATAGTCAAGAGCGATATAGCATCTGTATGCATCCAGCGATCCATCATGGAATACTGCTGATGCCAGGTTTAGACATGACAAGTGACATGCATCTGCTCAAACAGGCCATGCATGTTTTCTGTTGTCCTATGCACCAAAAGAATCGACCAGCGTCTGCTAGCTGCAGGGACGCCATTGATCGAGCTAGTAACAGGGTCTTGGCTGGAATCTAGAAGCACCCTCGAAATGCCAACAAAAGAAACGCTTGCCCATTGCATTAGTCGGCCGGAGATTGGTATTGCCCTTCTTTGAAGCCATTCTATGATGCCCTTCATTTTAATGAGCCCCTTGTGCGCTAGCTCTGCCGGCCCAGCTATACCAAGCATACCTTGCCCCGATTGCTAAATTGAGAAGATTGTCTCCAGGGATGCAGCCCAAGACAACGTAGTCCGATGCACCAATGAAGTCCTCCGCCAGACCTTCAATCGTCCCGGAATAGCAATTTACAAAAAAGCGGTCCACCATTGTTCGCATGTCGTCTGCTCCAGAGGCAGCGGAGGAAACAACCGCGACAATCGGCCCTGCCGGTCCACAAGGTCTTGCGATAGTAGATTTTACATTTAGAGAAAAGAGAAAGAGGCGAATCGAGAAAAAGTACCAAATACTAGAGTAGTAGACGTGCACAAGAAGGAAGTGGGTCGGGGATTTTTGGGGTGTGGTGTTCTGCTTCCAGCTTAGTCGCTCTCGTCCGAATCCTTCTTGGCGTCGTACTCGGCCTTCTCAGTAGCGTACCGCTCCTTGTCAGCCTCAGCCTTCTTGATGTACGGGGCCTTGCCGTCGTCCGACAGCTTGCTCCACTCGGCACCCAGGAACTTGCCGATCTCGCCAAAAGTGGCATCGGGGTTTTCCTTGCGGACACGGTCACGGTTGGCCTGCGAGTACATCATGTAGGCGGACAGGGCGCGCTTGGGGGCGTTCGGGTCCTTCTTGGTGCGCTTGGTGCGCTTCTTGGTGTCGGCAGCGGCGGCCTTGCGGGAGGCCTTGGACTCAGTAGCGGAGGACTTGACACGAGGCATTGTTGGCTACATGGGGATACAAAAAGTCGGAGTTAGGACCATGGCGGGCTCAAAGTGACGCAGATGACCAAAGTGACGCCGGATGTGACCGAGGCCCAATACGACGCACGCGACGGAGCAGACAGGCGCTGATGCGAGCGATGGGAGCCTGCGCAGGCGTCGGCCGGCTCGGGAGGGTGCCCTAGGGCCGGGGGTGACGACGGAGCCTTACCTTTTATGTTCAAAAAATGTTTACGCTTATAAGAGTAAAAATGTGAGGGGGAAATAAAGGCAGAGGAATTTATGAGGGAAGCAGGCGCGAGCGGGTGGGAGGCGGGCGGCGTGGGCTTTAAGGCGTGGCCAGCGCGAAAAATGGGGAGCAAATGGTTTGGCGCCTCTGAGCCAGATTGCTCAGCGAGGCAGCGTGAACACGCAAAAAAATTTTCTGCCTTTATTTCGCCCCAGGCATCAGCGCAAACGATTGGCTCCCTGCCCTATGCGTGTGCTGATGTCGATTCTGGAGCAAGCCAGGCGGTGCCGCTGGATTTTTGGACCCCTGCGCGTTCCACTAGCCGCTTGTCCGCCTATCGCTGGGCGCGCTGCCCCGCCTGATGTTTTCTCGCACCAGCCAAGCAGCCCAGTCTTTGCGCATATTTTTCCTTTTGGCGGCGGCCCTTTGGCTAAGCGGGCGGTGCCAACCACTGCTGCAGGCCTTGGCAGTCCTGTTTCAAGCGTGCGCCGGAGGATTGCTGTAAGCGGCAGCTGTGTTTTGGACTGTCCGGAAAGCGGAAGAGGGAGTTTCAGTGCTTGTTTTTACTGCTGCTGCAGAGGCTGGGCTTTTTCTTCCAAGCCCTCACCCTTCCCCGCCGCCGCTGCTTGCTGCTACTATGTCCGCTCGGGCGGCTTCCCAACCATTTTCTGCCATCAGAGCCTGATTGCTGCCTGCTATTTTTTGCGGCTCTCCTGTGACGCTGGCCCTCCAATGCCTAAGCCGCTGCCGTGGGCTGCTGCCATGGCCAGGCATGGCGCACTGCGAGGACTACGAGCATTATCGCAGTGCCTCCGGCCTGCACAAAAACAGCAGCATGCGGCTGTCACCAGACAATCCAATGTTTGGTATCCGCTACCATGGAGCATTCGCCATGTCGGCAAGCCTGCGAATTGCCGGTCGGGATGCATGCACGGCGGGGAACGCTTGTTCGATGTGGTCGCTGGATAGCGACACGTACTGCTCACTAAATACGGCAAGCAAAAGAGCAAAGGACTACTCGCCATTCCATATAGCTGCCAACATTGGTTCCGGCATGATGGCTGGTCGCATCATCGCAGAGCACCTCGGTAGCACGCAGCATGCTTACGTTCAGGGTACGCCAAGCATCTGGCACTTGTGTCGTGATAAGGGAGTATGAGCTGTTTCGAGTGCACCGCCAGTGCCGAAGCAGTGGTGCCTGATGTCACAAACGGTGCCAGGGTGCCCACTATTTGCTGCATTTGGGGTGAGTGCATTACGCCAGGACACATGCCCGAGGCACAGCCGCTACATGTAACAGATGCCACGGAGCCTGAGCATATCTGCCAGACATCCTCCATCACGATGCACGCGCTGGCCCAGCCTGCACCTCGTTTGGACACGCATCGGCATATCTGCACGTCGAACGGGTTCTGCAGCAAGTGTTGTTGCTATGCGGAAATCAGATCAGATCAGGCTTTGGCGATGCGGCAGAGCGGGCCGAATTTCTCCGCCATTTTTCTTTGGCGCTTTGCTGCCCACAGTTCTACCGCTGCCCTGTGCGGCTGGCCAAAACAGAGGGGAAGTGCCCAGCTAGCGCCAGCTTAATTTGTTGGGTGCCTGCACGTCGATCGATACCACCACATCACGTCTCACACATGTCTGTATACACTACGAGTACACACCACCTACGCTGTGCTGCGGATACGCTTCCTATAATAGAGCTGGCCGAGCGTCTAGCAATCACTGGCTGTGTGAATCCTGGCGTGCTCTCCGCAATATTTATATCAGTATTTGTTTCTATGTCACAGAATCCAGAAGATAGCTTTGCCCGCTTTGTTCATCCGGCCGCGGCGTCTGGGCCGTATTCTGTGTGGCCGCGGCATAGACCGATGATGCGTCACGGACCGGGGCGTGCATTGGCGCCAAATCAGCCGATCGATGTCTCCAAAGTGCACCCCGCATCGGTGGTCACCACTTTCATTCCGCAGCAGCAGCATCAGCAGCGGGCGCTGCCTAACCCGACTGCGCCAAGGGCCAAGCTGTGAAAAAGGAAGATGCTTCTATTCCAGTGACTCGCTTTTTTAAATTGCTCTCAGCTGGTCGGGTCACGCCTGGCTGTTCACAAATATAAATGCCTGTTTATGTTCTTGTTCGCCGCAGCCTGACACTCTACCTTCTTCTTTTCTTTTCTATTATTTCTATACTTCACAATAAAGTACTCACCGTGTTTTATACCATGTCTAACAGACGCAGCACCCCCGCTGGTACTAGATACCGTGATAGCATTGCTATTATCTCGACGCGCGGGCCCTCCGTGGTCTCGTCGTCGCTGTTGGCACCCCAGTCGCGGCTACGCCGCGCATCGCTGCCTGCCCGCAACCCATGCGCCGGGCTATACAGCGATGGGCCTGAGAGCGACGTAGACGACGTAGGCGCCCATTCGGGCCAGTCGGGTGCCGACAGCGACCTGTCGTCGTTACTTGTAACCTACATCAGCGGTGGACGTGATATCACCAGCGTGCGAGACGGGCTGATTAAGAACCCCGAGGCACGGTGTCTGGTCGAGTTCTACAGCGACGGCGGGCGGCAGCCGTGCATAATGACGCTGCGCGAGGACGGCTTTGTCTGGAACCAAGAGATATTCCTCAACCGCTGGTCGAGCCAGTACGAGTCAGTCGCACGGCGCAACCCGTTCATGCAGAAGATGAGCAACTCCATCGCCGAGGAGTCGCTGGGGGATGGCGAGCTCATGGCGATCGACAACATCAACGTCCACGAGATATTTCCCGAGGATTGCCCCCGGCTCTTCTAGATAGCTACTCTGCCACTTTGTAACATGACCATATGTATTCTCGACTTTGCCATATCCGCTGAAACACCCAGCTGGGCAGGCTGAGGTGCGGAGCCGAGCTCTGGCGGTGGGGCAGGGCCTCCGTTTGCACCAGGACGATCGCCTCACCTGACCGACCCAATCAGAACACAGACCGTCGCCAGAGGTTCTGAAAAAACTTTCAGATGCTTGTTAGGTGTTTACCGCTGGTGGAGGCGTGGCTTTTCTTCTCTACTTCGCTCGCATATTTGCTCCTCGCGTCTAGTTCCTCGCTTCTATAACTACCTCCTCCCTCCGCCTTATATTTCTTTGTAGCGTGGCCACCCTCTCCTCCCCTCTCCGAGAAGTAGACAAGCGGGGCAGATTTCATTTCGTTATATATCGTTTGCCACACGCCGCCTTTTCCCGCAAGGAGCAAGCTTCTTTTTCCTGCTCCATCGCTCTCGACCTGTCTCTCCCCTAGTATTTGTTCCCTGCTCGAAGTGTTCAACTTGCAGACACGCGGCTCTTTTGTGCATCTCTTTTTGCATTCCCGAGAGAAACAGAAATTCACACTCGTAAACAAGCAACGTTAGCGCGAATATAATGGCCGAAGTCAATCCATTCTCTCTATCCGGCACCCAGCACTCGCAACACTGGCCGTCGCTGGTCAGCCCCGACTGGTGGCTCAACAAGGCATTCATCGCGGTGACAGGACAGCCCAAGTCGGCGTGGCGCTGGGCTCCCGGCACGACCAGCTTCTCGACGCAGCGCACGGTTCTGACGGGCGTGGTGCTGTACCTGGCGATGGTGTTTGGCGGACAGGCGATCATGAAGAAGGTGGCCAAGCCGATCCGCTTGAAGCGCTTCACGCAGCTGCACAACCTCGCGCTGACGCTGATCTCAGGCTTCTTGCTGCTTGCCTTCATGGAGCAATGCCTGACAGCATGGCGCCAGAACGGCTTCTTCTTCACAATCTGTGGTGCCGAGTCGTGGACGCAGCCGATGGAGATCCTGTACTACTTGAATTACATGACAAAGTGGCTCGAGTTTGTCGATACCGTGCTGCTGGTGCTCAAGAAGAAGAACCTCGAGTTCCTGCACTACTACCATCACTCGCTGACCATGGTGCTGTGCTTCGAGGAACTTCTGGGACGTGTGTCTGTGGTAAGTATTATTGGGTGTTACTAGGACTCGGCGATGCATTGCATGGGGGAGGGGGCAGAGGATTGTAAGCAGTTGCATGTAATACTCGACATATCGCCGCCCTACTGCTCGCGATGTTCATATCATTTCATGATTTCATGCATGCATTACTGCCGGCATCCACCTTCTGCAACACATGCTGCTAATTTACGCGCTGCTTGCGCTACATATAGGCCTGGATTATCTGCTCAATCAACCTGCTCGTGCACGTTATCATGTACTACTACTACTTCCTTGCGTCGTGCGGCAAGAAGGTGTGGTGGAAGGAGATTGTCACAACCCTGCAGATTGTGCAGTTTGTGGTTGACCTTGGCCTGTGCTATTTCTGCCTGTACACCCACGTTACCTTCCACGCCGTTGTGCCGCTGCCGAGCGTTGGCGCCGACTGCCGCGGAACCCGCCTGGCCGCCTACTACGGCTGTGTTCTGCTGTCGTCATACCTGCTGCTGTTTGTCCAGTTCTTCATCAAGACGTACATCAAGGGCGAGACCGGTAGCCATCTCGGATTCCGCCCGCTCAACTACAAGCAGGAGGGCGAGAAGACCCAGAAGACCGAGTAATGCCAGGGATACCCCTTTTGCGAATTCCTTAACTTTCATTATCGTTCCCTTTCACTAGCCTTTTCGATCTCTGACTTTTCAAATCTGCGACTCTGAACAAGCACTGCGTCGAAATAGTTTTGTTTTCCCCAATACACATGCCAAAAAAAGAAGTCTCGTGGCTATATCCTGAGCAGGTCATCCGGGACGCCCAGGCCAGGACCGTACGTCTGCACCATCTGCATGATGCGCTGGGACATGCGGGCCACCAGCGACCGCAGATCTACAGTCCCCAGCACAGCCCGTGTCTCCTCAGCCTGCACATCGCGCAGCCCACCCACCAATCGGCTGACCCACCCGGCCAACACTCGTTTCACTGAGCTGTCAGCTGCACTGGCTCTTGCGCTGCGTGCCACTGCCTCCAATGCGAAGTCAGCCATGCTGGTGGCCAGTGCTGCACGCTGATCGTAATCAGCCGCGGCACGTATTACGTGGCCGAGCCGGTCATCCCGCAGCAGACCGTTGGAGTCAACAATGCGACGGTCCAGCGGCAGACCGACAAACACCGCCAGTGGGCCTGTGGCCTGGTGCTTGTCCAGCCACCGCAGCTGCGCTGCCAGCCGGTGCACATGTGCAGTCAGTCGCAGATCACACGCCGCTGAAAACCAAATATCCTTCAACGCGCCGACCCACTGCTGCACGGGCTGGCTCAGTGCCAGCAAGTGGTTGACCATCTCGACTGCAAACACTGTCAAGACTAGCCGCCGCCCGGGCCTGTCTGGAACAAGGTGCAGGCTATCGCGGCCAAACTCGTCCAGGAAGCTCTCCCATGTGCGCTTGCCAGCATCTACGCAGGCAGACACCATGCGAACCAGCAGCTGTGTGTGCACCACTAACTCCTGGCTGTTGTGCCGTAGTGCCCGCGAATATCCGCCGCCCAGTGTCGAAAACATGCCGACAATCCGTCGCCGCACGGCGGGAATGTACCTCTCGTCGAGCAGCTCCACCAGCTTGGTATCTATGGCAGCAAATGATGCCAGCCGCTCCTTTCTCTCAGCCTCCTCGGCCGCTGCAATCAGCTCCATCGTATCGTACATTTCAAAGTCCAGCTGGCTGTCGTCGTGACCCGAGATGGAGTTTTGACAGGCATCAAGCAGCTCGGCCGATGGCCCGGGTTTCTCACCCGCGTTGGTATCACCCGATAGTGCTTCAGACCGCTGGTCAGTAGCCCCAGATACTGCCTGCTGCCGGAAATCCAGGATGTCTGATATCCGACGCACGATCGAGACATGCATGTCTGCTGGCATATTGCTACTGATATCCAGTGCCACCAGGCGCACGACCACCGGGCATTGGAAGACTGCATGCATGAATAGCAGCAGCGTCGGTGTATGAGTAGAAATAGTGGCGCTAGCAAGCACACGGCTCATGTACATTAGCGCCTGATCAGCCAGCGCCCATAGCGAGCCTGTCTCGCGCTGCTCTCGTGCGCCACCTGCACACTCATCGAGCACGTCACCAACAAATTTCGCCCAGCCTTGCGCAGCCATCACCATGGCGCTGTAGTAATCAACGGTGTCCTTCTGCAGCTGGCCGTTGTCGCTCGACAGCAGCAAATCGACCACATGGACTGTGTTCCCACGCACCTCGACGCATTGCATCAAGTTACCAAGGATGATTGCTGATGCAGCCGACCATGCCTCAAAATAAACGCGACGGGCCACCATGCTGGTTGTTTCGCGGAACTTTAGCAGCGCCTGGAACTGTGTGAACAGGCGAGTGGCCCGCACTACATCGCTGGGCAGTGCGTGCAAAAAGAACAAAAACACCGAGTAATAGTTGGCGAGCGTCGACAGATGCATATCGGATGACGCGCTATCAAACGTCAGCAGCCGTGTCGGTAGTAGCTTGGATACCAGCGAGCGCACATCACGCATGGTACGCCGGTACTGTTTTGATGCGGGCGCCAGCTCCAGTAATCGCGCAACCCATGACCCCATTGACACATCTAAAGCCTTCAACCACAGCAAAGTGCATGTGTCGGAAGGACTGCTACGGTGCGCGATCTGGCCCGAGTACCTGGTGAAGAAGCGCGGCAGCGAGGGAGGAGGCTCAATAGCCAGCGACCGGAACTTGCGCGCCTCGAGAAACCGATACATTGCCACATACAACGAACTGTCGACATTGACATCGACAGAATATGCGGTCACGATGCTGTGCACGCGGAAGAATGCCTGGCGTGCTGCAACCTCGTCGGCTGGTTTCAGCTGCTGTTCTGTCGACAAACTGTGCCTGATTGCTCCTGCCAGCTGCTTCTCGACTGCGATCTCGAGCAACTGAACCAGCGGTCGGCCACAGAACGCCGCTGTGCGTGGGGCAGCAACGCCATCGGCATTGATCTGTGTCAGTGGTAGCAAAAAGAACAGAGCCGACCATGTGTTCCATGCCAGCTGTTGGTCGGTCCTGGTGTTGAGTGAGCACACCCGATTGACGGCCGCCCAGACTCCAGATGCTGGAGGCTGCGCATTCACATAAGGGCTCGAGTGCTCGTCCCAAATCGACTGTGCCAGCGCTTGGTCTGGTGAGTCAGTGCTGCTGGTGCAGGGATTGACGAACAGCTGGATCAACGCAACCCACACCTCCTTCGCTGGTCCCAGATGCCCAGACCCGCTGCGTGCTTGCGCCTCGAGACTCAGCAGCCGCACCAGAACCAGCATGCAGTTGTCGATCTCCGCACGGAACCGCTCGCTGGTCCACCGCGAGTCCAAATCGTCGTCGTCGCCCACTGCTTGTGGACCCATGTTCCCAATGTCGCTTCGCCACCCAGAAAACATCAGGGATATCTGGGAAAGGCAGACAAGAAATGCCAGGCACATGGTTGACGCCAACGTCATGTTGGCATCGTCGCCAGAAGAAAGATTGTCAAGCTTAACCAGGCAGGCTGGTACAAAATCAGCCATCCGGTTCGCAATGGTAGACAGCGCCGCAGCCGACCGATGCAGTGACACTAGATATGTCTGGGCGAAATCAATCCACCGGAATACATGCGCCGTGGCACCATCATTGCTGGACCCGATCAGTACCTCGGAGCCCGCTTCCAATGACTCGTACCAGATTGTGAATAGGGTCTCGAAAGCCTGCACAAAATCAGCGGCTGAGGATGACAAGTCCACTGCCAGGATATCGCTGTAGCTGAATTCGGCCGACGCACCAGGAGCAAGCACCGGTTCTGTGACGCCATTTGCTAGTATGACTTGGGCCTGGGATGAAAGAGCGAATCCCTGCTGCCACGCGCGGTGGATACGCCGAATGCCACCCTGGCTGATCCATGCATCGTTTCTGAACCGTGTGCCCGAGTCAAGCGGCTGTGGGAGATCAATACTGCCTGCCATGCCACCAAATGCAAGTGGGCCATACACTGGCGCAGCCTCCTCAGCAGACAAGGCATCTGCCGAATGCATGCCAAGATGACCTGTAGCACGCTTGGACGCAGCACTATGCCCAGTGTTTATTCGCACCGGTGTCCGTTTCCGATGCAATTGATGTCGACTAGCGGTGTGTCTACTGCCCGATCTAGCCATGCCACGGAGAGTGCTGGTGGTGTGCCGGTTCGGCAAACGACGTGGCTGCTGCTTTGATATCCGGTCTATCACTGCATCTAGCCTGCTAAATCCACTGCTGCACCCACTTGTGCCCACTCGACTGACGCCAGGCATCAGAGTGCCCAATATTCTGGTTTGCCGCCGGCGCGGTTTCTGCACAGACGGACCCTGCCCATTATGCACAGGCTCGTCGTCGAACACAAACTCTGCTCTCGATGCAGCCGGTACTCCAGGAACCGTGTGGCTTCCAGATACGCGAGTGTAGTTTTTGCGTGCTGTATGCTGGTGGCGGCGGGTAGCAGAGCTATGCCTGGATCGAACAGGGCGAGATGTGCCAGATGATCTTGAGCGCGAATCCATGTTGAACTGGCCGATAAAGCTACAAACTTGCGCCGAATTTGCAGACTTTTGCACATTCGATGCTGACTTGTACAGAGACCCAAGTGGGGGCGGCAGCTGGAACATTCGAGACACCGTACTTTGCTCACCATCACTAGCGCCAACTTCGCTGCCAGACGAGCTGACTGCAGCAAACTCGTCCATCACCCCGCTCAAACCCTTTGCACCACTCGGGTCTATCGGCATTGAACCAGCAACAGTACCGCGCCGCCAATCGCTAGTACGTAGCCTTTGGGACCCAACAATACGCCGCGCACTTGTACGCCTGGATTTGGCCCACCTATGTGCCTCTGTGCTGCGACGGGTGCCACCAAGCCCAGAAACAGAGTTGTCTTCGATCGCCTCGGGCTCATCATCGTCACTAATGAGAACCAACGGCCGATCAAGTTCAGTAAGCCTTGACGCACTGGTATGCGCGCTAGGCCAGTCGTCCCCTGTCCAGTCAGCAAGCTGGTTGTTCTCAAGCTCAACGTCACTGGTGTCCACATCGTCCATGAAGTGCACCCGCCGGATATCCATCATCCCGAGCCGCCATGTAGCCAGAATGCTCTGCGCAACGTCGTTTTCCTCCGCATCCTCATCCATACGCGGCGCGATTGAAATGATTTTCTTGCCAGGATCATCAGGATGGCGCTTGGCGCGTATTCTGCGGCGTCGCGACTCTCGGGCAGCAACTCGAAGGAAATCAGGGGCTCGGTCTGCAGGATCGGTTATCACCAGTGGTGGGTACTGCCACTCGAATACATCCATAAAGTTGAATGAGTAGTGGGGACGTCTAGAGCTGGGTGGGGCAGTCCGACTTTGGGTCTGCTGAGGGTGGCTCATATCCGATGGTGGCGGATCGGAGAACATGTCAGCAATCATGCTAGTGTCAATATTGGCATGGTGCTCATCTTTCTCCAACCGATGCGGATTATCCAGGTGCAGCTCATTGCCAGCACCATCCTCGTGAGTCGAGGTGTTTGGACTAGAGTCTATCCGGCGTGCTCGGGCGCTGCCCATCCCTCGCTCTCCTCTGGCTTTCCAACGGCTAACTTCTTCGCTAATCTCGCGGTCCTTGTCTCGGTCGAAATCGCGCATGAATGAGAACGGCAGAATGCCCCGGATCTTACTGCGAGAGAGCTGGTTTAGCATGCGGGCCTTTGAAGTCGGTAATTCATTAGCTGATGACTGGTCGTCTGAAGACTCAGCCATGGTAGCAGTATGTCGCCCGCGCACCAGCCGGCGTCCGCGCCGCCGAGACTGGCTGTTGTGTGGCTCGATTTTGCTATTGACTGGCGGCTGATCTTCTGAAACCGACGCTTCCAAGTCAGGCGCCAAGTCTCTGTCTTCGGCAAACGACAGAGATGATAGCGCCGTGCTGAGATATGCATTTTGCACGTCAGCCTGTGGTGAACCACTTGAGATGCGCGGTAGTGAGACATCATTTAACGGCAATATCTGGCTACTCTCACTGCCTGCGTCCGATCCATCATCATCGATATCAGCTCTTCTCGGCCCAAGCAGCGAGGCAACGCTAGGCAACCAATCAATAGCTGGGCGTGATGCACTCGGCGATGGCTGTGTCAGTGACCTCGATAAAGCCGTAGTCCCAGTATCCTTTCTCCGGCGCTTTCGCATCCCGCCCTGTACTCTCGGGCGTCGACGGTGGAGTGTGTGCCCATATGCATGCACCGCAGGATGGTGTGTCCTAAGCTGCACGTCTTCTACCTCTGGCGACAGGACCACCTGAGACGCGCCAAGCTCGGGACTCTTAAGCTCTGAAACACCGGGGATGTAGTCGTCGTCTTCAGAATCATCCTGGTTGAACTGGCTACTGTTGCGGTTGTTGAATCGAGTATTGAATACCCCATCCTGGAACATGGAAAGATCGCGACGCTTGCTGTCTGCCGAGTGCAACTCGCCTGGGTCAATCCACACAAGCTTTGTATATGGGTGCAGATTCTTCTCGTGGCGGCGGCGGAATGGATATATGTGGCGTGGTGCAGAGCCTGGCTTGCTGCTGTCGTCGTTGAGATTCCCTGTCTCCCTAGGAATGCCTAATGGAACAAAATGTCAGTGCTGTGTCTTTTGAGTGCCTAGGGCGATTGACCGGCTGCATATGTGGTCGCCTTCTCACCTGTCTTTGCTTGCTGGTGTGGAACGGGGCCACGACTGAGGAATTGTGGATTCCATAGCGGGAGTGGCTCTGCTGCTTGATCTTTGTTGCTGTCATTGCTGTTGTTATTGTTGCCGTCGTCGTCGCTACTGTCTCTGTGGTGTAAAAAGCTGATGACTCGTTTTCGCATTCGGTCAGAGTGGTCGATGATCCGCAGCATGTCTACAGGATCCGAGTCGTCACCTGAAGCATAGCCGACGGGGGGCCCAGCTGCCGACAGCTGTGGCAAGTGTCGTGAGCTGGTGCTGTTGCTGGGCTGTGCATTGGTGGGCCTCTTCGAATCGAGTATTGGCGAGGAAGACAAATGCAGCGACATTTAGATAAATTCGAGTATAGTACACACGCAGAAATAAATACAAAACTTTTGGAGACAAGAAAAAGACGCGCTAAGCGCTACCTCGACGCGTTTTGGGCTCTACATAAGGAATCGCGCCAGCCGCATCTGACTTGGAAATGCTGCGCAAAAAACCCAACTGTGGTGAGCTGCGGCTCGATGGAGAGCCGGGAGCCGCTACTCTTGATCGCGGACTGTTTAGCAGGCTGGACCGGCCCGCCAATCTCCGAGCGACGATTTCCGCAACCACTGGCAGGCTAAGATTCGAGCAGTTCAAAATGACAAAATGAGCGATCGCCTCTACTGTGCATGGAGCGGATTACATGAAGCTGCAGCATTCAGGTTTCCGGGTATGCTCAATTATTCTAAGCAGCTAGTATTGCGTGCAATAAGGAGCAGGGGAGGTGGAAGAGACAAGGATTGGTTACTTGGATAAATATTTTTTGCAGCGCCAATTAGCCGAGCCAAGTGTGCCGCTGTAGCTATCTGAAGATTCAATTTCTGGCAGACAAAACCCAATGCCGACGGCGGCGCCAGCTCAACCATGATAATCATCACCAATGCCGACGGTGACGACGATAACAGCAGCGACGGTGGCGGTAGCGGCAACAGTGACAACATCGCTACGCGCATCGATTGGTGCCAATCTGTTGTTGATTTGTCTTTGTAGCATTTCTGCTCATGTCACGGACATGATGTGGGACACATAAGGAAGGTGGATTCGCATACGGCCAATGTTGTCACAGCGCCCGGCAGCGGCGTCCCCAGGTGTTGGAGCAGTAACGTAATGAGCGGCGGAGTTGGAGAACGTGCTTGGTGGTTAGAGAGGGCAGTGAGGGTGCGACTGCTATAGTGTCGGAGTGCACACAAGCGGCCTCCGAAAATAGAATTGGCTGGGTACGCCTTGAGGAGGTAAAAATAAACGAGTAAAACGCACTGTCAACAACAACAAAACAAATGAGATTCGCCTACACTTCCCCTAGTGTCTCTTGGACGAGGGAAGCGCCAGCGAATCTCGTCGCTCCCTTGCTTGAAGTTGGGCAATCGCTTCGTGTTTACACCCCGACGATCGCATCTGGCAATGGAATAGGCGGTCTGGATGGAGGTTGCCAGCGCTGTCGCCAAAAAGCACCATAGGCGCCTGGGACAGAGAGGAGCCAAGGGCATAAGGGACAAGGCAGGCAGGCAGGCCAGCTAGGCAGGGAAATGGTGGATCTCTTCTTTGCCCCTCTACACATACACAGTCTTGTTATATTAATGTTTTCTTTTTCTCCAAAGACCCAATTTGCCCTTTGAATCTGTTCCTGCTCCCTTCTCCTTTCCCCCTTTATTTTTCGGTTACTTTTTGTCGGTTACACACTCCAGGAACCCTATCCGATAGACTGGGCTTTGTGCTCATTAACCCCCCTCTCTCCACATCTGCTCGATACGGTCAGCGGTTCCGTTACACACTTAATTTCCCTTCTCTCGCAAAGGTAAGGTGCGTCGGGGGCAGACGACACCCAGGAGTGCCTTGCTGTTCAGGCGCTCAGCGACGGCATGTGCTTCGCTGGTACTAGCACTGGTGTTTTTGTTGTTATTGCTGCTCGAGTCCGCACACAAGTAGCGCTCTCAATAATTCATGCATACAATTAAGCGATGCAGCTGTTGTTGTTATTTCTATTAAAGCAGCAGCTGGCGAAAGGAAAACGGGGAGAGGTTCATGCGTTCATCCTCGCAACCCTTTTTCTACAGAGCGAAGGCAGCTCGTCCCCGCTGCCACCCAGCCAGCACCAGTACTCTACCGGGCCCTCCTTGCCCTCTTGCTTATCTGCGTAGGATCCCGCCATGACCCATGGCTGCTGGTACATGTCTGTGGGCAATTGCCTCCCTCCATCGGGTGTAGGGCAGAGCGGGCGATTGTTGCAAATGTGAAAAAGGAACCTCGTATATGGAAAATGGTGGTTCTTGTTCCCTGTTTCCTCTTCGCTTTATTGTGTCGGACACCGAAGCAAAAGCGCACTAAGCCAGCTTTTCCAGCCCTTTTGGCCACCCACCCAGTCTGACCATTAGCTCGCCTTTTTTTTTTTTTGCTTTCTGGCTCTTGGCGATGTATGTGTCGCTTGTTTCGCTGTCCTATCCGGCGGGATCACCGCTATTTTTAATTTGACTTGTTCCTTTTGGTGGTCGCTGCATACTGTTTTTCTTCTTTTCAAAGCTCCGTTGCCATTTTCTACTCTTTTTCCCTGTCCTTGTCCCCTCCTTGTTTGACGCGCCTTCCACCAGCCCTCCGTGCTAACTCCCCTTTCACTGATATGCCTTTTTGCGACGGGCTAATGGTAGCAACCACCGCGGCGACAGCAACAGCGACGAATATGAGCCAGGCTGCAATGTCGGCATCGAAGACAGCAGGCCGCGCGTCGTCCAGCGGCAGACGGAAGCCCAAGAGCAACTTTTTCGGCCCGTACCTGCTACTGCAGACTATTGGCGAGGGCGAGTTTGCCAAGGTCAAGCTGGCCCTGCACAGAGACACTGGCGAGGAGGTAGGTGCCATCATCAGCAGTCACGCCCGTGAGCGTCACACATGGTGCATGTGCTAATGCGTGGTGGACATGGTGTAGGTCGCTGTCAAGCTCATTAAGAAGGAGAGCATCGACACAGAAGTGAAGCTGTCCAAAATCAAGCGGGAGATTGCTGCACTCAAGGTAAGGAATATGCACCGAAGCGGCGCACCCAGCACACCTCACTTTCTCGGCATGCAGCCTGTTGAGATCGCGCACATGCCACCCGTTTTATTGGTTCGGGCTCTGCAGCCAAAACAACAACAACAAAAACGAGAGGATCTACTTGCTTTGAGTCCCTCTCAGGCAGCCCGAGAATGGCAGGTTGCACGGCAATTGCCCCCTTAATGACAAGCACGGCAGGCTAACCACCGGTTACGTGTTGATAGGCGGCCAACCATCCGTATATCGTACGGCTGTGCGACATTATCGAGACCGAAAAGTACATTGGGATTGTCATCGAATACGCGTCAGGCGGCGAGCTGTTTGACCACATTTTGGCGCATCGCCAGCTGAAGGAGCAGGACGCATGCCGTCTGTTCTCGCAGCTCATTGCTGGCGTCAGCTACTTGCATGCAAAGCATATTGTCCACCGCGACCTCAAACTTGTAAGTATCCCACTCACATTATGCCCTGGTGAGAAAGCCACTCGTCACTGGTTCTCTTGTTGGTCCTCGATGGTCCCCCTCAATTATGCCGGGCTCTTCAAGTATTGCGTAAAACTCCGCGCGGCACACAGCCACACCAATGGGCCATTGTTCCAAAAGCAAGCTGTAAACATTGCAGCTATCCAAGCGTGGACGATGTGGGGTTGTGTGCGGGCGGACGGGCTGTGCACTCAGCCTATTTCAGGAACAGAAGGCGCTAATAACAAGCATGCGGCTGTCCAGTTACTGCGTGGCGCAAAGCATAAACAAAACCTGCTGCTTAGCTAACACTGCAAACGCCGTTTAGGAGAACCTGTTGCTCGACCGTAACCGCAACATTAAGATCACGGATTTCGGGTTCGCGAACCAGTTCAAAGGCCCTGGCGATGACCTGATGTCTACGAGCTGCGGCTCGCCGTGCTACGCTGCGCCTGAGCTGGTGGTTTCGGATGGCCCGTACGTGGGCACAGCGGTCGATATCTGGTCGTGCGGTGTGATTCTGTACGCAATGCTTGCAGGGTATCTGCCATTCGATGACGACCCCTCCAACCCCGACGGCGACAACATCAACCAGCTGTACAAGTACATTCTGTCCACGCCGCTTGTGTTCCCCGAGCACGTCAGCGCCTTGGCTCGTGACCTGCTGCGGCGCATGCTTGTTCCCAACCCAGCAAAGCGCGCAAATTTAGAGGAAATCAAGGCGCACGAGTGGCTACGGCCCGGGCAGAGCTACTTCCGCGGGCCAGCTTTCGAGGAGGTGTCGGCAGCGGGCAACACTGGCGCCAACAATGGCCGCGATGCCGACGCACCGCAGGTTGTGCCTGGGAACACCAGCAAGAACACGCCGGCAGTGCCTGACCTCGAGGCCAAGCAGTCGAAGCGGCACACCATCCAGGTCGACTACGCAGCGCTGCCAGCCCATATCACGCAGGGCGACCACGACATCGCCGATGAGATGCCGCAGGAGTCTGCGCCAACGCCGGAGATGGTTGCGCGGGCACGGGCTGCAGCCCAGGCTGCGCTGATGGGCGAGAAGTACGAGCCGCAGCCAACCTCTGGCGAGCCAGCGTCAGGAGTCAGCACAGCGTCGACCAAGACCCAGACGCTGTCGGACACTGAGGCTGACGACACTGACAACGCGCCGGCAGTTCCGACCAGCCAGCCGCAGGTGCCAGCAGCCAGTAATGGCGACAAGTATGGCTCCACCCGCCATACCCGCCGCCCGTCGGTGCAGCAACGGCCGCGGCCAACGTCGATGTTTGCTTCGACTGACATGCAGATCGACATCCCCGACGAGCTCACCATGCCTCCGCCCATCAGCGCGGTCATGAAGATGGCTCAGGGCGGCCTGTCATCTGCGTCGTCGATCGAAGGGGGCGTGTCGCAGAAGAGCGGCAAGTCAAAGTCCTCCAAGGTGCGCCCCGTCACCATGGGTCCCGACCAGTATGGCCCCGGCACTAACCGTGATTCAGGCGTATCGATGGTTGGCCAGCGCAGCCGCAGCAACAGCGCGAGCCCCGCCCACACGTCCAGCCGTCCTGGAACCAGCGCTGGCGACAGCCTTCACAATGGCTCACACCGTGGCCGGTCTCGCATCCCTGAGATCCCGCCCATCCTGCCTATCAACAGCACCACTGGCGAAGAACTCGGCATTGGCATTGGTGCCGGTATCGCATCGCACGTCCCGCGCCACGTCGAGGATGTGCTGTTCCCCGACAGCCCGACCACCGTCCAGTCGCCGCGCCCCCCTACCACCAACAGCCGGGCAGCCCGTGTCAAGAGCTGGTTTAACCGCCGCGCATCGCGCCGTATTGGCGGTGTACACGGCTTCGACCAGCCGCTGTCGATTGGCTCAGTCCTGTCGTCCGAGAAGCGCGAGCAGCCCGAGATCCTGCAGCACATGCGTGTGCACCGTGGTGTCATCGACCCGGATGCGCTGAGCGAGCTGCCGCCCGACGTGCTGTTTTCGCATGTGCTCAGCACCCTCGACGAGCTGGGCTTTACTGTCCTCAAGACCGAGGGCCTCAAGATCCGCGTCCTGCGCCCGCGTCGCCAGGCGGCAATTGCAGCTCTGCCGCCGCTAGAGGACGCACCGGCGCACACACGTACCTCATCAACCTTTGTACCTGGACTACGCGCGCGCAACGGCGGACCGGCTGAGGGACCGCGTCGCAGCTCAGTGCCGGTCGTGTCGCCCCTGAGCGATGACAGACCCGAGTGGACCATGGCCAACAAGCGTGCGACGATCATGGCGCCGGGCCAGCTGGATCGCGAGTCGCGGCACAACTTTGCGCGCTCAGACAAGTCCAGGCGGTCGTCGCGCACGCTGGGCCAGGCGCTGACATCTGTGCGGCGGTTCTTTGGCGGCTCGGGTATCAAATCCAAGCGCTGGCTCTCGTCTATCTCCCATTCAACCAAGGACGCTGCTGATCCAGCCGCTGATTCGCAGGCGAAGACTGGCCGTCCGCGCAGCGGATCCACCGCGTCAGCCTCAAAGGGCCTGGGTATCACTGTCAGTGCTGGGAGTGAATCGCCTCACCGCCGGTCCATGTCTGAGTCGTCGCCGTATCTGAGCGCGGCGGTCATCCGCGACCAGGTTAACGGGGCAGCGCCCAACAGCTTGTCGGTGGTCCCCGAGGACTGCGAGGCGCCGCCGACACCAATCGAGGCGACCTTGAGCGGTCTGTCACACCAGGCGCAGATCCCGTCGTCGCCGTTCTCGCATACTGCGTCATTCGCATCCGGTGCTAACACACCGTTCACCAATCCGTTCCAGCCCGAGCCAACGGCACCATACGGGTCATCGCAGGTGGACAACGGCGAGGAGGTGCAGCTGGCTGTCGAGGTGTGCAAGATCAAGAACCTGAACAACTTCTTCATTGTGCATCTGTCCAGGCGCAAGGGCAACGTGTGGGCGTACAAGCACTTGTACCATCTGATCATGGAGCGCCTGGCGCTGCGGTCCAACGATCACCAGCATTTTGGCAACCAGCAGACGGGGGCGCGGTCGGCGTACCAGAAGCAGCGCCAGTCCATGGCCATTGCTGCCGTCTAGCTATAAACTGTTAAACTAATAACCCTTCTTCCGTTTCTACCTCTATATTTCCTGCATTATTCTCAAATCTATAAACGTAGTATGCTTCATCCCTGCGATTAGTCATGGTGCCATGGTGCCATGGTGGATGTCAGTGCTGATGGTATTGGAGAGCACTGGTTGATGGCTGTAAACTACTGGAAGGCTAGGTGATTGATAGCAGCTCGCACCAATGGTTTTGCAATCCTTGCTGTCCCCTCAGCCTTGAAAAGCCCCTATCATGCTGGTCGCCAGACATGCATTTGGCCTAGTCCTTGCGACTGCTGACACGCCGATGCATGTTTGGTAGCTATTCTGCTGTTGGTACTAGACTTGTGGTGCTCGTGATGCGAGCTCGGCTAGCTAGTAAGGTGTAAACTGTCGACAATGTGTCAGGGAATCTACCGCGGAGCTTCACAGCCTAAAGCCAATACAGCAACTGCCCGAAAAAAAAATTAAAAGCACAAGAATTCACTCTTGCTAAGGGCTTGCTTTGAGCGGCTTGCTTGCTTGCAGTCTGAGTGGCAGCAGAGCCATTGGGAGCAGGGCCAGCAGCGAGACTTTACAACAACCTTGTCTGTCTGGCACAGCAGGAATTATATGCCCGCGAAGTGAGCCCGATGCAACCCGCCTGTAGGTATAGCGATTTTTATTGCGGGAGATTGCAAAGCAGCGGTGAGTTTTCGTCCCACTGTCAAGGACAGGTGATTCTTGTGTTGTAAAATATATCCGTTAAGCGGTCGTTAAAGAATTCTGGTCGCCGACGCACATCGCCGAATCGGGCCCCGCATCAGGGCATGCCGCAAGAGTTTAGCTTCCATATATCCCCCCTCTACATTCTGTTGTTTGAGTATGCATGATGTGTTGGTCAGCAAGCCAACGGCTCCAAGTCTGAGCGCCGAGGATGCAGAAGCTGACCGATTCATTTATTTGGTTACTGGACCTACAAAATATGAAGGAGCCGAGACGAATACTGCTTTGGTATATGGCTCCAGGTTCGATTTTGCCAATACCTTTAAAATGTATATTTGACACGCTAAGATTTGAATCAGTCGGCTAAAAGAGAGAATGCTGTTTTTTAGGTGTTCGCAGTGCGAGTCACGCATACTCGTTGTGAGACTCAAAGGAGCGTGAGTCCTATTAGTCAATGAAAGTGCTCTAGCGGACGGCTGGACACATTTTGGACTATAGACCCGTGTATGTGGGAAAGGTATATACAGCGCCGCTAAGGCACTGGTGGTGTTTTGGAATACGAGTGGCTAGACCCATGCATGCCTTTAACATGAACTGCAACAGGAAAACTGAATATAAACCGATGCTGTGTATGTCCCATTCCTTCTTGTCCACCTGGCCTGCTTGGTAGGCGCTTGGGTGAGGAGCCAGACGCTGTGTCAAAGGTGAGCGCCGCTTGCACCTCGGTGCTCAGCTAAATCCAGCTAAGAGGATCTGTACTGATCTGATCTGTATAGATAACGCAGCGACTTCTTTGGCCCAAAAAGGAAGGTGGTATTAAGAGCCGAGCGCCGAGTTGAGGTGTTGGATTGGATATTTACGGCCATTGGACTGTGGGGTCTGGGTGCGTGAGAACTGCAGCTTGTCTTCACTGGTGCCGGTTCGGTTCGCATGCGGGCAGGCATGGCTAGCACTTGACCCATGTGTGTCGGCGATGGGCTGGCCATGTGCAGAGATGCCGGCGCCGTGTCTCGCCTCACGTGGTGCGTCGTCTGTGCTGCCGGCGAGGTTGGCGTTGCGGCCTATCCCTTTTTCCTGTTTTGCTTTTTTACCACGCCACCTTCGAATACTTCAACTCTGGGGACGCTCGGGTCATGTGGCCAGAAAGCCACCCTGGCACCTGCTGCAAGCTGCCCATGACTGTGAGAAAAAAGATCAGTTTCTTTACAAAAACTGAGATCTAGAGGGCTGGTAGATACTGTATCGCCTGCGCAGGCTCCCAGCTTGCCAGCACGGCTGCTATCTTATCTTGCTGATGTCCGCAGGAGGGGAAAGGCCATGAGCTTGTCTGTGTGGCGATCTTAGCCGATCCAAGGAACCTCTTTGATGACTATCCGTGGGAACTTTGTTGAGGTAGATCGCAACCATCCGCCATCCCTTGTGCCTCCTTGTCCGCCCGCCTGCCCACTGTTGGCGGCCAATGCCATTTGCGCAGGTGCGCGTGAGAAATTTCGCTGCTGCCGCTATTTGGGCATGTGGCCCCTGTTGCAGCAGAGAGGAAGGAGGAGGGCCGGATGCCTCCCAAACAGGTACTTAAGCACCTCCCGCGTCGCACCCTCTGCCTCGCTTTTCTCCTTGTTCTCCAACTCTCACTCACATTTTCCATACTCTTCTTGGACTCTTGGATCTATCACTCTGCTTTCAAGCACAGCCCCAGCTCTACCTTAACCGTCTGTTTTTAAGCCTGCCCACTTTCCAGTGACTATGACCTCCTATGTCGACAAAGGAATCAAGCCCGTCGTGAACTATGAAGCGTTCCACCACATGGCCTTCTGGGTCGGGAACGCCAAGCAAGCAGCTGCCTACTACATCACCCACTTTGGGTTCCACTACATTGGATACCAGGGACTCGAGACCGGTCACCGCGAAGTTGCCTCGCACGTCGTCGGCAACGGTGATCTCCGCTTCATGTTCCAGTCTGCCCTGCGCCCGGGCAACCAGGAGATGGCCGACTTCCTCGGTCTGCACGGCGACGGCGTCAAGAACGTCGCATTCTCGGTCGATGATGCGCGCGAGTGCTACCGTCTGGCCGTGTCCAAGGGTGCCGAGTCGATCCGCGAGCCGTGGGTCGAGTCTGACGAGGACGGCGAGGTTGTCATGGCGACCATCCGCGTGTACGGCGACACGGACCACACGTTCGTGCAGGCCGCCAACTACAAGGGCGCGTTCCTGCCGGGCTTCCGCGCCACCACCAGCTTCCAGGCGCTCAACGACGTGCTGCCGCCTGTGCCTGTGGCCTTCATCGACCACTGCGTCTCGAACCAGCCCGATAACATGATGGTTGAGATCACCGAGCGCTACGAGAAGATGCTCGGGTTCCACCGCTTCTGGTCGGTCGACGACAAGGACATCCACACCGAGTACAGCTCGCTGCGCTCGATTGTCATGGCCGAGTGGAACGAGAAGGTCAAGATGCCCATCAACGAGCCTGCCAAGGGTCTTCGCAAGAGCCAGATCGACGAGTACATTGAGTTCTACGGCGGCCCTGGCATCCAGCACATTGCCGTGCGCACCGACGACATCATCACCGCCGTGTCCAACATGAAGAAGCGCGGTGCTGAGTTCCTGTACACGCCCAAGACCTACTACGACGACCTGCGCGAGCGCCTGAAGAAGAGCAAGGTCACGATCACCGAGGATATTGATATGCTCGAGAAGCTTCACATCCTTGTCGACTTTGACGACCAGGGCTATCTGCTGCAGATCTTCACCAAGCCTGTCGAGGACAGACCCACTGTGTTTTTGGAGTTCATCCAGCGCCACAACCACCAGGGCTTCGGTGCTGGCAACTTTGGCCAGCTGTTCAAGGCCATTGAGCGCGAGCAGGAGCTGCGCGGCAACCTGTAAGGCTCTGGCTTTGCCCGAGGGTGGGTCTTTCTTGTGACAGGAGCAAACTTTTTTAGTTTCTGTACAAAGCAATTTTATTCGCACTTTCACTATCATGAGGCATCTATGACTGCCATTTCGAACGCCAAGGTGTGTGTCATCTGGGATGTAGGCCGGACCCGTTGATGGATCAAATGTGTGATCACGCAGGTCCAGCCGCAGGCGCCAATCCCATGCACAGGAGTTTTGGACAGAGCTAAAAATAGCACTGGTTTGTATAATTATCTTTCCTGGACCGCTTCCCGGACCATGTTACCGAAGGCGATCTGCCTTGGCGCTGATGCTGGAAAACAGACGGCATTGCCTACTGCTTTGTGGGGGAGCATAGCGGGAAGCCCACCACATACGACCGCACTTGATGAAGCGCCGAGCAGGCGCACATGGTGCCTTAGCAAATGTGTATATAAATGGCCGATTTCTCCGCATCCCGCGCCAGGCCAGATTTTGAACAGCATCGCGTGGATGATCCCTGCGCGCACTAGCGATTGAGGGGAAGGCAACATCTCTGCCGAGCTAATAATAGTAGCCATGGCCTCGGCCGCTGAATCGCACTAGTCAATGCCCCTCATTTCAAAGGCAAAGTATGCACAGCAACAGCATACATTGGTGTGGCGAAAGTGCTTTATGCTTGAGAAGCGCTGCAGTGGCGCGCACAGCCCGACAAGCCCCAGAGATTGGGCCAATTGCAGCTGTGCAGTCAGAGAGCACATTGTACGTCGTGCATTTTGCTGCATGGGCTGATGTGGCGGATGGCCTTTGCCTGCGCAAGAGAACTTGGTACATAGCAAAGCGCCTAGCTGCATCAGCAGGTTTATCGGGCTCGCTGAGAGGATTGCCTGCGCCAAGAGGGGAGTGGGCTAGGGCTGTATAAAAAAAACCAGCAGGCAGAGAATACGTGGCAGTAATACGGTGTTTACCAAATTCTATGCCCCACATTCTCTCCGAGCCATTGCGCACTCAAGCTAGGGAATGGTCTTTGCACCACCCTCCCCAGATCGTCGACACAATCCCTATGTTAGCAAACATGGTCCCCCCTCGCAGGGAAAACAAATGCAACAACAATCCCTGCTGAAACTCAAACATTGGCACCCAGAAACAGGATGCATCGCTGATCAGACACGCGCTGGAAAAAAGAGAGCAAAAATAGCACACCGGTGGACAGCAGGAGCTGCTGGGCTGCACGTCCGGCCGGACCATCTGCTACCACAACAGGTATTGTGCACTCTGGACCGGGCTTGTGCCGTTTGGAGAGCCGGGAAAAGAATGCCCATTGTCCACGTCTTTGGCGATTCTGTGCTGCTGGCCCTAAAAAAGACCAAGGTCTCTGCTCAGTGGGGGGACGACGGGCTGAGGCGAATGAAAGCAGTGCTTTCAGCTTGTGTACCCATGTCAGTGTGCCCCTCCTCTCCTGCGCATGCATCTTTCCTCGCCTGGTCGTCGTGCCCGACAATTTGCGGCATGGTGATTGCAGTCCTATCTCTTTCGAGACGACCGCAAAAACCTCCAGTCACTTCCTCTAGCTCCCCAATTTATTCTCGATCGGTCTATTTATTGACGCCAAAGGGGCATACCGTGCATTTTTCCCCTCTCTTTTCCCTTCCCTTCCCCATCCTTTTATACACTTTCATTTTTAAACCATGTCTACTACCGGCTTTTTGCAAACTCTCTGGGACCGGATCCCGAACGCCTCCAGCAAACATGCATTTGGCGCCCAGGCCATGCACAAGGAGGCGGTGGTTCCAGAGTTCCCGACACGCATCAGCAAGCGCAAGCAGTCGCGGCCACAGCGGTCGCCGCATGCCATTGCGCTCGAATCGACGCCGACTGATTCGCTGCCTGCGCACGGCATGCAGCTTGGCAAATCGCGGCGACTCTCGCTCGACCAAGTGTCGGCATCCGTGACGGCCAAGCACATCCTCGGCATTAAGCCCCATCCGCTATACACTGAGCCGCAGAGCCGGGCATTCCGGCTGACATTCTCTGACGAGTACTCGCGCAACCCGCATGCGTACGTGCAGGCCCTCCTGGATATTGAGCAAAATAGCGCACAGCCAGGCGCCAAGCCGCATGGGGCGCGGAATCGCCGGAATAACTCGTCGCGTACGCGACACACTGAAAAGTACCGGGTGCCAAATCGACGCAGCCGCACACGGTTCCACAACCTGCAGCTGGAGCAGACCATTTCGGGCGCACACTCTGAAAACGACGACTCGAATTCCATGGTGTCTGCTAGCGACGTCAATGATCTGACTGACTCGGAAATGCACACGCGCGGGTGCACCAGCCACCTCAGCGTGGCCACACGGCAAAGCAAGTCGCCGGGGATCGGCGCTGCCGGGACACCCCTGAACGAGTCGGATCACGAGTCGGTCACAAGCCATCCAGCCAGCCGCAGCAAGCAGTTGTCGCCGACAGTGCCTGACAGCGCCATTGTTGATCTGCCACAGGGATCGCCCAGCGACTCTCCTGCGGTTTCGGCCTCAGAGTCGCCGGTGCTGGCTGAGCTACCCAGCTCTGACAACATGCCATCATATGTGCGGGCCGGGCAGATGTTTGTCGATGGCGACATGTCAGTGATCACGCCGCTCGCCGAAAAGTCCACCGTAAAGTGGACAAAGGCCGACCCAATCGACGTCACCGACAAGCCTATGGTTGGCAGCCTTGCTGCTGCCGAGCGGCATTGCTGCTCAGTCCTGCGCATTCTGCCAGAGCAGTACCTGACTATCAAGCACACGCTGCTGCGCGAGGGCAAGAACCGCAATCCTGGCTCATTCAAGAAGCGGGATGCGCAGAAGCTGTGCCGAATCGATGTCAACAAGACGAGCAAAATATACGAGTGGTATGTCAGCATGGGGTGGCTACCGAATGGCACTGGTATCTATGCCATTCCGCCGTCGCTGGCCCAGATCGACTAGGTCAATTTAAATAAAAGCACGCATTTTTGACGTATTTCCCTCAATCAGTATCCCATCCAACCAGATAGACCACACGTGATACTCTGCTGGTGGACATGTCACAAGCGAGGGCAATGCTCTTGGCGGTGTTTTGAACCACATCCCTCAGCTCTCCCTTGCCTTGTCCTCTACTACCGAATTGCCTCTTACGACATTTACATCCCATTCTTCTAACGCACCTACTTCTCTAATTCACGAAAAATGTCCGACTACAGTCCACTCGACGACCACGCGCCCTCGTCGCCGCAGCAGCACCCGCACCAAAGCAAGGAGGAGCACAGCACATCGAGCTACCCGTCGCACCCATACTCGTCGGGATATGGCAGCTCATACACGTCATACCAGAACCAGTCGGTATCGCAGGTGATCGAAGTTTCACCACCTGCGGCCGGCGGGTACTCGGGGTACGGCGAGCCATCGGCAGGGCCCTCGACGTTCAGCTCGCAGGAGGGCGGGCAGCGAGTTAGCCGATACGAGACGTCGCTGTCGCTTCGGTACGACGTCGAGGCAGCGCTGGCATACGCGCTGGGTATGTTTTCAGGTAAGCTCCAGGGTTCTGCGCTGCCTATATGGCTCGCAGTTTTTCTTTCTGCAAGGTGGCTTGAAGGGAACCTTATTAGAACACAAATGCCTGCTAAAAGGGCCATTTCGGTCCCAACCCTCTCTCCCTCTCCCTCGCTTCCATTGTGCCGGGGTGACACAATTGTAGGTGCTTTCCTGCTGGTCTTTGAACGGAAAAACGACTATGTGCGGTTCCACGCATGGCAGTCGGCGCTGTTCTCTGTCGGCGCGGTTCTGCTACTGATCGTGCTGGCGCTGGTCTCGAGTTTCTTGTACTGGGTCACTCTGCTGGCGACTATCGGATGTCTTGGGTACATGGCACGGCGGGCGTATATTGATGGTGCCATTTTTGAGCGATTCGCTCTGCCGTATGTCGGCCAGATTGCAATGCAGTTTGTTGATGAGGAGTAGAGTTTTGTCTATTTCGCAGTGAAAAATAAAGTATCCTAGTCGAGCCGGTGCAGCAGGTACTCGACCTCGACCTCCTTGGTCAGCGGGATCACGTAGTCGCGGTACAGCGAGACGACCAGGTCGTAGTCGACACGCGACTTGGCGCGATCTGGGCTGTCGGGATCGTCGCAGATGTTGCACACCGACGTGCATGAGCTGTTGCCCGGGGCATTGGGCGTAGAATTGTCAATAGCCGACGACAGATCCTGGCCGTATATCAGCGCTTTCACCTTCAGGCGCTTGAGCAGCTGCTCCTCGACCTTCTCGTTCGTCAGCAGCTCCATCAACTTGTCGCGGTTCTTCTCCTTGATGTGTTTCACATACTCCTCATGGGTGCTCGGGTCCTGGAACTTGGATTCGGCCACAAACTTGCCATAGTGAATCCGGCGCGACAGTGCCTGCAGGCACTCGATGTCTCTGGTGGCCGAGCTTCCGTAGTTCTTGTCGTCTCCAACGGCTGTAATGCCGGGCACCACAGTGTTCACATACACATCGAAGATCTCATCGTTAATGTTGATATGCTCGGGATCGACGAGCACTGGCGGGTAGTCGAGCGGCGGAAGGATCGGGTCCGGCAGGTTGCTGGTGAACGGATATTCGTCGGGACTCTGGTACCGGCGTACCTTTGCGTGCACCTGCTCGACTTCCTTCAGGAACCATGTCAGGAAGGATCCAGAGTATCCGTCCTTGAATTGCATGGCGCCAGCCTTGTACACAGCGTTGTTGTGTTTGAACTGTGAGCGCTCAATCAGAGCGAAAATGATTGTGTCCTCGAGACGCACCAGCGTGTTGCGCAGCTCGCTGAGCGTCGGCGCCTTGCCAAGAATCAAGAGATTGGTAGACATTGAGAAAGATAATAGTAGGTGGAAGACGAAGAAGAGGAGGAAAGAGTGCATGGGGGAGCAAATGATGCTCTAGAACCAGCCTAGTTCGTCGTCGTCGTCGTTCCTTAAAAAACTTTTATTGCCGCGCTAGGACATTTGAGCGCAAACAGATGTGCCGTCCAATCGGGCGCCGATGTGACTCATGAATGGTATGAGGGATGTAGACATACATTTTACAAGGCCAGGCCCAGCCAGCGCCTCGGAGCAGGTGCTGGGTTCCTCGCGCGGCCATGGCTGCCGTGGAGGGGAGTCTGTGGCTCTGGAGCAGAACAATGCCGGGGGTTTGCATGCTATGCGGGACAGTGACTGCTGCCAAGGCGCCTCGGGAATTGCTCCAGCCCCGTTCTCGGTGCTCTTCGGCCACTGGCTAATTTGCCGATCCGGGCCAGGGATGATTGCGCCTGATCTGATTCCCCCGGCGAGATCTGCACCTGGAAAACCAAAAATTATTTTTTCTTCCTTGTTGCAGCCTGCCTTCCAATTGACACATACGCCTTTATTTTTCCTCAACCAGCTTATATCATTAACCAATGTCGACAGTGGCTACAAAGAAAGTGCAGGGTGGGCGCAAGGGCAAGCGCTCCTGGCGCAAGAATATCGATCTGGGCGATGTCGAGCAGGGGCTGGAGGAGCTGCGGGAGGAGGAGCGCGAGGGTGGATCGGCGGTCCAGGACCGGCAGGACACGGACCTGTTCGTAGTGGACATTGCTGGCGACGCCAAGACAAAGCGCAAGATGCAGGAGAAGAAGCTGAAGATGGACGAAATCCTGGGCCGCCGGTCGAGCGTGCCGGTCCCCGTGCTTGGCAAGAAGCTGAGCGAGGAGCGGCGGAAGCGCCATGCCATGCGCGATCTCAAGCAACAACTAAAGAAGGCCGCTGGGTTCGTTGACGGGCGGAAAACACGCACTGAGAAAATCGCACTGCAGAAAACTGGCAAATACGACATCTGGGACGAAGCACCCAAGGGCGACAATAAGGTGAAGAGCCTTGAGTCCCGTAAGAGATTGAAGCACTTGAGTGAGCTGCCTGCAGTGGTTGTTGCCCACCCGGGCGCGTCATATCGGCCCGACAAGAAGACGCACGGCGAGCTGGTGGCCAAGGCTGGGCGCGATGAGCTGCTCAAGCACCGTGTCGTCGAGAAGCACAAGGAGGCAGGGAACATCCGGAGTGTCAGCGTCATGGACAGTATCCTTGAGCGCGCCGAGATTATTGCCCAGGATCTGCAAGCACAGGAGGAGGAGAAGCGGAAGGCCGAGGCCGAGGCAGAGGCAGAGGGTGTGTCCGCCGACGACAGCGGTAGCGATCTCAGTGACAGCGACGAGGAGTCTGCGCCTGAGCTCATCGAGCAGTCTGAGAGCGAGGAGGAGGATGAGGATGCCAAGACTACGTCCAAGGATCCGAAGCGCAAGACCCGTGCCACGCGCAACCGCGAGCGCCGCGAGTCGCAGAAGCGCGTCGAGCAGGCTGTTGCCAAGCGCCTGAAGGAGGAGGCGCGCCAGCTGGCTATCGCCAAGAAGCTGCACAAGAGAACTGACAAGCAGGTCGAGGAGGCGGAAAAGGTCGCCGAGCTTAAGCGCAAGAAGGCTCAGGAGAAGGCGCTGAAGCCGCGCAAGAAGATTGGAAAGTATCGTGTGCCTGATCTGCCCGAGGCTGTCAAGCTGGTGGAGGAGCTGCCTGGATCGCTGAGAGATCTGAAGCCCGAGAGCAATGCCTTTACAGAGAGCTACAACTCGCTGCTCCGGCGCAACATGACCGAGCCCCGCAAGCGCGTCGACCAGAAGAAGGCCAAGTACAAGCTGACAGAAAAGTGGAGCTACAAGGACTGGCAGTGAAGCGTGTTCTCTGCAGCTTGTCGTGTTTCCGGAATAAAATCAGAAATCAATCCCTCTGGATCTGTGATCAGCAGAAAAAAACCCTTCTAAAAGCAGCAGCAGAACCTTGATGGCTTTTTCTCCTGCATTCCACACCCGCTTTCAGCCCCTACATTATATACAATTCTATTGCAATGACACGCGTCGCCAAGCCTGCGCCCAAGAGACCCGACGAGGGCACCAAAGAGTTCAAGCCGAAGCCGCTGATGCTCAAAAAGTCTGAGATTGAGCAGATCAAGCGCAAGCAGCAGCAGGAGCAGCGCGGCAAGCGGCAGCGCGGGCCCGACGACAGCACAACTGACACATCCAAGCGGCAACGTTCCGGTAGGTATCCCAATGGCACGGTAGCCAATGCGTACCCTGATGCATATCACTGATCGACTTCATATAGAGAACGCAAAGTCAAAGCGGTCGGAGAAGCGGAAGGAGCTGCGGAAGCAGCAAAAGGAGAAGAACTTCACGTGCTTTCTGTGTCGGCAAAAGGGCCACAGCGTCAAGAACTGCCCAAAATCGCAGGACGCAGCCGTCGGCATCTGCTACCACTGCGGATCCGATGACCACACGACGAAGAACTGCCCGACGCCTGGAAAGACCTTCCCCTATGCCATCTGCTTTGTGTGCGGCGACACCGGCCACCTCTCGTCCAAGTGCGCGAAAAACGAGCGCGGGCTGTATCCGGACGGGGGGTGCTGCGCGTACTGCGGATCGACAGAGCACCTGAAGAAAGACTGCAAGCCAACGCAGAACAAGGAGCTGGCCCAGACTATCGGAACCGTGGATGCCTCGCAAGGCGGCGATGACGATGATGTGTTTGTAGCATTGAAGCGCCAGCAGCAGGACAAGACCGCCACAGCCAAGCCTGTTCAAAAGAAGGCAGCGAAAAAGGTGGTCAACTTTTGAGAGAGGCAGTACATGAAAGAGCGCTTAATAAAAGGGTCCGAATTCTGATGACGCCGCCTGGCAAACAAAAGCGCTTGGGCATGTGGCGACAGTCCACTGCTCATGCAGCTCCAGCAAAAAAGAAAAACTGCATATGTGGCCTCGATTGCATCCTGAGCCTCGATCGCCTTTGCAAGGCAGAGAGTCGGCTGACTAAACATACAGACTTTGCAGTGCGGAATTTCTGTGCAGACGGTAGTGCACGCGGACTTTGGGCAAAATGGCTGCTGTTTGGGACCCAATCCCTGCTTCCCGAAGCAATGCCGCCGCCGCCGCCTCTTAAAAGCCAACCATGGCGTCTGCAAAGCCCATCATGTAGTGCGTGCCTTTGGGTTCCAAGGTCTCTTTTCTCCTTTGCTTCCCTGCGGTTCTCTTGTTTTCCTTTTCCTACATTGCTTCTGTGACTGGCATCGTCAATGTAAGTTGGCTGTGGTTCGGCAGCGGTGTTCGTACCACTTGTGACCGCCAGGGGCGCCCTACTTCTCCACGGCCTGTGCGCGCAGACCAGTAATGGGGGCGGGTCTTGGCAAACCGACCGAAAGTGTCTTGGCAGAAGAATGCGCGGTCCGGAAACCCAGAAGCTTCATGGATGCCGCCTCCCAATATCCTGACCTGTAGTCTCTGGTCCATGCCCGAGATAACCAGGGAGCTTCTTCGCGTCACATCCGTACCCTTCTGTTGTTCCATCTGTTCTGCCTGCCAGTGTACGCGCTGGTGCGGGCGGAAATCTTTTTCCCTTCCGCCCCTGCCCCCAATCCCCTGTAATTTTTTCTGCTTTTTTCCGGGATATATGCCAAAACCGGATCGACCATCCCATGTCCGTCCGCCTTCCTGTCCGCACACAGCCCATGTTTCCGAGACAGCCCACACACTCCTTCACGCACACGCGATTATAAATACGAAGCTAAAAGAAGCCCTGTTCCCCGACACCCATAGCCACGTTGTAGAACCTCGCACTCAGTCCATCTTGCACACCCCGACGATACACACAATGCGCTCTCTCTTTGGATTTCACAAGGCCGAGGACGTCGAATCGGCCAAGGCCAGCGAAAAGTCATCTCTGGCGGATGGCGCAAGCTCGGAGCTCCCGCCCGTCTTCCACTGCACCAGCATCGACGGCCCGCTGCAGACAATCAAGCCTCTGGAGGGCAATGAGAAGAAGGTCCTCGAGCGACTCAAGAAGGAGATCCCGGATCTGATCAAGGACCTGCCCGAAGTCGACGCCGAGTCGAAAAAGTACATTGACGAGGCTGTGCCGCTCAACATCGAGCAGTGGCTAACCGACGAGTGCATTGCAAGATATGTGCGGGCGCGCAAGGGCGTTTACGAGGATACGCGGAGGGCGCTGCGCAAGACCATCGAGTGGCGCGCACAGACGCGGCCGGACGCACTGCGGCCGGACGTTGTGGAGATCGAAAACAAGACAGGCAAAATGTACTTTAACGGATTCGACAAGTTCTCGCGCCCCGTCATCTACATGTACAATCACCGGCAGAACACAAAGGAGCCCGACAACCAGATCCGCTGGGTCATATACACCCTCGAGATGGCCATCCGCAACATGCCAAAGGGCGTTGAAAAGGTATCTCTGGCCATCGACGCGTCGCACTGGGGGTTCTCCAACAGCGTCTCGATTGGCACGGCAAAGAAATTCCTGGATGTCCTCGCCAACCACTACCCGGAGCGCCTTGGCCGCGCAGTCATCTTCCGCCCGCCAAAGTTCTTCACTGCGTTCTACAGCCTTGTCTCGCCATTCATCGACCCAGTAACCAAGGCGAAGGTCGCCTTTGTCAACCCTGATTCCGCTGACACCAAGCCGCAGGCCGACTCGCACAGCGCATGGGTTGCCATCGAGGACTGCTTCGTGCGCGACAAGCTTGAGGTCGACTGCTACGGCGATTGGCCATTCAGGTACAGCCACGGCGTTTACTGGAATGCCATCGAGGCCGAGTTCGCTGAGCACAAGGCCACCATGCAAGCGCAGTCGAAAGAATAGACCCAAATTTATATAGCACCCAAACATTTTATAGCACCCAAACATTTTACAGCATCTCGTGCGTGGGACACCACGAATGTACCTTATTTTATCTTCGGCGTTGCAAAGAACGGATGCTGCAGTGCTTCGTCGGGCGTGATCCGCTTTTCTGGGCTGAGCTCGAGGCACCGATCCAGCAGCTGCGCAAACCGCAGCGCTGTCTGGATCTCTTCGGCCGCTGAATCCGACGGCGTCGCCGACAAAACCCTCGACTTGATATCCTTAGTGGGCTTTGTGAATGCCATGCGCTGCGTCGTGGTTCGGTTCGAGACCTTGTCCGTCGAACGGCTAACAAAGTCCATCATGCTGCCGCCGTTGTCCTCAAAGTGCTGTTGCCACAGCTGCCCGCGCCTAAGCACTCGGCTGGAGAAGTGACCGCGCGCTTCCATCATCAGCCTCAGCATCTCGTTGTTGTTGCGTCCCGGAAACATGATCTTGCCTGTGTATAGCTCAAACAGCGTCACGCCCAGCGACCACATATCAATGGCGTAGTCGTAGGGCATGCCAAGGATGATCTCGGGTGCTCGGTAGAACCGGCTGACCAGGTACGGCGTGATTTCGTTCTCCTCGACATCGCACGCCGACCCCAGGTCACCCAGCTTAGCCACACTGCGCTGCTCGGACACAAAACAGTTATCGGGCTTGAGATCGCCGTGCAGCACACGGTTCTTGCGCAGGTGATCTAGTGCCAGCATCAGCTGCATACCGTATACGCGCACTGCCTGCAGACTCAGTCCAGAGTCGCGTCCAAACTTGCGCACCACCTCGCGCAGATTCATGCCCAGTAGCTCAAAGCACAGACATAGGTGGTTGCGGTGCATAAAGCTCCCCAGAAGCCGGACCACATGGCTCCTACCGGTCTTGTCCGTCTCATGGAGCCGCTCAAGAATCTGCTGCTCCTTGATACCAGCCTGTTGCATAATCTCGTTGCTGCGGATGAGCTTGATTGCCACCGGCTTGTTGTCGTTCTCAATATCGAGCGCCTTTACAACTGAGCTAAACACGCCCTGTCCAAGGAATGACTGCACCAGGTACCTGCCGTCCAGCTTTTCGCCAATAATAATCTGGTAGTACCCATCGGCGTCATCCCAGTTGTCGGCCATCGCCGTAGTCACCGCTGCTGAGATAGCGCCTGATTTGGGCACATTGCTGCTGGTATCGACCGCATCGTCATCAGCAAACATGTCGAAATCGTCGTCGCTGTCGTCCTTAGCAGGAATATCCCGCCTTGCGGCCGCGGCAGTCTGCTTCGCTGCTATTCTGTGGCGCACATCGTCCTCATTCGAGTCACGGTCTGGGCTGTAGTCTGCCGCGGATAGTCCTTCGCTATTGGGTGCTGCTTTTGCATTCGTCTTCTCCAGCAAAAATCCTGAATCCTCAGCTACACTAGCATCTGGCCTAGAGCCTCTAATATGGCTATCAGGGTCATGAGCGTCAGAGTTTTCAAATTTTAGCAAAATTTCGCGACGACGCTTGCGCCTCTCTTCAAGAAACCTCTCATCTTCGTCATCGTTGTCTCGCAACAGAGCATCAATATCAATGTCTTCTTCGTCAGCAGTCGCCTCATTGGCGGCTCCTGTATTTACCGTTGCTCTTTTGTCGTCAACCTTTGCTGCCTTGCTATCCAGGGTGCTCGATCTGGGTTTATCGCCTGGCACGTAAACCTTTTCAGGACTGCGCTGGCGCTTGCTGGTACGAGTCAGTGGGCTGGGCGTCTCCTTCTCAGCAGCGACTGTACGTGCTAGAAGCGCACTGTGTGCCAAGCGACGGCCGCTTGGTCGAGAGGGCTCGATTATCTCACCGTCCTCCTCTGCGTACTGGTGGTTGTTCAAGGCGCCCATTGTAAGAGAAATGCGTAAGTGGTTAATTGTTTAAGTGCGGAGCAGAAATGTGTGACGACGAAGTAAATGAAAACGCAGTCATTTTGGCTCTGGCTGGCAACATGGAAATTTTGATGATCATCGATTGTGATTATCTGAATTAAATCTATTCATGCAGTGCACTCCCGTTTGGGATATATGACTGCAATGTCTGCCATTGACCTGCTAGCCATTGCCATGCAGTGGCGCACCATGTACTCGAATGTTGGAGATGTATTGGGTATATCGGCAGAATGTTGCACGGACTAAATAAACCCCTGCTATCGCTATAGCACCGCTGTAACAAAAATTGCGAAATAGGGATGGAGTTGAACCATATTATGTAGTGGTGCGCTATTTTTGTTTTATGCTTGTAGAAGTATGTATTTGCCAGCTTCTTTTGCCTTTTTAAACGCCCTTTTATTTGTACACACATAATGGCACCCCCAACACGTAGAAACCCACTTCAAACACCACGGACAGTGTCGCGTACAACCTCAACATTAGCAAAGACACAACGTACGGTGCCACCAAAGACGCCTCAGCGGACACAGACAAAACGGTCCAGTCGCTCCCACCACACCGACCCTTTCACACAACAGCTCGACCTCGCTACAATGGCAGGCATGCGAATCGATGCTGAATCTGTTATCAGCGATGTCCAGTTGGCGAACCAGACTGCAATGGCGCATATTGCTGACAGCAGTTACAGCTCCGACGACGATCTAAGCGATAGCGAGGCAAAGCAGGCAGAGAAGCTGTACCGTGAAATTGCGGATAGACTGACAGAGATTGGCAAGCAGCTGCACGAACAATGGCTAAAAGACAGTGAACGCGACTATTCTGAAAATGGGTCAGTGCTCGACCAGGAAATCGTCGGTCGGAAGCTTGAAGAGCTCAAGATGTTTGCCGAGCACTTGCGAAAGGCTGGCAAGAACCGGGCAGGCCTGCTGGCACGCATAGCAGAGCCCCTGGCCAAAGACCACTGGCTGGTGGAGCCTGAATTCCACCAGCAGTTTGTCGATACGTTCCGCACAATAAGCAGCCTTGTCAGCAACCTGCCAAGAATCGCAGAGGCGGCGTCAGCAGCAAGTCACAGCTCGGAGTTTCTGGAGCTGAAGGCCGCCGAGGGTGAGGAGCAAACACGGACGCGGCAGATCGCACAGATCGAGAGACTGATCCACCAAGTCGAGCAGGCAAACGAATGGCTGAAGTCGGATGCACAGGACGGATTTGTGCTTACGAGTTTTGTTTCGGATAGTGCTCAATAAAAGCCTGTATTGAAATTCATTTCACTGTGGGCTGTCTTGGAGACGAGTGAAGTCACCGCGCCGGTTGACCAGCTGCTGAACCTCCTTGAACGACAGGTGTTTGATCCCAAGCTTTTTCAGCAGCAGACCGGCTTCCGTTTTATCAGACGACGAGTCGCGGATTATCGGTCCCCATTCCTCCAGCGGCACCGGCATTGTGGACTCTCCCGTCGGAGACACGTCGGTGGCCGATAAATCGCAAGCTAAAGCTAGAGCGCATTCCTTTGCCTTGACCAGAGTGCGGCTGTGGAGTGCTGTTGATGGCATGGTGCTTGGCTTGGCTGAGGTAAGGATATGCGAGATAGCGTTGACATCCTTGAGGAGGCGGTGCCCGCCAAGGGCATTGAATTGATGCGCAGTTGCAACTTTTTGTACCAGGAAGCCGTCCAGCTCCTCTGCTAACGAACGCATGATCCGGATCCGAGCCGCCGCGGGCACAAGTGTCTTGATCCGGCCAATAGTAGCTGACAGCTCGCGCAAAAAGTTGCTCAGCTCAGGCGACAAATCGGCTGTTGCCATATTGTCTTCTGTATCTGGCGCCCAGCTGTTGGCTTTGCGATATGCCCGCAGCTGGCTCACTGCCTCCTTGTTTAAAGCACGGCTCATTAGATCGCTGATTCGCTGGCGCAATTCACGTAGTGTCGCTACTGAGCGCTCCCAGATTCCGCCGTCCAGCCACTCGTCATTATCTGTCCACTCGCCGTCGTCTGCTGCGTCCAAAATCTCCTGATCTGCCTCGCCCCACATATCCACTGACTCACGCCAGTCTCTCGGATCTGCATTCAAGTCCTGCACGGCTGCATACCGGCACACTGCTGCCCACATGTCGACAAACACTGTCGAGTTGTTCCACTCGTCGGCTGCTTCCTCAACATACCACACAGCTTGGTACCAGGCTGCAAGGCGCCGCAGCTGTGCAAACAGAGGCGATTGGGTCTGGTTGACCCCGGTGTTATCGCGCATAAACGCCAGAGATATGCGGTTAAACTCGTCAATCTCAGCCTCGATATCCTCGACAAACGCGATGACTATTGGGAACTGCGTTGTGGCCAGCATCTCCAATTGCTGCATGCAGCTGGGAAGCATTGAGTACCGCTCCGTAATGTTCTCGACCAGCTGCACAACACGCTCCGACACATGCGACGGCTTGGCATCCTCGGGCCCAAACATTTCATCGTCATATGCCAGTTCAAAGGCACTGGGGTCGCGAATTGCCTCCATATATGAGTCAGACGCATTGACGCGCTCAGCCTCGATCCATGCGCCAAACACATCGCTGTCGCTGGTAAACTCGTTCAAAACACTCGGCCCGTCATAGAAATACACATCGCGTAGGGTCGTGTCAAAGTCGCGCAGCTCGCGAACCACATGGGCAATAATCAGGCCGTTATCCAGATAGGCCTGCTTGTCAAGCATCAGCTTGCGCTGCACAATCGGCGTCACCAGGCGAATAAGCTCATTGCGCACGTCTAGATGGGCCATGGATACGCTGTCATAGAGCTGTTGGACGTGGGTCTCAAGGAATGGCACAGTGTTGCGCAGCATCACAAGCAGCTGCGAGAGCCACCACTCGGGCTTCTCGGCGCGGTTCGTCTGGCGGTTGCCTTCGAAATGGTAGCGCATGCGGATATCAATAGCCTGGGCTATGTGTTGCAAGGGTAATGGTGCTGAGGAATCCGTACGCAGCTCCAGACTATGCATACTCAGGACGCTGGCCGATTCGCTGGCAATGCGATCCAGGGTCAGCAAATTGGAGAATGCAGCACTGAACGTAGCCAGGGCGCTGCCTGTTGCATTCATCTTGCCCGGCCACCCAAATTTGCCCAGGGCCTCGCTTTGGCTATCGGATGCAGCCTTGTCGATATCATGCCAAATGCCACGCACGGTGTCCTTCAGGTTCTCCAGCAGATGCTTCGGGACCTGTGTGCCATTTGAGCGCCTACCAAGGATCCCAAGTATTTGCTGGAACGCGGCCAATGCTCCTTGCATGTTTGCCGGAATCGCCTTTGCCGCCTGGTCCCTTACTGTCTCAACTTCGACCACGGCGTCGATGTATGTCTTGGCCCGCTGCAGCTTTTTGTATGTATGGAGCTCGTCGGCCAGGACGCTGACCAGCGCCATAGCCTCCGACTTGTCGGCAAAGTGCTCTGGCAATTCTGTGTCGGTGACAAGGGTGCCGCGTACAGCGAGCAGGTCGGTGGATTTGTTGCGTGCATTGGCGATAATTGCCCGGGACTCGGCGGTCAGTGATGCGGTTATGCGTTTGGCCTGCTGCAGTTCGTTTTGCAGCAATTTGTGTGTGAGCTCTTCTTCCTGTAGTAGCTCATTTAGTAGCTCTAACGAGTCGACGGTCGCAAACTGGCTGTCCAGGAAAGACCGGACAGCAGCGTTGGAATCAGGGGAAATCATTGGAGATGAATGCAGAGTCAAAAAGGGTGACGCTTTTTCCTTCTGGCACAGTTACTGCTAGTAAATGCAGCTCGAGACTACCAGCCTCAACCAAGTGCATTTTTCCTCTGCCAAAGACATCTATTTTTTTTTTCGTAACCTTTCCGTACCAGCGCAAATGGAGAAGGAGATTTTTGCGGCTGTACCAAGAGCGCATAGGTAAGAAGCATACACACAACTGCACCGCACCCACCGTACATACAGCAGACGCGCAGTACCAAACACACACTTTGCGCTTTCTAGACAAATACAACGAGGTGTTCAGCGACGTGTCCCGCGACATCGACCAGCTGAAAGTTTCGCAGCAAGAGCTCGCACGGCTTCGCTGGGCCAACAGCCGGCTCACAGCACAAGTTGCCGACCTGCGCTCCAACATCGCCGACCTGAACCGCAGCTTGATAATCGAGCGGCAGACCCACCTGAACTCGGTTGCCGAAAACGACCGACTACGTATCCGGGAGCACGAGCTCGAGCGTCACATCCATGATCTCACTACCGCCAGCGAGGGCAGGAGTTCGAATGGTGGCGAACAAAGGAGCACAGAGGAGTTGGACATAGAGAACGAGACGTTGAGGCTGACGGTGGAGACGATGCGGATACAGATGCAGGAACATAAGACCAACAGCAGCGAGATCGTTGACGGGCTGATGGCAGAGTTCAAGGCATTCAGAGAGACGGCGGCGAAGGAGGCGGCGGAGAGGGAGGCGAGGGCTGGACATGTGGAGGCGGAATTGGAGCGTGTCAAGGATCTATATAGAGAGAATCTGAGGGACCTGGTTGCGGCGCGGAAGACAGCGCTGGACAGCAAGCATAGCGTGAAGCAGGAGAGCCTGCTGCTGAGGGCAGAGATCCTGGCACTGCAGCGGCAGCTCGAGGCGGAAATTGAAAAGTCCAAATTCTTGGAAACGACACCAGCGCCGGTCCGAGATTACGCGATGTGCAACGATGACACTGAACAGCAGCCACGGCGATGGTAGCATGATAGAGAACTGTATTTCATACACATAAAGACACTACTCGTCCCACATGGACTGGATCCGGCGCTGGATGTCTTTTGGCCGGTACTTGAACACATGGGCAACATCCGGGGCACCTTTGTCGGGGATCTGCTTCAGGAAGCCCTCGTATGTAGGCAGAATAGCCTCAATGGCGTCACTGATCAGCACCGCACGCACATCGGCGTCAAACACCTCAAACGACCTGTGGCCACGCAAGATATCCTCGAACTCGCGATTGAACAGGCTCAGCTTCTCGCCGGTGCTCAGCGACGCTGACATAAACGAGTTGGTGGGAGAGGTCCATGTGACAGCATACGGCTTACGGCTGCTCTCAATGCGCGCCTCGATGCGCGTCAGCGGCGAGCGGCCGACCAGGTCGCCTAGCCCCAGGGCCTGGCCCTCGCTGCCCGAGTTCATGGTGTCACGGAGAGCGCGGGCCAGGTAGCTGTAGTTGTTGATCAGGAAAACGTACTCGAGTCCAGCGCGCTTCATCTGCTTGCTGGCCTGCTCGATGGTGCCAGCCAAAGCATCAATCACGTCACGGAGGTAGTGCTGGAACACGGCCAGCCCGTCGTTGGGATCGCCGGCCGGCTGGCTGGCGCCAGTGATGCCCGGCAGCGGAGTACGTGCCCAATGGCCGTCGCCCAGGGGAACAATCAGGGCAATGAGCAGGTCCTTGTACAGAATCAGGTAGTTGAGAAAAGTCAGCGTGTTGAACACCAGCTCGTGGACGCCGCCAGTCTGCTTCTGGCCGATGCTGTCGCGCGACGGATTGCGCAGCAGCGTAATGAGGGCAGCAAAGCACTTGTTGAGCGGCGTTTGCAAGCGGGCCAGAAGCTTGGAGAAGGCATTGCGCTGGCTAGTGCTCTGGGCAAACAGCGCGTCAATGGCACCCTCGGTGTCCAGCAGGCGGCCGTAGATATCCAGAGCCTGCAGGATCTCGTAGAGCGGCGCACTGGCGAAATACGCGGTCATCTTGTCGCCTGTGTTCAGGTAGGATTCGAAAGGCCGGCCGACGGTCATCTGGAAGGTTTCCTGGCTGATGATGGTGGGCATGATCTGGCGCACCAGATCGCGCTCAGCCTCAAATAGCTTGACAATGTTGGCAGTGTACTGCACGAACGGCGATGTGCCGGTCTCGTACCAGTTCTCGTTGCGCATAGAGCAGAAGCGCGACTCGGCGGAGCTGCTCTGGCCAGCGCCCGGCCCGGCTGCGTAGCCCTGCTGTGCCATGGCCTTGTTTGAGCCGTCGACGCTGTTGCTCTTGATGTGCAGCATGCACATGTCGCTGAACTGCGCCAGCGACTTTTGCAGGTGGCGGGTGCGGATGCTGGCATAGGTCTTTGTCAGCTTCAGATCGTAGCTGACCTCGTCGTTGACCAGATTCAGGTACGTGGCCAGCATGCTGAGCAGCTTGACGGTGTCGGTGGGGAAGGTCGGGATCTCGGTCGCGCTGGTGTATGCCGCGGGGTCCACGCCGCCCGACTGCTGCTTGAGCCACTGGCTGAACAGCTGCGACAGGTTGCCTAGGCCAATCTTCAGCAGCTCGTGGATCTCCCGGCGGCTCTGCTTCGCCGAATCCAGGTCGAGCCGGCCCAGCGCGTCATTGGCGTCCTTTAGGCGGTTGATTGAGTCCAGGTACGGCAGCAGCTCGCTGTTGTCGGGGCCGGCGCGGATGGTCTCGGACTCGTCGGCGGCCACATTGAAGAACAGGAGGATGTCGTCCAGCGTGCCGATGGACTTTTCGACGTTGTCGTAGAGGCGGGTGAACTTTTGCGTCGACTTGTAGATGGGCGCTATCACCCGGCCCAGGTTTTTTAGGCGCGTGTCGAAGAGCTCCAGTAGCTGCGTTGTTTTGTCGGCCAGGTTGTCCATTTGCTCAAGGCTGTCGCGCAGGAATTCCAGCTCGGCCTCTTCCTCGGCATCATCTTGCAGGAAATTGTCATTGGTTGTCATAGCGAAAAAGAAGTAAAAAAAAGTTGCGAAAAGAGGGAGGAAAGCTGGAGAGGGGGAAAGGTGTCGATGTCACTGGCAGCAGCAATGTTGAGGTATTTGAAAAGCAGGGGAAAAGAGGGAAAGAGATTAGGCTAGTTTCTTCGTGGTGGGCCAGCTCTTGTCGATCTCATCGTTCCTGAGCTCGGCCTTGGCATCGGCGCTGGAGAACAGGCGGTCGAGCAGCGGCAGCGACATGGATGCATTCGCGCGCATGATGTCGGGGCGGTACGGATACGCCGACAGCCTGGGCCAGTTCAGCAGCTCAGCCGTGTGCGATGCCATGATGATGCGCACGACCAGCACCAGCACCAGCAGCCAGCTGTTAGTGAAAACAATGTTGGGCCAAGCAAACAAGCTGCCACCGCGCGGGTAGAAGAAGGCAAATCCCAGCATGAACAGACACAGGTAGACGGCGCCCACCAGCGTCTTGCTCTCGAGGGTCTGGTCGTCAGCAAACGGACTCGCAGTCCGGTCCACCTCCACGTGGCCCAGCAGCAGATCGATACCGTCCTGGCGCTCGCCGTCAAAGAAGTTGCCGCGCACGTACCGCTCGATAGAGTTCCGGCCGTCCTGCAGCGCGCCCAGCGGCGTGCGCTCGCCGGTCCGCGTGAAGTCAGTCTTGAGGGCGCCGGTGCCCGAGTACGCACAGCTGACAGCGTCGGCGTTGTCGGCCCATACGTTGCGCAGCATCGACTGGAACGCCGGGAACGCGTCGATGGCGTCGGTGGCGCCGAACACGCCAACATCGCGCAGCTGCTTGGTCAGCACGCTGCGCGCAAACTCGGTCTGGACCACGTTGGTGCGGTCCAGGCAGTCCATGCAGTTTGTGCGCACCACGCCCTGCTGCACGGTCTCAGGCTCGCCCTGCTTGGCCTTGAATGAGCCAAACCGGGTCATGTACTCGGCCAACTCGTTGGTGAGCAGGCTGAGGCGGTCGTAGCGCATCTTGCTGCACTCCTTGTGGAAGTCAAAGTGCGTGTAGTGGTAGTGCGGGCTCTTGAACTCCTGCGACAGCCGCGCAAACGCATCGCCCATGGGCTTCTCGTACTTCTTCTTGTTGACCAGATTGACTGCCACCACAGCACCATACATAGCGATGGTGCTGTTGAGGTGCTTGTCGAAGCGCTCGCGACTGCCGTCGACATCAACCTTGAGTGCTGGCACGTATTTCATGTTGATGACCTGCGCCCAGGCCACGGGGATCGAGCCGCGAATCTGCACGTACGCGAGCTGCAGTCCAGCCAGCTCCGGCGATCCGCTGGTGGCCGCAAAGTCGACAATTTGCTCGGTCTCGGCAAAGTTCGACACATTGCCGTCGACATCGGCGCCGCGCGAAAAGTACCGCGTTCCCTGGCGCTTGCGGCCGCGTCTCGTCACCAGCACGTAGTTGAACTGCGTGCCACGGATGCTGACGGGCTTGCACTCGAAGAATCCGTGTATCACCGGCAAGACAAACACACTGCCCTGCGCGCGGCCCTGCACCGCTGCAATAATTGGCTGTGCCAGGAACTTTGTGTAGAAGAACTCATCGCTGGCTGTCTCGTACAGGCCCGGCTGCCCGCCCAGTCGCTGCTTCTCCAGCTGCTGCCGCTGCAGCGAGCTGGTCAGGTCGTAGTCGTACGAGAAATAGAACGACTTGGCTGCTAGCGCCTCGCTCAGCAGCTTCAGGTACCGCGCCTCGTCGAATGCCGCCGTGCCCGACACCTGGTATGCATCGCTGGCTGCCTTGATGACCTTGGTCTCTGACACGCGGAACACTGTCGAGCCGCCAATCGACCCCACTGCCTCACGCCCGGTTATCACCACCAAGTATGCCCCGCGCAGGAGGTTGATCACGCCAAGTATCCCGTGCGCCGTGAACGTCCGCTGCGGTGTTGCACTGAATGCTGCCGACGCGCTGGTCTCCTCCAGCCGCACCACGCCGCTCGCGCGGTCAATGGCCAGGTGCTCTGCGTCCGCTCCCCGCGTCGCCTCGACCGTCACTGTGCTTGGATAGAACGATATTTTGAACGACTGCTGTGCTGTCTACAATTTTAAAAGGGAAGCCCTGTGTTTAGCTCTGTGCTGCAAGAGGTCCATGTCGCTGTAAAGGTCCAAGCCGCTGTTCATTGTGTTAACGCACCACCATCTTTGTATACAAATTCCGAGTTGTAGAAATGAAAATAATGTCAGGCGGAAAAAAGCGCCAGAAGCTGATGACGCCAATTTCACGCTTCGCAGATTATGCCTGTTGCCCCTCAGCAACCGCCGACGAGCCGCCATTGGACCAAAAAAATCAAAACCCGAGCCGGATCATGCATGTTCTGGCTCGCTCCTAGCCTCATGTCCTGGCCACACAGATACTGCGCATGCGTATCGCTACGCCTTTTCATCAACAACGTTTGCAATTAACGGCTTCGCCAAGCAGTAACCGAGTACAAATGTTGTGCAGTCTAGCCTTAACGCACATCCGCGCCCCGACTCTTTTTCAAGACCCGAGTCCAAAGCCAGCAGAACCGCTCCTCGGCTGAACGCATTGTGCTTGCCGGGATCCTATTGTTCCCTTTGGACAAGCGTATATTTAGCGCTGGGTATCCGATCCACAGTGCTATTAATAGTCTAGGCATCTGGTGCTAGGCTGCTCAGAGCCTATTCATCAAGCGATCAAGGCGCTGTCGTTGTTGTTGTTTTGAATCTGCATCCGACATGCCAAGCTCCAGACCTCCCGTCCGAGGGGCCGGGAATCCTGCGATTTGTTTTTGAGATGACTCGTAACTCGCGGACAGGCTCCGACGCTAGCGCTACTGAGACTACAGCAACAGAATCGCACGGTGCTGTCGATCGCCCCCAGTCGTCATACTTGAGACACTGAGGGATTTAGAAGAAAAGTGGGCGGTCCTCACAATACATCTTGATTGGCCTGCCCATCACGCTCTCCCCGCCCTTTGGCCTGCGGGCCGCGCATTGCCCAAAGTGGTCTTTTGGGCAGTCCATTTTTGAGCTAAAAATGGCAGCCTTTTTTCGCCTCTCTTTCTTCCTCCCCACCTTTCCGAGTCTGTATTCGCCGGCTTTATATAAATCCCTCCCTCTTCTCCCTGTCGCCTTTGCCAAACGCCTTCCTCACTTCCCTTCTTACCCCTCCCCTCCTTTTATTCCTTTTTCATTTAAACGCGCTTTAGCTTGTTCAGGCAACAGGCCAAAAAATACTCGATATTAAGAAAATGCATTTCTCTTCCTCCGTTCTCGCTGCCACCGCCCTTGTCGCCAGCTGTGCTGGTCACGGTATACTGAACAGCCCGCCGCCGCGTGGAAACAAGAAGTGGTACGGCACGTGCTCGGCGGGTTCCGGCTGCAAGGGCCCGTGCGACAGCGCCAAGGCCGATGCGCCGTTCAACGACATTTATGTGCCAAAGAAGTACATTAAGCGCGGGTCGGAGCTGACGGTCGGCTGGGACCGACTGAACCACCCAGGTGGATTCGTGCGTCTGGCTATGGTTCCTTTCAACCAGTCGGACAGCTGGAGTGCGTTCAACGAGAACGTGCTCAAGTACACCTGCTACGAGACGAACTGCGGACCGTCTGACCCGAACCACAATTCCTTCGGGCACCTGAACGGCCCTGGCAACGCGCCGTGCAGCACCAAGGTGACAGTGCCAAAGAACATCCCGGACAACACCGCAGTGACGCTGCAGTGGATCTGGTATGGCGGTGGCATCTACTACGGTGAGAAGGACACGTCCTTTGGCGAGTACTACGGGTGCTCGGATATGATTGTGGCGGGCGGTGAGTTCGCGGACGCCAAGCCCGAGGCCACCTTCCAGGGCGGCGATGTAACCTACCCGAACACCGATACCTGCAAGTACTGGGGTTCGAACAAGGTCGGCGACTGCAACTTTGGCGACAGGTACCCGAGCCCCAAGGAGGGTGACCTGCTGTCGCAGTCCCTGGAGCCGTGCATGCGCGGTCCCGAGAAGCAGGGCAAGCCTGCCGGTATCTCTGGCTCGTCGCCGGCTTACCCCATCGTCCCGCATGCTGCTGCTGTTAATGCCCCAGTTGCGTCCTCGTCGGCTGCCGCTCCGGCTACCACTGAGGCTGCCCCTGCGTATTCATCGGAGGCTGCTTCTGCCTCTTCATCGAACGCTGCTTCTGCCTCTTCATCGGAGGCTGCTCCTGCTTATTCATCGGAAGCTGCTCCTGCCTCTTCGTCCGAGGCTGCCCCGGCCACTTCTGAGGCTGCTCCCGCTACCTCAGCGTCTGCTCCCGCTGACAACTACTCGACTGTTGCTGGGGAGACCACCTCCGCTCCGGTCTCGCCCGCCACCAGCAACAGCCCCATTGCCAGCGCCTCGGCCAGCAAGTGCATTCCTCGCCCGACTGCTGCTTACTAACGATATGTATAACGTCTCTTTCTGAATGTTGACATTCTTCTGAACGAATACAATCTTTTTTACTCAACATCCCGCTAAATGTTCCTCCTCGCAATATCCACAAACCGCTGCCAGCTATTGATGTTTGCTAGTTGCCCGTTTCCTGGCTATTATTGCATCGATCTGTCTGGCGCGGTCGCTCCCCAACAGACGCAGAAACTGTGGTTTTGGCTTCTGTGTTGTGATCTGCATGGCCTACCTCGTGTATGGATTATTGCTCAGCAAACATTGTCAGATGCGCTCTTTGTTACTTGCGCCCTGAGAAGGGCTTGGGAGGACGCGCTTCAATTGTAGGCTGAATTCAAGCATTCACCAGGACCTCAGCATTGTAGATTTATAGTTCAGAGATTGTCTACTTGTTGACAGTGGCAGCCAGAATCTCGTTGAGCTGCTTGATCATGGTCCGCGGGTCGTCCATGATACCCGCAGTAATCAGCGCATTGTCCAGCAGCTGCTTTGTGACCTTGGCCGCCAGCTCCTCGTCTGTACTCTTCAGGCCGAACAGACCCTTGATGATCGGGTCCCGCGGGTTGATCTCCAGATTGCACGGCGTCACGGGCAGCGGCATGTCAGTGCCACCGGCCATCATCTTCATCATGCGGCGCACGGCCGGCGACTCGAAATCCGTGACCACCGCCGGATACGTCATGAACCGGTCGGCCACCTTGACCTCCTTGACCGGCATGCCAAGCTTGCCAAACATCCACGCCGTCAGCTCGTTCGACTGCTCCTCAGACAGCGCCTCGGCGGAGCCCTCAGTCTTGGCGTCCTCGGCATTCCACTTCTTGAGCACTGCGGCGGCGTCCTCCGAGTCAACAGACACGAGCCGCTTGCCCTTGAAGTTCTGCAGACGACCCATCACAAACTCGTCCAGCGGGTGGTGCAGGAACAGGACCTCGGCGCCGTGCTGCTTGAACGGCTCGTAGTACGGGCTGTCCTCGCCCAGGCGCCGGTTCGGCGTGCAGAAAAAGTAAATGTGCTCCTGGTCCTCGGGCATCCGCGCGACGTAGTCCTCGAGCGCAACCAGCTTGCCGGCCTCCTCCTTCGACGTCTCGAAGCGCAGCAGCTTCGCAATCTCAGCCTGGTTGGCCACATCCTGGCACACACCCTCCTTGATGTAGGCACCAAAGGTCTTGGAGAAATCAGCAAACTTGGCCTCGTCCCGCCGAGCCTCCTCCTGGAGCCACTTGATGATGCGGCCGGTGACAATTGACTTGAGGCGGTTGATCACAGGGCCGTTCTGCAGCAGCTCGCGCGACAGGTTCAGGGGCAGATCCTCAGAGTCCACCACGCCCTGCACAAACCGCAGCCAGTCGGGCAACAGGCTCTCGGCATTGGCCATGATCAGCACCTTGCGCGAATACAGGCTGACGCCAGGCTTGACCCGCTCAAAGCCCATGGCCTCCGGATCCTTGGTCGGCGCATACAGGATGCTGCGGATTGACAGTGGCGCATCGGCCTTGTACACCAATGTGTACAGCGGCTGGTCCAGGTTGCGTGAGATGAACCGGTAAAAGTCGGTGTGCTCCTCCTCGCTGATCTCATTCTTGCCCTTGGTCCACAGTGCCTCGACTGTGTTGACCTTCTCGCCGTTGACCGAGATCGGGAATCCGACAAAGTTGCTGTACTTGCAGATGATCTTTTCCAGATTGCCCTTATCCAGGTACTCGTTGGCGTCCTCCTTGACATGGATCACGATTTTTGTGCCCACATCAACGTTCTCGGCCGCCTTCAGTGTGTAGGAGCCGAGTCCGTCCGACTCCCACTTGTATCCCTGGCTACCGGGCTGCGCTGAGCGCGTAAACACCGTGATCTTGTCACCGATCATAAATGCTGAGTAGAAGCCAACGCCAAACTGGCCAACAATCGTGTTAGCCATGTCCTTGGTATCCTGGCCTTCCTGCATCTTCTCGATATACGCCTTGGAGCCCGACCGCGCGATTGTGCCCAGGTTCTCCTTCAGCTCCTCGGCGCTCATGCCAATGCCCGAGTCCTGGAACGTGATGGTCTTGGCGTCCGCGTCCACCGAAATATCGATCGCCAGCGGCTTGTCGGTTTGCACATCCTGCGACGTGACCTGCAAGTGCCGCAGCTTCTCCAGCGCATCAGATGCATTCGAGATCAGCTCACGCACAAACACCTCGCGCTGCGAATACAGCGAATGCGCGACAATGTGCAGGAGCTTCTTTGTTTCGGCCTTGAACTCGTGCGTCTCGCCCACCTCGGTTTCTGTCGAGTAGCTGCGCATCGCGGTGAAGCGAGGGCGAGCAATGGCGCTGATCGCCGGTGTGCTGGCCGTACGCAGATGCTTGGCTGAGGCCAAGGTCGCCATGGCTGCGGCGAGTGTGCCGCGTGGCTGCGATGTGCTGAGGGCGCGGGTTGCAGCAAGGCGGAGAGCGGGTGTACGGAGCGAGAGCTGGCGCATTTTGAAAAGGAAATTCGGAACAGTTAAAGGAAAGCAAAGGCAGAGACGTGATAATGGTTTGGAGCAGGATCCAGCAGGCGATCGAGGGGCTTCATACGTGGCGATTACGGTAATTACAGACTGTTGTTTGATCATCGTATCTGCCAGTTAACTCAAGAGATTAATGCTGCCGTTGCTGCAGAGGACCAGCCATCCAGAAACTATGCCAGCGGCAGTGAGTTCGCACCTCGGCTGCCTTCGCCTCAGCTCCACCGGGTCGTGCCTCTTGTTCAAGTCTAAGAACCTTGGCTGCATACGCGTGCGCTGCTTGGATCGGCCAGGATCTGTGCCAAGAGCAGTGCCTTGAATGCTGTGCATGTTTGCCGGGTTGACGATTACGTGCTTCTACACAAGCATCGTCTCTTTTGCAGTTCGCCCGTGGTGCGTCCAAGAATAGCAGCCTGCTACTTTTCCGTTTCTGGCGTAGCATTTCAACAATCAACAATGGGCTTGCTCCCATTGGAACAGTATGGCGTGCACAAGATGCACATTGATGACCTAGGTGTCGACAGGCGCTACTGCGTAAAGCAAACTAACTCTACTGCCAAACTATACCGCTTTTTTACTTGCCACTCCACCCATGTCAGCAGACCCACTAGTGGTCTCGACAAGTAGGGCTCTCCCTCGCTATAATACTCGATGTCCGTATGTCAGCAACTCTATTAACTGATAATCTGCCACGATCAACATCCTCGCCAGCAAGCTGATGCGAGCTGGAGGCAGCCTAGTCACGTCACGATTAGGCTGAGTCTCGGAGGCTGCATTCTCTGCTGGTGCCCAAAATTGCAATCCTGGGTAAAGGCGCAAGATTGCTGAGAGAATTCTCATAGGCTCGCGAATGCATCCTGGGGACATTCTCGGAAAACAGCCTTTGTGATGGATCTGAATTCGGTCTGAAAAAAGAGAGCTCGCACTGACATGCTCCATCACATCGGAGGGAGGACGGGGACGCCGCCTTGTGCTTGTTTGGATAGCCCGGTATCAGAACTGGGACTATTTGCGGTCAGATCTTTTTTCAGCGAGCAGACAATGTACGGTTGCCTATCAGCACATGGCGCGGACCGGCCTTGTAAACAAAACCATCTGTCAAAACGGTTTCAATCCACAGCGCCTAAAATGGAAATGAGCACCAACACCGAAGCTGTGTATGTTTCAACACCCATTGCTGATTTCTTTTGGCATCCCCTCTTGCGTGCAATAGAGCGCTCGCTGGTACATGCATGCTGGCAGCAGCAGCTATGCGGCAATCGTAGGGTACTCCGCACGTTTATTTGCTCCTCCACTCAAATACCTCCGTGGTTCAGGATTTTTAGAAACAACTGCTTCCACAAAATTCATACTATTGCTAGTCCGTCCCCCACCTCGCCTTTCTTTTCTAAAACCCATTTTCCCTCTACTTTTTTCTCTTCTCGCCTTGTTCAAGACTACCACTGGCGAAAAGCTCTGGTTTTGGTATTATCTCTCACCTCCCTTTTTGTTTTTCCCACACACTTGTTATTCGCTGTTATTCGCATAGTCATTTGGCCACCTCCTTTGCAATTCACGTTTTTATTAGTCAGGGTTCTGCGCATAGAGCCCGCTCGTTATTGGCACAGCTGCATTCTAGTTGCGGACAGACACACAGCGGTTAAATGATTGCGCCCGAAGGAATTCGCGACGGCCGGTACTTTGCCCAGGCGCTGTACACGTTTGCAGGCGAGGGCGTCGAGGACCTGCCGTTCAAGAAAGGTAAGGCCGCAACGGCGCAGGACCGTAAGCCGCAGCTGAGGACTCTATGGCCACCAATCCAGCACAGTGCCGATGCTGGCGACTGCTCTTTCATATCTAATACCTCTTTTTGCGACAACTGGCGTGCGTGTAGGCGATGTTATCGAGGTGCTCGATTGTGGTAGGTGCACTTGGCGCAAACAATCACGCGTGGAGGAATCACCATTCTGCCATATATAGCCATGCTGTGGTTATGAGGGGTTGGGCCGGCTAGGAGATGGCAACAATGGATATAGGTGTGCTAAGCTTGGTGAATCCTTCTGTGCTTTATATACTGTAGCGGACGCGAACTGGTGGCGTGGACGGATTCTAAACACCGACGAGGACGGCCTGTTCCCGGCATGCCTGGTCAAGTTTGCGTAAGTATTCAGAGCCAGCGCTTGGCACAGAAGGAGAAAATGGACATGGGTGGGGGATAGTCGTCTGCGTCGCTGGACTGCATTCTTGGCGGCATAGGGCGAGGAGCTGTGTAGCTCTTTGGTCTATTCATACCACGGAGCAGAATCGTCCAGCATTACTGCCCTTTGTCCCTGGAATAGTCTAATAGCCACCAACACCAAAGCGCGGAGGGGTGAGCGTAGCAGGTTACTGCGGCTCACGCTCTTTTTCTGTAGAGGGATGTCTCGTGTGGAGCTGACCCGGTCGCTCATTCTTACACATCGTGCGCGGGGGCGCATGTGTGGGAGGCAAAAAGTGTACATAATCTGACCTTCTAATACCGCTTCCGCGTCTACTGTAGGGATGAGGCAACTACGCAAGAGGCGATAAAGACGGCAGAGCGGCTGGCGCGACTGCGGGATGTGCTGACTCCGGCACATATGCGGGACGCAGGCAGCAGCGGTGCGGGGTCACATAATGAGCCCAACGGCAACACGGACAGTGCAGGGTCACTGGAATCTCTTCTCTTGAACCTCGCAGACAACGAGCAGCAAGTCCAGCAGCAAAGGATCCAATCGCAGATGCCTCGCCAGCCAACACGCATGAAGCTGCTGTACGAGGACCACACACAGCCTGGCCAGGCCCCACGCAGTGCTAGCCCCATGACCCAGTACCAGAATGCAGCGCCGTCGCCGCAGAAACAGCAGCAGCCGCAGTACCTGAATGGCCCAGCACCACAGCAGTATTACCAGCAACATCAGTTCCCTATGGCACAGACCGGGCTGTGGCAGGTATCGCGCACCAACTCTCAAATGTCGACGATACAGAGCGGGACTGAGTTCAACGTATCGTTTGAAAGCATGCGTGAGGCAACTGTGCGCGCTGAGGAGGCGGCTGCTACCAATCGGCCGTCGAGCAGCCTGCTGCATGGGCCGCGGGCAATGCCTAGAGCCGAGTCGCTGCGGGCACGGGCAGACTCATCGCTCAGATCCGACGACGGCGCGTATCGCGCAGCATACGGTGTTCCTGCGCCACAGGATGGGTACAGCCAGCCGGTGCAGGCGTCGTATGCATCAATGTATTCGCATGGCGGGATGGCGAGCTCTATTGACACGTCGTCGGTGTCTATGGCATCGCTGACGACAAACACAGTGGATCCCAATAGCCTGGACCTGCGTGGCGAGTCGCGGGTTGACAAGATTCCGTCACCAGCAGAGGATGCACCGCGTTCCAAGCGACACGAGGCCGAGTATCTGTTTGAGGACTCTGATGAGGAGCGCCCCCAAGCAATGCTGTCGCCGGCCTCGGAAGGCTCAAACAGATTCTCATCGTATGTATCCACATCGTCCAGCGAGTCGACTGAGTCGACGCGGTCCAAACGACTACCAATGATCCCCGCATCAAAGAACAGCTCGGTTGTCAGTGATGTATCAGTGGGCGTCAAGGGGTCTGAAGAGAACGGAATGCTGCACCGGAGCTGGTTCAGCAGCACTGACAGCATCAATCTGGTTGGGGGAGGAGGACTGCGGGCCACGGCTGAACACAACGACAGCGAGTCGCATAAGCCGAAGGCAACAAAGAATAAGGCTCGAATCCGCCCGAATGCTGGCAGCGTGCGTATAGTCCAGACCCCTGTGGAGAAGCCTAAAGCAGCGCACGAGGCACTATATAATGGCAACTATGACACGCGCTATGATCTTGCCTCTGATTTCCAGCGCCAGATGAATTTCTCTATTGATACTCCTACCCTCAGCGACACAAACGACCTGCACCGCAGCCAGAGCACTATCCAGACCATTGCGTACTCACAGGGTACCGTTACATCAATCCAGCCACCACAGCAACCGCAGCAGCAACCGCAGCAATCAGGTCTGCCAGTTCCTCCACAGCCTGTCTCGCAGGTGCAGCAGCCACAAACGATGCGCCCGCAGTCGCAGGTCTCGCAGTTCCCACAGCAGATACCGGTGCTCCAATCTCCGATAGTGTACATGTATCAGCTGCCAGATGGCACAATGATGGGGATGGACCAGCATGGCAACCAAATACCGCTGGTGCCCACGGTGGATCATGAGGGACGGCCATTCTCATCGTTCCAGATGCAGCCCCCTCTGATGCAGTACCCAGCGCAGCAGCCGATGACACAGTATGTGGATCCAGTTACAGGCATGCCAATCAGCAACTATCAGACCGTGCCATCGCAACCGGTCAGCGCAGCAGGGTTCTACAACCAGCAGCAGATGCAGCGCCCGACGAGTAGCGTGACGCCTGTGTCTATGGAACCTGCATTCATGCAACAGCAGCAACCTCCACAGTATCAACAGCAGCAGCAGCAATCACAGCAGCAATCACAGCAGCAAGGTACGGCGACACCTGAGGCTAGCACGCAGCTTGCTGGTTTAGATACATATGGCCGCCCACGCAGCCACACAGCTGGCCCGCAACTGACAACAGCGCCTGCAGCTGCCAGCCCGCAAGGCACAATGATGCCTGGCGCCGCACAGGGCATAGTTCAGGATAGACTACAGCAGCAAACACCTACTTTGCAACAGCGACCAAGTCGTGCAGCATCAATAGCTACATCCACAATGCCGGAGTTGGCTCAGAGCGCTCCTTCCAGCCAAGCAACTACCACACCAGCTGCGGATCAAATGCGCCCAGCATCTTTTGGAAGCAGTCCCGCGCGTGGGTCAACGCTGATGCCATCGAGGTCGTCAGTGCAGATGCGCACGCCGACGGCTACTCCCGGCCAGAGCGACACAGTGAAATCCGATAACACCCAGCGACCGCGCGGCCCGCCCACCCCTACCGGCATGCAGGGCACATTCTCATCGGCACCGTCTGGTACGTTTGCACGACGCGACGGCGCAATGTCGCCGTTCCCTGCCAACATTGGGCCGTCACAGTCGCCAACATACATGAATGACCCAATGTACAGACCCCATTCCCGCACGCACTCGTCAGCTAGTGCCGGTATTCCTGATGGGTTTGTGACACAGCTAGACGAACGCGTAACTGGGTCGCTGCCTGCCAACGTGACCCCGATCAACTTTGTCAAGATGGCCAAGCCCGTGTTCAAGTTTGGTGGCACCGTGTCGCATCCGCAGATGACTAACTGGTCCAAGGTGGACCGCCAGGTAGCAATGATTAAAACCGGCTCCAGCAAGGTCAGTGCCGAGGCACTGGCCACGCAGCATGTGGGGCGACCGTTTAACACGCCGATTGAGCGGGTGCGCGCCGTCTTCATGTGGATCGCGACTAACGTGCAGTATGACACCAGTCCACCGCCTGAAAACTCGGACGAGTACGAGCAGCAAGAGCTGCCCAGCATTGTGGTGCAGCGCAAGCGGTCGCGTGGTGCCGGGTATGCGTACCTGTTCAAGGCCATGATGGACGCTCTGGGCATTGAGTGCCAGACCATCAGTGGATACATGCGACAGCCACTTGACAGTTACCGTGGAGCTGTACTGCCGGTTCCGAATCATGTATGGAACTCGGTATGTCTTGACGGCGAGTACAGGCTGGTGGACACAGCATGTGCAGCGCGCTCGCATATCATGAATCTGACCACAAAAACTGACACGTGGTTTTTCTTGGCAACGCCCAAGGAGCTCATCTACACACACTATCCGTCCCAGCCTGAGCTGCAGTACCTGGACCCTGTGGTGCCGCTGCCGATTTTCTGGATGCTGCCGTATGTGCGGCCGGCGTTTTTCCAGAGCAAAGTGAAGCTACTGAACCTGCCGCATGTCCCGCGAATCGAGCTGAAGGACGAGGAAGTTCGGCCACTGGTGCTATGTCTGCGCGACTCGACGTTGTCTGTGTTTGCCGAGGTCGAGTTGCATGACAGCAATGGTAGCGGGCGCATTGTCGCCCGACAACCACTGCTGGCACAGTGCGTTGACTACCGCGGCCAGCGCATGGTCAAGATCCTGGTGGGTGTACGCAGCCAAGACGTGCGCGGCCTAGTGAAGGTGTACTGTGGCACGCGTCTGGCATTGCAGCCGAAGCGTGCGTCCGACGGGCCGATGCCTGCGTCGCCAAGAACGGCACAGAAGCTGCTGGGATTCCTGCATAACAAGGAAAAGCGGTCGGCTACAGGCGCTGACTATTCGCGCATCAAGGATGTCGATGAAGAAGGCAGCATCAAGACCATTGCCACGTCAAAGACATATCCGCTTGCGTGTATGTTCCCGGTGGTGCATACGGGACGGCCATGTGTAGCGCCGTTCGTGCAGCCAAATGCAGCGACTCCCAACGAGTTTTACATCAAGGAGCCGGCCGAGGGCGAGTTCCGGCTGGGCGAGTCTGTGTACTTCCATTTGGTGCCTGTCGGCGACGACCGCCTGTTCCACCTGCAGCTGCGCAGCCCCAGCGGTCAGCAGCAAAAGTTTGTGTATCAGCCAAAGGACCAGGGGTACATCCTGCGGCACACGGTCAAGGAGCGCGGGGCATGGATAATCATGTACCATACTGACACCGATGGGTGGTTACCGATCGCTTCGTATAGCTGCCTGTGATATACCAGCCCCTTCACCCTCTTTCTTCTCCATGCATCATTTACAATATATTCACAGCAAGTTGCGAGTTCAACTACACTGGCTTGGCGATGTTTTGCTGTCAATTCTCAGTCGATTTACCATATAATCCCCAGCCGTATTGATTTAGTGATGATGATTTTTGAACGAGTTTCGATTTCTAGACTGAGGAAACAAGTAGACTGCGCTCTCTAGGCAGGCCACAGTTTCTTGCTTCTATTCATTGTCCCACCTCCATATCTACTGCTGTTTCTTTCATGGTAATATATATTTCATATGCATAATAGCTCGGCGCAAACCCTCTCAAGTGAAGATCAGTCCCATTGGGACACCAGAGTCTACCAACACACCAGCATCAGTCGTTAAAGCGAGATGTGATAATTATTATCCAAGACTCAAGGTCATCAAGTCGTCGCAAAAGGCAAAGAGATCTCTAAAGCCTAGCACAAATGATGGCGAAACCCTCCAGATGCCGACAGAGAACAAAAAGCAAAGCCTGACATAAGGGGTACCTGTCACAGCTCAGAAATGGCCTGGAGAGGACATTTCTGGCTCAATGGTATTGATGGATTGGGCGCAGTCATCAAGCCAAAGAACCTGACTGTGGTTGGTGCTACGCACAAAATCATTGCCAGAATAGCCAGTAGAATGGAGAATACCTTGCAAGTGCTTGTGAGTCCCAGCAAGAGCAGATGTAGCTGGCGTTGACGGGCTATCAGATTCGCATCTGAATGCAGCCAGACCCACCCATGCCTAAATTCAGCACAGCACAGCACAGACAATAAAGATGAGAAGCTGATAGCTGGACATTACACTGATTTTCTGTTGTTCCTTCTCCATGGAGTTAACAGTGACAGCAGCAATAGGGTGAGCTAACATGAAATTGGAGTTGCTGGAAAAATTGCACGAGAATCTCTTCTTGCATCAGAAAACCTAGTCGTGAGATATGTAAGCCCAGAGGCAATAGAACAAACTGATGAGTGGAATGAACACAGTATGGACTTGGAGCAGATGTTAACCAAAACTCTCAATGACATGACTGCCATCCGGAGCTTTTCCGAAAGTGCTCATTAGTGCATTTTTACTTCAGGATAAATATAGTAGGCAGTCTTTACCATGCACCACATCTGCTCAAATAACAAGTATGTTATATTCACATCACATGGAGGTAAAGCACTATGATTATGATAATTATAGTGGTGATTATTATTATTATTATGTTGCACTTGTCCAAAGATATGTTTCGTACCCAGCGATGTCAAGACCGACGTGGTGGTTTCAACTGACCCAGCGCGAACCAACGAAAACTTCTCATCAGCGCAACAGAATACCATATCATCAGAGTTTAAGGCATGATCAATCACAGCCTGTTTTCCCGGCTTCGCCAATGCGCCATGTCTGAGCTACGGCGATGATTAAAATGATTCCACACAACATTTGCAGTTTCCACTTTGTTCTCTTCCGCTTTGAAGTTGCATTTTAGTATTCCACAACTTTTTAAAACCACAGAGCAAAAATAGAGAATGTATATACCTCAGCACAGCATCTTTAACCTCCTGCAGACACTCCGCTATATCTGCCTCCCCCCGCCCTTTCCGTTCCTCTTGGATATCTGATAGATCCCTCGACGTGTTGGACAGTGCGCCAGCGCTCTGCGACGAGTGCTTCGAGGGTGTGAATCCGTATGTCATGCTGTGGCTACTAGCAGTCCCGCCTACTTGACTTATTTGATAGAAATCATCAATATTAAATGTTTGTGGTCGCTAATGCATGTAGAATATTTCTGCTTTAAATAGATACTTTTACTCGACGCCCGTGTGTTTTGCTTTTTAGTTTCGGGTGTTGCTGGTGGCTGGCTGGTCTTGTTGCCAGCGCCTTGTATATTAGTGTTGGTGCGTTTGCGCTTTGAGCCCGACAGGGGGTGTGATGGGCCGATAGTCATTGCAAAAGAGGTGGAGAATGCAGGGGTTGAAAATGCTGAATGAGTGAAGAAAAAAGTGCAAATATCCAGCAGCCCTTTGTTGACTGAATGGCCAGCCCAATCATGTCTGGCTGCGCATAAAATTAAATTCACCCTATGAATACATCGCCAATCACAAGATCAGTCTGGGATCAAATGTTTAGGCTGTTGACATATTCGGCAGTGAGGCAGGTGCCAAGACCATATAGTATTTCCGAGAATATCAGCGCTTTTTTGTAGTCGGAATTGTATCGGAGGGGATAGAAGTTGCTAGGATTTGTAATCTTGTGTATGCTGAGATATCAAACAAGCAATCCTCTCACTGGCATGGCTTGTGGCCGCAACATAATGGAACCCGCATGCTTTACCGTTCCTTAAAACCTAGGCTCAACCGATGCTCAGAGTATTTCAAAAAGGGTGACAGTTCCGATGCATGTCGGTGGATGAGGGGAATCCTAGTGAGGTCTAGATGATGTGCCTCCACCATGCCAGGGTATAAAACCCCAAGTGCCAGGCTACAGGTGTCTGCCAATCCCAGAAACCAATAAATTCTGAACCTGCCAACTCACCAATCTCTAGCCATGTCGTCGCCTGCTACTTCAGCCCAGTCGTTCACCCTCAACACGGGTGCCAAGATGCCCGCCATCGGTCTCGGGACCTGGCGTTCTGAGCCTGGACTTGTCGCCAAGGCAGTCGAGGAGGCGATCTGTGCCGGATACCGGCACATTGATGGAGCGTGGATCTACCGCAACGAACCCGAGGTCGGTGAGGGAATCCGCAACAGCGGCGTACCTAGATCCGAGCTGTTTGTCACGACCAAGCTCTGGAACACGTTCCATAAGCCCGAGGATGTTGCCAAGGGTCTCGATGAATCTCTGAGGAACCTTGGCCTGGACTATGTCGACATGTACCTCATGCACTCAACGCTCAGCATCACGCTGCCAGACAAGCCATACGAGGGCATCCCGGAGTGCGACCCCCAGGTAGACTTTGTCGAGACATACAAGGCCATGGAGAAGCTGCTGGAGACGGGCAAGACCAGGGCCATTGGTGTGTCGAACTTTTCGCAGGCCAATCTCGAGCGTCTGCTGGCTAACACCTCGGTCGTGCCGGCTACGAACCAAGTCGAATTGCATCCGTATCTGCCGCAGCCCAAGCTCGTCGAGTTCTGCAAGGCCAACAGGATCCTGGTGACGGCTTATTCGCCACTGGGCTCCACTGCTGAGTTCAATCTGCGCGATGACCCAGTAATTACCGAAATTGCCAAGGCGCGCAATGTCACGCCGTCACAGGTACTGCTTGCTTGGGGTGTTAAGCGCGGGACGGTCGTCATCCCCAAGTCGACTAACAAAGAGCGCATTATCGAGAACTTCCATCTGGCAGGCATTACCGATGAGGACTTTGCCAAGATCAACGCCATCACCCACCGGGCGCGGTTTGCCGAACCAGGCAACTTCTTTGGCAAAGCGTACCAGGGCATGTTCGGCTTCGAGGAGGCATGAGTAGCGTCTGCCAGCTATGTATCATGCTGCTAGGGTTGTTCAGTCACATCCGAGACGGCTTACTCACTGAGAATGGCGCAGCTTTGTCCAGGGCCATGCGCGGCTTAGCTATGGGCTCCGTATGCGCACTCAGCGTTCGCTTAAATACCATTTGCTGGCACCTAGTAGCGGGGATTCCGCATGGGTTTTCCAATATATACTTGTGAACGTTTAAAATCTGCTTGATCAGCACACATAGTTTTACTACTAGGAACACATGCTATCTAATACATACCTCCCAGATATCTTGACCAAAATCTTTTCTAGGCACTTACCGTTATTCTCTTTATTATTTGTGGACTGCCATGAGCGCCGATAGAAGGAAGGCTTCTGGTTCTACATATGTTGTTTCTGAAATGTATCATCTGTTGGCCCCAGAGTGCCGATACCCTCCAACGCCACCATGGTCAATCCAAACACGTCTATAATCAAATTCCAGGAGACCACCTGGCCCCTCACTTCTTTTCAGTCACCGTTTGGCTTGCTTGTTTCAAATGTGAACTTGAGAGCATTTATTACCATATCAGGTTAAGTATTTGTCTAAACCCCTCCTCACTAGTCAGTTCGATTTTATTCATTCCTGACACAGACTCATCTAAACAGCTACTTGATCACTCTGGCTGGCTGTTGCAGCTAGAGACACGGTATCCTTCATAACCAGGCTATTTGAGCGAGTGATCGCCTACAGCGTGACAAATGTAAGTATTCAGCAACAGCAACAGCAACAACAGTGTATGTGAATATGCATAACCTACCTGCCATGTGCGCAGAATCCTGCAAACCGGCACCGAGCCAAGTCGCGTACCAGAGCCGTGCACTCACAGTGTGACAGCGGATCGTTGAATTTTATTGCTCCGCGGCACGCAATCGACTTTAGGGATTCAGCGATTAGTGGTGGAACGTTAGCCAGCGCTGGCCACCCGTCCGCAGCCTCCAAATCTGGTTCCGCCGGCTGGCTATGCTGCTGACTGGCTGACAAAGCCCGCACGCCTCTAGCGCTGTGCAGCGGCCGCCACTGTGAAATTGCGATCACCAGCTCCTTCGCATATCTGTCGACTCGTCGCATGTCACCAGTGAACCGTGACACTAGCACAGTCGGAGCACATTCGATCACCACATGCGATTCTACCATATCTTGTGGATCCCGTCTTCCATCCTCACTGATAATGAAACCAAGTCTCTTGAACTTGTCGGCCTGCGACAGCGCTGTGTCACAGTCATGCCGGCTGAGTACAACCTGCACCGGTGGCATGAGCAGAGTAATGCCCTCCACATGAGCAATTGTATCTCTGACACCCAGTCCGGATATTTGAGCCAGTGCCGCGCTCAGGCTACTATAAAAGTGCTCAAGTCTGATGCGCTCGTCAGCCGCATGCTGGTCAATGGCCAGCAACACTCCATTTGACTGGCACATGATAAACTTGTTGTCCGCCTGTCCGATGACTGCTGCTGCCTGTAGCACTGCTTGTGGATCGGCCACATCAAGGTTGCCGTTGTCCATGTCAAGTGCAAGCGATTTTGCCTTTGGAATTGGCCTGCGGCCATGCCAGTCGTCCTCATGCGACACATACGGTGGTTGTCGCAGACTGGGCATCAGTGGGAACCTACAGATCACGCGCTATTTAGTGAATAAAGGCAGGACTGTTTTGCACGGCTGTCCGTCGATCCTAGCAACTTTACATACCTAGGGCGTAGCAGGCTCTGCGACTGTGTTTGTGGCCGCGACGACACAGACTCGCCACGAGCAGTGCCTTCCGCCAAATCAGTGCCTAGACTGTCGTCAGCCTTACGTTTCGTACGTGGTGGTGTGTCAATTCCATCAATGATGTACTTCATTTGTGCGTCTGTCACCAGCGAATACTTCCGTAGGAACTTTAAACAGGCCATGACAACGAGGCGCTTCATTTCGGGTGTCACCTACAACAGAATCAACCAATACAAATTCGATGTTTGGAAGCTATGAATTGTTTGGCTCGGTGTTCTGGATATAACAATGCGCTCTACTTACAGATGGGTTTTTTCGCTCCGCCCACACATCAAGCGAACCACTGCCGCCAGTGGTCTCTGATTTTGTTGTTATCATTAGCACAAACACGGGGTATTGCGCCCGCAAATCGCCGGCCGACCTGGAATCAATAGCAGGGTTTTCCTACACTGACACGGTTTGCATGAGGCATATGCTATTGGGACTATCAATGCTAAGGATTGATCCGTCCTTTTGAAGCTGCTTGCTTACCTGGCTTGTATATTGACTATTGCTAAACACGGACTCGGCCACGGCTGCCAGCGCAGGTATTGCATTTGGCGCACGGTCAACAACTACAGCAAATAGTCATAGTTTTAGCTGCCGTTTGAAATTACCCGGGCGACAGTGTAGGGAAAATATATATCATGCTACTTACATATATATTGGATTCGCTACATGGCCGTTATAGGAAGTTTAACCAAGCCAATGAGGTCAAATGATCGACATTGCACCCAAACACAGATCAGGGCATCTTACTTACAGATAGAGCAGGCTTCCTTGACACTGATCCCCGGAGCAAGTATCGTCCGAACTCCATAGAAATGAAATCGAGATCCTACACAACAAAGGTTAGGAATTCGTCAGCAGAAAATTGCATGAAAATATGTGGTGGTACGCTGGAAAAACACTGCGTTGGCCAATACGGCATTTACTTGCCTGTGCAACGCGCGGCCCATATATTTGTGCAACGCGGTGGCTCAGGGACCGAGTGCTGTTCCAGTGCAGAATTGTTGACCCGCTCCCCTCATTGACCAGCCGCAGCGAGATCTCTGGGTCAGCCAGTGCGCAGCTCAAGAGTCGCGCCCGTAGAGTGTCCAGGACTCTCCTGGTGGATTCCTGCATGATCTGTCGTCTCACTGGGTAGCTGCCAAATATGTTTTGCACCCGCACTGTGGTGTTGCTGAATTCTGATTCTGCTGCTTGCTGGACTCGGCTGCAGAGAAGCTGGCGTTCGTTGCGAACAAGGCATCTCATGTATGTGTTTGCACGCGTGCTACGGCTGGTCACGTCGATCAACCCAATGTTTGAGATGTTGGCCAGAGCTATAAAAATAAGTTTGTCAGCCTATAGCATAGCGAGATTGCAAGGCTGTGCTAACAACTGGTACCTTCTCCACGAAAGCCACGTGTGTTGCGATCGGCAAAGAGCTTGGACGTGTGATACCTTCGGCCGATGCTTTGCATTCCAATGGCGTCGATTCCACAGCCATTGTCCTGAACTGAAGCGGAGAACTGAGGCAAGTTGATGCAAATAACGATGCGAGTTGCAGAAGCATCAATGCCTACATGTAACCAATAAAGGCGGATAAGTAGTTGAAAGCCAGATTTTGCTTGTGTCACAGGCGAAAGAGGGGCGTAGCGAGTACGTACTGTTGTAGACTAGCTCTAGCACGACATCACAAATATCGGTTATCGACGCTCCTGAACGCACCAAGCGAATGCATCTGTCTGGGAGTTGCTGGATACTCATGCTGTTGGAGGTGGGGTGTGTGAATAGGCAGGAATGGAGGGAAAGCAGCAGATGGAGCGGGTTAGATGGTCGATACCCTGGGCGAGGATATAGCAGGGGCATTGCCCACCAATCACCAAGGCTCGTATGGGAGATCAAATCAGCAATTAAGCTCTCGAGATATGGCTGATCTGTGCGCTTGTAGAAAAAATTGAGAAATTCAAGTCCAAATTATTGCAATGCAAGCAGCGGGGGTTATCTCGCTGCTTGTCTTTTTGGCTCAGTCAGCACTCTCATTAGCTCAAATCCACCTCGCTCAATTCTAAAATCCGCTATAAAAATGTACAAGAAACCCTCGACCGCGCGGCAAATTCAGCACGTTTACGAGAAGCTCTTGGACGCTAAGCTGCGCGATAAGGCACCCGCCTGGCTGAAGGCAATGCAGAATACGCCAGCATCGGCGAGCCTGGTGCGCGATCCGTCGTATTTTTCGACCAAGGGTCAGCTGCCATTTGAGAAGACCAAGGCGGCGGCGGCTGGATCGGAGGCGATCGGACAGGTGTCGCGGGCGCTGCCAGTTGGCTGTGTGGCGATCAACCACCGGAAGCGCAATCTGAAGACGCGCAGCCCGAAGCCGCCCAAGATCGAGTTCCCGGAGGACTCGCTGCGTCGCGAGTTTTACAAGCGGCATCCGTTTGAGCTGCTGCGCCCGCGCATCGTCATGGAGCCAAATGGCAGAACGGAGACCAACTGGAGCCGGCTGAGCAGCGGCTCGAGCCAGGTCACTGGCGAGCAGTAAGTAGAGACATGCCGTTCCTCCCCAACAATGCGGCTATTGTGGGATTTTGTGTGTACTGTGTGCGGTTGACGAGAGCGTGTCTGGACGGCTGGGCATTGTGCGGTTTACCATGCTTTGGAAGCAGAGGCTTCCCTGGGATTCGAGCTACAATGGATGGCTCGGCACACTATGTTTCAGGCTGCATTGTGCACGTCTAGCCGGAGGTGTGCGAGCGGTATCCACATGCAGCAGTAATTTGCGTGTGCCTGTGTTCAGCACACCCTCGCTCCATGAGCCTGTCCGTCGCTTGTGTCGGATTGATTTTGGGGAGAAAATGGTGATGGACATTCTGTGTGTGGCTCGTGTCATTCGACGAGCGCGGTATTGTTCCTAGAAGCGAAGGAATGCCCCTTTTTGGCATTCTAATGTTCGTATGATGTGTGCTTTCCACTGCTTCCATTGCGGCACAAAGAGGGAGGGAGAATGGGGGGAGGAGTCATTTCTGCCGCCACCCATTCAAGCCACGCATAACTGTGTGCAAAGGAGGGAGAGGCCGCAGAGCAGCAAAGCGCATTGTAGCCAGCCGCGCAGTAGACTGGGCAAAGCTATTCAGGCTCTTTTGGCGTGCGCGCTGATTTTGGGTTGAGCCTGGAAAGGCGCAACGGCGAGTCTGGCACGCCCTCGCTGCATCTGTTGATGCGGCCTCCGTTTGTAGCTGCAATAGTGCTATTCTGGGCTGAGTTGGCTTTATTTTAGTGTGAACGACAGCTGGCATATGCATTATTTGCTGTGTGGTTCACTGTCGAAAAGGAGTGCCTGCTTGTTGAATTGACGCGGCATATCCGAATATGGCAGCTGGTCCACAAAGAGACGCGGCATGTCTTTGGAGCGATCCACACAATATGCTGAATGACAGCGTTGCATCCGGTTTATTTTTCAACTAAGCACTGCTTGGCAACACGTAGGGTTATCCGGTACCAGCACTACCTGATGGAGGCCGAGGGCCTGAGCAAGCAGGAGGCGTACTCCAAGGCCACAGACGAGTTCTACAAGGTGCGGGCGCGCGAGGAGATGGAGGCCAAGATTGCGGCGCAGGAGGCCAAGGCGTACGGAGCGCGTCCACTGGACAAGCCGTACAGCACGCACCAGCTGGCCATGGAGGACCGCGAGATCCGCAAGAGCACGCAGATTATCCAGCAGCGCCAAGAGGAGCAGCGCATGCGCAGCGTGACGACAGAGAAGATGTTTGCGGGCGAGTCGGCCTGAAAAGGCTCCCCTTTCTTAAACAATAAACGTACACCAATGTGTATTGGCGGTGTAGGAAAAGCACATGTCTGCATTCATGTATTTGTGGACCTGTGTCTCCTTTGAGATGTACAAAGGGGAGGGGCGGGACGAGAGACAATACCGTGGGTCTGCTGCTTGCATTCAAAGAGCAGTGTCTCGGCTGTCGCAGGCAAGTAATTCAAGGGGGTTTTTTCTTGCGTATGCATGGAGTGAAGGGATGCGTACAAGGCATCTTGGACAGGCCGAGGATGTGCACATGCATGTCAGGATTCCTAGACGAGGTGCATCCAGGACACAAGAAACCAAACACTGGACTCTTGGAGGGGGATGATCGCGAACACTATATTGAATTCGCAGTCTCCGATGTGGGGCTGTTTGTAAAAAGAGCAAGTATGAATCTCAGTCGATCACAACATCTCAAGCTGTGCGGCCTAGATGCTGCTAGAACTGGCTGTTGGTATTGAGGCTATTGAAGCGGGTGCTTGATGGAATGGAGACTTGGAGCGCTGATCTTCAGGGCATAATAGCGAGAAGGTTGGGGGATGGAGGGGTGTCAGACACTGCAGATCTGCGGGCGATGAGGGAGTGGGTTTTTGCCACCAGGTGTGGCGGGCGAGAAAAGTAGCAAGGGCAGCGGGCAGTAGGTTCTGGGCGAAATAACCATCTGGCATTCATTTAGACTAGGATCCCTTACGGCGTTTCTTTTGTTGGGCGGGCTTGTATGACCTGGAATCCTGCAACTGCTGGAAGAAAAAGAGCGGGGTGGTATGGCCCTCGGGTAACGGCACCCCCCGGCTGTTGTTCTCTGGTGATACGGGTACTGTTCATGCGCGCCGGTTATTGTTATTCCTAGGAAAACCTCGCTACACAGGCAAGGACAAAAGTTTGCGGGTGTCGAGGTTCCTTTTGCCAGCAGACAGCGAACAGGGGAAATTGGAAGATGGGTGCCAACAAAGAATTCGGGTGTTAGTGGTGCAAATCCCACAGAGATTAAAGCGCTGTGGCCGCCTCTTGGGCCACGCTTGCACACGCCACACCCGCCACAGGTTTTTCGTCGCTTTATATTGAGGACAATTGGGCCACCCCCTCCCCTCCTCGTCCAACTTTCCTCTAGCCTTTTTTCTTCACCTTTTCTCTTTCCAAAGAAAATACCTTTTTTCCTCGCTATATCTTATATCCCCTGTATAGAAGCAGCCGTGTAGGCGACTTTCCCACCTATTGCATAGCTTTCTTATGGCAGATAATATCCTGACACTGACATCGCTTGACGATGCCATTTCCGGAGTGCAGCAGGCACCGGCACGGCCACTGAGTGGCCGCAGAAACAAATCTTCAGATGATGTGGGCGGGCTGTGCGAGCGGGACTCAACACAGACCCGGTTGCACCAGCGCACAGCATCAGCATCCTCGCTGTCTGGAAGCACAAAAACAGAGGTGGTTCCGCAGACCAACAGCCTAAGGATAGGCATCAGGCGGCGGATGACGCAGGCCGGCGACGTGGTGGTGCCGCCACCGCTGATGGTTGCCCGCTCGGCGACCACTGGATTGCCGTACATGACATACACGACTGGCCCCACAACAGCACCGGCACAGCCCGGCAGCACAGCAGGGTTTCCGAGCGAGACCGACGCGGGATTGCGGCCGCGCAAGCGCAGCCTGTCAGTGGGTGGTGAGAATGTGTGTCGGGACTTTTTTGCGCGGCAAATCGAGCAGTACGGGCTGCAGGCGCTGCTGGGGTCGCCGGTAGGCGTGTGTCACTTCCTGGCATCGACCATTGCGGGGTTCAGCCCCGAGAACCTGCTGTTCTACCTGGAGGCCGAGCACTTTCGCACGGCAGTGTTTCCTGACGCCGAGATGCGGGCGCGGTATGCGCGCGGGCTGTACCGGTCGTTCATCTCGCATGCGGCGCCGCTAGAAATCAACATCAACCACAGCATGCGCACGCAGGTCACAAACGTGCTGCGCTCAGGTGCACCGGTCTCGCAGGTGCTGTTCCAGGAGACCCAGAGCCACACATACTCGCTGCTGGAGCAGGAGTTTGCTGCCTTCCGCCAGCGTCCCGCCTACGACCGTATGCTGGCCGAGCTGACTGCCGGCCGCAAGGACGCAGGCCAGCGTGCTGTCGCTGCACTCTACGATGCCCTGGCGTCCACCTACAATGTTCACCGCCTGGCGCCTGGCAAGCACCGCCTGGTGGCCTCGGAGTGCCCGGCGTTTGTCAAGTTCGCCGACATGGAGCTGACCAGCAGCGACCTGCGCGTGGCTCTACCGGCGTGGCTCTGCCGCACCACCGTGCGTCTGCTGGATGTGGCCATGCCCGAGTCGCCCGAGGAAGCGAGCCGGCTCCAAAGCGCCGACGCTCAGCAGGCGCTGTCATTCTCGCGTCCGTCGGTCTCCGCTCCAGCACCCTCGCCGCGTGTGCATCTGGCGCGCAAGACGTCGGCAGCCGCTGCCTACGGCACTGAGAAGAAGGCCAGCAAGCAGAAATCGTTCCAGCGCCTGCGTACTCGCTTCCAGAGCGATGCTGCTGAGACGGAGGTACCACGGTCGCCGCCCACGAAGCCGCGGTGGGTTGCAACGCTGCTGGGCTCGCGTCGTCGCAAGGCGTGAGCTTTGTTACTGAAAATACTCTCTCCCCTGTCTATACCATCTACTAAGCCTGCTTATCCTTTTTAATTAGACCTAGCATTATTACTCTTCTTTCCACCCTACAGCCTGCATTCATACATCTCTTTACGCAAAGACACCCATTCATGAATCGTGAACATCCGCAGGCGAGGCACTCGCACATCCTGCATCCTGCTGCATATGTATGTCTGGGCCAGGTGGCAAACCGGCTCGGCTCATCGGCTCGGAGCCGCTGCTCAACTGGCTGTTCGTCTGGCCCCAATAAAAAAATTATTTTTCGATTTCACTGCTTCCGCTCGCGTATTGTTTTTTGTACCTACTGAAATGACGTCCAGATTGCCTCCCGATCTGCTGCAGCTCTTCACACCGCGGCCGCAGCTCAAACACCTGGAGCCGCTGGACCGCGCACCCGACGACAGACCGCGGCCGCAAATAACAGGGTTGGGCGCGTACATGTCGGAGCTGCAGCACGCGCCAAAGTTCGAGTATGTGGAGACCCCACAGGAGCGCAAGCAGCGGCGGAAGAAGGAGCGGGCGACCCAGGCACGCGAGACGATAGCGCGCGAGAGCATCCGATGGAACCCGCACCTGAATGTGCATGCGACCGATGACCCGTACAAGACCATAATAGTAGCGCGCCTGAACTACGACACTACCGAGGATGACCTGCGCAAGGAGTTCGAGCCGTACGGCGAAATTGTGTCAGTGCGTATGGTGAACGACACCGAGGGCAATTTCCGCGGCTACGCCTTCATTGAGTACAAGCATGAGGCTGATATGCGCGAGGCTTTCAATGCTGCCGACGGCATGCGCATCCTGGGCCGTCGCATCGTCGTCGATGTCGAGCGCGGCCGCACCGTCAAGGGCTGGGCTCCGCGCAGATTCGGCGGCGGCCTGGGCGGTACACGTGTGGGCGGTAAGGATACGAACCAGAAGGACCCTGGTCGCTTTGACCCTGCCATGCCGCCTGAGCCCGAGCGCAAGTACGAGCCCAGAAATCGGGACCGCCTTGCGCGCACCCGCGACTCGGCCGACCAGTACCGCGGGAGGGCCTACCAGTCGTCCAGGAGCGCTGGGTATGAGGGACGCGATCGGGATAGGAGCCGCGGCAGGGACTATGATAGAAGGGATCGTGGATATGATAGGGACCGCGAGAGAGACCGGAGAAGAGATAGCGATAGGGACCGGGACCGTGGAAGGCGCGAGTCGCGGTACCGGAGTCGGTCCCCAGCCTCGCGATCCTCGCGCCGCGACCGATCGGGCGACCGTGGGTCATCGTATCATAGCCGTCGCTACTAGGTATTGCTTTGCTCCCTTTTTTGCTGCTGTTTCGTAAGTGTACCCTTCCCCCTTTTCTTCTTGCCTCCCTATATCCTTTTCTTATACTCCTTCCGCGGTGTGCACCGCTCTGTCTGCGTGAGCCAAACAGGGCGACAAGTTAGCAGGTTTAATCTTCTTTTGCTGAGGTAACGTATACAAATTTTACAGGCTGAACCGAAAATGCAGTGAAACCGCGAAAAGGTAAGTAAAGGATCGTTTGATGTTTGCCACTGGGCTGCCCTGGTTGACTCTTTTCTTCGTTTTTCTTGCTCTGTCGCCTTTTCGCAATATTCTTCAAGCAAATAAATTTCATAATGAGTCGTCCTATTTTGCCAGTGAACCGGTATGTCGAACGCAAAGCCGTCAAGGAGGGGACGTGCTTCATCTGTGGATACTTTACGCCAAGCATATTTGTCACGGAGAACGATGCGCCTCGCGACTGGTTCTTCGTGTGTCCAAAGCACACCACTGAAACGAGCTTCTGCACGCTTATCGAGGGGGGGCAAGTACCAGAGCCCGCACAGGACGTGGACGGGATGAAGGAGCCAGAGGTGAAGAAAAAGGAGAAGTCGGACGGCAAGGACGCAAAGGACGAAACCAAAAAGGGCAGCGAAAGGGAGGAAGACTCAAAGTCGCCCACGCCGCCCCCTGCGCCGGCTGCTCCCACGCGCAAGGTCTATACGCTGCACCGCGACTACATGTACTTGCGCCAGCGCCCGTTTATCCAGCGGTGGGAGAAAGAACAGGCCGACCTGCTGGCCCAGCGCCTGCCCAGCGTGCCCAAGCACAGACCATCCTGAGTCCCATGACGTGGTCACTCCCGTTGAATCAACAGTACTCTACATTGGAGCAGGCAGTTCGGGTATCCTGCCAACAAGTTTTTACGCTGCGCTCCAATACATCCCTCTCCTTTCTGTAATGTCCAAACAACCGCCAGCAAAGAAGCCCGCCAAACTTGTGTCGACGTCGGGCGTCAAAGTACAGCGATACTTCCCTGGGAAGGCGCCGGAGCTCGACGTTGACCTGTCCGATGACGACGAGCCGCAGGAGCAGCCGCTGCAGCCGTCCAAAATCACGATCCGTGCGCCTGCAGATGTTTCTGATGCTGAGTCTGACGACCAGTCGAAGCGGCTGTTGCAGGAGCGGCTGAGGGCACGGCAGATGGCCGATGCGGACAGCCAGGAGTCAAGTAGCAGCAGCAGCGATGAGGAAGACGAGATCCGGGCGACAGAGGCGCGGCGGCGAGCGGCTATGCGCCGCCAGACACAGAGCAGCGCTGAGTCCGGTGAGGACGACGAGTCCAGCGGAGAAGACGAATCTAGTGGGGAAGATGAGTCCAGCGAAGACGACGGGTATGCCACCCGCCCGCTATTCAAGCCGGTCTTTGTGCCTAAATCGCAGCGTCAGGCACCCGAGGTCATGCCCGACCCCCACCCAGACGATGCCGATCTGCTGGAGAAGAAAAAGCAGGAGCGCCGCCAGGAGTCTGTGCGCCGCGCCGCCGAGCAGGCCAAGCACGACCGGGAGGCACCGGAAATCGAGACAAACGACATTTCGGCCATCGATGACACTGACGATCTGGATCCGGCTGCGGAGTTTGAGGCATGGAAACTGCGCGAGCTGCTGCGGATCAAGCGCGACAAGGAGGAGCGGGAGCTGGCGGATCTGGAGGAGCTAGAGCAGGAGCGACTCAGGAACATGACTGAGGAGGAGAAGCAGAGGCTGGGGTTGGAGCGGGAGAGGAGGCAGCAGATTGAGAAGCTTAGGGCCAAGGACGACGAGGTGCGGACCAAGGGCGCCTTTTTCCAGGCCGAGTGATTAGCCGTAATCGTCTCTTGGCATTTGTCATCGCTGGCCATATAACAACCCCTGGGTGGACCGCGATCTGTTGAACCATCAGTCGTCTATTTGCTTCCTAGAAACTTTTTTGCTGTCCAACTTGTGCATTTTTCTCAGTCAGAATTTCAAATGGCAGACAAAGACAGCAACCCTCTGGCTATGTTCAGCGCTATGAGCGGTGGATCGAAGGGCGATGCAAAGGATGCAAAGGATGCAAAGGATGCAAAGAAGCCCTGCCGGGTTTGCGACTCATTCAAGACTTGGCGGCGAAAGGACGCAAAGAAGCATGCCAAAGAGCACGATGCAAAGAGCGCTGGCGCCGCTGCCGCCGCCGGTGGCCTTGCCTCCTCGGCCTCCTCAGTCTCTTCGGTCACCACTGCTGTCTCCGACGACAGCTGCCCGCCAGACTCGCAGATCCTGGGTCGCGCAACCTGGACGTTCCTGCACACCATGGCCGCCTACTACCCGGAGAAGGCGGAGGCGAAACAGCAAGAGATGATGACCAGTCTGCTCACCAGCTTCTCACACTTCTACCCGTGCGGGCGATGCGCGTCACACCTGCGCCAGGAGATGGCAAAGCGGCCACCGCCAGTCGACACGCGCTACAACCTGTCCCAGTGGCTCTGCCGCACGCATAATAAGGTCAACGTAATGCTAGGCAAGGACGAGTTTGACTGCAGCAAGATTGACGAGCGCTGGCGTGACGGGCCCAGCGACGGCCGCTGCAGCTGGGCACAGGACGTGGAGTATTAAGACCAATATATTTAGTGGAACTTTAGGCTGATGCTGTTGACACAGTGCCGCTCGTCTGTGGGCGTCTTGTAGCCCTCGCCCTTGAATACGTGGCCCAGGTGCGAGTCGCAGTTGGCGCAGACTATCTCAGTGCGCACCATGCCTAGTGATCGGTCCTCGTTGCGCTTGACTGCGCCAGGAATTGCGTCAAAGAACGCCGGCCAGCCGCACCCCGAGTCGAACTTTGTCGCGGACTTGTAGAGCGGCGCGTTGCAGGCGCCGCAATGGTACACTCCCGTGTCGAACTTTTTGTTGTACTCGCCTGTGCCTGGCGCCTCGGTTCCCTTCTGCCGTAGGACACGGAATTGCTCAGGGGACAGAATCGCCTGCCATTCGCTCTCGCTCTTGCTTGCAGTCATTCTGGAAAACCTGGTGGTATGGAAAGAGGTGTGCTGAGAATAGAGCAAAGAAAGGCGTGGTAAAATGCGTTTCATTTTTAAAAGAAAAGAAAAAGAAAAGAGAAAGCACCCTGTTGGCATCGCATAGATTGCTAGAGGTTTCAAAAGATCAAGCACTGTGCCTAGTCCTGAAACTCGCCAAGACGCTTGGCAAGTGCCAATATCAAGCAGACAATGCACATGCGATGTTGCACACGATAGCAATAAACCCAGGCATCTGCATATGGATATCACTTGATCAATACATAGCAATTTACAGACTGCCCAAGCACATTTGGTTCTTGAGCCCCTTGCCATGGTTTGAAATGTTGCTGCTGCTCGAGGCATGGGAGGTTTGTGGCCTGCGGCTTACCACCGGCCCATTTATAGCCATCCTTATGTATTTGTCAGTTCTAGCATATAAGCACTGTTTCTCTTTTCAGAATGCATAGAATGCAGCGCTTTCTGAGAAACATCTCAAGATGTGATAGCTGTTCTAGACTCTTGTTGCTCGTTTTATAGCATTGCTACTCAATATGCCACTCTATTTTATATACTGCAGACCCAAAAGATGACCGATATGGAACCCCACACTCGTATACAGCCGTGACAACCCAGCTTCAAACGGAATTTTCACTATCCCAGGACGTGTTATTGTATAAGGAAACTGCTGGAGAGGATATCGCTATTCCAGATAGCAACAGCCACATGAATAGTGAATTCGTTTGGTGTTTAGCAAGAGTACTACCTAAACAACTTGTACAAGGACTGTTAACCTTGGGGATGGGACAAGTGTTTATGAGCGTGCATGTGAGCAAAATAAAAGGTGAAACAAGATTGACTGAAGGGAAAGGGGAGGGTCCGGTCGGCCTGAGGTCTGATTTTATGTGGTTTGGTTGTTGGCATGGTGACGTGTGGGAGTGGATCGGCACTCCAATGTCAACAATACATGCTCACAGCTGCCGTCGAGGAGCCAGGGATGAAGTTGACTGCATCGAATATCGTATTGCTGTTTAATTCCGGTACCACTATTGGGCGCTTTCTGTCTGGGTCTATAGTGGATGTACTCAGCCCACTCAACACCAACTTGGCGGCAAATGGTCTGATATGCATCCTGGTATTTGTCTTTCTATAAGGTATCAAGACGACTGCTGGGTACTACATCTTCATTACCATCTACGGTACACTGGTATCATTATATTTAGCTATCAATGCGCATACCTTGACCAGCGAATTTGGTTCTCAGGCTATTGTCTCGGCAATCGGATTGAACACCGTATGCTTTGGTATTGGCACGCTCATCGGAGTTCTAATACAAATTGCTCTCTTCAAGAAATACAATCGTCCTCACAATAGGTTCACACCAGTGGCTGTATGGGCTGGTATATGCTTTGCCCTGGTATCGGTATGCTATGCCATTCTTCGCATCCTGCCAGTCAGAAAACATAACAGTTTTCACTTTTCAAAGACACAGTTGGTAGTATTATGAGCATTATACAGGCATAACCAATGCTGCCTGTAAGATAGATTAGGGCTACAGCCAATATGTTATTCTACCATTGTACAATATTTCCTGATAACCAAATGTGTCATGGTATACGAATGGACACTTTGGAATACCAGCTGGCCATCATAAATTATGAATCCCTTCTCCTTAATTTGTGGTGTTGTCCTCAGCCCGAAGCGTTAAAAGGCCAGTGGCGGTGGCTTTCAAAGTCCCCGCATATAGTGAACTAGACTCAGAGCTGCAATATTTTGTCAACAGAATCTTCCTCTTCAGCGCCTATCCCATTTTGTGCCTTTTAGTACATATCTTATATTGCGTAGTATACTAGTTTCGTATAGGCTAACAACCTAACTATGAACATGACCGAAGCCTCACTCGGAGGCTCAGATGTCGCAATATCACCAAAAACAACATGTTCGCTATCTCAAGATGCGCTGACAGACAGCACTGCGACTAAAATAGTGTCTACACAGTCAGAAATTGATGGCGCTATCGAGCTTGCACCTCCCGATAGTACGTATGCCTGGTTCATTGTGGTTGCAGCGTTTTTAAACCTAGCAACCACCATGGGAACGCTGAATTCGTTCGGTGTTTACCAAGAATACTACCTGAACGACCTGTACAAGAACGACTCGGCAGGAGTCATTGCATGGATATCGACTCTCAACATATTCTGTACGTTCTTTGGATCGGTCGTGACAGGGAAGCTGACAGACGAGTTTGGGTTCCGCATTACATGCCTTGCGGGTGCAATTATTTGCGGCGTAGCTCTGATTTTGGCATCGTTCACGCACACGGTTTGGCAGCTGATGTTAACCCAAGACATTATGCTTGGGCTTGGTACCTCGTTGGTATTCTCTCCTTCCATGTCGGTTGTCGCTCAGTGGAACGTCAAACATCGCATTCTGGCAACAGGGATCGCGGTTTCAGGTGGTGGCGTAGGGGGAATGATCATCTCAAACGCCACACGAAGGATGATTGATGGTATTGGCTATTGCTGGTCGCTGCGCGTGCTGGGGCTACTTGTTACCGCAATCAGCGGTTCGGCATCGCTAGTCTACAAACGTCGAATGTCTGCACCCAAAACTGGAAATAGCGCATTGCTATTTAATCTGTTTAGGGACCCACGCTTCCTTTGCATTAATGCTGCTCTCATGTTCTTGGACTTTGCGTTTTACGAACCAATGCTGTACATGCCCACAGCAGCCGTTAATGAAACCGGACTAAAGACGACAGCCTCGAATATCGTGCTAGTATTTAATGCTGGCACAGCTGCTGGCCGTGTTCTGTCTGGACCTATAGCGGATTTGCTCGGCCCACACAATACTAACTTGGCGGCAAATAGTCTGATATGTGTTTTGATATTTGTTTTTATGCAGGGGGTCAAGACGATTGCTGGGTATTACGCGTTCATTTCCCTGTATGGCATACTCTGCACATTGTATCTGGCCATCAATGTGCACATCCTGGCTGACGAGTTTGGCACCCAGGCTATTGCCACTGCAGTCGGATTGAACACCGCGTGCTCTGGAGTTGGCTCACTGGTTGGGAACCCAGTGCTAGGTGCCCTTTACGAGAATTACGATCGTCCTCATGACAGATTCACGGCAGTGACAGTGTGGGCTGGTATGAGCTACGCCGTTGTGACATTGTGTTATGCTGCTCTACGCTTTGTGGTCGCCAGAAAACACAGCTATCCTCACTTTTCAAAGATGTAGAGTCTTCTAATATATTTCTGGTATCAACCCATGAAACATGCTTAAAATTAGCTATATATCAAGGAACCCACTCATCAAGAGCATACCAGTAGATATCATGGTAGAAAGTAAAACTATGGATTCTTCAATGCTGGTGCTACTACCTTACTTTATTTGAATAATATTTACCACTGCGCAACCAAGCCTGTATAATCCAGAAACGGCTGTCTACTGACTATCCACTCCTAACAAATCATTTATATAAATGAAAACCTTGAAGCGTAACATTTTGTCTGGTCCAAAACGAATGCATCCAAAAGCTTGTGAAATTTAGCTTCAGGAGTCACTGCACCCACCGTTCAACTTCAGATTGCATATACTGCCGCCTTTATATCCCTCACAATATTTACTATATTTATTGTATTATGACTCTTATTAGCACACCCGACACTGTCTCTCTGATGAGCTACGAGATACACATCAAAACCAAGTCCAGCAGCAGTCATTTGCATGATCAGGATTCACTCACAGACAAAGGTGCAGCTGAGGAAGAGCATGCGGGAAATTGTTCTCATAGCAGCGATGAAATAGTTGAATTCGCGCCCCCTGATGCCAAATACGCGTGGTTCATTGCTGCCGCTTCATTCTGTAATATGGCATCTGCCATCGGCATACAAAACGCCTTTGGGGTATACCAAGAGTATTACCTAAACGACCTGTACCGGGACGACTCTGCGGTTGCTATCTCCTGGATATCAACATTGAGCACATTCTGCATGTGCTTCGGGTCAATTGTGACGGGCAAACTAACCGACAAGTTTGGGTTCCGTATCACCTGTTTTGCAGGAGCGATAATGTGTGGCGTGGCATTGATTCTTGCGTCATTTGCACATACACTATGGCAGCTGATTCTTGCGCAGGGTATCATGCTTGGATTGGGATCAGCCCTCATCCTCTCTCCATCCATGTCAATCGTTGCTCAGTGGCATGTCAAACATCGGATTCTGGCAACAGGCATCGCTGTATCGGGGTGTGGACTCGGAGGAATGGTACTGACGGGGGCAGCTCAGATTATGATGGGTAATATCGGCTACCGCTGGTCGCTGCGCGTGCTGGGGCTGCTTGTTGCTTCAGTGAGCGGATCCATGTCTCTCATCTATAAGCGTCGTGTTTCTGCATCAAGGAACAGTAACACAAAACTTCTCTATTCCCTATGCAAAGATGTGCGATTCCTATGTATTAGTAGTGCCGTTACACTTGTCAACATGGGAGGCTATGAGCCGACTCTTTACGTGCCAACAGCTGTTGCCATGGGGGGTGGGTCTAGGGCAACCTCGTCAGATATTGTTTTGATGCTCAACGCAGGTATAGCGGCTGGATGCATTTTATCTAGCCCCCTTTCAGCTGTGCTCGGCCCTCTCACTGCCAACATGCTATCGAACATTATATCTTTTGTTCTGATATTTGTATTCCTGCAAGGGGTCAAGACAATTGCAGGCTACTTTGTGTTTAGTGCCATGTTTGGTGCTTTATCATCAATCTATCTGGCAATTAACACGGATATTCTGGCGAAAGAATTCGGCACACATGTCATTGCTACATCAGCTGGGTTGAGCATGGCGTGCTGTGGGATTGGCGTGCTTATTGGAATTCCAGTGCAGGGCACCCTTTACGAAACCTATGACCGCCCGCTCAATAGGTTTACAGCTGTGACTGCATGGGCTGGCGCATGCTTTGCGTTAGCATCTGTGTGCTATACAGCATTGCGCATCATAGTTGTTCGCAGGACCAAGGTCTCTTTCTTTTCCAAGGTATGAATATTCAATACAGACTTTAGTCAAAGCAATGCAGCTGGTAGTTCAGTGTTACGCATATTGCTGTAGAGGTAGGCTCCAATGTGTTTGAGGGTTTTAGACATGCGTCATGCCGAACCGATTACAATTATAATTGATCACAGGACAGGATTACCAGTACCTAGAGCTTTTTCGATTGCCATTTCTTCAAAAAAAATTTGAACTGGCTGTCTTTAACTCGTATATTTTTACGCACCTTTACATTACAGAAAAATGCCCAAGGCATCGAAGAAGAAGCAGAGAAAGGCAGAGGACTTTAAGAAGGTCAAGCTGAAGGTCGGCAAAAAGAAGGCACCGCCGACTAATGCGACCGACACGTCGTTCACGTCAAAGTCGATCACGCTCGGAGCCCAATCGATTACGGCTGACAAGACAGCAGCTCTGACAAACTCGCGCAAACTGACGCTCAAGGATGTGCTGACACAGATGCGGCATTATAGTGCAGTGAATCGCAAGGACGCAGTCCTGGGCCTGACCGATTTTCTGTCGCTCCACCCAGAGGTACTGAACACAGAGCTTGGATCGATTGTCGACGGGACAGTGAAGCTAATCGTGGATAATGAACCGGCGGTGCGCAGGGTATTGCTGAAGCTTTACTCGACATATCTGCCTGATATCCCGCGACGCGAATTGGCGCCGTTCATGCCGTTGATGGTCATTTTCACTTGTTCGGGCATGACGCATATTCTGGACGATATCCGATCCGACGCAGTAAAGTTCCTGAACCTGCTGATTGAGCTGGCTCCGCAAGACCTGTCGCAGTATGCATCAAAAATTCTGCCCAATTTCTTCAGCCTGCTGGAAACCAGCACGCAGTCTAATGAAGAAGCGCGAGGCTCGGCATCGCTGAATTCGCGGGCTAGTCTACTGACCAAGGGAAATCGGCTTGATATTATGCGTAGCTGCTATAACTACCTGAAAGCCTACACAGATCCGCTGCTCAGAAGCGACGATCCACTCGGGTTTATGTCGCCAGATGTGCAGGACCCATCCCACCAAAGCAGAGATGATGAGGAACACCACTCGTGGCAGTACCCAGACAGCAGCCTGTACTTCTATCCAAATACGCCGGCGCCCTTTGCGCATCTTAATCTGTTTGGCGAAAGTGTCGGAGTCGGTGCGTTGTCTGATGCAACCAGCGGCGATGCCAATGCGGCGATTCGGGCGCAGAGCAAGGAGGCATTTACGAGGCTGTTCCAGTTCCTGCAAGCGACATGGATGGAGTCGTCGACCATGTTTGGTACGAACCAGATTTCAGACGACCAGTCGCTGGATCTGTGCGGATTTGTGATGCGGATTCTACGGACACTATGGCAGGCATCGTACCAGGACGGCATTCCGCTCGCCGACACGCAGCTGTTTGCGTTTGCGCGGCAATGCATGGTGCATTTCCCATTTGGCGGTGCTTATGTTGGCAACAGTGTAGTCGAAGAGTCGCTGCTGGCGATGAACATCAGGGTGTGCGAACTGGTTGCGCTGCTCAGGTCGGGTGCAGCCGAGAGTTCCAACGAGAAGGCGGTGGCCGAGGTCGGCAAGTGGACCAAGCGCTGCGTCAAGTTCATTCTCGCCACGCTCGGATTCAAGCTGGGCAAGACGCAGGTTCAGGTCAGCGCTTCGTTCCGGCACGAGCACTTTGTCGAGCTGCTGCCGGTGGTCTGGCGCTTGGTGCACGGCGGCAACAACAAGTATGCCGATAAGCTGCTAGTGGCCGTGATCCACTATGCCGACGTGTGCCCGTTAGCGTCAGCCAACAAGACGCTGTGCATCCGGTTCCTGCGATCCATCATCGAGATCCAGTGGTCCAGGGCTTCTACAGACCGTGTTGTTGTGGGCACGCAGGGCCAGCTATCGGGGATGCTGGCGGGCTGGGCGCTGGGTCTGCCTAAGCTGCTGTGGCAGCTGCGCGACAAGAATTTTGCTGCCAGTCGGGCGGCCATTGAGACGCTGCGGCTTATTAACCAGCGCACCAGGCTGCTGGATGCGCAGCAGGTCGACACACTGCAGTCCAGCCTAGTGACGCTGTTCTGCGTGACAGTGCCAAGCAAGGGGACGGTGTTTGGGCCGTTCAAGCAGTACCCGAGTGATCTACAGTGCGCGGTTCTTGAGACAGTCCACTACTGCCCGCGGCGATCGGAGAGGCTGGCACAAGCCATGCAAGCGTGCCAAGATGGCATTGCGGGCGGCAGAGTCAAAGCCCTGCTTGACGAGCTCGTGGCCGCGCCTGCCGTGTGCTGACTAAAAAAGAGAGAATCAATAAAATAACCGGTTCTTGGATGCAGCAGAGTAGTGGTTCTGGTTGGGTTCGCCATAGAAAGGGCCGATGGCGCCATCGCCGAGCCAGGGGAGACGGCCTGCAAGCAGCCATAGCCGAGTCAGCCAGGGAACAGCTGCTCTACGCTACAATGATCAACCCCACCTCCGCTGTGATTTTGGACCTTTTTGGGGGGATTCAGGCCTTGCTGTGCAGCGCTGAGAGGTTTAAAAGGCAGTCCCTATCTCCCCGCGCATGCCGTCAGCCTAATTTCCACCGAATCTCTCTTCCTTGTCCATTTCCCAAATCGAATTGCTCAGTATGTTTGCTGCTACGAAGCTCGCCACACGCTCCGCGTTCCGCCACAACTGGGTGCGGTTCTCATCTACTGCTGCCGCCGCATCGTCCTACAAGCTTGTTGTTGTGGGCGGCGGTGCCGCTGGCCTGGCTGTGTCCTCGACGCTGGCGCAGAAGCTGGGAAAGAACGAGGTGGCAGTGATTGAGCCGTCCGCCGTGCACTACCAGCAGCCGCTGTTTACCTTTGTCGGTGGCGGCCTCAAGGACTTCAGCGAGACCCACCGGCCGATGGGTGAGCTGATCGACGGGAATGCCAAGTGGATCCAGCAGGCCGCGGCCGAGATCGACCCGGAGGCCAACACGGTGACTCTGGCCGACGGCTCCAAGGTGTCGTATGATTACCTGGTGGTCGCAGCGGGCATTGAGCTGAACTTTGGCGGCATCAAGGGTCTGGAGCAGGCGATTGGCAAGAACGGCGTTGCAAGCAACTACTCGCCGCAGTATGTGGAGAAAACGCACGAGTTCCTGCAGAATGTCCAGGGCGGCAATGCGCTGTTCACAATGCCGGCGACCCCGATCAAGTGCGCTGGTGCGCCGCAGAAGATTGCGTATCTGGCCGACGAGATGTTCCGCGAGAAGGGCATCCGCGACAAGGTCAACGTTAACTACTACACCGCCCTGGGCAAGATCTTCGCCATCGACAAGTATGCTAACGCGATGAACGGAATTGCCAAGAGCCGCGACGTCAATGTCAACCTGTTCCACGATCTGGTCGAGGTCGATGGCGCCAACAAGAAGGCTACCTTCAAGGTGCTCGGCAGCGGCCCCAATGCCGGCGAGACCGTCACTGTCCCGTACGAGTTCCTGCACGTCACTCCGCCGATGAAGCCCTTCGACTTCATCAAGAACAGCAAGATCGCCAATGCTGCCGGCTATGTCGATGTCAACCAGGCCACGCTGCAGCACAACAAGTACTCCAACGTGTACTCGCTTGGTGACTGCTCGTCGCTGCCGACCTCCAAGACTGCCGCTGCCGCCGCTGCCCAGTCGCACGTGCTCAAGCAGAACCTGCTGAACCAGATCCAGGGCAAGGACGTCCCTGCTGTCGAGTACAACGGCTATACTTCGTGCCCACTGGTCACTGGCAAGCACAAGCTGGTGCTGGCCGAGTTCTCTGGCTACACCGGTACTCCGCACGAGACCTTCTTCTTCAACCAGGCCAACGAGCACGCCTTCTCGTACTGGCTCACCGCCGAGGCTCTGCCCTCGGTCTACTGGAACTCGATGGTCAAGGGCACCTGGAAGGGTCCTTCGACTATCCGCAAGCTGACCAACCCGGCCAACGCCAACTAAACTGTTTTTGCCCTTCGTGTCTCTAGTTGTTTTCAAATTTATATCGTTCCGCATTCATGTGGTGTCGCATGTGGGGGTGCCTATGTTGTGGACAGGAGTGTGTGCTGTTGTACCATATCTCGATCAGAATGTGCGACTGGTATATTTTCCGATCCATTGATTTTTAATAGGCATGTGCCCCACGATGCGATGCGCGCTAGATATTAACCACTACACAATTTATGCATACGAACGGCGACGACGAGCGACCCGCCCTTGGGTTTGACGATAGTTCTGACGAAGAGGCGTACAATGAGGCAAAGCTGCTGTCTCAGCGCCGCGGCCAGAAGACTAGGGAAGAGCAGATGCTTGGCGTTTGGGCTGAAGGTGCTGCCGATTCTGACCAAGCAATGCACCGCATCTCCCACATCAACCCTCTAAAACCAGTTGGGTTCGTACCTGGTGGAAGCACTGAAGACATGGATGTAGTCGACCCGTTAGAAGATGCACCTGGTGTAGAAAAGCAGTCTACTACCACGGAAACAAGGCACACAAGACCATCACCCACGAAAGGAAAGGACACAGCAGACACCACAGACGATTCCTCGAGCGAGTCAAGTAGCAGGGATTCATCCAGCGATTCATCCAGCGACCCTGAATCGAGCGACGAAGAGGAGGTGGCCAAGAAGCCGGTGCGCGCCGCGCCGAGCAAGGATTTTGGCAAGTTTGCCAATTCCACAGTCTGGTCAATGATGGAAAAGATGGGCTACAAGCACGGCGAGGGCCTGGGAAAGCACGGCGAGGGCCGCATCGAGCCTGTCGAAGTGACATTGCGGCGGGCTGGCGAGGGAATCTCGTACAGTGGCAGCGAAAGGCCACAGAGCGAGAAACCTAGACACAAGCCGCAGGCTAAAGGCCGGGGCTCGAGGCCGCAGAGTGGAACGTCAACGCCACGTGCTGACGGACACAGGGTGGGTCCACGCAAGAAGACACAGTACAAGACCTTGGATGAGCTGCAAGCGACGACCGAGCAGACATTCAGAGATATCTTTGTTGATATGACGACGAACACAGAGGTTGGATCGATGGCTGAACTGGCAGCAAAGAGGCCCGATGTCAAGGCAAAGGATAAGCTGGCAAATGAAGTGCGGCTAGGGCTCGATCTGGCGCTGAGCCGGCAGGATTCGCTGGTGCGCGAAAAGGAGATTGAGAGGAGGCGGCTGGCAGGACTGCAGCAGGAGATGCAGGCATTGACTTTAGGCACTGCTCAGCGGAAGGCAAGAATCGACCATCTGCGGGCAATGAAGGAGGGAGTCGCAAGCGTGCTCAGCGTGTCTAGCGAGACAAGTGTCGAGTCGGCAGAGTTGGCAGCGGATGATCTAGCGGAACTATTTATGGCGCACGAGCGTATATATGAGACGGCCAGGCATGCGCAAGAGACCAGCGGGTTCGACGTGTGGACAGAGCTGTCGCTGGAGAAGATTGTGACCAGCACACTCTATAGCCACTATACCCGGATATTCCGAGCCTGGGAGCCGACTGGCCATCCAGAGCTGATTGCCCGCATAGTCAGCCCGATACTAAGATACACATCGGTTAATGAGGCTGATTCGCTGGCTGAGGAGATGACACCGGTCGAGTCGCTGCTTAACCGGACGGCAGTGCCGCGTCTAAGGCAGTTTTTGCACAGCCAGTGGGACCCGCTGACCGACGATCTGGTACAAATCCTTGATGGGCTGCCACCAGTACTTGTGCAAGTTGTTGCTGACGACATTTCTACGGTTCTACAGCAGTTTGTCGACAATATCAGCCCTCGGCTGATCATGGAGCGGTATCGACAGATGCAGGATAAGCCTTCTGACGACCGAGCTGCAGCACTCGCCGACCTACGCATTGACCGCATTTTGCTCCCTTGGCTGCCATTGATTCATGACCACGACGCTCTGCTGACAGCCATCCGCAGCAAGCTGTGCACAGCCTTGGACAAGTGGACACCATCCAAGGAGAACAATAGTGATATCATGGCGCTAGTGTCGCCGTGGATGGAGGTTTTCGATGGCAAAGATTTGCGCAGGCTAAGCACAAAGGTGTCATCACGGCTCGAGGACATGCTGCGTGCAGAGTTCCGGTTTGATGCGCAGAGGCAGGTCGTCTGGCCATTCAAGGTTGTGCTAAAGTGGCATTCGCTCTTGCCGTTTGCACCGTGGTTTGCAGTGGTGCGCAGAGGTGTTCTCAATGGCTTTATAGACTACTTGCGTAGGTGGTTGTCAGATCCAGGAGCCAATTACGCCGAGATCGCCGACTGGTACTGGGCCTGGAAGAGCCTGTACCCGCAGGAGATCTTTGAGCGGAGTGAGGTACAGCAAGAGTTCCGCAAGCCGCTGGTGTATATGTCTTACGCAATGTCATTACGGGGGTCAACACAAGAATAAATCACGGCTCTATGCCTCCATCAGGCTTCTTTGTGTGCTTCTCCAGCTCCTCCAGCTCAGGGTCTGTAATGAGACGCTGCACGCTGCCAAGTCTCTTTGCCAGCGCGTCGGCGTGGCGTCTGCACTGTCTGATCGGTAGACCCATTTCGCGCGAAATGCCCACCCAGTCATTGCGGTACCGGGTGATGGCCGATACCAGCTTATCCATGGTCTCTGATGACATTCGGCCGCCTGCGCCTAGGCCAGAAGCATTGCCGAGCCGTGCAAACGATTGAACATAACCAGCCCTGCGGGACCCTGGCGGGTAGTACTTCATTAGAGCCAGGATATACGGCCCCAGAGGACCGGCTTTCCCAGGAAACGTAACCTTCACCAGCTCTCCGTCCTTGTCGTAGTACCCGTTGCTGTCTGTGGGCCGCATTGCAGAGCGGCCGTCAAAATCTTGGATCATGCTTAGCGGATCGATTGAAAGCATGTCTGTTTTGTACCTTTGCTCGAGAGTGCACCAGTTCCGATAGGCGTTGTACAGCTGCTTCCAGGTATAGCCAGGAAACTTCTTCGTCCACTCGATCCAGCGTTTGGTGTCCTGTGTGCGCACGAACTTGACGAGCCGGACAATGTCCTCGCGTGTCATCTCTGAAGCCACCTGCGATTTTGCTGACCTGTTCAGCGCGAACCACTTCGATACGCACTGGGCCGGTGTCCGGGGGCCGACTTGGCTGGAAACAAAGTTCCAAAAGTAGCGTGGCGGTGTGTTCTTCGAGAACAGTAGCCAAGGCTCGTCCTTTTCGCACTGCTCAACTACGTCTGGCTGGTCAGCTACGGTCTCTATGCATTTTATCGTCTGCCGCAGCCGCTGCTCCTCGTCTGGCGTCCAGTGCCAGAGAGCAATACCGTCAAATCTTACAGCACTCGGGACCCTGCCCTGCCTCGGTATCAGCGTCTTTGTCCACCTCGCCTGGCATTGGCGCGGTGTCCGTCCCGTCCCTACCTCCTCTGCCACCATGACCCACCACCCATACTCCTGGGGGCTGATGTCTCGGGCCATCAAACTTGTAATGGCCCTGGCAAGCTTTGCGTCCTCGGCCTTAGTCCACATGCTGCGCGTCATGGGCTGCAGGCTTTCCCAGCGTCTTCGGACGTGCATGGCTTTGCCTTTGAGGCTGAGAGCGGTGGCGATCCTGGTCCACGCGTGGCCGTGCTCGGCGACTAGTTGTTGCAGTGTTTCATCCATCTCCTTTGTCCATTTGATGCGCTGCCTGGTCAGCGTCGTCATGCAGCGGAAGGGGGTATGCGCGACAATTCTCTGGAATACCGAGGGAGCGCCAAATACGGGCTTTATAAAGTGCGTCATTCTGATTGCACCAGTGTGGTCGCGTGGACTCTTTGGGCAGGACGGTAGGGGTGGGCGAAGGGAAAATATGCAGCAATGCAGGACATCAACAGCGATGGCTGCGGAAAGGCTGGCATGAAAGTTTCCAGGTATTTTTGGCCAGAGCCAAGAGTATGGAGCACACTGGGGTGGATTGCTAATTGCGGTCGCGGGTACCAAAAATACGAAGATTACCAGCGGTTAAGCCTGTTTTCGTGCTGGGCGGGGGCTGGTGCACGCCATGCTGCCTGGCACGCCTGCAACGGCACAGAAAGATTTCGTGTCGAAAATGGTTTACATTAGCAGGTTGGCTACGGTGGATAGAAGAGGGATAGCGTCATGCCGGCAGTGGCATGGACGGCCACATGAGGGCCATAACGAGTGCTGTATGTGCCAAATATGCCTGCCACCTAGCAGCAACAGGCGAAAAAGGAGGGCATGTGTGTTATGAACGGGCATGTCAGATGACGTGCGATATACGCCTCACACTCTGTCGCAAGTAGGAGAATCTAATGCACCTCTGTGGTCATTACTCCACCGCCGCCGCCATTGGGCACCCCTTTTAAATACCTTTCTGTGCTCCGTTTATAAGCCGCAGAGTAAATTTGGCAGCCAGGTTGGCCATTTGCTGGTTAGGCTGATGGAAGGACCCGAAGGTGCTGCCGCATGGTGTCGTCAGTTGTGAAGGACACATTGTAGAATCGCTTGCCTCAACTGTCCCTCCGCCTATGTCCCACGTTTGACAATATAAAGGCACACCGGCACGCCCCTTCGGACATTCTCCTATCTTCCAAAGCAGCATTTTCGTTCTTTTTGTCAGATTCGTTTACAGTGCAAATCAAGAATATACAGTCCTCCAAATACATAAAAGCCGGCATATACAGCCTACAAAGCATGTGCAGCCACTACGTTTGCAAGTCTTGCAGCTACTACATCACCACAATATTTTGCGACGGCTACGAGAAAGCCGGGGTCTGCACCGGCGCGTACCAGGACTCGGTAACCCAGCGCTGTCTCGACTGCTACTCCAAATACATGCGGCAGTCACCGCGGGCCGTCAGATAATGCCAACCAGGTGTCCATCATTGTACTACTAGCCAACCACCCCCTATGCTAAGTCTCGTTTAACCATGAAAAGGGCATCGCTAATATATAATGTGTCTAGTACATTTACAAAGCCGGGTTCTGCCAGGCAACTGTGATTGAAACAAATGTAAAAGTGTCTAGCGCGACGGATAGTCAGAGGTAGGCGGTGGCGGCTGCCGGCTGAAGACCGACGGATAAGCCGACATGAAAGCAACGGATATGTCAAACATGCGTTCGCCAAGCCCAACCACGAAGCCCAGCACGCGGCGGTGGTTCTTGTCACCGACGATACCGGTGTTCAGCATCAGCCCTGTCGAGCGGCGGATGCCAGACAGGATCATTGAGATCAGAACGATGTCGAACGAGGCATGCACAAGAGTTCCTACGAGACCCATGTTGAATTTGCGATGTGGAATGTGGTGCTAAAAAAGTGAATGGAGGAAGGCGTGGTGCAGGGTGGCATTGTTTCAGGGCAAGCGTCTTGCCACCAGAAAAAAATGCGAGCCGCATCGCGAGCCGACTCGCTAGCCAAGCTGACCAGTGACGCGGCTTGTTGGTTGACTTTCAGCGCTGCAGGTCCACGTAATCGCCGTCGCCGCGCGCCTTTCCTGCCTTTCCTGCCTTTCCATTTCTCACATTCGAGACCTTTCTTACTCTGACAAGCACCTTTTCCACTTTGCAATTACACATACCAGACAGACTACGAGAATGGCACCCTCGATGGAGAGCACGACCGGATTCAAGTTTGACAATGTGAGGCGGAATCAGCTTCTGGGCGACAAGGGCTACAAGGTTCCGACAGCAACAAAGACGGGAACAACCATCGTCGGGCTTATTTTCCGCGACGGCGTGATCCTGGGTGCCGACACGCGCGCGACTGCTGGCCCTATTGTTGCCGACAAGAACTGCGAAAAGATCCACTACCTAGCGCCGAACATGTACTGCTGTGGTGCAGGTACTGCGGCGGACACAGAGTTTACAACCAACATGATCAGTTCGCAGCTGGCGCTGCACTCGCTGAGCACTGGGCGTGAGGCGCGTGTGGTGACCGCAATGACGATGCTGAAGCAATACCTGTTCAAGTACCAGGGCCACATTGGCGCCGCGCTGGTGCTGGGCGGATACGACGTGGGTGGCCCGCATCTGTTTACGATATACCCGCACGGGTCTACCGATAAGCTGCCGTATGTGACGATGGGCTCAGGATCGCTGGCGGCGATGTCAGTGTTTGAGTCGCGCTGGCGCCAGGGCATGTCGCGCGAGGAGGGGATTGAGCTGGTGAAGGATGCCATCGAGGCGGGTATCTTCAATGACATGGGCTCTGGTTCGAACGTCGATGTGTGCGTGATCACCAAGGGCAATACCGAGTACCTGCGCAACTATGCCAGGCCCAACGAGCGCGTCGAGAAGGAGCAATCCTACAAGTTCCCGGCCGGAACCACCGAGTTTATTGTCCCGCGCCCGGCTGGTGTTGCTGCTGGCGAGGAGTCGACAGCAATGGACACCTCTGCCTAATTGTCTTTAACATGTCTTTCACTCAGTCGTTCAGTATTCGTTAGGAAATGGTATCAATATCAGGACGGTGTTGCCAAATAGGAGAAAGTGGATGTGCTGGCCAACCCACAACGTCGGGTCTGCTGCGTCTTGCCAGAGGCAGGCTAGCAGCTGGTGCCGGCCGCTGGGTATCCCGTATTTCCACATTACTGCTCTCGGGACATAGCAAGATATCACCACACAATGTCTGAAGGTACCAGCAGCATTCAGACGGCAGCAAATGGGTTTGTAGCGCCAAGACGTGCAATCCTGGACCCAAAAGACATGCCTAGGTGGCAAAAGTCGTCTGCATACACTGAGATTTCTGGATTCATTGAGCAGCTCAGCAGCTGCGTCGAGAACAAGCTGATTTCGTCCGATTACCCAGTGTCAGCGCATATCCAAGCGGTTTGCCAACTGCTGGACACTGCTGAGAGCTGGATCAAGCTGTTCCCGCCCGACACAACATCGTCGCAGCGGTTTGGCAACCGGTCGTTCCGGCGGTGGGAGGAGGAGCTACGGGCGCAGGCACCGAAATTGCTGCACCAGATGCTGCCTGAGCCGGCGCAGGAGGCTGTCATCGAGCTGGTGCCGTATCTGAGCGAGTCGTTTGGCAACGCCACCCGCATTGACTACGGGTCAGGGCACGAGCTGTCGTTCGTGGTGTGGCTCATGTGTCTGTGCAAGCTTGGGTTCCTAGAACCAGCGGACTCTGCCGCAATAGTGCTGGTGGTGTTTGTGCGGTACCTGCAGCTGTGCCAGCAGCTGCAGCGCACGTACAACCTGGAGCCGGCCGGTAGCCACGGCGTGTGGGGCCTTGACGACTACCAGTTTCTGCCGTTCTATTTTGGCAGCGCTCAGCTCATTGGCACCCAAACGACGCCGGCCATGGGGCTGGATCCCGGTCTGATCGCAGAGAAGGCCAGTGAGTACCTGTATCTGCAGGGCATCCGGTTCATCATGGAGATGAAGAAGGGCCCGTTCTTTGAGCATTCGCGGCAGCTGTACGACATCTCGGGCGTGCCGCGGTGGCAGAAGGTCAACCAGGGCCTGGGAAAGATGTACCAGGTTGAGGTGCTGGGCAAGTTCCCGGTGGTCCAGCACCTGGTGTTCGGATCGCTGTTTTCGATGGACTAGGCTTCATGTGCCTCTTCAATGCAAGCTCTTTACTGCCCATGAGCAGACGAATATGCTGTCGTGCTGGCGGGCTATCACTAGCCCGTGTTTTGCTGCAGGTGGCGGGTTGGGAACACAGCACTGTTTACGTTTTCTCGAGCCGCAAAGTGCGACAGATCAGCTTTTTTTTTTTTCGACGGCCCCTCACCCGACGGCCGAGGGGTCAACATTTTCCTCTTCCTCTCTGCAGCCAAGTGGTGGCGAAAATAGGTGCAACCCAAAAAATTCTGTTTTCTCTTCCTCTCTTCTCTAATTGCTTCTCGTTTTCAGCTACCCAATCTACCCCTATATACGTAAGTATTCTGTCTTGCCTTCTTCGAATTGCGCTTGGCAGCAGGCTCTTGCCCCCTGCTTGCCTCCTCTAGCGCAGACGCTGCTCTCTGCTAGCCACCTTTACCCGCATGTTGGCCGTGTGCGATTCGGAGATTTGAAGCTCTAATTCACAATTTGCGAGGGCTGTGCCATTAGCCAGCTTGGCCCAGGGTGGCGGGTGAAAAATTTTACCTTTTGTGCATAGGCGTGCTTGCTGCCGAATTACATCTCAGCTGTCCTCGCAATTTCATGCAGGGAGTTGTCGGTCCCTGGCCAGCATACGCTTGACCTGCTTGATTAGTGTCTGTAAGGGCCTTTTTCATTCTCAGCCCCTGGAGGATCCGCCCAAGGCAATAACAACCACAACAACAACTGGCGATGGTAGCAGAGCGGCGGAGCAATAGGAAAGAGGCTCTTATCGCAGAGTAAAGCCCGAGCTGTCTTTCGTTTGTTTACACTTTTTTTATTTACTAACCGCTGTTTTTTCTAACCCACTCCCTGGCCCCTTGTGGCTGGCTGGCTGGCTGACTTTCAAAAATAGTTGGGAAAATTTTAATCCAGTTCGCGACAGTCAACCATGAGAGAAATTCTTACGCTTCAGTTCGGTAAGTAGCAACATCAACACCGGGCGCTTGCAGAGGGCGGTTTGGCCTGCATGGCGTCCAGACTCTAATCTGCCTTTCGTTCTGCATTTAGGTCAGTGCGGTAACCAGGTCGGCGTTGCTTTCTGGGAGAAGATCATCCAGGAGCACGGCATCACCCCCGAGGGTCTGTACACCGGCAACAACCCGCAGCAGATCGAGCGCGCTAATGTCTACTTCACAGAGGCCCAGGGCGGCCGCTATGTTCCTCGCGTGATTGCCTGCGATCTGGAGCCTGGAGTTCTCGACACGATCAGACAGAGCAAGTACGGCGGTCTGTTCCGTCCCGACAGCATGATCAACGCTGCCAGCGGTGCCGGCAACAACTGGGCCAAGGGCTTCTACACAGAGGGTGCTGAGCTCCTGGACCAGGTCCTGGACACCATCCGCCAGGACGTCGAGCGGTGCGATCTGCTCTCGGGCTTCCAGCTCTGCCACTCCATTGCTGGCGGAACCGGTTCCGGCATGGGTTCGCTTATGCTCCAGAAGGTCCGCGAGGAGTACCCCGACCGCATGATGTCGACGTTCACCGTCGTCCCCGCCGCCAGCTCGTCGGACGCCGTTGTTGAGCCGTACAACTCGGTGCTCTCGATCCACCACCTGATTGAGAACTCGGACATGACCTTCTGCCTTGACAACCAGGCTCTGGGCAACATCTGCCTTAACGTCATGAAGAAGCCGCTGCCTACCCTGGGCGACCTCAACAGCCTCGTCGCCAACGTCATGTCGGGCGTCACGACCTCGCTGCGCTTCCCTGGTCAGCTCAACGCCGATCTGCGCAAGCTTGCTGTCAACATGGTGCCGTTCCCGCGCCTGCACTTCCTGATGTCCGGCTTTGCTCCTCTGACCTCCACCCAGGTCCAGAGCTACCGCCACGTCACCGTCCCCGACCTGTGCCAGCAGATCTACAGCACCAACAACATGATGGTTGACGTCGACCCGCGCCACGGCCGCTACCTCACCTGCGCTGCCATGTTCCGCGGTAAGGTCTCGGTCAAGGAGTGCGAGGACACCATCTGGAACTACGCCGAGAAGAACGCCAGCTCGTTCGTCGAGTGGATCCCGAACTCGACCCAGATCGCTGTGTGCGACATTCCGGCCATTGACAGCAAGCTGTCGGCCACCTTCCTCGGCAACAACACTGCCATCCAGGAGACCTTCAACCGCGTTGGTGAGCAGTTCAGCAAGCTGTTCAGGCGCAAGGCCTTCCTGCACTGGTTCACCGATGAGGGCATGGACGAGATGGAGTTCACTGAGGCCGAGAGCAACCTGAACGACCTGATCAACGAGTACCAGCAGTACCAGGAGGCCGGCGTCGAGGAGGAGTACGGCTACGAGGACGACGAGCCCATGTACGGCGACCAGCCCGCGGATGAGGTGATGGCTGAGCACCCCGTGGAGGGCGATGATTACTAAGTAGTCAACCATATAATCTTTCCCAGCTTCCATTAAAAGACCCATGGCATCAGAGATGCTTTGCTGATGCCCACCTCTTTGCCGAGTTCCTTTTTCATTGCATGCTGTCGATTTGTGATTGGTGTCGTGCTGTGGGCACTAGGTCCTTGACGGGGTGATGATGTGGTCTGCATGTAGTGCATATCAAAGGCATCTTTGGATACCCGGGTGACTGGAGTGCACCGTGCGTCAGGGATAGACCATCGTCGTCTGGACAGATCTGCATGTCCGTTGCCACGCGCTATGCTTTTCCAAGCCTGAGTACATTACCAATGGCACTGCACCAAGGGCTGCCTCTGCATTCTACATTGCCACTCGTCAAACACAGGGCAAGGGCATTTATCCTGCGCCATCCCCTCCGTCGATGCTCCCCTCCTAGCTTATCTTGCCCATGGCTATCGTCCTCTGCCTCGCCTAGAAGGTGTGGGAAATGAGGCAATGTTGAGGATAAATTTGCACACCGAGCTGCTGCGTGGGATTGGCAACGCTGCACAGCTGGGGAATTGCTGCTCTTTTGTCAGTCACCATCCGCAAGAATAACGCATAAATATCGCATAAATATCGCAGATATCGCTTCTCCGCGCCGTGACCTCCGCCTTTTCTCTCTTTTCTCTCCAACCACCTTCTCTCCTCCATTCCTGGATGTATCAGCTTCGCAGGCTTCTTTCTGCTTCACCTGTCTCTACTCGCTTGCCTTTGCTTCGTACAACCGCAATTTCAGCTCGCATGACTACGTCGGCCGCACCCTCGACTCGCAAGGCGACCCCCAAGCCCTCGCCCGTGTACGCAAAGACTGAGCTAGATGTCTGGACGCTCATGAACCAAGTCTCCGCGTCCGTAGGCGCCGTGAACCTCGGTCAGGGCTACATGAGCTTCCCGCCCAAGGATTTTATCAAGCGTGCTGCGCAAGAAGCTCTGAACGAGAACACACACAACCAGTATGCACCACCACGCGGGCGGCCTGGCCTGCTCGAGCAGCTGGGCAGCCGGTTCACTGATCGATTTGGGCGCTCTATTGATCCGAGCAAAGAGGTGAGCGTGCACGCTGGTGCGAACGAGGCGCTGCTGTCAGTGTTTACCGCATTCCTGGAGCACGGTAAAGACCAGGAGGTTATTCTGATGGAACCCGCGTTCGACCAATACACGCCCAACGTTATCATGGCGGGAGGCAAGCCCGTGTACGTGCCGCTGCGGGTGATGTCCGATAAGGACCCGCGCGAGAGCGTGATTTCAAGCGACGACTGGAAGCTCGACCTGGCCGAGTTCGAGGCAGCAATTACCGATAAGACGCGGATCGTGGTGCTCAATACCCCGCACAACCCCGTCGGCAAGGTGTTTTCGCGCGAGGAGCTGGCACAGATTGGTGCTATCGCCGAGAAGCACAACCTGCTGATTGTCGCTGATGAGGTGTACGAGCATCTGACGTACGGTGTCGAGCACGTCTCTATTGCGACCCTACCTGGCATGTGGGAGCGCACCGTCACTGTGGGATCTGCCGGCAAGCTGTTTGGCGTCACTGGCTGGCGCGTCGGATGGGCTGTGGGACCCGAGGAGTTTATAAGCGCGACATTGTCAGCACACACCCGGATCGTGTTCACCAGCAACACACCGCTGCAGGAGGGTGTTGCGTCGGCGTTCCGTCAGTCGCCGGAGCATGACTTCTTCGAAGTGCAGCGCAAGGAGTACGAGGCGCGCCGGAACCGGTTGATGGGGGTATTTGATGATATTGGCCTGCCCTATGTGGTGCCGAAGGGTGCCTACTACCTGCTGGTCAATGCTGCCAAGCTCAAGATCCCCGACGACTTTGAGTTCCCTGACTTTATCATCGAGCGCGGCGAGAACTTCAAGCTTGTGTACTTCTTCATCAAGTACTTTGGTGTCTCGGGGATCCCGCCCACCGAGTTCTACTCTGCCCCACACAAGGAGCTCGCAAATGACTATGTGCGCTTTGCATTCTGCAAAACCGATGAGGGCCTTGAGGAGGCTGCTGTGTGTCTGCAGAAGATCAAGAAATATCTGGAGGAGACCTCCGGCTGAGTAGCAGATGCCTGGAAAGCTCTAGACCACTACATGTCCAATGTATTTACTTTCTGCATTTTGTATCTAGCGGCAGAAGATGCTAGCTGGCAGTGTGGCATGTTGACTCATCATCGGTAATGTATTTGCGAAACTTGTTGACAAAAAAGGTTGTACGCAGTTCAGGCGTGAGGCACCAAGGCAATAAAAAATATAGATCTGAGCAGCGCTGCTGGTCATCAACGTAAAAGTGACAAATATGTGGGAGAAATGTACAAAACAAGGAGTTGGCGTGTTTGGTTGATACGTAGGAAAGTGCCAGATGTGTCAGACACAGGGGGCAGGGTATGTGGTCGGAGTGCGAGGAGAATAGGTTCAAGTCATACAGTCAAGCCATTGCGCTGCTGCCGTTCATCAGCGATCCGCCGCTGCTGCTACTGTCATGCATGGCCGGGCTCAGCGACGAGCGGCCACTGCCAGGCGACGTCTCCCCCGACCCGTTGCTGAGGCCGCTGTTGCAGCTGCGTCCCAGGCCAGCGTGCTGGGCGTACATGCGGCGGGCCTCCTCGATTCCGTGCTGCCGCGGCAGGTTCAGAAGCGCACTGGCACCGGGGTGCTGGTGCGCCATGTGGCCGTCGCGCGCCTGCTGCGCCAAGAACGAGCGCGGCAGCGACGAGCGCGACTCGCTGGTGGCCGAGCTGCTGAGCGGGAACCCGTGGCCCATGGGCGTGAACCGCGGGCTGGGACGCATGTGCGCCACAGCGTACTCTGCAAACTCGAGCGGGTCGATCTGCGAGCTGCGGTTGCGCGACCGCGACGGGCGGATCGGGATCCCCTGCCCAGCCGACATCTGCACTGATGTGCGGCGGTGCCTGAGCGCGTGTGTCTGCGAGTAGCTGCCCGCGTTGGCTGGAGCTGGCAGCATCTGTTCGTGGTGCGCCTGCCTGGGCAGCGACCAGCCGCTGCGCATCTCGGGAATCGGCGAACCCACGCCAATGTCGGCGCCAACCATGTTGGGCGACACGATCTCGATGGCCTCCATCAGATTGCGCACATGGTCCAGGTCGACGTTGGCCACCGAGCTCCGGCTCCGCCGGGCATTGGGCAGCCAGACCCCGCTGCCGTCAACGGCAGGTGAATGTCCACCGCGCATACTGGCGACGCTAATTGCAGGCGAGCCTGGCTCAGACGGGCGGCGCGGCGAGATGGTTTCCTTGACCACCGCCGCCATCAGGCGCGAGACGGTGCGGCTTGCCGGGTCCAGCGCTTCGACGAACTGCTCGAGCTGGATGTTGGCACCCTAGAGGACAAAGGCCCAAAGACAAACAGACACAGGCGTTAGTGAGCACGGTAGCCAACAGGAACAATACCCAGCTCCCATGGGAGGACCGGTGTGTTTATCGTAATCTGCAGTACTCCGCTGGGCTTTCCGCCAAAGGAGCGGAGAGCAATCTCTGGAAATTGCCTGTTGAAAACCTCGCCGAGACCAGCCACTTACATTTGCTTCGTTGAGCTCAGCGATTGAGTGTTCGAGGGCGATCTTGAGCTTGCGGAGGAGCTCTCCATCCAGCGATTCCTCGGTCCATTTGCCCATCTCTGTGTGCTAGGCGACAGAGCAGGAGTGTGGTGGAATCCAAAGAGACTGCAGAAAAATTCTTAGGCGACCCAAGGGCGCACGAGGCTGGCGACTTCCCGGAGCGCAGTGAGCTGTGACCAAGTGTGGGGTAATGCCGCAAAAAACTCTTTTTCACGGCTTGGCAAGTCAGTGCACAGTTGCTTCCTTCTGGTGGCTCCTTCTGGTGGCTGTGGCGGGGGAGGATATTAATGTGTTGTTTGTGGCTCCTCTGTTTCGCAGAGGAACTGGAGGGCGCGGCAGCAAACGGGCACAAGAATTCCTTTCTATCCTGAGACTGGGTTTATCGAACGACTTCACAGAGGCAATGCAGGGCCTGGAGTCGAGCTCGGTATACAGCACAGATTATCGTGGCTCCCGCGTTGACTCGCTTGAGCTGGAAGACAAAAGGAGGGATGGGGGAAGCACGTTATGTCGGCGGCCAGGGAGGGGAGGTTGGGAACCAGTGCAGGGCAGAGGGCGGTAGTAACAGCTGTTGAGCAAAGGCGAAAGTAACAAGCGTTGGAATGTCTGGAGCGAATGGGAGTTTTGGAGAAAAATAGAAACTGTTTGCGAGGAATACTTTGGAGGAGAGAGAGGCCACTGCGCGCGGCTTTTCTCCGGGCGTCTTTCAAGCGAGGGCGTGGGGAGTGTAAAAGCAAGAGCGCGGCCTGTCTGGCCGCCAGCGAGCCGCTGCCAATAGAACGTGACCGGAGCGCAGCGCCCACAGCGATTACTGCGTGTCCACACCTGCCAAAACAGGGCTCGTTTTCTGCTCGCTGCTGCTGCTTCTGGGAGGGTGCGCTTTAAAAGTGCGAGGGGTAGAAAATTTTTTACCAGGGCTTGTAGCCGGACAAAGAGAAAATTTTTTAGCGACTCAGCAAAAATGACGGCATCGCCGAATAGGAGCCGACACAGATACTACCCTTCCGCGACGCTTCACACTCGCTCAGGCGGGCGGCAAAAAGTTGCTGAACAGGACAACGCCGACCAGCCCGTAGCCGATAAAGTACGTCAGCACCGCACGCTGCACCAGCCGGTTGCCGGAGCTGACCAGGTGTGCAGCGAACCAGAACACCGGCGGCACGCTGGAGAAAAACCGGGTTATGACCTGGACGTGCATCGTTGTGGTGGCCACGCACAGCAGCAGCGCCCACAGATACATGTGCGGCAGCAGATCGTCGCCGAAATAGGCCATGTGCAGCGAGTGCGTGCGTACCGAGCGCTTGCGCTCCTGGCTCGATCGCCATCCGAGGGTCAGGATCCGGGACACATCGTGCCGCGAGTAGGCCCAGAGACCAGCTGCCGACAGGCCAGCCATCGGAAGTGCGAGCAGAAAGTTGGGAATCTGCTGCACAGTGTAGTAGCGCAGGAACCCGACATTCCAGTACTCGTCCTGCACGAAGCTGTAGAGGAGCGGCAGCGTGCTGCTGCAGTACCTGCGCGGTGTAACAGAGCCATTCATGCAGAATTCGCGATACCCGTATATCTGGAACGCCATAAATCCGAGTGACGAAATGAGAACCAGCGCTAGCGCTTTGACCATCTGCAGCGCAATAACAGCAGCCCGCCTCGGCAGCGCCAGTGTTTTGCTGCTCCACGCCTCGCTCATGACCACCATGTCCCACACGATGAACCCAGAGTATAAAGCACCGTTTGACCGGCACAGCGAGCTCAGGCAGAGCCATAGCGACGCCTCGGCGTGCTTTTGCTCAGTGGTCCTCAAGATTGCAGTGAATACAAGCCAGGCAAACAGGCTCTCGGTGTAAATAGCCGACATGAACATGTTGGACGGCGCTAGCACAAACAGCAGCGCTGCGATGTACGCCAGGGACTCGTTCTTCAGGGTCCTGCAGCCCAGCTTGTATAGCGCTACTGCCGCAAGCACAAATGCCAGGTTGCAGACGACGAGGCCGGCGATGGTCAGCGACAGCTGCCGATCGACCACCAGATGCAGCGGCGCCAGTACCGTGCTGTCCAGCAGACGCATCAGCATCGGCAGCAGCGGGAAGAAGGCGTGCTCCTGCTCAAACACATAGCCCGATTCCGAGATGTGCAAAAAGTAGAACGAGTCCCACCGGACCACCACTTGCGCCACCGCACGCAGTAGCTGCTGGATATGAGTTGATGCGCGCGGCAGGATCAAAAACACGGATGTGTCATAGTCGTCGTATATTGCGTTTGCAGCGATTCCTAGGGTGAGCGCCACCAGTCGCGACAGAGCGGCATACCGGGCCACGCTCCACCGACGGTCATTCACTACAGTCGCTGTCTGCGTTGTTGGTGCGGGCATTAGGGGTGTATGAAAGAGGGCTTGGAAAGGCACAGATGGTCTGCGACATTCGCCCGCTCCACGGCTCTGCATAATGTGCCTGCAGTAGATCAGGAGCCGCGTATGGGGCTTTGGGCAGCATATGGCGGTAGCTAATACGGCTCCATATTGCCAGGGCATGCTACCAGCTAGCTGCGACCATCTCCCCACCGTCAGTTATGATCCCCGGCCGGTACAAAGTGCGGGCAAAGAGCAGCCGGTGTGGGCCCAGCGGCGAGTCTCCATGCCCACAGCCAGCCAGCCAGCCCAGAGTCCAAGCGGACAGCGGGATACGATCACCCGATCAGATTGTGATCAGCGAGATAAGATGTGTGCTGGTGGAATTATTGGTGCCTCAGGCAGTGCAGCCAAAGTGCGACCGTGGCCCAAAGAGGCGCGAAATTCAAATCGCGAATTGGCAAAGCGATTTCAGCTTCACTCTCTCCCAATCGACATTAAATCCAAATTCAGCAAAACATGGGCGGACACGGTTACTCTGGATGGTGGGGCGCTATGGGCGGCCCCAAGCAGCGCGGCATCGTCACGTACCAGCTCTCGCCGTACGAGATGAAGGCCAACGCGCACCTTATCAGCAAGGGCACCCACAACTTCTTCCGCCGCACCAGCGCCCAGCTCGGCTACATTCTGCCGGCGGTGTTCCTGTTCTGGGGCGTGACGCACTTTGGCAAGAAGAGGCACGAGTTCATCAACAGCAAGGCTGGCCACGCTGCGGGCCACAGCCACTAAGGCTCCCGGCTATGAGCGACATATACGTTTTTCCGACTTGTTTTCTTTTATACATCCTTGACACAGCTTTAGCCATGCAACATGCAGCCATAAGAAGGCACGGCAGCCTATGTCGTCTAATATTAGGCTGATTCAGTGACTGGAGAAAATACTGTTGGTATTGCTTTCATTTATCTTCCTATTCGTCATGTCTATCCACAAAACTGTGAAGCTCGCAAATGGGCTGGCAATGCCATCGCTTGGGCTCGGCACCTGGCAGCAGCGCGATGCTGATGTTGTGAAACGGGTTGTTGGCCAGGCGCTTTCTACAGGATATCAGCTAATCGATACAGCGAGCGTTTATCGTAATGAAGCGGCAATTGGCGACATGTTGACTGAGATATTCAATGGACCTGGTTCGACGATCCAGCGCAAGGACATCTGGATTACGAGCAAGCTTGCACCCACGCAGCAGGGGTACGAGAAAGCCAAACAGGCAGTCCTCGATTCGCTTGAGAAACTGCAGACCGACTACATCGATCTGTATCTGATTCACTGGCCTGGCGCGTCAAGGCTAAAGCCTGACAGTCCCAAGCATCGCGAGATGCGTGCGGGGAGCTGGCGTGCACTGGAGGAGCTCTATGAGCAGGGAAAAGTTCGATCGATCGGCGTCAGCAACTTTACTACACGACATCTCGACGAGATGAAGGAGTATGCTAAGATACAGCCGATGGTCAACCAGTGCGAGATGCACCCGCTGTGCCAGCAAACAGAACTTTTACAGTACTGCGCGCAGAACAGCATTGCATTCACTGCCTATGCTAGCTTGGGTGAGGGAGCACTGGTCAACGGCGATGTCAAATTGCCACAGCTGGACGCAGTTGCCGCGCGGCGCCCTGACCTAACCCCAGCCCAGATTCTGCTGATGTGGGGACTACAAAAGGGTGTAGCAGTAATTCCCAAGGCGTCAAGCGCCGGGCGCATCCAGGAGAATTTCGACGTATTGGCAAAGGCCGAGCTCAGTGCGCAGGATGTCACAGACCTCGATGGTATTGGCAATAAGCCCGAAAAGCACTTTTGCTGGCATGCGGGGCACATTGCATGATTGCCCATGCCGCTGCTGCCGGTGTCAGAACACATCTCGGTGATGGCGTATCCCAGAGTGCGGCCCCTTCTTCATTCGAACCCAATTCTACAACCAAGCAATTGCAATATTTTAAATGAAGTTTTATAATGGCATTCAGTACTGCAACCTTACACGGAGCTGGTGCATGCAGCGGAAATTAAGGTATGCTCGCGCCCTGGCACGTTTAGGTTCCAGCTGCCACAGGCATGCAGGAGAATCCGCAGGCGACCAGCCAGATGGCGCCCCCTGAAGGGCGTTATTAGCGAACTGCATTTTCTCTGACACAGCATGAGATTTTGCAATTTGCTCGGTGCTGCGAAACACCAGCTGCAGGCATACCGCCGGATCTGGCGATTTCAGGGGATGCTGCTGCTGCCAGGAGCATTCTATACTTCTGGTTGACGCATCCAGAATATCTGCCATATTTGGTCCTGGATTCAGCAGCTGGCCAGGCCCGAGCAAATGCGCCTGGTTCTACTATTTGATAGCGCTTCCTTGGCCATCTGCGAAAAACGCCAGCGGAATATGCCCACAAGCGGGTGCACTTCAGGGGGAGATCACTCACGCAGTTTATAAACCCATCGCTTCGAGTGTTTCGGTGGTTGCCAACGCTTTTTAACCTGTCACTATGCCCAGAAAGTTTTGCCCCAGATCCACGGAAGTTCTACCGGGTAAACGATGTGCCATCTGCAACTTCGAAGGCCATCCTGGTTCTACAAAGCATCGTCCATGGGAATCGCATTTCTCGGGAGCACTTTCTCCCATGCACAAGATATTTTGGTGAAGGCAAATGGCTCACTATCACAGGGGCTGACCCGGTGAGCTCGGTGCACCGTCCGTCTCGTCATAGGATCTTGATGATGACAGTTTGGCCGAAGACAGGCCCTGCCCGGTATGCCCACCGCTGCCCGTTTACGGGGGAAGGGGAGAGCGAGCGCGATTGGAAGCACTGATCGTTTTGGCCGATATTACCAATACTGGATATTGAAATTGGCTGCGCTCATATTGCGAGTGGTCTGGGCAGACGGAAAGTGGCGCTCTCTCATTCGAGCCATTCACCCGACACCTGCTGCTGTCACCCGCCAACAAAAAGCGCGACATCACAGCATGGCGATGGTTTGAGTGCCTGGCGAGCAAGCGGTTCTGGCCCGGCCATTGAGACTCCTCGCCACCTCGCACAGAGCTTCTCGTGGTCCAGCGATCGGCACAGGGCTGTGGTTGGCGGCGCCTGCATACCCTTAGGAAAAGCGGACTTCGTTTCTGTGACTCTTTGAGAAAACTACGATTTCCTAACTCCGAGATGGAGAACCGTGCCACAACATGGCAGCATCGCCCATGAAAAGATTGCCACCGTGCTGCCCCTATCTATAGGCCACTCTCTCCTGCCTACCCCCGGTTGCCATCTCTAACAGGCTCGGCCACGGGTGCCGAGGCACTACGGGCTCCCAAAAAGAAGCTGGATTAGTAATGGCAGAAGGAGTGCAGATGGGTTTCCAAGGATGGGCACGTCTAGGCAGGCCCAAGCCAGCAGATATATAACGCTGGGCTCTGGAACAGGAATGGGCACTATAGCCAAGCCAACTGAACGCAGTTCATTTCCCTCCTCCTTCATAAGGGCCACCACTCCCTGCTGCTTAATTAATTTCCCATCCACAGCCCCTACTTTATTATTGCCACACATACTGTAATATATCTACGCCTGCCATTAATTTTATCAGTCATGCTGCCCGAAAGCAATAGTTATGCCACCAGTGACCCCCGTGGTCTCACACAGCCGCCCACAGCGGTGGCATCGGTCCACTCCCAAGACCGCAGCTCCAACTACAGCCACTCGTCCTCTAAAACTCCACACAGCAGCGATGTGGAAAAAGGATTCGTTGACGAGTGTTTATCCGTCGACAAGCAGTCTATAAATGATAGCCCCGGAGTAGAGCACAGTCGGTCTACGCCTGACGAGAAGTCAGATGCACCCGCCGGCGATCCTGTCATCGAATATGCGCCTGCAGATACTGGATACGCCTGGGTTATTGTCGTGTGCGCTGGGTTCTGCCTCATGTGCACCGTTGGTGTGGTCAACGCATTTGGAGTCTTTTCCACCCACTACCTCAACTTCATTTTCCCGACAGAATCTGCATCAAACATCGCTTGGATCGGTACTATGTTGTCACTGTTCATGCTGGGTGGCTCTGTAACTACCGGCCCACTCACAGACCGATTTGGTTTCCGGACTGTCGCCTTAGCCGGCGCAGTAATCTGCTTCTTGGCCCTTCTCCTTGCCTCCTTTGCCAATGCTCTGTGGCAGCTTGTCTTGACTCAGGGCATCCTGTTTGGCATCGGCGCCGCCTGCATCTTTTCGCCGTCAGTGTCGCTTGTTGCACAGTGGCACACCAAGAGCCGTCCCCTGGCAACTGGTCTTGCAGTTGCTGGTAGCGGTGCCGGCGGCATGATCTTCACCGAAGTCACACAAAGGCTGATGACAGCCATCGGCCACAAATGGACCCTCCGCGTGCTTGCCTTGATTATCTTTGTTATTGCTGGCTCTGCCAGCATGTTCTACAAGCGCAGAGTTTCAGTGCCTCGTGGTGGAACCGATTTCCGCAGCATGGTCAATGACCCTCGGCTCATCATTGTTGGGCTATCTGGGTTCTTTGTCAACGTCAGCTACTTTATTCCGTGGTACTACCTTCCAACGGCTGCGCTCAAAATTGGAGAGACCAAGCAGGCAGCCAACAACCTGGTGCTGTTTATGAATGCTGGAAGCACGGTTGGCCGGGTTGTAGCGGCCTTTGTTGCTATTGCCATGGGGCCAATCAACAGCATTTCCGCTGCATATATCATCTGCGCCGTACTGGTGCTTATAGTTATGCTGGCGGTCAAGAGCATGGTTGGCTACATCGTGCTGTCAGTCATCTATGGCGGTCTATCTGCCAGCTTCATCTCGATTATGCCTCTTATTCTGACAACCTTCTTTGGCGCCCAGGGTGTGACAACCGCAATGGGCATCATGAACATGTATTGCTCGATCGGTGTCTTGATTGGAAATCCGTCGCAGGGTGCAATCTATCAGAAATTCGATCGCCCACACGACTCGTTCACAGCCATTGCCATATGGGGCTTTGTTGGGCTTGCCCTTGCAGGTATAAGCTACATCATGCTCAAGGTACTCGTTATTCGCGGCACTGAGAAGCGTATCTGGTCCAAGATGTAAACGTTTCTCATATATTCTCTATCCCAATAACAACACTCAAACTACACATGCGCTGAGCTTGCTGAGTGCTATGAATCATCAATTCTGGCATGCATACAAAACAAATGCTTGCAGCCGCCCGCGGGTGGGGTTCGGCGCAGTAAACGCCGACCACCCGTTGTTCCCATGGCTATTATGTTGTATCCAAGTTGAATATCCAAAGGAGACGAAAGGTGGCCACCGTGAATTATGAGTCACGGCGAAATCCCCTAGTTGGAGGCGACATTATCACGGAAATTGCTTGAAGAATGTGACATCCGGTCGGCAAGTCCATGGACTCCCAATAAATATATTCCTTTCTTCAGTCGGGATATCCGAAAAGCATAAATAGCGACGACAGACCACACCACCAGGGTTTCTATGTTCTCTTCAACCACCATCTTTGGAAGCTTTTGTCATATCCCTATTGGTACCTCCTCACGGTTCTGATTCGAATAATGGATAGAATCAACATGCCAAGCACCGACGCTACGGCGAATGAGTCTATAACTGCCGCAGCTACACCTAACAGCACCTACCTTCAATCACAAGACCCAGAAGCAACCAAAGGCATCACTGCTGAAAGGACTGACGCCGCAAGCATCGACGACGTCATTGAATTCGCTCCTCCCGACACCAAATATGCCTGGTTCATTGTGGCTGCTGCCTTTTGCAACCTAACAACCACCATGGGAACGCTGAATTCGTTCGGTGTTTACCAAGAATACTACTTGAACGACCTGTACAAGAACGACTCGGCAGTAGTCATTGCATGGGTGTCAACCCTCATCTCATTCTGCATGTTCTTTGGATCGGTCGTGACAGGGAAGCTGACAGACGAGTTTGGGTTCCGCATTACATGCCTTGCGGGTGCAATTATTTGCGGTGTGGCACTGATTTTGGCATCATTCACGCACACGGTTTGGCAGCTGATGTTGACCCAGGGCATCATGCTTGGGCTCGGCGCTTCGTTCATATTCTCTCCTTCTATGTCAATCGTTGCTCAGTGGCACGTCAAACATCGTATTCTGGCAACAGGGATTGCTGTTTCAGGTGGCGGCGTCGGGGGGATGGTCTTCTCGGAGGCAGCACATCAAATGATGAATAGCATCGGCTATCGCTGGTCGCTGCGCGTGCTTGGGCTAGTTATTGCCGCAATCAGCGGCTCAGTTTCACTGGTGTATAAGCCCCGAGTGTCGGTTCCAAAGAGCGGGAATGCCAGGCTGCTGTATATGCTGTGTAAAGACCCGCGTTTCCTTTGCATTGGTGGTGCTGTCACACTCATTAACATGGGGTACTTTGAGCCACTTCTTTATGTGCCAACAGCCGCCGTCAAGGAAACTGGAATGAGGTCGACGGCATCAAACATTGTACTGGTATTTAATGCTGGGACGACAATTGGACGTATACTTTCCGGTCCAATCTCGGCAGTGCTTGGCCCCCTCAATGCTAATCTGGCGTCTAATGTCCTATCGTTCATTCTGATATTCGTCCTACTGCAAGGCGTCAAGACGATCGCAGCTTACTATACGTTCAGTGTTATTTTCGGCGCCATATCCACACTGTATCTGGCAATCAATGCGCACATCATGGCCAATGAGTTTGGCGCGCATGTTATTGCTTCGTCAGTTGGTCTGAGCATGGCGTGCTGTGGAATCGGCGTTCTCATTGGGAATCCAGTGCAAGGTGCTCTGTACGAAAACTATGATCGTCCTCACGATAAGTTCACGGCTGTGACTGCGTGGGCTGGTGCATGTTTTGCATTGGCGTCTGTGTGCTATGCTATACTTCGCATTCTGGCTGTTAGAAAGCGTAAGCGCTCCTATTTTTCAAAGATGTAGCCACCGGTACAATAAATTTGCCTGCTACTATTCGCAATACAATACAGCACACCAAATTCTTGTCCGTAGCTGGTTGTGCGCTAATACATGTTTGTGCATAGTTTAAAGGTATATGCTAGCGAGCATCTCTACTAGATATAATGTTTAGGATGAGGATATAAATCAGATTAACCTATTCAACTATTGGCCGTACGACGAGCCACCACTGCTGATCCAGGGTTTGGCTGCTGAGGTGTTCATAACTCTCCCTAGTTCTCTTTACACATGAGGCACTTGCGGAGTATCTGTTCCAATTTATCATTCGTTTTGCGGCAAGAAATAAAACCACTAGCCGCCGGTTCTAACTTTCCTTTCTTCTGTTGGCACAGCCTTTGAGATATCCTCTGGCCTAGACCTGCTACATCCAGTGCTAGCTGTGTATATAGCATCACGGATAACGCTTTTCTTTAACCTAACTGCGCGTTGAGCTTAGCTAGTGTGCCCATCCACCTTGTGGCTGGCGAACTACTAGGTAGACTGATACACATGATACCTGAGAAGGAGTTACCACTGGGCCACCATTACTATATTTAAAAGGGTCACTTACGCGCCTCCTTGCCAATTGAACTATCCGCTTATAGCTTGACCACCTCCAAATCACACTTTCTTCAAGTAACACCAAATATCCAGCTGCCTGATAGTGACATAAATATATGTATGAACTAAAAGATACCAATTCAAGTCGCGTCGCTTTGGGCGAAGCTGCACATTTACAGGCAGAAGAACTGCCAGTCGATGATATTACCGAGTTCGCTCCTCCCGATACCAAATATGCCTGGTTCGTTGTGGCTGCAGCGTTCTGTAATCTTGCAATAGTCTTAGGCACACTGGAGTCGTTCCCTGTCTATCAGGTATATTATTTGAACGACCTGTACAAGGATACCTCTGCTGCATCTATAGCATGGATATCATCACTTGTTGCATTCTTTGCATCATTTGGGTCGGTCGTGACAGGGAAGCTGACAGATAGATTTGGGTTCCGCATTACATGCCTTGCGGGTGCAATTATTTGCAGTGTGGCACTGACTTTGGCATCGTTCACGCACACGGTTTGGCAGTTGATGCTGACCCAGGGCATCATGCTTGGGCTCGGTGCTTCGTTCATTTTTGCTCCCTCTATGTCAATCGTTGCTCAGTGGCACGTCAAACATCGAATCCTGGCAACGGGAATAACAGTTTCGGGTGGCAATATAGGGGGCATGATCTTGACTGAGCTGGTGCATATAATGCTGGGTAGCATCGGCTACCGCTGGTCGCTGCGCGTACTGGGGCTACTTGTTGCTGCAATTGGCGGTTCTGCGTCATTGGTTTATAAGCCCCGAGTGTCGGTTCCAAAGAGCGGGAATGCCAGGCTGCTGTATATGCTGTGTAAAGACCCGCGTTTTCTGTGTGTTTGTAGTGCTGTCACACTCATCAGAATGGGGTACTTCGAACCAGTCCTTTATGTGCCAACAGCCGCTGCTAAGGAAACCGGAATGAAATCAACTGCATCGAATATTGTACTGGTATTTAATGCTGGGACGACAATTGGACGTATACTTTCCGGTCCAATTTCGGCTGTACTTGGCCCTCACAACACCAACCTGTTGGCAAATATCCTGGCATCACTTGTGATATTTGTGTTTCTGTTAGTGGTCAAAACAGCGGCTGGGTACTACGCCTTCAGTGTGATTTTCAGTATCCTCTCGTCCCTATATTTGGCTATCAATACGCACATAGCGGCAAACGAGTTTGGCACGCATGCCATTGCTTCATCAGTAGGGCTTACCATAGCGTTCTCTGGAATCGGTGTGCTTATCGGTATCCCAGTACAGGGCGCTCTATACGAAAAATATGATCGTCCCAATGATAGGATTACAGCCGTTTCTGTATGGGCTGGCATATGCTATGCCTCTGTGTCTATGTGTTATGCTATCTTGCGTAGTTTGGTCGCCAGAAAACAGAGTGGCTCATATTTTTCAAAGATGTAGCCGGTATTTTATAATGCATTTCAGGAGTAAGGATAGCAATATATATTCAGTCATATCTGTGACTTTGCCAGGCGCTGTCATATCCGCTGGTCTCTGCCTCAGACGAAATGAGCTCTTCAAGCGACATGTATCCCGAGCCCACATCACAATCACCATCTATGGGTGTTCCTCCTCGACACACCCGTCGCAACCGCAGAGTCTGGGCAGGCTGTAGCAGCAAAATAGCCCCGTCCTCGGACCCACTGCCCATGATCTCGACCTTGATACATTTCTGCTGCTGTATAGGATCCGGCATATGGCCAGTAGTAGAGATATTACCCAGGAGCATATCCAATGTCACAAAGGCAACATCTGGACTGCTTGCAATTTTCTGCAAAAATTCGCCTGCTTTCAGGACATCGGCAGGCGCGACATGCGTCAGAAACGATGTGCCCTGCAGGTCGCTGGCGTCCTTGTTGATGATCTGCTCAATGCTGTTTGTCACAAATAAAATATCAGGGCCCAGCGGCGCCAAACCATTGGAGGGTTGCAGATTATCTAGGATCACACACGACTGTACAGGCACGGGCGATCTCTGGGCACCGTGCCCTGGCGCAGAATTCGCGGCGCCCGGTACCTGGCTGTCTAGCTCCATGCCTTCATTGTGGATGGCCTGCTGGATTTGGCGCATAGTGGTCTGGCGCGCCTCGTCTTCAGCGGCGAAGCGGAAGCGGCGCACACGCCCGCGCTCGCGCTCGAGCATGTGCTCGTAGATTGGATGGTAGGAGCCGACCATAAAGTGGATGCTGTCGCAGATAAAGGAGATTATGCGGATCACAAATGGGTCGGTGTTGGGGATGGGGCCGTACATGGTAATGTAGCCGACAGTGATGTTGTCGGAGGTCCGGCTGGCAAACTTGTCTGTATATGATATGGCGCAGTCAGATGTCAAGAAGTCGTTGATTGGGCGGCCGATGCACTCGCTGGGTTCGTGGTCGATGATGTTCTTTGCGTTGGAGGAAACGTAGAGCATGCGCATCTCGCTGGATGTGTCGTGGACAGCGATCCAGCTGCCAGGGCGCCGAGGCATAGTTTAGAGCTGAGGAGACGTTCTTGCTAGCAACTGTAAGAGATGTATAATGTGTAATTGCTGTTCTCTAAGCAATGAAAAGAAATAAGAGTGAACAGGGGGTCTGGCTGGCGTTGTGCGACTGCTAAGCGAGCTTATCTACCCCAGGTGAAAATATAGACCGGTCTAGAAGAAGAAGCAAGAGAGGGCCATGGAAGAGGGGAGATCGAACCGCTACCAATGGTAGAGAATGAGTTCTGTAACCACTATGATTTTCGGACGGATCATTCAGTTACAGGGAAGGTGTAGCCAGTGAGTGGAGAGTCAGTCGTTGGAGGGCTCATTATGGTGAGCGCGCTCTGTCTCCCTCCCCACTGAATACCACTGGGAAAAGATGAGAGATGGGGCGAGAGGATGCCGATTGGCTTGCCCGGCGCTATGATCGGTGCATAGCCGTCGCTGCCGAGGGCGTTTTTTTTTTTTTTTTGGCACGCTGAAAATCTGGACCATCTGATCAAGAAAGCGAAATCATCCGGAGAAAAAAACGAGGTTGGCGATTTCAGAGTGAACGCGTCTTGGTATCCTTTTGCTGCTTCGCAATTATATATATTTTCCAATTCAGTCTGCATACAGGGAGAAAGGGGGCAAATGCCAAGTTCAACACCGGCATGGCACTCCGAAGATACTTTAGCGCACATGGCAGGCTGCTGACGGGGCTCTTGCAGCCCCAGGCAAAGCTTGGGCAGAGTGGTTCTCGGCATATTCAGACGAATATTAAGCATGGGATGGTGGCGAGTATATGCCAAAGGGCTGGTGTGCAGCTGGCACAAACAGCCAGACGAAATGCGCAGGCTACCGAAGGTAGTGACGACAGCAGAGTCGGGCGTGTGCAGCTATTTATGAACAGGTAAAGGGACTGAAGTAAAAATAACGCATTTGCCGTTTGCTTCACATGTATTTTTGTTGCTGACGATAATCGGAGTGGGAAAAATGCCTCCGATCTTTTATCCATTAGTTTTAAACACCAAGTGGGCTGCAGGGGCCAGCAGCATTGGTCCAGCGAGTTCGTGCGGTCGATGGGGCGGAAGAGCGCAGTAGTTGCAAAGTTCGGGCTGGTGCCTGGGGCATTTCTCTACAACCACCTGGCAGAGACGCCAGAGGAGCCATGCGCGCTGGATCAGAAGATAGGTGGCGAGCCGGGGTGGCAGCCACAGCGGCGATCGGCACTGCAGGGTGGGCAGATGCGCGTGGGTTGGCAGACCGCGGGCAGTGCGGGTCGTTTCGGGCAGATGCGCAGGCTTCACGTGACAGGACGACGGTTAGATTCGCACAAGTGCGAGGTGTGTGGCGGACGCTCCGGGGACAGCAGGGCAGCAGAAGAAGCCAAAAAGCGGCTGCAGATCGCGGCGCCATCGCAGCAAAAGGCGCTCCCGGAGCCAGGACTCGATGCGCTGTTCTTCTACCAGACGTCGTCGCGGCAGGAGATTCTGCAGTCGGTCAGCGGGTTCTTCCCGCGATTGCGGATGCGTCTGCGGCGGGTGATGAAGGGGTCGTATGCAAAGCGCAAGTGGACGGTGGACGATGTGTTTGCGCTGGCGTCGTGGGTGCTGATGTCGCAGGCGATGCTGCTTCTGGTGGGCACGACAACCACGGTGTCGGTGGTGCTATGGCTGCTGAACCGGCTGCAATACCAGGAGTGGATAGCGCGGCGGCTCAGCGAGTGGGTATCGGCGGGGCTCGGGATCACGGTGTCGTTTGAGTCGGCGATAGTGCCGGCGTGGCGGCACGGGGCGATCCGGCTGACCAACGTCAAGGTTAGGTGCGGGCCCGAGCACGGGGTGGGCGGCGATAGCAACTTCACAATGTACGATCTGCGCGTGGATCAGATTGACGTGACGCTGTCGCTGTGGCGGTGGATGGACGGGCGCGGGCTGCTGCGGGCGTGTGCCGTACGCGGGGTGCGCGGGGTGGTGGACCGGCGTCACGTGTGGTGGGACCCGGAAATCGACTACAGCCGCAGCGAGGCGCGGGCAGCGCGCATGCCGGGACAGTTCGATCTGGACGGACTGGAGATCGAGGACATGCTGCTGACGGTGCATCCGTGGCAGGGGTTCCGGGCTATCACGTGCTCGATATACTCAGCCAGCCTGCCGCGGTTCCGGGACAGCTGGCTGCTGTACGACATGCTGAATGCCAATTCGATCGTGGGGATGTTCGACGGCAGCCTGTTCACGGTGCACCAGGCGCACCAGCAGGGGCATGTGGGCAGCAGCTTCTTCCGGCAGCAGCAGCGGCAGGCGCGGGCGGCGTCTGGGGCTGGCCGGCGGTCGACGCACGTGCAGATCGACAATCTCAACGTAGACCATATCAGCGCAGGCGCCGAGGGCCCGATCGGGTGGATCACGTCGGGGCGGCTCAATGTGTCGGCGCTGATAGACTTCCCGGCGGGCGGCGCAGGCGGCAGCGACTCGGTGCGGGTGATCCGGCAGCTGGTGGACGATCTAAGCGACAGCATCGATGTGGTGATTCTGCCCAGCACGCCCGACTGGTCGCAGCCCGAGCAGTCGACCAACGCGCTGGTCCGCACACTATACTATCTGGACATGGTCGACTCGCCGCTGGCGCAGGGAGTGCATGAGCTGATGGCGCGGCGGGCCGAGCGCGAGTCGCAGCGGCGGCTTGAGCGGCAGCGGCGACGCACGGCAGCGTGGAGCCGGCCGATGGAGCCGCTGGCAGCGCACCAGACAGGCACAGGGTTGCGGCTGGCGGCTGGCGAGGATGCGGGGGCGGTGCTGGTGGATCTGCAGGTGGAGTTCAATGACATCCGCACGTCGCTGCCACTCAGCACACCACAGCTGGGCGGCAATGCGCTGGTGTCGTCGGTGCTGGTGCGGCCGGTGGTTGCATACATGAACGCTCACCGCACATCGCTGCCCATGCGCTGCCAGCTGCGGCTTGCCAAGGACGATTTTGCTGGGGCCTGGAGCTTCTGGGACTCGGGGGCTGACGATCTGATGACGCAGGGCATCGGCGCGGCGTTTGCGCAGCTGGCGTATGACGACCGCGAGCGCAGCCGCCGCATCAAGCTGGTGGGCTGGTGGAGTATGGTCGCAGTCGCGCGGCAGCTGGCGCGGCTGGTCGAGTTCATTGGCGGGCAGCGCAGTTTCTTCCACTTCCTGGGGCTGGCGCCCGAGACCGACCGCGTGTAGCGGGGAGGAGAGAGAAAAAATCAGTTTATTTGATTTGGCGGGCATTGCAGCGCTCCAGCCAGGTACTTTGTCAGGTTATCGGATGTGGCCTTTAGCAGACCCAGCGGCGCCGTGGTCTTGCTCAGCAAAAACAGCCGCAGTGCACCTAGCCGCGTCACGGCCACGCGGCCAAACTCGCATTCAACCAGAATCATGGCCAGCTCGTTGGTGCTTGCTGCCGCCGCTGCCACTTCGTCGTCCTCCTCGTCCATCTCAGCCTTGCTCTCGATCAGGCTGGCCATGTTCTCGTACCCCTGCCACAAGCTGGCAGCAATGGCCAGGTCGTCGTCGAGCTGCTCGCGCGCGCTGAGCCGTGGCGAGCTGTCCACCAGATCGTCGTTGAGCGACGACGTGATGGAGCCGCTCGGGCTGGCGGGCTTTGACATAGACAAGACATCGGACTGCGATGCCCCTGCCAGGTACGAGGCTGTGGTGCGGATGCTGCTGGTGCGCAGGCTGCTGATGCTAAAGTCCCGTTCGGCCGAGGCATGGGCGAGCACGACGCCGTCCTCATTGAACACACTACAGCGAAAGAATCTGAGTCGGGTGTGCGTTTTTTTTGCTTTTTGCGAAATTGCAGCAGGTGGTTGTAGAACTTACGCGCACACGCAGATGTCCTTGGTCAGGGCCTGCTCCAGTATCCGCCTGAGGTTTTTTGAGCGAAGCATTTGTATTAAAAAAAGGTTAGAATTTAAAAATGAAAGGGCTTGGAGAAGACAGAGGGGCCGGGAAGGGGGCCAGGAGGTTCAGACACTTCTGGCTGGGGGTTCCACGTGACGGATTAAATGCGCTCGATGATCAGGGCCGAAGCGCCGCCGCCGCCATTGCACACGGCAGCAGCACCGCGACGGGCGTCGTTCTGGGTCAGCACGGTGGTCAGTGCCACCACAATGCGGGCGCCCGAGCACCCGAGCGGATGGCCGATACCCACGGCGCCGCCGTTGACGTTGACGCGGTCGGCCGGGAAGTCCAGCAGCCGCGTATTGGCAATGCCCACCACCGAAAACGCCTCATTGAACTCGACAAAGTCCAAAAAGTCTGCCGGCTTCGCACCCTCCTTGTCGCTAGCGCCGGCGGTCGCCTTCGCCAGGGCCTTGCGCACGGCCGGCGCCGGGGAGGTCGTGAAGCGCTCGGGCGCCTGCTCGGCCTCGCCCGACGCGGCCACGCGGAACACCGGCTGCACCGCCAGATCCACAGCACCGCTGTCCACCAGCTTCTGCAGGTACACGCCCGACACCACCACCAGGGCGGCGGCGCCGTCCGACAGCGACGACGCGTTGCCGGCAGTCACCGATCCCGACCCGTCGGGGCCCGGGAAGGCCGCGCGCAGCTTGCGCAGCTTCTCGGCATTGAACTTGGCCGGCTCCTCGTCGGCCGTCACCTGCACCGGCGGGCGCCCGCGGCCCTGCGGCACCTCCACCGCGACAATCTCGTTGGCAAACCGCCCCGTGGCCGCCGCCTCGATCGCCTTCTGGTACGACGCCACGGCGAAATCATCCTGGTCCTCGCGCGTCGCCTGGTACTCGGCCGCCGTGCTCTCGGCCGCATACCCCATGGCCTTGTGGTTGTAGGCGTCCAGCAAGCCGTCGGTCTCCAGACCGTCCACCAGGGACTGCGCGCCGAATTTGCCGCCGAACCGCGCCGATGGCATGTAGTACGGCACGTTGCTCATGCTCTCGGCGCCCACAGCCACCGCCACATGGGCATCGCCCAGACGGATCGACTGCGCGGCCAAAGTCACCGCCTTCATGCCCGACGCGCACACCTTGTTGACTGTCGTGCCCACCACCTTGGATGCGTCGCAGCCTGCCCCCAGCGCTACCTGCCGCGCCGGGTTCTGCCCCAGGTTGGCGCTCATCACGTTGCCCAGGTAGATCTCCTCGACCTCGCTGGCTGCAACGCCGCTCTTGGCCAGCGCTCCCTTGAGCGCCACCACGCCCAGCTGCACGGCGCTGAGCTTGGCCAGGGTGCCGCCGAACGCTCCGACGGGCGTGCGTGCTCCGCCCACGATGAAAGCATCTACAAAGGGTTGCGATGCATCCGACTGAGTGTGAGCATAAAAGAAAAAATGCAGCAACCAAACGTTGCGGAATTTCACCTACCAGTCGAGTTAATCTGAACCATTTGTTATTTTATCTCTGGAGTAGTATGAAGAGGATACAAGTGAAGAAGAGGAGCGAAGAGCGCCCCCCCCCCAGCGTTGGGCTCTAAACAAACGGGAGCCATTGCGCTGGAAAGTTTGAAGAGATTTTCCACCCGTCCCAGGGCGCTTTGTGCTATTCGGCTGGCTCCTTGGCCGAAAAAAAACACTATGACCTGGCAGTTTTTTGTTGTTTTTCCGCCCTTACTGCTTGAGATGCTTGGCATGGAACTCGATGTGGCTCTCCATGAACGACTGCACGAACCAATAGCTGTGGTCGTAGCCCGGCTGGACGCGGTTCTCAAGCACCACGTTGCGGCGGCTGCTCTCGGTGGCAATGACAAAGTGGGACGGCTGCAGCTGCTTTGACTTGTAGAACGGGTCGTCGGCGCCCTGGTCGATCAGAATCGGCAGCCTTTCGCCCTCGTACTGCTTGACGAGCTCAGTGGCATCATACCGGGCCCACAGCTCCTCGTCCTTGCCCAGATACTCGGTGAACTGCTTGCGCCCCCACTCGCTGGTGGACGGGTGGCAGATGGGCGCAAAGCCCGAGACACTGCGGTAATGGCCCGGGTTCCTCAGCGCCAACATCAGCGCCCCGTGCCCGCCCATCGAATGCCCAAACACCGACGTGCGCAGGGCGTCGACGGCAAAATGCTCCTTGACCAGGTCCTGCAGTTCCTGATGCACGTACGTGTACATGTTGTAGTGTCTGGACCATTTCTCCTGCGTGGCGTCGACGTAGAAGCCGGCGCCGGTGCCCAGCTCCCAGTCGTCGGATTCGCCTGGGATCCCGCAGCTGCGCGGGCTGGTGTCGGGCGTCACCAGGGCGATCTGGTGCTTGGACAGGTGGGCCAGGGCTCCGCCCTTTGTGATCATGTTGTCTTCGTTGCAGGTGAGGCCCGAGAGATAGTACAGAACGGGCACCTTTTCTTTGCCCGTGAGCGCTGCGTCCGGAAGGTAAATGTTGAACGTCATTTTGCTTTGCGTTGCTGTCGATTGGTGCATGTACTTGTGCACTTCGCCATGGAAGCACCGGCTCTTGGAAACAAGCTCAGGGGCTGTCATTTTGTTATTTTCCTGTGTAGAATTCAAGCGTATAAAAAGCAGCGAGATAACCGAATCGAAAGAGAAAGGGCGTCGGGGGTTTCTTTCACAGCAACGGCCATCCGCTGTGTTTTTTTGCGTGTGATCAGTGTCGTCACACGCTCTCCCCTCCTTGGCCCTCATTCTCCTGATTTCGACTTTTTTTGTGAATTTCTTTTTTCTACAATGACAGACACAGGCACGCCGGAAGCAGAGGAGCACCACCACAATGACAGCGACCAGCACTCCGAGCTAGACGCCGCCATAACCTTCAAAACCACCGCGCTCGCCGACCACACAGCCGACCACACAGCCGACCACACAGCCGACCTCGCCACCGACTCGTACCTGACAGCAAACCTGCGCAACCACGTCGTCAACACGCTGCGCGAATGGTATGTGCTGGCCACCGACAGCATCAGCACATTGCTGGAGGGCCGGGTGCTCTCGCCGCAGCCAACCGACCTCTGGCTGCTGGGCCGGCGGTACGAGCTCACACCAGCCACCAGCGAGCCGGAGCCGGAGCCGGAGCCCGGCTGGCTGACGAATGCGTATCCGGAGGCGGTTCTGGCAGACTTCCGGCGGCTCATCTGGTGCACGTACCGGTCGCAGTACCCGCCAATTGCACCCTCGGCCTTCACCAGCGATGCCGGCTGGGGCTGTATGCTGCGGGCCGGCCAGACGCTCCTGGCACAGGCCCTGCAGTTGCATTACTTCGGCCGCGACTGGGCATTCGACTGGGGGGACGAAGAGAAGCAGACAAAGTACGTGAGCATTGTGCGGCAGTTCTTCGACGACTTTGCGCCCAGCAGCGTGTTCTCGATCCACCGCATGGCGTCGCGCGGCAAGCAGCGCGAGGGCAAGGATATCGGCCAGTGGTTCGGGCCCTTTGGTACCGCCGCCGTCATCCGCGAACTGGCCATGGACGCACAGCACGAGCTGCGCATCTACACGACCACCGACGGCGTCGTCCATCTGGCCGACCTCTGCCAAGACGACTTCCAGCCGACGCTGATTCTGGCCGCGTCAATGCTGGGCACCGACCACATCAACCCGCTCTACTACCCGTTCATCCAGGCCGCCCTGACGCTGCCGCAGTCCGCGGGCATCGCCGGCGGCCGCCCCAGCTCCGCCCTGTATTTCGCCGGCTTCTCGGGCGACGAGCTCGTCTACCTCGACCCGCACTACACGCGCCCGGCGGTCGCCCGCCGCCCCGACGACCACTACAGCCAGAGCGACCTGGAGTCGTATAGCTGCGATTCCCCACGCCGCATCCCCCTGCCGCGCATCGACCCCTGCATGGTCTTTGGCTTCTACTGCCGCGACCTCACTGAGCTCATCGACCTGCGTGCTCGCATCGACATGCTGGCCGATGAGGGCATGCTCGCCATTGTCTCGTTTGACAACGACTTCTCGCCCGCCCAGCCCAACGTGCTGCCAGAGTCCGACGGCCCGGAGGACGCCGGAGGCCCCAGCGACGCCAGCGAGGTCGTGCTCGACCCTGACTCAGCCAGCGATGAAGAGTGGGTCACCGATCTCTAGTGCTTGTCTATTTTTCGTTTTTGCTACATTATATTTCAAGCTTTCCTAATGCGCACACATGCACTGGCAGCAGAATATAGACCCCGTAAGTGTCCGGCAAGTCACCCTAGCCGGCCCACTATATACACAGACATCCCCTCCGGCTCTCACAGCGTCTGGCTGCTCAGCCGCGCCCGCTTGTCCACATGGCGGAAGTTGGCTGCCGGGAACATCTCCTGGATGCGCTGCCTCGCCCCGCCTTGCCTCGCCTCGCTGCGCGGCCTGCCCGACTTGTGCTCCTGCGCCTGCGTTTTCTGCGCAACCAGCCGCTGCAGGTTCTCCTCGGCCTGCCGGCTCTGCTCCGCCTTGTGCATGCGCATTACAAACACGTCCTGCGACCGCTGCGGCAGCACCGCCGTGCGCTTGTACGTGTGCGGGCACGGCAGCCGCGGGCAGTGGGCAGGCACGTGGCCGGGCAGCTGCCGCGCCGGCAGCAGCATCGCGTCGATATCCTCCAGCTGCCGCGCCAGCTGCTCGCCGCTCTCATCCCTCTCCTCGGCCTCCTCCTCCTTCTCCTCCTCGGCCTCTTCTTTGCCCGGCATGGGCTCCGCCGGCGTCTCAAACACATCGTCCTCGTCCTCATCATCCTCGATCATCCGGTCCTCGCCAAACGTCACCGTCCGCTCCGTGCCAGCTGCCGCCGTCTCTTCTGCGGCCGCCTCAGCGGCCTGGCGCTCGGCGTCGGCGCGCTCACGCGCTGCCTGCTCTGCCGCCGCCGCCGCCGCCCGGATCTTGTCCTTCTTGTGCTCCACCACCTGCCGCAGAACAGCCTCGGCGCGGTCGGACGAGAATTCGCCCGAATATGTCCCCTCCGTCCCCAGCCGTGCGGCTGCCTGGCGCAGCTGCTGGACCAGTGCTCTCTGGTGCGCTGGCCGCTCCCGCTCCATGTGCTGGAGGAGGGCACTGACTGTCACGTGCCGCTGCTCCAGCGCCCGCCCCACGTCGTTCATGTTCGGCCGTGTGCGTGTCGCATGCTCGCCGTACGCATGCGCCTGCGTGAACAGACTCTGCATGTATAGAATCCCCACATCGCACAAGGCGTCCAGCGCAAACCCGCTGGTTGAATCGTACCCGGCCGAGCGCACCAGAACTGTCGCTGCCCGCTTCATGTACTGCCGCTTTATCTGGTCCAGGTCGACCTTTGAACTTTGTGTCGGCGGCATTTTGTCAGAGTAGTGGAGCAACAACAAAGGAATAAATAAATTTTGTGAATTTTATGAAACAGAAAAAGAACAGCCAAAAATTAAAAAAAAAAAATTGATTTTCATGCTTGTAGACTGCTTCAATTTTTTCTTCCCTTCTCACTGCGCGGTGAACGCATATGCCGTGATCGTGCTCATGCCCTGCGCCGAGTATGCCAGCGCCAGCCTCGTAAACGCCAGCATCTTTGCCGGATCCTGCACGCACAGCTCGTCGAACTTTCGCTTCGACAGCTCCCACAGCGTCACGTCGCCGTCTGTCACCACCGTCGTCGAGTAGTTCCGCCCCGTCACCAGCGCCAGCTCGCCCAGTGTCGTCCCTGGCAGAATCGACTCGATCGCCTCCGTCTTTTCCGTGTCTATGTCAACATACACCCGCAGCGTGCCCGCCTCCACCACATACATGCCCGCTGGCGCCGTGTCGGCCACCCACACGTGGTGGTGCGGCCCCACCCGCTTGCGCTGGAAGTGCGGCGCGATAAACTCCAGCACCTCCTCCAGCGACTGGTCTGTCTCCAGATCCTGGAACGCCTGCATCAGCAGTGGGAGCGCTGGCGCTGGCTTGACTGCGTTGCGGGGCGTCCCAGCCCCCGACGACTGCTTCTGCTCTGCGCCCGCCTTGCTGACAAGCGTGTCCTTGCGCATCATCGCCTGCGACGCCTCGGTCACCATGGCCTGCCGCGGCGACGTGCCGTACACATCATACTCCTCCGGACCCGGCGCCGTTACAAACGAGTAGACCGCTGGTACATCCCCGCCGCCCATCGCTGCCTGATGCATGTAGTAGTACTGCAGCAGCACGTTCTCGCACCACTCTAGCGCCTCGTTCAGCGATGGCGACGTCTGCACATACTCCGACACATCGTCGCTCCACACTCCCGCCACTCGCAGCGCCTGTCCCACCTCCGACGCCTGCGCTACGCCCGCAATCACCATGTAGATCTCGCGCGACTCGAGCAGCCGCCGCACGCGGATAAACGCCTCCGCCGCGCTAAAGTCCATCCCCGTCACCAGCGCAAAATCAAGCACCAGGAACCGGATCGGGTTCTCCTCCCACTGCCGCTGGTCCAGCAGCTTACGGATATACGCCTCCACCCCATTGATCGTGCCAAAGAACATGAACCCTTGCAGCCGCATCACCTGGATCTGCTGGCACACCTCGTCCAGGAAATGCCGCTGCCGGTACAGCCGCCGCACCGTGCTGCGCACCGCCGAGCCCGTGTACGCCTTGCGCAGCGCCGACCGCCGGCTGTACAGCAGAATAAAGAAGAAGCACGCCAGGAGAATGCCCAGGAAGATGCCCTCGTTGAACCCGATCCCTGCCATTGCCACCACAATCAGGACGATCGTCGCATACTCGATGCGGTTGACCACACCGATCGTGTCGACCATTGCCTCCTTCATCAGCTCCAGCCCAAGATGGAAGATCAGCGCTCCCACCACCATCGTCGGGATGTACCCGATAATCGTGGGTCCTGCAAAGAAAATACCCACCGTTCCCACTCCCAGCATCATCCCCGCCAAGTTGCTGTCGCCGCCCGACCGAATAAACAGCAGGCTGTTCGAATACACCAGGTAGTTTTGGAACGATCCCAGCAGGCCAGACAGGCAGTTTGAGATTCCGTGTGCCACCAGCTCGCGGTTGGTGTCCACCTTGTCGGCATTCGTCGAGACTGCAAGCGCCGGAACATTGATCGGCACATGCAGGATGCTGAAGAACGCTAGTCCCAGCATCGTTGGCACCGTCAGCCAGACCGTGTACCAGTCTGTGTTGCCAAAGTCGAACAGCGTGTAGAAGTGGTAGAACGGTACTCCAGCGTCAGGCATCTGGAACACCCACCCTGTCTCCCGCAGCAAGTCCATCGGCAGGCCCAGGGCCGAGGCGATGCCGTAGAACACTACCGGAACAAACATGAAAAACAGCGGCACGAACAGCGGGGTGGTGAACCGGTGGTTGAGCACACGCAGCAAGATCGCCACGCCCAGACTGCTGGTCCACAAACCCAGCGTGTTCGGCACCACGAACAGCTCCTTGATCACCTCCCACGACAGCGTCAGCTTCAGGTGCGAGGTCACCTCTATGCCAGTCTGGAACAGGAAGTACCCAACGCCGCCAATGCACCCGACCAAGATATGCCGGGGGAAGAAGTCTACCAGCGACCCAAGCTTCAACAGGCCCAGCAAGAAGAACACTGCTCCAGTTATGATCGAGCTGATCGCGTAGCTGACCAGCGTCGTGGCTACGATTCGCTCCGGCTGGTCCGCGCTGATGTTGCCGACAACGACGTCGCACATGGCGTACAAAAACGGGATTGCCTCAACCAGCATGCACCCGTTAGCACCGCGGAACCCACTGGCGCCTGAAGAAAACACAAACTGAGACACCGCCGTGCTCAGCATGAACATCGAGAATCCGATCGGCCCAAACTTGTCAAACACTGGAAGCGACACCGGGAACGCAATCAGGCCGTACGACAGGCCGTCGAGAACATTCAAAATCAGACCCAGCACCACCGCCGGAATATACTGCAACGGCCAGGTGATCAGATCCACCAGCGCATGCCCGCGCCGCTGCATGTGTGCAAACCCATCCTCAGCATGGGCCTCACCAGACGGGTACGTATCTTGCGAAAGAAGCCGTGTGTGCTCCGTTGAGTCGGCTGCAGAGAGCTTCGGCGACGTCGCCTCGTGCCTCGACTGCGTGCCAACGCTTCCGTAACGAGCCGATGGTGGTGGCACAATGCCCACGGATGCACGCTGCGGCATCTTCGCATTCTTCGGCACGCGCTCAGCAGCGTCCCCCCAGTAGTTGGGATCGATCGGAGGAAGCCGGCCATCCTCTTCCATCCGCATTGCGTTGGCAGGCAGCAGCGCCGGCGGCGACCGCTCCCTCAGCATCTGCGCCAAGTTGCCCGTCCCAGGACGCGCCTCCGCCAGAATCTGCTCGATTGACGCCCGGTCGTCCGTGCTGCTGCGCCGGCTGATGCCCCCCATGGCGTCACCAAACGTTATTGACCCGCCGCGCCGCCCGGGAATCGACTCGCGCAGGTTAGGGTGCAGCTCGAGGTTGCTCAGAAGCATCGTGCGGTCGCGGATCGACCCGGATGTCTGCGAGTACTGCGTGCTTGCTGGGTCCACGTTGGGACGGTTGGCCGCCATTGGGACTCCGTAGATCGACCGTGTGCCGATGCCGCGCCGTGTGAAATCGGTTGGCGCCAGATGAGATGCGTCGCTCTGCACTGACGAACCAAGCTCAATGTCGTGCTCGCCGCTCCTGGCATCAGCACCGCCACCGACTGTGCTACGCCGTCTTGGAAAGTTAGGCATGTATCGTTTTTAGATAAGACGAAGCAAAAAATTAATGAAAAGCCAGTGGATTGCAGAGATGAAAAACGAACGAGACTGATTAAAAAGCAATAGAACAGGTTCGAGAAGAAGAAAACGTCCCACTCTGGCCCTAGTACAGGATTCGGAAGCTGTGCTGTTTACAAAGCGACAGAAAAGTTGGGTGGAAGTGAAGAGGAGGTTTTGGGGAGGGAACTGGTGACGAGATCGATAAGGCGAGGGGGCCGCCGCACGGACGGCCTTTTATACTTTCCCCTCCAAACTTGCTTGAACGCTATTCTCCCAAGCCGCACCGGCACCATGTCCAGCTTGCGAGATCAACAATCAGTCCATTATATCCTCCGCCTGCTACACCCCAAAACGGGCCGAACGGCAATCCAAAACGCATGATTGTCACAGGAAGCACGGCCGCTGGTGACGCAGCGACAGATGAGCAAAATCCAGAGAATCAGAAAGGAAATCTCTACAGCTCTCCCCACCACCGCTCTCCAAGGTGTGAACGTGAAATGTTCGGGCGAGTCAGGGCTGCTAGCTGGCCACGCTATCGCGATGACAGCACGCGCAGGTTGCATGTCATATGCAGAATGCATCTTGGTCCTAATGCCTCTTGGTCCTGACCGATGGTGCAATTCGGTCTGCGGATTTGCGTGCAGATCTATGGGCTTTATGTGGACGCCGTGCTATAGTGCAGTCTTCACAAGATTGGGCACGATGCTGAACAAAGTTCCAGCCCGATATCCATCTCCCTGGCTATAGGTGGATATCGGGGCGTGATATTGTTCCAGTTCCTCCTACTCAGCCAGAAAAATAAGCATGGCCCAAGCAGCTGGTGTGTGTAACTCATCGTGCTAACTCCGCAAGCCGGCCAGCGTCACCGAAGGAGCGCCTCCCAGAGCCAGAATACGATTGCCCAGAACAAGTTGCAACTCCATAGTCAGACCATGGGATTCGAGGATGGAGAAAGGGGGGAAGTATTGTCCAAAAGTCAGCGATAATTTACTGCTACTGCATATTTAAAAAGATGCTGGTATTTGAAACTACATTTGCTAAAGACATGCCACTACCAACATGCCACTGCCTTGCCACCAGAGCTGGCTCAATCAGGGCTTGGAAAAGCTTGTGCTGCTGAATCCTGGGTGCCTTGATCCATGCCAGGTCTGGTCCGCCACTGAATTCAACGTGCTTGAGGCTAGGGCAAAGTGCTGATAGCAGGAAGGGGATTTCCCCTCAGCCGTGTGGATATAGCCATCATTTACACAGAGATTGAGAATACAAAGCTGGTGGGATAGCGGGAAAAGGCAAGCGCTGCTCTGGACCATAAACCCCATGTCCGAGCATACACAGCCAGCATGCATGGCAAACAGCCCCACGCTTGTCAAGGCATTCTTTGACGTCATAGTGCCAGGCACTATAGAGCTAACAGCGTTAGTATCCTGTGGCGGCCAATGTTTATCACTGTCACAGATAAAGCATCTGGTGTTATCAAAACAAGTGCCTGGATGTGGTCCTGATTCAATCGTGAGGCGAAGATATGGTAGGAGTTTGATAAGCATCGCAGCATGAAAAATGTCAAAATGGAGGCTTCTGGCATCAAGCACGCGAAGCAACGGAGCAAGAATTGGGACAGTCTCCACACTCATAGTTGTACGGGTAGATGTCGCATAAAGAAGCACAACACTCATAGTATCTCTCCTAGAATAAAATAGTTTTCCTAGAGTCTCCCAGGAATGCGGAGCATCAGAGCTATGAGCGTCTCTACCAATACTCTGTAATGCAGGGTGACTGCCAATGTCAAACATACCCTTGTTGATCAGACCGTTAAGGGCGTCTTGATCAGCTGCAAAGTCAATATGACGAAATGTCTCTGCGTTGCTTCTGAATACAGCGCCATTTGCAAATGGATATGACGATGGGAATTTGAGCATTTCAGGCATTGGGAACAGTACTCCAGGAGGTGATGTTTAAATTATTGCCTCTGTCACTTGAGGTGCTGCTTCCGAAGCAAGGATGTGAAACTTGAAGACACACTCCAACGGTAGCGGAAGTAGCGTATGGAAATACAACTCTACCAAACTGAGCAGCTGTGTCGCCGTTTGGAGTCAATGAGCTGAAGATATCTTCCAAGCACCTGTATATCACCATGCTCCTCACTTTGGGAATCGAGCTCGTCTCACTGACTGTGCCATTGTCGCTACGCACATCCTCCTTCTTGCATGACTTGCAATCACTAGACTGGGCTGGACACTGGAATCCCTCAATGTAGATTAGCGTCCTCGTATAGCCACACCAGTACCTGCACGCCTCCATGGGCAGATGATTTTGACATTCACATTTTGGAGAATAGAGAATATATCCACCATGAAGACACCTCATTATATTGCTGCTCACCACATACTGAAGAATATTTTCAAGCACAGGCTCAGGGGTGTTTGGAGTGCAAAGCTCCATGGCTGGAATGAATGTTGAGGCAAATGGAACGAAGAAGGGGGACTGCCATGCTACCCAGTGGGTATGTCCTGCAGCCTAAGCACTGTTCTTGGCTGGTGTCTAGCGATGTAGCTGCTGGTCGGTTGCTGACGGGCTGGAGCTATCCATACCTAGCTTCGGTGATCCAAGCAACTCCATGCCCCTGATCGGGTGATTAAATACTGGACCGGACCAGGAACAGCCAGAATTAGGAATGGCGATGCACACATATGCGCACTATTGGCAGCTGCAAAGCGAGCCAGGCTCGCAGGCGTGCCTATTCAGGAATTGAAATAGCGGTAATCCAGAGAGAGCCTGTTAGCTAGTCCCTTTTTGCCTCTCTTTTGTACAAAGCGTCACTGCTCCCTAATTTTTATACTCTACGCGACACGTCTTGTTTAGTCCTTTCCTTCACCGACAAAACTCCAGCCCTATTTTTTGTATTCTACCAACACCCTACCCCTAAACTAAAAGTGGCGACGTGCATTAGTGGCTAATATCTGCATACGTCTACTTTGCGCACGCTGCATTTCAGACGCGCGCTGCACATAAACCAAATGTCGAAAGTCCTGACAAGTAAGGCTACTCCGCAGCTGACAGACTTCCGGCCTGAGCAGCTGCTGGGGCAGCTGAAGGCCGAGCAGCGGACGCGTAACGACGACGCAGCAGTGCAGTTCATCCATGCAGTGCTAGGAATAGAGCTTGACGCTGCGGCATTGAACGACAGCTTGCGAGACGGCGTCGTGCTATGCCAGCTCATCAATGCGCTATGCCCCGGTGTTGTCAAGCGCATCAACACAAAGAGCCTGCCGTTCGCACAGGTAAGACCGTGAAGAAAGCTGTGTCTGGTCTGGCTTTTATTTTGTTACGACATGACCAGACCGGTCATCGTATAGCAGGGGATTTGCGCTACCATGGCACAAGGATACAACCTTTTTACACACACTCCCCAAACCATTGTCCATTACTGACCCTTTCGCAATCCATTGTGGATCCTCTGTAGATGGAAAACATCAGCAACTTTTTGGAGGCGGCTGGCAAGCTGGGCTTACAAAGCACAGACCTGTTCCAGACCGTGGACCTATACGAGGCCAAAAACATGCCGCGGGTCATCATGACGCTGTTGACCATTGCGCGCGTGGTGGCCGGCATCCCGCTCAATTCACACCGCAAGTCGGTTGACTTGACACAGCGGTCGTCCAGCGACGCATGGAACTCAACAGCGACACTGGGCATGCGGCCAGCACTGTTCAGTCCACGGGACGCAAAGAATGCGCAAAAGAGCGGGCCAGCACTGCGCTCCAAGCTCGATATTCCACAAGCAAAGGCCACAGCACATGCGAAACCTACAGCCACCCATGTGCATGCTGACTCCCGCAGGATGCGTACCGACCGGCGACGGTCAAAGCGGCGCAGCGCAACGACTCTGTTCCTTGCCGAGACCATCAGGCCCACTTCAGCAGCTATTGGCCGTGCATCGAACAACAGCCGAGCGCAAACAAAAAATGTTAGCAAGAATTTGGCCATTGTTGAACCTGTTTCCGGAAACGGGCAGGTTGGGCGCGTGCCCTCGGAACCGCAGGCTGGTGGCGCAGGCCGGCAGCAGCCATCGCGGAAGCCGTCTGGAGCACGCAAGGAGCGCGTGGCCAATCTTTCCAAGACTCTGGTGCGGTCCGATGTACCTGACCCATCGGTTCTAGCTGAGCCTGCTGCCAGCGAGGAGAGGTCGTCGCCGCCGCCAAACGAAGACAACGATCAGGCGATGGACACACTGACACGGAATCCAAATGACGCGCCAGATATGCCTGACAAACAGCAGTCCGACGACACCGACCTGCCGGCGCCAGTGCCACGGCCACGCAGGCGCGCTAACGGCAGTGAGCCGCAAAAGGAGCGGCTGACAGTATACTCGGAGGCAGCACAGCGTCTGACAAACTACCAGCTCGGCAACTGCATTGGACGTGGACAGTTTGGCGCCGTGTACCGAGCGCTGGACCTGGAGACCGGGCAGATGGTCGCTGTCAAGCAAATATCGATAGAAGGGCAGAATGCGGATGATATGGAGGACGTCATGGGTGAGGTTGACCTGCTAAAGTCGCTGTCGAGCCCGCGCATTGTGCGCTATCATGGCTTTGTCAAGACCGACACGCACTTGAACCTGGTCATGGAGTACGTCGAGAACGGGTCGCTGAGCGCTACGCTCAAGTCATTTGGCTCTTTCCCTGAGAAGCTGGTGCTGGCCTACGTGGTAAAGATTATCCAGGGTCTGTCCTATCTGCACGCGCGCGATGTGGTGCACTGCGACCTGAAGGCGTGCAATATCCTGACTACAAAGAAGGGCAACACCAAACTAACAGATTTCGGTGTGTCGCTGAATCTGAAGCTGCGCAAGCCTGGCGACGAGTCGGTTGTTGCTGGCACACCATACTGGATGGCGCCTGAAATCATCATGCTGGATGGCGCCTGCCGGGCATCGGATATCTGGAGTCTTGGGTGCACAATCATCGAGCTGCTGACTGGCAAGCCTCCCTATGCCGATTTGATGCAGATGCAGGCTATGTACCGCATCGTTGAGGACGAACTCCCGCCGATTCCCGAGGGTATCTCCGAAGAGCTCAAGGACTTTTTGATGCAGTGCTTCAAGAAAGACCCGAAGGAGCGGCCCACTGCCCCGCAGTTGATGGAGCACAAGTGGACTGCGCAGTATCGCTCGAACCGCCGCGAGATGAAGATGCTGCGTCGGACATGCAGCCGCAAAATGACTGCTGTCATGGCCAACAAGCTGGCGGACCTGGACTACCCTACGTTTAATGCGGCAGTGCTAAACAAGCATCCGATGATGAATAGGCATGGCGGTGATATCGACGTCCCGGAGACGATCAAAGAGCTTGATGACGATGATGACGATGACGATGACGACGATGAGGGCGATGAGGAGGAGGGCAGTGACTCGTCGGATGTTGACGAGCAGATGGAGCCCAGGACCCTGCGGCCATCCGATACGCTGGTTGTGGATACAAGCCATCCGCCTTCTCTAGAAGAGGAGCGGTCGCTGTTGCTGGAAACGCCGACTGGTACCATTGGCAAGGAGAGCGACTACTACCCAGACACTCTGCCACGGCCAGGCAGCATCATGGATTTTGAGGACACGCTCAGCGACACAGCATCGATCCAGAGCGGCGATGAGACAGATATGTCGCCGACGACATTCCAAGGGCCCCGTGTCAAGCAGCACCGGCTGCGCACGATCCTCTGTGACGCACAGGCGACCTGCCAGATTTGCCACAAGGCATTGACGGGCGCCTTTATCCAGTGCTCTTCCTGCAAGATCCGGTGCCACGATGCATGCGCGCCCAAGCTACAGCCGTGCTCGTCGATGCGCATGTCGCGCTTCCTGTTCCCAGCGAACCGCAAGTCGTCGAAGCGCTTCGAGAGCCGCTCGCCGAACCTGCGCCTGCGTGCACGTCGTGTCAGCAACGGCTCTGGCAGATCCGCAAAGACTGCGGCGGCCATAAACATGCCCAGTATGCCGGATGTGTTTGGCTCGATCAAGTCGCGTGCCGATAGCGCATTTGGCTCGTCCAGCAGCTCGCTGAATATGGCCAAGATCAGCTCGTCGATTCTGCGCTTGAATGCCGTCACCGATGGGTTTGATGGGGTAATGAGCGTGTATGACATTCCGCACCGGCCAAAAGCCCAGTCGTTTGTCGCTGGAGGCGGAGACTCGGGGTGGGAGACTGACGAGACCCAGGAGGTGGGGCCGCAGCAGCACCGGGCGCCCATGGGCCAGTCCATTGCCCAGCACCCCTTGCCACAGACCCCTGTCAGACCGCGGGCTACTGGACAAATGCAGCCTCGGCCCAACTCAATCGCCGTCGTTGAGCAGCCGCGCGCAGCCTGGCCGCAGCCACAGCAGCCAATGCGCGTCAGCATTCCGGCCAAGCGCACCGATGCAGGACATGGCCCGTTCTCGGCCCCGCTGGGCGCTAACCAGACTTCGCCGGTTCCTGTACCGCGGGCAGGAACGGCAGGGCAGATGCCAAAGTATTTTGCACCGCTGTCGGCTGCGGGAGCTATGCAGCCGCTGTCCGAGTCCCTGCCGCAGCCGCACCCTCTGGGCCGTATGCGTGCGTTCACAGCATCGCTGGAGAACCTCAGCGGCGGTGGCAGTGGCAGCAAGGGCCGCGCGGGTACATCGTTCTTGGAGCGCATCAAGCACCCGCTGCGCAGCACCACGTCATCGGAGCTCAAGGCCGTGGCAGGGTTCAGCCCGGGCGCGGCGCAGCGTGCCAAGCGTCTGCAGTTTGGCAGCAATGCGTCGGTCAGCGACCTGGCATCGGTCACTACCAGCGAGATGTTCTCCAGGAGCGAGGTCGGCCTGCCGCTGGCCGAAAACCAGTGCTTGGCGCTGACTGGGCGCGCTCTGAAGCACACGCGGTTGCGCAGAAAGGACAAGGACTGCATTGTGATGTGAGCAGTGTGACAAATAGCTTTTATGCGGCTCTTGGGGCCTAATTTCGAGGAACACAGATCCAAGTTAACGCACTGTGGCCGGCGAAATGCATGAGAAATCACAGGTGTTGTGACCACAAGAGAGAGAGGGGAGAGAAAGAAGTCGGCTTGTATGTTGACATCGTTTTCGTCTGCAGCCGTTTCTAAAATTTTTGCCCCTCTCTTCTTGGCAATATCGATAATTTTCTTTTATACTAATAATTTTCTCTCTCCCTCTCTATCATTCCACTCACTGCGAATAGAGCTTATTCTGTTCGCGTATCCAGCAGTACTTTTCACTTCTGTAATAGACGCACAAACACATAGAGGAACATGGTTCGGCGCGCTACAGGGCCGGGCTTCCGCCGGCGGTCGAAACGGACACGGTCCAGAGCCAGAACATGGTCGCAGGGCGATATGAGGAGCAGAAGCAGAAGCAGGGCCGACAGCTTGGCCTCCAGCACCAAGAGCCTGGGAGGTAAAGACACAGATGCGTAGCCTGGAGATAGCGGTGGTATCCCTGTGGGGGGAGGCAGGCAGCGCGGGGCTTTGTTTCGAGACATCTGTCAAATTCGGACTGCATTGCGGCATGTGGGGAAGCCTACCTAACTAAACAAACATGCGATTCCATCCCAGACGTAGATATACCAGCTCCGGCGGCAGATGATGGCCAGTCGGTGAAGGCACAGCTGGAGAGCCTGACGTTTTTCACATCGCCGTTCAAAGTGTCCTACTACTCGACGCTGTACCTGCAGCAGCGGCTGCGCAACACTGCCGGGTACATTGTGCAGTACCCACGTACGCTGGCTTACTCGATAGCCCTGGGGAGCATCTACACTGCGCTGCACTTTATAGGCGGTCCGCATGTTGAGGTAAGGGACAATGCTGGGCAAACCATTAGCGTAAACAGCAAACTCAACACTTGGCAGACTTGCAACTCAGCAATCCCCTCGCTTCCCCCAACTCAAGTAGGTGTTTCAGCGGATCGACGGCTGGGTAGCGTGGCATTCGTACTGGGTGATGCTGGGGGTTTTGTCGTCAATCGGACTGGGCGCCGGGCTGCACACCTTTGTGCTGTTCCTCGGGCCACACATTGCGCGAGTGACGCTGACAGCGTACGAGTGCGGGAACACCAGCTTTGCTGTCAATGGACCCGTGGCGTTCCAGTGTTCTCCGCAGGCGGCAGTAGCATCGGTCACCTTTACGCGCATCCTGAGCAAAGTCATCTCAGAGAGCCTTTGCTGGGGAGCAGGCACGGCTATTGGCGAGCTCCCGCCGTACTTCATTGCGCGTGCGGCATCTGCGGCTGGCCAGGGAGACGGCGAGTACGAGCGGCTGAAGCGTCTGGCGGCTACGGGTGCCTCGTTGCCGCTGAAGGACCGGGCACTGCTGAGCATCTACGAGCTGTTGCGGCGGTTCGGGTTCTCGGGCATCCTGCTGTTTGCAGCGATCCCAAACCCGCTGTTTGACCTGGCTGGCATCACATGCGGGCACTTCCAGGTACCGTTCTGGACCTTCTTTGGCGCGACGTTCCTGGGCAAGTCGTTTGTAAAATCCACCATCCAGACCACAGTGGTGATTACCGCGTTCAGCAAAGAGATGATCGCGATGGTGCTGGCGTTCCTACGCAACGTGAGCCCCTGGGCGCATGATCTAGCCGAGCACGTGCTGCACCAGCAGGCAGTGGCATTTGGCAGCGGCCATGGGGCTGGCAAGAGCAATGGTGAGGGCGATGGCGGGGACTCGTCGGTGTCGCTGATCGGGTCGGTGTGGAACACGTGCGTGGCCATCATGCTGATTTACTTTGTGGTCAGCACCCTCGAGACGTTTGCGCAGTCGCACCTGGCCGAGGTCAAGAGCTGGGGCCAGAACCAGCTGGCACGCGTGGGTAGTCGCCAAAAGCATGTCACTGTGGACGACGACAGCGAGTGAAGCCAGGGCTCGGTTAAATGTGCCAGCTGGGCTGGATCTATATAGTGCTCTTTGAATGCCCTGTCCTGGAGTTTAATCAATGGGCATGTCTGGTGCGTATTTGTACTACTCTCGCTGCTATAGACATATGCAGCCCATGGAATTATGTATCAATACCTTGAACGGAATGCAGCAGAGAGGGCTGGGAGAACAGTCGATGTGGGTAGGCGCAGAACAGTAAATGCGAGGGCATATGGCGCTGATATCATAGTATACCTGTCGGCAAGATTTCACTATACAGCCGCTGGAGGCCATTCCCAATTATCGTCTAGGCATGTCGGTTTAAATGGGCCTGTCTGCTACGCCGGCCACTGCTCCGCCTCGTAGAAGACGACAGAGGATGCCGGGGGTGGCCGGAGTCCCAAAAGCGCTGCAGCGCGAACAGGGCTGTATTCACTGGTGGGCGAGTTCTAGTGCACATTCCTCCTCTCTCAATCCCACCGCTTGATGGAAAAAGCTGCCGGGTGTTTTTCGCGGCAGGAAAAGTTTATTTTCGACTGCACTATTTTCTCCTCTGCGTTGACTTTTTTAATGTAAATTTTGCCCTCATTTCTTATTCCCTTCTTTCTTCTATTCTCTCATTTCTCTACTTCAGTCCCAGTTTTCTTGACGGCGAGAGACCTAGGAAAAGGAAAAAGGAAGTACCGGAGGATAAATGTCGAAGCTTCCTCGCAACCACAGCGGAGGCACAATTCGGCCACCCAGCACTGGGATGACGCTGTCGCGCGTGCACGCCGATTTCAATGAGCATTCGTCTGGGCTGCCTACCCTTGCCCAGCGCTCAGGCACAGTTGGTCGGCGCGCAACACTCTCTAGCAGCACATTCATGGTACCGGCCGAGAATTCGTCTCCGACACCCAACCGAGCATCTGGAATTCCAGGCACTCTGTCACGAGCATCACACGGCAGCAGCGGGGCTGGCAGCCCAACCTCAGGGCTGCCCATGGCGCACGGGCTGATGACGCCAGGGCATTCGGCGGGTGTGAAGGAGCCTGTAGCACGCGGCGGGACGATTGCCCGTCCGTTCAGCCAGCAGAATGCACCTGTGCATGCAAAGGACTTGTTTGCGGGTAATAGTGCTGCACCAGCAAAGCCGGCCACGCCGTTGAATCGTGGCCACGCGCTCCGCAAAACCATTGAGGGATCGCCCATAGCTAGCAATGCTGACCGGCCACAGTCGCCACTGGGCGTGCGTGTCGGCGACCCCGTATTCATCCCGTCCATGTCACTCAGCGGCACGCTGCGCTTCCTGGGTGCGATTGACGGGAAGCAGGGGACGTGGGCTGGTGTTGAGCTCGATGAACAAGGGAAGGGGAAGAACGACGGCAGTGCTGGAGGCAAGGCGTACTTTAGCTGCCCTCCTAAAACGGGGCTGTTTCTGGTGCATTCCAAGGTCGAGCCCCAGCCCAGCCCCACTGGCGCCCTTGCCGAGCAGCCCAAGCCGCATGCGCAGGAAGCAGCTGCCTCGCCAAAGACGCCTAGTGTGATGTCTGGTCGTGCAAGCAGGCTGGCTGCCATGTCGACGAACATGAAGCGGGCGGCGATCATCCGCGGTCCTGGGGCCACCAAAAGTCACGCAAAGCCCGCGCAACAGCCTGCCACAATTCGCCGCCCAACACTGACTCGACCTGGAGCCTCAGCTATCGACACGGCTCGCCCGCGCGCACCCTCCACCATTCGTCGCAACACCAGCCAGCGTACAGGCACGCCGTCTCCGTCGCGCCCCACGTCCAGCACGCCAACGTCATCGCTGGGAGACCCAAACCCAAGCTCTCCACGTCCGCGCATTGCGCCCAACCGCGTCACATCGCCCGATAGCAGCACTGGTCTCGGCCGCCGCCGCACTGCACTCAAGCCGCCGCAGCCATTGACCAGCGATGATGGCAGCGCGAAGAATGTGCCTACTGGAAACGAACTTGAGCGGATGCGGCTGCGCATCGATATGCTGGAGGCTGAGAACCGCGTGCTTCGGCTCAAGAACGAGCATGGGAAGGCGCACCTGGCGGCTGGGCAGATGCTGGCTCGCGACCTGGCTCTGGTTTCGCCTGACAGTGCCAGCCCGCCCAATTCCAAGGGTCATGGAATGGGAAAGAATCGCACAGCGCACGATAACTTGACATGGCAGCTGCGCGAGGAGCGAGAGATGCGCGATCGGGAGCGTGAGGCGAGCCAGCTGCAGATCACTGAACTCGAGCGCCAGATCAAGGAGCTCAGCGAATCTCCGCCGCCGAGTGATCTGGCCAATGCTCAGTCCAGCGCCGAGCTGGAACCGCTGAAGGCACAAATCGCTGACCTCGAGGAGAAGCTTGCCAATGCTATGCAGCAGCACACTGCAGCAGCCGATCAGCTGGCGGAATCAGCCTCCTCTCTCGACACGCTGCATGAGCAAGTGTCGGCCAAGGACCATGATATTGCGGTACTGACGAGCAAGTTTGATCGCACGGCGGCAGAGCTAGCACGCACTACGCAAAAGTACACCGAGCTCATGCAGGAGCAGGAGCAGCGCAACGCAACCGATGTCATTGAGGAATCGGAACATGTGGAGAAGCTCACGAAGCAGGTCGATAGCCTGCGCCGCGCACTGTCTGCCGCTGAGGATCAGGCGCATGGCGCAAACTCTGAGCTGCATGACGTTCGCCAGGCGAAGGCAATGACAGATGCTGAGCTGACAAAGCTACAGACAGCATATTCCCAGCTGGAGAGCAGGACGGCTGGGTTCGATGCGCAGGCCAAGCAGCTGGGGGCGTTCCGCGATTGCCTCGAGCACATTACCAAAGCCGTGCCGACGCACCTCCCCGGTTCCGAGCTTGACGAGTCTTCGGACATCAGCGTCCGTGCGCAGCATCTTGTCGACCAGCTTGCGGATTTGGCCGAATCCACCTCAACACGCGTTGGTGAGCTGACCAGCGCAGCTGAGGCCACTGCGGCACGCATTGCCGAGCTTGAGCAAGAGCTGGAGGCTGCCAAGCAGCCCGCTCCTGGTGGTGACGTCGACAGCGATGCTGAGAGCAACGGCTCTTCAGTGAGCCCCGCCGCCCACATCAAGACCCTTCGCGCCCGCGTCGCCGAGCTCGAAACAATGAACGATGAGCTGATCACCGAGCGAGTGCAGTTCCTCGACGAGCAGCGTCTGGTCAACGACTACCTGGAGAAGCTCGAGTCCGAAAGCAACCGCCTCGTCGAGGACATCGAGCAGCTGACTGCCGAGAACCAGCGTCTTGTCGAGGACCTGCGTGCGGTCAGTCTGCAGAACAGCACGGTGTCGCTCGACATGACGCAGGTGGACAAGAAGCTGTCGCACCAGTCGGGCGAGTCCAACGCCGAGGAGGACGGCGGGCAGCAGCAGCAGCAGCAGCCAGTCGATAACAGCAGCGAGTGGAGTGCGCAGCTCGAGTCTCTGCGCGCCTCGCACCGTGCTGAGGTCGCCACGCTGAAGTCACAGCTGGTCGAGCTCGAGAAGCGCAAGAACGCCGAGAGCAAGAAGCTGCACGACGAGATCAGCTCGCTGGAGAATCTCATCGAGGACAAGATCTTTAGCGAAGAAGACTTCACCAACCGGATCAACGAGCTCACTGACGAAGTCGACCGCTTGCAGCGCGAGATCCAGCGGCTCCGCCAGGGCGGCGGCAGCGGCGGCAGCAGCGGCAGCGGCAGCAGCAGTACAAAGGCAAAGAGCCCGTTGCCAGCACAGGACGCAGACACTCTCGCTGCCTCGATCTCTGCCTCAGTCGACCTAAACGACGATCTTGGTGATAGCGAGGAGTACTGCGATGTGTGCGATGAGCACGGCCACAGCATTGCCGACTGTCCACTGATGGCGACTCCGTCCGACCTGTTCAAGCAGGAGGCAAAGACCGACAGCTCCCGCATGTACTGCGACAATTGCGAGGCCTTCACCGACCACTGGACATCAGACTGCCCGCACGACGACGAGACCTTCTAGGCACTGCTCCCCTGTCTCGCGCCCTGTTTATTGTTATCACTAATAGTGTTTCCCACACGCTACATCCACCACCTTGGCGTGCTCTGGCAAGTTGCAGTGCTATGTAGGCGATGTTTATTTAAAAGTCATTTACTGGCTAAGCGCAATAAATGGTGAAAGAGTTTTTAGTTGATGCCCATGCTGGACAGAGCACACCATGGCAGTGGTTTAGGTGTTAATTACCATCCGCTGCCGCCGCTGTACGAGTCGCCGCCGCTGCGACCACCGCCGTAGCCGCCGCTGCCGCCATAGCTGCTGCCGCCACCACCGTAGCCGCCACCGCCATAGCCGCCGTTGCTGCGGCCGCCATAGCCGCCGCCGCCGCCGCCATAGCCTCCACGGCCGCGACCGCCGCGGTATCCGCCACGGAATCCACCGCGGCCGCCAAAGCCTCCGCCACGGCCACCCCAGCGACCGCTGCCTCCGCCGCGCCGGCTGTAGTAGGCCATGTCCTCGAGCTCCTTCGGGATATCCTGCTTGGCCTCAGTCAGAATGTGGTGCAGGTCCTTGGCCGACCGCTTGTTGTCAGTCGTGAAGAACGTGACGGCGGTACCAGTGGCACCAGCACGGCCGGTACGGCCAATCCGGTGCACATAGTCCTCGACGTTGGTCGGGAAGTCGTAGTTGATGACAAACTTGACATCCTTGATATCTACGTGTATGGAAGCGAGACGAGCAATTAGGTTGGATGAGCTGGATCAGCTGCAGACACATCGCGGATACGCCCCAGACAATACACAGAAGGCACAGCACATGCACGCGCAGGCACGCTCCGGCATCTAGCGCCCGAGACATGCCACCCGTCGCACACACCAGAATGCGGTCGCTGCTGACTTACCGAGTCTAATCCAGATCGCAATGCGCAACAAAACAAGTCGCCATCTCCCATTTTTGTAATGTAAACTCGTGCCCCGCCATTCACTGTGCGCGCGCTCTCAGAACGAGAGAATCAGCGCAGAATGAAGAAATAGCGGGCCGCTGGAACCAGCAGCATCGCCCCAAAAATAAAAACACCGTAAAACAAACCACGAGCACAGCATTCCGAGTGTGTGCTCCCAATTAAAGCAATTACGGCATCGATATGTTGTTGGGCGGCGAGGTGGTTGGGTTATTGAGAGCCAGTTCCGTGCAGCTCCCAGGAATCAACCAACCACTGCGCTTAGAGCAATGAAAACAAAATGAGCGTTGAGAGGGCGGCTCGCGCAAAGCATAAAAAGATAGACCACATCAAGCCAGGCCACCAGCAAAAACAAACAGGCAAAACAAACAGCAACAAAACGGCACCAGGCAGACATAGCAAGCACAATGTAATACTTTGCCCTGTGCAGTGACTTACCGAGTCCACGGGACGCGACGTCCGTGGCGACCATGATCGGGCTACGGCCCGAGCGGAACTCGCTGATAACCCAGTCACGCTCGTTCTGCGACTTGTCGCCGTGAATAGCGAGGGCGGGGAAGCCGTCCTGGCGCAGGTTGCGGGTGATCTCGTCGGCGTTGCGCTTGGTCATCGAGAAAATGATGGTCTTGTTCTCGCGCTGGTCCATGATCTTCTCGATGTGGCGCGCCAGGCGGGTGCGCTTGTCGCTCTCGGGAATGACCTCGACGATCTGCTTGATGTTGTGCGAGGCTGCGAGGTCGAGCGACCCGATGGTGACCTGGATGTAGTCCTTGAGGAAGTCGCGCGCCAGCTGCTGCACCTCCTTGGGCCATGTGGCCGACCACATCAGCGTCTGGCGGTCGGGGCGGATCTGGTCGACGATCTTGCGGATCTGGGGCTCGAAACCCATGTCGAGCATGCGGTCAGCCTCGTCGAGGACAAGGTATGTGACGCGGCGCAGGTTGGTGGCTTGGATCTGGAGCATGTCGATGAGACGACCCGGCGTGGCAATGCAGATCTCGACACCACGGCGCAGGTCGCGGATCTGAGGACCGCGCGAGACACCACCGTAGACGCAGGTGTTGCGGATGCGAGACGAGGAGCCGTACTTGTTGCACTCGTTCTGGATCTGCACAGCCAGCTCACGGGTGGGAGCCAGAATGAGCACGACGGGGCCGTCGCCGGGCTGGAGCAGAGGCTGGGCGTTGATGTGCACAATGCCAGGCAGAGTGTACGCCAGGGTCTTGCCCGAACCGGTCTGGGCAATGCCAACCATGTCGCGGCCAGACAGAGCCATGGGCCAGCCCTGCGACTGAATGGGCGTGGGCTTGTCAAAGCCGAGCTTCTTGATCTCGGTCAGGACATAGTCGGGAAGCTGGGCCTCGTCGAATGTGGTGATGGGCTTGGGGATATCGTCGCCCATGATGGTCATCTCGAACTCCTTGCGGTACTGCTCGACATCCTCGCTGGAGCGAGCAGCGACCTGCGGGTCCTCCTTGTAGAAGTTCTTCTCAAAGGTGGGCAGAGACAGGTTGTCCCAGTCGGGCTTGACCAGCTCCTGAGGCTCCATACGCGGGAAGCGTCCCTGGCCGCCATAGCCACCACGGCCGCCGCGGCCGCCGTAACCACCGCCATAGCCGCCGCTGCGACCGCCGCCATAGTCACGGCGACCACCGTCATTGTAGCTGCTGCCGCCACGGCCATAGTCGCTGGAGCCGCCACCGTACTCCTTGCGGTCACGACGGCTGCTGTCGTCGTAGCTGCGGTAGCTGCCGCGGTCGCCACGGCCAGAGCTGCCGCCCCAGCCGTTGCCGCTGCCGCCGCCGCCGTTGGAGTTATCCCAGCCGCTGTTCTCAGGCATTTGCTATTCTTGTATGGGGGTGGAGATTGGGTGGAAACTTTTGCTCGGTACCGCTCTTGCAGACGGGATCTCTTTTCTTTCCTTTGATACTAGTGTGCGAGTGTGATGTGAACAAGTGGTGTACACAAAAGATCGCACGCGCAAGGGGGGAAAGTGGGCGATGAAGTAGAACTCGATAAGACTGTAGAACGACCTTGAGAAAAGAAGTCGTCTGTGGGTGGGAAACCAGGTGTGTAAGAGCAGGAACAGGAGCAAAAAGAGCTTGCAGAGGAGAAAGAGAAGGGGCGGGTTTGAGAACGCACCCAGTGTCAGTTATATCCAAGTCACTGAAAAAAACGCAAATTTTTATTTCAACAAAGCTTTTTCAGAGCATCGGTTTTTTTGGGGGAATAGATGGCTCGATGCATGATTCCGGCTCGCCAGTCCTGCGAGCCGAGCGACCCGACGCCAGCCTTGGCCGCTGCAGTGCGTGGAGGCCATTACGTCTCTTGCCTCAAAACGAAAGTGACAACTAGCAATTATTATTTCTTCGTATTCCTGGTACTTTTAGCAAATCCCCCGACACAGACTATGGCTGACATGGACGTAGACTCGCCTGCCGCCAGCGGCACTGCCACGCCGACCGCCGGCAAGACCGCGCGCCCGCGCATTGAAATCAAGAAGTGGAATGCGGTTGCGCTGTGGGCGTGGGACATGGAGACGGATACGTGTGCGATCTGCCGCAACAACAACATGGAGCTGTGCATTGAGTGCCAGGCGAACCAGGACTCGGCCAACAGCGAGAACTGCACGGTGGCATGGGGAATCTGCAACCACGCGTTCCACTTCCACTGCATCTCGCGCTGGCTCAAGAACCGGCAGGCGTGCCCGCTGGACAACAGAGAGTGGGAGTACCAGAAGTACGGCCGCTAGGCCAGCGGTGTCGCCACTGTGTAGTAGTCAAGTTGTTCATGCTGTTTTTCACTCATTAAAAAAGCTCTCCCAGGCCTATGTCAGGTCCTCCTCGTTTGCGGTGATGGTGTGCTTGATGCGCAGCAGAATGGTGGTCTTCCAGTTGTCAAGCGTCGACATCTGGTCGAACTCGGCAACGTGGTCGGTGAAGCCCTGCATGTCCTCGTTCTCGGCGTCGGCAATCAGATTGTCGAGCAGCTTGCACTCGCGCGTGTTGACAAAGCCCATGTCCAGGTCCTTGTAGTGCTCGAGCGCCTTGCGGGCGCCAATGGTGTCTGCAGTCGCCAGGCGGCACAGGCCGGCCTTGAGGAAGTAGTCCTTGATTGACCACTTGGTGAGCTGGTTGTCGACGCTGGCCTCGGCTATCCGCTCAAAGATGTCGATAGCACGCTCGTACTTCTCGAGCTGCGCGGCAAAGGCGGCGACCTTGAGCAGGCAGCCGTTGGCCAGGGCATTTGAGTCCTCGCTGGCGTACCAGTCGGCGGCCAGCTGGTAGGCCTCCATGGCGTTCTCCAGGTCGGCCAGATCGGACTCGTACAGCTGCGCGACCTCCTTCTGGTGCGATGCGGCAGCGTGGAACCGCCCGTTCTCTGTCAGCAAAGCAATGGCGCGCTTGAGCGCCTGCACCGCCTCCTGGGGGTAGTTTTTCTTGAAGCTCTTGGCGGCGGAAATGAAGCGCTGGGCGGCGTCGTTCCGCTCATTGCACTTTAGCGACATGTCTGCTGCCCGGCTCATGGCCTCGCCGGCCTCGCGCATCTGCTTGGCGAGCTTGAATTGGTTTGCGGCCTGCTCATACAGCTCGCCAGCCTCCTCGTATTTGTGGCCGCCGAACCAGCCCTTGTGCTCGGCCTTCTTGTTGGCCTGCGCCAGCAGGTCCTGTGCTTTCCGGTCCGACATTATGCTCTAGGAAGTGGGGGTAATAGGATAAATTGCAGATGATGGAGGTGGAAACAAAAGAGGTCATGGAATTGTCTGAAAGCACTCCAGGCCTGACGGAGGGCGTGTGACGCACGTTTTCCTTTGTTTGCCTCAAGCCCAGGCTTGTATGCCAGCCGATTTGCCCTGGCCGACCGCAGTGAAGTCGCGTAAAAAAATTCAGCTGGCCGCTGGGGTGTGGGGCGGCTGCTGATGGCACCCCGTCGCCAGCCCTCTTTCTCCTCCACAGCCCACAGATATTATCTACATTTCGCTCTGCTCCATCCAGTGCTATTGGCAAAAACGCAACAAGCTCCCGCGCACGCGCAACAACCACGTCCTCAACCCCCCATTACCCTCTACGCGCCAAAAGTAGAGCGACTCTTGACCAACAGCCTAGCTGCCTACTAAAGAGTACTTCCAATCCCTCCTTCGCTCCCAAAGGAAGTATTCACACTTACCTGAACGCTTCGGGCAGAAAGATATTTTATTTTATTACTTGCACTATTTGAAAGCATGGGCATTCCAAAGTTCTTCCGCTGGCTGGGCGGGCGGTACCCGCTCATTTGCGAGCGCGTCAAGGACGACAACATCCCCGAGTTCGACAACCTGTATCTGGATATGAACGGCATTATCCACAACTGCACGCATCCCAAGGACGGGAATGCACCGGCGCCCAAGACGGACGAGGAGCGGTTCCTGGCGATCTTCAACTACATTGACTTCTTGTTCAGCAAGATCCGGCCGCAGAAGGTGTTCTTCCTGGCGATTGACGGTGTGGCGCCGCGGGCCAAGATGAACGAGCAGCGGGCGCGGCGGTTCCGCACTGCCAGGGACCTGCAGCAGGACTACGAGAAGAAGCAGAAGGAGCAGCACAAGGCGGGCGAGAAGCCGGCTGTGGACCAGGCGGAGTACGATGTGGACGCGTTTGACCCGACGTGCATCACGCCCGGAACCGAGTTCATGAGCAAGCTGACGGAGGCGCTGCGCTACTACGTCAACAAGCGCATCTCGGAGGACGTCGACTGGCGCAAGCCCAAGGTGATCCTCAGCGCACCCAACGTGCCGGGCGAGGGCGAGCACAAGATCATGGACTTCATCCGGTTCTCGCGCGCGCAGCCCGGGTACCGCGCCAACACGCGGCACTGCCTGTACGGATTGGACGCCGACCTGATCATGCTCGGCCTGCTGAGCCACGAGCCGCACGTGTCGCTGCTGCGCGAGGAGGTGCTGTTTGGCCCGGCGTCGCGCACCGCTTCGGCGTCGGCCGACCCGGCTATGCAGCATTTCTACCTGCTGCATCTGTCGCTGCTGCGCGACTACCTGGACCACGAGTTCAGCGGGCTGACCGAGCAGCTGGGCCGCTCGCCGCAGTACGCAGCCCTGGAGCGCGGTACACCCGCGACCGCAGTTGACCGCAGCGCCGACCAGAACGCGTTTGACCTGGAGCGCATCATCGACGACTACATTCTGATGAACATGCTTGTGGGTAACGATTTCCTGCCCAACCTGCCCATGCTGGCCATCAACACCGGCGCGCTCAACTTTATGTTCGCAGTGTATCTGCGCATTCGGCCGCAGCTGGGCGGGTACCTGCACGACAACGGCATCCTGAACCTGGAGCGGCTTGAGGTGTTTCTGAGGGAGGTGGCCAAGGCCGAGGTGGACTCGTTCAAGCTCGAGGTGGCCAACCACGACTGGTTCCGTGTGTACAAGGCCAAGGCCAAGAGGCAGGGCATTGACGTCGAGGCCGGCAGCGTCATCAAGAAGGATGCGCGGAGGAAGAAAGGCAAGGGCGGCAGGAGACACGGCATGGACGAGGAGCTTGGGTTCGTGGAGGAGCACGACGACAGCCTCTTTGGCGAGGTCACACTGCCGATCAAGGACGGCAAGATGGTGCTGTCCAAGAGCCATATGCTGATGATTGACCTGATCCGCAAATTCGCGATCCACGCGCTGCCCAAGGTGGCCAAGAACAGGAGCAAGGTGCAGATCCAGTATCTCCCCGGGCCCGCAACACCGCTGGATAGCGTGCTGGTCGCTGAGCTCGCTGCGGCGCTGAGTCTGCATGTGGGCCACGAGTACGCCTCGGACGGCTCGATGTCGCTGTACGTGGCAGCGGGTGACGAGAAGGCCATTGCCAAGCTCGAGCTCGAGGACACAGAGACCACAGGCACCAGCACGCCGAGCTTCTTTGCGACCCCCAAGGGAGCCGCACCGTTCGCGGCTCTCGAGGCGCTCGGCTCGCTGGAGGACGCCAGCCTGGACGACAGCAGCGAGGACGGCTACGCGAAGCACAAGGATGACGCGTTCTTGGCTGACTTCCTCGAAAACGTGTCCGATCCCACCGACGAGGTGGCTGTTGGCATGTACGTCAACGAGTGCCTGGAGAACTTTTCCGACGTGATTGTTGTCAGCGACAGCGATATCGACATGTATACGCGCAAGGGTGATGAGAGCGAGTTCTGGCAGCGCTTCGAGATGTGGAAGGCCAACTACTACAAGACCAAGCTGGGATTGGACTACGCGATCCCGGGCCCCGCGTGCGACGATGAGTCGCTGGCGTCGTCGTCGAATGGGCAAAAGTTCCGGGCGCCGCCCAGCGTGGTCACGCCAATGTGCCAGGCGTACATCCAGACGCTGCAGTGGGTGCTGCTGTACTACTACCACGGGTGCCAGTCGTGGTCGTGGTACTACCCGTACCACTATGCGCCCAGCATCAGTGACCTGTGTGCCGGGCTGGCCAGCTACCGCAAGGAGAGCTTCCCCAAGGACGAGCCGTACACGCCGTACGAGCAGCTTATGTGCGTGCTGCCGCCCTACAGCCGGCACCTGCTGCCGTCGGCGCTACGCCCGCTGATGGTGGATGTGGACAGCCCCATCCTCGATCTGTTCCCAGAGTCGTTTGAGCTCGACATGAACGGTAAGACCGCGGTGTGGGAGGCCGTGGTGCTGATCGATTTTGCTGATATCGACCGCATCCGTGCTGCCATGGCCACCAAGCTGCCGCTGCTGGTCGAGGAGGAGCAGATCCGCAATGCGCGCGGCAAGAACATGGTGTACTCGTATGCGCCGCTGGAGGGTGACGACGACGCCGACGACGTGCCAGAGTATCCCCCGCCCGCCAAGCTCAAGTTCCCCGCCATCCGCCCGCTGCGCAGCAAAGGTATGATCTTCATCATGCCATCGCTCAAGCCGCGCAACGGCCAGGAGACGCTGGCGTTGATCCACGGGCTGGTCCCCGGCTCCACCACGCGCTCGCGCCTGCGTCCCGGCTTCCCGTCGCTGTTCACGGCGCCGCACGCGGCAAAGCCCGCGTTCAACCAGACCCAAATCTTCGGCTCCCCCTACACCGAAATGTCGATGGTCCTGACGCTGCAGTGCGCCAAGCCGCTGGACTACGAGACCACAGCCAGCGATCTGGCGCAGGAGCTGCTCAACGGCAAGCGCGCCAAGGGCATGTACCGCCCGCGCAGGCTGTTTGTCGACTGGCCGTATCTGCACGACGCGGTCCTGGTCGGCGTGTCTGACGCCAACGGCATGTATACGATCGACGCGCAGGGCACCAACATCATCCACATCAACCGCAGCGACCCGGCCAACCACTCGCTCTGGAGGGGCAAGTACACTGGCATCATGCATGTGTTCAAGTCGCAGGCTGCCGTTGATCTGTCCGAGACTCCGCAGCTGCTGCTGCACGTGCTGCCGCTGCGCGCCATGAAGCTCTACTCCGACGGCTCGCTGATACGCGACTACGGCTTCCCCACAAACACACACCATGCGCGCAGCACCACGCCCTGGGCCGACGTCGCTGTATGGGACGAGCTGGGCGTCGTCAGCCGCCCGGCTGCCATGGCCTCGTTCGACCTCAACGGCAGTTGGGTCAACAACCCGCGCTTCTCCGAGCACGAGCCGCTTCCCATCGACAAGGCGCTGCCGCTCAAGGAGCGCGTGTTCTTCCTGGGCCGCACCTCGCTGTTCGGATCTCCTGGCAAGGTCGTCAGCCATGCCAGCGACAGCAGCGGCAATTCGGTCGGTGTCGATGTGCAGCTGATCGTCAACACAAACGAGCGCGCAATCAAGGGCGAGAACTTCCTGGGCGTCAATGTCCTGGACCACTACCGCCAGGCCGGCTACGAGCGCTACCGCCCGTCGTACGTCGTGGCCCGCGAGCTCGGTATTTCGCCACTGGTGCTCTCGCGCGTGACCTCCAAGATGCTGTTGCTTGACACGACCGGCAAGGACTCGCGCGTCCATGCCGGTCTGGACCTCAAGTTCGAAGCCAAGCGCATTAAAGTTGTCGGCTACACCAAGCGCAGCGCCAACGGCTGGATGTACTCAGACAGCGCTGCCCAGCTTGTGTGGAAGTACAAGCAGGACTTCCCGCAGCTGTTCCGCGAGCTTGAAAACGGCGCCGACATGCCAGATGTGCGCGAAGCTCTGCTGACGCGCGACCAGCGCAGCGGCTCGCCTAAAGAGGTCAGCGCGCTGGTCGCTGCCGAGCTCAAGCGCCTGAAGGCCTGGCTGCGCACCAATGCGGACCGCACTGTGCTTGTGCAGGTGCCGATCGAGTCCGACCTTCTCTCGCGCACTCAGATTGATTCGCTGGCTGCCGAGCGCGACGCCCACCACCCGCAGCAGACGCGTAAGGTCATAGTACGCAACGTCCGCCGCGATGCCGTCCTGCGTCCGGCCGATGTCTTCCACCGCCTCATGCAGCAGACGCTGAAGGTCGGCCACCGCGTTGTCTTCGTAGCCGATCGCGACAGCACTGTACCGCTAGGCGCCAAGGGCTACATTGTTGGTATCCACGCCCGTCGCTCTGAATCGCCCTCGACCGACCGCAACGCAGCGCGCGCGCCCGCCAACCGCAACAGCCGCCACATGGACCACGTCCTCCAGGAGGGCCTGCCAGCCGACCGCATCCACTTGGTCGAGGTCATGTTCGACAAGCCCTTCTTCGACGGGACCACCCTCGAGTACCGCTGCCCGGCCGGCCGCGGCGCTCTGGTCAAGCCCTTCCAGATCCTCAACCTGACCAGCTGGGACCTGGCGCAAGCCATCCAGCCGCCAAGCGCCAAGCCGCGCACCGTCGATGCCATCATGCCCACACCCGACGCTGTGCTCAAGAAGCAGGTCCTCGATAACGCCAACTCCACCATGGCCGCCATCAGCAAGGGCAGGCAGCTGATTCACAACGCTGCGTCGCGCGGCGCGTCCGTCCGCGTCCCCGAGGCCAAGCCCGCGCCCTGGGCTCCGCCTGCGCAGGAACCATCTGCCAACCCGATCATGGCGCAGCTCCTGAAGGCAAAGCAGCAGAAGGCGCCCGTGGCCTTTGGTTCCTTCGAGGCCGACGACAACAAGCGCGCCAAGAATATCATCAACACTCTGCTGACCGGCAGCATGGCCACCATGACCATTGCGGACGGCAAGGTCGAAACCACCAATGCTCCGCCCCCGCCGCCCCAGCGCCAGGTTGTCGTCGAGGAAGAGTATCTCAGCGACAGCATGGATGAGGACGAGCCGAGGTCGCCTACGGCACCCAACCAAAAGCCCAACCCCCAGTCGCACCAGTTCTACTACGACTACTCGAGCGAGAGCCGCGGCAGAGGTCGTGGCGGACGCGGTGGTCGTGGCGGCCGTGGCCGTGGTGGGCGTGGTAGTCGTGGTGGACGCGGTCGCGGTCGTGGCGGCATTGGGCATGCCCCCCAGTAGAAATGCTCCAGCTTCGCTACGGAAATTGTGATAAGCGACATGTCCAGTGTTTTGATACCCGCAGGGCTGTTCGGTCTTTCACATCGCAGCATCGAGCTTGGCTCTCGCACATACTCCATTGAGCTGGTCCCTCTTCTCTTTCACTACGTTGCTAAACATTGGCTGGGTGGCATTCAAACTCGCATGCAATTAGCTGCTAATCCATTTTGCCATCAGATTATCTCTTTGACCCAGCGGGCATGTATCATGACATTCAACTCGAGGCTTATGGCGATCAATCCGCCAACAGATGCGAGTGGGGCAGCAAATAGTGGGCTCTGCAGCGTTTTTGGAGGTTTCCAAGAGAGGCAATATGTGACGTGTATGCATGTGCAACACGCATCTTCCTCGCAAAAGGCCACAATAAAGCACAGCGCATAATATGATTGCACAGTCGATGCACGACAACATTGCATGGATAATTTCATCTTGCAGCGACACGCACAACTCCTGCCATTTCCCCTTGGTATCTCTACCGTGCCATATCCATATTAGATTTAGATGATACATGACCATCACTGCATGGATGTGTTTGGCAGGGAGACTCAGGCGGGGTCGAGCGTTTTTCCCAATAAGGCAAAGAGTTCACAGGGCTTCAGCTGCGAGTTCCCAAAGTGTGATTGCTTCTGGCCAACGAGCAATCTTGTGGTATCTAGGATTTTTTATTACTTTTTTCAGATCACCCTGAGCCAATATATATAGCTCACCTCTCTTCAGCTTGGCCAAGTATAAAGCAAGTTGTATCCTGGCCGCCGCTCTCTTGGATAGATTGTCAGCCTTTCCTCTCCCACTCCCTCGCGCAATTCCATCTAGCGCTCTCATCTCCATTGCCTCGTCATCTTTTATCCTCTGTTTTTCTTTCAACCTACTAATGGCCGGCGTCATCAGCAAGCTCATTGAGGAAATAGACTGGCGCGACCAACTGGCGCAGGTCCTCGCGCTTGCCGAGTCAATTGGATACAGAAAGCTTGCCGCTGGGGCAGTTGCAGGCTATGTGTCGTGGAAAATCATCTACGCCTCGTTCTTCTCGCCGCTACGCAGCATTCCAGGACCGTTCTTGGCACGTCTGACAGGCTTGCGCTCAGAGTACATTGCGGCTGCCGGCAAAACCGGCCACTATGCCGAATCTGAGTACGAGAAATACGGCGACATTTATGTGCACGGGCCCAATGCTGTCAGCATATCCAATCCAAGCGACTGCCGCACCCTCCTGGGCTCACACGCTTTCATAAAATCCGATTTTTACAAGAGCGTCGACATCTTGGGCGTCCACAATATCTTTTCCACGCGCGACCCACTGTTCAACCAAATGCGCCGCCGCCAGGTTGGCCCGTCGTTCACTGCTGGCTACCTTGCTAAGATGGAGGGCAAGATTATCCAGCACGGCACGCTGTCGCTGAAGACCAAGTGGGATGGCGTGATTGCAAAGGCCGAGCAGGATGGCACAGACGCCATCATCAACATCAATAACGACCTGCTGTTCACAACGTTTGACGTTACTGGTGCGCTTGCCTTTGGCCGCAACTTTAATGCACTGAAGAACAACGACCCAACCATCATTGAGTGGGTGGCGGACGCGGTCATGTACTTTGGTCTGATCACCAACGTCCCTGCCCTCCTCTACTTCCCATTCAATCTTTTTGTGCGCCGTCTGAAGCACCATCTTTTGTGCCTGGCTGACTTTAGCCAGGAGTCTGTCGATCACCGAAAAAACCTGCTTGCCCAGGGTGAAGAGAAGCCTGGTGACCTGCTGGCTGCATTCATGGACGCGGTTGATCCTGAATCCAAGATCCGAATGAGCCATACTGAGCTACTGGCCGAAATGGTTATTACCCTTATGGCCGGCTCCGAAACCTCGTCCAACACCATCATGTGGACGATGCACCTCCTCATGCTTTACCCAGAGTGCTACAAGCGCGTCGTTGATGAGGTACGCTCCACCTTTGATAAGGACCACACAATCAGATATAACGAGGGTCGCCAGAATCTTCCCTACTTGGAGGCTGTGCTCTACGAAAGTATGAGAGTGAGGCCGGTGGCCAGCGGGAATTGGCCGCGGGTTGTGCCCAGGGGCGGAGCCACATTCCAGGGGCATTTCCTTCCTGCAGGCACCATCGTCATTGCAAACTTCTCAGGCGTCAGTCGCCACAAGGACACTTGGGAAGATCCATACCGCTTCATCCCTGAGCGCTTCCTGGACAACGAAGCTGTCAAGCGCCGCATCTTCGCCTTCAGCACTGGAGTGCGCATCTGTCCTGGAAGAAACCTGGCATGGATGGAGATGGTCACAATCCTTGCGAACATGCTCAAGGATTACGACTTTAAGCTACCTGACGGTGCGGCATTTGGCCCAGAGATCTGCGATGAGAACGGCTTGCCTAAGCTCATGGCCATGAAGCATTTCATTGTTGCACAGCCGCTGAATGGCGAACATGATGCGCGCCTTATTATCACAAAGGCAAACTAGTCGTGCTTGGTTGATTTGTTCTGTATGGTTATGGATAAAGGAACCTTTACCTCTTTACCTATATATCTTTACCTATATATAAGATTTTATAGTTCAAAAAGTGTCCGACCGTCCGCTAGAACCTTTTAAATTGGTTAAAAGATAAACCCCTTAAGCTTCAACACGAGTTTGGGTGACTTGCTCTGTAAACTCCTTTTGATCTTGTGCGGCATCTGACCTCATCGGTGAAACCAGGGCGACAAGCTGATATTGTAATGGTCACAGGTCTCCACTAGATATCTCCATTGGTTCAGCGCAAGAGCTGCTCTCATTGTCGGTCGGCCTGATAACTTCCATGGCGTCATCATGGTGGTCATCACCGGCTGCGCAACACTTAGGATATTTATTTATGAGCACCTATTGAATAGGGCCATATAGCTCTTCTAGCGGCCATGCAATATTTGTGGGTTTATTTTATAAATTAATTTGTCTTATGAACATGCGTAAGCGGTAGTATTTGGGCCACAATGGACCCAGTCTGTATAGACTGATTCAAGAGACTGTATCAGTGCTAAGGGCCCCAAGAACCATGCAAGCCAGATAATCTTTAATAAAAAGTTCTTAATGCTATGCATACGCAATACAGCAAAGCTGAACAGCATCATTTCTCTTCTTACTTGCCTATTGAACTTCTCAAATGGATATTACCTGCAGTACTACTATCATAAAGACATCACTTGGTGGTATTGGCTTCCGTGATTCTATGTTGCCCCGCTTAGAGCAATTTGTACATAGCGTCAATATCATTAAAGAGCATACATACATGCTTGCACGATGGATATTACTCCATCAACTAGCTGACGATGATACCTTTGACCCTGCAACATTTGTGAAAAAGGGATTCTTTCGTTCCATTTATTTATTCATTTATCACAACCTGAAGGCGAAGGCTGTCATATGTGGTGCCAGGTGCCTTTCTTCTGTCAGCACTCATCATAGCCCACAAAATATACTTCAATAATATGGTGCGTGCCTAAAACGACCTAGGTCAATAGTCAGGGAAGAGGAAACTAGGTAGCGTGTTCTCCTAGTGATGATTGTAAATGTGCTGATAAAACCAAAAGTAAGCGTTCACAAAAATATATTGGAAAAACCAGAAGGAATCCCTGCTGCTAGGAGCCAGCAAGGGGTATTTAAGCAAGCACCGAGTGCGCATACTGAGCCCTCATCTAAGCCGCGTATGGCCCTGGATAAAGCTACGCCACTCTCAGTGAGTAATCCGCCTTGGGTGAGTCGGAACCACCCTAGCGGCATGACACATATCTGCCGAGGATTTCATTAACCAGAAGGACAGGCCAGAACTGTTAAGCGCAGATTTCTGTGATGTAATTAGATACCACATTTATGATTATCTATTGCATAATGGCGATATCGAGCTACATGGCGTGCGCGAAATGAATCAGGTAGCGACATATGTGGATACTGAGCTGATGACAGCATACAAGAACAACATTGTGTTGCAGTATGGCACTGGCTTACAGCGGATTCTGACCAAATTGATTGATACTCGCAGCCGCAAAAACACACTGCACAGTACAATGGGCAATGTGTCCAAGGCTGAGTTCAATAACGCATGTCAAGTGTGTATTTATACACCTGCACAGAAGCCCCGCAAAGCAGTTGCCTCTAGGCACCCTGATCTCAGCATGCTCACTCCACCGATGCTTGCAATCTACAACAAGCTGGCACCAGTCCTTAATGCCTATGATGCCAAGTACAGATTCGCCAAAGACAGCCAATACTATGATGCCAAGGCAAATCCACTTAAGCATCTGCATGCATATATTTGCCTATGCCAGCTTATTGAGAATGAGCAGCTTGGCAAGTCTCCTCCCCAATGCTTGCCTCTGCGGACATCATGGATCCCAGGCCATGTGCGCTTAGACAAGCAAATAATCAAGCAGGTGTTTATTTCGAAAACACGTGAGCAGGTTACCAAGATCAACGCAGCAAAGAGGGCAGCAACAGAGGCAAGGGAAGCAGCAGAAAAGGGCGAAAAATTGGCCAAGAAGGCTGCACGCGAAGCAGCAAAGATGCCATCTGATGAAACAGAGGCCACCACAGCAACTGCAGCAGTAGCGGCTGATTTACTTGCTGCTGCATCGGCGGCAGCAGCAGACACTGTTGCAGCACTTAGCAATGCATATGCACCAGCACCCCCAGTCTGTGTACACGACCTGGTCCAAGGGATTACACAATCTGTGTGGGATGTGTGGGGCCGGGTCGCAGATCTAACATCAAAGCAATTTAAGGCGCATGGTGATAGAAAATACCACGGAATGGTGACAACAGATGGTGTAGCGATATGCATTTTGCTACAAGACAAGATATTCAAGGCTGATGGTGCAGTAGATGTTGATGGTGCAGGAGGCAATGCTGCAGGAGGCAGTTCTGTGGGGGGCGATGCTGCGGGGGCGATGTTGTGGGAGGCAATACCATAACTGACTGTCGCTATATCCACCAGATCCCACAGCCAGAGCTGCAAAATCTGAAAGGCCGATGTGTATTCATCGATCCAGATCGGGGCGATTTACTGTATATGATGCACGAAAATAGCAGCAATGGGAAAGAGGGTGAAAAAAAATGCTCTACCGCTACACACGACAGCAGCGCAATAAGGAGCTCAAGCTGCGCCACTATGACAGGATTCGTCGGGCTACAAAGGATCAAGTCCCAGAAGATGCTGTCCGCAGAGCAGAGGCTGAGCTTTCCAAGCACTGCTGCCGGACCCTTAGCCCAGCAAAATTCCATGCCTACGTTGCTGCCCGTGCATCTGTGCGGTGTATCCTAGCACCGTTTTATGCCAGCACGATGACAGCGTGAAGGTTACCAGAGCAGCAACTCACTAAGTCAAACAAGCAGCACCAGAGGTGCTGGAAGGCCCATCCGGGTGTCGGGACCAGTCCTAAGGTGTACCTGCTTCATCGCAAGCTGCACCTTGATTCATTCATGAGCCAGGCCCGTGCAGACCACAGGCGGGCCTATTCATCTCGGCTCTTGAACTGCGATCTCGCAGCAGTTCTAAACTTCAGACTCGTTTTCCAGTCACTCTGTGATTCAGGTGATATTCCTATATGGCTCCGCCGTTCTACGGCCATTGCTGCCAATGCTTCTGGCACCACTCCGGCTACAAAGAACCCGCGCAAAAGGTGTGCAGCAGCAGCAGGCGATTCTGCTGCCAGCAGCAGCGAGCCAGCGCTGAAGCGCCTACGCTGAGCAGGCCATCAAGATGGGAGATGTCCATGATCGCCATTGAACCAACAACTATCCGACACGTTCAAATGACCGGTTCGCCGTGATGCTCTTATCGACATGTCAACCCATGCTGACTAGCAGCCGAGCTCGCATCGCGAGCAGAGTATTTCTAGTATTAAAATTACAGTGGCGCACTTGTCAGATTCATCTGATATTCTAGGGATGCTGAACTGCGAAAAGCTTCATATATGAGACCGTGGGCAGGGAGATAGAGATATACCTAGTTTAATGGCCTTCCAGGCCTGTTAGATTGCTGCCAGATATAGGAATAGCCATCGCATAGTTGGAGGAAAGGCTTACAAGATGTGCACTGTTCTGGAGAAGTCATGCATCAAGGCACAAGACTGAGTCTGGTTCACAGAATCAATAGCTGTGGATGACTTGTTTGTGGTTTGTCGTGGCTCTGAGGGCAAAATAAAGGAGCAAAGAACATCAGCAACTGCAGAGGAGCAAGAGCTGGTCTACCAGACCACTGGTGTTGTGCCTGTCTTGTCTGACATATCCCTCTTTGTGTCTTTTCTGTTTGCGGTACTTCTTTATGCCAGGGTGCATGCGCTGCTGGCTGTGTATTCCAGGTGCTAGGAGAGCTGACCTTCTTTTAGGCCACAATATAGTGTTTGCATTTGCCTGTTGCGTCAGTTCCGCTACATTGCTGTTGCCCAGAACAAGTACTGAGGCAATATTGCCCAGGGTGGAGACAATGGATTTGCAGTATATGAGGGGGCGGAGCTGGTCACAGGGAGACGCACATTCAAGGGAGGTGCTACTTCCCTGTGTCCCAGCGGACTGAGCAGGGAAAAATCGCTCACCTGCATCATGTGGGTCGTTTGGCGAGAGGCACACGCATTCTGCGCTGAGCAAACCGGCGGCGAAAACCGCTCAGCTTCAGGATCTGCAGGCGCTCGGTGCGAATTCCATGCTTTCTGTTGGTGGGCAATAATGGCTCAATTCCTTCTGGCAGCACAGACTCTAGAAACCAGGGGCATGTGCATACCTGGCTTTGCAACATCACAATGGTGCCATTTAGCAAGCCATTCACACAGCATAATTGCAAACCCGCTATATATACGGACGGGTAGTCCCAGCATCCAACACCATCTCCGCTACACACGCTTTGTATTTCCTCATTCACCAGCCCTTCCTTACACGGTGGCTTCTACTTGTATATTCGCAGCAGCACTACCCAAAAAATCATCGCGGTCGCCGTATATTCCCTACGCACCTGCCCTATTGACCATTCGGCAACACCCACTATTCGTCCGCCTTGCTTCCTGTCTAATCGAAACGGCGCAGCAATTGTACGCACGCCACTCTTCTGTGCCTATCTCTAAAAACTCTGTACCCCAGACTGCGCTCCTCGACGAGAGTATTCGACGCAGCTGTCTATAAATCACCCAAGGCTTCCTTCCATCCAGACTAGGCGAGGTGCAAGGGCTTTGCCTATTTCTGCAGATCTACTGCTTTCAACAGCAACTACACCGACTATTGTACCTTACATACACCCCCGCTACAACCCACTCCACCATGTCACTCAAGTCAGACAAGCAAACTATCGACTTCCGCTACAGCAGCAGCAGCAGCACTGCGGCTCCAGACTCGGTGGACCATCATGCCGAGACACAGCCCGAGACCGAAACAGTACTGAGCGTCACTGGCATGACATGCGCGTCGTGCGTCAACAGCATTGAAGGACACATTGGCAGCTTTGACGGCGCCGTCAGCATCAGCGTCGATCTGATGACAGCACAGGCGACAGTGCGGCACTACACACACGCCTTGCCCGTTGCCGACCTCTGCACAGCCATCGAGGACATGGGTTATGATGCAGCCGTGCTGAGCACCAAGACACTGGCTCCTGTCAGCGATGCCACGAAGGCTGACGCCAAGGCAATCCTCGGCGAGAGCGCAGTCGAGTCGTGGTTCAATGTCGAGGGCATGACGTGCGGGTCGTGCGTAGCGACCATCACATCTCTGCTCAATGACCTGCCGGGCGTGGAGGCTGCCGATGTGCAGCTTCTCACAGCACAGGCAATGGTCAAGCACATTCCGCGTGAGATTGGCGTGCGCGAGATTGCCGATGCCCTGACGGATGCCGGGTATCCAGCGACGCCGCTGGATGGGGCAGACTCGAGCAGCGCAGCTGATCCGTCGACAATGGCCCTGCGGAACCTCGAGAAGCACCGGAGGCAGGCCATGCTGCGCTTCCTGTGGTCGCTGGTGTTTGCCATCCCCATGCTCATCATCTCCATGATCATTGACATGGCGCTGCCGTCGTCGAACCCTGTGGCAAAGGCATTCCACCGCAAGGTGTTCCAGAAGTACTCGGTCTCGGTCATCTGCACCTTCTTCATCGCCACAGCCACGCAGTTCACGCTCGGCCTGTTCTTCTACAAGCACGCATACAAGTCGCTGGTGCGTGCCAAGACTGCCAACATGGATGTGCTGATTGCGCTGGGCACCACCGCCGCCTACGCTGGCTCGATCATCAGCGTGGTCTTGCAGCAGGGTGCTGGCGAGCAGTTCTTTGAAACCGCTGTGTTCCTGATGACGTTTGTGTTCCTCGGCCGCTGGCTCGAGGCAATCGCCAAGGGCCGCACTGTCGGCGCTGTTGAGGCCCTGGTGAAGATGCAGCCCGACGACGCCCTGCTGGTCAAGCCCGGAGCCAAGGACGGTGCCGACGACTTTGCCACGATCAGCTCGCGCCAGATCCAGCTCGGCGACCTGCTGCAAGTCAACAACGGCATGCGCGTGCCGTGCGATGGTGTGATCGTCCGCGGCAACACCGAGATCGACGAGTCGCTGCTGACTGGCGAGTCGCTGCCGGTGGCCAAGGGCGAGGGGTCGGCAGTGACCGGCGGCACGCTGAACCTGTCGCAGTCGGTGCGGATGCGCGCAACAGCCATCAACGAGTCGTCGACGCTGGCGCGGATCGTCAAGCTGGTGCGGGACGCGCAGTCGAGCAAGCCGCAGATCCAGGAGGTTGCCGACCGGGTGGCCAACCGGTTTGTGCCGCTGGTCGTCCTGGCGTCGGTGCTGGTGTTCTTTGTCTGGCTCATCATCGGTGCCACGGGGAATATCAAGGCCGACTGGTTGGCGTCGAAGCTCATGGGCGGACTGGGCGGCAAGCTCTCGCACACCGACAGCATGGGACATATGGACGATGCACCGCCGATGAAGTACCCGATCTTTGCGCTCCTCAATGCCATCAGCGTGCTGGTCATTGCGTGTCCGTGCGCGCTGGGACTGGCAGCGCCGACAGCGATCATGGTTGGCACGGGGCTGGCCGCTCGCATGGGCATTCTGGTCAAGGGCGGCGGTGCTACGATGGAGGCTGCGAGCAAGATCGACATCGTCGCATTCGACAAGACCGGCACCCTGACCATTGGCAAGCCCGCAGTCTCGGACCACTTTATCGAGCAGTCGCGCGCTGAGGTAATTTCGGGCTGGCTCTATGCACACATTGTCGAGATCGAGTCGCTGAGCAGCCATCCGCTGGCCGCCGCCATTTGTGCGTATATCCGCGAGCACACGCAGTCGGACTCGGTGCGTGCGCAGCTGCTTGAGCACCAGGAGCTGCCTGGCCGCGGCATGCAGGCGACTGTCGAGCTCCCAGCAGAGATTGCCCACGCGCTTGGCTGGACTGGAGTTACCACTGCCCATCTGCTTGTTGGCAAGGAGGCGTGGGCCAAGGAGGAGGGCTGCCTGATGGACGTCCCCATGGGCACACGCGCGCAGTGGGCCTCCAGTGGCTACACATCGGTTGCTGTTGCATTGGTGCCAGTTGGCCGCAGCATGCGCGGCAAGGTCGTCGCAGCCTTTGCGCTGTCCGACCAGGTGCGTCCGGAGTCGCGCGAGGTTGTGCGCCAGCTGAAGCGTCGCGGAATCGAGGTCTGGATGATCTCCGGCGACCAGCAGGCGGCGGCCAATGCCATTGCAGCACAGCTAGGCATCGACCATGTCATGGCCGGCGTTCTGCCCGATCAGAAGTCTGAGACCATCCGCACGCTGCAGCGCCGTGGCAAGTCGGCCGATGATGCGAGCGAGAGCGACTTCAAGGAGGGGCAGTCTGTGAAGCCTACGTCGTCAGTTGCTGCTCGCCTGTTTGGTCGCCTGAGGGGACCACAGAAGCGCCCGTTTGCCAAGGTCGCCATGGTCGGCGATGGAATCAACGACGCGCCGGCGCTGGCGCAGGCTGATGTCGGAATTGCTGTGGGGTCAGGCACGGCTGCTGCTATGGAGACGGCGCCGGCGCTGCTGATGCGGCCGACGCTGCTCTCGCTGCTGACACTGCTCGACCTGTCCCGCATTGTGTTCCGCCGCGTCAAGCTCAACTTTGTGTGGGCGTCCATGTACAATATCGTGTGCATTCCGATCGCAGCAGGCATCCTGTACCCAGCCATCAACCGCGGACTGCCACCAGTTATCGCTGGTCTCCTGATGATTGCCAGCAGCCTGACGGTCATGATGAGCAGCCTGTCGCTGAAGCTCTTCCGCGAACCAAAGTACAACTGAAAATATCTTTATTACTTATCCTGTTAGTCAATGTAGTCCATTGCTTTTGCTTTTTGCTTTTTGCTTTGAGCCGGCCTGTGGTTAGAGATGGCCTTTCCAGTGCCCTGGGACTTCTTGTTGCCCCTGCACCCCATGCACTTCTTGTCGTCCACACCCATGCCACCCTGCCAGAAGGCATTGCCGCCACCGGCTCTCTTCACGACCTGACCGCCGCGCCCAGCACACGCCAGGCAAATCGATATTCACGGCTTTTGGCAGCGTTTGGAGCGGAGAAAGTCCGAGTGCTTTGGAGGGTAGGATTTGCATCCCCAACTATTCACCTGAAATGCCTCGCACTGATCCTCCTGTTTCTGCGCAGCCACTGGCCTGGATTTTGGCTATAAAGGTCCGCAGCATCTGGAGTCTCTCTCATTTCCCTCACACCCATCTCCTTTCTCTGTTTTGGAAACATGCCACCTCACTGGAGTATCCGCGCCTACGTCCCGAAGCATGTCAACCGGGACAGCATTGTCAAGTGCTTCGCCGACAAGAGCACCGAGTTCATCGATGTGGCGACCGAGCAGGAGGCTGTTGACATCGAGGCGGCTAACAAGGACCCGTTCTTAGTCTTTGAAGAGGACCACTTTATCTTCCACAACTCACCCGAAGGAACAGTCGAGTGCAGCTACTGGTCCAGGAACTGTATTACTCAGCTGGCTCACCCAAACTACGTTGGCATCTGGAATAGATGCACTCGCGAGCAGGATGGATTGAAGACAGCTACAAACCCGGCAGTTGTCTATTTCGTCCCGACCGGCTCCTCCATTGATCCCCCTAGTGAGCCAGTTGAAATCACCAGCGTTCTGGTTTACTACGACATTATTGATCTCGGGGATTTCGTGCAGACTGTTAAAAGGATGGTCAGCTGTTTCCAAGGACTGTTTGTCGTGGCATATGACAACAAGTTCAAGTGTGTTGAGGCGGAGGATACTGACAACAGCATGGATGTCAGTGTGGATCGTATAGGCAATTTCCTCTTAAAAGCTTGGAATAAGCCAGAGTATATTAGAAAGTGCGCGAAGCAAGCGCATTTTCTGAAGGAGCATGGTCTCAAGCGTCTACCTGACGGACAGTTTAGACTCAAAGACTATCTCGGTAACGAAGTTGTTGATGGCGAGCGGTTTCGGCTGACCAGAGATATCAATAGCTACCATTCGTACTACGCGGACGAAAATCGGCATGATGAGGAACCAAACTATTCAGGAATGGACATGTCAGATGGCTTTCTAATGATGTACCCAGGTGATGACTCGATCTTTACCAGCGAGACAATCGACGACATTGTCTATCTCAAGTTCGATAACGAGTACCTCTACTGCCAGGAAGGTAGTGATTTTGAGATAGAGCTTACACCAGAGCTCCCAGAGAAGGAAGAGCGGCTGCATTTGCAGCACAACGGCACCGCACTGATCCTGGCCCGCTGGGATATGTCTGGATATGCTATTGAGGATTGGCTTGATCACAGAGGATACATAAACTTCGAATATTCGGATTCACGGTGGAAATGGGTCGATCCATTAGATCTCCATCTTGTCAAGTTATAAAGTAGTTGGTTGGGCTGTAGCACCCAAGTAAAAGAGAATATATTGGAAAAGGAGACAGACCAAGGCAGTCTTGAAGAGATTAATAGGGAGTTGGCGAAAAAAAAAAAAAAAGGAAGCAGAGAGAATAGACCGGTGACTGGACCGATTCGAGAATAAAAGGAAGAATAGGAAAAGGGTGAGGAGAAGTAATCTAATTTTCTGATAAGTTCTGGCACCACTATGGCAACGAAGAAGCCGCGCAAGAGAGCTCCTGCAGCTTCACGCGATTCTGCTGGCCAGCAGTGGCGAACCAGCGCGGAAACACCCGCAGTGAGCAAGCCATCAAGATGGGAGATGTCCATGATTGTGATTGCATCAGCAACCATCCGACATGTTCAAATGACCAGTTCGCCATGATGCTCTTATCGACATGTCAATCCATGCTGACTAGCAGCCGAGCTCGCATCGCAAGCAGAGCAATTCTAGTAAAGAAATAAATGGTAATGCCAGGTTTATGTTGCAACAGCATGCAAGCTCATTGAATGATAGTGTCCAATCTCAGTGTGCCAGCATACTCAGACGCTACCTTGAGCCCTATCTTGAATGCATATGCACCTGAGCTCAAGGCTGTCAGTCGGTCCCCTTAGCCATTCCTTCCTATACATCTCTCATTCCAGGGTTTCCCTTATGTTGGCACTGGTGTGTCGAACCATTCCTGCGCCACCATACCAACAACCAAACCACATAGCACAGGGCCAGGATCAGCCGATCCCCTCTCACCTCCTTTTCTTTAGTTTGTTTTCGCCAATATTTCCAGCTAGTCTACACATACGTTCGTAAATACCTACCCCATATCTGAAGGCTACCACCTTAAGCACATGACCTCTTATTCACAGGCTAGCAATAATATTGGATGCAAGTTACAATAAAGCCCGAAAGAATGATCTAGTTAGTCGAAGTCTTCCGAGCAGCATCTCCCAGTATCTTCAAGAGGCATGCCGAGATGCTCTCAACAATATCTTTGTCCCTGGCCCTCTCGAAAAACGGGTCAATATCCTTCTGATCTAGATACGACTCAAAATCACCATCTTCAGGCTCTGGCGGATCCATAGTGCTAGCCCCACAGATATTTGGAATGCTGATATCGCTGTCAATGAGCGCGGAACGGAGCTGCTGTACAAGAGTATGAAGGTACTTGCATCCAGGGATACCTGGGTGGAACTTTTTGGCAATTTGACTTGCAAAGAGCTTTTTCGAGTGGAGATGGCCACGCTTCGCTTCTGTAATTGCCTCAGTACTTCCTGTCCTCCACCTGTTAATCTGCAGCGCATCCTGGAATTCATCGGCTCTCTTATACTCGTCGTTGACCCAGAACGTTCCGATCCAGCAAAGTAGATAGAGCATCGACTCCCAGTCGTCGAGCGCCGTCCGTGGAGCATCGGAAGCCAATAGGTTGTTAACGCTCATGAAAGGGAGCGTGCCAGTGCGATCCTTGTGTGCCGTCTGTCCCTCGATACTCATATCCAGTGCATAATCAAAGTCGATCAGCATCCCGCGTTGCCGGCCATCCTTCTCGACTAGCAGGATGTTGCTGTCAGATATGTCGCGATGCAGGATATTGCAGTGCTTGACTAAGGCTGAGTGAAACTGCATCACATCGGCAGCGACCTGAATGAGCTCATTAGCTGACTCGAGGCCACTCAGGTCGCGGCCGACGGGGGTCATGACGATAACCTTATGGGCGCGGAAGCAGATGTCGGAGAAGCTCTCAGACAGTGGCGCCTTGAGGATATGCTTGGTATTGTCGCTGGTGACAGCACCTTCGCCGTTGACATAGGTAATACGACCACCTATCATGACTTCTGGGTAGATCAAGTCGTCGCTCTCCTTCATGCCGCAGAGCTCCGTGTCAAACTTGCGCATCATCGCCACCTCATCGCGGACGTCGTCCTTCTCTGATTCGGTAGCCCGTGACCACGCGTCCTTGATTGCGACTCTCTCCACATTCTCCTCGTTGGAATCGCTCGTCCAAGGGTCCGTCGGTGATGCAATGAAGCAGCGAGTGTGCCGCCCAAACAGTCGCTCAGCTCGCACCGGTATGTCAGTGACGTAGTACTCCTTGCGATCGTCACCGTCATGGCAGATGATCTTCCATTTGCCACTACCCAGCTCCACGAAATTGGAGTCGTACCCGAGCTGGTGTGTTTCACACAGCGAGAACCTGACCAGCAGCTGGACAAACGAGTGGCGACCAGAAGGGCTGCCCAAATCCATATCTGGCGTCCGGAAAACGTCGTCATTGGTGAACAGATACGCGCAGGCAGTCTTGTTGCATAGGGTCAATCCCCATGCGAAACGACGATTCGGCTGGTTAAAGTAGAGCTGCCGCGTTTGGTAGAATAGCTGCCGCTGCGCTTCCAGCTCGTGCCTCTCGCTGCGCTTGGCCTCAATGATCGCTAGAGCATCGCTATACGACGGCCGCTTAGGCACTTTATCAAGATCGCTGTCGATGAGGCGAGTAATGAACATCATGTCAGGTCTGGTTCTGTCATCCGAGTCGCCTGCCTTCCGATCCGGGCTCTCGACTGGAAGCACTAAGCGGGAGGCAGTAAGAGGATGCGCGGGTAGTTTATGCTTGACACAGTGAGCAACGAACCAAACCAGCGCATTTTTTGGCTTGTACATCAGGGACTCACGGGGAGGTGGGCTAGACTCAGAGAGCCACGCCATAAATGACACTGCTAGGTTCATCAGCGTATCGTGGAACTCCTTGTCTTCCCTGGTACACAAATCTTGCGGCATGGCGTCACCACGTATGTACCGCTCAAGCAACTCGGCTGTGAATATCACCAGCTCATCGGACAGGCTGTCGTTCATCGGGTTCTCCGGTTTCACCACATCGTGCACAGTATCCCTCGCCTCCCGCAGGCGCTCTGCTACATCCGCCTCCGCTTGTCCTTTCCGTTCCTCTTGGATCTCTGATAGATCCCTCGACGTGTTGGACAGTGCGCCAGCGCTCTGCGACGAGTGCTTCGAGGGTGTGAATCCGTATGTCATGCTGTGGCTACTAGCAGTCCCGCCTACTCGACCTATTTGATAGAAATCATCAATATTAAATGCTTGTGGTCGCTAATGCATGTAAAATATTTCTGCTTTAAATACATACTTTTGCTCGACGTCCGTGTGTTTTGCTTTTTAGTTTCGGGTGTTGCTGGTGGCTGGCTGGTCTTTTTGCCAGCGCCTTGTATATTAGTGTTGGTGCGTTTGCGCTTTGAGCCTGACAGGGGGTGTGATGGGCCGATAGTCATTGCAAAAGAGGTGGAGAATGCAGGGGTTGAAAATGCTGAATGAGTGAAGAAAAAAGTGCAAATATCCAGCAGCCCTTTGTTGACTGAATGGCCAGCCCAATCATGTCTGGCTGCGCATAAAATTAAATTCACCCTATGAATACATCGCCAATCACAAGATCAGTCTGGGATCAAATGTTTAGGCTGTTGACATATTCGGCAGTGAGGCAGGTGCCAAGACCGTATAGTATTTCCGAGAATATCAGCGCTTTTTTGTAGTCGGAATTGTATCGGAGGGGATAGAAGTTGCTAGGATTTGTAATCTTGTGTATGCTGAGACATCAAACAAGTAATCCTCTCACTGTCATGGCTTGTGGCCGCAACATAATGGAACCCGCATGCTTTACTGTTCCTTAAAACCTAGGCTCAACCGATGCTCAGAGTATTTCAAAAAGGGTGACAGTTCCGATGCATGTCGGTGGATGAGGGGAATCCTAGTGAGGTCTAGATGATGTGCCTCCACCATGCCAGGGTATAAAACCCCAAGCGCCAGGCCACAGGTGTCTGCCAATCCCAGAAACCAACAAATTCTGAACCTGCCAACTCGCCAATCTCTAGCCATGTCGTCGCCTGCTACTTCAGCCCAGTCGTTCACCCTCAACACGGGTGCCAAGATGCCCGCCATCGGTCTCGGGACCTGGCGTTCTGAGCCTGGACTTGTCGCCAAGGCAGTTGAGGAGGCGATCCGTGCCGGATACCGGCATATTGACGGAGCGTGGATGTACCGCAACGAATCCGAGGTTGGCGAGGGAATCCGCAACAGTGGCGTACCTAGATCCGAGCTGTTTGTCACGACCAAGCTCTGGAACACGTTCCATAAGCCCGAGGATGTTGCCAAGGGTCTCGATGAATCTCTGAGGGACCTTGGCCTGGACTATGTCGACATGTATCTCATGCACTCAACGCTCAGCATCACGCTGCCAGACAAGCCATACGAGGGTATCCCGGAGTGCGACCCCCAGGTAGACTTTGTCGAGACATACAAGGCCATGGAGAAGCTGCTGGAGACGGGCAAGACCAGGGCCATTGGTGTGTCGAACTTTTCGCAGGCCAACCTCGAGCGTCTGCTGGCTAACACCTCGGTCGTGCCGGATACGAACCAAGTCGAATTGCACCCGTATCTGCCGCAGCCCAAGCTCGTCGAGTTCTGCAAGGCCAACAGGATCCTGGTGACGGCTTATTCGCCACTGGGCTCCACTGCTGAGTTCAATCTGCGCGATGACCCAGTAATTACCGAAATTGCCAAGGCGCGCAATGTCACGCCGTCACAGGTACTGCTTGCTTGGGGTGTTAAGCGCGGGACGGTCGTCATCCCCAAGTCGACTAACAAAGAGCGCATTATCGAGAACTTCCATCTGGCAGGCATTACCGATGAGGACTTTGCCAAGATCAACGCCATCACCCACCGGGCGCGGTTTGCCGAACCAGGAAACTTCTATGGCAAAGCGTACCAGGGCATGTTCGGCTTCGAGGAGGCGTAAAAAGCACCTTGCATTATCTGAGTATATCACCAATCATGATGCACCGATCTTGAGGAGATAATGGCCGCATGATATCACGCTACATATGCAGCAATAGTGGGGAGTTGGGTATGGTCCAGAGCACGGTCCAGAGCACGGTCCCTCCCCTTGCCCTTGATGACGTAGACGCATATTTTCCCGCTAGTTTCATTCTGAGACATTTGGTGTATAGTCCTCCGAAGCATGCCTCCCTTGCTTCCCTTTTGCTAATAATGGTAGAGTCTACGTACACCCACGCACATTTTGTTTTGAACACAGGGGCAAGGTTCCCCGCAGTTGGGCTTGGAACCGGCATGGGCGGACCTGAAGAGGCGACACACGCGGTTGAGGAAGCTATCAAAGCTGGATACCGCCAGTTCGATACAGCAATCATATACGGCAGCGAGCCATATGTTGGTGAGGGGATCCGGCGCAGCGGCGTGCCTCGATCCGAGGTATTTGTTACGACCAAGCTCTGGAATACACACCACAGGGCTGAAGATGTTCCCAAGGCACTTGGCGAGTCATTGAAGAGCCTGGGCATGGAGTATGTGGATCTGTATTTGATGCACTGGCCACTGTCGGTGGTGTCTGAGAACGAGCGCAGCTCGAAGGGTGGGTTAATTGATGCCAAAATCGACTACATTGATACCTACAGAGCGATGGAGAAGCTGCTCGACACTGGCAAGGTCAAGGCAATCGGGGTGTCAAATTTCACAATCTCGCATCTGAAGCGCCTAATGACCAATACAGGAATCGTACCGGCCATCAACCAGATCGAGCTGCACCCGTACCTTCCGCAGCCTGAGCTGGTCGAATTCTGCAAGTCCAAAGGCATCGTGCCGACTGCGTACTCACCGCTGGGGTCGACGGACAAGCTCCGTATTTTAGAAGATCCCGTAGTCAACGCCATTGCCAAGGAGCATGGAGCGACGGCAGCGCAGGTTCTCATTGCATGGGGCGTGGGTCGCGGGTATGCGGTCATTCCGCGGTCTCTGCACACAGAGCGCATCATCAATAATTTTACTCCAATTGAGCTGAGCAATGACGATGTTGGCCGAATCAGCGCAATCCAGCAGCGTGGACGGGTCGCAGATCCGGTGGCGGACTGGGGCGAGCAGTTCCAGTGGGTGTTCAATGGGGTGGAGCCCAGCAAGTAGATGCATACAGACATCCCCACGCCATTGTCATTCAATATGCTCTGAGTCATCATCCTCGCTCGTCATATATGCGTGCGTGCGCTAGCTAGAAGTGAATCATTTTTTTTTCTGGTGGTGGGCAAAAGAATTCTTGATCTCGACGTAAAAAATTTTTCTCCTCTCTAAACGACTTTTTTCTTTGTAGAATTTGGAGAAAAAACCCCCACTGAGCATTTATTATTCTAATCCATTTGCAAAAAGAAACAATGGCGCTTGACAACGAACAGACCAGCACGCCGCCGGCGCCCGCTACGCCGAACAACGGCAACGAGGCGTCCAAGGCCAAGAACGAGGCCAAGAACGAGGCCAAACGCAAGGCCAAGATGGAGAAGTTCCTGGCCAAGCAGGCTGCGCTGGCTGCTAAGAAGGTAAGAATCGTTGGTCTCGCACTATGGTCTGTCTACACGCGCAGCAATACAGCTCAAGTGGAGCCCATGTGTAGGACGCAGCAAAGGACAAGGTGGCGGCTCCCAAGAAGGAGAAGGAGCCCAAGGTGGCCAAGGCTAAGCCCGCGTTTGTGAACACGACGCCGGCGGGCGAGAAGAAGGACATGAGCCAGGCGATGGCGGACAGCTACGAGCCAGAGGCTGTGGAGGCCGCGTGGTACTCGTGGTGGGAGAAGGAGGGCTTCTTTACGCCGGAGGAGCTCGACAAGCCGAACCCCAAGGGGCGGTTTGTGATGGCGACGCCGCCGCCCAACGTCACGGGAAAGCTGCACATTGGGCATGCGCTGTTCATTTCGATCCAAGATTCGCTGGTGCGGTGGAACCGGATGCGCGGCGTGACGACGCTGTTCATCCCGGGCGCCGACCACGCTGGCATTGCCACGCAGGCAGTGGTGGAGAAGCAGCTGTGGAAGAACAGCCAGCTGACCAAGTACGATCTGGGCCGTGACAAGTTTGTTGACAAGGTGTGGGACTGGAAGAACGAGTACGGCGACAAGATCATGAATCAGATCCGGCGGCTTGGCAGCTCCTACGACTGGACGCGCGAGCGGTTCACGCTGGACGATATCCTGTCCCGTGCCACGCGCGAGACGTTCTGCCGGCTGTTCAACGACGGGATTATCTACCGGTCCAGCCGCCTGGTCAACTGGTGCCATGTGCTCAACACAGCGCTGTCGAACCTCGAGGTTGAGAACAAGGAGCTGCCAGGCCGCATGCTGATGACCGTGCCTGGATACCCGGCGCAGGAGAAGTTCGAGTTCGGTGTGCTGGTGCACTTTGCGTATCCGGTCGAGGACAGCGACGAGCGCATTGTGGTGGCCACCACGCGTATCGAGACCATGCTGGGTGACTCGGCCATTGCTGTTCACCCCAACGACGAGCGCTACAAGCACCTGCACGGAAAGTTTGTTGTGCACCCGTTCAACGGCCGGCGCATCCCGATCATCACCGATGGCGAGGCGGTCGACATGGAGTTCGGTACTGGAGCCGTCAAGATGACGCCAGCGCACGACCACAACGATTACAAGGTCGGCAAGCGCCACGGGCTGGAGTTCATCAACATCCTCAACGACGACGGCACCATGAACGAGAACGCCGGGCCTTACGCCGGTATGCGGCGGTTCCACGTGCGGCGGCAGATCATCGATGATCTCAAGGCTAAGGGCTTGTACGTCGATACCACCGACAACCCGATGACGGTGCCGATCTGCACGCGGTCGGGCGACATCATTGAGCCGCTAATGAAGCCGCAGTGGTGGGTGCGCTGCAAGGGCCTGGCCGAGCCGGCCATGGAGGCGGTGCGCTCGGGCAAGCTGGACATCACGCCGATGACGTCGGAGAAGGAGTGGTTCCGCTGGCTGGAGAACATCCAGGACTGGTGCATTTCCCGCCAGCTGTGGTGGGGCCACCGCATCCCTGCGTACTTTGTGCGCATCGAGGGCCAGAACAACGACACCAGCAGCTCCGAGTACTGGGTTGTGGGTCACAACGAGGCCGAGGCCCGCCAGCGCGCCGAGGAGAAGTTCCCGGGCACCAAGTTCACGCTGGAGCAGGACCCGGATGTGCTCGACACATGGTTCTCGTCAGGCCTGTGGCCATTTGCGGTGCTGGGATGGCCCGACAAGACATCCGACATGGAGAAGTACTACCCGACGCAGCTGCTGGAGACCGGCTGGGACATTCTGTTCTTCTGGGTTGCGCGCATGGTGATGCTGGGCATCTATGTGACCGGCGAGGTGCCGTTCAGCAAGGTGTTCTGCCACGCCATGGTGCGCGATGCTCAGGGCCGCAAGATGTCCAAGTCTCTGGGCAACGTCATCGACCCGATCGATGTCATCCAGGGCATCTCGCTGGCCGACCTGCACGCCCAGCTCGAGAACGGCAACCTGGACCCGCGCGAGGTCGTCAAGGCCAAGAAGGGACAGACTGCCGACTTCCCCGACGGCATCCCCGAGTGCGGCACCGACGCCCTGCGCTTCACCCTGTGCGCCTACACGTCGGCGGGTCGTGACGTCAACCTCAACGTGCTGCGCGTCGATGGCTACCGCAAGTTCTGCAACAAGCTGTGGAACGCGACGCGCTTTGCGCTGATGAAGCTGGGAGACGACTTCAAGCCGCGCGCCGAGATGGGACTGGGCGGCGCCGAGTCGCTGGCCGAGCGCTGGATTCTGCACAAGCTCAACATTGCTGCGCGCGATGTCAACGCTGGCCTGGCCGAGATGAACTTCATGGCTGCCACTACCGCCGTCTACAGCTTCTGGCTGTACGATCTGTGCGATGTCTACATTGAGTACATCAAGCCCATCACCACGCCCGAGGCCGACGCCGACGCCCGCCGCTCTGCCCAGGAGACCCTGTACACGTGCCTGGAGCAGGGGCTCAAGCTGCTCCACCCCTTCATGCCCTTCGTCACCGAGGAGCTGTGGCAGCGCCTGCCGCATCGCGCCAGCGAGACCAGCCGTACCATTTGCCTGGCCGAGTTCCCCGAGCCGCATGCCGAGTATGAGAGCCCCCAGGCCGAGCGCGACTTTGACCTGGTCATGTCCATCGTCAAGGCTGGGCGCTCGCTGGTGACGGATTACCACGTAACCTCCAAGGCCACCATCTACATTGCCCCGACCACCGCCGCTGCCCACGCACTGGCCACCTCCGAGGCCCCCGGCATCTGCACCCTGATCAAGGGCTGCTCAGAGGTCATTGCGCTGCAGCCCGCCGAGGCCGTGCCTGCAGGCTGTGCCGTGCTGTCGGTCAACGACGAGGTTGCCGTGCACCTGATGGTCCGTGGCCGCGTCGACATTGACCAGGAGATCAAGAAGATTGAGCAGAAGATCGCCAAGGCCGACAAGGCCCGCGAAGCCCTGCTTAGCAAGACCAACATTGCCGACTACATCGACCGTGTCCCCACCGATGTGCGCGAGCAGAACGAAACCAAGCTCAGCAACTACACTGCTGAGATTGAGGCGCTGGGTCTGGCCATCAAGACCTTCCTGTCCCTGAAGGGCAGCGACTAGACTTTTTTCTTTGCCAATTGACTCGCTTTTGACAGTCTAAATGCACACAATGCCGTATTTTGGTGATAGTGCCGTGTGTATTGTTGTCCAGGTGACCAGCGAGAATTGGCCGTTGTGCAAGGAAAAAGGGTATTGTACTGCTTTCTGTTTTCTGTTATTTTTGTCTGATGGGCCGGCTCTGCCTGGAAGAGTTACTGCTCAGTAGACCTAGGACTTGTGCCTGCCCTGAGCGCACCGTCCCTGATACCACCCTTAGTCCCTGCTTCCCAAAAAAAAAAAAGTACTGACACAAGAATATCACTAGCAGTTTTTTGTCCATGTCAGCTGCTACCACGGCCGGCGCTTCTGATCCATGTCGTCCATGGCCGCATCGCCACCAGCATCCGGCGGCACCCTTGACATGTCCTGCTGCGAATGCGGAAAATGCGACTGCTGTGACGGATCCACATTCTGTGGGCTGGTGGGCAGCGACGACGCAATAGACATTGTCAGCTCGCGCATCGACGGCAGCATCTGCGAGCTGCCGCTCGGGTTCGGCGTGTGCGGCCCCGGCATGCCTGCTGGACGGAACGGCGGTGTGCTTGTCGCCCGATACTCGCTGGCAGCTCCTGAATCCACGCGCAGCGGCAGCTTGCGGTCCGCCACATCTGCCTGAGCGGGAGGGCCGGCTGCTGTTTTGTGGAACTGCGATGCATCGCCAGCGCATGTCGGCGATCGCGGCTGCGACAGCGAATGGTGGTGCTGGAACCCCGACCGTGTGAACCCGGCCGAGCTGCTCGCGTACAGCGGCCCCGCAACTGCCTGCTTCGCCTGGTGCTTGGGCTCATTTGGTGACGGCGGCGACCGGTTATGCCGCACATGTGCGCTGTGGTGCGCCAGGTGCTGTGCTGCTGTGTGCCGCCCCGGGTGGTGTGCTGCCGGCCGATTGAATGTCGGCCGCGGGGCTGCTGACGCAAACCCAGTTGATGCCATATGCGGCTGTGGTGAGAATGACTGATGCCCTGCCGCCGCCGCACCCATACTGGAGGCTGCCCCATACGCTCGCGGGTACTCGTACTGATAGCCAGCTGCCTCGGGACGCCCTTGGTACGCGTATGCGTGTCGTGGCGGCGGTGGCCGCACCGGTTCCTGCGAAATCGGCATGTGTGGGCCCACTGGTATCATTGACCCCACATTGGGCGTCAGCGGTCCGCTAGGGGAGAAGGATGTCGGCCGGACCGATGGTGACGGAGACCCTGACGCCAGCCGGCTGCGCAGCCGTGCATTCTCGTGTCGCAGCTCCTGGATCTGCCCCTGCATCTCAAAGTTCGCCTTCTGAAGCTCCATGTACGCTGCCTCAAGCTTGTCGTATCGTCGCGCCTTGTCCTCCAGGCTCGTCACGTACTTTTCGCGCCGCAGCCGGAACGCCCGCTGCGCTGCGCGGTTCTGCGCTGCCCGCTTCGAGCTGTTCACACTGCGTCGTTTGGCTGCTGCTTCCGCCTGCTGTTGATCCGAGCCGCCGTCCTGCGCATTGTCGGAGATGGATTGTGACGCGCTTGGGTTGAGCCCCTCATACATTCCCAGGTGTGTGACGCTGGAAGACGCCGCCGCCGCCGTGCTGCTTGTTGTGGGTATTGTTGGCGACGGCGACTGCGATGTTGCCCGCGCGAGCATCGAGTGCTGTCGGTGCTGTGTTGCTGTTATTGTCAAGTTTTGGTGTGTTGCTGACGAATGCCCCCGGTAGTCCATGTTCTGCCCCGGGCCCGGAATGAAAGTGGTGGTCTTGGATATGCACCCACACCCAGTGCGAGGTAAATATAGAAAAGGAGCCTGATAGAAACCTGCTAGAAACCCGTGTGAAAAGTAGCGGTCCCAGTTCTGTTTAACACGCCTTTTGCATATGTCTAAAGGGGGGATGAGAATGGGTAAAGCTGATTGACCTCCTCCGACGTGCAAGAAAGGAAGGAGAGATGTCTACAAGTAGGATAGGATGAAAAAGGAGAACGAAGAAATCAATTAGGAAATATGGATGACTTGGTCCGTGAATATGCAAAGCAAGAGCATGCAAGAACACAGTAGCAGTGATAGAGATTGTACAGGAGAAGTGAAATAGAAGGAGGAGGAAAGAAAGAGAAATATAAAGTGTCGAGGAATAGTACAGCAAGTAAAAGCAAGCTGTGTAAAGGGAGGCAAGGAGGGAGAGGGTGTGGGTTTTAGGCCAGGTGCGTTTTTTTTTGGGAAAATAGTATTACATCGTCTCTCCCTCACCATCGGGAGGAGGGGGTTGGTTTTGTTTTCGCAATGCTTTTGAGACTCTGAGAATAAACGGACAAGGCTGTGGGTTGTGGCAAGGGGAGGGGATGCTAGCCTAATGACCAAAGAGGGTGGGTCGCATTGCGCTTCAGGAGAAAAGTAGTATGTTGCAATTGGGGCAAGCCTACTACCAAGTAGGACGCGACAATGCTAGAGTGGCCTATATACCATCGATATGGTAACGGCCCATCAATTCCCAGTCCCAAGAAAGCAGCCAAATCTCCTCTCCCGAGGATAGCTCTTCCTGCAACACATGCCCTCTAGCAAAGACTGGTCCCAAACGTAGAACTGGGAGCTAGGCAAGGAGTGGGGCCACCAAGAGTGCGCCGTGTTTTCTAGTCGTCAAACAAACGAGCGATGTGCCATAGGATTGTAGGTGGCGAATTTGGGGATGAAGGCGGGTTCTAACTGTGGAAGCAGGAGCGGGACTATTTGCCTCATTATCGCTCCTCCTGGCTATCCATAGAGCCCGCGCCATTGTTCGCCATGGCTTGTTCGCCGTGCTGCCTGCCGTGGATGCAGATTGGTGGTGCTCGCCATTATCTCGAAATAGGGATGCGTGTAGCTGACAGAAAATGGATATAATGTTTTCTAGGGACATCCACATAGCCACATGTGCCACCAGGGGATATTACATGGGGATCGTGTCGCCAATGGGATACCACTGCCCGGCCTCTCCTTTGCTTACTAGCGCCATGGCTGCTATACCAAAGACACTGTGGATAGGATTTTGGCAGTAGCGTGGGCTGTAATGCGGAAGCGCAAAGTTTGTATGGGCGGGGGAGTGAAAACCCAAGGCATGGCTAGGCAAAGAGCGGACAAACGCTCTGAGTAGGCCGCGAGTCTAGACAGCCACTGCTACCAGAGCGGGAATTGAAAATGCAACCATACGCTTCTACAACCAATTACTTGGAAAGTGGCCCAGGGGAAGCAAGTGCCTTTGGGGAGGTGAACCAGAACAACAATCGCGCATGGTGGATGGTGGACAAGAGGCAAGGATGACAAGGATGGCGGCGATAATATGAAGGCACCAACATCATGCCACTGCAACAAGAAGCAAAAAGGCATGGCGGGTATTTACACTGCTGCAATGTGGCAAGTAGCACGCCTGGGCTGTATGCAAACACCAGGGAAAGACCGAGGAGAGGCGGATGGCGGATGGCTGAAATGGCGCAGCACTATTTGCCTGGGTGCGTATTGCGAGGCGCAGCGCCAATGGCGAAAGAGTTTCAGAAAAGGGCAGGCCAGTGCTAGCACCGAAATCCGGATCAGACACTGGGGGAGGAGAGCGATATTATGTCCGCCCGCACTGCGCTGCAGCCATCTACAGCGGCGTCCTCGCCCACTTGCTGGCTGGCTGCAATAGCTGCCGATTGTGCGAAGCTGCACGCCTCTCTGATTGGCATTTGGAATGGGTGTTTGTCACTGTGCATTTAAACGGCAGAGGAGAATGGGCCAGGTGGCCACTGCGAATACAACACAAATCGTACATGCAAATGTACAGCAAGCCTGGTGGCAACATCATAGAGGACAAACTGTTTGCTATCAATTGCTTCTCCTTTCTGGAATGGAAGGGAGCCAATCCCGCATTCCGTGATGTGCGTGCGTTTGTGTTTGCGCAGCTAGAGCGAGGCTGGCCATAATAAATAACCTTTTTGTTTGCCAGAGAGGGACTGGTCATAGGTTATGGTAACGGTGGCAGTCGTGGTGGTGGCAGCTGTGGTGGTGGTAGTGGTTGTGGCAAGTATATATAGTCGGGTGGACGTGAAAACAAACACCCACATGTCAACAAATCCGCCCAGGCGTGGCGGAACACCGCTTATTGTTGCAGTGGCCAAGATCGGAAAGTACGATGGTTACCTTTTGGATGTTTTGCTGTTGTTGTTTTGGCCTGTGGACCAAGGTTGCTGCACGCGAGTTCCTTTTGAGCGAGTCGTATCTGAGCGTTACAGGTGACTACCCTTTTGTCAAGAAAAACGGGTATGGTCAATGTGAGCAAATCTGTCTACGCGTGCAAAAAGGGAACGGCTGTATGCGCGGTGTTTCCGACAAATGCGTTTGCTGTGACTGCGTGGAGTAGACTGCAAGTGTGCGAAAGAAAAACCTTGCCAGCTAGGATATTCTGTATGCGTGCCGTCTGAGGGCTTTTTTCCGCACTGTCGCTTTTTGTCGCTCTCTCTGCAGATAGGCAGGCTAGCGCAGAGGCGATGCTGCTTTACTGCGTGTTGCCAAGGATATCTGCCAAGTCTTTTAGTCGCGAGACCCTTGCAACGTACTCTGAGGATATCGCGGGCTATTATATGTGTCTGTGCGCCGGCCAGGTGTCAGAAAAGGGAAAAGGAGCGAGTGGTGTAGAAATATGCGAAGAATTGAGATAAACAGAGAAGGGAAGGGAGGGAAAAAGATAATGAGCGTATGTGCACCCGTTGTTTCCTTTTTGAAGGTCTCCCCAGAGCTGTAGTGACCTAGCTTGCGGCGCTGAGAGGGGGTGGTAACGTTGGGTATAAAAAAAGCCGAACCGGCGAGCAAAGAAGCAATTAAAAAAGATGAAAAGTGGAAAAGGAACACCGATGTGATATTTAGGTCCGAAAACAAAAAAATTAAAGCTATGCGAAGGAAAAATCAGAGATGCAACTCCCCTTGGTGTCTGGGGGTTTAATTAGCTCCATGCACGCATCGGCTCAGCGGCTATTCTCCACGGCTGTCACCGGAGCGCTGGTGTCTGGGTCCGGAGCCTGAGCCGCTTTGTGGTTCCACAGCTGGTGCAACGCGCACCTGGAGGACCCGCCTGGCATTACTAAGCTACCAACACGGCCGTCGCCTCGAATTACAAACTTCTTGAGGCTGCGATTGCCCCCTTCTGACAACCTCTGAGTATTAGCGCTGCTGCTTTTCGGGGAGCACAGGGATATGCGGGCTTGCTGCCTTTTGCGGATTTAGTTTTGCCCTTGCCCTGAAATCGACATCCATTGGATGCTCCAGCAGCGCGCTGCTGTGCGATCTAACCATTCCGTGCGAGATTTGCCCGAATGCCAAGATATTCCAGCCATTTATTCTAGAGCAAACGAATGCTCCTTGCGCTGATTTCTTCTCAGACCAAGTATGCACGTGCAAATCCAGGCATCTGAACGCGGACCGCCGTCTATCGTTCAATCGTGACCAAGGGTGTGGGGACGGGGCTTGCAGCGGACAACCCAGACATGTGGTCTCGGAGTCGCCTGCACCTCGCACAGAGGACTCTAGCCAAACCGACCTCTCGCCCTGGCGCTTGGGACCACCAGATACCCACGGCCGGCGTTTTAGCCAACCCTACTGTCTATCGATCGGACACTGATCATGGCATGCAGAATGCAGACACTCCGCCGCAGCGCTCCTGCTGGTGTCTATCGCCTTGGGGCTTGTCAACGCCGACACCAATGACTCAGCGCGCTAGACCAATGGAGAATCGAGGCTCGAGATCACTCTGATCCCTCGGACCATCTGTGCCACATACAATGTTCGCCCGATGGCTACCCCGTGGTTACGTCTGCCTCACGTGAAACTTGGCTGATTTGTCAGCAATGGTGCGCGGAGGTAGCTTGCAGCAGTGATCAACGAGATCAGCAATCAATCCCAACCGGCCAGCAGTTGCTAGCGGGCCGTGCTCGGCCAGTTACCGGGAAGCTGTTGCACACTTGGCACCGGTTTACAAAGATGAAGTAGGCCGGGGCTCAACCCCCGCTTCATTGCCGTTCAGCCTATTCATACGCACGTCATTGTCGTGTCCGGTTTCCCCTTTCCTTTACACACAGCCGTGCTGGGCAGACAGCTAGAAAGAGCGCCTATAAAAACAGCACCTTTCTGTGTGACAGCAGTGAACCGCATGGACCGCATGGACCACATTGCGAGCCGCATTGCGAACTGCAGCTACAGCCCATGCTGGTGCGCTGGTCCCTCGGAGATACCTGCCAAAAGCCAGAGCTGGAGCAGCGGTATTTTTAACACCGCAGCTCTCTTTCTCTGGTATCAAACACAGACGCGCTTCTATAAATAGCCCAGCTGATCGCCGCCTTTGTTCACTACTAGCCGCGCCTGCCAGGATGCATGCTTAAGCAATCATTCGCCTTCCAGGGACGGTCGTTGATATAATCCATGCACTTGTTTGCTATTGCTGCTCCCTCTCCCTTCTGACAACCCGTCAGACAACCGGAAATCAACTAACCCAGCATGCATGAGCTGAAGTTTTTTTCTCTCGGGGAGGATGTGTGTATCTTGTTGTCAAGTGCTCTGATTTCTCCCTCCTTCTTTCCCACATCCTAACACCCCCCATTATTGCACTCACATCATTTCTACGTCTCTGTATTAGTAGTAGGCAGTCATAGCAACGCATAGCATACAGCCGCGCAATGGTTTTCAAACTGAAAAGCAAGCACGCCAGCACCCCCACAGCGCTGCCATCGTTCAAGCCATTCGCCTCGCTAAAGACCTCGCCAGTGAGCACAGCTCCTGCCGCAGTAAACGAGCAATCACCCGAGGAGTTTGAAACAACATGGTTTGGCGCACCGGTCTTCGACATTGGTTTCTGGTACGACAAAGGCGGCATGGACAAGGTGCGCGAGAAGCGCGAGGAGCTCATGGACGGCATTGAGGTTCTCGTCCTCACATACAGCACCGCGAGCAGCACCGATTGGGACTGGCACTCGCTCGCGCTTGGATGGCCCAACGTGCACACCATCGACATTGAGTGTGACGTGTGCAATGTGGAGACCGACCAGCACACCACGCGCTGGCTGCGTATCATCCAGGACCAGACGCTGTTCCCGTGCGCCCACACATACAGGCTGACTGCACGTTGGGCCGGCTTCAGCGAGGTCTTTGAGCACCCAATTGGCGGCGGGCAGATGGGCAGCGAGCGCCAAGCGCGCTTGGCGCTACTCAGGCACCTGCCCCCGCATATCACGCACCACGAGTCCGAGCTCCTGTTTCTCAAATACCGGCTTTTGTTTCTGACCGCCGTCTCGTTCGACATGGGGGAGATTGAAAAGACACCGCAAGGCTCGCGCTGCATGTATACGTACCTGAACATACTGCTGAAAACGGACGTCTTGGGACCAAAGACCCTCAAACTCAACAGTGCCAAGGCACAAGGCATTCGGACACTTCTTGAGACAATCAACCGCAATGAGCAGAGGCTAAACTACCCGCTGTTGCGCTCGGTGACAGACTCTACTGCGCTGCAGTTTTCGTTGCGCCAGCTTACCCTCGACATGCGCAAACTGACCGATGGTAAAACAGGCATCCAGTTCTGCGCTGCGCACTTTCCCAAGCTCGAATCGCTCATTATCCGCCACAGCCCCGACCTCACCGGCTCCCAGGACCAGTACATGGAGCTGGGCGTGCTGTTCAGCCTGCCGTGGAAGTCGCTGGTTGAGCTGCAGCTGCCGTTCATCACCGACTCCCTGTCCAGGAGGCTGCGTGACAAATGCCCGGCGTTGCAATTTCTGGTTGTCAGGCCAGAGCCACGGTACGAGCGCTGGCCAGAATACTCTAAGCTGTTCACGCCGACAGGGTTGCGACAGCTGGCCCGCCAATGGCTCGGACTAAAGCAGCTGATCGTCAACTACGCATTCCGCAACTACGCAGTGGATACAAACACCGACATGTCGCTTGCTGTCCGCCGCGGAACGATATCCAAGGGCCCCACCAGCGGCACATTCTCGCGCGCGAGTCTCTCAGCAGCTACTGGAACCCGGTCCATTGTGTCAGCGGCATCGGAATTGGCCTCTCTTGCAAACTCGATGATTCCAGGGCCAGCGTCTGCTGAATCATTTACTGTGCAGCATGCCAGCAACAACATCCGCGTCCTGAGCCTCCCATACCTGCAGCTAACCTTTGCCACGGCGTTCAAGCTGCTTGAGGACCTGCCGCATCTGCGCATATTCGAATTCATGTCGATGTCCGAGAAGAGCGAGTCGCCGCCAGCGTCCATCTCGGCAGGCACATTCCGCCGGCTCACGTCGCTTCAGGATGCGATGGCGCCAAAGAAGCTGTTTGACGTCGATGCACTGACCAAGAACCGCATCAAGGCCCGGAAGCCCCCACTGGAGAACCTGATCTTGCACGACGCCTGCAACGAGGACTACCTGCATCGCGGGTGGATCGACCTGCTCAACTTGTTGGCCCAGCTGGCGACGGTCACATTCGTCACCATCAACAGCGACGATATCGGGATTGCCAATCGCATTACGCAAAACTGCCGTCGCTATGACGCAAATTTCGTCGCAGAGTGCGAGGACCGAACCCAGAGCTACAGGACATGCGAGGCATTCGCCAAATCCTGGTCAAAGGTCGGGGGCATGTACTGGGGCGGAAGCTAAACTGTAATTTAATGCTGAAATGAAAGCGCGTGCATGTACAGAACGTGTGCCAGAGTGAACAGCACTGGAAGAGTTGCAGATGCTTGTACTAAAGCGCTGTCCTGATGGTACAGTGCGCCCATTGACGCTGCGTAGTTTGCAGATGCATTCTCTGCAGGTAGCGCCCAGTATGGCTCCAGCTACCTTGAGGCCATCGGATTGCGTTTATAACGCGTCCATGCACGGGTGCCCTGGGGATTGCCAGGCTGTGGCGGCTGCATGTGACGGGGCGCACCATGCGGCAGGCACCGCCGTCAGCCGGAGACGGTTGGGCTAGGCGCCACCGGAGTGCCTGCTACACACAAATGGGGCCATGGCGCGGATCCCAGCATTGTCCGTCCCGGGCATTGTTCACCCACGGCGTTGCGCGGGCAAGCGATGTGAAACACTTGTGGAACTATCGACATGTCCATTTCAGCTTTCCACATCCACTGCCACATCACATTGTCTGCTCCGAGCTGAATGTACATTCATCTGCAAACGGCGGGGAGTGCAGCGAAAAAAACGTGCCTGCTGCCTATGCGTGCCAGATGAAGCTGCTTGTCTCAACCAGAACGATGGCAAGGCGATGAATGCCATATAATATCTCGTTCAGGTGGACGGTTTCACTTTTTGGTCTTTCGATATCTTGCTCCGCTTTTTTCTTTCTTCCATCACCCCACACCTATTGGCATAACCTACACACCTTGTATCCCACACCACTGGGCTATACACTAGTCGCACTCTTTTTCTCTTCCTTGCTCATTTTCATTTGTAATTTTTTTTGCCAGCAATATGCGCCAAATAGCACTCGTAATATGCTTTGTGCTGCTACACTCTGTGTTTGCTGCCAGAGTTGTTCTCAACTGGGATATCACAGAAGTACACATGGACAGAGTCGGGTCTGGCGTCAGGCGCTCGATCGGTGTCAACAACTCCGCAGTGATTCCGCCTATCCTGGCGACCTTAAATGACATGCTTGTTATCAATGTCAAAAACTCGCTGGACGAGGGGACATCTCTGCACATACATGGGTACATATACAATGGCACCAGCTATTTCGACGGCGCGCAGATGGTTTGCGGCTGCAGCATCGCACCAAAGAGCACATTTACCTACGAAATCCCAATGGAGCAGGCAGGCACGTTCTGGATTCACGGCCACTCAAACCACCACAATGTCGAGGGGCTGCGGGCACCGCTGGTAGTGCAGAGCCCGGTCGATCCGTATTCTGGCCGAAAAGAGCTACTGGTTGCCTTTGAGGACTGGTTTGCAGCGCCCGTGGCCATGCGTGCTAACGCGACATTCGCCAAGCTGAACCCAAAAGCCACAGACTTCCCAGACGGAATCATCAACGGCGCCGACGCGCGGCAAGCAGGCAAGCTCCGGCTCGCACCGGGCCAGGAGTACCGCCTCCGCCTCGTCAACATGGCATCAGCCATGTGGTTTGATTTTGCCATTGACGGACACGACATGCTGGTGATCGAGGTTGATGGGGTATTGACAGAAGCCGCCCCTGTGCGCTCCGTGCAGCTGGCTCCGGCGCAGCGTGTATCAGTGCTGATCCGGGCCAAGCCCACGGCTGCATGGAACTACAGATACAGGGTCAAGATGTACTCGCTGCCAGAGTGCGCCAACACGCGCTACTACAGCGGCCGTGTGGAATACGCTGCTATCGCCCCAGTGTTTACTGGACCTTCCGCCAATGCACCGGAATTCAGCGATATTCATTTGGTGCCGCTTATCCGCGAGCCGCTTATTGTGCCCGAGCGCTCTGTACGACTGGAGGTCGGGGCTGGCATGTTCTCCAATGGGCTCACGATGCATTTTATAAACAATGTTACCTATGCATTGCCCAAGGTTCCCTCGCTGTACACCGCGCTAACCACCGGCACCCTAGCGCGGGACCCGCGCGTCTACGGCCCGCAATCAAACGCCCTGGTGCTGCGTAGCTTTGAGAGGATTGAGCTCTACATGGTGAACTACGGGCCGCTGGCGCATCCGATGCATCTCCATGGGCACGCGTTCCAGGTCGTCGAGTACGGCTTCACCAATGGCACAAGGGCTGTTGAGCGGCCAAGGTCGCCGTGGCCGATGCGGCGAGACACGGTCACGCTGGGACCATTCCAGTATGTGGCGATCCGGTTCCAGGCTGACAACCCGGGCATGTGGGTCCTGCATTGCCACAACGACCGCGACCACTACGGCGGCATGAGCATGCTGATAGCCGAGGCACCTGAAGTATTGCAGCTGACCCCGGACATGCCGCCATCGATTAGCAACCAGTGCACAAGCCAGGGGATCAAGATCGCTGGCAATGCGGCCGGTAACGATGGCCTTGATATGCGTGGTTTGCCCCCCGCTCCTGTTCTCATACACCCTGTATCACATTGACATAAACAGCCCCAGGCGCCCAATATATTTCTAAGCGACTTGCACTCATGCGTTCAGATGCAGGCGAACATGAGAGCTGCCCTTGAGCAATACAGCCGTAGCGCAGTCCCAAGCCTCTTCGTTAAACGTGGAGGTTTGGGACCTTGAATTCTGAGTGGCCAGGGCCCGATCGAACCACTTTTTTCCCATTCGACTGAGCGCAGCTTCATCTGCGCCGATAGCTGAAGTATGCTGTCCGAACAGCCAGCACGCATCAGGGGAAGATCCGGAATGGGCCGGAATGGCGGACAGTGCAACTGGAGCTTTCCAGCGCTGGACATGGTAGGCTAATAGGATAGTGAATCATCCTGGCTCGCCACTAAAGCCAGCTATGCTGCTCGGAGAAGTGATCAGAGTGGTATATCCCCACCGCCGCGCGTGGTATAGACACAGGCAGGGCACAACCACAGTCCACAGCGCAGCCGTCGCCAAGGGAGTAGACAAGCCGAGACTATAAATGCAGTGCGATGGTACCAGCCGGCAATCCAGAGTCGAAGCCGTCTCCTACCTCATTTTCTTTCCTGCTTGCCCTTGCGCGTTATCTTTCTTCCACAATGCTGGCATCTGCCATTGAACGCCCTACCTACAAGCGCGGCAAGGTGCCGCCTGAAACCCGGCCGCTGCTGCAGAGAATCCACTGGGTGCACGTCACTCTTCTCTTGTCTACACCGCTGTTGGCGCTGTATGGCGCTATGACCACAGATCTCCAGACCAAGACGCTGGTGCTGATGGTGGTTGTGTATCTGATCTCCGGCCTTGGCATCACCGCCGGCTACCATCGCCTGTGGTCGCATGTGTCGTACGAAGCCTCATATCCGCTCCAGGTATTCCTTGCTCTAGCAGGCTCTGCTGCTGTCCAAGGGTCGATTTTCTGGTGGTCGCGGGACCACCGCGTTCACCACCGGTACACCGACACAACGCGCGACCCGTACAATGCGCTCGAGGGCTTCTGGCACTCGCACATGGGCTGGATGCTGGTCAAGAAGGACCGTCGTCGTCTTGGATATGCTGACACGTCGGACCTGAAGTCAAACCCGCTCGTCCGCTGGCAGCACAAGTACTACCCGCTCTTGGTTCTGACCCTGGGCGTGGCCATCCCAACCGCCATTGCTGGCCTTGGCTGGGGAGACTGGCGCGGCGGGTTCTTCTACGCGACTGTCCTGCGCATGGTTGTCCTTCACCATGCTACCTTCTGCATCAACTCGCTGGCACATACCATCGGTCGCCAGACGTACGACGATGCCCAGACTGCTCGCGACTCGTGGATCACTGCTCTGGTGACCATGGGCGAGGGCTACCACAACTTCCACCACCAGTTCCCGAACGATTACCGCAACGCCATCCGCTTCTACCAGTACGATCCGACCAAGTGGTTCATCCGCGCCATGTCGACACTTGGCCTCGCTTACGATCTCAAAACATTCCCGTCCAACGAGATCGAGAAGGGGTTCATTGCCATGCGTATGAAGGAGCTGAGGCAGCGTGAGGCGCGCGTCAACTACGGCGTGCCCGCAGAGAAGCTTCCACTCATGACCGAATCAGAGTTCCTGGGCAAGGTCAGGGATAGCAAGAAGCAGTGGATGGTCATTGAGGGCTACGTCTACGACGTCGCCTCGTTCATCCACGACCATCCGGGTGGCAAGGGCCTGATCAAGAGCGGCGTTGGCAAGGACATGACCGAGGCCTTCAACGGCGGTGTCTACCAGCACCACAATGCTGCGCGCAACCTGATGAACACATCGCTGCGCATCGCCCGCCTTGCTCCCCGGGTCAACTAGACATCTGTGCGTTCCACCATCTGAAAATGCATATATCCTGCCTTCAGTTGCATGGAGTCGTGAGTTCCTGGGGCGTCGATCATCGCCATCCCAGAGGAAATGTAAAATCGTTTATTTTTTACCATTTTACGAAATGCCGGCGGGTTGGGAGCGGGGTACTTATCATCCACTTGGAAAACTTCCACGTTTTTGTGCTGGAGATATGCCATGACAAACCTGGCATAAAAAGCGGAGAAGGGGCAAGCAGCGCAGTAGGCTGGCCTTTCTTCCACTGGCAGTAGCGGCTGAGACTGCTATTGTGCTTTTGCGTGCGTCTGCGGGCCAATCGCAGCCAGCATTGCTGGAATGTTGGCAAATAGACGGCATGCGCCCCACAGTGCAATTGTCCAGTGCAAGCGCATCTGGCTTTCTGCGGGAACACAGGATACTCGGCGATAAGGAACATGCGAGTGCATTGCTGAAAATATTTGCCTGTTGTTTCATAATAGTCTCAATCGATAGCCCTCTGAATGGGGGCGGTGTTGCATCTTGCCAACACCGGCTTTCACAGGCGCAGTGCGCTGGAATGGCCTTGTGGACATGTTCTGCACGCATCTGTGAAATAAGCAACCGCCTCCTTCCCCGATGGTATCAGCCCAAACTGCCCACCCAAAAGCAGTGGAATAGGCAGAAAAACGGGCGCTCACGGGGCAAACTAAAGAGCGAGGATCTTCATTTTCGCAATCGGCTGGAAATATCGAGTCCAATCGATTCGCTTTTGGGGGAGCAGAGCGAGGCTGGTGTGGGTAAAACAAATTGCTTGGAGGCTGGCTGGGAAGCTGGCTGAGAGGCTGGCTGGGAAACTGGCGGGCTGGCTCTGCCCAGCCAATTGTACTGCACACCAGCTCTGGCGGCCGTTATCAACGGTGCAAAGGGCTGCTTGTTCCCGCAACCCGAGTATAAAAGCCCAGCCCCAGCCGGCTGCGACTGCTTTTCCTCCTCTTGGCTCGCTATTCTTGCTGCTGTTTCTATTGCTCCTCCTTTGCGCTCTTTTTTGAATTCGCCTGCAACCTTTTGCTTTCTGAAGAAGCGCGCCTGCGAATTGCTTACAAAGCCTCGATATTTACCGCTGTTTGCTGACTGGTCCCGCCGTGCTGTTACCACTCGCTTGCACACTCTTGTGACTGTTGAGTAGCTAGCACTTTGAGACCATCTGGCAGCGCCGACGGCATCCGCTTCAGAATCGCATCCGAACGAGATTTTAGACACAAGAATAAGCACGACGCAGACTCGAAGATGACCGGCGGCAAGTACATTGAGCGGCCGACCTACAAGCGGGAGAAGATGCCGCCAGAGACCCGGCCTTTGCTTGAGCGCCTCCACTGGGTTCACATCATTCTTCTCTCGACCACGCCCCTGATTGCACTTTACGGCATTCTCACGACTCCGCTGATTCTGAAGACTCTGGCCTGGGGTATCGCCTATTACATGTTTGCCGGTTTCGGTATTACCGCTGGCTACCATCGTCTGTGGGCCCACACCGCCTACTCGGCCTCGTATCCGCTCCAGGTGTTCCTGGCCTTTGCCGGCTCTGCCGCTGTCCAGGGATCGATTTTCTGGTGGGCTCGCGACCACCGCGTTCACCACAGGTACACCGACACTCCCCAGGACCCGTATGACGCGCTTCAGGGCTTCTGGCACTCGCACATGGGCTGGATGCTGGTCAAGAAGGACCGCCGCCGCCTGGGCTATGCTGACACATCGGACCTGAAGACCGACCCTCTTATCCGCTGGCAGCACAAGTACTATCCGCTCCTGGTCCTGCTGTTTGGTGTTCTGATCCCGATGTCGGTTGCTGGCTTTGGCTGGGGAGACTGGCGCGGCGGGTTCTTCTACGCGACTGTCCTGCGCATGGTTGTCCTTCACCATGCTACCTTCTGTGTCAACTCGCTGGCTCACACTCTTGGCCGCCACACCTACGACGATGTCCAGACTGCTCGCGACTCGTGGATCACTGCTCTGGTGACCATGGGCGAGGGCTACCACAACTTCCACCACCAGTTCCCGAACGACTACCGCAACGCCATCCGCTTCTACCAGTACGATCCGACCAAGTGGTTCATCCGTGCTATGTCGCTCTTTGGCCTGTCCTACGACCTCAAGACGTTCCCGTCCAACGAGATTGAGAAGGGCTTTATCCAGATGCGCATGCAGGAGCTTGAGCGCAAGCGCGTCAAGCTGTCGTTTGGTACTCCGGTCTCCAAGCTCCCGGTCTTCACCGAGGCTGAGTTCCTGGAGGGCGTCAAGAAGAACCACAAGCAGTGGATGGTTGTTGAGGGCTACGTCTACGACGTCGCCTCGTTCATCAACGACCACCCCGGAGGCAAGGCCCTGATCAAGGGCGGTATTGGCAAGGACATGACCGAGGCCTTCAACGGCGGTGTCTACCAGCACCACAACTCGGCCCGCAACCTGATGAACACCTCCCTCCGCATTGGTGTCCTGCAGCGTCTCTGAGCCGTATTAACGACCATTCATTTTTTATAGATGCGTACATGTTTGCCCTCTTGTTTTTAACGGCCAACAATATAGCAGCAAAGCATCGTGTAAATTGTTCATATATCGATACATAACATGAATCTCAAACAGCACATTCCAATTTAGTAGAGATATTGATCGAATGAAAGCATTAGCGAAGGAAGGAAACTACCATGAAGTATAAGGCTAATGGGGACTGGCACTGGTGCTTGGCCACTACTGAGCGCAAGACAGCTAATCAAGCTCGATTGCGCGGCGCTCGTCCTCTGGCATGTCGTCGAGCTTGGTTCTCTTGGATACAATGAAGAACTCGTAGAGAAGCGCGCCGATAGGACCACCAGCTAGCGGCGCGGCAACAGGCACCCATGTGTACGACCCGTGCGCTGTGAATACACGGGCTCCGTACCAGATCGCAGCTGCACAGCGTGGACCAAGGTCGCGTGCTGGGTTGAACGAGTAGCCCGTCGGGTACCCGATACCAATGGCCAGACCGGTCAGCAGCAGGCCAATTGCAATTGGGGTGCACGACCTGGCAGGGAAGTTGTTGGCGTCTGTGATGGCAAACACGCCCAAGACTAGCAGCCCAGTACCGACCGACTCACTAAGAAACGCGGCTCCATTGCCAATAAATGGCCTGGCAAAATTTCCAAAGGCGCCGGCAGTGCCGAACGGGCCAGAGATCTGGCGGTTGTAGCCATCAAATGGGTCAAGCGAGTGTGCAAAGCACGCATATGCCAAAAGGGCACCGACGAAGGCACCAGCGAACTCGGCTAAAAAGTAGAATGGGACCTGGATCCATGGAAGACCACGGAAGGCGGCGAAGGCTAGTGCCACAGCAGGATTCAGCATGGCACCGGAGACACCACCTGCAACAAAGACCCCGAGCATGAGGCCGATGCCCCAGCCAAGGGCTGCCGAGAGCCATGCCGATTCGCTGTTACTAGTCATGACCGCGTACGTGAGGTTGGAGCCGCATCCGACAAGCACGAATACAGCGGTTCCAAAGAACTCTGCAAAGTACGGGGACACGAACATACGCAGCCGGTTGATGAACGTGTCCTTCATGGCCCGCTGATCGGCATACTCGATCTCCTCTCCGGCCTTACTCGGCGTCGACCTGCTCAGCAAGCTGCTGCGGCTTGTTTTGCCCTCCGATATTGCGCGGGATGGCGAGGCATATGACGACATTTTTGTGGAGAAGTGGGGGGTGGAGAGCCGCGGACTTCACTAAAGGATAGGATAATGGCTAATTGCAGAGTGTGGGGTTGCAGCAAGTACCTGCAGACAATAATGTGCCAGGTGTAATATATGAAATGGATAAATAATAAAACGTGATGAATGCCGAGCAAATAGATAAATGAATAAGGTTGAAGGAGACTAGGGTAGAGAGCTAGGGATAGTACTTTTGGTGCTGCAGCCTGTGTGCAGGCGTGTGCCCATTTAAGCAGGCTATGGCTCGCCCAGTAAACTCGGTTCCTTACCAGGTTCTAGGCTCTGCCGTCTGTTACAGAGCAACTCTGGCCACTAACGCAAGCACATGAGCATGATCGGATAGCCACTCATATCCGCACTCTCCTAAACTCAGATCCCTTACCATGTACCAGAATGTTTGAGCGGCGTAAGAAGGAGCAGGCCGTACACCTGTTTTAGCCGTGTGTTGTGTGGGGGAGAATTTGTGTTTGAGTCACCGGCGAGTCTATTAATGGACGCATTTTAATGATGCAATTCACCAAAATTCTGGTCTAGATCTCCATACAAGATGAAAAAAGGACCACCGCTTGAAGTATTGTCGCGATTCCCAGTACAGCTAGGCAGTTCAGATAGTTCAGACAGTTCAGACAGAGGGCCTCTGGTCTGAGCCATTTTCGGGCTGCTGACCAACCACCGCTCCGAACTACTACCTGGGTACACATGCATATATTCAGAAAGCCCGGGAAACAGTATGGCGGTTAACGCTCAAACCAAAATGTCTGGGGGTTTACTCGCTATTGCTGTGGACAAGACCCTTGGGTTTGGGTTTGGCGTCATCGCATGGCAGTGGGATGGGTGATTTCGGATCAATTGGCTGCAGCTTGACAGTGCCAACCTTGACGTACCGCTGATGGTTGTCAAAGAAACTATGCCAGCCCTCGATTCCTGCCAGTTCGCGCTCGCTCAGCCCACGAGTATCATGCGTGAGATGATCTTCCCTCGACAGGCAGTTGGTGCCAAACGCACGCGACGAGTCGCGGCCCGCAAAGATATGGTAGGTGCTGCCAGGCCCGTAGAACCCCCAGCCATCAGTAACATCGTAGACGTCACCCTTGACCGCAAGAAGCAGCGGCAGGTCGGGGTTTGAGCCGTTGTACATGGCAAGCTCGCTCTGCGTGTATACGTGTTGGGTGCGCGGGATGTAGTTGCGGTAGTTTGTCCATTTGCTCTGGTACCCCCACAGGAACGTCTCGGTGATCAGGTAGGAGAGGCAGAAGTTGAGCCCCGCCAGGGTCAGCACGATGCGCCCAACGATCTTCCAGTAGGCTACATGCTCAGCGCGCCTTGATGCGCTCTTGGGTACAGTGCGTTGGCGCTTGAGCTCGGGCTGGATGTCCGAGTCCACAGGCGTGTTGGTTCCGTGCTTGCGCTGCTTGAGCTCGTTGTCGGCCATGGCAATTGCAGGGGTTGTGAAATGCGAAGAGAGAAAGAGCAAAGGTGCGATCATCTCACAATATCAGCGCCAAGGGGCTTGTGTTCCGCTGTTGTCGTCAATGGCATCCCAACTCGGCTAGATCCATTGAGCGCCCGGATCACGCAATTGGCACAGCCGGCCTTTTGCGTCAACCTCTTTTTCACAAAAAATTTGACGCAGTCTTTGGCCCCACTACGTTTCCATATACTTGTTGAATTTCTCCCCCTTACTTTCAGACTGCTCTTGTGCACATTCAAACAGCGACCATGCAAATCGAAGAAGTGAAAAGCACTGGCAAGGAACAGCGCGTCGCGACACACTCCCACATTCGCGGACTTGGCCTCAAGCCCGAGGGCACGGCAGAGGCAGTTGCTGCCGGGTTTGTCGGCCAGGAGACCGCCCGCGAGGCTGCTGGAATCGTTGTTGACCTGATCAAGGCCAAGCGGTTTGCTGGTCGCGCTGTACTGATCGCTGGAGCTCCGGGCAGCGGCAAGAGCGCTATTGCGTATGCCATCTCACAGGAGCTGGGCCCGCGCGTGCCGTTCTGCCCGATGACCGGCAGCGAGGTGTACTCGAGCGAGGTGAAGAAGACAGAGGTTCTAATGGAGAATTTCCGGCGGGCAATCAGCCTGCGCGTCAAGGAGACGAAGGAGGTATACGAGGGCGAGGTCACCGAGATTACGCCCGAGGAGACGGAGAACCCACTGGGTGGATATGGCAAGACAATCTCGCATGTGGTGGTGGGCCTGAAGACGGCCAAGGGCACGAAGCAGCTGCGGCTGGACCCGAGCATCTACGAGAGCCTGCTCAAGGAGAAGGTGTCTGTGGGCGACGTCATCTACATTGAAGCCAACACGGGCTCGGTGAAGCGCGTGGGCAGATCCGACGCGTTTGCAACCGAATACGACCTGGAGGCCGATGAATACGTGCCGCTACCCAAGGGCGATGTGCACAAGAAGCGCGAGGTCATCCAGGACGTGACGCTGCACGATCTCGACGTGGCCAACGCCAAGCCGCAGGGTGGCCAGGATATTGTGTCGATGATGAGCCAGCTTATGAAGCCGCGCAAGACCGAGATCACCGACAAGATGCGCCAGGAAATCAACAAGGCCGTCAACAAGTACATTGAGCAGGGCACAGCCGAGCTTGTCCCCGGTGTCCTCTTCATCGACGAGGTGCACATGCTTGATATTGAGTGCTTCACGTACCTGAACCGCGCGCTCGAGTCCAACATCTCGCCCATCGTCGTGCTGGCATCGAACCGCGGCATCTGCACTATCCGCGGCACCGAGGACCTGCGCGCGCCGCACGGAATCCCACGCGACCTGCTGGACCGCATGCTGATTGTGCGCACCGCACCGTACACGCAGAGCGAGACCCAGATCATCCTCGATATCAGAGCCAAGACCGAGGGGCTCAAGGTTGCCCAGGATGCGCTCGAGTACGCCGCTGAGGTTGGTGTCAAGTCATCGCTGCGTTACGCCATCCAGCTGCTGACGCCGGCCAACGTCATGGCCCAGATCCACGGCCGGGATGAGATTCACAAGGAGGACATGCTCGAGACAGGCGACCTGTTCTTTGACGCAAAAAAGTCGGTGGCGATTGTGCAGGCTACCGAGTCGCTGTTCCTCTAAAGTCACTGTAGCGCTGACAAGAAACCATATATTCTTTTTGCAAAGTGTGAGAAAGAGTTGCTTATTCGCCAAACAGCAGCTGCACGCGCTTCAGTACCGAGTCCTTGGACGGATCGTACGGGTGGTCTTTGGATGGGATCTCGAGCACTGTCGGGAACGCTGCACTGTATTCGTCCAGGATACCGCGGATGTACTCGGCGATCTACAACAGAGCCGGACTTTAGTATATGTATCAAACAAGATGAAGAGAGCATACACTCAACATGACTACGTACGTGCTGGTTGATAAGGATGATGGCGATATCTTTGCGCTGCGTGAATGATGTGAATGTCTCCTCGATCTGCTCCTGCGTGGTCTCTACACACCCAAACTGGCCCGTCAGTTAGTGATGCCGGAGCCGCAACTGGGGGCTGCGATGATGCGGTGCTGCTACTTACTCGAGGTAACGACCATGAAGTTTGCCCGCTGGTGCGCGTCAATATCGCCAATGCCCGCCAGCAGCAAGCCGGTAATCGTGTCCTACATAAGAGTGCACTGGTCTTAGCTGCCTGAGCGCAATGAAGCAAGACCGCTGAGCCAGCGAATTTCAGCACAGCTCCTAATCTCGCTGCCCAAGAACCCACCTCATCGCCAATGGCGGCAATCAGAGTCCTGCCCTTGCCCGTGTTCTGCGACATGGTGTTCGAATTGGAAAGAAATTAATAGCGGGAGCGAATACTACGAGGATAACCTGGAAATAGTGAGGTTCCAGTTGACGGGAGTGGGCAACACGCACACTGCATGCAGCCTGCCGACAGTCGGCTCACTATAGCCATCTGGGCAGTTGGCTCCCTTCGGCTCGTGCAGCGCGGACCAGTAAAATAGCATGGCTTCTAATGTGTGTCGTGGACCATTTGCTCCTCTGCTTTGTATTATCAAAAGCCGTCTACTTCCAAGCACTTGCTCTTTTCTGTACACTGCAACCATGTCTGCCCAGCCCTCAATCAAGGCGTGCATCTTCGATATGGACGGGCTTCTGCTCGACACCGAGTCGATCTACTCGGAGGTCACCAACAGAATCCTCGCGCCGTATGGCAAGACCTTCCCGCTTGCGACCAAGCTCAAGATGATGGGCCGTGACGTCCGCACCGCCACCAACATTCTCCTCGAGGACCTGCAGCTGCCGCTGACCTTTGACGAGTACAACTCGCAGGCCCTGGCCCTCAAGCAGCAGCTGTTTGGCGAGGCTGAGCTCATGCCCGGCGTCGAGAAGCTGCTTAGGCACCTGAGCAAGCACAAGATCCCAATCGCCGTCGCCACCAGTTCTGCCCGCCCCATGTTCGATCTCAAGACTGGGAAGCACCAGGACCTGTTTGCCTTGTTCCAGGGGAACATCACCTGCGGAGACGATCCGGCCATTGAGCATGCGAAGCCTGCGCCCGATCTGTTCCTGACCGCCATGAAGCGCTTGGGCAAGGGTCTTACATCTGCTGATTGCCTGGTATTTGAAGACGCCTCGAATGGTATCGCGGCCGCAACCAATGCCAAGATGAGCTCGATCTGGGTCCATGACATGCGGTTCTCGCCAGACGGATCCGTGCCCGAGGGCATCCACGGTGCCACCGAGCGTGTTACGACGCTGGTCGACTTTGACCCAGCAAAGTATGGCCTGCCACGGTATGACAGCTAGAGTGCCTCTCGACGTTTAGAACCGAATGCAGACATTTAAAAAGTTTAACTGGCCAGTGGTGCCAGCGACGCCAGGCTGCTGTTGAAATCTGGCCGCTTGCGATAGCTTGCATATACATCGGTGCACAGCAAAAATAGGACTTCGTCCTTGGCCCGATCGAGAATCGACAGCAAGACGTTGTTTTTTTGGAGCGCCGTGTGTACGTCATCGACGATGTACGCTGGCACATTGATTGCCGTGTGGGAAGACTTGCTAAAGTATTTGGACACAAGGCTGGAGAACGCAATTTTGACCGCCTCAGGGAACTGCGATGTTCGGTCGACAACCCCAGGCGGCAGCAGCATCATTGCAGAGTCAAAAATCCCGACCGTCACAGGCGTCTGACACGGCCCATGCAAGGTGCTGTTGCTACTACCGCGACTCGCTGGCGGCAGCAGTACTGAGGCAGGCGCCAGCAGCAGCGACTTTTCAAACCTGCTCTTTGGGGGTGCTGTGACACTAGGCACCTGCTCTGCCGACACTGCTATTTCTGCCTCAAGCGACCTGGGCTGCTCCTTATCCCGCTGCTGGCAACGGCTTGCTGACCCATGCAGCAGATGTGGCGTTCGTGCATGCCTTAGGGCATCGATTGTTTGGAACTTTAGCGCCTGGTAGTCGTCGAGGAATGCAGTAAGTGCCGAGCAATAGTAGCGTGCAGAAAACGACAAGAACCGCATTCGCTGATCGCTGTCCTCTAAAACCATGTGGAATTCACGATATAGTGCTGTGTATACACTGCGGCGGACCCGGGCTCCACGGAAGTTGTTCGATATGCCTTTGGATGACGGTCGGTTCTTCATCTTCTCGTGGTATTCCTTGGCGCAAACCAATGGCCAGATCACCGACGAAATGTGCGCTATCAGCATCCATATCCAGATGAAAAACAGCTCCGACAGCATTGTGCGGAGCCGCTGGAACACTGTCTGCCACAGAATATACACCGCCGACCCCAGAATCGCCGTTCCTATACACAGCAGCAAATCGCTACGCGCGCCGTACGGATCGTTGATTTGCCACATGGCCACTGCCAATGCTGGAAGCACGCCACCAACCAGTGCGATAGCGATAGCGTAAGCGGGCCACAGCTCCCAGCCAGCACGATCGCAGACGCTGGTGTTTATCGAGAACCGATTCGACTGTGTATTGGTGATCATCGCATATATCACCAATACACAGCCAAATGCACACAAGTACAATCCCAGCACCCTGTCGGTGACAAATCGGTTGTATCGGCTCTGATGCAATATCGCATTGCATGCCTCATGGTTGTACGGCAGACTCGACACAGAATTGCGGCTGGGGCACTCAAACTCGGACCACGCATCCACTGTCATGCCCGTGTCAGGCCGCTGCCCCTCGTCATCAAAGCGGCTCCCCGTGCCTGGCCTCCTTATTGCTGTCGGCGGTCTGCAGCCTGCCTTCTTGCAGCACGTGGAGGTGTCGCGTGCCGATCTGTACAGCACAAGGCGCTGCACAGATCGCGCAACCAGCGCTCCAATCCACGGCAGAACACCAATATACACAGCCCACAGCTTGGCCGCACATGGGTAGTTCTGTAGCGCGGATGCCGCTAGACAGACCACGCCTGCCAGTAGGCCAGCAGTAGCCTGGCAGGTTATTAGAACTGCAGACCGCTTGGCTATAAACATGTCGTGGCGCTTCAGATACCGGTGCAGGAGCATCACCATAGACACCAGGCATACTATCACATATATACCGAGCACTAGTAGCAGGATCACCTCGCGTACCTTGGCGCCATGGGAGCTGATGGCCGGCTGGTGAGCTGCCTGTGTGGTGGATTCCATAATAGCAAATAGAGGACTGTGGATGTGGGAGAGAATGCGTATTTGTAGTGTTTGCAAGAACAGGAATGGGATAGAGGACTGGTGCTGTAAAGGGCAGGAGGCAGAGAGGGAGGAAAAAGAAGGACAGGATGAAAACATGTCTGCAGAATCGGAGAGCTATGCACATCGCCTTTCCCTGGCTCATTTAGCCAGCATGGTCACGGCAGTTCATCTCACAACAATTGCTGAAAGAAACCTGCAACTTTGTCATCCCGGGAGCTGCTCTGCATTGCCCGTTTTACATCGGAATGGCAAGTGCGCCACATGAACAATTGCGGGAGACCTGCAACACGGAATTTCCTGTGTTTCCAAGACATTGGCAGATCTTGCTGCTCTGGGGGCAGGAAGAGCAGGTGAGAAAGTATCAATTGCACCATTCCAAAACCGAGTTCCAAATATTAGGCCCGCCATATTGGGAACTCATAAAAAGACAAAACATGGTTCAAGACATTGTCATGGATTTAGGTTTTCAGTTTTCTGTACATTCTGACATCTAGGGCTCCAGTTCATCGGCCAAGTACGCGTTGGAGCACACGTCAAACGACTTGGGGTCTCGCTTGACAGCCGACAGCACATGAAGCGGATTCATCATCAACAGCCGGCTATCGCCACCGCCATCCTCGGGTGGGGTTTCCGAAGACTTGCTCTGCTGCTGCCCAACCACAGCCGCTCGGTTCTGGCGCATCGCTCGGTCCGACGCACCAATCAAGTCCCGCATGAACAGCTTTGCGACATCAAGCAGCAGGCGGCCCACCACCAGACGCTGGTCCAGCGCCTCGCCAAACGCCTCGTCGCTCGAGTTTGGCAGCTGCACCCATGAGCCCGAGGCAGCTGCGCTCTCAGAGCCCGCTTTTCCACCTGCCCGTGGCTTGGCCAGATCTGCCTCCAGAAATCGCGATGCAGGCGCACATCGCAATTTCAGGGGCCGCAGAGTCGACCAGATCCAGTCGATCTCCATATCGTTGACTGCATTAGCATCAGCGGTATCCATGTCGCGCTCGTCATCGGTGTCTTCATTGCCGTCATCGTTGTCATAGGATGGGGCAGTGGCCTTCTGGTCCTCGTCCTTGTGCTCTGGCTTGGCTGCCTGGTCCTCGCTCTGTCGCTCGCTCTGGTTGTCCGAGTTAAACTGGCGCAATAGCCCAGCAATCTTTGCAATGTTCTCATCCACAAAGCCAGCATGGCCGTGCGGCGACGACGGACGCGACGGCAGCGGTGTGGCAGCGTTGGAATACGCGGCAGCATCGTCGTCGATCATCAGCATTGCGTCTTCATCCTCCTCCTCAGTCGCATCCCACCCTTGTGGCAGCTTCGCCAGTGCATTTGCCGCCGCCGATATCGTCGAGACAGAGGTTGCTGCAAGATTCTCGCATTGGTCGCTGCAGTATGAGATTGGCGGCAGAGTGCTACCAGCATCCATGACCAGCTCGCCGTTGCGCACAATGAACCGTGGGTCGTCGCGCGACTCCAGTGCCCCGCATCCATGGCAGAAGAACCGGTACCTAGGGACCGTCGCTGGTCGGGACTGTATATCGCCCCCATGGTTTCTGTGTTTAGCCAGCTGCTCAAGCCGCTCGGCCTCTTTTGCACCAGCAGTCGCCATGTACGCGTAGGCAGAGTCCGCCAGATACACCTTCTCCTCGGTACTGCTCAGTGCTGGCATCGGGACAAACCCATTGCTGCGCAACCACCGTTTCAGCGACCACGCATACTCTGCCTTGTGTGGTCCACGCTCCTTGTCAGCCCGAAGCGGCTTTGTAATATTACTCTTCAGCCACAGGCTCAGCATATCGGCGCTCTGCTGGTGCTGCTTGGTGGCTGCCGCTCGAACTGATTTAAGAACATCCTCGGTAGCTTTGGAATCGACTCCGGCCGCAGTTAGAATCGCTTGGAACGACCTTACGACCCGCTCAGATAAGCCGGTGGCAGCGACAGAGGCAGAGGACTCAGCCGGTGTATTTACAGAGCCTCCACTAGCGCCCAGGACCTCAGCAATCCCTGCCGACCTCAGTGTAGCCATCAGGGCGCGGTTCCGATGGGCTTCGGCAGCTAGACGCCTGCCTAACGGCCACGACTCTCTCCAGATCTCGCTCGTGACGGCAACTCCCCACGTCCACCTTTCGATAATCTTAGGTGACACCAGCTCGAGGATCTGCTCTGGAACCTCGGGCTGTTTTGCATCATGTGGCAGTGCATCGGCCAGCACCAGTGGGAACACCCGACACAGTTCAGCAAACAGCTGCTGTAGCAACGGGTTCGATGGTGGTGGCGGCAGTGGTTCTGGCTCATTGCTGAGCACTGCCGAATCGCCAGTAGCTAGTCCGCGTCGATCGATCTCGAAATCAATAGGCTTCTCGGCGCCCAGCACCGTGTTGCCAGACCAGTCGTTGTCCAGCTTGAGCAAGTGGATCAGGTCGACTGGCTTGTTGCGCTTGTCGACAAAAAAGATCTGGACACGCACCGGAAACTCGCCCCAGCCCCACCGCGTAAGCTCGAACTTTGGTTGTGACAGATCAACAATGTCGTCTGGCCGGTACGACGGGTGCAGAAACACCCGCACGCGCTTCACATACTGCTCGATCGGCTGCTCGCCGGGCTTGTTGCGCAGGTAGATTGTCCACTTGTGTGTGCTGTTTTCCTTGCCCGCTGGCCGGGCTTCTGGCTCAAAATACCGGGACGTGTTGCCCAGCATGACTCTACGAATGACGTGGAACCGGGTGTCGCCCAGGGGTGCTGGTGCATTCTCTGCAGATGCAGCAACAGCAACAGCAGTGGCTCTGGACTTTGCTGATCCGGCCTTGGATCTCTGCTGCTTGTTGCTGTGTCTATCAGCTTGACTGTCCGAGTCACTGTCGTCATCGCTACTCTCGACGTCGGGTACACGCGGCTTGTTGATGAACTCAAGTGCATCGGTGATGCTGTTCTTCTGCTCGGCATTCAGATTAGCCGAGAGCACCGAGAGCTGTGACTCCTTGAGTGGCGCCTGGGACCCAGTGGCTCGGCTCACCTTGGGATGCTCGTCACTGTCCTCGTCAGAGCCCAAGTCGTCCACAACGCCACACACAGAAATCGCCTCTTCAGAGTTAGGAAATTCCAGTCCGTGCTGCAGCCTTGAATGGTTCAGGAAGCTCTGCATGCTGGCAAACTCGTCACGTCGGCAGTCCAGACAGACCATGCGCACAGTCTGCCCGTCGTTTCGCCGTGCATACAAGGTGCCGCTCGGATCCATCATGTACTGTGCTGCCTGTGCTGCGGCTCGCCGCGGCCGTTGCCGGTACGAATAGCCGCTGCTTGGCGGCAATGCATTCCGCACGGGGTACTGGCCGCGATTACCCGACGACTCCATCATCTCATGGAAGTAGCTGTAGTATCCATCGGCCGTATTTGTCGATGCGATCTGGCCCTGCTGCTCCTCGAACTGTTGTGATCGGATTGCGCTCTCGATGACGCTTAGCATGGCCTCGCTCTGCTGCAGACGCTCGGTGATGGTGTTGATCTCCTTCTGCTTCAAGTAGAGCTCCAAATCCAGCTGCTCGCGCAGAATGCACTCCACTCGTGTCCTTGCCTTATCGTCCCAGTCGGTAGGACACACTCGCTTGGCACGAGATGGCTCTGGTGCAGGCTCCGCAGGACGCTTCTTCGACGGTGGTCCTGGTCGAGACTCAGGCTGTTGCGAATGCTGACTAATCTGGCCAGCTACCCTTATTATCGGCTGCTTTTTCTCGGTTGGCTCTGGCCGACTTTTCGGTGTTGGTGCAGGATGCCCAGGCTGGCCACTCGTTTGCTTGGCCGTGATCACTACTGGCTGCTGCTCCGATCCCGATTTCTGCTTGCCGCCCAGCTGTCTTGGAGGAGGCTGAGACTTGCTATTTGCTTGCTCGGCGGCTTTTGCTACCGGCTGTCGAAGCGGCTCGTTATCAGGCTTTGGTGCTGTAGCTGCCTCTTTTGGCGCTGTCAGCTTAATGGGAGCCTGGTCTCGAGAGTTTGGGGACAGAGGATTCAGAGCCGATGTCTGTACTGGCCTCAAAGGCTGCTGTTGTGTTGGCCGCGCAGAAACCTGTCCCGGTGTCTTTGGTGGCGGCGACAGTGGTCGTACTGGCTTCGGGGCCTGTTGTTGTGATATCCTCTGTGGTGACAACGGCGAATGCCGCTGGGTTGGCTTCGGTGGCGGTTGAACCGGTGCTTGGGCAGGGGATCGCGGGACCGGCCGATATACTGGTGGGTTAAGTTCCTGCTTCATTATGACTTTGGTCGGATCATTCTGGGGCCTCAGGGTTGGATTCGCTGGCCGCTGTGTTGTTGGCTGACTCCTTGGCCGTGAGATCGGTCGCTGGCTGGGACTCAGTACCGGCCTTTGCGAGTGATTCGGTGATGGCCGCGGCGGCGACTGAGCATCCGATCTCTGGATTGGCTGCTGCGGTGAGGACTCAGCTGGCCACGACCCCTGCTTCTGTGGTGGCTGTGCTACACGTTGGGTCGCCGGTGAGGCTGGTCGCAGTGCGTGTGCCTGAATCGGCCGTGGCGAGGAACTCTGCACAGGTCTCTGTGTTGGCGGCCGCCCACCACGCGCTACATTCTGTTGCTGAGGCGGGCTCTGTATTGTCCGTGCTGCTGGCGGTCGAATTGGACTATGCATTGGCAGTCCCAAAGGCTTTGCTGGCCGTGAGCTGGTCTGTGGTGGCAATGGCCGTGGCCTGGTTTGCTGGCTGGGCTGCTGAGGCAGGTGCTGTGGTGGCCGGAAAGGTCTTGGCGGTGTATGCTGCGTTACTGGTGGACGTTGACCAATCTGCTGCTGGTGTGGTGGCTGTGGTTTCTGTACTGGCTGTGGCTGTTGCAATCCTGGCAGCGCTGGTCCGTGAAGAGCCGGCCGCGGCACTGGCCTCTGCTGTGGTGGCCGCGGCGGACTGCCAGCCGGTGGAGCTCCACTATTCATCTAGTTTCCACCGCCCTAGGCTGTGTAGTATAAGTGAATTAGCAAAAGTAAACTAGAGAGCACTCTAAATGCGACGCCAAGGTGGAAAAGTCGAGCAAAAGAGCAAAAGAAGGACCACGCCGGACACGCCGACAACGCACTTCAAATTTTCGTGTTTCATTGATGGGATCCTGATAATCAAATCAGCATTGTATTTTTAGGCTGGCAGCTTGGACGTCGCTTTGTTTTTTCTTGGATCTCACAAAAAGTAGCGGTTGTACGCCTGGATCAGCACACGCTCGCCACTACCGCGGCCAACACGCACACCACTCAGCTTCTCCCGCTCCAGCGAGAACAGACAGTCCCGCACAGTGACCGTCAGCGGCGTCGATAGAGACGTCGGGCGATGCGACAGCAAAGGAGGCGGAAGCCGCTGGCTCCGGAATCCAGACGGCGAATCGACATGCGCTGTGCTGTCTGGCGTCGCGGCCTCCTGACCACCAGGGGTATCCACGCCCGAGAACGTGCGCTTGTGGCCAGCAATGGAGATTTCCAGCGGCATTGGCTTTCCTGAGCTGCTGCCCGTCGGCAGGGCAGTGGTGCTTTGCGCACGATGCAGGTCCGACGCCTTGACGCCGTCCAAATCGTCCTTGGCTGACAGCTGCGGTGAGCGGGTGCTCATTCGCGACGGCGTGGCCTTGGCAGACGACGCGTTGGCCAGCCATGCCGGCGTTGCCGCGTTCATCCACGATTTGCGCACGCCGCCAGCGGCCCGCAGCGCTGTCAGGTTGCTAATTTTGTTGCGCAGGTCGTCAGGCATGTTCTTGCTCGTGTATGACGGTGTCTCGGCTCCATCGTCCTTCTTCTTCTGCCGCTTGATCGCCGAAGCAGGCCGCGGCGGCTCGCCATTCTCGCTCGGTCCAGACTGGGGCACAGCCTCGGCTGCATTGCCACCACTGACATTACCGCCTTCAGCACCGCCGTCGGCTGCGTCAGAGTCCTTCTGGGCGTCACCCTCAGGCTGTTGGTGCTCAATCAGATTGCGCTGCTCGCGATCATGCAGCTCCTGCTCACGCCGCTCCTCGCGGATCCTGTCGACGCGCTCCAGCACACTCAGCTGCTTCTTCACGTCCAGGTTCGGCGTGATCTTGTACAGCGGAAGGCGCGTCAGTGGATCTAATGGCGGCGGCGGCAGCGTCTGTGTGCGCGTGCGATGGTATGCTGCTGCTGACACGAGCTCCATGAAAGTCCGCAGCCGATCATGCAGCGCACATGATAGATACGGGGCCACATCCGAGGACACCGCGCTGATATGCGCGTTCTTGCACGCCTTGGCAATCAGCTTCTCAAGCACATTGCGGTCGGCAAAATCGACGGGCTTTGAGCGCTCACGCGTAATATCCACCCCATCAATGCTGTAGGTAAGCACAGCCGGGGTGTCGTCGTCAATGTGCATTGGCGCGTCGCTGTAGCTGTGTGGCATTTGGCCATGGAGGAATACGTCAGATTCTTCGCGCAGATCGACGCCAGCGTAGCCAATGACGTCGTCTATCGAGAACATATCTCCGCCAGACCCGCCGCCGGTACCCGAGCGCTCCTTTTCGCGCTTCTCCCTGGGCCTGCGTGCCTGCTGCGGCTTGGGCGATGACCGCTCCCTTGTCTTGTTGCGGTCGTCGTCACTGTCCGAAGCATCATCGTTGGTTGCCATTGTGCTGGTGCGGCTAGCAGGCACCCGTGAGGCGACGCGGGAGGATGAGGTTGCAGCCATGTCCACATAGACATCGGGTAGATCGTCGCCCATCTGGTTCGCCGACCATCCGGCCGTCAGATCGGTGTTGGCTCCTCCGCGCGACCCGCTGATTGATGAAACCGTGTCGAGTGATAGCAGCGGTCCAGCCAGCGCAAGCTGCGTTGCCAGCGTGTCGATGTTGGGCTCGGGTCCCGGCGCGTCGCCTGTCTTTGCCCGCTTCCCACTACCGCGCGGCGCTGGCGAATCAGATCTACGCGAGTCAGCAGCCCGCTTTTTCCCCTTGCTCCCCTCGCCATCAGCCTTGGCCTTGCCGGCGCTGCCCTTTTTCTTGCGCTCAGGCTTGGGGCTGGCCGCACGCGAGCCAGGTTCTGAAGCCAGCGGTGTGGAGCCATGCTCCTGCTTCACCTGAGGCTGCTGCTGACCCTGCTGCCGACGCACGATCAGGCTCTGAAGGCTACTAATCTGCATCAATTTCTTTGAGCGCTCCTCGTCTGGGATGTTGGCATTGGGTCCGGTTCTGTCATTCAGCGCAGCAGTGTAGGCATTCAGCTGGTTGCTCAGCAGGGTAAGCTGCTGGTGAGGAATGGATGGAAAAGTGATGATGGTGCGGAACCGGGAAATCAGATCGTCAAAATTGTGTGCCTGCGCTGGGACTCCAGGATTCAGCCCAATGGGCATCTGGGGCATCGGGTGCTGCGTGGGCGCTATGCCGCTCTGCATCGCCAACGGCATCATATTTGGCATGCCGGGCTGGCCAGCGTTTCCTTGCTGTTGCTGCCGGTTTAGAAGCAACTGCTGCATCATCTGAAGGTTCTGACCACCATCGGGGCTGTGCATCGAGAGCACCGGTGAAATTGCTGTCCCAGACATAGCCTGCTGCATCGGAGCCGGCGACGACGACGACATGGGACCGCTCATTTGCATTCCAGGTCGGCTGATCGAGACCCCAAGCGGGTTCTGCGGCCCAACGCCCATCTGCGCCTGGGGGCGAACCAGCCCAACTGGCCGCATCTGGCTCTGCGCCTGCTGAGTCATCTGGGAAGGAGCCTGAGGCCGTGGCTGCGTCCGATTCTGCGTCACAGCCACCAAATCACTGAACCGTGCACCCAGCATCTCCTGCGCCTGCTGCAAAAACACCTGTGGCGGAATCGCGCCGGTCTGGAACCCGCGCAGAAGCTCTGCAAGTCGCTCCTGTCGGTCTGCTGGCAGACTCCGCATAACATCAGTAAGCCATGAGGTCATATCCGACGCACCGCCAGCATTCGGCGGCCGGTTAGGTGGTCTACCCACAGGGCGCGCCAGTGGATGCTGCTGCTGTTGAGGGTGCGGCGGGCGACCTTGCTGCTGGTGCGGCGTCTGCATTCGACGTTGCTGTTGCTGTTGCTGCTGCGGATGTGGTCTCTGTTGCTGGGGCCTGTTCTGGTTGACTGGAGAACCAGAGCGAGGACTGCCAGCCGGGGATGCCGAATCACGCGGTCCACGGTTGGCTCCTGCAGGTCCATGATGCGGACGTGGTCTCATAGTCGGCCGGTTTCCAGGAACTGCCATTTGCGGGCGCTGCTGGGAACGCTGCCCTTGGCTGGTAGCCGACAGTGCCGGTGAGCTGCTCGGTGAGCTGTTAAAGGACATATTCGGCCGTACTCCACCCTGCATCGCCTGTTGCTGCTGCTGCATCTGTTGTTGATACTGCTGTGCGCCTGGTGGAGGTCTGCGGGCTGTGTTTGGTGCGGTGGGCCGTTGAGGACGAGCAGGACTCGGTCTGAATTGCGGCTGCTGTGCCGGACGCTGGCTTTGAACAGCAACTGAGGCAGAGGACGATGTCTGGTGAGTTCTCTGAGCTGCCTGTCCACCACTTACCGACGGCGTCGACGGGGTAGACGACGGGTTAAGATGAGGAGTCCGCATTGGCGTTGTACTCGCAGTGTTCAGCGCTGCTGCCCTCGGCACACCAGCTCCACCAAGCCCCATCAATGCCGGAGAGGTCGGCATCGATATCGGGCCGCTACGCACCGGCTGGTTAACATTTACCGTGACTGACGGATGCGGCGATGGCGTGGCCGGCGAGGCACTAACATTCGGCTGCACCTGAGGACGCACGCCCCCGATGTTAGGCATGGGTGTCGAGTGTGGCGGCGGCGGCGACATCAGAGATGCCGTTGAGGGGCCCAGGTCGATTCCCAGATCCCGGCTGAGCGCCAGCAGCGAGTCAGTCCCGGCGACGGGCGACGCAGCTGACATGGGAACGCTCTTTGACAGATCCACCCCAATGCTGTCAAGCAGCTTGTTGATCTCGTCATTTGTCACTTTTGGTGTATCTGTCGCCGTTGTTCCCAGCGATTTCATGAGCTGGTCGAGGTCCGCGTCCAGTGGCAGCGCTGTCGTGGAGCTTGCTGTGGCGTCGCTGGTCGATGGCAGAAGCGAGCTGCTGGAGGGTAGCAGCGATGACAGATCAAGCGGCGCCTGCGATGTTCCTGTAGCCAGAAGTGAACTGCTGCTGGCACTGCCCGCTCCATCCAGTCTGCTCAAGATCGAGAGTAGCGGCGACTCGGCCGCCGATGTGCTGCTCGTAAAATTGCTACCGTTTACACCTTGCTTGTCGCCTGACATTCTGACTATATATGCACGTCCATATGTCGTTAGCGGCAGGCTGCCAACACGCAATAATGACCATACCCTGTATCGCCTATGCCAGCGCTGGTAATTTGTTCATTTTGATAGTTACCTAAATAATATTCGGTTGTGTTCTATGGTATTCTGGCGTGTGTGCTGTATGCGAGATTGGGCAGGATGCACTCCTTCGGTATTTGGTATACACAGCAATGTATTTGTGCCAGGTATGCCAACAATATAAAGGAAACAATGACACCAGCTAGTACAAAAATTTTTACTGGCGCCCACAATCCAGCGCTGGCAATATGTACACGCTAGGACTGTACAGTTTATTGGGGGTTGGTGTGGTCACGTGCATTTCGCAGCGCACGCGCATGTGATTCAAGAACCTTGTGCCAGCGATGGTCAACGAGCTGCTGCTGCCGGTCCTGCAGCGTCAGGTTCGTCTCGGCAGATTCGCGCGCAGCTACAGTCTCACAATGCAGGTCCTTGAGGTTCCTGATCTGCTTCTCGCGTTCGGCAGCGTTGGACGACAGCTCATAATGGCCGGCCACATGGCTCCTGCTCGTCGACAGCAGCAGATGTTCCTCGTCCGAAGCGTCTGAGGAAGAGATGTCGTCGCTGCTGCTTCCAGCTTGATACTGCCCCGCCTGGCTGCGTGGGACCATGCGTGTGCGGCCAAACTCGTCAATGATCTCAACCAGCTCATCGCCGCGCTCCTCCGCCCTCCGGCGCTTCCGCTCCAGTAAGTGGCTGTACTGCTTGCTCAAAAAATCGACCGAGCTCTCCTCCATGATCCGCGCAGCCGTGTCCTCGTCCAGGCCGTCTGCGGTCCGCCCAGTGCTGAGCATGTCGTAGATCCGTGCCTTCTTCTCCATGTTGGCTCGGATCCGCGCGCTTACCTCGCCTGGGCTCTGCTCCTGCAGCTCTAGCATGTCTTTCAAGGCGCGCTGCTGAACGCCCTCGTTCTGTGCATCCCAAGCGGAACTGCGCTTTTCGGAAGCCCTGGCGCGGCTGCCGGCAGCCCCTTTGCTCTCATCGACCGCTCGCTCGAGCTCTGCGCGCAAATTCAGCGCGGCCGTGGCTCCAACCGCTAGCTTTTCGGTCTTCTTTGGCATTGGAGGGTGGGTGTGCAGACTCACGTCCGCTCCAAAAATTGAGCAAAAAAATCCAAGGTTTTTACAGCAAACGACAAGCTCAGTAGAGACTTCACTGCAATGCCACTTGCTCCCTGGACACGAACAGAGAAATCCACACCCCACTGGCCGGCCCGCAGGCTTTTGCCTAGGGCGGCACGGGTTGCAGGCAGAATTATGGCCGCTGCTGAATCTGTGGAATCACAATCAAGCGATCCGAATCAAGCAGGAAAAAAATGGTCAACTTTTTTATTTTTCAGTCACGCTACTGTAGCTGGCCCTCTCGTCCTCTAGCCAGTATTTTCTTCATTTAACTTCACATTCAACCTCCATGCCGCAGAACGAGTATATTGAGGAGTCGATCAAGCGCCACGGACGGCGGCTTGACCACGCCGAGCGCAAGCGCAAGCGTGAGGCCCGCCAGGTCCACAAGGACGCGGCGTTTGCGCAAAAGGTGCACGGCCTGAAGGCCAAGCTGTACAACAAGAAGCGGCACTCGGAGAAGATCCAGATGAAGAAGACGCTAAAGATGCACGACGAGAAGAACGCCAAACAAAAGACGGACGACGCTGTGCCCGATGGCGCCGTGCCTGCATACCTGCTCGATCGCGAGGGCCAGCAGCGCGCCAAGGTGCTCAGCAATATGCTGAAGCAGAAGCGGAAGGAGAAGGCCGGCAAGTGGAATGTGCCGCTGCCCAAGGTCCGCGGCATTGCCGAGGACGAGATGTTCAAGGTTGTCAAGACAGGAAAGTCGAAGAGCAAGTCGTGGAAGCGCATGGTGACGAAGCCGACGTTTGTGGGAGACGGCTTCACGCGGAAGCCGCCAAAGTACGAGCGCTTTATTCGCCCTATGGCGCTGCGCTACAAGAAGGCCAATGTCACACATCCCGAGCTCAAGGCCACCTTCCAGCTGCCGATCATTGGCGTCAAGAAGAACCCGCAGAGCCCGATGTACACGCAGCTGGGCGTGCTGACCAAGGGTACGATTATCGAGGTCAATGTCGCCGAGCTGGGCTTGGTCACCACCGGCGGAAAGGTGCTGTGGGGCAAGTACGCTCAGATCACAAACAACCCGGAGAACGACGGCTGCATCAACGCTCTTCTCTTGGTCTAAGACCGACCTGTTTTCTAAATATACTGCCATTCGTTGTCAATCGTGAAGGCATCAGCTGCGAGGTGGTGAGGGAGGATCATTTTCGATACCAAAGATGCTAGCTAAATTTTGCCGACGATCGCTGCTGGGCGCATTTTCTTTGGCACAAAGCCAATATCGAACGGTTTATATATGATGGTGAACCTTGGGTGCAAACATGCCGCGATACATGGCGCTGGGCTCGGCAAAAGCCGACAGGTTGCGTTCGAAAAGTCATGACGCAAGTATTTTCCTTTCCGGTGGTGCCGTGGGTCCGTCAACAGCCGACGACCAGCACGTACAAATAGAGCCTAGTAAATAGAGCCTAGTAAACAGAACCGTATGGCGGTAGTGCTTGCATTGGAGGCGCCCAGCACGGGAACATAGCCATAGAGCGGAGCCAGCCAAGCGCTGCGATTCGCCAGGTTCTTTGGGCTCGCAGCTATTCTTCCGCCACTAGGCGCGCTTACGTCCAGTCAGCATCTTCAGGAACCCGACCACCTGAGCACGCTTTCACGCAAGAGTGAGTACCTGCCAGTATTGACCGAGATTTGCGTGAAAGCGCCAATGGACGACAGGATAACACCGCCACACTTGCAAATACACCAGACGCATGGGCTGCTGAAACGGCCATTCTGTCAAACATTTCGAACGTCAAGGAGACGTAGGGTTCAGAGGGCGAGGGGGGGCGGGGAAGGGATTCACACTGGGTGGCAACCAGTTCATGTTGGCCTGCAAAGGAGATTCTGAATTTTTTTAGTTTGATGCTGCAGCCATGTCTTGGGAAAAAGATATAAATACTCAGATACCCGCGTTTCGTCGCTTTTTGCTTGGCTCGCGAACCCCTTCCTTCTCTTGTTTTTCCTTTGGCATCGCAGCTAGGTCCTTTTTCTACTCTGTCGGCCTCGTCTAGCATCTATTCGCATCTCGGCCATAGCTCCATCCCGCAGTGATCGCTTGCATCCACTCTACATACTCTATTTTTCCCTTGGCAACGCAAAATGGTGCTTTTGTTTAGCAAGACAAAGCATGGTGTCCAAAAGAACGCGGCTGCTGTGCAGTCCACATCACAGCTGCCTTTGCAGCAGCATCCCATCGATGTAGTCATCGGTATGTCACATCAGGTCGGCGGCGGGGGCCGTTCCAGCTCCGAAGGCAGTGCCACGGAGCGCCGCATGTCTATTGCCGTGCAGTGCGACAGCCTCCCCCCATCCATCGACGACACTCAGCCACCGCGCCAGATGCAGCCAATCTCGCTCGCTGCCAAACCGGAAACAGGAGAGACAACCATGCATGCAAGCAGCATGTGGTTGAGCAGGACTACACAGACACCCAAAGCTGATAGTGTAGGAGGCGCAACACAGGGTAGCAAATCCGGATGTGGATTAGCAGACACCAGCAGACAGTCGGGATCGGCAACAGGCCCAGCCTCTAGCAGACATCAGGCAGTACACATCTCGAGACTCGAGCTCATAGACGGCGTCGTGGATCTCTCGCAGCGGAATCTCTCCAGCCTACTACCGCGCATCGCAATGTACTCGCTCAATATCACTGTGCTGGACTTGTCGGGGAACCAGCTCACGATATTGCCTGAGGAAATCGGGCATCTGAAGCAGCTGCGGGAGCTGAATGTGGCGAGCAATAGGCTGACCTCTGTGCCGGCCACCATCACACACTGCCAGGAGCTGCGCACATTCAATGCAAGCGGTAACCAGCTTGACACACTGCCGAGCTCAATGCGCCATATGCACTCGCTGCGCACAGTCGATGCATCACGGAACGCACTGTCCACTGTGCCGATGTGCCTGTGGCAGCTTCCTAATATCGACAGCATGAATCTCTCAGGAAACCCGATCACAGCACTGCCGGCCCGCATGTTCTTGCCAGACGGCACAATGGCGCCAAACACAAGCAGGCAGATAGCCCTGACTCTGGATGGCTGCCCGCTGGGCCAGGGGCTCTTGGACCATATTGAGCGGCCCTCTCAGGTGCTCAAGTCGCGGTACAAGTACGGGGTCATCAGTGAGGAGGGTATTTCAGAGACCGAGCACTGCACCAGGTGTGACAAGACTGGCAGCTGCCCAATGCAGACACACCATCTGTCTGCACAGGCCACCAGGAAGGTACCGTCGCTGGTCGACACCATCATCTGCCGACTGGCCAACAGCGATGCCGGATACATCGGCAACCTGCCCGAGCACCTGCAGCACAGACTGGACAGCCTGATGGTGTGCGACTTTTGCCACAAGCTGTACCCAGAAGGCGCTGGTGTCCGGCGCTGGCACCTGTTGTACCGGAACAAGACTGTGTGGCCCGTCGAGTACAACTTTTGCCAGCCGCACTGGAGCACAGAGAAGCAGCGCGTTGCCTCGCTCTTTGGCCCTCGCAAATTCAGCTGCAAGCAGCCGTACTACCAGGCGAAGAGCGCTGCCATTGCCCGCACCACCGCAAAGTTGGAGGTTTCCCGTCCACTAGCATCACAAAACTCGTCGACATCATCGCTTTCGCTGTACAAGAGCCCGATGTTCTCTGTGCCCAGCGCATCTCAGGCGCAGCTCTCGTCCTCATATGGCAGTATGTCTACCGCAGTGGAGGGGCGGAAACGGCCGTCACTGCGCCAAGGGATCCGCAGGCTGATAGGCAGCCTCAAGGGCAAGACACAGGCAGCAGACCAGCTTGAGTCTGTGCAGCAGATTGGCGTTCCGAAAGCGACTCTCGCCGAATGCCATGGCGCGGGCTCAGGCCATATCCGCTCAGGGTCAACAGCAGACACAATCACCGAGGGCAGCATGCTCGACGCCCCAGAGTCGGTGTGGATGCACTTTGAGGACGACGTCCCAGCGCTCCCAGTACTTGAGGCCCAGTAAGATAACTCGTGTTCTCGAACCAAATGCAAAGAATCTGTACACATCTCAATTTTTTTTGTGGTTCATTTTGCGGATCTTGCCCAGCAAGTCGGTGATCTGGTTCGCCAGCACTGGCTGGCCCTTGGACGTCCGCGCATTGTGCTTCTTGCGCAGCACCTTGCGGTCATGCTCGTACTTGTTGCGCCGCTTGGTTGCCTGCTTGATCTCCTTCTCGCGCTGCTCGCGCTCCTCCTGCTTCCGCGCCATCTCTTTCTCGCGTGCGTCCAGGATCTTTTGGTACGGGTTCGTCCGCGGCTTGCGCTTCTCAGCCGACGGTGCTTTGCCAGCCGCCTTGCCAGCCGACTTGTCCGTCTTCTTGTCTACAATTTTGGCGCTGACGCTTTTGCCGGTAAACAGGCTGAATCCTGCCTCCTCCTCCTTGCTGTCGCTCTCCTGGGCGGGCATTTTTTCTTTGTCGTCCTCCTTGCCGTCCTCGCTGTCCTTCAGCAGGCCCTTATAGTATTCGCTCTGCTCAGTGACGTCGTCCTTGACCGTCTTGTAAAACTTGCGCTTGACGTGCGCCTTCTGGTTGCGCTCAATCCGCTGCTTGATAATCTTGCCCTTGTATGCGTGCTGTGTGCGGCTCTCGAAGCCCATCGATCGGGGCATCGGCCGCCGTTCTGCGTTTGTGTTGCTGTCTTTGCCCATTGCGAGTATATGTGTATGGAATGCAGGTTCAAGAAGGAGCAGAGGAGCAAAACGCGCCGCTGTGCTGGGATGGGCGTTTTAAAATTTTTGGGTGATTACGGATCGACTAAACACGCGTGGGATCAAGGATGCCCATGCCACCAGGTCCCAGAGGCGGACAGCACCCCGTGTCTTCCCAAAGACCGACATAGCGGTGCTGGTAGAGGTGAATTCTCCGTGTTGCTGTTTTAAAATATGAAGAGATTAAGAGTGTGTTTGAAGAGGGAGAAGGGGGAGGTGGGTGGTTTGGGGAACTGTGCAAGACACCGAGGGGAGTGCAATGCGAGAGATGCGGCGGCTCGCGTCAAATACGAAATCTACTTGCGGAAGAACTTGGTGTTGGGCGACCCAGAGTTCTGGATGGCCTCGATCTCGCTCTCGAGCTGCTTGACCAGGTTGTGCTCCTGCTCGAGGTCCTTGTTCAAGCGGTCGCGCTCGGCAATCAGCTTCTGCTCCCACTGCCTGAAGCGGTTCTCCTCCAGCTTGACCTTCTCGGTGAAGCGCTTGCGCAGCGCCTCCTCCTCGTCGCGGAACTTCTTGTTGTCGGCCTTCCTGGGCTTGGGCTCACCAAACTTGCGTGTCTTCATCTGCGTCGTGCGGTACTTGTCGTAGTGGATCTCCTCGGTCGTCGAGATCAGGTCCAGCATGTGCGTGCGGATCAGCAGGCTGCGCAGCTTCTTGAAGTCGCAGTGCTGGTCGTTCTCGACCTCGGCCACACCCCACGGGTACTGGCGGCCCTTGACGCGGCGGCCGTCCTCGGTCTTGACCTCCTGGTCGCTGCCGATGATCGCAAACGGCATCGCAGCCACAATCTCCTTGTTGCGCTGGGTCGAATGCTCGTCCTCGCTGTCCACGGGCGGCTGGTACACGCGGATGTTCTGAGCGTCAATCACGTCCATCACCCGCTTCTTGAACTGCCGCAGCGCGGCCGGCGACAGTGTGTCGGCCTTGGCAATGACCGGGATCAGGTTGACGCGAGCACCGATCGCCTTCATCGCGCGCACATCCAGTGGCTTGAGACTACACCACAACAAGCGTCATTCAAAACAAAGGCCGCGGTCAGTACAACAAAAACATCCACAAAGCGTTGAGGAAGCCTGGGCCAGAGGCCGTGTGGCGTCAAAATAAAGCACAATACGCGCCAATTTCCAAACTTACGTGTGGCCGTTCGGGCGGATAAAGTACAGGCAGGCGTGGACGCGCATGTCGACGATGCCCTTGCGCACCGGCTGCTGCTCCTGGCGCAGATACTGCTCGTACTGGTTCTCGATGAAATCAACCACCGGCAGCCAGCAGTCGTTGTTGTCCACATAGTCGCCGAACCCCGGCGTGTCGACGACGTTCAGCTTGACGCTGAACATCTTCTCCTCAAGCTCCGCCTTGTGGATGTTGATGTCGACCGTCTTATCGAGCTGCTTCTTGCGGCGCGTCGCGTCGTCGATCGGCTCGATGAGCTCGGTCGTTAGGAGCGTGTTGATGAACGTCGTCTTGCCCGTGCCGGACTCGCCAACGGCCATCAGCGAAAAGTTTGTGCCCTTCTTGGTCACAATCTTGTGCAGCTGGTTCGGCAGATTGGCAATTCCAATGCCTCCGTTGGCGGGTTGCGGCTTGGGTGCTCCGAGGGCGTCAGCGTTAGACATTTTTTAAAGGGGGAGTGGAAGAGATTGCAGGTCGGGAATGAGAGAAAAGTGATGTGGAATAGAGGAGAAAAATAAGGTGCAGGAATGAGAAACAAAAAAGAGCTACAAAACGGAGAGGCAAGCAGTGTGCTGGTGTGTGTTAGTTTCGGAAACAGCCAGGCAGGCCAAACAACGGTTTCATTGGGCAGCAAGCCAGTCCAAACAGCTTTTTTGCCAAAGTAAAGTCGGCGATCACAGGCGGGCCAGCGTTTCCTTTTTCTTTTTCAAAACAGAAACGGGCATTCTCGCCGTGGCTCTTGTGCCGCTGCTGCCGGTTGCACCGGCGCTGGAGTGGCGGAGGCGAAGCCAGGGCGGGAATATTGGGCGATGAAAAAGCCTCGCACAGCACAACCATCGACCCCTTCGTATTGTCACCCGAGATGTGTCCCTGCTAGGGCCAAAACGTCACGACAGATCCCCTCGGGCATCGCAAGCCGCTTGTTGTGGAAAGGGGCAGCGAGACGCGAATGTCGATTGTAGAAACGAACTGTAAACAATACTTACGTGCGTATACCGTTTATTCCTGTGTGTTGACGAACAGCTGCTGTACTGTAGCAAGACAGCGGTGTATTAGAGATGCAAAGTGGGGAAATATTATAGAAATGCTAGCGGAGACAAAAGGAGTGAAACAGAAACGAGCGCTGCTTGGGCAGATGGCAATGCTGCCTGCTGCCCGAGCGCGGGCTACTGTGAACACACAGATGCAAAATAAGCCCTTGGTCTCCACCTCCAGAAAACGTTGTTGCGCGCTTGCTCTGCATTCTCGCCAAGCACAGCGCATAGTTCACTACTGCACACATCCATTCCGGCCTGCTCTCCATACACAATAAGCGAGGGGCGGGGAGGGTGCGGTCCTCAAACTTGGCAACACGCCTGTTTATATCGGCAGTTTCAGAATTGCTCGTCCTTTTTTAGCCAGCCGCATCTATGCGGAGAATGTCTATCTCCACACATCTCTGACACGACGGTGTACTCCTCCCTCTCCTCCGTTTCCATATTGAAATGGGTTTATTTCAAAAGGAGTCGTGTACCGATTATGCTAATTACATGTGTTTAAGCACCACATTGCCACCCTGGTCGCTGACAAACCGGATGCGCTCCTCCTGCGGGTTGCGGTTGGTCAGGCTGGTTGCGCTTGACACGCGTGAAACAACGTCGTCGGGCATATGCGATGTGCTGTTGACCTCTCCCGGAACAAACCGGTACTGCGCCATTACCCCGCCCTCTCGGCAGTAGGGCGACGGCTCAGCAAACACCAGCACCTCATTGACAGCCGCCTTCTTCTGCTTGTACTTTAGCATCGTGTCCAGCGACCCATCGATCAGCCACGCCATGAGGATCTGGATCAACCGCGAGTGCACAACCACACACACGTGCCGCCGTCCCTTCGCCACTGCGTCATCCACAATCTGCTGCAGCCGTGGCAGTGCGCGCTGTGCACAGGTCTTCGGTGACTCACCGCGCTCACCAGGCGCCTTGACCTCGGCCAGGTGCTGGCGGTCCCATTGTTTGATCAGGTCGTTGTAGCCGGCTGTGACATGCATGCCCTCGAGATCGCCAAACTCGAGCTCGTTGAGCTCGTCAAAGTGCTCAAACGGCACCCCGGTGTGGTACTGGGCTACGGCTGCGCCGGTCTCAATTGCGCGCTTGGACGTCGATGTCACTATCCAGTCCACCGGAGCCTTCTGAAACCGCAAACCCACGTGCACTGCCTGTTGCCGCCCGCGCTCGTTGAGCGGCGGGTCGATGCGCTTACCTTGCACGCAGTTGCGCCGGTTGACCTCGGTCTCGCCGTGTCGGATAAAGTAGATGGTGGTCTGCGGGTGCGCGGGTCCTGTATCTGACATGGCCGTGCTGCTGAAAATATGGAAAGCTGGAAAGCTGAAGTGGCTGGGAGGAAAAAATGAAATCATTCAGAAGCTGCTTGTCCGCCCGAAAAATCTCTGTGATGTAATCTGGCCACCACGCCCCCAAAAAATACAAGCCAGTGACCCCGATCACCAGATGTGATTCCGGGATCAATTCTTGAGTCACTACCCGAAATTTTTTTTCGCACGTTAGCTGAAAATTCAAGCTGCGGTGGACCACAGGATCAAAGAAATCGGGTATATCGCTGGCGGCAAAAGGGCGTGTCGACTCACCAACTCTTTGCCTTTCCTACAACTCATTTCCCTGTGCCATACACGCAATTCACTTAAAACTGGCATTCCTTGGTCGGATATTCAGAGCAGTACCCCCCACATTCCGCTATTTCAGTACAACACCAGCCGTTCTACGAGGGTACCAAGTCAACACACGAGAAACAAAAATGCTTGACGAATTCAAAGCTTCCATTGCTAAGCAGCTCGCTGAGCTGTCCGGCGTCTCGACAGACGTGATTCTGCCCGCCATTGACGTGCCCAAGGCCACCACCCACGGCGATCTTGCCATTGCCGTGCCGCGCCTGCGCCTGAAGGGCAACCCGGCGCAGTTCGCCAACGAGTGGGCCGAGAAGTACCAGCCTGACGAGTTTGTCACGGGCGCCGTGGCCACCGGCCCGTACCTGAACTTCCGCATCGAGCGCAACATGTTCACGCGCAAGGTCCTGAGCGCCGTGTACAAGGAGGGCACCAAGTATGGCTTCAACGAGTCGGGCGAGGGCAAGCACGTCGTGGTCGAGTTCAGCTCGCCCAACATTGCCAAGCCGTTCCACGCTGGCCATCTGCGCAGCACCATTATTGGTAACTTCATCGTCAACCTGTACCGTGCCAACGGCTGGAAGGCCACATCGATGAACTATCTCGGTGACTGGGGTAAGCAGTACGGTCTGCTTGCCGTTGGCTTTGGCAAGTACGGCTCGGAGGAGAAGCTGGTTGCCGATCCCATCCAGCACCTGTACGAGGTGTACGTCGCCGTCAACGCCGATGCCAAGGAGAACCCTGCCATCGACGATGAAGCCCGCGCCTACTTCAAGAAGATGGAGGATGGCGACCAGGAGACCCTCTCCCTGTGGCAGCGCTTCCGCGACCTCAGCATTGCCAAGTACAAGGATACGTATGCGCGCCTTGGCCTGCAGTTTGACGTGTACTCGGGCGAGTCGCAGGTCACTGAGGGCATGCACCGCGCCATGAAGATGCTCGAGGACTTTGGTCTGCTTGAGGAGTCTGAGGGCGCCAAGATCATCGATCTGGAGAAGCACAAGAAGCACCTGGGCAAGGCTGTCGTGCAGAAGAAGGACGGCACCACGCTGTATCTGACCCGTGATATCGGCGCTGCCCTCGAGCGCATCGATACCTACAACTTTGACAAGATCGTCTATGTCGTCTCGTCGCAGCAGGATTTGCATCTCAAGCAGCTGTTCAAGACGCTGGAGCTGCTCAAGGTGCCGTACGCCGACCGCTTCCAGCACATCAACTACGGTCTGGTCAAGGGCATGAGCACCCGCAAGGGCACTGTTGTGTTCCTCGACGACATGCTGCGCGAGAGCGCTGATAACATGCACGCCGTGATGAAGGAGAACGAGGCCAAGTATGCCCAGGTCCCCGAGCCCGAGCAGACTGCCGCCACGCTCGGTCTGTCGGCCATTGTGGTCCAGGACATGTCTGCGCGCCGCATCAAGGACTACGACTTCAACTGGGACCGCATCCTGTCCTTTGAGGGCACCACCGGCCCGTACCTGCAGTACGCCCATGCCCGTCTGTGCTCGATGGAGCGCCGTGCCGCCGTCAAGGTCAACCCCGACGCCGACATCACGCTGCTGACCGAGCCCGCCGCCCAGGAGCTCGTCGACCTCGTCTCGCGCTACCCGGACCTGCTTGCCACGACCCTCCAGCAGCTCGAGCCGTGCTCCATTGTGCAGTACCTGTTCAAGCTTAGCCATGCCGTGTCGGTCGCCTGGGAGTCGCTGTGGGTCCACAACCAGCCCACCGAGATCGCCGAGGCCCGTCTGCTCATGTACTGGAGCGCCCGTACTGTTCTGGGCAACGGCCTCACTCTGATCGGCCTCACTCCCGTCGAGCGCATGTAAAAATCGTTTGGTTTTATGTTTATCAGTCGTTCAACCTAAAACAAGTACACTCACAGCCCTGTTTTTGTCGACTGCGTGGGTATGCTCTTCCTCCTGCTGGTGCTGGCATATGCGCTGAACAAAATCTTTACCTTTTTCTAAGATTTTATAGTCCAGAGGTGTCTGACCATCTGCTATAATGTCTTTTTTTTTTTTTTAGCTGGCTGAGAGTTCACGCTCTCTTGAGCCCCACAGCGAGTATGCGTGACTCGCTCTCTGGACTCCTAACAACAGTACTCTCTCTTTTAGCCGACAGATTCAGGTCCCAAAGCGCCAAGTAGACATCTTAAAAGCACTAGTAAATTGAACTCAGAATCTTATATCAAAGCGCTATTCGACTTGGCTCCTTCACATTTTGTAGGTCCAGCAGTCCAATAAACAAATGACTCAACGTCTGCATCCTCGGCGCTCAGACTTGGAGCCATTGGCTTGCCGCGAAACTCCGGAGCAAGTTCGGTCCAGATCCGGTGCTGAGCATGGGCAATTGGAGTGCGCCAATGGCCCGGCACCATGCGCCGATTCGTGGCAAGGGATGGCGCGACAAGTTCAAGCACCATGGCTTTGAAGTCTATCTGATCGGCGAATTCCGGACATCATCGATGTGCCCGTTCTGCTGCGAAAAGTCGCTGCAGACATTCCGGCATGTTCCCAACCTGCGGCCCTACCAGAGATCGAAGAACCCAACTGTGAAGTGCCATGGCCTTCTCCGCTGTACAAGCGAGTCATGTAAGCGGGCCATGGCACAATACAGGCGAGCCTATTCGTCTCGGCTCTTGAACCGCGATCTCGCAGCAGTTCTAAACTTCAGACTCGTTTTCCAGTCACTCTGTGATTCAGGCAGTATTCCTGAACGGTTCCGTCGCTTTACGGCCATTGCTGCCGATGCTTCTGGCACCACACTGGCAACAAAGAGGCCGCGCAAGAGGCGTACAGCAGCAGGCGATTCTGTTGCCAGCAGCAGCGAGCCAGCGCTGAAGCGCCTGCGCTGAGCAGGCCATCAAGATGGGAGATGTCCAAGATCACCATTGCACCAACAACCATCCGACACGTTCAAATGACCGGTTCGCCGTGATGCTCTTATCGACATGTCAACCCATGTTGACTACCAGCCGAGCTCGCATCGCGAGCAGAGTATTTCTAGTACTGAGTATGATACTTGATATTGATGTGATGTTTCGACAACAAAGCCGAACCAGTGTTTAAGAAAAAAAAAATGTGCGCTTTTTGCTGCGGAATTCACAGAGACCCGCCAATCTGCTCCATCATGGCGTCGATCGAGTCGCCGTCCTCAAGGTCCAGCTCTTCAGGCGTGTTGTCGCCAGTAATGCGCTGGCCATCCACCAGGAAGCGCACCGAGCCGAGCGTCTGCCCCGAGCGGCTGCAGTATGCTTGCATCAGCTTCGACAGCTTTGTCTTGCGCTTAATCTTGAACATGACCTCCGAGCCATCCTACGCAGAGCACAGCAGAACTTAGCTATACAGTCGAGAGAAATCACTGTGGAATGCTGTAGAACACAGCAGCCACTCGGAATTGTGGCCAAACAGCCTGTAGCAGCTGAACAAAAAGGCTTTGGGACTTACCGGTCCAACAACCTTCAGGTTGACGTGGTCCTCGCTGGTGGCATCGGGCTTCAGGTCGGGCTTGGCCTCGGAGGCAGCAGGAGGGTTGGAAGCGTCGTCGGGCATTGCGGTTGATTCTGCAAATAAAGAGCAAATAAAACTGAAATTTGTAGCAGAGACCAGAAAGAAAAGGCGACTTGCCCAAGCCAACTTTTTCGCCCAGAGTGTTCGCAGACGCTTCCCCAGCCCGCATAAGACTTTTGGGACAGTACCTGCGTCATGTCCTTGGCGGATCTGCCACGATCAGATCAATTCTACTTCCCACACGAGCCAGTGAGCGATGTCTGCTCAACAGCGGCATGGCTGGCTGCCAAGTGGATGTATTACATTACTAGCGGTCTCTCCGAAATGAGACAAGCAGCGGTGGACTCGTGTAGAGGCGAGTCTGCATCGTGAGCGCGGGACTTTCACCTCCTAGCTTCAAAAACAACTATTTTTCTGTCAAAGATAGAGGGAGGCACCAAAAAAGTTCTATTTCACTGTGAGGGCGGGTGGAGGAATGCTGCGCATGCAGCTCTTATGATGAGCCATTGGTGGCTGCCACTGCGCTGGCAGATGGCTCAGCATCATCTGCCTTGGGGTCACGAGCCTCGGGCGCCGCAGCTGCCTCCAAGTTTGAAGTCTTCTCCGCCGTCTTTCTGGGCTCTTCTCCTGCCCCGCCCAGCTCCGACACTGGCGCCGATGTTTTCCTCACAGGCGATGGCGACTCTGGAGCGCTCGGCTCCAGCGAGCCCTCGCGCCGCTTGACTATCAGCTGCCGCCACTTCTCTGCTAGCCGCCGCGCGCGGCCCTTGAAATCGTACTTGTCCTCTGGCGCGTCGGGCAGCCGGTCGGACCCGCCGATAATGCGCATCACCTTGCCCATCTTCGTCTCCTGGATCAGCTCCAGCGTCATGTCAAAGTCCTCTAGCTTCTTAAACACCTCGTTCACCTGCGACAGATCGTCCGGGACCGACCCCTTGATGATTGTCTTTTGCAGCCGGTGTCGCAGCTGCATCAGCAGGTGGTACGCCTTGCCACGCTCCTTTGCCCGCGGATGGCCCTTACCGCTCCGGTCCGATCTGCCATCTTCCTTCGACGCCGAGTGGCTGCCCGACCGATTCCGGGAGCCGCCATGGGGCTCGGGCGTCTGGCGCGAGCTCGGCGAGTGCTTTGTGTCGTCGTGGTCGCTGCTGCCGTTGCCGTTGCTGGTGTCCATGGGCGACTCGCTTCCAATCTTTGACGTGGCCCGTGATGACGTGCGCGGCCGCTTTGGTGTTGACATGGCTGCGGCAGCGTCGTCTTCGGCGTCAGACACGGCCTCCATATTGCCACCAGCAGCGGCGCTGGTGGCTGCGCTGGACCGCTTGGTCCCTGACGCTGCCCGCTTCGACGTCGAGTTTCGCCGGGCTCGGCTGGTGGTGGATTGCTTGCGCTTCGCGGACCGCCGCAACTCGGTCTCGTCGGCCGAGGCCATCTCCGCGTCTTCGTCTTCGTCCTCGTCGCTATCAGTGGCGTTGATGGCCGCGCTGCGCCGCATGATTTCCTCTGCGAGCGACGGGTCCTGCGCCTGCTTCAGCGCATCGGCAAACGAGGGGTCTTTCCGGTTCTTCGCCTTGCTGCCATACTTTGCCAGGTTCTGGTCGTAGGGTTCTAGGTTCTCTGGGGTAATCCAGGCGCTACAGGTGAAACGGAAAGAGGGCATATGTCGTCAGTGGGATTGTGGCTGCTCCGCATGTCGGCTGCGTTCTTGAAAAGGGAAAATAAGCCGTCTCTCCACAGCAAGAGTGCATCTTCTAGAGGCTGGCTTTCGCGCTGACATCAACAATAGCAGCAGACGCCGGTTACTTACTAGTCCAAGGAGCCGTAAAAGAGGACCGGGTAGAAGCGCCCGCTCCGTGGTTTGCTGTCGATCACCTCGTCGGACAGATCGGCCTCCCGCTCTATCTACATTTGTCAAGCAAGGGGGAACAGCTCTCATTAGTGCCCAGAAGTACGCTTGCCTCATCCAGCCAGCGTGCGTTGCTGGCACACTGCTCCACAGCGCAACTTACCCGTGAGGGCCACCAAGGGTAGCCTTTCAGTTTTGCCCAGCACAGAGTTCCTGGCTCGTAGCTACTCAGCACCATTTATAGTCGAATAAAGCAGACCTCCTCGGGGAGCGTTATAGTAATACAGTCGCGCGCCTGTTCCCGGCGTGTGCGCTCGCGTGTGTATGTGCGTGTATGTGTGGTTTTTGACGGTAGTTCGTAGCGTTGCGCCCACCGCAGTCCCCAGAAAGACAAACCACAGGGCTGGCGAAGTAGAGAGAGAAGCGAAATTGAGACCGTGCTCAAAATAAATAAAAGCGTTTGGACAGAAAAAGAAGAAAAAAAAGAATATTTTGAAAAGGTGGGGAAAAAGGCTGAGTCTCACAGCACGCGAAATTCTTCCAGAGGCGATAAACTTTTTTGTTGTCACTTACAGCTTTGCTTGTGTGCTGCAGGACGCTGCTGGATTGCCTGCACCCCCGACCCGCGAATCTCGCCCTCGACTTTTCTGTGGCCGAGAATCGCTGATCACGCACAGAATTACGGGATTCTGGCCAGAGAGGGCAGGCCAATGGCACCCAGCACACGCGATTTCCCCAGTGGGCACGTGAGTAAAGTTTTCCGTGGCTGGGGACCGCGCACCCCGGCGAGCTGATCCCGCGAGCCGAGCCACCGGGGGGGCGAAAAATTCACAGCCTGTGCAGCCCGGCACTTATTTTTTGCGAGTGGGGCAAAATTTTTCAAAGGCCTTGCCCGGCGCGGCTTGGGCGCAAGAACTAAGTAGCGTCTTGTGAGGGGGCAAAAACGAGGCACCTCCTTTTTCCCTCTGTCTGCACTCTGCCGAGAAGAGAATTTCAACACATTAATAGTTGCAATGGCCCCCACGAAGAAGTCCGTAAGTGTCTCCATGTATATAGCCAGGTGCTATGCTGCTTCGAATCGGGGCGAAATCGGGCGTGGTGCCGCTGCTGGATTGGAAGAAAAAAGCTACTAGCGGGAGGCCTCTTGGGCGATAATGGCGGGACGGGCCGTTGGCAGCGAGTACACCTGGGGTGCTGCCTCCCTTTCTCCCGTACTTTGGTCGTGGAAGCAGGCTGTCTATTTTGCTGCTGCTTCAAGCGGGAAAAGTCTGCGTTTTGGCGCTGGTGCTTAGTAGCCCTGGGTTTGTTCCTCTCTTCCAAACTGAAATGGGAGGGGCGGTGCCACGGCGGTCCATTGCTGGGTCGCTCGCTACCGCCAACATGGCGGCAACCGGAGGCCGGCCATGCAAATTCGCAAAGTTTTTCCCGCTGCTTCCAATCAGCAAATCGGCGGCCCGCGCCTTGAGATAAAGCGCGAACGATCCTGCCCCCACCGTCCCATCGCCGGCGGACTGGCGCCTGTGGGCTTTGGATCTACTAACTCTGTATTCTTCATATGTGCTAATGCTGCTGTCTGGTTTGCGTGTGCTGTAGAAGTCCTCCAGCGAGTCGATCAACTCCCGCCTGGCTCTCGTCATGAAGAGCGGCAAGTCGTCGCTTGGCTACAAGTCGACCCTCAAGAGCCTGCGCTCTGGCAAGTGTAAGTATCCCAGAAGAAGCGGTGCGGTGGAGCGATCTGCCTGGCAGACTGATTTTTTGTTTGCGCTGACGGACAGCAACGGAAGGTGTGGATGCTAATGGGTTGCTGATGTGAATTCTGTCCTGTAGCGAAGCTGGTCATCATCTCGGGCAACACTCCCCCTCTGCGCAAGTCGGAGATCGAGTACTACGCCATGCTCGCCAAGACCAACGTCCACCACTTCAACGGCAACAACATCGACCTGGGCACTGCCTGCGGTAAGTACTTCCGCGTCGGCACCCTGTCGATTACCGATGCTGGTGACTCGGATATCCTCAAGACCGAGGCCTAAACGGACGTGAAAAACACAGGATCAAGGCGCGTCCGGTTTCTTTAATGGCACTTTTCAGCCCTGTCATCGCCCTCTTTCGCTCTCCTCCCGGCGCTCTGTGCCGGGGTAGGGGGGAGGGGGAGGAAGCGGGCCGCCTTCGTTTTAAATTTTTCATATCTTTACTGTAGTTTGTCTTTCTCTTTGTTTCTTGATCCCAAGGACACTAAATGAAAAGGAAGCGCAGGCTATGGCTCAGCACAACATCTATTTCAGTGTTGAAATGGAGGAAGGACATGTCTTGGGTGGAATGGCGGGTGCTACTTGCTTTTGCTCCGTAACGGGCAGTTACTAGCACGATTTTGTGGAAGTGCTGGTGTGGTCTCAGACGGCATACTGCGCTTTTTGGGTGCTGCACGCCTGCGGCGTCGTGTCCGACCACTGCCCCTGCGGGTAACAAAAAGGAGCAGCAGCCGGCTGGAGTGACTCCTGCGGGGCGTTCAGACAGAGCAGGGTTTCATCTGGGCTATGTCTTGGGCAGGCCAGTAGAGGCTCTGGCGACAGAGGGAGAGCATAGTAGGAAGGCTAGTGCAAGCACTGCAGGAATAGTTCCTGCGGCAGCAGTTGCAGAGCAGCTTGGTGTGGCGAGGCTGTGCAGAAGAGGTAGCAGGTTCCAAATGCGCGTCACTATTTTTGAAGTTTTGCGTTGTCCTGGGTGTCGAAAGGGGAGACCGGGGAGGGGGATTTTCAGGCAACGACGCAGCCCATTGCCTCGCGTCAGTCTCTTTCTTTTTTTCTCCTCTCCGGCCCTCTCTGTCTTTTAGTTTTTTTGGACACGCCTTGTATTCATGACTTCACTGCGCTCGAGCATTATACACCCTGCCTACCATACGCCTGCGTTGGAATCGTGCTGCTTCAAGTAAAGCAGCCATTTTTATCATCACCACTTTGCGTCGTTTCTATTTTGCCTGTCTGCCTCCCCAAAAAGCGGTCTTTGGACGGCTGTTTACATCTTACATCATATATCGGCAGAGCGGTGGGGACTGCTTCCCTTAACTTCTCCTTCCATTCCGTTCTCCGCCTCCCTTGCGTTCTCTTCTTATACATAGACAACGCAATACGCAAGCTTTTGTACTCTTTTGCGACATAAAGCAGCTCTGTTCATTCAGACCGATCTCGTGCTCAGAGGCGCTGCTATTCTAAAAAAAGATGGCGACATATAGTAGCTCAGAGAACAATCAGACCGTGGATCGCATGCTTCGGCAGCGGTCCAAGATTGCAGCAGAGATTCTGGAGACGGAGCGCACCTATGTTGAGGGACTGGGGCTGATAGAGAAGGTAAGTCTTGCAGAGGACTGAGATTGTTTACATTTTTCCGTGGATATTTTTGTTGCACAAAATGGCGGTCCCTAGGATGCGTGGATGCAGAGCGTGGGGGGATCTGTGCTGGCTTCGTTCTGGGAAATCAAGGGCAGCACAGACATTGGGAATAATGAAGCGTGGTAATCAACAATGCGGGCTGGAATGTGTAGATATACATCAACCCGCTGCTGGCATCGGCGCAGACAGCGGCACCGATTCTGACACGCAAGGAGATGCGGCAGCTGTTTGCAAACTTTGCAGATATCATAGCGCTGAGCAGAGAGCTGCTGCTGCAGCTGGAGGCGCGGCTGGGGGACGGGCAGTGGGATGGGGCAACGGGCCAGGTGGGCGACATATTTGTGCGGATGGCGCCGTTCCTGAAAATGTACTCGCTGTACCTGCGCAACTTCCGCAGCGGCCTCGCGTCAATCAGCCAATGGCTCAGCTCGAACCGCGCGTTTGCCGAGTTCCTGCAGCGCGGCAACGCAGCGCCCGAGAGCCGCGGGCTGAGCTTCCAGAGCTACCTGCTTTTGCCCGTGCAGCGGATCCCGCGGTACCGGCTTTTGCTGGACGATCTGCTGCGCAACACACCGGCAGAGCACGTGGACTATGCGAGCATCACCGATGCGCTGCAGACAGTCGAGTCGGTGGCGGCGTTTGTCGATGCGACAATCCAGGAACATGAGATGACGCTGGAGATGCTGGAGATCCAGCGCGCGCTGGGGCTCAAGGAGCCACTGCTGGCACCGGGACGGCGGCTGGTGCGGGCGGGCAGACTGACGAAGATCTGCCGCAGGAGCCACCAGCAGCGGCAGTTTTATCTGTTCAGCGACATGCTGCTGTACGCGGGCGGCAGCGACTCGTCGGGGCACCGGCGCGTGCCGCTGGAGGACTGCAAGGTCATGGATGTGCCGGATACCAGCACATGCGCCCACCAGTTCACCATCATCAGCCGCGCCAAGTCGTTTGTGGTCTATGCGGCCACAGGCGCCGATAAGGCCGCATGGCTGGAGGCGCTGGCGGGCGCCATCACTGAGCGGCGGGCGGCACGTGACACGCTGCAGATGGATCGGTCGCTGCGTCGGCGGCTGCTGCGGGCCCGGCGCGCAACGATGCTGCAGTTCCCGCGCGTGGCTGAGAGCTTCAGTGCGCCGGTCTGGGCGCCCGATTCCAGCGCCGCGCACTGCTACATCTGCTTCCGCGCGTTTGCGCTGCTGGTGCGGCGTCACCACTGCCGCGCCTGCGGCCAGCTGGTGTGCCACGCGTGCTCGCGCAAGAGCATCGTCTTCGTGGCCGACGACATGCAGCCCAGCGAGGCCCGCGCCTGCGACCAGTGCATTGCACGTATGTTCGGCCGCGGTGCTCTCGAGTCACCACCTGGGTCGGTTCGCAACCGCCACAGCCTCGATCCCTCGGCCTTGCTCAGCACCCTGGCTGCGCTTGCTGGCAGTGCCAGTCCGCCACGTCTGGAGCCACGACTCGAGATTACTGAGCCGCCACGCCTGGAGCCGCGGCCGATCGGCCCGCCTGCGGCCCTGGCTGCGGCCTTTGCGGAGTCGCCGGTAGCGTGTCCGCGCAACGCTTCAATGTGCTCTGACGGCTGCGCGTGCATAGCCGGCTCGTTGCCTGCGCACCACCGCACCTCGGCCGACAGCAGCGCTGGTTGGGACCTGTTTGGCGCATCCGTGCGCACGACTTTGTTTTGCGGCGGCTCGCCGCCCTCGACACTGTCGCGGAACCGCATCTCGATCATCTCGTCGTCATGCTCGACTGTCGTGTCGGAGCCCATGGGGCGCTATCGGAAGCCGCGTCGTCCCGTGGTGCTCAGCGAGGAGCCGCCTGATTTCCAGCCACGAGCGACCCTGGTCAGCCCGCTGGCGCCACCCGAGCTGACACTGGCCATGGCCGAGACCAGCGCTGTGCGTGCGCGCGCTGACACTAATGCCACATTGTGCGCGCTGTGCCATGGCGGCTTTGCGGCGCTCGAATCGCAGCACCAGTGCCATGTGTGCCGTGCTCTGGTGTGCCCGCGGTGCATTAACCGCCAGCTGCCTGTGCCCGGCGACACCCATACCGATGCGCTGGTGTGCGATTCGTGCGTGAGCTGCCGGGACGACTGCATTAAGCTGTTCCCGCTCATGTCGCCGCAAGCCGCTTCTGACTCTGCCAAATGGGTCTGAAATTCCTGTGCACCTTTACTCATTCATCCATTTCCTCTTTATATGCTGTTACTCAATTCCATCGATTCAGATATAAGCCATGACACCACCATACGAACCGACAGCCAATGTCGCCTGGCCATATGCCCGCTGCTGTTTGTGTTCATATCGTGATCTACCTTAAAACGTGATGTTGCTATTACGTACCTCTGTGGTACTGCTAAATTGGTGTGGATGGGAATTAATTGCAGTATTTTCAAGGGACTATGCTTTATACAGGAGAGGAAAGATTAAGGATGCACTGCGCAGCCTGCTGTGAGGCCCTTGCTGGCGCCTGATTCACCATCTATAGAGCCAGCTAATATGTGAGAGTCAACTGCGACCAACTCTGCATGGCATTTCCAACTGTATACTGCACTAAACCTTCCAAGGCCGCAACTACGCAAATGATATATTTGGTGTTCAGACAGATCAAAAATCGGGATGACGTTTATTTATATCTTGACAAGCCGAGTTCGCAGCAGGCGAGCATAACGGTTATCTTTCCAGTCGCTGTCAATCATAATAGTTGCAGAGGAGCCGTCATCCCATTCGAAGGTAGCGAATTCCGATGTATCCCACCTGGAGAAAAGGATATCCGTGCCATCATAGCTTATCTGAAGGCGGTCTGACCGTTCAGGTAGCTCTGGGGATAGGTTTATATGGTTATTATTATCATCAGAGCAATGTAGGTACTGGTCACTGCACTTCAGATAGAGAATACCATCGATCATCTCGCAAGTGAACGGGTCACAGTCATTTTTAGAATAGACCATGAGTTCATCCTCAAGAAATGAAAGACAGTAATCATCGAACTCTTGGATGTACTTGTCTTCTTCACATATGACATCCAATGAAAACGCTTCGCCGTCGCGAACCTCGATTCCGTCTGCATCCCTCAGTCTGAATTCTCCGTTTGGTAGGCGTTTGGACCACTGCTCCTCTTCAACCAGCCAGTCTTCTTCCTCGAACCGCTTAATAGCGCCAGCATCTCTCCTCACTGCTGGTAAAAATATGAATTTGAGGAAGCTTGAGAGCGTGTAGCTGTTTTCCGGGTTGTTGGAATCGAAGCACTGCTCGATTCCATCTTCATACACGACAAAAAAGTGGTTGCAGCACCCATCTGCGCCCCTGGCTGCCTCTGCAAACCTTCTTGTGTCTTTCTCGCTATAACGAATCAAAGCCGTGTTGCAGCTCGACCAACCTTCAATAATGTCATCTTTACACTTTTCGTGGATAAAGTAGACGGCTGGTGGTTCAGGATATAGCTTGAGGCCATCTTGCTCCTGAAGACTAGACCACACGTCTGGGTTATTGGAGTGATGCCTCGCCATAAAGGTAATGTAGTTCCGGGAGATATAGTCGCACTTTAACGGACCGCCAGGAACATTGTAGACCGTGAAGTGACCTTTCTCCAGCACAATGAAAGGCGTCCCGTATTCGCTCTGCTGCTCGATAGCCTGCTGCTCGCTTTCAACATCAGTGAACGGCCTTAGCATATCAATGATGCAAGGACGGATAGTATCGCGGTCAACGTGGACCGGAAGGTAGGTTGAAGCCATATCAGGGATATAGAGGAATGTAGGTGCAGAGTAGAGAATGGGCAAGTATGCAGAAGCAAGCGGGAATCCCAGGTCTTTTACAGCTAACCTTGGCAGCTGAATGGCTGCGGAGTGTTTGTTTTTGGTGGATTCAAAGAACTGAGATTTTCATGCAAGCCCCCTTATCATAAGCACTGCAAAGTGGGTTGTTTCATTGGCCTGTGGTTTTCTAGCTGAACCTGTATTGGAAAGACCGCATCTGGTCCTTTATCATATATCAAGCAGGACGCATGTATGGAACATGTTGGTGCAGCATTTTGCACCGGGGCATCCGGCATACAAACATTCTCTTTGCGAGTCAGGGCAACCTCATGCCTGGGGACTCCACACTGGCTTCGACGACGCAGCCAGAGTCGGTAGGCATGGATGCAAGTTCAGGCGTGGGCGCTCTGGCATGCTGCCGTTCATGAATATCAACAGGTTCGAAGGCGTGATGGTTCACTCACACTCACAACTCGGCAACTGGGAGTCGCTGCTGTATTTGGTGTGCTGGCTCGGGACGTTTGGAATCAACTCGGATTGAGCTACGAAGGATGCCGCCTGCGAGTAGCCCATCAGCAAATGGCAGCAAAATAAGGCGAGGTAGTATGTTGGTTTCAGAGTATGGTGTTGCGAGTATGTCGAAATGGCTTTGATATAGCCGATTGCTTGCTGCATTGCTCCACTTTGCTAATATCCATTGCATACGCAGACGGGTGGCTCTCGTTGGCGCCTGACCCGATGCTCTCAAAGCTAGTCTCTGTGGCGATGTCGGAGACCACGGCCTCAGGCGCACAACACGACAGCAGGTATATTGGCCACACATTAGTTGCTGAATGGGGGAGAAATTGTTATCAGCTACCCCCATGACCCACAGAGCCACATGTGGCATTTGCGGTACGAAGCTGTTGTTTAATAGGTCACCCGCACAGAATTTGGATGTTGCCAGTTGCTGGTTTCACTACACCAATCACGCATTGTGTTTGGGCAGTTAGATGAGTGGCGCCCATTGCTTGGGCACAGTAAGTGGCATGGGTGACGAAATGTAGGAAGGCAAATGGTACATATCAGAATGGCGAAGGAGGGACGAGGCGTGGGTCGATGATATTCGGTTTGTGGCCAGTGTCCATTTGGCACTGGTGGCATTTTGCGCTGTGACGGACGAGGGTTGGTAGGCAAATACTGCAACCATAGACAGGCGGGCGGTGATGCTAGTAGGGAAAGCCAGTGCTCCATCAGAGGCAATCGGACCTTGGCATTCTGGGCTATCCCAGGGGGCGGGTCAACCCCAGGGCCCGCTGCGGACCAGATCGGCGCACACAGACACAGGCACGCCTTGCTGCTGTAAAAAAAATCAAAATCAAAAGCAAAAGCAAAACAAAAATGCAATTCCAGCAGCTAAGCCTGGGGCAGGAAAATGGTCGGCCGAGAGTGCGCATCACAGACTTTTTCTTTTATTTTTCAGCGCCTATAAAGGAGTGGCATCGCTTGCGCCTTCACAGCCTCGCCAGGCCCTTTTTCTTTACTTCTACCTTTTTCATTTCCAAATTCGCTGTTTCCGCACACCTTATATTCGTGACCAATCTCTCCAGCTCTTGCAGAGAATGAAGTTTGGCAAATATCTAGAGGCCGAGCAGGTTCCCGAGTGGGAGAAGATGTACGTCGACTACAAGCATCTGAAGCGGCGTATAAAGGAGATTGCGGCGGCACAGGAGCGCAACCGCAAGTCGCAGAGGGGTGACGAACACGTCTCGCTGCTCAAACGCGCATCGACATACCTGGGCTACGACAGCTTCAATCTGGACCACCATGCCAGCCACACCCACGACGAGTCGTCGGGGGTAGACTACCGCAGGACGCCGGCTCAGGGCCCCGGGTACGGCAGCTGCACAACCAAAGACTGTACCCGGTGCCAGCATTTCAGCCGCGTCGTGTCGGCAACACCACAAATAGCAATTGGCATGTCGGCTGGCAACTCGGGCAATGTGTCGAGCACGCCGGTGGAGCTGGCGCACGGAGCCAATATCAAGATCCCGCTGTCGGCACAGGACTCGTTTACCGAGACGATTCGGCGGCGGCGCGGGTCGGTATCTCCTCGTGGAAGCGGGTCTATGTCGACAGGTAAGCTTAACTCCGAATATAGTGCGGTGGGGGTGGGGGATAGGCGCCATAGCGCTGGGGTGGGTCACAACAATGGGTCAGCCTGCATGACAATCTGCAATCCCGAGTCCAAAACAGAAGCGATGGTGACTCGGAGTCCGATGCTGCCTCGACGTCATTTCCTGCATCGCGGCTGCCACGGCCAAGTATCTGCCGGGCCAGGGCTCCTCCCGTTTGCCTCAATATGCATGCTGCACTTTGCAAGCGCAGGAGCCGCATATACGCCCAATTGATTTGCACCTGTATGGCGGTCGTATATCCGTGCAGGCTCAGTGGCAGGTATGCGGGGGACGGTAGTATCGAGCCAGCACCTCTCCACAGCTACACGTGGGCTCCATTTCCCAGAGTGCTTCCCCATCCATTGCGTGCTTCATAGTGTGGCGGTGGGGTCATTCTACTCAAATAAACCCGATACGTGTATATTAATAGCCTCATTTGCCTGTAGAAGCCTTCAAGAAGGAGTTGGGTGTGCGGATCGAGGAAGAGCAGGAGTTCTTTGCCGAGATGGAGCACGAGCTGGCCAAGGTGAACGACTTTTTCCGGCAAAAGCAAGACCTGTTCCACTCGCGCTTTGACAATATCATTGAGCAGCAGCGGATGCTCGATGAGATGGTCGGCGAGGAAGCCGAGGCAGCGACCCTGCATTCGCCGCCTAAGGGCCATGAGCAGGTATCGGGATCGGGCAGCAAACTGCGCAGACTGACAGCGCTCAGCAGCGCGTCAGACGGTAACCCGCCTGGCCCTAGCGCTCCACTGCGCGCTGCCAAAAGCAAAATCAAACGCGCAATGCTGGAGCTGTACCGTGGCATTGAGATGCTCAAGAACTACCGCATCCTGTGCTACACGGCGTTCATCAAGGCGCTGAAAAAGTACCAAAAGACAGCAAAGTGGTGCGATGGGACAGACTACTTTTTGGACAGGGTCGATGGCTGCTACATGGCGACATCGCCCGACCTCAACATGCTGGCGCGCGAGCTCGAGGGCATGTACATCGAGCGGCACGCCGGCGGGTCGCGCTCCAAGGGCATGGACACACTGCGCATCAACACGTCAGGCACCTCCAGAGACAACCAGGGGTCGACGTTCCGCAGCGGCCTACTGCTGGGCACCTCGTTCCCTCTGATTATTCGTGCAATCTACGAGTCCAATCTGATCTCGAACGAGGACCGGGTACCGTACCATCGCGAGCTGCTGCAGATATACGGCGGGATCTTCTTGGTGCTGCTGTTCTTGCTGCTGTTCTCGCTCAACATGACCGCGTGGGTGCGTGCACACATCAACTACCGGTTTATCTTTGAGGTCGATCCGCGCGACAACCTGGACGCCTGGCAGTTCCTCGAGATGTCGTCATGGTTCTTCTTTATTGCCAGCTGTGTGATCTGGACAAACTTTGCCCTTCACATCGACAACAATTCGTATATCTGCCTCTACGTCCTGCTGGGCCTGCTTATTGGCATGTTCGTTATGCCGGTGCGCGTCTTCTACTGGTCGTCGCGGCGCTGGATGCTGAAGTCTTTGAGCCGCATATTCCTGTCAGGGGCATACAGCGTAGAGTTCCGCGATTTCTTCCTTGGAGATGAGATGTGCAGTCTGACGTACACGTTCTCGATGGTGCTGCTGTTCAGCTGTGCCAGCGCCAACAAGTGGACGGACCTGGGCGAAAGGTGCAACACGACGCAGTGGTGGTCGAACGCGGCCTTTCTGATGATCCCCAACCTGCTTCGCCTGCTGCAGTGTATCCGCCGGTATGTCGATTCAGGTGATGCATTCCCACATCTGGCCAATGGAGCCAAGTACTCGTCAACTATTCTGACGGTCTGGCTGGCGTCGGCGCACCGTATCCATGGCGGCACGGCGTGGGACTCTATGTGGGTGGTCAGCGCAATCGCCAACTCGTGCTTCACGTCTCTGTGGGATCTGCTCATGGATTGGGGCCTGTTTGAGTCCGGCAGCAAGCACCGGTTCCTGCGGTCGGAGCTAAAGTTCGACCACGTCTGGATATACTATGTGGCGATAGTGATGGATGTGATTCTGCGGTTCGCGTGGATCACGCAGATCTCGCCGACGTTCTTCTCGTTTGGACATGCAGTGCACACGTCGACGGTGGCCTATGTGGCCGCGGTGCTCGAGGTAGTGCGTCGTATCTCGTGGAACTTTTTGCGGGTGGAGAACGAGCACATCAGCAACTGTGGACAGTTCAGAGCCACTACCGACATCCCACTGCCGTTCTCGAGACCGCGTGGGCAGACCACAGGGTCGGATGCTGACCAGATGCGCAACGAGTTCGAGTCGTACTCAGTGGTCAAGGTTCCGCCTGCCACCAGCACACTGCACAAAAAGACCGACGACGATGACGACGACGACGAGTAGAGCATAGACGACTCTTTAATTTCATTCTCTTGAATACACCATATAGAAACTGCCCTACTTTGACGACATGAAGGCGCTGACCGCCTGGCCCCATGCAAACGTCTCGCAGCACTTACAGCAGCGGCCAGTCCCAGGCACCAAGTGATCGTCACTGCTGGTGACGTCGTTTCGGGCCACGCATACCAGGTGCCACGCGGCTCCGCACGCCCTGCACGCGCCCCACGGCCGGGATTCGGTCAGCCTGTGATTGCAGGCTGCGCACAGTTCGCCTGGAGCAGGGGCGCCCAGGTACGTGCCAGGCTGCTGGCACTGCTCGAACGTCAGCGGGATATCCGCAAAGTCAACGGAAATGTGTCCTGGCAGGGTGCTCGGCATTCGACTCAGGAGATCTGTGTGGAGGTCGGCGCTCGGACAGACAACTTTCAGTGGCCAGAACCTGAACGGTGCGATAGCCAGCAGCGCGCACAGCGTCGTGAGCTTTGTGTCCAGTGTATTCTGGGCCCTGCCGTATACCACACGACGCAGCGTGTCTGGGATTGCATCCATGGTGGCGTGGCGCGATCTGTCGGGGTGCTGCCACGCCCACTCGAGCTGCAGCGCTGCTGACTTGCTGGCGAACCCGTGTACGATCAGAACCATCTCCCTAGCTGATGGGACTGCTTAAGTGACTGTTAAAGGCGCTGTTGGGAATAGCCCGATAGGGAAGGTCTGCGAGTTGCCAAATCCAGGAAAATAATCTGGTGGACTTCCACCACTGTTTGGTCTTACCAGGGACGCCGGTTCCGGGTTGACATGGCACCAGCAGTAACCTCGCCGTTGTGCTGGCGCAGGCGGCGCACCGGGTCGGGCGTCGAGCCAACGTATGCGTAGTTGCGGGATCCGGGCTTCAGCGAGCGCAGCAGGTAGCAGCAATAGAAGGTGCAGTGCGTGTCGATATCTTGCATCTCGAGAGGGGGCAGAGCGCATGTGCTGCTCGCACGCCATCGTCGTCTGCAGCAGAGCAAGGTGTCTGTATAGTGGCACGCGGTGGGTTTTGGGGGAGCAAGGCGCGGTAAAGGCTATTGCCGGAATCGCTTAGCGTTATCATAATGAGAAAAAAGTTTTTCCAGATACGCACGAGCCGCCCCCATGCCACCTCACGCTTAGGAAGCGCCTGATGGCTGGGGCTAAGGAGGATCTGCGCTAAAAGGCTGGCGGAGAAAAAGCGAGGACTCGCATTGTGTGAGCGCCAGCCAGGAGCAGAATCCTCCGAAAGGAAGGACGCACCGTTTATCGCCCCTGCCTTATAAGCGGGCTGCCAGCCCTCTAGACATCAGCCCGCCAAACTTGCTCTCCCTTATCTCTATCCTTTTTTCCACCTCTATTCAGTTTTTTCTTATTCTCCTAACGGACAAGATACTCATAATGGCCAGCTTACTCAGGGCTGCTCGTAACCAAGCCGTCCGCCAGCGCGCGGCCGCCGGTCTGCTGTCTCGCAGCGCCGCTACTCTGTCGGTGCGTGCCCCAGCCGCGCTGTCAGCTCACATCGCCAGCGTGCGGTACAAGTCGACGGCCAGCGGCCCGCCGCACCCGAGCGAGTCGTTCCTGTCGGGCAACGTGGCACCGTATATTGACGAAATGTACGAGGCATACGTACGGGATCCGAATTCAGTGCACGCGAGCTGGCGTGCGTATTTCAAGAACGTCGACAGCGGACTCAAGCCCGGGCAGGCGTTCCAGACCCCTCCCGACCTGATCGCCTCGACTGCGATTAACCCCGCCAGCGACACTGCTTCGAATCTGTCGAGTCTGCGTGGCAGTCCCGAAATTGTCGACCATCTCAAGGTGCAGCTGATGGCACGTGCCTACCAGGTGCGCGGCCATCACCTGGCCAAGCTGGACCCGCTGGGGATCCAGACGCCCGAGCGGTTGAACGTGTCGGCGAACGAGCTGCACCCGAGCTACTACGGCTTCACCGAGAAGGACATGGACCGCAAGTTCACGCTGGGTCCCGGCGTGCTGCAGAACTTTGCCAAGGCCGGGTACAAGGAGATGACGCTGCGCGATATTGTGGCCAAGCTCGAGCAGGTGTACTGCGGGTCGCTGGGCGTCGAGTACACGCACATTGCGGACCGCGGCGAGTGCGACTGGATCCGCGAGCGCTTCGAGGTGCCGAACCGCTTCAACTTTGCCAAGGAGCAGAAGGCGCGCATCGTGGACCGTCTGATCTGGGGCAGCAGCTTCGAGAAGTTTGCGTCCACCAAGTGGCCCAGCCAGAAGCGCTTCGGCCTCGAGGGCTGCGAGTCCATGATTCCGGGTCTGAAGGAGCTCATCGATACGTCGGTCGACCTTGGCGTCGAGTCCATCGTCATGGGCATGGCTCACCGTGGCCGTCTCAACGTGCTCAGCAACGTCGTGCGCAAGCCGAACGAGTCGATCTTCTGCGAGTTCTCGGGTGAGCTCGAGCCCAGCAAGGAGGGCTCCGGCGACGCCAAGTACCACATGGGCATGAACTTTGACCGCCCGACTCCCAACGGCAAGCGCGTGCACCTGTCGCTGCTGGCCAACCCGTCGCACCTGGAGACCACCGACCCGGTGGTGCTGGGCAAGACGCGCGCGCTGCAGCTGTACACCAACGACACTGAGCGCCACCGCACCATGCCGCTGCTCATCCACGGCGATGCTGCGTTCGCTGCCCAGGGCGTGGTCTACGAGACCATGGGCTTCGCCGACCTCCCCGGTTACGCCACTGGTGGTACTGTCCACGTGATTGTCAACAACCAGATCGGCTTCACCACCGACCCGCGGTTCGCGCGCTCGACCCAGCACCCGTCCGAGGTGGCCAAGTCGGTCGGTGCTCCGATCGTGCACGTCAACGCCGACGACACCGAGTCCGTAGTGTTTGCGTTTATGTTCGCGGCCGAGTGGCGCCAGACCTTCCACAAGGACATCGTCATTGATCTTGTGGGCTACCGCCGCCACGGCCACAACGAGGCCGATCAGCCGTCGTTCACGCAGCCGCTGATGTACAAGAAGATCAAGCAGCAGCGCCCGGTGCTGGATCAGTACGTGGACCAGCTGATTGCCGAGGGCACCTTCACCAAGGCCGAGATCGACGACATGAAGGCGCGTGTGTGGAGCATCCTCGACGAGTCGTACAAGAACAGCAAGGACTACAAGCCGTCCAGCACCGAGTGGCTGTCGTCGGCCTGGCCTGGATTCAAGTCGCTGGCGGAGCTGGCGACCGAGGTCACGCCGTCGTACCCGACCGGCGCGCCCGAGAACGTGGTCGAGCATGTGGCCAAGTTCATTTCGACCGTGCCGTCCGACTTCAACCTGCACCCGCTGCTGAAGAAGATCTTCAAGGCGCGCGCGGATGCGCTCGAGAGCGGCAAGGGCATCGACTGGGCCGCCGCCGAAGCGCTGGCCTTTGGCACGCTGCTGCTGGAGGGCAAGCACGTGCGTCTCAGTGGCCAGGATGTCGAGCGCGGCACGTTCTCGCACCGCCACGCAGTGCTGCATGACCAGGCCAACGAGCGCCAGTACGTGCAGCTCAACAACCTGAGCCCGACGCAGGCGCCGTTCTCGGTCAGCAACTCGTCGCTGTCAGAGTACGGTGTGCTGGGCTACGAGCTCGGCTACTCGCTGGCGAACCCGAACGCGCTGGTGATGTGGGAGGCGCAGTTTGGTGACTTTGCCAACACGGCCCAGGTGATCATCGACCAGTACCTGGCTGCGGGCGAGAAGAAGTGGCTGCAGCGCACGGGCCTGACCATGCTCCTGCCGCACGGCTTCGACGGCCAGGGCTCTGAGCACTCGTCTGCGCGCCTCGAGCGCTACCTGCAGCTGTGCGACGAGCACCCGTACATCTTCCCGTCGGCCGAGAAGCTGTCGCGCCAGCACCAGGACTGCAACATGCAGGTCGTGTATCCGACCACCCCGGCCAACTACTTCCATGTGCTGCGTCGCCAGGTGTACCGCGACTACCGCAAGCCGCTGGTGGTGATGACGTCGAAGAAGCAGCTGCGGTTCCCGCTGTGCAAGTCGTCGCTGGACGAGATGTTGGGCAACACGTTCTTCCAGCGGTACATCCCCGAGCCGCACCCGACCGAGGGCGAGTTCACGCTGGTCGAGCCCGAGAAGATCCGCACGCACATTCTGTGCACAGGCCAGGTGTACTACACGCTCCTGCAGGCGCGCGAGCTGAACAACGTGCGCGACGTGGCGATCTCGCGTGTCGAGCAGCTGCACCCGTTCCCGTGGGACCTGGTGCGCGACCACATCGAGAAGTACCCCAACTGCGAGTTTGTGTGGGCGCAGGAGGAGCCGCTGAACATGGGCTCGTGGGCGCACATTGAGCCGCGTCTGCGCACCATCTTCAACAACACCGAGAACCACGCCGGCAAGGCCATCCGCTATGCGGGCCGCGACCCGTCGGGACCGGTCGCTACTGGTAACCACAAGCAGCACGTGTTTGAGGAGTGGGCGTTCACGTCGCAGGCGCTGTTCGGCGAGGCACGGAAACCGGTCGATGTTGTGTCGGGTGTGCCCAAGTGGGAGTAGATTCCAGTTCAAAATGTCTCTTTTTCAGACGAGTCCTTTGTTTCTTGGCTGCTCTTGTAGAAGCTGTGCTAGCCTTTTTTCCTATCCATTCATTTTCCCCCTTTACAAAATGCAAACCATTCAACAATTTATTTGCTTGGTTACAGATATCTGTTCCAGTCCTGGTTGGGTGGCAGGTCGATATCGGGATCTGGATCGCCGCTACATATGGTCATCCGTGATGGCTGAGATGGCATAGTTGTATATAAACATGGTGATGATGATGCTTGAACGAGATGGCATTGCTCTGCTTTACCTGAAGGCACCCCCGCTGCTCCCGCCGCTGCCGAACCCATCACCGAACCCACCGCCAAACCCACCTCTGGCACCGCCTCCAAATCTCCCGCCAGGTCTCGCCGGCCCAGAAGCACCGCCAAATGGCCCAATCGGGTCGAAGCGTGCCCCTGCCGGAACGGCACCAGGGGGAAGGAAACTTGGCCCCGCGGGAATCCTCTCCTCCCGCGACTGCTCGCCTCTGAACATCGAGTGTCCAGGTCCAACAACCATGCCACCGCTCGCCGGATCGCCCAAGCGACCGCCTAGCGGTTCCAGGTCATTGCGCCCAATCTCCAGCGGGTTCCCTGGGCCCCTTCCCGGCGTAGCCGCAGACCCGAACGCACCAGAGGGCTGCTCCTGGCGGCTGGGGCCCGAACGAGATTCGGCTTGGAAGGCTAGGGCGTGGTGCTTGATGTCGACAGGCTCTTCTTCGGTGGGGATGATCTTGCGGACGATATCATCGACCACCGTGCTTGTGAGCTGCGCGAGTGCATCACCCGATACCACGGCCTCCACCTGCTTTTGAAACTCACCCTGGCTGTTGCAGTTGAGCTTGAGCGGGAACGCCGTGCCCTCGGTGATGTATCGGGCTGTGTTGAGCTGTGCCATGTGGACAACAGGCTCGCCCCTTTCCTCGGCAGGCACGACTGCGGCAAACACCATCAGCTTGCCCGCAATGTCAGTCCACTTGACCTCGACCTGTCGTCCGTCTTTAACTTTGAACTTGGCTACATGTGTGTTGTTTGGGAGACCCGGCGAGAGCCAGTGGTCAGATTTGGTGGGCGAAAAGTCGTGTGCGTGCAGGACAGCCTCGCTCAGGGCGGCGACGAGGTCTGGCGCAGTTGCGACAGTGTTGTTGCCAATAAGTGTTCTAGCCTTGTCGATAATAAACATTCTGTCAAATAAAGGATGGTGAAAAAACTGTGCAGAGGAGAAAAGCGCACCAGAGCAGCGAGCACGCGCCTTGGCAGCACTCATCAACACTTGCTCACTTTTGCCAGCAGCTTGATGCGAGCCGAACGACGTCATCACACACATGCTTGGCAAGGCACACAAAAAATAGCGAGCCGGCATGAGCAGCTTTCGAATTTCACACTGGCACTGCATTCACCTTTCCCAGCTTTCATCCCCCCTACAATTTGTAATTTTCCACTGCTGTAAACTCCACTCCTATTCACAATGGCAGAGTTCACCGACCCATCTCGGGCATTCGGACTGCCCGAGGGCTATTTTACACAGGAGGAGTTTTCGGCAACCGACTTTATCGAGCAGCTTTCGCGTGTGGACCTCGAGTTTGCCAAAAAGAACTCCTCGCTCGAGCCCAAGCCGTTTATCCGCACCTTCGAGCGCGCCCTCGAAAAGCTCCTGGGCTCGCAGGCAGAGCTGTCCTCGACGATATCGCAGCTGGAGCGGTCGACCAAGGCGTACTCTGACGACCACCGCAAGAAGATGGCGCGGCTGAAGCAGACATTTGTCACTGTGGGCAGCAGCTTCGAGCGGCTGGAAACGCAGATCAGTGAGGTCGGCAGCAACACAATCCGCATTGGCGAGGAGCTGGATACGGTGGCCAAGGAGAAGGACCGTGCAGAGGCCATCAAGGAGCTGGTCGGGTTCTATGCGGAGCTGAATGAGGGGAACACAGCGCGGCTCGATGCCCTGCTGGACGGCGGGTCAGAGGGGCTGATGAATGTTGCGCACACGCTGCGTCGGCTGAATACGGTGGTCATTGACAACGAGTATAGCGCGCCGAGCGAGTCGACGGCAAAGCGGCAGATTGAGATCTACTCGGAGAACTTTGAGAAGATGATGCTGGAGAACTTTGAGCATGCGTACAAAGATAACGACGTGCACAATATGAAGACTGCGGCGCGCACACTGGATGCGTTCAATGGCGGAGTGTCGGTGGTCAAGGCTTACATTAACCAGCACCCGTTCTTTGTGGCCAGTATGGTCAGCCAGGCGCAGGACTCGATCGCCGATGCCAGCTATGCGTCGATGCAGGGCATTTCGGACATCAATGCGCCGCCACCACCGCCCGACCGCTGGCTTGAGCAGCTTTATGACGACACACGCAAGATGATGTTCAAGGACTGGACAGTCATCTCTGAGGTGTTCCCGAGGCCCGTTGAGGTCATGCAGCAGCTCCTGAAGCGCGTGTTTGAGCAGACTATTCAGAGCTACCTGGAAACGCTGCTGGGCCGTGCTGAGCGCCAGTCGAAGCTAGCATTCCTGCGCGTTTTGTCATCGGCACATCTGGCTACGCGCAAACTGATCGAGGACCTGCAGACGTTCGATGCTGAGACCATTACACCAGCGGTGACTGTCCTTGAGTCTGCACGCCAGTCTGGCAACGGCATGCAGGGGCTGCTTGATATGCCGGCAACCTCACAGACTGCTGCCACAGAGTTTTCACGCCGCAAGACACGTAAGCAGCCGAGCAAGGGGCGAAATGGTGCGGCCAACAATATGGAGTATGATGACGAGTACGAGGACGAGGACGAGCAGGATGCTGGAGCCAGGGCGCGCCTTGGAGCCGCAAAGTCTGGGCTTAGCTCGGCAATGGCCATTGCAGCACTGATTGGTCGCGGGGAGAGCGAGAGCGCGGCCTCTGGGCTGCTCCACGAGTTCCTGAACCGGTGCTGCGACGACCTGTTCGAGTCATACATTGCTGGCGACAACTACATCAACGCAGAGCGTATTCACTTCCGTGATGCCGTGCGCCAGGCGCTACAGCCGTTTGTCAGGGCTCGCGAGGAGCGCCAGACAGCCGCGCGTGGCAATGCGTTCTTGGGTATATTCACCAGCGTGCCGCTGGGATCCGCCAACACGGACAAGCAGCAGGCCGAGTCCCACGGAACCGTTACAATCGGCACTGCGAGCTTCTTGCTGCAGATCCATGCTGAGACTGTGGCGCGTGCCATCGAGCTCGAGAGCGGCAGTGCAGTGTCTGATGCAGTCGCTGAGCTGTTCAGCGTGCTCATCTCGCTGATCGGCGACAGCTACGTGTTCCCAGCGCTCGACGACGTAGCCGAGAGCCTGCAAGACCTGCGCCAGGAGCCCGACCTGCGCACATTCGGCGTGATCCACGTCTCCAACGTCGTGACGCGCCTCCTGCAGGTGCACTTTGAGCGCATCGTGCTTCCCTACGTGGGCACCAACTCTCACCTGTACCGCGACCTAGTTGGCGACAAGAACCACCTGATGTCGCGTGTCGAGACCAGCCTCAACTTCATCGCCAACAAACTGGTTAGCGCGTGTGTGCAGTGGATCGCCAGCATTTTGAACCGGCAGCGGCGGTCGGATTTCAAGCCAGCCGAAGACGATGCTGCCAGCTTCCACATGGGCACACAGTCATGCAACCAGTGCACCGACTTTTTGGCGCATGTCGCCGATGCCTGCCGCGCCAACATGGACCGGGAGAACCGCGAGCGCGTGCTCGGCGATATTGGCTCGGCGCTGTACCGCATGCTGATGGAGCACTTCAAGAAGTTCATCATCAGTGTGTCCGGTGGGCTGGTACTGCTGCGCGATGTGGCGCGGTACCGCGAAACAATCGATCGGTTCGAGATCCCAGCGCTGTCGGACCGCTTCATTGTGCTGCAGGAGATTAGCAATATTTTCGTCGTCAGCTCCAACTCGCTAAAGTCGCTGCTCGAGGATGGCACGCTGGCGCACGTTGACCGACAGACGTTCCAGGCCTTTGTCCAGAGGCGCGAGGACTACCGCTTGTCGCCAGATGTCAAGCGCCATGTGGCGACGCTGTGAGCTTGCTGCTGCCTTTTTGCCCGGCGAGCCGCGGTCCGAGCATGCAGCTCGAGCCACAGGCAGCCAATCGCAGCCTGTGTTTACGATTTTCGTCCAAAGCTGCGATCACTGGAGCGGTGCCGCCTATTTGTTTTATCAGAGCCTCATACAATGCGCTGGCGCGCAGAACCACCCACCGCCGCTGGGACTGGCCGCGCGTGTGCGGCAGCGAGTGGCCCTCTCGCCTCCCCTCCCTGTGCTAGCACACAAGAAGCTTGTTGTTTATTATTTGCTCGTTGCACACATATTTTTCTTGTCCTTTCTCGGTGAGAATAGCTAAAAGTACCTTTCCCCTCGCCTATTCTGTACCTGTTTTAACCATCTAGCCAAAATGCGCGAAATCATTCACATCCAGACCGGCCAGTGCGGTAACCAGATTGGTTCTGCGTTCTGGGAGACGCTGACGGCCGAGCACTCGATTCAGGGAGACGGCACGTGGAACGGCAGCCCCGAGAACAAGCAGACGCAGCTTGAGCGCATTGACGTGTACTTCAACGAGGCCGCCGGCGGTCGCTACGTGCCGCGCGCGGTGCTGGTGGACCTGGAGCCCGGAACCCTGGTTGATATCCGCGAGCAGCGTCTCGGCGGGCTGTTCCGCCCGGACAACTTTGTCAACGGGCAGAGCGGCGCTGGCAACGTGTGGGCCAAGGGCCACTACACGGAGGGAGCAGAGCTTGTCGACCAGGTGCTGGATGTTGTGCGCAAGGAGGCAGAGAACTCGGACTCGCTGCAGGGCTTCCAGTTCACCCACTCGCTGGGCGGCGGTACCGGCTCCGGTATGGGCACGCTGCTGCTGTCCAAGATCCGCGAGGAGTACCCGGACCGCATGATGACCACTTTCTCGGTTGTTCCGTCCCCCAAGGTACCGTATACAGTTCAATGTGGTTTTGTTTGTTTCTGTTGCTATGGTCTGGGTGGCGCATAGCGTTTATGAGGCGCTTTTTGTTCATGTGCTGGCACATTATTGAAGTCTGGAACAGCCAGAGCATGCCATGAGCGCGTGCGTATGTGCAAGCTGCAGGCGTAGCTACTCTGGCGTCGAAGAAAAATAAGCAAGGCAATCGCTGTGAGGGGGCTCTTCCGTAGGCCCGAAAACCGGCTCGCGAATGTTTACATTTTCCTGCCGTCGTTGCCTTGGTGGCCCAATCACCGCTTACCGTGACCAAACCCAGAAGCTGACACTCGAGCTGCAATCTTCATTTTCACTTTAGGTCTCCGATGCTGTCGTCGAGCCGTACAACGCTACGCTCTCGGTGCACCAGCTGGTGGAGAACTCGGACATGGCCTTCTGCATTGACAACGAGGCCCTGTACGATATCTGCCAGGGCACGCTCAAGCTGCCGAGCCCGGCGTACGAGGACCTGAACAACCTGGTGTCGATGGTGATGTCGGGAGTCACGACCTCGCTGCGCTTCCCTGGACAGCTGAACGCTGACCTGCGCAAGATGGCGGTCAACCTGGTGCCTTTCCCGCGCCTGCACTTCTTCATGGTCGGGTTTGCTCCTCTGGGCAACGCCAAGAGCGCGGCGTTCCGGCGCACCACGGTGCAGGATCTCACCCAGCAGCTGTTCTCATCGAAGAACATGATGGCGGCGTCCGACCCTCGTCAGGGCCGGTACCTGGCAGCGGCAGCGATCTACCGCGGCAAGGTGTCGACGAACGACGTCGAGGAGCAGGTTCTGTCGATGCAGGAGAAGAACCCGGGATACTTTGTCGAGTGGATTCCGAACAACGTCAAGGTTGCGGTGTGCGACATCCCGCCCAAGGGCCTGGACATGTCGGCCACGTTCATTGGCAACAACACGTGCATCCAGCAGCTGTTCCGCCGTGTCAACGAGCAGTTCTCGGTGATGTTCAGGCGCAAGGCCTTCCTGCACTGGTACACTGACGAGGGCATGGACGAGATGGAGTTCACTGAGGCCGAGAGCAACATGAACGACCTGATCAACGAGTACCAGCAGTACCAGGAGGCCGGCGTCGAGGAGGAGGATTACGACGGCTACGAGGACGACGCTGCCATGGACGGCGGTGCGTACGACCAGCCCATGGAGGGCGAGTACGAGCAGTAAGCGCTAGGTCCTTTTCCCTTTTATTGACACTTTTGGCCCCGACTAATTCAAGCAAGAAATGTTTCTGTTCAGCAGCTGTTTGTGTGATGATGGGACGGGTTCCGATTTGCCTGGCTTTATGCGGTGGAAGCGTGTGGCCGAAATCTTTCGCGTTTTGTATTGGCAAAAAGAAAAAATTGCATTTTTGCTTGTTTGCGCAAAGCTTGGAGAAACTTTCAAACCGCATATTTTTTGCTGGAGCCCTCAAGGACGAACGTGAACCATGAGCGACTGGGACAACTCGTCGGGTAAGTGTCTGCAGTGGTGTGGCTCGCTTGCTTCTCTTTTTGCCGTGTGTATTCCTGTGCATTGAAATGAGCGGTTTGTGTTCTTAGATTTCAGACAGCGGCGCGCAATCGACGACTACGAGTCAGGGTCGGACGGGCTTGATACGCCCTCAACGGTTGCGCAGCCGTCCAAGATCCGGCTCTCGCTGAAGCTCGGCTCGCTACGGCAGACGGCAGACTACGAGCAGGTGCGCTCAGCACCGGCAGCGCCGACAGCGCCAGCAGACTACGACCCATACGGATACTACGACGACTACGACGAGGACGTGGATATCGGCGAGCCGTCGCGCGCGGTGGAGACAGCCACGCCCAAAATCAAGCTGAAGCTGTCGTTCAAGAAGCCGGCGTGGTCGCAGGGCGTGCGGGGTGCAGGCAGCACGGTACCGACCAGCCCAACTGACAGCATCGGCTCGTATACATCGCGGCCGCGGTACTCGCCGTCGGTGCAGAGTGGGCCGCCCAGCGATAATGAGAGTTTCGAGAACCGGACGGTGAGTGAGGCTCCGGTGCCGAAGCGCCGTGGGCGGCCGCCGAAGAACGGGCGGAAGAAACAGCGGACTGCGTATATGGTGCGCCGGCCGCCGGGCAATGCGCCGACCACGACGGTGTCTCTGCGGAGCTCGCTGGAGCGGCTAATCACGCGGATCAAGAAGCGCGACTCGTACGGGTTCTTCCTGGACCCGGTGGACACGACTGTGATCACAGACTACCTGTCGGTGATCGACGAGCCGATGGATCTGGGCACAATGCAGAGCAAGGTGGAGCGCAATGCATACTATAGCATCGACGAATTCCGGCGCGACCTGCTGCTGGTGTGCGACAATGCACGCAAATATAACGGTGCTGGGTCTATCTACGCGACTTCTGCCGATCGCGTACAGGACTATGCCGTGCAGGCCATTGAGCGCGAGACCGTCAAGCTGGAGCGCGTCGGCATGGCGTCGATGCCCGCCGGTGCAGCATGCGAAGAGCCGGTGCGCGCGCGTTCGGCGACGCCCGGCTGGGACGCTCACGAGGAGCGCGGCGAGCACCGCCGCAGCTCACGGCTCCGGTGGCGATCGTCGGCTGATGCCACAGCTCCAGCCGCCATGCAGTTGACTCCGGCCGCTATTACTGACAACTTCCGGTGGACGCACGCGGCACGACGCCGGGCAAAGCGGCAGTCGGATGTGCCACGACATGTGATCCTCGAATCGCAGGTCAAGGTCTCGGTGCTGCCCGACGGCAGCGTCGACCCTGCAGGCTTCGAGGAGGACACAGCCCACGTGCCGTTCTTGCTGGGGCCGGTCGAGCCGCCGCGGCTGGCAGCAGTCAAGCGGCCAAGCGGTGCGCACCAGCCGCCGGCGCCGTACAGCCACGGGTTCTACCACCCGCAAGCAACCTTCCTGGACTTTGGCCATATAAGCAGCCTGCATGGGGCAATCAGGCACGACAGAATAGACGGTATGCTACCGGCACTCCACGCCGATGCGACCGGGCTGGCATACTGGAACAGCATTAGCGAGTTCGTCGATGGTGCAGGCGACGAGGCTGTCGAGTATGCAGCCAAGGTAATCGACCATTTGACACATGGTGCTCACGCAGTAGCGCGCAGCACAGTCAACCATATCATGCAGCGGGAGCCAGCCGCTGCGCTGAGCGAGTCCGAGCTCGGGCCGGTGGATGTGCCACGTCTGGTCAGCTGGCTGGACGCGCAGGAGGAGCGCGACCATTTATATGCCGGCCGCGTGCAGGCGCTGACGCAGCCGATCCGGCTCCGGGATCTGCCATCGACATCAGCCGAGGTGTCGTCGCGGCTGTCGGACGCTGAGCGCCGGGACATTTCGACCAAGGTGACGCAGAACCTACAGGCAGCAGCCAAGTCTGAGGACCAGCGGACAGCCCTTCATGACTCGCTGCGGAACGACATTCATTTGCTGGCTGAGCAGCTGTGTCTGGAGAAGCTGGGCTCGACTGCGCCTGATACGCTGGTGCCGGCGCTGCTGCCAATGCAGCAGGGCGTGGCAGGTCGGCCGCGCCAAATGTCGAATGCACCGCCGATGCTCCCGCGCGTATCGTCGGCGTCGGCAGTTGCTGGGGTGAATGGCAGCGCAAGGCGGAGCGAGCGGTCGATGTCAATGGTCAATGTGCACTCGGCGTCGCTGGCATCTGCCGTGCAGTCTGACATCATGCGTGGCCTCAGTGAAGACGATTAATCCAATATATGCAACCAGGATCCAGTGTGATCAATACCCCTCGCATGTGCGCAACATGTATTGATGTCAGCGCGTAATCATGCTCTGATATCATTATGAGCTTTCCATCACATAAAAGCAAGGCTCGTATCGCCATGCTGCCCTCCTTTTTTTCCTTCAGCCTTCTTTTACTATTTTTAAACATCTTAAAACAAGCTAGTTATTGGCAGAATGAACTCGACCACTCTGCCGAGCTCTTCCTCCTTGAATTAGCTGATGTTCCCCACACGTACTCTGCACACCGTACTGCCAAAGACGAACATCGCACCAACCAAGAGTTTGTTGAATATTGTAATAGGCATCATAACACGCGAGATCTGCGGTATGCTATTTGCATGACTTTATCAGCGAGCTGTTCCAAGAACTTCAGATTGGTGGGAGTCAGAACATTTTTGGTCTTAAACTCGACAACAAATGCCATATTCCCCTATGTGTACCTGGGACATACCCTGTTACCCTCTTGGTAGCCAAGGAGTTCGGTGGAATGTACTCCCTAATCGGGCTTCAACCCCAACCTGTCCGGAACCGTAACACTCTGGTAGCCTTTCCTTGCTAATTCTGAATGCTAAATGGTTTCCAGCTACTGCAGGAAATCGTCGTAAAACGCGTCTACAAACTCCACCAGCTGGCTTTCGCTTCCTGCATAAGCTCCCGGATGTGCCAAGGTATTGTCCGGCGTTTCCAGTGTGGTAAATGTCCGATCCAGCAGATCATCAATGTCCCGAGCATGTTGCTCACTAAACTCAGTAAAAAGAAACAGAGGGGAAGAAAAGTGATGGCATGGCGCTATGAACCTTGCTTACACGTATCTTGTAGGACTCTCTTGGTATCAGCACACCATCTAGTGCTGATATCAACAATAGCTCCTTACCAGCTCAATATACACAATATTGGGTGGTCAGGTCTATTATCTACTCTACACTCGAAAGCCATACGTTCAGACATTATTGCTATAATGGCTACGCAGTGAGCATATATGTCGGATGATAAGACAGCAGCCAACACTGGCTAACAACACAGGTACTGTTGACATTGGAATTATTGACATTCGGGGTCCGGAGTCCCCCTGCGCCACCATAGACAAGGCCGAAACGCATATGTACAAAGGCCCAGACAGACGACCAGCGTTCCTTCTTCCCCTCAGTCAATTTGAAAAGTTATTTTTCCATATATTCTATAACCACTCATTCCCCAAGTTAACACAGGCAATATCAAGTCATGCAGGCACAGCACCAGTAGCCGAACTTCCTCATCCTTCAGCTCGATTTGCGGGATATACAGCAGGTTCAGTAGCTTCACTTTGCTCTGGAAAAACACCGGCCACACATACGGCAGCATCCAGAAAATCGGCAGCGGTACCATGTGGTAACATTGAGACAGGAAGGTGCTTACTAGTTTTGTAAAAATAGAACGACAAACGCTTGCTGAAAAGAAAGACGGAGGGGACTAGCTGACCTTCTGTAACCTAAATGTACATGTACTCGGTCTAGGACTATGATGGCGTCAGAGTGCGTCTGTACTTTGGTGGCCAACGCCCTGTTCTTGTCTGTGGTCGATTCAGCAGGAACGAGCCATCTCCTGGCCCCACCGCTGCAGTGTGCATGTACAGCACAGCCTAACGCGGTGTTCGGGCAGTGCGGGACAACATATTATCCGGGCTCAGGAGCAAGCCGGGCCGAGAAGGACTCTACCTCAGGATTCTGAGACCAGCGGGAGCGATCGGCCGACCCAGGAAGGAAAGAGATGGTGATTACTGCAGCAGCTGGCCAATCGCCTGTGGTCTGGACCCAACGGAGCGCCTGTTCAGTCTTTTGATTGTCACGTGGAGTCCTTTAAGTACCCGGTCGGTGTGAGCATCGTGCTCCTGGCAAGAATACGAGTCATCTTGAGCCTTTTGCACCGACGGCACTTCAAAATGTAAGAAAAGCCTAGTGGATCTTGACAGTGACTCATTGTCCCAGCGGTGGACCCCGGTCCGCGTTCGGTGGAATAGTTTTGCCAACAATCTATAAAAGATGGCCACTTCGCTAAGCCCTCAAGCAGGCACTGTCTTTGCTGATATAAAACCACTCATCTTATCTCATTCTTTACTACGGCTTTTCTTCTCCGTCATCTGTATTTAAAGTAAACTTGCAATCATTTTGCTTCTCTTTCCAAAACACTGCCCCTTCTAACACACCAAGACTCTTCAAACAAAAAACATGTCAAAGACATTCAAGGTTGTTGTCCTGGCCGGTGACGGCGTTGGACCCGAGGTCACTGCTGAGGCCGTCAAGGTGCTCAAGGCTGTCACTTCCATCCGCTCGCGCACCGGCGGAGCCAAGATCGAGTTCTCCGAACACAGGTTTGGCGGGAGCGCCATCGATGCAACAGGGTCACCGTTCCCCGACGAGACACGTGTTGCGTGCGAGAACGCCGACGCGATTCTGCTGGGTGCGGTTGGCGGGCCCCAGTGGCCGACTCCTGGCGGCCCGCGGCCCGAGCAGGGCCTGCTCGATCTGCGGAAATCGCTGGATCTGTTCGCCAACATCCGGCCGATGAGCTTCCCGGCTGACACGCTGATGAGCGCATCGCCGCTCAAGGAGGATCTGGTGCGCGGAGCCGAGTTCACTCTGCTTCGCGAGCTGGTGGGCGGAATCTACTTTGGCAAGCGTGGCGAGGAGGACAGCGAGGGCAAGGCATACGACACCATGGAGTACTCTGTGCCCGAGGTTGAGCGCATTGCGCGCCTGGCTGGTGTGCTGGCATCCAAATCGCGGCCGGCGCAGACAATTCACTCGATTGACAAGGCCAACGTGCTGGCAACGTCGCGTCTGTGGCGCCGCGTGGTGACCGACGTCATCACCCGCGAGTTCCCCAAGGTCAAGCTGGTGCACCACCTTGTGGATTCGGCATCGATGCTGATGGTCAAGAGCCCACGCGCGCTGAACGGCGTTGTGCTGACCGAGAACATGTTTGGCGACATCCTGTCGGATGAGGCATCGGTGATCCCCGGTTCGCTGGGCCTGCTGCCCTCGGCGTCGCTCAACTCTGTGCCCGTGGCCGGCAAGCCGTGCCGCGGACTGTACGAGCCGATCCACGGCTCTGCTCCCGACATCGCTGGACAGGGTATCGCCAACCCAGTGGGCACCATCCTCAGTGCAGCCATGATGCTGCGCTACTCGTTCGGACTGGAGCGCGAGGCCAACATCATTGAGCTTGCTGTGCGGCGCGTGCTCGACGACGACCAGCTCAACGGCTGGAACATCCGGTCCAAGGACCTGGGCGGCAGCGCATCGACTGCCGAGATCGGTGACGCCGTCGTGCGTGCGGTGACGCCGTACGCTGAGGGTCTCAACGTCGAGGACCGCGCGGTGCAGCGCCCGCTGCTGCTGGAGCGTCCCGTAGGTCGTCGAGGCATGACCCTGTGCGAGAAGATCATCGCGCACCATGCGATCGGTCTGGCAGCGCCTGGTGACGTCAAGCCTGGCGACATGGTGTGCGTGGGCGTTGACTGGACGATCGCGTCTGAGATCACGTGGAAGGGCATGGACAAGACGTACAACTCGATGGGCAGGCCGGGCATCAACCGTAACGACCGGTTCTGGCTGGCAGTGGACCACACTGTGGATCCGCGCATCATGAACCAGCCCAAGCCGAAGGACCTGTTCTCGACGTCGGCTGCGTTCGCTGAAGAGGCGCACCTGGTCGATTTCTACCGCCCCAACTACACCATCCTGCACACCGAGTTCTACCGCGAGCGTGCCCAGCCCAGCCAGCTGGTGATTGGTGCCGACTCGCACACATGCTCGGGCGGTGCTGTCGGCGCACTCTCGATCGGTATGGGTGCCGCTGATGTTGTCATGCCGCTGGTGACAGGTGAGACCTGGCTGCAGGTGCCTGAGACGGTGGAGATCCGCTTCGTCAATGCCCCGCCGTTCGGTATTGGCGGCAAGGACATCATCCTCGACGTGCTGCGTCAGCTGAAGCGCAACACCGTCGCGTTCGAGCGCGCTGTCGAGTACACTGGCCCGGGTCTGAAGTACATGAGCTGTGATGCGCGGTTCGCGTGCGCCAACATGGCCACCGAGTTTGGCGGCATTGCCGGTGTCTTTGAGGCTGACGAGATCACTGCCGCGTACATCGCCAAGCGCAAGAGTCCCGAGTACAAGAAGCAGTCGCTGTTCTTCCGTGCCGACGAGGACGCGCAGTACGCCGAGTCGCATATCATTGATCTGTCGCAGGTCGACTCGCTGGTGGCTCTGCACCCGAGCCCCGACAATGTAGTGCACGTTGACCAGGTCAAGATGGACCTGGACGGCTGCTTCATCGGCGCCTGTACCACGGCCGAGGAGGACCTGATTCTCGGTGCGCTGGTGCTGGAGGCTGGTCTCAAGAAGGGCCTGGTGCCTGTGTCCGGCGCCAACCGCCGTGTCACCCCCGGCTCAGTCCCGATTCTGGCGAAGCTGCGCCGTCTGGGTCTCGTCGACGTGTACGAGCGCGCCGGCTTCATTGTTGGTGCCCCTGGCTGCTCGTACTGCCTCGGCATTGCGGCCGACGTGGCCGGCGACGGCGAGGTGTGGCTCAGCTCGCAGAACCGTAACTTCAAGAACCGCATGGGCGCTGGCTCGATTGCTAACCTTGCGTCGGCGGCCACGGTTGCTGCGTCATCATTCGCCATGAAGGTGACCAACCCGCGCGAGCTGCTGGACATGATCGACCGCGAGCGCTACGCGAAGATGCTGGACCTGTGGATGGACAAGGGCGAGGAGATTGTTGTGTCCGAGCCGAACCCGGTGCTGGAGGAGGCGCGTGGCGAGACCATCCAGTCGCGCAACACCGAGGGCACTGGGGCGAACGCCGCCGTGGAGGGCGAGTCGGAGCCGATCGACAAGTCGAGCATGATCACCGGCAAGGTGCAGCGCTTCGGCGACAACATCGACACTGACGCGATCATCCCCGCGCCGTTCATGCCGGGTGTGTCGGATGAGGACCTCGGTACGCACTGCTTCCAGTACTTCCGCCCCGAGTTCCGCGAGAAGGTCGCCCAGGGCTTCGACATCATTGTTGCTGGCATTGGCTTTGGTTCCGGCTCGTCGCGCGAGGAGGCTCCGCGTGCCATCAAGGGCGCCAACGTCAAGGCTGTCATTGCCAAGTCGTACGCCTTCATCTACCAGCGCAACCAGCCGAACATGGCTCTTCTGGGCATTGTCCTCAAGGACGAGAAGTTCTACGAGCTTGCGCAGGAGGGCGCCGAGGTGTCCATTGACCTGCCGAACCGCAAGATCTACTGCGGCGGCAAGGCCTTCAGCTTCGTGCTGTCGACCATGGAGGAGCGTCTGATTCTGGGCGGCGGTGTCACCGAGATGTACAAGAAGTACGGCAACCTGCTCTTCCGCGCTGCCATTGCCGCTGACCCTGAGTCAGTGCTCAAGAACGCCGGCGCCTGCGGTAAGCCCACGTCGTGCGGCGATGCCGAGGCCAAGGACCAGCTTGCCTGGTAACCTGTTTTTTCTCTCTCGACTTCCGACTTCCAAATATATGCAGTATCCAATCAGCACGTGCTCCCGTGCCCGTGGGTGAGGTGACAGTACATCCTTCAGCAGTCCGGGTTCTAGGAGCTTCTTGCTTTTGCATCCTCAGTAATTTTACGAGCTAAACACAATTTTCTTTAAAATGGACGCCGAATTGAAGCGCAAGCGCCTGGCCACAAGCATCGTTGACTACTTGGACAAGGCTATCAGCGAGAGCCTCGTGTCGTCCGATGGCGCCGAGAGCCTGGAGGTGGCCAAGCAGTGCATCGTGGATGCCTTTGAGCTCGAAGACGCCTCCCCGGAGCTCTCCATCAAGCCCATCACGCTCGACAAGGTCTTTGATGTGTACTTGAACACGCAGGCGAAGCTGTCCAGCACCGAGAAGCCTGCTGCGCCTGCTGCTGCTGCGCCGGCTGGTCCGTCCGAGGACGACAAGAAGCGCGCCGAGGCGCTGAAGGCCGAGGGCAACGCGCTGGTAGTGCAGAAGAACTTTGCCGAGGCCATCACCAAGTACACCGAGGCCATCGCGATAGTGGACAACAACGCTGTGTACTACGGGAACCGCGCGGCGGCACACAGCCAGGCGGGCGACCACGCGAGCGCCGTCAGCGACGCCAAGAAGGCACTGGAGGTCGACCCCAAGTACAGCAAGGGGTATTCGCGGCTGGGGCTGGCGCACTACGGCCTGGGCGAGTACAAGGAGGCGGTCGATGCATACACGAAGGGCCTGGAGCTGGATCCGGAGAACAAGGTTATGCAGAGCGCGCTGGCGACGGCCAAGGGAAAGATCACCGAGGAGAGCGCTGTTGAGCAGCCTGCAGAGCGGTCGGCCGGCGGCGCTGGCAGTGGCCCGGGCGGGTTTGATTTGGGGTCGCTGATGAGCAACCCGGCGCTGATGGGCATGGCGCAGAACATGATGGCGAACGGCGGGCTGGAGCGGCTGATGAGCAACCCGGCGATTTCGCGCATGGCCGAGAACTACCGCAGCAACGGGCAGATGCCGAGTATGTCGGAGATGATGAGCAACCCAGATATCATGAACATGGCGCGTGAGTTTGGCGGCCCGGGTGGTGCTGGAGGAGCCGGAGGAGCCGGTGCTGGGGGCGCCGGGGGATCCAACCCGCTTGCTGGCCTCATGAACAACCCCGATCTGATGAACATGGCTCAGCAGTTCATGGGTGGTGCCAACCGGAACAACAGCAGCGGCGGCGGCAACACGCAGTAGGCTGGCGCATCGGACCGAGGAGTAATTCTTAATCACCTGTGATCCAAAGTAAATCTATATGAACACCGATTTTTTGAATGATAATGATGCGATGCAAAGAGCAAAAAATTATGCGGCGACTCGTACCTTAGCTTTCGCATTTCTACATACCGCTGCTCATTTACCAACACAGTTTCTTTTTGCCAGACCCGGAAGCGTTTTGCGCGAAACGATACCCATACCGTATCTGTATTTGGCTGCCTCTTGCATATTTGTCGGCGGTTTAAAATAGCTGCAAACGAGGGAGCGCCCACTGCGCGGTAGTGAATTCGAACTGAATTAGCGTCTTTGCACAGACAGCACTGTGCGATAAAGTCTGCATAGACCAGAGGAACGCAAAGAAGGTAAGCACGGTCTCCAGCCAAAAGCCCGATCCTGTGATCCTCGTGAAACTCTGGAGCCGCGATCTGCGCAAGCAATCTTGGTCTGACGCTAAGCCTGCATCTTTCTCGGACACAAGTTGATATTTGTAGAGTACTCTCATCCGGCCGGTATATGCTGCGGTACACACAAAAGGCAGCCGTGGCCCTCAGGCGAAGGGCACAACAGCGGTGGCCACTTCAGTGCATATTCCAGCAGCCCGCGTATGCATGTCGGATCAGATCGGCTCCACGGCACAGCTTTTCGACATGTTCGCGAGTAGATCAGCATAAGGATGCACGAGAGAGCAGAAGGAGCGGGGAATTGGAGAAGCTGCTTTTGCGTGGCGACAGCCCGTTTCTGACAAAGTTCTACCAGCTCCTGCCGCCCACCCAGCAGCACGCATTGCGGCGGTTCAGCGACGTGCTTCAACGCCAGACATCAACTGGCCAGCACATATACTCCCTGTATCAGACATTGCGCAGCCAGAACCTGCATCGGTATCTGACAGTCCGCGCCATGCAGCGGGTGCTGTCTAGTGTTGTTAATGACCGATCGATTAGAAGCGTGCGGTCGGAGGACCTGGTATCAGCGATTGTACTAGAGCTGCTTGGCAACTATTCAGACCTTGGTTTCACACCCAGCATCGACGACTATGCGTGTTTGGTTCGGGCGCTGGCGCAGGAGGCTGGAAGAGAGAAGGATGCATTGAAGCTGCTGGACGATCTGGTCGATACTTCAGACATTGCACCGTTCTTGGCGTCGGTGCGAAAACGGCGCGGAAAATATCTGCTGTCCACCGACGTTATTCCGTCAGAGGCCGAGATTGAGCGCATCGAGCAATCGCTTTTGAACGAACAGCAGAAACGCGAGACGAACGCCAGAGACGCGAGTGGAGAGAAAAGTATCGAGAGCGACATCCTCAAGGCAGAGCAGGCGAATATCGAGAATCTGAAGAGCGGCGGCGAACTTGACCGCGTGCAGCTGCTGGTCATTGAGGAGCGGCAGAAGCGGCGACAGCGGCAGGAAGCTGGCAAGGAGCGGAAGCCACTTCCTGTCTCCCGGACACTGTATCATATGGCGATGCTAGGGTTTGCGCAGATATACCACGTTCGTGGAGTAATGGAGGTACTGAGCCGGATGCTCGAGACGTCGACGCAGGTGCCGTACCGGGTTGCCCGCCACCTGATGCCCAACAAGCAGACCTGGGAAATCGTCAGCGAAGTGCTGACACGGCAGCGCGACAGGCCGTACTTTGTCAAAACATGGATCGAGTTTCTGAGTCGCGGCGCACGGCCGCCGACCACACTGACACGCGACCTTGTGCGATTGCTAGTGCGCCAGGCGTGTGTTGAGCAGGCGGTCTGGGTGATGCGCATTAGCCGGTGCTTGCCGGACCGCGGCGAGGACATGCCAAAAGCGCCATATTCGGCCGATCATATTCCCTGGGAACTAAAGGTGCAGATCATGTATGTAGCATCCGCCCTGGAGGCTGCCACCTCTTTCGACACCATGTCTCTGTCGCGTGAAGATGCGATGCGGCAAGGAATGGCTGCAGCGCAGCTCCCACTACGGGCAAAGCCCGATCCGGTCGTCTACGCACATCTGATCGGCGGTGCTGTGCGGCTCAAGAACGAGAAGCTCTCCGAGCACCTGTTCAAGGAGATGGTCGATGAGGGCGTGGTGCCTGAGGATACCACATACGGGCAGCTGGCGAAGCTCTATGCCGAAAACGGGCAGATCCAGCGCGTGTTTTTGATTGCCCGTGACCTGCTTGTTCGCCGCCATGCAATGGTGCTCAGTCAGAACCAGGACCATGGGGTGCACATGTCGTCATCAGCAAAGGTCAGATACCGGGAGAATATCCGCAAGCAGACAAACGGGCTGCAGGCTGATATCGAGTGCATTGCACCGCTGTTGCAGTACTACATACGTGGGGGCCGGGAGTCTGAGGCACTGATGTTGCTCCGCAGCTGGGATCGTTCATATGGCGACAGGGTCCCAGTGGAGAAGCTGGCAAGGGCGCTGCTGCAGGTGTACTCGGAGCCAAGTGATTCGGCAACAATTGATGCAATGGTGAAGCGGCTAATGGATAGGCTTACAGGCCACAAGGAGGCCGGAGAAGCAGAATCGGAGGCACACATTCCGAGCAGCGAGACAGTTGGTGAAACGCAGGTGGCCTACGGACAGGACTTCCCTGGAACACTGGAGACATATGCGCTGATGCTCAAGACACACATCAAGGCGAAGAATCTGCCAGGTGTGATACGGGTGATGAGGGAGATGGCGAGCAAGGGCATTGTGCCGCAATACCCGATGCTTGAGCAGATAATGCAGGCGACACTGCGCGAGCAAGCTCTTGATCTGTTCGACACCATTCACGCGTACGTGCGAGAGACCTTGCAGCAGCCGCTGTCATTGCCTCTGTACGCCCAGTGGATGCGCACGCTGGTCAATCACGGCGACGTAGTAGGTGTGCAAGCTGCATTTGACGAGCTGCTGGAGATGGGCCAGTTCCCAACGCAGAAGCATTACACCCTGCTGGTGCAGGCGTACGCGTACAATGGCTGGGTGGACCGCGCAGTGTCAATCATCGACAACCTGCGCAAGCCGCATAGCATGGTGCGGCCCGGGCTCAACCTCAACATTGCCATTATCGAGGCACATGTCGCTGGCGGCAATCTGGAGCAGGCGCAGGCTGAGCTGCGCTATCTGCTCGACAACACGCTTCTGCCAACGAGCAAGATCCCAGCACGGCCGTTCAACTACTTGATCATCGGCCACCTGCACCATGGCGACGGGCGCAGGGCAATGCACATGTACGAGTCGATGCTGCGTCTGGGTGTCAAGCCTGATGTTTATACATTTGCGATCCTGATGCACTCGTATGCGCTGTCCAAGGACGTTGACAACTGCACGCGCGTGTTCAACGAGATGATACGTGTTGGAATCGCACCCGATCTCGTAATCTACACCATCCTGATCTGCGCCTTTGGGGTGGCTAGACGTGTGGGCAGCGCCGAGCTTGTGTTCAACCAAGTCGCGCAGGAGCAGGAATGGGCGCAGAAGCAGCGTGAGTCGCTGGCTGGGCGCACAGCCAATGGCGAGGACCCGCTGGAAATTTACACTGAGGACCCAGGCCGGTCCGACTGGCCCGAGCTGCTCGATATGGCGGAGACAGGGGCAGACCAGCGCATGGAGGAGATGCGCTCGCGCAGCTTCTACAACCTGGACCCCATCATCTACATTGCGATGCTGAAAGTGTACTGTCGCGGACACCGGCCGCTGCGCGCGCTGGCGACCTGGGACCGGTTCATCCAGAACTTCCCCATCGCACGGTGGAACCCGCGTCGCGGTGGCATTCTGTCAAAGTCTTTGAGCTACACAGCACAGTTCCATCAGCCCGCCTGGACGTTGCTGCTGCGCACAGCGGGCAAATCGATTGGCGCCCAGCGCGCTTTGAAGAAGAGGCAGACGCTAGTGCAGTATTTCTTCGAGCCCCTGTACCCGGAGCAGATGAAGGCTGTGCTTGACGAGCGCCACCGGATGAAGCTGTATCAGCCAGGCGTCTACGATGTGGATACTGGACCGGCTAATGTGCGCAAGTATATGGCGAACATGGCTTATCGGGCGCAGATTGTCAGTAGCATCGAGAACGAGCTGGACCAGCTCATCAGCCACGCATACAAGTTCTTCGTGAAGCACCGGTATACCGTCCCCCATGTTGCATTCAATCCAGTAGAGGCATTCACGGATTTTGGCTATTGGCTGCCCGAGGGAGTCGACAAGACCGAGGTTGTAGAGGCAGCGGTAGCCCTGGATAGCAAGTCTGAGGCTGAACGGCCGGTAGGTGAGGCCGAGAAACAGCCAGAAAATAAGCCAGAATCCGCAATTGACCATGATAGCAGTACGCAGGAGACGGCGCAGAGCATTGCAGACATTATCATGCGGCAATGGAACCATCTCGAGACGGCTGGCTTCAACTTCAACAACATCCATATGTGCGAGTATCTTTCGTGCATGCTGCTTGGTCGCAAGTACGCTGAGCTCACTCGCATCCTGTCTCTGGTAGAGCCTGCCGGTCCTCCTGCCGGTCCCTCGACAGCATATCGGTACCGGAGCCTCGAGCTTCCCTGGTACATGACCAACCTGCTTCTGCGGCAAATCGACGTTGTGCGCAAGCTCCTAATGGCCGAGCGCGACCGCCGCATCGCCCTTGACTGCCTGCTAAACATCGACAGCGAATTAGGCGCCGAGCTCTGCACTTTTTCTGCGTATCCTCTGGCCGAGCAAGCGCGGACTGACGACGAGCTTCAGGTGATGCGTGAGCGCCGCCAGGTACATAAGGAGCGCGAGATTGCATGGGCTGCGGAGCTCCGGAGTCTGGATGACGTAGCCAAGAAATGGCTGCCGCTGGTAGTTGAAGGTGTGCTTCAGGAGAGGCTGCAGAAGGCGAGTTTGAGGATCGCGTTTGCCCACGAAGGAGTGCAAGGAACTGTCAATAGCCACAAGATAGAATAAAGATCTGCTGCTATGTTTACCACTGATCATGACAGTTATTATATGGCTCGTTGAAACACTTGCCTTAGGCGTAATATACTACATCCAACATTGCAGCACTTTCGCACTCGTGGTATAGGTCACACGTCTTCGTTGCCCTTAATAGATTGGGGTATTGGCCAAGCTTCACGTTCGTGCGATATCACCGCCACCTTGACCATAACTCACGATGTAGATAATAAAGTAGTGCATCGGAAAAGTAGCCACAAAATAGCGGCAATTGTTTCGGTTGCTGCTCTAGGATTCCCCTCTGGTTCAAACTCTCGCCACACTTTCTTGCAACCATGGTGGACAGCTCAAAGAAGCGCACACGCGACTCGACAGACAGTTCCAATGACGGATCGGGCTCTCGTAACTCGCCCCCGCCTGCGTCAAAGCGGCGCGTGGCACCCCGACCCCAGGATGCTGAACTACTGCGCCATCTGCCGAACTCCGAGATGTACGAACGGTCATACATGCATCGCGACGCACTGGACCATGTTGTCGTGACTGCAACGGACTTTGTCATAACAACATCCGTCGACGGGCATGTGAAGTTTTGGAAGAAGAGCTCTGACAAGGGGATCGAATTTGTCAAGCACTTCCGCGCGCACATGGAGGCGGCAGTGGCAGTTTCGGCTTCGGTGGACGGCAAGATGTTTGCCACGGCATCGACCGATCGGCAAGTCAAGGTGTTCGATGTGGTGAATTTTGACATGATCGGGATTATTTCTGTGGACTGCATGCCACTGGCGCTGTGCTGGATCAGGGACCCGCTGGACCAGTCGACGTGCATTGCTGTATCGGACAGCGACAGCCCGAACATTTACATATATGATCCGTATGCGGGGCCGGAGCCTAAGCGAATTGTGAAGGGCGTGCACCGCAAGCCAGTCAGCCTGATGGCGTACAACCCGGTGGCCGAGTGTGTGGTGTCTGTGGATACAGGCGGTATGGTAGAGTACTGGACGGTCGAGGAGCCGCACACGTTGCCGGCGCTCGTTGAGTTCGAGCTCAAGTCGCAAACCAATCTATATGAGTTCAAGAAACGCAAGTGTACGCCCAACAGCCTGACGTTCTCGCCCGATTTTGAGCTTTTCGCCTGCACAAGCACTGACGATGCAATCGTGCGTGTATTCCGATTCAGTACTGGCAAGCTGTACCGAACATATGACGAGTCAATAGCAGCAGCCAGCAAGGTGCAGAGCGAAGGCGGTGGTGATGACAGATTCAAATTGGACGGAATGGAGTTTGGCCGGCGCATGGCTGTCGAGAACGAGGTGCTCAAGTCTGAAGCCGGACGGCACATGAATGCAGTGTTTGACGAGAGCAGCCGCTTCATAATCTATGGCTCCTTGCTGGGGATAAAGATCGTGGATCTGGCAACTAACCGGGTGGCAGCAGTTCTGGGGAAATCGGAGCCGCACCGGTTTGTCAACATGGCACTGATCCAAGGAACACACGAGCCATTAGCATCACGAGTCGACCTGGTGGCGGCATCCAACCCAGGCGGCAGCAAAAGGGATACCATTGGAGACCCGACGCTGTTCTGCACAGCGTTCAAGCGCAATCGGTTTTTTATGTTCACTCGCGGCGAGCCTGACTATGACTCGCGCGATGTGTTCAATGAGCGGCCAACACGCGAAGAAGCCTCGCTGGCGATCGAATCGGCGGCACGCAACAAGCAGCAGAAGGCTGCAAAGTCTGCAGTCATCCGGACAACCCTCGGCGACATCCACATGCGTCTTTTCCCCGAGTACGCGCCCAAGGCCGTGGAGAACTTTGCGACGCACGCCAAAGACGGATACTACAACAGTGTCATTTTCCACCGTGTGATCAAGCGGTTCATGGTCCAGACCGGCGACCCGCTTGGAGACGGCACCGGCGGTGAGTCGATCTGGGGCAGCAGCTTCGAGGATGAGTTCACGCCGATGCTAAGACACGACAAGCCGTTCACGGTCAGCATGGCAAACTCGGGCCCCAGCACCAATGGGTCCCAGTTCTTTATAACCACAGTCGAGGAAGCGCCGTGGCTCGATGACAAGCACACGGTGTTTGGGAGGGTCACCAAGGGCACCGACGTCGTGCACCAAATTGAAGAGGCCAAGACCGACAAGAACGACAAACCGTTCGACGACATCAGCATCATGAACATCCAGATCAACTATGACTGAGTCTTTTTATGTTACAAATTAAGATCGTATTCCAAAAGAAAGCTACGCGGATATCTTGTCTGCCAGCTCCATGGACGCCTCCAGCTTCTTTTGCTCCTGCGCCAGCACCCTGCGCTGCTGCTCCAAGTGCTCAATCGCTGCCCTGTTCTCTGTCTCCATTCCTGCCAGCTTTGCCTTCAAACGCTCCAGCTCCCGCTTCTTGATCGCCTTTGCCCTCGACCTGTTGACAGCCTCTGGCGACAAGTCCGCGACAGGCTCCACTCCCGCGTCCCACCGCTTCGCCGCATCAGCGACCAGGCTGTCGAGGTCTGCCAGCTTGCTCGCCATCGCGTACTGCATCAGAATCGCCTGGAAGTCCCCATTGGCGGAGTTGCGCAGGTACGAGCTGATCTGTTCGTGGCTGTCGGCGAGCTTGGTTGGAATTTCTTTGGCCAGCTGCGGGAAGATTTCTTGCAGGTCCTCAAGCCGGAATGTGTCGACCACTGAGGAGAGCGAGCGGTCGAGGACCGAGAGCAGCTTGCGGTAGCGTACGCTGTCGGGTACCTGCGGCTTGGTGTCGGTCATTTCGATGTCTTTGTCGGCCATTTTGCATGCAATTGAAGAGGTGCGATTGAGAATCAGCGTGGAGCTAGGCAAAGGAAAAGGAAAAGGAAAAGGAAAAAAAGCGCTTCGAGCTTTCAGCTACCATTGGTGAAAGTGAGAAGAGTAAACACTGCCCTGTGATTGGATGCATGCGGCCCTGCCATACTGCTGGCGCTGGCCTGCTCAGGAATACACCCAGGAGCAGCGGCTGGCAGTGATGCCCAGGGACCACGTATTCTCCACACAGTATCCTGCACCATTTCACCGTCACTCTATCTGAAACCATGTCATCGAAGGATACTGGAGGAGCTGTGCCAAAGTTTCCGAAGCGCGCAGACTTTGGCGCCGATGCGCGGGTGCGGCAGGTGGCCGAGACTGAAAAATACATTTTCACCGACCCTTCCGACGGCATGGAGTACGAGTACAGCGAGGACAACAGCGCGTGGTTCCCAGTATGGAACGCGCAGCTTGTCGAACAGCAGCAGTCGGCATACGGGAAAGCCGAAGAAGCTGAGCCGGCAGCGGACAGGGGCAAAAAGCGGAAAACTGAGAGGCCAGCCCGAGCGAGACGTGAGAACACTACAGTGTACGTGTCGGGTCTGCCAAAGGACACGACTGAGAAAGAGGTGGCCGAGTTCTTTGCGCAGTGCGGAGCGATCCTGCCGGATTTGCTGACAAGTAAGTTGCTGTTCTTTTACGTTAATGTGTGTGCTTGGCAACGCTAGGTCATCGGCGATATACCGATATGGAAACAAGATAGATCCGTGTGCATGGCGATTCCATCCATATAGTCCATTGCCAGTGCAGCTATGTTAAAGTAAGCACAATTAGACGAGCCTCGTGTGAAGCTGTATCGGACCAAGGGGGGCGAGCTGAAGGGAGACGGCTTGGTCACGTACTTCAAGGCGGCATCGGTGGAGTTGGCGGTGGAGATTCTGGACGATTCGCCTTTCCGGCTTACAGACACTGAGCGGATCCACATCGAACCAGCACAGTTCAAGGAGCGCGATGCTGAGGACGATGGTGCGAAGGAGGCGCCAAAGCGGCCACGACTGGATCCAAAGCTGGTGCAGAAGAAGCTAAGCAAGCTCGAAAGGTACAGTGGCGGCAGTGCTCGGCAAATGTGCTGCAGATGCAAATCATCCCATGATCCCCTGTGTGGCACTTACGACCATCCAGTTTTTTTTTTTTTGGCTGCAACTCTCTTTCGTGCTAGAAAACTCGATTGGTACGAGGGCGGCGAAGAGATCGCAGAGCGGTACAAGCGCACGGTGATTCTCAAGCACATGTTCACGGTACAGGAGTTGGAGGTAAGCCCATTCGTGGATGGCCTTTGTGCACAAAGCCCAACGGCTGCCACAGCCAGCGGAGTTTCTGTGGCTGCGTGCGCTGGGCAATATATTTGCTGCGGCTAAATTTCCACTCACATGGGTAGGAGGACGTGACGCTACTGCTGGACTTGGCGGAAGATGTCCGCGAGGAGTGTGAGAAGCTGGGCACGGTGTCGAGTGTCAAGGTCTACGATGTAAGTAATGGAGTCCGAGCACAATTGGGTATATATACCCAACATGGCACACATGCATTAATTGAGTTTTAACCCCCCCCATTTTGGCCCGGGGCTACTCCTTGTGCGCTTTAGAAATCCGAAGAGGGCGTGATCTCGGTTAAGTTCAAGGATGAGCTGTCGGCCAAGGCCTGTGTCAAAGTAAGTATATTGCCGGCTTCTATTTATATCCTGATTCACCCCGCCTGCACCACCGTTGCATAATAGCCCAGCAAAAACAGGTGCTGCCAGACTGCAATTGCGCAGATTGGAGCCCTGTGTAGTAAAAGCCAGAGTAGGGACGGGTTGCCACCTGGTGGCGATATCTTGGGAAATGGGAACTGTCTTTGGGGGAGGCATCCGAATCGCACATCAGTAGATACCAAGCGATAACCTGGCTTGGGGAAAGGGACGTGTGTTTGATGGTTGGCGGGTTAAAAAGCAAACAGCAGTTTGGGTTACTGCTGCTAAGCCTACTGCTGTGCATTACCACGAACGTTTGGAGGGCCAGGCGGGTTTATTTTCTTTCCAGCGCAGTATCTGACAAATACCTTCTCCCCCTTTTGCTTTGCAATCCCGACTGACCTAGACGATGAACGGCCGGTTCTTTGCGGGCCGTCAGGTCGAAGCAGCGATCTACGACGGGCACACGCGCTACAAAAGCTCGGCAAAGAGGGCGGCAGCAGACGATGACGGGCACGATGACCACGACAATGGCAATGGCAGCAACGAGGATCAAGAGCGGATGGACAAGTACGCTGAATGGCTGGAGTCGCAAGAGGCTCCGTAATTTTTTGCTCGGGGTAGCAATGCGATAATCGACACCAATGTACATATGTGATGCATATGGGGGCATGACGCATCTGCGAATAGCCCACCACTGCCCGGAGACACAGTGGCAATGGGTCTGTTTGTCCTTTGGCCATAGTGGCAAAGTCAATCGCGAACGCGGAGTAAGCAGCATATATGCTGCTTCCCCACCTGTTTTTTCTCAACAAGGTGCGGTCATTGTCCCCTGGTACACAATCACATCAATATATGCGTGTTGCAAAAGAAAAAGGAACTGCCGCTTGGCCACGCATTGCGCGGTGCAGCCAGGGGACGGCGTAGAGTGGATTGCAGGGCATAGAGCAGGATCATCAGCCATAGGCCGACTCTAGCATGTGCGGGTGCGTACTTGCCGCCGTCAGCGGGCAGCGTCGGGGGCTTTCCTCTGCACTGGATATAAAAGGCAGGGGCAGGGGGATTCCGCTCTTGGATTCCGCTTGTTCTTCGACTTTAGCCACGCTCCCTTTCCTCGCTCCGCGCTCCCCCGTCTCCTCGCCCGCCGGCCTGAGCATTCAGTAACTCGACCTTTTCTGATCGGCAAAACAGCCTTCTCGCATTTTTTGGCCGAGCATCCAAATCTCCCCGAAACTACATCACGCATTGTCCTCACAAAGAAACCGTCGTGCGCCAGACAGGCGCACCTGCCAATCTCTTCCTCGTTCTCTTGCTCGCTCACGGCTTGCTTCTTCAAGTTTTCCTTTTAATAACTCTTTTATTATTTCTGAGACATTGCTTGCTTTTTACTCCCCTCCATCATTGATATTACTACGTATTTGTACTTTTCTCACACCCTCCCACTCACGCTGAAACTCGTCGAGCGCAGTTTTCTGTCCGCCCAGACCTATTCCTGCACACCTTGTTTATCCCTTGACCTTCCAAATTAGGCATTTAGCCTGCCATTCAAGCGGCACCAGCGCGTCCCTTTTTCTTCTGTTCCTTACCCACCCTACCTTAATATTCATCTACCTTTTCACGCACCAGCACCAGCACCGGCATCAGCATTCATCCATTCCGCAGGACGATTCGATAATGACCACAACCGCTGGCATCCGACCAAAGAGTAGCGTAAGTAGCGTTTCGCATTCGTGCATTGCAAGCGATCAAGTATAGTACACGGAACCAGCGGCATCCATTCTTGGCCCGCATTCACTGGAACGCGCTCTCCACTATATCCCCGTCTATTTGGCTGACTTGTTACTTCATGGAACTGGGACTTCTATTTATATGCCAGACTGGATTATTTGGGCCAAAAAGCCCAACTGATTCGCACCCGAGCTGGCGCTTTTATTTTTCATCGCCTTTGTTGGCCTGACCCATGTTGTCCCCAAAAACCGAGCGGGTAGCACCCGACCACATGGTGCCTTCATGGTGAGGAGCATTCAGAACCAGGCAGCCTCGTTCGCTCTTCCTCCTTCTCCTTAGCTGACCCTTCTCTGCCCTGCAATTATTTTCTGCTCTCCACTTATCTGGGCGAAGGCGCCATTGCATTCACCGCTGTAAGCTACACCCTGCTGTTGCTGTTGTTGCTAGATGCCCCGCTCTTGCTGCCTGCTGTTGGCAGGCCGGCCCCCTCGTGGTTTATGGCGCTCTCGGTCCTGGCTGTCGATATAATTGCCGATTAATATGCCCACCATTCTAGCCCGCAACCAGGCACGTCACTCTGCTGCCCGGACTTGCGGGGCGCATCGTGCCGCTCTATTCTACACACCCACTTTCCACAGCTGTATGCGCACCCCCAGGCCCAAACTGCTGTGCTTCATTTGCTTTACCTAGCCTGGGGTTTTGTGTAAGCCAACCGAGCGATTTTTATTCCCAACCGGTCGGCCTTCTTAATACCCAGTGCTCCATGCTTCTTTTCTCCGATTGCTGCATTTCCAGCACCAGCGCAATTCATAGCACCAATTTGTTTTTGCTCCTTTCTACACACGCACACAACAACACACCTTCCCCATTTGCTCCAAACGAAGCGATTGACCGCCATTATCTCATACACGTCGTCGCCTTTTCGGTGCCAACGGAAACCCAATCCTCATCCTATTTTCAGTGCCGCTGCTTTCTCCCCTCTGCTAATTTTCATCCCCCATTGTTTTTGCATATTCTAGTATCAGCACTCCGAGCCGCCCGAGATTGCCGCTGCGAATCATATGCAGAAGCGTCGCTCCTTGGCTCCCGTACAGTTAAACAGATTCATTCCAGACCACGCCGGCGCCAACGCAGCCGATCCATACCACCTCGCGCGCAACGCGAGCAACGGCCAGCGACGTGAGACAATAGGCGCCACCAACGCCCGGCCATTGACAGCCCACGGACAACTACAGACCCCCACTACGGCAGCAGCAAACCAGAATACCAACATGCCCGCGTCGAACCAGCTACGGCCCGGTGGTGCCCCCCCCAAAAGCAGCTCATCGCGCCGCGACCTGGGCCGGCACCTGGGCAGCCGCAGCGGCCCAAAGGAGCAGCGCATTGGTGACTTCATCATCAAACAGACCCTCGGCAAGGGAACGTTCAGCAAGGTCTGCATGGCTGAGCACCGCACGACCAAGCAAAAATTCGCGCTCAAATTCATCAAGCCCAAGTCGCCGCAGGGTGGCAGCCCCGACAAGCACAACATCCGCGTCGAGCGCGAGATCAAGCTACTGTCGCTGCTTTACCACCCGCACATTGTGCGCCTCTACGACGTTGTGCAGACGGCAAAGTTCACCATGATCGTGATGGAGCACAACAGCGGCGGCGAGCTGCTGCAGTACATCCGCAAGCGCGGGCGACTGCACGAGAATGAAGCCCGCGTGTTCTTCCGTCAGATTGTCAGCGCCATGGACTACACGCACCGCAACTGCATCATCCACCGCGACCTGAAGCTGGAGAACGTGATGCTGGATAGCGAGAACCGGATACGCATTATCGACTACGGCTTTGCCAACACATTCAATTGGGACAAACAGCTCGAAACATTCTGCGGGTCACCATTCTACGCTGCGCCCGAGATGGTCAACGGCATCAAATACACTGGACCCGAGGTCGATATCTGGAGTATGGGCGTGATTCTGTTCTTTATGCTCTGCGGCCGCACCCCGTTCGAGGGCGAGAACCTGAAGGAGATCTACGACAAAATTTCGCGCGGCCGCTTCACCACACCGCCATTCCTGAGCAAGGACGCCCAGGACCTGCTCCAGCAGATGCTGACCGTGCGCCCGGCCCAGCGGATCTCGATGAAGGGCATTGTCGAGCACCCCTGGACGAACAAGGATGCAGAGGGCACTGTCAACAATCACCTGCCTCAGCGGCCCAGCGTTGTGCTGCAGCCCAACGAGCTCTCGCTAAAGAAGATGACTGTGTACAACTACAAGACCGAGGACGTGGTCCGGGCGCTGGCCCACAGCGACACAGCGCTGACACCCATGGTGTGCATCTACCATCTGATTGAGGAGTCTCGTCGGCGCAAGATCACAAAGCAGTCGCGCAAGAGCAACGCCACGGCGCCCACCACCGCGACACCCGCAGGAGTTAGCAACGACTCGGCGTACGGGAGCGGCAGCCCCGGCACATCGACAGCGCCAGGTATTGCTGTCGACACATCTCGGCCCACATCGCGCAGCCGCCACAGCTATGTTCCTGGGTACTCTGGTGGGGACTCATCGAGCCCAACAGGGCGCACACCAAATGGGCCCTCGTTTAGTGGTGACGCGCAGCAGCAGCCACAGCACGGCAGCGGAAATCCGGGCAAATCATTACCGCAGCCAGGCGCATACCAGGCGCAGCAACAGCAGCAGCAGCAGCAGCAACCGCAGACCAACCCGTTCCTGGCACCCAAAGAATCGGCAAACGCCATGCAGGCTGCTGCCCTCGAATCGCCATCATTCGGTGCCACTAGCCAGTACGGACCACCCAGAATGCGCAAGAGCAGCATTGGCAGTGCGCAGATCTCGGTGGGCAGCTCACTCAATCTGGAGTCGTCGTCGCCGTTCCTGCAGGATGACAAGCGCACAAGCTGGTCGTCTAGGCTGTTTGCCAAAGTGCGCAAATCAATGCCGTTCTTAAAAAATCGCCGGTCGCAGATCCTCAACGATATACCGCCAATGCAGCAGTCCCAGATGCCTGACCAGAACCGCAAGCGCATGAGCTTCTTCCAGCAGCCGCTTAAGCGCTTCAGCGTGGCGCCCTCGCAGACATCGCTCAATGGGCAGGCGCCGCAGAAGGGCCGCATTGCCAGCTATTACCCGTCAGACCAGCACCCGGTTCCCAAGCTGCCGCAGGGCTCGCCGCAGCGGCCCATGACGGGCCAGTCGCATATAGCATCGCATGGCCAGACCCACCAGCTGCTTGGCAGCCGCCCTGCCACAGCGCACCCCGACCTGCACGTTACGCCGTCGTCTGATTCTCTGTCGCCGCCACCGCAGCAGCAAAATAGGCAGCAGCAGCGTCGCCAGACGGACTTTGGTCCGCAGATCAAAACGCAGCAGTCAACTCCAGCACGGCTCCTGTCGGCTGATGGGTACTCGAACAGCCGCAAGTCCGAGCCGCTGCGCGAGCCGCCGCTGGCCGAGAGCTCCAGCAACAACACCGGCGCTGACAATAGTAATGGGCAGAAAAAGCGGGCACAGCGGCCGCTGTCGGTGATGTCGTCGCGCCAGCTGACGCCCCTGCGGCTACACCCGACACAGAGTTTCCAGAGCTCGACTGGCGTGCCATCGCCATACTCGCCCAGCAACAACCACAGCAACAACAACGGCGGACCGCAGCTGCCGCCAGCGCTTACCACACGTGTGAGTACGTCGCATTCCATGTCGAGCAACGGCAGCGCGCCAGCCAAGTCGAACGTCAAGGGCCTGTTCAACCTGCGATTCACGATGCTGGGGCCGCTGGATGAGATCCGGCATCGGCTGGAGACTGTCATGAAGAACAAGCTGATACTATACCGCCAGACTGGCCCGTGCATATACGTGTGCGAGTACTCGCCGGTGCAGCAGGGCAAGAGCAAGGACAAGATGCGTTTTGATGTCCTCATCGAAGCCGTCCAGGGCCAGCTGCACACAGTCAAAATGAAGCGCTACTCGGGCAACTGGTTCGACTACAAGAAGCTTGTTGTGGCCCTGAACACAGAGGCCCTCAATGTCCAGCTGTGACTGCCTTAAAACTTTTACTTCCACAAACTTTTACACGAGTGTAGCATCCTATTACAGCCTAATGACCATACAACACCCGCACTAAAGCAAGGCAAGAGCTGCTGCTGGCGCATGCGATGGCGCAGGTGGCAAGCGCTGTGCATGGATCTGGCAGTGTTTACGAGTTCTCGACACATGCGTAGTGATACGCCTTGCTGGGCTCATCGGTCTTGATGTCGACCCCGCGCCAGATCGGCGGCAGGTACTGTGACGTCCGTGGGTCCATCTGCAGATGGCGGCTGCACACACAGCAGGTAGCGGAGAACAGATCCTTGAACAGGCTGAACCACAGCACGAGTCTGGCAAGTCTGAGCTCGATCGAGAACGCAGCGATCGAGAACCAGATGATATTGGCGTCGTGCGCGATCCGCAAGAACACATTGAACTTGGACCCTGGACCCAGCTCATCGCATCCGCACACCTGGATCGAAATGACCTGCAGCTCGCACGCCGACCCGTCAATCAGCTTCATCGATAGCGTCATCTGTGCAACTGTCGGAATGCTGACCACTAGCGAGCTCATCCGATCGACAACCGGTGTCACCCTGAACGTCAGTCCCGGGTGTGCCTCCTGCAGCTGCTCGATCTGCTCCTTTAGCTGATCGGCAGTCACACCGTCTCCAAACTCGCCCTCCTGCAGCCGCATCGCCGATGTCGCTAGCTCGCGCACGGGAGATGAAATCCGGTCGCTTAGCGCCCGGACATTCTGTGCCTCGGTCATTAGCCGCACGTACGGCGCATACTCGTCCAGGACCTTCTGGAGCTCTGGCGACAGTGTGCGCTCCCGCGGCTTACGCTCCAGACGTGTGAGCGCGTCGGCGTGCTGCGAGATCGTTGTCAGCATAGTGCGAAGTGCTGCCAGAGTGCCCTTGATGTCTGTAGTGGCCGCCTCGCTAACGGAACCATCCTTGCGGATCGATTTGACACCGGCCAGGTCTCCAAAGGCCTTGTAGACAGAGGCATGTGCGTCGTAGGCGTTCTCAACAAGCTGATCGATGCTGTTGAAAAGCTCATAAGCGGAACTGAGCTTTTGCTCGCAGATTGCCGAGGGTGTGTCGGCAGGCTGTGCTGTGGCCGCTGGCTTTGACATTGGTGCGGTGTGACAAGAGGTAACAATTGAACATAAAGCGCCGCAAACAGTTGTGGGGGCCGATCGCCTTTAAATGTATGTGTGTGTGGTGCATAGTTACACTTGTGGGCTAAATCACTGATGAATATCTTGATGGATTCTAGCGTTACAGAGCCTGGTGCAGTTTTATATATTTCTAGGTAAAATACTCTATCTGCATTGTTGTTGAGGGCCTTTTCAACAAGCACCACCAATCGAGCAGTCCAGCAGATGTTGAAATAGCGGGAAACCTGCATCCTGAGTGGCATAATCTAGGCTAGCTGGCAATATCGCTGGCGCCCTACATTTTCCCCTGGCGCTCAAGCAGGAAGCGCGAGCGGATGTACGGATCGAGCTCAATCACCGCTGAGTAAAGCCTGGCTGCCAATTTGTCACGGGCGGGGATATCACCATTGCTGCACCATGCCCGAGTTCCTGCCTCAAAGGCATCCACCGCATCCACAAACGCTTTCTCTGCAGCGACCCGTCCCTGGGTATCGAACATCTTCGCATTTTCCTCGCGAGTAGGATACTTGTATACCAAATCGACCTCGTTTCTGCCACCCATGTCGGACGAGATATGGTCATCGTCGATAAAGACGCGCAACTCGTCGAGGTTCCTGGTCATCTGGACTCGGCTAGTAGTCACCGGGTCGAGCAATTTCGATACAACCTTCCACACACCCGAGAACAGGCGTGAGTTGACATGCAGGATCAGCAGCTGGTACAGATCTGGGTAGTGAGTGCTGTGCTTGTCCAGTGAATCCTTCGAAGCATTGTAGTCGATGTTTGACATCCCAAACCCTGTCAGGTCGTTGATTATTAGCGTCTTCTTGCCACTAGCACGTGCAATTAGTGTGGTGCGTTCCAACAAGAAAATACTCCTCTTTTCCCAGACCTCATTGCATATTTCCTTTGGCGTGTATTTACGACTGCGCACCACGATTACTGGGCACCCTAGCTTGTCTTTTCCCGCTGTATAGTCCAAAGCACGCTCAAGGAAACGCAGGTTCTGGGTAGATTCCCCCTCCCACATCAGCCTGTCGATAGCATGGGTCGCGCGCCACTTGACAGTTGCAGCAACTGCGTCGAATGCCTTCTGCACATCCCAATCGTTAACAACCAGGTATCCAAGCAGGAGCGAGTCAGGGTGCCGGTGGGTCATCGCTGCCTGCCAGAATGCATTGCGAAACGACCGCTCGCTGGGCTTGTCTCCAAATAAGGGCTTGAAGCCCTTAGGAACTATAGCCTCGCGCTTGCCACTCAAATACAGATCATCGCTCACTGTCCTGTACCTGGCATCCTCGACGCGTCTCGTGTTGGCTGCATACCACGCAGTAAGTTCCTCGGGGGTGTCGTCAAGACATGCTTGCTTGCCGACTCCAAACGGGTCGTCCAACACAGGTATGGCTTTGCCCGAAGTGGTCTCAAAGTGGGCAAAGAGCTTAGACCACAGCTGCTTGAGTTTTTGCTCCTGCTCTTGGGTTAGATGACCGACTCTACCATCAACAATCGGAGTCCTTGTCTTGTAGCTATCTACGAGTGAATTTTTGGCCGACATCTGCAAACAACAATGTGAGATGCTGAATAGATGAGAAAGAGAGTTTGGGATGGTGAGCTTGTATTGCCTTCACAGGACTTTATAGTAATTGCCAGTTGACAGTTCACCAACGCAGCCATGCAGGGCGAATCCAGCCACATTCACTGCGGTGTTTCAGCCACAACAGCACATCAAGTGCTCAGAAGCAGGAGCCAAATAGGAAAGTCGAACTATCCGCCTATTCCAACATGAGCACCACCGCTGAGGAGCTACCCACCGCATACCGATGGCTTCACTGGAAAATACAGACACAGGATTGCACTGCATATGCACCTGGAATAAATCCTTTGCCGAGCATAGACATTGAAGTTTTAATATATTACAAAAGTAGCAAGTGCAGATGTCACCGTTGGTCGTAGCCTTGTGTATGGTATGTGGGGCCATCAATCGCCTCATGCAGATCGTACCTACCAACTGAATCCGGGCTGTACCTCTGGTCATACTGCAATGCGGTGGGTGGGAGTACAGGCAGATTATCATCCGAATATATGCTGACACCATCCTCTTCGCCTTCTATATCAGACCGGCCCTGCTGTTGAGCGTTGGGTTCTAGCTCAATAGGACTAGGATGCTCAAAGAATACTCGCGGCGAGGCAGCGAAGGGTTTGAATGCCGTCGAGACCTGTGGCGAGATTATCGGTGGCGTGCTCATCGTAGCTACCGTTCTAACACTGCTGCTAGCACTTGACCCCCTTAGCGGGCTTAGTATTGACCTTGTCAACGACGAGTAGCCTGACAGCCTATTGTAGCTGTGAGGACCAGTAAAAGTCAGCCGTGGTGTCATGTAGCCCCGGTAGAGACCCGTATTCATATTCACCGGCGACATGACGCGTGGCGACTCCATGAGCTGGTGTTGCCAGGCGATATTATCCAATACTGCACCCTCGTCCTCGTCCTCGTCCAATTCATCATCTTCATATTCTTCTTCATACTCCTCCTCATAGTCTACCTCCTCCTCATACGACTCCTCTTCCTCGTATTCGGCCAGATCCAGCTCGATATCCTCCTTTTCCAGCTCCTCCAAGAGTCTTGGTTCCTCTCCTTCAGCCTTTTGAATCCCAGCCCATGATCGCCGAAGAATCCTCATGTACTGCTCAATCCCAGTCGCAATGCGCTCTTCGCTGCCCGAATCTTCTGTGACAGCAGAGTCCGGAGAGTCATACTTTGGCACCATCGATCTCTTCCAAGGCCGCTGTGGGATCGTATATGTACCAGCTGACTTGTCGTAGACTGAATCGTGCTTGCGTTTTGGTGGTCTTGTTGCCTGTTGCGCCCGTTGAAAGAGAGTCTCAGTTGACAAGGGGCGCTGTTCATCGCTGTCCAAGATACTGACGGGTTCGACAGGTAGCCCTCCAGTCGGGTCGCCAAAGTCGCCAATGTGGACGGTATTGAGGCTGCGCAGTCTTCCGTTGTCTTCGATAATTTCGCCGGTCATGATATCGACAATGTCATCGTCGCAGTCGTGCTTGCTGTATTTTGCGTAAATTGCCTCAAATGTGTTGAGTAAGCGTCTATGGTTTGCCTGCCGCACATTGTCAAGGTCCTCATTGGACTGCTGAAGCGACATTGATGCGTTCGAAGAAAACAAATGGAGAAAAAGTCGAATTGTAAGGTACAGAGAAACGGTGGGCGAGAATAAATAAATAAATAAATAATAATCTGGAGCAGACAAGCGATGGGACACGCTGGCACCATCCAATTCCTTGTGATCGGCTGATTGACGATGCATATCACCAGCGAATCTTGACCGGCGCGTTCTTGCCCATGGCTGTGACATTGAACCGGGCGTTTCCGACCTGGATCTGGATGTTGGTGAACACGTCGACGTCGAGAGTACCGCCAATTGCCTTGCGGATGACATTCCACCCAATCGACGTCTCATTAGCAGTAATCAGCATCCGTGGTGTCGTCACATCTAAATCAAAGGGCAGCAAGAACCCATGCGACACCGATTCCGAGCCACCGCTCACTTGGCCCTCTGCCAAAAAGTCGTGCTCGAGTGTGCCCAGCGGAATGTCACCCTTGTAGTATCCAATAGCCTCGATGCTCTGGAGCCAGATGCTCGCCCCCGATACCGGGCTGTGTATCGTAGCCTCGGCAGTCATGCCAAACATGTGGAAGATGACTTCGCGCAGGGTCTCGCTGAGCTTGCTCTTGCCCAGGCCTCCTCCGTTTTTGAGCTTGGAAAGATCCACGCTAAATGTCTGTGTGAACTCGCGCAGCGAGGCCTCGAGCGGAGCGATTGTACTGCAGTTTGGGAATCCCTGAACAGTCAGTGAGATAGGCTTGCGCGCAGCGGTAACGTCCAAGAAGAACATCTGCTGCCGCGGATCATCGGGGTGGTTGATGAAGTCAGCAAACACAGTAATGCTGTTTGCTCCCCTGCTCACCTTTAGCTCCTTGAACCCCACGGTCGCAATGTGAAGCTCTGCATATTTGACCTTCAGGGCTAGGTCGGTGATATAAGCGCCATAGTTGAATGGGTTGGTTACTGCAAGGTCAATCTGGGCTCTGACCAGGTCTGTGCGTGTTTCGGTGATTTCAATTCGCGTCACATCGACCTCTGGTATCCGATGCCGCATGGAAGTGTCGACCTCAGGCTCCTCTGGCAGTTCAAATGTGTGGTTGACCATGGCATGGAAGGGCATTGCGTCAATGCGCAACCTGCCCAGCGACGTTTTCAGCATTATGTCTATCGTGCCGTTGACACCCCCGAGGATCTGCCTGTTGGCAATGGCGCGTTGGATAGCCTTTGTATACTGCTTCTCGTGGCCCTCAATGACATTTAGTCCGATCCGATCAAAGTCGCACAGCAGCATAAACGACATGGGCGACACCTGCTTAACACGGAACGGCTTCTGTGGCTGACCAAGCGTTGCAAACGCCTGCCGATTCTCGTCCACCAACTCGAGACTCGGTACAAGCGACTCGATCTCAATGCTGACGTTGGCGTTAGTTGGGTTCGGCAGCTCAACAACAGTTTGTCCAGAGATGCCGACCCACGGATTGAAGCTCTCCTGTGCACTCCAGTATGCATAGACCTTGCTCGCAATCACATCCCTGATCGCGGCGTCAAGCGATGGCAGTCGGACTGATCCGGGCACCATTCCAGTGCTTACCAGCTGTGGCGAATTGTGAAGAGCGCTACGCAGCCAGAGGGGCAAAGAATCGTAGGTGCCTGGGCTGGCACCCGATATCTGGATGTCGAAGTCTCGACCTGCGCCGATCAGTCGCGCCATGTTGGCCAGAGCTAACTCATGCTCGTCACCAGCGATCGGCCGGATATTGATGGCCACTGGGACAATTCCATAGCCTCCACGACCGACCGTGGTCGGTCCAGCCGTCACTCTGGCCACATCCACGTCGCTATACCTAGCTACCAATTCAACTGTGCCGATATCCGCTGCCACATCCATAGGTAGTTGAACATGTAGAACCGTGCGAGCTGTGATTCCCCCTTGCCTTGTGTCAGCCATGGGTCCATTGATATCGCTGACAGTAACGTTTACAGACATTTCTGGCAGCGCAAGATCCAGGCTACTGCGCGCATAAACTGTGGGCAGATATTTGCCAAATCCGCTTGTGTCTATTCGCACGCGCGCATCGACAGCGGCTCGACGGGTCGATAATGTACTGGCCACCAGGCGCGTCATCGCCGCTTGGTCAGTGACATGGAACACCTCGGAGAGAGACAGCGGCTTCATGCCAGACACGAGGATGTTCTCGGCTAGCACCCACCCGACATCTTGCTCCCCGTGTCTAACAGTGATGTTGGCCATGGGGACCACAAATTCTTGCTGGTTGATACCAGAAAAATGCAGCGTTGCGGCAAACCTCACTGTGTCGTCTGTTATGTCGATAAGCGTGGCGTCAACAAGCTCAGGCTCGATATTGCGCAGCATCAGATACATGCGCGGAATGTGGGCAATGATGTAGAGAATGTACATGCCAAATATAGCGCTGGCGACACCCAGCAATATACCGAGGAGATGTTTGACGTGGCGTGTAGCTGAATGCAGCATTTGCCGCCGAGTCAGCAGCGGCTCATCCTCGGCCTCGTTGCTGCCATCGTCGACTACATGGGCTTCTGCTTGTTCCTGCTCCTGCTCCTGCTCCAACAGCAGCTCCTGCTCCTCTGTCTCATGCTGCCTTCGTGTGTCTATAGTGTCAGCCATCAATAATGAGGGGGTGGCAATAATAAGTGTGTGCTATTATTTGTGGAGAAGAGGTGCAGCCCACCGCCGCTGCACGAGTGGCAGCAAAGTCACGTTTTCTGTGCACTGACTACTCTGAATCCAAACCGGTTAAAGCAGCTCGTGGCTCGAGTCAGCCATTCTGCTACTGTCGATGTCATGCTCTCGTTTCCAAGAGATGCTGCTTGCTTTTCTATTGCCAGCTCTGTTCAATTCAGCCGTCTGCACACTCCTTTCTTGCCCTCCCCCGAATCCCTTGCACTCTCAAGCACTGCACGAACGACCTCGCAGGGAAAGCCCAGCATGATCACCGACAACCAGCTCATGACTCTGACGAATTCGCTTGGATGCGCCGTCTTTGTGCTCATTGCCCTATTTTGCTTTATCTCGGTGTCGTCGGCAGAGTCAGCCAAGAAGCTCAAGAGCGAGTAGCCTCCCACTGTTGTACTATTCCCACCGCATTTTCCAGAGTTAATAAATTGAACCGCTGCCGAAATGCGTCTTTTGCCAAGTTTACAGGCCTGGCTGGCTTTTTGTACTGGCACGGCTTGATTGGCTGGCGTTTCCTTTGAGTGTGCTGGTGCCTCCTGGAAATCGGGTTTTTAGTCCACGCAGTTAACAAAACGTAGCACAGGCTGTGGAGGCGTTTCGGGTTCCTCATCTCTCCTCCACATTCTGCCTGCATTCAAAGCTTCCTTCTTCCGTTACTTCTCTCTTCCACTAAACCTACTTGTCTGGGTGTCAGAGTTGTACCAGCCGCCTTTATCTCTATTGCGTGTGATTTGTTAAGGACAGCCTCAAAAATTCAAAATGACAGACGCCAAGGTCAAGCGTGCATTGCTCGATCTGCAGCGCAAGGAGGGCAACAAGGTGAGTTAATACCATTGGACCCCGAAGACGTGTGGAGCGTAGCTGTGGTTTAGACGAAGCATGGCCCTGTACTGACGCAGCTCCTCCTAACACATATAGTCCTGTATGGACTGCGGTTCGCCGAACCCGCAGTGGGCGTCGGTATCGCTGGGAACGTTTTTCTGTCTCAACTGCTCAGGCCAGCACCGTGGCTTGGGCGTACACCTGAGCTTTGTGCGGTCGATCTCGATGGACAAATGGACAGCAGACCAGCTGAAGCGGATGGAGCTTGGCGGCAACGTTAAAGCACTGGCGTTCTTCAAAACGCAGCCTGATTACAAGGACGGTATGGCAATCAAGGACAAGTACAACAGCCGGTTTGCCGAGCTGTGGCGGCAAAAGCTGACTGCCGAATGCGAGGGCAAGGTATGGACTGCGCCGCCGCCTGGTGCTGTGCCCAGCCCGCAGATCCGCTCCAACACGTCATCGCCGATGCCCCGCAGCAACAGTGCAATGGGTGCACGCCGCAACTTGTCGGGTGTTAGCCCGAACCCGAACCTCAACAGTGCATTCGGCAACTCTCCGGCCAGCAGTGGCCAACAGACGCCTGATCTCGGAGGCACAATGGGCCAGAAGAAGCGCAACGAGGACTATTTTGCCTCTCTGGGTGCTACCAACGAGTCGCGTCGCGAGGATCTGCCACCGAGCCAGGGCGGAAAGTACAGTGGTTTCGGATCGTCGTCGTTCACGCCTAGCTCGGCGCGTTCGACCAGCCAGTCGGCGGGGATTGGCTCTTTCAACCCGCAGGATATCGTCAATGACCCGTCGGCTGCGCTCAACAAGGGGTGGTCGCTGTTGTCGATGGGTGCACAGACAGCTCTTAGCACACTCGGCACAGTGGCTGGTGCTATCAACGAGAACTATGTGAAGCCAGCGGCAGAGAGGATCCAGGACCCAAGCTTCCGTAACGATATGACTTCGTATGTGAGCACCATCGGCCTGAAGGTTGAGGAGACAGCAAACCGTGGGTTCACGTCGCTTTCCGAGTACATGCGTAATGGCCAGCAGAGTCAAGGCGGGTACTCGCAGGTGCCAACCTCGGGAGGTGCTGGGGTGCAGAGTAGCAACTACGGTGGTGATGACGACGCCGATTTCTTCGAGAAGGAGATGAGCCAAGGCAGCGGAACTCTGACACCAGCGGCCTCCACGAATAACCCGATTGCGCGCACTGCCAATGTCGTCAAGCGCTCGAACTCGCGGAACACACAGCTTTCTGGATCTGGCAACAACTCGACGACCAACCTGAAGAAGAAGTCGTCTGGATGGGACGACGAGTGGGATAACTTTTAGGGCGATGCTCTCGCTTCCTCCCATATGCTTTTATGCTTATATCATTCATATTCCAAATCTAGAGATGGCCCAACTCCACCAGAGCAGGACAAAAGTTGCTGCTGGCCGCGCAACAGTGGAAGCAACAGTAAGCAAAAGTGCCTTTCTTGCACAATCTCGCTTAGAACACAGTCGTTGCGGGGCTGCACACAATATTGTGCCACCTGAGCAGCAGACAAAATGCGCTAGTGCGTAGCTGGCAGCGTCAAATCACCAAGCCAGTGCCCCCGATACCCTTGGTAGCACTGCCTGGGAAGCATCCTCGTGAGGGATGTTTCTTGAGATTTCCGCTGGCTGCCCAGAAACCAGCAAGCAGACAGAGTGTGAGGCATTGGCAAGCAAGCCCAGGGTAGCGCAAACTTTTTTGGATTGAAAAAACATCTGGCGCATATCGGCTGGCAATCCCCAGACCACAAAGCCCTTTCATTCGGGACCACACCATGCGCACAGGGTCCAGTACTTTGTGTGGCCTGCCCACCTGCATACACCTGTCACTGGTCTATACTGCGCGCTATTCTGCCCCATGAGGGGTTTCTATTTCATTAATGGCTGATGCCGGCAATCGAGAAATGTAGCCTCTTGCTACATGTGTGCTCCTGGTGCCGCCTTGTTTGCTCTATATTCGTACTTGCATTTGGCTTTCCTTTTGGGGTACTGTATATTTTATACACCGCCAGACCCAGCGCAAAGGTACCACTATGGCCCAACAAATCTAACAGTCAAGCCACGCGTCGATACAGGCAACGGGACTCACAGGGAGAGCCCTGAGAACATGTCGGCGGCATTCGCTATCTCCTCAATCTGCATGACCCTGAGCAGCTGCTCCATGCCCTTGACGCCCCACATGAAGCCAAGATCCTGCAGCATGGTCCAGTAGCGCCTCAGCAGACGGCCGCAGTTGGAAACCTCAGCGAGCAGTGCGCGCTCATTGGGCGCGCCGTCACTGATCTTGCGCCTGCACATGCGTATCTGCCTCAGCAATACTGTGATGACCGTAAACAGGCAGAGTGGCATGACCTGGTCGCACCGGTCCATTGGGATATCGCTGTTGCGATCCAGATGCCTCTCCAGGTCATATGCCTCACGCACGCACACATTCCACGAGTCCTCGTTGACGTCGTACGCGCGCAGCCCGTCATTCCAGTTGTCCGCAAACGCCATGCCAAGCATCTCGCGGATCACCGTGTCCTCGATGCAGTCGCTCTTGGCTGGCGACGCACGGTCAGGCGCACCCGGGGTGCCGCGCGAGCTCATGCTCTCGGGGTCAAGGAAGAACGACGGGCGGTTACACTGGTGGAAGCCGATGATCATGGGCGTGAAGTAGCAGCGCAGGCAGAAGAAGCGCACACGCGTCAGGAATCGGCGGTGTGATAGGCTGCCAAACTCGGAGATGTCCCGCATGGGTGCGGCACCGGAGCGCAGCTTCTCGGCCGGCACCAGTCTGTCTCGCCATGCAAACAATGTATCACTGAGCCGGACAAACTCGGCATAGTCTGTCAATGTGCCGTTGCGCGCCAGTCGGGGCATATCCACTGGGTCGGGGCAATCCAGAAACTGGTACTGCGCCGTGTATGCGGGGTTTGACAGCTGCACCATGTTGTTGATCTTGACGTCCCACAGGAACCTGTTGAAGCGAGTGATGATTCGGGTTAGCTCCGTCATTTCAACAAACGCATATGACATGCAGCCAGTCTCGCTCAGATATTCCTCCGAGACTGCGGGGCTGTGCTGTGTCGGCCACTCTGTGATCTGCGGCACCGAGACGTCCTCCCACACAGGATCGCACCCGGGTGGCCAAATGTACAGACGAGACACGGGCAATGTCATCTGGCGGTCGGCAAGGTATCCCTGGTAGCTGTCGATCTGGTACGTTACCCAGTACGTGCGCCGCTTGATCTCCTGCTCGCACCACTCGTCCCACGGCATGCCCTCTGCACGCTTGTTGAGATCCATCATGTGCCAGCCCAGGCGAGTGATAAGACTGGTTGCCAGACATGTCAGCGAGTTGTACGAGATAAACTGCCCCTCGCCGCCGGCCAGGGATGCCATTATGACGACGGCCCGCACATAGTCGACAGTCGGCCTGTCCAGACCCAGTAGTAACCGCTCCTTGACGTCGGTCATCAGCTGCTCGACGTCAATGTGCTGGCCCGTGTGCTTGGACATGATGCGCGCCGTAGTCGCGCGCATCGAGTCGATCAGAATGGGGTCTATTTCGCCGTCGATGAGTCGCCGGATGAACGTGGCGGGGTGGAAGATGGGGCAGACGCCGTAAAAATAGTCAAAGTAGAAGGTGACGGCGTCGCGCGACTCCTTCGGAACTTTGTCTGAATGGAACTGGCGCATCAGCTCGTCAAACGGCATGGGCTCCCTTGACCGCCTGACGCTGATGGCCGGTAGTGAGGCTGTTACTGGGGGTGTCGACACCGCAGACCGTATAGCAGCAGCTCCACTATTGAGCGTTCCAGAGCTCTTGCTTTCATTCTCGCCAACGGCTGAGGTCGAGACGGTCAGCGCTGGCGACATGGTGTCTTGCTCGGACGAGGTCACTGCCGGGCTGTTTATGCCGATGCTGGTTGGGCTGGATATGGTGCTTGACTGCAGGAGGGGCTGGTTCGCAGCGTCCTTGGCATCTTCGGCGTCCTTCTGCCGCGGGGGTGTGCCGGTGGTCTTGGCTTTGGGCTTCGGCCCGCGCTTCTTCGTCTGCACCCACTGGCAGTCGATTCCATTGCGCAGGCAATTCATGCATGCGGGCCCGTCACCCTCACACTTTATTTTCTTCATGTGGCAGTGCAAGCACGCTTTAGATCGGCGCTGTCGTCGCCACGGGACCTGCTTCTGGTCACTATTCGAATCGCTGCTGGCAGTAGCTGACATAGATGCGTAGTAAGCGCTGGGTGTAGAGTACATGTGTGGGGGCAATGGTGGCGGCGGATGGTGGGGCATCGGCCCTGGGAACCCGTGCTGTGGGTACGGCCAGTAGCGATAGTCATACACTGAGTAGCCAGGCTGCACGCGAATAAGCCCTGGTGGATATACGACAGCACCGTGGTGCTGTGGCGCAGAGGGCAGGGTATTGTGTGGTGGTGGTACTGAGTATTGTGCGCCAAACGGCGGCGGCGGGGGAGGTATTTGTTGATGCTGCTGCTGCTGAAACGTGACCTGCTGTTGGCGATGATGCGGCGGGGGAGAAACAAGCATCGTCTGCCCTAATTGTTGCTGTTGCTGCTGCTGCAGTTGCTGCTGCTGCTGCTTTTGGTGCTGCTGTAGTGACTGCGGGGGCGACAGATGCTGTTGGCTCTCTGTATCCGTGACGGTAGGCACTGGTGTTTCTGCTGCTGCTGCTACTGAATGCAGGAGCGGCGTGTGCTGCTGGTTCTGCTGAGGTGCCATGTGTGCCTCGGGCTTCGTGCCGTGCGCCAGACCGCTGTCCGTCGAGTTTGTGCGTGGCGGATACGGCTTGTTTCCCGGGCGCTGCTGTGAATCATCGGCGTCGCCGGCGTCACCAGCGTCGGCCGAGGCACTGGTGTTGAGCAGCGAGCTAATACTCAGGTACTTCGTCATAGCCGATAATCAATGATAAAATAATAATGCTGAAAAGTGGTGCGGGCACGGGGGTGTAAAAATAGGGTGCAGAGCCAAAGTGGGTAAATAACAGAAAAATTGGAGGAAATGAGATTAAACAGCAAGCGCCAGTGCCCGGGGGTTAGAGCGTCAGACGCCCTCTGTCTTATAGCGAGATGCAAATATCGGCGATATGGCTCCTTACGGAAAAAATGGCAAGTGGTCCAACAGAAAGATTGTGAATGGTTACAGTGTTCTAGGTGAGAGAAAAATAAGCGCACAAACTGGTCGGGGGAGAGCCAAGGGAGTGCGAGAGGAAAAAGACAGGCCGATCACAACCCCTTATTCAGAGGCAGGATCGAGAAGAAGGAGCTGCAACCGGGAGCGAGGTGACAGCTTTTTGCTTTTACCCAGAGACAGAGGCAGCGCATGTGAAGGGGGATGGGGGAGTGTTCGTGACGCGCACACGCTAGACAATAAGAACTCATTCCGCCTGATATACATTTTTCCAGGCTGCCGCGGACGGCCATTGCTGAGCGCCGCGCCTTTATTCCCTCCCCAGCCTACCAGGCCCGCATTTACCAAGCCTTTTGCCGACAGCCGACGCGGTGGGAAATTGCGGGTGTCAAGGGTTTCTAGGCCGGAAGCACAAAGGCTGAATGCAGCGGATTATCAACGTGTTGCTCTGGGTTCATTATTTTCTTGCTGCTCGCAGGCAACAATGGCCTGCGCATGCCTGGCTTCCCAAATGGGGCAGAGTGAACACACCCTAGACAGATGGGTGAATGGGCGCCCCCTTGGCCGTTACTGAGGAGCGCCACCTGCCTGTGAGCCCCATTGCACCCACTATCCGCTGCCGCTCCAGATAGCAGTGGCCGGGCTGGCGAGGTTATCACGGATGCAGAATGAAGTATGTGCGTATACACGCATGGTTCTGCGGCATACCGCAAGGAGAAAGGGGAGGCTGAAATCCCCATAGGCACCTTTCACAGCGCCACCGTCTATTTCTCAAAGAGCCAGAAAAATTATGCGCGACTCGGCAGTGCATCGTTTATTTGTTTTCGTGCGCTTTTGCCGCCGTTTTCCATCTGCACACCGAGTCATTCGCATCCAGCTGCTTTCATTTGCTAATGGGCAAACACGAAGCACTTACGCCCAAAGCCATCGCCAACAGGATCAAGGCCAAGGGCCTGCAGAGGCTGCGGTGGTACTGCCAGATGTGCGAGAAACAATGCCGCGACCAAAACGGGTTCAAGTGCCATTGCCTGTCCGAATCGCACCAGCGGCAGATGGCCATATTCGCCGAGAACCCGAAGCGCTTCCTGGAGCAGTTCTCGCAGGAATTCGAGACCACATTTATCGCCACGCTGTCGCGGCGCTACGGCACCAAGCAGGTGCACGCCAACCAGGTGTACCAGGAGATTGTGGCCGACCGCCAGCACTTGCATATGAACGCGACAAAGTGGGCGACGCTGTCCGAGTTTGTCATGTACCTGGGCCGCGAGGGCAAGTGCAAGGTCGAGGAGACCGAGCGCGGGTGGTTTGTTCAGTGGATCGACAATAGTCCCGAGGCGCTGGCGCGCAAGGAGGCGATCCTGAAGAAAGAGCGGCAGGAGATGGACGACGAGCAGCTGGAGCACAGGCTGCTCAAGGAGCAGATTCGCCGGGCGCGCAAGGCGGAGGCCCCGGCCAGCACGGCCGAGGCGACGGGGCTGAAGCGCGACACCCAGCAGCCCATCAGGCTCTCGCTGAAACCCAAACTCGGAGCTGCAAAGCCAAGCGTGTTCAAAAAGCCGAGCGTGTCGCCGTTTGCCGCACTGCAGAACGCTAGCAAAGCCAACAGTGCGATGCAAACAAAGTCCGCTGGTGCTTCTACAAGGAAGTCCGCCAGCGCTGTTGAGTCGATTATGCGCCAGGAGCAGCGCAAAAAGGATGCAGCAGAGCAGCAGCAACACAATGGTAGGGCTCGGCTCCGTCCGCAAGCCAGATCACGCTCCCCCGACCCTGCCAGCCACCGAGACGCCCCGGTAATACGCGGGCGGAGCAGATCCCCGCAACGCCGGCGCCGGTAATTCTTCACTAATTTCCAATATAGCGGTAAGAGCGGAGAAGCATTTGCGAAGCCGGACAAGTATTAAGAAGCTAATAACAGTGGCTATTTGAGCTGGCTGGCCTGCCGCCGCGCCGTCGCGAGCTTGTTTCCGGTCCGATCTAGGTCCTGGTCCAGCTCTGACAGCAGCTGGTTCTGCAGATCAAGCTCGCTGCCGATCGCTATGCCCATCTCGCGCTGGCGCTGCAGCAGACGGCTAAAGTCCGTAACCACCAGATCCTGCTCCTTCATCCTGTCGGCCTGCAGCTGCAGGAGCCCCTGGTTGTCCAGCCCCCGCGTCTCGTTCGTCTCCTTCGGCGCGTTGCTGTTGCCAAAGATGCGTCTGGAGCGCGGTTGCGCGCGGCCATTGGCCTGGCCATTCGCCGAGCCGACACGCACCGGCATTGCGCCAGGCATGCTGTAGGATGTGCTGTTGAGCCCCGACCCAGCTCTGCCCAGTACCCGGGTCCCGCCATTGGCGTCGGCCGAGGCTCCGTCCAGCAGAGCCGCCTTGTCGCTGCTGCTGACAACGACGCCAGGCCCCAGCACCATGCGTGTCAGGTTGACCTTCTCCTCGCTCAGCCCGGCCAGCATGTCCTGGCGCCGCAGTAGCTCGCCCGCAGTCAGGCTCGGGCCAATCGCATCCAGCCCGCGCTCCAGATCCTTCAGTGCCTTCGCCAGATCGCCGAGCTTGCGCTTCGCCTGCAGCGTGCACTGGTGCGAAATCGACACCTCGTTGCGGGTCAGCGCGTTCTCGCGCTTCAGGATGCACTGCCGCACATCCCGCACCATCTGCTCGGCCCCACGCATGTCGTCCAGCCACGACGCTGCTGTGACCCAGCCGCTGTCGGCCTCCACGTCGCCCGAGCCCTTGCTCTTCACGTACCGTGCGCTCTTGCCGGCCGGCGCCAAGAACTTCTGCAGGCTCTGCGACATCCGCCACCGGGTATCCTCGCACGTGATCATGCTCTGCACAAACCGCTCCAGTCCGTGTCGCCGCTCCTCAATGAAGTCCAGCTGGCTCGATGCGCCCTTGCCTGGCGCTGGCGCTGTCAGCTTGCTGAACCACGAGGTCAGGGTCTTAGGTGGCAGGGCGACAGGCGGCGAGACGCCGGGGAATTCGCGGCTCAGGTCGTAGGCAAAGGCAACAAAGTCGTTGTAGCGGTGCCAGACTGTCCACGAGCGCACCGGGCCTTGCACCTGCAATGCGTACTCGACATGCGTGTCAGGCTCGGTGCGTGTCTCTACTGTCGGTATCTTTACGTAGCGGATTTGCTCCATATCGCGAAAGACTGTGCTGAAATTGTGCTGAAGCAGGAATGAACACTGTTGGTGCCAAAGTCAAGGTGTGTTTCAAATAGAAAGAAAAAACATCAACACGCTTCGCTTGCTCAGGTCAGCCAGCCACGGCATCAAACACCTGCACTCAAATTTCACCGTTTATTGATACTCTCTTCTACGCCTCCTGCTCCTGCTGCCCCTGCTCCCAGCGCGAGACCTGCATGTCTGTAAGCTTTGCTAGGTACACATCGCGACCGGCTGGCTCATTGATGGCGTCCATCTTGCTCAGCACATCCAGATCCAGCTGCTCGAGGATCTGTCTGAGCTGGTCAACCTTCTCGCGCACCGCAGCCACGCTCTCTGGACCCTCGCCCTTCAGCTCTCGGTTCGCAATCTCGCCAATATGGATCTGCTCGTTAAGCGATCTCAGCTTGACCACCCGCTTCTCGACCAGCGCCGTATCGCGCGCCAGCCTTGCCCGCATCATATTGTTGGCCACAATCTGTCGCCGCACGTCCCCCAGCTCCTTGTCCAGCAGCGCTTCGTCTGTGTACTCGTCGGGCGTATCCTGTGTGTGGTGCGGTAGCACAACGTGGTGCTCAAGGCCGGCTGGGATATTGAACAGGTTGCGCAGCGCGTAGAGCTCGAACTTGTCAAAGTTCTTGTCGACCGCGTGCTCCAGCATCGTCTCGGCTTTGTTGATCGCCTGGCTGGTTGCCTCGCCGCTGCCCTGCTCGGTCTCCACAAACTTGCACAGCGCATCGGTTGCCCGGTATATCGTCTCGTTCGCTGCGTTGATTATCTCGTCGATGAACGAGACTGGTAGGAATCCAAAGTGCTCAACTATCAGGCTCTGCGTCTTCTCGCTGGGCGGGTACACGCATTTGAACCGCGGCGACACGTGTCGGTCGGGCGCCGCTCCGCGTGGTGCACTGGGTGTTTCAGCCTGCAATGGCGCTGCGGCTGCTGAGCTGCTAGCTGTGCTGTCTACCTCCATAGTGCCTTCTGCTGCTGGCAGTGGCTGGGCTGTGCTCTGTGCAGTGGCTGCGGCAACTACTAGCTCGACATTGGACACGTCCACAGCAGACATTTCAAGAGAATTTAAAAAGGGCGAAAAAGAACTGGTGCAAAATGAAGAGACAACAGACGCGCTCAGCGCCTGAACAGCAGGCTCCACGAATTATATCTTGCGATCAACAGCACCAAGAACTCGGCCATTTTTCGCTTGGCTCTGGCAGTGGTATTCACGACATGAAGGCTTCAATAGAACTGTTATTACAGGGTCGCTTCGACCTTTTGGAACTCGGCTGGGCTGATAGCCTGCTGCGCGACCGCCGCAGAGCTCGCCACAATTGCCTGCGGGTTCTGCCCAGGCTTGATCACGCCGACGTAGTTGGCTGGGAACAGTCCCTCGCGCCCGTCCTGCGTCGACCCGCGCCACCACTCGCTGGGCTTGCCCCAGATATCCACCTTGCTCTGCACCGCAACCACGTCCCCGCGCTTGAAGCTCAGCTCCGCCTTGGACTCGCCATTAAAGTCGTACTGCGCCTGCGCAAACTCCATGCCTACCGCCCGCATATTCGGCGCCATCCCCGGCTGGGCACCGACATTCACTTGCTCTGCAGTCAGCCGCCGCTGCCGCGCAGCAATCGACCGAATCGCCTTTGTCATCAGGTAGGGCAGCCCAATAATGACAGCGAAGAACATGAGCAGCTTGCGCTTGCTGATGCGCGAGCGCTTCTCGTACTCGGCGAAATTGCCCGCATCCAGATCGCTCTTGTTGACGCTCATCGGCCTGCCTGTGGCCTTGGAGATCAGCTTGCGGAACCCGTCGTACGCAAATGTCGAGCCAACCGCACGCGTCAGCGAGTTGCGCAGCATGCCGAACTGGTCCATCACGCCCAGGACCGCCATGAAGGACGAGTGCGTAGCAAAGTATGTCGACTCAAGCATCCGCGCAAACCCGCCAAACGCGCCCACGAGAGACTCCACCAGCTGGAATGTGCTGCGTGTCGAGGCATCCAGCTTTTGCGTCAGCGACATTGGCCCCTGCTGGCCCATCTGGTTCATGCCGTACCCGTTCATGCCATACCCACCCATGCCATAGCCGCCCATGCCGTAACCGCCCATTCCGTAACCGCCCATCCCATAGCCGCCCATGCCGCCGTAGCCACCATAGCCGCCCATGCCATAGCTACCCATTCCGCCGTAGCCGCCGTAGCTGCCCATCCCGCCGTAGCTGCCCATACCCATGCTGTTATAGCCGCTGGCCATGGCTGGCTGTGGATTCGCCGTACCGCCACCCATCACACCTGTACACACAAAATGAGTTTAGCACCTGTTGGCTTCAGATCAGCGCCTCTGGCACACTGTGGTCTGGTCGCTTACCCGCATCTGTCGCTGATGTTGCAGGGAGCGCCGGCGCTGCTCCTTCTGCCGGCCCCACTGCTGTGCTGTCTGCCGAGGTAGCCAGTGCAGCCCCTCCCTGCTCCCAAGGCTTTGGTGGTGAGCTCATTGTATCGGTATGTAAAATAGTACAGAAAGATAGCGTCTAGACAAGAGTATTAAAATTAGAGCAGGTATTAGATGCGAAAGAGACGGTGAGACGTCCATGTGAAAACAGTGCGGCATGCTTGGGCTCCGGCGGCAAGATAAATGTAAAAATCGCGGCGCAATAAATGGCCCGCACTTTGCCAGCATAGTCACCAACCTCCGTGGTGGCTCGCCCGACTCGGCTCGAGATCATCAGGGAGTTGCCGTTGCTGGCAATATGTTCCTGGCAAAGCCGGTCGCGAGCCGTGAGCCACCTGTTCGCTGCGCAGCCACCGCAAGCGAAAGAGCAGGTCGGCGACATATAAAAGACAGTTTGCTGAAGAAAAAAAGGAGGGGGTTTGTCTTCCTTATCCTCTTCTCTACTAGCGATGTCTGCTGCAGATATATATTTCTCTATACTTAGCGCTACTGGCTGTGAGCTGGAAGATGGCGAATCCCAAGTCGTCCATTTCTCTCCTGTCGAGCACACTGGGCGCATTGTCGTTGCTGGGTCTGCAGTCACCGGTGCTAATGGCAACTACACGGACGGCGCCAACTTTTATATCAGCATTGAGGACAGCATTGCACACATCAAGACTGTAGACACGAATGAGTACTTGATATTCGGCAAGGGCAGCGAAAGTGTTGTGCTGTCTGACACCGCGCCCTGCAAAGAGAGCCGCATTCGCTTCCATTCGGACAGAGAGTTCTACTCTGTTATGACACTTTCGCGCTGGCACGATCCAGAGAGCAAAGTACGGGTCCAGAAGCACCCTGATGGACTCGGGTGCTTGAGCTTTAACAAGGAGGACCCAGAGTTCGTGTTCCAGTTCGCACCTGTGGAGGAATAGGTGCCCTGTCCTTGGATTAGTTGCACTATTCAGCCCACCTTGCATGCTGAGATTGACGACTTACACTTCAGACTTGTTTTCTATTAGTCCCTGCCTAGTCTCTCTTGCCTCTACTCTTTCCCCTTACTCACCCTATTTGTCATAATACATCTATCTAGACATGTCAGCAGCACTTCCCAATACTGCTTTCCCTTCAATTGTTGAAACAGCAGCAGGACTAAGCCCTGCTGCAGTTGTCGGTGCTGCAGCTGTCGGTGCTACAGTTGCTGCATTATCGACCGGGTCAGATGTAGGCAGCGACGGAGCATCTAGCAAAGACGCAAAGTCTGGTCCGGACATCACCCAGATGGACTTGCTAAGCGGTGTGCCCACTGTCATTGCTTTCATTTTCACCATTGCCCAAGCGACAACAACACCGCTGGATATAGCACGCCCAGCGCTGGACAGGTTTCTGAGATGGCTTGAGGACAGCATCAAGCAGGACTTTGACGTGTTTCTCTATTCATGCACCAAGGAGTGCCATACCTGCCGCTACGAACTCACGAAAGAGGCACTGCTCAAGCGGCTGAAGAAAAACACTGGCGTCAAAGGCATGCCCGGTTGCGTCGGGACCGATCTAGTTACTGTAGAAGATATAATGGGGATCATTCAGGACGGCAGCGGCGACACATTGCTTGAGCTGGCGCATATTGGCGGCTACACTGACATGGATAGCCTGCGTGGTGCTGTGTGCTTCAACAAGTATGTGCCCAAGCGGCTTCAGGTTATTGTGCTCTGGCAATGGATACATGTGCTTACCAGGCTGTTCATCTTTGACCTCTTGCCTGCAATCGGACGGTATACCTGGAGCACCATGAGATGGTTCGGCCGGTTGATTCGGAGCACAGAACGGAAGTTGAAGGACAAAAAGATCACTCCACGCAACGACAACCCCCGAGTCATCGACTACGAGATGCTGACGCTGGCAAAGCACCGGATTCGTGTCCAGCACCAGCCATGGGTCCGCTTCGGAACGTACTATCTACTGGCAGAGCTGTCGAAGAAGCCCGTTAGTTTTCGGTCTTGGGGCAAGGACGACCGCACCTCTAACCAGCGCTGTACCCAGCACCCAGCACTGTTTGAGCGAAGGCTGGTTTCCTTGATCACCACCGATGAATGCTCGGCGGCCCGGATGCTGTACGTGGTGTCACTGCTCAGCATCCGCACGATGCTTCTCTGTGGCGGCATCGCGTTTGTTCCTGCATACCTGATTATCGGCGCATTCACCAGGCTGTCCACACACCTTAGTGGCCCGATGCTCGAGGTGAACAACAGTGCCATCGATGACGTCTTCCATACTATGTATCAGCTCGAAACAAGAAGCAAAGAGAGTGAGGAGCGCCAGGCCCAGGGACGCGTTCAGGCGGCATACAGCTCAGTCTTGAAGAAGCTTCAGTCAGAGCTAGGCGATAAACTCCAGCGGTCCAGCGAGACAATCGTCTTGCTGAACCTGGCGCTCGCAGATATCAGCGATGAAGATGTAAAGCGTGCGTGGGGAATTATAAAAGGCAAGGATGCTGTAGGCACAGGGCAGGGCATCGGTGAGTCGCCTGCTGAAGCTCAGAGCACCGATGATGGCTTCAAAATCGCCGGAATTGGAACCGATGCCAAGTCATTCTGGTCGGTGTGCCAGCGCCAGGCCACGATTGGCAACGACATCCACGAGCTTCTCGAGAGCCTTCAGTCGTACGACATACAATGGGGCACGACAATATGGCTTCTCCAGCTGTTTCTTACAGCATACAAAGAGGTTACTAGTATGGTGGTAACAGACGATGGCGGCAGCCCCTGTAATTTGTCCCACGAATCTCCTAGCAAAATCCGTGGAATTGCCACTGCACTCTGCTATTCACCATTCCAGCCACTAATCCCTCAACTCTCTACGAATCCACAAACTTCACGTCACCAGCAGCAGCACCAGCAGCAGCAGCAGCAGAGCGAACACCAGCCCAGACCCCAGCGAAGAGGCCACCTGCATCTTTGGCATCGCCCAAATCAGAATAGGCAACAGGAACAACCGCAGCATGATGTAGCCCAGCAGAATACCCAAGCTGGGCAACCAAAGCCTACGCTAGGTGAACAAAAGGTGGCCAAAAGACAGATCCAGATGCCAAAGAAGCCTTCTAGCAAGGCTGGGTTTGAGCATGCCTTCTCCACAGGATGGTCACCACTGGATTCGGGCAACAAATCGCAACTCTTTCGCGCCCCACCTGCCTGGTGTACATGTACTGGGCACTGCACTGGACTCTGCACGCTGGTTGTCGAGGCATGCAAGATGTATATTTCGCCATCGCTATATCCATGGACCCCGTACGTGTTCACACAGCAGTTTGCCAGCTACACATCCGCAGGACCCAAAGGGAGTTCTGAGTTCTGGTCTGTTCCAGATTCGGTTCGCTTGCTATGCTCGACCAACATCGATGCCGTCAAGGGGCTCATAGGCAGGAATGACGGCTGGGGAAAGATATTGGACATTGCTCCAGATGACAGCATCAGAGTGAACCTTGGCGAACAGCCCCCACTTCTCAGAGCCGGTACGGTTGGCTCGACAATGGTGCGCGCCCTGTCGTTTTTGAAAACAGAACACACAAAACCTCCGCCAAACCCATTTGGGAGACTTCTCTACAGCAATGTCCCCAAGATACTTATCGCTTCGCGGGGTCGCATCTACGAATGGAGGTTTGGCAACGGCAGTGAAGGTACCAGCCATGACGCTGTCAACAAGATTCTGGGCGAAGTCAAGGGGTACTTCCTCAGTTCCAATTCCATTGCCATTGGCCATGTTGCGCCCCCTACAGACAGCAAGGAGACACCGCTCAAAGCGACATCCAGCCATAGCAGCCACCTTATGCTACGACACATCAACTACCATCGGCAGCTAAAGCGCTTCAGTGTTCCCTCAAAACCGCGCATGCCCCCGGCGGCTTGGCGCAGATTCGACCCACCAGGCACATAGGCGCCGGGTCATGCCAGCGACCAATCATTACACAACGATTGGCGTCTCCATTATTGTAGTTGTCAATTCATGCATGCTGGCCAGTCTGCATCCCTTTTGAGAACGTCCAAGGTCGCTACGCTATATGCAAGGCATGCCTTTCTCTTCTTTACCACTCGAGCTTCTTTATTATAACCTGAACCCCCAACACCCCTTGTGGCAGTACCTATTATATTCCACTTTCGACATGAACCAGCCTGAGGAGCCCAGCAGCAGGCAGATATCCGGATTCATTCAAGGGCTGGCGGCAAGCCTTGGGAGGACTGAGGTTCGGACCCAAACAGAAGCTCGCTTGCGCAGTGATAGCATTGTCCGCACAATCGACAAACTTAGTAGTACAAACATAGAGACTCCGAGCTACATTGCTGACCTGCCCGATATTAGACATCCTATTCCGGCTGGTGCCGCGGCGCCGACACTTTGTATGGTGACTCGGCTCGCAAGCATGAATGTGCTCAGAGCTGAAATTGATCACCACGTTTCCAGGGACCCAGGCCAACAGCAGTCTCGTAAGACTGACAATAGGCCGCTTTCTCGAGTTCGCGCAGGGATGCAAAGCACCCAGTTGACGCACAACCAAAAGATTTTTTCTGGTTGTAGCGGCAATGGGAAGAGCTACCTGATGCTCCAGATTGCAGCGCATATTATCCGGCAGTACAGCAACGCACGCGTGGTCTTTGTCAGGAACTGCAACGAATGGGCCAACTACAGAGGGTTTCTGGTCGACGGCCAGCCAGCAGCCGACTGGGGAGCCAAAATTGCGTACCTGGTGCAAGCAATGTTTGTCGGGTTCTACGGTGATGAGGGATTCAGCGAGATCTTCCAGAACATCGATGAGGTTTCGACAACCAATGTTCGCACATTTGCTGCAAAGCTTGCGAATGGATTGTTCAACTTCTGTATTGCCAGAAAGGCAGATGTCAGCAGTAACGGGAAAACGGCCAGTCTGCCACTCTGCCCTTTCTTTTTCTTTGACAACATCGATGCTGTGTTTGGACCTGCTGAAATCTCCAACCGTGATGTCCAGATCATCATTCACGAGCTCAAGAGCCAGGGGTTCTTTATCATTGGTGCGCCGCAGAACAACGCCTACATGGAACAGATGTCTGGCAGTACCCCGCTGTTTGTCCCAACCTTTATCCCGCGTGTACTGAAACAGGAGGAGGCATATGAGTATCTCAAACAGAGATATGACCTGGACCACTTGGACGATGATGACATGGAGAGAATCCAGACAGTGAAGCGGCACACTGATTTCTTCCCCGCAGAAATCGATGCTTTCTTGGAGATATTGGACAACAGCCCTGATGGTAGAGCGATCGGCAGATGGGCAGCCCCGGGTCCCAACGAACTGGATGTAATCACCCAACCGAACACAGGCAGCCCGGTATTCGACACCAACTATTTGAACCACCGATGTGCCGTATTCCGGGTCTATCATGCAATCCATGTGACGAGTGTGCCAGTAATTAAAGGAGGCGGAATCCCATTTGCTAACCATCCGCATGTTCAGCCTGCTAGTGATAGCACCGGCTACACCTTTTCATCGCCCCGGCGTGGATATTTTTCGTTCCACGAAGTGTTCCCTCGCGGCCAGGATCCGTTTAGCGATGTGGCAACCCTTTTTGGTGGGGATGAAGACGATAACGGGCGAGTTGCCTTTGCAGGCATTGTTTTCATGATCCGCAATGGTGCTAGGCTGGTTGGTCCTGCTCTTCGAGGGAACATACAGAATGCACCTGATCCGAACTTTGAGCGTATTCTACCCCAGCGCCTGGAGTCCAAGGCACCACAGACACACGACGAGATCCTCGATGCTAGAGATAGCTGGACCGGAGACGCGCGTGTACTCGCATTCTACGATACCTCGCTTAAGGCGAACGGCGTTAATGCAATGCGCGGCTTGGACTTTGTCCTATACACCGTAGGCGACCCCGCAGTCAGAATCGGGTTCTTCATCACAGCTATGGTCCCTTCAGCTATTGAGCTCCAGGATATCATCATCCATTGCACTGGGAAACTGATCAACTGGGATGAGCTACACACGAGGGATGTGAACGACTATAAATTCGCATCCAGGGACCGTATTGCGCTGGGCATCGCTGAGGCAGCCGAGACATACTATCGACTTTATAATGGAAGCAGCGTGTGCAATGTGTACTTGGTTACGAGCCATGAAGCAGCCCAGATTGATCCAAGCTACAAAACGAGGATGCTGTCACTCGCTCTCAGAAATTCGGATGTGACCGTCAATATCCAGCTGCGTGTCATCGATATCAGGGCTCTTGATGGAGGAAGGACCCGGTTCGACTTTCGTAGGTCCGCTGCCACAGGCCTATCGGCTGCTCAGGAGGCGGTGCCTGCCGCTGATTAGCTATCATCATAGTATGCTCCGCTGGTAATAAACAATTCAACCACCAATCCATATCCCTTTGAACTGCAAAACAAGCCGGCCTCCAGGGCGCAAATGCTCCTGCGTAGAACTAATTACCAAAACCTAGTGGAATGTGCCATGATTTTCTTCCACTGTTGTCTCAGTCTGCTCGCTCTGACTGCTACTCGGGCAGGGCAAAAGCAGCCAGCAGAGGCCTGTTGTAAAACAAAAAGCATGCGTGCGAGATGATCGTACAGTCTAACTACGCACAGTCTTGTCTGCACGTCACAGCCTTCCAGTTCCGTAATGGCGCCGACCTTGGTTTGCCAATGATGGCGCTGATTGCGCAACCAGCTGGTCTGTGGCAATGGGCTGTTATTTTGTTTCCAGACGCTCCAGTAAATGTGAGTGGGGCTAGTGCACAGTCTCGCCTGACTGAATGCTTTGGGCACTCGCGGCTAAACTAGCAGCAACCCCGCTTTACTTTTCCTGTTCTGTCGCACACATGCACAGCAGCTGCTGCTCCATACGGCTATGATCCCTTCGCTTGGTCACAAATGACGAGACAAGAAAGCAAATATGGCCCGCCACGTACGACCCTCTGCAGAACTCGCTTGTCTGGCATCTTATTTTTAAGGGCGCGGGGGCGGACATGATTGCCGATTTCGTTTTGTTTGCCTATGACGTTGGGATCTGCCTGGCCTCCGGCTAATGTATAGCCGCGCCTGGGGTGCCCGGCTACGCCAAGAGGCGATCTGCGGTCCGCTAATGCTCATGCACCCTTGCTGCCGTGCCCCTCGTTTATCGTTCCACGTTTTGCACGCTCTGGCTGCCATACCCCAGCCCATCAAGCTGCTTCGATCGCTTGCAGGAATCGTCGGCCAGAGATCGTCTTCGGCTGTCGAGAACAGCAGAAGCTTGTGCTACAGTCCCTCCCATTAGCCCACAGGCCCGCGGTATGTTGCAGTGCTTCTATATGCCGAAAATTAGCGCGGGTTCAGTGGGTGGACATGCATACATGCACTTAGCCATTCAGTAGATCGGCTGCATGCCTCCTACCCCGGCGTGTTGGGTGTGGCCCGGCAACCGCCGCTTGCAGCCTGGTCGATTGGTTGTGGCTAGTTCGGCATACATGGCCGAGCGACGAATGTGAAGGCAATGCTGCACGCACATCCAGGAGCAGTGCGGTCTTCAGCCATGCCAAACATCCAGTAGTGAGCGGTTTGCGCTGGCCCAAGGGTGAAAAGGAAAGGGGCTATATAGATCCAGCAAACGAGTCAGTGTGTGGACATGCTGCTCCGGTGGAGCTCGCTGATTCTGGTGCCGATGGAGGGAGTATGAAACATGCTCATAGTACCGGTTCAACCAGTTCGCGCTGACTGGGCGCTAGTATTGCTAGTGATGTACTGGCCAGTCACCAAATACAGGCTCTCTACACTGCTTATGTTCCACTGAGGTGTTAATTGCCAGCAAGCAGAAGACATCTCTCGCCTGGAGCGGTGAGTGGTCAGACGAATTCTTCTGGCATTCTGGGCGGCGTTCGTACCCGAAGGAAAGCGGCGATGACAGCGCGCCATGGCAGTCAAGTCGCACTCGGAAGAGAGGCCCTGGCAAGCATTGCAACACGTGCTGGTACCGCGGAGCAATGCCAGATGGAATTCGGACATTTCTTGGCGGCCCCGCGTAAACACGAGCAAACACCTTGGATATATTGAAGCAGCAAGGTATTAGGTTTGCAGGCAGACGTCGGATGAAACGACCCGAACAAGGCGGTACGTCCAGACGGGACGGTGATATGGCGAAGAACCACGCGAGACGCTTGAGCAATAAACAAGCTACGGGTGGGCCGCCGGTTTTCGCCCAGTCGGCAGAGGAGGCGATGCTGAATGGCACGCTTCCCTGTTTTGTCGATAGGGGGATATTTGCCTAGCTGAGCGATCAACAGAATTATTCGTGTAAGCGATCGCGGGTGCCAGTGTTGTCAGGCCACTCGTATCACGGTATTTTTAAAAATAAATGCGAATCGAATGTCGGACGGTTGGACGGGTTGATATTCCCCTTAGCAATTCCACCCAGTCAGGGGCGCGCGCACAGAACGCCTGCTGTTGGCAGAAAACCGCACGATAATTGCTTGACTGTGTAACCCGCCAAGGGCGTCTGCAACCCGCCTCTGCGACCCACCCCCCGGCGTTTGCGGCGTTGGAAGCGATATTTCGGGAGCATTTTTTCACCACTTTCAGAAAATCTCCCCACTTTTTTTCTCTCTAGATGGCAGGTAGGCAGTGCTAGGAGGCAAACCGGGCCACTTTTTCGCTGACCCTCCCCCTTTCCCGCTATTTTTCATGCTGAGGGATCGAAGAGAGGATAGGCATGCGCCCATGCACTGCGGGAGAATCAGGAAAAAGGGTGGACCAGAGAGATGTTTATAAGAAGCACACCATCCCAGGAATGAAGGTGTGGGCCGCAAAGCACTCCCAGCCAGTACACCCACACCAATACCACTTTTCTCCCTTGTATCTCTACCAGTTTTCGCTTTCTATGAAGCACCCCCAGTAAAAAGATAACATTATTATTCTACCTTCGCCTCCAGCCTCTCAAATATTAAGAGCACATCACCTTTACACTAGACATATCATAGTGCACTCTGTATTCCTCCCACACCCACCCCGTATATCACCCTGAATTCTTCTAAATGCAAGAAGTGGATCAGATGAGCACACTACCCAACATCGGCTTCATGCAGCAGTTCGCTGCATCGCGGGATCCTGCAGGCGGCGCTATTCCACAGCAGCCCATGGGTGGCAGTCCGATGCCGCCACCACAGCATTCGTCCATGCCGTCGACATACTCGCTCATGGGTGCTGAGCAGCACCACCACCAGCAGCAGTACCAACAACAGCAGAGCAACATCATGCTGCCGCCAATCCCACAGGCACAGCAGGGCATCCCCTCATTCAGCCTCAGCGCCGTCTCAGTGTCTCCGGCAATGAACCCAGCATCTGCGGGCACCGAGCTCAATGACCTCCAGTTCTCGCGCTCGCTGGTGTCCCCGACTATGCCGGCAGATCCCGCATCGGCTGGGATCTGCTCTGGACAGTCGCCCGGCAACCCGTATGCATTCGGCGGTACATCTCCCGCACACACACAGCAGCTGGATATCCAGGATCAGCAGCAGGTGCGTCTGGTCAACGTGTCTGCCGCCCAGTCGTACTCGCACCAGCCGACGACGCAAAGCTCCAGCATGGTGCTCAGCGGTCATTCAATCACATCTATGACAGCAGCGTCGCACCAGGTGGGCGGATCGGCGGGCACGCATGCAGCGCAGGGGCGTCCGCCGCGCAACAAGAACAAGTTCAAGCGCTTCCGCAACGCCTTCATCTACTTTGTCAACGACCAACGGTAAGTGACGAGGCCAATTAGCCCGTGATTCGCGCTGTGACACATTGCACGATCTTTTCTGCCTTTTGCCTTGCCTCGCCCTGCCTTGCTTTGCTTGTTGGTGTTTTTCTGCGTAGATCACGTAAAGGGTCTGTTTTAGATGCATAAATGTTGGGCAAAAGGGGGGGGGACAGCGGCGGGATACAAAATCAAGCGAGATGTCGCATATTCCATGTCCCCATCATATTTGTTTGTTTGTTACTAACTTTTTGTATTTTGCACCACCACCCTGCCACGTATACTTCCGCGATATAGAAATAAGGTTGATGACGAGACAAAAAAGCTCAAGAACCGCGAGTTCCTGCAGCTGATGAGCGCCCGGTGGAAGGCCATGCCCGAGGAGGAGCGGCGGCCGTATGTGCGCCTGGCCGAGGAGGACAAAAAGCGGTTCAACAACGACGTCAAGAAGTTTGGCAAGTACGAGTCGCGCCAGCGCCGCTACAACAAGTCGCGTTCTTTTGACAGCGGTGTGGCCAATCACCCGTGCAACTTTACCAACACTGGCCTCGCCAACACGTCTGCTGCCAACTACCTCTACAACGGCTATAATCGTTTGGCATCCAACCAGGCTGCTGCAGCTGCTGCCGCCGCCGCTGCTGCAGCTGCTGCCAACGGCCCGATGCCGCCCTTCTACGCTGGGCTCACTGCCAGCCCGGCTGCTGCTGCTGCCGCTGCCGCCGCCGCTGCAGCCAACTGGTCGGCTGGCGGCCGCCGTGCGTCACTGATCAGCCCAACTGGGGCTCCTACCGCGGCCACAAGCTACCAGCAGGCAGAAGCGCAAGCAGCCGCGAGCCAGCCGCTGCTCAGCCCTCCCGACACCCTCGGCCATCGCAACTCATTCTCGAGCAATGCTTCCAGCAATGACCTGAATGACATGAATTCGCCGTTCGGAGCCAATACGTACACGTGGCCAGCGGCATCGCAGGCGCAGATGGCACAGCAGGGTGGCTACTATGCGACTGGGTACCAGCAGCCGTCGCCCGGCCATGTGCAGGTGCCAACAGGCGCGCCGATCTCGCACGCACTGACAGAGCCCATGTTCTACGACACTGCTCGCCCGTACTCGGGGCCCAGCGATGCACAGCCACCGCAGCAGCTCCAGCAGCTTGACCCGCAGAGCCAGGAGCAGGTTATCCGGAACATGTGAGCACCCAATATCTTGTATCCAACCCCAGCACTATCCTCTTATCTTTACAGTCCTTCATTACATTACACTCTAATATAAATCAAACATACGCACTAAGCCATGAAGAGGCCGTGCACCCCTCTTTTATCCCCACTCCTCAGCTGCCTAGTGCAGCCCATGCAGTGGCGACGCCCGGTGTGTGCCAGGTGTAGAGGAGTGCAAGTGTATGTAGGTCATAGCCTTCATCAGTCAGTTGGAGTGCAGTGGGTGGTGGCACTGGCCATCCCCGGTGCCCAAAATTGCACACTGTCCATTTTAACCGAAATATGCTGAGCCATTTACTGCGGCAAAATGGATTCTATGTCCACTCTCGTACCCCTTGCTTTTCTATACAACAAATAACCAATGGAGCAGCCGCCGTCGCAGGCGCCACGCCGCACCATGCCTTCGCGCGCCATGTTTGCCGTCGAATACCCAGCTTACGTCAAAGACACCGAAAAGGCGATCTCGATGGTGGGCGGCCGCGAGAAGCTTGCAATGGACGTTACCGATGATTCCAAAACGGTCGAGCTACGCTTGCGTCCGCATGACCCAGCCTCACATCCACTCATGGGCGATGTGGTGACCACCCGCAACATCCTGTTCAAGGTCACCAAGCGCACCAAGAAATCGCAGCTAGGCAAGGCCAAATCAGAGCCGACCGTGACGGCCGATGCAGTCGCTGTTATTGACAAGACTGTGCGGTTCCGCCGTCTGGCAAACTTTCAGTTTCTTCCAGCCAAGGACGACCCGCTACTCAACTTCATGCAGAACATCGCATCGGTTGACTTGGAGGCAATCAAGCAGGTGTCCAGCGACGAGCATATGATGGCGGGGTCTGAGCTTGCCAGATGGCCAGTGCCAGCACCGCCGATCGATGTTGTTGGCTGGCCCATGCCTTTCGGCTACAAAGAGGAGTCGACAAGGCCTCCCAGGAGCGCGGGCTATGAGAACTACCTCTACTATGGCCTTGCAATCCAGTTCTCAGACAAGGCGGTGCCGGCAGGACCGACAGCAAAGATCATGGAGAAAATGAAGTCGGTGCCCCAGAAGCTGCAGGACTTTGCTCGCAGCGTGATGGACAAGTACCCGGTGATCAGCCGCAACGCCGTCGATGTCATGATGAGAGCTGAGCAGAACACCTCTATGCGTGCCAACATGGTCATGCCGCTGCGCGCTTACGTGATGCGCACCGGCCCCTGGCGCTCGTGCTGGATCCGCTACGGCTACGACCCGCGCACAGACCCTGAGTCCTACAAGTACCAGGTCCTGGATATGCGAACCATGGATCCCAAGAATTCGCAGGCAAACACCCGCAAAGCAAAGCAGGACGAGGATGTGGAGAAAAGGTCTGATACACCACGCAACGCGGTCAAAGCCAAAAGCTTCCTGTTCGACGAGGAGGCGGCACGCCATGGCTGCTCCGGTATCTACCAGGTCATGCATGTGACGGTGCCGCAGATCCAGCACCTGATCGAGTACCCGAACGGCAGGCGCAGGACGATATGCCAGGAGTCTGGCTGGTTCCATTACCCGCTCGTGCGCGCAATTCGCCTTGTGACAAACAACCTGAGGAAAATGCTGCTTGAAGACAAAGAGAGCCCGGTTGATATGATCAAGCTCAAGAAGGCGCTGCTGGCGGCCATCAAAAAGGAGGATGAGGAGATTACGCAGAAGGAGCTGCTGACCGAAAAGATGGAGAGCATCCGCACTGGCGTGGAATCAGAGAAGCTCAAAACCATGCGCAACACGCGTGTCGAGGAGCTGATGGGCGACCTGGCCATGGCGCAAAACGAGGAGGAGCAGGGTGGGGATGCCGGGTCCGATGCCGACGAGGTCAACTTCTACAATGACGACACATTCGACGACTTTGAGATCTACGGCGAGGAAAGCGACTAGCTTGCCGCCAGATGGCACATCACTGAATCAGCTTCAGCGCTTCAAGCACAGTCTGGAGCGATGTCGCTATAGCCGACTCACTGCTGCCACTGCTACCGCCCGGACCACCAGGTGCATTCGCAGCGGATCGCGTAACACTCAGCGATGGCGGTGACTCGGTGCTGCGCTGTCCGAGCAGGTGCGTCCGTCGACCACTGCCCGGTTCTGGCAGCCCAAAGGCAGCAGTTCCCAGACCACCGAGCAACTTCCCAAAGCGTTCGCTAATGGAGTCGGTCAACCGAATAAATCCTTCAATCCGTGAAACCACTGCAGCTGCCGATTGACCAGGCAAGTGCTGTAGGATGGCGCGGTGACTGCCAGGGCTGTCACGCATGAGGAATCCAAGCAGCACAGCCAAGTAGCCTGCTGCAACAAGGGCGTCTGACTGGCTCGAATCCGCCGGCGCCGCCATGGCGTGACACACTGCAAATGCTCGTGCCAACAGGCCGACCAGTGAGGTGCGGCTTGCGCACGCACATTCGGGATAGCATCGCGAGTCGAGCGGACAATGCGGGTTCTGAAACACGTAGCTGAAGTGCGTAGCCGTGGACGAGTCCGCGTCGACGATGTTGGTGAGCAGCGCGGCAGCAATTAGCAGAGTGTCGTAGCACAGATCGCCGAGATCCTTGGCAGTGGTTGAGCTGGAGTTGGCGGCTCCGGTTGATGCTGGATTGCTGCTGCTGGATTCCGTTTGGAGCATCCCATCTGCCATCGTACGCGATACAAACATGATGCTTTTGGACACCGCCTCGAGGCCATTCTGCCTGATAAACTGCGAGCAAAACTCGGTGCTGCTGTTGGACAGATTCACCAGAAGCTGCAGCACCAGAACCGCTGTTTCCAGCGCCTTGACAAGCGACTGGCCGCGGAGTCTGACAGACGATTGCTGGCATGCAGCCAGCAGTGACAGCATAGCCGGGACCACAGCCTTCTCGCCCAAGATCTCGTCCTGGTTTTCTCGGGATGCCGTTGCACTAAACTTGAGCAGTTCAAGTTCCAGAGAGACAGCTAGGCGCGACGGTAGCTGCGGATCGAGCTCGCGCCGAAAAGTGCACTTGTCGGCCTGCTGCCGATGGTTCGGCAATCCACGCAGGCTAGCTGGATGCTGTGACTCGTCGGGCAAGTCAAAGTCCATCCACATATCATCTCCATTTCGAAAATCTGCTGCTGCTGCTGCTGCAGCATTTCGGGCCGACACCTTGCTGACAAAAGAGTCGTCGAAGGGGGAGCCGTCAAGCGATCTGGCTGGCTGGCTGTTGATTTGTTTGACGAATGCCGGAATGCTCCGCGCAAATGTCCGCTCAACTATCAGTGCCAGGCACCCGGATTCATGCAGCTCCCCTCTCAGCAATTCCGCCATTGCTAGGTACGCAACATCATCGTCGCGCATGAAGCTACGCAGCGCAGCCAATACCAGATTGTATGTAGAAACAGCCAATATATCGTCAACCAAACCAAGCGCCCTTACAGTTTGGCAAATGGCTGTCACACACCGACACTGGCTGTCGCAGTCAAAGTCCGAGGGGTCTCGCTGCACCAGAATGTCGGCCTGGGCTGTTGCTTTCAGCACCTCGGCCACGATCTCAAGGATATGGTGGTCAAATACCAGCGACTGCATAACCTCGGGGTTCACGAATGCTGCTCGCACAAGCACCATCATCGACGCGGAGACAAGCGGACACTCGCGCACCCGCTGCATCGAACGGAGTAGCGTCGTGAGCCAGTGTATCGAGCCCAGCAACTCATCTCGGAACTCCTGCTGCCCCAGCCGCGCAGCCAGATCACCACATGCCGAAACCCGCATTGAGTCTGTCGATCCAATCCTCTGTAGAATGTCCCCGATCAGCCTGCGGAACGACTCGCTGCTCGCCGTCCGAGTACCCTCACCACTGTATGGGCTACTGTTGTGCCTTACAAGTGGATCCTGTGGAGACTTGTAGGCGCCAATTGCACCACCAGCCAACGCGCTGCTATCCTGATCGAGCAAAAGCAGGGGCCGCATGTTGAGAGATCGGCTACTACCACTGGGCCGCCGGAATTTGGATAGCTCGCTGCCATCATAATCGTCGTCGTCGCCGCTATCGTCGCTGCGAGGACGCCCGTATGTAAAAACGACATTATGGCTAAATGCCCGCGACTGCAGCCGCTTCAGTGACGCACTCGATGGCCCCTGTGCTTTCTCCAATATGTGCTGGTTACCGGTTTGTGCCTTTGGTGTGCTTCCGCCTGCATTCTCTTGTTTTCGGCTCCAGACATGTTTTTCTGAATCGCCAGTGTCGCTATCGCTGAGTCCGAGCACTATCTCTTTCTGGCTGACATCAGTCTGGCTTGCAGCAGATAGTGGCAGTGGCAGCAGCGGCGGCGATGACGTCGAGGACAGTGAATGGAAGTTGTCAAATTTGCGCCCACACACACTCCTACTGCGTTTGCTAGCGAAGCTGGGCAATACCGGGCTGCTGCCACGTACTTCACCCAAGCCCCATGGGTCATCGGGGATTCCAATGGGTTGCGAAGCCGATTGCGAGACAGAATTTTTCTCGGGCTGCCTGCCCCGTGTCCTTGCTCTTATTCGCGTCGGAGTAGCCTTTGCTACTGGGCCAGCAATCCCCATCTCAAGCCCAAGCTTCGTCTGTACACGGCGCCGTGGATTCTTGCTGCTATCAGCGGATCCCGCGACTGATACTGACTGTGGTAATTCAGGTTGGGTATGGCTCCGTACACGCTTTAGCTTTGCCGGAACTGCCTTCACAGCCTTGCTTATTGATGGGGACTTGGCCTGCTGCCGAGGTATTGCTGCCGACCGATTTCTCGTCCGAGATCCCACCTTAGCCTTGGCTTTGACCTTTGCCGCCTCCTCTGCGCTGACAAACATATCCGTGTTATCCAGCACGATCCTCTGCTGCTGATCAGTCTCCTTGCTATCTGTCACTGCCCTTTCAGGCTTTCCTCCAAGCACATCGCCAAGGTCCCATCTGTTTTTTGTCTGATCCAGGATTGACCGCGACGATGCAGACCCGCCAGGCGCATCGGTTGAATTTCCAGACGGAGTACTGCCCTGTGACCTTGTACTTTCGTAGAGCTGCTCCAGCCTAGACAGAGCGGAGTGTGCTGTTCTCCGGGCCCAAGTGCCTGTGCTTGTGCCTGCTGCCAGAGGCTCTCCGTCACTCTCTTCCACTGATGAATCTGACAAGTCAAGAGGCTGCGGCGTATCGCTGGACGGAGGCTTGCTGCTGCCCGACCCAAACGCGCTTCCAGGAGCCGATACACGACGCGCTGCCTGCGCTCTTCGCCCGTAGGTCATCCCCGACGTTCGCCGGCGTATATTTGAAAAGGGGTCTACCATGTCTAGAGGTTCATTGAAGGACCAGAATTTAGGTGAATTTTGGAGAGCTATCACTGAGGATATGAAAAACACAGCAAAGCACCAGAGCAGAGTTCATTTTCGTCCAGTGGTTGCGAATCGGGCGCGTGGAGCCAAGCCCACGCGTGCCCTTAAAAATCGAGCCACCGAGCCGCTTTGAGCCGATAGCCCAAATTGAATCCAGATCACAGCCCCAGCTGGTTCGGCTCATGGTCTGGGCCGAGTTTCAAGGGAGAGATCAGGCCTCGGGAACAGTCGGGCGTTTGCGACCATGGCCATGCTACAGTCAGTGAACCAGTGTGGCTACGATAGCTGCCATGTGGTGATACGTTCAGTAGGATTGCCTTATGCCGAATAAGCCAGAATGGCCAAACACTCGGCGGATTGTTCGCTCCCACCCGCACTCTAGAACAACGCTTCCTGAACATTCGGCTCTGGAAAAGTCAGGCATTGCCAGCACTGAGGCACGGACCAGTACATCCCGAGCCCCCGCCAAATTCTGCGGACATATCCTCACTGCTGTCCCCTCTGCTTCCATTCTCGGTCCGTGCGGAGGGCTTACCAATCTGGCAGGCAGCTGAAAAACAACAGCTGCCTGCCAGATTGGTATCTCATTCGGAAAGACAAGACCAGTCTCGAAGAGCCTTGATTTGGGTGTGGCCAGAGATCCACGCTATGTGATTAGCATTGTCACACCAAGTGGTGACCAGAAATAGAATGTACCCGCAGCGAAGCTGCAAACAGCTGCGTCAACACACAGTAAAGCAATCCTTTGGCAGGCTAAATGGTATCCCTTGCTCCCTCTTCTGACGGCAGCTGCTGGATCCACAGCGGTATAGTAGAAGGACATAAACACGGCCACTCACCTACAGCACCTTTATCACTGGATCCAGGCTAGAGACAGCGTTTGACGTGGATCTGCTTACGGTATGTCTGTATCGTGGGGCCAGTAGCAGCAGTGCGAGATGGATTCGCTCCGCGATCGTCGTGGAGAGCTTTTCCTCACCAGGGACACCTAAATCCTTTTATCATATGCAGAGCTGTGTATAAAACCACCCTAGGGGAATCGCCGACTAGACGCCAAATCGACAAAGCAATACCCGATATCGTCTTATTCCTCTTGAGCACGCCTTGCTGGATTTATTCCCATCTGTATTCTACACAGCCATGAAGATTACTGCTTCTGCTATCGGCCTCCTCGCCGCTATCCCGTCCGTCCTCGGCGTCTGGCCTCTTCCACGCACCCTCCAGGAGGGCAGCAACAACAGCCAAGTGTGGTGGGCCAGCATCTATGCCAACGGAACCGTCGGGCCAATCGTCAACAGCGCCATTGTGCGTTACCAGGATATCATCAACAAGGAAAGCTTCACAGCCCCGGAAAACTACAAGCAGGGCGTAGTTGAGACCAAGGGCACGTTCATGGGTCTCCAGGTGTCAGTTGAGGACACTGACGACACTCTCAGCCTCGAAACTGACGAATCATACACGCTCGATATCCCGACCGATGGTATGGCCAGCCTGAAGGCCAAGACGCCGTTCGGCGCCCTGCGCGGTCTTGAGACGTTCTCGCAGCTTGTCGTGGCTAACGGCCAATCTCGGGCGATCCAGAAGACGCCGCTGCATATCGAAGATAGGCCTTTCTTCCCGCACCGCGGTATCCTATTCGATACGTCGCGCAACTTTTACTCAGTCGAGTCGATTCTGCGCACTCTCGATGCCATGTCGTACAACAAGATGAATGTCTTCCACTGGCACATCGTCGATGCTCAGTCGTGGCCTGTTGAGTCCAAGACCTTCCCTGAGCTGCAAAAGAAGGGTGCCTACGCTGCGGATATGACTTACTCTTACGCTGACGTAAAGCGCATCATTCAGTATGCCAAGGAGCGTGGTATTCGTGTCATTCCTGAGTTTGATGTGCCAGGCCACACCTACATTGTTGGTGAGGTATTCCCTGAGCTGATGTCGTGCATGAACATGCAGCCAAACTGGGATCAGTATGCTGCTGAGCCTCCTAGTGGCCAGCTCAACATCGCCAAGCCTGAGACTGTCGAGTTCACCAACAAGCTGTTCAAGGAGTACACCGAGCTTTTCACTGACAATGTCTTCCACCTTGGCGGTGACGAGGTAAACCGCAAGTGCTGGAACGAGGATCCCGATGTCCAGAAGTACCTGGCTGCACACCCTGGTGAGGACGTCGAATCACTGCTTGTCAAATGGTATGCACAGGTCCACGACTACCTTGGATCGCTGAACCGCACTGCCTTCACTTGGGAGGAGACACTGTTCCATTCCAACTACACGCCCCCCATGGACACGATTGTGCAGACCTGGATCGACGAGCAGTCGATTCCCAAGACGGTTGCCAAGGGCTACCGCTCGATTGCGTCGCCTGCTAACTACTACTACCTCGACTGCGGACACGGTGCCTGGCTGTCGAACTGGGCTGCAGGTAACTCGTGGTGTGACCCGTTCAAGACCTGGATGAAGATCTACAGCTTCGACCCGTTGGCTAACATCACTGACCCGGCACAGCAAAAACTTGTCACTGGTGCTGAGGTCGCAATGTGGTCGGAGCAGAGCGATGAGATCACGATCGACAAGTACCTGTGGCCGCGTGCCGCTGCCATGGCCGAAACTGCTTGGTCTGGCAAGAAGGATGCCACTGGCCGTGTGCGCACCACCGAGGAGGTCGCGTCGCGCCTGCATGAGCAGCGCTTCCGCATGGTTGGCCGCGGTATTGGCGCTGAGCCCATGCAGCCCCTGTGGTGCGCTCGCAACCCAGGTCACTGCAACTTCCCCGATGCTGACAAGGCAGCGGTTCCCGCTTAAATGGCTTCTCACGTCCTTTCGTTTTAATTATCTAATTTTCTTCTAAACTCAGTACCAAGCAGCTATACCATCCGTTCACAGCATAAAAATCCCGGATGTAAAACAAGTTGAACAAAGATGGGTCGCTTTACTGGATACCCCCTCTGACACTAGAGCGTGTGGCAAGCAGCAAGCACTAGTGAAAGCTTGGTCTCTGGGCACCTCTCCGCATTCCAGTCCAGATATGACATCTCGGCTAGCTGGGGCATGCGCAAGGAGCAATGGCAATATAGGAACATCAAGTAGGCTGTCATTAGAAGCCGCCCCCCGTGCCCTTCTCAGGACGACGAATACCAGAAGGGGTGCCTGGCAGCCTTGTTCCTTAGACTGCATTCATACATATAGAAATGGCTGGCACTTGGATATAATATCACAACCATGTCATGTCGCCTTGGCTTGCAACAACGGCCAAATGCGAGGGAGCAATACAGACTGGAGCCCACCCATTTGCTGCTTATTGTTTAGATTGCCCCGCGCAAAATGGCCGACCTCCACCGACCTACCCCAAACAGCACGGGTCTTCCTGCGTTCATGGCCACTGTGATGGATGACCTGCTCCATGCGCTTTTTCTGTGCCGCGATATAGCGACAGCGCAGTTTGGTGACAAACAGACGAGCTGCAGCACGTGACAGCAGCTGGTGGGGAAGAGTGGGGATTGTCACTCAGCTGGCAATCTCTTCCTTTTCAGCCTTTTCTTGGATAAAGCTGCTACATCGTCTACTCGGACCAGATGGAAACCGCAAGGCATGCCAGGCAGGAAGAGAAGCCTGGTTTTCCACAACATCACAAGGTGGAAATCCCCCAGGTAGCGATGCTGGCAGGAACCTACCACACGTGTAGTCCAGCACTAGTGTTTGCAGCAATTCTGAAAAAGAAAAAATAAGCATGCCAACCAACAGTGCTGGGATTAGAGTTGTTGTCGATGAACTGGCACTAAATAAAGCATACTCGACCTCTATTTGGCTGAGCATTTTCGCTGGCGTCGAATTAACCAGGGGTAAAGCATGGATAAGAAATGGCCTGTCAAGCCATTTGCCCTGGCAGCTTGCAAGAATGGCATGAAAGCTGGGTGTGATCGACACACCACACGCCATTGCAGGCGTCTGTAGAATGGACACTGGGTGCCAAGAGCCAGTGGCTGCAAGCAAGGTGCAGGCTCTGGAGTGTCCCGGCATGTGCCCTCCGTGTTTGTGTTTGTCCGGTGAGGACATTATGAATGCATCTGCCGAAGAATACAGGTTTCGCAGCATTGCTAAAGGGGATTCGCCCCATCTCTGACTGGCAAGAAGTGAGAACTGGCGAGAAAACTGCTTTCCGCTGTTGCTTCCGAAAAACACTCTCTTACTGCTGGGTAGCATGAACCGAGTGCCTACGAACCCTGGCTCACAGCAGGAATAATGTGGCAGAAAAGGGGCCGATCGCACTGCCGTGGTGTGAATACCAGGCCGCGCAGGCTACATGGGAATGGAATTTGGATTATTGTTTTTGCTGCATGGCCCACCGGCACACATTTGTCGACGGAAGCAGCAAGCAAACATGGTGCTTCGCTGGTGAGGCCCTCTGCTGCCAGCCACCGAGTCCGTCTGCATTCCACACGCAATTGCCTTCTCATTATTCCACTATATAAAGCATCTGGCCGTCCCCATGGAGCGACATTGCTTTCCTCAGCACCACACCTGCCCTTTAATTCCCCTACCTCAGCTTTTCAACACTATCCAGCTTGTCTGACGCTACGTCTTTTGTTTCATACTTGCACTGCTATATCGGCTGAACCACTGCCTTCTTAATATTTATTCCGCAAAGAACAATCTCCACTTAGCCATGAAGATCACTGCATCTGTCATCAGCCTTCTTGCCGCCATTCCCGCTGCGCTTGCTGTCTGGCCTATCCCCCGCACGTTCAAGGAGGGCACTTCCAACAGCCAAGTCACCTATATGTCCATCTCTGTCCAGGGCAACGTTGGCGGCGTTGTGCGTGACGCTGTTAACCGCTACTCTGACCTCATCAACAAGGAGAGCTTCACGGCTCCTGAAGACTGGAACAAGGGTAGTGTCAAGACCAGCGGCAGTTTTGGCGGTCTGGTGGTCTCTGTTGAGAACAGCAGCGAGACCCTAGATCTTGGCACCGATGAGTCGTACACTCTCGATATCCCTGTCAGTGGCCAGGCTACCCTGAAGACAAAGACGCCGTACGGTGCTCTGCGCGGTCTTGAGACTCTCTCGCAGCTGGTTGTTGCCAACGGCAATGGTAAGGCAATTCGTAACACCCCTATCCATATTGAGGATTCGCCAGCATTCCCTCACCGCGGCCTGCTGTTTGACACGTCGCGCAACTACTACTCGATTGAGTCTATCAAGCGCACTCTTGATGCCATGTCGTACAACAAGATGAACGTGTTCCACTGGCACGTCGTGGACGCGCACTCATGGCCGATTGAGTCAAAGACCTACCCCGAACTGGCTCAGAAGGGTGCCTACGCTTCCAGCATGCAGTACTCGTATGGAGACGTCAAAGACCTAATCCAGTATGCCAAGAACCGCGGTATCCGTATCATTCCCGAGTTCGATGTTCCGGGCCACACCTACATTGTTGGTCAATCGCACCCGGAGATCATGTCGTGCCTGAACGTTCAGCCTGGGTGGGACAAGTTCGCTGCTGAGCCGCCCAGTGGCCAGCTCAACATCGCCAAGGAGGGGTCGATTGAGTTTGCCAAGAATATCTATAAGGAGTACGCTGCTCTGTTCCCTGACAGTGTTATCCATGTGGGCGGTGATGAGGTCAACATGCACTGCTGGGAGGCTGATCCTGATGTTCAGAAGTACCTGGCCGTCAACAAGAACGCAACTGTTGAGAGCCTGCTGCTCGACTGGTATGGCAAACTGCACGACTATGTTGGCAAGGATCTGAAGAAGACTGCATTCACCTGGGAGGAAACCCTGTTCCACCACCCGTTCAATGCCCCCAAGGACACAATTGTTCAGACCTGGATTGACCCGACTTCGGTTGCAAACACTGTTGCCAGGGGCTACCGTGCTGTTTCATCCATCTATTCGTACATGTACTTGGACTGCGGCCACGGTGCCTGGCTGACGAACTGGGACGGCAACTCATGGTGCGATCCGTTCAAGACCTGGATGCACGTCTACAACTACGATATTCTGGCCAACATCACCGACCCGGCGCAGCAGAAGTTGGTGCTTGGTAGCGAAGCTGCTATCTGGTCTGAGCAAACTGACGAGCATGCCATTGATCCCCGTATTTGGCCCCGTGCCGCAGCTGTCGCCGAAACCACCTGGTCTGGCAAGGCTGGTGCGGATGGCCATGTTCGTACCACTGGCGAGGTTGCTTCGCGTCTGCATGCCCAGCGCTACCGTATGGTTGGCCGTGGCATCAACGCCGAGCCTATGCAGCCGCTGTGGTGTGCTCGCCACCCGGGCCAGTGCAACCTCTCTTAGACGGGTGCATACTGGCGCTGCTATCTCTCAATAGCCCAATCCTCAGATTATCTAAATATACTTTTTCTGTATCAAGCGATTGCTTCATCGATAAACCCCATTGATATCAACAAGTGCATTCATTTTGAAGGAGCATAGAGAATGGTAATCGCTCCGTGGCTTTCCGTGTGCTTGCACGAAGCCATATACAACCCAGGAATTTGATATGTAAAGCAGAGTGCAGTTCAAGTGTATTTCTGCAGTGGATAATCCACAGCAAGGCCATTTTTATTGCCGTCTCCGAGTAAAGACATGGCGGCTGAAAAAAAGGCCGAGTGTTGAAAATGGATTGCCTTTTCAATTGACGCTGAAGAGTAGGTGCATATCCAAGCAAGTTGCCATGAGCATCCACACTGCTATGCCAGAAAGAATGTTCTGCAAACCTTATGTAGCCCCAGACCACATGAAGGCAGGATTTACTGACGCATCATGCACGCTGGGCCAACCTCAATCCCCGCAGACCCAGCGTATAAATCACCGCAAAAACCATTTATCAAACTGGGATTGAGCAAGACTGGGTGGCCTTACGTGAGCAGATGTAGGACGACACATGGCCGTTGCATGCTTAGTATATATAGCTTATGCCATATCTAAACGCAAATGCCACGTTGGTGACGTCATATGGCACAACTCCAGGAGAACGATATGTAGGCCATCAACATACTCTTGACTGTGCTATTCTGGTTGGACTGGCGGAACATAACCAGCCATGTGCGGCCATTCTATCAATGGTATGCAATGCATCGGCTCATTTATATGCAGCTGCAGGCCTTTCAGTGCCTCTGGAAATGTAGACGTTGATCTCCACAAAGGCACAAGAGGGCATAATGATCTGTTGTCATGCCATTCCAATAATCCGTGCACCACGCAGCATGGTCTTCGCGAGAATCCGATCTTCGGGCCGTTTCATGGCAATAGCAGCGGATATCAGCTGCTGCTCATATTGTTCCGGTCGACAGCAATCTGCATCGACCAAGGGGAGCGAACTACAAAGTGATCCACCTCTGCAATGGTGAATATGAGGCATGCTGCAGCTATGCCCATTGGACCATACCTTCTTTACTATGAAGAATTCTACAGAGCAACACGGCGACATTATAATCAAGGAGGCAATGTCCATTATGCTTTCTGGGGCCGAAATCTTCGTATAAAAGGGCTCTACAAGAGCAGCATCCTCCACAATCCTCACCACTGCTCTTCCTTGTTTTACATTGCTAGCCACGTCCTATTCTATTTCCGCCTCTACTTCCTCTTGCAAGTGCTCAACACACACTTTTCTTCTTAATCATACTTACTACCTCAATGAAGATCACCGCTTCTGCTATCGGCCTTCTCGCCGCTATCCCGTCTGTCCTCGGTGTCTGGCCTATCCCGCGTACGCTGAAGGAGGGTTCATCCAACAGCGAGGTCTGGTGGGTTGACATCAAGCCCTCAGGCACCGTCGGTCCGATTGTCGATAATGCAATTGTGCGCTATCAAGACCTGATCAACAAGGAGAGCTTCCAGAGCCCGGTCACCTGGGATGTTACCCAAGTATCCACTAGCGGCTCCTTTGGTGGCGTGTCTGTATCTGTTGAAAGCACTGATGAGACTCTGAACCTCGATACCGATGAGTCCTATACCCTCGATGTTCCTGTCAGCGGTCAGGCTACCCTGAAGGCAAAGACGCCGTACGGTGCTCTGCGTGGTCTTGAGACTCTCTCCCAGCTCGTTGTTACCAACGGAGCATCTAAGGCAATCCGCAACACTCCTATCCACATTGAGGATTCTCCTTTCTTCCCTCACCGTGGTCTGCAGATCGATACATCGCGCAACTACCTTCCAGTCAGCACTCTCAAGCGCACCATTGATGCCATGTCATACAACAAGATGAACGTGCTTCACTGGCACATCGTTGACGCTCAGTCGTGGCCCATTGAGTCCAAGACCTTCCCTGACCTTCAGAAGAATGGTGCTTACAGTGCAAAGGAGACCTACTCGCATGCTGAGGTTAGGGATCTCATCCAATATGCCAAGGAGCGTGGTGTCCGCATCATTCCTGAGTTTGATGTGCCAGGCCACACCTACATTGTCGGCAAGGCGCGCCCGGACCTGATGTCGTGCATGGATATCCAGCCCAACTGGGATCAGTATGCTGCTGAGCCTCCTAGTGGCCAGCTCAACATCGCCAAGCCTGAGACTATCGAGTTCACCAACAAGCTGGTCAAGGAGTACACAGGGCTCTTCACTGACAATGTCTTCCACCTTGGTGGTGACGAGGTCAACCGCAAGTGCTGGAAAGAGGATCCCGATGTCCAGAAGTACCTGGCTGCACACCCTGGTGAGGACGTCGAGTCGCTCCTGGCTAGCTGGTACTCGAAGGTCCACGAATACCTTGGATCGCTGAACCGTACTGCTTACACCTGGGAGGAGACACTGTTCCACAGCACATACGAGCCGCCTAAGGACACGATTGTGCAGACCTGGATCGACGAGCAGTCGATTCCCAAGACGGTTGCCAAGGGCTACCGCTCGGTTGCGTCGCCTGCTAACTACTACTACCTCGACTGCGGACACGGTGCCTGGCTGTCGAACTGGGCTGCAGGTAACTCGTGGTGTGACCCGTTCAAGACCTGGATGAAGATCTACAGCTTCGACCCGTTGGCTAACATCACTGACCCGGCGCAGCAGAAGCTTGTTCTTGGTGGTGAAGCCCTGCTGTGGGCTGAGCAGAGTGACGAGACTGTGCTCGACAGTCGCCTGTGGCCGCGTGCTGCAGCCATGGCCGAGACCACCTGGTCTGGTAAGAAGGATGCCACTGGCCATGTGCGCACCACCGAGGAGGTTGCGTCGCGCCTGCATGAGCAGCGCTTCCGCCTGGTTGGGCGTGGCATTTCTGCTGAGCCAATGCAGCCTGTCTGGTGTGTCCGTAACCCGGGCCACTGCAACCTGCCCTAAACAAGTAGATTCCAGCGTGATGTCTTGGAAACCCTATTCGGACCAAAAGTTTATAGCTTCACGCAATATACTCAGTGACTTCCCATTCCCAAATCCATCAGGCAATCTAGCTGCGCTGTCTCTTCGACTGTCGTGTTGTTTTTTTTTTTCATTTTTGCGTATTGCACCTACATCCCCAGTACATGCCTACGGACAACACCATGTGTGCTAATAAGGCAGCAAGTTAAGCAGGGAAGTACTCGCATACAGAATGACACGGCCACGAATTTTTTTGGAGCCAATGCTCATGTGTTCTCGGAGTAAAACCACAGTGGATACACGAGGACCAGATTTTCTGGGATTGTCGCCGCGCACCTTCCGTAAGAATACTCTTCAAGGAATAGAACTCGGGCTTCTTTAAATTATTGCCAGAAGAATCCTTTTATGTGCATGTGCATCCTCCGCCTGCATTGTTTATCGATTTTCTAGAAGGTCATGCATGTCAAGCCAACCTCAAGCCTTGCACATTGGAGGCAAGTAATGGCAATCAAGAGACGCGGGATATGTACCAGTCCAGGCCACAGCGGTCCAACATGATTAAGGAAGGCGACAGCGGGTATGTAATGAGCAGCTCATATACATAGGCTAGGAAATCCTTAGCTACATAGCATGCTCATTCAGCTACACTTGTAGAGGTAGTGCGTTATGGATATCTTTCTACTCTGCGTTCTTGGATTGTAATGTCGGCCACTTTTGCCGGGGTTCTCACCACTTGTGCTTATTGTCAATCATAGAAGGCCCGGTCAACATGTGCTGGCCTTCAGTTCCAGACATTCTAGACCATCCGTAATTACTAGAGTTGATCAACATACACTTGTACTGAAAAGGAGTACGGCCATATCCCTTATAGGAATTCTCAAAAGACGCCGCACGTATTTCTATGGAAACCGCTTTTCGGCCTATTTGGTGCCGGCTGTGGTGAAGGCAGACCACATTGCACTTGCTTCCAGCCAAAACAATTCTGTTAGATCACCAAGAGCCTCCAAGCGGATCTCTCACTACTGGTGCTCTTATCGCCAAATATTCTGCATATGCATTGGTCGGGCCATAAGCCGCTCATTGAAGTATATTCTAAGGAATATTCACGCTGAATTTCATGGCCAGAGAAAAGGTAGCAGCATACATATGAGAATGCAAAGGCGGAAACGCATTTCAGGCATGGCTTCATACAAATTTACAGTAGATTCTATGGAATCGTGCAAAGGGATATCAATTTTGCACCCTGTAGACGAAATGCTATATAAAGGCTCTTTTGCCAAACCCATTTACACATCTCTCATCATCATCAACACTCGCCTTGATACCCTCCTCTCGCTTCTAACCCCACCTCTTCTTTACACCCAAGCTAGTGCCGTGTTCACATAACCTTTTAATACTAATCCTACTTACTACCTCAATGAAGATCACCGCTTCTGCTATCGGCCTTCTCGCCGCCATCCCATCTGTCCTCGGTGTCTGGCCTATCCCGCGTACGCTGAAGGAGGGCTCGTCCAACAGTGAGGTCTGGTGGGTTAACATCAAGCCTTCGGGCAATGTTGGATCCATTGTCAGCAACGCCATCCAGCGTTACCAGGACCTGATCAACAAGGAGAGCTTCCAGAGCCCGGTCACCTGGAACGTGACGCAGGTCAAGACCAACGGCTCCTTTGGTGGCGTGTCTCTGTCTGTCGAGAGCACTGATGAGACTCTGAACCTCGATACCGATGAGTCCTATACCCTCGATGTCCCTGTCAGCGGCGAGGCTACCCTGAAGGCAAAGACGCCGTACGGTGCTCTGCGTGGTCTTGAGACTCTCTCCCAGCTCGTTGTTACCAACGGAGCATCTAAGGCAATCCGCAACACTCCTATCCACATTGAGGATTCTCCTTTCTTCCCTCACCGTGGTATTCAGCTTGACACCGCTCGTAACTACCTCCCTATCAGCGCCCTCAAGCGCACCATTGATGCCATGTCATACAACAAGCTGAATGTGCTCCACTGGCACATTGTTGATTCTCAGTCGTGGCCTGTTGAGTCCAAGACCTTCCCTGACCTTCAGAAGAATGGTGCTTACAGTGCAAAGGAGACCTACTCGCATGCTGAGGTTAGGGATCTCATCCAGTATGCCAAGGGCCGTGGTGTCCGCATCATTCCTGAGTTTGATGTGCCAGGCCACACCTACATTGTCGGCAAGGCGCGCCCGGACCTGATGTCGTGCATGAACATGCAGCCAAACTGGGATCAGTATGCTGCTGAGCCTCCTAGTGGCCAGCTCAACATCGCCAAGCCTGAGACTATCGAGTTCACCAACAAGCTGGTCAAGGAGTACACAGGGCTCTTCACTGACAACGTCTTCCACCTTGGTGGTGACGAGGTCAACCGCAAGTGCTGGAAAGAGGATCCCGATGTCCAGAAGTACCTGGCTGCACACCCTGGTGAGGACGTCGAGACACTCCTGGCTAGCTGGTACTCGAAGGTCCACGAATACCTTGGATCGCTGAACCGCACTGCCTACACCTGGGAGGAGACACTGTTCCACAGCACATACGAGCCGCCTAAGGACACGATTGTGCAGACCTGGATCGACGAGCAGTCGATTCCCAAGACGGTTTCCAAGGGCTACCGCTCGGTTGCATCGCCTGCCAGCTACTACTACCTCGACTGCGGACACGGTGCCTGGCTGTCGAACTGGGTTGCAGGTAACTCGTGGTGTGATCCGTTCAAGACCTGGATGAAGATCTACAGCTTCGATCCGCTCACCGGCATCACTGACCCGGCGCAGCAGAAGCTTGTTCTTGGTGGTGAGGTCCAGCTGTGGGCTGAGCAGAGTGACGAGACTGTGCTCGACAATCGCCTGTGGCCGCGTGCCGCAGCCATGGCCGAGACCACCTGGTCTGGCAAGAAGGATGCCACTGGCCGTGTGCGCACTACTGAGGAGGTCGCATCGCGCCTGCATGAGCAGCGCTTCCGCATGGTTGACCGTGGCATTTCTGCCGGGCCCATGCAGCCTGTCTGGTGTGTCCGTAACCCGGGCCACTGCAACCTACCCTAAACAAATCCAGCCTAGCACGATGTCTCTAACCTTTATGTATGACCAAAGACAATTTGTGAACCCTATACATCAACTCCTTTGCCGATTCCAGCTATTTAGGCAATCACGATTGCTACAAGTTGCAAATCCGCGGTTGCTACCATAACACTGCTTGGAAGTGGTTCGCGTAACTCTGGCACAGCCATTCGTGTTCATCCGCCATACATATGTGATCCATGGAGCTCAGTTTCCGTACTAAACTGGTATCTGCCCATACGAAGAGTGGAGCTGGAGCCAAAGAAACTAGTTTCCCCGAGTAAAGAAGCCAGTGCGGTGAAAGATCCAAGTTGAATATTTAGATCGCCGTCTGTGATTTCTATTTTAGGCGGGCATCAGCCAAGCATATCATCTGAATCGTCTTAAATCCTTGCCAAAAGCCGGCTTTCTGAATCGGACAGTACCCCAGAACACATGATGTAGTAATTTTCTTGCATTTATGCACACTGGGCCAACATCGCGGGTTGCAAATGCGGAGCTGATTATGTGTGTAACATTTGTCAAAAAGGGGTTTCAGGCAGGATTGTGACAGCCATGCACCAGGGACATGTGTGCCACTCCTGAGCATGATATGAACACCATATAGCCTATGAGCTACGACTGGTGGCTCAGCTACTTTTGTATCGCTGTGTATGCTCGTGTCAAGGGGGGTTAATTTACGTGAGGCCGTCTATTTGTCTGCAAAATAGCTGTCTTTTGAGGCGATGTGTGCGTGCTGTGCTTAGACCAATAGCAATCTGTCAGAACGGCAGCCAAAAGTGCTTGCATGCGGTTGCGGAAATTCCTGAGACTCCTTTATTGGGAATATAGATCTGCATGTATGCACTCGTGCAGGAGAGGTGTGTAGCTGTCAGCCGTTGTTTTCTGTGAATTCCAAAAAAAAATGCAGCATGTTCTTGGCATGACCAAGCGGAGCACTATGTCAATACGCAAATATATGCTGCGGTAAACTGCCGCAGCTGCTGCCATGAAACAGCCCGAGAACAGCTTCACACAAAGAGTGATATTACAAAGTATTACATGTCTGTTGTGACATGCTGGAAGTGTGTCTCGGTCCTAATGCGGACATTTGGTGGCATGGGAATCCAAGACATGCTGCATTGGCGTTCGCCGGGTCAGGATGCTTCTGACAAAGGAACATTTGTTTGGAATAATTGAAAGGTGATGTAGTGTTCGGGGCGGTGGCATGCAGGCCTGAGCGTTGAGCAAATGCCGCTTCTCCCACATGGTAGCTGGATCAACCGGTGGCATGTTTGACTGGACTTCAGAAGTAGCAGGGGCATATTCGGTATTCGCCGGGGAGAATCTTATATAAAGGCTCCGCTAATACGGCCCTTTTCACGGTCCTCACTACCAAACTTCCTTGCTTCGAATCTTTCCGTCTAATTCTGTTCTTCCTCTGCTTCTACCCAGTGTTCTACACTCCGTCCCTCTTAATATCTATTCCGCTCCATTTTCCATGAAGATTACTGCTTCTGCTATCGGCCTTCTCGCCGCCATCCCATCCGTCCTCGGTGTCTGGCCTATCCCGCGTACGCTGAAGGAGGGCTCGTCCAACAGCGAGGTCTGGTGGGTTAACATCAAGCCTTCGGGCAATGTTGGATCCATTGTCAGCAACGCCATCCAGCGTTACCAGGACCTGATCAACAAGGAGAGCTTCCAGAGCCCGGTCACCTGGAACGTGACGCAGGTCAAGACCAACGGCTCCTTTGGTGGCGTGTCTCTGTCTGTCGAGAGCACTGATGAGACTTTGAACCTCGATACCGATGAGTCTTATACCCTTGATGTTCCTGTCAGCGGCGAGGCTACCCTGAAGGCAAAGACGCCGTACGGTGCTCTGCGTGGTCTTGAGACTCTCTCCCAGCTCTTTGTTGCCAACGGCAACGGAAAGGCCATTCGCAACACCCCTATCCACATTGAGGATTCTCCTTTCTTCCCTCACCGTGGTCTGCAGATCGATACATCGCGCAACTACCTTCCAGTCAGCACTCTCAAGCGCACCATTGATGCCATGTCATACAACAAGATGAACGTGCTGCACTGGCACATCGTTGACGCTCAGTCGTGGCCTGTTGAGTCCAAGACCTTCCCTGACCTTCAGAAGAATGGTGCTTACAGTGCAAAGGAGACCTACTCGCATGCTGAGGTTAGGGATCTCATCCAGTATGCCAAGGGCCGTGGTATTCGTGTTATTCCTGAGTTTGATGTGCCAGGCCACACCTACATCGTCGGAAAGGCGCGCCCGGACCTGATGTCGTGCATGGATATCCAGCCCAACTGGGATCAGTATGCTGCTGAGCCTCCTAGTGGCCAGCTCAACATCGCCAAGCCTGAGACTATCGAGTTCACCAACAAGCTGGTCAAGGAGTACACAGGGCTCTTCACTGACAATGTCTTCCACATTGGTGGTGATGAGGTCAACCGCAAGTGCTGGAAAGAGGATCCCGATGTCCAGAAGTACCTGGCTGCACACCCTGGTGAGGACGTCGAGACACTCCTGGCTAGCTGGTACTCGAAGGTCCACGAATACCTTGGATCGCTGAACCGCACTGCTTACACCTGGGAGGAGACACTGTTCCACACGAAATACGAGCCGCCTAAGGATACGATTGTGCAGACCTGGATCGACGAGCAGTCGATTCCCAAGACGGTTGCCAAGGGCTACCGCTCGGTTGCGTCGCCTGCTAACTACTACTACCTCGACTGCGGACACGGTGCCTGGCTGTCGAACTGGTCCGCTGGTAACTCGTGGTGTGACCCGTTCAAGACCTGGATGAAGATGTATAGCTTCGACCCGTTGGCTAACATCACTGACCCGGCGCAGCAGAAGCTTGTTCTTGGTGGTGAAGCCCTGCTGTGGGCTGAGCAGAGCGACGAGATTGTGCTTGACGGTCGCCTGTGGCCGCGTGCTGCTGCTGTCGCCGAGACCACCTGGTCTGGCAAGAAGGATGCCAATGGCCATGTGCGCACTCCTGGTCAGGTCGCGGCGCGCCTGCATGAGCAGCGCTTCCGCATGGTTGGCCGTGGTATTGCTGCTGAGCCCATGCAGCCCCTGTGGTGTGTCCGTAACCCTGGCCACTGCAACCTCCCTATGCTTGATTAGGAACGCATCTAGCGTATTCGTTTATACGATAATTTTAGTCCCACTGATACTTGCAAATGAATATTGCTTCAGACATGCCCGTCTTGCTACGTCATCAACTAGCCTCGTTCCTATAATCTGAATAGGTATTGGTTTCCTTGCTGGTATTGTTTCAGTCCACTTGCATCCCTAAAAAATTAGATGCATAGAAAGGATTGCCAAACAAGCATGAGCAATACGGAAAACATGCCTTTTGACAGCTACTCTTTCTGTCTTCAACCAACAGTTTCCGGGTGAGAGCGCCAGGGATGACGTTGATGACCGCTTCCCACCCTTGACATCGCCTAGCTCACCTTGTTCACTGACATACTCTTTTTTGGCCCTCAAAGTACCATATACATTTTTACTATACGCACTGCAGCAGCATCTGCCAACATCCTTTATGCGGCAACAAACAAATATTCTGTTGACAAAAGGAACAGGAGAGAAAGCTAATAAAATTATAGGCAATGCACAGAGAGAAGAGGAGGGAATGAACAGAAGAGATAATGGTAGCTAAGAATATAGGTAAGGGATATGCAGCGCCATCGCAGCTGTTCACAGGTCATTCGGCACACGCTTAATGTGTTCTGGGATCCTGATACCGACCCGACGACAGGCACGCTCAAAGGCAGGTCTGATACCCCAGACACCGCTGTAGCGGTTGCCGCTAATTAACATCATCTGACGTCTACGGGTGTTGGCAAACCAGTACCTGAATTGGCTCGTTCTCTGGTTGTCGATATTCAGCTCGCTGTTGATGTGATCCTCTGGATACGGGTGGTGGATATTCGCGATAATCCACTTGTAATAAGCCTTGCGCTGTTTCGGCGTCGTCATGTGGCGAGAGCTGCTCTGCTGACCGTCGCTGTAAGGGGTGTTGTCAGCCCCCTCGTCGCGTGCTACCAGGTTCCTTCGGCCATCCTCTCTAAGCAAAGTGGGTCGAATAGGCTGGCCAGTGACAGTCCTGCCTGTATTATCCTCAAAGCTGGCTTGGGAATCGATTAGGGCGTCGCTGAATCCCGCCCCCAGCAGTTGGATGCTCTGGGCGTTGGTTGTTGCTGCCGGGGCCAGCGCAAAAAGGGGTGACCCATGAGTCGCAGGCGTGCCACCAAAGAGCGGCGAGCTTGGTACGCTCAGATCTGCGTTCCAGGCCACAGAAAGGGAGCCGGCAGTCAGGGCCTGGGGATCCAGCGTCTGTGTTTCTAGCTGGCCGCTCTGAGTTGGCCGCACGGCCTGGAGAATGCCTGCAGCGCGGCTCAAGAGAATGCGATTGTCCGCACGTATGGTGTCTGCAACAGGCACAGCTGTGTGTCCGGCATTTTCTCTCGGTAGGTGATAATGAGCGGCCGCTGTGCTAGCGGCCATGGGCGAAAGGAGGCCTGGCGAGGGCGATATGTGGGTGTCAGTCAGCGCAGGCGAGAGCGACGGCAGGCTGCGAGGGCTATGTGGTATATTGATGCGAGGGTAGAGGTGTCCTGTAGCTTGACCAACCTGCGGCGTCAAAAGAGGGATAGTGCCACGCTGCAGCCAGCCAAATTGGTCGGATAATTGTGAGTCTGCAACGTCTGTCTGAATGTTCAGCTCGGCGAAATTGGATTCGTCGCCTGTCACGCTGAGCTCGTGGGGACTGGCAGTGGCTGGTTGCACCGGGCTTGGCTGCTCCCAAGACATGGCGGTCAGGACGCCGTTGTTTGCAAACAGGTCGTTTGCAATAGCCTGCGAGCTAGCGTCCTGGCTACCCGGCAACTCGTTCAAGTACAGGAGGTTGCTGAACATGTTCAAAGGCACCATGGCCTCGGAGCCGTGTGGGGCTTGTATCCCAGCGCTCGTGTAGGGCACCAAGTCTCCAGCACTCGCCTGGAGTTCGTCAGAAGTGGATACTGAGATTGAAGGCACGCTGTACACTTGCGGGTTGGTGGAGCCTGGGGCAGATGTGGCTGCACTGATAGACAGAAGGAGGTCGGCTGGTGAGATGCAGTTGAGGGACGGCTGCTGGTGAGGCAGGGTGTGGAGGAAAGGAGAGGTGCTGGAGCCACCAGACAAAAGCGCCGCTGTGGTTGTTTGCTCGGAGTATGGTGCTAGCAGGGGAGTTGAAAGACTCGTACTGCCACTGGCTTGAGCTGTGTGCGAAAAGGCGCCTGCTGCAGAAGTTTGCTCGAACAGCATAGGGTCAGCGAAAGCCTGGTCCCCTTCTGAGGCGCCATTTGGCCACCTGGCTGGCGTTGTAGGTTCAGAGTCTGAAAATCTCATTTGGTTATGCTCTGTACCTGAAGCACGTTCGCTGAGTAACAGTATCGGAATTGCGACAAGAAAATATAGGGTAGTAAAAAAGAAGGCTTAGAAAATACTTTTTGCCTCTTTAGAGGGGCATTTCAAGTGTAGGAAATCCGACAGGTGGAAAAAGAGGGGGCGAGCAACGAAAACAAGAGTGCAGGCCAAAGGGGTTTAAATCTTAAAAACCTGGTGGGCTCACTCGCAACTCCCAAGGGTTGGTGCACAGCCAGCTCCACTTTCACCTTATTTTTTTCTTTTTGTTTTGCCGAAAAGCCGTTAAGAAATCAGCACCCCTCCGTTCCCAACAGAATCCGTTAGTTCTCTAATGCATCTAGGTGCCCGCTGATTTCTCCCGCTCTCCATCGCTGCTTTTCAAACTATCTCTCTTCACGGGTAGCTGGTTTTGTGGATGATGAGGCACCAAGAAGATGACGGAGCTGGAATCACTACATCCTCCTCCTCATGTGTTCACAGCGCCAAGAGCTCCTTGCAACGCCGGGGTTTGCTTGAAAGCGTATAGTGGCCGGCACTTCCCCCAACAGTTGCGGACATTGATGTTTCTAAACAGAAGACACGAGGAAGAGTACTTCTATTGGAAGCGATCATTTTTCGATGCAAGAACTTTCTTTTGAAAAACCCCGGGTGTTTTCGCAACAGATGTGAGGTGGGAACACGGCTGTGTGGCCCTGTGGCTGTCTGTTTTCTTGATTGACACCGGAAATGCGCCGCCCTGGAGACCGCAGCAAGATGACCTGTTTCCCTGCGCCCGTGGTGACCTTCTTCCATGGAACGGATACCTGCCTCTATGTACATGGCTTATGCCCATCACATGGCTGCTGCGCTTTCTTTTGTTTAAACAATTAACTTGACGAAACCTTGATCAACAGAATTACATGACATTAAATGATACCTGGAAAGCGGTGCATGACATCCACTACGAGCTGCCCAACCAATGAATTGCACCATGCAAACCACGACCTTGTATAGTCCTTCTCGTCATCCACGTTTACGGACTCGTGCATTAACCCAAGCCCCGTTGTTGACGATTTCAGAGTCTCCAAGCAGTCTTTCACCTCAGCAGCATCGCTCGAAGTCATCGCCTGCATAGCCACAGCCATCGGCCACACGCGCAGAAATCCGGTATGCGGGCTGCCGATTCCGCGGATATAACTGCCGGCAAAATACCACGGATTATCAATAGACAGTATCAGGCGACGTGTATTGGCGTAAATCGGGTCCTGTGCATCCACAAACCCTAGATACGGAAGCGAGAGGAGCGAGGGCCCGTTAGCATCATCCATAATCAGTGCCGACCCGTATCCATCGGTCTCGTATGCAAACACCCTGCCGTGTTTTGGATGCACCAATGTGCCGTATTCAAAGATGCCCTTACGGATCTCGTCAGAGAGCTGCTCCGCAGCTTGTGCCTGATCTGAATATATATTCAGTGTACGAAGCATCTCAGAGAGATTGGCAAGCTCCACAGACAGGAATGCGTTGGCGGGCACGAGGAACGGGAATATGGTTGCGTCGTCGGATGGGCGGAACAGCGTGCTCACCATGCCCGTATACCTGACAGGGTTCCCACGACCACCGCCAAACTGTGTCTCGGTGGCAGTATCTGTATTGCGCTTATATGCGACAGTCAACGGTGATAGTCTGCGGCCACCCAAAACCGTAGGCGCCTGCAGGAGCCTGGCAGCCCGCAGAATCTTCTGCACAGCGGCTACCCATGACGCACGGTTGATGAAGGAGGTATCTTTGGTCGCACGCCAGTACTGCGTCGAAATCTGCAGAAACGACGCCCACGAGTCAATCTCGAATTTAGCCTCAAACACAGTTTCATTATTGAACATTGGGAAGACCTCCAAGTCGATAGCAATCCCGTTGGGCGTAGGCTTCACGACCGAGAATTGTGGCGGCTGGAATGCGTTCCCATATACATCCTCCACCAGTTCCTCCGCCTGCAGATTGACCAGACCCAAGACCAGCCTCGCGATGTTCGTGTCCTGGGTAGCGTACGGCAGGTAGGGCAGCACCTGGTTGGCGCTGTCCCGTAGCCACTGTGCGGTGATGTCGCCGGTGATCAGGAAGCTGTACGCGGTGCCGTTGGTGCTCTGCCACGCGACCGTCGTGTCCAGGGTGTTTGGGAACACATTCGTGAACAGCTGCTTCCAGACGGGGTCGCGGATTCGCCCGACGGTGTCGTTGATCACATGCTCTATCACTGCGCTAGTGAAGGTGCGGCATTCGGGCGGTGGCCGCATTGCTGGAATGGCGCCGGTGCCATGGGGTGTGGAAGAATAGTCAGTGTAGGATACACATGAATCAGGGATTTCGCCAGCGGCTACCGTGGTGGCGGCCATTGCCAATGCAGTCAAAGTGATTGTCTTCATATATAGCATTTGCATGTGAGTGTAGAAGGGGCGTATGTTAAAATTGGGTGCTTGCGACTAGTCGGCAGGGGAAAGAGGTTGGTAAATGTTCGATATGTACGTAGCTGCTGTCTTGTTTTGTGTCGTTTGACAGCCCAAGCCACGTATAATATCAGCGAAAATTCGCACAACATTGCAGGCAGTAACCAACAATAGCACGCCGTTTTGTTGTTTTTGGCAGAATATGCTGGCCCGCGCATTGTCCCGAGGTTAGGACAGCTGAAACATATATGCCACAAAATCGTGTTGGTATTTAAAGAAAGCTTAGAGGAAAATGGTTGCGCCCGTGGTGGGTAAGCAGATAAAGAAGACACAGGCATGATATCATCACATCTCGGTAGGAATGCCCCTGAAGAGAAAAAATACACTATCTATTAGTAAATCTTACTGTGCCACGGCGGTTTCAGCGGCCATCTGCGACACGACCTGGTGGTTCTGGTATACAGGGGCGAGCTTCTTGAGCATCACGGCAACAATATCGGAGGTTTCGTACTGCGGGTTCCATGCCCAATCGCGGCGCGCGGCATTATCCTCCATCGAATGCGGCCAGGTCTCGGCAATCTGCTGGCGGAAGTCAGGATGGTAGTCCATCTTGAATTCGGACGAGAACTGCTTGCGGATTTCGTCGGCAATCTGAGCCGGCGTGAAGGCGCAGGCGTTGACGTTGTAGACACGCTGCGTCAGCGACTCCTCGGGGGCCTCCAGAAGCTGCATGGTACCGCGGATACAGTCGTCAATGTACATCATCGGCAGCATGGCGTCGTCCTTGAGGAAACACGTATAGCTGTTGTCCTTCAGCGCCGCGTGGAAAATATCAACGGCATAGTCGGTCGTGCCACCGCCGGGCGGCGTGTCGGCGGAAATGATGCCCGGGTAGCGCAGGCTGCGGAAGTCCACACCAAACTTTTCATTATAGTACTCGCCGAGCAGCTCCATGTGTACCTTGGTGATGCCGTAGATGGTGTTGGGCCGCATGATCGTGAAATCCGGTGTGTTGTCCTTGGGCGTGGTCGGGCCAAATGCCCCCATGGTGCTGGGCGACAGCAGCCGCAGCCTGTGGTTTTTGGCGACCTCCAGGACATTCTGGAAGCCGTTGATGTTGACGTCCAGGCCGAGCGCCGGGTTGCGCTCGCCGACGGCCGAGAGAACGGCCGAGAAATGCACCACCCAGTCGATGCCGTAGTCGACTACGAGCTTGTCCAGAGACTTGTAGTTCAGCACGTCGGCGTACACAAAGGGTCCGCTGTTGCGCTGCACGTCAGTCGGCTTCTTGATGTCGGAGGCGACGACGTTATCGCGGCCAAACTTTGCCCTACAGGAATAGCGCATGCACGTTTTAGCTTGCTCATGTACGTAGCATGCACAGGGGAATGTGGGGGGCAGAATGGGATCTGCAAGGCAAAAAATAGCAGCTTACCTGAGCGTGTTGACCATTGATGAGCCCAGCTGACCGAGGCTGCCGGTGACCAGGACACGGGGCGGGCGGGACGTAGCGTAGGTGCGCCGTACAGTGATGGGAGCAAGGCGTGAGAGCTGGGCAATCCGCGGCATGGCGCGTAATGTAGCTGTCGGAATAAGCATTTTGAGGGGGCGTGGGCTGGAAGGGAAAAGTTGCTAAGGGGAGGTGTAGATTGCGTTCAGTAAGAGGGCAGAAGAGGGCGATGCCAGGCGCTGGGGCCTTTTATAGACTCCAGCACCGGAGGGGAAATTGTTTGTCAGCTACATTTTTTTCCACCCGCCAGGCCACAGCGATAAAAAATTCAAAGCAGCTGTTTCACCCGCGATTCCGTATGCATTAGTAAATGCGCGGGCATCGTCTTTCTGGCCCCAGCGCCACTGCTGATTCGTCGAATATGGTGAGGTTCCAGTAGGCTTTTGCAGAAAATTCTCCTTATAGTAAGTGGAAGCCCCAGTGCGCAGATTGACCGGGATTGTTGCAGCGCGATACAAACCTGATCCAAGGAAATATGACGCGGTAAAGGGGTATTTGGCCGACGTGAGTCACTCAGGAACAGAAGGGGCAGTTTTCGAAAAAGATAAAAAACAATTTGGCGCGAGATGAAACCAGGGCGGGAAGGCCAGCTGTTTTATAAAAAAAAAAAAGAGCGACCCGATAGAAGCGGTTCTTTGAAATACAGGTGGGAAATTCCGACAGCGGCGGTGGTGGGAAAAAGATTTTTTGTTCGCTCGGGGCACAGGTCCAGCCTGCCTGTAATGGCAGCACTAGCGCTTTGCCTTTGCAGGCAGGCAGCTATGGCAGACGAGCGCTAAAGCGTGGGCCACTTTTATAAAATTCTAAAAGGGGCGAAAGCTTCTCACGCCCAAAAAAATAAACACGTTGTTTAGCAAAACACTGGCTCCCGGTCTGCCACATTCCCTGTTCCGCAACAGCAGCATTCTTTTATCCGGACAAAAGATGGGGGAGGCCCATTCCCGGCGGAGGTTCAGGATATGAGCAGTAGGTGAGCGTCCCTGAGCCAGCTTTTTTTTTTCTCTTGCAAACAAAACTCCCTCTCCGAACTGCTTTTTCTCTCCATCCAAAACCGAAACCATTTCTATACCATGCTAAAGGCGGCCCTCCAGCACACTTCCCGCTGCTACTCGACCAAGCGCGCAGCTCTGCCGGCGGCCTTTGAGGAGCGCATCACGCAGTCGCTTGACGGCATGCGCAAGGCGGGCACGTTCAAGACAGAGCGGGTGATCACGACTCCGCAGAGCTCCAGCATCCAGGTGGCATCCGGGTCGGGCAGCGTGCTGAATTTCTGCGCCAACAACTACCTGGGCCTGGCAGACCACCCCGCAGTGGTCCAGAAGGCGGACGAGTTCCTGCACCAGTGGGGCAACGGGCTGAGCTCCGTGCGGTTCATCTGCGGCACGCAGTCGATCCACAAGGACCTGGAGCAGCAGATTTCGGACTTTTACGGCAACGGCTCGGGCACCCGCGACACGATCCTGTATGCATCGTGCTTTGACGCCAATGCCGGGGTGTTCGAGTCCCTGCTGACCGAGAACGACGCGATCATCAGCGACTCGCTGAACCACGCATCGATCATCGATGGAGTCAGGCTCTGCAAGGCCAAGCGGTTCCGGTACGCCAACGGCGACGTGCAGGACCTCGAGCGGCAGCTGCAGAAGGCACAGGAGGCCGGGTGCCAGGTCAAGATGGTGGCCACCGACGGCGTGTTCTCCATGGACGGCGTGATTGCCCCGCTGCGCGAGATCTGCGATGTGGTGGAAAAGTACGACGCGGTCCTGTTTGTCGACGATGCCCATGCAACAGGCTTCCTGGGCAAGACCGGCCGCGGAACCGGCGAGTACTGGGATGTGGTGGACCGCATCCACCTGGTCAACTCGACGCTGGGCAAGGCGCTGGGCGGCGCCTCGGGCGGCTACACCACCGGACACCAGCTGCTGGTGTCGGCGCTGCGCAATACGTCGCGGCCGTACCTGTTCTCCAACACGCTGGCGCCGTCGGTGGTGGGTGCTGCCAGGGCTGCGATTGACCTGGTGGACAATCCGGCCACGCGCACGCCCCTGCTTGACCAGCTCTGGGGCAACGCCAAGCTGTTCCGCGACCGCATGTCGGCGGCTGGCTTCACGCTGGCGGGCAAGGACCACGCGATCATCCCTGTGATGCTGGGCGACGCGCGGCTGGCGTCGGACATGGCTGACCGGCTGCTGAAGCGCGGCATCTATGTCATTGGGTTCTCGTATCCGGTGGTGCCCAAGGACAGGGCGCGCATCCGCGTGCAGATCTCCGCCGCCCATTCCGTCGACCAGGTCAACCACGCTGTCGATGCTTTCATTGAGGTTGGCCGCGAGCTCAAGGTCATCAGCTAGGCTTTATTTGTCTCAGTTTATCAGCTCTGCAATGTCCATCCAGTAGCTGTTCTTCAGAATGTTCTGCATCACCGGCTTGTCGGCAGTGATGTACACTATCGCGTCCCTGTGCGAGTCGGGGCTGGAGAGAATGAAAACGATGTTTGGCACCAGCGTGGGCGCCGGACATGCCCATGTCGGCCGCCCGCTGCCAAAGTCCGCGTCATAGGCTCCAAACCGCGTCTGATTAGTAATCGAGATGAACCGGTTGTCCGATCCCAGCGCAACCAGCGCCCTCGCGAACGCTGTCGGGTGCTGCTTCCACACATCCAGGTACCCGCGCACATACTCCCCATCGGCATTGTCAACCAGCGACCTAATCACCCTGGTGATCTCCGCCAGATCACGGTCCGTCATGGCCACCTCGAGCTTGTCGAGCGGAATCTCGGCCACCGGCGAAATCAGGCCGTTGCCAATAAAGTTCTTGTCGGCAATGCCGATGCGGTGGCGGGCATCACAGACCACGTTTGCACGCAGATTGCCAGGCACCTGGCCGACCAGTGTGCTCAGTGCAGAGGAGATTGTGCCTAGAATGCCCTTGCCTGCGGAACTTTCGACGTCCTTCTGGCCCTTGGCTATGGCATGGCTGGCAAGCGACGCCAGGAGGTCGTTGTCGGAGACACGGCCCTCCACCACCTGCTTGACGCTGTCGCGCAGTCTGTCGAGCGACTCACCGGTGACCTTGAAGAAATGCCCTTCGCCATCTGCTGCTTCAATGCCCCTCTTGATCATCCACCCGCGCGTCGCATTGGATGTCCACGCCATCCACTCAGCCACTGCATTGAACTTTGCGTACATCCTGAGCGACACCGGGCCGATTGGCTTGCCCAGCTTTGGCAAGTTTTGTTCGATGATATTGCGGTCAGACGAGTAGCTGACCAGGGGTGCATCCGACCCCATGGCGCAAGTGCGTGCCCAGTCATTGATGAACCGGAAGAATCCGTATCCGTCCACCAGGCTGTGCAGTGTGCTGACTGCCATAACGACGCCTGAATTGTTGCCAAGTCGAGCTATATGCACCTGCAGGAGCTTGACCGAGCCGCTGTCGTCGGGCGTGACAACCAGCGACAGGCTGCGAGGCAGACATGCCTTCCATGAAGACCAGTGGAAGTTGGCCATCCTTATGTCTCCATAGCACACATTGCTGGACGACTCTTCAAACATTGGCGAGTTTAGATTATCTCTGTCCACGACGACTTGGTCTAGCCCGTATTGCTTCTCAACAAGATGTCCGAGAAACACCGGAAACCGCTCCAGTGCTACATACAAGCTGTCAGCAAGCCTCTCTGTGTGCATGAAGTCTTTGGATTTCTTTGTGTTCTCGTAGATGAACACGTAAGAGATCGCAATTGACGTCGACTGTGCATCAAGACTCGATAGCTGGATTGTTTGGTTCTGGATAGTCTCATGAAGGGCCTCCATTGCTGTAAGAATGCTGTAAGAATGCTCTAAAGGTGCCACCAAGATAAGGAAACCTCAACACGGACCTCTCAGAAGCACACTTGTCCACAGGTATTCTCTTCGACACTTCCCAACAAGCAATACAGTTGTCGTGCCGATCGCTAATTAACAAAAGCTCCACACAATGCATAATGCAAAATCCCCGCCAAGGAGCAACAGATTGCCAAAGCAATACCGATTTCGGCGAGGAACCATGGAACAGGGTGTACACAAAACAAGCAACGTAAAGACCATGCAGCGTGTTTAGATATTTAGTTGATGACCTCCACTACATCCATCCAGAACCGGTTCTCGAGCATGCGTTCCATGACTGGCTTCTCAGCAATCACATATGCAACGACATCCGTGGTTGACTCGGCACTGGGAAGAAGCACCGCGACCCCTGGCGCAAAAATCGGTGGTGGACACACCCACGCTGGCTGGCCATATCCAAAATCACTGTCGTACACATTGAATCGCGTAACATTGGTGATCGACAGCAAGTTGCGGTCAGCACCCGATGCAACCATCGACCGGGCAAACGCGGTCGGGTGTTTCTCATATGCATCCAAGTATCCGCGCACATACTGACCATCGATATTATCAACTGCAGACCGGACGCAGCGGGCACCGTGAGCCAGAGATTCGACAGTGATTTGCTCAGAGAGCCTGTCCAGAGGCATCTGCGCAATAGGCGCTACGACCGCATTCCCCATGTAGTTCTTGTCAAGAATGCCAACACGGCATCGTATATCGCACACAACAAATGACCCGAAATGCCTGGGCTTTTTGCCCACCATAAATTCCCACATTGATGAAATGGCTCCAGCCACCGCGCCCTGGGAGTTGATATCCGAGACCTCCTTTTGTGCACACGCGATAGTGTGGCAAATGAGCGATACCAACAGGTCGTTATTAGAAATGCGCGTGTGTTGAGGCACATGCTGCCTGACAGCACTCCGCAGTCTGTCTAGCGCATCGCCAGGAATGCGGAAGAAATGCGCCTCGCCGTCCGCTGCCTCAACCCCCTTTTTCAGCACCCAGCTGCGTGTCCGATGCGAAACCCATGCTAGCAGCTCAGCTACAGGATTGAATGCCGAAAAAATGTCGAAAACTGCCTTGTCGATAGGCTTGCGGTCTGCTGGAAGACTGTCAGCAATGACACTGCGATTGAGCAGGTACGCCACTGGCGAAGTGCTATCGCCTAATCTACAGGTACGGGACCAGACATTCATAAACGCAAAGAACCCGTGCCCATCCATGATGCTATGGAGTATGCTGACCGAGAGTATCACGCCAGAGTTGTCACGAAGCCGGGAGATATGGATCTGGAGCAGCCTTGCTTTGCTGCTGACATCATGATGGGTCACCAGCGACATTGCATTTGGCCGTTCTGGCGGCCACGACGTCCAGTGAAAATTGTTAGTTTTTATGTCATCATAGTGGACATCGCTGGCAGACTCTTCGAATGTCGGCAGATTCAAGTCATCCTTGTCAATTATGATCTCGTCCAGGCCGTACTGCTTCTCCTTCAAGTGACCGACGAGCACAGGGAACCGCTGCAGTGTAACATAAAGGCTGTGCTTCAGTTTGTCGGTGGGCATGAATTCTGCAGAGCTGTCGGAGTTGCCATATATGAACACAAGCGGGGCAGTCAGCGACGTAAACTGCGCGTCAATAGGTCCCAGCTGAATCGTCTCAGTCTGAATGCTATTTCCAAGTGTATCCATTTTGGACATACAGGCAGATTGACAGCTTTGGAAATAGCAGAAAAGTATGCTGCAGTCAGGAAGTGGCTGTATGAGAGAGATGTGGAATGAAGGCCGGCTGGGTGTTTTCACGCTGTTGTGTTGGTGAAATGTGGGGGTTTAGAAAAGGCGATAGTGCTGAAGAGTAGAAAGAGCGAAAAAAGGAAGAGCTGCCCGGATGTATCTCCAATGCGCGGTCATTTGTCCACTCCACCAGAGGCTCGATGATACCTCCATTGTGCAGGCTGCAGTGGGGGTCTCGTTAGCCCCTGACTTGCCGCCACCTGATTCAGCTGACATGTCGACGTCATGGACTATCGCAGCAGGCGCGCAACAAGCAGAAGAAACTCGTCAATCACGAAATTACGGGCATGCGGTTTCGCGGGTGGCGTGATATGATGGAAATATTCGTACATGACGAGATGTGGATATGTAGTGTTGATTCGACACAGAAAAATGTTTTACTGTATAAAGTCTCCGTCTGTTGCATATGACACAGGCTCCGGAAGTATAAACGGGCCGATTGGTGCTGCTCCAAAATTATACGACATGTTGCCGCCCGCATTGCCTTCTGTCTTGATACCCTGCAGCCGGCACTGCTCTCGAACAGAATCAGGTATCTTCAGCTGCTTCTGCATCAAATCTGGTGCCTCAACAAACACCATATCCATTCCAGCCCTCGCATGCCACGGGAAATGGCAATGCATAAGCCACACACCGGGGTTATCCGCACGGAACCGCAGTTTTACATACTCGCCCGACTCGACCTGCACTGTGTCTCTAGAAATTGGCTGTCCTCCAGGCGGAATCTGGCGGCGACTGGCTCCAGTAGTATCGGCTACCAGCCCCCGCTCAACAATCTGGAATTTGTGGCCATGCAAATGGATTGGGTGCGGCAGAAACGTCTGACTCCACACGAGTACCTCGATGACTTCCAGGTGCTTGAGCACGTAGGCGCTGCTCTGTGACCCATACACGATTGGATTCAGCACCATATCACCCATTGTCATAGCGGTCAGAATAGTGGGAACAAGTGGCGTCTGGAATGGTGCAAGGTTGAACGACTCGAAGCTAGCATTTTGCGCTGTAAAGCCGAATGTAGCGTTGAAGTAGAGCGAGCGGTCAGGTACCAGCACTGGCGAGTCGTCTAGAGGCACCCTATCCGAATACACAACCGTGCCATTCCCCACCATTGGTCTGAAGCCAGATTTCAGGGGGATGTAGGACTGAATCATGTTGAAGTGATACGAGTAATTTGTATCCGTCGCGTTCTTAGCTCTCACCAGAACGGAGTAGCGCTGACCAGAGGCAAGTCGGACGACATTGACTTTCTTTGGCTTTGTCAGCACACCGTCCACCTCTATAACTTCAATATCGTGGTTGTCAATGAAGAAGTCGACCAGTGGCATGCCCATCATAGCGACAAGCCGAATCCGATACGTCTTTCCTGGAACAAAGTTCATCGGTTTCAATTTCGCTCCGTTCTCTCCGTTCACCAAAAGACGCATTGACTGATCCACCGGCAAAGTTGCCCTGTTGGGCGCAGTCATGACGGCCATAGAGTCGTCAATAGTCTGTGTCGCCCACTCCTCAACCGCAAACAGAAACTCGCCGTCGTACTTGTAGCGTTCATTTGGGTCATGTACAACCAGTGGTGTGCGCAGCCCCTCGTTGCTTTGCTCTAGTGTGTGTCCGTGGATCCAGTATGTGCCGGACTGGCTAAGCACAATCTCGTATGTAAAGGTGGAACCAGGTGCAATGCCACACTCGGTGACCATACCGACGCCATCGTAATAGTTTGTATTGTTTTGGAATATGCCGTGCGCATGCAGTGATGTCGGTGCGTCCAGGGAGTTACGGATGTTCAAAACGAGGGTGTCGCCGAGTGCTGCATGCACTACTGGCAGAGGAAGTCTTCCATTGGCCCCAATTCCACGCTTTGGTGGTTCAGCCAGGCCGCGGTTGGTGTAGACATAGGTAATGTCCCAGTTGTGGATAACGGTTTTGGCTAGCACCAGGGGTGCAAAGACTAGCAGTAGCAGCTTGAATACGTACATTGTAAATATACTGAAAAGTTGAAATGTGGAGGCTGTGTGCTACATCCTTCCCGGGGGGTTAAGTGTGAGGCTACACTGCCATCCAGAGCTATCCACACAAAAAGGCTGTTTCTTGTCATCCATTCAAGCGCAACTGCCTGTGTATCCACAAAACATTGAACCATGCCACCAATTCACCACAAAAAACATGAAGGCTGCGTATATTGGATTGGGAAAACTGAAATGATTGGTTCCTGGGGGCTCAGACAGGGCAAAAGGGAGACCATAGGAAGCCCGAGGCTAACGCCGGTGGTGGCTTAGGCAATTGCTGACACAACGAGCTCACTAACAGAGGGCTCTTCGCAACGCACAGCAAGCTCCATTGTTACGCCAGCACCCTTCTGGTACGTCATACGCGCCCGAGCCACTGCCTTTGACTTTCCAAGCCATTTGCCGGTCAGCACAGCCTGGTGGGCGGCCTTGCTCTTGGGCGTCAGAGCACCCTCTAGCGGGCACATGCCGAGCAGCTCGACGACCTTCTCGGTGCACTCCTTGATGCTGTCAAAGTTGGACAGCGCAAAGGTCTCGACGGACTGCGCGTCCTCGCCCAGGGACTCCCACAGTGCGTGCGAATCGGGAATGTACGTGGCCTGCATAAAGTCGCCAGCATTGATCTCAGCAGCCTCCAGCGAGTACTCGTCCTCGAACCCATCGTCGTCCTCCTCAGGCTCGCCGGTGGCTGGGTCACACTCCTTGACAATGAATTTGAGCGTGCACGCAAACGACACCGCTGGGAAAGTCTCTGGGTCAAGGTGCTCAAACGCAACATAGGCGGTGGCGGGTTCATTGCACTTGAGCTCGGAAATGGGCACAACAACCACAGGCTGCAGGACGCCATCGATGTCCTCCTCAGGCTCCATAGCCACCTCGACCTGCTCCAGGACCTGCTCCGGGATAGTGTTGGTGATGTCAAACTGGAACACAATGTGGTTGCTATAGACATGCTTGATGCACTGCACACCATACTCGGTCTCAGCCTCGGTAAGGGCAGCGGGTGTCTGTGATGAGACCAGTGGCTGCTCGCCAAACGCAGCAAGCTCCGGGATCGCGTTGAGCTGGCTGGCATACTTGGCCTGCTGCTCGAAGATGTCAACGAATCCGGAGGAGGCGCCAGCATCATGGGCGGTGTCGGCCGACAAATCGCCCTTACCAGCTGCAGCCTTGCTGGACGTCGGTGTCTTGAGCGTGGTGCCGGTGAGCACGGCATCCATGGTCTCCTGGCGCTGGCGGTCGCGGGCCTCGACCTCCTGGGCACGCGAGATGCGCGGCACGTTGTCAAAGTTGAAGCTGCCCTTGAGCGCGGCTCCCGGATCAGCACAGTACTCGACCAGTTTGCGCTCCAGGACGGCCAGAGCAAAGGTGCTGTCATCGCGGATGTACTTGTCGCGCACACTCTCGTCGCCGGTCATGCGCAGCGCCCAGGCAGCTCGGTCACGGACTTCGTCGTCGCGGTCATCGAGGCAACGCTTGAGCAGAACACGGACTGAGCGCTGGAGCGAGGCGTCGCCGACAGTCGAGGCTCCAAACTTTGCCAGGGCATTGACAGCAGCAGCACGCACCACAGCGTTCTCGAGCACGACACGGTTATAGATGTGGCGGATGTATACGGTTGGGCGAGCAGTGTGCGGACCCTCCTCACCCAGGAAGTGGAGAACGCGCACCGACAGCTTGGTGAACTCGCAGTCCTCAATGAACTCGCAAAGGTGGGCCAGCGCAGTCTCCTTGCACTCGGGCACGTTTTTGGCCAGATCAACAATGGCCTCAATGGCAGAGCGCTTGAACTCGTAGCCCCCCTCGTCGCGCAGGACGCCCGACAGGAAGCCCAAGAACAGCGAGTGCTTTCCAGGGAACTTGCGGCAAAGGCTGCGGACGGCCTCGGCAACAATAATCTTGAACTCGTCACTGATCTCAGCCATGAATCCCTGCATCTGCTTCATCAGACGGTCCACCGACGCTTCGTTTCCGGTCTTTAGCAGCGTGGTGATCGCGAATGTTGCCACAGAGCGGTTCGAGTCGGTGATGAGGCCCTCCATGTCGACATTGCAAGGCTGCACAGCCTCCGGGTTGGTGCGCGCCAGGGCATTGAGAGTGCGGATGGCCGCAAACCGCACTGTGGCCTTGGGCGACGACAGGAACAGCTGCAGCGCGTTGACAGCGGGTGTAAGCTGCTTGGAAGTGACGTTTCTGAGGTGGCAGATGGCGCGCGCTGCTTCGAGGCTGACCATGTCTGAGCGGTGGCGAACCCACTCCTCAAGCAGCGTGGACAGCTGTGGTGCCAGACTAGGGTCGTCGTCCATAACACGCACTGCATAGCGGATCAGCAGAACATGCGCCATGTTGCTGCGCAACGTAGCAGCCGATCCACCCATCCAGCTGCCCTTGTTCTGGCCAGAGAATGTCTGCACCAGCTTCAGAACAGCCATGCGGTCGTGCTGGCGGATCGCGTACATGAGGCCCATCGCGTGGTACTGCACAATATTCGAGGTCGAAACTACCTGGTTCTGGTTCGTCGATGCGCCAAAGAATGATGATCCCTGTGACAAGGACTTGCCGTTGAGTGCCTCGTTAACCTCATTGCCCCAGCGCCGTACCACATCCTTAGCGTCACCAAACAGATGGAGCGAAGAGACCAGCGCAGCCGACGCAATCGACGGCGAGCGCTCGACAATCGCGGCCTTCAGGAACCGCTCGATTCCTGGCAGCATCGATGGATCGACGATCTTGCACAGCGCGCGGATCGCGTTGGCGCGGTAAGTGACTTCCGACTTGGGCTGCATGTCTTTCATCAAACTGCTCGTAACCATGATAACATCCTCGGAGATTGTCGACAGCTCCTTGATTGCCAGATACACCATCTGCCGCAGCGACATGTCCTTCGACTGGAACAGCTTCGTGATGCTGAAGAACAGCTCCGTGGCCTCTGTAGTCGACATCGTCTCGCCGCGGTATAGCAGGAAAATTATCTTTGCTAGCAGGATGCGCGACTGCCGCGGGCGGATGGGCGTCTCGTTAAACACGCGTGCCTCCTGCAGAACAGTCGAGCGGTCCAGGTGCAAAAGCGCTCCGAGCTCATCTACAACGGGATGCAATTTAGCAAGGCACATTTCAAGCATTTCTCCGGCGAGATGGGCCGAGGTAATTGCCAGCACGTTGTAAATGTGCCCGGCTGGCAAGCAAGCAACTTACCCGTGTCCTCGTCCTTTTTCCAGCTCATTGTGGTGTCCTCGATGAGATGTGCTTATAGCTGCTTCTTATTTCGATCAGTCCAGTACGCTACACGTTCTCTGCGACAGATTACAACTCGGGTGGGGGGAAATCGTAGGAGCAGACAGAAATGCAGGAATAAAATAGTCGAAAAATAAGCTGCAAATGCAAAACGCAGGTTTTGAGAAATATACCCTGACCAGCTGCTGTGCACAGCTGCGACAGCGCTCAAGGTCCGCCAGCAGGCAGTGACGAGTGACAGCCAGGCCAAATCATCTGGCGTGTGCCTATTGGCCGATCAGCCTCCGTGATCTGCTGATCGCAGCTGGATATGCATACAAGGTGATAATGTGCCATTTTTCACCAACATGGGAGTGCTGGTGTCGCTGCTGTTCACGCCAATGAGCCGTGTATCCACCAATGCGCGTATCGATTTCTGGATCGTCAGTGGGTAATATGTGTGCGGTATATATCGCTCGACCAGCCGAAATGTCCAAGTCCGAGTAGAGTGACGAGCAGGGACCATTGCCACTGCTCGCCACTATGCACAGCAGCATTATCATCTGCCGACTTGATTGGCTAGCGTGATCAGCCTGCCACAGATTGACTGTGGGTCAGTCTACAATCAGCAAGTCGTGAACCAGCACGGCGCAAGGGAGGGTCTTGTCGGCATATGCATGCATGTATCTATTGCTCCGCACCGGCAGCACCTGAATTGTGAGCATTTCTGGTTCCAGCCAACCGCTTTGATTCTGTGCGGAGTTTGGGGCAATGGCGACGCTATATTTTGAAGTGGCAAGTCAAACCAGAAGATGTTTCGATTAGATGGCGAACATGCCACCTTCCTTACGTTGAACATTGGAGTTTTCTCACGCATACCCTCGTCTCCCTAATGCAGCCATGCATATTACAAGGGCAGAAAGGGGACGAGCTGTCCTATCTCTGACATGGCAAATACTATGCCCACTACATTCTGTTAGGTTGCATCCGAGTTAGCCTGAGCAAATCGGATGACAAAAGTGCTGGCCCCTCCCCGTAATGAAGAAATACACGGTTTTTCTGCGCAGTGGCAAGATGCTGGAAGCAAAAGAGGGCTGTCTGGAAGCATATTTAAAGGAATTCGAATCCGTTTGCTTCGTATCCGTTTGCTTTGTATCTCAACCACTCAGCCAACCAAATTCTCAGTGATAAACAGTACGCTTTTCTCCTCATCTCATTCCAACCTTGCGTCTCATCGACTATGAAGCCAACCATTTCCGTCCTTGCCATCAGCTTCTCTCTTCTCTCGACTGTCTACCCCATGCCTGCCCCTGATGCTGCCTCGGGCAAGCCGAGTATCGAAAACCCCTTTGATCCGTGTGGCTCAGTCAGGTGTGAGGGCAACTTTGTTTGCGTCAACGAGGACGTCATCTGTGTCCGTGCCCCGTGCTATCCGATCCCTATATGCAAGCTGGGGGGAGCCAAGGACAAGTAGTGCGCTGATCCGTCCGATCCATGCACTACACACACGTGCGAGGAAGGCTATATATGTGCCATCAAGAAATTCATTTGTGCCTGTGGCATCTTGGCTACCCAAATTTTCGAAAACTGACATCGAGCCACTTCCATTTGTGTAAACAGGAGACCTATCATCTGTGGTTCATGTATGTCCACTAATAAATATACTCCTATTAAAGTAGGCTGCTATTGAATTGTGACCTTCTTGACTGTGTTCAACCGCTTGTGCTCAATGAAGATTACAGTGAGGAAAAACAGGACAGAAAACGGAACCAAGGCAATAAATGCCGACCGCATCGATTTCATGAACACGTCGAGGATCTGGTTGAAAACGTCCACCGGTAGGTCAAGCTGGTGTATAAGCGACTGGTTATATGAGACCTGGGTGATCGCACTCGCATATTCAGGGAACCTTGCAATAGCGTTCGCGAATTCTGTTTTACGCTTGTTCTCACTGACTGAGCTCAGCACGGCCACTACAACCATGGAGCCAAGTGATCTCGTAAAAATGCACGCCGTAGTAGCCGTTGCCATGTCCTTGCCCTCTGCACCGACCTGTGCTGTGAGGATAAGTGTCTGGATGCAGGTACCGAAACCAAAGCCACAGATAATCATAAATCCGATCACTTCGCCAACATGCGATTCTCTGCCTAAGACAATAAGCAGCGAAGATCCAACCAAAAGACAGACACTGCCAAACCATAGACATTCCCGGTACCGTCCAGTCTTGGTAACAACGAGGCCAGTGAGCACGACAGCAACGCCTTCCGAAAGACTGAATGGGAGCGTGTATAGCCCCGAGGTGATTGGAGTCGTATTCTTGACTACTAGCGCCCACTGAGGAATGAAGATAAGAGGCGCATTAGTTACAGCGCCAAAGAACAGGTGGCCAAACACCGAAAGTGCAATGTTCCGTGTCTTGAACAGGTACATGGGTAGGATAGGCTCCTTGGCGTACTTGGCTTCGTAGAAAACGAACAGAGCCCCGATTAGCACTCCAAAGACGATGCAGCAGATGACACGTGCTGATGACCATGGGTACTGCTGTCCGCCCCACGAGAGCGCTAATAGCACTAGCACGATGCTGACCAGAGAAATGGCCGACCCACCAAAATCCACCCGGCCGAGCTTTTCTCTGCGCGTCCCGCTTGGCTTGGGTACGCGAAGGAAATAGAGGACGACCCCGCTGGCCACAGCGCTAATAGCGACGTTGAGCCAGAATGCGACACGCCAGGTGCTCAACTGGACAATAGCCCCGCCAATGATGACCGCAGCAGCTGATGCTAGCGACCAAGCTGATGATGAAAATCCCATCAGTTTCCCCCGCTCGCGTTCGGTAAACAAATCGCCAATGACCACGTTGACGATGGTGTACATGCCTGCGCTTCCAACTCCTTGTATTGCACGGCTAGCAATGAGCATGTCCATCGAGTTGGAGACTGCGCAGAGCAGCGAGCCGACAAGCAGGAAAAGGGCAGCAACAGTCATAGTGGGGACGCGTCCTGCAATGTCACTGCACTTTCCATAGATCGGCTGCATCGATGTCATGGTGATCAAGTAGCTGTTGATCAGCCAGTTGGCACGCTGCATGTCGTTGAAGTGTTCGGCAATAGGGTAGTATATAACGGCGTCCATCGTTGTGTAGATACCGATAAGGAACATGAGCAAGAATACGCCAAAGTAGGTTATACGAGCATCCCTTATTTGCCCGGTGGCATCATCGCCCAGTTCAGTCTTTCCCTCTCCACTCGCAGGTGGTGGAGCAGTGCTAGTATTTCCTGGTGTATCGGATTTCGATAGCGTCTTCTCCATTCTCCTAGTACTAAAGGTATGAAGAATAGTGTAAGCAAAACTTGATGGCGGAGATAGTGAAGATTGGGCAGAGATTGAATGCAGCAAGCTTTCATGAGCCAAGCCTTGTCCACTTGCTGATGGGGAACAATGATCGTCCACTTAGCATATTTTGGCTCGTCCAAAAGACGATACGTGTCCATTGTGCAATACTCCATGTCGCGTCACAGCATGCAATAGCAAATTACAGATTGCCTGCAACTGCATCCGCAGCTAATATTGCGTGCCGGCAGTCCTGTATATGCAGGCGTGCAACTGACCACTAGGCTATTCCTTAGGATTCCTTGTTCTTGCTAAACTCAACAGACGCTTTCATCCCAATGCTTCTCCCTGTGAAGAGTAAGGGATCCAATGCCTGTACAAGAAGGGCGAAACAACTCTCAATAATCAGCTCAACAGAAAATGGCTAGGCAATATATCTCTACACCAGAAAACCTGGACTAGCCATGCTGGCATTCTTCCTAGCAGTTTTTAGACAGATGCCACACTTGTCACCCCTGCCCCCCTGGGTTTCATTTGGAATTGCGAATTGCTACCTATAATGTAGGCCTGTGCCTCTGTTGCGCATTCATGATATAAAAGATTGTAATGAATATACTCAGACGTGGTTGTCAAATGCGGACAACTGGGTCTTCAAGCAAGACCACCTAGGTCAGATCGTTGGTGAAGAGTGCTCAATGCATGTGAAGGTATGTGGGTGAGCAAAGGTTCACAGGTGTAAAGTGAAACTAATAGCCCCTAAAACAACATGATCAAACTGCAGCAGCCAAGCAGCCTAACACTCTTCTCCCGCACCATCCACATTGACAGTTTACGCTCCCTGGGGTCTACCGTTCTATCGCCTCCCCAAACATATGCTCCGTGGGCTCTTTGTCCGTTGAACCAGTATATTCCGTAGGCAGCCACTGCAGTTCCTGAGTCTGCTCCGCACTGATGCTCTACATCTTCACAGCTAGCATGCCAATGCGCCTCAGCTCACAGACAAAACAGCATCCCTTCCATTATGAAATATAGCATTGCCTTTCATTACCGAATAGCAATGTCGGGTATTGCTGGTATGGAGGCAGAAAGCCAGGCACTCCGACAGATATCCTAAACATCACCATATCCTGACTGCAGAGTAGCTGCCTAATGCTATCACAACTAGCCTTGTCTATGCAGTGCATTGCCGTAGGATTGAACAGTTTGTGAAGGATGGTTTATATGCTATGAACCCAAGCAGATCTGCCTATTGAATCGTGACCTTTTTGACCGTGCTCAGTCTCTTGTGCTCGATAAACAGCACTATCAGTAAAAATATAACTGCAAAAGGAACCAAGGCAATAAAAGCGGAGCGCATCGACTTCATGAACACATCCATGACGCGGTTATAGACATCATCCGGCAGGGCAAGCTTGTGAATCAATGACTGGTTCTTAGCTATCCTTGCTATCGAGTCGGCGTAGTCGGGAAACAGAGCCATGACCTTGGCAAACTCTGTTTTGCGTTTATTTTCGCTGACTGAGCTCAGCACAGCAACCACAACCATATTTCCCACGGAGCGGATAAAAAGACACGCAGCAGTTGTTGCTGCGGAGTCCTTGCCCTCTGCGCAAACCTGCGCTGTGAGAAGGAGCGTCTGGATGCACGCACCAAAGCCAACTCCATAGAGGACCATAAACCCAACAACTTTGCCCGAGCTAGAATTCCCGTCCAGAGTTATCAGCAATGAAGCTGCAACAAGCAAACATACACTGCCAAACCATAGACACTCCCGGTACCGCCCAGTCTTGGTAACAGCGAGGCCAATGAGCCCGACTACGATCCCCTCGGCTATGCTCATAGGAATTGTGTAAAGAGATGATGTTAAAGGCGTCGTATTCTTGACTACCAGCGCCCACTGAGGAATGAAGATAAGGGGGGCGTAGACAACCGCGCCATAGAACAGGTGACCAAACACCGAAAGTGCAATGTTCCGTGTCTTGAACAGGTACATGGGTAGGATAGGCTCCTTGGCGTACTTGGCTTCGTAGAAAACGAACAGAGCCCCGATTAGCACTCCAAAGACGATGCAGCAGATGACACGTGCTGATGACCACGGATACTGCTGTCCGCCCCACGAGAGCGCCAGTAGCACTAGCACGATGCTGACCAGAGAAATGGCCGACCCACCAAAGTCCACCCGGCCGAGCTTTTCTCTGCGCGTCCCGCTTGGCTTGGGTACGCGAATAGTGGTGAGAATGACTCCGCCAGCGAGAACACTAGTTGTGAGATTGAGCCAAAATGCCACCCGCCATTTTCCCTTTTCCGCAAGCACGCCGCCAATTACTGCACCAGATGCAGCAGAGAGAGACCAGGCTGACGACGAGTATCCCATCAGCTTACCTCGTTTGCGTTCAGCATATAGGTCAACAATGACCACGTTGACGATGGTGAACAGTCCCGCAGTCCCTAAACCCTGTATTGAGCGACATGCAATGAGCATGTCCATCGAGTTGGAGACTGCGCAGAGCAGCGAGCCGATAAATAGGAACATAACTGCAGCGGCCAAGATAGGGACACGTCCGACAATATCACTGCACTTCCCATAGATGGGCTGCATTGATGCCGAAGTAATGAGATAGCTGTTGACAATCCAGGATGCGCGCTGCATGTCGTTGAAATGCTCTGCAACCGGGATATAAATGACCGAGTCCATGGTAGAATAAATACCAAACAGGAAATTCAAAATGGTCACTCCGACAAATGTTATCTGAGTGTTTCTATCGAGTTCACTGTTGGTATGATTGGCGTGTTGCTCGGTGGTGGTAGCAGTGGTAGCAGTGGTAGTGATAGAAAAGCATGCGCTAGCGATATGTCTCTCCTCATTGGATTGGGTACTGTCCATCGCTTGACTTGTAGTCTGGATATCTAAACGAGATTTTGTAGTGGACAAATAAAGATGGCTAGGTATAAATAAGGAGAAGGAGCAGTGGCAAGCAACCAGAGGTGCTGGGGCCCATGACCTCAACTTCAGGGCATTCTCAGGCGCCACTTTATTCCACGCTGCAGCTGTGTGAATACTCCCCAGAGAACCACGCCGACAGGTATAGAAAACGTAAAACGCTGCTTGACTCTTGAACGCTGCGTATACATACTGGTGCTCTCCCGGTGCTGGGACAACCGTCATAGATGTGGAAAAGACACCTGCTGAAACATCCAGGGGCCATGCAGACTCGCAGCCAGGGGAGCCATCATCTGACGACAACTTGCGAGAAGAAAAACGCGCCACTGTGGTGTACCAACAATAGGGTGTTATATACGCTCCCTTGTTTCCTTATTGTGAGATTTAACACATACATAGGCACAGAACTACAACACAGCAATGCCAGCATGTATAAAGCTATGTGTATAGGAAATGTTGCCACGGCAGGATATGGAGCTTAATCTGTGCCCACTATCGATTCTGTTGGGTGATCAGCGCATAATCAGGCACGCCGCGTGACAGAGGCGCAGCAAACGCGCCTTCATCAGCGCATCAGCCAAAGGCATTCTTTCCTGGTCTTTCACCAACTCTTTACCAATTCACAAGCATTCAATTGAGCATAGTAATGGCCAATAAGCGCAGAAAGACAGGCAGAATTCCTGACAAAGCAGCCGTGGTAATGGCAACCGAGCCTGACACAGACGAGTGGGGGCCGCCCAGGGATGAAATAGGCGCTACGCTGACACAGGTGCTGCGCCGATCCCAGCGTACACCAAAGAAAGGCACGCCAGTGAAGAAGACCACAGCGAGCATGGCTGCGCCCCGAAGGCAGAAGGCAAGGGTGGTTCGGCCACCGATTCCGCCTGGCGATCAAGTGGGTACCAGGTCGATGGAAAGGCGGCCGAAGCAACCTGAGGTGTTAGACTCTGACATCCGTGGTTCGATTGAGGTCATGGTTGAAAAGGCAAAGCCTGCCGACACCTCAGGGCCGGCAGACTCGCTGGAACCGGACTCTAGACAGAAGGATCTAGCTATTGTAAATTCAGATGTTGAGCAGCAAGGCACTCCGACTCCAGATCAACAGAAGGCGCTGCCGCAGGACACAGAAGCACCAGAACCTGACAGCAGGCACCAGGAGGAAACCGAGACGAGATCCCTGCAAGGCGTAGACGGCGTAGCAGCAATGTTTGATGAAGATGAACCCACTATTTCAGACAGATCCGGCGCTGCTGCGGAAAAGACAGTGGCTGAACACACTACCATTAGTGTCGATGACGACAGCATAGATGCAGAACCACCGAAATCGCCAGCACCCAAGAGCCAAGCGATGACAAATATCAACAATGATACTGATGATCTTGACAATGACGATGTGTTTATGGACCAAGAGAGCGCGCAAAACTACCGGCGACTGATGGCGAAGGAGCGGCGGAAACGGCGAGCATCTCGGCTGGCTCAGAGGACTGCCCAGAATCCAGTGCCGCGCCGCGTAGTCGGCATACCCCAATCCAATATCAGCAGCTTTTCAGAGGAAGACATGCCTGCGGATCCGCTCAATGCACCGAGTAGTCTCAGGAAGACAAGGGCTCGAAGCCAGCGGCTGTTGATTAGCGATTCCGAGGACACTGGTGGCGAGGATCCGAGTGATATTTTGGATTCACAGGCGGTGTTGAGTCGCCGGCTGCGGCCAAAGGGCGAGGCTGCCAACAGGTTTGAGCTGGCGCAGCAGAAGATGCACGAGATCTCGTACGACACTGAGTCTGATGACAATGGCGTCGACAGCATTGGCGAGTTTGAGTCGCAGGAGCGGGTGGCAGTTGATGCGGTTGAGTCAGACTCTGACATCAACACCAAGCGCGTGGCCAGAGCGCTGATTATCCACGATACAAGTGACGAAGAGGATGACTTTGTGTTGGAGCCTGAGGAAGAAGCAGCGCCGGCAGTTCCACCGCAGAACATTGACAAGGTGAACAAGTTCCTGGGCATGTTTGAGTCACGCAGACGAAAGCAGATGCAGAGCAGGCTGCAGCAGTCGACGACCCGACGACAAGCAGGCGCCTGGAGCAGGCCCAAGGCCTCTTTTGGCGCTCTGGGCGAGGAGATCATTGATGACTCTGACGACGATGCTGATCTGGCCGATTTTATTGTTGATGACGACGACGGCGACGACATCAACGCCAACGAGCACGCAGCACGTGTCACGCTGGATGATCGGGTGCGTGATGCAGTTGCGCAGATGCCAGAGGAGTTCAGCCAGCTCGATTTGCCAACATCGTTCAAGACCTATGTCCAATACCTCGTGCACTGGATCTGCAATGGGCGCAAGGCGCCAGGTTTCAGCGACGACGAGTCCCGGTACTTCTTTTTGGGCTATGTCACAGTCAACCGCGCACTGGAGACGCTGGAGCAGAGCCTAGTGTCGAGCACTGCATGGCTGGACAGCTTCCGGGACGACCTCAGCAGCTACCCAAACATCGCTGTGTCCCGGATTGCCGGCGTCCCAGGGTGCGAAGCATGCCATTTCCGCGATAACCGCACCGCGACATTCTGCATAATGTTCTCAGGCACGCCGTACCAGCGGGACATTCTGGTGCCGCCGAACCGGGCAGTGCCTAACGACGGCAGCGTTGTGTCCATCGACTCTGAAGAAGAAGTGGAAGGCCGGCCGGTCGAGTACAATGTCGGCCGAGTGTGCAAGAGCCGGGCGCAGCTGTACCACGAGCTGCACCACTACTTTTACAGCTTGTCGTACATGGTTGAGGCTGATCTGGCACAGCTTGCCATCGGCGATGATCGTGACGCTGAGGAGCTGGTTGTGCTGCTGGAGCAGAGGCGATGCATTGAGAGGCACTACTTTGGGTTCAAGGAGCTACTGGAGCGGTCCAAGCACGGCTTTGCATCATAGCTTTTTTTATTCGGGTTTCCGGTACTCTACGCGCCTGGCGCTCTTGGTCCACTCGGCCAGCTGGTGCACCAGCTCGTCAGACACCTTGCGGCGCAGCGTGACCTCCTGGAAGACCTTTGACCGCTCGGTCTCGACAAATCCGAATGTGGATTCGAAGATGTGGATGCTGGCAGCATTGGAGTCCTTGATGCGCACCACCAGGTCGTCGACCTTGGCGTCGTTGACGGCGTAGTGCATCATCAGCTTCAGGACCTCGGTGGCAATGCCCTTGCCCGTGTACGCTTCCTCGGCGACCATGACCTCGAGCTCGGCCTCGTGCGGGTTGTCGGTGTTGTTGAGGTAGAAGTTGACGTCGCCGATCATGCGCTCGTTGTTGTAGAGGTCGCTGTCTGCCTGCCTGTCAAGGATGATAAAGGTGCATTTGTCGGAGTCGGTGCGCCAGGACTTTTGCATGGCGTATTCCTCCTCGATCGACAGGGGCTCCGAGGCCGTCATCTCCTGCAGATACGGCGACTTCATCCACTCGTGGTAGCGGGGGACGTGGGCGGCCTCGTAGGGCACGAGGATGACCTTGTCGCCGATAATGGCCAGGTGCTCGTTTGCGCGCATTGCTTGGAAACGAAAAATAAAAACTGCTGGATTTTAGCACCAGAGAGAGGAAAAAAATTGGCTGGCGGAAGTGAATCATTTCTGACTTCTTGTTGCGGCTTGAACGGCTCGCCCCCTCCCCAACCAGCAGCAAGGCGAGGAAAAAATCGGCGTGGTTCAGACCGAGGCGACAACGGGCTACGAAGGGCTGGACGAGAGCACCACGTTCTTCTTTCTGCTTCCTTGCTACCAACACTATTTTACCACACCGTTTTTCTCTTTGTCTGGATTCGCTGCCGCCATGCCGACGATTAACATTGACAAGCAAGATTTGTTCGAGTACCTGGGCAACAAGTATAACACGGACCAGTTCCGCGAGTTGTGCTTTGAGTTTGGAATTGAGCTCGAGGAGGACGTAAGTGTTGGCAAATACGCAGACAGGGCATATAGGGAGGGGGGTTTTGCTAACGCAAAAAGCAGCTGCTGTAGACGTCTGAGGAGGGCGAGCTTGCCGAGGGCGAGCGCGCGCAGCTCAAGATCGATATTCCGGCGAACCGCTACGATCTGCTGTGCTTCGAGGGTCTGTCGCGCGCCCTGGGCGTGTTCCTGGGGCAGGAGAAGACGCCCAAGTACACGGTCGTGCCTGTGTCGAAGCCGGCCCGGATCACGGTCGCACCCGAGTGCTCTCAGATCCGGCCGCTGGTGGTGGGTGCGATTCTGCGCAACGTGACATTGACGCAGGAGCGGTACCAGTCGTTCATTGATCTGCAGGACAAGCTGCACAACAACATTTGCCGCAAGCGCACGCTGGTGTCGGTTGGCACGCACGACCTGGACACGGTGGAGGGCCCGTTCACGTACGAGGCCCGTAAGCCGTCAGACATCAAGTTTGTGCCGCTGAACCAGACGGAGGAGATGGACGGGAACCGCGTGATCGAGTTCTACGAGAACGACCTGCACATCCGCAAGTTCCTGCATATCATCCGCGACTCGCCGGTGTTCCCGGTCATCTACGACAAGAACCGCACGGTGATGTCGCTGCCGCCGCTGATCAACAGCCAGCACAGCAAGATCACGCTTGACACGAAGAACGTCTTCATTGAGATCACGGCCACCGACATGACCAAGGTGAATGTGGTGCTAAACATCCTGCTGACCATGTTCAGCGGGTACTGCGAGAAGCCGTTCACGGTGGAGCCCGTCGAGGTCGTGTACCCGGACGGCACGTCGTATGTGTACCCGGATATTTCGGCGCGCACCATGACGACCACGTCCGAGTACCTCAACGGCATTGTTGGGATCGCGCAGTCGGACGACGAGATCGTCGAGCTGCTGAAGAAGATGTCGCTGGAGGCCACGGCCAAGGACGGCGAGATCTCGGTGGAGCTGCCGCCGACGCGGCCGGACATTCTGCAGGAGTGCGATATCGCCGAGGACCTGGGCGTGGCCTTTGGGTACAACAAGATTCCGCGCACGCAGAACAACGCGGCGACCGTGGGCAAGGCGTTCCCGCTCAACAAGCTGTCGGATCTGATCCGCAAGGAGGTGGCGATGGCCGGGTGGACCGAGGCGCTGACGCTCAGCCTGTGCTCGCACGACGAGAACTTCAAGCAGCTCAGGCGCGTGGACAATGGCGACGAGGCGGTGGTGTTGGAGAACCCGAAGACGTTCGAGTACCAGGTGTGCCGCTCGACGCTGCTGCCGGGTCTGCTCAAGACTATTCGCGAGAACAAGAAGCACGCGATTCCGTACAAGCTCTTTGAGGTCTCGGATGTCGTGTTCAAGGACGCGACCCGCGACCGCGGAGCCACCAACCAGCGCCGGCTGTGCGCGCTGTTCTCGAGCCACTCGGCCCAGTTCGAGGTCATCCAGGGTCTGCTGGATACCGTGATGGTGTCGCTGAATGTGCCGCACTCCAAGGAGGGCAAGGGCTACTGGCTGAGCGAGAGCGACCTGCCGACGTACCTGCCGGGACGCTGCGCCGACGTCATGTACCGGAGCGAGGAGGGCAAGGTTGTGAGGCTGGGCGCCATTGGTGTGCTGCATCCCGAGGTGCTGGTGAACTTTGAGCTGGATTACCCGGTGTCAACCTTTGAAATTAACGTTGAAGAGTTCCTCTAAATAAAGTCCATATGGCCGGCCAATATGCCATACGGTTCTTTTTATGAGATAAGTGGGTATTTAGTTGTGCACTTTCTTTAGCTCCCGATCGACGTTGAATGCAGCCGAGATCAGCGCAATGTGCGTGAATGCCTGCGGGAAGTTGCCCAGGTGCTTGCCGGCCTTGTCGATTTCCTCAGAGAACAGCCCGACGTGGTTCCCGTACGTGATCATCTCCTCGACGATGACCTGCGACTTGTACAGCATCGTCTTGTTCGCCGGGCTCGCGCGCGCCAACGCCTCGGCCAGCCAGAACGTGCACAGCGAAAACGCGCCCTCCTCGCCCGACAGCCCGTCGTCGGTCTCGATGGCATTGTATCTGAACACCAGGTTGTTCGCCGACAGCCCGCCCTTGTGCGGCGGCAGCATGATGCGGTTGAGGGTGCTGACAAAGCGCGGGTCGGTGGCCGCGCAAAAGAACACCAGCGGCATGGCCAGCACCGCAGCATCAAGCATCTCCTTGTGCTCGTAGCTCTGCGTGAATATGCGCATCTCCGGATTCCACGCATGCTGCATGATCTCCTCGTAGATTTTGTCGCGCGTCCTGCTCCACAGCGCCTGGTCGGGGCACGGGAAATCGCGCTTGTCCACCAGCCGCAGGCCGCGGTCGACAGCCACCCAGCACTGCACCTTGGAGTACGTGAAGTGCTGGCGCTGGCCGCGCACCTCCCAGATCCCCATGTCGGGCTGGTCGTAGTTGTTGCAGACATAGGTCACCAGAGTGCGCACCTCCACCCAGTCATCGTAGGAAAGCGGATTCGCGTACTTGTTGTACAGGTAGATGGCATCCAGGAGCTCGCCGTAGATGTCCAGCTGGATGTGGTCGGCAGCGCCATTGCCGATACGCACAGGAGCACATTCGCGGTAGCCCTCGAGGTGCGGCAGGATCAGCTCGGGCATCTCGCGGCCGCCGCGCAGCGTGTACATTATCTGCAGGCTCCCGTCGGGGTTCTTCTTTTCGCGGCACAGCATGCTGACAAACTCCATGTATTTCTTGGCCTCGGTGGTCAGGCCCAGGCGCATGAAGGCGTACATGGTGAAGGCTGAGTCGCGCACCCACGTGAACCGGTAGTCCCAGTTCCGTCCCGAGTCGCCAATGGCCTCGGGCAACGAAAAGGACGGTGCTGCCACCACGGCGCCAGTCGGCTCGTACGTCAGCAGCTTCAGCATCAGTGCACTGCGCTCGACGTGCTCGAGCCACCGCCCGCTGTACTTGCACTTGCGGATCCACATTAGCCAGTACATCAGCGTGTCCTCCAGCAGCTCGTCCAGCAGTGGCATCGACAGGGGTGGGTCAATGAAGTCCGTGTTGGGCTCCGGCTGCGTGCGGAAAATGAACGTCACACGCTGACCCTCTTGGAGCCGGAACTTGGCCTGCACGCCCTGGCCCAGCCCGTTTGGGTTATCCACCGGCTGCCAGTCAAAGCCCATGCCGTGGCAGCCGGCGCTGGCGCCCACAACGTACCGCAGGTCCATTGGGTGGACTGCAGTCTGCGCTGCCACATCCTCGGCATTCTCCATATGGTCGTGCTCTGGGTGGGGCAGCTTCTCGGGCGTAAACACCACTGTCTGCGGCCCCACATACGACTCGGACTGGTTGCCGGTCATGTCCCAGTGCAAAAAGATCGACTGGAAGATGCTCTCCTGCGCCTCTGCTGGTCGCTTCGGCGGATTGTCCATCCGGATCACACCAGTATCGTCGATATGCATTTTGTGCTTGGCACGTGCATAGTCGAAGGCCGGAAAGCACTCAGCGCTGAACTCGAGCTCACCGCGGATCACGTCGACCGAGCGGATCAGCCAGGGAAGCATCACGCTGTGGCTGCGCGACCCGGGCTTCGGCCGATGCATGTAGTCGGTGACCTGGCCGACCCCGGCTTCGCTCAGAAACTTGGTCACCAGGACATTGGAGAACGGCAGGTACTGCTGCTTGCTCGACATGTCGGGGGTCGTTGGCGTGATGGAGAAGTGCCCGCCCTTGGTCTTGTCCAGCATCCGGCAGAACACCGACGGACTGTCAAACTCGGGCCAGCAGAGAAAGTCCACTGAGCCGTCGAGGCCCACCAGCGCCGTGGTGTGCATGTTGCCGATGATGCCGTAGTTTTCGATCGGCAGATACCCGTTCAGGGGCTTGCGCATGACCGAGGAGAGCTTGGTCTCATCGTCGAATGAGTCAGAGGAGGAACACCTCATTGATAAGTAAGAAGGGTAGATGCAAAAAAGTGGATGCGAGTAATGCCTTTTCTTTCGCAATGCGAGAAGTGGAAACAAGAGTGCCTGTCTTGGAGGAAGAGGGCAGTCGAGAGCTTTATCAATGCGCAAGAGAGGCTAGGCCAGCTGAATGCACGCATGGATTCTCCGCGACATATGCCTGAGCAGCCCACCACTACACTACAGGACACGCTGGTCACACAAGGTAGCAAGACATTCTGGGCACGGAGCAACAGCAAAAAAATCACGCGACCTCCAAGAGCACATCAAGGGGGGCGGATCAGTTGGGCAGACAAGGCACACTGCAGAAATGCCCTCTTCGAGGCTTGCATTGAGATACAGGCGCTTCCCACGGTTGGCGAACTGAGGGGTGCCAGCTGATCGAAAGCAAGCATAGGTCAATGCGCACCTGCTTGAACAGATCAGCAGGCCTGGGACAGAGATGCTGAAGCGCTGCACCAACAGAGACAATGGTTGCTGGGGTCCCCGAGAGACAAAGGCAGCAGAGAACAAGAGGGGCAGGCAGGATTCCGAGGGAGCGAGACAGGCGATACACAGGGTGGCAGTGCCGCAGCAAAGTCGGGTGAGGGGGCAGAGGGTACCAGACAACCAACGGGGAATAAGGACCAAAAATGGCCGAGGCGGCAGCATTGTAGAACCCCCAGCTAGGTACTCACTAACGCCGTCGATCTTGCTGGGCCCTGCTGGTGGTAGATACATCCTGTTCAAGACCGAAATGGCACGAGACTCGCCCCTGATTGACTTGCACTGATGTTGTATTTTAAAAAAACGCACAAAGAAACACGCAAAAAAGCTACTCATTGTCACTAGCAGACGCCAATAGCGCGCATGACAAGTACATGCGCCAGACCGTAGCGACCTCTTCTCTGGAGACAATCTCCAGACGCCATTTGCCCACAACCAGACAGCGACGGCGGGGCGGGGTGGAGCACACCAGCTGCACGCACGAGCCGCGGGCCGGCGACGAAACCGACAGCTTCGCTGCGCTCTCGACATAATCAAAGGCCTCGGCGGGCTTCTCCATAACCGACATGCCGTCCTGCGCAAAGACCGTCGGCAGCTCCGTGTCCATTGCTGGCAGCGCTGCGCTCAGAAACTCATAGTCGTGCAGGCCGCGCTGGAAGGGATTGCCAGCCAGTCTGATCAAGTAGCCGGCGGCGAAGTGGCAGAATATCTGCTGGTGGACGCGCGGGAACAGGCGCTGGCGCGGCGACACGCGCACGCAAAGAAGGATCAGCCAGCCGGCCAAAAGGAGCGACAGGATCCAGTACAGGTTGATTACGTAGACGCGGGGGTCCTCCAGCGTGTAGCCCGCAGAGTGCGTCAGCATATTGACTATGCCGGTGTAGGTCAGGCCGCCGCCGATTGCCGCCACAGACCAGCCGGTCAGAATGACGCCGTGGCAGGCAGACATGTTGGTAGCACCGAACATATCTGCCAACGTGGCCGGGATGACGCCGACGCCGCCGCCGTAGCAGAGCGTGGCCAGCCAGACCAGCACGACGAACGGCCAGAATGCGAGCCTGGGCATGATCACAATCAGACAGGCGACTATGGAAATCTGCAAAGTGATAATGAACAGGAACGTGCGGCGGCGGCCGAACCAGTCCGATGCCCAGCCGAAGAACAGCCGGCCGAAGGCATTGAATGCACCCTCGATGGTCACCAGAGATGCCACGGGCATTTCGGTCCGGCCATGGAACATGTTGCTGGTCATGCTGGCCATATTCGAGATGATCACGACGCCGAACACCAGGTTCACAAAGAACGCCGCCCACAGGCACCAAAAGTCCGCCGATGACAGGGCGTCGGCCAAGGGGATTACCAGGACGGGGTCGCCGGAGCTCGACCCCACGGTGACTGTTTGCCCGCCAACCGTCGCCGTCTTGCCCTTGATTGTCTGCTGCACGCTGTGCCTTTTGCACCGCACATCTGTCATTGACTGGTTAGCCATGTCGGCCGCCACCCCGGGCAGATTGTAGTTGGGTGGCGGCGGCCGCATAACCAAGGCACATAGGACCATCACAGTGAGGTTGATTATGCCCAGGATAATAAACACGGTCGGGATGCTGAAGCGCTTGATAAGCTGCGTGTTGATGTTGCTGAAGGCCATTGAGCCGCTGCCGAATCCGCTGACTGCCAGCCCGGACGCAAAGCCGCGCGCATTCGGGTACCACTGGATCACAGCGTCAATAGTGGCCACATAGCCTACTCCCAGGCCAATGCCGCCGATGAACCCGTAGCCGAAATACAACATGCCGATATCCTTGCAGAACAGCCCCAGTGCGGCCGTGCAATGCCCGGCGAAAAATAACGCCGCGCCCAGGAGCGCGCACATCTTGGGCGAGTGCGACTCGATCCAGGGCCCAAAGGCTGCGCCTGAGGCGCCCAGCATGCCCAGCGCAATATAGAAGGTTATCTGGGCTCGGTTCGCCTCCGCGTCGCCGTACATGTGCTTGTCTATGGGCTTGTTGAAGATCGACCAGGCGTACAGGGACCCGAGGCAGAACTGGCTGAGCACTGCCAGCGGGATGATCATCCAGGCACGGCACTGCACGCGCCCAAAGAGAATGTACGAGTCGCTGCGGATCTCTCCAGGCGTACGGATGTACTCTGTGTGCGAGTAGTATTGGATTAGCACCTCCCAGAATGTCCGGCATTTGTCTGTCCGCGGCGTTGTGTCAAACACCGCGTCCGATGCGAGTTCATCGATTAGGCGCATTTGGCGTTAGCAAGTAGCTTGAGAAATAGATGCTAGAAATAATAAAAAGTGGTTCATGCAAATGTTACCTGGAGGATCTCTGCGGTTTCGCAGAATTGGTTCGAAACCCGCTCTTCGGCTCCTTGTCTTGTAATAGAACCCCCTCGGTTCATCAGCGACAACAAGGACGGGAGGCAGCAGTGGGCTGAATTCTTGGCCCAGGAAGACCGAATAATGCATGCCACGGGCACCATCCACAAAATATATGTCTGCCTGCAACCTCAATAAGTAAGAACCACAAAACCATGGCCCTATTGTCGGGCAAGGCACCTTGGTGCAACATATGTCCTGTAAGCCACGCACAGCACCTTGTAGCTCGTCAGGGTGGCGCCTCGGGTTATTTCTTTCTTGGACAGTGTTGACATGAGCCGGAGGGGGACAAAGGAGAAGGCGAAATGGGCCCAGCCGTTCCTGACCCAGGACATTCATGAATGGGGGATTTTGTGCGGACTGCAAGGTAAAATAAGCAGGCGCATATGTCGCAAGCTGAGCAGGTATTATATTGGGCAAGCATTGAAATTGCGCTATTGTTGAATGATCCTGGTGAACCCGCAGTGTAAACAAAAAAATCAAAACAGCGACATTTCGACAGTCCCAAGCCCATTTCGGCTGGACATATTGGGCATATCTGTGCTGCATGAAAAAATGGCAACGAAATCGCAAAATATCCTATGTCTGATCATACTGCAGGCTTTATATAATTAGATCAGGCTGGCAGTGGCTCCTGGACAGGGAAAAGGTTTTTCTGGGGAGGTGTTCCCTGTGCATATGCTATCTACGCATTTGCCACACAGTGTCTCTGGCATTATGCTCGGGCTAGCTTCGGATTGTCTAAAAGCTTTTTTTCACATTTTTCCACCATATTGTCAAAATGAAGAAGAGAATGATCTGCCCAATGTGGCCAAATATTTCAAGGAGGCACTTGTATGCATATTGTCAGGGGAGAGAACGAACAGCACAGCTGTTGTTGTCAGGAACATCTCAGGGCAAAAAAAGGGAGGGCAGGCAAACTGTAAATAAAAGGGGCCTCTGTCCATGCCTTCCGGGGCAGCCCGGGCAAGAGAGTTTCTATTTTATTTTTCAAAGGAAAAACAAGGAGCAGCACCCTTTCCCCCTTCCTGTGCTTTTTCTTTATCTACATCACTAATATATCAACACATACATTATCACAAGGGCACGAATAGTAATGAACACGCCAATGTCGCCGACACACGGCTTTCCCTCCACCAACGCACCACTAACGCCCTTGCAAAGGTCGTCGCTGAAGGCGGACCCGCACCCACACGCATTCACAGAAGACGATTTGCACGACATCCACGCAAAGCTGCGGGCACGCGACCCGCCACAGCAAACAGACCTGGACCACGATCTCCTGCGCAGCACGTACTACGGGCGACGCCTCTACCCGACGTTCGACCCGTCACATCTGCACGCCTGCCCGATGCGGTTCATCCGGCAATTCGAATACACGGCGCAGCACAACAACCTGCCGGTGAAGGCATGGGCCAAACGGCTAAACGCCTGTCTGCACGGGGCGGCAGCCGACTGGGCGTTCGACGAGCAGCCGCTGGAAGTCCCGGTGATGGCGTGGGAGAAGCGCAAAAGGCAGTTCCTCGACTGGGCGCTATTGCCGGCGGAGCAGGAGGTGAGGAGGCAGAGGCTGATTAGGTTTTTCCAGACCGAAGGGGATCTTAGCAGCGACTTTGCCAAGGCATTCGAGGAGCATGCGGTGGGGCTGAGGGATTACCGCGAGGACGTGTGGGTCAGGAAATGCGTGGCGAATATGCGGCCGGCGGTGAGGACGGCGCTGGCCGAGATGTTCCCCGAGGCGATGCCGGCCAGATTCAGGGACCTGCGCGACGCATTGTATGCGGCCGACTGGGACCTGTATGAGGTGGCCAGTGCGCCATTAAAGGTCGCCCGGGAGCCAAGCCGCAGCAGCATGTGCTCGGACCTGCGTCTCTCGGGAGCGCTGACGCCCAGCAATATGCGCGTGCGCCGCCAGACCAGCTCGCCAAGCTCGTCGGCCAGCCTGGGCGTGGCCGAACTAATCCGCATGCTGGCAAGGCTCTCGGAAAAGGAGCGCGCCTTGATCATGGTAGCGCTGGAGCGCATGTCGTTTATTGACGAGGCCAGCGAGCAGCGCAGCCGGCATCTGACCACCCCGCGGCCATCGACATCGCCCAGGCAGTCCATTTCCAATCGCCACAACAGCGCCGAAAGTAGCCTAAAGTACGGCGACCTGGAGCTCGCCAGCCCGGGACTGCGTGGCCGCTCGAATGTGTCGCGTGCGGCCACGCAGATTAGGCTGCGGACAAGGCCGATGACGTCGATGGAGTCGCGGCCGAGCCGGGTGGTTGCCAGTAGCCAGGAAAAGATTGCCAGGCAGGTGAGCACCCGGCGCAGCGACTCGGCACTGACGTCGCGGTCGGTTCACGTGGAAGATGAGTTTTGCCGCGAGTCGGCAGACGTAGATATAAAGTCACCGGAATTCACCGTGCTGCAGCAGAATGTCGCGCCCAGTGCGCGGCGCGAACGGTTTCGGTTCATCCGCAAGATTTCTAATATCCTCACGCATCAGTAGCAACAATAAAGCACATGGTTTCTGTGACATCTCCTTGATGGACTGCCAGGCCAGCATTAAGATGATTTTTTTTGGCTTTGGTGGTTCGGCTCTCATCGATCAAGAAATTTTTTTCTACCTTTTCCATCAACATCATCAGCAAAAAAAAAATCAGACCGACTGCCTTTCCTGCTCTTGTATCTTTTCTTTGTGAGCATTATCTTACGCACTATTATTTTACAGCACCAAGCGACCAGAGGCGGCAAGAGTTTGGGACCGGAGCAACATAAGGAAAGCAGTTTTCGCAGCTAAATGCGCGTTTGGATTCGGCGGCTGGGCCACGACATAAGCAGACACACACGCAGTATCCACACCAGCACCACACTTGCCATGAAGTGGAGCATCCAAATCGTCAGCCCCGCCACGCACACGACCTCAGCGACGTCGGTGCTGGTGCATTTCGACAAGGGCCGCTATCTGTTCAACTGCGGCGAGGGCGTGCAGCGGCTGAGCTTCGAGAACAAACTGCGGCTGAGCCGGCTGGGCAACATTTTCCTGACACGCGTCCACTGGGAGGCCATGGGCGGACTGCCCGGCATGCTCCTGACGCTGGCAGACGGCGGCACGCAGAACCTGCGGGTCAGCGGCGGACCCAACCTGGCCCATGCCCTGGCAGCCACCCGGCACTTCATTCTGCGCGGGAATATGGGCGTCAGCGCCAACGAAATGCGGTCGCCCAATGATGTGTTCCAGGACGACAACCTCAAGGTCAGGGCGGTGCATGTATACCCGGCCCACTACACGCCGCGGGCCCAGGAGCTGGCCATTGACGAGTCCAACGACATGCAGATAAGGCACCAGCTGATTGCCCGCGCATTCGGCAAGCCGCAGGCAGAGCAGCAGACGGGCCGCCGCAAAACCCCGCTGGTGCAGCAGAAAAAGGGCTACTATAAGAAATGCTCGGGCGGCGAGATCGAGCAGCGCCTGGCCGACGAGCCGGGGCAGAAGCGCGCGCGGTCGCCGGAGCAGCGCACCCGACATATCTCGGAAACCAGCCTGCCCGCAGCCACGCCCACCGAGGCTGCGCTCTGCTACATCTGCGAGGGCCCTGAGGTGCCAGGCAAATTCGATGTCAAGGCTGCGCAGGCCCTGGGCTTGCGGCCCGGCCCACTGTACGGGCGGCTGCAGCGCGGCGAGACCGTCGAGGGACCGAATGGACCGATCCGCCCGGAGCAGTGCGTCGGCGCGACACGCCCGGGCCGTGTTTTCGCGATCATCGAATGCCCAAGCCCGGCGTACATTGAAAGCGTCACTAATAACCAGCAGCTGCTGGCGTTGCAGGGGAGCGAGCGGCTGCTGGTGGTGGTGCATGCGCTGGGTGCAGGCGTGGCGACGGACGCGCGGTACCGGCAGTGGGCGGGTGGGTTCGCAAAGCACGTGCAGCATATGGTCAGTGCTCCGGAGGTGGTCCCCGATGGCAATCCGTTCCAGCGCCATCTGCGCGTCCAGGCGGCCATGGCGGCGGTGGATCCGCTTGCCTATGTGCTGCCAATGAGCAGCGGGACGGCCGAGCTGCCGCTGGATGCGTTTCTGCAAGGGAAGAATGTCGTGCGGGCGCAGAGCCTGCTGCGGTTCGAGGTCGAGCCGCGTCCGCGCCTGGTCACCGACGATGTGCCGGAGCTGCGCACGCCCGAGGCGATGCTGGCCAGTGCCCAGGCCGGCACCCTGTATGCTGGCGAGCCGAATGACGAGGCGCCCACGACGAGCCCGACAGAAGTGCAGGGCAGGGAGTCAGGCCTGGTGGTGTGTCCGATCGGCACCGGGTCGTCGGTGCCCAGCATCTACCGCAACGTCAGCGCCAATATCCTGGACGTGCCCGGCTACGGCGGCGTGGTGCTGGACTGCGGCGAGTCGACAGTGGCACAGCTCAAGCGGTTCCTGGGCCACCAGCGCCTTAACCCGCACAATCGCCGCATTCCCAAGACCTTTGAGCAGTTCGTGCAGTCGCTGCGCCTGCTGTACATCTCGCACATGCACGCCGACCACCACCTAGGCGCCATCCTGCTCCTGCACGAGTGGGCCAGGCTCTCGGAGCCGTCCAAGCGGCTCACAGTGCTGGCGCCGGCTCGGTTCCATGCCTGGCTCAACGACTTTGCTGGCGTGCAGCCGCTGGGCCTGGAGCGCATTGACTTCATTGACTGCCAGGACGCACGCATTGACGGGCGGTCCTCCGCGGCCCGCGCGCTGCTAGGCCAGGCCAAGGCTGCGCTGGGGCTGACGGAGCTGGCCACGTGCGGCGTGGTCCACTGCCCGTGGGCATACGGCCTGGCCATGACGCACCAGTCGGGCTGGCGGCTGGTGTATTCGGGCGACACGCGGCCATGCAAGAGCCTGGTAGACCTGGGCCGGCGCACGCCGGTGACAGTGCTTTTGCATGAGGCGACGCACTCGGACGATCTGCTGGAGGACGCGATAGCCAAGCGCCACACGACGGTCAGCGAGGCCGTGGCCATGGCTGTAGCCATGCAGGCAGAGAACCTGCTGATGACGCATTTCAGCCAGCGGTGTCTGGCGCTGCCGCGGTGGAGCGCCCCGGCTATCTGCAGTGCCAGTGTGCCGCGGCTCGGCCCGCTGGTGGATGGCCCGGCGCCTGTGGATTACGAGGGGACGCAGGAGCTGCTGGGCAACCTGAACATTGCCTCGGCCTTTGATATGTCAGCCTACGGCCCCGCCGATATCGCCAGATATAGGAAGAATGCCGCGAAGTTGCGTCAGGTCTTGCGTAACGAGATCCGCGCCCTGGCTGCTGAGGAGGCCGAGGATGTCGATGAGGAGGATCCTAAGAGTCCGCCCAAAAAGACGACCGCGAACAAGCTGCAAAAATAGACACTCCATGCACTTTGATCACAAATCACATATGGCTTTTTTTGTTTCCTGTAAAAAAAACACACCCAATGCCCCCGTTCATATTGGCGTCAGCTACCATGCATATAAAGCCCCTATGCAGCCCGCACATGTATTCCAGGGAATTTATACACCTTCTTTCACCCAGAGACAATGCTTGCTGCAATTTCTCCTGCCGTGCGCTTTGCCTTCATCGCCGCCTGCATGCTCATGCTGGCCGACTACATCAACTCAGGCCCCCCGAAAGTCTGCTCCGACATCCACTGCACCTGCCCCTGCCACGACGACCCGCCATCTGATACATGTACATGCCCAATGCACTGCAATTATCGCGAGAACATCTGGCTGCGCGTTAACGAGATCCGCAAATTGGTTCGCCCGCCGCTTACACGCAGCGTATATGTGGCGACTGACTCTCCCGAGCCTGCTGATGCCTGGCAGACCAGAGAGGAACTTGAAAACCGGCACCAGCGCATGCTCGAGACCATCCAGTCCTACGAGAACACCATCGCCAGCCTGCGCAAAGATCTCTACGAGATCCACTCCCAGTACTGCGACCTCTACGACGCCTACATAGACACGAGCCTGCAAGACTAAAACCAAAAAGATTTTATTTAAAAAAACTTTCTAGTCTACTGTGCCTCGTTGATGGTCTTGCGGAACAGCGCAATGACCTCCTCCGGCGCCTTGGCCTTGAAAATAGACGACCCTGCGACAATCACATTGGCGCCGGCCTTGGCCGCCACCGCAATGTTTTCGGGCGCCAGTCCGCCGTCCACCTCAATGTCCAGGTCCGGGAACCGCTTCCGCAGCTTCTCCACCTTCTCCATGCACTCGCCCATAAATGCCTGTCCGCCGAACCCAGGCTCCACCGTCATCACCAGCACCTGGTCCACCAGTCCTGCGTACTCGTATGCATCCTCGATGGATGTCCCAGGCTTGATCGCCAGGCCGGCCTTCATCCCGCGTTCATGCACGCGCTCAATCAATGCCTTGACGTCTTTGGCAACCTCGATGTGGAAGCAGAACAGATCCGCTCCGGCCTCGGCAAAATCATCCACCCACCTCTCCGGCTCAGACACCATCAGGTGGCAGTCCAGGAAGCCCTTGGTGTGCGGCCGCAGGCTCTTGATTATCGGCGCTCCCAGCGTCAGGTTCGGCACAAAATGCCCGTCCATGACATCCATGTGCAGGTAGTCGGCGCCCAGGCTGAGCATGCGCTCGCACTCATCGGCGAGCTTGGCGAAATCGCCAGACAGAAGCGACGGCGCAATCTTGGCAACGACCATTTTTCTAGAGCAAATAAGAGCAGTGGAAAGTTGTAGAAAAAGTAAAAGTGGAAGAGAAGAGAAGGAAAAAAAGCTGTGTGATTCATTGAACCACAAGATTGGCCGATAAAGATCCTGCAAAGATTCACTCATCGCCAGGAGGAGGGGGCGGTGGGGGCGACGCTGGTGGTGGTGGTGGTGGAGGAGGTTGCTCGTCGGCTGGCGGTGGTGGTGGAGGAGGTTGCTCGTCGGCTGGCGGTGGTGGTGGAGCATTAGCTGGAGGCGGCGGTGGAGCATTGGTTGGAGGCGGAGCCTGCTGGTATCCGTTCGCACCATAGTAATAGTCGTACTGCTGCGCGGCCGGCGCCTGGTAATACTGAGCATATCCGCCCTGACTGCCATCCCATTGTGCATTCTGCTGCACCGATCCATATCCTTGGTACGCCGGCTGCCCGTGCGAAGACCGATTGCGAAGCCATGGCGGCGTCGACGGCGGCTGCGGTGGCCGGTAACTCGGCGATAACCGCACCGGCGGTGGTGGACCGGCGGGAAGCGGTGGCGGCGTAGCAGTTCGTGATCCGCTGTCGGGGTTCCGCGTCCACGGCGCCGGCTGCTGCTGGGCGCTGCTGGGCGCGCTCGGCCTGGGCACGTCCTCGCCCAGCTCGGCCATCAGGTTCAGGTACTCCGAGTTGAGCTGCTGGTCGCGCTCTCTGGCCTGCTCCAGCGCCGCCGGGTCATGGCGCTGCGTGCAGTCACGTGCAATATGACCCTTGCCACCGCACACGCGGCAGACAAGACTCACTGTTACGTTTTTCTGCTCCGGGCACTCCCACCGCCGGTGGCCCAGCGCCCCGCAGTTGGTACATGCCTGGCCCTCGTCGTCACGCAGAGTTCCGTTGAGTGCCGCCAGCTCGCGCAGCTGATTGCGCTTCAGGTCGTTGTGGCCTTCGGGTGTCACGCACGCCTTCTGGATGATCTCCTGGACAATCCGCACGCCCTTCCGCACCTTCTCCTCGCTGTCGGCTTGCACCAGGCAATGCAGGTCCTCATCAGCTCCCGGAATATGCATGTCGTCGCGTCGCTTCCCCTCCTTGATCGACCCGCGCCCGCGAATCGAGATCTTGGTGCCCGAGTCACCCTCGATCTTCTTCAGCGTGTTGCCACGCGGGCCAATCAGCAAGCCGATGAAGTTCAGCCCAGGGTTCTCCTCCACCGGAATAAACACCTTCTCTGAGTGCTTCGACTTCTTCTTGTAGTCAGCCGGCGGCCGGTAGCTGGCGTCCCGCCGCAGCTGCTCTTCAACCAGCAGCCCGCGCTCCTCCTCCAGACGCTTGCGGTACCGTGCCTCGCGCGTGTTCGTGCGCTTGCCCTCGGCATTGTATGTTGGCGGCGGCGACGGCGACCGCTGCCCATCCTGGGGTACCACGTCGTTGGTTTTCAGCTTGCGCGTGATTTCGTCGATTCGCACCACTGCCGCGTAGCCCTCTACCTGTTCCTTCGTCATCGCCCCTGCCAGCGCCGTTGCTGCCATTGGCGCCGCCGATTCCACTGCTCCCCACCGGTTACGCCGCCGCCGCTTGCGCTCCCCGCCGTCATCCGCCGCGACCGGCGCTGGTGCCACCGGTACTGGCCCGCTGTCGGCCTTTTTCTGCGGCAGAATCGAGCTGGCCACCAGCTGTGCCCGCTCAATGGCTGCCTGCAGGTCTATTTTGACTGTCTTCTCGCTGCCTTCTGTCACGTCGCGTGCTGCGCCCAGCGGGACGCTATTTGTGCCTGTCGGCCTCCAGCTCATTCTTTTCAAGTAAAGAATTAAAAGTATTTGTGTAATTTGCAAGCAATAAAGGAGAAAAGGCTTGATCACAATCTAGTCGTCCAGATCCACGCTGTATGCGCTGTACATGTCCTTGACCAGCTTTCCCTGGACATCTGCTAGCTTGCCGAACAGAATCTGCCCAGCATCCTTGATGTCGTTGTACCGGTGCAGCCGCTCAATGTGCGCGTCCGTCAGCCCCCGTGCTTTCTCGACTCCAATGCCGTTTGCCAGCAGCGCGTCGCGTTTTTCTTTCTGAGCCCTAAGCTCCTTCTGCAGCACATCGATGGTGTCCCGGAGCTCGCTCTTGCGGTCGCCCTGCGATGCCAGCCCTCTGGTGTCGGCAGCCAGGGGCCTGCGCTTGCCCTTTGTTGGTGAGTCGCTCATGATGAATTGACACCCACTGGCCAGGCGGCATTCTGCCAGCCTGAACAAAAATAGTGCTGGGCTGATTACGCGTGATTATTGGAGAGCCACCATGCGACTCTGGATTTTGGAGCCGAGCCGGCGAAGAAAAATTTTATCTCCCGCATCCGATCCAGAGCCCACTATAAAGCCCGCCTGCCGCCCGGCGGCTATCCGTCGACGCTCCTTGTCTCTGCTTCTCCACCACACATTCATCTACTCTTTAGTGCTTCGCGTACGTATCCGCTCTTGCCTCTGCTGCTTTTTGTCGCACTCCAGAAGGGTGATTATAAAACTGAACACTGAATTTGTCGCAGGAGACTTAATCATCGCTCCTTCGCTTGACAGCTATGTCGACCATTAACCTTTACAGAAATTCCTCTTTTATGACTTTTTATCCTTTGAACCCGCACATGGGTCTGTGCCACCACTGCGTTGTCCACTAAATCGATCCCGTTTATCGCTATAGACTCACGAAAGGTACACCATCGCCCTTCTTCAGGTTGCTCTTTCCCTTGTGAAAGCTACTGCCCTTGCCCTGATGATACTCTTTACCACCTTATTATGAGTCATACGTGATTATACACAAAACATGCATCACCATCTGAGCTCCCCTACCCACACACCCAGTGGATGTGGCCTCGGATCGCAATCAGACTTATTTGCTAAACTTGCTTTTTTGCTTGGAGTTAGGTTATAACCTCTTAGGCACCCGTTCAGGGCTCCGGTGTGGCAGCACGCGGCCGACTTGAGTGGTATGTATTGGAATCCCCTTGTGCTTCCTTTCTTGATTTGAAATGATGACCAAACTTAGTTCAGTTCTGCTACCGATGCAAGCGTGACGATAACTACCATATCTTACCAATATTACCCTGACCCTTCAAATCACGCCCCTCTGTTCTTAACCTACTATACTATGCAATGACACTGGCAACTAAACATCATATGTTTCTCTGCTTTAGGTATCAAGGTAATGTAAAATATTTTTTGTATATTTTTCACGAATAAACCAGAAATTACCCAAACCTCTCAGACCTAATCCATCGGTTGTGCCATCTCCGACTGGCAAATGCTACATGTACTGGATGGGTGTGTGTGGTAGCAGCGTGTTTGCACTTTCGGTGCCTGGTTCCTGAAACACTATCAGGTCTCGTCCACTAGCATTTATTCCCATCATGTTACCCCTTTCTGCAAAAAAAAATGGATATTTACTACCACTGATCAAACCGCAATGGACCTAGCGATATGCCTTCTTGACCAAAAGAGCTTTTACATTCCTGGTGCGGTCCAATCTGACTTGTTTGCGAAGCTGAGCCTGAATAGTCTGCTATACCTTGGACAAGCAACTATCAGACTGACTGGTGACATGCTACATACAAGTTGTCATCATCATCATAGCCCTCATTGAATTGCAAATGGGCGAAATCGAGTCTTAAAACAAGAGCACCTTGGTGGTCAGAACGCTGAATGATCATGCTGAAGGTATGCGAGGACATGTAGGCAAACTATGATTTGGTGATATGAAATGAAATAAACAGCCTCTTGACTCAATACCTTTAAATCGTGGCTGCTCAACAGTCCAGCATCCTGAGAGCGCGGAGTCACTCAATCCGGCACGATGGTGATTTACCAAAGTAATGGTGGATGTGGCCCAGCTACCGTTCGTCGAAGGTGGGCGAGACGACGTGGGGTTCGACCGTCAGGTAATGCGTCGTGACGATGGGACATGTGATTTGGGTCTCGGTCAGATTGGTCTCGTATAGTGAAAACAGCCATTGGAGCAGAGGGCTGGGTGCATTAAGGTCATAGATATCAAACACATCTAGGAATGTGCTGGTGGGTGACATGCTGTGTCACCAAAGTGACGTTTGGGATGTGCTCAGTGAATATCTCCATAGCCATGCGCAGATATTCATTCGGGTGATGTATGTGCACGTCTGAACAATTGCAGCCTGGCTAGCAGGAATCGTCGTCCGAGAGCTTGGGCTTGTTGAACATGCCACCGCCGACAAACTTGATAGACTTGACATCGGTCTAGTTCTTATGCTGGTAGAGTAGTTCATTGAGTAGCTCGACGATAGGAATCAGGCACTTGCATTTGTTGTCCATGATGACGACGATTTTTCTATGGCATCCACCTTCCGTATGTCCTTTCTGGCCCGAACATTACTGTGCCACCTTTTGCGGTGGCCGCCGGTACCGTCGCATGGTCCTGTCATGCGGTGCTCAATAACCAGAGTGTTGACAGAAGAGTCAGGAATCCGCTTGGTCCACCGCGTGCTGAACTTGGAGAGGTTTGTTGCCTGTCTGAGCCGTAGCTATTTTTGAACTGTGGTATCTCATTGCCATTCATTGCATGGGCAAAGATTTTTTCCAGGACGGTGTTTGGAACCTTATCGAAACAAGTAAATATATAGTCAGCTGGAGGTGGCATTTGTGAGCTGAAGAGTAGATAAACTGCCGAGAATAGAGAACGAACGAAACTCCATTGTGGAGGGTAGGCGCTAGTTAGCATATCTTTTTGATATGTGGTACTGTCTGTTGGCAGGATTTCATTGCCATATATTCTCCACTCCCAAGTGCAGCTATTATAGCTATCTTGGGGAAAGTTACAGCCATTGTAGTACATAGTCAGGTTGCATGTCGGCCGCAGGACATGTCACAGGGAAGGTAGGCTGCGGTGGGATGATGGAGTGAAAGAAGCAGCAGCAGCGCCAAAATGCCAGTGCTTCTGGTATGCTTTGCAGGTTTGTGTCCGAAAACTTGACAACGGTTGTGACCTCTTGCTGCAGCCAAGCATATCAACTGGGTACAGTGGATGGGAGTAGACGTCATAATGCTTGCATCCTGCGAGCGCAGGGGGCCGTGATATTCTGACATTCTGTGGTTTTTACTTATTTCTTCCATTGTGTCGAGGAACAGGAGGGAGAAAGAGGGCATAATTACATAGGGGCAGTATATAGAAGCCCAGGAAAAGGGAGCCAGGTGAATGACAGAGCCAGGAAGGACACAGGCTTCTGTCTCTTCGTAGACTTGGTACTCGCAGAGAGGAGCTATGCACTAGGCACGGTGTCCTGTTCACACTCGCCGTTGCGCAAGCGACTCTGATTTGGTTTGTGACGACTGGCATTTGATTTCAAAGTCCTTTCCCTGGAATCTGTTTTAGCTCATAGAGCGTGTTAATCTTTTCTCTCTCTTTGACACTCGCAACCCAGGTACCGGCTCGCAAGACAGCCCTTGGATGAACACAGGGCGGGTAGCATATGCCAGGCTATGCAGCGTTCTGACAGCGCAAGTACACCAGTGTCCAGTTCTATATTATCACCTGCTAAAAATCCCTAGCTGGTCCAAGTGTGGGCAAGGCCACGGAAGCTGCGGGACCAGCTCGCGGCGGACGCGCTCTATCAAATGGCTGCAGCTGTGTCTGTATAGCGAGATGCGCTCCAGCGATGGTATCAGCGATGCGACAACAAGTATTTGCTCGATGACCTGCCAGCCAGTGTAGCCTTTGTAGTGCACCACCCGGAGATTTGACAGTCTCGATAAAACCGGCTGCGCGGACCCTCCAAAGACTCTCTCGATGTCGCTCCGCTGAAGGTGCCGCCCGTTCCTATACTCTTGTCCATTGTTTCCCAAGGCGATATATAGCGTCTTGGTGGAGGCGCATTCCACCAGAGCCCGTATTACAATCCCTTCAAAACAGATGATGTACGTCAAAACATACCAAGGCCACACAGGCATGACATGCACACTGCTTCCACGTCGTATGCCTTGCAAATGCTCAAAAATTTGCTTTTTATATTCGACAAGAAGGTTAAAAACAAACTCTTTAGGCCTCAGTGGCAACAGCAGCGGTAGCGCGGGTGTAGATCAGCTGCGAGTTGTGAGCAGAGATCAGGCGGATGGAACCGCGGGTCTCGAGCTCGCGCAGAGCACGGCGGGCAAGCGAGCCGTTGATGCGCAGACGGTCGACAAGAACCGACGGGGTGATCAGCTTGTAGGCGGGGACCTCCTTCTCCAGCTTGGCGAGGGTGGCAGCGTCGAAGATCACGGCGTTGTTGGCCTTGTCCTGGACCTTACCCTTGGACCACTTCTTCTTGTTCTTCGAACCCGCGGACGACTTAGCAGCAGCAGCCTAAACAAATTAAAAACAGGTGTGGAATTGAGTGGTGCGTTCGGTTGTTGCCATTGCGCGGTTGCTGCTCAGGCAGCGAATTAGGGATTGCTGCGCCTTGTTCATAAACGCGTGGCCGGGGCTGAGAGGGATGCGCTTGCGAATTGTCAGACTTTGGCAACGACGCGAGGATTCACCAGACTGGAATTCATGCGAATTCCCGCCATATTCCAAATTCAAATTGTCTCTTCGTCTCCGAATTTCGTCCCTTGGCCAAAAATAGTCCGGCCATGTCGTCTGGTTTATACCAAAAAGCCAGAGTTGCCTCCCACATGGCGCGCATCCATCATCCCCGGCCCCGCCGAATACATCCATTGCGGCCCGCCGAATCCACGATGGATCTTTACCATTTTTTCAAGTGTGTTTTAAAAAAGCAGAGCTTAATTGAGAAAGGCTGTGCCTCTGTCTCCGCCGAGCGGCGCGTGCTTTGGGCTTCCCCCACCCCACCCCACCCACAAATTGCGAGCCCCACAGATCAGCCTCAGGTCCAGATTACATCTGACTAAATCTATTATCAATAATCACATGATTCTATTAATGGGCAAACGTTGAGGCTGGCGGATGGCCAATCTCGTGGTCCTCCTCGTCGTCAAACTCGTCCTGGTGCGAGCGCTCGAGCACTGCCTTCTGGCGCTCGCGCAGGCTCTCGCTGATGCGCTTGTGGGTGCGCACGGCGACGCGGTCCTCGCGGGCGGCCAACTCCTGGTGCTCCTGGCGCCGCGCGTTCTCGGCCAGCGCCTTGTTCTGGCCGGCTATGATCCAGCGCTGCGAGGACATCTCGACGAGCCGGCTGATGGCGCGCTGGAAGGCAAACACCTCTTCCTCGCCAGCATAGGTGGAGACGGCGGAGAACTTGTCGGCGGACTGGATGGCGTCGGTGGGCGTGGGCAGGGTGGCGGCGCGCGAGCTCTGGAAGTCGCTCATTTCGGCGTGGCCAGTAAAGAGCGTGTAGATGTCGGATTCGGAGCTCATGATCAGCACGCAGTGCGCCTCGTACAGGGCATCAATCAGAGTGATGAACCGGCGGGCCTCGTTGCGGTCCGACATGTGCATGACGGGCACGTCGGTCAGAAACACGGCCTTGTAGTGCTTCGCCAGCTCAATGTAGTCGGCAGCGCTGTGCGCGTCCTTGCACAGCTGCGCAAACGTGAACCGCGCGACACCGTTGGCCGAGGCTGGGACGTTGAGCGTGCGGCCGAGGAAGCGCAGCGGCTGGTTCGTTGCCACCGGGGCACTCTCCGAAGCCAGGCCAAACAGGGCATGCATGACCTTGTTGGTGTCGGCAGTGATCGGCGAAAAGTACACAGACCCGGACTCCTGCGCAATCTTGCGGTAGTCCGTGCCCGAGTCGAGCGAGACCACCTCGCAGCGCTGCTTCAGCAGCTCAATGCACGGCAGGAAGCTCTCGCGCTGGATTCCGTTTTTGTACAGCTCGTCTGGATGCCGGTTCGACGTGGTTACAATTACCACGCCGTTGTGGAACAGCTCCGTGACCAGGCGCCGCAGGACCATCGCGTCGGCAATGTCGGTGACCTGGAACTCGTCGAAACACAGCACGTAGGCGTCGGAGGCCAACTCGCGGGCTATTGTTGGAACTGGGTCGTCTGTGGACTTGTGTGTGCGCTTGAATGTGTTGATGCGCGCATGCACGTCAAGCATGAATGCATGGAAGTGGATCCGCCGCTTCTTTTCTGTCGGAACCGTGTCATAAAACAAGTCCATCGTGGTCGTCTTGCCTGTCCCGACATCGCCATATATGTACAGCCCCCTGGGCGTGCCTTGCGGCATTCCGGTATTTGTGCTGCCCCTTTGGAAAAGCTATGTGTGGAAAATATTAGTCATGTGTTTGCATGTCGCGAACTTTGGGGTGTCGTTCGGCGATGTCCGGAAGCACGCACGAGAGCAGATGTGCGTTTCAGGAACAATACTTGCCAAGGTCTCCTCCTTTTTACATGGCCCGCATGCTTACCTTCCAGAAATACCCCGCAGCCGGCTTTTGCTCGCCCACTGGCGCTGGAGAGTAGCCCAGAAGCTCCTGATAAAGGCGCTCGAGCCTGGAGACTATCGATCGCTGGAAACTGTCGTCAATGAACTGGCCGACCTCGACCATGTGCCTATACTCGCTTACAGGCCCGTGTGTGTTGTCTGCATTATCGTGCTCTACTGAAACAAGCTGTTGTATCAGCAAAGCAGGTTCTCAATAGAAAAAGTTCAGCCGTGCCTACCCCTCCCCAAAATTCTGCGTCAGTGCAGCCACAGCCATCTGTTCCCATGCGCACAAAGGAAGAGGCTGCAATGACCGCTTTCCAGAGCGGATGCACAGCGAGAGAAAAAAGATAGGAGAATAAGAAAAAAACACGAAACTCTCCGATACGTGCCGATCGGCTCGTGGGCTTGAGAGCAGGTCACGTAGAAAAGATGCCAGCAAACACCTACCTTTGACGGCAGCAACAGCGGGCGCTGCTGAGCGGTTTACAGACGAATGTAATTTTCTTGCCGTGAGCAGCGGCCTGTGCGCAGGCAATGCGAGTCGTCTGGGCGCAGTGTCCAGGCACAGCAGATGCCTGGACGTCAGTCTATAGGTGAGCGGCCTGAGCGCGGCTGAGCGGTACATACTGTGTATAAAACTGAAATATGAGAGGGAAAAGGAAAGTAAAAAGCGCAAAACCCAAAAAAGGAGCAGGAGAGAATTCAAAGGTGTCCAGCGAAGGCCTTTAAATATCTTTGGCATTAAACAGCGTGTTTCTGTTTTGGGGGGTGGCTCGGGTGTTTGCACCCCCTCCTGTGGCCAGCAGTGGGGAGGCTGATAAGGTGCTCGCTTAATAGCTGCTGTGTATCTCGCACATGACACGTCAGTGCGACTGCTGGAATATTGCTCACCGTTCTGTGAGAAAATCATTTCACCCGGAGATACCGCTTGTTCGTATGGCCCGTGCTCTCCAATGCGGGGGAGCAAGAATTTTCTTCCCCTCGCGCGTACGCACAGCCCGCATATGGCCTTTATTTGCTGGCAGTTGCAATGCAATATTTTCACACGATCGAAAGGGAAAAAATAGCAAGGCAGCATGGGGGCGGTATTCAGGAGGGTCCGACGCATGAAAGTTCTAGCGAGCGGACTCATCAGGCTAGGAAGCGGAGATGCCTGCGACCCGGAATTTGGTGCGGGATGCCGCATTTGATAGCGGGTTCCCACCGGCTTGTAGCGAAGCGGGCATGCCATCTTATGCCCGGGTGCATATAGCGGATGTCCTCCATTGCTGTGGCAGATACCATGCGAATGTAGGCGGGCCGGATACATGCATGATGGCGATAAGGCAAGGGTCCGGGTCGGAAAAACAAAAAGCATCAACAAAGCTTGTCCTGGTCCGAGCCCCTAGGCTTCGAGATCCGCGGAAATCTAATTATCAGTCCTCATCAGCGCCAGCGGATTTGGGGTGGCTGCGTCTGTGGGTACATGCTAGGGAAGGCAGCAGCATGCAGCTTGGCAAGGAGGCACACTCAGTATAAAAATAGCCCTGAAGCTTGGCGCCAGTGCACATGCTGTTGTTCTCTTGGTGTCGTCACTGACCTCGGCTCTCTTCATCTCATCTCAATTTCCACCAGCTCATTACTTTTTTCCCCCAAGGAGAAAACATGTCCTTTGTTCAGAGTAAGCGTCCAACAGCCTGCATAGACTGTGCGTAAGGGGGTGGAGCAGCAGTGTCTAAACCACAGAAACTTCTTGTCCTAGAAGAATATTTTGCACCGAACCCGACCACGGCGCGCGGACAGGCCGTGCGGCTGACAGCGGACCCCGCCGGCGAGCGGTTCGTGTACGCCAGCGGCAAGACTATCGTTATCCGGTCGCTCGCGGATCCGTCGCAGGCAAGCGAGTACACGGAGCACCTAGCGGCGACAACGGTGGCGCGGTTCTCCCCGTCGGGCTACTACGTGGCATCAGGCGATGTGTCCGGCAACGTGCGGATCTGGGACTCGGTGAATGCCGAGCATATGTTGAAGAGCGAGTTCCGGCCGATCTCGGGGCGCATCAGCGACATTGGGTGGGACGGCGACAGCCAGCGCGTGTTGGCGGTAGGCGATGGCAAGGAGCGATTCGGACACGTGTTCTCGTTCGATTCGGGTAACTCGCTGGGCTCGATTGACGGGCACAGCAAGCCGATCAATGCGTGCAGCATGCGGCAGAGCCGGCCGATGCGTGCAGTCACCTGTTCGGATGACGGTACGTGTGTGTTCTTCCACGGCCCGCCGTTCAAGTTTGACAAGACGCTGAAGGACCACACGGGGTTCGTCAATGACGTGCGGTATGCGCCCGGCGACGCGTATTTTGCCAGCGTGGGCTCGGACAAGAAGATCTTCCTGTACGATGGCAAGACCGGCGACCTGGTGCGGCAGGTGGCTGCGGACTGCCAGGACGCGCATACGGGGTCGATCTATGCAGTATCATGGAGCCCCGACGGTAAGTTCCTTGTGACGTCGTCGGGTGACCGCACGTGCAAGTTCTGGGATATCGAGGCCGACAAGCTCGTGCATACCGTCGCGGTTGGCAAGGGCTCGACAGCGCCCGACCACCAGCAGGTCGGTAATGTGTGGGCAGGCTCGCACATCATTTCGCTGTCGCTGTCAGGCGACATCAACGTGCTGAGTCTCGAGTCGCCTGAGCCTGTGCACGTGGTCACCGGCCACCAGAAGGCCATCACAGGCGCAGCGCTGACACCGTCGCATGTACTGTACACGGGCAGCTATGACGGCAAGGTTTGTGCCTGGGACTTTGGCTCTGACGCGCCGGGAATTGCAGCCAACGTCTCTGGTACGATGGCCAACGGGCAGATCAGGGCCATGGCAGCTGCGGCCGATTCGCGCGTGGCAGTCGGGTTCCTCAACGACTCGGTACAGTTCGTCAGCAATGCGCAGCTCGCGGGCGGCTCCTCGATCGGACTGGGGGCAGCACCCCGCTCATTGGCAATCTCCAGCAGCGGCGACGCGATCGTCGCAGTGCTCGAGAACGACGATCTGGTTGTGGCACGCAATGGACACGCTGCCAAGGTCGCTGTGGCCGAGACGCCATCGCTGCCCAGGGCCGCTGCCATCACACCCTCGAACGGACTGGTCGCTGTGGGCTTCCAGGACGGCTCGGTGCGCACCTACAAGCTCGACGGCTCGGCGTTGGTATTCACGGGTGCAGTGGTGACGCGCAACAGCCGCGAGATCACGGCGCTGCGATTCTCGCCCACCGGCGACCTGCTGGCGATCGGCGATGCCGGCGGTAAGATCATGCTGGTCAATGCGGCATCGGGCGATCTCGTGACGTCGCGCTGGGCATTCCACACCGCGCGCATCTACTCGATCGCCTGGGCTCCCGATGGCGCGCACGCCGTGTCGGGCAGCTTGGACGGACACGTGATCGTCTGGAATGTCGCCGCGCCCATGAAGAAGATCCACATCCGCAACGTCCACCTGGGCGGCGTAGCCGCCGTCGCGTTCCTCTCGAACGACTCGATCGCTAGCACTGGCGCCGACGGCAGCGTCAAGGTCTTTGATCTGACGTATTAAATGGAGGAGTATTATTTCATTTCACTTTCTGCAAAATAAACAAAAAAGCACTGGTGTCTTCTATATCACGACAAGAAATACAGGCTGGCCACGATGCTCAGCAATGTCAGGGCGGCTGCCATGGCGAATATGATGAACCGGAACTTGGGCTCCAGGTCGCCCAGGCGGTACCATTTGATAAGCTGCATCTGCACAGCGGCGAACAGAACCACGCATACGCCCAGTAGCGCATGTAGGGCTACGCCGGTCTGCACGCCCCGCACCAGCGACAGCGTCAGCATCAGCACCGCAACCGCGACAGTGTACACACTGCCGAACCGCTCGATCACCAGGTCGCGCCGGCTGGTCCCGCCAAACAAGGGCTCGTCCATAATGTGAATTTGCGAAGAAAAAACAAGATATAAAGAACAAGTGGGGAAGTATCGGCTGAGAACCAAAATGCAGCCCAAGCAAGAGGAAAAGAGAGAGAAAATCGCACTATTTCTAAAGCGCGAAGACCGAAAAAAACAAAGTGAATTTCCCCCTCAGCTCCCTTTTAGGCTGGCAGCTGCGCCAAGCAAAACAGTCCCCGGGATAATACCGCCAAGCTATCGCCATTAGGATTCCACCGGATGCCCAACGCCAGGGCATTGGCAGCCGGCACCTCGCACACCATACATCCCTTGGCGTCCTTCCACAGGTAGACACTGGACGATCCCGTGACCACTGCCAGTACCGACTCCACCGGGCTCCACCGGAACTCACGCACCGCCAGCTGCATCTGCACCACCGCCACACACCGCATGCGGTCGGTCCGCCACACCCACACGCAGTTCGGCATGGTCTCGTCGCGCGTCGCCAGAAACACTCCGTCGGCGCTGAATGCCGCCGAGACGCCTTGCCGGCTTCCCACCCGGTGGATATCTGCTGGCACATATTTCTGCACCTTACCCTGCACCAGATCGAACCGCGTGCGCCGCCGCGCCGCCGGGCTGCCCAGCGCCTTGGCCTGCTGCGCCAATGGCACATCGACGTCGACTTCTAGGAACACGTCGGCTGATGATGGCGGAATGCGGCGGTGCTCCAGCGTGGCGATGCTCCGCCACGTCAGGTCGTTCAGCATCCGGATCTTGCGGTCCAGCCCGCACACCGCCAGGAGCTCGCCCGCCGGCGCCCACACTGCGCGACCCACGCCCAGCCCAGAATCCGCCAATGCACGCTTCATGATGCCGATTGCATTCAGTACCACGACCGAGAAGGTCGCGGGCATGTCCCAGGCACACAGGTGGAGGCCGTCGGGCGACCATGTGACGCCCACACAGTCCACCATGTCCTCCAGCGGGATCTCACGCGCCATCTCCCACGTCCCCACACCATATATGCCAATGTAGTCGCGGTAGTCGTGACGCTGCACCAGCGCCATGTACGTGCCCTCGGGGTGGAATGCCAGGCTCGCCCACCCTGATTTTGGGTGCTGGATGTACCGCCGCGCGCTGCCGTCCAGTGCCCAGATCGACAGCCGCAGCTCCAGCTCGCTCAGCGTCAGAATGTGCCGCGCATCCGGGGACCACTGCGCGCGCGTCACCTGTGCTGCCTCATCGATGATGCTGCAGCGCCACTGCTCGTCCTCTAGCGACCACACATCGACGCGGTTCTGCGCATAGGATGCGGTCAGAATATACTGCGAGTCGCTCGACCACGCCACGTCCTGGATGGCCGAGTATTCGCATGCGTATACGCGCTGGATCCGCTTCGGGCTCTCCGAGTCGCGTACTATCAGCCGGTGCTCCACGGCCATGGCCACGTACTGTCCGTCGGGCGAAAACGACACGAGCGAACTGCTCTGCTTGTACAGCTCAGAAAACTCCATGTCGCTGCTGCCTGTACGTAAAAGAGAAAAACAAGGGTTGGTTGACGTTTGGTGAATTGAAAAAGAAAAATGTAAAGCAGAAAAGTAAACAACTGGAGGGGAACAGTGATCCGGGAATCTGATCCTTTTACTTGGGCAGCCACTTTTCGGTCCGGAGCTTCTCCGCCGCAGTCTTGTACTTTTGCGCTGCCGCCGAGTCCCTGACGCTGTCGATCAGCGCGGTCCACTCGGCGGTCTCGAATGCCGTGCGGGCCGGCTTCCGGAACGCCTCGCACTTGGCCACATGACGCAGGGTGCCAACCGAGTGCTTGACGATCTCGGCAAACCGCCCCGCCTCCACAGTCTTCGCATCCTCAGTAGGCATAGCCACCGATGCCAGCACCGCCGCAAGCGCACTCTGCATTGCTCCCACCAGCTCGGTGGCCAGCGGCACAGCTGTCTTCTGGCCCGCCTCCTCGGCCAGCCGCTGGGCGCTCTGGGCCGTCAGCGCAGCGAGCTCAAACACGTGGGCCTGGCGGAACGTGTTGATGGCAGCGCCGGGCTTGCCGAACTCGGCCACAGCGGCGGTGGCCAGCTTCCAGGGCACTGCCAGCTGGGCAGCGTGCAGCTTGGCTGCCAGCGGCTGGAAGAACGGCGTCTGCAGTTGCGAAGCCTTGCGGCCAAAGAAGTCGCGCTGAGCAGCGGCGTAGCACTCGCTGACCAGCTTCTCGCCGGGCTTGCCGTGGGTGTCGATCACGGCACGTGATACGAACGCCGACAGGGCGCCCAGCGTGCGCAGCTGCGCCAAATCGCCTGCCCGCATGGCCCACTTGTGGGCAATCTCGAGCACACTGGCCGCCGTCTCCATGGGGAACTCCTGCGGGAACTCTCCGGCACCGCGGCGGTCAAGCATAGCCATGATGCGCTCGTAGATTGGGCGGTTGCGCGAGTCGCGTGTGATGCTCTTGGCCTGCCGCACAAGCTCCAGCAGCAACGTCATCACGAACGCGTGCTGCGGCTGGCGCGCCATGAACACGTCGGCCAGGTCCAAGACGCGCAGCTTGAAGTTGGCAAACGAAATCTTGAGGTTGCGCGCATCCGCCTTCTCCTGCTTCTTGATGGCAAAGATCTCCGCCAGCTTGTCGTCGAACACCGTCATCTGCTCGTCATCGAACTCCTCCCCCTCCGAGCCGCTGGCTGCATCGTCGCGAACCACACCGTCGCCCAGTGCCTCCTCGATCTTGCGACGCAGCTCCTCGTCGACGGCTTCGATCTGCTCCGGTGCAATTGCGTCCTCGTCTTCATCCTCCTCAGGCTCCTCGTCCTCCTCACCGGCGCCCATGGCCAGGTCGTCGGCAATCTCCATCTCCGTCTCAATATTGCCGCCGTCCTCACCGCCCATGCCCTCGCGCGCCCGGATCACGCCCAGAATCGACTCTAGCGCATCCTCTGTCAGCATGCCAGTGAACGGAGCAAACACCTGCACGCACAGCTTCCGCACCGCCGCCGACTCCTTGGTCATCAGGCTGATCAGAATATCCGTCAGCACCTCCACCGGCATCGGCTCCCCTTCCTCCTCGGCCTTGGCTGCCGCCCGCGTCTTGCGCTTGGGCAGAGTCTTCTTCTTGGCCCCGTCAAGCGCCGGCACAAGCTTTTCGTAGCACTCGCGCAGCTCGCCCAGCGCATCCATGTACTCACTCGCGTCGTTGGCGGAGTTGGTCAGCACCGCCAAAAGGCAGATGTTGGCGATCAGGAGCTCAAGGGCCCGGAACCGCAGCGCATTGTCCATGTTGCTCTTGGCCTGCTGCGCGGTCTTGGCCGATATCGCCTTCAGGTCCTTCAGCGTCGCCTCCACCTCCGGCAGCACCTCGTCAAAGTTCGCAATGAACGGACGCGTGACGTACTGCTTCGCCGCAGCCACTATGCGTGTCAGCGCTGCTGTGGCCCAGACGGTCCCGTCACGTGCGCAGCCCACTCCCAGCCGCCGCGAATCGCCGCTCTCCTCGCCTGTCTGGCGGTTGAGATCGCCGACGAACTGCAGCAGATCGGTGGCGCACTGCGCGCGGTTATTGGCTGAGATCCGCGGAACCGGCGCCTCAGGGCACTCTGGAATGGTCTTGGATGCATCAAACACCTCGAGCGACGCATGGACTGCCAGGAAGTTCAGTACATTGCGCACAACCTCGTCGGTGTTGTCGGCCTTGGCAATGCGTACCACACGAACCATCTGCATGATCGCCCACTGCCGCTGCTTCTCGGCTGTCCGCGTGTTGAGCTCCTCGGCCTCCTCGCCGTCCTTACCCGGTGCCTCCGGGTTGATGTACAGCTTCTGGAGATATGTGACGTAGTCGGTGATGGCGCTTGCGTCCAGCTTCGCCACAATGCGGTTAGTCACCATTGCACTAAGTGTGCTGCCGCTGTTGCTGCCTGTGCTGTTCTTGTGGCTCAACAGGTGCGTCAGCATTGCAAATCCGACCTTGCTGTCGGCCTCCGCCGCCCTGACCAGCTTCTCGGCTGTGCGCGCCCCGACCTTGGCCAGCGGCGTGTTTTTCTTGACCGACACGTTTTCCGACATGCACCGCACCAGATTGGGCGTCATCAGCGTCGGGATCATCGCCTGGCTCATGTGCGGCAGCACGCGGTCTAGCAGCAGGAATCCCCAGTACCGCTTGAACTGCGATCCGCCCGGAGCAAACAGCCGCCCATCAACCACCGCATCCCACAGCTGCGCAAAGCCTGCCACATGCGTGCGCTCCGCACCGCGTGCCTGGCCAAAGTACAAATCGAGGATCTCATCCCATACCGTGTGCAGCTGCGGGTGCCAGCTCGAGAACAGCGCCGGGTTGTCGCTCGACGACTCGCTCAGGATGCTTGCCAGCTTGCCCATGTTCTCGCGGCACAGCAGGTGAGCGCCATGCCACTTGGGGAATGCCGTGTGCCAGTCGAACTCTGGGAATGCACGCCGCAGCCGCAGCGCCAGCAGAAGCTCGTCCGGCGTCTCCACCATGCCCTTGTTCAAGGCAATCCCCACAAGCTGCGCAATCAGCGAGTCGCGGTCCTCGTGAGCCGCCAGAACAGGCACCAGCGACGCCATCGTCACATAGCAAATCTCGCGGCAGTAAGTCTTTTTCGCCCCGATCTGCGTCAGCTCCACCACAATCCGCTTGATATCCGCTGCCGTCGTGCTTGCTGGGCGTGCCAACGCCCCGGACTGCACCAGCGCCATGATACCAAACACCCGCCCGAACCGCATGTCCCGCTGCTCCTGCCCCTTCATGCTGCTTGTCGCCGCGCAGTGCTTCCACAGCAGATCCAGTACCACCTTCGACGAAATGCACGGCACCCGCGCCAGCAGCTCTGTCAGCGCCAGCGAGAACCCTTGCCGCGCCCCGTCGCGCGGACTCGCCAGGCCCTTGATCAGACGCTTGATCGCGTATGCCACGTCCGACGCGCATATCCGACCCAGATCCTCCTCCGTCGCCGCCACCTCTGTGCTCGCCGGCATTGCCGCCTGGAACTCGCACAGAGATGTGATCAGCTGCGCCGCCGCCGCAACGCGCTTGCTCTCATCCAGCGACGCGAGGTCCCAGTAAAAGTTTAGCGTGGTCGACATTTCTGCTAAAACAAACCTTTGTTCACCTCTTGTAATATATAGATCTGTGCTTTTTATATGATATGGAACGGCTTGACAAAAAACGCACGTCCCGTTGTCAATTCCAGACAAAAGTGTGTATAATATGAAACGGGGGATATGAGGTTAGAAAGAGGCGGTCAAGAGAAGAGGAAAGCTGGAAACCCCCTCGACCAGCGCACTTTTTTTTTGCTCCACTGATCACCGATACAAAAAATTTTCTTTTTTCGCTAATGAGCCGATCAGCTAGTAGCCACGGATCATCCCACAGCGGCCAGCGGGCAAAGGGGCATCCTGTCAGCCCCGCTGGCAGAAAAGGTGCCACAGACCTTGGCTGCATATCGGCTCGCATGTACGCATGCTCCCTCCAGCTGTCTTCGGCCCAATACATAACCTCGCCCATGCTCGTCCTATACATCATTGCTGGCCTGACTCATACACTTGGCCTGGCAGCCGCTGCTTCTGTAGACGCCTCTGTCAGACACCAATGCCCCTATTGCCGACTCGGCTCGATTTCAAAAGCTCCTGCTCCTTCCCTCTCCATCCCCAAAATTTGCTCTGCAGTCAGCTCGGCGCGCTTGCTAAATCTTTAGTGTTATCTTCGCCGGTTTTTGTGCCAGCTGTATCAAGCGCATATTTTCTGCCCACTTTTTTTTTTCCTTTCCTAGCTAGTCGCGATTTCTATATTTCTTCTTCTTTTCCTCATACAGCCCTAACAATGTCGCAAGTTCGCCAGGTTTCGTCGCTCTTCAAGGTAACGTTTCGCTGACGGGCTTTTTTCTGGTCGTGGACCTGAATCGCACCCCTGTAAATTGGACAAGTGCCGGAAGGGCGAGTATTTAGTGACTGCTAATGTTTGAATTTGGCTGAGGTAGATTTCCCGCTGGGTCGCTCTGGGCGGTGGTCTCACATACGGTTACGTGCACTCCTGCACTCTGCGCAACGATGCCGAGACGAAGCGGATCAACGACAAGTACGCCCACCAGCTCACGCTTATTGAGGAGGCGAAGAAGAAGTTCGCCGAGAAGAACTCGTCGGGCAGCACCGAGTCGTTCAACTTCGAGGACCCGAACTTTGACGCCGACAAGTGGTTCAAGCACATTGAGTCCAAGTACTAGATATTCCCCTCCAACAAATAAATCTCGAAATGGTTGAACCTGCAGCGTTTAACTCTTTTCTAAACCTCCTGTGTGTCTGGTTTGCAGAATGCCTTTAAAAGTCGACCGGATCCTCGTCCAGGCCCAGCCACTCGTACAGCTCGTCGATTTCGTTCGCCTTGAATGCGTCGTCGTAGCACCCCTTGAACTCGCCGTCGACGTGGATCTGCGGGATGGTCATGTTGCCCAGCGACTTGACCTTCATCCGCCGCTTCGCCACCTGGTCCGCGGCAATGCACACAAAATCGTACTCGATCTCGTTCGCATCCAGCATGAGGAACAGATCCTTTATCTGCTTCTTGTAGATGCGGTTGCCCGACACCGTCGAGCCGAACACGCGCACACGCGGCTTCTCCTCGGCAACAGGGGCGGGCCCGTCGTCCTTGTCGGGGAGCTCCTCTTTGGGGGATTCTTCCTTAGCCGGGACCTCTTCCTTGGGAGACGCTTCGATCTTGGTGGAGTCCACTTCAGCAGGAACCTCTTCTTTAGGAGACCCCGTCTCAGGAGACTCTTGACGAGCCTCCTCAGCCTTGGGAGACTCCTTCGCAGCACCCTTGCCCTCATCCTTCTTCTCCCCAGCTGTCTCCTCTTCTTCCTTAGCAGGCGCAGAGGGATCCTCGAGAACCGCTGTGACCTCAGTCACGGCTGGCATGGCTGCGAGCTTCTCGGTCAGCTCCTCAATGTCAGCATTTGCGGTGGCTACCCCATCTGCTGGCTGCTTCTCGGCAACAGTATGCACGGCCTTGTCCTCAACAGACGTCATTTCTAGATGATGCGTAGTAATTTTACAAGAAGGGGTTATGCACAACAAATATGGAATAGCAGTGAACGTAACGAAACAGAGCAAAAGAAACGTTGGCTGGCCAGGAGAAGCAAAAACAGGTCGCCGCTGCTTGTCAGAGCGCCTTGGGCGTGGCTCCTGAAAAATAAGATCCCAAATCACGAAAATAATGCGCTGTTGGCTGGTGAAGCTTTCGCCAGGCTGCCTCCGCCGCCATGGCCTGTTTAAAAAACTCCTTTTAACCCATCTCCGTCCAGTCTTTTTGTTTTTCCTTGTGCACATTGCCTTGCCCCCTTGCTTCATTCCTCACTTTTTTTCTGTACATAACTACTTCACGTCCCTTCCCTCAAAAATATGAGCACACAGGCTATTGTCGATAGGATCGCTCGGAAGAAGCAGGAGCTGGCGGCGCTGAGGCGGATACAGGCGCTGTCGGAGTCCACAGACGCACATTGTATGGAACTCAACCGGCAAATGAGCAAAGTAGTCCAGCAGTATGCAGCCATGCTGGCCATTGCCAAAGGCTGGTCAAACGCCTTTGAGAGCGCAGTGCTGGTGGATGTCCCGCAGTCCACCAACGCTGACGACGATTCGGAGCAGCCAGAGAGCGTCATTCGGATACCGGTCGAGAGCGACGGCCAGCAGTGAGAGAACGAAAAGCACCCTTTCTCGCAGCTCAGCACACCATACTAGCATTTATTTCTTCTTAGCGCCCCCATGTGTCCCTCCCGAATATACTCCAGCCATATATGGCATCTACTCTACGCTTGCCTCGAGCTTGCGCTTGCGCGATTTTTCCAGGCGGATCTCGTTCTTGACCGAGTCTGGCACTCTGGCAACAAACGCATTCTTTCCATCCTGAATCATTTGATCGACCTCGCCCATGTCCGCCTTGCCAGTGCGCGAGCGGCCAACCAGAGCCACATTCTTGGTTGACGGGATGCGTAGAAATTCCTTCTCTGCCACAAACCCACACGTGCCCATGATCCTCGAGATGTGCTCGACGTATGCGTGGTACTTGCTCTGGCCAGCCACAGTCGCAAAGTTCATTTTCTTGCCCGACAGGTCATGTGGACAGCATGGAATCACCACAAACTTTGTCTTGGGCGACTTGGCCGCTATCAGCGGGATCCAGGGGACCAGCTCGTCGGCGTGGTTGCCGATGATCCAGTCAGCGTCCGCAGTGTAGTCGAACGGCTCGAGCGTCGAAACACGCAGGTCAACAGTAGGCTTGAAAGCACTCCACACCTTGCGCGAGCACTGGTCGACACCGTGGCCCTTGAATCCTTCCGCTGCCAGCAGGCTGACAAGGAGCCCGTTGCCGCATCCCAGATCAACAAACGACGGGCTGCCTTTACCTGGCTCCTGGGCCCACAGGCAGATGAGCCAGCTGGCAATGGCGATATCCTCAAACACGAATTTGCGCGGATCGGTCTGCTCTGGCCAGTTCTTCACCCAGTAATCGGCATACTTGCCCTTCAGCTCCTGGTACTTTGCTATATACGCCTCGTGGTCAACCAGCACGTCGTGCACCTGCCGCTTCTGGTATCCAAGCCGTGCAGTCGCTGTCCACTTGTACAGCTTTTTGACCATGTCCTTCCAGATCCCCTTGTGCTTTTTCGTTGCCACCGTCGCCCCTGTCTCCAGCTCCTGCACCAAGACTGCCAGCTGCCACGGGGCATGATCCGCTCCGCCATCACTGCTTGTGGTGGGCTCGAGGTACCCGAACGCAAACTCGCTGACCTTGGGATAGTAGAACGGAATGTCAGCTGCAGACTGAGTGCGTGGGATGAACCTTGCAAGTACATCATTACAGACACGGACCACCACGACCTCTTCCTTCAGCGGCTTGTCCTTGTCCAATCGCTTTGGATGCAGAGTACGGTGGGTCCGGCTGATTTCTTCAATTCCCTCGCCCAGCCACAGTTCGTCGGTGGTACCGCACGGCTGCTCGTCCAGGACCTCAGTGCGCTGGACGGGTGGGATCAGGATTTCAGCCTCGCTTGTCCACCTTGCTACTACGCCCAGGAAATCGCTGTCCTCAGTGTCTTCGATATCAGCTGTGGCCAGTACTCGCCAGGTGGCGCCGCCGATCTGCATTTCCTTGACAGCGTCAAAGTAGTACGTGGGCTGGAATTTCGCAAATGCTGCCACGCGCTGCGCCTCCAGAGTTGTATCAGTTGCCTCTGCGCCGAGTATAGCCTTGGTATCTGTCTTACCCATCGTCAAATGCAGAAAAGTGTCTATTCCATATCTACTCTGGTTAGACGCCGCCATGATCATATGATAGCGCCCAACAGGATATACTTTTACTGTGCTACTATGGATCCATGATCATTTGTGCTGCTACACCTTATCTGGCTGGCAAGTGTGAAAATATTAATATTAAAGTAATTTTAGAGACATTGCATGTGGGCACTGAGTCAGCACATCCTGGAAAATAAAAGATCTGTGTTGACAGACCCCACCTATGCCTTCACGCTTTTGTAGCCTTCTCAGCAGCCTCTCGCTTCATGATCTCCTTCTGCTCGGCAGCAGTTCCCGCCATCTCCTCGAGCGTACGACCGCGACCCTCGACACCAAAGAAGTACCAGGGAATCGAGATCAGGACACCCAGACCAAAGAATCCACAGGTGACACCCAGAGCACCGCCAACGTTCTGTCCGCCGCCCGTGTTCTCAAACACTGTGACAAGAATGCGCGGTGCGACCGCTCCAGCAATCCGGCCAAAGGCAACAGCAATGCCGACACCTGATGCACGCAGCTCCGTCGGGAAGATCTCAGTGAAGGTCGGGTACGCTGTAATCCACGCGAACGTGTATCCGACCTGGTAGAAGCAATAGGCACCCAGCACGTTGTTTCCGCTGCCAGAGTTGGCTGCTGGCAGCAGAGTCGCGCACCCGATGATGGCCAAAATGTAGTTGCATGGAATGAAGATCTTGCGGTTGACCTTGTCCATCAGGTACGCGCACAGCAATCCCGCTGGCAGTGTCGTGAGGTTGGCCATTGCGTAGAAGAACGGCATGCGCTTGTCGGGGATGTTTACCATAGGCAACAGCGCCAGAGACAAAAAGTTGCTCATGCCGTAGTCACCAAACGCCTGGGAGAGGTTGAGGATGGCGGCGAATGCGCAGCGGAACGGGTACCGGATCACGCACTGGATCACGGTGAGGTTCTTGATCTTGGAGCCAACCCGCTGCAAGAAAGGACGGTTATCAACAAAGGTCTTCTTTGCCTGAACCGCATCGGCCAAAGCAAGATCTTCCACGCTGACGCGTGTGTCGGTCAGCGGCTGCTTGGCTATGGCCTCGATCTCACTGACCAGCTTGATTGCCTCCTCGTACCGCCCCTGGGTGATCAGCCAGCGCGGCGACTCGGGCAGCTTTGTACGCGCCCACAGAACGAACAGAGCAGCAAGGGCGCCAATTGCCATGCCGACACGCCATCCGACATTATCGGACGTGTGGTTGACAAGCGGGATTTGAATTGCAGACGACAGCAGAGCGCCGACTGCCCAGGTGGACATGACAAAGGTGTTTACAGTACCGCGGTACCGGGCAGGGATGAACTCGGAGATGGTCGAGTTGACAGCAGTGTACTCGGCAGCAACACCGATGGCTGTGAAGAACCGGAATGCGAGGAACATAGGGAAGTTGGCCGAGGCGGCTGTAATGACAGTGAACAGCGAGTACATGCAGAGCGTGCCGATGAACGATTTTTTGCGACCAAATCTATCAGCGAATGAGCCGAAACCAAGGGCACCGACCATGGCGCCTGCCATCCACACCATGGTGATGTTGGTTGCATCCTTGCTGGTCACACCAAAGTGGTGCTTGAGCAGACTCATGACACCGGACACAATGGAGGTCTCGAAGGCATCGAGAGCCCAGCCAGTGCCGAGAATGAAGGTGACCTGTGTGTGCCAGCGCGACCACTTGAGCTGATCGAGACGCTGGGCGACAGTGAGTGGAGGATCGGAAAACTCGCTGGTCTTCACACTGTCGTCACTGCTCTTGGTGGTGTCCACATTTTCCTTGTGAACGTCTGACTCTGACGATGCCGGCGGTGGCGACGCCTTGCTTTTGAAGAACCACATCCTGCTTTCTCTCCGTTTTAAGAATGTTCCTGCGATATCAAGTAGACTAGGACGTGCGTGGCAAATGTTAACGCAGACGGAGAACAGTAATTAGAAAGGCGTGATCCAAAGGATTCGAGAGCTTCGTGGTTCGAATGTTGAAAGGAAGAAGCACTGTCGGTAAAACTGACCCGTTTATATACCTGTCAGAGCTAAAGGACTGATTTCAAGAACCGGCATACTTGAGTGCTACTAGCTACTATCAGCCTTGCTTAGGTGTCTGGTGACTGCCGCATGCATAGAGGATGTGTGTAGGCTGGCAATGAACGAGGTAGACGAACCCGACCACGTTTTGCCAGCAGTGGCTTTACCCGTGTAGAAGAGAGCAATGAAGATGCTGTGGCCGATATGCAAAGGAGTGCTGCAGACCACCGTGGCAAAATGCTAGCGACGAAAAACTGGTTGGCCAGCAAGGACGTCCCTCCCAAACAACGAATCTCCTTCTCTGACGTTACGCACGAGGGGTACCGAAAGGACCAACAGCACCTATGCTCATCTTGCATCTGCCCTATTGCTAAAACGGCTAGGGGTATCGGGCTCGAAGATGCTCGCTCACCACCGATGCAAGCTGCTGCAGTGCAAAACACACACTACAGCACCTAGTGTGTCAGGGGGTGATGTAGATTTTGCGCGCCCAAGAACGTGCTCCTTTTCATTGCAGGAGAGTGAAGGCTACTGCTGGATAAACAACACACTACATTTCCCAAGGATTGTAAATCTCTCCAAAAATTGTAAATCCTCCCGAACGGTGAAATCCATTGATCCAATATCAGTCTTAGCGAGATGGAGTGACTTCAACTGAGGAAGAACGGTGCTGGTCGCTGAATGAACGTGTCTGGATCCATTGGCATTGTCGACTGGAGATGTGCACATACAAAACCCTGCTGCTCGGTACATTCTGGAACAGATCCGAGAACGGATGGATTGTCGGGAGAGGCGGGTCAGTGGACACTGGGCCCGGAATAACAATGAGAAGCCTTTGCCTAGTAGCACCGTACATGCCACATGCACTGCCACAGCCATCTCTACTGTATATGCAAGACATTGCTGATAACAGCAGATGCACTTTCTTTAAACAAGCGTCTTTTATTGTGGCTGGCATGAGATAACGGCAAGGGCCGAGGTTCAGAAAGAGGTAGAAGAAGATTGAATGCAACGCCATGCATCTCTCGGCGTCTACAGAATGGGGTTGGCAAAGTTGTAAACCTTGGCTCCCTCGCTGTAGTCCTTGCCCTTCTCACGCTCGTTCAGCGGCGGGAAGCGGACCCGCTTGTCGGCATAGTACGCCTCGCGGTTGTCGCCCTCACTTGCCGGATTGTACGTCATGTACAGGTTGGCACGGCTGACATTGGACTTGTTCTCACCCGACACATGGGCCAGGTACGACCCAAAGACAAGAATGTCGCCGGAGTTGCATTCCACAGGAATCCACTCCTGCTTGCTGACCCACTCCTCCTTTATAGATCCATCTTCATGGTGTGGCAGAATCGTGCCTCCCTGCTGGCTGCCGGGCACAACATGCAGACACCCGTTCTCGATATACGAGCCATCGACAGTGAATAGTACGGTGATGTGGCTGGCAGGGCCAATGTGCGTGAAAGCAGGCGCATCCTGGTGCGGCTTGAACCCCTGGCCGCCAGGCAGCTTGGCGTTGATCTTCTCCTTGAACAGAACGTATGGCTCGCCGGTCAGCTGCTCCAGAACCGACATGACCTTCTTGCTGGTGACGACTTCGCGGATGAAATCGTTGTAAGGCGTAAAGTTTTCGGTGCGGCAAAGCTGCATCTTCTGTGTCGCTGGGTTCATCTCGTAGTAGTTCATCCACTTCCCGGGCGTGTCAGGCCAGGACTGCACCTTGCGCACCTCCTTGACCAGCTGCTCTGCCTCGTCAGCAGCAATCATGTCGGTGATCTTGAGGAAGCCATCCTTGTAGTAGGAATCGATTTGCTCCTGAGTCAGAGGGAATTCGTAAACCATGGTTAAATAGCAGAGGAAATGCTGTGTTTGAGAATTTGTCGTTTGAGCTACTGGGCTTTTTGTAGTGCGTATCAGGCAGGGGCACTGGCTTTTATATTGCCGCCCCCTCCTCTGCCTGCGGAAGGCTGCTGGCTCGACAGGTGGTTGGGATCGCACTCCGCACCTGTGCTCAGACAGCGCTGGCATTGGGCTGATAGCACCCCCTCTTCTCCCTGGAGCATGTGGCCAGCTAATAAATAGAACCATGAACTTTTATTATCTCCTGTGCAGCCCATCCCGGAAACCACAACGCACCAGAGTGTCTTACAAGCGGGCGCAGTTCTAGGGTTGGGGGTGAGAGATGGTGTGCCCAAGTGTGTCAAGCATAGCATCCATATCGCCAAGAATCTGCCAAACGTGCTGCCTTACCTCTCACCGGCACTAGCGAGGGCACGAGGATCGTGAAAAAAAAAATCCGGCAGGGTGACAGACTCAGTAATTAGCATGAAAAGGGGCGGTTGTCTGTCACGCTACATATTGGCTTGTTTGCAGCAGTCATGGTGGTGATGCTGACGTGCGTCAGGCTGGCAAGGTGCAGCGCGTCTTGGGTGATCAATGTGCTGCGGGTTTCAGGTGCACGGGCATCCCTCAGAAAAACGCATCGATGGCAGGCATACATGGGTCTGCATAGCTCAGGGCCAAAGCAAACCCAATTGTTCTTTGCGGAATGTCCGCACAGGTTCGGGTCTCGGCAGATCACCCTGGTACGTGCAGGTGCAGGTTCAGATCCAGATGCACAAAAGATCTTTGGCCGATGGATCCGTGCCAGGGCTCCATTCGAGCCGAGCCGGAGCCGACCCGCGGTGATGAGCCGCAGGACCGTGCATATCAAAACTCTCCGATAGGCCGAACCAGTTCAGCATGGTATTCCAGCCAGTTTTTTTTTTTTTTTTTTTTCGCAGGAAGAGCATATTCCGGCCGGGGTGCAGCTTCTTTTTCTCACAGTCACTGAGCAATATATAGCCTCGGGTGCAGTTACGTGTAGACGGCAGATGGCTGGCACAGACTGACCGGCGAAGGCAAGCGTGACGAGACGGGCTGCTTTTATTTTTGTTTTGCCAGCCGGGTTTCGTCATGCGTATTCGGAAGAGCACCCACACGGGCGATCTATACTGTCGGAGGTTTTTGTGACAGGCAAAAAATGGGCCCGGGCCCCTTAGCCGAATGTTTCCGATCTTATCTTTTGTGAACGCTTATCACTGGCCTTGCCACTTTGCTTTTCTCCTGTGTTTGCTCTAATTTACACTTTTATTCAACACGCTTTTTTATTCACATTGGCCGCCTCTTTCAAATCAGCCATGGCTCTCAACCTGACTCTGCGCTCCGCCTGGAACTCGCCCTCGGTAAGCGTCGACTCGTCGGAGCGCTTTTTCAGCCAACAGAAAGCCTGTCTCCTCGGGTGCTTGTTTCTTGCTGCCCAAATCCCAAATGGCGAATTCGCCGTAATTGCCAAGCGAGATGTGCGCACGCAAGCCAATATTCCTGCAAAGATAGTGAAGCTAATAGCCGTCTCCCTCTGTAGATGAAGGGCCTTGCCCTGCGCGGTATCACCACGACAGCAGCTTCGCGCATGGCGGCGCAGAAGCCCGACAACCTCAAGAAGTTCAAGATCTACCGGTGGAACCCGGACACGCCTGCCGAGCAGCCTCGCATGCAGGAGTACGAGCTGAACCTGAGCCAGTGTGGACCCATGGTGCTGGACGCGCTGATTAAGATCAAGAACGAGGTCGACCCGACCCTGACATTCAGGCGGTCGTGCCGTGAGGGTATTTGCGGGTCGTGCGCGATGAACATTGACGGGCGCAACACGCTGGCATGCATCACGCACATCCCGAAGGACGAGCCGTCGAAGGATATGATGATCTACCCGCTGCCGCATATGTTTGTGGTCAAGGACCTGGTGCCTGACATGACCTACTTCTACAAGCAGTATGCATCGATCCAGCCGTGGCTGCAGCGCACCGAGGTGCCCGAGAACAAGGAGATTCTGCAGTCGCCAGAGGAGCGCAAGAAGCTCGACGGTCTGTACGAGTGCATTCTGTGCGCCTGCTGCTCCACCTCGTGCCCGTCGTACTGGTGGAACCAGGATGTGTACCTGGGCCCGTCGGTTCTGTTGCAGGCGTACCGCTGGATGGCTGACTCGCGCGACCAGAGCCTGCCTGAGCGCCTGTCCAAGATGGAGAACACCTTCAGCGTCTATCGCTGCCACACTATCATGAACTGCACACGGACCTGCCCCAAGCACCTGAACCCGGGCAAGGCCATTGCCGAGATCAAGAAGCTGCTGGCCAAGAACTAAGAAGCATACCGGTTCTGCATGCCACCAGCCGCTGTCTTCTCCGGACACTTTCAGCAACAAACACCCTGCATTTTGTCCTGAGTGCCCAGTTACTGAATACACACATCTCTTGTTTCTACATGGAGTCTATTCAGCAAATGTGTATATGCCAATTTTTGCATCCTGTCCAACATAGATGTCCGACGACTCGTGGGCAATGGCCAGCGTGTCAGGCTTCGACACCAGACCAGCAGCAGCTACCAGCGGTGGGTCCTCATCCAAGACCACCTGCATCTGGTCTCCAGCATCCACGACGTTCGGTTCTACAATCTCATCGGCGTCCCACACCTTCAGCATGCAGTCCAGCCCGGCCGTCACCAGCCGGTCGGGATTCGATGGCACAAACTGCATGTCGGAGATCGAGTATCCATGGCAGTCGAGCCAGCATACCGAGCGACCCGCAGCCTGATCAAAGCACATGATGCGGCCATCCGCATGACCAGAGACAATTGGACTACCCTCGAACGGCGCAAACAGCAAGGCGTAAACGAATGGCGGGTTGATCGACTTTCCTGAGCTGCCGTTTTCCAGGACCGTCGACAGTCTCTGTGCAATCCCCTCGCTGGCCATATCCCACACAAGAACCTGCTTGTCGAACCCGCCAGACGCGACTTTCAGATCGTCTGGGTGGAATGCAACGCACGATGCCATCGCCGCATGCCCGCCTGTGAACCTGGCGACAGTTCCTTCGTCGCAGTCAACAACGCCCAAATGCCCGTCTTCGTCGACGAATGCCACAAAGTCCCCACGTGTATCAATCGCCTCGACCTGCCCAATGTCAACGTGTGCTACAAACTTTGCTGCTTGCCCAACCACACCCAGGGCGCGGCTGTCGTATACAAACAAGTCGCTGCCACTAGACACAACTAGGCCGTGCTCGCCGATAAACTGCACAGCTGAGATTTCAGTTGCGAATCCGCGGATGCCTTTGACGGCGCGGCTGGTCCGTTGGTCCCAGACGCGGCAGGTTCTGTCTTCAGATCCTGAGAACAGAGCGTCAGTTCCTTGAAGCGTACCAGATGCAAGCGACGTGATCTGTGCCTGATGGCCATTCAAGCTGCCTGTTTTCTACGTTGCAATCCCGCCCGGTATGATACAATTAGTACTTTGGGTGATGGACCTGTATGCAATGCAGCATTGCCGTTATACTTACTATTAGCGACATATCCCGAGGCTGAATTCTAATATAGTTGGCGCACTGACTGGGCCATTTGCCAGTCATGCGGGCCCCATTCTGTATCAGCACGCTGGTACAACTATGGATCATCTGCAAACTTGCAATTCGTTACATTCTTGCGTTTCAATTGAAAAGTAGAGGCATCAAAAAGGGAATAGACAATCTTGTAGAATTCATGTCGTTCAGGCACCACTGGTGCTCGCTCACTTAGTACTCGGATCCACCAGCACTGTCACCTTATCGGCAGCAGTGGGCACTTCGGTATCAGGCACCTCAGGCTGCAAGCTGACTGCAGAAACGTCCTTGGGGTATGCCCTGCCCATAGACAGCTGCAGCTCATCGTGCGGGGTTAGCGCGTCGAGGCATCTACCAGAAACTGTTGCCGTATCTTCTTCACGATCCACCAAGATCTCAGCAGCGTCAATATTGCTTCCCTTGGACACTGGAGGTGTAATAAGCTGCTGTGCCCTATCCACATTGTCTGCCGCAACCATCTCACGATTCGGCTTCCTGACAGGACTGGTGCTGTCACGCCAGTGCATCCAGGCAGCAAGGTCCTCGGATGAAATGTCATGCGACATCTCGACAACAGACTTGCGGCGTGCTGGCGCGTGTGGAGTCGACGACCCCGACTTGCTCGGCTTCATCGCGCGCGACCAGAACCGCTGCTGGATCTCCATGTCGCTGGTGTCGGCTTCAGAGTCATTGATTGTCTCGAACTCGCGGTCCATCAGGTTGGGGAAACTCAGAGAGCTGCGCTTGCGCAGACGGGGTGGTTGCTGCTCAGGAGGAGTAATGGCGGGGATCGAGATGGGCACGCCGTCGGTGGTCTCGGGGAGGCCAGGCTCTTCAGGTTCACTGGCAGAGGCAGCTTCTTCTGTATTAACCTCAGGCGCCAGTTCCTCTTCGTCAGCTTCATCAGCATTATCCTCTTCATTGCAGGCCATTGCAGCATCTGTCACCGGCATTGCCCCTTCCACCTTGATCTCCTCAGCCTCGTCTTCAGCCTTGGTCGCAGCCGGCGTTTCGGGTGCACTGTCCTCGACAACGACGACAGAGACTTCGGTGTTGACCTCCGACTGGACATCCACTTCAGCATGCTTGTTGGCCTTTGGTGCCTGTGGTGTGTTGCTTCCGCTCGAGCCTGCCGGGCGGACTGATGCCCGCGTTGGTGGCCCTCCCTTTATGATCCGCAGCCACTGGGCGTCAAGTGACTGGTCATCATCGTTCGGGAATGGCTCGTCATCCTCATCGCCCCAGTTGATACGCGGTCGCATCTTTTGCTTCCCAGGTGTCTCGCCCAATCCCGACGAGCGGGTATGGCCAAATTTACTATCGCCGCCGTCCGATCCACCCGCTGCCAGCGGCAGTGTCATGCTCTCAGCCGACACGCCTTCCTTTTTCACCGGCTTTTCTGCTGACTTCTCTGACGACTCGACTTTGCCCTTGTTTTCGTCGTTAGCATTGACTTTGCCAAGAAGGCCACGCGGGTACGGTGTTGGGACACGTCCAATAGCAGACTTGAAGTAGCGCGCAGTGCTGTCCTCATCGCCACCCTTGTCGTCATCCTCGTCTTCAGACGATGATGACGTAAGGAACACTGGTTTGGCTGGTTTTTTCAGCTTACGAGGGTCAGCGCGGGGGACGGGCGACACAACGGTTGCAGCCTGGGCACTGTTGTGAGTTGCAATCTTGCGCAGAGCGCTGAACGACCGGCTGCGTGACGGCACGCGCGACGACCGCGATCCAGTGCCAGAAGCCTTGGCCGAATCGTCGGAAGGTGAGGGCTTTTGTAATCCCTCACCGCTGCCGCCGCTGCTACTATGCCCAATCAGCAGGCTACCAGTAGTGTTGCCTGCAGGTGCCAGTGGTGATGTGGGTGCGTGGTACCGCGCATTCTCCATTGCCAGACGCGGGCTGCTCTTGCTCCGGCGCTTTAGCGTCAGGCCGGTGTCGCCCCGCTTTCCATGCTTGGTTGGGCTCTCGCCAACTGAAGTCTCAAGCGACATGGGCACTGGGGCATTCGGTGACAGGGTGGTGTAGCTCGGCCGAGTAGTGGTCTCGGCAGACAGGCGGCGACCCTGGGGACGGCTAGCTGGAACAGGCAGCATTTCCTCCTCAGGCTGTTGCTGCTGGAACGTAGCTGGGTCAGCGATGCTAAATGCTGAAGGGCGACGATAGCTTCCAAACCCAGTTGACCCTGCCGTAGACTTGAGCCTGATAGTCGGCGTGGGCGGGGACCTCAAATCGATCTTTTCTGACTGCACCTCATCCCAGCCCTCGCTTGCCCGACGGTCCTGCTGGACTTCGCCAATATGTGCAACCTCGTCCTGCCGGCGCTGGTTCATCTCGATGTCAATGAGCTGGCGGTGCAGCTTCCAGTAGCGGGCATCAGCTTCGGCAAACTGGTCGATATGGTCCATGCTGGCTGTCCGGTTGACCATTTGCGGAATCCCGCGCAGGCTGCCGGGCTGCTGTTGCACGAAGCTTGAGCGACGGGAGATAGTCGGCTCTTCGTAGTTCACCGGCTGTCTCAAAATAGTGACATTGGCATCCTCGCTATCGGCAAGAACCGTGCCATTTGTCGTGTTGGGGTTGCAATACGCATGCACATCATGCTGAATGTCTTGCTGAGTGGTACCTACACCAGTACCATGCTCCGCTGGCATGACAAACTGCGAGCCACCGGGACCGCCAGCCGGCGTAGCTGGGCCCGGCTGGGTGGGCATCTGTGGCATCTGCTGCTGTTGCTGCTGTTGCTGTGCGGCCCCGCCAATATCAAGCGTTGAGCTCAGGGTAAACCGGTAGACAGTGCGCTCACCTTTCGAGTCTTCAGCCTCACACGACACGGTGGTCTCGAGTCTGATTGCGTCTGTGCCGCGCTCAAACCTGGGCACACCGTGCTCAAGGCGCTCGACATCAATGCCGTCGATCTGCGAGTGGAGCTTGCGAGCAACCACTGCCTCGTGCCAGCGCTGCAGGAACTGGCCTGCAGCATCGCGCGCATTGGACTCAGTGGCCACACCCTCCTTGAACTGCATACCGCCGGGCGCCTGCGGGATACCACCATCCTCGGAGCGGTTGCGCTGGCGCACATGGCTGATCTTCCACGGCGTCTCAGCCGGCAGCTGGCTGCTATCGATCTGATCCATGACATGTGGAACCGCGTACTCGGCTGCTGGTGGAGCACCTCCCCATGCTGCAGCAGCCACAGCAGCTCCAGGCTGGGAGTGACCCAGGATTGGATCGGTGGTGGCATGTGGAGTCTCCATTGGTGCACGCACCCGCTGAGCCCATGCACGGCGCCGTGCTTGTTCCTCACTTGACTCCCAGATCGCGACCGGGTTGACGATGATGGGTGTCTTGGGTTGCGGGTAGTAGAGCGGAGAATCACCGCTGCGGCTGCTGTGGTCTATGCTCTGAGTTTGGCTCGGGCTGCGCTGGTGCTGGCCACCCTGGCCATACTGTGGCCCAGCATTGCTGCTGCCTGAGTCATGGTACCACTGTTGCTCGCCGTTGTAGCCTTCATGACCCCCTTGGTATTGGTGATGGTGGTGGCCAATATTGTGCATGCTGTGCGAGCGCTGATGTGGCTCGGTGTACTGCTCACCACTTGGCCATTGCTGCTGGTGCCCCTGGTATTCTTGGCGATGCTCGTGGTGCCGTGGCTGCTGGTAGTACTCCGAGCGATGGTGCTGATGATGGTAGTGGTTCTGCAGTTGTTTCTGCTGATGGTGGTATTCTTGCTGTCGAGGACGGTACTGAGGCTCCATCACAACCTGCGACGCTTCATACAGGTTCTGGTGGGGTAGGAGCGACCTTGGCACAAACTCTTGCTCCTGGTGCTGATGGCCCAGTTCCTGAAGGGGGAACACATAGCCGCTGCTAATCGGCTGCTGGTGCTGGTCAATATGGCGCTCGACAAATGACTGGTCGTATGAGTGCGGCTGATACTCGTCGTGGTGCATCCACCCCTCGCGCGCGACGTCCTCCCATGGGCGCTGTGAGCTCATCCACTCTGGCGCACCCTGGGGCTTGGGCTGCTCGTAATGCTGCTGGTATGTGTCAGCAACTACGCCATGCTGCTGGCTGCTATCATCACTAGAGCTGCGAACAAATAACTCAGAGATCTGTCTGTATGCTTGCTGCTCAGGCTGTGGCAATTTGCCGTGACTCTGGTCATCGGAGGACGTGGGGTGTTGCTGCGGCTGGTCGTGCTGCACTTGCTGCTCATGGCTGGGATGCTGCTCATGGCTGTGGTGCTGCTCTTTCTGTGGTTCCTGCTGGAAGCCATCGCTAGCTTGGGCGGGTGTGTCGATATGACCGGCAAGATACGCATAGTCAAAGGGATGCACACGGTCATTCGCCCATGACCAGTCCTTGTCCCAGTCTGGCACTTCGTCGGTGGGCTGGTGCTCAGGCTCGGCATGTGCCCTGTCATCGTTACCAGGCTGGTGCTGCTGATGTCTCGGCACATCAGATATACCATGTCCAGTCTGCTGCTGAGGGACGTCGGCTTGCGGGGGTGGGGTGAGCGGCTCAGTGATATGGTGGTACCCTTTGCCCATGGCCAGATCCTTGTCGAACGGGCCCTTCCAGTACCGCCATCCAGATACATGCTCGTCGTGGATATGCCACCACAGCATCACCAGCTGGCGCCACCGCTCGGAGACTTGGGCATCGGCAACCAGGCCGCCGCCAGGCGTGCGGTTCCAGTGCCACGGCTTCGACAAGCCAATGAAGTGCACAACCCGGACGTCATGGCCGAATCGCTGCATCGCAGGCTCGTAAGTGTAGTAGACATTGGCTGTTGCGTTGTACAGGAACGGCAGGCGGCGGTAGGGCGCCGAGGCCGACCAGTCTGAAAACTGTTCGTTCAGCAGGCCCTGGTCAGCACCTATAGATAAAGCAAGTTGGGGAGAACAGCGGATAATTCAGTGCGATTGCCACTGTTGCATGTTTGTTCGCTTGCCGCGGGAGATGTTCAAAGCGATGAACACTTTGTCATCCACGCCCAACAGAGGATCGCTGGACCAGCGCAGCAGAGAGCGCGCAAGACATGCCTGCTCGCTCAACAGGTTGCCCTGGTGCTGCGTATGCAGGCTGGCGAGAGCGGCCAGGAAGCAGCACAGCCGCATGCTCTGCAGCGGGGAGGGGGCAGAGGATTAGGGTGCGTTGTCACTCACATCCACAGACAGCACACACCTCAGGGCACGGTGATGTGTGGCTCGCCCGCGATTGTCCTGTGTTGCCAATGTGGACGTGGCATTGAGTAGTAGAAAATCACACACGCGCCAGCATTCCCCGCAAGGCGCAATTTACGGCTGCAGGCCGGCAGACATGGCTCGGGAGAGCATGGGAGATGTACAAACACGAACAAAATAGCATGGAATCTTACCGTCAAAGCTGGCGCCTGTAGTCGCCGCGCGCTGAATAAGCTGCCTGTGGCACTGGTAGCCTGGTGCGACCACCAGAACACCCGAGTTGAAGCAGTCAGGCCATCCAGTGTCCGGCGACGCGGCCACCAGACCGCCGTCGTTCCAGTCAGCCATCGATTCCCGCCAACTGTAGAACCGGTCAAACACATCATCGATCGACTGGCGCACAAGCGTGTCGGCATCTAGGTAGCACAGGGCGTCCCATGCGCCAAACAGCGCCGGATCCCACAGCTGGATCTTGGTTAGAGTGCTGCGCAGATCAGGCCTCCCGAGCACCGACAGCCCGCGGTGGTCGTCCGAGAGCTGCAGATCGGTCTTGATCACGCCGTCAAAGTGCTCGTGCAGGCGCAGCAGGGACTGTGGAGAGAGAGTGCTTGGTGTGGCCAGGCACAGAATGTTGTGGCCCGTGAGTGTGCGCCGCAGCGAATGCAGGAGAACTAGCGCTCCATCCACGTACCCGTCGCTGGTCACAAGCGTCACGTATGCGAACCGTCCGGCCGTGCGAGCCTCTTGGACGCTGCTCATTATCTGTGGTAAATCAAAGGAACTGGTCTATCCAGCGGGGCAAAATGCGTATGGGTGACGTAACAAGCTACAAAAGGGCGTGCCCGAGGGAGTGAGTAGGTTTGCGTTATCTCTCTGCTGCCTCGTGTGTTTGCTCCCAGCTACCGGCTACGGAGCGGACAAATAAGGTTTGTTGCTGTAGTGAATTGCAAATTAGAGTTTACAAAGAAAAAGGCCCAGCGAGGGGTGGAATAGCTGAAAAATAGAAACGGATGGCCGGTATTAGAGAGAGCGGTGTGGGGGAGAGAAAAGACCAGAAAGAGAAAAGGCGTGAAGGAATGAATGGATAGAAAGGCACAGGCGAAAATATCCTCGGCAGATTTGGTGTGTTGCGGGAGAGGGAGCATGGTTGCCCTGAAGAGTGGAGTGGAGTGGAGAGACAGGGACAAGGCAGGCGATGCAGATGGACGCGGCCCAGCGCGCATTCAGCGAACAAAGCGAATGGAACTAAATAAGCTCTGGTGCAACCGGCCATGCTCCTCCCGCCATGCCCCAGGCGCATCCGCCGAGGCGCGCTGATAAAAATCTCGGCTCCAGCAGAGGGAGCCCTGCGCGGAGCCAGTGCGGCTGATTGTCGCCCAAGGCGAGGCTTGGGTCCTGCTTGTTTTAGATATGCCCGCTACCCTAAGCTACGCTCTTGCCACACACATCTCTCCAGGACCGGGCCCAGCACATACGGACGCAGGCGCACATGTCTGCCTGAGGATCCCTTGGGAGAGCCCACCAGGCAATCTGCGCTGGTTGAGACAAAATGTACATTACCTTTTGTGGGGCCAAGAGTGAAAAAATAAAGTGAATAGTTGCCAGCACTGGCAAAAGGCAAGAAGGACTAACAAACACAGAAGGGCGTAGAGAGAAACAGAATGGGGGTGCGAGGAGTAGAAAGGAGAGAAGCAGCAGGACCAGGTTGTGCTGCTTGGAGCTCAGGCGGCCCATTCGGCTTACGTGCGGTGACCGCCAGATGGGGGAAGGAGGATCACACACCATTGTTGGTCTGCTCACGAACCCAGGAAGCACACTAGGGACAGCAGCCCGTCTTTGAGCAACACCCGCGCATTTCCTGCCAGCCCGGCAATTTCACTGCACCACTCTCTGCGGTCTCCTCGGGTCCAGGAACATCCACGGTCTGGTGCCGTTGGGGATACGATGTTTCTGGATGGAGAGCTCCACCGAGGGAGCGATGTCAGCACCGGCAGGATAGCGCTGGTATTGGCCGAAAATGCCCAGCAATCGATCCGCCGCGCTGGCACTGCATGTAGAGGGCGCTCCTCTGTCACTGAGTTGGAAACAGAAAATAGCCTCTGCAGGCTGTTGATGTTTTCTACTTGTTGCGAGAAGATCCGAGTCGGGTGGTTTTGCAAAGGCGGGATGCGCCCACCCAGTCGCTGTCGCCTCATTTCCTCCAAAAGTGTCTATCAGTGAGTGACTGGGAGGGCAGGTGATGGAGTCCCTGGATGAGCACCAGTCAGCACAATTGCGAGATCTCGGCTGATAGCACGCTGCGGATAATGCCCATCAAGCGACACCTGCATCCCCCGCCTATTGCTGCACACCATGTGCAATGTGCGATGTCACTGCGCAATAGCGTCAACAGCCGTGGTTTAAATGTACTATTTCCCTTGTCGCAGTTGATCTATCCATATTCCCCCAGACGGAGCACTTCGGGGACGCCTTCACAGTCCTTCCTTCGGGTTAAAGGAAAATGCGCTGGCGGGCCAATGGCCTGAAACATCTCTCCTCCACGAATCCAACCAGTGCTAATAATGTCTGCATTTGCCACGCTCCTCACCACTGACTCATATCTCCAAGGCGCACTGGTGCTCGCTGCCTCGCTGCGCGCAACCAGCACCAAACATGCCATCATCTGTCTTGTCGCCGACGGCCAGCTCTCCAAGTCTACACTCGACCGCCTTGCAGGTGCCTTTGACCAGGTTGTGCCTGTGCCGCTCCTGGATACCCAAGACAAGCGCAGCCTGGCGCTTCTGGGCCGCCCGGATCTTGGCTCCACGGTGACCAAGCTTGGTGTCTGGGGGCTTACCAGCTATGAGCGCATCGCGTTCTTGGATGCCGACACACTGGTTCTGCAATCAATCGATGAGCTGCTGGATGGGCCAAAGGAGGAAGAGTATAGGCCAAACGGCGGAATGAGGAACCAGGGGCTGCTGGCCGCGGCGCCTGATCTCGGGTGGCCCGACTGCTTCAATTCGGGTGTGTTCGTTGCAAAGCCGGCAGAGCAGACGCACAAGGGCCTGCTCGACATGCTTATCACTCAAGGATCTTTCGATGGTAACGTATTGACGTGTATTATTTGGCGCTGCGCTACCCCCTCCCCAAAAGCGATGAACATTCATCCCCTCCCCAACGAGGATGCAGGTTTGGCGAGACTGATGCAATGCGCAATTGCTGGATACATGCATTTCGCCCGCACGCCATGTTCGATTGTTCACACATGCTCACCAAAAGGCCAATCACCACTCACATCTGCGGATCCCTTTTTTCCTCGGTTTTCTACCGCAAATCCTGCTTTTAGGCGGCGACCAGGGCCTTCTCAACGCGTATTTCGCCGACTGGAGCCGGGCAGACCCGACACGCCGCCTGCCCTTTGCGTTCAACACCACATCCACCAGCTTCTACACATACGCGCCCGCGTTCAGGCGTTTCTCGGACGACGTCCGGGTTGTGCATTTTATCGGCCCAAACAAGCCCTGGACATGGCTCCGCGCCGCCAACGGGTCCATTGACGCTGGCTCTGCCACCGACAACACAGAGCTGGTTGAGAAGTGGTGGAGTGTCCATGACCAGTATGTGGCGGAGTGGTCGCCTGAAAGAGAAGCATACGACAAGTGGCAGGCGTTTTCGGCCGAGGGATACCATCAGGATATCAGCAGCGAACAGACTGTGGACCTATCGTCATCTACCAGCACCGGGTCACACCATATGCTCGACAACGCGTGGAAGCGAAATGATAGACCGCCAGCTGATATTCGCGTCGATGCCTCCAGCACAGAGTGGGGTGCATTTGTCCCCGCCAGCGACTTTGTGCTGCCAAGGTCGGGCTCGTCCTCAAGGCGCTCGAGCAACGACAGGTTGGCAGCCATCGCCAATAAACACATAGTAATTAATGCTGTTGGAATCTAATAGTCTACATTGCTAGATTTTTGTAACAGGGTGTCGCTATGTTGGATCTAGAGCAGTGCTGTCGCTCGACTTTGCCATGTATGCCTTGATTGCCTCGATGGTCTGCATATCAGGCACCACTCCAGCCGCTCCCATCTCGCGCAGCATTTCAGCCATGTGCGTACGCTCGTCGGCAGCCATCAGCCGCCGCAGCAGCGCCGAGTACATCCAGGTTTCGCCCGTGCGCCCATGGCCATGCATGGCCTTGAGCAGCATCAGAGCCTCGCGGTATCGCCCGGCATCGGCGTAGTGCTGGATGACAACAGCAAAATGCATTGGCGTCCGCCTGACCTGCGACAGTCCACGGTACCGGTCGTCCTGAGCCCCTAGGTTCTGGCTCTTTGTTGTGTCCTCCAGCGCCCGGAACACGCTCAATGCCCCTTGCACGTCACCAGACTTGAGCCGGAGCCGGATCCACATTAGTGCTGTGACCTCGTCATGAACATGACCTTGGGCCAGCATATCACTAATCAGCTTCTCGGCGTACTCGGTCTTGCCGGCGTTTGCGCATGCTTGGAGCATGGTCGTGTAGGTGAACTTGTCCGGCGTGCACCCTTGGTACTGCATGTCGCCAAATAGCGACAGAACCTTGTCCAGACACGTATCATAGAACTGCTCGGTCACCTGCTGTCGGTAACCGGTATCGACAGCCATGCTTGTAGACGGCGCAAGCAGTGGCGGCGACAGGCCGACGTAGCAATGCATGAATGCGTTGATCAGCGGAGTATTGACCTGGATCCCTAGCGCCCTGACAGTGCTAGCTACCTCATCAATCCCTGCAATCGACCCGTACCGCGCACACCCACGTGCCACCGCAACATAGTGCTGGATGCTCTGCTGGTCGGAGCTCAAGGTTTTCAATAGCCCCAGACAGCGCTTGTACCCGCCCGGTGGCGACGACGACGCCAGTGCCAGCATGCAGCTGGTCAGCAGGTTAGGCGAAATCCCAATGCTGATCGCGCGGTAGATGTTCCGCTCCAGCGCCTCGATCAGGAACCGCGAACTAAACTTGCAGGGTGCTTTGGATCCCAGCCGGCCATTCGCGTCTGTCCATGTATCGACAATTGCTGAAATCGCCGCCTCGCAAACGCGCTTCCTTACTCTCACCCGCTGGTCGTAGAGAACCGTCAGGGCCTGGTCAGCAACGGCAGCGCGCCACGGCGACTCCTTGACGCTCATCAGAAGCACCATCATCATCTTGTTTGGATCCTCGCTGCAGTCGCCCACCACCTGCACCATGCGGCACATCGTCTGGACATCGTGCTCGCCCAGTGAATTAAGCACCCGCTTCCACATGCCGAGCGGCCGCCTGATCTTGACCAGTGCTCGGGTCACCCACTCAAAGTCCGCCATGCTGCGCTCCATGGCACACCGGCTGAAGAATTTCTCGGCAACATCGTCGGCGATCTGATCGAGCGTGTGCGTGCGAGAAAGGTACCGCAGGAAATTGGCCAGATCGGTCACCGTCGACTCCTGTGCAAGGTACCGGCAGTACAGGTTGATGGCGACCGTTGTCAGCGGGATGTTGTTTTGCACCACATGGCTGATCAGTGCCCGCGACCTGTCAGCCTGCTGGTGGTTGACATAGAACTCGATCAGCGTACTGTACGGCAGCTGTGCTCGCTTGATCGGCAGCTTAGCCAGCCTGTCGAAGACCTCGTGCGCTACTCTAATCCCGCTCTGCAGAATCACCAGCCGCATCATGCGCCGGAGCGTCTTATCGTCGATGCTAACCATGCTTAGGTCTGACTGCGATAGCCACTCGATGAGCTCCATGAACACTGGCATTGCCCTGCCTGGCTTGCTGCTGCTGATATACAGCTGAGTCGCTGTTGACAGCATGTCTATACTCCTTGGCATTCCCATCGCGCTGAATTGCTCGTATACCTGAATCGCTTTGTCGCGTCCCGAATGCAGCCAAATATGCCGCACAATATCGCGGAACAAACGAAACGACGGTGTAAACCCTTGCTTAACCATGTCCTCCACATAATTAATAAGAACCTCGGGGTTGCCTGCCACCGTGGGGCTATACATAGCCGCCTCCAATTTGGCGTTCTCCAGAGAATTGGTTGCGGGGAAGCCAGCAAAATCTACGATCTCGGTTACACGCCCCTGCTCCCCCACATGGCACAGCGCGCGAACAATATGAGGAACCAAGTCGGCCGAATCCTTGGCTGCCCGACTCAACACAGCCACTCTATCAGTGTCTCGCCGCCGCATCGCATTCAGCAGCAGCACTTTGCGTAGTTCGTTGTCTGGCTGAAGACTCAACAGCCGCAATCTCGACAAAAGCCCGTCAAACATCGAATCCTGGCCCGACTCGTGGTACCCCCTGAGCATACAAATGAAAAAGTCCATGCCAGGCGTGTACCCCCAGCTCTTCATGTCCGCAGTGACATCGCTGAGCACCATTGGTGCATTAGTCTCTGCCGACATGACACACGCAGTCGCAAGCGTGCAGAATGCACGGTACTCTGGCTTGATGTGCCGCGTCCGCATATCCTGGAACAGCTCAAATGCTCGGGCCGGATTCCTCATCAGCGTATACTCGGCCAGCAGAATACTGTACATACGTGGCGTCGCCTCGCCTCTAGATACCAGCTGATTAAAGATCTCGCGTCCCTCGCGCTGCCGCGAACCCCGGAACAGCGCGTAACACATGCTCCAGTCTATAGGTGCTTTGTTCGGGTACATTTCCGATCCGAGTGCGTCGACGTAGCACCTTTGTGAATCCGCAATTGATCCCAGTAGCGCGTATGTGCTGATCAGCACCGCATGCGGAGTGTGGAACAGTGCCGGGTATGTTTCTAAATCCCGCTCAACCTGCTTCAAGCACTGAATCCCAAAAATCGTCCCCATTGATCCACACATGTCGACCACACGGGTCATGTCAGTCTTTGTAATGTCCTCTAACCGATCGCCATCGACCAATGCCCGGTATGTTTTCCAAGTAGCCATCGGATCTGCCTTTGTCAAGAGCTGCAATCGCAGTTTCGCCAGATCTGGAGTTGCTGCGTCCCGGATCCCTTCAATAAGCGATACCAACTGCGGTTGTTGTGTAGGTCCAATGTGGGCTGCAGTGTCTGCAAATACTGGTGACTGATCCAGGGGAGTATGGTGGTGTCGCAAGTCCAGGCTTGCACATATCCGCTGCACCATGGCGACTTCGTCCTCAGTCAGGCTCCGGTGTCTATCTATGTTGCCCAAAATCTCCGACAGTCGCTGCAGCGCTCTCGTCGTGTCCTTATCTTGCACCATCAGCTCTATCAACATCCGCGCTGTTGTTGGTGACAAGGCTGATCTGCCAGTGCTATTATCGCCCGCGATTCGCCGGTACAGGCCCCACAGCGCCTCGCGCTGGATCGGCGATCCGGACTGCGCCAGCGAGCGCATGCTGTCTAACAACCGCCCTTCGCCTGTCTGTCTGTATCCAGTGCTATAACGAGCTGGCCTTGCCCGAAAGACGGCTTTTGGCAGCTGCCGGCGAACATGCTGCCATGGGGTCGCTAGCGGCATGCCAGAATTTCTCGTGAGTACTATGCGTAAAAGTAGTGAACCCGCACGGCCGCGAATTGTTTGTAATGTAGGTGAGCTGGGCGGCCGGCTGAAAGTGGAACCAGGGTTGAATTTGAGGATTACAAAAAGAAATTGGGCAAAAAAAAGGCGAAGACGGAGGTTGAGCCCGGACACCGCTATCTTGGCCATGCAAGTGCCTGGTGGAAATCGGTGTGCAAGCCCGGCTAATCCGATGATCGGTAACCAGCTGATCTGCAATCCAAGCCTTAGAGTCAGCTAGCTTGCCATCCTCGTGTGGATCCAAAGCATCTGCAGACTGTGTCTCTTGAAATTTGTGTAAGGGGAGGGCTGTCGGAGGCATATGGAGGCCTGGATGGAACCATGAGCGAATCCAAACAGGTACTATGAGCCGTCCAAGGGTGTTGCTATAGCCAACACCGGCGGATTGTTGACTCCAGTCGACTGATACAGCCTACCGCAGCAGGCCCAAGCAAAACGCTGGGCCAGAATGCGGCGATAAATCCCACAGAAATCGCTCACCAGGGAGCAGGGGCACTGGGCGTCGACCAGAAAATCCACCAGGACGTTGGCCATGATGTTGGAAAACGCTGTCTGCGGCGATACATTGCCACAATAATAACTGCGGCGCGGGGTGTTTCACCAAGTGTGATGTTTATGGTCGCCAGGGCAGGGCAGGTGGCAAATCGCTGCTGAGATACTGCCCTGGTGCCAGATCTTTGGAGGAAACCTACTGCGCGCGCTATGCCAGAGCGGCAGTAACATTTAGTATGCCGCCCTGCTGTCTTGAAGCATCTTCAGAGTCCTGTACGGTGTAGACAAAGCACCTCGTAACGCCTTGAAACACAAAGAAAATCGATTGCATCTGATGGTGAGCTGTTCGCATTCCCCAACAGCAGCTGGAGGATCATGATCGATTAAGGAAATCGAATCTAGTACGCAGGCTGTGACTGGGCCTGTCTGATCACGGCAGACAGTTCACAGCGATATCTGCTAGTGGCGGCGTGCTGGTGGCAACACCATACACACTTTACTATTCAGTTAAAAACATTAAAAATCACAAGATACGGAGAATGCCACGTATTTACTCAAGTCAGGATGAAGCTGCTCGCTGGCAGTATGCTTACACTGGAGATTTGGAATCGGTCCTGTCACTCTCCTTGGAAATCTTGCACTCAAGAAACCTGCTGTTGTGCTAATAAGGGGGTGTGGATAAGTTTGGATTTCAAAACTAAAGAAAAAGGAAAAGAGAAAGGAAAACTAGTAATGCCACGCATTAGCCTTTTTGAAGATTCCGTTGCAGTGCGACGTCTGACCTCATCAGTGAAACCGAGGTGGAAAGCTGTGATTGTAGTGGTCACAAGTCTCCGCTGGATATCTCCATTGGTTCAGCGCGAGAGCTGCTCTCGTTGTCGGTCGACTCGATAACTTCCATGGCATCATCATGGCAGTCATCGTCGACCGCGCAACACTGCCAATCAGGTTCTGAACCGCCTTGTCATGCCCTTTGCTGTTGATATCCGGCCCATCCCAGACGTCTGTTGCAACACTGCTGTGACCAATACTCGAATGGCCAAAATCAATGAGACGCAGAGTGTCGTCCTCATTTACAGCGATATTAAACTTGTTGATGTTGCTGTGGACAACACCTTTCGCATGCATGCAAGGCACAATTCTGTGCAGCTCATCACTGGCTCATTCGATCTTGTGGCACAGGCTTAGTCTGGGGCAGTGGCCATCAAGAATCCGCAGAATTTCCCATTTGCCACATTCTCTCTACACCGACTCGGTGATTGCAGACCCAAGTAGTTGATGAAGTAGATATTTGCGTATCCCCCACATATCCCTCATATACGATCAGCTGTGGCAGTTTTCTTGCGTCACTGGTATCACAGTAATAGTAAAATATCGAATCCTTGCCCAGGTGGCCCTGCTGGATGCTTCCGCAGGAGTTTCGCTAGGTGCCTCCGCAGGGATTCTCGCTGGGTATTGCAGCAGAGGTCCCGCTAGATGCCTCTGCAGGATTATCCGCAGGTGATTCCTTTTGTGACTCAGTCCTTTATGACCAGTGAACTTTGATATCATACATTATGACTACGAACCCATCCGTGCCATCACAATTCCAGTCAGCGCTGCATAGCATTTGCAAGCTAATGTGCAGCGCTTTTCTTGAGCTCATCTCTGATCCTTGCCTGACGCTAGGGGTGCCACAGGGCACGCTGAGTACATTTCTTGAAGAGCTGATTCGTCAAATTGTCGATCCTGCATTGAAGCCGGGCAAACATAGAGTGTGTCATTTCTGCGACAGAGAGCAGCTGTGCAAGGGACTCAATGCGCTTATCATCAAGCTTCAGGACAAGGCTGACCAGACTGGTATGCTTTATCATTGACACAGCTTATTTTGTGGGGCCTCTCGGAGCGTGTGCCCAACGTGCCACCAGCCGGTGTTAACAAGAGTTGCCAGGGGTTCGGCGATATGACGATGTAAGTTCTCTACCAGATGTCCAAGTCTCTGCCCAACAACACTGAACACTAAACACCAATTTTGCTGTGCCATGTTTATGAAGCAGATGCTGACATGTACTGTGGAATTCCCAATCAATGTTTCAGTAACCTTTGTGAAAATGCATATTCGACAAGCTGCGTAGCAGACCAGGGTCAAGATGATACAAGCATAAAAGCAACTGTCTGTTACAGGTTCGTGATTGCCACTATCCATAGTGCAAAATGCAAAGAATTCGAGTAGAAATATCAGAAATACCTGGAAATATGTAATGGATACCTGCCAAAGTATTTCCATCATTAACATTGCTACAATACAATGACATGGCAAATATGAAGCACAGTTTCACGCTAGGTAATACATGCTTAGATATAAAGTGCTTGTAATCGCCTTTGGTGATGGTTGTAACCCAATGAAACAGAAACTTCAGCAAGCTAACCCAATGTGCTGAATTTAAGATCACTACCCTTATCTGGACCAAATTTAGGTCTAGCTATATCACTGAGACAAAGCATGTTCAACGAGTTATTAGAGATCATATTAGGCGAATTCCTAGCTAGTACCTATTAGCAAAGAATAATGTTTACAAAAGTGATACGGAAACTAAATACACCAACTTTGTCCTCAGTTTCTCTGAGTTTCTATATAGTCTTTTCGACTCGTCCACACTCTGCACCCAACTAGCAGGCGCATTTCACCAAGTGCCCCTACAATGTGATTTCCATAAATGTGTTTCCTTTCTCCTTCAGTCATAAGAGTAGTATAGTGCATCTATGAATTGTCATTTCAGTAATTGTTTTATTTGTCACGCTGCTTATTAAATTAGTAAAAAAACATTCTGGCATATCCTTCTTCAGAAATTTGCAGTATATATCGACCTTAAGAGTTTTATCTTCATAGTTGCTGGTTCTTACATTAGCATTGGCAACCAGCAGTTTGTACAGTCATGATACGATGGTGTATATATATCGCAGCTGTCTAGAGTGCACACTAGCCATGCTAAAAGCACCCTTCACATAAATAGGGTTGTGACTATAAAAGTATCGTGTAGATGCTGCAATACCTCAGAGGTTATCCATGTTAATTACAAGAAGGCTATTTCATAAGATTCATTTGGTGCTTATGATTGCAATAATCTAACAAGCCATTACAGAAAGGATAACTGATGCTACATATAGCCAATTACAAACTGCATTAGTACAAAATAAACTGGCAACTTGAGGTTTGAGGATTGCAATTTCATGTTGTAAGGTTCAGATACTTTGGCACAGTTTACCATCTATTAACGTTGCACCTTTGCAATGAAAACATTAGTCTAACAGAAGGACATTCGATTATTTCTCCTCATCCTTTTCTTATCCTCGATTCTTTCTTTTATTCTCAGATCGGTCCAGTCATCGGTCTGGCTCTCTCTCCTCTTTTTCTTACTTGCTCACTACTATTTCTTTAAGACTGCCTTGATCTGTCTTTTCCCAATATATTCTCTTTACTTGGGTGCTACAGCCCGACCCAACTCGAGTAACTCACAGTATGGTGATATGGCATAGGCAGGGCTAGTATTGCTGTCAGTGCGCCTTCTCTTCAGCGGTGGAAGCACATTGTTGCTGATGTTGCCGTAAGATTGGCTATTGATGTGGGTGTTGCTGACCGAGGGCATATTAATTCTGGCAGTGCTAGTTGAAGGCGTGGTGGTTGCCTTGTGGGTAATTGCCGGTAAAATAGATCTCTGCACAGCAGCTGGCATAGCACGCTGGATCCTGATTGGGCTAATTCCAACATCCATGTGGCTCATGGAGTTGCACCAGATCCGTAGGTGCTGCAAGCGAGGCAGCATCCATAGGATATCCACGGTATCGTCAACAGTAACTGTATGCAGCGTGATGTAAAAGATACGGAGGTTGTACAGGCGGATATTGTCGGGCACTACATAACGCGCACCGATAACGTACAGTTCCTCGACATCAGAGTCGGCGGTGAACAAATGCACGGTTTCTTCCTTAATCGTATTAGCTATTCTGTTACCACTAGGGATACCGGCAGCAATAGTCGCTGATCTGGCGTGCTGGATCACGTTCGCGGTGACACGGTGGAGTTCCCTGTAGTTCTCTGCAATCCGCAACGTAGAAAGCGCTGGCGAGCCGAACAGTGTGTAGAGATCGGTGTATATCTGCGTAGAATCTCCGACTGATAAGTCCCTGAGCTTCAGAAAAGCGAGGTTACTGAGATTGACAGTGCCAGTCAAACCAGGGTCAGATTTGCTCCATACCGGATCATCACTAATTGTTGTGATCGTTAATGACGCCAAGTTTTCGGTGGGAAGAGGCGGCATCGACATGTCAGTTAGAGGGTACATTGCGTAATAGTCCATACGGAGATTTCGGGTATTGTTTCCAAGCACTGGGAATTCTTCTTCTGGGAATGGCGGCATGAGCTCTACGTCAGTGGCCTGTGCCAGATACTGGAGCTGCAGCTCCGAGCACAGTCTGAGAAGTCCGAAAACATAGTCTCCATCGGCGCCGTGTTCTGCCCATTCTCCAGTCAGCTCGCAGAACTTCAGAGACTTGACGTTTCGCAGGTGGGTTCTGAAGAGGAGGCATGTGTCACGGATAATCGCGCGCTGTTCGTCAGGCGACTGGAGTGTGCTACCGGCGAAGAAGCCAAGCCCATGAACCTCGACAATTTCAACTGAAGTCCACACAGCTGAACCGAACTGGAGCTACTGCAGGATCTCCACCAACTTGAGTGGGCACTGAACGGCATTCCGCATAACTATTTGAAGGCATCGCGTCTCCTCTGCCTTGCCAGCACGCAGACATTCAGGTATGTTGGAATACCAATTGTGGCTCATCACTTGTGTTGGTGGAGTGATACTCGGGTCATACTGAGGGGTACGTGGGATATAGACTGTCTTGTAGAGTAGCTGCTGGACAGCCCTGTAGAAGTTGCTATTGAGGGCTGCTATAGACTGCAGCCAGCGGTATCCGCTGCCGCCTGGAGTTTTGGTGAATTTCTCCCCTGCAAGCAGCGATAGAATAGGTATGAGGATGTCTGGTGAGAGACTGTTCGCGCTCGCCAGCTTGCTGGTGTTCATGGTATTTAATTGATAAATAGTTCTGCTCTGGTGCAAAAGTGGATGGAGTTTACTAAGATGATGTAAAAAGTTTGCAAAGAAAAGTGTTGTGAAGAAAAAAACCACGTTGCCTGTTGGTTGCCTATTTATCCCTGAGGTTTGAAATAGAGAATTTCTGGGTATCTCCACACAAATTACATAGGTTTTTGCTTCCCTCATTATGAAAAGTGGGCATCATCTATACTGCCACCCAATATATTCCACAAATACTCGCCAAAACGGCCACCATATCAACCTTCTTTTTCCTAATTTGCATGTTGGCAGGCGTAGTGATGCTCACAAGACATGAAAAAGCAAGTCTAAAAGGAGATTGGCAAGCCATGGCAGCTGGGACAATGGGTGCCAGCCTGCAAGCAAGCGATGCATGTCATCCCCTATGTTGCTTCTCCGCTCTCTCGCTCTCGCTGACCCAGGTTGCCTTGACAGGAACACATTCGTTCATGAACAGCACATTTAATTGATTTTTCTCGGCGCTCTTGGCTTTGGAAATCGCCTGTCCATTTTTGACACAGCCTACCAGCCATATGTCTTTGCTGTTTTGGCGCTGTCTATTGCGGTGCTGCATATAGCCCGATGACAGAGCATTGTTTACATTTGGTAATAGCTTGGCCACCCGGCAGCCACCTAATGTTCGGGAATGATTCATCTTAAGCAAGCAGCTGGTAAAATAATACAGGTCTAAGGCTGAACATCCTGCCATCTGTAATGTTGAATAGTATAGTCTCTAAATACTCGAAGGGGATTGTCATATGAACCCTGCCGCTCAACCACCAAGTAGAGCACGCTCAGTTAAATAATCAGGGCTCTTTTCGTATGGTTCATCCTTGGCGTATCACACCTTCTGCCATACAAAGCTGCAGGAATAAGGGTGCCTCTTGGCGGAAAATGAAGCAGCAACTGCTGGACAAGCCAGCATTCAGCCACAGAAGCTGTGCCCAGGATGACGAACGCTGGCCTCTCAACTCTTTGCCATAGCCGACATTGCAATGTCAATCTCGGTGTGCAAAAGGGATGGGGTGGCCAGCTATGCCACAGCAAAAATAGCAAGTCCAAAGTCCCGGCCGTACTCTGGCAGAGGGCAACAGGCATGCATTCGCAGTTGAGGGAGACAACAACATTTGTAAGGGAATCATAGTCATGTATGAACATTGAATTTGCTTTCTGGGTGTGGCCTGAACTGCCTTTGTCCTAGGCAGCAAGGAAGGAGAAGTAGCCGTGAACAGGAGGACAAGTGATAGAAAACTAGCGACACTTCTAGCACGGCCATCTACAGTCCGCCACTCAGCAGGCATGTTGGTATGGAGTCTTGGCCACATTATGCATGCCCTACATAGAGAGTTGGGTTAGCTTGTACATTTGCGCTGGATCCACACACTAGAATGTGAGTGGTAGCTTAGTGGCGTTGCCAGGGCAACATGGTGCTGAGCAATCAGCCAGTAATGCCTTCACACGCTGGTACAAGGTCTGCGGAGGGATCATGGAGGGTAGCTTGTGTCCGAACTGGAGCATGGTTCTGGTGGAGCATACACAGAAATGAGACTCGCTGAGGGGTCGGGTTTGATTGCTGCGGGTTAATAGGGCTAAGGCTGGTTACCGCCCTGACTGTGCTGGTCAGCTCTAGAACACCTCTTTTTAAAGCGCATTTCACGCTTCCGGCCCTCACTCTCCATACCTATTTTCTGGGCGCATTCAGCACTATGTTACAAACGCTCAGGCATCTTTGGGCAAAGTAGACCTCGCTGAGCGCGGTCAGCTGTGAGAAGGGCCTTCACTCCCCTGTGCCACTGGCGCTAAAAGCCAAAAGCATAGTGTGGGCACTCCTTCCTGATGAGGCGTTATTGTTGTCTCGGCTGCGGTTCGGCTCGGTTCACAGGACCGCCTCAGTGAGAGATGAAATCCGACTTTGGCCACTTGTGGACTAGCATTTGCTAGAAAGTTGGCTTGAGGTTTTTAGAAACTCGTAGAACTTTTTTATTTTCTGGGCCAGCCCCTCCTCCTCATCATTTTAGGCGTCAACACCGCATAAAAGGGAAGGCTGCTGCTTGGGCACACCTCTGCTCCACTCGCAAAATTTTCTTCCTCATTTTTTATTCACCCACCCGTACATTTTTTCTAACCAGCCATGTCTGAGACCTTCAACTTCCAGGCTGAGATCTCTCAGCTGATGAGCCTCATCGTCAACGCTGTCTACCAGAACAAGGAAATTTTCCTGCGTGAGCTCATCTCGAACGCCAGCGATGCCCTGGACAAGATCCGCTACCAGTCGCTGACTGACCCGTCGGTCCTGGACACCGGCAAGGAGCTCAAGATCACGATTATCCCGGACGCCGCCAACAAGGTCCTGGTCATCCGCGATAGCGGTATCGGTATGACCAAGGCCGACCTCATCAACAACCTGGGAACCATTGCCAAGTCGGGCACCAAGGCCTTCATGGAGATGGTCCAGGAGACCAAGGACGCGTCGATGATCGGTCAGTTCGGTGTCGGTTTCTACTCGGCATACCTGGTCGCCGACGAGGTCGAGGTTATTTCGAAGCACAACGACGACGAGCAGTACATCTGGCGCTCGAGCGCGGGACAGAACTTCACTGTCACCCGCGACACTGTCAACGAGCCTCTGGGCCGCGGTACCGAGATCCGCCTGCACCTCAAGGAGGACCAGGGCGAGTACCTCGAGGAGCGCCGCATCAAGGAGGTCGTGAAGAAGCACTCCGAGTTCATCTCGTACCCCATCCACCTCATCTTCCAGAAGGAGGTCGAGAAGGAGGTGCCCGTCGACGACGCCGAGGAGGTTGACGCCGACGAGGAGAAGGACGAGGGCAAGGCCAAGATTGAGGAGGTCGAGGACGACGACGAGGCTGAGAAGAAGCCCAAGACCAAGAAGGTCAAGGAGAACGAGACGGTCGACGAGGAGCTGAACCAGACCAAGCCCATCTGGACCCGCAACCCCGACACGATCGAGAAGGACGAGTACAACGCGTTCTACAAGTCGCTGACCAACGACTGGGAGGACCCGCTCGCCGTCAAGCACTTCTCGGTTGAGGGCCAGCTCGAGTTCCGCTCGATCCTGTTCACCCCGTGCCGCGCGCCGTTCGACATGTTTGAGGGCAAGAAGAAGCGCAACAACATCAAGCTGTACGTGCGCCGCGTGTTCATCATGGACGACTGCGAGGAGCTGATCCCCGAGTGGCTCAGCTTTGTCAAGGGTATCGTCGATTCGGAGGACCTGCCGCTCAACCTGTCGCGTGAGGTGCTGCAGCAGAACAAGATCCTGAAGGTCATCCGCAAGAACCTGGTCAAGAAGTGCATTGACATGTTCAACGAGATCGCCGAGGACAAGGACAACTTCAACAAGTTCTACGAGGCGTTCAGCAAGAACATCAAGCTGGGTATCCACGAGGACTCGCAGAACCGCGCCAAGCTGGCCGAGTTCCTGCGCTACTACTCGACCAAGTCGACCGACGAGCCCACCTCGCTCAAGGACTACGTCACCCGCATGCCCGAGAAGCAGAAGTACATCTACTACATCACCGGCGAGTCGCGCCAGGCGGTCGAGAGCTCGCCGTTCCTGGAGGTGCTGAAGCGCAAGGGCTACGAGGTCCTGTTCCTGGTCGACCCGATCGACGAGTACTCTGTCCAGCAGCTCAAGGACTACGAGGGCAAGGAGCTCAAGTCGGTCACCAAGGAGGGCCTGGAGCTCGAGGATGACGAGGAGGAGAAGAAGCGCTTCGAGGAGCAGAAGAAGGAGCTCGAGCCGCTGTGCTCGACCATCAAGGAGATCCTTGGCGAGAAGGTCGAGAAGGTCATTGTCACCGACATGATCTCGGAGTCGCCGTGCGTCATCCTGACCGGCCAGTTCGGCTGGACGGCCAACATGGAGCGCATCATGAAGTCGCAGGCCCTGCGTGACTCGGGCGGCATGTCGGCGTACATGGCCTCGAAGCGCACTCTGGGCATCCAGCCGACCCACCCCATCATCCGCGAGCTCAAGACCAAGGTCGAGGCTGACAAGAACGACAAGACGGTCCGCGACCTGGTCCAGCTCATGTTCGAGTCGTCGCTGCTGGCCTCGGGCTTCTCGCTTGAGGACCCGTCGCAGTTCTCGAACCGCATCTACCGCATGATCAAGCTCGGCCTCAGCCTCGACGATGACGAGGAGGCCGTTGCCGGCGAGGGCACCGACGCTCCTGCTCTGGAGGAGGTGACCGAGTCGAACATGGAGGAGATCGACTAAACTGCCCAAAACGCCTTTCTTACATTATCCCTTGATGTCTTCTAAAAATAGTATCTCGATATCTGGCAGCGATGGTGCATCATGTCCCGGTTAGAACAGCCGGCTACCTGCTGGTCACTTGCGATGCTGGCGCAAAGCTGGCATGCCTTCCCTCAACTACCAAGCAGAAAGGATAATTGCCGTCTTGCTGAAAAAATTTCAGTCTATTAATAGGGCAGTGTCTAGAGCTCTGCTCCCAGGCGTATGCGCCTTCGACGTCACAGCTTGCTGCTGCCGGCGACAGCGGCGGCGGCGACGATGGCAGAGCGATCTGGTGACAGCACGCAGTTGAGGTGCTTTCTCGCGCGCCCTCTCCTCTTTTCTCTTCTCCACGTTAAACCATTCTGCCTTATTTTCTATTCCAGTCGCTTCTCTCGCCAAGAGCATTCTAAAATTCAAATGAACAGCCGCAAAAAGCACAGATACAGCATTTTCTCAGACAAGGACCTGCGGGTCGTCAAGGTAAGTTGTCACTGGCGCTTTGCGGTGGGTGGGAACCGGACCCTGACACGCGGCAGCCACGCTAACATCCCTGTAATAGGACAGGTACATCGACCCGCGAGTGGATGTGACGGCAGTGACGTCTGAGCCGACGCAGAAGCTGCTGGCAGTCGGCTACAGCAACGGCAGCATCAAGCTGTTCTCCCCCAAATACCCGTCGGCCAGCCGCCTGCAGACAAAGCGCACTGACGGAATCCAATTCCTCTGCTTTGTGCCAAACACACCGGCGCTGGCGGCCATCGACACCCAGGGCGTCCTGTGGGCATTCGACACAGACACGCTGAGCGTGTGCTACGCGTACAAGCTGCCGAGCCTGCCCACAGCCATGTCGGTTCTGCAGGGCACGGGCTGGCTGATGGTGGGCAGCGAGAACGGGCGCGTGTACTTTGTGGATCTGGCCAACGGCAAGAAATCCGACTACTCGATTGCCTGCTATGCGCTGTCGCCCAACATCCCCGTGGCCAGCGTCGAGTCGCACCCGCTTGACAGCGACCGCATCCTGGTTGCGTATGCGGATGGCGGGTGCATCGTGTGGGAGCTGCGGGGGTTTGAGGCAAGCGAGAAGGAGTCGATCAAGGAGGGGTTTGTTTTTGACCACCCCAGCAGCCTGAAGCGCTCGGTGCGTGTGCCGTCGGGCATCATGGAGCCGGGCTCGTCGGCGATGCCGCGGGTGGGCAGCGTGCAGCTGGTGGAGCCGCGGTTGACGGGTGCCAGCTGGGCGCCGTCTGGCAGCCAGTTTGCAGCAGTGTACGACAACGGCGTCGTGTGTGTGTTCAGCATCGGCGACGGGCCGCAGCCGGCGGTGGCGCGAACGATCGAGCACGCTGATATCCTGGCCGGTCAGATCAGCAACCGGGACATCAGCGCTCCTCTGCGGTGTCTGGGTAACGTGCGGTGGTGCACCCACGCCCACCTGAACCAGTCGTTCCTGGTGGTGTGCTCGGGGTCGTCGGTCACGTTCAAGCAGCTCGTGCATACCCTGGCCACGGGCGACCAGGCTGGCCACATCAAGAGTGGGCGTGATGTGCGGCCCCTTGAGCGCTACGAGATCGACTCGTCGATGATGGCATTGGCACCGCTGCCGCTGCGGTCGCCATGGCGCAGCGGTAATGACGGCGTCCATGGCCTTGCCATTACTATTGGGCGGCCCAGCGCTGTGCGCGTGCTGACCGTCGACTCGGCCCTGCGGATTGCTCGGTCAACCAGGCTGCCGGGCGAGCTCTCATGGTGCTCGACGCCTGCAACGGTCGCGCGTAGTGCCAAGGGCACGCTCAACCTGTCCCTGTTTGATGCGCTGCCAAACACCATTGGCGACGGTCTGTTTGGACCGGATGGCGGCGCGTCGGAGCGCGGACTGTCGCCAGGCGACATGACCAATGGGCTGAGCCAGCTTTTATGCTGTGCTGACACGTCTGGGCATGTGTCGCTGTGGTGCTCGTACTCGCACGACCTCGAGCGATGCATTGGGGTGTGCATGAACTACAAGTACGTGGCGAGGCTGCTGGGCATCGAAGGTGAGATCACGTCGATGGATCTATACGCAAGCAGCGGAATGTTGGCCGTGGGTACTGGTAGCGGCGAGACGCTACTGTGTGTGATTACTGAGGATCCGCGCATCGTGCTGTCAAAGAAGCAAACGCCGCTCGAGGAGCTGCGGGAGCTATCGCTGGTGTACTACCTGGATGCACAAGTCATGATTGATCAGGCCATGAAGGCCAGCATCCAGGAAGAAGACGAGGAGGAGCTGCAGCTGACCACCGATGAGACAGTGTCGCCGTCGGAGACTGTGTCCAAGCCGTCTGATACTAGCGAAGGGTCTATGAAAGAAAACGACAGGGCGTGCAAAGAGCAAGATGAGGCCCTTGACCAGCAAGACAAGGCGCAGGAGCCCGATGGAGGTACCCAAGAGCTAATTGATATCCCGCTTTCGCCTGCGAGTTCCAAGCACAGCTCCACCACCAGCTCTCGCCGTAGCTCCAGGCGCAGCTCGCTCTTGAACAGCGCCACCGGGCTGGGCTCGCGCATGACCCTGCATGTCCGGCAGCGGTCCGGGTCCCTGCACGAGGGCCGACTCACCCGCCGCCTGTCAAAGTTTGTTGGCCGCCACACCTCCCTCCCTGGCGAACTGCCTGAAGAGGACAAACTCGCTGGAATTGTTGCTGCCGGACTTGGCGCTGTTGACGAGTCGCAGGAGCTGGGCAGCGGTCTGGCGGCTGCAATGGGAATGCCGTCGCGGCCCATGGTGATTGACAGCACGGTTTGGGCAGCACGGCGCACCAGGATCAACACGGAGATGTCAGAAATGGTCCATGGGCTGCGGTTCTCGGCGACTGAGCGCGAGATGGTGTCTGACATTGGGTTGCCAAACAAGCCAACCAGAGCAAACATGCCGAATAGCCCATTGGGATCGGACGACTCGCCCATGTCGCCTGGGCTGGAGCAACAGACGCCGGTGATTCTGCCGTTCATGCTTGCGCGGTTCCACAAGCGGCGCATCATCGATGTCATCGCTGGCTACGATGGTGTCGTGGCAGTTATATACGAAGGCGGGGTCGTGGTAGTTGTCGACTGCGTGAATCAAGCTGTGCTTCTGGCGGACAACCTGAATTTCGAGCCACAGGCAGACCAAAATGTGCGCGATATCTTTGGCATGGCCAACCTGGGCAAAAAGACAACCAAGATCCCAGAGCATATCACTGCCGCCAATATTGTGCGGCTGCCGGTCCGCGCCAGCGGCAGCAAGGAGGCGGCGGGCAGCTCAGGTGCTGGGAGCGACGATCATCTGATTATTGGCACATCGCGCGGCAACGTGTCGCTTTACTCAATCTACGGCACGCTGCCGCCGCAGGCCAAGCAGTGGGCGGGTAGTGGTGAGATCATCTACCTGGAGGTCGCAAGCCTGGAGCCGTCTGTTCTGGAGGAGGACCCAGAGCTGCCACCCCACCTGCTGATTGTGGCCACGCGCAAGCAGATCACGAGCCATGCAGGCTTCACATCGCTGCCCCTGGCGACGCATTCGGCGCCAGTCGGCAGCCAGTTCGTCAAGGTGCGTGCAGTCAAGCTGCACACGGGCTGGCACGGGCTTGTGGCCATCGACAGCCACGGCAATGCGTCACTTCTGTCAATCCACAATCTGAGCTGCGATGCCACGCATGCAATCCCGGGCGCCAAGGAGATGATCGGCAGCTGTGATATCCAAATCAACTCGCACGGACACATTTCGTTGCTTGGCCCGCATGCGCTGCTGCTGCAGGCATCGGTGGTGGATGGGTTCAGTGTTGGTGCCGGGTTTGACGATTCTACTGGCCGCTCGATGTTCGACCAGACTGCCAAGGCCCCAGAGCGGCCGGTGCGGCCAGCATCGCTGGCGTCATGGTTTGGTAGCATGGTGGCCACGCCTAAAACCCCTGAGGAGGTCAGCGGAATGCTCGACAGCCACCACCGCGACTTGCTGCGGATGGGCGGCACTCAGCCCGGTGCCCGTCTGCACAAGCCCCCAGCGGCCCTAGGCCGCACATCTACTGTGCACTCGGCCAGCGGTCGACCAGCAGGTAATCGCAAAGGGCTGGGCCGGTCAGCAACGATACACGGAGCGACAGACACGGCAGGGTTCTCGCAGACGCGCAATATGATGGAGAAGCGCGGACAGATGCTGGAGGATTTGGGGCAGAAGATGGAGCGGAACGCGCAGCAGTCAGCAAGCTTCCTGCAGGAAATCAAGGCGTACAATGCGCAGCAGGAGGCTAACAAGAAGAAGCGGTTTGGGCTGTTCTGAAAGCTTTATATTTAAAAGTGCTTAATATGACATCATTAGGTGGCGACTGCAATAGCCTCATTGAATTGTTCTGTTCTGTAATTCCGGGCTACAGTCATTGGCTATATGATTGGTGACGACGCCTGGCCCGGCTGCCACGCAATACACACAATGTATCTTTTGTCGACAGCGATACAGTATTAGATGTGTACGTATGCTTGCCTCTCGTTCTAGTTTTCCGTTGTAGGTATAGGCTTCAAGACCTCTCCCAACCTAGGCTGGGCACACCAAGTGCCAGCAGTGGACACAGTACCACTAGTGAATGCTTGTATCTGACCCGGCTGCATGGTGGGTTTAGCTCGCTGTCCCAACCACTTCGGCGGTTGGCGAGTTGCATGTTGAAACTAATTGGCACACATGCGCACATATCATGCCAAATACTATTGCTTGGATTTCCGCATGTTGGGCAGATGACTAGTTGGCTAGTAGATGGAAGGATGTGATTCATCTGGAAAGTCATGCATTCACACGACGGCAGGACATGGCAATCAACCCCGGGTCAGTGCGCTTGTCGGCTGTGTGTGGCAGGTTTTGCTGAAGCAGCTACATTTGTCTGCAAAAAACTCCCCTCTGTCGTGGGAAACCCACTCAACATTTTCGTCAGTGTAGATTGGGTTAGAAAACACTATAGTCGCCTGTTGCTCCTACCCCGCATTTCTTTTGTTTGGCGCATAGCTTCTCGGAGCACTAGCGGTTTTACTTCCCTGTGCCCTTTTTGGTTCTCTTTTTTGTTAATAGTAATAATGAGCTCGAATTCGGAATCACGGCCACACTCGCCACAGAACGCCAGCATCGCAGCACACCACTACAGTGAGACGGCAGACTTCCAGCGCATGTGCGCACAGCACGAGGAGGCGCTCACGCAGGGCGTCTCCAAAGTGCTTGTGATTTACACTGGCGGGACGATCGGCATGAAGCACGACGACGTGCTCGGCTACCATCCGGTCAAAGGCTACCTGCCGGAGAGGCTGCGGTCAATCGGGCGGTTCCACGATCCAAACGGCTTTGACGACTTTGACCTGGAGTTCCAGCGCACCGGCATGCACACCGGCAATACACGCGCAGCGCCAACGGGCAGGAAAAGCGGCAATGCTTCGGGCATGGCGTCCAGGGTTCTGGTGGAGCAGGCGAGGATGCGGCTCAAGGAATTGAAGCGCGGGCAGAGCCGGCCGAATAGCACGGCAGAGGACCAGCCGGTGGAGAGGCTCGAGGGATTGCGTCTGGTTGACGAGCCGGAGAAGACCGAGGAGCCGGATACGGCAGGCGGGCCGGATAGTCAGCAGCAGGGGCTTTCAGTTTCGGGTCCTGACAGCTCGGATCCGCGCGGCACGGGCACGCCCGGGCGGCTGTCAGAATGGCTGATCACGCCCCGATCGATGTATGGGCGGCGCGTGCAGTACTGCTTCCTGGAGTACGACCCGCTGCTCGACTCGTGCAACATGGACATGACCGACTGGGTGCGGATTGTCACGGACATCGAAAAGTTCTACTACATGTTCGATGCCTTCATCATCCTGCATGGCACCGATACAATGGCATACACAGCGGGTGCGCTGAGCTTCATGCTGCAGAACCTGGGCAAGTCGGTGATAGTGACCGGCTCGCAGGTGCCCATCGCCGAGGTGCGTAACGACGGCATCGAGAACTTCCTCGGGGCGCTGACGGTCGCTGGGCATTTTGTGATTCCAGAGGTAACGCTGTATTTCAGCAACAAGCTGTTCCGCGGCAACCGGTGCGTGAAAATCGATGCGATGGACTTTGAGGCCTTTGGATCCCCGAATCTGGCGCCGCTGGTCAAGGTGGGCGTGGACATTGAGGTCAACTGGCCCGAGGTCCTGCGGCCCAACTGCATCATGCCGTTCTGCGCCCACAAGCAGATGAACTGCAATGTGGCCACTCTGCGGCTGTTTCCAGGCATCTCGGCTGCCGCCATCCGCGCGTTCCTGGCACCGCCCATCCAGGGAATTGTCCTGGAGACCTTTGGCGCTGGCAATGCCCCCGACACGAGGCCCAATATCCTCGAGGCCCTGGCCGAGGCCAGCGAGCGCGGTGTGGTTATCGTCAATGTCACGCAGTGCCAGCGCGGCAACGTGTCGGATCTGTATGCGACAGCTCGTGGCCTGACCAACGCCCGGGTGGTGCCTGGCCGCGACATGACGTCAGAATGCGCTCTGACCAAGCTCAGCTACCTGCTGGGCCGCGGCTTCTCACCAGACAAGTGCCGGGACATGCTGAGCCGCAGCCTGCGCGGTGAGCTGACCATTGTGCAATCGCACAAGCGCCCGATTTTCTCCTCCGGCCACGTGCGCTCCAACACCTTTGCGCAGTTCGTCGCCCGCCAGATCCTCGACGAGACCCAGGCCAACGAGGCTGACCTGGAGCCGCCGGCCATGCCAATGTCGCCCAGTATTGGCTCCAGCGAGTCGGATCTACCCGTGGTCGCCCGCACCCAGTCGGAGGCCGAGTCACGCCGCCGCCGCAGCCCAATGCAGTCGCGCGAGACAGTGACTGAGCGCGCGTCCATCTACCGGTCGTTCTTTCCTGTTCTGCTGTGTACGGCGGCGGCAACCGGCGATTTGCAGGGGATGTACCTTCTGGAATCAGCATCAAATAATTTCCTGGAAGTCACGTGCTATGACTACACCGGCCAGACGCCTCTGCACTGCGCGGTGCGCGCTGGCCAGCTGCCGTGCGCGCGCTTTCTGCTGAAGCGCGGCGCCAGCGTGCATGTGCTGAGCCGCATGGGTCATACACCCCTGTTTGCAGCCATCCTGTCGCGCCATCCCGAGATGGTCCAGTTGCTTGTAAATGCCGGAGCGCATTTCAGCGACGCCGAGACCAAGGACCTGATGGTGAGCATGCAGAATGCGGTGACGCGTGGGGATATTGAGTTTGTCAAGCTGGCGGTACGTGCGGGGTTCAACCTTGACTGCACTGACTACGAGGGCCGCACTGTGCTGTTCTTTGCTGTTATTGCTGGTCAGGTCGAGATTGTCCAGTATTTGCTGCTGCTGCCAAACATTACCGTCGAAATCTGGGACCAGTGGGGGTACAGTCCTTTGGACTATGTGCTGCGCAAGCTGGATCTGTGGCGTGAGATGGGTGCGCCGCACGAGGACAGCGTCAATGATATGCAGCTCATTTGCAATCTGTTTTACGAGAGTCTTGCTGCCAGCACGAGTGATGGCGAGCCATCCTAGGCATCTCCCGAAATAAAACCGTATTTTGCTGATGCTTAATGGGAGGAAGGCCGTGTGGCTGCTATAGCTGACGCGAATTCCCCTGAGGATGTATTTGATTCTCATCTGGTCCATGTACGGCAGGGAACAACCTCGGCTTGAGCTTTTTTCAAATATGTCAACCACCACTATACCTTATTGATTGCTATGTCTAAGCAAGCCTTATCTATCTATTTGCAATAATGGTGGTGGCAGTCATGGATATGGCCAAGGTATTAAGAGGCGCTTGGCTGACTGACCACTGAATGAAATATCTTTTGTCGCCATGGCCGGCCGCCCAAAAGACACTATTCTCAAGACGATAGCTTATTCCTAGTCGTAGTTGGTGTATTTGTAAATACCCATTGTCCAACAGTATTACTCAAGCCATAGCTTATATGCCACATTTATTAGGACATAGGCATATATCTAAACTATTCTGTGACCCTATTAAGAAGTCGCTATGTGGTTAAGCATTCCCTGTTGTTTCGCCAGCCCACCAACCCTTGGCATAAATGGTAGCTCCGCACTTCACCTCCTAATACCTCTGATTAATACAAAATACAGCTTTCCCTTACATTTTGCAGTGCTATCAGCTATTATCCCCTCCCCTCAGAAACATGAAGTTTGTCTACCTCGCTACCCTCGCACTTGCTGTGGCGGCGCTCGCCAATCCTGGGTCGTACTATCCCCTCCAAACCTATTCCGGGTACTCACCCAACAACCACGGCGACCCATCCTACATGTTGCCTAGTAAGGAACTAGTCAGCTTTAACAACCCTACTCCAGTCGTGCTACCTACCAAGCCTACTTCCACCCCCACAGCCACATCCACTTCCTCAACCTCATATGACTACAGCTATGAGATCGATCTGTCGGGCTTCAATAGCAAAATCACACACTTTTTCGTCAGCTACTCGGACCCATGGGTTTCTGGGGGTGTAGGTGTCGGCAGTGTATTGCCAAAACCCACCCCGCCACCTCCTCCCACTCTGGGCGTCATTTGCGACAGGAGTTTCCCGGGCCTGCTGGCTGGCATAGGACTCGACCTGGGCTTGCGCTTGAACCTCTCCCTGATCGGCATCAACGCCTGTATCGGTCTCTGAAGCAGATCTACAATGCTGCCTGGAATTAATCTAATACTCTTGAACAATCACCGACGCGAACCGGACCTTTTTCCAGCAGTTTTTGTCGCCCACTTGGCTCACGTTCCTTTGACGTGGTTTCTCTTGGCTGCGCTTTAGTTTCTCTCATTCTTTAAAGTGCTCTATATATTCACATCACTATGCCTGATATTGATATCGAGTCACTCAAAGCAGCGTGCTACGAGGTCGTAAGCACCGGCGATGTCGATAAGCTAACCGACCGCATCATCCGCCGCACCCTCGAAAAGCGCTTCGATCTCGAGGAAAAATACCTCGACCAGTCTCCCTACAAGCAGCTCTTGAAGGAGACAGCAACCGAGGCCGTTACAGAAATAGTCACGAACCGGAATATCACCACACAGAACGAATCGGACCGCGAGTCCGCAGCAGCGGAGGAAAGTGACATGTCCGAGGTCTTTGATGACGAGCCTGCCGCGCACAAGCGCAAGGCCCCGTCGCCCAGCACCGCGTCAAAGCGCGCCAAGACAGCCCCAGCGCCAGTTTCCAAGAGTAGCGCAACAACAATTGCCAATTTGAAAAACTATATTGGCAAGTGCGGCGTGCGCAAGGTGTGGGCAAAGGAGCTGAGTGGTATGAATGGCGCGCAGCAGGTGCGGCACCTGAAGGAATTGTTGGTTGAGCTTGGCGTGGAGGGGCGGCCGACGCTGGACAAGTGCAGGAAGGTCAGGCAGAGGCGCGAGATTCAGGCGGAGCTTGCCGAAATGGATACGCAGAATATTATTGACGAGAAGGAGCTGGCGCCAGTTGAGGCAGTGAGGGGCAGGAGAGCTGCAGCCAGGAGAGAGGTCAAGTATTCATTGGAGAGTGACGAGGAGGGTGATGCAGTGTCGCAGGGCGAGGGCGGCCGTGGGGAGGAGGAAGAGGAGGTTGCAGATAGCGAGGAGTCGGAGGCATATACAGAATCAGAGAGTGAGGATGGGGATGGCGCGGAGGATGGGTTTGCTGACAGTAACGACGACGAAGAGTAGCTGCTTCGTATATATTTACCACTACAAAACTGAATGTGCATTTCTTTTTCCACATCATGAAGATCATGTATTTAACGGATTATACCATCTGGTGACACAAGTAATAGGTCCGAGCTGCGCGGTGCGCCGGCAATATTGTATCCCATGTTACCGACCACATTTCCTGTGGTTTTAATGCCTTGCCGCCTGCACTGGCTGACAACTGACTGTGGGACCTTGATCCTCTGCTGCATGACGTCTAGTGCCTCAACAAACACCATCATCAAGCCCCTAACAGCATGTATAGCCACATGGCAGTGGAACATCCAAATGCCAGGGTTATCTGCACGGAATCGGACAATTGCGTACTCTCCGTTGATGAGAAAGATCGTGTCTCTGGTGACTGGCGACTGTCCTGGCTTGACCTCGCGGTGATACTTTCCTGTGGTGTCGTTGACGAGTCCGCGGGCAACCACCTGGAAGTTGTGGCCGTGGAGATGTAATGGGTGGGGAACGTCTCTGGTCTGATATAGCAGCAGCTCCACAACCTCGAGGTGCTTCAGTACGTGTGCGTTTGTTTGCGGACCATACATGAACGGGTTCAATGACCTGTGACCAAGTGTCAGCGCGCTGAACATTGTTGGCACAAGCGGCTCCATAAATTCCACATTATTGAATGTATCCTTGTAGACATTCTGCACCGAGTAACCGATTGTCGCGTTAAGAAACAGAGAGCGGTCAGGAATAAGCAGCGGTGACTCGTCCAGAGACTCCAGAGACACCTCGTCGAACGGCTCAGACAGTATGGATTCAACCGGCGCCAGCTCCGCGTCCTCTGCATAGACCACTGTTCCGTTGTACAGTGGTTGAACGAACCCGGGGGGAATCGGCGAGAAATAGTGTGTCACGCTGACATGGTAAGCATAGTTGCTGGCCAGGGACTGCTTGGCTCTAACTAGCACGGAGACGCGCTGTCCAGGGTTGATCCGGACAGCCTGCATGGGTCTGCGTTTGGTCAACGCACCGTCGACTTCGATAACATCCAAGGTATGTTGGTTGATGGAGAACTCTACCATGAGCATGTTCTGCATTGCCAGCAGTCGGATCCTATATGTCTTTCCGGGTGAGAAGTGCATTGGCGGGGTGTAGTTGGCACTGGCTCCATTCACAAGTGTCAGCGGCAGCGGCTTTTTCCGGAACTCGGTGAGGTTTACATCATCCATCAGTGGCTTTAGTTCTCCGATCGTCGATATCGACCAGTCTTCGAAAGCAAACAGGTATTCGCCGTCGTACGTATACGGCTCGTCGGGGTCGTCGATGATGAGTGGAGTGCGCAAGCCATCGAAATTTTGCTCGGCCGTGTGTCCGTGAGTCCAGTATGTTCCTGCCTGGTTGAGCGGGATCTCGTAGGTGAAGTCGGTCCCCGGTGCAATAGAGCATTCGGTGACCATGCCAGCACCATCATAGTAGTTGGTATTGTTCTGGAATATGCCGTGGGCATGCAGAGAGGTAGGCACATCAAGCGAGTTGTGGACATGCAGAACTAGCATGTCGCCTTTGGATGCACGAACTACCGGCAGTGGAAATGTCCTGTTGACTGCTATGCCAAGCTTTGGCTTCTGGTCAAAACCGCGGCTCGTGGTCACATAGGTGATGTCCCAGTTGTGAACAACACGCTTGGCGAATGCTGTCCACAGTGTGGCTAGTAGTAGTAGAGGTATAAGAAATTGCATGCGAAACTGCTGTAGAGTACGATACTGGGGATGGCAGGAGGAAAATACAGGCGACCGCAACGAGCAGGCAAACGCAGCCAGCTTTACTTTGGTTGCTCAGGGAAAGCAGCTGCAATACCCACGCCATTTGTTGGAATATACTTCTAAAATATAGTCTTGCGAACGCCCCTATCCATGCACCCATTGTCAGGCGGTATTTGCCCTTCGCACTACATTGAACTCTCATGGCATTGTAATATCGAACATGGCGGATGTGCTACGGCGAGCCGCCGCTTTCCTGTTTTGGAAGTCTGCTTGTGGCATACCTATGTGACAAACGAGTGCTTGACACCTGCTATATTGGTCTGGACTTGTCGCCATGGTGTAGTATCTCTGTATTGTACCTTGGGAAGCCAGTGTTCGTATACGCCATGAATGCAAGGGGCGCAGTAGCAGCCACTGGCCTGGCCTGATCAAATCACACGACTAATCTGCGTTGCGGCGGAGTTGCAGGGAGCCGTCATCAGTCGCGCGCATAGCCCTCATTTTCAGGGCAACTACGCAGCAAGCACAGCCTTCTCTTCACTCTGTGGCATCCTCTTTTCTCTATTAGCAAGCCAGACAGAAACATAGCGAACGAGTGGAATTTAGAGCAAGATGATGAATGCAGCGATTCAGACAAACATTGCACGGCTTCAAATTATGAAGGCCAAGGTGCTGGCAGCACTGCGCAAGGGTGAAAACTACGAGCTGAAGACAGAACTGAACAGCGAATACAGGGAGAGGCGGAAGGAGGCGGTGCGGCGAGTAATTGCCAACATGACAGTGGGCAAGGACGTCAGCGGACTATTCACAGATGTGCTGAAGAACATGCAGACGGACGATTTGGAAATCAAAAAGCTCATTTACCTGTACCTAATTAACTACGCCAAAACGCAGCCCGACCTGGTCATTCTCGCAGTCAACACGTTCGTCAAGGACACCGAGGACAGCAACCCGTTGATCCGCGCGCTGGCCATCCGCACCATGGGCTGCCTGCATGTGCCTGAGGTGCTGGACTATCTGTGCGACCCGTTGCGCACCTGCCTGAAGGACCCGAACCCATATGTGCGCAAGACGGCGGTGATGTGTGTGGCCAAGGTGTTTGAGCTGAATGCGGCAGTGGCGGAGGAGAACGGGTTCGTGGATGCGGTGCGCGAGTCGCTGTCGGACTCGAATTCGATGGTGGTGGCCAATGTGGTTTCGGCACTGGCGGAGATGAACGAGATGGAGGGCGGGCGCGGCATCTGGCGGCTGGATACATCTACAGTCGGAAAGCTGCTGACAGCTGTCAATGAGTGCACCGAGTGGGGCCAGATTGCGATCCTCGAGGCGCTGGTTGACTACAGGCCGCAGGACGAGAAGGAGGCAGAGAACATCTGCGAGCGTCTGCTGCCGCGGCTGCAGCATGCCAACGGTAGCGTGGTGTTGTCGACGGTGCGGCTGCTGCTGACATACGAAAAGTACGTGAAGCGGGCGGACCTGCTGCAGCAGTTCTCAAAGAAGATGGTGCCGCCGCTGGTCACACTGTTGTCGTCAGAGCCCGAGATCCAGTACGTGGCGCTGCGCAACATCAACCTGATCCTGCAGCGCCAGCCGAAGCTGCTGAGCAAGGAGATCCGCGTGTTCTTCTGCAAATACAACGACCCGGTGTACGTCAAGTACGAGAAGCTGGATGTGCTCGTGCGTATCTGCTCGGAGCGCAACGTCGAGCCGCTGCTCAATGAGCTCAAAGAGTACGCGAAGGAGGTCGATGTCGACTTTGTGCGCCATGCTGTCCAGGCCATCAGCCGGCTCGCAATCAAGTACGACTCGGCAGCCGAGCGCGCTGTCAAGGTGCTGACGGACCTTATCAGCACCAAGGTCGAGTACGTGGTCCAGGAGAGCATGATCGTGCTCAAGGATATTTTCCGCCGGTACCCCCAGCGCTTCGACGGCGTGATTGCCACGCTGTGCGAGTACATCGACATAGTAGACAAGCCCGAGGCTATGGCAGCGCTGATCTGGATCATCGGCGAGTACTCGGAGCACATCACCAACGTCGGCAACGTGCTGTCGGGCATGTTTGAGGGGTTCCTGGAGCAGGAGGACGAGAGCGTGCAGCTGGCCCTGGTCAACGCGGCTGTCAAGTACTTCCTGAAGAGCCCGCAGCAGGGCCAGGCGCTGGTGCTCAAGGCACTGCAGACGGCCACTGAAAAGTGTGCCAACCCGGATGTGCGCGACCGCGCATATATCTACTGGCGCCTGCTGTCGGCCGATCCAGAGGCTGCGCGGTCGGTTGCGCTGGTGGACAAGCCGCCGGTCGAGCTGGAGAACGTCAATCTGCCGGACTCGCTGCTGCAGGAGCTGGTGAAGGAGCTCGGGTGCGTATCGTCGGTGCTGCAGAAGCCCGCCAGGCTGTTCGTGTATAAGCGCGCCGAGAAGGCTGGGCTCCCGCGCCATGCCGAGACTGTGGGCAGCGAGGCTGATGAGGAGACCACGACAAGCGAGGCTGCCGCCGGGGGCGTCGACACCACCAACGAGGGCGAGCCGGAGTTGCTGATCTCGTTCTAGCATTTTGCCATTCTTTTTATCCATTTTTCGAGTTAATTTTTGAACACACCCACATAGTCCATGTCAAAAGTCCAGGCTGCCCGCCATCGCCACGTCCGCCTCGTTGCCAGGGTCCAGCGTCTGGACAAAGTCATCAAACACATCGACATACTCGCCTAGCGATGTTTCCGCGTACTCCTTCCCCTTGGTGGCGCCGGTCGCCTCGTTGACCTCGCGCAGCAGCTGCGCCAATGTAGGCACAGCAAGCGGGTCAAACGAGTCAAAGTCGTCTGCTGCAATCGGCGTGCACACTCTGCCGGTGCCCGGGTGGATACAGAACGGGCTCTTGAGCAAGTGGTTCATATGCGTGGTGACATTCTCGTCGAGCCGCGGATACGCATACTGCAGCATCATGTCCCTCTCAAACATGGTCAGCGCAAACTTGCCCTTCTGCTTGGCGGCCCGGCGGTCCACGGCGTCGATCAGATCAGACCACTTTTCCGACGATGTGCGGTCCGGCCGCTTCTGCCACTGCGTGTCGAGCGTCTGCCGCAGATCCTCATCGGGCAGCGCCGCCAGCACCTTGAGCCAGCGGTCGCGCGTCAGCAGGATCTCCTGCTCGCCCAGCACCACGTCCTCAAAGTAGTCCTCGATGATATCCAGCGAGCGCACGACATGCGGGTGGTTTGCTGTGCGCGACGACAGGTTCACTTTCTTGCCTTGCTCGGCACCGCCACGGATCAGCGACAGGTACCCAGAGATCGCTCGCCTCCCCTGGTCATCCAGCTGCCGCGCCCGCTCATCGCACACCCAGCAATGCACGCCGCGCCGCCCCGAATACACCCACAGCAGCTTCTCGAACCCAAAGTCCTCGCGCAGCGCTGCGTCCACAATCCGCATTGCTATGGCCATGAACTTCCAGCACTTGCTGCAGATGCTGCCCCCCTGGCAGCACGTCCGCACCTCGTCGTAGTCCGTCATGTCAATATCAAACACCAGCTCCTTCTCGACCGGCTTGAACACGCCCGGCTGCAGCGACTTGGCGTGCTTGGGCTGCGCCGTGAATACTGCGCCAATCTCAAAGCGTGTCGGGATCAACCGCGCCAGCTCGCGCTGGAACTCCTCGCAGTCCTTGAATGACTGGTACCGGATGTAGATGCCGTCGCGGATTGTGAACGCAAACTCGCGGTGCGTGAACGTCATGGACGAGGACTGCGCCTTGTAATTCAGCCAGCTGTAGAATTGCCTGTGCGGGAACAGCCGCTGGTAGAACTGCCCCAGCGTCATAGGCGACACTTCGATAGCGCTGTCGTCGGTTGAGGTATCCATTTCTGTCTGCCAAGGTCTTGAAATTAAGCGAAGGAATTCGAAGCGAGGGAGCAAGGCTGCAGGCGGCTGACAGCGCGTTCTACGCGTGAAATTTGTTTTCTCCAGAAAAACGCGACTCGCCTGCTGGCTCGACTCGCATTTTGGGTGCTCTGAACCCAGGAACTTGCCGTTAGCCACGCGAGTTTATGGACCCGCGGCATATCCAGGACTGAAGCCAACACACCGGCACTCTGGCTGCACTTGCCAGCAGACTACTGGCTCTCAGCTCCATAGATTTGCCCTGCTGTTATATGAACCGACGAAGATCTTTCCTAATGGGCGCCACTGGCCCTGCCGGCTTTGTTGCGCTGCCGCCCCTCGCTTCATCCTATTCTTCCTCCTCTTTCCTCGCTTTGACTGCCAATACCTCTATTATTACACATTTCTATGTCCCCTATCCACAGTGCCCAGCACCTGCCTGAAGGTCTCATCGACTGTATCCTTGATTACCTGCTGGTGCACGCACCCGAGCTGATCACCAAAAGCTACCGCGGGCTCCAGCTACGAGAATGCTTCTACTACACTATCCACCCAACCATGAGGCAATTCTCAAATTTCTTACCGATCCTTGGCCTATGCAGGAGCTGGCGGAATGCTGCCTCCAAGCACGCTTACAGCCATGTCATGATCGATATGGGCTTTGGGTCACAGGGGCGCTGGTCCTTACCGAAAACCCCGACGCTGTCGCTTGCTGCCGAGAACTCCAAGAGCAGTCTGGCTAAAGCAGTCACCATATATGTCGGGCTCCATCAGATTGTCAATGGCCGGGCAGAGGCAGCGCTTTCTCGAGCACCGCTTGAGGATGCAGGTTTTTCGAATGTCACACAGGTGCGACTTCTTGTGAGAAGCTACTCGGATCCTGAGGGCAACCTCGCAGACGAGACCAGCTGCAACTCTGATGCCCTGAGGCTCCGTGAGCGCATCCTCAGCTTGTTTCCGAACGTCCAGGTTACAGACCATTCCGAATACGAGGACTGGGCGAATATCAGCAGTCGATTCATGGCCAAGGGCTTCAAAACAAGCGTCGAGTTTGCAGACGAAGGTTCATACTACTGCCAATGGAAGATGCTCAATATGCTCATGCCGGGAACTGGCCTCACCCATATATCGCTCACAGGCCAGCGATATAACTCTGCAGGCGCCATTGAGCTTGTGCGCCGCAATGCCAACACGCTATCATGTATCAGCTTGTTCTGGTTCTACCCTACCCACTTCCGCCTGCTAATCGAGAGTGAGGATGGATCGAACACATTTATCTACCCGCATGTTGAGCGTCTAGCCATCTACATTCCCATGTTTTCATGGCTAGCTACCTCTACATATACACCACCATCATGTGTGCCGTTTCCCCGGCTCAAGCATCTTGTGTGCCAAGATCGCCAGCCGTATGACACAGATATACTCTTCCGCGGCAACAGTGCAACACTAGAAACCGTCGCCATCGGGCTGGATATCACAGAAACGGGGTTTTTCCATGGCTCATCATTCCCTTATGAATCGCAACCAAAGTTGGACTACGTACATGTGTCGCTGTTCTGGGTCAGATTTACAAACGACCGGCGGGTGTTTACGACAGAGACAAAGCAGAATTCTATTCGGAGTGTGCTGCAGGTAGCGAGGTGTTCAAAAAGTCTAGTGGTTAGCCTGGCTAGCGGTGGGTGCAAGCTGGATATTTCTTTCAACGAGCTGTTCAAAGAAATTCAGAGGTTTTCTGGGTTTGAACGTCTCGAGACACTGAATCTTTCGTGCATTCAGGCGTCTCCAAAACAGTTACTAGTGCTACTCAGGTACATTCCAACTGTCAAGAAACTATATATCGCCTTGGGAAACAATGGACAAGAGTATAGGAACGGGCGGCACCTTCAGCAGAGCGACATCGAGAGAGTCTTTGGAGGGTCCGCGCAGCCGGTTTTATCGAGACTGTCAAATCTCCAGGTGGTGCGCTACAAAGGCTACACTGGCTGGCAGGTCATCGAGCAAATACTTGTTGTCGCATCGCTGATACCATCGCTGGAGCGCATCTCGCTATACAGACACAGCTGCAGCCATTTGATAGAGCGCGTCCGCCGCGAGCTGGTTCCGCAGCTTCCGTGGCCTTGCCCACACTTGGACCAGCTAGGGATTTTTAGCAGGTGATAATATAGAACTGGACACTGGTGTACTTGTGCTGTCAGAACGCTGCATAGCCTGGCATATGCCATCCGCCCTGTGTTCATCCAAGGGCTGTCTTGCGAGCCGGTACCTGGGTTGCGAGTGTCAAAGAGAGAGAAAAGATTAACACGCTCTATGAGCTAAAACAGATTCCAGGGAAAGGACTTTGAAATCAAATGCCAGTCGTCACAAACCAAATCAGAGTCGCTTGCGCAACGACGAGTGTGAACAGGACACCGTGCCTAGTGCATAGCTCCTCTCTGCGAGTACCAAGTCTACGAAGAGACAGAAGCCTGTATCCTTCCTGGCTCTGTCATTCACCTGGCTCCCTTTTCCTCGGCTTCTATACACTGCTCCTATGTAATTATGCCCTCTTTCTCCCTCCTGTTCCTCGATACAATGGAAGAAATAAGTAAAAACCACAGAATGTCAGAATATCACGGCCCCCTGCACTCGCAGGATGCAGGCATTATGACGTCTACTCCCACCCCCTGTACCCAGTTGATATGCTTGGCTGCAGCAAGAGGACACAGCCGTAGTCAAGTTTTCGGACACAAACCTGCAAAGCATACCAGAAGCACTGGCATTTTGGCGCTGCTGCTGCTTCTTTCACTCCATCATCCCACCGCAGCCTACCTTCCCTGTGACATGTCCTGCGGCCGACATGCAACCTGACTATGTACTACAATGGCTGTAACTTTCCCCAAGATGGCTATAATAGCTGCACTTGGGAGTGGAGAATATATGGCAATGAAATCCTGCCAACAGACAGTACCACATATCAAAAAGATATGCTAACTAGCGCCTACCCTCCACAATGGAGTTTCGTTCGTTCTCTATTCTCGGCAGTTTATCTACTCTTCAGCTCACAAATGCCACCTCCAGCTGACTATATATTTACTTGTTTCGATAAGGTTCCAAACAGCATCCTGGAAAAGATCTTTGCCCATGCAATGAATGACAATGAGATAACACAGTTCAAAAATAGCTACGGCTCAGACAGGCAACAAACCTCTCCAAGTCCAGCACGCGGTGGACCAAGCGGATTCCTGACTCTTCTGTCAACACTCTGGTGATTGAGCACCGCATGACAGGACCATGCGACGGCACCGGCGGCCACCGCAAAAAGTGGCACAGCAATGTTCGGGCCAGAAAAGACATATGGAAGGTGGATGCCATAGAAAAATCGTCGTCATCATGGACAACAAATGCAAGTGCCTGATTCCTATCGTCGACCTACTCAATGAACTACTCTACCAGCATAAGAACTAGACCGATGTCAAGTCTATCAAGTTTGTCGGCGGTGGCATGTTCAACAAGCCCAATCTCTCGGATGACGATTCCTGCCAGCCAGGCTGCAGTTGTTCAGACGTGCACATACATCACCCGAATGAATATCTGCGCATGGCTATGGAGATATTCACTGAGCACTTCCCAAACGTCACTTTGGTGACACAGCATGTCACCCACCAGCACATTCCTAGATGTGTTTGATATCTATGACCTTAATGCACCCAGCCCTCTGCTCCAATGGCTGTTTTCACTATACGAGACCAATCTGACCGAGACCCAAATCACATGTCCCATCGTCACGACGCATTACCTGACGGTCGAACCCCACGTCGTCTCGCCCACCTTCGACGAACGGTAGCTGGGCCACATCCACCATTACTTTGGTAAATCACCATCGTGCCGGGTTGAGTGACTCCGCGCTCTCAGGATGCTGGACTGTTGAGCAGCCACGATTTAAGGGTATTGGGTCAAGAGGCTGTTTATTTCATTTCATATCACCAAATCATAGTTTGCCTACATGTCCTCGCATACCTTCAGCATGATCATTCAGCGCTCTGACCACCAAGGTGCTCTTGTTTTAAGATTCGATTTCGCCCATTTACAATTTAATGAGGGCTATGATGATGATGACAACTTGTATGTAGCATGTCACCAGTCAGTCTGATAGTTGCTTGTCCAAGGTATAGCAGGCTATTTAGGCTCAGCTTTGCAAACAAGTCAGATTGGACCGCACCAGGAATGTAAAAGCTCTTTTGGTCCAGAAGGCATATCGCTAGGTCCATTGCGGGTTGATCAGTGGTGGCAAGTTAAGCTCTTTCTCAGCCAAGAGCCAGAACGTCTATATTTTGCAGAAAGTAGTGCTGTGAAGAGAACAAATACTGGTGTATATTATATCTGAACGGTGAATGCGATAAATATTCTGCCAATTGTTGGGATGACAAGGAAACTAGCACTGCTCAGATACACCTGATATCCAGAAGCTGACACTTTCCATAGCGCAGTACCTGCTTTAGTAAGCCAGGGGTTTAGAAACGCCGTGGATGTTACTGCTGCTCGCCAGGAATTGTCAGCACGACATCTTGTGTTTGTGGCGACAGGCTACTCTCTATTGTTTTGAGAAATAACAACTATTAAATGTGAATTCCCTCAATGCTGCCAGCACAATTGGTGTTGCAGAACAGATAATATGCTGATCCCTCTCTCAGCCAGCCACTGTTTTCGCTTTGTGGGAAGTGGCACCAGTAGTGCTCTTTGCAATTTCCAGCCAGTGTACCTGCACTCTTTTCTGCGCTACACCTTATTCTTTATACCACTATATACACCTATTTTTTTAATCATGAGGGACTCCGACGTATCACAGACACAGTCGCCCGCTACAACATCAGGAAACACCAGTGCCACCTGCCTCTCTGTGACCATAGAGCAGTTGGTCGAGCACAGCAATGGTACTACCATAGAGCAGCCGGCTGATGAGGAGAAGAGTATGGATACACGCCTAACATACGTTGGCGCATTCGTCCTAATGTTCGCAGTCGGACTGAACACGGCACTCGATGGAATTGTATACTTTCCTATTGCACAACACTTCAACGACATTCAGCGGGCAAGCTGGATAGTCAACAGCTACCTCATTACCACTACAGCCCTACAGCCTATCTACGGAAAGTGCAGCGATATAGTTGGGCGCGTGCCCATCCTGGCATTATCGGTAATCTTCATGTTCATTGGCTCTCTGCTGAGCGGCGTTTCTTCGTCGATGGACATGATTATTGTAAGTCGTGCCATCCAAGGAATAGGCGGTGCCGGCATGTACACCCTGGTAAATATTATCATCGCTGACCTGTTTCCTGAGCGCAAACGGGGGGAGCTGATGAGCTACTCCTCGGCATCGTGGTCCTTTGCGTCTGCAGCAGGAACGATTATCGGCGGGGCTATCGTGGAGAAGAGTACTTGGCGTGTTGTTTTCTGGGTCAATGTAGCCACCAGTGTACTGTCTGGAGCGGTTATTGCCACCATCATGCGCTTGCCCAAGCCAAGCGGGACGCGCAGAGAAAAGCTGGATCGTGTTGACTTTGGCGGGTCAGTCATTTCGCTGGCCAGCATCGTGCTAGTGCTACTAGCGCTCTCGTGGGGCGGACAGCAGTACCCGTGGTCATCGGCACGCGTAATCTCCTGCATCGTTGTGGGCGTTGCCATAGGGATTCTGTTCGTTTATTACGAAGCCAACCATCCCAAGGAGCCGATTCTGCCCATGTACCTGTTCAAGACGCGCAATGTCGCACTGGCGGTGCTTGGACATCTGGTATTTGGAGCAGTTACCTACGCACCGCTTATTTTCATTCCACAGTGGGCGCTGGTAGTCAAGAATACGACACCAATAACATCTGGGCTATACACGATGCCGCTTCCAATCGCCGAGGGATTCGCAGTCGTTATTGCTGGCGTACTGGTCACTAGATTTGGCCGCTACCGCGAATGCTTGTGGTTTGGCGGAACCTGCTTGCTCGTGGCAGCAACGCTTCTTATTACCCTCCATCGGAATACACATTCTGCAGAGGTCATAGGCATCATGGTTCTCTATGGAATTGGGTTTGGTGCGTGTATCCAGACGCTGATATTGACAGCACAGGTTGGTGCAGCAGGAAGGGACTCGGCAACGGTGACTACCGCATGTCTGTTCATGCGATCATTAGGCGGCATGATCGTGGTGGCTGTTATGAGCACAGTTAGTGAAAACAAGCGCAAGACGGAGTTTGCCAAGGTCATGGCTCTGTTTCCCAACTACGCCGATTCGATAGCAAGGATATCCAAGAGCCAGTCGCTTATCCATAGGATTGCTCTGCCAGATGAAGTGTTCCACCGAATCGTCGAGGTGTTTATGAAGTCGATGCGCTCCGCCTTTACAGCCTTGGTTCCGTTTTCTGTGCTATTTTTCCTGGCGGTGTTGTTTGTTGAGCACAAGCGACTGAACACAGTCAAGAAAATCACAATTCAATAAACTGGCAGAGGTTGCTGCTAAAGGATATGCCAATACCGTGTTGAAAGATCTGCACTGCAGGTAGGAGAAATGCGGCACTTGCCTTCATTGCGAGGAAGAGATTTATTAACATTCACAGCAATCTTCACTATGAAGATTTTTCGCGTCAGAAAATGAGCGAGTAGTCTGGGGGATTTGGTATGAAGGTAGAGAATTTAAGCAGCAACACAGTTTGCAACCGGGTAGCACGGCGCGCGGATGCAGGTCACCTGCTGGTTGACGCACCGGAGACTGCCCTCACACTTGTGCGATGCACAGGGGTTGTTGAGGTCACCGTCCTTGTCCTTGGTCTCAGGCTTGACGCACGAGGGGATCGGGTAGCATGGCTCGCGGATGCAAGTCACCTGCTGGTTGACGCACATGAGGTTGTTCTCGCACTTGTGCGATGCACAGGGGTTGTTGAGGTCGCCGTCCTTGTCCTTGATCTCAGGCTTGACGCACGAGGGGATCGGGTAGCATGGCTCGCGGATGCAAGTCACCTGCTGGTTGACGCACACGAGGTTGTTCTTGCACTTGTATGAGCCGCAGGGGTTGTTCAGATCGCCATCTTTGTCATTGACCTGTGCAGCGTCAAAGGCAGGCAGGGCAGAGGCAGCAGACAGAAGAGTGAGGCCGATGGCGAAGACGGAGATAGCGAGCTTCATTTCGATTTTTTGTTTCCCGACGGAGAGTAGTGGATATGAGCAGGGGGATTCTGTTGTCTTTTGGTGAGGAGGATGTTGGTGAATGGCTTAGGAAACGGGAGCAGTCTGGATCCCTTTATATATGGCCTGAGTGTTTGCTTGTACACAATGGAGTATGGCGCAGACCCCCTTTTCTGATAGCAAGCGGCAAAAGCGGACGGCTGCGTATGTGGTTTGTCTTGGGGAAGGGACCATCTCTCTCCTCGTACCATTTGCCCACGTCGAATCGTACACAGCCCAACTGGCAAAGCCGGAGATGCTTTTTAGAACATACCAAAAAGATCTCCCAGTTTCCCCCCTTTTACCCCCTACAATATGCATGCTCGCTTAGAACAGGGGCGAGGATGTGCGTGAGAGAGTTCCCAATACAACATGTAGGGACCGCAGGGCATCGGAGGTCTCCGTCCGCTCCTCCGGACATTGCATGCCCTACCCCAACGCCGCACCGAGCTGCAATGACTGGTTGGGACCAGGCCATGGCCACCATGCACATGCAACTGTTGCCGCGCAACAATTGCACACATGTATTTGCCGGCATATCCCTCCCCTGCCCTGTGCTGACGCATAATCAGTGGTGCGCAACATGGCTCACAGTCGCACTGTGGCAAAAAAATGCTTTCTCGCCCCAAACAAGTCTGCAGACTGCAATATCGTGTGCATCATGGCGAGCAGCTGTCGATGGGTCCCTACCCGTCACCCTGCTCGGATTTTGGCGTCCAAGTCGGCGGCAGCGCCAGCTTATCGGCTGCTTCAGGCCAGGCCCCACGTGCACTGCTTAATCCACAGCATGATTATTGGGTCAGAACGTCTAGGAAATCTAGCTAGTGGCCGGGGTACTCGCGGCGCACGGCATTGAGTAGGACCGCTTGGATTGCTCGCATCATGTCGCGGATTCCCTGGGCCTCGTCCCGGGTCAGCACCTTGTTGGCCACGGCGGGGTCAGACAGCCGCTGCTCCCACTCCATCAGCGCCTGCTTCTCAGTCGTGCTAAGCTTCAGCCCCTTGGACTCCATCGAATTGCACAGGCTGATGTCATACGTCATGCAGCCTGCCTGCTGGTACATTTTGCGCGATACAAGCCACATTTCCTTCTTGATCCCGTTGAGCTGGTCTGCCTCCGACTGTGTCAGGAACAGTGGGTCCTTTGTCGACACACTGGGTGTCTCCTTGGGCGAATCCTCGTGGTGCTGTACGCTAGTGGACTCGACATCATTTGCTACCCTGCTGCTTCCATTGGAGTCCGACGACTGTTCCTCGGCGGCTGCCTCGGATGCGCTCGCATCGTATGTCGACACAATGTACCGCATGCGTGCCTGCAGGTGCGCTGTGAAGAAGCGGGTCTTATAATACAGCTCCTGGTGGTCCTGGCGCTCGGGCGCAAACGTGCGCAGCGCAAGTGTACTGAACATCGAGGTCACGGCCTTTTCCAGGTCCTCTGCTTCCTGCGCAGTAGTGTTCGCTGGCTGCGCCACAGCAGCCAGGAGCAGCAGGGACAGCGCTAAAAGTCGTAGTAGGAGCCTCATTTCTCAGGAATGCACAAACAAATAAATAAGGGAGGGGAAAAAAGCGAAAAAGGTGGAGACGAAAGAGCCAAGGAGCAAGGATTTGCTGGCTGGCCTAAAAATACGCCAGGCATTTCGTGCTACTACTGGCCTGTATATTAAAAGCGGGCCACGCGTTGAACTTGCCAAAAGCAGGATTCAGGACTGGTAGTGCATTTAACTGGGGAGCTAAGAGAAGAGCAAGACTATCTAGAAGTGGACCCGCGGCGCTTGAACCAGTTGAACCTAGCCGGCGGCCGAGCCGACGATGACGACGCAGCACTGTTGTGCTCGTCACCGCTGACATTGCTTTTTTTAGTCTTCAGCGATGCGTTGTGCTGCAGATCCAGGGTCGATTCGTAGCCCGACGAGACCTGTCTTCGCCGCTGCTCCTCATCCTCCTTGACATACTTGTCGATGCTCAGCGGCACCCACTTTAGCGGCTTGGCAGGGACCGGCGGCTCAGCACTTTTGGGCTCCCCGCCATCGACCTGGCTGACCATGAACTCGCTCAGTGACTGCTGCTTGCCAACGCTGGGGGTGGAGGCGATGCTAGCGCATTCGTCAATGGTCAGTGCGGTGTTGCGGCGCGGCGCCGGCGGCTCAGCGGGCCGCATATTGACATGGGATCGGGACTCGGTCAGCGAGTGCGTGCGGCGGGCGCCGATGATGATGCGGGACTGGCCGGTGATCTGGACTCCTGCGATGCTGTTGAAGGCAACGGCCCACCTGTGGCCCTCGTCGTGGTCGTCGATCATCAGACGCACGAGCTCACGCGAGTCTGGCAGCAAGCCGAAGGTGCTGCCGTACTGCTCGATTGCCTTCTGCGCGGCTGTGGCCAGAATGTCAGTGCACTGGATGCGAGAATCATCGGCCCCTGGCATTGACGTCGCGTGCGGGAGGTCGCGCAGTGCCTGCGAGTCAGGGCCAAACACACGCAAAAGATAGCGGCCGTTCCACGAGATAGCCTCGACAGTGACTGAGGCTGGATCCAGAGATATTGCAAACTCACACACGTCAATGAGCTTCTCGTCCGGAATGCCGTCCGAGGCGTCTGCCTGCAGAAACCCGTAAAGTGCCGTGGGCAGCACCACGCAGTAGCGGCGCCGGAACCCGTAGCCGTCAGGAGCCTTCCGGTTGACATAGCCCTCGTGGCGGTCTGTGGGCGGGCGCTGGCTCTGTGGCGACATCACATTGTTGTGGAGCGTGGGGCCGGGCGGATTTGACGAATCTGATGACATTGATACTGGTACGTGGCTGTTGTTGCTTGTGGCGCTGATACTGGCGCTACCGCTTGTGCTGCAGCCAATGCCCATGCCGCCCGCGCCACCGCCACCTGCCCCGCCCGAGATCGTGTGGCGCAACGATTTCCGCCACATGTCGTAGTCAAACGCAGTGCACGTGCGGAACGAATGCGTCTGCTTTGTGTTGACCTGCGACGAGGCCACCGTCAGCTGCACCACCAGCACTCCGCCGTCGCCGGCAATATTGATCTGGCTCAGCGTGTCGACCAGCGTCGCCATGCTGGGCGTGTCTTTGGACTTGGGCCAGCTGTGTCCGTCCTGGTCGCTGAGCCGGAACCCATGCGACAAGTCCATGGTCACATCCGCCTCAGCCTGGCCCTTCTTGCGGTACAGCCGCAGAATGCGGTTACGGAACACTGCCCACTTGAGCTGCCACGTGCTGGCAACGCCGTCCGACTGCAGGTAGTGGATGTAGCCCTCGACGTACGAGAATTTGAACTCGTGCGGCTGCAGCGGGATAAAGTCCACCACATGCTGGAGCTCTAGTACCTCTCCCTTGCGCAACGGGTACGTGTTCAGCATCTCCATTGCCTCGAGCCAGTGCCCTGCCGACGTCCAGAATAGCCCATACTGCTCGCGGAACTGTGTCTGACTCTGCGGCTGCCCAAACCCCATGGCGCTGCCGGCCTTGCCCTTGTCGTCCACCGATGCCCGCTGATCACTACCGCCTATCAACTCGCCAGTTGCCTCGTTTGCCAGCATCGTCTGCTGCCAGATGTTAAACCGAAGCATGCAGATGTCGCGTGCCTGCGTCACTGTGATTCCAGGAGGAAATGTCACCTTTCGCCACATGTCCTTGGCCACATACCGCACATGCAGCGTGATGCTGGTGGTCGCACCCATTCCCATCGGAGGCGCCTCTGGTGCCTCTGGTGCCCGGACAGGCGACGACTTGGATAGCGATCCGGTGTAGGGCGAGAACGCTGTGCGGTTATCCACCTTCTGTCCTCCGAGGAGCGACGAGAACGGGTTGTGTGTCGGAAGAATTGGCATATTGCTGGAGAAATTGCTAGTTGGCTTTGCGTGCCCGTTGATGATATTGGTCAGATCTTCTGGTATCGTGAATATTCCAGCAAGAGACGGCTCGACCATTCGGCAATCTGAAAAGAGTGGGAGATGGTGGGGAAACGTATTAGGCAAAATAAAAAGTATACAGGAAATGTAGAATATTAGAAACGGATACTTCGCGGCTAAAAAAGAATGGAAATGAAGGCGGGCAAGCACCACCAGCTGTCCGGCTAAATGTTATTTATATAACAGAGGAAATAGTTACAAGATGAAATGGTGAAGCAAAGGGTGTGCGCTTTTCTTTCTGGTGGGAAACGACTGTGAGGGAAAAGGGAAGGCAAGGGCAGAGTAAATGTAGAATGGCGAGCGGGCAAATCCTTCTCTTACTCACATTCAACCAAACTTGAACAAGCCTTCTATATAAAAACAACGGACCAGCCATGCGCCTCCTCTATGCTGGCTTGCTCCGCCTCAAATGGCATTTCTGCAAAACAACCATGCTTGCTTCTCCTTTCCATCGCAGCCGTGCCCATCCAGCAATTTCTTATCCTCCGAGGCTTTCTGCAGCCTCCGCATCCCAGGCCCAACAATCCGTCCAGCGACATTTGCACGGGTTATTGATTCAGGCGTCCTGTATGCACCCGCCCGTGGTGCGCAACGGCAACGGCACAACAACAATACGTATACCTCCTATTAGAGTGGCTTTTGCTCGCTGGTTTATGCGCTGATTTCCGAATGCGATTCAACCGTTCTCCCGTTTGCCCGTCGCAAGAGAGACAAAAATGCGCGAGCGTCGGTGTTGCTCCCAAGCCACCTGCTGCTGTTTTCACCTTTCCCATTGCACCCACCATACCCAATGCAAGTAGATCCTTATATTCAGCTACATAGCTTGTGATAGACTGTGCATATAAACCACGGCAGATCGGCCCAGTACCGAATGGGGAAGCCCGAGATGAGCAAATGATAGGCGCACTGCAGTGTACAATAACCATTGCTGACAGCGAGTGGAATACTGCTTCAGCGACATCAGGCTGAAGCAAGCACGCTGCCTGTTGTTCCCGGCTGTCTGCGCCACACCGAATCCGTATTGGTTCCTCGCCAGTGGAGCAACTGCATCTGGATCCAGTTCAGACACCAGGTACACAGCCAGCCAGAGAGCGGTCTGCCGGCGCAATCCCCGGCTCGCGCACACCAGCTCAGATACATAGCAGCATGGGGATGCAGCTCGAGAGCGACGGGAGGCCCCATCCCGAATGTGCGCAGCCCCAGTCCCTCTGTGCCCTCAGTGCCAGCCGACATTCGGGCTGGAGTAATCGCCGATCATCTGATCAAGTTGGGCTCCAAAATTTTCGACTTCCCAGCCACCACACGACTTGCGCACCTAGTGCGGGTTCATGGGTTCGCGGATTCCTCTCGTCTCACCATTTGCGCATTCAAATTCTCCTTCCTGCTCTCTCGAAATGTCGCGGATTCCCGTCACCAGCACGCCGTCGCTGCTGCCCAAGCTGCATCTACAGCACTCGGCCTTCTTTGATCTCGGCAGCGATGTGTACATCTTCGAAACGCTTCGGACAACGGCCGGGATCGCAGTGTCGGCATCAAACAACAGCATCAAGCTCTACGACCCACAGACACTGATGCCGGCGGCCACGAACACGTACCATTCAGACAGAGTAACGCAGATCAAGGCGCGGCCAAACATGCTGTTGAGCAGCTCGTTCGACCAGCAGGTGGCCATCTGGGATCTGCGGCAGAGCTTTGGGCGCCCAGCCATGAGCTTCCGCGCCAATTCGCCGGTTCTGAGCTTTGACATGTCGCTGGACGAGAAGATGCTTGTCGGAGGCACAAAGCTGGACGATGATCTGCAGGCCACCGTCTGCTTCTGGGATATACACGCAGGGAAGCTGGCCAAAGTGTTTGAGGAGTCGCACAGCGATGACATCACCAACATCCAGTGCCACCCGGGGAACGCCAAGCAGCTGCTGTCGGGATCATCAGATGGCCTGGTGTGCACATATGACGTGTCGCAGTTCGATGAGGATGAGGCGTTGCAGTTTGTGGCCAACATTGGTGCATCGGTCTCGCAGTGCGGGTTCTTTGGCCCAGACGCGCAGTTCATCTATGCGCAGAGCGATATGGAGACATTACAGCTGTGGACAAGCGATGCGACGATGCTAGCCGATTTTGGCGACGTGCGGGATGTGGTCCAAGCAGGTGTGCCCATCGACTATGTGATTGGATGCCGGTACGACCCGGTGCAGCAGCGACTGTACTTGCTGGGAGGCTCGAACTCGGGCGACGTGCATGTTATGCATGTTGGTGCTGGGTCGTTTGAGCATGTGCAGGTTCTCTCGGGCGGCCACGGTGATATCGTAAGAGGGTTTGACTGGGATGCCGCTGGCGGTTGGGCTGTGTCTGGAGGCGAGGATGGCCGCCTGAGCTTGTGGTCGACCGAGAAGCCCAGCACACCAGTAGTGATGCCGTCACGCAATGCCGAGGGGTCGAAAAAGTCGGCCGGCGGACGCAGATTCAACCCTTACTAGCAGTGGCAATCGATAATATAGAATGGCTTTACCACCTAATACGCATACACGCCTTGGAAGAACGGATGTCTGAGTGCCTCGCTGGCTGTAAGCCTCTCCTCTGGATCGTATTCGAGCAGTGCATCAACTAGAGAAACAAAATCATCGTCATCCACGCGGAGCGAGTACTTGAGCCACCGGCATCTGAGGTGCGGGTCCCAGTCCAGGCTGCTTTTGATTCCCCGCGCAGATAGATCATATAGTCGGCCTGGTGCTGCTGCTGTCGCAAGGCCAACCCCCGGCCTGGCGCCCCACGACTTTGCCAGATTTCTGTAGACAGGCGATGCACTGTATATGCGGGCAGGCGGTGGGCCGCGCAGCTTCCACATGCTTCGGATTAAGCCACGGTTATCCATATCGGTAAACAAGGACCTCCCGAGCCACAGCTCGCACAATATGCACGCGATCGACCACATATCGATGGCCCTGCCAAACGGCTGCTGGTACACAACCTCGGGTGCCCGGAACCACACGGTCTGGATCTCGAATGTTTTGTAGTACTCGGCAACGTCGTCATCGCTGACTGCATTTCCGAAATCAATCAGCTTGACACGCAGACTGCTGTTGTCGATACAGATGACATTGGTAGACTTGATGTCTGCATGGATCAGCGAGTTGCTGTGCATGTGCGCCAAAGCCATCAGCAGCTGACGGCCAACCGCCTGAATCATGCCCATATGGACCTGCTTTGCAACTACCTCGTCGTTTGTTGCATATATCTCTTTGACTCGAGCTGGAAATGCCTCGTTCAGGGTCTTGCCAAGCAAGGGCTCCATCACTATACAGACCTGGGCGTCTGGCGCCTCACGGATTGTGATTGTCGAGCTGCTCTCTGTGCCGGACTCGTCCAGCGATTCCATCCTACTAGCACTAAATGCGCTGTCACCCTCACCCCTGTGCTGGCTTTCCGAGTAGCTACTTTCTGGCATTTGCGACGGGGATCTGAATATGTCGAATGCGCGCACAATCGGGACCCTGGACTTTGGATCCATGCGGTTGAGCAAGGAGATGACGTGGTAATCAGACAGGCCTATCAGCCCATCGCGACTGTTCATGCGTTTGATCGTCACAAGCCGCGTGCAGTCGCGCTTCTTGCCCATCCGGTCAATGAAAAGATCTGCTGCCAAAAAGACCTCGCTGAAAGCCCCCTCGCCAAGCTTCCCCACTATGACGTACCGGTTGAACCACACCTCACCGTACTCCTTAGGCTGTGTGTTTTCTGAGCTGTCATTTGCCGGCTGCATGGTGCCAGCGTGGCTGCTATGTGAGCGGGTCTTGTTGCCACATGCGTCACCATTGCTGACGCCGGCGTTGTCGCTGCGGTCATCGACCCGAACGCGCTCGAACGCGCTTCTCAGCTGGGTTTCTGCGTGGCTACTGCTGATCCGCACTTTCTTAGCCCGTGCACTATTAGGGCTCGTGAGCCTGGCGGCGTCACCAGTTGGCATTGGTGGGCCGTTTTTACTGCGCACCCTCTTTCTAGTCGATCGTGCTGCTCTCTGGCTGATTGTGTCGCCGCCTCCAGCTGCATCCTTGCCAGCCGAGAATGCATGCTCGCACCCAGGTACGCGCGGATCCTCAGTATCAATGCTGCGGCTGCTCTGTGTGTGCGTTGATGCTGTTACTGGCGACGCAGAGGAACCGGCCATGCCTGCCGCAACGCCACCCTCTAAACGCGCACCAATGCTGTCGTACAGCCGTGTCAGCCCAAGTGTAGCCATCGCCGTAAGGTCATACACCCGCAGTGACGCGAGACTCGCCATCGGTGCCATTTAGGAACAGCGGAATAAATACAGATGCGAAAAGGAGTACAGAGCAAAGAGGCGCAGGACAGCGATGTCCACGCAAAGAACAACCAAACAGCTGCAGCGAAGAGAAAGGCTAAATGCTAGCCGGTTTCGAGCCACAACAATCGAAAATTTGATCACGCCAGCCCCTGCGTGTATTTTCTCTCGCGAGCTTGCCCGTCTCCGGTGCCAGAGTTTCGCGATTAGTGAGAGCTTGAGCACCAGGTGCCCGTGTTCGACGTTCTTCTTTTTCTTCCAACTTTCCTCACTGTCTCCCTCGCCTGCTTGCTTTTTGTGCTGCGAATTCATACCCTCTTTCCGAACAAAGTAGGTCTCCGCCTCCTGTGCTCCACCATACCGTATTCACTTCGGGTGGACGACTTGTAGCCGTTGCAATTTGGCGGCTGCTTTCTCTTATTTCTCGCGTGCATCAGCTGCAATCCAATTCGCCTGGCCTTGTTGCTCTTCCAGCCCTTGCTCGGGAGGACGGGTGCGACCAACCGTGTGCACCCACCACAAGGCCGGCTGAATGCGTTGGCTGCCAGAGAGCTGAAATTTACGCTGCCTTGTGCGGTCCGAATCTAAGGCAGACTCATGTTTACGGCTGGCAACAACTAACACCTCCTTTGCTACGGCATACAATAGGTTTTCACTACTGTTAGCCGGGTTTTTAGCGATTAAACAACGAACGATGACCTCCACTCAGCCCGCAGTTAACGGCACCGCCAACGAGGGCGATGGCCAGACGATCGGCGCCTACGAAGTCGGCTGGATGTTTGCTCAGGAGTACTACACAATCATGAACAAGGACCCGAGCAAGCTCCACTGCTTCTACAACGCCAAGTCGATGCTTATCCACGGCGACGAGGGCAAAATGCTCAAGCAGGCCAACGGCCTGCAGGAGATTAGCGCTGCCATTGCGAGCCAGAAATTCTCCAACTGCAAGATCCACGTTAGCAACGTTGACATCATGTCTGCGATCAAGGGGAATATCGTTATTCAGGTCATTGGCGAGATGTCCAACGATGGTCAGGCGTCGCGGAGGTTTGCCCAGACATTCCTGTTGGCCGAGCAGGTCGGTGGCTACTATGTTCACAACGACATTCTGCGTTACCTGAAGGAGGAGGAGGACGTCGAGGATGAGGTCGAGCAGGCTGAGGAGGTCAAGGAGACCATTAAGGAGGAAGCGCCCAAGGCCGAGACCAATGGCCCTGGTGAGGCCGAGGCTGCTGCCCCTGCCGTTGAGGAGGCCACGAAGGTCGAGGAGGCCCCGGTCGTTGAGGAGAAGAAGCCGGCTGAGGAGAAGTCTGAGAAGAAGGCCGAGAAGAAGGCCGAGAAGAAGGAGGAGCCCGTTGCAGAGAAGCCCCAACCCGAGGCTGCCGTTGCTGCTGCTGAGCCCAAGAAGCCGGCCACATCGTCGAAGCCTGTCGCCGAGTCGAAGCCTGCGGCTGAGCCCAAGCCTGCCCAGGCTGCTGCCCCCGCCAAGCCTAAGGCTCAGCAGCAAGAGAAGCCCGCCTCTGCTTCCAAGCCTGCTCCTGCCCCCGCTCCTGCTCCCAAGCCCACGACCTGGGCTGGCCTTGCCGCTGTTGGCAGCAACAAGTGGGGCAACTCTATGGCCAAGGTTGAGGGTACTGTTGCGCCTGCCGCCCCAGTCTCGGGCGGCGCTGCGCCTGCCGCTGCCGCTAGCTCTGATGTGTCGCGTGTCAGCACCCCGGCGTCCAACGTCGGTGCCGGTGGTCGCAGCCGTCGCGAGAATGTCCCTTCGGCTTTCTTGAAGAACCTGCCCCGCGAGGTCCCCGTGCAGGCCATCAAGGCTGCCTTCCGGGACATTGGCGCCCCGCTCGTCTTTGTCGACTTTATGCCCAAGAACTCTGCTGTTGCCGAGTTCAGCTCGGAGGAGATCAAGCAGAAGGCCCTGAGCAAGCGCTCGATCGTCATCAACGGCGCGACCATCTCTATTGAGGAGCGTCGTCAGCCGCGCCAGAACAGCGGCCGTCGCGATACTGGCAAGCAGTCCCCTGCCCCACGTGCTGGATCCGGCGAGTTTGAGCAGGTCGGATCGGGTCGTGGATCCCGCAGCCGCAATGCTGGCAACAGGGCGCGGGCTGGCAAGCAGTAAAAACCCTCACCATTCTGGCAACCAAAACGCATAGAGCACTGAACACAAAAATATCAATATTTCGTCACCATTCACCCGCACGGATAGCTTGGGATATGGCGACATTTGCCCTACCAATGCTCACAAACCGAAGGAGATGTGGAAATGCTGCGCTTCTGGCAGCGAAGCAACCCATTTATAAAGCCGGCATGGCCAACAACATGGCAGAAAAGCCTGTTTACCGCAGCCACCAGGCGTATTTCCTGGGTGTCACTGAACCCAGTGAGCCTGAAAGAGTCCGCTGGACAGCCTTGAACTATAGTGAAAGCCTGCCTAGATCTGATTCGCTGCGATGCGAGCAATTTACTAGGTGCACAACGCGGCTCCTGGCTGGTATTGCTACTGAGCATGACATATTTGGCGAGCATGGTTCATGACCATGGACGCAACATACGCTTTCTTTTATACTGGCAGGCTGCTTCAAACTCTTGTTTTACCTGACCTAGCCTGCTATTCAGAGTTTTTGAGCTAAACACCAATACTACCGAAGCGATGCATTCATGCACATCTTTCCAGCAACCGACCATATCGAGCGGTCTGGCACTAGAAAAATGCACCACACATCAGGCATATGCCATCCGGTACAGAGCCAACGGCATCACTCATTTCGGCACCCTTCATTTTAACAGCGTTGTCGGCGGTATTGTATTCCACCCGCTCACCCAGGAAGCTACCGAAACGTCTGTTATCGAAAAGATGAGATTGTTTGACATGCTTCACAATAGGCCGCCATGCCAGCATTCTGTTGTGTATTTAGGAAGGTTTAGCAGTGCAGAAATAGAACTTGCCAGCAAGTACACGCTGAAACGTATGGCAGGTGGTTTAGGCAGTGTTCCGTCGGGCACGTGTTCGCATTGGTGCCAGACATACACAGGCATTCTCTCGTGGGTTCTGATTGAACTCTGGACAGGCCGCTCCCTGCTAGGAGAGTCGTTTGATGGTAGGCTTTATCGCAGCAACTAGGCGTACTACCTCGAGGATATAATGAACCGGACTCACTTCTTTTAACTTCAGACATATGTCTCTATTGAATCTCCTACCTAAGCTCATCCTTACTCATTCCGCTTTATGCGCTGACCAAATATACGGCGAGCAACTCAACAGTACTGCACGACATACTTTCTGATAGTACAGTGGATGTAGAGTCCTCAAGCGAGCCGGACTCAATTGACAATGGAATCACTATGACGAAAGAACTGGTATTAAACTACCGAACCCTACCCTATGTTTTTGCATTCAAGTACATCTTGGATAGCTGCATCCACTGTGCCATCCTCGTATTCCATGGGCTGGACCACGGACAAGTATATTACCCAATATCCCAAGCCATTACCTCCAGCTCGTTTGTATCCAAAACTCTTTTCCAGGAAATACCTGACCACCCACAGCACTCTCTTAACCAGGCCATATTTCTTGAGTGGTTTGATGCTGATACTAATATTGATGCCGTAGAGCTTGCCAGTCGCCAAATTCTAGATACATATATGCACATAAGGATGATAATGAGAGGGGCCGATTTCCATTGATGCTGGACCTACACTCGGTATACTGTGCGGGCACTGTGATATCTATCTTGTGTGGTTGTTTTATGAGATTCCCAGAAAAGCCCTTGTTCACCACTCACCGCTCGCAATTTTTGAGCCTGAGTGATGTGGGAATCAAAGTAGCTATAATGTACTGGTGTGTAGAACGCTTCTTCTGCCAACTTTGGATGCCTTTCCTCATTATTTCTTGTGATATTTTGGTGCTTTTATTGCTATGAGCGTTTCTGAGGAGCCCCCATTTACAAGTTTCACGGAGTTCAATGTGAGGTGCAAGAAAGGCACTTTCCAGATCTATGCTGTGAAGTTCGTTCTGGACGGCCAGGAACACGCAGGGCTAGTCCACTTTAATAACGTGTACGGAGGTGCCTTGTACCATGTGCGTAGCCAAATAGCCACAGAGCGGTCACAAATCACCCGGGCGTGGTTCTCTGAGTTGCTACTACAGCACCCTACGGCAGAATTCAAGGGATATTTTCTCGGTATTGTCCATGAAGCGGATATCGAAGTAGCGTGCCGCCATGCAACCAAGATCCTGTCTGCGCGACCGTTCGAAGCACCTCCTGGTCAGCTCCCTCACTGGTGCATGCCATACACGAAATGCATGGTCTACATACTATTCAGGTTAGCCGATTCTCGGTCGTTCTTTAGTGGCTCAGCACAGCCGAAAAACATGTGGTTGTAGCTATTTCTTTCTTGGGATGGGTGGATATATAACATTTCATTTACATGTTTGCTTGTTGCAGACTCAGGCGCCAATATCGGTACTTATTGTAGCACTCCCACCGCACCAATGCACCCATTAAACTTTCTCATCTGCCCACTACACTGCCAGCCTAGAGATGCGTCTGGAATCGCTGTACATACCAAGTGGTACACTCGTTGAGAAGTAGAGTTTGCTGCTGACTCAGTTCTTCATCGCCACACAGATGCCACTGGCTGGGAAAATCGCTGCCCCGAGTAGCACGGGTGCGCTCCGCTCACACTCAATGTGGCTAAACTGTTTTTTGCGAAAATTCCCAAGCGATCCCTTTTTCGGCAGTATTGGAAGGTCCCTCTGTGCCTGCTGGTGGCAATGCCCAGTGACAGCCAGGCTTGTCTAACTACGCCACCCGAGTTTGCACCAAATAGCCCTTTTAGGGACATCCCCTTTGTTTAGTGGATGTTCCAACCATGCCAGCTGAAAGGGTTTTCCCGAGAGCAGTGCTTTCAGCAAGCAAGGTATCCACACAGGGCCATTCTCTTTTCCTCCGTTTTTTACTTCGAACCTGGTTATTCATATACGCTCCTTAATCTCTCCATGTCCCATTAATCAAATGCAGAACCACATACACTCGGAGCACATCAGATTCACACCAGCCCTGGCAGCCAGATACGCTCGCACCCATGCTACATTTGTTGTGAAGTTCAGAGCACTCGGCCAGAACTTGTTTGGGATCCTGAGCTTCCATGAATGTGCGGGAAATATCTGGGCCGCACAACCTAATGAGACTGATGGTATGCCCATCATATCACTCTGGCACCTCTCTGAAATGCTAAACACGGCTGAAGAGACAATTCACTGGATAATCTACATTGGCGAGACAAGCCAACACGCTCTTGGGACGACTACCGCTACCTGGCTGACTCAAATAGCAAACGAAAATGATAATCTAACTCTGCAGCAAATAAATCGCTGGTACGCGCAAAATGTCACTATCTGGCTTGCTGGCGAGAACAGGTCTGACAACTTTGACTGGGTATTCAACTGACTCAACTAGGTATTCGCCCGGCTGTATAGGCAACGGCAAAGTTCTTTCCTGTTTTATTGCCTACAAGGTAAGCAGTGCATTACGCTTTCAATAAAATAGCTGTAACTAGATGAGTATAGAACTCCCATGATCCAGGTATTCGTTTGGGTACAAGCACGCCCCTCATGTCGACCAGCACCTCAGCTGAGTTCTAGCTCTCACTCCCAGAGCTTTTTAGTGCTTGATTGTACACAGATGGCGATTTCCAAGACACTTGCATCTATGCACAATGTATGGAGTTGTCTGGTATGCCCTTTACTGAGCTGATGGCATCACGCAAACCCGCACAAAGATTACTAGCTGTTGCAAATATAAACTGGCACGACACCTGGACTAGATACTACAGTAACCGCGCCATGCCACTTGTCTCTGCCAACTTCCCTATTTTGCTACTCACTCGAAGTTTGTATGTAGTCAATGGCGATTCGAAACAACAGCACCTGCGCCAGCCTTACTACCTTTACGCCTGAGTTGTTGGTATCATTAGTAGGCTCGTATAACGCCTATGCCGTACGGTTTCTGCTCGGGAAGGAGAACCACATGGGGATATTGCACTTTGGCGACACAGCACCTGAGATTCTATACCACCCATGCTCGCAGCCTCTTACCCACGATGCGATCATCTCACGGGACTCGCTGCTTGAAATAATGCTGCGTACGCAGTACAGGACCAATGTTTCGGTGTTTTTGGGCAAGTTTCCAACAGCAAAAGTGGAGTCTCTGGCGTTGATAGTTATACGCAGTCTCGCGTATACGACCCCGATTAATCCAGAGAATATGCTCTATCATTGGTGTGGGAGGTTTACAGTCGAGCTGGTAAAGCATTTGTGTGGACATGCAGTTGAGCATACTCTCTCAGCTGCAAACCTAGTTGACAGTACGTTTTATCCATAGCTGGAATATTAGTTTAATAATAACAGTATTTGGTATGCACAGCAGATGCTCTACATGCTTAGAGGATTATAACTTCGGTATCCAGGCATCCGTAATATCTGTGCTTTAGCCCGTACTTGGACCAGTGGAATTCCTGTCAGGCGAAGTCATCAGCTTTGAGAACCCTTTTCATGAAGGAGGCATTATCACTACTAAAAATGGTATGTAGCGGAACGCAATGCTCTCTGGACATTCTTATCGAGACCCACACAGCTGATGCCATCAGTTGGCAACTCAATAACTAGTGGATTCATCCAGTGGCTGGTATATAGCCAAGCTGGCCTAGATATGTTTTCTAGCATTTTCTGCTCCTGTTATTCTTGCTGCCCTGCTTTTCGTTTCTAGTAGTTGAACTATCAAAAGCCCACCATGTTTTTAATTTCCTCAACTGGAATCCAGCTTTACAGCATCACTGCCGACTTCCTTGTCCTGTCGACAAACTCGCTATACACTTATGCTGTTATATTCCAGATTGGTGACGAACCGCACTATGGTATACTCCATTTTGATAGAACAGGGACAGGCACCCTGTACCACCCCGAGTCGCAACCGCTGAACAGAGAATCCACCGTCTCCAAAAAGCCGTTGCTTGAAGCCATGGCTAACAACCAGTACAAGGGCTGTGCCGGGGTTCTTCTAGGGAAGTATACTGCTCTTGAGATCGATAGCCTCGTAAGTGTCGCTATTGATATACTTTCTAAAATGGCCCTGATAAACCCGCTACGGTGCGTGTGTCACTGGTGTGGACAGTTTACCATCGAGGCGACCAAGCAATTATGCGGACATACAGTCGGGAAAACCTTGTGTGGTGCAAAACTTACCGACACCAAGCGCCCCCTATAGCCAGAATATATGAAAAAAGTATCGCCGATTCTATCCACATGCAGCGCCTAGCGCATCTGTAACTAAATAAATACCTGGATCATCGGGATATCATAATTTGCCGCAAGTTATATTGCCATTGATGCCATATAAATGATAGATTTATTCTTGGATCACCAATAGTTTCATATTTTGTTGAGTCGATTGCCTCGTAGCATATCGATTCCTTCTTCTTTAACTATTTCATTCTTGGCTAGTATCTCAAGTATCTTCAATCCAACCCTCTTTCGAGCTCTAGAAGCGCTCGTATCTCTACGCTACAACAATAAACGCATGGATGTTATTCCCTTAATGCTAGGCAGCCCATTTGTATGGTCCATTTTGTGACTGTGCTCGCACCTACTGGAGACCGTAGCCACATCTTGAGGCGGCTTTGCTCCTCCACACCGAGGCACGATTCAGCCACTACAGCAAAAAAAGCTTTTGTGATGAATGTGGAGGGTGGCAAGCACCATCGAATATACTACGCTTTTTGCTCAGTGCAGGTGATATCTTGAGTATAAATAGTGGCAACTTTCTCCAAATTCTAACGTTCTCTAACCCCCTTTTTGCTTCAGGAACAGTTTATTGCGATTCAACTATCCTTTTACTATGCTTGCTGATGATAGCCACAGCTTCACCATCTGGAATGGCGGCTCTGTTCCTCGCCCCTACAATGGAGGCGGTGTTTATGCAATCAAGGTCGAGTTACTTAACCGTATTATGTTTGGGGTGCTGCACCTGCATGAAAGCGGCACCAGCGTTGTCTGGCGTCTCGGTGAATCCCGTTGGCCGCTCATGCCCCATGTGTCATATGAGGCGTTGGATACATTCCTCAACGATCCTGGACTCAGCTATGTTCGAGCCGTCCATGCTGGCCAGTTTTCAGAGCAGCAGATGGGCGAAGCCCGAGATGCTGCACTTCGGAAGATGCTGAAAGGTGCCTGGTCGCAGAAACTTGCAGACTTGGAGGAGATTTTTGCAGCGGCCATGCTAGATATTCTTTGCAACGGTGACACCGAGAGCGAGGAATCCTCGGTGCATGAGGAAAAGTCTATGTGCAAATGCATTTTTCAATAAGTTCAACCCGCCAGCATATTTGTAAAGCGATCTGCGCGCGCTACATGTGCCATCTCATCGCTTCTTTGATCATGCTTGCCGCCAAATATGAGCTAATAAACGCGACCCATGTTTAAACGCGATTTTCTGGATTTGTTTAGACGGAGATGTCAGCTAGAAACATATGGCCATGACTGCCATCATGGCCCAGCTGATACTTGCTCCACTGCTGCTGTTGGCCATTTCTTCCTAAATCTCCACCAAATGACAATAATTGACTATGTTTCACCATCAAACTATCCCATATGCCATCATAAGACATGACCGAATACATTCATAGTACACTGCTATGCCTTACAACGCATTTGTCCTTCTGTATGCCATCGGATCGCGTCTTGAATATTGGATTGTCCATTTTGGGAGCAACGGGCGTGGAGCAGTTCGCCTCATTCCCAACTACCTCTCGAAGTGGGATCTTAGAGTTGCTGTGGTATACGCTGGCCATCATGTTATAAGTCTTGCTGTGTGACCAATTCAGTCGATCTACTTCGACAAGTTTGCCCTGGAGAGTATATTACGCATGAGTGACATGCCGCCGTCAAAGCGAAAAGGCGGATTTTGCCTATTTTCCTCAACTACTTGTTTGCGAAAGACATGGTGCGTAGGCTCACGAACAAGCTGCTGTCTGCATTGTTTAGTGAGCCAGAGCCTACTATCTCCAATATTTTGTAGGATGTTAGCTTGGTATGAAAACTAGATGCGCATTAAGAAATAAAACTGACTTTCGGATAGCAACTCAATGCTTCGATATACATGTAGCAACAAGCTTAGTAAATCATACTCCAAACCATGCCATTGATGGCTTTTGGGGATATGTCCAGCTGATGTGCCTGCGGGATGCCTCCTTCTCTCATCCCAGTCATCATTCAATAATATTCTGTCTAGCCAAATGCCTCAGGTAACATTCCTTCCTCCTCATATTGAGGAGTTATTAGATAGCGAAATTGTGACAGAATTCAATATCCAGTCGCTCGATCAGTACAGACACTGCATGTCAGTGTATGTCCTTCGATTCAAGGAAGATAGGACCTGGGGATATGCGATATCGCATTTCTGCGACACATGCACCAAGACAGTATCATTCCCGGATTACTGTGCAGAGGATAATACGTGTATAACCAAGACCGTGGGTATGGATACTCTTCTTGAGGCCACGTTTATTACTGATGTGAAGGGAATATCGCTCGGTCCATTTGGTTGCGAAGAGCTCAGGGAGTGTGTTGGCGAGGTCTGCAGCGAACTGGGCGGGTTGGGAGCTGATATGAAGTTTGCAGAGCTATGCGCAGAATATACAGCTAGGGTAGTGAAGAAGCTGCAGAATCCGAAATACTGGAATGGGTTTATGAGAAGCATTCCTTCTAATGACCGGTAATATCGTACGCTATGAGTTGCTAGCAAAAGCTTGTTTAAATGGACAACTGCAAACAACTCCTACAGAGGACATGTGGATATCAGAATTCTAGCAAGGCACTGTTGAGGCCACCTTTATCTTTCCTGAGTGAATGTAAAATGCAGTTTCCCCATCATTCGCTCCCCTGTATCCTGTCTGCCTCCCTATTACATAGCGTATTACCAAGATGCAATAATGGAGCACAGCCCAACCCATCCAAGGGTCCATCTGCATGAGTCCGAGATAGCAGACGTATCTGCGTTAAAAGTCAAAGCAGAGGAAGGACGGTTCTACGGGGTAGTGCACAGTAGAGAGGACAGTGAGCGGGTAATGTGTATGCCGCAAGGCGCTGTTAGGTCGGATATGCGTCTGCAAGCAAGGCAATTACACGAGATTATTACGAGACCGAATGTCCTGAGGCATATAGCAGCGTTCCTAGGGTGGCGGTCGGTATGCGCAGTGACAAGAGCTATGACGTTATATGGCCGGAGTGCTAGCAATGGACTCGGATCCTGAGTTTCATGTGTGGAGCAGACTGTTTGCAGAATACATGACGAGCGCGCTGACGGACGAGGTCTTGGACTAGCTTCTTGCAGGCACATGACGATCATATCGCCTTCCATTCGGCTCTTCAGCGCCAAGGCTACGGTGGATCCATGGGAGAGGGTTCAATAGTATGAAAACATCGGCTCCGAGGTATAAAGATGGGGCAAGGTGTGCTGGCCACGGTAGGGAGAGGATCGCTATCTTAAGGCTATGTCGCATCTGGCATGCTGTACGCGAAATACACAGGAGCGGACTCTGCAGCACCTCTGGACTGGGTTGGGAAGCGTAATGCAGCATGGCTTGACTTGCAGGCAATCATTGGTAATTTTTTATCGCGGAAACAACACCATGCGTGGATGGCATGCAGATCTGCTTGATGAGCAATCTCGACTTCACATAAAACAAAAACCCCGGGCTGCCGTCCAGACGTTTCTACGCCTGGGTGGAAAGTAACACTGACAGAAAAAGAGCCTTGACTGCTGGGCAGATCGCATTGGGGGAGCGGGCAGCTGCAACCTGGCAGCGAGGCATACGCACACCATAAAATGCGGTGCATCAGGCCAGCCCTCCTGGTACTGCTCTGCAGGAACTCCATTAACTCGTTGCCATTTTCATATCTCCATAAAATCAGATTTCATCATGGACGAGCTCGACGTGTATGGCAAGATTCTGTTCTTTTTCCAGGTCTCAGCAATCGTGATATTCGTCGGCACGCTGCTCGCGGGGTCGCCGTACGGCAGCCAGATAAAGGAGCCGCCCAAATACACAGTGCATGGCAAATGGGGGTGGTTTGTCATGGAGATTGTATCGCCAGTCGTGCTTATCGCCGCGTACCTGTCGCCGACCATGCTTGGGGTATTTGCGCCGCAGCCCGTCCAGACGTCCGCTGCCGGCAATTTATTTGTGCTGCTCTGGGTCATGCACTACGTGAACCGGGCGATCGTCTACCCGCTGCGCGCACCGTCGCGCAAGCCACTGCCGCTGGACACGGTTGTCCAGGCAGTCATTTTCAATTCAATCAACGGGTATCTTGCCGGACGCCACTTCTCGGTGGTGCATCCGGAGCAGTACCTGGGCAACTATCTAATGGGCCATCCGGTAAGGTGTCTTGCAGGCCTGGGCTTGTTCGCGGCCGGTATGTACGGCAACATCTACCATGACGGGGTGCTGATGGAGCTTAGGCGCAGCGGCAAAACTACCGGGTATGCGGTGCCCACGGGCGGGCTGTTCAGGTGGGTGTCGTGTCCGCACTACCTGTCTGAGGCTGTCGAGTGGCTGGGCCTGGCATTGGCGTCTGGGTCGCCGGCGGTCCTCACGTTTGCACTCAACACCATGGCAAATCTGTTTGCCCGCGCAGTGCATGTGCACAGGTGGTACCAGGGCCGGTTCGAGGACTACCCGAGGAACCGCAAGGCGGTGATTCCGTATCTGCTTTGATATAGCTTTATTCTTCTTAAGAGTGGTTGAAAGGGGTGGGAGGAGAATTGGAGAGTAAGAAAATGAAGAGTGATACGTCTGGTCGTGAAGGGAGGTGGGAGAGGATGCTGGGTGTGTGGGGGCTTAGCTGTCGAATCCCTCGTCAGTGCGGGTCTCGGCAAACTCGGCCTTTTCGGGGTTCGCCTTCCTATGCTCGCGCACGCAAGTTAGTGGCATCATGGTCGCATGTGATGTGGTGTGGGTGTGTGCATGCAATTTTTGAAGGTTTTGTTCCAGACAAAGTTAAAACTGAACAGAATTGAGACTTGCCTGCCCTGATCTGCCGCAGGCAGGGGAGGGGGAGAGCTGGAGGAAACAAAAAATGACGGAGGGCTGTGGAGAGGATATCAAAGGGGGAAGGTGGAATGTGTGGACTTACTCTTGGCTCTTGCCTGCAGCGGCGTCCTGCTCGTCATCCTGCTCTTCGTCGTCCTCGGCCTCGCCAAAGCCGCCAACCTCGAGCTTGCGCGTGCGGTAGTTCTCGTACAGCACGTCCTCGGTGAAGTTGATCATATCGGCAATGTGCGAGTTCAGCAGGATGTAGCGCAGCAGCGCAAAATCGCACTGCGATTCGTCGTCAATCTCGATGGTGCCCCACGGATAGCGGCGCACACGCACCGATCCGTACTCGTTATCCAGGACCTCGTCGCACGTCACCACAGAAAACGGCATCAGGCCCATGATCTCGCGGTTCTCCTCCAGGGCCTCCGTGTCCGAGTCATCCCAGCAGAAATTATACACCGGCAGCTTGTAGTACTCCAGGTCCCGCGTGATGTTCTGCTTGAACACCGCCAGCTCCTCCACCGTCAGCGTGTCCGCCCGGCCGATCACCGGCAGAATGTTCACATACTCGCCCAGCCGGCGCATCAGCTCGATGTCCAACTCGCGCAGCGAGTGGCCCGTCGGCGCAATGAAATAGATCAGCGCGTGGATCCGGTGGTCGCGGTACCGGCGGTTGCGCTTGATCCGGCTCTCCTCCACCAGAACCTCATCGAATTGCGCCTCAATGTAGTCCTGCAGCTGCTTGAAGCACCCGGTGTTGTCCAGCCCATCGCCGAACCCCGGCGTGTCAATCACTGTCAGGCTGATGCGCGTGCCCTCCTCCTCCAGCGTCACCTCGTATGTGTCAAACTTCATCGGGTCGGCAATGTGCGCGGTCTCGGGGTTCGGCGCCTCGGGGGGAGGCACAACCTCGCGCTCGCACAGCGTGTTGAGGAACGTGCGTCTGCCCAGACCAGACTGGCCTACAAAGCAGACAGAAAAACATAAACATAAACATAAACAACAGGTCGGGAGAGGCCCAGGAACAATACAGTAAAACATTTCACCCCCTTTCTTGATGCGAAAAATACACAAGAGGCGTTTTTCAAAACAGCCAGGCATGTTGTGCTGTTTGTTCCTTTCCGAGAGATTGGAAAACGACGGGAAAAGTAGCAAGGCAGTTGGGATCCGGCCAAACGTGCGCTCGCCCGCAATAAGGTTTGCGTTACTTACCAACAAGCATGATGTTGTAGGTCATGCCGCGCTTCTCGGACTTGTGCCGGTAACTGCTCGGGCGAGGAGTCGCCATGCGCGAACTGCCGACGCTGTTAATTGAGGGGGCAGATGGGGCCATTTTCTTGAGGGAAAATTAAAAAGACGGGTAAATTGGAAATAGTAGATTGGAAAAAGAAGGGCAAAGGGGTGAAGAGAGAAGTGGTAAACAACAAAAAGAATTATTAGAGTGTACGGATTTATTTTGGAACGGGCAGAACACAGGTCTTGAGAGTTGCAAGATTAGTGAGGAAGCAAGAGCAAAAAATTGGGTGTCCAAGTGATCGCCGCCCTTATAGCTCTCCGAGCCCACAACAACAACAAAGCCAGCCAACCCCAGCCAAGCCCCCTTCATATGGCGACCAGCCCAGCTCCATTAGACCCAGAGGGCGCCACCGTCCTGGGCACCAGCAGGAAAGAAAAACGACACATACTGGGCAGCAATGCTAGAACAGTGCACCAGCCGCAAACGGATCCAGCCCAGCGGCCTGGCCCGCCAGCAGGCGCACGCCAAACAGCCTCTGCAGGCGGTCCAGCTCGGCTCGGTCTGCCGACCGCGGACGGACCTCCTCCCTGGTGCTGAACGGCAGCTTGACATTTCTCCCAAAGATCTCCCGCGCCAGCTGGTAATCAAAGCCGTCGCGCTGTCGGTAGGTGCCCGACTCCAGGATCTGCTCGATGGTGCCGAACTTTTTAATGAGCTTCAGCGCCGTGACCGGGCCGACACGCTCCAGTGTCGACGCAAAATCCGTGCCACACAGAATACATAGGTCGCGGAACTGGTGCATATCTTTGAGTCCCAGCCCGGCAATTGCCTGCTGCACATCCATCACTAGCACGTCCTGGCCAGGCGTATAGAAGCTGCGCACCAGGCGGCCACCAAACGCCAGCACGTCCAGGTCCTCAGTACACACAGCGTCGGCCACGCCGCCCTTTACCAGCGCCGCACACATGCTCTCGCTCTCCGCGTCCTCCACCGTATATGCAGCATAGCCGAGCGCCCGCACCAGCTGCCGGCACTCATCAACGTGCTGTCTTGTTAGCGGCTCGGCACGCCGTGCCAGCACATCGAGCCGTTCGCTCGAAAGCTGAGCCAGCAGCTCCAGCGCATTGTGCTCGGGCAGATCATCGGCAGAAACTGCCGAGTCGCCCATCTGGAACAGCATTGTTTTGGCAGCCTCCTGCTCCAGCACATCCAAGCGTGCATCCACCGTATGTCCAGCCATTATCTCCCTTGCAAGCCCCTCTTGTAGCCACTCCACCGCCCGTGATTTCTCCCATGATTCCGCCGAGATTTCGCCCGGCATGTCCTCCAGAACCGCAATGCCGATTTCCTGCATGGTGCGGATGCGCTGCTGCCGTGCCTGCGCGCGCTCGTACTCCTGCTGCAGGCGGATGCGGTCCTGGCGGCGCTTCTGGAGCTCGCGCTCTTTGCCGCGCGCGCGTGTGGCACCATCAAATATAAATATAGGGGTGATATCTAGCGAATGCATATATGTGGCCAGGTCGTAGATGCCCTGGATGTGCCGTGATTGCGGTGACGGCGAAGGGCTGCGGAAGAAGCGCTGGATGAAAATGCTCGTGTCGACTGCCAATGTCCAGCCAGACAGTGTACATGGCGAAATTGTTGAAATGCTGGCAGGCGCAAAGCGCGCGAGCAGTGGCGTGAGACCCTTGACCCCCATGGATGGAAAATAAAAAATCAGGCTGATTGGAACGATCATATTTAGGGAGAATATGGCGGAAGAGTCAAAAACATGGCCCATGCTAGCATTGTAATGGGTGCAACAAAATGAAGATGTAATGTACAAGTTCTGGCGAGATTAGCCACGAGAGGACGAAGCCTGCCCCCTAGAACGCACAGATAAACGGCCGTATGCGACAGAGATGCAAATTGTTTCCTCAGGTTCATTCTTTTACCTTATACAAACACGTCAAAAATGGCTTGATATTTTTGTTACAGGAGAATCAGTGCCTGGTGTGCCAGGTCGTTACTGAGACCCGCAACAGCACGCAGCAACTCAAGCCTAGCCCACTCATACACGTTGGCTAGCCGGCTTGCCAGTACTGGCGCATATTTTTTGCTGCCCACATCCACCAGCACTGTGAACGCAAGCGCTTCCTCCGGATCCTTGACCAGCTCTGGGCCAAACACCGGCGCCACCTGCAGTCGGTCCTCCTGTGAATCGCGCACCAGTCCGCGGTGCTCGATCTCTGGATCAAAGCTGCAAAACACGGGATGCTGGGCGATGCGCCTCAGACAGTCTTCCATGGGGAACCACTTGAATGTGGTCACATCTAGGAGCTCTGCTGGCCGCCAGTGTTTCTTGTATGCCATCTTTGGACACGACGGGATAAAATAGCCCATATAGTAGTACTGGAGCGTCGGCATATGCATGTGCATTTGCTTGGCCAGCATGAGCTCGCGCATCGCACTGTACGTGCCCGGCGACAGGTGCGCAAACGCCGGGTCGTAGAAGAAATACACCGACGAGATGCACTTTGGCAGCACATCCAGCACGCCCACACCCATCAGCCGCCCGTCAATATAGTAGCACTGGTGGAACGACCCCATCCGCTCCTTGTTTTCCAGTGGCGAGTTGCACAGGAACCGGCGGAACCCCGCCCGCGTCGTATCCGTCTCGTGATGCACCTGGGTCTGGTATTTCTCAAACACGCAGTATTTCTCTTCGCTGAACTCGGCCGGCCCCAGTCGCACATCCAGTGAGTGCAACTGCCCGCCACGGAACATCATCCGGTCCGGATTGTCGGCTACGGGCACACCAAGGTAATTGCGCCAGCGCCGTGCTAATTTCCTATCCGAACTACTGGGCTGGAACTCCAGTGCACGCGTGCGGATTGTGTAGTACGGGCAGCACGAGTCGCTCATATCGGTCAGGTACAGGAGCGAGCCGGACCGCCGCCAGCCGCGATCCACCAGCAGCTGGTAATCGCTGCATGACAGAGTGCGTGCGCGCAGGGCGAAAAACCGCGACCCCGAGTCAGTCCGGCAGTACCCGCAATGCTCACGCTCTTGCATGCCCAGAATCCGCAGTACCGATTCAGACGACGCCACCATGCCGGAACTCATTGTATTGTGCGCCTCACTAATAAGTTAGTAGAGAACGATCTATGCAGAAGAACAAGATAAAAAGCAAGGCTGTGCGGGAAAAAGGGACAGTGACTATTGTCAAATCGACAAGGGGACAAAGGTCGCGCGCATACCGGGCGGTAGTTGTCAATAGAGAAGTGCGCCTGGTATTATTCGGCCCTTTTCAAGCGAGATAAACAGTGCAACCTTGCCCATTGGGAAGACAGCAAGCCTTCCGGCCTATTTCTCGTCAATTGCTCTCCCTTCAGGTTTTATTTAGAAAACCCGCACTTCCGCTGAGCACAGTTTCCAGGAAGTAGCTTGTCGGCATGAGACCCCCCACTGATGTATGTAAGGATAATACCCGGGAATGTTCCACATGCTGGCGCATGGAATGTCCCGCCATGCATGATGCCGTCACAGAATCAAAATAGGCCTAACCCCCTGGAATGCCAAGACAGCTAAGAGAAACAGAAAGGAAACAGTAGAATTATACACAGAAAAAGAAAAACAGAAAGAAAAAACATACAGGTTAGAGCTGGCGCGCGCTGCGGGCCTGGGCGCGCAGACGCCGCGAGTTCTTGCGCTCCTCGTACTCCTCGGTGTAGTGGTAGTGGCAGCCGCCGCCCTCGACATGGCCGTCCCTGCAGACAGCCATATGCTGCAGCACATCGGTCTTCAGCACCTCGTCCATGGTGGGCCGCATAGCCGGGTCGGGGCTCAGCATCTTCTGCAGCAGCTGGCGCGTCCGCACATCAAACTTCTTGAAGCCCTCGTAGTCGCGGCCCGCACGCACAGCGTCGAGGAAGCGCTTGAAGTTGGGGTCGTCATCCTTGGCGACACGCCACGGAATGCCATTGTAGACCATGGTGTAGAAGACAATGGCCGCCGACCACACATCCACCTTGCGTCCGTCATACGACTTGGCCGAGAACATCTCTGGCGCAATATACGGCTCGGAGCCGCACAGCCCGCGCGACTTGTGGACGCTGTCCTCCCAGGCCACGCGGAACACGTCGGCCACGCCAAAGTCGGTGATCTTCAGCGTGCTGTGGTCATCCAGGAGCATGTTCTCAGCCTTGATGTCGCGGTGGCAGACACCCACCGAATGCAGGTGAGCGATTCCGCGACACATCTGCTTGAAGCAGCACTCGTGCTCGCCCATGCCCATGGTGCCGTCGCGAATCACCGTGTACAGGTCGCCGCCCGGGCACAGCTCCATGACCTGGCACCAGTTCTTCTGCGGATCCTGGATCAGATCAAGCGTGCTCACCACGTTCGCGTGATGCACACTCGACGAAATGCAGTACTCGGACGTCAGCTTCTTGATGTACTCGCGCTCCGTCTCGTTCGCCCGCTGCTTGCGGAACCGCTTGATTGCGTATGTCTGCGGCCCGTCCCGGTGCTGCTTGTACGCAACCCGCACCACCGCCGTCGCCCCGCGCCCAATACATTCGCGCGAGCACACGCCGTACTTTTGCTCGAACGTCGTCGACGTCTCCGAGCCCCGCCGGTGGTGCGTCGCCGAGGACGTCACTGATGCGGGCGGCGATGAGCGCTTCGTGCTGGGCGCCTTGCTGCTGCCCAGGAACCGCTGCATCAGGCTTGGCTTCTTTTCCACGCGCGGCGCGCTAGTCAGCTCCTGCGCGATCGCGTCGCTCTTCTTGGGCGACACTGGGGCTGCCCCCGTGAGATTCAGCTTTTGCATATTGGCTGTGGTTATTTTCAGGTCCTGCTGCGGCTCCATTGCCTCGTTGCAGAGCGTGTGCTCGGAATGCCGGCTGCTATTGGATGTGTGACGGCGCACGTCTGGTGTTCCCTCTACAAGGCTGGGAGACGACTGCTGGGGGATTGCTGCTATCGCTGACATAGCGTGATGTTACAATAGGAGGAAGAGAGTGGCTGGGTGTTATAAAATGTCGTCGAGTATGGACGGTATCATCTAGAAACGAGTTTCGGCTCTTGAGAGATGAGAGATGAGAGAACTGCTCGCTTGGAAAAAAAGACGTACTACAAACCCCCACTACGACGGGGGGGAAACGCCTCGCCTTTTCTATGCGGCCGCGCACTGCCAGCAAACTTTTTTCCTTCTCCCCAAAAATGATTTTTCACTGTGGGGTGGGTGATGTCGGGCGGAATGGGCGGGTTGAAACAATTTCTGAACCCATCCCCCCGACTACCTGTCCAATCCGCACGAGCCCGCTAGCCCTGCTTTTTCTGTTGGCTGCTAGGCCCTGCACGTGATGCCGCTCAGATGCCCAACCTCTTGCTGGGGAGACGCCTTTGCAAAAAAAACCGGCCCATATACGCCGACATCAGTCGGCACTATATGTTGCCAGCGCCCTCAGCTCCATCCACTTTGCGATGGCTTCATGCGTGCTACCCTTGCTCCACAAAAAGCCCGGGTGTTGGGCTGGCCTCTGGCCTGGCCCAAAGGCCCAGGGGCTAAACAGAAAACAAAAATGTGCTTGCTGGCCTTCGGCTGGGTGACATTTTTTGCATGCTGTGGCAGATCCCCACACGAATAGCTCTTTTCCATCAAACTGATTTTTCTTTTGGTTAGAGCTGAAAAAAATGCCTTTTGAAACTCATGCCCCTGGCTCATTATCGCTCCTCGCCCCAAAAAGTGCCAAATATGTCAGCACTGGAGGGGGCATGGTTTGACATGGCCTGAGACACAGCTCGTTCGGGCTCCCACAGTCGGCAAATGGCCACTTTTGCGCCAATCGGCTACAATACCGGAGCACCAGCAACAAGGCATATACAAAGGCAACAATTAGCAGACCAGATGCATGATGGGCCACATGAGCTCGACCTCGAGATCACAACATCTCTGGCTTCATGCCATCGAAGCAAGGGGGCAAAGCACAGCGCGCAGCTTTCAAGGGGGGTGGGTTTTTGGTTTGGGAGCAAAAAAGTACGTCTAACAAAGGCGAGGGCGTAGATCTCCAATTTTGTGAACACCATGCCTCGACGAACAGGGGATCTCAGCAATCCTTCCCCCATGTGCAGACGCGGATAGACGGGGAGAGTTGCTTTTTGCCTCTGCAACTGGCCTGAACTCGGCACGCGCGAAATGTTCGGGTTCGCCTTACAAAGCAATAAACACGCGCGACCGCGTGGAGATGGAATCGCTGCTGTCATACACCAGCGTCACCGATCAAGGCGTGGGGAGTGGCTTTTTATCGGCGTCACTATCCCATTGTCATAATGTAGGGGGTGTCAAAGCACTAAATTTCGGATGACAAAAAACGTCAGCCTGCACATTGCCCCCTATTTTCAGCTATTCATGGGATGTGCTCATCTGCAGCAGCAGCATGCTGCATGTAAAAAAGATAATGAGGGGGTAAATTTAGCAGCTATCATGCAATGCACATCGGATGCAAACTACGCAGCACTGAGAGAAAAAAACAAGGCATTGCGGCACTGGAAGCCCGCAGCAATAGACAGGGAGATGTAAGGCGCATCCAGCAACAGCATCCCCCTACATAGTGGCATGCTCATGCCAGGTACGAGAACTCGCGGAGCGCCGGAGCGCCGACCTCGCTCGCATAGTATGGCTCCATCTCGGCGTCCCGGTACGCGTGGAAGTTGTGGATATGCGTGTGCCACGGCGTCTCGTAGGCACCCTCCTCCATGCAGTCGTCGCATAAATCCACCGTCTGAGCGCCGTGGCAGTCCTGGCAGTGCCAGCGGATGCCGACGATTGGCTCAGCCGAGCAGGAGTCGCAGCGGTACCCCAAATGCACAGCCTTGGCGCTCTGCAGCGCCGGGGTTTGGAACTGCGGCCCGGGAGTGCTGGGAACCCCGTCAGCCGCAGCTGCAGTGCTGCCAGTCACACTGGACGTGCCCGCAGCAACCCCACTGGACTCCCCTGCAGCATATCCGCCATCATCGCTCGCATAGTCGTCGTCCTCGGAGCTTGTGAAGTCAACGTCGCGGGGCCTGCGCGGTGGGCGGGGTTCGTCACGTGCATCACCCCACTGCGACGTGTCGGGGGCGCGTCCTGGCACCGGCAGGCCAGCCTTGGCAAGCTTAATGAAGTACTTTTGCACGCGGCTGGCGACCTGGCGCATGGTGCGGGTTCCCAGGGCCTCGGAGATTTTGCGCCAGCGGTTGTTGGCCACCTCCTCCTCGGGGAACTCGCCCAGCAGCTGCTCCAGCCGCTGCTGCTCGGCGTCCGACCATGGCACGTTGAAGCTGGCTGGCCGCGCCCCGCCCTCGACCCGCCGCGTCGGCCCACGGGCCCGAGCCTTCGTCCCCAGCGCCTGCGACAGCCGCTTGCGCTCCGTCGGTCCGCCGGGCTTCGGTGGCCGCCCGCGCTTGCGCTTCACCGGCGGCGGTGCTGCTGCCTCCGGTGACGCCGATCGCTCGGACGCCTGCCGCCGGAATTCAGCCAGCATCTGCGGTGTCAGCGTTTTCTGCCCTCGTGACTTGTCAGTATTTCCATCATCGGTCGCTGTGTTTGTTGCCGTCGTGCTCGGTTGCACCCTGGGCGCTGGTGCCGCTGGTGCCACTGGTGTCACTGGTGTCGCTACAGGGGCCGGAGATGCGGTTGGCGTCGCCCGCACCGACGGCGCCGCCGTCACTGCCATTCGTGACACGCCGACCAGCGACGGCTGCCGTGACACGCGCGCACTGGATCGCGCGGACCACGCCATACGCCCGTTGCGCGGCCGTGTCACCACTCGCTCGTGACCGTCTCCTGAGCGCACGGTTGTCATGTATGTTTGCAGAGAAACTGGGTCTGCGCAGCTCAAATACGGCTCCATGTGGACGCTCGGCACCTCACCTACTGTCTGCGGTGCTGGCGCCTTGGGTCCCGTGTTCGCCACCAGCGCTGTGACATATTGTGCAGGGTCACGCAATGCCGAGGCCCTCAGCGCCTCCAGCTGCTGCATGTCGCTTTTGGCACGCGTCAGCTGGCTTCGTAGCACCTCGATTGCCCGATATACCAGCATGTACTCCATGTTGTTGTTCAGCACGTCCGTCTGATCTGCTGCAGCAGGCTGTGACGTATTTGGTGCCGGTGATAAGCTCTCGTCGCCACCCATTGTTGTATATCACGTTTTTGCTGGGCTGTGTTGCTATGGCTTGTGCATTTGCGAAAATAATAGGAAGGGTTGAAGAAGCGATCTTTTAGAGAGGAAAATGGCCACCAGCGCGTGCATGCATTCCAGGTGGGAAGGGAAAAAATCGGCACGTCAACAACAAAAAAAGCTGATCAGAAATCTAATGGCTTGATCCAGGTCCAGCCATCAAAACCTTACGCGTTGCCTCGCGCTCGAGAGGTTGGATTCTTTCTCTCTCGAAAACTTCGATTTATCTCACACCATGTAAGTTTCGCTGCTGCGACATGCTGCCCGGAGGGGACTGAGCACGCCACGAAGGATGCACTCGAAAGGAATCGGAAACATCCAGATGGATACAACGCTCGCTAATTTCGAATTCGCCAAAATGCTGTAGTGAGGATTTCTGCAGGCCGTTTATTCCGTCCGCTTCAACGAATTTTTGACCCCCTTTACCGTAACCAAACGAACGATTAAAAATGGCTTCTGAAGGGTAAGTAGCGAGCCCAGCTTTTTTAAGGACGCAAATTCCACCCCAGCTATTTGCCGAGAAAAACCTTTGGCTCAAATATCCCGAACTGCTTTAATGTAGAGATGTTGTGGCTGTTGCCGCCCCCGAGACCGTCGAGGTCCCCGCTGACGCCGCCAAGGGCGCCCTTACCGTTGAGGAGGCTCTCCAGATCGTGATCAAGAAGGCTCTGGTCCACGACGGCCTTGTCCGTGGTGCCCGCGAGGCCATCAAGGCCCTGGACCGCCGTGACGCCGAGCTGTGCGTTCTGTGCGAGACCACCGAGGAGGCCGGCATCGTCGCCCTTGTCGAGGCTCTCTGCAACGAGCACAAGATCCGCCTGATCAAGGTCTCCGACTCGAAGAAGCTCGGTGAGATGGCCGGTCTCTGCAAGATCGACCGTGAGGGTAACGCCCGCAAGGTCGTTGGCTGCTCCGTCGTCGTCGTCCGCAAGTGGGGCGAGGAGTCCGAGGCTCGCAACGTCCTGCTCGAGCACTTTGGCGCCGCTCAGTAAACAGCTTTTCTATCGAGCTTTTTGACTCTTGCTTTTGAATGAAACCAAGACATTGCTGACTACACCAAGCCAAAAAGCGCATGCGTCATGCCGTGGATCATGTGTTTGTTGGTCGTGTACACTAAACCACCCCGCCATGCCCTCTGCCGACATTGCTATGCTGCTACCCTCGTCCTTGGCAGCCCGATTGTTTTCCTAGCACTTTATTTGTGAATGACCTTTGATCAGTCGACTGTTCACACCCTCTACTTTTGCGCCTGCTGGAGCGCATAGTGGTACTTTTCGGCCTCGCCAATCGTGGTGATGTTGGACATGGCCTTGTTCAGCGTCTCCTGCCACTCGCTCTCGGGCACCGAGTCGTGCACAACTCCTGCGCCCACCTGGATATACGCATTGCCGTCCTTGAACACCATGGTGCGAATGCCGATGCACGTGTCGAGGTCGCCCGAGTACCCGAAATGCCCAATGGCTCCGCCGTAGATGCCGCGACGCTCCTTCTCCTGCTCGTAGATCAGCTGCACCGCCCTGACCTTGGGCGCACCCGACAGCGTGCCTGCCGGCAGAATCGACCTGAACGCGTCAAACCCAGTCATGCCCTCGCGCAGCTCCCCAGACAGGTTGCTGACAATATGCATGACGTGCGAGAACCGCTCGACGACCATCAGCTTGTCGGCCGTGACGCTGTCGGGCTTGCACACGCGGTTCAGGTCGTTGCGGCCCAGATCCACCAGCATCACATGCTCCGCCCGTTCCTTCTCGTCCTTGAGAAGCTCGTCCGCCAGCGCATTGTCCTCCTCCTCAGTCTTGCCGCGCTTGCGCGTGCCTGCAATCGGATGGTTATATACCTGGCCGTTGTTGACCCGCGCCAGCATCTCGGGCGACGCCCCGACCACCTGGAACCCGTCAAAGTCAAAATAGAACATATACGGCGCCGGGTTCACCGTCCGCAGGTACCGGTAGGCATTGAACGGGTTGAGGGTCGTCGGCCGTGTGATGCGCTGCGCCGGCACCGCCTGGATAATATCGCCCTTGACAATGTGCTTCTTCAGCTCCAGCACCATCTCCTTGTATCCCTCGGCGCCCGTGTTCGACACCCACTCGTTGCCAAGCTCAATCGGCGGCTGCTCCGGGAACGGCACCGGCATGTCGTCAAACAGGACGCTGATTGTCCTACCAATCTGCTCCGACGCCGCAGCGTAGAGCTCCGCCAGCTGCGCGTCCGTCGCCGCGTCGGGCACACGAATATGCGCAATCACCTTGAGCTGCTTGTACAGATGGTCGAACGCCACCACCGAGTCGCAGAACAAAAAGATCGAGTCCGGCAGCCCAATCGGGTCGGTCAGCTCGCATGCCGTCCGCGGCTCAAAGTACTGCACGCAGTCGTACGAAATATACCCGAATGCCCCGCCCGTTGCCGAACCGCGCGGCAGCCCTGGCACCTGCACATACCGCACACTGTTCAGCTCCTTCTCCAGAGGCACCAATGGGTCGCCGGTGATGTTCTCGGCCCGCCCCGTCTTCATTACTTTGTACGGGTTTGCTCCAATAAACGAGTACCGTCCGATGCTCTCGCCTCCGACCGCTGATTCCAGCAGAAACGAGTATTTGCTGCCCTGCGCCAGCTTCAGATACGCCGTCACTGGCGTGTGAAGGTCAGAGGGCACGTCCTGGTACACAGGGATGAAGTTGCCGCTGGTCTTTTGCAGAAGCGCTTTGACGTCGTCAAGCGACGGCTTGGTTTCAAACTATAAAAAAGGAAATAGGCATGATCGCTGTTAGTGATAGTGTTGGGACAAGTGGGAGCTATGAGCACAGCACCTGTGCTTTTTTGGTTCCGAATTCGCTTACCAGGCTGGACATTTCTTGCACGGTGTGAAATAGACTTTGTAAAGAGAGCGGGGAAAACGAAATCGAGTAAAGAAGAAAAAGCGCTGTCTGTCGTCAGCACAGAGCAAGGAATAAAAGAGACCTGGGCTGGCGCTACAGAGTCAGCAAAACGCCGATGTATTGTTGACTGACTCACTAACAATACTAGGCAAATTTCCTGTTCCCTGTTTGGAATGGCGGTGATAGCATCACCACTGCTGCTGGCTCTGGCTTCCAAATTGCCAGGCCATTGTGCATCCCATCAGCTGCCACTATCCTCTAGGTGTTTGCACATGACAGCGCCACATACATGCGATGTATCTTGAACTAGTATTTAGAAAACAGAAACCCGAGAAACAAATGCTCTATTGCATCTCAACATCCATGCCCTCAGGTGCCACCAGCAGCTCACCACGGCACACCGAGTTGAGCAGCTCCCTGCGGATCTCCTCGGAAATGCCCTCATGGTACTGCGTCTTGAGCACGCTCAGCAGCGCCTCCTTCTGCTCGGGCGTCAGATCCGCCTTGTACCGCTGCACAAACACCAAGAACGACTGGTGCCAGAGCACCGGCAGCTCACGCTTATCCTGCTTGAACCGCAGGAAGTGGAAGACCAGCGAGTCAACGACCTTGTACGGCAGAGCATACTTTTTGTCGAGCAGAATGCGAATAAACACCGACGCAGGGCCCGTGTAGTCCATCTCCGCCAGGTGCAGCAGCGCGGCAGCCGAGTGCAGAACCGGCACCGACACCTTGACCAGGACAGAGCCGATAATCACGGCCTCGCGCAGCGTGCATGACCCGGACTCGCACAGCGGGAACAAAATGCCCTTGAAGAACGCCGCCGGCTTATACAGCGCCTTCTTCAGCGCCATGTACAGGTGGTAGTTGAGCTTGCGGTTCTCGGCAATGTCGTCGCGCACGCGGTCGAGAATAACAAAGTTCAGGAACTTTTGTGCCTGCTTCGGCTTCATGTTCGACACAAACAGCCGCGTCGCCTGGAAAGTCGCCTGCGGCGTCCAGTTCTCCGGCTGCGTCAGATACAGCACCTCCTCCCAGTTGCGGATCGACGAGATGATCTTGAATGCCTTGGGCACGGCGCCCGACCGGTACCGGCTCAGAAGCTCGCCGATCTTGCTGTACACCTGCACAATCTTCGGGTCCAGCCCCCGCGGCGTCGGCCGCTGCGCCTCAGACTCATCCATGGCAGCTGTGCCCGCCGTCTTGGCCTCCTCGTGCTGCTTGATCTTCGCCATGATCATGTCTGCCAGGTTCTGCCGCTCGCGCGGTGCTTCCGGCATGAACCTCTCAAAGATCGCCGCATCCTCGCCCTCAAGCTCCTCCTCCTCATACTCGTACACCTCCTCATCCTCCTCCTCCAGGACCTCGTCGTCGTCGGACTCGAGATCACGCGCGTCGTCCTCGGGGAAATCCTCGTAGTCGCTGGCATCTGATCCCTCATCGAGCTCCTCCTGCTGCTCGCGAGCAATCTTTAGAATGCGCTGAGATGTCTTCGGGTCCACATACCCGGACGTGTTCTCCTTTTGCAAGCGCCGCTGCTCGCGCTCTGCGTATTTGGTGCGGCCCTTGGACGTGAGCTGTTTGTCTGCATGCAGCTCCGCCAGCAGCGGATCGTGGCGGGTCTTCTTCTTGCCAGTGACCTTGGGCATTGTCTGCAGTCTTGTAAGAAATTTGGAAAAGGGGGTGAGGTGGTTTTTTTTGCTGAGCCAAAAGCAACACCTGTGGGCATCAAGCGGTGGATGAGCAAAAAAAGTGAATATTTTTTGTATTTATGATCTGATCTGCTAAACAAATCTGATGCACCAAAGCCAAGCCCGCACAGGAATTACGACGTGGCCATGGCGACCCTGGGCACTGACTCCACATAGAACGGCCCGTTGTTGACGTACTTTTGCAGACGCTTGTAGGTCTCCTCATCAAACGACGCCTTGGCCTCCGTCGCCGCTGCCAGCGACTCAATGGCCGAGTACTGCCACTGCTGCACAGTCTTGCCGCGTGACGGGTCGCGGGTCAGCAGGAAGCCCAAAATGTTCTGCACGCTGGCGATCTCCCGCACGCCCCACGCATGGGAAGCCATCTTTTGGATCACAGCAAACGCCGCAATGCACGACTCCTCGAACCCCTTCATGATCTCCTTGACCAGACTTGACAGGAATTTGCCGTCGCACAGGCGCATGTACAGGTCAAAGCACGCCTGCGATGCTGTCTCGGTGGGCGCCTGCGAGTGGCCGAAAATGCACGCAATCGTCTTCAGGCACTCGATGCGCAGATCGCCAGTCGACGAGTTGTAGAGAGATGCCAGCGCTGCCAGGGCCTTGTCCTCCTTGGCTAGGTACTCGAGTGCCGCTGGGTTGTTGCCGATTGCGCCCAGGCAGTTGATGGCGGTCACTGTCGAGTCGTACCGACTATGCGAGTGCTCCTCGATGATCTCCCTGATCACTGTCGCAACTGGGTACTTCTCCAGGAACTGCTGCGGATCCAAGCCCTTGGCATCAACCATGCGTGCAAACAACTTCAAGCTCGCTGTGCGCAGCAACGACCCTGTTACACCCTCATCTGTTGTATCGCTTAGGTTCTCCAGCGCCTTCTGGAATACCCCCTGCTCGTCCATGTACTCGAACGGCGCTGTGGTGGCACAGATATCCGGCAGCTGTTCGTAAAAGTTCATGATAACGAGGATGTCCTTTGATCTACCCTCGTTCATAAACATATCGACGATGCCTTCCTGCTTAAAGAACTCGAACGCGCTGTCGCTGCCGCCCACTGCCGCTACGATCACGTCGTATGTGCGAAACCGCTCCTCCTCCTTGCCTGCAAGCAGCTTCCTGACCCCCTTCATGCTCTCATCTGTGAATAGATAGTCCATTCCCTGGGGACACCGGCACAAATGCGCCAGTACTCGCTTGGTCAGCTTGATCGACTCGCTGTCCTGCTTTCCTGCCAGACACTTCCAGATATGCGGGCCATATGACGGCGAAAACTATATGGGTAGTAAGCCATTGGAATGTGAGTTGAGAATTGCGGCGTTTTTTTATTTTCTGCTTCGTTCTTCTGGACTACCCAATGCGGATATTGAAGCAATTATTACCGGCATGCGAATAAGGACATGTTGCATTTTTACAAGGAAGCAAGGGAAGAGCCGCCACCCAGTCATTGGTCGCGATATTAAGGAGGAAGAGAAGGGGAGCCCATAGGCCACCCCGTCGTCTGCATTAGCTCCTTCCTGGTTGCCAAAACGGCAAATATTTGCCAGACAAGCCCAGCGTATTGTCATATGCATGGCCCTTATTTGCCGCCTTGCTGATTAAATGGAAAACGAACAGAAGGGTCTGCGGCGCAGCTCAGCATTCAGCGCAGGTACTTACTGGATCGGTGGACAGGTCGCACTTGAGGAACTGATTCAGCACCAAGCACTTGACGTCGGGGTGCGGGTGGTCGAGTCCCTGGATAATGTACTCCTACCAAAACAAACACAGGTTAGAGCCGTGGGCCTTGAAAATATGTAAACAAGACAATTTCGCGTTACACCAGAAAATCACAAACAACAACAACTGGATCGTCCTAGAAAGAAAAAACTTACCTCGAACGTCTGGTGAACCATCGACCATGTCACTGGCCTGAGCAGCTGGCCCGTGAGCTCCGACACGATCACGATCAGCCTATTGTCTGGCGCTGCGAGCAGCGAGAATAGCGCAGAGAACGGGATGTTGCTCAGCGTCGCCTCAAACACCTCGAGGAACGGGCCTGCCTTTAGCTGCCGGTTCAAAAGGTCAAACGAATCGCGCAGCCCCTGGATAACATCGGGCGTCGGCTCGCTCTGCAGCAAGGAACATATCCGCTTGATTGTCTCTTCGTATGGCTTTAGCTCGCTCATTTGGTGTATAGACCGGGTTTAAGAAAAAGAGAGGGATGTAGAAAGAAAGTAACAGTAAAATGATGTGGAGGGAGGGAAAAAGAATGGCAGAGCGTCAGGCGGGTGGCAGCGGCAAAATGAAACAATTTATACAAGCCCAACTGCTGACGTGCCCTGCTGCAAAGCGCAAAGGAAAGCGTGTGGCGGTGAACACCGAAATTTCCAGAGGCAAAAATTCTTGAGGCGAAATTTGGCGCGGATCAAAGATCGTGCATGAGATTAGGCAGAGCCAGGATTCTTGCTGTAATCTACAGGCTGCTCCGCTTTTTTTTTCTCCCTGTAGAAATCTTTTCAGCTCCTTCAATTCAGACCCGCACATACACACAGACCCGCAATGTCCACGGCTATTGGAAACGTAGGTTCCGCTGGCAGAACATGCAGAGCACGCAATTTCGCAGCTGAATTCACCCCCGCTAACCTCCCTCCCCTCCTCTGATATAGACCGCTCTTGCGTACGCCCGCGTCTGGCACCTGGTCGACGCTAAGGGCATGGTTCTGGGCCGCCTGGGCTCTCAGATCGCGCAGACGCTGATGGGCAAGCACAAGCCCATCTACGATCCGGCATCGGACTGCGGCGACTACGTCGTGGTGATCAACGCAAAGCACATTGAGGTGACGGGTCGCAAGCGCGAGCAGAAGCTGTACCGGCACCACACGCAGTACATGGGCGGCCTGAAGGAGATTCCGTTCGATAAGCTGCAGGAGAAGAACCCATCCAAGATCATCGAGAAGGCGGTGTCGGGCATGCTGCCAAAGAACCGCCTGCGCAAGGTGCGGCTGGAGCGCCTACTGGTGTTCCCTGACGCCGAGCATCCGTACGCCGAAAACATCATTAAGCGGTACGACACCAAGATCCCGCTGGCTACACAGTCTATTGAATAAGCGCAAAATAGCATTTGTCTGAATATACACCACATTGCAGAGGCCACGTTCTGTTGTTGAGGATACACATATATTGGATAGGCATGGTCTGATCTAGTCCAGGTCCATCTGCTTGGACGACTCGGCGGCCTTCTGCACCTCCTTGGTCTTGAGGGCGGGTGTCGACACAAGGTGGATGTTCTTTTGGATCTCGCGGATGTTCTCGGCTCTCTCGCGCTCCTTGTTGCCCGCCATGCGCTGCTTGAAGAACGCGCGCTCGCGACGTGCCCGGATCTCCTGCACCCGCTTCATGGCCTTGATCGTCGTCGCCATCAGGTCGCGGTCGTAGCGCACCGGAACGTTCCGCCGCTTCTCAAACTCGAACGTCGAGTCAATCGCCATCTCCTTGCCCGCCGCCTTGCGGAACGCCTTCGTCCAGCGCACCTTGCGAGGGTTCCGCTTCATCTTGAAGTTCTTGTGACACTTTGAGCGACAGAACCGGAAGGACTATTACAAACGTGATATGCGCTGCTTTAGCAGAGACCGGCTTTTTGCATATGTGGAACCCACTCGGTGCTGTGGTGGTGGTGGTGGTGGTGGCCTTACCTTGCCGTCATTGCGGACAAACATCGTTCCGTGGCCCGGGTACACCGTCGACGAGCAGAAATAGCACTTCTCAAGACGCATTGCTGTGTGTGTATGTGTGAATAAAGGTCTGTGTGAATTGAGCGAGAAGCGAAAAGAGAGTACCAGCAAAATGCTCGTCTCATAAAAAACCTAAGAAAAAAAAAAAAAGTCGGCCCAAATCATGTAATCGTGAATCCCGTCCTCTGATCATGAGGATATTTATTGGCCAGCAGGCTTGATTTCAAGATTCAAAAAAGGAAGAGCACTCAGTGGTGGTGGTGCTTGGCAAAGTTTGGCGTAAAGTCGTTGACAAACTCAAACTCGTCGTGGCCGTTGTCACTAGCCGATGGGTGGAATGGACTGCCGCCGGACGGCGGTCCCGAGGGCACGTAGAACGGTGTCGTTGGATCAGACTGGCGGGTCGAGCTTACCAGGCGGTTCAGACGGTCCGTCGACGCCAAAAACTCGCGGACGCTCGAGTGCTCGGACATCGCATCGGGGGCGCTTGCGTGGCCCGGAGAGTCGGCCATTGGCGGCGCCGATGGCTGCAGCGACGGGTGGGACGGCGCAAAAGTGAACGGTGGCGACGTCAGCAGGTCGACGTTCGTGAACGGACGAGAGGGGCTGGCGGCGGGGTAGCCTTTGATCGGCGTCTCCGACATGCTGGGTGCAGAGGTGATGTCGAACGGCTGCTTGTCGCTGGCGTTCTGCTTGGCCTGAATCTCCTTGATTGACGAATCCAGACGCTGGATCTCCTTCATCAGGTCGGCACTGATCTGGACGAACGTGTTGGTCAGGCTGGCGATGCTCTCGCTGGTGGACAGCTGCTCGGAGGGGGCAGCCGATGCGATCTTGGGTGCCTCAGGAACAGTGCGCTCATCCTTGGTCTCCGGCTCTGCGGCCACGTCAATCACAACAGCATCCTCATCATCATCAGCATCTGCAGCCACAGAGACGATACCAGAGGTGGTTTCGGACACGACCTCAGAAGCAGTCTTGGATGCAGTCTCAGAAGCAGACTTGGACGCAGTCTCAGATGCAGCTACAGACTCAGACGTGGTCGTAGAAGCAACCTCGACATCCTTGCCCTTGTAGTCGATCTTGGGAGGGCAGATTGCAAGCCTCGGGAACGAGTCGGCAGCAGGAGAGGCATTGGAAACCTCGGCACCTTCTCCCTCGTACTCGATCTTGGGAGGGCAGATCGCGAGCTGCGGGATCAAGTCGGCGGCAGGAGAAGCACTGGCAACCTCAGGCACCACGATTGAGCACCACAGACCAGATCCAAAGTAATTGCCAGTGGGCGTCATCAGGCGCCACTTGCTGATGTACTTGCCAGGCATCTCGGGTGCCACGAGGTCGACAGCAACGCCAACCTGCTCGTAGCACTTGCCAACAATGACCGCGACAGCCTTCTTGCCGCCAGGGATCATGGGCTCGCCGTCCATGTGGACCAGCATGGTGCCCTGCGGCCACTCGTGCTCGCTCATGTTGGCCACGCTCCAGATCTTGACGAACGGCTCGCCAGCGCCAACAGTGGTGCCGTCGGGAATCGTCACATCCTCGACAAAGTGGGCGGCGTACTTTGTGGTCTCGCTGATCCTCGGTGCCACTGCAGTAGCAGCAGCCTCAGGCTCTTTGGACGAAACACCCTCCTTCTTGCCCTCCTTGTCTTCAGGGAGGTCGCTAGTGGCCACCGTGGTGACAGTCTGACCAGCTGACGTGCCCTTGAGACTAACGGCAGCGACAGCAGTGGCAGCAGCAGCAGCAGCAGATGCAGCGTTCCACCTGGCGGTAGCCTCCTTGGCGGTAGTTGGCATAGAGGGCGCACGCTCCAAAGCAGCCCTGCTGGGGGAGTCAACGTGAAGCTTCAGCGGCCTATACACCTGGGACAGCATCGGAACACGGCTGGGTACCACGGAGGGGTTGCGGATCTTGACAAAAATGTGCGACTCGTCGTGGCTGGTCTTGGCCTCGCACTTCTCACACAGGTCAAAGTCACTGCAGTTGCCGCACTTGTAGCGCACGCCAGTCACCAGGTCGCCGCACGAGTCGCAGAGCACACCGGGGTGCACCACCTGGACGCTGGCAGAGTCTGTTGACATGCCACGCTCGACCGAGGGAGTGATGTTGGTCTGCTGCTGCTTCTCCTCGCTCGAGATGGCCAGGCCATGACGACGCGCCTCCTCAGCATTGTCGGTGACGTAGGTACCGTCTGCGGCCATAGGCGGAAGCGGTGGCATCGTGCAGTTCACTGGGGTAACCCGCGGGGGTGGGCAGCGTGTAGGGCCGCCCCAGCCGAAGCCCCAGTTATCTCTAATGGGAGCAAACAGCTGGTTCCACTTAGGCATCGGGTGCGGTGGCGGCGGCGGCGGCGGATGCGCAGGAGGGTTGAACTGGCACGGCGGTGGTGGTGGTGGCAGGGGCGGCAGGCCAAGAGAGCCAGGCGACTGCCCGGGTGGGCAACGGAAGTCGTGACGATGATGGCTGGGTCTGCCTGGGAACGGCGGCACATGTGGGGTGTGCTTGGCATGCTTCCGACACGCTTCCTGCTGCTCCTGACAAGCCTTGCGGGACGAGTCCCTCATGCGCCAATGTTCAGCAGCGGCATGGAAATGAGTGTGATCATGGAAGCCATGGGGGCTGTGTTGGAAGGGGCGCGGCCCATAGTGGCCATGACGCTTGTGGTGGTGCGGCTTGTGGTGGTGCGGCGGATGTGCTGGCGGACCGAAATGGATAAAGCCATGACCTGGGTGTACCTTTGTCACATTCCGGTAGCAGCCGTCGCACAGATCGTAGTTCTTGCAGCGGGTGCACTTGTGACGAATCCCAGTGATTGAACTCTCGCATCCGTCACACACGACAGACGCGATGCCGTCATTGGCACGTGAGGTCTCGCTGGTCGAGGCCACAGTCTGCTTGTCATCAGCCGGCGTGTCCTCCACAGCCACCTTCCTGGATGGCTCGGGCGCGCTTGTCGGAGCCAGGGCATTGGCCGGAATACACAGCGCTGCGTAGTCGTGGTCGTGCTCAGATATCTTGTCCGAGGCAACACACTTGCTGCACACATGGAAATCCTTGCAGTGGAGGCAGCAGTAGATAGGCGGCGCCGCAGTGCTGCCGCACAGGTTGCACGAGTAGCCAACCGAGCCGTACGGGAACGTTGCGGTCTCAGCATAGTACAGAGCCTTGAGCTTATGCTCGTGCGTGGTGCCCTTGGCGCAGTCATTGCAGACATCAAACGACGGGCACTCGGTGCAGTTCCATCTCAGCCCGACGACTGGCTTGCTGCAGTCGTCGCACACAATGTAGTGGCCCTTGGCGATGGTGCTCTTGTCAATGGCCCATGCCACCATGCGGTGGGTGCCCTTGACCTCCGTGCTGTCCTTGCACGTGTTGCACAGGCGATGGTCGGCGCAGCTGATGCAGACCCAGAGGACGTCGGCGGCCGCCTTCTTGCACTTGCTGCATTCGTTACGCGTGCCGATCTTGTTCAGCCCAGTTGGCCCGGCATGTGCTGGAGAGTGGGCCTGCGCCTCTTCGGGCTCCAGAGGGACGTTGGGTGGAGAGGCGTAGCTGTGTGGGCCAGCCCCCATAGCCGAAGCTACCAAGGTAGCTGTTGCCGAGGGCCGGTTGCTACTGTGAGCCGTGGTCATGTGTGCATGCACACCAGGACCGCGCGGATTGGGCGAGTACCCGAGGGCGTTGTAGACGCTCTCCCAGGCCTTCTTCAGGTCGCGAGACACGCGGGCCTGGGCATCATTGGTCGCGCTGCTGATTACTGCCTCGAGCTCAGCTATCTTGGCGTCGAGTTGCTCAGCAGCGGTGGTGAGCTGGCTAGGTCCAAACGACATGGTGAGTACTGACGTAGGCCTAGAAATCAATAAATAATAAAGGCGTTGTTTGGGTTAGAGAGAAAAAAGGGTTCTGCTTCAGAAAAGAGCGAAACAAATATGAAGAATTAAAAATGCGGGTGGGAAAGAGAAAAAGCTGGAGGAGGAGCGGTGGATACCATGCCGGATGCTGCGGGTTTAAATAGCCATCTGGCTCTTGGCAAAGACGACAAGTCATGTGCTGCCAGTCAGACTCGGCGAGTGGTATCGGCGAGTGAGCTAAAAGCAAGCGTCTGATTTTCCACCCACCCCTCAGACCCGCTGTGCGCCCAAAGCTCCTGTGGCTGCGCACAGCCGCCAAGCCCAGGGAATTACGTGTCACGCAATGTTTGCGAACCATCTGGAAGCCAAATGTGTGTATATTGGGAATAACAGCATGCACTCTTTAGATCTCGCTCATGAACTCCTCGATCTCCCCGGGCCCCCGCGCAGAAGCCGCCTTGGCCGATGCAGCTGTCGGCTCGCCGTTCATCTCGACCATCTTCTCCAGCTCCCTGGCCTCCGACAGGATACGAGGTAGATCAGCCGACAGGTTCGTCTCAATATTGACCACTACTGTAGCTGTCGCGGACTCGCCGGCGACTGGCCTTGGGCTAGGTGTCGCTACTCCCACGGAGGTCGGCAGCGCTGCGGCCTGTGCATAGCTAGCCAGGCACAGCACGGCGATCAGCATAAAGTTGAGGGCGTTCATTCTCAGATGTCTTAGAGTGTGCGAAATTGGAACGGAAGGGTGAAACATAAATATGCCAACAAGACTGGGGTCCTCCAATGCAAAGTGCCAGGTAGGGCTATATATGCCTCCCGAACGCTGCTGCTTCCAGACAGTGAACTCGCTTACCCAAAAGAAGGGCTGCCTAGACCCTCAGCTGCAATTTTGCTGATGCTGCTGTTGCTGTTGCTGTGGAGCTACCGCAACCACAACGCTGTGCCGGGAATTCTCCACACAACCATATAGCACCGCACACACATTCCCCAAATATTGCCGTAGTAGTAAAATACTCGAGCATTACTTTGGCTAATCAGCCCTCTCCAGCCCCGCCTCCATGCCAACGTTGCCTGTCAAACGTGCCTCCCTTGCGTTTGCTCTTGCCATAGGCCGATGTGTAGACGATGCCCTCGCTGTCGAAGAATTTCCGAAGCATCCAGCGGTCACACTGCACGCTGGCATTTACAGCCTGGTACACACGCTCAAAGTCGAGCACCTTGTAGCAGAGGACGTCTTCGAATATGCCTGTGCTACTGCGGATAAATGCTCGCAGTCTGCTGTGCAGCGACTCGACTTTATTCTGGACCCTGGACGTTCCCTCACCGCTACTGTTAGAGTGGTCTTTATGCATCCGCTCCCAGATCTGGGTCAGCTGGTGAACCAAAAGCCGTTTGGATGTATTGGTCCGCAGTCCGTACATCTCGGCCATTTCCTTCAGGTCTTCAAGGTTCATTTGCGCATAGTTTGGACACTGGGCTGGTCTGCTGCGGCTGGCATTGGTTTGGGAGGGCTGGTCTTGCTGCTGTATGGCAGCAACTGTGGCTTCAACTGGAGGACCCGTCTCTGTTGGGTGTATTGTCTCCGTGGGCTGGCGTGGTATAAGGTTATCAAGCGAATCCAGACTTGACGACGAGGCAATTGACCCGCTTGGCTGGCGCAGACCGGCGCCACAGGTGGCAGCCAGTCCAGACTGGCTACTAGCAGATTGACCTCCGGCCTCAGAGCTACGTGCGCTCTGTGATGACAGAACGATAGCCCTTTCAGACATATCCCTCTGCGACGACTCTACCCATCTTGCGCACTGCAACGCTGACTTTTGCCGCTGAAACCCTTCGCGAGCCAGCCTCAGTATCTGCATATACGCTGCCTGCAACGACTCCTCAGTAATGTCGCTGCTGCTGCTCTTTCCGCTATTATGTAATGCTGCTTCTAATATTAACATGTTCTCGACCATGCCTCCGATACAGTCCCCCACATTGCCGTGGTGCGAGTGCCGCATCTACAGCGTCATAAATTGGCATTTATAATCACCCCCTCCCCACACGTGCTCCAGTTAATATATGGACCTCCATAAAAATGTAATATCGCGCACATCACTCTGGCTCCTTGCCTTTGTCTTTGCCTTTACGCTTGCGTCTACCTACATTGTAAGCTCTGAAGATTGGACAGTCCTCGTGGTCTGACGTCATCGATGCTGACAGACCCCACAGTCCGCCGCTCTCCTTTGAGGTGGTGTTACGAGGCGACTCCGCAGGCTTTGGCGACACTATCCCAAGCTCCTCATCCAAGTATGCCAAGGCCACAGCTCGCTGGCGAATGTAGTCCTGAGCGTCGGCACATGCCAGGACATCGGATCTTTCCAACCGCGCAGCTTTTTTGTCCTTGGACTCGCGCTTCTTTGCCGGATACTCTGACACTACACTGTCTGAAATGTTACGTTTCAGGGATAACGACAGCGCCTTTGCTGCAATCAAGTCTTCATCTAGCTCGTCCATAAACTCTTGCTGTTTTTTTGTCAGCCGGTTTATGGTTATTCGTGACTGGCGCTTAGGGACAGTGATGCGAGTCGGTTGAAAGTCGTCGTCGCCTGGGATCTCGTATGCAAAGGATTTTGTGGTATGCTGATATGAAGGACTCCCCTGCTCGACTGCCATTTGGCCAGAACCGGTATGCTGGTTAACCCATCCGTCTATTGTTCGTGGTTTCTTCGCCTGAGCTTGCTTTGGCTTTTCGGGTGGCAGGTTGAGACTGCTGCTACTGTCCAGCGAGTCCTTGAACACGTCGATTAGACTGTATAGGTCTGTTGCTGAAACACCGTATCGTGCTGCGCACTGCTTGGCATGCGATATCCGTGACGGGTCACGAAACGGCCACCCCTTGCCGCACACAGGGCAGTCTGCCAGCCGCCTGAAGGTGTCAGCATACTGGTCAAGCTCGATCTCTGGGTGCTGCTCGACGATTTTTCGCGAAACGTGCTCTGCTGAAGGACCCGAGCTATCCAGCTCCAAGCAGCTCTCTGTATGTGCAGTCCGGGCCGCCAAATCCCAGTCAGAAAAGTCCTTGCCGCAGAGTGGACAGCCAACCTTTGCATTGGGTTCACTCAGCTCAGAGCCGCTCATTCCATGAAACGACATTTCAGAAAAATAAAATAAAATAGCTCACAAGAGAATAAAGAAAATCCCGGCTCACCCCATAGTCTGGCGGATATGCATCAGGTGGGGTCTTGATGGAGTCCGGTGTGGGTCAGCTTCACGAAAACCTCAGAATCAAATGGTCACCGAACTTAACCGGGAGCTGCCGAGACCCCTCTTGGGGCCTTCGCCTCGCATCTCTTTCCGTTGACGAGACCTATACGAATGCAAAAGCCTTTATCCACACCGCTTGTCTCCATTCCAGTAGATACTGTGGCACTTTACCTTAGGCAACAAACCAACACCAAAAAATTAGCAATAGCGAAGATCAAGAGCGCTTTCCACACGCTTGCTCCTCTGTTCTGCAAATATCTCGCATTTCGCTTTTTATATCCCAATTCACATTCAAAATGAGACACAATTTCATCGGTATGGTCGTCAGCGCCGCCCGGCCCAAGACTGTCAAGGTCCGTGTGCCGAAGCGCGTCATGAACCACCATGTCCAGAAGGAGCTGCTCGTCCACAAGAACTACCTGGCCCACGACGAGCTCAGCCAATGCACCATCGGCGATGTTGTGCGTATTGAGCACTGCCGGAAGGTTAGCCGCCACAAGTCGTTCGCTATTGCCGAGATCGTGCGGCCGGCCAAGACCTGGACCGATCCTGAGACCGGCGAGGTTCACCACTAGAAGCCATTTTGATCTGTAGCGAAATACACGACTTGCTAGCCTTTTTTTTATCGTCAGCCGCTGAGGCTGGTCTGTGATCACAACTGCTGATTTGGATCAGCGACATGATTAGCCACCATGAGTGCGCCTTATCAAAGCCTGTATTTTAGCGCGGAACAGGCGCACCTTGGCAGGCAGCCCGTGCCTGTGACTGTTGGCCAATTCGAAATTGCACCCTGCTCTCAACTCTTTCATTCCCAAATTCCGAAAAAGCGCTTACTCTTTCATTTCAATTTTTCGAATCGGAGAAAATGTTCGCCCTTGCCGCCATCCGCAACCAGGTACGCACGCTTGCGCATTGCAGCTTATTTCTCAGACAGAAGGGAACCGTACAGGATTCAGCACAATCACTAAACCGAATTGTTGGGAGGCACTCTCAACCCCTATTTTGCTCCATGTAGACCGCCAGCCGTGCTGCTGTCCGCGCTTTCTCTGTCTCCAGCGCCTCGAAGAAGGGTACGTGTACATATAACATTGATCGGCAGGCAGAGCAGCCGTAATCGGTCAAACATGACAGCTGATATAGAAGAATCTGCATGTAGACTTCCTCCAGGACCTGTACCTCAAGGAGATCCGCGACTACAAGCCCAGCAAGGTAAGGATTCCAGATTATAAGGCTTGGTGACAAGCACAGGATATCTAGCGAGAGCAGGCCATTGCTCACGCAAGCCCTTTTGATGTAGGCTGCCAAGGCTGATGTCACGACCAAGGAGTTTGTTGCGCCCAAGGCCCCGGTCGCGCCGCAGAACGACGTCAACGTCGATGCCGACCTGAAGACGTACGAGCAGACGGGCACTCTGTCGCAGTAGGGTGTTTGTTGGCAGTAGTTGCGCTACGAAGCACATACGTGATTCTTTTTTCTCGAAATACATATGTTTGACATACGCTGCACGAGGCAAAAAGGGCAAGAGGTATATTGCATACGGTCAGATGAGGAGGGTGTGCTTTCATGCCAAAAACGAAAAGCAGGACCCCCCCATAGTGGGTGGGCACGGCACATCCCAACGCGCGCAGGCATAAAAGGAGCGGCAGAGGGGCAGGAAGCAAAAGGATGATTTCTGCCGGGTTCGAACCGGCGACCGTCTGCGTGTTAGGCAGACGTGATAACCAACTACACCAAGAAATCACGTGACATCAGCACCGGATCTGCCGATCCAACTAGTTCACCACGCTTGTTGGTAGCGGTCTCAGAAAGCCATACATGAACCAAATTGCCTGTGCAACAGCCAATTTTCGACGACATCTGGGCTGCTGGAGAGCTATGCCCCGAGGTGTAATAACAAAAACTGCTATCCACAATGTGACAAATACCACATTACTGCCACACACCAAACTAGTCTTATTCCGATGACATGTGTGATCCCAATGGAATTGTTCTGGGTAATGAACTAGCCCGCAATATCTCTGCGCTGGCATGCATTCCTTGCCTGCACACTCACAAAAGTAGGCCTGGTACGCAGCACTGTTGCTTTAGCTCATCTTCCTCATAACTACCAGGACTCCAACAATGCCAATCCTGGAAGAATAGATCCTTACGGCTACACTGTACTCCATACCTAGGCGCACAATGTTGGAGCAGAGGCATATTGTGCTAAGATAATACCTATCGCTAGGTACATCCTTGCCCGATATATTTGTGTTCTTTAGCTCCCTCGCGTACTCAGCATCTCTTTCAATACATGCCATGCCCCAGCTGCCCAATCAAGTGATTGCTACTTGTCATATTTGCTCTTGGCGTTCATATACATCTTGCGATCTATCAGGCAGCAGTGATGAAGCCGCCTTGCTCCACATTATAAAAGCAGCAGCCAACATCCAGCTTCCTACACTTACTCAGTATCAGCATCAGTATCAGAACCAGCATCCACTTGCTTCAACACCAATATTGCAGCCCATCTTCTGTCCACCATGGTCAACACTTGCACCCCGATTCTTGCTCTCGTCTCCCTGGCTGCCTTTGCACCGCCAGCCAATGCTGTACCTACTCCTATGCCCGAGATCGCTCGTCGCCAGTACGGTTGGGGCTGGGGCTTTCCATTTGTGAGCGTGCTTAATACCGAGTTTGACAGTGCCTCCAACCGTGCCAACTTCAACGAGAACACTCTGTATACCAACAGCCTCAGCGCAAACCAGGTAAATGATGCTGTTCATTCCAACACCAACACCTTCAACAGCTTCCGCAAGCGCCAGTGGGGATACGGTGGATACGGTGGATACGGTGGATATGGCAGATATGGTGGATATGGCGGCTGGGGCTGGGGATTCCCATTCCTGAGCTCGTTCAACAGCGAGTTCGATCGTGCTTCAAACCGCGCTAACTTTAGTGAGAATACTCTGTATACCAACAACATCAACGCCAACCAGGCAAATGATGCTGTCCACTCCAACACCAACAACTTCATCTCTGGCTAACTCAGTTCTTACGATCCTTACAACTTTCTGACATTGTGAGTCTACACTTAGAATAAATACTTCATCTTTAAGCTCAAGCGCTATATGTATAGTAATACTATTATGTGAACTCCCCAGTATTGCTACAGGTAATTATCTTGAAGACACACGCTCTTAGGTTTAAGCAACACCATGAACCATTGCATTAAGAAATCATACTCTCTTTCAACTATTGGGATTGTTTATCAGAATATGAAATGTGTATTGCAGAGCTATTTTACTTCACTGAATTTAACGCCGCTCAGACGATTATTAAGCTCCCTGAATCCTTTACGTTTGAGCAGTTTGTTCGCCAGTTCTTCGAAGTTTGAAACCTGGCGATCCAGGGATACAACAGCACGCTTCACCGATGGGATGAGCGTACATAGCAAGACTATCCTTTCTGCCATATGGTTGAAGTTCATGCCAAAGAGCGACACAACACGCAGCAAGTACAGCCTTCGAGCATTGACTGGGTAGTTCTCAGAGTGTGCCTGTTGAATAACATCCGCGCTGATTCTCTGGCGGGTGTTCAGTGGATCTTCGTGTGCTAACATCAGCGATAGGCGTGCAAGGTTCGGCAGCGATGTGACAAGCTGAATCACATCAATGTAAGTGAGCGGTGTAGATATGAGGTCCAGGATCTGTAGAGTCTGTGCTACTAACGACTCGCGAGCGATTCTTAGTATTGCACCATAGTCCGTGGTGTATTCGACATCGAGCTCAATACGCTCAATAGTAGCTGAAATTTTGAATGCTAGTGCAATGGTCTGCTCTGCAATCTCCTCCCCGTTGTTATTGCTTCTACCTCTCCAGTAAAAACTGACATCTTTCAGACCTATGTAATCGGTGATATCGTCAAGAGCCTCGACAAGATGGGCTGTTACCGGAAGGGCTAAGCGGACCAATGTCTTTTTGTTGCCTCTAAGCAGGCAGTCGTTGGAGAAAGGGTATATACCAGTGCAGGCCAGATCTATCAGAGATGGGAATGGTGTTGATAAGGGAGAAGGAAATGTCATCGCGTCGAGCTTGGTCTTGACGAAAAGCTCGAGCTTCCACACGTGTGGGTATACAACCGGGTTCCCAGTCGGGTCCTGTATTAGCTTCAAACACGCCGTTATATCGATGTTGACAAGGTGAATACACTCCAGCGACTGAGAGTTTCTGCGCACAAGCTCCATTTGTGCATCTGTATACTGGTCAGAGCGGAACATGATGTGCTTGAGGTTAGACTTCGGTAGCAGATCCTGTTCGTAGATACCATGCGAAAGGTCGATGATTGAAACTCCGCTTGACAGCTTGCAGATGGCAGGGATCATGTCCACCAGGTCTTCCCGCTGCGGTGCATACTCGTAGCAGCCAATGTAGAACAGGTGGTCCCGGACATTTGGAAACAGCCTGGTGATGGCCGCTGAAAATCTTGCCACATTTTCCGCCATTGTGCCGCTGTCCATGGTTCTTGGATACATGTTGTCGTTGAGAACAACAAGCAGCTGAGTGGCACTAGAGAACTGTGTGCCAGCAAAGTGAGTACTGGAAAATAGAGTCGCTGCTGCGCCATCTAGGACACGGCTGTACGGAAGTTCTACATGGGCAATCTTTACCAGTCCAGCAGTACCTGCCTTAACAGCAGTTGTCAGGCCGGGCAGCATATGCGTATGGTCGTGAAGGTCCAAAAGCTCGTCGTCCATCAGCACTAGCGCTTCCTGGTAGAACAGAGCCCTAGAATACACCCTCCAGTCACGACAGACAGCCAGGAACGGGAGAAAACTGCGGTTCAGACAGCATAGCTTAGTACCAATACGGTGTCCTATGGCCCGCTCCACGCCGGACGCATATTCAATGATGGGCTCCAGGATAGAGGGCGGCAGAGTCTGAGCTGGTGAAGGCATAGTAGTAATAAAGTATTCCAGAGTGCAAAGGAGAAGGGGAGGAGAAAAAGGGCGTCCGCCATCTATTACTTGAAAATACTTTTAATTGTCAATGTTGTAGTCGCGCTTGAGAACCATGTTCAAGTGCTCCAGGTCCACAGCATTCTCGCGCAGAATCTCGGCCTCAAGAAGGTGCAGACGGCTGCCAACAAGAACAAGCGAGTGCAGGGGCTTGCCAAAGTCAACATCAACGAGCTGCTGCAGAGTGCCAGCACGGATAATCTGGTCGTCCGACCCCAGGCGCGAAACACCGACAGCCAGGGTGTCGGCAGTATAGGCCTTCTCTCCACGCTTGTCCTCAATTTCAAGCATCTGCTCAGCAGCCTGGTTAACAGTCATGTATCTGGGAGGCTCATAGATCAGACGGCCGCGGGCCATGTTCTCGATGCTCTGCTCCTTGACCTTGATATCCAGCAGGCACAGGGTGTGCAAGCCAATGTCGGAGTTCTCCTTTACACGGTCGTACCAGCTGTCGGGGCGCCAGGTCTCGGTGAAGAACACCATCGAGATGGTCTGGCCAAAGCTGTAGAGCTGCAGACCAGTCGCGCCGATGGCATTCATGATGCTGGCGTTGTGAATCGACTTTACTGGGATGCCGAGCTCGTGGGCGCGGATGACCAGATCGGTGTGGGTAGTGGCGCCAAACGGATCGCCGACAACCAGAAACGACACATTAACATTGGCAGCATCGCGCAGAATCTCGTCGCTGTTGGACTCCACCATCTCGCGGTCAGCAATGATCACGTCCTTGCCGTAGAAGGCCTCGAGCTTCTCCTTCTCGACCATCAGGATGCTGGTGTAGCCCTCGAGGTACACGCGCTCGGACGACTTGACCGCCTCGAGGCCCTTCACAGTGATGTCATGCTCGTCAGAGAGTCCCAGACCGACAATGTACAGCATTTCTCAATACAGGCTGAATTTGAAGAAAACTAAAGGTGAAGATGGACCCAGACTGCCGTCGCAAGGTGAATAGTTTTTAGCGGCCAGCGGCGTTGATCGCCGGTGATCGATCAAGGCAGCTCCTTAAAAAGTTTGCTATTTGTGCTGGCCCATTCTGGCCGCTCCCTCCTGCTCTTTCGCTTTCCGGTCTCACCGCTTTTCTGTTGTATGGCGCTTCGCGTATTCAATTTGACGCGACCTTCCACTCGTTCCATCACCCGCAGTATTCACATTTCAACAATGGCTTCTGACGCACCCGTGTACAACATCGAGGACTATCAGGAGGTTAAGGAGGGTCAGGCGACGATCCTGTTCCCGAAGCGCAACGAGGTGTTCTACAACCCAGTGCAGCAGTTCAACCGTGACATGTCGATCGCAGGTATCAAGACGTGGCGTGACATTATGAAGGAGGAGAAGATGGGCCGGTACAACAAGTCGACGCGGCCGGGCAAGGTAGCACCCAAGACCACAATCAAGATACTGGAGGCTCTGGCAGCTTCTGGGCTGCGGTCCGTGCGGTACGCCAAAGAAATCGATGGCATTGATTATATTCTGACCAACGATCTTTTGGCAGACGCGGTAGAGTCGATTAAGCGCAACGTGCATTTCAATGGACTGAGTCAGGATCTGGTGCGCGCAAACCAGGGCGATGCAGTGTCAGTGATGTATGCTCAGCGTGACACAGACCGGTTTGACGTGGTTGACCTGGATCCCTATGGGTCGGCGGCGCCGTTCATAGATGCTGCTATCCAGGCAGTCAACAAGGGCGGGCTGATCTGTGTGACGTGTACGGACCTGGCAATTCTGGCCAGCAACAACCACCCAGAGACGTGTTTTGCCAAGTACGGCGGCAGCCCGCTACGCAGCGAGTTTGGTCATGAGCTGGCACTGCGCTTGGTCATTAATAGCCTACAGCAGGCAGCAAACCGGCACAAGCGGTACATTGAGCCCCTGCTGTCGTGCAGCATTGATTTCTACGTGCGCATCTTTGTGCGTGTACACGACAAGCCGATTCTGGTCAAGGACGTGGCTTCCAAGACCGGCCTAGTGTACCACTGCAAGTCGTGCAGCGATTTCACGACGCAGACGTTTGGACACCAGGAGAAGGGCAAGGGTGATATGATCAAATACACGGTCTCTGACGGCCCGACTGTGGGCCAGCGGTGCGGAAGCTGTGGCTCGCGACAGGAGATTGGTGGCCCGTGCTGGCTTGGCCCACTCCACAACAAGGACTTTGTGCAGCGTATGTATGACAGCGTCAAGCAGGGGACGCCCAAGGTGTTTGGCACGCAGCCGCGTATGGAGGGCATGCTGAAGGTCATTCTGGAGGAACTCAACGATGTGCCCTTCCACTACTCGCTGCCGCAGCTGTGTGCAGCTGTGCGTGCTTCGAGCCCGCCGCTGGCTAAAATCAACTCGGCAATCCTTAACGCTGGCTACCGCGTTTCTGGGTCGCACACCAAGCAATCGTCGATCAAGACCGATGCGCCATCGCATGTCGTCTGGGACATCATCCGTGCCCACGTCAAGGAAGCCGGTAGGTCCACCAAGATTGTCGAGGGATCAACCGCTGACAAGATCCTTGCTAAGGACATTACCACCGATATCAACTTCAAGACGCACAAGGATGCGAACCCCGAGTCCCGCCGGATCAAGCTGGTGCGGTACCAGATCAACCCTGAGAAGAACTGGGGACCCAAGGCGAGGCACACAGAGACACCTAAGAAAGGAAATAAGGGCGCGGCGAAGCGCAAGCAGGCTGAACCCAAGGAAGAGCAGCCCACGGAAGAGGAGCCCAAGAAGCCCAAGACGGCCGAAGAGTAAGGCATGCAACCTCTCCCAAAAGCCAGCGCCATCATCTCGCTGGTCCAAAAAGGAAACTATTCAGATTTTTAAAAAATGAGAATATTCATTTTTCGCAAGCTTCTCCCTTCAACACCTTCGCCATGGAACCTATTGCAGCTACTGAACCAGTGCCTGCCGTTGACATTGCAATTGTGGACAACCTGGCTGCAACAATAAGCGCCGTAATTAAGCCACAGCCCGAGTCGGTCATCGATGCAACAGCGCACAAAATCAACGCCCTATGCGACCAGATTGAGGAGCTCGCCAACACTATTGTCAGCAGCTGCCAGCAAGACCGCGTCGAGGACATTGGCGACCACCACAGCCTCTTGCAGGCAAGCACCGGCGCGTTTTCGCGGCTGCGCTCACTCAATCGTACGCTCTACGAAGAGCAGACGTCGGTTGGTAGTAAGGTCAATGGGCTGAAGACCAAGGTGGACAGGCTGGCGCTGGACCTGGAGAATGTTCGGCGCGAGCAGACGTTCATCCATAGAGAGATTACATCGACGCAAAAGCTGGAGACCATTTACCAGAACATTCCGATCATTTCAGAAGACGAGTTTAGGGAGACTGCGCCTGAGGAGTTCCTGAAGGACACGGAAAATCCACACACGCTGATGCTCAACCGACTGAGGTTTGAAATTAAGCAGCGAGAGATGTAAGAATCCCGCACTGGAGCCATGTGTATACACTTTGCCGACTATTTACTGACACCAATTATTCTTGTAGGCTGATGGAGGAGAAGAAGAAGGTCAAGGCCGTGCGCGATGAGCTGAGAGTCGGCAAGCGCAAGCGCAACGACCACCTTGAGGAAATCGATAGCCAGCTGCGCAAGCATGTCGGCGGTATCATCAAGCTCAGCAAGAAGCTCTGTGGTGAAACGACCCAGAAACCCGAGGACGAGTCCCAGCCCACTCCTGGCAGCGCTACTGAGGAGGGCGAAGAGGGCGAAGAGGGCGAAGAGGGCGAGGACGATACGGAGCATGAGGCAAAGCGCAGCCACATAGCGCAGAGTATCCGGGACACTGACCCATCGCGCATTGGCACTCCTCGGATTTAGGTCTTTATTCTGTATCTTAAAACTTCATTTTTAGCCGCTCTGCTATGCGCTGCCGCGTACTTTTTGCCCTGCCTAGTGACCCAAACTTGGATTTTACCGATCTGGCTCGTTGGCTTGTCGTGTTTGCTTTGCGTTTTCTGGAGTTCCGGCTGTCGTCGTCCGATGAGACAATAAAACTGCCTGCGCCTGAGGATGCCGACGATGAGTAATCCTCTTCATCGCTGACTTCTGTGCCGCTCTCCTCGTGGTCGCTGGATTCCGAATCCTTGCCTTGTCCCGTGCCCAATACTGCTACCAGCTCATCGCCATTGCCGGTGTCTGATGCTGTGCCGCTGCTGGCAACTCGCCGCATTAGTCGATGCCGCGAGGCTCTGCTACGCTTGCCGAGCCCTTTATTCTTTAAGCGGATCTTGGCGATAGACTTGTCGGTGCCATCAGCCACACTCGGATTCCGCGAACGCTTGGGCCGGGTCGCCAGAAGCAGCGAGCCACGCGACATTCCTGGCCGGATCCACCGGAAATGGCTGCCCTCGCGCAACTGTGGCTCTCGATTCGTCCACTCTTCTGGCAGCATGCGTGAGCTGAGCACTGGCTCCACCGACTCTAGCAGTCTTGCCAGATACTTGCGAAGCGCCATCTTGTCGCCAACAATCTTGGAAATCTCGTCATCGCAGGATTCATCGACAAGCTTGTCGCTGAGGAACGATGCGAGCACAAACACACCTTCTAGCTCCTCAGTCGTCCACTTCGCCTTTGACGAGGAATCCAGCTTGGTCCATGTCTTTGTCAACGACTCAACCAGATACCGGCACAGCTTGAGGAAAAACGGGAAGCGGTAGCGCGTGGGCACTTTTGTGCGTGCCTCGAGCTTATACAGACCGATGTGCGTGTTGAGGCTCTGCATGACCAGAAAATTGCCGCCTATGACAACTGTATCGGTTGGCGTAAAGACTGCATGGATCCAGCCTGCCGGAATAAACAGCGTATTGCCGGGCTCCAATCTTACCTCAAAGCACTGCTTGACATGCTCGGCAAAGAAACTGACTGCCTGGTCGGGCGACTTGCTCCAGCTCTCGAATTTGCGTATATTCGACGGCGACGGCGGTACAAGATAGAACACCTTTTCGCCTGATAGCACGTGGTAGTATACCCAGGTTGCGCTAAAGTCAATATGGAAGTCGGTATAAGCATCGGCCACGCTCATCAGGCAGTATGTTTTGACCTTCGGAAACTTGCTCGGCTTGCGCTTATTTTCGGGCCAGTAGTTGTCGACCAAATCAAGCTCGTCGACGATTGCTGGTCGCCGAATCATGTCTCCCAGCGGCGTACCAGACACTTCTAAGCTGATGACGTTCAATACACGCCGCCTATCGGTGCTATGAAAGTACTCCGCCCACTCGCCCAGCGTCCACCCGCTGAGCTCCTCCTGCGTCAGCACATCCATGACACTGACGCTTGTCTCTTCTCCGATAATCCTCGCAATATCTTTCACAGTCGTATCTCGTCCAGGCATCTGTATTCTCAGGCCATCAGGATTATCAACAATAAATGGATCGTTGGTATCACGATGCCTAATCCAATCCGCTGTAACCGTGTGCCCATTCTCCAGGTGTTCAAACTCGTCCTCAGCGAATTCATGTGCGTCAATGCGTAGCAAGTACTGATTGAACGTCGCTGGTTGTCCATCGTTGAGCTTCGTGTAATCAACGTTGGCGTGGCTACGGTTAGATCGGCGCAGAGCCGGGCCATTGTATGAGCTGGGGCCATGCTGCTCGACGCACTTGTGGCAATGGTACTTGTCGATACGCTCGCATTCAGATGCAGATATCCCAACACACACCCCATGGTACCATTCCAAGCAGATGTCGCACATCACCCATGTTTCGTATGCTGGCAAATCAATAGGCGCGTCCTCGCAGCATAGTTTGCATTCCTGTGGCTCATCTGAATCGCTGCTAGACATGCTAGAAACTGGAGTAATTGAGTATAGAATGTATAAGCCGGGGTGGGCCAAAAAGAAGAGTACTGAGTTTGTCTGCAATGGTAGTGTGGGGATTATTTTTTCGGCCGCCGACATAGTGGGTAATGGATCTGCGTGCAAACATCACACCCTTGTGGGTACGAAACCACTATTATAGTTGCCCAATCATTTCACCTAATTACCTACTAAACAGGCCGTAGCAGGATTTCGTCAGCACAGTGGGGATAGTTCATTGACAGGATATATGGCAATAGCCAGGGATTCACAACAAGGCTGCCCAGAGACTTCAGGTATACTTATTACTTGGGATTGCATTGCCAATATGTGACATACATTTAGTAGACATATAATTTAATGCGTCGTAGTTGTGCTAGGATCACTATAGCAAGACGTCTAGATGTAGATTGTTAAAGAGTCCCTACAGCACAGAACCAACCGTGTAGTACTGTTTAATAAAGGTGCTTAGTAGAGGTTATTGTCAGTATAGATGGTATTATGTCACCTTAGGATGCACTATCATGTGTACTCAACAGTGAGAATAGGTGCGAGCTTGAAGACAAAATTTGAAGTATGCCAGGAATTATGAGAAGAATGAAAGGCACGATATCGATATATGCGCCCGTGAGCTGCACAGCAGACTCGCTGCAGATCACTGGAGCCAGAGTGATAGTGCGTCATATTTAGCATCGAAAATGCACAGCCAGATCAAATATCAAAATTTACCATTTGCCAATACATCATGAAGATAGTCAGTTACTAAAATGCTGGCAAATGTTATTTTTGCAGAATCCTAGACCGGCCATACAGGACTGTTGGCTATGTTGTATCCTGTCTTATGCCGCTCATGTGCTGCCCCAGCTTCATATCTCATCGAGAGTGTCAGTGTCGGTAGCTAGACTAGACTAAGGTACCTACCATCTTACGTAGCCCAGCAAATCATAAAACCATCAAGCCATGCTATGTGATGACCCTTCAACATGTCTGTGACAATATTTCTTGTCTGATCAAAGCCAATCGGCATTTACTTGTTATATGCTATGTTACGTGCTGATCCAACTTGTCTTTCTTTTATTCGGTTCACGTTTGTGACATGTTCAGTAATTGAACGCGTGTACCAGACCATACAACAAACAGCACCACTCACTAATACACTAGGTACCTCAACTTTCAGCAGCTCTTGTGTACACCGCACAGTTACTGTTCTAGAGCATGCACCACCCAGTGCCTTTGGCAGCAATGAAACAGCTGATGTTGCTTTGCTCGATGAGCGCAGTATACTGTTCATGAACTGAACCGTGAGCCTTGGTCCGTTTTTGCCATCACTCGCCGTCTTTGAATTGTGCAGTCGCGTCTGGCTTAAAAACATGGTCCTTTGGTTGTCTGGAAATGGTGCAAGAAAAACATATTTTCTCTTCTTTTTGCTCTTTTCTATTTTGCAATGCTTTCCACATATCAATTTTCACCTAGCATGTTCACCATCATCCGTTAGTAAGAGTTTTGCAGTTTTGGTGCAACTGGGTCTACAGCTCTATCACCCAGAGTCTTTAAGCATACTCAGCAGTAGCATATCTAGCCACATCTCATTTGCTTACATGTAGCTCGACACCAGCATGCAAGATATCAGGAAACTCCGGCAAGTAGCAGCTACTGCCCCACGCAAGGCAAATTGTGCAAGAATCTGGAAACCGGGGGGCTCGCGTATGAACAAGCGTGCTGCGCGTAATATTGGGGAACCACTGACACCTCCTTTCTCTCCTCATCACAACACAACCCCGATCCTACCTGCTGCTTGCATAGCCATCGAGCGGATCAAGAAGCCCCTGAGCCACAGCTCCAATGAAACAGATAAAATTCCTGCTGGTTTTTGTCTTCAGCTATATGAGCACGAATCCTAAAAAGAACCATGACAAGGATACGCACAGTTGAAAGCAGACGCTTGGTATGCCTGGTGATAACTAGCATGTCCATTCATCTCATTGTTCATAAATACCACAGCATCTTGAAAACCAATATCATTGCTGCGTTTGTCGGGGGTGTTTGTGAAATGTAGAGTTTTGGAAAGCTGCATTTTTACTGATGAGCCTGCTGTGGGGCGTTCGTTGGCGGCTGATTTGCCATCCATAGCGTCAGCTGCCATGCTGAAGTCAGGGACGGCCACATCGGGTGCGCAACAAATTGGTTTCCACAGAAAAATGCAATGCCGGCGATGCGTGTGGATATCTCATAACGACCCATCCATGCCTGTGATTTTCTGTTGGTGTCGTTGATCTATGTGTCTTTGTACAAACCGCTCAGCGGCTTAAGATTTTGCCATTTACAGCGGTGACGATGCCTCGTTCGACAGAATGTTTTCAGATGGCTTCACCATTGAGCACAGCTGTCCAGAGCCTTTTGTCCTCTTGGATCGCCTCATCTGTCGCATCTATGTAACTCATCGCCAGATCCAGCAGCTTGGGCTTGTACCTGTCTGGTCGCGCTAGGTCCTGCACCAGCAGTACATTATATACCCGCGGGTCGTTGTGCACCACGCCGCGCTCATGAAGCTTAGCCAGGCTGTTCAGGATATCACTCTTGACTGACAAGGGTAGTGCTGCAACCAAATGCTCGCGATATACCGACATGGTGTTGGCTTGTAGCGCATCCTGCAGGAACTCGAGTTCCAGTGCCAAGTACAGCACGCCATTGATCTCCAATACACCGTAGTTGTACAGGGTTGGCAGCTCGGTGCCTTGCAGGTCCCTCAGATAGTCATACACCCTAGTCTCCTGGACGATCTCTTCCAGAATCCTGCCCTCCGTCTGCAGAGGGCACAACTTTAGCGCGACATGCCTATTGTTGTGCCAGGCTTCGTGAACATACCCGCTGCGGCCGTATCCGAGCTGCCGTCCCAGTGTGAAATGCCCTGTCAGCGGGCGCCAGTTCTCCACGACACATGCCCAGATTCCCTGGGTCACACAGCCATCGTCTGTGGATTGCCTCGCTTGCAGCGTTGAGTCAGTCGCCATGTCAGTCTGCTCCGGCGCATGCTGATTCACAACCGCATTCCCACACCATACATCCGTGTGCAGGAAGAGAGGCTGGAAGGCGAACGTCGACTGCTGCTTGCACTGTATAGCCAGGACAGCCATATCCTGTCCCTTGGTGGTAGATCCATTACCAGGTATGCTGCGTCGGCCCAGCGACCTTCTATGCACCTTGCCTGGAATGCTGTACACCATGGTGCCACTCTTATATGGAGTCCTGGATACATGACTGGGAGGCGACATCAATGGGTTGGTCTTGTCGACAGCCTGGTCCATCTCCATGTACTGGTCGGGGTTGTCTTGCATGTCTCTGACAGCGTCACTGAGCATACCGACAATCACCACAGCGATGTGAGGTGAGTTGTTGTTGGCATGGAAGCATGACGACACATTGATGTAGCACGCAGGTGTGGCCTGGGTTGGACTGCCAGTAGTCTGATTATCGACAATACTGCCACTGGATCCAGTCGACACAGCAGTGTGCTGAGTCTCGGTGAGCGAGCCCTGAGACTCCATGTCACTATCGACATACTCGCAGACCCATGACTCGTTGAACGTCGAGCAGTACCCGAACTTTCGGTTGATCAGCCGTGGGTCAGGAACCTGCGGACACGTCAGCCTGCCATCCCGCGCATAGCAATATGTCTGGTGGATCAGCTTCGCGCCATGCGCAATGCTAGCGAATCCAGCGTCTTCGAGTGCCTTTCCTGACTCCCCATCCACGCGGACCCTTGAATCGCCCATCTCTGACCGTATGCCAGTCGTCTGTGGCCGAGTGCGGTACGGCATCTTGAACTCAAGTGCAATATAGGTGTGTAGCATTCTACCCTTGACGTTGGCTTTGAGGTATGCAAAGTAGTCAGCATGGCAGGCTGGATTACCGGGTACAAACTCAATCGAGGCACCATGGACAACCTCCGGGAAGAGATCGAGCACGCGGCTGAAAATCTCGTTTTCAAAGAACTTGCCAATACAGTGCTCGTTCAGCAGGATGCGCGGGTGGAATCCCTGGTTAATCGGGGCATGCGGCAGTGCAAAACGACGTGTGTGCAGGTGCGGACGGGTCTCAAGGAGATGGTTGTTGAGACGGATCGCGTTCTGTCGTCTCTCAGCGTCATGCTTGATTGGGGGAAGCGCAAGGCACGAGTTGACAATACGGAGTGCAGGGCGAGTGTTCTGGGGTGCGATGAGAGGCTCGATCGGCCCTAGCACAAGGTTGTCTACTTGAAGGAATAAGTACATGTTAGCGAAACAGTTTGTTGAGCTATCAGGTTTCTTTACAGAAGTGCACTTACTGGCTGCCGTGATGCTGGCTAGTTCTCCACCGCTGATTGCCAACAGCGTATTGACTCGTTCGATAGACTCGTCAACAGCTTTCTGCGCATCCTCCTGTAATTGTTGTGCACGCTGGTTGGCAGACTCTATTTTTCTATCGATCGCTTTCTGAACAGACTCGCACTTGAGGTCGAGTTTGTCAATCTCCTTCCACAGGTTCTCGGCGTCGGGGTTATCATTCAAGCGAGCCATGACCATCTCACGCCTCTTGTCGAAACGCTCATACTCGCGCTCAAGGAGTGCTATGCTTTTAGAGTTATCTTCCACAGATACCGGCAAGTCCGTGGTACGAGCCGTTTTGAGGTCTTGGTAGTCACTGATGGCCTTACGAACAACAGCAACTGCGACAATAACGCCACCCTCTATCAGCTTACGGTCGGGCCTCATGTGAAGTTGTTTGGCCCAACCATGGAAAAATGCTTCGTACCCGATAGGAGGAGGAAGGTTGTCCAGCAAGTTACCGTCAGTGCCTGCATCTGGTGTCTCTTCGTTTGTAGCAGTTGCAAAGCTCTCGATTGTGCGCCTACGCTTGCTCGGTCTGGCTGACTTGCCGTCGTTCTCTAGGTAGTGAGGATATTTGAAGCCCATTTGTTAGACAGTGCGAATAATGTGTTTGTATGAACAACGTAGAAGCAAAGTTTTTTTCTGGGAGGAGAGCAGGAACCTACTTTTGCGGCCACGACTGGCTTTAACGGTCATGGTGTGAAGCTCTATATCTAGCAATGTTGGTGATGGCATCAGTGGCTGTCTATTACCCATCATATCATCCACTTGCCGATTGCAGGATTTTGCCGGCAGAACTTGCCTTTTTGCTGGCCGTTTCTTCTAGCAGAATTGTGTTGGTAGAATGGTAGGTGAAAAGCGGCAGATTGAGACAATGGGCACCGATACCACCAGCCACATCGCTGTTTATATACGGGAGTCGATGGTATTCGCTCTCTGCATCATCAAGAAACGTAAACATAGCCTGGTGTATAGTGCTAATGTATCATTTGCCAAACATGGTGTGCTTGCAGGCATCACGAATTTCATGATGGGTTGGCTGAGGGTTCCTAGTTGGCAGGCATAAATCAGTATAATCGCCGGGCTACTTCATTAATCAGAAACAGTTTACGTAGAACGATTGAGCTCAAGGATGAAGTATTTATTCTAAGTGTAGACTCACAATGTCAGAAAGTTGTAAGGATCGTAAGAACTGAGTTAGCCAGAGATGAAGTTGTTGGTGTTGGAGTGGACAGCATCATTTGCCTGGTTGGCGTTGATGTTGTTGGTATACAGAGTATTCTCACTAAAGTTAGCGCGGTTTGAAGCACGATCGAACTCGCTGTTGAACGAGCTCAGGAATGGGAATCCCCAGCCCCAGCCGCCATATCCACCATATCTGCCATATCCACCGTATCCACCGTATCCACCGTATCCCCACTGGCGCTTGCGGAAGCTGTTGAAGGTGTTGGTGTTGGAATGAACAGCATCATTTACCTGGTTTGCGCTGAGGCTGTTGGTATACAGAGTGTTCTCGTTGAAGTTGGCACGGTTGGAGGCACTGTCAAACTCGGTATTAAGCACGCTCACAAATGGAAAGCCCCAGCCCCAACCGTACTGGCGACGAGCGATCTCGGGCATAGGAGTAGGTACAGCATTGGCTGGCGGTGCAAAGGCAGCCAGGGAGACGAGAGCAAGAATCGGGGTGCAAGTGTTGACCATGGTGGACAGAAGATGGGCTGCAATATTGGTGTTGAAGCAAGTGGATGCTGGTTCTGATACTGATGCTGATACTGAGTAAGTGTAGGAAGCTGGATGTTGGCTGCTGCTTTTATAATGTGGAGCAAGGCGGCTTCATCACTGCTGCCTGATAGATCGCAAGATGTATATGAACGCCAAGAGCAAATATGACAAGTAGCAATCACTTGATTGGGCAGCTGGGGCATGGCATGTATTGAAAGAGATGCTGAGTACGCGAGGGAGCTAAAGAACACAAATATATCGGGCAAGGATGTACCTAGCGATAGGTATTATCTTAGCACAATATGCCTCTGCTCCAACATTGTGCGCCTAGGTATGGAGTACAGTGTAGCCGTAAGGATCTATTCTTCCAGGATTGGCATTGTTGGAGTCCTGGTAGTTATGAGGAAGATGAGCTAAAGCAACAGTGCTGCGTACCAGGCCTACTTTTGTGAGTGTGCAGGCAAGGAATGCATGCCAGCGCAGAGATATTGCGGGCTAGTTCATTACCCAGAACAATTCCATTGGGATCACACATGTCATCGGAATAAGACTAGTTTGGTGTGTGGCAGTAATGTGGTATTTGTCACATTGTGGATAGCAGTTTTTGTTATTACACCTCGGGGCATAGCTCTCCAGCAGCCCAGATGTCGTCGAAAATTGGCTGTTGCACAGGCAATTTGGTTCATGTATGGCTTTCTGAGACCGCTACCAACAAGCGTGGTGAACTAGTTGGATCGGCAGATCCGGTGCTGATGTCACGTGATTTCTTGGTGTAGTTGGTTATCACGTCTGCCTAACACGCAGACGGTCGCCGGTTCGAACCCGGCAGAAATCATCCTTTTGCTTCCTGCCCCTCTGCCGCTCCTTTTATGCCTGCGCGCGTTGGGATGTGCCGTGCCCACCCACTATGGGGGGGTCCTGCTTTTCGTTTTTGGCATGAAAGCACACCCTCCTCATCTGACCGTATGCAATATACCTCTTGCCCTTTTTGCCTCGTGCAGCGTATGTCAAACATATGTATTTCGAGAAAAAAGAATCACGTATGTGCTTCGTAGCGCAACTACTGCCAACAAACACCCTACTGCGACAGAGTGCCCGTCTGCTCGTACGTCTTCAGGTCGGCATCGACGTTGACGTCGTTCTGCGGCGCGACCGGGGCCTTGGGCGCAACAAACTCCTTGGTCGTGACATCAGCCTTGGCAGCCTACATCAAAAGGGCTTGCGTGAGCAATGGCCTGCTCTCGCTAGATATCCTGTGCTTGTCACCAAGCCTTATAATCTGGAATCCTTACCTTGCTGGGCTTGCAGTGGCCACCAGCTCGAGTCTGCCTGGAATCAATTTTTCAAAATTTTATAAACAATCAGCCCTATTACAATAATTTCTGCCAGCTGTGTTTTTCTTCTCCGCTTATTCATGATCGTATCTGTCTAATGTTCCGCTCTGCGTTTACTTCAACATTCAAATCGCGGTTTGCGAATCTGACACGTCAGGGTTCGCGACAGACGCGCGGCTATGCCAGGCGGCTGGGTGCAGACGATTCTATTGCCGAGGCTGAGTGGCGCAGCCAGCTCTACTCATGGAAGACACTCGGCCTGTGCACGATCCCCCTTATTGCCTTTGGCCTGGGGACATGGCAAGTTCAGCGGCTCCAGTGGAAGCTGGCGCTACTGGACGAGGTGAACGATAAGATGCACCGCAGCCCAATTGCGTTCCCGCTGCGAGTGACAGAGTCGGAGATCGAGCGCAACGAGTACCGGCGAGTGATCGTGCACGGGCACTTTGACTATGCGCATGAAATGCTGGTGGGGCCAAGACTGTATGAGGGCGAGCCTGGGTTTATCGTGGTGACGCCCCTTGTGCGCGAGGACGGGTCGAAGGTACTAGTGAATCGCGGATGGATCAAGAGGGAGCTGAGAGACCCAAAGACGCGGCCAGAATCGCAGCCAGAGGGAGCTGTGACGCTTGTTGCATTTGTGCGGAAGGCACCAGGCAAAAATCGCTTTACGCCAGAGCCCAAGCCCGAGAGCAACGAGTGGTATAACATTGATGTGGAGCAGATGGCAAAGCACGCGGGTACACAGCAGGTGCTGCTCGAGTCGATCCAGCCCGAGTCCATGTCGGTGATCATGACCAGCCTAAAGAACGGCGTGCCGCTGGGCGTGCCGTCGCAGGTGGACATCAGAAACAACCATCTACAATATCTGCTCACCTGGTACATTCTGGCCGCAATCACCAGCGGAATGCTTTTTTACCGCCTGCGCAAGCCCAGCAGCGCAGCCGAGACCGTCAAGAAACTGCGTAGCCGGACCGGTGGCTTCCTGCAGTGAAGGATAGGCTTTATAGAACATTAGGAAGGAAAAGTACTAGTCGTTGTTGACAAATGTCTCGGCGTCGTTCTCATTGGCGTTGTCTTCCTTCGAGTTTTTCCGGTACAGTGTTATTTCCTGCTGCTTGAAGTACCGCCTGTTTTCCTCGTCAATCAGCACCAGGTTCAGGTAGTATCTGGTGGAGAACTTCTTGTTGACGTCGCGGTACGTGGGCGTCAAGTCGAACCCGCCAAGGAATAGTCGGATCGGGATGGTCTCACCGCGTACGGGCGCGCCATCCATGATCTCAAACTTGGTGATGGTCTCGCTCTCGTTGTACTGGTTAGGTGCGGCCCCAGTGGTCTCGCGGCGGATAATCGACAGCTCCATGTGCTTGATCTTGATGCGCACCAGCAGGAAATAGATCTTGCCAACAATGACGTCCTTCAGATGGTACTTCGACTTGTTGTACTCAAACTCAATGTGCAGGCAGTCCTCGATGCCGACCTCCATGCGAATTGAGCTATTGACCTCGGGTGGGATGCGGTACGAGTACACCCACAGGTCCTTGCTCTGTGTAATCACGCCCACGCGCTTCGAGACTGTCGCCTGGATAAAGTAGCGCAGCTTCACATTGATCCCCTGGTAGCTCTCATACTGCTTCTCGACGTTCTTGAACTCAAAGTTATACATGGCTGTGGTGGACAACTCCGCCGGCGCCGCCAGTTCCTGCACCAGAGACACAAACTCGTAGTGATTGCCACGATCGTAGAACATCTCGATACACCCAATGAACTGCACCTTGATGCCATAGTGCTCCAGCTGCTTTCCCTCGTGAACACGCACAACCACCTATCGGCAAAAGGCGCTGCTTTAGTGTCTTGCCAAGACAGAATGCACGCTCATGTAAGTGATTCGCTTACCTTGCCCGATATCGACTCGCCGTCAAAGTACAGCGGCGCCTTCTCGCGCTTGTCCTTGCCTACGCGGTATTCGACCTGCTGACGCTCATCTTCACCGCTCAGAATTATATTGACATCCGCAACCGGCCCAAACCCAAATAGACTCTACACAATGACACAGTTGAGTGCTTGCTATCTCCATGGTTCTCTATTGTCAGCAGCTCCTGTGCTGTGGAGTGGTGCATCGCCTTACCGCTAACGCCATGTGAAAGTATAAAAAACGCCCAAATGAGAAAAAAACTGAATACCAAAAAGTGCCTGCAGCGCTTAGTAAAAACACAGGCCACTATTCTTTTTCCCAAAGCCCGCTGCTGCCCGCCTCCTGCATGCCCAAATTTGAACCCGGTGATGACGCAAACCGTAATGTGATTAAGCCGAACCGTCTCCCGCCAAAATGCCGACTGATTGTTTTCCGTCGATGCGGCTCCAGCATCAGCTATCTCAGCTGCGGTGCTCGTACTGCTTATATATTCAGCTGCTACGATTGATAAAGCGTATATAGTAGATGTACTGCCCGCTCTTTCATACCGAGCCGTAGCACCGACAGGCAACCATATGCCCTTTGGCAGCGCTCGCTTTATCTATTATTTCATGGCCGGTTGCCATGCATTTGGTGCTCTTTCCAAGCACCCGCAGCCCACATTCCTTCTTATCCATCGACGACATTATGCAGTGCCTACTGCTGTAGTGTATTAGCGATTTAATTGCTATCGAAATAACCCTAGCACTGTTTTTCTGTTCTAGTATCCAGCCGCACCTGTCGCCGAGCCAGTCCATGTCCAGAGACAAAAAGACTGCACAATTACCCGATACCAGTTTCATATCATCTTCTCTCCACCTTGTCTGTTTCGCTCGTTTCAATATCTTCCACACACATCTCCATAAAAGTTACATAGCACATGAGAGTCTCGACTGCATTCCTGCTTCTGGCGTGCTCATTTGTGCGTGCTCAAGATAGCAGCGCTCCTTCTGAAGCCGACAGCATCTCTGCCGCAGCTCTCGAGGATCCAGCACCATCGCCTAGTGCTGACTCTGTAGAGCCACTCTTCGATTTTGACCTCGCTCCATACAATGTTGCGTTTGGGATTGTCGCCGAAGCGCTCGCGCGGTTGGCTGACACTGGCGAGCCATTAGACATTCCGCTGCCACTTGTTGGCCCTGGCTACTACCTTGAGATCATGGTCAGGTCGCCCAAGAACAATGGTGGTGTTCCGTTCAGCCAAATCAATGCTGTGAGTATTGAGGGCGGCTTGGGCATACCAAAGACCCAGATCGAGATCATCTTGCCAGGCGATTCTACAGCGCACCAAACCATCATGGTTCCAGGACCATCAGAGCAGGACTCTGATAGCGAGGGACCTACATCGACAGATGAAGTGCCTGCTCCTACGGACGAAGCACCCACTTCTACGGATGAGGTTCCGGCTCCCACGGACGAGGTACCATCCCCTGAAGAGTCAACTCCAGCTATTTCTGTTTCCATTCCTAGCCCTGCCCCTACAGATTCTTCCCCTTCTGCCACATCTCCTACCGATACGGCTGGTACAGATTCTGCCCCTAATGGCTCTGCCCCTACTGCTAACCCAGAACCTACTTCTGACGAACCTTCTGCTATCGGGTCGCCTGCTGAGTCCGATAGTGTGCCCGAAGCCTCATCAGATGAGATTCCACCACCTACTTCTGGCGAAGCACCCACCGAAGTTCCTCCTGTAAATGCCACACCTATGCCCAACCCCGAAGCAAGCGCCTCTAGTCAGATCCAGGAAGTCTTTAGCGAGCTCTCACGCAGTGGCATCTTCTCCGAGCAGTCTTCAGGTAAGTACGCATATAATACTTCGTCTCTAGTCTTACAGAGTATGCAGACTAACGCGCAATGATATCTATAGGCTTTCTTGCCATAGGCGCCGTCGGATCCTGGCCATATCCGTCAGGAATTCTCGCTGCATCTACAGTACCAGCACCCTCTACTGATGCTCCACTACAAACTACAGCCATTCCAGAGAGTCCAATCCTAGGCAGCTCACAGGCATCCGCAATTGAGAGTGGTGGTATGGCGGGATTCATGGGCAATGTGCTCAGCATTTCAGCCGGATCCATCTCTCAGTCTTTTTCCATTGGGTTTTCTTTCGGGAGCCCAGCTCCTACCGCGGGCGCTGTTGCACCTACAGTGAGTGGCTCGTCTGAGATACCAGCTGAGATGGCGGCTCTGCCAATGGACAGTATGGCAGCTGTGTCATCAGCAGCTCCGCCAATGGGTGATATGGGGGCATCTACAGCAGGTGCTGAAGACCATCCAGCTGACGCTGAGGCACCACCTGCACCTGACGCCGATGCACTTGTTTCTGGCACCACTGATCTCATTGGGAACCTACTCGGCCAGGTTCCACCTAGCGATGCACCTGCCGATGATGTCACTACTGCAACTGTCCCTGAAGCTCTTGCTACCGGTTCTGCTCCTCTTTCAGCCGCTGAAGCTGCTAGCACTCAAGCACCCGCTGCCGATGGTAAGCAAGCACCCATCGCCAGTGATGAGGCACCTGCTGCCGAGTCCCCGGCTGCCATAGATGCACTGCAGACAGAGACAGCGGCTCTACCGTCGGGTGATTCTAGCGCTGTGAGTTCTGCCCCCGATGCCATAGACAACCTATTCGGTGCATCGCCCGCTGGCAGCAGCTCCGAGGCATCAGCTGACACAGCAGCAGCACCCACCCCAGCGCCAGCAGCTGAGGACGCAGCAGCGGCTGTGCAGACAATCAACATCTTGAGTGCCACCAACGACGATGCACTAGAAGCCAGCATTGATGCTGTCATCCACAGCGTTATTGGCGATTACAAGACCGAGTCTGTGCCCAAGGCAGCTGTCGGCTTTGCCCTGATTCACCCGCGTCGCGAAGTCGTTGTCATGGGCGAGCGCATCTAAAATCACTATTTTCATTTCCAGTTACTGCTTCATTTCAATACCGTCCCTGTCACTATTACTCCTGCATGATGATTACACACGTCGCCCGTGCTGGGTTGGATGCATCATGCACCATCCATACACGTCCGAAATTGCACGCTATCAGCCACCCTGCCCAGTCATGGGATCGGCGCAGTATTTGTATGTTCCTGAGTCTGTGCCAATCCAAAAGAGTGAGAAATAATTAGTCAAGCCATTTGCATATGCTGTCTTGTTCAACATCGCCTCCGGTACTCCAGTGGCATTGGTAGTGGGGCTATCTTTAGAGCAGTCAATCCGCGCCTCCACTCCGCCTGTGTCCTGCCAGCAGAATAATAGAGCCCAAAGTTTATCGAGAGAGATGGCTGCGAGAGGCTGTGGCTCTGGGAAATTGTTATCCAATCGAATCTACCAAAGAAGAAAAAACGCGCCTTCGGGAGAGCACAGCTTTCTCCCTCTTCGCTCCGCAGAAAAATATCCTCTTTTTGGCTTTACTCCTCAGTAATTTCAGGTTTGGCTCCATTTTTCGTCTCTTCTTTGTACGAGGGGCCAATTTACACTCTATTCTCAGTCCACTATTTTCCTCTTAAAAAGATAACGGGTAACCATATTCCAGCTCACCATTTTAAAAATATACGCACCGGCTGCAAGAGTCTCTATCGGCGATGACTACCACCGATTCGCAAGTGAGAGTCAAAGTATACGAGCTCGAGCACGGTACAAATTGGGTTGACAAAGGCACTGGGTTCTGCACATTGGAGGACTACCAGGTAAGGCGATGCTTTTGGGGGCGCGCAGACACCGAGAATACCCAAACCTGAACTAAGTATACCTGCTGCCAATTTGTAGGGCGTTTTGCATCTCAATGTCGCTTCCGAGGAAGGGCCCAGCCGGCTATTGCTAGACTGCGTCGTGCAGCGAGGCGAGGTGTACCAGCAGCAGGAAGGTATGTATCCAGCAGCAGCGCTGAGCGCTATCTTGGAAACGTGGGAAGAGGTGGAGCTCGATACAACGCAAAACAGGCGCCTCAGTGCAAATAAGGCGCCCTCTCGCTGCCTTCCCCATCTCCCCCTCCCCCATCTCTGCACCGCATGCCCCTTGTTACTAAGCTTCTTACCGCCATTGTATGCATTCCCGTGTAGCTACGCTGATTGTGTGGACAGAGCCGACCGGCGAGGACCTTGCGCTGAGCTTTCAGGAACCTGAAGGGTGCATGTCGATACTGTAAGTATCCGCAGTTCGCTGCCTGTACTCCCCCATCATCTCCGTATTCCGCAGTGGCCTGCCACTATTAAGTGATTTGCACGCATTGCTGATGGCGGTGCTTGCGCTTACCTTGCATGTAGAAACCAAATAACCGAGTTTGAGAACGCAATGAACGGTAAGTTCTACCCAGTCGCTTCTTGTTTGCTCTACTGCCTTGATCGAGGAAAAGCGGGTGTGGGTGGTCATGAATGAATTTGCAGCTGAAAAGCATTGTACATATGATGCCTGACTGCATATGCCACCCCCTCTCACGCCCCTCCCCCAAAGTAGCGTCATGCTACTTAATCGTCGTGGCCACCGCTAATTCCTACATTTTCCGTAGACAGTGCGCTTGGCGACAGCTTTCCCCACCCCGATTTGGTCCTGCCCAAGCCAGCAATGGGGTCGCTAAAGGAGATCGAGGCGGCGATTATCGAGGCCGGGCATTCGATATACCATCGAGACAAACTGGTGTCATTTCTGGTTAACAACAACTACTTCGAACAGCTGCGGGAGCTGCATGAGACGTGCGAGGATCTGGATGCGACTGAAGAGCTACGTCACATCTTCGACATCATGCAGCGCATCATTCTGCTCAACGACTCGTCAGTGCTCGAGTGTATAGTGCGCGATGGCAACATTCTGGCTGTAGCTGGTATGCTCGAGTACGAGCCGCAGCACTCCGTGGAGCGTGGTACATACCGCAACTTTCTGCGCGACAACTCCCGGTTCAAACAGGTAGTACCGATCCCGGATCCAGCAATGGAAGCCAAAATCCACCAGACTTTCCGGCTGCAGTACCTAAAAGACGTTGTGTTGCCACGGATCCTGGACGAAGGCACGCTGACCATCATCAACTCGCTCATATTCTTCAACCACATCGAGATTGCCAACTACTTCCAGCAGAACCATGCCTTTCTCAAAGATCTGTTCGACATTCTGCACGAGTCGGACGATCCAGAGCGGCGACGCAACGTAGTGCTGTTTGTACGCCAGTTCTGCACAATAGCCAAGAACCTGCCCATCAACTACCGGATCGGGCTCTACCGCACCCTGAGCCAGCACGGCCTGTTCACCATTTTCGAGTTTTCGTTACAGGATGAGGACCAATCACTGCGCATGTCGGGTGCTGACGTACTGATGACGGTTCTGGAGCAGGACCGCGCCCTTGTGCGTTCCTATGTACTAGCGCAGATTAGCCAACAGCGCGAGGGCACAACACTGCTGAGTCTTATCATCCAGGGCACCCGCAAGGACATTGGCTCACCGATCCAGGTGCAGTGCTGCGAAATGCTGCGTATGATTCTTGACACCATGCCGCCGCCTAGCGAGAGCTTCGGCATGCAGCCAGACATTGGAATCGGCGGACAAGCAGATCGCGAGACAGACGCGTTCCTGCGCCTATTTTACGAAAAATATGCGTTCGACGCCATGGAGCCACTGCTGTGTTTGACTGCCACCGACATTGTCAAAATCGACGTCCACGACAAGCGCGCCAATATGCTGTTGTTTCTGTGCGATCTCCTGTCGTTCATGGTCAGGCAGCACTCGTATCAGGCGCGGTACTTTGTGTTTTCGTCGGGCATCTCCAAGCCCATCAGCAATATGCTGTCGGCGAAGCCAAAGTATCTGCGGCTGGCAGCCCTGCGGTTCATCCGTACGTGCGTTGGCATGTGCGATGAACTATACAACAAGCAGCTGGTTGGCCAGCGCCTGCTCGACCCAATTGTCGAGCTGTTTGTTGAGTCGTCGAGGCGCGATAATCTGATCACATCGGCATGCCGCGAGCTGTTCAAGTTTATCGCCAACCACAAAATCGCGGATCTACTGTCACATTTCGTCACAGTGCACGCAACGGCACTGGCCAAGGTACCGGCGACACTTGAGCATCTGAAGCACACTTACGAGGAGTACCTGGAAGACGTTGAGCAGGAAAAGAACGGTGGGACCACGACACCCACAGTGAAGCACAGCGGGCGCATGTCTGTGTCGATTAACATGTTGGCTGGCAGAGAGGCAGAGTCAGCGACTGAGTCCAGCGGCAACGATGTCGGTGGATTGTGGAAGAGCAACGCCACTGATGCCGTGGAGGAGGCGTATTTTGACGATATTGACGACGACGCCGAGACAGCAGCAGACACGACAAAGGCAAAGCCGGCGAGGAGCCCAATCCTCTCGGCACCGTCAAACAGCAACGGCGCCATGGGCAGCGGCGGGGACCCTGAAATCGACATGGCTGATATTGGGATCCGGTCACCATTGTCCAGCAAGTCGCCGCTCATTGCCGATACTGACCATCCAGACCGCTCCCCTCTGGTTGCCGAAGTCGGCAGCTCCAAACAAAGCCCGCTTCTAGCTCCACGGTCCCCTAAGCCGTTCCGACCGCGCAATCTCAGCAGCGGGTCGACTGACTCGAAAGATGCTGACACTGACTCTGTTGACTCTGAGGCTGAATCCAGCGGCGATTCCGACGGATTCCATCGGATATCCATGTCAGATGCGTTCCCCGACAGCAAGCTGATCAACCGCAAGATGGCGTCAAAGCCCCTGCTGCGCCGCAGCGACTCATCGATCAAGATCGTGATGACTTCACGGCCCAACTCCCTGGTCAATGGCGACGCAAACGGCGTGCACAAATCGCCGTTTGGCAAGCGCCCGCATTCTTCAGGGGGCAGCAATGGTACAGCACCCAAAAAGATCGGGCTCGCTAATGGCACAGGGCATGGCTTGAGTAAGGCGGACAAGGAGCGGCCAACTGCTGCCAGTGAGATGGCGGCCGACGGGCTGGCAGCGGCAACAAAACTGGCAGCTGCCACTACGTGTGCACAGGACTCGGCTCCAATAGGTCTTGTGTCAAAGTCTGCTGGACCCGAGAGCCCAGCACCACCTAAAAAGGCCAAGACTGCGTCGACATAGTGGGGCACTTGGTGCGTCTTTGTATGGTGAAATATAAAGTGTGTAAGGCTATATTCTAGTCGGTCTTGAGCTTGTCCACATTGCCAGATTTCAGATCCTGCACGGCTCCAATGAACTTGCGCTCGTACTTCCATATAGTGGCCAGGACAGCCAGCCCAAGGAGTCCGCCAACTCCTAGTGACATCAGCCGCATGAGCAGCGTGTCCTTACCGGCATAGGACTGTGTGATAATGATTGCCAGTGCAGAGCCGGCGCATGCGAGGATTACATTGCGGTGAGGCAGCATTTCGGATATTTTTGGTCCTGGCAAGCGCTTTGACTGGAACCACTGCTTGATGAACTTTGCGCAATACGCGATCCGCATCGCCATATTTCCCATGTTCGCCGCGACAATACCAGCACTGCCAAACTGCAGAACCGACAGGGCCTGCACCGAGAAGATCGCATACGTAACGGTGCAGACAATCATCCACGCGTTTGCCTGCACTAGCTGGGTGCGATCAGCAACCGAATGCACGAATGCCTCGAGGAAGCCGTTCACGCCCATCAGTGGCAGGTACAGGCAATACATGACCATGGCAGCAGAGGTTGCTTTGTCGTTCTGGCCTAGCAGCGCTAGTAATGTCGGTGAGTACAGTGTGCCGAATACAACCAGGATTGCGCCCAGCAAGAACTGGAACTTGCCCAGGATATCTAGCACTCGTCGAGCAAGCTTTGCGTTCTCAATAGGCGATCCATTGGACTGGCGCGAGAACATGGCGCGGGAGGCCTCTTCCAGAGGAAGGAAGATTATGCGGGCTGGAATCGATCCGTAGTTTGTCACCAGCGCGAATGTGCCCTTGACGGCATCGGATGCGTGCATGGCCAGAATCATATTGTCGCCTTGCGTCAAAAAGTGCTTGAGCAGGGACTGGCCAGCAAAAGTCACAGCCATGCTGCGGGTCTCGGGCATGACAAAATACCCGGCACTGGACTTTCTGGGCACATAGCAGTGCCAGACCCGGTACTCTAGCTCGCACGACATGTACCATGCATATGCGGCCAATATAGTCAGGGCATATGCCATCTGACCAGCAGCAAATGCAACCAGCGAGAACGGGTTGTCGTCATCCACAGCCATCTGGCGGCCAATAATAAGTAGCATGGCGACAGTGGCGCACCGCGCAGCTACCGCAATGCCCTCGCACTTGGCTTGCACCTTAAACAGGACTCGCGCCCTTGATAGGACATACAAAGGCTCCACGCAGAGCTCAACCCACGCCGCGACAATATAAATAACCATGGCCATTCTCCGCTCATTATTCGATCCACGGGCATATACCAGATATGCACAGTCTGCCATTACCATGCCTATGGCAATGGGCACCAACGATGCATTAATCAGGAGCTGGTCCTTGGCCCCAGGCTTGCGCTGAGTGCTGCGTGTTGGCGGATCCGAGGTGGTGCGCAATAGGGCATTGCGCATGCCTTCACGCGAGAGAAACAGCAGCGTAGCCAGCAGTAGCTCAAAATCTACCGAGGCCACGCCGAACGACTCGATGCCGGCTAGCCTGACGATAACGATGTTCATGGCGAATGTGGCTAGCTTGGTAAAGAGCTGGAGACCCATCAGGTACTGTGCGCCTGCAAACGCAGACCCGGTCGTCACTGGCTCCTCTGCCCGCTCGCTTACTTGGTTAGCCATGAGTGAAGAAAAAAGAGGTAGATAACCAAGGGGATGGTAGAGCACTCTTGGGAGTCCGTAGAGCGGGCGTGGGCGAGCCAGAAAACTGCAGGCGTGGGCGAGCAGCGACTATGGCACACACGCAAGACTCTTTGCAAGTGGTAAGGGGAGTTTTTCGGCTAAAACCGCACGTGATTCTGCCACAACGCTTGATTCTGAACGCGCTTGGCCGAGCCTGACAGGGCCAGCCTTTCCGTTCATCGCTTTTTTTGCTGTACTTGTCCAAATTTATTTACTCGACATCACGCTCCCTTTTTGTGCGCAAAAGACGTCGACAGACCTATCTCCTTTCTCAAAGACAGCACCGGCTCTCCATTCGCAATCAATTGTACTATTGAAGGCTCGAATCCACAACCTCTTTTTTTATTTCGCGCGCTGTCGAAGAATCAGCGAAAGCAATTGAAATGGTCGAGGGGTTTATACAGTTCTCCTTGAGCGAGGTGCAGCGGACGAGCATTATTGGCGCACTGACAGCACATGGCGACGGGTCGGTCAAGGTGCCTTCTCTAAGCGAACTACAGCAGCTGCAGGAGGAGCTGGAACGCATTGTGCAGAGAACCACGGCGCGCAGCACACAGCTGGAGAAGGCGCAGCTACAGTTCAATGCCTTGAGAGACAAGGATGCGGCACGGGCCCATGAGCCGCGGGGCAAAGGTAAGGGATTGCAGCAAAGCCTTGCTGGCATCTGCTGGGTCGATGGAGATTGCAAGATCTAACAGGTAGGACACCGGTTTGTAGATATCACACATGGAATTAGCCAGGCAGCAGCGTCAACGTCGACACCAAGCCCAGACCATCCGGCGAGCAAGCGCGTAAAGTTGGAAGTGCAGGCACCAAAGCCAGAGCCGCCTGCACCGGAGGTAGATCAGGTAGAAGAGGAAAGCAGTGTCATCAGCAGCGGCACGATCAACCCAGCCGGGGTGGGCAACGGCAAGAGGGTTGAGAGCAAAGACACGGGCTCACCGGTGCCGCCCAAGGCAAAGCACAGTGCAGGCACACCGGTGCAGGATGACTTTTCGCGCGTGAAGATCCCGAACCAAGTGCCAATCCACCAGTTCTGGACCTCTCTGGACCCGTACTTCCGGGCCATCACCGACGAAGACTTGGCATACCTGGAAAGCACGCCTGACGACCAGGAGAGCTATGTCATTCCGAAGCTGGGGCGGTTCTATGCGTACAAGTGGGCAGAGGAGGAGGTGTCGCACTTCCCTGACCATATGCAGACTGGCAAAACTAAGCATATCGCCAGCGCGCTGCTGAAGGCAGAGTCGCGGGGGAAAGTCATGCCGGAAAAGTCCTTCGCTGGTACTGATCTCGTGAACTCGGATATGTCTCTCAATTCAGCCCGGCTCGCACCGCTCACTGAGCGCATCATTTCAGCACTGGTAGTCGAGCAACTGCTCTCTGGCGACGACAAAACAGACGGCAGCGGCAAAGTCAAAAGCGAAGACCCAGCTACGAATCATGCTGGCAGTCGCTCTGATGATGGAGCGAGCGACGCTGGCGATGATCTTCGACAGCTGTCGTCGAGCGGCGATGCGGTCCCACTGGAGGAGCGGCTCAAGCGCGAGCTGCGGTACATTGGCATTCTGGACGACGATGATGTGAACTGGTCGGATCGCGAGGACGACGAAGTATGTGTTACATTGCGCTCGCTGCAGCGGCAATTGCATGAGCAGGTCAAGCTAAACAAGGCAAGGAAGGAGCGGCTGCTGCCTATTGCCAAAGAGTACATTGGGTACCAGGAATACACGCAGGTGATTGAAGAGCTCGACAAGCAGGTCGAGCAGAGCTACGTGAAGCGACATAGGCTGACAAAGTCGCGCAAGCGCAAGAGTGCGTCGGTGAAGCCTGTTGCGCTGTCAGACAATGCTGTCAATGCGATGGACCGGCGGCGGCGCGTTATTCAGGCCATTGGGCATCTGTTCCCGGCCGAAAAGTTTGCCTTGCCAACCCAGTCCATATTCGAAGGCATCCCACCGAATCCCAATCTTGATATTAAATAAGTTTTATGGCACCAGTCGCTCCTGTTCTAAACGTGTAGTTTATTGTCTCTAATGGCTGTTTCTGATAGTAGTATCTGAAGTGTGGGGCGACTTTCCATCATCCAATTCAAATAGGACCATGCTAAGTGTGGTGTAGATGGGCTGAATGTATGCGCTGATATCCTCGTGCTTATGGCACTACTACTGTAAAACATCTTGGCACAGCATACGCGTCGGTCCAATGTTCTTTGTTTCGGTTGTATATGTGGTTAGGCTTAAGCATACATCTTTGATAATGCACTGACATCCATATTCTTGGCTGCAAGCCATGCCAGAATATCGTGGATCCGGCTCTTGTCAGCGCTGTCCAAGAATAGACATGCAAGGCTGAACCTTGCGACCTTGGGAAAGGCTGAGAGAACATCGGCTGCAAATGCCACATCCCCGTACTCATTCCGAGCAACCTCAATAGCACTAATCGCTGTTGAGAGGTTTTCTGCTTCCAGCGATGCCCGGAACAAACTGGGAAGATCGCTAGCGTTGACCAACTTCAGCAGCTTGTAAATATCGCCTGGCGAGTTGCGATGTTCGCGCCACATTCTTTCGAAATCCTGTGCACTGCCAGGCACACCCACCGGAGATGGCCTGGGCTTTATCTCCGTGTGATCCCTTGCCACCGCTGTCCTTTCTGCCGGTATCCTGCCGCTGAGCTGGCGGAGGTCCTCTGCTAACGCCATGTTTGCCGGCTCAATCTTCAGCGCGGCTTCTAGATCACACTTGGCTTCCTCAAGCAATCCCAAACGGCTCCTTGCTACTCCGCGTCGCCATAGCGCTTTGATGTTCGTTGTGTCTAGCTGCAGTGCCAGTGAGCAATCGTCGGCTGCCTGTCTGTACTTGCCGAGCCTGAGTTGCGTCATCGCTCGGTTGATAAAGTACACAGGGTTGCTGGGGTCGGCAGCAATTGCATCTGTGTACTGCGCTACTGCTGAATCGTAGTTGCCGCTCCTGAAGGCAGCGTTTCCTTTGGCCTTGAACTGCTCAGCTAGATCCCTGTCTGGCTGCATCATTAGTGATAAAACTGGATATGTGGAAGGAGGCCTGTGGCGAAGCTTCCCACCTAAAATGCACGACGATATCGCCAATCAAGGCGTATATGCTAGTATGGGGCCGGGGCGTTTCTATTTACAATTAGCACCTGCGCCAATCAGCGAGGCGGCGGTGGGCGTGTTTGCTTTTTCTTTCGCTCTTTTCCTATTCATGCTTTCTAGCATACTTTAAATTTATATTCCTTATTTTTAGCTTCAATGGAGCAGACCGACGTTTCAATGGAGGGACAGAACGAGACAGCCGAGAACATGGTGCTGGAGACGCTGGCCCTGGAGTCAAATGACGCCGTTGTGCCGCTGATTAGTTCGACGCCCAGACGCCCAATACAGCGACCAATCTTTGAGAAGCGCAAGCCGCGGCTCATTATAACGCAAATGATTCTTGAGGACTTCAAATCGTACGCTGGCACCCAAGTAATTGGGCCCTTCCACAGGGTAAGCACGGGAGGGACAGAAAACACGCGGGATAAGTGGGCAGAGGCGATGCATGGGTATGGTCTTGCTGCTGAAGAAACTGTTTATATGGTGTAGTCGTTTTCAGCCATCGTAGGGCCCAACGGCTCGGGCAAGTCGAATGTCATTGATGCTCTGCTGTTTGTGTTTGGGTACCGCGCAAACAAGATCCGGCAAGGCAAGCTCTCTGAGCTGATCCACAGCTCCAAGCACGGCGGCAACCCGCACCAGTGCTCGGTCGAAGTGCATTTCCGCGAAATTCTTGATAATGAGGACGGCACGGCCTCGGAAGATATCCCCGGCAGCGAGCTGGTTGTATCGCGGGTGGCTACGAAAAGCAACCAGAGCCGGTACCTGCTCAACGGTGTGCAAAGCACATACACGGAGGTGACGAATCTGCTGCGCAGCAAGGGCATTGACCTGGACCACAAGCGGTTTTTGATCCTGCAGGGCGAGGTGGAGAACATTTCGCAGATGAAGCCCAAGGGGCAGACCGATAGCGAAGTCGGCTTGCTCGAGTACCTGGAGGACATTATTGGCACGGCCACATACAAGAGCCAGATCGAGGAGGCACGCAAGCGCGTTGATGAGTTCAATGGGCTGCGGTCCGAGAGGCTGCAGCGCGTCAAGATTGTCGAGCGGGAGAAGGACAGCCTGGAGAGCCGCAAGAACGAAGCCGTCGAGTTTGTCAAGGCCGAGAACGCACTGACGCGCAAAAAGGCGGTGCTGTTCCAGAAGCGGCTACACGAGTGCAAAGCAAAGTTCGACAAGACCAAGGCCAAGTTCGACAAGGTGCTGGCTGACCTCAATGCCGAGCAGCAGCGCCAGGCCGAGTTCCGCAGCCAGACAAAGTCACTGGAGGAATCGCGCGACCAAACCACAAAGGAGTGCGAGGTGCTGGAACGCAAGGCCAAGGAGGTCGCCAGCGAGCTGTCCAAGTTTGAGCGCGAGGAGGTGCAGCTGCAGGTCAACCGCAAGCATATCACAGGCAAGCTCAAAAAATTCAAGGACTCGGGTGACAAGGACTCGCACAATATCAACAGCCTGAAGAACACGCTCAACACGCTCGAACACGACATGGAGAGCGGACGCATGGAGTTGGCGGATCTGGAGGAGCGGTTGGTGGAGGCTCGGGCGGAGCTGGAGCAGATCAGCGAGGGGCTGCGCGGCAAGACCGACATGTTCACGGTCCAGATCGAGGAGAAGCAGAAGGAGTTGGCCCCATGGAGGCAGAGGATTAGCGCGCACCAGTCGCGGCTCGATATTGCCCAGACGGAACTCGCTGTGCTGAACGACAAGTTCAGCGCATCCGGTAAGCATCTGGAGCAGGCCAAGCACGAGCTCCGGAGGCTGCGCGAGATGCGCGTCGAGAAGGCACAGTTTGCCGAGTCCAAGGTGGAGGAGCTGGCCCGCATCAACGAGCAGCTGGAGGAGTCGGACAAGGGCATCCAGAAGAACGAAGGGCGCTTCCAGGTCCTGCGCGACGCCCTGGGTGACGCGCGGCGCCGGGAGGAGGAGGCGAGGGCGGCGCTGAACGCAACTGAGAGCCAGGGCAAGGTGCTCAAGGCGATCCTGCAGCAGCGCGACAACGGCTCGATCGCTGGCATCTACGGGCGGCTCGGCTCTCTGGGGACAATCAGCGAAAAGTACGACGTGGCGATCTCATCGTCGTGCGGTGGCGGGCTGGACAACATTGTGGTGCAGACGGTCAAGGCCGGGCAGCAGTGCGTCGAGTATCTGCGCAAGCACAACGTGGGCCGCGCGCGCTTTGTGATTCTTGACACGCTGCGCAAATTCAACCTGGAACCGATCCACACGCCCGAGGACGTCCCGCGGCTGTTCGACCTGGTCAAGGCGTCGGATCCAAAGTTCCGCCCAGCGTTCTACCACGCCATGAGCGACACGCTGGTGGCCAAGGACATGGACCAGGCGCGACGCATCGCTTACGGCAAGCGGCGGCACCGCGTCGTCACGCTCGACGGAAACGTACTGGAGACCTCGGGGACTATGTCGGGAGGCGGCAACCGCGTGGCTCGCGGCGCCATGAGCTCCAAGCCCATGCAGGGCGACGTCACCATGCAGAGCATCGCGAAGCTGACGGCCGCGCGCGAGTCGGCCGAGCTCGACTACAACGAGCAGCATGCAGCGCTGCGCAAGCTGCAGGAAAAGCACAAGACGCTGCAGCGCCAGTACGATGACCTCGAGGCGCTGCTGCCGCGACTCGAGATCGAGCTCAAGTCTGTCGACGACCAGGTGCAGATGGCGAAGAAGCGCGCGCGCGACCTGCAGGAGACCCAGGGCAAGCCCGGCGAGGCCGACCTGGCACTCAAGGCCAAAATCGACCAGAAGATTACCAACGAGCAGGGCTGCATTGCCGAGCTCCACGACCAGTGCTCAACTATCGAGGCTGATATCAAGGAGCTGCAGGAAAAGATCATGCAGGCAGGCGGGATCCGCCTGCGCGCGCAAAAGTCCAAGGTCGACGGGCTCCAGGACCGCATCAAAACATGCAACGACGAGCTGTCGAAGTGGCAGGTCGCCCAAGCAAAGTCTAGCAAGGAGCTGCAGCGCATTGAGCGAACCAACTCGGGCCGCGACGACCAGGTGGCCGAGCTCGAGAGCCAGCTGGCCACGGTCACTAAGGAGATTGAGGCTAAGAGCATGGTTGCCATTGAGGTTAAGCAGCGCTGCGAGCAGGCACGTGCGCTGCTGGAGACAAAGCGCGAGGAGTTGGAGCAGGTCAAGGAGGAGCTGGACTCCAAGATGGAAGAGTACAATGAGATGCGCACCAAGGAAGCGTCGATGAAGCGCAAGGTCGACGATGCAGAGCGCATGGTGGCAGAGAGCACGCGAGCGGTCAGTTACTGGAGCAGCGAGCTCGAGCACCTGGCGCTGCATCCGATCAACCTGGACGAGATCGAGGATCTGGACCGTGACGAGCCAACGAGCCAGCCAGCCAATGTCGAGCACGCGGACGATGAGGTCGAGGATATGGATGTTGATGGAGAGGAGCACATGCAGCCTAACAGCGCCGAGGCAGCCCTGCCGCAGCTGGCGCCCGAGGAGCTCGATGATGTCGATGCTGCGGCACTGGAGGCCCAGATCGAACAGGCCGAGGCCCAGCTGCAGCGCACGCGCCCCAACCTCAGCGTGCTGACCGAGTACGTGCGGCGAGCGCGCGAGTTCAAGAAGCGCATGGGCGAGCTTGATCAGATTACGCAGCAGCGCGACGGCGCCCAGAGCCAGATGGACCACCTGCGCACGCGCCGCCTGGAGGAGTTCATGACTGGCTTCAACATCATCTCGTACAAGCTCAAGGAGATGTATCAGATGATTACACTTGGGGGCAATGCCGAGCTGGAGCTCGTTGACTCGCTGGATCCGTTCTCCGAGGGCCTGGTCTTCAGCGTGATGCCGCCCAAGAAGTCGTGGAAGAACATCTCCCACTTGTCGGGCGGCGAGAAGACCCTGAGCTCGCTTGCGCTGGTGTTTGCGCTGCATCAGTACAAGCCCACGCCACTCTACGTCATGGACGAGATTGATGCTGCCCTGGACTTCCGTAACGTGTCCATCGTCGCAAACTACATCAAGGAGCGCACCCGCGATGCCCAGTTTGTTATCATCAGCCTGCGCAACAACATGTTTGAGCTGGCTGACCGCCTGGTTGGCATCTACAAGACCGACAACCGCACAAAGTCGATTGCGCTGGACACAGCACACACCGCTGGCGCTCTGCACGACGACAGCCCCACCGCCGAACCAGCAGCCTCGACGACGGTCCAGTAAAAATTTTTCTTATCTCTTTAAAAAAAATTCAAAGTCCCTAGTCGTACTTTGCTCCATACTGGTTGCGGTACTCCTGCATGGCCTCCAGCATCTCGGCCTGCTCGCCGCCCTTCTCCTCCAGGTACTCGACGACGCTGTCCAGAGTAACAACAGCGGTGACTGGAATGCCAAACTCGTTCTGGATCTCCTGGATGGCCGACAGATCGCTGTTCTTGCCCTTCTCCTGCCGGTCAATGGCGACGACGATGCCAGCCGGGTTCGCGCCTGCCTGCTTGATGATTTCGATGCTCTCGCGGATCGCTGTGCCCGCGGTAATCACGTCGTCAATAATCAGAATGTTGCCCTTGAGCGGCGACCCCACGATGCTGCCTCCTTCGCCATGATCCTTCTTCTCCTTGCGGTTGAACGAGTACGGCACGTCCCGCGCTGCTTCGCCGGTCGCCAGCGCAATGACCGTCGCCGCCGACAGCGGAATGCCCTTGTATGCTGGGCCAAAAATAACGTCGTACTTTAGATCCTTGCGCGCTGTGATCGCTGACGCATAGTACCCACCGATCTTGGCCAGCACCGACCCGCTGTTGAACTTGCCCGCGTTGAAAAAGTAGGGCGACTGCCGGCCGCTCTTGAGAGTGAACTGCCCGAATGTGAGGACGTTGTTGGCAATGGCGAACTCGATGAACTCGCGCTGGTACGGCTGGAGAGGCATGGCTTGAAAAAGTACTGGAGGGAGTGTGCTCTAAAAAAAAAAAAGAGATGGTGCTCTTTACTCGATACCTTTATTAGTGAAAAGTAGCAAAGTGGAGGAGAGTTTGCTAATCGGGCGGATCCAGCCAGACGGGCCGTCAAATACTGCCTAAAAATAAAGCAAAAAACCCCCCCGCTCGCTGCCTCTTCTCAGCCCCCAACCTGAACCTAGCTGTAGCCGTGCGCGATTTCTAACACCAATAGGTTTTGTACAGAAATGCCCAAACTGCAGTTTTCACAGCCTCGACCAGATGCGCTTGGGCGTGCCGCGGATAATGATAACTTTGAGCATGAGGTAACTGCCCGAGGCCAGCGCCAGCCCGACGAAGCCCCAGATTGCAATGGCTGTGAACGAGTGGTACGGCCGGTCGAACCGCTGGTAGACGGCTCCCTGCGACGGGTTCCCAATCAGCACCCCAACCGCGCACCACAGATTGACGATCCCCATCGCCGTTGTAACTGCCTGCACACCAAAGATATTCGTCAGCACCAGCGGCGCAATGGACACGCAGCTGGCGGACAGCCCGCCAAACACAACGCTGAGCACCACGTAGCCAGCCATTGACCGGACTACCACCATGATCACCAGCGTCAGCACCGAGCACACAAGGTATGCCAGTGCCACGCTGTTGATGGGCCCGACCATAACCGCCGCGTAGGCTGCAAGCACGCGCCCCACTGTGCTGCTGGCATTCATGTAAAGCACCAGCTTGTTCGATGACTGCGTGGTCTCGCCAATCTCCAACGCCGCGGTCGGGAGGTAGTACCAGGGGACAAAATACCCCGCATAGACGAACAGCCCGGCGAGCCCAACCACGATCAGTCGAGGGTCAGTGACGATGGCCCGGAAGTCAATGCCGCCGCGCGGCACTGAGATCCGCCGCTTGTAGAACGAGCCAGAGATCCCACTAATTCCCACGAGCATCAGCGCCAATGCACGCAGTGTCCACCGGTATCCGATGGTGTCCATCATCCGCTGCGTCAGCTCGGTGAAAATCATGCCCCCAGCTCCGCTACCAGCCACCGTCAGACCCGTGGCAATGGCCCTGTATCGGATATGCCACTGCGCTGGCAGCGAGATTGATGGCGAAAAGATAAGAGATGCCCCAATACCAAACAGGATACCTTGCGTCAGGACTAGCTGCCAGAGCTGCGTAGTGAACGATGCTAGAACCAGTGCGATGCAGCAAATGACGGTGCCAGTGAGCGCGACCTTGCGGAACCCAAAGCGGTCTGTCAACGGGCCGGTGGTAACGGAGCCACCTAGCATCACCGCTGACACCATGGTTCCAATCCACGCTACGCTGGCTGCTGACTCGTGCGCATAGATGTAGTTGATGTAGTAGGTTGTAAACACACCAAAACTGTTGACGATTCCCAGCGTGCACATCAGATTGAATGCCGCGCAGGTAACAATGATCCAGCCGTACCTGGAATCAGCCGGTGCATACTCGACTATCTGATCGTCAGAAATCTTGACTGCTTGGTTGCCCACAGCGCCATTGTCCACTACACTTGTCCCAGCCTTCTTTGCAGGGGGATCTTGGTCAAAGTTGCTGATGCGCGAGAGAGACGACTGAGACGGCAAAGCGCTCATTTCAAAGCCTTCCTGGGTTGGGTCTGGCCTGGCTGATTCGGAGCGCATGTTTAGAAATATTTAGCTTGATAGTCGAGATATTGGACGAGGAAAGGCGGCTGCGATTTTTCGTTTGCGACATGGCGGCGGTGGCGGCAAGTTGTCCATCTGCTCCTGCCTTTATAGCTGAATCCCACGCCCTATGTTACACGGTAGGATGTATTGCGTGAAAAGACGAGGATTTTCCTCTTGCGCTGTTGCGGGATACATTTGGCAGGCAATATCGAAGAATAGAGTATGACTGAGCACGGTAATGTCACCGAGTACCAATGCTCACACCCAGCTGAGACTGCTTTTGTCCACTGTGGTACCGAGGCAGAAAATTTTTCAAACTTGTACTTTAGTTGCTGCTGCAAAGATTTGCCAACCCTTCGTGGGAACGCTGTACCCAAAGTCTTCGCTTCCAAACGTAGAATGCTGGCCAGGGACTGGCTTTTTGTGGGATCAGACAACATTCGTCCTTTTTTGGCCACTGAAGTTTCCCTGCTTTTTCGCGTGTGCGCGCGGAATTCCCACATTTTAATTCTCCGGCCTACCCATTCTTATCATGCATCCAGCAGACAATGTGGTGACCGAGTCAACACTGGCAGGTGCAGCCTCGTTGGATGTGCGGCAATTATGACTAGCGCCATGTATAATGTCAGCAGAATGTATTGTGGCCGGGGAATTTAAATTATGAAAATCTATGCATGTCTGTTGCTTCTGGCACAGCGGGGAAGCCCCCCATCACAGCCTTGACAGGTACGACTTTTTTGTTCCTCGAACAAGCAGCACCTTGAGAATGCCGTACCAGACAATGCCTAAGAATAGTCCAGAGCACCCCAGGAGCGTAATGGCCATGAACGACTTGTGTGGCCGGTCGTAGGCTTGATACACCGCGCCCTGAGACGGGTTTCCAATAAGGATTCCAATTGAGCCCCACATATTCATGATGCCCATGGCCGTAGTCACTGCCTGAGGTCCGAATATACCGGCAAGGACAACAGGCGGAAGTGCAAACTGACTCGATGAGAACGCACCGTAAATGAAAGCCAAGGCTGTATATGCTGCCATTGTCTTTGCAGCGAGCATGACAGTGAGGAACATGACTACGCAGATGATATACGCGACAATGAGTGTGTTGACCGGCCCAATTGCAGTGGCAAGGAATGCCGTGAACAGCCGACCCACCGTAGTTCCTGCGTTCATATAAATGACCAGGTAGCTAACCTGTTGGTTGCTCTGTCCAATATCCAGAGCCGCAGTGGGCAGGTAGAACCATGGAACGAAATACCCAATACAAATGAACAGTGCAGCAAGCCCTGCGGCAATCAACCGCCTGTCCAGCATGATTGCCTTGAAGTCATTGCCACCAGGGGGCACCGACACACGCCGCTTGTAGAACAAGCTAGCAGTGCCGCTGATGCAGAAGATAAGCAGTGCTGATATGCGCAGCGTCCACTGGAGCCCAACAGACTCCATCAGCCTTTGCGTGACTTCAGTGAAGATCATGCCACCGACTCCAGCACCTGCCACAGCGATTCCAGTGGCTAGTGCGCGCCGCTTTGTATGCCATTGTGCTGGCAATGACATTGACATCGAAAACATCAGGGTGGCGCCGAGGCCAAACAGGACGCCCTGCGTCAGGATTGCAAACCAGAGTGGCTTGGCAAACGATGATATCAGCAGCGCAGACGAGCTAATGATTGCACCTGCTAGCGAGACATTGCGGAACCCAAAGCGGTCGGTTAGCGGGCCAGACATCACAGAGCCACCAAACGAGATCACCTGTCTGGTTGTCCCGATCCATGCAATGTCGGCTGCCGACTTGTCAGGGTAGATGTAGTTCAGGTAGTATGTAGAGTACACCCCAAATGAGTTGAAGATTCCAATCGTGCACATTAGATTGAATGCCGCGCAGGCAACAATAACCCATCCGTATGCCGAATCTGCTGGTGCATACTCGACGATGGTATCGGTAGAGCCGTTATCCGAGAGCTGACCATCTTGAGTGACGGAGGAACTTGCAGTAGTAGCAGCTTCGACTTGTTTCTCCATACTATGGCTATATTTATTGAGGGAACAGAGAGGGTGTTTGATGAGTAGCAGTAGGTAGAAGATGGAGAGCGCCTCACCTTTTTATATGACGGAGTTTCTTTGAACGTAGTTGCAGGCGTTGAAGCGCGCAAATAGCAGGAGGATTTACTGGTGACCAGTCTTCGAATCTTCATCAAGATTCACATTAGCGGAGAATATCCTTTAAAAGTTGTCAATGCATGGACTGAGCGTTGAGCTAAGATTTTCAGGTGATGCAAAACGGCAATATTCTTGCAACCCCTTGTAAAAACTGTGTCAAGAGAACAATATTGGCCGTGCCTTGTTGGGGGAAGGCTCAACTGCCATATAAGTGATCCTATGTGTTAGCAATCATACGAATGGGTGCTTATCGGCATGTATGGAGGAAAGGATGTGTAAGATCAGTTGAGGAGAAAGGACGGACTGCCAGAGCTAACAAGAGCCACACGGACGTGCAGACAACTGAAACATCATCTAGCGACGGCCTGTGAACAGAAGGCACACGACCGCAAGGAGACTTCCGAACTGCGGCTAAGGTTGCTGCAGGACAACACATACGGCGCCCTGGCGATGGCAAACATACTCTTGTGTCCGTAGTATTTACACTATATTGAAGATTATATAGTCCCAAGGTGTCAAATATATCGTAATAGCATTTCAAAAAAAAAAAAACTCGAACCTGGAACTATATATTAAAGCGCTATTCGTCGTAGTTCCTTCGCATTTTGTAGGTACAGTAATTCAATAAAAGAGCAACTCAAATTTCGCACTCTCGACGCTCAGACTTGGAACCGTTGGCTTGCTGGCTAACACATCCTGCATATAAAAACGGTCCCCCCTGTGCTGCTCGCCTCTTCTTATTCCCCACCCCTTTCTACACGCTCTGACCCTTTACAAACCCACCCTTTACATTCCGCTATTTAACCTTTGCAGCTGCCAGCCACGACATACTCTGATGCGGGACTCGACTCAACGATCTATATCGGCAACCACTCGATGGATGCATCTGATTATACAATCATCTCCTGCCTTGGATAGTGGGATGAAACCTCACCGCTGCTCTGCAACTTTCTGCAATAAAATATCGCTACACCTACAAGCAGGCTGCATCGAGCTCACCTTGTGGAAACATACATCCTGTTGTGCCAGACAGGTAAAGGTCTTGCAAGGTTTCGCTACTGAGCCTGCTCCAGATGACTATGCTACGACCCAGACTGCAGGCAAGCAAGCAAGCAGGTAAGCAAAGAAGCCCTCAGCTGCTGCCAGCAATGGTGAACCAAAGCAGCAACGCCAGCCCTGATCATGGCCGTAGCAGGTGTAAATTCTTTTTTAATTTTCTGGGCTGCTGCTACATCGGGCTTAGGCTATGAAACCCTATGGCAGGGTCTTTGCCACATTATTGACTGTCTAAACCTTGCTGACTAGCTGTGCTCGCATCGTGAGTGCCATAAGTCTGGTATTTACAAATGAAGAGCCTGATGGTGACTACTTCATCTACTATGCAATGTGCTCTGCATGCCAGCAAAAGTGCTTTTCGGGCTTATTGTCAATACCATCGAGGTCTGTGACATCCTGCGCACTGAGCTCGGCCTTTGCCAATACGTCGAAATTCTCCTGGATGCGCCCGGCGCTTGACGCCTTGGGAATTACTGCTACACCCTTTTGTAGTCCCCACATCAGCAGAATCTGGGCTGGGGTTAGGTCAGGGCGCCGCGCGGCAACTGCGTCCAGCTGTGGCAATTTGACATCGCCGTTGACCAGTGCTCCCTCGCCCAGGCTAGCATAGGCAGTGAATGCAATGCTGTTCTGCGCGCAGTACTGTAAAAGTTCTGGTTGCTGGCACAGCGGGTGCATCTCGCACTGGTTGACCATCGGCTGTATCTTAGCATACTCCTTCATCTCGTCGAGATGTCGTGTAGTAAAGTTGCTGACGCCGATCGAGCGAACTTTTCCCTGCTCATAGAGCTCCTCCAGTGCACGCCAGCTCCCCGCACGCATCTCGCGATGCTTGGGACTGTCAGGCTTTAGCCTTGACGCGCCAGGCCAGTGAATCAGATACAGATCGGTGTAGTCGGTCTGCAGTTTCTTGAGCGAATCGAGGACTGCCTGCTTGGCTTTCTCGTACCCCTGCTGCGTGGGTGCAAGCTTGCTCATAATCCAGATGTCCTTGCGCTGAATCGCCGAACCGGGTTTATTGAATATCTCAGTCAATATGTCACCAATTGCCGCTTCATTGTGATAACCATTTGCTGTGTCGATTAGCTGATATCCTGTAGAAAGCGCCTGGCCAACAACCCGTTTCACAACATCAGCATCGCGCTGCTGCCAGGTGCCGAGCCCAAGCGATGGCATTGCCAGCCCATTTGCGAGCTTCACAGTTTTGTGGATAGACATGACGAATAGGAAGATAAATGAAAGCAATACCAACAGTATTTTCTCCAGTCATTGAATCAGCCTAATATTAGACGATATAGGCTGCCATGCCTTCTTATGGCTGCATGTTGCATGGCTAAAGCTGTGTCAAGGATGTATAAAAGAAAACAAGTCGGAAAAACGTATATGTCGCTCATAGCCGGGAGCCTTAGTGGCTGTGGCCCGCAGCGTGGCCAGCCTTGCTGTTGATGAACTCGTGCCTCTTCTTGCCAAAGTGCGTCACGCCCCAGAACAGGAACACCGCCGGCAGAATGTAGCCGAGCTGGGCGCTGGTGCGGCGGAAGAAGTTGTGGGTGCCCTTGCTGATAAGGTGCGCGTTGGCCTTCATCTCGTACGGCGAGAGCTGGTACGTGACGATGCCGCGCTGCTTGGGGCCGCCCATAGCGCCCCACCATCCAGAGTAACCGTGTCCGCCCATGTTTTGCTGAATTTGGATTTAATGTCGATTGGGAGAGAGTGAAGCTGAAATCGCTTTGCCAATTCGCGATTTGAATTTCGCGCCTCTTTGGGCCACGGTCGCACTTTGGCTGCACTGCCTGAGGCACCAATAATTCCACCAGCACACATCTTATCTCGCTGATCACAATTTGATCGGGTGATCGTATCCCGCTGTCCGCTTGGACTCTGGGCTGGCTGGCTGGCTGTGGGCATGGAGACTCGCCGCTGGGCCCACACCGGCTGCTCTTTGCCCGCACTTTGTACTGGCCGGGGATCATAACTGACGGTGGGGAGATGGTCGCAGCTAGCTGGTAGCATGCCCTGGCAATATGGAGCCGTATTAGCTACCGCCATATGCTGCCCAAAGCCCCATACGCGGCTCCTGATCTACTGCAGGCACATTATGCAGAGCCGTGGAGCGGGCGAATGTCGCAGACCATCTGTGCCCTTCCAAGCCTTCTTTCATACACCCCTAATGCCCGCACCAACAACGCAGACAGCGACTGTAGTGAATGACCGTCGGTGGAGCGTGGCCCGGTATGCCGCTCTGTCGCGACTGGTGGCGCTCACCCTAGGAATCGCTGCAAACGCAATATACGACGACTATGACACATCCGTGTTTTTGATCCTGCCGCGCGCATCAACTCATATCCAGCAGCTACTGCGTGCGGTGGCGCAAGTGGTGGTCCGGTGGGACTCGTTCTACTTTTTGCACATCTCGGAATCGGGCTATGTGTTTGAGCAGGAGCACGCCTTCTTCCCGCTGCTGCCGGGGCTGATGCGTCTGCTGGACAGCACGGTACTGGCGCCGCTGCATCTGGTGGTCGATCGGCAGCTGTCGCTGACCATCGCCGGCCTCGTCGTCTGCAACCTGGCATTTGTGCTTGCGGCAGTAGCGCTATACAAGCTGGGCTGCAGGACCCTGAAGAACGAGTCCCTGGCGTACATCGCAGCGCTGCTGTTTGTGCTAGCGCCGTCCAACATGTTCATGTCGGCTATTTACACCGAGAGCCTGTTTGCCTGGCTTGTATTCACTGCAATCTTGAGGACCACCGAGCAAAAGCACGCCGAGGCGTCGCTATGGCTCTGCCTGAGCTCGCTGTGCCGGTCAAACGGTGCTTTATACTCTGGGTTCATCGTGTGGGACATGGTGGTCATGAGCGAGGCGTGGAGCAGCAAAACACTGGCGCTGCCGAGGCGGGCTGCTGTTATTGCGCTGCAGATGGTCAAAGCGCTAGCGCTGGTTCTCATTTCGTCACTCGGATTTATGGCGTTCCAGATATACGGGTATCGCGAATTCTGCATGAATGGCTCTGTTACACCGCGCAGGTACTGCAGCAGCACGCTGCCGCTCCTCTACAGCTTCGTGCAGGACGAGTACTGGAATGTCGGGTTCCTGCGCTACTACACTGTGCAGCAGATTCCCAACTTTCTGCTCGCACTTCCGATGGCTGGCCTGTCGGCAGCTGGTCTCTGGGCCTACTCGCGGCACGATGTGTCCCGGATCCTGACCCTCGGATGGCGATCGAGCCAGGAGCGCAAGCGCTCGGTACGCACGCACTCGCTGCACATGGCCTATTTCGGCGACGATCTGCTGCCGCACATGTATCTGTGGGCGCTGCTGCTGTGCGTGGCCACCACAACGATGCACGTCCAGGTCATAACCCGGTTTTTCTCCAGCGTGCCGCCGGTGTTCTGGTTCGCTGCACACCTGGTCAGCTCCGGCAACCGGCTGGTACAGCGTGCGGTGCTGACGTACTTTATCGGCTACGGGCTGGTCGGCGTTGTCCTGTTCAGCAACTTTTTGCCGCCCGCCTGAGCGAGTGTGAAGCGTCGCGGAAGCGTAGTATTTGTGTCGGCTCCTATTCGGCGATGCCGTCATTTTTGCTGAGTCGCTAAAAAATTTTCTCTTTGTCCGGCTACAAGCCCTGGTAAAAAATTTTCTACCCCTCGCGCTTTTAAAGCGCACCCTCCCAGAAGCAGCAGCAGCGAGCAGAAAACGAGCCCTGTTTTGGCAGGTGTGGACACGCAGTAATCGCTGTGGGCGCTGCGCTCCGGTCACGTTCTATTGGCAGCGGCTCGCTGGCGGCCAGACAGGCCGCGCTCTTGCTTTTACACTCCCCACGCCCTCGCTTGAAAGACGCCCGGAGAAAAGCCGCGCGCAGTGGCCTCTCTCTCCTCCAAAGTATTCCTCGCAAACAGTTTCTATTTTTCTCCAAAACTCCCATTCGCTCCAGACATTCCAACGCTTGTTACTTTCGCCTTTGCTCAACAGCTGTTACTACCGCCCTCTGCCCTGCACTGGTTCCCAACCTCCCCTCCCTGGCCGCCAACATAACGTGCTTCCCCCATCCCTCCTTTTGTCTTCCAGCTCAAGCGAGTCAACGCGGGAGCCACGATAATCTGTGCTGTATACCGAGCTCGACTCCAGGCCCTGCATTGCCTCTGTGAAGTCGTTCGATAAACCCAGTCTCAGGATAGAAAGGAATTCTTGTGCCCGTTTGCTGCCGCGCCCTCCAGTTCCTCTGCGAAACAGAGGAGCCACAAACAACACATTAATATCCTCCCCCGCCACAGCCACCAGAAGGAGCCACCAGAAGGAAGCAACTGTGCACTGACTTGCCAAGCCGTGAAAAAGAGTTTTTTGCGGCATTACCCCACACTTGGTCACAGCTCACTGCGCTCCGGGAAGTCGCCAGCCTCGTGCGCCCTTGGGTCGCCTAAGAATATTTCTGCAGTCTCTTTGGATTCCACCACACTCCTGCTCTGTCGCCTAGCACACAGAGATGGGCAAATGGACCGAGGAATCGCTGGATGGAGAGCTCCTCCGCAAGCTCAAGATCGCCCTCGAACACTCAATCGCTGAGCTCAACGAAGCAAATGTAAGTGGCTGGTCTCGGCGAGGTTTTCAACAGGCAATTTCCAGAGATTGCTCTCCGCTCCTTTGGCGGAAAGCCCAGCGGAGTACTGCAGATTACGATAAACACACCGGTCCTCCCATGGGAGCTGGGTATTGTTCCTGTTGGCTAACATGCCCACTAACGCCTGTGTCTGTTTGTCTTTGGGCCTTTGTCCTCTAGGGAGCCAACATCCAGCTCGAGCAGTTCGTCGAAGCGCTGGACCCGGCAAGCCGCACCGTCTCGCGCCTGATGGCGGCGGTGGTCAAGGAAACCATCTCGCCGCGCCGCCCGTCTGAGCCAGGCTCGCCTGCAATTAGCGTCGCCAGCATGCGCGGTGGACATTCACCTGCCGTTGACGGCAGCGGGGTCTGGCTGCCCAATGCCCGGCGGAGCCGAAGCTCGGTGGCCAACGTCGACCTGGACCATGTGCGCAATCTGATGGAGGCCATCGAGATCGTGTCGCCCAACATGGTTGGCGCCGACATTGGCGTGGGTTCGCCGATTCCCGAGATGCGCAGCGGCTGGTCGCTGCCCAGGCAGGCGCACCACGAGCAGATGCTGCCAGCTCCAGCCAACGCGGGCAGCTACTCGCAGACACACGCGCTCAGGCACCGCCGCACATCAGTGCAGATGTCGGCTGGGCAGGGGATCCCGATCCGCCCGTCGCGGTCGCGCAACCGCAGCTCGCAGATCGACCCGCTCGAGTTTGCAGAGTACGCTGTGGCGCACATGCGTCCCAGCCCACGGTTCACGCCCATGGGCCACGGGTTCCCGCTCAGCAGCTCGGCCACCAGCGAGTCGCGCTCGTCGCTGCCGCGCTCGTTCTTGGCGCAGCAGGCGCGCGACGGCCACATGGCGCACCAGCACCCCGGTGCCAGTGCGCTTCTGAACCTGCCGCGGCAGCACGGGATCGAGGAGGCCCGCCGCATGTACGCCCAGCACGCTGGCCTGGGACGCAGCTGCAACAGCGGCCTCAGCAACGGGTCGGGGGAGACGTCGCCTGGCAGTGGCCGCTCGTCGCTGAGCCCGGCCATGCATGACAGTAGCAGCAGCGCAATGGCTTGACTGTATGACTTGAACCTATTCTCCTCGCACTCCGACCACATACCCTGCCCCCTGTGTCTGACACATCTGGCACTTTCCTACGTATCAACCAAACACGCCAATTCCTTATTTTGTACATTTCTCCCACAAATCACAGTATGGACTATGTAATTCAGCACGCAATATAAAATATCTATGAATAATCATGTGCTCAATATTGCTTTGAATTACCCACCGTTTCGCTTATGTATGTGCTAGAACTGCTCTACTCGCGATGCGAACTCGGCTGCTAATCAGCATGGGTTGGCACGTCGATAAAAGCATCACGGCGAACCGATCATTTGAACGTGTCGGATGGTTGTTGGTGCAATGGCGGTCATGGACATCTCCCATCTTGATGGCCTGCTCATCGCAAGCGCTTCAGCGCTGGTTCGCTGCTGCTGGCAGCAGAATAGCCTGCTGCTGCTGCACGCCTCTTGCGCGGCCTCTTTGTTGCCAGAGTGGTGCCAGAAGCATTGGCAGCAATGGCCGTAGAACGACGGAACCGTCCAGGAATACTGCCTGAATCACAGAGTGACTGGAAAATGAGTCTGAAGTTTAGAACTGCTGCGAGATCGCGGTTCAAGAGCCGAGACGAATAGGCTCGCCTGTATTGCGCCATGGTCCGCTTACATGACTCGCTTGTACAGCGGAGAAGGCCATGGCACTTCACAGTTGGGTTCTTCGATCTCTGGTAGGGCCGCGGGTTGGGAACATGCGGGAATGTCTGCTGCTACTGCTGCAGTTGCTGCAGCGGCCTCTGTTTCATCTGATGGCATCTTTGCTGCTTCGTGTGCAGCCTTCTTGGCCAATTTTCACCATTTTCTGCTGCTTTCCTTGCCTCTGTTGCTACCCGCTTTGCTGCGTTGACCTCTGTAACCTGCTCACGTGTTTTCGAAATAAACACCTGCTTGATTATTTGCTTGTCTAAGCGCACATGGCCTGGGATCCATGATGTCCGCAGAGGCAAGCATTGGGGGGAGACTTGCCAAGCTGCTCATTCTCGATAAGCTGGCATAGGCGAATGTATGCACGCAGATGCTTGAGTGGATTTACCTTGGCATCATAGTATCGGCTGTCTTTGGCGAATCTGTACTTGGCATCATAGGCATTAAGGACTGGTGCCAGCTTGTTGTAGATCGCAAGCATCGGTGGGGTGAGCACACTGAGATCAGGGTGCCTAGAGGCAACTGCCTGGCGGAGCTTCTGTGCAGGTGTATAAACACACATTTGACATGCATTATTGAACTCGGCCTTGGACACATTGCCCATTGTGCTGTGCTGTGTGTTTTTGCGGCTGCGAATATCAATCAATTTGGCCAGAATCCGCTGTAGGCAAGTGCCATAGTGCAACACAATGTTGTTCTTGTATGCTGTCATCAGCTCGGTATCCATGTATGTTGCTACTTGATTCATGTCGCATACACCATGTAGCTCGATATTGCCATTATGTAATAGATAGGCATAAATATGATATCTAATTACATCACCGAAATCTGCATTCGACAGCTCTGGCCTGTCCTTCCGGTTGACGAAATCCTTGGCAGATATGGTCGCATCTGCCTTCAGGTTGTGATAAATGAATACATAAAACGTAAGAATCCCTTTTTCACAAGTATTGAAGGGTCAAAAGCATCATCGTCAGCTAGTTGATGGAGTAATATCCATCGTGCAAGCATGTATGTATGCTCTTTGATGATAATGACGCTGTGTACAAATTGCTCTAGGCGGGGCAACATAGAATCACGGAAGCCAATACCACCAAGTGATGTCTTTATGACAGTAGTGCTGCGGGTAATATTCATTTGAGAAATTCAATAGGCAAGTAAGAAGAGAAATGATGCTGCTCAGTTTTGCTGTATTGCAGATGCATAGCATTAAGAACTCTTTATTAAAAGTTATCTGGCTTGCATGGTTCTTAGGGCCCTTAGCACTGATACAGTCTCTTGAATCAGTCTATACAGACTGGGTCCATTGTGGCCCAAATACTACCGCTTACGCATGTTCATAAGACAAATTAATTTATAAAATAAACCCACAAATATTGCATAACCACCAGAAGAGCTATATAGCCTTATTCAATAGGTGCTCATAGATAAATATCCTAAAAGTGTTGCGCAGCTAGTGATGACCACCATGATGACGCCATGGAAGTTATCAGGCCGACCGACAATGAGAGCAGCTCTTGCGCTGAACCAATGGAGATATCTAGTAGAGACCTGTGACCACTACAATAACAACTTGTCGCCCTGGTTTCACCGATGAGGTCAGATGCCGCACAAGATCAAAAGGAGTTTACAGAGCAAGTCATCCAAACTCACTTTGAGGTTTAAAAGTTTTATCTTTTAACCAAATAAAAAGTTTCTAGCGGACGGTCGGATACTTTTTAGACTATAAAATCTTATATATAGGTAAAGATACAGCCAAGCATATAAAGATACAGCCAAGCATATTTGAAACAAACCACAAGACAAAGGCATTAGCAGAGCCAGGTGATAGAGAATTAATAACCGATTCATTGATGAGCATCAGAGGCAATATAATCTATGCACCACATTACATGCCCCACAGCTAGAAACAGACTCCCCACCATTTCTCCCCATGTTAGACCCTGTTGACATTATTATTAGTCTGGTAGGTCTGCTTCCTAATCTTTCCTATATTTTTATGATAGCTGATACAAAAATGCAGTGTATGAACAGGTATTAGTTGATGGCTAGGACATCGTTCTCCCTTTGGGGAGAAGGTGAAGACTGTTCAGACACCGCTTCAACTACGTGTGACAAAGCAGAGTCACATGGCGGGCATTATCAATATTATGTACATATTTTTTTGCAGACATCTCAGAGTTTGGAAAGCATCATAGCGCAGAGGAAGCGCGCAGGGCTCATAACCCTGAGGTCCCAAGATCGAAACTTGGTGATGCTAGCTGTTTTTTGCTCTGAGGTTGAGGTTGGCGGATCGAGCCTTGGGTGAGCCATTAAAGACAGCTATTTTAATTAGCCACTGCCAGTAAAGGGTAGCATATTATTTTGCCTAGTTGGCATTGCCACCGCATACATTGTTGCTTGAATGCAGAACTGGCGCCATTGCCATATTAGCAATTGCTGCAATGTGTGGCCCGAAACCCAGCCCTTGCTGCTGAATAGAAAAGTCCCAAATAGAATAGCATATTTTTACCCAATATTCCACCAAGAATATTAGTTCATTCGAAATCCAGAAAAGCTCTTTGCTCTTGCTTCTTAAGCACGCATCTAAAATATATTTGCTCTTTATTCTTCATACTCGCCTTTCTCTCTTTTTATATGCGCACCATCACCCTGATATCCCGTAGCACTGTAGCCTTGGCTACCCCATTGGCTGTGCGGCAGGGTGGTGGAGATAGTGGTGGAGTGTTTCTGAGCTCTCAAATAATCTTATCGATAGTGGTGACAGCGGTGGCTCAATCACTGGTAGGCAATAGGTTGCAGAATCACTTGCCAGTTGTTAGTTTATTGGAGACTAAATTTTCACCAAATAGCAGCTCGTCATATAAAGGAAACTGCATCTTCAACAACCTTGTAATATCTTCAAACCTGGGTAATAATTATGGATCCACCCAGCTCCGACTGTGACAGCCACAGTAATATTGGAACCATGGTGCCACTCTGCCATTCCCTTCCTACATACCTCTAAGTATTTTCAAAGCGAAGGTATTTTATGATAATGTAGACTCATTCGAGCGACTAGATCTACAAATGTTTTGGCAGGTCATGAGAGGTAGCTAACACTACTAATTGTCGAACGCTCATCGGATATCTACCACGTGTAGCTAATATCAGCTAGTCATTAAAGCTGAGATAAAAAAAAGAATATTCAGCTCAATGCAACCAGTGCACTGAGTGCAAAGTATTCTAACCTGCAGCTGTGGTCTCTGATAGAAAAATGTATACCTCTAGTGTGTTCGAGAGGCGGCTTTTGTAGTATAAAATATGCGCACAGCCCGAAGGAGCAGATCAGTGCATATGTGCATATGACCCATGCCAATATAATAATTGCGCTTTGCAATACCTTGGCTAATTGCCCCCTTATAGAAAACAGTGCCACCGTGTAGGCGATAAAACGATTCCCATCAAACACCCGGTATCATACGACCACAATATTCTCCAAATGACATCGTTGTGCATTGTTGCAGGAAATCGACTGCTTTAGGAATGCGGAAGATATTACGAAAATTGGCGCAGGAGCGCAAATTTGCTCTCACAGCACGCCAATTAATACCACTGGTCAAAATGGAGGCCGTACATATGTTAATCCTGTGTTGGGCATAAGCAGAAATACTCATAGACGGAAACCCGCATGCTCTGAATTGAAAGATTCTGGCACCTAAATGTGGTTAATGGTATGAGCAAATCGTATCCGGAAAAATCACAGAATGGGGTCTCAGGTAAGACTGACAGAACAGCAACAGTGCTTGCGTGTGCGTGGAGGTATATGTGTAGTTCCAATTTAAAGGGGAGGGGCAGATGGCCCAGGTGTACTTCTTTTAAAAGGAATACAGCTATAGGTCACTCTTGCACATGGTTCAATTTTCATCCTTTCTCCTGGTTTTTCTTATCCTCATCTAATTATATTGCATAAAAGCGCTAGATACTATTATCACAAATGAAAACCGATCCAGTTGATGCACTAGACACCGCAGCAATTATAGTTGGATCGGTGCTCTACACCTGTACATCAGTGCTTGTTGCATACGCATGGCTTCACCACAGATACTTGCCGCTACGGGCAAAGAATCTGAATCTCGCAACACTAATGCTTTTTTGTGGTATACTCTGGTTTATTGCCGATATCCCAACTAATGGTCACATCATCATTACTGGAGCATGGTCAAAATGCAAAGCCTGGCATCTGTGGGTGCGGCTGATTTTCGGCTATTCGTTCTCTATGTGCGTACTGGCACGGCTATACGCCCTGCACTGTGTGTTTATGCTTCATCGCCCGTTCCGCGGGTTTGCGGTCATGACTCCTATTATGTGTGGTGGTGCGGTTCTAATTATTTATTGTTTGGTTGGCCAGCTCATTCCCGGCAGACTTACCATCGAATACATTGTGGAAACACAAATCTGCAGATATGCAACTCCGTTCCTGGCCACAAATATCGCACTTCTGTGGATAATTTGGGTGTTCATTCTATTCTACATGATCAAAAATCCGCGGCATCCACGCCAGTTTCAACGAGTGGCGCGAGTCTGTCATCATTTTTGTTCTTACGCTGGTATCGCTATTGCAGACCACGATCACACCTGCAGTCCACACGGACTATACGCGGATCCAGGCCATGCGTGTAGCTGCTACCTGGATCGACTTTACCAACGGGAATTTGACAATCTGGATTATTCTGGCGCCACCTTTGTATCAGTGTCTGTTCCACCGCGACAAATATCTGCAGATGTGGCTGAGAAAGCTTGAGCGTGATGGGCTGAAGCACGCGTACGACATTTCTGACAAGCATAGACCAAACGATGAATTTTACCCGCCTCCGCCGGACAGCGACATGAGCTCATACCAGTTTCCGCTTCGGGGAGAGAAGCTGCCAGGTCCTCAAACTCGGGTGGCCACACAGTATGGCGATGTATACGGACTTGGACAAGAGCGCACCACACTAACACTGAACCGAACAGTGTTTAGTAACTCATTTGATTCTTTAACCGATGGAGGTGTTGACAGTCCTAGAAGGCTTGTTTAGGAAATAGTCAATATTTATTAAAATACTCACAGTGGATGTGCTCAAATCTAACTGTATCTAATGCAAATACATGCCACAGGTCGATGATAGGACCAAGAAATCAGACACGCTTTGGATGTCTACCATATGAATAATTCTAACGTTGTAAACAGATGATATATGGTGCTTTATGTGCTGCTAAGGTACTATTGAACAATTTCTTTTACTATTTGAGGTGGATATAGTTGAATGAGCTCTTGGGAACAGTACGTGTGCCGTACGTGTGGCGCTTGTAGTTGTACTCCTCAATAGTGACCATGTCCCCAGAAACCTTGGCGACCCACACAACATGTCCGAACTTGCTGCCACGATCGGTCTGGCCCACAGCTCCCGGCTTAGGCGTGTTATTTACAGTGACGCCTGAGGCACGCGCCGCATCGTCCCACTGGTTGGCATTGCCCCAAGCATTGCCCTTGTAGCGGTTGTGGAAGTTGATTCCCAGACGCGAGTTGATGCGCCAGGCAACGAAGCTGACACACTGGCACGAGTAGTACCGCCATTTGTCGACGATGTCGCATCTTCCCTTGTACGGGTAGTCGTCGGCCATTGGACCTGCGGACCCCGATTCACCACCGCCACCGGTGTTTCCGCTGTCGTTGCCTCCACCAGTAGTACCACCATCAGTGTTGCCTCCGCCAGCAGACTCGCATTTGCCAACGACATAGCCACTGGTGCCTGTTTTAATATAGTAGTCAGCGACATAGCAGCCATGCTGTGTCTTGCCCCAGAGTGATCCGCCCTTGATAACTTCGCCAGAAGCCTGGCACGAAAGGGTGACATCATCGCCAGTGTTGTATGTGCGGGCAACGCTGTTACTGGTTCCCGGACCAGTGCGACAGTTGACACCATTGCCCTTGATGGCATAGCCAGAGACAAGCTGTGACGAAGCGAGGAGGGTAGAAACGCTGAGCGTGACGATAGCCGAGAACTTCATTTGGGAGTATAAGCAAGTATATTTTTTGTTGAAATGATTTTTGTTGGTATGGTTTGGAAGTCTTTTGAAAGGATGCCAGTGGGGGTTTTATATCCGCCACCAGTGCACCGTCGGACCATCTATTTTTGGAATAGCATCTTTGTTGCGATGGATCCTAGAGAACCTGCTTACTTCAAGTAATACAGTCCCTATCGACCGGTTTCTGCAAAAGAGGAGCTAGCCAAAAGCCTGATCTGTATTCAGCAGAAAGGAGAGAATGTAAAAGGACACTTGTTCTAAGGAACTTCATGACAGTTCTATTTTTGGACATGCATAAAGAAGTATCAGACCGGTTTATCCATCAAGGCAGCGCATGCATGCATCAATTTTGCATGCCATGCAATTCTATGACTACGCTGATTAGTTTATTTTTAGGTCACAATCCCTCACAGCGACAGAAACCCCTGCTAAGCATGCTGCCATAAGCAGTTATTTATAGTCCATCTCGTTAAGATTTGCTGGTTTCAGCCTATGACCGAAATAATGAATAGATTATCAATGGCAAAATAACAAAAAGAAACGTGGGGCCTGCAGGAGTCGAACCAACAACCTTTCGCTCTGGAGGCGAACGCGCTACCATTGCGCCAAGGCCCCGCGCAGTAGTTGCACTCGCGGAATCTGAAACTCCGCCACAAAAAATCAGTACAGATGAGCATTCGAGCGCGTCACCCCAGAGGGGCGTCTAATATCTATACTGTCACAGCCCCACTAGATATCTCCATTGGTTCAGCACAAGAGCTGCTCTCATTGTCGGTCGGCCTGATAACTTCCATGGCGTCATCATGGTGGTCATCACTAGCTGCGCAACACTTTTAGGATATTTATCTATGAGCACCTATTGAATAAGGCTATATAGCTCTTCTGGTGGTTATGCAATATTTGTGGGTTTATTTTATAAATTAATTTGTCTTATGAACATGCGTAAGCGGTAGTATTTGGGCCACAATGGACCCAGTCTGTATAGACTGATTCAAGAGACTGTATCAGTGCTAAGGGCCCTAAGAACCATGCAAGCCAGATAACTTTTAATAAAGAGTTCTTAATGCTATGCATCTGCAATACAGCAAAACTGAGCAGCATCATTTCTCTTCTTACTTGCCTATTGAATTTCTCAAATGAATATTACCCGCAGCACTACTGTCATAAAGACATCACTTGGTGGTATTGGCTTCCGTGATTCTATGTTGCCCCGCCTAGAGCAATTTGTACACAGCGTCATTATCATCAAAGAGCATACATACATGCTTGCACGATGGATATTACTCCATCAACTAGCTGACGATGATGCTTTTGACCCTTCAATACTTGTGAAAAAGGGATTCTTACGTTTTATGTATTCATTTATCACAACCTGAAGGCAGATGCGACCATATCTGCCAAGGATTTCGTCAACCGGAAGGACAGGCCAGAGCTGTCGAATGCAGATTTCGGTGATGTAATTAGATATCATATTTATGCCTATCTATTACATAATGGCAATATCGAGCTACATGGTGTATGCGACATGAATCAAGTAGCAACATACATGGATACCGAGCTGATGACAGCATACAAGAACAACATTGTGTTGCACTATGGCACTTGCCTACAGCGGATTCTGGCCAAATTGATTGATATTCGCAGCCGCAAAAACACACAGCACAGCACAATGGGCAATGTGTCCAAGGCCGAGTTCAATAATGCATGTCAAATGTGTGTTTATACACCTGCACAGAAGCTCCGCCAGGCAGTTGCCTCTAGGCACCCTGATCTCAGTGTGCTCACCCCACCGATGCTTGCGATCTACAACAAGCTGGCACCAGTCCTTAATGCCTATGATGCCAAGTACAGATTCGCCAAAGACAGCCGATACTATGATGCCAAGGTAAATCCACTCAAGCATCTGCGTGCATACATTCGCCTATGCCAGCTTATCGAGAATGAGCAGCTTGGCAAGTCTCCCCCCAATGCTTGCCTCTGCGGACATCATGGATCCCAGGCCATGTGCGCTTAGACAAGCAAATAATCAAGCAGGTGTTTATTTCGAAAACACGTGAGCAGGTTACAGAGGTCAACGCAGCAAAGCGGGTAGCAACAGAGGCAAGGAAAGCAGCAGAAAATGGTGAAAATTGGCCAAGAAGGCTGCACACGAAGCAGCAAAGATGCCATCAGATGAAACAGAGGCCGCTGCAGCAACTGCAGCAGTAGCAGCAGACATTCCCGCATGTTCCCAACCCGCGGCCCTACCAGAGATCGAAGAACCCAACTGTGAAGTGCCATGGCCTTCTCCGCTGTACAAGCGAGTCATGTAAGCGGACCATGGCGCAATACAGGCGAGCCTATTCGTCTCGGCTCTTGAACCGCGATCTCGCAGCAGTTCTAAACTTCAGACTCATTTTCCAGTCACTCTGTGATTCAGGCAGTATTCCTGGACGGTTCCGTCGTTCTACGGCCATTGCTGCCAATGCTTCTGGCACCACTCTGGCAACAAAGAGGCCGCGCAAGAGGCGTGCAGCAGCAGCAGGCTATTCTGCTGCCAGCAGCAGCGAACCAGCGCTGAAGCGCTTGCGATGAGCAGGCCATCAAGATGGGAGATGTCCATGACCGCCATTGCACCAACAACCATCCGACACGTTCAAATGATCGGTTCGCCGTGATGCTTTTATCGACGTGCCAACCCATGCTGATTAGCAGCCGAGTTCGCATCGCAAGCAGAGTATTTCTAGTAGCTCGGTAAAGATCATCACACCTGCCCGGTTCCACACAGACGAGGTTTGGCCGGAGTCGTATTCAGCAGCTATAATCTGCTTTATTGGTCCGAAAGCTCACAAGCCAAGCCGACAATCATGTCGAAAAAAGAGGGGAGGAATGGTAAACGCGAACCCGCATATTATTGCAATGTCGATTATTTTTCAGACGTTAGCTTGCAACATTGACACAAGCGATTGTCTATGAAGTGTGATGTGCGTTCATGTTTCCTTTTTGGATGTGCAGTTAATATTACAATTGCTTGTATCATATCCAGGTGGAGCGTTTCCTAGTTGGCTGAAATGTGCGTTTTTCTTTTTTAGCCAACCGTGCTGGGTGAGGAAATGGCACCCTGGTAATGCTTGATCTATTCATTGTTGGTTCCTTTTCAATAGGGAATGGGGGAAAGGACTCCGCATTTCGAACAGACACGAAACAGGTTTTCAGAACATTCCACAGCTCAATGCGTGCATGTACTGGTCACTAATAGTGAGATGTGCAAGTGATGGACTGGTGATTCTCTGTTATTTCCTGAGCTCAATAAGCAAATCGCTAATTTGCAACATGCCTGAGCGGTGATTCGCGAGCTCAGATGGTGGTGAAGTATGAGTCCGCTCGCTGGCGGTGTCTCCTAGCCGAGTGCCCGTGAGTGAACCAATGTGGCTCCTCCCACTGAGAACAGGGAGGAGACACTGGCTTTCTTTTCAACATCGCTTTGTTTTTATTTTATCTTTTGCTTCAAGGATTTGCTCAAAGGGCGACACGCCGGTGGCCGATGATATCCCGGGACTCCCACTGCTAGGCCATTAGCTGTGGCTTGCAATAGTGCGACTAAGAGATGCAGAAAGAGATGGAGGCAGGAGAGCAACAGTGGATCAGCTGTGGCAGGAGATAGAAAAGGATTCGTAGTGTCGGTGTATGGCACTCCACTGGCACAGCATTGAGCACGCTTGCCAGGATCACCTGCATGAGTCGCCTCTGCCCAGCCACAGTCGTGGTGGAGGGGGTCCACAACTCCAGTATAAAAGGCTGTGGGTGTGGCAAGTGCCTTCATCTAGCAGTAGTGTCTTGGACTCCATTATTTTTCTACAAATCCATTACATTTATTCCTGTTTCACGCTAGCCTCTTTATTTGTCTTATGAGAGCGGATGAGCATATAAAACAACGATCTCAAGCTACCACCACTGCGCTACCACCACAAGACATGTCTGCTACCATCTTCGACTACAACCCCAACATCTTCTTGCCGACAGCATTTGAAATCTCCCCTGATGCCTCGCTTCCGATGAATTTTGCAACCATGCAGCTTTCCACGCCGCCTGGGATATCTGAGACCCAGCTGAGTGTATATGCACAGATAGCTCGCATGGCTCATCTGACAGCTTTCCACACTGGTCTAAATGGCGACGTAACTCTGCCGACAATGTCGCCATCGCTAATGACACCTCTGGTTCCGCTGTTCAACCGCCGCATATCGTCGTCATCAGCCGCGCCACGCCTGATGTCTCCGCCAGCCTCGGGGATAATGCCTGGACTACAGGACGGTGTAGTGTTCAGCGATATCCCATTTGCCTTCTCACCAATAATCAGCGCAGCAGCCACCAACCCAGTACTTGTCCCGCCGGTTTCTCCTACAGCTGCCACATTCACCAGACGCCGCCGCAACGCCATCCTCGTTAGCCGGCCGGCTGGTGCCCACAGACCGTGCAGTCCAGAGAAGAAGAGAATGAAGAAGTTGTCGCCGTCGCCATCATCGCCATCACCACCGCTCTCTGGACAGCGCCGGATGTGCAGAGAGCATAGCAGGAGCCCTGGTCCGTACGAATATGGCAGGATTGGTTCACGTGTGTACACGCAGGAGGTGAGCAATGTTCTCAACGAGTGGCTGGATGCGCACAAGGACGATCCGTATCCGTCGGCCGGAGCCAAGCGGCAGCTGATGCGCGAAACCGGGCTGACAAAGATGCAGCTCAAGAACTGGTTCTGCAACGTGCGCCGCCGCAAGCTATCGGGCGCTATCAAGCGGTCGCGCTCGACCAAAAAGACTACTCAGTGAACTCAACGACAACATGCATACTGCTTGCATCGTGCAGTTATTTGCTACAACGCAGCATTCTGTTTTGTTCTGTCATTTTTATTTTGTACCATTTAAAATACCGACTTACGCACCGTCTTCATCACCTGTCTCACATGCTATCGCCATTACTCTTTTGCGCAGCACCATAACCAAAATAGCAAGTGCCTAATTATAGATTGCGGTGTCTGACCCAATCTGTTGGTGGAGGGGGCTCAGATCCCGGTAATGTGCGCAAAAAATAATGGGCTGTTCCTAAAAATACTCAGGCGTGTATGCCGCTTGCACATGAAGGTCCGTCGAGTATGCCCCAAAGCAAAATAAAACGCCAAGCGTCAAGAGATAGAAAGGAGCTAGAGGCAAGAGCTAGTGGCCAGCTCGAAAGATATCAACTTCTATAAAAAAAATTAGGGAGGCGCTGTTGGTAGTCGATTTGCGCAAATTGGAACGGCAATGACAACCGATGCGGATGTATAGGGGATAAATATCACCGTTGTTTAAAAATGATAGATCGCATGCATGCTGCAGCCTGGCCCAACGTGCAACATGATCTCCCTGAGGCACAGGGGATAACGGCGGTGGCGGTGGAGGTCATGTATAAATATCCTGGCCGCTGCAGAGCAGAGCAGTCCAAATGCCGTTCGCTTTTTCCTGGTCCACATCGCCCCCTTCGTCCCCTTCTCCGTTTCACCGACCATATCCTCGTATTTATACTGCTTTCTTGTACATTTGTATTCCCCTTTTTCTTATTCTCATTATACATATCGCTTTACAACCTTCCCTGGCGATAGACATGTGCCATTCATTTCTCTCAAAGCTGCGCCTGGACGCCGCCCGGATATTCTTCGTGTGCTCATACTGCAGCAAAACGTACTCGTCCTACGAGGAGTGGCAAGAGCACACGGCGCTCGCACACCAAAACTCATTTCCGTACTGACCCTAGCCACTGGTCGACCATTGCGTCGCCGAAAACAAACCTTAGCTCGCGCTCCGCCGACTGCATCGAGTCGGACCCGTGAAACGAATTGCGGGTGTCGGTCAGGCCGAAACGCGCACGTAGGGACGCCGGCTGCGCCAGACGCATGCGCACTGGGTGTGTCAGGCCAAGCATGGCGCGCCAGTCGGCGATTGCGTGCGGTCCGCGCAGAGCCATCGCCAGGATCGGCCCACTGGTCATGTAGCCGACCAGGCGGCCAAAGAAGAAACGGCCCTGGTGTTCGCTGTAGAATTGTGTGGCGCGCGCAGTCGTCCAAAAGTCTGTTTTCTGGTGGATGATCGATAGTGCTGGGTTTGCTGATATCTCGTGTATGATCTGCTGTACTGCGGACGGGTTTGCGAGCAGGTCGGGCTTGAGCAGGGCCAGTGTTAGCTGGGGCTGTGCCGAGACTGCCTTGGTCGATAGAGTCCGAATTGCACAGCTCATTTGATTTTAATGTAATATGATAAGAAGTAATATTCGACAACAATAATGTAGTGACTTTTTTTATAAAAGGAAAACGAATCTGTAAATTTTTTTAGAGGTACCCATTGCCGTTTCTTTTGGGAAACCCGCTCTTTCACGCCTGACGATCAGCCGATCGCCTCGATACCACTTGGTACTCGCCGTTCGACAGAGTCTGTCCAATGGAACCGATCTCAAACTCCTCGTCAGCACCATCCACGTCTTTATGCAGCTTGTTGCGTTTTAAGTACGAGATATGGAATCCAATTGCGATGCTCACCACAGTGACTACGAGCGCCAGCACTCCTAGCATTATCGGCAGGTCCCACGTGTTCTCAGTTGCTCCCGGCTCGGTCTGTTTCCTGCATACGCGGATAGTAGTAAACAGCGGCAGAATCAGCATCAAAATAGTCAACGGAACCGACGCCAGCCCCCACACTGCGGCGGCAGCGATCGGATTCCGGATCCGTTGCCGCAGGAATGCCCGCCAGGACGCCAGCCTCTCCATATCGTCGTCGAGCAAAAGATATCCATAGGGAACGCACAGCGCTGCCACGACACGGGCAAACAGAGGCACGGTGCACGCAATTACCTTGACGGTCGGCCCGCTCACCAGAGCTACTGATTCGTCGCGGTGGATGATGGCAATGGGCACGAATAGCAGCCAGCCAATGATGGGGAGAAATGCGTTTGTGCGGCTGATGAGCCAGAACCGGTGGTTGCTAAACTGGCGCAAAGGCACCGAGTAGCAGAGCCATGCAAAGAAAACAGGGATCCAGAGCGCCTGCAAGGGGCGGTCGTGCGGCGGCCAAAAGTTGTCTGCCATCCAGCGCTTAATCATGCCTGCGTCCATGCTTGTGGATTACGTAATTGGGAGAGTCGGAGGGAAGGGAGGATAGCAGAAGGAGGTTGCCAGGGATTAATGGGCGGGCTTTTTCTGAGGATACGAGGAAGGAAGAAGGCGTATTTGGAGGGTCGTGTGTCCGTGAAAGGGAGGGAATCTTGTATTCAGGGAGGGAGCTGGGTGGCGTGGAGATGGATAAGACACAGTGGCATGTAGGGAGGCTACGCAGGCCATATAAATGGTGCTCACCAGGAGCAAACACGAGCAGGAAACCAAACAGCACCGCAAGTCACATACGTCGGACGTCTTGGCGCAAAGTTACAAGCAGTGCCCGATGATCTTGTATAAAAAAATTACTTGGCAGCATGCTGAATAATATGCACTCCTTTCGCCAAGAGCGTGAGAAGTCTCTGTTTAAACTAGGGAACTCCGGGCATGAGTAACATCCAGGAACATCCTGGCACCTTGGCAAAGGGGAAAATTACTCGAAATGTACCTTGCCTGTCTTCTTTGCCAAGTACTCTAAAGTGATCCGAAAAAAACCTGACTATGCAATGCATGGGGCGCCAAGTAGACAAGATGGTCTCAAAAAGGTGTAAATCGTAAACAACACAGATAAGAATAAACGGTCTCAACAACAATAAAAAAAAAGCCTGAACCGGTCCCTGGTTTCAGTTAATATGCGAATGCTGGCGTCGATGCCCGCCACCACTGGACCAGAACTTGCCTCTGCTGGCCCACCCCGCGCAATTTCTGGCCTTGCGCTTTTCTCTCTCTGTCCTCTGCTCAAACGATACCCACGCCATGATCCGGTTCTCCACGGGGTCTCTGACGCTATAGACAAGGTTGACCAGCACGTTCAGGCACACGGCGATGGCGGTGAAGATAATCCACTGGAACCAAAACACGGCCTTGCTCATCAGGAAGGTAAACACGCCCAGCACATAGTAGCCCTCGGACGGGCCGGACGGGTAGATGTGGCTGAGAACGCCGTTCCACCCGAACCACAGCACCAGCGTCAAAATCACGCCGATATGCGTAAACACCACCCACCGGCGCACGTCGATATAGGCGATCTTGACGGTCGCTATCAGAACCATGGTGCCGTAAACGACCAGGCTGTTGGTGTACTGGTCGTTGGTGGACATGTCGTGGCCCAAATTCAGGCGTGTCGCAAACGGGAAGAGCGAGGCCACGATCGAGTGCAGGAAGCCGATAAACACGACCTTGCGCAAAAACAGCGGCACAGTAAACAGGTGGTTCGCAGGCCCCATGTCCTTGTACAATTCCGGGTACGTCAGCAGGGTCTGCGGCTGCAGATCCTGCTCGAAAATGCCGACCACCAGCACCGGCAGGATGGAAAACAGCGTGTTGTACATGGACAGCGTCCAGCTCTCAAACAAAGACGTGCCCGAGAAGCCCGTGTAGAACTGGAAGATCAGCTGGGTGACGTAGAACGCCATGCACTTGTAGAAGGTGCCCATGACAAAGGTCGACACGCGCACGTAGCTCCACCGGCCGTGCACCAGCAAGAGCTTTTGCAGGAAGCGGAACTGCGCAATCGAAAAGTCGGCTGCCCGGCTCGCCTGTAGGCCCTCCTGGCCCGCAATGCCAATGCCGACATGGGCCTCCTGGATCATGGCGATGTCGTTGCCGCCGTCGCCGATCGCCAGCGTGACCATAAAGTCGTCGTTGTTGTGATGCAGCAGGTTTGCCAGCGGATTCCGGCTCTTCTTGCGCGTCTGCTCGTCGCAGCCACCCTCGCACCGCACGCGCATGTTGTGCACGATCAGGGCCTTTTGCGCTGGGCTGACGCGCGAGCACACCACGGCATCGCACAGTGTGCCCAGCGACAAGAACCTGTCCAGCAGCTCCGGGTGCTTCTCGAGCTCCGCCAGCGTCTCGCCATCGACCACCACCGCCAGCGACGCGTCTGAGTTCAGCTTGCCATTGTCGGGCTCCAGCAGCGGCTGCTGCTGCTTCGCCTGACGTACAGCCGTTGCTCCGGATGTCCGCCCAATGGCGGAGTCAGAAATCTGGTCTGCTCCGCCAACCACAGTGGTCGGGGTGCCCTCGTGGTCAGCAGAGACCGGTGACTCCAGATACTCCCTCTGCTTCCCCGCTGGGCCGTCATCTGTGGTGTCCCACACTGGCGCCTGCAGTGTCGCGTGCTGGGCGTTCAGTGGGGCGCCCACAGCAAAATCGATATCGTCGTCATCGTCGCCCTGCTGCTTTTCAAGCACAGCGGGCTGCTTCTCGCGCCGCCGTCTCCTCATAGCGCCGCCATCGCGGAAGGCCCGGAAGACATCCAGCTTCGATCCAAAGGTCTTGAGTCCACGCATCATCTTCTGCATACGCGTGCGGCGCTCGAACCGCTCATCGGTGGACTCGGGCAGGCGCTGGGCAACATCTAGGGCCTGGCACAAAACTTTCTCCAGGCGCTCGTACTCGCTGACCCCCTGCATGACCAGCAGCAGCATCTTGCCCGAGTGCTGCTCGACCGTGTCGGCATCAAGCCGAGTCACCTCCACGGTGTCGGTGTCGATGAGCCGGCACGACTTTGCGATATTGATGGCGGTCTCGACCTTGTCGCCGGTCAGCATCCACACACGGATGCCAGCCCGGCGGAGCTTGAAGATGGTCTCGGGCACGCCGTCCTGCAGCCGGTCCTCGATGGCCGAGACACCGGTAAGCAAAAGGTCGTTCTCGATCTCCTCGCACGCCAGCTCGACTTGCGCCTGGCGGTTGGCCAGAGCCGTGGTTGCCGTCAGGTACTTGAGATGCCAGGCTTCGTAGACTTGCGGCTGGATCTCCTTGTGGGCATACACTAGCGTCCGCAGGCCCTCGGTCGAAAACTGGTGCAGGGCCTCCAGCGACCGCGCCCGTGCCCACTCCTCCTCCTCCCGCGTCGGCGTCACAAACGACTGCGGGATCTCCGGCTGCCCCTGGTCCATCACATTGACGCTGCTGGCAATGCTGTCGCGCGAGTCCCGCAGAACCCCAAACACATTCTGGTGCGTCGGATAGTCGATCTCGTCGGCTGACAGATGGTCGCCAAATAGCCCGGGCGGTGTAATATCGCTTTCCTCGCCCAGCCGCGACGCTGTCCGCCGCGCCTGCACCGGCGTGCTGACCAGGGCAGATTTGAGGAACTTGTCGATGTCGGCATTGCTGGCCTGCGACGACGTGCGCGAATGCAGGTAGGCGGCGCTGGGCCGCGACAGCGTGCGCTTCAGCGGGTAGCCAGCCGGCTTTGGCATAAACGACTGGGAACTGCTCGGGTCCGACACAAGCACGCCGGGCTCCACCAGCCGCGGCCACAGTGCGGAATCAGCACCCTTGGACACCATGACAATGCGGCCGTCCGGACACCGGTAGATCACCGACATGCGCTTGCGGGCACTCGAGAACTCCAGCACATCCAGAACCTCGTAGTTGCCCAGCCGGTCGGTTGGGTCGGGCGCCGGAACGCCGCGATCGAAGCTGGCATCAAGCTCGCCGCCACCCACCAGGGCGTTGAAATCTCGCATCCGCTCCGACGCTACCACGCGCAGCTGCACCAGGGGCCCGGCGCGGTTGTTCATCACGTAACCAAGCTCGGCCGCCGCCGCCACCAGCGCCTTCTCGTCAGGTGATGTCGCCTGGTAACCGGTGATTCGGCCGGTCAGCGGATCGCGGTCTGGCTGCACCGTGTGACACAGCGCCATGCTCCGCAGGAACCACTCGGCGCGGCTGCGGAACACCTGCGTTGGCGGCGCGCTCTCCATGATCTCACGCGACGACGGCAGAAGCTGCAAGTCGGACACCGGCGCGTCGTCCTTGGCTCGCGTGTGTTGCCGCGGGTCGTCGTCCGAGGAGATAATCAGGTCCGGATCCGACTCTGGCGTCCCCTGGCTCTCGACATCTGCATCATCAGACGTATCGGTCTGGTGGTCCAGCAGCGTCTCCGTCTCAAGGACAGTCGCGGGGGTGGCACTCGAGTAGTTGAACGACAGCGGCGTGTTGGGCCGCGACAGCGAATCCTCGGCGGTGGGCGATCTTAATACAGAAGCCGACAGCCCGCGTGAATGCTGGCTCAGACTCGAGCTCTGCCCGCTGTTCAGCCGATTAGTCACCGCGAGCTGCTGGAGCGTGCGTGACATTGTCGGATGTCCAGGCAGACTCTGCTGCCGCCGATGGTGCTGTTGCTGGTGCAGTCTCTGCGTGCGCAGTACTGGCGACATCGACCGGTCCCCGTTTCTGGGTGAGCCGTCGTTGCTGTTATTTGGCTGGGGCGTGGCATTCTTCTTTCTGGTCGGTTGCAGGCGGTCGAGATCTATATGCAGATACGAAAACCCAGCAACCATGACAGCGCGCAGCTTCATGATGTTCTCTGTCAGCGTACCGGTCTTGTCGGAGAACACATAGCGCACCATGCCCAAGTCCTCGTTAATCGCTGTTGTGCGGGCCTCCGCATGCGTGTCGGTCTCGGCATGGTACATGTCGACGTCTTGCTGGATGAACCAGCACTGGAAAATCTTGACTGCCTCCAGGGTCACGTACAGCGAGATCGGAATCAGCGCATTCATCATGACAATGTACCCAAAGACCAGCGCCGTGGCCGGCATACGCATGTGGTTCAGGTACCAGTGCCCATGGCGCTTTTTGTTGTTCCAGTGGATGCCCAGCGCCGAGAACACAAAACACAGGGCCAGCAGAAGCAGAAACACCAGCACCACGATGCGGTTCGTGATCCGCTGCACCTGCGGCGCCTTGGTGCGGATATTCCGGGTCGCATTCAGCCGCAGCCGCGTCTGCTCGCCCGAATACACTACCTGGGCATACACATATGCGGTATTGCGCAGAACCGAGCCGCGCAGAAGCAGCTGGTTGGGCGTCAGCGCATAGCGCTCACCGTTGACCTCCATGAACCCTTCAAAGTTGTACAGCTCGGCCGACGGCGGCTCCACATAGGTGAAGGCATTGAAGGCCGCCAGCTGCTCGGCTGTCTGGATCTGCGAGTTGGTCGCCTCCAGCGCCTGCTTCTGCTTCAGCGTGGTCTCACCGTCCAGTGCTGCTGTCTCAACAAAGCACGTGCCGTCGAATCCCGTCGACGCAATCACCACGCAGTCAGCGGGAATCCACTCGTCCTTGACAATCATCAGCATGTCGCCAACTTGGACGTCCTCCCACTTTTTGCGCTTCCACCGGCAGCTCATGTTGTCGGGCAGGGGGTTCTCAGGCAGCTCGTCGTCACCGATGGCCGACTGCTCCTCAACCACGTCGTTGAAGGCTACTGTTGGACCGGTGCGCTTCGGCGGCGGCTGGACCGGCAATGCAGGCATGCTGAGGTCAGTGCCAGGCGTCATTGATATCCTCGACAGACCGCGGCGATGCGAAAACGGCGTGTGTATGGCGCTGCCCTCCAGGATGGCCTCTAGATCCTCGTCCCCGTCCTCGTCCTCGTTGTCCCTCCGGGTATTATGGTTGTTGGTCGTCTGGTTGCTGCGCCAGCTGCGAAGGCTGATGACTCCCTTGTTCAGGCGCGCTCTTAGTGTCTCCTCATTTCGCAGCTCCTCCTCGTCGTCCGAGTCCTCGAGCTCGCGCTGCTTCCGCCGCTTCTCTGCCAGCCGCGACACAACCGCTTCCTTCACCGTCGACCCTATCCGCAGAGTCGAGCCGGCAATGCGCTTTGCCCTATCCAGCGTCGACCGCCCCAGCTCATGGATGCTCTGCGAGCTGCGCATGCGGAAGCTGTGGATGCTGTGCGACCCGCGGTGCCGCAAATCCCGCAGCCGGAACGTCAGCCGCTGCTCCTTGTCATGTATTTTGACTTTCAGTACGCGCGTGCGCTGCGTGTTTTCTGCGTGATCCATGCGGTGTCGCCGCAGGTCATCGAACCCCTCATGTGCTATCGACAGGCTGACAAACACACACAGCGGTAATAGCGTGCTCCACCGGCCCGTAGTCGACCACCCGGGAACCTGCTGCAGCGCTGCGATAAACAGAAAATACACGTTGGCCACCTTGGAAAACTGAGCCGCCAGCTGGGCCGGCAGGAATGTCAGCACGTTGTAGCGCGCGGTCGAAATTGCGTTTTTCGGGTAGTCGTACGAAACCTCGTAGTGCACTCGCTTGGTCAGCGATGCGGGCACCGTAATGACCTCGTCCGGGTACCGCATGCGCTGGCGGAACGAATGCCCACCCATCCAGTCATCTGACACAGGGTCCAGAAAAAACCCTGGGGTGGGAATCGTAATCACCGAGTCAGCCGCCGCCTGCTGTTGCTGTAGAGCCTCGTTGTCGTCAACGTCCGTAGCCGCTGACACACCGCCCTCCATGCTGTGAACTGGCGACAGCATATCTCCCAGCTGCGAGTATCTGCGGGACTCCGACGAGCCTTGCGCTGCATCTCCAACCGACGCCCCGCGCGATGGAATCTTGCCCAGGTGCGAGATCTCCATCGACAGCCGCTTCAATCCTGCCAGAGCGCCGCTGCCAGATCCGTATTCGCGCGACCCGTGGCGCGACAGCCCTGTGGGGATTGACCCGTGGCTGTATCGTCGCGCCCGTCTTGCCCGCACCGCTGCCCGATCACGCACAGCCTCCACAAAGCCACGGGACGTCTGCTCAGCCACCTCCTCGTGCTGATGCTGCCGCTGGTATGCCCGCGGATCCACCATGCGCAGGACTCGTGCCGTCACGCTGCGCAGCCGCCCATAGTGAGGCACTTTGGTCATTTTCCCGCCCTTCGCCATCTCTGCTGCTGTTGCTGTTGCTGGTGTCTGCGGGAACCGTGTCGCCCCACCCGATGTTGGTGATGGCGGCATGCTCTGCGATCCGCCCAGGTTCTGGGTGCGGAGCCGTGTGTCTATCGGAGGCAGGTCAATCGGCCCGCGCATCGAGGTGCGTCGTGCTGCAGATGTGCTGTTCTGCGTGGCTCGCCGGCGCGGAAGCTCTCGCAGCTCCATCGAAGTGGGCCTGCTGCTGCCGCTGCCGCCAGGTAACCCCATGGTTGATTTTTGGTGTGCTTGGTTGCTTGCTAATGAGACAAATGCAATGCTAATAATACGAATATCAGGCGCAATAATAGAAGAAAATCTGGGGTGGGGGTGAGAAGAAAAAAAGCACAGCTGATTGATGGCAAGTGTGGTGGCGGAGAAGAGGGGGGAATTCTTTGGGCCGCGCGCTTTGTCCCTCGTCGCATTTTTTCTCTTTGGTCAGTCAGGCTTTTTTTATATTACTGACCACTGGCACTGCCGGCCGGTAGAGTGGAGTAAAAAATCTCGTTTTTGTCGAGGACCACACACTATTCCGCCCATCTCCTCGGTGTGACAGGCAGTTGCAGGAACAGGATTAAAATCCCTCTCCGCCAATTCCTATTTGCGGAAGGCACAACAGACAACGGTGATAAGGTGGTTTTTGCTTTAATATCTCTACCAAGCCGGCGCCCAGACCTCGCCCATGCATATATTGCGCCTGCCCGATGCTCGCGATCGGCCAATATTTGCTTCCGCCCCATGATCTGTGATGCTCCCCGACATACCCAGTCAACAGCGACCACCAGAAGATCTGGGAGGTGCGAGTGCATCACCGAGAAACTGCCCGCCCCTTCCACACAGAGCAGTGCCGCCAGATCTTGCCTGGGCCGAGGCCGTCAACCCTCTCCCGCAGCTTCTTGGGGAGGCTTCATGCATTCGCACCATCGGAGTTTTAGCACCTTGCGCGTACTGTCTGAACGGCAAGGGGGTGCGCGGAGACATGAGCTAGTTGATACATGCCAAGGCTGGGCGTGTGACCGCCACGCTCCCCTCCCCCAATACTCGCACTGTTTACTCGGCAAATCTCATTGTCGGTATACACTGCTGAATGGACATGATGGGCCAGTATTTAAAGTACGCAGTGCATCCGGGCACAAACAGCAGCACTCAGCCCCTCGCCGAGATGTCACAAACAGCATGTGCCATGTGTATTTGCCGGGTGATGATGGCATGCATGGGACAGTCGTACACACAGCCCAGTTGCGCCCAATCCACCCCTAAAATAAACGCGCCCCGTCACGCGCCCACCTCCCCTCCAGCTACATCATCCATACGCCAGCCCGAACAATACGAAATCAACCTGTTGAAACCTGAGAAATCTAATCAATTGCTCGCCTATGCTGACGCCTCCTCGACAGAGTCCTGGATTGTCCTGGTTGCCACTCCGCCAAGCTCCTCCTTCAGCCCGTTGCCCGGGTAGAAAGCCCTGACCGCAACCGGCTCTGGGCGGGTCTTTGAAATCACATAATACACCGTGCCAATGGTGCCGATGACGCCCAGCCACATCTTGGTCACGCGCTTCCACCCTGGCGACGCATACCGCGTCGGCGCCCACATGTTGAAGATCTCGTCCTGCTCTAGAATCGGCTCGCCAAAGTTGCGCCGCATCTGCCGGTCCCACCACCCGCGCTGGGGCCGGTCCTCCGCGAACCGCTGTGGCAGATTCGGGTAATCGCCGATTTGAGGCTCAGGGTCAACATACAGCTTAGCCTTGTACTGCGACTGGAAGCGCACGCCCATCAGGGCCTGGCGCGCCGGCTGTACGGTACGAATAAGTGCGCGGTTCATTTGTCGAAATATAGAGGGTTAGAAATGATGTGTAGAGAAGAATCAGCTGCCGAAAATTAAAAGAGGACTGTCTGAATTCCACCACCCGCCAGAAAACAATCTCTAGAGATCATAGATAGCGCTGCCAATTCGAGAATCTCGCCTGCAGAGACCCCGGATTACTGATCAGCAGAATCAGCGACAGCAATCAAGCCCAGCCACGTGCTTTGAAGGCAAGTGTGGTGTGACGTCTGGGGTTTGCAGCTGAGGCTGCTGCTTTTTTTCCGGGTTGGTCTGTACTACCACCACCTCAGCATTTCTCTACTTCCACCATCATACACAATGCGGCGCGGAGTAGGAGTCGGCGGGCTCCGGCGAATGGAAGCCGAGCGCGCAGCACTCTCCAGCAAAGGCACAGAGCTCGCCCAGCGGGAGATTTCAAAGCTTCAGGAGCAAATCACGGTAATGCGCAACAACCTCGAGGAATTCGTGCGCGACCACCAGAAGGACATCAGGTCGAACCCCGTGTTCCGCGTGCAAGTCCAGCGTATGTGCCAGGTAATAGGAATCGACCCTCTGGCCTCGCGCAAGGGCTACCTGGCCGAGCTCCTGGGTGTTGGCGACTTTTACTGCGAGCTTGGCATCCAGATTATTGACGTGTGTGTGGCCACACGGGCCCTCAATGGTGGCCTGATTGAGGTCGAGGAGCTGCGACGGCGACTCGAGAAGCGGAGGATACGTGGCAGCGAGCCGGTCATCGAAGAAGACATCAAGCGTGCAATCAAGCAGCTAGCGCCGCTGCATGGCGGGTACCGGATTGTGAGCTTTGGTGACAGGAAGATGGTGAAGAGCGTTGGACGGGAGCTGAACTTGGATCAGACCACTGTGCTTGGTCTGGCCGTGCGTGGCCACTTCACACTGCAGGATGTGCAGAGCGGGTTGGGGTGGGACACAGACAGGATACAGACATGCGTGGACGATATGCTTCGGACAGGCATTGTGTGGGTCGATGAGGGCACCAAGGAGACCGAATACTGGGTTCCTGCGTTTAGTATAAAGAGCATGTAATATGTGAACAACAATTCCTTTTATTTTTTTCGCAGTGGTTCAACCACTAGACGTACATAGCATTAAGATGGAGGACAGGGCTCGGGAAGGAAGAGAAAGTATGCGATGCTCTACAGCGCTAAATTCTCTGCTAACCCGGAAAAGATGTCCAAATGTTCCACGAGGTCCGTAGCAAAGGAGAGGACGTTAGGGCATGTGCAGACAAAGACGCATCACGCATTCATGCCTTAGACCCAGTCACAGACGATGCTGTCGCCGTTGGCCTTGCACTTGGTCTCACCGGGGCAGCTAGTGACGGTGTCCCAGACACCCCAGACGCAGGTCTGGAAGCCAGAGCCATCAGCCGCGCACCGCATAGCACCGTGCGTGCAGGCACCGCCGGCAGGCTGGGTGGGGATGGGAGCAGCAGTGGTAGGGCCAGGACCAGGGGCAGCAGTGGTGGGCGGGACAGGGGTGGCAGTCGGGGCAGGTCTAACCGAGGACGTCACAGCCGGGGCGCTGGAGGTCGGGACAGGGGCCGGGGCCGACGGGGTGTGGCCGACCGGGGGAGCGACCGAGGTGTACGACGGAGCAGCCGAGGTGTACGACGGGGCAGCCGACGACGACGGAACCGGAGCGGGGCCAGTAGAGCCGTTACCAGTAACGGTGATCTGCTTGGCGTTCTTGTAGTGCTCAAGACCGGTGTCGTAGTTGCCGTTGAACTCGGGGATGGTCGGGTAGCCGTTGTGGTTGGCAATGGTGAGCTCCTTGCCAGTGAACGACTTGGACGAGCCCTTGATGGCGACATCAGCACAGTTGCTGTAGAACTCGCGGTTGCCGATGGCGTTGACCCAGGTCCACTGGAACACAGCCTTGTCGGAGCTCGGCAGATCGGTGGGCAGGTTGAACGTGTAGCTCGTCACCTGAGGAGTGTTGCTCGACGAGGGGCCGTTGAAGAAGCAGTACTTGAGCTCCTGGTGGACAACAACGAATGTCTTGCCGCCGTCGTACGACAGAGAGAACTCGCAGTGACCGCCACCGTGGGCAGCCGCGCCAGTCGGGTCAAACTTGACAGTGACCGACTGACCGGCAGTCCATGTCTCAACCGGGGTGTCGTACGGGGTCGTGTACTTGCACAGCGGCTGGCTGGCGCCCAGGGGAGCGTTCAGGTTGTAGTCGACCGACTGGCCCGCCGGGGGAGCAGGGCAGTTCTCGCCGTGCGGGGTCCACCGGGTGCACGGCTTAACCAGGGCCATGTGAGCGGTGGCCGTGGCAACAAGAGCAGCGATAGTAGAGATCTTGAAGAACATTATGTAATGTGATGTGGGGGACAGATGCGTAAGAAAGGTGGTTGTTTTGTATAGCTAGCTGTTTTTCAGGAGGATGAAACGTAGTGAACTGAATACGACCGGCGTAAACGTAGACACAAGCTGAGGGTATACGGGATGCGAAAAGGGGGTGGTAAAAAGAATGAACGAGGTTGTTAAAGAAAAAATCCATTCCGCCAGAAGGACCGGTTCGTGCTCTATTTAAGCTGCTCGCCTGCCTCCATCTCTGCCTTTTGCACATCCCCCGGCCAGGGCACATACTGGCCGCCATCTCTCTGCCAGTGAGGCATGAGCTATTTAGCAGCTGCAGCGGCCTGCCGTTTAGGATCTCGAACTGACATCGAAAGGGAAAACCTCGTGGCCAATGGGCCCCAACACACTCCAAAAAGCGCTCAAACATCGCATTCCTGTGTTGCGCTTTTTCGGCGTCAGGAATAGAAAGCGTCCTTGGAGGATGGCTGGGAGTGTGGAAAACGATGCATGCAAATCCCTGTTGCCGCCATTTGGAAGGCGATGTCATCTACCAGAAGACGGACTTGCATTTCCCAGCAAGCCAGACTGGCGCCGCTGCCAATTGCTGCTGTGCCTTTGTCAGCCTGCGCAGCGGTCTGCGGCGACCCACCCGCAGCTGGCCCACACAAAAATCGCTCAAATGCACCGCTGCAACCTTGGCAGCGGGCGCAAGAGATGTCAACCAGTGAGAGGGAAAGTGGTCCAAAAATAGGACGCTAGGGACGATGTGTTTGCTCCGCTCCCCGGCCTTATTGCAGATCCTCCTCTCATTTCGTCCTGGCACAAAGACACACCCTAGCCCCTCGATCGCTTCTCGCACGCTTGCCGGCTAACCCCCTGCTTCAAGAAAATCAAGACGCTGCCCGACGCACTGCGCAGTGGCGGTGGCCGCATTCTTGCCGGGTGTATGCTGTGCTTGCTAGCTCCTGTTGCAGTGCATCTGGGCCATGGTCAGCTTCTTGCGGGCTATGTGGCCACTGACATGTCGACTGACTCGGCTTTCGTGGAGACCCTTGCCTGGCCTGGTTTGCTGCTTGTTTATCACGCAAATGAGCGACTTCTGCATCGGTCTGCCGCCCACGCGGTCCCGCCAATATCCAAACAAATGGGTCCTTCTGGCCACCAATCTCGTCTCACCTATTGCTGTGGATTTTCTACTTTTTGGCAACCTCGCGACGTCTTTTGTGCGTCCACGGGGTGGATTAGGAGCCAATCCCAAACAAGCCCCTCAAAAACACTGCTTCACGACTCCTTTAACGAGCCCAGTCGGTTGATTCCCTTTTCTGCCAATGTAAACAACTCAGATACTGCTCCTCACAAACGACATCGCGCTTGTTATCGGAGTTATGCACAGGATATGTTGGGGATACGATATGTGAGAAGGCACGGCCCCTGCTCTTTGCACGCTGGTCCACATGGCGGTTTCATTATCTGGCATTCAGCCCACCCTGCCATGCGAACGCCTTTGCTATGTTCTGAAGAGAAAAGGGGCATTGCCGAATTCTGATCTGCCTCGGGCCCCGCAAAAGTACCCGCACTGGCCTCCGTGTTGCTGTTCTCTTGTTTGTAGTTTCATGGCAGCATACGAGCTCATTCCGACTCTACGTATTTGGGAATCGCATGGTAGCCCGACCCTCTTTTAACGCAAACAGACCCGAAAAGCGCACATCCTGCTTTTTCTGCAGCTCAGGCAAACCCATCTTCCACAATAGGCCACCTCCGCTAGCCGAAGCGCTATCGCTATGCCTGTGCTCGGGCAATATCAACACTGTTGATGTTTCTTTTATGGCTGCAGTTCAGTAAGCGAGCAGAATTGCGGGCTGGACACATGGCCATTTGAGCATACGTTATTGTCGTCAGTTCCTAGTAATATATACCGGCTGGGTTCAGCATTGGGCGAACTCCTGATTGATTACCGGCTGCTGGATCAGCTCATGCTTATGCACCACACATGCGCTACACGCTTGTGCATGAGCATGGTGTTGTCTCCTTTTGGTCAACTCAGTGCACTGCCCTCCTTCCCTTTCGGCCAATTTACATTTGTTTTTTGTGCACTCAATGCTTGCATTTATTGGCGGCTAGGCTTTCGACGTTGCCGATTCTATTGCCCGGCAACTGGGGCAGGTTTTCTGGCGCCTGTATGTGTGAAGTATGAGCTCACACCGTTAATATAGTTACTTCAGGAGCGGTGTTGTGCATATACGCCTTGTTTCCTCCTCCTCAAAGTCACTTTATCTACTTTTGTTACCTTCTTAGGTTCCATGTATCGATGGCAATTATGGCGCAAATAGGGTCATTGGAATGCCTCGTGCTTCGCTTCCTCATGTATTTGGGACCAAGGGTATTTTGTTTCGCCTGTCTCATGCCCGCATCGGTGCTCGTGCTTCTACTTTCGCCATTTGGATTGAAGAGATACAATGTGTTTGTCGCCACCAGATTAAGCAGATTAGCGTATATCACTATTGGCACGTTTTACATGCTATTCATCCAATGGGATTCAGGAAATACTTGGGGGCTGGTCAAGTGCACTCTCATGGGTTTGGTTGTATTCGCGAGAAATACCAGCATTAGGGTTGACATGTGGAAAGGGAGGTCAACCAAATTGCCGCTTTTTGCTAATAGGTTTCTCAATATATATGGCGCCGAGCTGAAAAGATACACTAATAGCCACCTACTTGCAATGTGGCAGGTCCATCACACTATGTCTGCCATTATGCATCCTATGAGAGGGTCAGTTATACTCACTGCTTCCTACGATATGTATCTACGGAGCACTAGCAAGAAAAGTCTATTTAGCGGCATATTTCATGTTGTAGGTCTAGAGCACACGGTGGGTGGCGTAGGGCATGAGAAAAAACGAACAAGAAATGAGTAGCGAAAAAACCTTATATGCGAATATGCGTGTAATTTTAGTTTATAGTCAGAACAAATATTCGAACAATAATGTATCGGTCCAAGAATATGCTAGCAGCATAAGCAAAGTATCAATAGAAAGCAACAAAGTCAAGTATTATATTGATGTAAAGAAAGCGGAAGAGAAGAAGGAAAGAGGAGGCGAGCACAAAGGTTTTATACCGTTGCTCAGGTGGCAGAGCCAAAAAGAAAAAAAGACAACAGGATGAAAGACTATGTAGTTCACAGTAATCGGATCTTGAGATTCTAATATTTCAGCTGACACCATTCCCATGCACCCTATCGCTGTCATTAATCTATCTGTTAACCTGGGGAATGAGTGGTTACAGAATATATGGAAAATAATGACTTTTCAAAAATTGACTGAGGGGAAGAAGGAAGGCTGGTCGTCTATCTGGGCCTTTGTACGTATGCGTTTCAGTCTTGTCTATGGTGGCGCAGGGGGACTCCGGACCCCGAATGTCAACACTATCGTTTCCAATTCGGCTGGTAGTTCAATAAAGCCACTAGCACGTGGGAGCCTTTGACAGAATATATCGGCTCGACCTGGAAGAGTCCGTACAAAGCAAATAGACGATATAGAGTGAAAAGTAAATTCGTTTGGTGGATATAAGGACGGCGAATATAAGCAACTTTGCCGTAATATCGGTCGAGGTTCATGCAAGGCATCTTGAAATAGTGTTGCCAGCAGCAATATTCAGAATCAATGGTGGGAATGCGCCAGACATCTTCATAAGCCATGCATCACTCAGGTTTGCGGGCAGCATTGACTTGCCACCAAGAAGGGAAGACAGTGTAGCCAGCTGATTAGCATTCAGGTAGAGGGGCCAGAGGGAGCAGGGTGTCGGTGTTAGCTTTGATTGTGGGTCAGTTCTTATTGACACACTGCATTGTAGCAGGTGAAGTCCAGACAATACAAGCAAAGACAGGTGAGACGAGAGTGGTAAGGAGAAGGAGGGTCTTGGTGAACAGCGTGATGGAGAGAGCGTCCTTAACTAGATAAGAAATATCTAGTTGTTATTGAGAAATTCTTGTTTGTGGTGTATATCAGTGTGCAAGTATGTTCGGATACAGCAAGTAACGGCTTTTGTAGCTTTTTATAACTGCTGGATTGGGATATGTGAAATACGAGAGCAGCCAGCTCAGTGCATCTTCACAGAATACGACCGAGTATCTGGCCGGTATAACGGGGTCGGGCATACGTTAGTGATTGCTGTCGCCGATCAATACCGTCGTATGTCTGCGTCTTTGTCTGCAAAGCGGAAGCAGGTTGCCACGAGATAAATATAGAAGTTCTATCGCAGCACATGGCAACCGCAATAATAATATGCTACCTTTCTAGTAATGTGTTTGGGTTTGAGCAATTTAGGTACCCTCCTTTGCTGCGTTGATGCCAGTCAAGGAAGCCCTGTCCCCCGATGCGAGCAAATTCGATGGCCGACAAGCGATCTGTTGTGAGAGATGTGTCATAAGATGCTTAAGGCAGTTGGAAGATGTGAGTACCAAGAAAATTCACTCGCTGGCACAGGCTTCAATACTAGCTAGCAAAAAGGTTATGATATCCAATTTGAAAATTTGCTCAAACAAACCTACAAAGAGTGGGCTTAATAGTAGAGCGGAATTATGGTAGAATCGGCCCTGGGCAACCGGTGCTCTGTGCAAATGTGCCAGGCTAAAATTAAGTGGAGGTGGCCAGGCAGGCATTGATGATGTCACCAGCAATAACGTCCAGGAGCGAGGGCGGAATAGCGCCAGGCAGCTGATGAAGCCACGCGTCGGTGGGGTTGGAGGGCAGAGTCGACTGGCCCGACAGCAGGGATGACAGGGAGGCCAGCTGCTCGGGGGTCAGGAGCAGAGGAGCCGAAGGGATGAGCGGGTCAGCCTTTGCCTTGATTTCAGCCCAGTGCTGCTTGGCACAGGCGAGGGTAGCGGGTGAGGTCCAGTCGATATCAGCGAGGGCAGCCGAGGCAAGGGCAGCGATGGAAACAAAGATCTTAGTGAACTGCATGGTGGAGGTTATTCTTGGGTAGACAGCGAAGAGTAGCTTGGGTGTGTGTTTATGACAATTTGGAATTGGGGAGTGGAGGACTGGTCTTATATACCTGCTAGCCCACCAAGTCCAGAGCAAGGCAATAGCAGCCATGGTCCATTCACCCTATGGCTCGGGGACGCACCGCTTACAAATTTGCAACACAGCTGCAAGATGGCACAGTGCACAAAGAATTGTGCAAATATCTGCTATCCTAAAGAGAATTGCACAGTTGGCTGATGCTTAGGACAGATTTACCATATACAAAGGATGAGGGCAACCTGTCTTGGGAAACTCCAATATAGATCCACCAGTGCATGCAAAAAGATTGGATAAAACTTGAATTGGACAAGCTTCATGTCTATTCACGCTCACTCGCATCGACTTTTTGGCACAGAGCGGATTGCAAATAAGTTATACAAAGTCCAATACTTCTCACCAGCACATTGGTGACTTGGCCCTACGGATGGAGACCACCACAACAGACAGGCATTCCCCGAATGCCGCTGCGCGCGAACTGGATTCATTGCAACTTGCATTCAGGTATATAGGTTGCGTTGTCCAGCTGCTCCACACTTGGCCAGGACTGTCCTCGTGTCATTCCGGTCTGTCCCTTATATGCAGCTTCACGAGATATGGTCGTTGGACAAAGACCAGACGAGTAGAATTTCCCGCAGAGACCAATTTGCCTTTATGCACCGAAAAATCCATATAGAAAACTGCTTGCGTGGTCGCTGCGCCTACCGCTTTCAGTACTCCAGGCATGTAAATTAGCCTATAGTAAGTACCTGCCCACGGCTCAAGTCATCAGCACAGCATGCCTGAGCTGCTGGAGTTAGCTCCATGCTCCGGGTCACCAATATAACGCGTTATTTTAGGGGAAACAGATGCTCTGAGCTTTTGAAATTAAAACCATATAGTGTAACTTCATCCGGCACCAAGCTTGTGCCGAATTCGAATGTACTGTCAGAGAAAAGGAAGCAAATAGCAGAGGTACTCAGCCCAGGAACAGTGTGCCATTAATTTCCACTCTTGTACGAGCGTCAATGCAGGTTGTAGTAAAAGTGAATAATAGCAGGTCGCTGATATTATTTAGGACATTGACCCAAGGCTTGCAAGGACGACCCAGTCCAAGAGGTAGGCTTCAGACAGCAAGCTGCGAACCGTGGCCGGCTTGATGTTGTTGAGGATATAGCCACTTTTGCAAGCAGTACAAAGCAGTTGCTTTATTGGCCACTGTCCGCTGCTTGATACAGCGTGTCCCTTTGGATTGTCACACGAAATGCACCGACATGAGAAATACATAGCAATGGTAAAGGGTGTGCGAGTTTGTAGGATTATCTGCAGCCAAAAGGATTCCCTACATCGGCAAGCAGGAGGTGGAGTATTCAGAGTCCGAAGAAGGCAGGAATTCCCGCACACGCTTTTCTTTGCAGGTATACGCAAACGGAATACCCTGGGAAATGCGGATTGGGGTTAGGAGATGAGAGGAAATATGCATTTCGCAGTTCATGGGAGATAGCATAGCGAACTACACTCGCTTTCGCATTGAGTAATATCATGTCTGGCAATGTACACACAGCCATTAAATAAATCGACATGCATGATCTGAGCTGGGTAACGGTCGATAAGCACTTGTTTTGAACAGGACTATTATTCGAATTGCACAATGTGTGGGGCAGCTTAGGCATTAGCCAGACACTCCTATCTAGTAGACCTTCTTGAACAGAGCTTTATCACACATGAAGGCATGTGGCTAGAGGTTAGCGGCATGGCTATCTAGTGGCCGCACTTGGGAGGAGCCGTCGAGGTAGGGGTGGGCGCGTTGGTAGTGGGAGCAGGCGCCGTGGTGGTGGTACCAGGAGCCTTGGTGGTAGGAGCAGGTGCCGAGGTGGTAGAGGCAGGGGGCACATAGGTAGCCAGGCAGTTGGTGATGATGGTACCGCTGACAAGGTTCAGAACGCTGGGCGGGATGGCGTTGGGCAGCTCCAGGAGCCACGCGTCGGTGGGGTTGGAGGGCATGGTTGACTGGCCCGAAAGAAGCGACGACAGCTTAGCACGCTGCTCGGGAGTCAGAAGCAGACCAGCCGAAGGAAGCAGGGGGTCAGCCTTTGCCTTGATCTCAGCCCAGTGCTGCTTGGCACAGGCGAGAGTAGCGGGTGAGGTCCAGTCGATGGCACCGAAGGCCGAAGCAACGAGAGCGGTAACAGCGATAAGGCTCTTGAACTGCATTGTGGATTTGTTGTTCGAGGGGTGGGTACTAGAGGGAATTAGGAGAAAGATGTGGGTAGAAAAGTATACAGGTTCTGAAATTGACTAGGCCGTTGGTGGTGGGCCGGCAATATCGGTATTTATATGCCTCCCGTATGGAATGACGGTGCATCTGGAAAGGCAAGGATCATGCAAACAAATGTGTATTCCACGGCTCCACCGGCGATTCTGTTGTCGATTGTTCTGCTCATCGCTGCCTGGAGATGACTCGATCGAGAGGCAATCCGGTTTGCGAAGCTGGTCCACTCCGTTCACATGGGATTGCTTGGCCAACCACATAAAACGAGATATTTTTGTGGATAATTTAGAACGAAAGACAAGCGGAGGAAGCAGTGGCCATACACTGCTGGCACGGACTGGTGCATTTCTATGAAAAAGCCTGTACTATGCAGGTTTTCGTTCGCACACATATTCACACCCATTCGCATAGTGCGATTTGAAACTGCCGGTGCGAGGTTGGTGGGAAATGCTCAGCATCCAAATGCTGTGCCATTTTTGGTTGCTGCTCAGGGATGTGACATGGCCATCCTTGGCTAGGTGATGGTAATTGGTGAATGAATACTGACAGCCCCGGCATACCAAAGTCAGAAAAAGGACGCGGGATCCGCACTATCCAAGCAATCGTACAATGCGAAAGGATTCTTGGCTGCCAAAATACATTGCTGGCCAGCTGTCTCAGAAAGAACCTGGCAGGCCAGAGACCGCTTTGTGCGCGTGTCGTCCACTGGGCTTGCACCACTGCGGAAGTATGCATATTCACAAGCTGAAATGGCAAGGGTACACAAGACATCGATTTCCAAGAGGATTGCCAGTAGAAAACCGGTTGTAGCCCAATAAGCAAAGTGGTGGATCCATTCAAGCTCAAGACCAAGCCGAAACGGATTCAGCGCTATACGGCATATAGCACATAAAGGGGGAGCCCCTTCTAGTCCATCCCGATGGCGTAGGCGCCATGCCACACAAATTCCGCACGGGCAATATCCCAACGCAGTGTCATCTTTCCACTCAACAATACGCAGGTGCATGTGCCAGGCGCGTATCCCAAACTGGCATTCCTTGCCCCTACTCTGGCCATCTGCACACTATTCTCTGCAGAGAATTCCAGCGCAAGCAACAGCATATCTCGATTTTGTCTGCAGGCCAGTCCTCAACGAACGTGAAATCAACTCGATAGCCATGCCCTGTCCCTGAGTCCGTAGCCAAGCACTGCATTTCCTCTGGTATCAAGTAGGCAGAGTCTGCTTGTATGAAACGACGGGTCAGGTGGGCATTTGAGACTTCTAAAAATGGGCATGCAGAGGCAATCAGCAGCGAATGCTCGTTGCACACTGCAGCTGAGCTGGCCTTCACATAAGAGCATTTGCCCATGGAGTAAAATTTATATTTTCGTCTAGACCAGCTGACAGCGCTTAATAGGAGTTGGAGGAACTGAGGTGTATAGAGGCACTGCGACCGGCGCTGTGCTATAGAGCGGAGTGGCAACCGGTGCCACAGAACTTGCAGTCTGATGTCCACCATCAACAAGGGCTACGGGGTGTAGCACACTTGGCACAGATGGGACAGGGGGGGTAGTAGGCATGGCAGCAGGTGCGATTGGGGCGGGTGCAGCAACAGGGACAGCAGCAGGGGCAGGTCTTGCACTAGGTGCCCCAGCAGGGGGGCTGGCCACAACAGGCACTCCATGATACCCGGCCGGCGGGTTCGGGTTGGCAGCAGCAGCAGAAGCCGAAACAGCATACGCCCCACTAATGCCCGGTCCAACCGTAACATTCGGCGCATTGTTGTAAAGCTCCAGCCCAGTCTCGTAGTTGCCATTGAACTCTGGAATGGTCGGGAACCCGGGGTAGTTGGCGATGGTCATTTGCTTTGCAGTGTATGCGTTTGATGAGCCTCCCTTGATCGCGATGTCGGCACAGTTGTGATACAGTTCGCGGTTGCCCGATGCGTTGACCCAGCTCCATGAGAACACCACACGATCAGAGCTTGGCAGATTGCTGGGCAGGGTGAACGTATAGCTAAGGACGCTTGCATCGTTGACCTGGCCTGTGGGTTTTGAGCCGACAAAGCAGTAACGCAGCTCCTGGTGGATAACAGCAAAGGTCTTGCCGTTATCGTACGAGACAGAGAACTCGCAGTGACCTCCAGAGTGGACCGCGGCGTGAGGGCGGAAATGGACCGTGACGGGCTGGCCAGCAGTCCACGTCGCAACTGGCGTGTCATAGGGGGTTGTGTTCTTGCATAGCGGTTGCGAGCTGTCTGGAGAGCCGATCGGTGCGTTAATGTTGTAGTCGAGTGACTGTCCGGCAGGAACCGGCGGGCAGTGATCGCAGAATGGCGTGTACCGAACGCATGGGCTGATCATTGATGCATGTGCGGCCACAAATCCTGTGAAGCACAGAATAGATGCGGCAAGCGAGGCAACCGGCCGGTACATCTTGTAGTGTCTTGTAATCGTTCGTCAGGCAAGGGCGGCAAAGTTGGAGCTGGTGCACGATCCAGTCGTGGTGTTAAGCAAGGGCAGAGATACAGGCAAGCCGTCAGCGAATGAGCAAGGAGTTGATTGAAGCTGGATACGCGTCTTGGCAATAATCCATGTGGTGCTTTTATATCTGCCACAAGGTGCAGCCCGCTACAGCCTGGTCTATCTATAGTACCGGTGCAGTACCCGCCACACAATCGGTGGGCTGGCCTGAATTGCAGTTTTCGGGCAGTAGGGCACATTATAAGCAATAAAGGCCGTCAGGTTTCATTGTGTCCTGCGCCGAAACCAAATGAATGCCGATTGTCCTTTCCGAAATGGCAGTCAAGACAGCTTGTGTGCTGCTGCTACTGGCAATGGAAGCATAATGCTATCCGCTATCCGCGGAAACAGTCCTGTGCAAAGCCAAGGCTGCCGAAGGAAAATGGCTTCTGACATCATCGCATAATATGCAAGAAGGGAATGTGTATATTTGGAAAAAATACCACAGTTGGAAATAAAATGCTGCAGCCACGGTTCGCAACGTTTTACTACTATTTCCTGTTTCATTGTGCTGGTTATTTTAAACTCCCCAACCACCGACGCACATGGGAAAAGCCAAGGAGCCGAAAAGTGGTGTGCTGCCACAGCGCGAGACGTACGAGCGGATGAACTTTCTCTACCAGTCGGCCCAGTTCTACGCACAGCTCAGCCAAAATTCCAACCCGGAGACCTCGCTTCTGCCTCTGGCCCGGTTCTACAGCAAGGAAATGCGCTCGATTGCCCGGAAGAGCGTGTCGCGTCTGAGCCCGCATTTGAAACGCGGGATCTGCAAGGTGTGCAGCACTCCGCTGCTTCCGGGAATCTCATGCACGAAGCGGGCCAGCCGTGGTGCCAGGAGACCGCGGGTGACCACCACATGCACATACTGCGGTACGCACAAGTCACTGCCGAGCAATCCAGACTATGTGCTGTTTGTCGACAGACCAGAGCACAAGACAATACATTAGCAAGATGCTTGGCTCCACTCAAGGTGCACATTGGCGATTGACAGCCAAAGGAACATTAGTTAGTAGGTGACACTTTATGAGAATGGAAGCACCCTTGCACAAGGCAGACGCAACAAGCTAGATGAGTGGTAAAGGGGGAATGCGATACTTTAGGATATGCTGGGCACAAACTACAGCACACCGGGAACTAGTAGTTCAGGAGCTTGACAGCCTTGCCTATCATATAGTCGCGACCTTTTTTAGATCGGGTGGCAAGATCACCAAAGCGCAGCCCCCAGGCTTCAGTGACACCACGCTTTTTCCCGAGCGGTACGACGATATTGTTCCGCGTGTAAAAGTAAGGCAATAAGTGCGCATGCGTCAGTGCTTCGTGGCCAGCCTGCACAGAAAGCCTGACGCGGCTGTCGAATCCGTTGTCCATCATGAGGCGAATGTTAATGACAGCGAGTTTCGCCTGCGCACATGCCTTGGCCACATATTTCTCAGAGTCCGGCAGCGTGTTGCAGTCGCCGATGGCAAAGATGTGCGGGTACAGGTCATCGTCCAGCTGTAGCGTGGGGCGTACGTGAATCCGGTTGCGTACGGCGTCTACCAGCGGGCGCTCCCAGTTTGAAGGCGCTAGTGTCGACATATAGCACGTTTCAGGCCGCCCGCCAGTAGTCCAGATAGCCAGATCGCACTCAATGGTCTTGCCACTCTTTGTAGTAAATACCTGCAGGGCATCAGGCGTCACGAAGTTTCTTGGCGAGTTAGGCGAAGGCATCACGGTCTCGCCCAACATCAGACGCACGCCCATGCGCGTGAGCTTTTTCTCGGCAGACGACGCAAAGCTGTCAGCAAGATCCCCGTTCAGCAAATGCTTGCGGTTATGGCCGATTGTCAATGTCTTGTCTGGATAGTGGTCGGCAATCTCTCCACACAGCCCAACACCAACAGCACCGCCGCCAACCACCAGGATTCGCTTTGCGCGCTGGATCGATGCTCTCATTGATGCAAACAGCTCCTGCGCCTCATGGTAGTGTGTCGACTGTACCACAGGCAGCGAATGGTACTGCGAACCCGTTGACAAAATCAGGTAGTCAAAGAAGATCCGCTGTCCGCTTTCCAGGTCGATGAACCGGCCGTGGGCCTGTGCGAGCGTGCCTTGGATAAACGTGTGGCTGGCATTGGGGATGCCAGCGGTTGAGAACATGCGGTCGTATGGAATGCACATGCGCTGTGCATAAGATGGATCAACCATACCACGGATGGCTCCTGTGATGTGGAAGTAGTGTGCGCGCCGCTCTACCAGGGTAACCCGCAGGTTCGGATAGTCGCTCTGTACTAGGTTAAGCAGTGTACGGATAGCCTTGACGCCGGCCCATGATCCGCCAACCACAACAACGTTAATCTCGCGCGCGGACATGTGTATCTGAAGCTACTACTAATGTCGCTAGGAGGGAAGCGCGTGAGGAGAGGTGGCAAATATGTGCGTAGGAGGTATAGGTAGAGGAAGCCTATTTCTATATATCCAGCTAGGATTACAGTGGTCGGAAGAGGGTATGTAGCAGATAATGTAAGAGGGAAAGCGGCAGGAGGGAGAACAGAATGCGAAGAGAGGTAGTCGGTTCTGATAAGGAGCCATGGATATATTTATAAGACTGATGTGGGAAGAGGATCAGACGACGCATCTCCAGCAAGCTGCATAATGGCCCGAAGGCGCAGTGTCGCCTGGAAAAAGCAGGTATACTGTAAAATAGGAAAAATGCCGGGTCCTTCTGCTTTTGGCAGAGCATTCAGTAGGCAATCCTGGCATGCAAAGGTCCAAAGTAATCATAATGAATGACAAGATGCGACACGAGATAAACGAAGACGATCATCGTCCCAAAAAGATAAGCTGAGTGAACTGTATGTAATATGCGTTGGTTTGAAATGCTGACTGAAGGGGTTGAGCTGGTGATTCAGTTTTGCGTCTAGTCTCGGAGGCATCGCACTCCCAATAGAGGCAATGGCGCTGGCAATAATTGTCCTCCACTTTTCTTGTCAGGACGGTGTCTGAAAGCGTTGCTAGGCGGCGTTTGTGGCCGAGTAGATCCTAGTAAATTTACCTCTGTAGTTTCTATTCGTGCAGACGTTGCCATCATCCTGGCACTGCGTAGTAAAGCAATAGGAAAAGCCTTGCTGTGAGCGCCGTATGGATCTCCATCGAAACCGACTTTCCTTTGCATAGGCGTTCTTTGTAGCATTTGTACGATCACCCATCCTGCAACTGCCCGCAATCTCGGCTCTCACGAACTATCTTGTACCCCACTCTGGCAATGCACTATTTTTACCGCCGTTGAATTGCACCTCTGAACAAGTGATTGGAGCAATGGGGTGGATCTGAGCCTGCATTGCTGCGGCTGTCATCCATTAATACAAATATCACTTCTCTGAAAACACTAACAGCGTAAGCAGTCTATATCAGTCGCTTTTATGGTCTCAGGTGTATAGCTTAGGTATCCCTACCACCTCCGCACGTTTGACTCCAAGCTTATCTGTGAACATATTTAGTAACTATTGGCATTTCAAATAGCAATGACTTCCATTGTGGACAGCAATACATAGTGAGGATACAGCTGCATGAGTAGGAGAAGCAGTTTGGCAAAAGCAAAACTACGACAGGTGCGCTCTATAATTGCTTGCTGATCTGTAAATGGCTGTAGGTGAAGACCGGGTCAGCCAAGGTTTGCAAATCACATTCACGCCTAAATTCCAAATCCAACCACACTTGCCGTTCTGTGATGGAAGCATACGCTTCGCCAACAAAAATCCGCACTTTGCCGGTCTTTTGTAGTCTATAAACAAATATTCCGAATGTGACAGCATATCTTCGATATATAGCGCGAGTGGATTTCGTGATACATCATGAATGTTTAACAATTCTAAAATAATGTGTCTGTATTGCTGTCGGGTGGTCTTTGTTATTGGTTCTTTACAATGTGAGATTGAAATCCACGTAGTATGATATCTAAATAAGGTTCATGAGTATTTTATATACGAATATGCTTTTTTATTGAACGATGAGATAGAATATACAAACCATCACAAGTTTACAAACGAGGGGTTTAGTAATACTCCTGGACCGCAAGGCGGGAGCCATCTATGCTGCCCAAGCCCCAGCTAACAGGAAAGGGGCGCTTCAGGCTAGTGTAGCTGATTCCGCGCTGGTTGTTGTAGATCGCAGCATCAAGACCAGCGCCAACACCAGTACCAATCAGTTCAACACCCAAGTCACCCAGGAAGTCCTTGGTGCGGTCACTGAGGTGAGGACGGCGGCGGCCGCCCTTGCGGCTGCGTTGGTTGTTGACAGCGTAGTCGAGACCCGCCTCTACGCCGGTGCCAACAACCTCAACAGCAGCATCACTCAGGAAGTCCTTGGTGCGATCACTGAGATGAGGGCGGCGACGACCGCCCTTGCGGCTGCGCTGGTTGTCCCCCTCCTCAAAGTCCTCCTCAAAGTCTTCGTTGTCATACTCAACGCTGCGCTTGTTGTAGATAGCGGCGTTAAGACCAGTCTCCACACCAGTACCGATTAGCTCAACTCCTAGGTCACCCAGGAAGTCCTTGGTGCGGTCACTGAGATGAGGGCGGCGACGACCACCCTTGCGGCTGCGCTGGTTGTTGACAGCGTAGTCAAGACCCGCCTCTACGCCAGTGCCAACAACCTCAACAGCAGCATCACTCAGGAAGTCCTTGGTGCGATCACTGAGATGAGGACGGCGACGACCGCCCTTGCGGCCGCGCTGGTTGTCGTCCTCCTCAAAGTCCTCCCCAAAGTCTTCATTATCATTCTCAACGCTGCGCTTGTTGTAGATAGCGGCGTTAAGACCTGCCTCTACGCCGGTGCCAATAACCTCAACAGCAACATCGCCTAGGAAGTCCTTGGTGCGGTCACTGAGATGAGGGCGGCGGCGACCACCCTTGCGGCTGCGCTGGTTGTTGTAGATAGCGGCGTTAAGACCAGTCTCCACACCAGTGCCAGTTAGCCCAACTCCTAGGTCACCCAGGAAGTCCTTGGTGCGGTCGCTGATGCGGCGACGACCACCCTTGCGGCTGCGCTGGTTGTTGACAGCATAGTCAAGACCCGCTTCTACGCCGGTGCCAACAACCTCAACAGCAGCATCACTCAGGAAATCCTTGGTGCGATCACTGAGATGAGGACGGCGACGACCGCCCTTGCGGCCGCGCTGGTTGGCATCATTAAAGTCGTCAGCGGCCTCAACAAGCGGCTCAACAAGTCCGCCGGTTTGGTCGTTAGGGAGAGTCAGGTCGTTGTCAACAGGACCAGCCTGGTTGGCGGCGGCAGAAGCAGCGAGGATGGCGAAGGCAGTAGCGAGAGTAAAGCGCATTGTTGTTGATTTTCAAAGATGAAATGAAGTGCAAAGTGCTGTTTGGAATGGGGTATTTGACTTGAAAGTGCTTGAAAGTGATGGTTGTGATTGTGATGATGATGTGGAACCAAGATGAAATAGCCATGGTGGGCTGGCTTTATATGCGTTGAATGGACGCTTAGGATATCTTTTAGTCGAACGAATTCTGGACTCTGGATTTTTCGCACTGAGGAGATTGCTAATTTTAGCTAGACAAATGCGTCGTAGTAGAGGCTGCAAAAGAAATAGATAATAATAGATGTAGAAAATATGCCGATCACTTCTTGGTATGCGCACCAAGGATATCCTCAATACGCGCATCGGCTGCCTGACAGCAGCTCATACATAGGCTCTTAGAAAGCATCGTAAAGGCCGAGGTGAAGGAGATTACCATAAATGGACAAAGTGTGCAAATCTGGTTTATCTAGGCATTATCAATTATGAGGATTCTAAAAATAAGAATGTCTGAAATGACACAAAGCACAAAGAAATCTCGATATCTTCTAGAAGACTTGATCCCAGAAGACATGGCCGCAACGGCTTACTAGACAGCTAATAGGGAGAGTTGCTGGCATGGGATGCTGTGTAGTTGCCAGGCGCTAAAAAGCGTGCAATAGTTGGCGCGAATGAACGCATAGAAGTTGCTTTATGTTGCTGATTTCTTTGGCAGCTTGAACTGAGCCGGCTCGAAGCATCAGTGGGGCGGTAAGGGGAGGTCCTCATTGTGATCTTCACATTAGCAAGTAGTTCGCCAACCACTTGGTGGTTGGGCCTAGCAGTTAAACCCAGCGCGCAGTTGGGTCAAAGGCAAGCATTCACCCATGATACTGTATACGCAGCTGGGTCAGAAAAATATCTATATTCAGATACAGCACATTGTACCTAGGCTTTGTCGCGTTGGTGTATCATTCTGCTTTTGCTTCCAGAATTGCCCACTGGCAGCGATTCTGATACTAGTTCAAGCTCCCTGCTGCTTCAAACCTGGCACCGTCGGATGTAGCCTTCTATAGCCACATCGGCCAGATGTCGGGAGAGCAAGAAAGAAGACGAGTTACGAGGACCCTAGTGGCCAGATCATGGATCAGTACTGGGGGGCTTGTCACACAGCCAATGGCTGAGGTGGCTGACACTTGTTTTGCAATCGAGCTGATTATTCAACTGCGCGAGAATTCAACGCTCCGACCGTGCCGAGGGCTGCACAGTCACAGGAGATGATCAGCATGGGGGTGGGGTCGGGGGCACGATTTCATGTTTGTTGGGAAAAAAAAACTAGTGTCTAAATCTCAAGAAGGGTTTAGCCCAGCAGCACTCTCCCCCAGCCAACTTCAATAATTTTTTCTCCATTCTCCACGCATTTCATACAAAATATTTTCTTCTACAGATATTGCTAGCATGCAAGTGTGGTTGCGAACGATTCAACCTGCCGGGCTGTTATGCGTAGCAGGCGCATCGCTCGCCCAGCTAATGCATATATCAGAGATCTACGTGCTCGGCGATCTACAAGAAACCTGCGGACAGACAGCGCACTGGTCCCTCTCCAACGACTGTCTTAGACGCGGCTTCATACTGCCTGCCATCGTGCTCGCCACAGTATGCTTACAGGGGTTTACGTGTGCCTGGCAGCGCATGTACAGAGCAGCGTCAGAACCAACCGCCGCCCTGCGCCGACCCAGTGGCAAAGCCATCGTATATGATCGGCGCGCAGCCCAAGGCGCTGCAGTGGTGGTGGCAGGGGTTGCACAGCTCAGCAGCCTTGCCGTATGGCAGTATGCCGATAGCAGTATGCTGGCGCTCAGCCAGCTGTTTGCATCGCTGCTGGTTCTTTTATGCGCAGCATCGTGTCTGGCCAAGTACCTGAATAGCGACCGGCTCTCCGTTACCGGCTTGTTTCCGCATCAGGTCGCTGTGCTTGTCTTTATGCAGTGCATTGTTGGATTAGCAGAGGTGTATTTTGCACTATTCACGGAGGCCCATGCGGACGTCCCTGTGTGGGGCAAGGAAGCCGCATTGGCGATCCAAGCGCTGGTGGTCTCAGTGGCCATCAGCACATTGCTGCTAGTTTTCTTGCTGTGCGTGCAGCGCCGCGCACTGTATGTTCGGCCAGATGCGTGCGATTCGGAAGGCGTAGCCGGCAGGAGAGGTGACTCGGGCGATACTCCACTGACATCTGCGCGCAGCGTGCGGATAGCGCAGCTTGTTGACTCGCCCGAGCACAGCGTGTCGTGGCTCGGCTCACTATTGTTTGCCTGGCCTGCTGAGATTCTGCGCAAGGGTGCTGCAATGCAGCTCACTGAGCTCGATCTGTACAATACGCAGGATATCGAAGACCCGATCGAATCTTGGGGCAAGTTCCAGGCCCACCGCAGTGCCGGATGCACGCTGACTGTGGCTTTGCTTTGGACATTCTGGCGCGAGCTGGCGCAGCAGGCGGTTCTGTCGGTAGTCGGGTGTCTCATGCGGTTCGCGGTGCCGTTCTTTTTGCAGCGGATCCTGCGCACCATCGAAAGAGCGGATAAGCAGCCAGTGCATATGCGAATTGCATATCTGGATGCGATAGGCATTCTTGTGTTTGCCGTGGCCGAGTCGATTGTGTCGGCGCGTGTCATGTGGACTGGCCGGTGCATCGGCATCCGCGTGAAATCCCTACTGGTAGCTGTATTGTCGGCCAAGACGCTTGAGAGACGTGCCAACGGGGGCGCCTTGGCAGAAGATGGTAGTGAGCAGGACGATTCGAATGAGGCCAGCGACGGGAAGATCATGAATCTGCTGACGGCCGATTTCCAGGCAATCACCGAAATGGCCGCTTACCTGGATGCCCTGCTCTCGATGCCGCTGCTGCTCTGCATAGGCATCTGGTACATGTACCAGCTGCTGGGCGTCTCGGCTCTTGTCGGCGTGGCGGTGATTCTAGCATACTCGCAGTTATCAAAGCGCCTGTTTGGACATCTGGGAAAGATCGAGGACGACCTGGCGAGTCTGAGCGACCGACGCGTGGCGGCAGTCTCGGAGGTGGTCCAGGGCATCAAGGCAGTGAAGCTGTTTGGTTGGGAGCAGGCGTTCCTGGCGCGCATTAAGGAGAAGCGCACAGCACAGCTAAATGTGCTGTGGCGGGTGCTGCTGGTATGGGCAGCGATTTTCCCGGTCGGCATGCTGGCGCCGATGCTCGTCCTTTTGTCGATTTTCGCCACATATGTGGTGTGGTTCGGCAACTCGCTGACAGCCGAGCTGGCATTCACCTCCATTACCGTGTTCCAGATCACCGAGATTGTCTTCGAGCACTTCCCGACCATCATGAGCGGTACCGTCACTGGGTACGTGTCGCTGCGCCGCGTCGATGCGTATCTGGGGCAGCCGCAGGTGCAGAGCCTGCAGGATCGTATACAAAAGCCACAAGCGGATGGCGAGCTCGGGTTTATTAACGCTGATTTGGTCTGGGATGTTGCTGCTAAAACCAAAGATCGCTGTGAAACCGAAACTTCGCCGCTGCTCGCCTCATCGCCCGCATACGGCTCTCTGGATGCCCCTACGGCAGCTGGTCTAATCACCCACTCGCTGCACAATATCTCTGTCATGTTCCCACCTGGTGGTCTGACGGTCATTGCTGGGCCGACTGGCAGCGGCAAGACATCGCTGCTGTCAGCCCTAATCGGCGAAATGACATTAGTGCGTGGTGCGATCCAGCTGCCGACGGTTAATCCGCGGCACATCAATGGTAATACTGCGGATATGTATGGCGATATCCTCGAGTTGTCGGAGCAGTGCCTGGCGATCCGCGATATCGCGTATGTGGCGCAAGAAGCCTGGCTGCGCAACGCTACTATACGCGAAAACATCCTCTTTGGCGAGCCGTACAGCCAGCAGCGCTACGAGGAGGTGTTGCGGGTCTGCGCACTGAAACCCGATCTGCGGATCCTGGCAGCCGGCGACCAGACTGAGATTGGCGAACGTGGCGTGACATTGTCTGGCGGGCAGAAGCAGCGCGTGGCATTGGCACGTGCCATCTACTCGGCCCGCCGGATCCTGCTAATAGACGACTGCCTGGCAGCCGTCGATGCGCACACAGCCAAGCACATATTGATGGAGTGTCTGCTGAGCACCACGCCGCTGATGCAAGGCCGCACGTGCGTGCTGGTCACCCACCATGTAGCACTATGTGTACCGCGCGCCCAATATATGGTGGTGATGCAGGAAGGCCGCGTGGTCGTGCAGGGACATCCGCAGGAGCTGCTGGATTCCGGCAGACTCGCAGGCCTGGAAATCGATGGCCTGGAGTCGCCGCACATCAGCACGCCGGCCAGTTCCACCAGTTTGATTGACCGGGCTGGGGATTCAGTAGCCCGCCAGCTCGAGGCTGTCGGCGACCAGATGCCAGAGGACGAGTATACAGAGCGGCGGCACCTGCTGGCTGAGCAGAATGGTGGCCGTGCGGGTGCTGAGGAGGGAGCGCTGATCGAGGAGGAGGAGCGCGAATCGGGGTCGGTCAAGCTGGGCGTGTGGGTATCGTATTTCAGGGCGTGCGGGTCGGTGTGGTTCTGGGCTGCCATGCTTGGGTTCCTTGCTGCTGCACAGACAATGCAGGTCTTTCAGGTATACTGGATTCGCCTCTGGATCACCTCGACCACAAACCCGGCTGACACTGGCAATGCGCACTCGTCGGTGTTCTGGCTGGCCATGTACTGCGGTATTGGCACCAGCGCGGCATTGCTAAAGTACGCGTACATGTACATTTCGTCGGCGGGCTCTCTGCGGGCATCTCAGACGATCCATGCAAAGCTTGTGCGCAGCATCGTCCACGCGGTGCCGCGGTTCTTCGATACCACACCCCTGGGACGCATAGTGAATCGATTCGCACGTGACATGACCCTGATTGACGAGAACGCCATGGATAATATCGCCTGGTGGTTGATGGACACGGCTGGCGTGCTGGCCGTCTTTGCCATCATCATTGCAGTCACGCCTGCGTTCATTCTTGTTGCTGTGGGCATCTCGTTTGTGTACATGTCAATCGCATACTACTACCTGGCGGCGTCGCGCGAGCTCAAGCGGCTCGAGTCGACCAGCATGTCGCCGCTGATGTCGCTGTTCGGCGAGATGATCCAGGGCACTGCATCGATCCGGGCATTCGGTGCCCAGAAATACTATATCCGCGAGGCATTGACGCGGATATCGGCTCATTGCCGGCCATTCTACCTTGTGTGGGCGACCAACCGCTGGCTGTCGCTGCGTGTCGACTGGGCAGGCGCCCTGGTGTCGTTCACATGCATTGTCTTGGCCCTGGCCAATATGCAGAGCGTGGATGCGGCGCTGGCTGGGTTTGTGTTGTCGTATGCGCTGACATTCTCGGACCGCATGATCTGGGTGATCCGTAGCTACGCAATCAACGAGCTCAACATGAATGCGGTCGAACGCATCAACCAGTACATGGGTGTGGAGCAGGAGGCCGAAACGCAGGGGGGCATTGGCAGCGCCAGTCCGGAGTGGCCACGCAGTGGCGATCTGCGCGTCGAGGACCTGGCTATTGAGTATGTGCCGGGTGTGCCGGTCCTGCACGGCATTTCGTTTGCGGTCAACAGCGGCGAGAAAATCGGCGTGGTCGGGCGCACCGGTGCCGGAAAGTCGTCGCTGTCGCTGGCGCTGCTGCGGCTGATTGAAGCCACACATGGCAGGATTGTGCTGGACGGTATTGATATCGCCCATGTTGGCTTGGAGGATTTGCGCCGCAGTGTCACGATCATTCCACAGGACCCGGTGCTATTCAATGGCTCGATCCGGTTCAACCTCGACCCGTTCAGCGAGTACCCGGATGCGCTCATCTGGGACGCCCTGAAGCGCGCGCACCTCGTCCACGACGGCAGCCCTAGTAACTCGTCGGTCAGCCTTGGTGAGTCGTCTATGGAACACATGGCTGGAGTGTTTACCAGCCTTGACGCAGAAATCAAGGAGCACGGGATGAACCTGTCGCAGGGCCAGCGGCAGCTGGTTGCGCTGGCGCGCGCGCTGATAAGACGCTCAAAGGTGATTGTCATGGATGAGGCGACGGCGTCGGTGGATTTTGACACGGACAAGCGGATCCAGCGCACGATCCGTGGATCCGAGTTTTCCCAGTCGACGCTGCTGTGCGTGGCACACCGTTTGCGCACAATCATAGACTATGATCGCGTCTTGGTGCTCGACCAGGGAAGGATTGCCGAGTTCGGCACCCCATACGACCTGCTGCAGAAGGAAGGAGGTGCGTTCAGGGCGCTGTGTCAGCGCAGCAACGAGTTCGAGTACCTGGCTGAGGCTTGCCGGCAGCCCACAGGAGGTGAAAATCGAGAAGCAGCAGCACTGCGTCAGGAATAGGGATAGTGTCTCATCCCCCATGGTTGCGGCATATGTTTAGAACCATGCGGACATCCGCAAATAAAAGTCTTTTAAGTGGACAGCAGTTGCGGTTTTGAGATAGCAAGAAAGGAGAGGAGAGATTGTTGGGAGTCCAGTTTGTGCACTGTGCACCTCGCAGCGGAGAGAGGGATATGAATTTGTGACTATTTTTTTACTCGTCGCCTGAGCAGTTTAAATAGGGAAGAAATAAGCGCGACCGCCAACACACCATGTTCTATTTGCTTCATATCTTGCCGACCCTGTTATTTTCCCCTCAGTACACTAATGCTAATAATGCCATTTCAGCGGCAGAAAAAGCTATTGCACAGACTTGCTGTGGTCGCCAAGGACCGGCTGGCTGTTTACATTGCGCTGGCCAAGGAATGGCTGGGTACCGAGCGCACACACAACGTGATCAAGGCACTGGTGTCGTGCCTGATCGCCACATTGCTGATCACAATCGCGCCCGTGCGGCAGGCGCTGGGGCCGTACGGCTTCAATGTACTGGTGGTAGCCGGGTGGACGCACGGCGGCACGACCATTGGGGCGCACATAGAACTGCAGGCGCAGCAGCTGCTGGTCAGCGCCAGCGTCTGGGCATACATGGCATTGGCGCAGCTGCTGGTGTTTGGCGTGGCCAGCATCCCGGCAGGCAGCCTGGAGACGCGAGTCTACGGCACCCGTGCAGTATTGCTGGCAGTGTTTTGCTTCCTGATCGCCCTGGTAAATGCATATGTCCCGCGCCTCAGCGTACCGGTCAAGCTCAATGTGATCGCGCCGCTCTCGGCACTGACCATTTTCCCGGCGCAAGATACACTACATTTCCCAACCATGCCGTCGATAATATACGCGCAGCTTCTGGGCGTGGGGATTTCGCTTGTGGTTAATCTCTTGGTCTTGCCGAGCACGTCCAGCTGCCAGCTGGCGCAGTGCCTAGAGGATCTGGCTGGAGAGATGGCCGAGTGCTGTGGATTGGCCGGGCGTCATATTGATGGGCTGGCGTTTGCGCTTACCGGACAGGCGGTGGAGCGTGCCAGGGAGCGTCGGCGGGCGGTGCGTGCGGCAGCGACGCGGCTGGCCGAGGCTACGGGCAGTGTCCGGTATGAGGTGCTGATTGGCGTGTTTTCGCAGGCCGACTACCAGGCAATCTTCATTGAAGCCAATAAGGCTGCTGCGTCATTTGGAGCGCTCTGCCTGCCGTTCGAGATTGACCAGACTGTGGTCCGCGAGCTGTGCAAGACCGGAGCTGGCTCATTTGATTTTGGCTCCCAGAACCGGGACCCGTCCGAACGCATTGTGCAGGCTATCCGCGAGCTCCTGGGAGAACACCAGGCGACAGTTGCGAAAATGGCCAGGGCAATGGCGGATATACACGGGCGGTCGGCTGCGCAGGAGATTTGCCGCATTATTTGCCGGTGGGTTGGGGCGTCAAGACCCGCGGGCTTGGACTTGCTGGACTTGCTGGAAGTGGCCCGTCACCTGGACGATCGGGCCGCGCATTTCGAGCGCCTGGTCACTGCCACCATCGCGCAGATTCCCGAGCACCAGATCCTGCAGGACGACCTGTGGTACATGCACCACACGATCCTTCTGTCGCTTGCTGGCGTGTTGCGCGAAAATTCCCAGCGCACCAGCTGTCTGCTGCGCACTATCGGTGGAATTCAGAGCAGGCGCCAGGGCATCGGCCGCGTGTGGGTGCCGAGACTCAGCTGGGAATGGCTGGTGCGTGGCACAGAGAACCTGGCCAGCCACATCCAGGATATCGATCACCTGCAAACGGCGTTCGAGAAATCCGCCAGCATCGACCATGCAGAGCCCGTGACGGGACACAGCCAGCAGCCGGGTGGAGTGTGGGCCCGGACCATGCAGTGCCTGGGCAATGTGGATGCCTGGCTGCACAAGCGCAAGGTGCAGTATGCGCTAAAGTTCACTGTCGCTGCAATGGTATGCGCCATTTGGGCGTTCCTCTCATTCAGCCACGCCTGGTACGTGCGGAACAACTGCCACTGGGCCGTCATCTGCATTGCCTTTGTCTTCAACATCTCCATAGGTGCTACCACCAGCGCCTGCCTCAAGCGCCTGCTCGCCACATGTCTGGCTGGCGCCTGGGCCATCGCCGCCTGGGAAATCAGCCTCAAGGGCGCCAGCCCACCCTTGGCTGTGCTGTCTACCATGGTGCTCTGCTGTGCCTGCATTGGTGCCCAGTTCTACGCTGGCCGGTCTGGCCTGGCGCCCATAGCTCCGGTGATGCTAATCGCCTACGCGGCAGTCTTTTGTGCCGCCTACTATGAGAAAAACGACGGCCAGCCGGGCATCAGCGGTGAGCGGCTCGGGTGGCATCGCATCGTCGTCAATACCATCGGCATTGCCTTTGCCATGCTTGTCTCAGCCGTTTTGATGCCGTGCCGCGCACGCGTGGTGCTGCTGGAGCGCCTGGCCGAGCTGCTGCACCTCAGCAGCCGCATCGCCCAGACCACCACATTTATGCATGCTGCTGGCGCCGACCACCCGGCTGCCTACCGGTGTGCCCACTCTCGCCTGGTGCATTTCCTGCAGAGATCGCGCGTGCTGATTGCGCGCAGCAGGGCACTTCACGTGACTGCCCAGTCCGAGCCCAACTTGGCCCCTGCCCGTGGCATCGCCGCCTGCCGCCAGCTCATCGATCTGCTCGAGACGCAGCTCGAGTGGCAGATGTACGCGCTCTCAGCCCACGAGCGCATCGGCCGGGAGGCCGTGACCTGTGCGGTACGCGGCTCACTGGGTGTCCGCCAAGATATCCTGGGCGCCTTCGCCTGCTTCAACTACATTGTCGCGGCTGCCCTTGCCAGCAATCGGCCGCTGCCCGAGTTCCTGCCGGACATCCGCACCGCCCGCCTGCAGAGCCTCGAGATTGTGCGCCAGGCACTGAGGGCTGAGCCTGGGTTTGGTGCTACTGCGCTGTGCCGCCTCAGCGTCGGCGTGTGGCATTTGGCTGCGGGCCAGTCGGGCATTCTGCGCCTGGCGCGCGATGTCGTTGGCTCTGAAGCTGACTTGCTGCCAGATGTTGTCGACCGTATGGCACTAGTGATGGAGTCTGGCGGCGACCCCGACGCTACTCCCGTCAACTCCCCGCTGCTTGCCACATTCAACCACCCTGCACCACACCCAATGCAATGGTTTGCCCACCAGCATGCCCGCCACAACCTCAAACTCTAGGGCCTGATCAGACAAGCCATTAGCATATTTGTATATTGAGTTAAAGAACAAAGCTGAGGAAACAATCTGTATGTCTGTCGCATGTGGCCTTTTATCTGCGTGTTCTGAGGGCGAGCTTCGTTCCCTTGTGGCTGATCTCACGTGAGCCCGTACACTGCATCGTGCTTTTGTGATGCCATAATCGAGCCCACTTGAAATACCCTTTTGAAGCATGCACGTGCATTTTTTCCCGCACGTCCTCATATAAGCGCACCTTTTTGTTTGTCTTCGCTATTTTATACACATCATGAATGTCCCCAAACGCCGCCGCAACTTTGGTCTGACCGACGACGAGGACGCAGCCAAGCTCAAGCTGGGCGAGGACTTCCAATACGCCGACTGCCTGCTGATCTCCGAGGTCCGAATTCTGCTAGAGGCGCAGTACGACACAAAGAAGGAGGACAAGACCATCACCGGCGTCTACGAAAAGACCCTCGACTATGTGCAAAAGTTCTCGCGCTACACGAACCGCGACACCGTCAAGGAGGTCCGGGCGCTGCTGAAGACATCCAACCTGGAGCCATTCGAGTGTGCGCAGCTGGGGAACCTGTGCTGCAATGACTACGAGGAGGCCAAGGCGCTGATTCCAAGCACCGCCGCTAAGATTGACGACGAGGTCATGGACTCGCTGCTGAAGCAGATGGACAGCCTGAAAAAGTACCAGAGCTAATAAAAAAGGTTAATGTATTTTCAACACACATTGCTTACTGCACAATGTCCGAGAGCTCAATGAGTCGGTGCACCTTCTGCTCGAGGTCCATCATGCGCTGCAGCGCCATCAGCAGACACGCCGAGCTCCACGCCTGCGTCTCGCACGAGTCCCTGCAGTATGAGCCATCGCGGTTTGTCAGCTCGGGCAGCCCCGCATACGGCGCATTGGCAATGTGGTGCTTCAGCGCAACCATGTGGGCGTGCAGCTCGTGGAAGATCGTGCGAAGCGCATGTGTCGCCTTGCCGCCCGTCGAGCGCTGGTTGACAGCATGCCGCATGAACTCCAGCTGCGCTGCCAGGTAGTACCCGGTCGGCCACAGCCACTCGGGACCCTGGTGGTAGTTGATCCCGTGGGCTACCAGCGCATCATCCGAGTCGTTCGAGTTGTCATAATCCGGCCGGTACCGCATGTCCGACGGATCCAGCGTCCGCATCCCCAGCGGTCCCGACAGCACCGCCCGCATTTTGTGCAGACACACCAGTGCATGGCCTGTATCAAACAGCTCCGGCGCAACCACCATCGCCACCGCAATGTTGGGTCGGAACTGGTAGTCCGCCCACGCCTGGGTCGAGCCGTACGTGTCGCGGTAGATGCCACGCCGGTTCACCAGCGCGGTGTCCACGTGGTACTCAGCATCGTCAGCTGCGCTCAGCGGCACCCAGAAGTGCTTTTCGAAGCTGCGCTGCACCAGCGCATCCCACTCGGCATACGTGACACGCTTCCCCGAGCTGGTCGTCACGCCCTCGAACGGGAACCGCTCCATCTCATGCAGCGACGACACCCACCGCAGCGCTGACTTTTGCAGCCCGACAATTTCAATGTCAGCGCCGTCGCGGGGAGTACCCGGCACCCCGCGGATCCCTGCCTTGTCTGACGAGCCCATCTTGTCCATCCATGTGCCGCAGTTCCACTGGTTGCCGCCCGACACAAACCCTGTGCTGGCAAAGTCAACCGAGACTTCGATGTCGAATCCGGCGTCGCGCATGTGCTCGTCCAGCCGCGGACCCGCATTCCACTCGCGGAACCGGATCCCCTGCGCGTGCCGCTGCAGGATCTCTTGGATCAGCTCGGCCACGGTGCTGGTCGTCGAGAACGCCTGGTCGCTGTCAAACTCTACAAACGTCTCACCGTCAGGGAACCGCCGCGCCACCGGCTCGTCCAGCAGCTCCAGCCCGTTGTCTGCATGGTTGCAGTACGTCTGCACTGCCTGCAGCCAGAACCACGTCGCATCACGTGCGTTGTACCGCGGATACCGCCCCGAGTCCAGCAGGTTCGGGATCAGCCCGTGCTTCAGCGTGCTGCCAAACGCCAGGATATGCTCACGTGCCTCCTGATGCCGCCCAGTCACAAGCAGCAGGCCCTCCAGCGCAATGAACACATCGCGGCCCCAGCACCGCATGTGGTGCGTCGAAAAGTGTGCCAGCCCTGCGCTCATCGACGTGCGCGCCTTGTCCTGGCACACCGGCCGCAGCGCCGCGCTGTTGACGTGTCCGACAAGCTGAACCGATGTCAGCGCCAGCTCACGCGTGAACCGCGAGCTGCTGATGACGTCGCCAGGCATCAGCGCCAGCGCCCGCCGGATCAGCGCGCAATATGCCGTATGCACCGTCAGCGCAAAGTACCGCGGCATCAAAAAGTTCGGCACCCGCTTGACCAGCGCCCAGCGCTCCTCGAACCACGCCGCCAGAATCGCCAGCGGGGCGTGGTACTCGGTGTAGGCATGCAGCCGCCGCACCACGTAGTCCAGCGCCCACGTGCCCTGTCGCAGGTGCCCACACAGCGGATGCCCCAGGTCGTTGTTGGGGATGATATGCCGCAGGTGCGTGTGCCAGCCTTGCAGTCCGCAGTAAGGCAGCGGTCCCAGTCCTGGCACGTCGTATACCCCTTCGCCAATCGTGTCGCGCTCCTCCGCGTCGCACCGGTACAGCGCTGCATTGAGCGCTGCCAGATCAAGCCGCGCTACCGCATCGTCGGCGCTGGTGCGGATCTTCCAGTCAAGGTTAGGCTTGAAATCAACCAGCTGCGTCCGCACCACCAGCACGCTACCAGGGCCAAAGTCCTTGGGCAGCCGCAGCTCAGTGTACATCCCGTGCTCGTCCTCGCGCTCAAACACCCCCGGCGCATCCAGCTTTTCCAGCGTGCTGGGCAGCCCATGGATGAGCCCGTCGTCGCTGTTGCCCTCGCCGTTGCTGCCGCCGCTGCCCGGCCGCAGCCGGTACGCAAACTCGGGATGGACCGCGGTTCCATACAGCCGCGGGTTCTCAAAGTGCGAGTTCTCCGACGCTCCCCTGAATGCGCAGTGGGCCACCATCAGCACGCCATGCCGGGTCACGGGATGCATCCGCTGTACCGTCACAAACTCGTTCTCGTGGTGCACGTGCACCTCCTGGAACTGGGCCATCTCCGCATGCAGCTGGTTGAGCTTGGCCTTGGCCTCCCCCAGCCCGACGCTGAGCGGATCCTCCAGCGGAGCATACTGCCGCGACTCATGGACAATGTTGAGCAGCTCTGGGTACAGCTCGTCGTAGCCCCTGTTGCTGCCTGTAGCGCAGGCGGTCATTGCTACTATCGCCGCATTCGGCAGCGCATCCTGCATTGTGCGCTTCTGCGCCGGCACCTCGTTGTCATGCGTGCAGTCGAAGAATATCGCATGCGGCAGCGACGCACTCAGCGGCGCCACTATGCCATCCACGCGAGTGCCGCCATGCTCGTCGTCTGTGAAGAACCCCGGCTCACCAAGGCAGTCCACCGCCAGCGAACCGACCGGTCGCCCGCCGTGCCGGTGCGCCAGACGCGACATCTCATGCGAGTCCCACGCCTGCATCGCCTCGCGGATCAGCGAGTTGATGCCCAGCCGCTGCACAAAGATCTGGTCCGTGGCTTCTGACCCAGTGAACAGCTCGGCGATCACATACAGATCCGGTTTGACCTTGCGCGCCTGGTCAAGCAGGTACTCCGCGAGCTCAATCGGCGTGCTGTGGCAGTTGTCGATGCGGAACCCGTGGAACGCCTTGGCCATCGACAGCGTGTACTGCCGCATGTGCTCCCACAGCCACGGGTTGTCTGACGCCTGCGTTCCGTAGTTGAGCTTGACACAGTCGCCCCACACAATCACCTCGCGCTGCAGATACGCCTTGGACTGCGGCCCGGCAAAGTTATCCAGCGGATTCCCGCCCCAGATCCACCCGTTGTTGGCCAGGTGGTACAGGTCCTCATTGACCTTTCCCGCGCCCGAATCCCCGCCACGTGGCGTGACTGTAGTGAACAGGGGGTCAACAATCTTGAAATCGTCGTCCACGGGCTTGCCAAACTTCCAGCTGCCGCGGTCCAGCCGCTCGTACTTTACGCGCTCCCCGACATTCTTGCGGATCCGGGCCACGTCGCTGTCGTACTCGCGATAGTACGGCAGGTTTATCAGATCAAGCAGCCGCCGCAGCTGCTCTAGGCCCTGCTTCTTGTCGTTGCCGTTCAGCAGCCGCAGCACCGCCACCGCGCGCTCGCTGTCGATCGTGCGTCCGTGCCGAGTACTCAGCGTGTGCGGGTCGTTGTTGATCACAAACGTCTGCAGCCACTCGTTGCGCTCGTCGCCCTGCAGCTCTGTTGCTTTGGCAATGTCGTCTGCCGACATCTCAACCCCAGCCTTGTCCCACGCATCCGATACCGCCTGCACCGTGCCCTCCACATCCACCACATAAAACTCCCACAGCTTCAATGGCTGGATCACGTGTGTGTTGACCCCCTCCATGAGGCTGTCCACTTGCGCCACCGTGCTGACCATGCGGTCAAATCCGTACTCGGGCAGGTTCTTCGAGAACTCGCACAGCTTGGCATCCAGCTCGTATGCGCTGCGCAGGTGCGGCGAGTTGACCAGGTTGAATCCTGCCTCGGGGTGATCGCACAGCCACTCGGAGTTGTACGCCGTGTGGTTCCATACCATGTCCGTGATCCCCAGCAGATGGTGCTTGTGGTGCATCTCCAGGCAGACCGTGCGCAGCCGCTGGTCCTTCTCCTCCTTGCTCAGCTTCTCGCCCTCAAACAGGTCGTCAGAGAGCTCCAGCTGGTTGTACAGCGAGTACGGCGAGTCCGACCCGCCCCGCTGCTGCATCGGAATGAAATGCAGCATGTTGTACCCCATCTTGCTGCTGTTCGCAAGGTGCTTGCTCCAGCCCTTCATGGGCCCCAGCCACTTGGGGCTGACCGACTGCAGCGCTATGCCATCCAGCGCCAGGTGCTGCCCTCCCAGCGTCAGCTGTGGGTCAACCAAAAAGTATGACGTCGGGGTGCGACGGTCCTTGAACACACGGTACACGCGCTCCAGTGTCGGAACCTCGTCGCTGTCGCACGAAATGCAGTCCGTATAGTCACTCTCTTCGTCATCCACGCTCTTATACGTCACGTAGTACTGATACGGTCCTGGCCGCTGGATGCGGAACTCGCAGATGAGCTCGGTCGAGTTGTTGAAGTTGAACCGCTTCGAGTGGAACTTGGTCCGCACATAGTCCGACCCATCCAGCGGATAGTTCGTGTGCAGAACCGCATCAATCGACGCCGTTGAGCCGATCAGGATACGAAACCGCACTGCGCACGACTGGTTCAGCACTGAAGGAATCCTGATAAACTACGCTTTGGTGCAATGCTTGGTGTTTCGTCAGTAACGGCCATCCTATCCTAGCCTATCCTGCCCCCTCCCCAACGCCATTGGACATGTGTCTTGCGTCAGGCTGGATACATACCGATTTGTCATGGGGCGTGGTGCCGTCCTCGTTCAGGTCCAGGTTCCACACCATGAATGGCGGGTGCTCTGGCTCAACAGGCGTAGAGAATCTCGATACACTCATCGTGAAGGAGTTTAGAGTGTTTGATGAAGTAAGTTGAGGATAGAATAGTACAAATTATACCGATGGGCTTGCTTGAATAAAGAAGACAGAGAGCAAAGTTGGTAGTGATTCTGAAGAAAAGAGCGCACACCAGGGCGACCCCGCGCAGCCGGCCATTTATCCTATGCGATCCTGTGCCATCGATACCAGCCTTGTGCCAAAAGAACACCCCTCGTCCTTCTTGCCCTGCCCAGTACATGCGCGGTGGAGGTGCCCTTCCTTGTAGGTCAGCCGATTGGAATGGCCCGAGGACTCCAAAAGGAGGGAGATGTCCACTGCGCGTGCGAGTGTGCCGCATACACCTGCTCGTTTCCTGCAGAACGTTCAATGCTGCCCAGTCCTTCCCCCAATCCTGTGGAGAGCTAGTCGGCCCCACTGCCCAAGAGAGGAAGCACAGGTCCAAAACAGGAATCGTCTGCGCGCTGTCTGTCGTCCTTGCACCCGTGCCAGTGGTCGAGGATTCCTTTCCACATTTCCGCCGCATCGGACGATAGCGACCAATGCACGGTGCTGGCGCCCATCGGCATCGGGATATGAAACTGCCGCCCAATCTAATCGCAGAATCACGATCAATGCCTCAAAATTGTTCGTTTTGATAAGCAGGCGTGATCAGCCCGCTTGAGCCAGTGCAGACCCTCGCGTACATTTTTTGCACCTGTGCATTCGTTCAATTCGCATTCTCTTTATTTTCCATACCCCCCTTTACGCTATCATGTTTGGACTTGCAAAGGCGTTCGGTCGTCTGAATGTGGCCGCAGGTGTGACAAAGAGCGTGTACACGGCGAGGTAATTTGAACCCCACCCCTGTTCTGGTGATTGTAAGCGCCCCTGCAACAAGCGACAATGAGCCTAATGCTCCTTCCCCTTCTTTGTATTCTAGCGCCATGAGCCGGCTCCACACCACCGCGCAACGGTACCAGCAGAGCAGCAAGCCGCCGACAGCCGATCAGACAGCCTCATCAGCGTTCGACATTGCCGAGGAAGCCAGCGGATCGGGCTCCGCAACCGCCAGCGAGTACCGTATTGTCAGCGCCGGTAAGGGCCAGGGAACAGTCAAGATCCGCGAGTACGAGTACAGCACTGCCAACTTCCACGTGAGCCCGCAGAAGCTGCGTATGATCGGCAACCAGATCACTGGTCTGTCGGTGACCGAGGCCATCCGCCAGATGCAGTTCTCGGCAAAGAAGGCGTCCGACCGCATCAAGCACTCGCTGGTGTGGGCTCGCAAGAACGCCATTTTCCAAAAGGGCATGAACCCGGACAACATGTACATCAAGCAGGCCCGGGTCGGCAAGGGCCAGTTCCGCAAGCGCCTGGACCCGAAGGCCCGTGGTCGCTTCGGTGTCATCCATATCCCGTATGCCCACATGAAGTACGTGTTCTGGGAGAAGATGCCTGAGGCCAAGCCTGAGCCCCGCAATGTCATGGAGAAGGCGCTGCTGGCTGGCGATCTGCCCCGGCGGAAGATCAAGGGCTTCAAGCTCACCAAGCGCGTGTGGACGCCGCTCAACGAGACCAAGCCGGTGTACAATGCCAAGCAGTTCTACAACTGGTAGAGAATAGCACCTTTTTATTCCTAAAACGCAAATAGAGATCTCATATCTTCGATTTTCTTGCAGATATCCTGCTGCGTGCGATCAAGCTCATCAGAGATCGCCTCGCGCGTCTCGTGATCCAGTGTAAAGTACCGCTCGCAGAGATCGCCGTCCACCACACACCGCACAGGCACGACTGCAGACCGGTACGACTGGTGGTCCCGGCCCGAGATTGGCGGCGCTCGCTCGCGCATCAGCTGCTCCAGCTTCTGGAACAGCGTCACGTCGCTCTGACTGACAAACGGCACAGCCACCTGCACAGACCCAAGCAAAGTCGTATACAGAATCACCTCCCGCCCGCCAGCCGCCAATGCACACGTCTCAATGGATGTAATGATGTCGCCAGTGTGGTACTCGACAACGGAGCTCCACCGGTTTGCCGCTCCACCCAGCCTTGGCTTCTCGTAGATCAGACGATTGCCCGTCGGATCCGTCTGCAGCGACCTTGACACGGATTCGGGTGCACGCACACCAAACAAATTGCCAAACTTGTCGCCAGCAACCACCGTGTCTCCGTCGCCCAGAGCATGCATGCACGTAATGTACCGTGGCAAGGTGTCATCGAGGATGACATGGAAATTGTGCGTGTTCTGATTAAACGTCACAAGCTGCACCGACTCCTGCACGTCGCCAATAAACAGCTGCGAGGGCTCGGACGGGTGCGGACGGATCACGCTAACCAGCCGCGGGGCGACCACGCTCTGCGCCTTCTTCAGCAGCCGCTTGATCCCGAGATCATACAGACGCAGCACGCGGCCAAGCCCCACCACCAGCATGCCATTGAACGCTGCCAGCGCCTGCGGGATCTCATCAACGACAGTTGCGTGCAAAAGCTCCAGCTGCGTACCTTCGTTGATCCACCGGTAGATGCGAATCGACGCATCGCTGCACGCACGCGGCTTCAACGTCATGTTGCGCGCACAGCCAACTGCCACGAACTTTTCGTCAGGATGGCTCGCAAATGTCACTGTGGCCATCGATACCGCTACCTGGTTGTCTGTGAGCTCGATGATCTGCGTGCTCTCGCCGTCGAATGGATTCAGAACCCGAATCAGCGACGCCCACATGCCTGATCTGGATCTGACCAGACCAAACTGCTCCGGCGGCAAGACCGCGCTTTCCGCCTCCTCTTCACTATCCACAACACCACGAGCAAGCAGCTCCTGCCTGAACTGGGTCGCCGAGTAGTGCCCATGCTCTGCCTCGATGATCACAAAGTGCTTCGACGCGTCGTTCAGGATAAAGTCGCGTGGCGTATACGTCAGCCCAATCGTCGCTTGGTTCAGCACGGAATCGAGCCGATCCAGTGTCAGGATCCGCAGAGTGTTCTCGACCACAGCGACGATCCCCTCAGGACACTGATCTGAGCTGAACGATGACGCATATGTCAGTGCATCATACGACAGCGGGGTAGTGCGTAGCCTTCCTTGGTGCACGTGGCTGATCCATGGCGCTGTCGAAAGCGCCACAACTGCCTCCTCACCACGCACCTTTATTGTGCACAGCTGCACTGCCTGGCTGCCCAGGAACTGCATCCGCGAATCCTCAATTTCGCCCGATACATCGTCAATAGACGCCCGCATCTGCAGGCCGTTGCGCAGCCCCACATACAGTGTCAGTGTCTCCATCTGGCTGACGATGGCCACAGACTGCGCACACTCAGCAACCGCCTGCATGCTCAGTGGCTCGAGACAGCGCTGTGGATCAAGCGAAAAGATCCTCACTGTGTCGTCCTCGCACCCAACCGCCAGGAACGACGCATTCCGCTGGCCCTCAGCAACAGGTGACAGCGCCAAACACGTCGCATCGCTGCCGATAGCCAGTCGCTCGTCGTACTCGCGCAGCGTGCCAGTCTGCAAATCGAGCTCAAAGTATATCGCCTGGCCGCCGGAACGAGCCAGCGTTACAACAACCTGCCGTGAGTTTGCTGCGCTGCTTGAAATCTCGCGGTTCTGTGGCGGCTGCCATTCGTTTACCCGCCCATCAGGAAGGATGTGGCGCACGGCCCGTGGCGTAACCTGTAGCAGTGCTCCACCATCGAGTCGGTGCAGACACAGGGTTGGTGATGATGTAAGGAATCCTGAATCGGTGACTTCCTCGACTTCCTCCCCTACCGACAGCACCAGCGTAGCGTCCAAGAAGCTCACCACAATGTACTCGTCATGCTCGTCATTGATGTTGCGCCGGACCGTCCACACGGCCTGCGGATTACCCGGGAGCTCTGAGACTGCCAACTCTGCCACTTCGAGCCCGTGACGCACTACCTTCAGCGATGAGCGCGCTCCTTGCCCGCACAGCGAGTAGATCTGCGGCATCTGTTCACCTGTCAGATTCAGCACCTTGCTCTTGAGCATCGGGCACAGGCTGTCGATCTCATCGACCATGGCCAGGCTGGCCATCTCATGCGGCTGGAAGTATACCAGCTCGTCGTTCTCCTCAGTACTCGTGTACTCAACCATGTCGACCTCATCGCCCAGGTTCTCAAACTGGTACAGCTGGTGGCTGCCGCTCTCTGACGCCGCAAACAGAAACCCAGCGCGCAGGATCCCAATGCTAGCACACCTTGGGATCGTGTCAAAGTACTTTATCGTCAGCCGCTCGACAGCATCCTCGGCGAAGTCAACCGTAATCTTGTACAGATCGCCGTCCTCGCTCTGCGCCAGAATGAAGAACGCCGTTTTAGTGCGGTGCACAGCGCTAGCCACAATCATTAGCCCGCGGCCCGTGTCCTCAAGCGGGTTGACTCGCCGTGGAATCGGCACCCGGTGTTCCCGAGCCGCCTCCAGGTTGTGCTTGTATTCAATGAACCCTTCGGAGCACACCAGCACACCAGATGGCCCGTCGCTACTGCCTGGCAGCGCAATCAGCTTGTTGGCTGTCTTGCTGATCGGTGTGCTCCACTTGCGCACAACATGGTTCAGCCCAAGATCAAGCTCATAGTACACCAAGAGCTTCTCTGCCTCTGCATCCGGATCGTGGTCGGTGTCGCCGTAGTTGGTCTCTATTGTCGCAAACACCGGGTTCTCGTAGCCAACATCAACGCCGACAATGTCAAAGCAGATTGACTGGGCCTTGTTGGCCTCAAGCGGCGATCCCATCATCACATTGCCTTCTGTATCACGGCTGATAATGTACACGAGCCTGGCACGCTCAACACTGCCCACCATGACTGCTCGCCCGCGCGGGTCGCTGGCAACATACTGGCCCGGTATAATCCGCCGGAGCCCGGTGCGTCCATATTCGTGATACTGGAGCGTCTTAAACCTGTTCTCCTTAGTGTCAAACTCGAGTACAGCCGCTGCTCCTGTGTCGGAGCCGAGCACAACATAGTCCTTAGTGCTGCCGGTCAGTCGGAATGGCGCAATGCTGCGGATACGGCAGAACAGGTCCTCCGAGTATATCACCGACAGCTTGCCTGTGTTCGTGTCCGCCTTCCACAGCTCCAGCCGTTGCTGCCGCGCTACCACTACCTCCTGCTGCTTGGTGCCCATGAAATGGCCCAGAATCGCAGCGCTGATTGTCGTTGGCGCCTGCAGAGAGAGGTTATATAAGAACATTTGTTGTGAAAATAGCGCTCCTGAAAATGGGTGAAGGCAAAAGACAGGTATAAAACGCGCAAGAGCGCCTCGCTCACGTAGTTGACTGAGCTGATTCGCGCGAGCCGACCGAGAAAAATTTACGAATGAGTCGCAATGGTCTTTCCTACACTTTTTGCGAGGTGCGAGCTGAACTTTTTTTTTTTTCTCCTCTTGGTCAAGCTCGATTGCCCTTGCTGTTTTCACTTTTTCTACATACACAAAATTCGAGGCCATGGACGTTGACGCGCGCGAAATCACCCGTCTGTGGAGGGTCTACCGTACTGTGCACCAAATGTGCTCTGCTCGTGTAAGTAGCAAGGAGAACAGCGCTGAATGGGCCGACAGCGCAACCTGCACTGGGTGCTTGCGATACTTATTGCTCATGTCTGTATACCAATTTCTAGGGCTACCTGGTCTCACACCGCGATATTGACCGTGATCTGGAGTCGTTCCGCTCAGAGTTTGCGCCGGCTGGAAAAGTGGATCGTAACCGGCTAACGTTTGTTGTGCAGAAGCGCGACGACCCCGCGAGCCAGATGTTCCTGTTCTTCCCGGAGGACAAGTCGGTAGGCATCAAGCCGATCAAGCAGTACATCAACAAGATGGCTAACGAGTCTGTGACGCGCGGCATTGTGATCTTCCGCAAGTCGCTGACGCCCTCAGCCAACAAGCTGATGTCGCAGGTCACTGGAAAGTACCGCATGGAGGCCTTCGATGAGGCCAACCTGCTGGTCAACATTACTGAGCACGAGCTTGTGCCGCAGCACAAGGTCTTGAGCGATGAGGAGAAGAAGGGCATTTTGAAGCGCTATCGCCTGAAGGAGACCCAGCTGCCGCGCATTAGCAACGATGACCCCGTTGCCAGATACTACGGTCTCACGCGTGGCCAGGTCGTCCAGATCATCCGTGCTTCGGAGACTGCTGGCCGCTATGTCACCTACCGTCTCTGCATGTAAAACTGGATGTTGGATAAATAAAGCCTGCTGCTCGATGTTTCATTAAACCCACGCTACGAAAAGTCATGCAAGAACCGATCGATCTCGAACCTCACACTGCGAGCGACGGCCCGGATCGTCTCTAGGCTGACGTTGCACTTGCAGTTGATGCTGTCAAGCCGATCGCCGGCCGAGACCTTTGTCAGCAGCCGCAACGTAATCAGCGAGGCCATCTGCGTCTGCACGTCGACAGAACTGTCAACCGGCTCGGCGATGATGCTGTAGAATATTGCCAGCATGCGCTCAATACCAAATGACTTTGGTCCCAGCAACTGCTGTCGATTACTGCTGCCCAGCGAGTCGTCTGCACTTGTCTTGTGTCTGCGCCGCTTGCTGGCGTTTCCTTTGCCGCGTGAAAAGAACTGCACATCCAGACGCGATGGGTTGTAGGACGCCAAGTACGCTGAGATCAGCAAGAACTTTGTGTAGTATGGCAGATCCAGTCCGTCGCCGACCTCCGCCATGCCGTATATGGAGTTGGTGATATCGTCTGGGTTTGTCTTGGCTGACGCCTTGACGGAATTGCGTTGCCATTCCGAAGTTGAGATCTCTCGTAGATACAGCTTGTCTGTGGCCGCGACAAAGTACGGCTGGCAGAGCTTGAAGAGCCGGGCAAACTCGTTCCGTGTTGCCTGGCCCTCAAACACCGGCTGCACAAACTTTGGATACAGCAGGGCTACTAGGTGCCGCAGCTCGCTCAGATCGACGCAATTCCGATGGAATACTTCATACACTGCATCCACGAATGTCAAGAAGAACTCGCGCGGCTCATCATCAGGACAGTCCGAGGCCAGGATCTCCAGGACGTGCTGCTTGGTATAATACGAAAAGTACACCTGTATCGGGTCAACCGCCCCGCCGTGCCGTGGCCGAAACTTGTCCCACACGACATTTGAAATCATCACCACAGAGACCTGCGCGCCTGTCAGCTCCGACAGCCGCAGCAGCACCGTCAGCAGCATCGGCCCGCGATCGCGCAGCCGCTCAGCCTGGTCCAGCACAATATAATGTGTTCCTCTCCTGCCTTTCAGCATAGTCCGTGCATGGGCTACAAAATCAACCGAGGTATCGCTTTTGGCCACATTGGCATATTTGTTCTCTCGGTTCGGGACATGGCCCGCCCATGCATTCAGCACGCGCTCAAACAGTAGCCGCGACGTAAAACACTCCACGCAGTTGACCAGCGCATACTGCTGGCCTGCTGGGTCATACTGTGCAAACAGCTCTCGCACGATCGTGCTCTTGCCCGTTGCGCTCGGTCCGTAAACAAAGATGCCTGGCGGGGACGGATCCTCAGGTTCTCCAAGCAGTGATAGAAGCAGGTCAAGCTCACCGTCGCGCCCTGGGAACTGCTTGCGCAGCCTTCTGCCCAGTGCGTCCACGTCCATGTCAAAGTACTGTTTATTAAATGTAAAAGGTAAATAAAATTCGCAGAGAACAAGAGCGAAACTGCGTAGTAGAGCCAAGGTAGGTGCTCAAAAAACGACTCCGATTCGGCTCGTTTCTGATTTACGCAGCTCGTTTTTTGCTACGACTCGACGATGGTGGTACGTTTGCTTCAAAGTTTGGGCGGATGCCAGGGGCGGTTGTTCGTCTGGCTGCAGAGCAAACGGCACCCAATCGCTGGTGCCGCTCCGACATAGCCCACTCGCTATGCCCTTCCTCTAGGTGGTGGTAATTTATACTGCGGCAAGCTTACTAATGAGCAGTTTAACGAGCCAATGCCAATTTGGCAATAAGCACATCCCTATACCACTCCACTCACCCCAAGCGTGACATCCATAGCGCCACACCTGTATGAAAGCCACGCCGACCTAGTTCTGTGTTTCTGCCGACAAGCGCCTGCTGCTGTTTCTGATTTCTGAAAAAGTAATTCTTTTTGTGGTCGGCTGATGTGTCAAGGTACAATGCGCGATCAACGCCAGACCGCTAGCATTCATTCCTCACAACCAGTCCACCTTCTGGTCTGGCAAATAGAAACGATGCATGTCGCTCCTTTATTAGAGGTTTATTGACAGGAGCAGATAGGATTCGTTTCAAACGCGCAAGGGTAATGGTTTGCTGTACCCTTGAACAGACATATGTACCAAAGGAACAGCCTTTTACGAGGTACCGGCATTTACAACCAAATGTTCTACTTCCGAAATCTGAGTACTGGTGTCCAGACTTAAAGTCAAACAGAGCTTGAACTCGCATTCTTCTCCGATATGAACGCCATTGTTCTACCATATATTTGGGGAGCCATAAGGCACACGAGCTACACACATATGTCGTTGCGACAACAGGAAGGATGCAGGCTAGCTGTAATGGTGCGGAGGTGGCTTTTGCGACAACAGGAGGGATAGCGAGTAAGAGCAGTATTTGCATACCCCATTGCATGACGAGATATATGGCAACGGCAGCCACACCAGTTTGTAGTGCTTTCAGCCAAAACCCCTCTCCATATCCACTCACTACACCGTCCTTAGTTGCCTCGGGGAGAAGAGGGCAAGCGTTTCGACGAATCGACGCGCTAGTTGGTGCTGTTACATGGATGCAGTGGACAGTAGAACCCCTTTCTTCCTATTTGTAGAAAAACGCAGTATTAGCTTGTTCGCAGCCAGACACAAGAAATTGTGGCTGGCACGGCACGCAGGGGTATGCTTCTGTTGTCTGGCCACTCGCTTTCTCTCCCCAAAAGGCTGTGAAAGCGGGGAGAGCCACCAGCGCCACGGCAATATGCCTGCTTGGATCCTTGGCCATGCTATTGCTGCTAGAAGAGTAATGTGTAGGAGTATGCTGTCGAGGATCTAGGGCCAAATGCCTTGTACAAAGTATGATAGCTACAGTTTGCACAGGCAACTAGAATAGCCATTTGGGCTATCAATAGCATGTGTCCGTCTTTGTCATTAATTGTTGTTTTCTTATTTCATGGCCAACAAAACGACAGGGGAAAGAGAAACTCGAGCGACATTTCGACTATGCAAGTGGTGGTTGGGTCAATGATCCCATGTGCTACTGCGCACTGACGACAGCGAATAAAGCGCCGGTGTATTTCATGACAAAAATAAAGGCGCATTTTGATGCAACTCTTGTGATATCGCAACATGCTCATTTCGCCTTTGTAAAATAATTTCGCCGGTAACCGTGCACCATGATGAAAAGTCAACGTTCTGAGTGACCGCCAGGTGGTATTAGCAATTGGCCTCTGCTAATAGACCCACGGTTCACATTCGCCCGCAATCTGGAAGGGAGGGAGCAGATGCAGGATTATGAATGGCAAAGGAACCATGACCAGCAGAGGTCCCTTATCCTGATTTTTCCGTTTCAGCATCAATTCAGCATCGCCACCGTTGTCTAGCTTCGAATACACTTGTGTCCTTCCTCATCGTTGTTTTGCGGGACATAAAGCAGTTGTGCCATTTTCCGGCCAGAAATAAAAAAAGTGGAGATGGCAGCATCCTCCCGCTACATTCTTTTGGGGAGGGAGGCAGATGTTTGCAATGATGCTGAATCGCCAGACCGAGCAGCCTACCAGCGTGGTTTGCTTCGATATTATTGTCGTCCAAGTGTTGTTTTAGGGAGGAGAGGGAGGAGAATGACCATTCGTCCAGGCGAATCCCGACACGAAAGACCCAACGATAACAATTAGCTGAAGGAAAAGGGGGACATGCTATTCAATTAAGCATGAACAAAGTGCTTTCTGCCAATTGAAAATAGGGGAGGGGTAGAACTGGAGGGTATCTTACCATTTCTCTGCCATTAAGCTTCATATTTGCGTACCGCTATATGGTCCATTGACCTGCGTATGGCGGTATTGCAGCAGATTTTTTCCGCCAAACCTTTTTGCTTAAAGGAATTCCCAACGGCATATTCATATGCACTTGGTTTTAGATCGGTATAAAAGTAGCACTTGCCCGTTTCCAAGGCGTTGCGATTTCTTGATAAAGACCTGTTCCGGTATCTCAGAACGATTTTCTCTTTCTTGTTTTATTTCCCTTGCGGAGCAGCACCTAATAGCCACATTGCCTCCCCGCTCACCTTGATCCGCTGCCTTACGCTCCCTCATTTCCCTTCCTTGTATCTATTTTTCTCACCAGGTCGCCATACACATATCCCCCGCGCAATAGCTGACGCAGCGTATTCGGTTTTGGCAACAGCTCCTAAAAATATACGCATAGCAACATTTGCAGCTCGCCCACATTTGCAATCATTGCGACACGGCGTTCGTTGTCGTTTGGTAACGGGTGCTGCGTCTTTTTACTACAGAAGGACTCTTTGTATACTTCTCTCTCTCCTTTTCCCTTTTATTTTTTCGCATCTACGGCAATTACCATCCTCTGTTTTTCTCTCGCTTTTTTCTTCGCCGCGGCAAGCACACGACACGCTCAGTGGCAAACACAGCCTTTTGGCCCGCAATAGTGCCTTGCCCCTACGATCCGCGCCATATCGAAAAAGCGCCGGCGTAGCATAAAACCGTAGCGAATTCCTCGAAGACACCCGCGCATACCCGCATTTCAACCTCTGCCGGCTTCAGACTTTCACACGCGGTGGCAACATCTCATCCCCCAAAAGAGAGGCGCTGGATTACGTTCTTTTCCCCCTTCGTCGTCTCTTGCACCAGCCATTGCGATTCGCTGAATTCCACGCGTACTCCCCTTGACCGCTTCCCTTTTTCGCATTCTATTCGCATTTTCCCAGCTCTATCTTGCGCCCTACCTTACAGCCTGCAACCTGCACCGACGCAGAGCACGCTTCTCTTCCAACGTATATTTGTGTGGGTTCCATCATTCCCCTTTTTGAGTTACCCTGGGAGCAAAATTTCCATTTCAAACTAGCACCCAGCTCATATACTGTCCACACAATACTGCTTGGCCGTATCCATCTTTTCTCAGGCAGTGGACTGGACTCGCAACTCTGCTTGCATAGCTGGCACTCACTAGCTGCTTATTCTGCCATCTCGGCGACGAGGAAACGGCGTTTCGATTACAAATACGTTCATTATCTGCCTTCATCCTGGCTCGCTCCATTCTTCATTGCATCCTACCACCATTTCTTCATTTATTTTTCCATCACACGCCTGGCCAACCACCAGCTCACATACCCTCTTAATTTCGCACTTAGTTTTATCTTGGTTCTTCGCTGCCTTGACCCGAGCAACCCTTTTCCCGCTTCGTAGTTCAGACTCGATTTCCACCTTCTTTTTATCATCTGCGGAGCCAGTTTAATCTGCCTGTCGCCCGAGAGCGATATTGTTATTTCCACAATCCCTATTTTCTTCAAACACAGCGCTTAATAGCATTGCTGCAGCTTTTATCTATCTCCCCTGTTTTTCAACTTATTTCCATTTCGGGATAAACACCATCTCATATTTCTAATTCTCTTCCCGGCCATCCTGGTAAACACAGACACTGTTATACCAGGCCAGTGTCATTCGGGGGTTCAACCTACTCACTTCTCAGAAAGTCGAGCTTCTTCCAGCTGTTTAGAGTTCGCAACTTGCTCTCCCCACGAGCACACCATCCCAGCACTGCTACTTTCTTTGTCTTATTTATACCCGGGCGCCGCTGAAGTTTACTTTCTTCGTGGGCCCATCTTTTCTTCAGTTCAACCTCCTGCTGCTACAAGACTTACTTCTATATTACTTCATTCCGCGCGTCACTAGTCGACTCATCCCCTACCAAAAAAGTGCAGGCATAAGCAATGAACCAGAATCCGTTTGCCTTCTTTTCTGCAGACCCCAACGGCTATGCTCCGCTGCCTGACCCCCTCGGCAACAACCCGTACCTCGACGCCCGTAGTGGAATGCTGCTGAAGGATGATTCACTCCACACATCATCAATGTCGCAGGCTTCGCATGAGACAGATTCAAACCCGTCGACTCCATCCAAGAGCAAAAAGTCCGAGCGGCGCACTCCCAAGAGCAAGGCCGAGGTGTCCGAGCGCATGCGCCGGTGGCGCGCTGAGAATGCCGAGAAGAACCGCCTCAACGACCTGCGCTGCCGCGTGTACCGTCAGGCGCGTCTGCGCTTTGGCAAGGACCCAACACCCGAGCGTGAGGCTTGGATCCAGTCAGAGATCTTCCGTCGCCTGGAGCGCCGCCGCCTACGTGAGGCTATGAAGGGCAACAATGGGTCGTGTCCAGCACCCACTGCTATTGCCAGCCCAGCTTCTGTGGCCATGGGACTTGGTGGCCATACTGCTGGCGGCCCAATTACCCGGTCAAGGAGCACCGTGCATCCGTTCCCGATCCACATGGCGGGCTCTGCAGGTGTCCCTGACCATGCTATGGGGTTCCCAGCGACACCCTATGCGATGATGATGGGCAACGGCACGCATGAGTCGCAGCAGCACAGCCAGCAGCAGCAGCAACACCACCACCACCAGCAACAGCACCATCATCAGCAGCATCACCATCAGGGCCAACAGCAAATGCACTACGGTCACCACCAGCAGCTCTCTCACCAACAGCAGCAACACCAGGCCCAACAGCAGTCGCACTTCCCTCAGCCGCATCAGTACCAGCACAATCAGCAGCAGGACGCGCATCATCACCAGTTATCGCACAACTTCATTGCTGGTGCCTCGGCTGCGCTGCCGCACACTGATATCTACGGCGGTTTCAAATTCATCAACCCGCTGTATCAAGGGCGGCTGCTGTCTCCGCAGACGAATGCCTCCCAACAGACTGCGCAGTCGCTCTACCCCACTCATCAGCATCAACACCAGCAGCATGTCGACCAGCAGCAACACCACCACCAGCAGCAGCAGCATCATCACAGCCAACAGCAGCAGCAAGCGCAGCAGCAGGCTGGCGCAAATTTTGCTGGCACAAACGGTGTCTCCGCACATACTGTGCCGTCACAGGTTAACCCCTCGAGCGCAGTTGCCGCTGCCGCAGTCGCTGCCGCTGCCGCTGCAGTTGCTGACCTCTCCAACCCCTTCCAGCTGCCGTCGGCTAATGGCACCGGAATGTATGGCTACTATTCCGAGTCGCTGCCGCCATGGGAAGCCTCAAACGGTAGTACAGAGCTATCCAATGGGCAGTCGCATTCGTCGCCGTCGACGCCGGTAGACAACACTGTAGTATCGCAGGCCCAGTACACTCTGCATGCGGTAGACAACCCTGTGTACCCGATAGACTCGGTGTCAGGGTCAACCGGACCGTCAGCCACGTCCTCCTCGTCAATGACCCCGGCAAGCATTATCAATCAGCCCATTGCCACGCCATCATCGGTTGCGCTACTCGACCCGTCATCTGTGTCGGTCGATACCGATAGTGCCAGCATCCTGACTGACATCAAGCGTGATGGCAGTGCCAACAGTGCCGATGCTGTGTCGAGCAGCCATGGGTCGACTTCCAGTGACCTGACAGCAGTTGTCTCGCAGCAGGCATCGTCATCATATCTGTACGGGTTCCAGCACGAATCTGCTGGCTCGCCATCCCTGAATGATGTCGCAAGCAACCTGTTCTCGCTGCGTCAGATGAGCGGAAACAATAGCCAGGAGGCTACCTCCCTTGACGAGCAGCGCAGCGAGGCTGCTGAAAAGCACAGTTCATTTGACGAAGTGTCCCCAGTCGACCGGTTAGCAGCAGTAGCAGCGGCGGCAGCCTCGGCGTCACAGGACCCCCCACAAATGAAGCAGGATGGTGTGTTATCGCCGAATCCGGCTGAGCTGATGCAGCAGAGCCAGGAGCAGCAAAGTGTGCAGCAGCAACAGGAGCAGCAGCAGGAGTCGCAAGCGGATGCCCACCGGCTCCGGCACAATCTGCTGCAGGGCTCATTCAATCTGGGCGTGGTGCCTGATAATGTCAATTTCAGCAATTACTAATACTCTCCTCATTTCTGCTTTTGCAAGCATCCGTTTCTATCTAAATATCTTAATATACAACCCTGATCTCCATGATCCTGATTACAGGCTGACTCTATATGTGGACCATGTATGTATGCCATATGTCTAGACATGCTGGTGCAACTCGGCAGTTTTGATATAGGCATACACTGCATGAAACCATTGGCAGAATGGTCGTTTATAAGCACTATAGGCTATCATTATTAGCATTGAGAGGTGCCATGTAGCTCCAAGTTTGCATGGCAAGACCCTTTATGCATGGCTCACTTTTATCTGCCAACTGGACATTTAGAGCATTGTCTATTGAAAGCAGGGGATGCAGATTATGTGCCTGAAATCTACAACTCTAGGGTAGCTGAGGGGGAAGGCGAGACCACGACCTGTCGCAGGGCACTCACCAACGATGTATCGTCAGCATGCTCCACAGCCTCAATACCAAAGTACACAGACCTCCAGGCGCTCTGCACTACCTTGTCGACCAAAGCGCTGTCTGGTCTGGTCTGACTGCAAGCAAATGCGCGGGCTGAGCTGACCCAGTCATCAATTAGATTATGGATGGCTTGGGCGTCGCGCTCATTGACAACCGGCGATGACGCTGCGGAAGCGCCCATGCCTGTACTCTGCACAGCCGACGGCGCACCGGTTGCACCAGGGGCATGTGGCAGCTGCCTAGACGCGCGCCGCCGGGGCTCTGCTGGCGTGGCCGGTGGCTGAGAGTTGGCGCCCGGCGACGATACGGCTGAGGGGCGCTGCAGATTAGGAGGCACGCCGGCGTAGCGCAACACCCATGAGCGAACAAAGGCTGCATCAACCACGACCTGGTGGAACTCGGCTGCAGTCTCAAACACGACCGGCCGCAGGCGCACGGCCTCCAGGGCTGCCTTGATTATCTGCATTGCCAGGTGCGTCAGGATCTTACCGGCTGAGAGCGGGTTGATGCTGGTCGGGAAAATATCGACACGCTCGGCAAACAGGCGATCAATGTTTGACAATATGTGCGCGTGCAGATTCGAGCTGTATCCGCCAGACGACGTGTGGTGCATGTTGGTGTTGGCTGGGGAGCCCGATACGCCGAGCCGCAACGCATTAGCCCCGCTGAACGCCTGAGCATTGGCACGGTGCTGAGACCTGGCCGTCGGCTCGCATGACTCTTCGCCGATACGGCTAGTATCATGGGGCGACTCCAGGACGCTGAGCGTTGATGAGAAGATCGGGTCGTAGAACAGGGCGTTGGTGTCATCCTCAACCTGTTTCAGCCAGCGGCAGATGGTAAGCCACACCTCGCTGACACGGGTGATATGCAGAGAGCGGGCAGGCGCCATGGTTTTATCGAATGAGCGCTGCTCGAGCGACGTGGTCGAAAACCGCTTCTGCAACTCGTCGACCACAATTGCTGGCGAGTGCAAGTCGTAGGGGTGCATTTTGAGGTAGTCGGCCGAGATGTCCTGGCCCACAGTCATCACAAAGTGACGAACCAGCTTCTCGGCAACGCTGTGCCATTTGGCCGAGTGGTTGGCCTGGTGCGACTTCAGCAGACTGCCTCTGGCAGCATTGTTCCCCAGGCCACGTCGGCTCGTTGTGCTGGCCATGGAGTCAGCGCGTGCCATTGGTGTAGTGGTCAGCGAGTACAGTCTCTCAGCGCCAGGATCGCCGCTGGTATCGGGACGCGATGCAGTGAGCAGGTTGCTGACTGACGCATCTGCAGAGCCAAAATTACTCACATCACCGAGCCGTTTGCTGTGTCCGCCGGTTGATGCGTCGTCGGGCAGGATCGATATCCCTTGCTCACACAGCTGGTAGATGCTCTGTGTCAGCGTCAGCTCAAAGTCCACTGCGAACCGCGCCAGCAGAAGGCTGGCCACTGGGTCGTTAACAACGCTGATGCCGTACTGCGCCATTGGGGCTGCTGTGGTAACTTTCTCGACAAAAGCGCGAGTGCCAAACACTGGGTTCGCTAAAGTCGCATATAAGAACGAGTCGGGGATCCAGGAGCTCATCCACGTGTCCAGACAGCGGTCCAGCGTCTTGATGAATGCTTGGCGCAGCCGCGATGCGACTTGTGCCTGCAGATTGTTGCTACTTGGTCGCGGCATGGGCGTGCCAGAGCTTGTTGACGAGCCAATATCACCATCGTCGTCGTCATCGGCTTCATCATCATCGAGCATCTGGCTACTCTCAATGTCTAAATAGTGCTGCACAACGCACTCGAGCAGCGGGTTGACCCGTTCCAAAACCTGCTGAATCAGCCAGCTCTCGATATCAGCAAGAAACACGTGCAGCGGGGCATTCCGATTGACAGTATTGACGATCCAGGGCTTGTATCGGCGAACGCCGTTGCGGTACAAGGAGAACGACCGGCGCAACTGCTGGATTCCTGCAGTGGCTAGTGGCTGGTCATTGGTGGTCTTGCTGCCATCGTCCATGGTTTCCATGGCTTCGACATAGTTGCTTGAATGCGTGCGCTGATGGTGGAACTTGCGCTTGGCGATAGTCTTGCTTGCCGAAGCATTCTGTGAGCTGCGCTGCCCACCCGACAGGTGGAATGTGCTGGCACGGCTGATGCGGTTTGCGCTGACTGCCATCATCGGTGAATTGAGAGAGGGTGACAGGTTGCCAAACGCAGATGCTGAGTTTGGCCCATCGTTGTTCGACGACAGTGTCCGGACATGCATGAGTGCACGCATGTGGTGCGGCTGTGTCTGGATATGCGGCAAGGGCTGTGGTGCGGTGGTAGCAGAAACTGACGTGACGGCCGACTGATGCTGCTGCTGCTGCTGCTGCTGCTGTATGTCGCTCAGGATTTGGGAGGACCGGTCGCCTCCACCAGTCCAGCCACCAGAGACTGCAGACCCAGCCCTTTGGTGCTGCTGCTGCTGCTGGTGCGTGGCAACATCGCCCTGTGAGGTAGCGCTGCGAATGGATGAGTTACGACGGTGTCTACTAATACTAGCAGCACGCGGGATAGTACCAAACACACCGCCCCCGCCCCCAGTATTGCTGCCATTCGCCGACATCTGTGATGGGGTGGTCACAGCATTGGTTTCGAACGAGTCAACTAGCGGATCAAAGTAGTACTCGACACGCTCGAGCAAATCACGTACAATGGTATGCAGTGCGCCCTCAACCAGGTGCTCTTGCCAGCGGTTCACGATGCGCTGAATCGAGTCGTGTAGGCCGCCGATACGCGCCAAGATCGGGTACTTGTTGACACTTATTACTAGTTCGTCCAGCTGCTCCAGATACGGCTTGACGCTGTCTTCGGTGACGTCGTCGGGGAACCGAATAAGACTATCGATAATGAACTCGTACTCCTCGCTCCACTCGCCCATATGCTCTGCAAACTGCCGCTGTGCTGTGCTCAGTTCGCTTGCGCTCATCGCCTGCCATGCAACCACCAGCTGGTCCTTCTTGTTGCTGATGCTGAGCCTAGCCATTCCGTCAATAGTGTTCGTGGTATCTGAATCGGCGAGAGGCGAAAGCAGACCCACCACCGTTCCTTCTGTCGTGGCTTCCAGCAGCGACATGGTGCGACCCTGCGCCGAACTGCCAGTGTTAGAGCCGGCAGTGACTGCCGAGACATCTTTCAGCTTGTCAAGGATGCCGGTGCCAGTTGGAGACACAAACTGCGAGGCAAACCCAATCACTAGGCTGTTCCACACCGGCAGATACTGCTCGTTGAAGTGCGCGGTGCGGCTTTTCTGGCAGCTATGGATCTGGCTAGTCATTGGGGCCCCGGTGATCTTGGCAGCAGCGGCGACTGGCAGCGGCGCGCCGCTCGGATCCGGATCAACTGTGCCCATCATTTCGTGTGGCGTCTGCACCGCCGAATCGCACACAACCGGGTACACATACGATGCCGTAAGCGCTGCTTGTCGCAAATTGCGGTTCTTGGCACTCTGGATCTCCAAGTACTCACGCCATAGCTCGCCAACCTTTTCGGGCCTCAGCAGCGCCAACAAAGACGCGCACTCGGCTCCTTCGGAGACATCGGTGGCTGGGTCCCGCCAGCGGCTCCAGATTGTGTTTTCCACGCTGGCCATGATCTCCTTGCCGTCCTTTTCAACCGACGCAAACACGCCCAGCTGCCTGTAGTGCTCAAGCAGCGGCTGGGTCCGTGACCAGAGCCGTGCAGCCTCGACAAACTCGCCCTTGCCAATCGATTTGTTAAGCTGGTCTGGCAGTGCAAACAGGAACTGCAGCTTGCTCATCAGCCGGTGCTCTGCGTTGAGCCGCTGGATCGCTTCGCGCTTCTCGGCGAACTTTGAGTTGACGGTGTCTGTGCGCGTGGAAATCTCGTTGACTCGCTTGGTTAGCTTCTCCATCTCGGCATCCATGTAATCGGCATCCTCCTTCATCTTGCGGATCGTCTCGGTTGCGCTAATGAACTTGCTGTAGTTTTCATACACCATTGTTTTCATGTCTCCGTCGATATGCCTGATCTCGGTCACCAGCTCATTGTCTGCCTCCAGTAGTCCTGCTACGCCCTTATCGACCAGCAGCTTCTTCAGGTACTTTTTCGAGTCGAATGCAGCTGTGTCGATGTCTAGTGGATTCCTGACCCTCTGCACTGACACGTGCCGCCGTGACTTCTTTGCCGTCGACCTGGTGAGTGTGTCGCTCGGCGTGGGCGCGGCCAGCTCTACTTGCTGCCTCAGCGAGCTTGAGCTCTGTGGTTGTGTCGACGAGCGCGCTTGCGTCTTGTAGAACGCCCGCAGTTTCTCTCGCGCCTTCTGCTTGTCGACATCAGCACCTGCCTTGGGACTGCCTGACATTTTTGAATTGAGCCGATGTACAATGAGGACAAATATAAAAAAGTAGAGGTGCGGTGAGCAAGGGGAAGGCTGGCTGAGCCCGTTCGCCTTGACGATGACGACCTACGCGGCTCGCGAGCCGCATTGGCATCGCAGGGGCTCGGCTTTTGTTTGTATTTTGGGCTTGTCTGCGCCTTGCAGTGTTGTCTTCCTTCAGCTCTGTTCAAATTTACAACCAGTTCAATTGCTAGCATGCCGATATTCGATGGCAAACGCGCCTGGTTCTCGGCGAACGTTCCCGCTGCACATATCAGCGCCTGGGGTAAGTGACAGCCAGCTTCTCTACTGCCTCAGAGGTTGTATACTCTGGGCTCACAGGTGGACAGTAGGCAGGCTACTACTGCTGAAACTGCGCACACATATGCCTTGTAGTGGCTGACGGCGGGATACAGATCAGAGACATACGAAAGCCGGCCATTCAATACTACTTCAGCAATGCGCTGGACGACGAGGAGACCGTTGAGCTGATGCGGCGGCAAGAGAAGGTTGTTTACAAGTCTGCGTGGATCACAGACTCCTCGCTTTCCCGCACACGGCAGCCATTGGGCTCGTACACCCTGCAGGGATTCCGACAGTTGGACCGTCTGCTCAGCAGCCCAGTAGTGGAGCGGCACACGTCGGTGCGCGGCAATCACTCGCCATATGCGCGGCATTCCGCCGTTGTCGACCTGCAGTCGCAGTCACCGCCAGCAAACTTTTATGTATCTCCGCGACACATGCTTCAGCAGCCTAGACAATGGCGAGCAGCTCGCCGAGACGATATCTCGGAGACCCAGAGCATGCGCTCGCAGTCCAGCATGCGCTCGAACACAAGCTCCGTGCTCAGCAGCTATGGCCGCAGGCAGCGTGTCGTTAGTCGGTTTATTATACATGCCGATCAGCCGACCAGAAATTCGATTATGAGCGCTGCCGTGGACTTTACGCCCAACGAGCACGGGTTTGTCGCCTACAAGATCCCGAAGCTGGCGTAACCAGCGCTGATTTTGTGTATTTTTAGAAGCCCTGTGCTTGCCCAACAATGGAGTAGACTGGCGTGCATGCGTATCTTGTCAGAAGCTGCATATTTCTTGCACAAGTCCTTGGGATCATCTGTCCCAATGTTAAATGTAGTCTAAAAATGGCACAGGAATCCCTTCCATGTGGCTGTATTCGACCGCCAAACAATGGCAGGGCTTGGTGCGCATGCCGTATATAATGGCAGCGTCGCCTTGTCCCTGTACTTCCTCATATCCTTCCGCCACCCCTATATCTATCATGGAGGACCGTGTTATTCTTGTTATTTCGCAGACCTGGTTCCAGGTCATCATGGCTGTGGCCAACATGCTCATGTTCTTTATCGTGACCACGCTGGTGTCTGTTGCTGCGTCATGGTTTTCGGCCATCCAGTTCAGTCAGTTTGTAACATCAGGCGTCGGCTTGCTTATGGCGACCCCCCGCTGGACGCGTCACAAGAGTGCTGGGGTGTCGCTTCTCTACGTTGTTACATGTGCTGTCATTTGGGCTTCTTCGCATATCTCGATTTTGCTGCAAAAGGTCGGCAGCAACGGCGCAGTGATGGACAGCATTGGCACTGGGACCTCGTCACTCAATCCACTCAAGTACCAGTACAAGACAACCTCGCAGTGCAGCGAGCTGCTGGGCAATAGCCTGGCATGGTACAACTGCACAGACATCGCAGACCCGCGAAGGTTCCAAGTTGCCACGAGCCCCGTGAAAACGGCAGATCCTCGCTTCGATAGCCAGACAAGCCAGTGGAAGGCCGTACTAAACACGACAGCCAACGAAGAGGTGGTTATTGCTGGTGCGCCAGACTTCAGCAAGCTCTTTAACAAAACCGAAGCACTCTCGATATCTGCCAGCCACCTGACGACTGCCCGCTGGGACCTCGGGGGTTATATAACCGAGACGCCCAATGTTACATCGCCAGTCATGAACAGCACTGGCATGGAATACTTTTTAGCAACCACTGCGCAGTGGCAGCCGACATTCAACAACCCAAACCAAAACACCTCTGCATTGCTCAGCGCCATCCAGGCAACGGCCTCATATGATGGCTACATAATCTACTACAACATTGAGGTCAACAACACGCGTTTCGGAACACATGGCTCCAGCTGCAGTGCGACGACCTACGGCTCCATCTTTGACAAGTACAAGGATGCTATCAAGAATCCTAAAGTAAAGCCAGTCACCGGCGTCACAGGAACGGGGTTAACTGGGTCGCTGTACGATCTGGAATGGACGGCTACAAGCAGCGGATACAAGATCACTGTGGTGAGCATGAGCGAAAGCTGGCAGGGACCCGGATGTTGCCAGTACCTTGTGTGCGATGTTTATGCCTACGAGGCACAAGTCCGCTTTGTCATTGTCAAGACAAACAGCAAGGATTATGAAGACCGAAAATATAACGGCAGGTACAAGTCTCCGACGATCCAAAACACATTTCTGACACGGGAGGACTCGTATAACCGCGCCATCTCATTCTGCAACATGGACACGTACCATTTAGCTAACACCGAAGTGGAAGTCAAACGGAGGTGCGATTCGCAAAAGTTTTTCAGCAGCTTGGAGCAGTACCACGGCCTCTCGGACAGCATCTTTACATCCTCTGACCCTGCCAACATCACTTTCCAGGGCCAGAACATCAGGCTGAGGGAGGGATTTCGGATCCGGATATCTGGGGTTTCTGTCCTTGCTGCTATCGCTGCTCTGGCTCTTGTGTGCACGGTGCCGCGGTTCTTCATGTCCAGATTCACGCCATACACTAGCCATGCACTGGAGATTGTTGCTGCAACCACCACTGGGTCTGATAACAAGAGATATTCCTGCCTACAAACGCTGCCTGACATCGATGTCGCTCTGGATGGCGACCGCATGTCGGGCTACACCCTGGTGGTCAATAATGGCGAGGTCTGCACGCGGCATCGTGGCAGTGTTGAGCCTCTGCCTGCACCTGGAATGGGCCAGATATACCAGCAAAAGTCCACAGTTTCATTCGGGACCGGAGGGTCGTTGGCTACCTAGGCATACAGCATATGATGTATTAAACTGTATCTCCGTTGGAGCTGGCAAGTAGCGTGGACTAATTGAATTTGGAGATGCAAAATACACGACTCAAGGAAGACTAAACTCGAATTCGCCAGAGACGCCGTAGTGGTCGGAGATCTGGGTGAATGGCATGTCCGGCGTAAAGTTCGGAGTGACGCCGACGTCAATGACCTTGGCCACGACACCGTTCTTGTGCTTGTCGGCATCCGGGTTGTGCCACAGGATATAATCAATCGAGTGCATGACCTCGTTGTCGTGGCGCGTGGTCAGAATAGTCTCGCGCGGATGAACAGCACCGTCCTTGCCAACAATGGTATTGCCGAATGTGACTGGATGGTAGCCGAGCCGCTCGTACAGCGTGTCGTGGAGCTCGATGATGTCCTTGCCCTTAAAGTCGTCGGTGTTCTCGGGGCCTAGCAGCTTCGGATCAATGCCATAGCCGCGCAGAACCGACATCATCGCCGCACCCTCGTCGGATGTAGATACACCATCCTCTACTTCGCGCTCGTACTTGGCATTGCCGGGATCGGTCAAAACGTGGTCGCGCGAGTCGACATTGAAGTCGCCAGTCAAAATCACTGGCTCGCCAGCAGCACGCTCCTTGGGCAGTACGCGCTCGAGCATGTTGTGGAACTCGTGCAGCTGCAGCAGCCGGTGCTTGACGTCGGGCTGGGTGATGATAACCTCGCCATACGAGGCCTGTGTGTGCGTGGTGAAGACATGGGCGTGGGTCAGGGCCTCGCTGCTAGGCTTGTTGTCGTCGGTCTGCGAGTGGATTGCGATCTTGGCATACAGAACGCCCTTCTTGGGGATCCAGTCAGGGCCCATGCCGCGGGTGTACACCATCTCCTCGCTCTTGACGATCGGGAACCGGCTCAGAATGACAAGTCCGCCATCAATGGCAGCGTTCCACACAAACTGGCGGGTGTTGGCCACGTAAAACTTGTAGCCAAGTTTGTTGGCAGCAGCCAGCAGCCGGCTGCGGCGAGACGACGCAAACTCAAACATCTCCTGCAGACACACAACGTCGTAGTTGGGCAGAATGTGCTCAATGAGGTAGTCCAGCCGCCCATCCTTCCAATCGCTCTTGTTGTTCTTAACCAGCGGCGGCCGCATAAACATGTTCTGCGTCAGAACACGCAGCTTGGGCAGTGCGGTAGTCGTCATTAGCTTCAGTTCGGGAGCTGTCTTATAGTCGGCAAGCGTGACAGAATTTGGCGGCTGGTTGAATAAATTGAGATTGTACGCGCTGAAAACAGACACAACAAGAACGACAGCGGAAGCAAGATACATTTTCGAGTATTTGAGAAAAGAGGAAAGGACTTTCAAAACAAAACGGCGTTCAAATGCAGAGCTGAAAAAAAAAAAAACGCCGGACAGAATGCAAACGAGTGTCAGCTGCGAGCTCGCCAAATCCCAGAGCAAAGACAAATGCTGAAAATTCTAAACGAGCGCTAGAGAGTCGAAAGAGACCCCCGTTTTCCGCCATCGCCCACCAGCTGTTGCGGAGAGCAGAAGAATTGGTCCATGTCCGCCCAGCCCAAGCTCGATGGTGACGTCGTCGGCTGCCGAGTGCTTGGCAGATGACCTTTTGCCCATGCGCTGATAGCTTGGGCCAGTGGTTCCACAACCACCAGCTGCAGCGATGGCCGCCGTGGAATTGCTCTTTTGCTCTCTCCTTATCTCCTGCCCACTGCTTATTAGAATTTTTTTGGTCTGTTTATTGAACCATGGATCGATCAGGCAAGCGCGCCCAGTTTACGCCCGCAGAGCACAAGTTCCTGACCGGTCTGCGCACCGGGCCAGCCAACTTTGAGTTCAAGAACTGGGCAAACACATTCAGCTCAAAGCCAATGCTGTACCTGGCCCCGCAGACCGAGGGCGAAATCATCGAGCTTGTGCGCATCGCCAACAAGCACCGGCTTACAATCAAACCCATCGGCTGCGGACACTCGCCGTCAGACATTGCCTGCACCGATGCGCTGATGCTAAACATGGACAAGTTCAACCGCGTGCTGGCACACGATCCATATGCGTGTACGCTGACGGTCGAGGCGGGCGTGCGTCTGCACCAGCTGCACCAGATGCTGCACCAGCGCAACATGGCTCTGAGCACCCTGGGCAGTATCTCGGATCAGAGTATCGCTGGCGCCATCGCCACCGCCACCCACGGCACTGGAATGGACTACAGCGACCTCAGCGCTATGGTCATCGAATTAGTCATCATCGATGGGTCGGGCAACCGCCTGAAGTGCAGCACAGCCCAGAACAAGGACCTGTTTGATGCAGCCCGTTGCAGCCTGGGTGCACTGGGCATCATCACGCAGCTGACCCTGCAGTGCGAGCCAGCCTTCACTCTACATGCGGTGCAGACACCTGAGAACCTCGACAACATCCTCAACAACCTGAGCGAGGTCGTGTACTCGGCCGAGCACGTGCGGTTCTGGTGGTTCCCCCATACCGACTCGACTGTGGTCTGGCGTGCCAACCGCTCGTCGCTGCCACCACAGCCGTCACCCGAGTCGTTCTTGCGTGACCGCCTGTACGGCTTCCACTACTACCAGCTCCAGCTCTACAAGGCCCGCTTCAACCCTGACAGGATCCCAAAGCTAACCGAGGAGCACTTTAGCAACCGCTTTGACCGCAGGATCGAGTGGGTAGATGACAGCTTCAAGGTGTTCAACTTTGACTGTCTCTTCCCGCAGTATGTCAACGAGTGGGCTGTGCCGTGGGAGAATGCTGCCGAGGCCCTGCGCCAGCTGCGCATCTGGATCAATGCCCAGGCACGCGATCCCAAGGGCGTCCGTGTGCATTTCCCAGTCGAGGTGCGTTTTGTCAAGGAAAACGACGTCTGGCTCAGTCCTGCATACCAGCGTACCGTCTGTTACATTGGCGTCATTATGTACCGGCCCTACCACAAGGCAGTGCCGTACAAAAAATACTGGAAGGTCTACGAGGATATCATGCGCACCCTAGGTGGCCGCCCGCACTGGGCCAAGGCACACAAGATGTACTACTATGATTTGCTGGACGCATACCCCAAGTTCGCCGACTTTGCCAAGCTGCGCGCCCAGTGCGACCCGAACAACGTCTTTGTCAACGACTACATTGCACGCCATCTGCTTTCCCCCAGCGAGCAGGCAGATCTGCTAGCGGCTGGCGACACTTCATCCAAGATCACAGACGAGCAGCCCAAGCTCTAGGTGATGACCCAAAACCCCGATCTTGATGGCCAAAATGAAGGCCAACAGTTTGCCACTGCGAAATAATAGAAATATTTCACTCCTCGCTTTTAGTATCCTGTTTCTAGACGCAACTGACAATGAGCAGCACGAGCCTGGCCGACTTGAAAAGGAAGCAGCAGCTTCGAAAACAGCAGCAGCACAAGCAGAATAAGCGCAAGCGCGAGGCAGCAACGGCAACAGCAGCGGTAGTGCCTTCCCAGTCAACACTGGACAATCATTTTCACCGCTCCGCCTCTACTGGCCACAGCTCCAGCAGCCTGCCGAAGCGTCGCGACAAGCTGCACAACCATTTCCAACGCGCAACCTCTCTCAACCTCGCCTCAAGCATCCTGGCTGCGGCGCCCGAGACCAAGGCTCCATTTGCCACCGCTCCACCCAAGCTGAAGCAGAACCCATTCGACATCATCAATGAACTGGAGGCAGAGGAGAACGGCTTAATACTTGCTAGTGAATTGGGAAACATTGTGGTAGTCGGTGCAAGTGGAGACTTGTCGGATTCGGAGGATGACGGCGACGAAGGTGCCGACCCAGCGCTGGACCCGGTTGCGCTCGGCAGCGACGAGGAGATGTTTGAAAACGACCCCAGTCTCTACAAGGTCAGCACCCGGTCCTTGCCATTACATTCTAGTACCTTGATTCGGCAGACACCTCTGGGAGACGATGTGAACAGTAAGAGTCGGGGTATGAACTCGACTAGTCGGCAAAGCTCACATCCAGCAGCCAGAAGCGACTTGGCTCTCTCTCACACTGAGAAATACTCGTCCGACAAACCATTACAGACACTTTCGCTACGGACTCATGTATCAGCATCGTCTTCTCATCCGCTCAAGGAGCTAGAGCGACTCAAAGACGATGGGTCGCTCTTGAGCATGACATCACTTTGCAGCTCAGGCTCTGCCCCGCTGAATCTGTTGGCTGATGCACTGGTGTATTGGGAAATAATCGGCGCAACTGATCCGCGGCAGCAGGGCACACTGGAACAGCGGCCATCTGCCAGTATCGCATCAGCGGGCCAGATCCAGCAGGCATTCGTCTCGCTATTCCGACTGCAGCTGGAGGCGCCCGCAAAGTATCCCTTTATCTACCTGCAAACCCGCGACTACACAGCTGTCTTCCGCATGAACATCCTACCAGACACATCTGGAACTTACAGACGAGATGCGATTGTAAGCCAGTCATCACTGGGCTTGCGCAAGACATTGCATGCAGAAGGCGTGGAATTCTCCGTACCGCTAGCACCCAAGACCCAGGACTGGAGCGAGATTCCAGGGGCAATCAGCACAGGTACAGACACGCATTTCCTGCGCACAACTTTGTTTGACAAGACATGGAAGTCAGCCCTGCTGATCACCGATCCTGCCAGCGTCAACGGACTGTTCAGCCATTTGTACTCGTTGCCGCTGGGAGCGGCCAAGATATTTGCCAGCGGTCCGTTCCTCAATGCCACCATGCGCAGACAGACCGTGCGCATTTCGAGTGTTGTGAGTTATGAGGATGGGGTCGAGAAGATCCTAAACAAACTGGATATCAATGGCGTCATACTCCCAAATATGTGGAACACGATCTTGACATCGCTGGCAGAAGTCATTGCCGATGGTTTCCATGCCACATCAAAGGAGAGCGCAGATACTGCAAGCCTGACAATGCTGATAACAGCAGGACAGAACAATGCTGCGGCTAGACGGAGGGGTGTGACTTTTGCCGATGGCAAGTACACATATTCATGAACATTTATGTCGAATAACAAGCCACCGGTCGCTGTCAACTTGTATGCCAGCATCGCACTCACCCATGCCGGCTCATGAATCGTAACTAACGGATTGCGATTTAAGATGCGATGATTTATGAGTACTATATGGCCTTTGGTACTGTCCAGTATTCAGCGCTGGCACCCGCTGTGTCGCCGCTCACAAGTTTTTTTTACCAAGGTATATAAACCCCTGTATGTGAGGCATGCGCTAGCCTAGATAGAAATAACACCATTCCATCTAATTGCTTTTACAGCCCGTCTAAAACCTGCACTAGCCTACAACCAAATGAATGCTGTGTCGACCAGCCGCTTCTCGCTCAAAAGATTAGCCAGCCATGCTAGATCCTCCATCTGTCGCTACATGAACAGACTCGCAAGGCGCCACTTCTTTGAACCACACGCACAGCTGAGCGTAAAGAGCAGCAAGCACCCTATGCCCATTGAACCTACCATCCCCTCCAGTGAGTCTCCTCCTAGCCTGCCTGAGGTAGAAGGTGATTCTGGTAGTGATTCTAGCGACTTTTTGGAAACACTCACCAGGCTTTTCGACTTCACCCTTGTCAAAATGAAAAACGAAAAGAGATATGTGAACATGGACAACCTTGGACCCTCTGCCAATAGTTTTGATGACAATGATCTTGTTGAGGATACCCTTGTGCCCTTGATGCACACTGCTAAGCCATGCATCACAGCCATCATAGACATACCTGAGTCCATGCTGGCATTGCAGCCAGACGACGAGAAAGACCGTTGCAATGATGACGCGTATGAACTAGATAAGGACGACTTGGTGGTATTCGACAGATTCTGCTACAGCTACGGCATGTGGACTAAGGTGATGATAGAATAAGCAGCATATCTTGGGCTGGTACAAGGGTGTCAAGGACAGGTGCCTCTTGAGACGTGCTATCGAGTCCATGGATGACCTCTACCAGGCCATGATGAAAGACTATTCGGACTGCTTTGAAAAAGTATCAAAAGCAACGGGTGTTGATTTAGGCGAGTTTTATTTTACAGAGGATGCCAAGGCGATTTGTGCGCGCTTCTACGAGCTGACCGATGACTTTAAAGCGAGGCGTCGTGTGCACTGCTTTTAAGCTAGAGTGCAAACGAGTATTATCCTCTGTAGAAAGTTCAAATCGCCTTTAGTAAGTCAGAGCGATAAAACATTCGCTCCAAACTGTTACCTTCACCGATCCCTTCTTGTTTGTTGACCAACGAAACATGAATAAAACACTTGTCTAGCCGTAATAATCATTCACAATACTAGGCTAGACAAGATGCGCTGCAGAGAGCTCAGGTAGTTTGATTTCTGAACAAAAGCATTCGGAATCCACTCGGCAATCAGTGCACCTGGCACCTAGAGCTCACATCTCATTCCCCTGTGTTTCACATTGCTTTTATCCACATTTATTGAATAGGCCAATACATAATAATGATAATAATAATAATAATGATAACGGCATTCATCAATCGAAAACTAGCTCTATTCAATTTATTCCAAACCCCCCGTCAAAAGATGTTTACTCCTAATTCATGCTCGATAGTATACTGAGCACTGCTTCAGTGAGTCCAAGTGATAATAAATGTAGCTATTGGTTAGCTAGACGATGCTTGAACTTTCCTTTGGTCTTCACAACACTTGGGCATATGTGCTGGGTTGTAACAATACTGCTTTACAAAAAAGCCACTAGGAACGGCAGAGAATGGCCATTTAAAGCAGGCAATATAAATATGCGAATGCAAGTGAATGTAAGGCAGACTTGCAGACCTGAGTAGCATTTGCTGACCACCATGCAATATAAAACTTTGTACTATTCAACTGGCATTGTTCAGCATGCACTTGCTTTACCATCTTTCTACAGCTTTGCTGCACCCTCCAGCGTTGGTTTTGTGAGCACTGGCGTTGCAGCTGCAGTATATATAGCTTTGTCCTAGAAGCCTGATGCCCTATTCACTGATCTATTTGCTTATACAACTATACAAAAATGACACTTTCACTCGAGTTGCTATCAAAAAATGTGAAAAACGAGATAATCCCGTTGTGTACGCTAGACATGATGGCTGTAGCAACAAACATGTCGTACGTGTTCTTTTTCAACAACCAGGATAATGCTGCTGGTTTCATGGATAGCCATATCCTCAAGCAGGCATTGTACCGGACACTCGCACAGTTTCCAATACTGCTGGGCCATCTGCAGAAGGGAAGAAAGGGGCGTGTCAAGGTCGTAGTTGACAGAGAGAATATAAATGTCCCTATATACCGGGAGACAACCTGGAGCCAAACGCACTATACAGAATTACTTGAATCCCAGTTCGATTTCAAACTGTGGCCGGAACATCTTATGCCTGCTGATAGCTGCTTGCGGCCAGACCCACACACTAGAGATATCAAGCTGCTAAGCATATCTATTATGCGACTGAAGAGCAACAGCGGGGTGGCAGTCTGCATAAGCATACCGCACTATGTGATGGACGGATGTGGCTACTTTGAATTCGTTAATCAGTGGTCTGACGAGGCCAAGGCTATAGTCGAAGGCACATGCGCACCAAAGAGAGAGTTTCTTTTTGATAGATCGGTGGTAGACAGGTATCTCCCGCCGGAGCGAGCCGCCTTGCCTGCCCTTGTCGACAGCCTGTATGCTACCCGGTCGCCGTTCTTCGAGTATGTGGCACGTCTGCCACCGGTCTGGCGTGCCAGGTTCGTGATTTATATGAGAAGAAAGGAAACAATACGCGGGTGCCTGTTTCGTATGTCGCGAGATAAACTCGACTATCTCCATCAACTGGTGCGCCCGCATTTGCCTGAGGGAATGCGAATTTCTGATAATGACCTACTTATTGCTCTGTTTTCCATGGTTGCTGGGTACGCCATGCTCGGCGATGCGAAGGAGGTTATGCAGTTAAGGAGGGCAGCAGACAACCCAACCCGTGGGCTACTGGGAGAGCAGCTTATGTGCTTGCCATGCAACTTCCGGTCCCGCATAGGCATGTCAGATATCTGCTACACCGGCAACATGCAGTACCCAATTGGCTTCATCAATCCAATCGAGCATCTGCTAAAGCCAATCACTGGCGAAAGCCTGGCTGAAGTTGCTGCCAAGGCGCGACTGGCAGTGAAAGATGTTACGGCTGGAACAGTCGCATCGTTTGTCGAAACAATCAATTCGCAGCCGACATCCTATGCACGGCCAGTGGGCAATACGAAGCATTTCGCGCAGATTCTGGTTGTAACAAACCACATGACGCAAAAGATATATGAGACTGACTTTGGGTACGGCATGCCTGATATTGGCATACTATCACCAGTGTTTGCGCCTGCAGTGAACTTCATTGTTCCGTGCAAGCCGCCGAGCGCAGATGTGTACCTGCATATGACCTATGATCTCAAGGTCATGGAGAGAATCATTGAGAATAGGTTCTGGCAGTCACTCGTTCATCAGATTTATTAGACACAAGTGATGCCGCTATAGCCTCGTAAGCTCGTAGCATTCGGCCGAGTAGAGAAGAAAAAAGATACTTTACTTGTCAAACTCCGTGACGCGGCCCTTCTGGTGCACATAGATCTTTTCTGTAATATTCTGCTGCATAGCAGTCCAGCGCGCAGCGACAAACAAAAAGTCGCTGAGCCTGTTGACAAACATCATCGACTCCTTGTCAATATCATTCTTCAGCGGTACCAGCGTGCGCTCGGCACGCCGGCAGATGGTCCTCGCCACATGCAGAGTCGACGCAGCCAGGCCGCCCGATGGCAAAATGAACGAGCGGTGCACGGGCAGCCCAACAGACATCTCGTCAATCCACGCCTCCAGGTTTGTGCAGTGGAAGCCATCCGGATCAAACCGCGTGCGCTTGACCTTGGACTGCGATTTTGAGTTCACTGGCGTGGCCACGTTTGAGCCAACGTCCTGTAGCAAACACTGAATAGTCTCAAGTCTGGGTACCAGCGACTGGGCACTGGATCCCTCAAGATGGGCAATGGCCAGGCCAAGCATGGACGACAGCTCATCAGTGGTGCCCAGTGCCTCGAATACAGCATCATTCTTGCCACGCCGCTCGCCAGTGAATAGGGATGATGTGCCCTTGTCGCCTGTGCGCGTGTACACCTTGATAGTGGCCGGATAGCTCTTGACCTCGTCAGGCGATTTTATGGTGATCTTGTTCTTGTCGCCAAACAGCATACGGGTCGAGCTCAGCTGCATGGCACCGGGCAGCTGCCGCCTCGAGACTGTCAGCAGATTCCGCGCGGCCGTTCTGGTGGAAAACATGTGTGTCTGTGTGTATAATTAAGCAGGTAGCAGAGGGTATTGCAAAGACAAGATGGGCGGACAGAGGTGGGATTGATTGTGTGAACTTTCCCACCGGCAGTTTGTGATGTCTGCAAGTCGAGCCATGAGGATTAGCCAGCAGCTCGGCGATAGCCAAATGAGCTGCAAGACGATATGTGTCGACATTGGCAATACACTGCCTTGTAAACAGCGACTACCAGCAGGATGGTGTGCCATATGGCTGACCTTTTTATATAATACGAACGGCATAAAAATGAAAAAGATAAGTAAATAATTGCGACCGAGCCGCAGCCCCATGAACAGCAAAGACCAGGCTTCATTCCATCTTGGTGCTATCCTCGCCATAGTAGATGTCAATCAGCGCTGATCCAGTGGTCCTGACATCATCATCCTCAGAGACCGCCACAGCGTTTTCCAGCGCATCGATGCCGCCGGTCACATTCTTCAGCAGCTCCACGCCCTGTCTGTCCTTAATTTGGGTCAGCAATATCTGCAGGTACTGGGTGCCAAGCCGCACCAGCTCCTGGTCCTGGCTCTTAATAAACTCAACAAATGCCGAGACCAGGCGCTCGTTTGGCAGCTCCTCCAGGCGCTGGCCAGCAATGGCAATGTTGAGCAGGCTGAAGGCGGCTTCCTTGCGGATGTCAAAGTTCTGCGTCTCGACAATCTTGGTCAGCTCATCGACGATGCCAGCGCTGACAAAGGCGTCGATGTCGGGTTTGGTGGCGGTGACACTGGACAGCACCCACAGAGACTCCTTCTCCACGGCGCGCGAGTTGGAGGATTTGATGCAGCGCACAATAAGCGGCACAAACTGCGGCAGCCTGACGACTGCATGGGTCTGGGCATCAGTGCCGGCGACAATGTTGCCCAGGGTACGAATGATCGGAATCAGTGAGACATCGGGGGGATCAACCGTTCCAGCATAGTCTAGCAGCTGCTCGATAGCCCCAGATGCCAGGAGCTTATTGACCTGAGACTCGGAGCTCGATGCTGCCAGGTAGGCATAGACCCAGGAGATTTCCTTGACGCAGCCCTTGTCACTCTTGAACTTGGCCAGCTGGCTGGCCAGTGCAGTATGCAGGTTCAGAGCAAAGAGCTCGTCAAAGAACGAGTTGGGTCGGCGGGCCATGTTGGACAGGGCGAAGCATGCTGTCTGAAGGACCTTGCTGCTTGTGGTCGTGTCAGCGAGTTCGACAAGCGGCTTCAGAGCACCGCTGGCAAAGAGGTGCTCGCGCATCTCCTCGTTCTCAGCGGCCAAGTTCCCCAGAGTCCACACCGCCTGGTTGACCAGTTCCTATTGCGATTGAGGAAAAAGAGGCAGTATGCATACCCAGTGTGGATTAGAGCCGGGTTGTGGTGACTATTACCTGCAGTTTTGGATCGCCCTTCCCTTGACCTTGCCCCCAGACAACGCTGGCAGGCACTAACTGTTGCGAATCAACCCCAGAGGCTCTCACATATGTGCGTGCGGAAACTTACCAGGTTATCGCTGGAAATGAGAGTGATGAGGTGCGGCGTGGCCGGCAAGATTTTCTCCGCCAGCGCGCTCTCATTTGCAGCAATATTGGTAAGGCACCAGACGCTCAGAAGCTTCTCGTCGGTCTCGGTCGCGCTGATGAATTTCAGCAGTAGATCAATGCAGTCGCCGTGTGACACAAAGCGGCGCAGCTCCTCAGACGGGTGCTCAAGCTTGGTGCTGAGGTTCTTTAGGGAGTCCAGGCGCTCCCCCTTGTTGGTGCTCTACAAAGACCAAGGGGCTCAGCATATACGCAGACATAGTACTGGGCAACTGATTCTGTCGAGTCTTACCTTGAGCCCGCGGGTAATGATGGCCGTGTCGGACGGCGTAAACTCGTATTCGGATTCGGTCTCTACAAAGACAATTCAGCCGCCGGGTCGACAATCCAACTCTGGGCCTGGTTAGCACAGACAAGCCTCCCCCGTCACCGACCACGCATCGCTCATAATGACGTCGGCCAAAAGGCGGCAGCCAAGAGCTTACCGGAATCCTCGGTCAGACGGTAGCGCAGACGCTTGCCCATGAACAGCTGCTCGCGGTGGGAGCGGCGCAGCTGGGCTTCGTGCGAGAGCCGACGCTGGCGCACCTCCCTGCCGGTCGGCGTGTGCTTGTAGAGTTCCTTGAATCTGGGCTTCATTGTTTGATAAAGAAAAGGGTATGCTTGGTAAATGGGGAGGAGAAAGACGAGGGCAATAAACGCCCCCGGCCCCTCTTTTTCCTCTGGGCCCAGAATCTCCGTTCTTCTGCACAAACCCGGGCCGGCGTGTGCAAGGTGCTTGCTGTGCAACATGCATGCCCGGTCAGCTGGTCCATTCTACGGCTTTTTGGAAGGCTGCACACTCCCTAATCCTAAGATGGCTGATGACCGTATGCTGCCCCACTCATGAGGTTGTGGATTTTTCACTGCTTAGTGGTCTGTGCGGCATGTCGACCACTTGTTGCGAATCACCCCACCTCGGTCTGTACGTGATCGCATGTTGCTTGATAAATCTGGATCGCTGCATGTACCATCATGGATCATGTTTGGATCGTTCGTCACTGGCCAAATTGTTTATGTTGGTGGCGGGCGATGTTGATATACATGGATCAACATCCCCTCTGGCAACTACGTCAGCAGACTTCTACCCAAATTTGCTACATTGGAGCGCCAAGCAGCACGGTATTTGGCTGTTTATGATCGCCCGCCACAGGCTGCGCACGCATATTTGATGCTGCGGGGACAAATACCGCCAAAGTGTATGCGCAGCACGTTGAGGCTCCTCGATACTGTATTGATTCTTGGACCAACTACCGTCTTAACTGAAAGATCCACTGTAGATATCAAAAGTGTGCAATGTCCCCCCCCCCCAAGAATTTGCTTTGGTTCTGGTGGTAGTGCGTACTCTGCCAGATATGATCGGCGACCCGGCATCTATAAAAAGGGGCGAGGACCACTCGGCAAGTGGGTCTGATACCGGATCATCTTTCACTGCAGATTCTCCAGTTTGTCTAAACGACAGCCAGCGCTAACTCTTTCTATCGCCATCCTCAGTAGACAGTCCCTAAGCCATGGTTGCCTTCAACAACGTCATAGCAGTCATTGCAACTCTTCTGTGCACCAGCCAGCTGGCTGCAGCATCTCCTTACCCACAAGGTAACAACCGCTTCGCACGCCGTGCTGATCTGGTCACTATTGGTGGGGAGTGCAATGTGCAAAACGACCGTATCGGCTGTGCTGACAGAAAATCGCTTCTCTTCTGCGTGAACGGAAAATGGAGCGCGTTTGCTGAATGTACCCTTGGCACCATGTGCAAGGACGGCATGTGCGTCTACGAAGACACCAGCGGGAACACCACTCCTATTGAGCCCCAGCCTACCCCTACCACCACCATGAGCCACCTGTTTTCAGGCAGCGCCTCTACCCCTGACACCGCCATCAATAACCCAACTCCATCCAGCGACCCAGCCAGTATGTCCATCAAACCCACCCGTACCACCACAATTACCCTTACCACAACCACAAATATCTACACTCCCAAAGCAACCCCATCCTCTTTCACATCCTCTGTAGCTCCCTCATCGTCATCGTCCGGCAGCGGCGGCAGCGGCGGCGGCGGCGGCGGTGGCGGCGGCGGTTCCAACTTTGGCATCACTTGCGATAAGTTCAACAAGGCAGTCGTTGACGGAGGCAACGCGATCGGCCAGCGGTACCCTACCCCAAGCTCATCCCAGTGCTCGTCGTTCCTGAACGGCATGGTTTCCAAGGGCCACATTGCTAATGCGCGCGAGGCGGCTATGTTCCTGTCCAATATCCTCTGGGAGTCCGACGGACTGCGAGCCAAGGAAGAGTACGACTGCAAGTCACTGCCCGACTGGTGCGCCCAAAACTACAAGACTCCGAGTGATGTGCCTGGCCAGACCTACTGGGGCCGCGGATACATCCAACTGTCGTGGCACTACAACTATCTGGATGCCTCCAAGGGCCTGTTTGGCGACGACCGCCTGACAAAGAACACTGCTCAGGTCGCCAGTAACGAGGATCTAGCGTGGGGTGTCAGCTTCTGGTTCTGGAGCGACCGCGTCCGCTCGGACCCTGGTGTCCAGGCGGGCAAGTTTGGCGCCTCGATCAACAAGATCAACGGTGGGCTCGAGTGCAATGGCGGCGCTGCGGCTGACAAGGCCAGGAAGCGCTACGCGATGTACAAGGTCATTCTACCTCTGTTTGCACCCGGCGAGACACCAATTGAGAGCGGCTGCTACAACTAGACATTCCTCTGCTTGCTCTCTGTTTCCTTCTCTGTTTATAAAACGTATATACCTTGACCGCTAATATCTGGCTAACGAGTACCATATCCAGCCCAAATATGGTGGTCTGCCTAATAATCGAACATGCAGACTTGAAAGCAGACTAGGGCTGTTTAAGTTCTTTTCATAAATGATGTCGATGGCGCGCTTGAAAGTAATCGCAGTAGACTGTTCGCCTTTGTTAGCCCAAGAAGAGAAGACACAAGCGCTGTACAGCAAATACTTGCCATCCCAAGAGATCAAGACACTACAGCGTTTCCGCCAATTCCATGACAAAGCACGCTCGGCATTGGGGCGCATTCTGCTGCGCCAAACGCTCTTAGAGTACACTGCGAGTCCCGCCGCAACTCCGCGGGACTTTGTTATTGACGCCCAACCTGGACAGAAGCCCAGGCTCACCAATGCGTCTATTTGCCCAACAGTCAGCGACTTTAACATTGCCCATGATGGGTCGTGGATCGTGGTTGGAGTCACCGAAACTGGTCTTATCGGTGTCGACGTAGCTCAGGCCAGGCTCCACGGTGGAGAGAGTGCAGATGATTTAGCGACCATCTTTGCTTCGGAGCTCACGACTGATGAGCAGCAGTACTTGAAGTATAAAAGCCCAAACAAGCTGCTCGATTTCTACACCATATGGGCTGTCAAGGAGGCATACGTCAAGGCTACGGGCGAAGGGATATTGGGCGGCTTGACTCGGATCAATGTTGTCATGGAAAACGGCTGCCTTGTGGATACTGAGGTTGATGGGAAGCGGTGCCCGCTGGCAATCACCACCAGGGCTATTGACGATGGGCAATATATAATTGCTGTTGCCTGCGACCATGCCAGCGATATCCAAGTAGTTCCAGTTTGCAATTTATTGTAAGCTATGCCTAGTATTAGTAGCGTCTGGGTTTCTCATCAACTGAATTTCCACCACCGAACACGGTAATGTTCGGTGAGTCTGCATATATATCGATGCCCATATCATATTGTCCGTTGAACTCGTCGATATACGGTGTGTCGGGTCCGTAGTTTGCGATAACAGTGGCCTTTCCCGTATAATTTCCCGGCTGTCCGATGATTTTGATATCTGCACAGCTCATGAAAAACTCGCGATTTCCCTGGGCGTTTACCCAGGTCCACGCAAAGATGGCATGGTCGCTGCCCGGAAGATCATTAGGCAGCGTAAACGAGTAGTCCAGCACGTCCGGTATGTTGCTCCATGATGAGCTGGTAAAGAACAGATGCCGTAAGATCTCATGCACTACAACAAAGGTTGCTGCGTTGTCGTAGGATAGTGAGAACTGAGCGTGACCGCCGCCATGAGCAGCTTTGCCCTCCAAAGTGACGGTTGTCTTTTCGCCGGGTCTCCAGACTGCACTGGGTGCTGGGAATGGCTTAGTAAATTTGCAGAGCGGGTAAGTGATGTTCTGGTAGTTCCCAATTGGCTCAACCGGCGTATAGTCAGGCGATTCACCGTCAGGGAGTACCGGACAGTCTATCCCGTGTGCGCTGTATCGAGGGCAGGGATACTTTAATGCCATATGGGCAGACCCCGCGCCAAATGTCAGTAGGTATACAGCAAGTCGGAAAAACATCATTGCGAAAATGTAGGATGACATGAAAGGCAATGCTGTTCGTCCTCGCGTTGATCCGATGTAGGCTATTAAATGGCATGTATCGGCATATTACCATTTATTCATGTTCGGCTTCATGATCAATCGACAGGTGGCCGGGCCACGCAGCGCCGGCTGCGGCAGTAGCAGAATAGTTTGGCCAGTCAACAGCACCCACCAGCCTGCATCATGCCGAGATCACCACGATCAGATTGGTGATCACGCCCTTTTTATAATTGCTGGTGATGGCGTTCCGATCTCGAAGAATTTTTTCACCTCTTTTCCACTCTGCGACGAGCGCCTTTCCTTTGTCGCTACAGCTTTTTTTTTTTTTTTTTTCCTTTTTCCCATTTGGTCTATACTTCTGCCAAAACTATATACAGACAGAAAGCATGGCAGACAGCACAACTGAGAGCAGGTCCAGTCGGCCGCGGCGCAGGTTTGTGGGCAAGGGCAAGGGCAAGGCTGTGAAGGGAGAGCTGTCTATCGAGGACTCGCTTGCAGTGGCCCCTGTCGGCAAGGAGCGGCACACACATGAGACAGCCAACCACGTACCGCAGGATATCCTCAACGACAGCAGCCTGAACCAGGCGATTGGGCTGCTGCCGTCCAACTACAACTTTGAGATGCACAAGGCGGTGTGGCAGATCCGGCGACTGGGCGCGAAGCGCGTGGCCCTGCAGTTCCCTGAGGGCCTGATGATGTTTGCCTGTGCGATCTCGGACATCCTCGAGACATTCTGCCAGGTCGAAACCGTGATCATGGGCGATGTCACGTATGGTGCATGTTGCATTGACGACTTCACTGCGCTGGCGCTTGGATGCGACTTTCTAGTGCACTATGGCCATAGCTGTCTGGTGCCGGTCAATGTCACCAAGATCAAGACCATGTATGTGTTTGTGGATATCGGCATTGACACACAGCACTTTGTTGACACAGTCAAGAAGAATTTCGAGGCTGGCACGCGCATTGCACTAGTGGGGGTGATCCAGTTTGTCACAGCGCTGCAGACGTGCAAGCATGTGCTGGACGAGGTGTATCGTGTCACCATCCCTCAAGCAAAGCCATTGTCACCTGGTGAGCTGCTCGGGTGCACCTCGCCAAAGCTGAAGGACATTGACGTGATTGTGTTCCTGGGCGACGGGCGCTTCCATCTGGAGTCGATCATGATCCACAACCCCGAGATCCCGGCATACGCGTATGACCCGTACAACAAGAAGTTTACGCGCGAGCGCTACAGCCACGACGAGATGCACTCGCTGCGCAAGAACGCGATCGAGGCAGCCAAGCATGCAAAGAAGTTTGGGCTCATTCTCGGCACACTCGGCCGGCAGGGCAACCCGAAGGTGCTGGAGGAGCTGCAGGAGCGGCTGGCCGAACGCAAGATCGGCTACGAGACGGTGCTGCTGTCAGAGATCTTCCCAGGAAAGCTGGCGCAGTTTCCCGACATCGACTGCTGGGTGCAGATCGCGTGCCCGCGACTGTCGATTGACTGGGGCTATGCGTTCCCGAAGCCGCTGCTGACGCCGTACGAGGCCAACGTGGCACTGGATGCAGTCGAGTGGCAGGAGGCGTATCCCATGGACTTTTACTCGTTCGACTCGCTTGGCCCCTGGACGCCGAACTACCACAGCACTCTGGCTATCAGGCAGCGCGAGCGGGCCAAGAGGCAGCAGCAGGACGCACTGAAGGCGCTGGCGTAATCGGCAGCAGTTCATGTTTATTCAACAAAAAAGAAAAGGCAGCCTTGGATGCTATCGCGAATCGAGAGAGTTGGCAGAACTGACGTATATGGCCGCTTCCCATGGGCTGTGAGCGCCGACGGTTGCGAGTCAGGCTGAAGAGTACATGGCTAGGCGCAGTTTACCCGGATCCAGGCATCCGCTCGCCGGATAAACTCCTTCATGCGTACATCGGCCTCGCACCCGGGCTCGACGTCACCATCGTATTCCTGGAATAGGCTGGAGATGTTCTGGATGCCTTCGACGACCTCGTTGAGTGTGCCAGCAGTGATGTTCGCGAGTCGCTCGGCCGGATGGGCGGGTACTGGAATCTGGATTGCGACTCGATCACGAACCCTGGCCAGGCAGATGAACTCGGATGCGAGCACGTCATTGGCGTGCTTCAGGCTGTCTTTCTGGGGTTGCGAGAGGTTGTTGATGTGGACTATTGCCATTTTAAAATTCTGGTTTAGAATAGAAGGCTGCAGAAATAGAATAAAAAAGTACTCTTTTGAGATTGAGCGCCAGAGCGCAAGAGCGAGGGAGTACACAGAGGAGATCATCCTACGAGCATGTTGTTGAACCTAGACCGCGCTTGTGCGACGTCGCAATCAACATGCGCTTCATTTAGATCGATCGTGTATCCGAGTCATCGCTCAGCTCTCCTGACAGCAGCGCAGAGCGGCGACGACCCGACGACGGGCCATTGGCTACTGCGGGTCGCTCTCCATCAGGCACGCCTTCGATGTGGTTGTCCGATAGGGAGCTCGACGGCATTGACTGGGGCCTGAGCTCGTCATACTCGCCGGTCTCGGCCTCGGCATGTCGCCGCCTTGAGCTGAAAGCAAAGCCTCGGCGCTGCCTTCGCATGGAATCGTAGTCGCCAGAGCGCGGATTGGCGGGAATGTGGCGAGCCTTTTGTTGCGCACTGATGCTGTCGCCACTGGCAACAACAGCAGCGGCTGTGGCAGTAGCAGCAGCCACCAGTGAGGTTGTAGCATTGCCCATGTATGGCGTCGACGGGCCAGTCACTGCACGCACTACCTTGACGCGCTTGCGCATATCGACAAACACGTCCGTCTCGTCGATGATCTCCTCCTGGATAAGCTCCTCGATTACGTCCTCCAAGGTGATGATGCCGATGGGCACGTATGAGCCCAGGTCGTCGTCAGTCACCATATCCTGGTCGAAGATGCGGCCCGGGTCACCGACAATGTAGTTGGAGCGGCGACGGATAGCCGAGGGGGTAGCCGTGCTGCAGGGGCATGGCGTGGAGGCCGGATGTCTTCCATTGTCGTAGCCTGTGCTCTTGACACTCAGCAGGGGCGTTTTGCTTGTGGCCAGCGTTGTATCACTGCTCAAAGTTGGGGACGAGCGCAGAAGCGATGGCGGCGGCGGCGGCGGACCCATGACAACAGCCATATGACTGCCACCTTCCTGGAAGGCGTTGAGGATGTCGTAGAGGGAGATGTTGGGGGTGACCAGCGGCATCGTGGTGAGCTTGGCCTCCCGCACCTGCAGGGCGTCGTCGGGGTCGAGCAGAATCAGCGACTTCACCAGAAGCACGCCGACAATGTTGGTACGCTCGGTGTCGTAGACAGGCACTCGGCTGTGGCCACGACGCAGCATCTCAGTCATCAGCTTGCGGGTCAGGCGGGCGTTGATATCGACCATGTACACGTTGCTTAGATCTGTCATCACATCGACCACGAGCTTCTCGCTCAGCTCCAGCGCCCCGCGGATGATTGTGACCTCGTCATTGGACAGGTTTCCGCCGTGTGCTGTGTCACTCAGCAGAACCAGCTCCTTCAGCTCGGCCTTTTTGTATGTGACACCGTGGTCGGCTCCCAGCACAAAATCAAGCAGCATTGCGATCGGATAGCCCAGCGGCGATAGCGCATACTGCAGAATACGCACCGGGTAGGCAAAGAAGGCGCCGATGGCCAGGCCGTATCGCGCACATAGGGACTGGGGGATGATCTCACCAAACAGGACGATGGCTGCGGTCGACACAACGATGGCCGCTACTCCGCCACCCAGTATCGAGTCCATGACAATGGGCAGCGTTTCATTGATGATGGTGTTGCCCAGCAATAGCGTGACAAGCAGCCAGTGGCCGTTCTTGCGGATAGGCTGGATGCGTTGCGCATACATGCGCTCTGTCTCAGAACCCGAGGTGGCCAGAATGTGCAGGTTTGTCTCGTCCAGCGACATGAGGCCGAGCGTCAAGCCTAGATGGAACGATGCAGAATCTTTTTAGATGTGCACACCGCTGGTGCTGCAAGGGAAATCGGTGCATTGCCTGCTGCAAAAGAAAAGCACACTTACCTGCTAATAGCCCGCCCAGGAGGACCAGAACCACGCAGACGCCCACTCGAAAGTAAAAGTCTGGGGAGTCGGGCGGCACTGTGGGATCGCTGCCGGAGGCCTCGTCGCCCAGTGCTGCCAGTAGCCCTGGCGAATTCCGGTGCTCCCGCTGCTGAATTGGGGTCGCAGTCACTGCTGCACTGGCCAGCAGAGCTGCAGCCATAGCGCAGCACAGCCCAAGGCGACGGGGCTTTGTTCGTATAGAGGGCACCATGCCGCTTTGTGTCTAAAGAAAAATCAGTGGTGGCAAAAAAGCTGTGAGCGAAAACAAAAAGGGTGCAGGAGTTTAAAAACGAAGGTTGGAGCGCGATAGTGCATTGGCAGTAGTGCTGGCGCTGGTGGTATCCTGGCCACATGCCCCCACCCCATTCAAGGGGCTCGCTGAGACGAAGCCTCAACTCTTGTTTGAATCGCCCCCGGCGCTTTTTTTTTTTCTAGAAGCTGTGATGTCCTATGCTCCCAAGCAGTCGCCGCCAGCTGCGCTGCGCAGGTTTGGAGATGGATTGGTGCAGGATTTCGGTCCCCTTTTTGCCGCTCCCCAAAACGCATACCAATTCGGTCGCCCCGTGTCAGAGTCAAGCGCTGCTCCAGCAAGAATGATTTGCCGCTTGCGCCGCATTGTTGCCGGCAGTAGGACTGGTGCCGGTCCGTGGGAGATACCCGAAAAATTAAAGTTGCTTGAAAGCGGAGCTCTGCCAATTCTGCGGACGAGGCAGGCTGAGCGGCGAGGGGAGAGGCTTGGGGGATTAGCCCCGACGGGACCGCGTCTGTGAACCAGAGGACTGCTTCTAATTAGACAAGTGGACTTGCCTCGTGATCATTGCCAATAATCGATGGCTGCTGCTCCTTTTGAAAGGCGATTCCGGAAACGACGAGCTCGGATGGGACTTTCTAACCCCCTCGTGTGGGCGCGACGAGGGGCAAGGAGGAAAGATGGAGCGTCCGGTAGACAGAGCCAGACAGAGCCAGACAGAGCCAGCGGCAGACTTGGTTCAAGATAAACAATTGCATTCCTGGCAAAACGTACAACGGGCGGCGGCAGCGCTAATTGCGCGTCGATTGTTTCCTTGTCTAATCAAAACAAACTTGAACGTGGTGAGGCAGCTCGCACTTCGCGCGTGCGCGGCGGGCCGGGGGTGGGCCGACAGGCGTGAGCAGTATAATTCTTGCGCTCCCCTTCCTCGCTTTTTTGCGAAGCTGGCCCACTATTCGCACATATATTTTACCTCCTCCCCTTGCTTTGTGCCTTGTTGCGGCAGGTAGCCTTTTTTTTCCCTTTTCTGCTCCGTCCTTTTTTATTTTTCGCATATATTTTAGCCATTTTTCCATTCATTTTCCGTCCTTCTTTTGTTTTGCCCACATCAACCAGCACCACCACTCCACCTGGCCTTTCCATATTTCCAACTCCCGTCTAACACAGACCCTTTCTCATAGCTGTAAGTATTCTTTTCGGGCGGCAGCCTTGCTTAAAGACCGAGACTGGTAGCGCGGCAGTACCTTCCTGCACGTTCTCCACGCGTGTCACCACCCCTTCCACTCCCCCCACAGCCCCAGCCTCACCTTACCCACCAACCTGGGAAAGCAGGCTGAAAGCTTATTTCGTCTCTTGTTCTAGACAGGCTGCTCAGCAGTTGACCTTTATGTTTCTTTGTTTCTACCGATTACTAGATGGCATTTGGAAATGAGCGACCGCGGGATGAGACCGCGAAACCGAAAGGGACCAGGTCATTCACAGCTCTCGGGCAGAGCCTGCGTCGCGGACTGACAACAAAGAGGTCACAGGGCGGCGCGGCAAACAAGCAGCACCATGGACACCATTTGACCACCGGCGACGCGACCGGATACACACCATCACCGCTGTCACGGGGAACCACTGGTGGCGCCGCCGACATGGGCAGCAGCGTGTTCGGGACTGTGCGCCCCCACCGGATCGGTGGATCCGGCGCAGCTACGATGAGCGGTGGCAGCGTGGGCAGCGCCGGGCTGCTTCGCAAGACTATCTACGGATCTAAGGGAATGGCGACAATTGGAGGCAGTAGCAGCAGCGGCGGCGGCGGCAGCAACAACCACAGCAACAACAACAACAACAGCCATGGTACCAGTGGCTCACTAAACAATGCCTACGGCGGATCTGCTGGGTCGGCAGCGACAATTCATGGGCCGATCTCTCACTCGGCTGGAGGCCCTGGCGCCGGAGGCAGCAATGGATCTGGACACAGCAGCACGAGGCGAGGACACCACCAGGCACCAAATCTTGTCGATCTGTTTGCCAATCCATCGACGAACGGCAGCGGGCCGGACATGTCGCAGGTCGATATGTCGGCAGCAGTGTCAGCATCGGCAGGATCCAACGGCCACGGCACTCACAGTGACTTCAGCCCAAAGGCCATCGCCCAATCGACTCGCAGTAGCAGCGGCGCACCCAACATGATCACCAAGGAGGGGTACTTGAGCAAGAAGACTGACATCAACCCCAGCACATCCATTGCATCGGCTCTGTCGCGCGGGTGGAAGGTGTATCGCGTGGTTCTTAAGGGTGCCAAGCTGTTCTTCTACAAGCCGCCGTCCGAGAGCGAGTTGCGCGCCATGTTCCCCGAGGAGATTGCAGCGGCCGAGAACGAGTCGGTTGGCGGATACACGCGGCCGTCGATGTCAACGGTGTTTGATGACGGCCATGGCGGCGGAGCGTCAGGAATGCCGCTGACTCCAGGCGAGGTCGACTCTGGGTCGCGGGGGATTCTGTTTGAACCGGGAGTGCACGACGGCCAGATCACCGAGCCGCTGTGCGATCGCTACCTGTTTGGCGAATGCTTCACTGAGGTTGATCTGCGCACGCTCAAGTTCAAGCGCTACGTGTGCGTGCTAATTTTCGATGACACGCTGGTGGTGCTCAAGCGCCGCTGGGTAAGGCAGGGGATCGCATCCAGCTTCTTTGGTGCGGTCAGCAACAAGATGCGGTTTGGCAAGGGCTCGCGCTTAAAACAGCCGCAGCATCACACTGCCGACAACTCGTCGCTGGTCAGCGCCGAGCTGGGCATCCAGGGCAAGGGCTACTTCACCAAATGGAAGCACCACGCATCATACTCAATCAGCAATGCCGAGGCCATCGAGGCCGCCAGCTCGCGCTTCAGCATCAACCACTCGCCAGGGATGCTTGGCCACCTGGCGCAGAATAGCCAAACCAGCTCGGGGCGTGTCAGCCTGTACTCGATTGGAAACAGCTCCGTATCGTCAGTGATGACTCGCACATCAACAGTGTCGAAGGACTACTCGGGCGCACTGTCATCCGGTGCGGTACCGGGGTTCCAGATCTTTGTTGGGGGCAAGGAGCGCGTGGCACGCATGTTCGTCGCAACAACATCCGATGCCAAAAATAACTGGCTATCACGCTTTGCTGCCGCCAAAGCCAGCTATGCCCGGCGGCTGCGTCATCGCCCGCGTGAAAACATCAACCAGCGCCGTGGTTACGAGTCGTCGCGGCGACCCACAGCAACCGGAGCTGCCGGTGCTGGTGCTGGTGGTGACTTGGCTGGCACTGCTGGCAGCAAAGGCGGGCAGCATGCTGATGCTGCCAATGCTGATGATCGCGCTGGCGGAAAGCCGGCCAAGGACGCGCGCACCCGTCTCTACTGGGGCACGCAGCGGCACCCGGAGCTGGTGGTCGTGCCAGCCAGCGGCGCTGCTGATGGCTCCGCTAGCGCTGCTGTGGGGGGCGACGATCCCACCAATGTTGTTGTTGTGGGCGGCAGCAAGAGCGCGCTGGTGCATGAAATGGTGTTTTGCACCGCTCGCCCGCAGACCGCTGACGCAGCCGTGCAGACTCCATTTAGCCTGCAGCTGGCGGGCACATACCAGCACCTTATGACCACCGACGAACTCCTGCGCGAGCTCCAGCGCTACTCTGAACTTGTCATCCCAGAGCTGGAGCAGTATAATGAGCTGGTGGACAATCTGGCGGCGATCGTCACTGCGCTGGCCAATATTTATAGCTCCGCCTTTGACGCCAGCCAAATTGACATTTTGAGGGCAATCGTTGAAAAGGCCATCGCCAGCGACCAGGCCCACGCACGCACGGCGGAAAATCTCAACACTGCAATCAACCGCATGGTGCCCTTTGTGGCCGCTGCTGCCGCCGCCCCCACAAGCAAATCTGCTGAGGCAACCGTAGGCACAGCCAGGGGATTCGACCCGCCAAAGACACCGACTACGCCTGCAGCGAAGCTGCCGGGCATCGTCGAGGGGTCCAGCCCGCTGCGTGTGCGGTCCAAGACCCACCATGCCGAGCCAGAGCCCACGGTTCCACAGATCCCCACTGTGCCAGAGCTGATGCGCGTCGCAATCACGGGGCTGTCGCCGTCGCTTCTGCTCAAGGTATCGCCGCAAGAGTTTGCCCACCAGCTGTACCTGTTCCATAGCTCGCAGCTCGCAGCTTTCGACCCGAAACAGGCCGAGCTGTACAAGCCCGTGGCCCGCAGGCGCCAGCCCACCAATGCCCCTCCAACGCCGAGCCTGCTTACGGTCGGCGCAGCAAATGGCGATGCTGAGGCAGCCGGCAGTGCATCGTCGCCTCTATCGCCAATGGCTGGTCATAGCTTTGACAGCACTAGTGGCGCAGCTGCCTCAGCCACAGGCACCCAGAGCAGCGCATCGGAGACCGTCGACCCCGAGGCTGTGCTGGAAATGCAGCGTCAGCTAATGGTGTTCACACAGAGCGAGCCGCACTTTATCACACGCCTGGTGCACCAGCATCTGTTGGTCGAACTGCCACTGAACCGCCCTGCCCGCCGCAGCGCTCTGCTGCTGCACTGGGTGCGTATTGGTGAGGCGTGCCGTCTCATTGGCGATGCTGTCGGGTGGGCTGCGATTGCGATGGCTGTGACCATGTCACCTATTGCACGGCTGCGTGAGACCTGGCATGGCATTGCGCTGTCGTGGAAGGAGCTGATCGTGTCCAAGTGGGTACCCCTGCTGGTCGAATACGGTATCTACGAGACCGACATCGACTCGCCAAAGAGCAAGGCTCCGTCTGGCAAGGCGCTGATCATCAAGCCGCAGAGCGGCACGTCTCATGGATACCCCTATGCCGCCATCCCGTACTATGGCCCGATCCGCATGCATGTTGATCGCATTGGCCGCAAGCTACGCCGGCTGTATGACCCAGCCATTGTAAAGTCTAATGGCGGCGATGCAGCGGGCGGCGACAAGGTGCTCTTTGTTCACCACGGTCTGATGTTTGCTGCGGCTAAGGAGGCCGTAGATTCGATCCCAGCCAATGTCTTGGAACGGACTCGCAGCGTTATCCGGTCACGCGCCAGTACCATTTCGCTAGCCACCACTTCGCAGCAGCAGCAGCAACAACAGGGCAACTCGCCACCAAGTACTACCCCTCAGATCCATACCGACCCAGCAATGCTTGCGCACCCCTATCTGCACGAGTATCTGGTAAACATGGCTCTTAATCCGCTACTGCTCGGGGACGAGCTGGCTGATTCGGATGTGGTCGAGTATGATGTTCGCTTCCTGCTGTCCATCTCTCTGCAGTGTGAGCCATCAGTAGCCGACCAGTACCAGCAGCACCTGCAGGACGGAGATGAGGACGGCCAGGACAGAGCCACGGCTGCATCAGCACTACGCCAGGCGCCAGGGTCGATTCTTCCGCTGGTATGTCCCGAGATTGTTCCATCGACCAACATCCTGCAGTGGATTACGCCAGTAACCCGCACTCACGCACCACAGATTCCTATGCACTCAGTTAACCGCAACCCGAACGGATCAGGGCGCTCCGGTACCATTTCGCATATCGCCACTTCGTCCCCAGGCATCACTGGCGGCAGGCTGATGATGCCCGATTCGCCGATGGCCCGGCCGCAGAACACCACCAGCTCGCTGGCTCTCTCTGGACCCATGGCTAGCCCGTCGGCAATGGCCGGGAAGCGCAAGCCTTCTGGCGGCCCCGACACATCCGCAATCGAGAACGCTGCTATTGGCGCCATACCCCAGCCTATGGATCCGCAGGGACTGCGGCATAAGCGCAGCCGGTCATTCCCCACCAACGCTGTCAACATGCAGGTCGGTGAGGCCAGCAACGATGCCATGGCCTCGGGCTCCACCGGCGGCGAATTTGCCACTAGTTCTGAGGTGCACCCCCATTCCACTACCAGCATGATGGCATCAGCCTCGGAGGAGTCGGCACAAACAAATGGCAAGCATGAGCAGTCGTCGATCGGGGCTGTAGCAGCCAGCGACGTTAGCCACAACGACGCTCTCTACGCTGGAGCCACTCTCTACGCTGCGCACGGCGATCTAGCGCTCAAGGTGCTGCGTGTGCAGTACACCCATGTGCGTGACTCTGCAGCGCTAGTGCAGCCGGTGGGATTCGTTGTTGAGGTCCAGGGTGGAACCATCCCAATGCTCCTGGATCTCCTCATCAACGGTGTCGAGCAGCACTCGGCGACTCTGGCGGGCGAGAAGGGCCTGCGCGTGCAGTTCCCCGATGGCTCGACGCCCAAGCTGATGTTCAACCGCGATGTGTTCCAGCGGGCATTTATGGCGTCGTTCCGCCATTTCTGTATTGGGTTCGATGTGCTCGATGCTATGCGCAAGGCGCTCACCGCAACCAAGCACCGATCCTGGGATCAGGTGGAGCGGACGCTGGGCACGCTGCTAGACATTACCGAGAACTGGCTTGGCCAGCATTTCAGCGACTTTTTGGATGGCACTGCACTGCGCGAGGCGATGACCGACTTCTTGGTCTCGCTAGAAGCTGAAGTGCAGACAGCCCGGCCCAAGGACGACGCTGGCACCAATGCCAAGACAACTTGGGGCGAGCTTGCCGAGCGCTCGAGTGTGCTGCTGCCGGAGTTGATCACACAGATGCTATCACCCTCGGGCTACACTGAGCTGGAGCAGGTTTTGGAGCGCCGGCTGCAGTACGCGGTCAAGCGTGAGCGCAAGGACAGCATGCGCGGTGTCGACACAATGGTCCAGTCGCCCCTGTCGCTGCTCAGTCTGTCGGAACCGCACGAGGTGCTCGAGTCACTGAATCGCCTGGTGCAGACACACTTTGCACACTGCTCATTCAACGACTGGATTGTCACTTTCAGCCTGCTCGAGGTTCAGACCCATGCGCCGCTGCCATGGTATGCAAAGAAGCGCATCACCCAGGTGCCCAGTGAGGACGAGATTGTCGTTTCAGATATCTACCAGGTGCTGGAGCAGACCCAGCGACAGCGCATCTCGGCACAGGTGCATGACGTCTCGACGTCAATGAGCGGCGTCGGTGTCGGCAGTGTTGCTGCCAATACAGCCGAATCGTCGCTGGTACGCACGATGCCACACAGCATCCAGGTCATGCTGGAGCTGCATCGCACGATCCGCGGGTGGGTGATTCGCCAGATCGTCGACCCGAGCATCCCACTGTCGCAGCGTATCATTCGGATCCAGAAGTATCTGGCCATTGTTCGTATGTGCCGTCGCGACTCGCAGCTCTCGGCGTCACGCGTGTTTGGCGACCTGCTTAACGGATACATGCGCGAGGCCGGCATGATCCCTGAGCGCCAGCCCAGTTACCGCGTCAACTCAATCAAGAATGGCGCCTATGGCCGAGGCAGTGCTGGTGTCGGCCATGCAGGCAAGCGGGGCAAGCGCAAGGCAGCCCAGTCTCAGGTGCGCTATGTTCCGTCGTTCGTCGAGCGCGCCATTGCTAGCGCCCTCGTCAGTCCCGAGTCGCGACAGTATGTGCGCGCATGGAATGAAGTTGCTGTGGCCAACAACACCAAGCTGGAGTCCCTAGAGGCGATGCTACGTGGTGCACGTGATCTAACCCCTGCGGCGAAATCTAGCTCAATGGCTTCTGAGAGCGGGGTTGCTGCCGATGCCAATGAGCTTGGTCAGCAGAAAGCCCTGTCGCGGCGCCGGTCATACTCCAACCTTCCAGGCGATGAGATTGATCTGTCTGAAGACATGATGGCGCGTGCCGACTGCTTCGTCCCGTGTCTGGGCTGGCTGCTGGAGAACATGGTCAGCCTCTGTTACGACACACCGGACACGCTGGTTGGCGATGTGCGCTTGGTCAACATTGCGAAGCGGCATCGTGTCTTCATTATGCTTTGCGTGTGCGACCAGCTCGGGCAGCGTTGCCAGGAAGCCTTTGCGCTGCCAACCAAGACCCGCATTGACATTGGCCTACTGTCGAACCAGGTTGCCCAAACGCCAATCTCGCTTACCGAGATCAGGGCCCAGAGCTACCGAGAGTCCAACATGGCTGCCGAAGCATCAGGCGTACCCAGTGGACCGTCGGGATCGGCTGTGTCACCATTGGCCGGCAGCGGCTTGGCTGCATTTGGTTCTGACAGCTCGTTCTCGTTCACAGCTAGCGCTGGTGGTAATGGGCTGCCAGCGCCAAACAGCAGCCAGGCATCACGGTCCGGCGATACTGCAACCGCATCTATGAGGCATGCAGCGGGTGGGTTCTCGAAGCGGTCGATGGGCAACCTTCGCGGAGCCAACGACTCACGCGGGCAGTACCTGCGCAAGGCATCGAATGTGACGAACCTAGTTACGCACCCCACACCCGACCTCCCCAACGGCAACTTGTTTGGATCTCCGCCGGCCCCACCGCCGCGCTCGCTGACACAGCCAGACAGCCCCAGCGTCCACCAGCCTGGGTTTGGTGCTTCAGCAAACAGTGCTGGGCCGATCGGTGGTACGCCAGTGCAGTACCACCGACCATTCTCACGACTGGTCACCGATGAGATCGAAAAGGTGCGCCAGGAGGTGCGCGAGCGCGAGAAGCTCGAGCGCGAGCTGCGCGACCGCGAGCAGGCAATGGAGCGGCAGAAGCAGGAGCGCACCAAGATGCTGAAGCGCCAGCTCAAGGAGCAGCAGCAGCGCAGGGCCAAGAACGAGCCTCTGCTCAAGATGTCCAACCTTATGAGCAAGGTGGGCATCACTGTCCGCGACAGCTCAGTCGATGGCAGTGCATCCCACAAGGCAGGCACGCGCCACACGGCAGTCGCTGGCAATGTGGTGCATGCTGGCGCCGACAGCAGCAACCGCGACAGCCAAATGTCCACATCGAGTTCGATGCGCCCGCGCGGGCCGGCGCTGCCTAGCACCAAGCCGGCCAACGTGATCAACCTGATCAACTCAACCATCACCGTCGAGGAAGGCTACACAAAGCGCGACTTTGTCTTCCGAATTGTCACCGAGGAAGGCGGCCAGTACCTGCTGCAGGCGCCAGACATGGACCAGATGGAGGACTGGATCAACGGCATGCGCGATGCGGCCACTGAGGCTGCGGCCCGTCGTTTGACGCTATTTGTCGAGGAGGCAAAGAAGCGGTCCCACGGGGAACCAGGCGGTTCGTCTGGTGCATCCGCGGCTCCAAGCATGCCGGGCATGGGCGCTGAGTCTGATTTGAGCCAGCAACAGGTACCCAAGTCGCCACTCACCGAGACCAGCGCACGC